CCCTAGAGCATCTACTATATAATATCTCTCGACGACACCGTTTTCTCGCTAATCGTACGCTTAGGGTCGATTCTAGGGAACTCGTAGGCCCATTCGCGCTTCTTAAAAACTTAGTAGGCTAACTCTAGAGCATCTACTATATAATATCTCTCGACGACACCGTTTTCTCGCTAGTCGTACGCTTAGGGTCGATTCTAGGAGACTCGTAGGCCTACTCGCGCTTCTTAAAAACTTGGTAGGGCTAATTCCTAAGTATCTATAAGCTTAAGTCCCTACACCTCTACTTCGCCGAACCTCGCTAGAAGCGCTTAATCCTCGTAGCCTCCGAGTACTACCCTAATAACACTATCTAGTAGTATATGCGTATAATAAACTACTTACGCGGTATCGTCGACCGTGTAGAAATTACTAGATGTCTACCCGACTGCTTCATCGGTCTAGAAGCTATGCTGTTTCCTAAGCTATGTTTAATTAATGTAGGCATGTAGCAAGAAAGATGCAGCAAAGTCTATTAAAGTATAACAAGAGCCCTCTTCGCCATTACTATTATATTTTTAAGCAATACCTATCTATTTCTTTCTTTAGTCCTAAGTAGTAGTTATCTCCGCTCCTACTAACTTTAGCTCGGATCCTTTTACTTATAGCGCCTTATAAGCTCTTCGACGAGCCTGTTTGTATTAGCTAGGATAGTCTAAGAGCTTACATGTAAGGGATACATACCCTTAACGATAGTAAAGTTCGCTTTATTAAATGCTAGACCGTTATAGCTAGCGTCTTAAAGTTGCTCTTAGATTGCGCTAGCAAAGGTTATATCGCTTCTAACAATTTAATCGAACTCCCCTAAACGAGCACATCGCCTTTTAAAACGACCTCCTCGGCCTCGAGATAGCGAACGAAATCGAAGAACGAGAGGATCGAACTCCCCCTAAACGAGCATATCGCCCTTTAAAACGACCTCCTCGGCCTCGAGATAGCGAACGAAATCGAAGAACGAGAGGATCGAACTCCCCCTAAACGAGTACATCGCCTTTTAAAACGACCTCCTCGGCCTTAAGATAGCGAACGAAATCGAAGAACGAGAGAATCGAACTCCCCTAAACGAGCATATCGCCTTTTAAAACGACCTCNGAATGGACTTGGAAGACATAAGGCTAGCACGTGGAGTAGCGGTGAGTTTCAGACCGAAAGGTATGTCCCAGTGGAGCCTGATCGACAGATTATGTGTAGAAGTATCAATGTCATGTGCGTGTGCCACCACGAGTCTTATAGCAGAAGTAGGCACGGTGATTATTTCCAAATTCTCGTCTACACGCTCTCGGTGATATGGCTGCTCGTGTAATCGTTCCGTTGATAACCACAGCGAACCGTCGAGGCCGAGAGACAATTTTGCGATCCAACCTAGCTCCTACCCCACAGCACCGGTGACTAACCCATTTTCCTGATCCGGTCCCCACGCCCCCTACGGTATAGTCACTCGTGCACTCACTCCGTAATCCAACCCAAAACGGGCCGCGAAGCTCATGGCGATGGAGCAAAATTGTACGGCCGTCGACCTGATCCGCGTGGACGAGGTTGATCAGCTGCAGCCCGGACGCAATGTCTCGGGGGCTGGAGCAAGCGATGGTTGTGCGCACGTCAGCGCCTGTGTTGATGATTAATTTTGGTGACTCCGGGGTCGAGATTCCCATTGTACATTGTCGGTTTATGCGACATGGGAATGAGGTAGAAACCAAGTTGACGAGAACGCGAAAGTGGAGAAGAGGACGAGCGAGATGAAGATAGAGTCTTTTGATGGAGATCACGGCGTCCAGTACGCCACCAGAGAAACATTCTTGAGGACGGTAGCTTGTCCAACCGTGCACTTAAACTTCCAAATCGTTCGGAAGTTCATTTGCTTTCACGCCCCAACCGTCCTCCAACAATTTCTTGACTTGCTCCAGCTCGAGATTCTTTGTCTCCGGATAACAACGCCATACCCATGCATATCCGATCAAGCACACGACAACGTAGACAAGGAATGTGGCACTAGGCCCGAGGGTATGCATCATCGGCAAGAAAGTTGCTCCGACAATAAAATTGCTGGTCCAATTTGTGGCAGTCGCGAGACCAGAGCCCATCGATCGTACTGAAAGGCTAAATAATTCGGACTGTTGCCATGGCACGCATCCCAATCCACAAGCGTATGATGCCACGTAGAAGATTAACGAGCAAAGTAGGACTAGCGACCATGGACTTGGAGATTTGGGAGCGGATACAGCCGAGGATGGAGCCACCGTATCTGAAGGTGATGCGTCGATGTGCATGAATGCAAGAGAACAGCTGGCGAGTCCGAGAATCATGAATGGGATCGAGTATAGCAGGATACGGCGTCTTCCTACTCTGTCGATTATTGCAAAAGCCAGCAAAGTAAAAACAAAGTTGGAGACGGAAATAGAGAGGGATGTTCCAATTGGCGAGGTGAAGCCAACGAGAGCAAAGATGGTAGCGCTGAAGTACATCAACGAGTTGAACCCGGATAGCTGTTGTAAAGCTTGAAGTCCGGCCGCGATGATCAATGCTCGACGGTTGGCCGGTATCGTAATGAGCTCATTGAACATGCTCCCACTTGCACTTAGTTGTTCTTCCTTGACTTCATGCTTGACCTGACTGACGATTTGATTGCAGTCGTCATGGCCAAGCTGGGAGAAAACAATAGCAGCTTCGTCATCTCTACCTTTGAGCACCAGCCAGCGTGGCGACTCGGGCATACCGACGAGTAGTCCTGCTTGAAGAATAGCAGGGACTGCGCCAGCACCAACAGACCACCTCCAACGCCCCATGACTGCCCAGCCCACGACGTAAGCGACGACTTGGCCTCCAGTGATAAACAGACTCTGAACTGATACGAGCTGCCCTCGGCGGTCTGCTGGAGAAATTTCTGCGATATATAGTGGTACAACAGCAGAGGCGCCGCCCACTGCAGCGCCTACAACTGCACGACCGAGTACCATGGTCCAAACGTTGGTCGCTGCGCTTTGGAATAGGGCACCAAATATGAACAGTCCACAGGCAACGGAGATGACAGGGCGACGACCAAGCGAATCCGCAAAGTGGCCAGCCAGCGGTGATGCGATAAGTGCCAGTAGAGAGGTACTGCTTGTGATCATTGATAGATCAAGTGTGGTTAGAGTTCGGCCAAGGTCTTCGTGTATCGAAACAAGCGTAGAACTTATAACACCAGTGCTACTCACAGCGTTAACATTTGACCTTCAAGTTCATCGCATTCATCCAGACTCACTCATATCCAAATAGCAGCCCACTGAGACCTGCACTTAACGTCAAGAGCCAAATCAACTTGTTAGCATCTTGTTTGGAGACTTCTGGACGTGATGTGACTCCATCATCATTCTCGTCAACGATCAGTGGTTGTTCAGATTCATCATGCATGTTGTCAAGCTTAAAGTCCTCTGTAAGATGTTCAGAAGAGGTGACTTGTCGTGACAGACAACGGCCGTCCATCAAGAAGAAGCCAGGGGTAGAGTCAAGGGCAAGGGTCAGACGCCGACAAAGACCGAGGTCGGTCGGGATTCGCGGGGTGGCTTGTGATCGATCTTCAGGGCCTTGAACGAAGATCATACTCTAATTTTGCATGGTCACAGGGCAAGACCAGATGCACATGGGACGATGTTTGCGTTTTACCATTTCATAGTGAATATTCACTACCTAGACACCCAATCTCTTCATCCATTTTCCTCCCGCCAATATCGAAGTTGGAGAGCATCTCAACAAACTCGCTCCCATATTGACGACAACCTTCTTCCCGCCAATCTCATTTGCCCTGGCTACTTGCTAAATATACAGTCCTGGCCACTCTTTGAACCGGATGAGATTATTCTGCAACTGATACAGGACGAACATTCAGTCCATATAACCAGTCTTCTTCACATCCTAGTTGGCTCCCTGGCGCTGTAGGAGAAGTCTTGATAGATACTATATCTTGTCTCTCCTGAGGCGTCGTCACGTTGTCTCAGTTGATCTTGCCATCGTGACATGGCAGGTGGAGGCTTGACTCATTTGCCCTCGTCTCCTGGACCAGCAGTGTGCATCGGAGGCATACCGGGGCTAGGTCCTTGCTGCGGGGCAGCGTGATGTTGACGGGGAGTCATTTGGTTGTGGTTGTACCCCTGATTAGACATGGCACGATGCTGCATAGGATAGCCATGCTGGCCCTGAGGTCCACCCGGGTATTGTCCTTGGGGGAAATTACGCTGCACTGTAGATTCATTAGCCCGCGAAGTTCTGCAAAAATGGTATTGTGTACAAGACTCACTCTGTCCTGGATGCTGTGGCATCATCATGGGTCCAGCGGGCGGCATTTGCATGTACATCTGTCCAGGGTGTCCTTGTTGGGAACCTTGATGACTCATTGGGTGTCCACGTCCGAAACCGGGACCAGGCTGAGGAGCAGGATGGCCTGGGAAGTGAGGTTGCACATGACCAGGAACAGGTGAGGCATACATCGGTACCTGTTGTGCCATTGGCCCATTCATGAAGGGTCCGTTTGAGGATTGTTGAACCATCATGTGACCACCCATAGGAGGGCCTTGAGGACTACCAAATTGCTGGGGACGCATCATACCGGGACTCATGTAGGGAGGCATACCTGCAGGGAAGTGCTGCATTTGCGGGTGCATCTGTGGGCCATAGGCCAATGCCGGAGGCAGACGAGGAGATGGCTGGACGGATGGAGTGTTCGAAGCGTATTGCATGCGATGTTCGTCAAAGTGTTGGCCTGGGTGGTGGGGCTGAGGAGGGTAGAAGCCAGGGTTTCGATTGGGTGGAGGAACGTTCTGCAGGTGAGGTGGAAGTTGATGTGCGTGAGCCATGACACTGTTGGTGGGAGTGTGCATGGGTGGGATAGCGGCGACAGGACTCTGAGCGAACATGTCCCGGTACGTCTTGTCTTTGTTGGCTTCGGCAACCTCCCATGTTGGTGGAGTGCGATACGCTTGCGGAATTCCTCCGTTAGGGGCGAACGTCTCGGTTTTGCCCTCAGCTGCAGCGGTCTCGAGCATGTACTTCACCGGGTTGAAGGCATCATTCAAAGGGGTCCGTTCGGACAAAGGCTTTTCATTCTTGCGGGCGAAGAACTTGACGGGAGCTGCAGCAGAGACGCTGGGGCGCTTAGCAGGTTGAGGGCTCGCTTTGGTGGGCGATGTGGGAGTGAAAGTGCTCGCTGACGGGTTAGGTCTGAATTCCATGGCCTTGACGTTAAGCCTGGCCGGAGCAGCTGAAGGACTAGCAATCTCTCGTGAAGCAGGTCCTGTAGGGGGAGAACGAACTTCAGGCGGGGGGATAGGCATGGGCATCTGCATGTTAGCCGTGGGAGCTCTGTACTGCTGCGCGGGTCTAGGTGGGATGCCGTGTGACATGCCAGGCCCACGTGGAGGTACGTTTTGGTTTTGGCGCGAGTTTTGAGCCATGCGTTGTCTCTGTGACAGTGGTGAGCCAGGCTCATTGGTGGCTTCAGGTCTCCTCGTTTGGCTCGTTGGCTGTGTTTTGTTGACCTCAGTAGATGCGACATCGGGCTTGACTGGCGCAGCAGGTGCAGGGCTGGCTTCAGCGGAAGTCACCTTTGACTCCTTCTCACGAGCCTGAAGCTCGGCCTTTGTCACGATCAAGTTTTGCTTCTCCTTGGTCTTGGCCAGAATAGGAATGAGATCATCGGGAACACGCGAGTAGAGCTTGAAGTTTTCGGCAAACTTCTTGAGGTCATTCAGTTTGACTGACTTCTCTTGACGGGCACTTGCACGCTGGCGCTCCTGTTGAACGCGCTGGTGCTGTTGGACACGAAGCTTCTCGGTGTTGGAGAACTGCTTGAATGAATCCAACACCTTGCGCTCAACTCCTTCAGTAGCACCTTTGCCGGCATTGATCGAAGGCACAGCCTTTGTAGCAGCAGTAGGGGCAGCCGAAGCAGGAGTGGGTTTGGAGGCGGTAGACGATGCTTCTCCAGAGGGGGCCGTTACAGTAGGCAGGGCGGGGACAGGTGCAGCAGTTGTAGCGGGTGCTTCCTTCGAGACTGCCTCTGTCTTCGCCTCGTCCTGCGATTTTTGCTCTTGCTGCTTAGACAAGGCAGCTTGACTGTCCGAGTTTGTGCTTGTTGATGGGCTAGGGCGAGCGACCGAGACAATAGCTGGGTCGAACGGAGCGCCTGGCACGGTGGGCTGGCTAGTGATAGGTCTTCTGGACGGAGGAACATAAGCGTTGGGTGCTCCTTGCTTCAGGAGTGAGGTAATGTTGGTCTCACGACGAACACCACTGTATCTGTGGAACATGTTAATTGTGCCTTGACGAAAGTCGTCGAAACCAGCTTACCTCTCTTCTTCATCGAGACCTCCATCCTTCTCAGCATTCATGCGACGTTCCTCAGCGACGTGAGAGTTGACGGGAGCACTACGTTCAATCTCACGAGCGATTCTCTCTGCCTCGGCTGCCTTGCGTCTGTAGTCAGGGTCGGATCTGTTGATGGCAGTGGTGTAGAGATTCTCGTCGTAGTCACTTCTGACATTGTAGAGAGCTTCGTTCGCAGCAAATTGATCCCATTCTCCTGGACGTGTCGAGTCTTCGAGCGACATGTCGATGGCAGTATCTGCACTAGGTTGCCAGGGCTGCAGCTCACGCTCACGGATGTTGAGGTTGCCAGAAATCTCGACGTCGGTACGGAAAGCAGGAGCGGCTGCTTGCTGAGCCTTCGTTTCCGAAGCAGCCAGATAAAGGTTGTTGACTGAGAGGTCTACAACGTCTTGCAGGTTGAAGGTTGTAACATGGTCTTGGCCTTCACCAATGTACTGGTCGGCCTGTTCAGCTGTGCCATTGGTTTGGTGGGTCGACTTCTTGGTGTACTTGAGAGTGACACGAGCATCATTAGGTTCGGTGGAGGCAGCAGAGAAGATACCGCTGAACTGCTCTCCACTTCTGAGGAAGATACTAACTTCCATACCCTGTGTTATGCCATAAGATCAGTTGGACGTCTAAGCCACGAGTTTGAGATGGGACGTACGGTGTAGTTTACGAGCAAGAATAGGAGCCTATCTGTGGCATGCTTGGCTGATGTGCCATTCTCTTGCTGGGACTTGGATTGCGCATTCTTAGGGGTACCATTCGGCAGGCCGTTGACAGCGGGCGTGGAAGCATTGGAGCGTTGTGTGATAGGGTTGGTGCCCTGAGACCAAGCCTTCGGGGCAGGAGATTTTCTGATCGAGGGGAGTTAGACTTGGTGGAAGATTCATATCATGTCGCATGTCGACGTACCTCGAAGCGGCATCCACAGGACTCGCGGCCTGCTTACGAGCACCGTCCAGGGTCTTTCCGACGGAATTTGTCTTCAATGGCTGTTTCGAGGGATTCGAAGCTGCCTGGGGAGCCGGAGACCTGGAGGCACCATTCGTGGTGGAGGGTTGAGCCGACATGATCGAGCGGGTCAGGGGATGAACAGGAGAGTTGATGGCGGGATGTTGGAGCTCGTACGCGCAACCAGAACAACCAAATGCCTGATAACGGAGTCGGGTCTCACAGTGTCGCGTGCCGGTCTAGTGCAGCAGCGAGGTCGTGTCAAAGAACAGGTCGGCGAGCAGCCCGACAACTGATTAGTTGAGTGAGGACAGACTACAGCTTGCACTGGGTAGATGTCGTGTTTCACTCAACTGCGATGGGGAGCTTGGCTTGATTGGCTAGCCGTTCGGATGCTATCCGGTCTAGGGCTGACCTGTGCTTCAGAAGTCCAGTGCGCGTAAACTTGGTCCGAGGTGTATCACCTAGATGGCCTGCCGGTTTCGTAATATCAAGAAGGCAATGTTATCGATACCCGAGGAAGCAACGAGGCGGACTAGGCAAGGTCAGATTGGCAGCAATGATGTTCAGGTAGAAAGCGAAGAGTCGAGGCGGCTAGGTTGTGTCGCCAATGTTGGGTCTTCACGTGCCAGACGAGCTGCAATTGAGGAAGCCGCGTTCACCGAGGAGCATGCGCTGGTCTGGACCGCTGAGCAAGCACTTCCCTACAAGGATCATGCACCGTCTTCCAAGACAACAAGACAAGAGTCGCTCTGCAAATGTTGTCTGAAGATGCGATAGGTTGCAAGGAAGGCATGTGATGGAAACACTGTACTTGTTTAGGGCGGGCTTTCGAGGCTCTTGACTCGGCTTGGTTGAACGGCCAAGAACGTGGAGACAAACAGGTCGGCGAGCATCATGGCCTTCTTAGCAGTAAACCAAAAATGCTATCCGGCGAAACGTCTTCTCTCGAATTTTGTCATATGTGACTTGCCAGGAGCAGTCATTGTTCAGTCGCGTGTGTTTGTCGGGCGTTGTCGCATTGCTGCTGTTTTGGTTGATGCTCCTCCACGCGCCACACGAGCCATCCTTCTTTGATCTGCCCCTTTACACGCGCCTACAAAGACCTGTGACTGTTAAGTGTCAAACGTCATGGCCTCTGAAGACCCGAGTGTTAGGAGCAGCTCTGGCTCACGATCCTCGGCCGTTCGATCTTCGACAAGGCAGTCGTCGCAGCCGCAGCAGCTGTCGACCATCGAGAAGAGCGTCACACACCTGCTCGTCGCTACCAAGCAACTCCTCGAAACCTTGACGCAATGGTCCCGGAACGCCGCCAGCGAGAGCGAGGTCTCGGACGTCTATGTCCGCCTGGGCTACGAGTTCAACATTGCCTGTCGCGCCTTCAATAGTATCGGGGTCGACACCCAAGACCTTGGCCCTGTGCCCGACCTGCTTCGCGCCATCCTCGAGGAAACACTTAGCCAGGAAGCCAGCCAGCAGAGTCTCGACCGCTTCCTCCCCCGTATCCGCGACATCATCATAAACCTCCTGCATGGCCTTAAGAAGAAGCAGCAGCGCTTGCGCCAGCGTACGAGCAGCGGCAGTCAGGGCTCTAGACAGGCCAGCGCTGCTGAGTCGGCTGCCGATGACCTCCTCGCGCGACAATCTGCCAGTCGGACACAGTCGCAAAGAGTAGCCAACGAACTCCCCGCCCATGACCTTCCTCCACGCTCTGCCTCAATGCAAGGCGGAAGGTCGTCACCGAGAAAAGAGAGCTTCAGTCCTGCTGCCTCAACACAACATGCCCGTGAGCCGAGTCGCGATACAACCAATTCGGACGCTTCTTCCATGTCAAGCAACGCCATGCAGAACATCCCCGTCATTGCGCCGTATCCACAGGAAGACACCATGCCCGCTCAGCCGCCAGCTCAATACGGAAATGAACCGGCACCTGTGGCCTACCAGCAAGACTCTCCTAAACCTCCCTACACCGAACACAATCTGCCTCCTCCGCCTCCACCACCGAAACAACAGGATGCCCTGGCCGCCTTGCAACGAGGTGGAGAGCTCGAGAGAAGGGCCTCGAGACGTTTCTCTGCTTATCAGATCTCAAAGCATCTGGGCTCCAGTAATGGCGTGCCTATGATACCCGTCGCGCAAAACAGTCCCATCCCCAACCGAGGCCAGGACACGCGTGAGTCCATGAAGGCTGTTCGTACGCGCAGCTATCTTCACAACAGGCAAAAATCGGCTCAGAGGAATCAGCAAGACTCGCCGAGAAGGGAACGGCCTGAAGAGACAAAATTCACCGAGAGCATAAACACAAATATGGATGAGACGCCGTCTACGGTGGGCCTAGAGAGTGCTAGTCCCATGCCCAAGACACCCGAGGACAAACTGGGAGCCTACCCATTCCCTACTCAGCAGTCTCCTGAAGAGGCTGATATGGGTGCCACTGTCAATGGGCCAGTTCCAGAGACAATTATTGAACCAAATCCTGAGCCAACGGGTGGGGAGTTGCAGCGCCGCAAGTCTAGAATACAACGGCAAACTACCCCCCCTCCACAAGCAGAGAAGGCTGCTCCTCAGCAATTCGTGCCCGAGTCTTCACCACAGCCTGGCAAGGAATTGACTCTTTTCCTACAATACAAGAGCAAGATCAAGAAATTTGTTTTGCCAGATGGGGGTGACTTGTCTATTGCCAGACTTCAATTAGCTTTCATCGAGAAATTCGCCTGGAACACGCACAACAATGGCAACGACCTTCCAGAGATCTACCTACAGGATCCTGTTTCAGGCGTGCGCCATGAGCTCGAGGATTTGGCCGACATCAAGGATCGTTCCGTGCTCGTACTGAACGTGGAACAGCTGGACGAGGTTAAGAAGCACTTCGACGATAGCATTGGAGGCATTAAGACAATGATCGAAGGATTGAAAGCCGCCGTTGATGACCAACAGTCTGCAATTCACAGAGTATCTGAGCGACAGCAGGAGGCTGCGAAGGAGATGGCAACTCTTGCAACGGCACCTCCGCCACAAACAACTAGCGCAACACCTCAACCCCTTCAGACTGCATCGTCCAAGGGCACACCCGCTCAACTCACTGAAGTACAATCTCTTCGTCGCGAACTCGCTGTCGTCCGCCAAACCTATACTTCATTTGTCGACGACATCAATTCTTCCATGTCTACAATTCGAACAAAGGCTGCTACGGTCAAATCCGCTGCCGACAAGGCGCGTGTCCCCTCGATGTCTGCGGGCTCTGGTCGTACATATGTAAACGGCGGTAAGAAGAACCTGTCAGATGACAGTGAAAAGCTTGTCACCCAGGTCGATGACTTGCAAGACACTGTAGAAGACCTTCGCAAAGATGTCGTCCAACGTGGAGTACGACCTTTACCTCGCCAATTGGATGTTGTCAGCAAGGATATCTCCACAGCAACATCCGGACTCAAGAAACTGCAAGAATTCCTCAAGCGCGAGAAGCCAATCTGGACCAAAATCTGGGAGAAAGAATTGCAAGTTGTCTGCGAAGACAGAGATCTCCTTACCATGCAAGAAGAACTCTGCATCGATCTCGAAGACGATCTGGAAAAAGCTGCCGAGACCTTCGCACTTGTCGAACAAGCCACTCGCCAACAAAATCTACAAAACGCACCTCGCTCCTCCTCCCGCACTCTTAACCCTGTAGCCCTCGATCGCGGCGGCGACCCCCAGAAGGCACGCACAGGCGTCCTCGGTGAGGTCCGCGCTCTCCAACCAAACCACGAGTCGCGTCTCGAAGCCATCGAGCGCGCCGAAAAGGCACGCCAACGCGAACTCGAAGAACGACGAGACGGCGAATTCCAAAAAGAGCTTAGCAGTTTTGTGGAAGAAGGGAAACTGAAAAAGAGCGGTGGCGTTGAAGAGGCGGAGAGGTTACGCAAGCTCAAGGATGAGAGGAGTAGAAAGGAGAATTACGAACTTTTGCAGCAGAGGGAAAGGGATAGAGCGGCGAAGAGGGCTGCTGACGCCGCTGCCAAGGCTGCGGCGGCGGAGAGTGCGGCTGTTGAGCCGGACGCTGCTTCTGAAGCTGCCGAGACTACTACTGAGCCTGCTGCTGAACCGACTGATGCTGCAGTTGAGGAGACAGCGGTGAAAAGTATCGAGGAAACACCAGCACCTGTTGAAAACGGCGATGTAGACCCAACGCCCGAAGTCACCGCCACTGAAAACACAAAACCAGAGGCCCAAGCATCTCTCGAACCACCGATCGCAGACGGTGCAGTCGATTTCGACGAACCTAGTCCTGCTGTCGAGTTCGTAGATGCACGAGAAATCCCACCTACGCCTGCCGCAGAATAGAGATCATGGCTTGCGTTTTGATAGAGGCTTCTTTTGTGACGCTGTGTTTAGATTCCTTGACATGGTCGATGATTATATATTTCCCATACCTGGTGTTGGTAATTGGGCTTCCTTCTTCACTTTCTTGACTCCTGTGTCAATGTGTCCGTGATCTGGCGCTGCAGAAATGCAAAGCCAATTCAGTATAGCCGTGTTGTTCAATGAAAGCCCTGAGGTAATGGCATTTCTCTGGACGCTCCTTCCAACCACAAAATCACTGTGCATCCATACAAGCTGCTCAGCACTGCTCTGTGTCTATGAGGGCTAGCAGACTCATCTGAGAGATGTAGAACCTTGCTCTACATCTCATCTACCCAGTACAGTAGGAATATGCATGTAAAAATGCAAGATGATGTTGACTACACTGAAATCCTCCAAGGAGAGTGCCGACCTAAGCAGCTCTCAGTGGACGCTGCTGCCCAGTGCAAAGCTATCCTGCCTTTTGATGATGTGATGTAAGCTACGATGGGTGCTTGAGAAGCAGTAGTAAGGGGTTCACTGGGGTGACCTTGTCCTGCATCTCAGGTAGCCTGTATGGTACTGATGTACCGGTCGAAATGCAGCAGTGATTTGACTATACTGAGTTCTGCCAGCGAGAGTGCCGATCTAAAGGACTCTTCAGTGGACATAGCAGCTACGTGCAAATTTTTGCTGCGTCATTATGTGTTATTTTATAGCACCACAGACAGGACGGAGAGGAATTTGAGGTCGAAAGGCACATCAGGCACACACCGAGACGTACAAGGGGCTTCACTCTGGTATAATACACATCACAAAGCACGTAGGCACACGTTCAGACGACAACGGGGTTTCAGAGCGTTGATTTTCACTCTATATAATTGACCTGATGGCCAATGGGCCCGCAAAGGAGAAAAGGAGGCAAGAGGATACCCCCGAAGGAGCATCTCTGCGAGGAAGAGGAGGAGGTCACCCGCGAGGGGGGTGCCTCAGAGAGAGGTTGAGAAGGCAGACCAGCCATCCCTGTGTATGAAGTCAGTCAAAGAGCTCGTCAGCAGGAGGAAGTAGGTCGTCACTAACCCGGCCCGGCCACTTAGGGGCGCTGTGGCTGCACGTAAGGAGGAGGCGTGCTCACAAAGGCACGCAGGGGGATGGCATGGTCGCCGGTGCTTTCATGGCGAAAGCAGCGAGGACCCGACTATCGTTTAGTGTATCAGTATACGTGCGCGCAGTCACACAGGAGCACGAGAGCTTACAATCTTGGGGGCAGGGGCGGGAGCCTTGTTGCTGCCGAAGCAGGAGAAGAGGGCGGTGAGGAAAGACATTTTCTTGATGGCGTCTGAGGAAGAAAGACGGTTCGAAGTAAAGCAAGTCTTTTGAGCTAGGCGACGCACGCAGCCGCAATGGAAGATGAGTCGCCCTCTCGGCGGTCTAACCCTCGTTCGGTCGTGATCTACGAGCTCTTCACTCCTGCGAGAAGCCATGGTTTCCTTCTGTACCAGTAGAAATGCAAGAGATAATTGACGACATACGAAACCTCCATCGAGAGCCCAATTCTATTGAGACTTGTCGCCCTTGATTGTCTTGATTGATCTGGAGATGCCCTGGCTTAAGCGTTGGAACATGTCCAGGCCCATGAAGACAGCAAGCGCGAGGTAGGGTACGTATAGCTTTCCAAGCTCGATTTTCTCGTTGTTCGAGTATCCACTCCAAGACAAGTAGTCGGTAATGCATGTCAATGTGGTGAGTCCGGCCTCAAGAGCGAAGACCAGCAGATGTAGTGGCACCTTTGGATCATCGCGAAGAAGAGCAGGTACAGCCCAGAAGCTCAATGGAACGTGGTAGAGAGCCTCAAGCCATATGTATGTATCAAACCAGGTACTGGGAGACGGCTTAGCTGATTGTCCAGTATCAAAGCAGCGGAGCATTCTTACGGAGGAGAAGAGAAGAATTGGTCTCTGTAAGTGGTGATGTACCACTTTCTCAGATCGGTCATGAAAGCAGGCTTCAAAGCCACTGGATACAGCGGTGTAAGGTCGACACCTGGCAACGTGGTTAGCTATACGCATGATAAAGAGGCAGATTGCTAGCGAAGGTTTGCTTTGATATCAACAAACAGACTGCAACTTACAAAACATGATGGGGATGTGGGTGAGAAAGAAGATCAGGTATACCAGATCGCGCTTGCGTTGCCAGATGGGAACAGCCATCTTGATGATGGTTTGACGAGCACGATTGAAGATGAATGAAAATCACACAAGGTGTGGTGCTGAAGGAGGAAGGCGCGACGCTCTGGAGGTGGTACGAAGTACGAGCGGAAAAACGCTTTGACCAACCGTTCATGAAGGATCAGCGCAGGCGACATCAGCTCGTCCTCTCGTCCTCTCGTCCTCTGCAGAACTTGTCTTCACACCAGGGATCCTTTATCAAAATGAACTGCCGAGAAACATCTTGTTCCAGCTAGAGCTGCAGATCTGTATAGGATGATACGACCAATTCTCCACTCGATCATTCAGACCCATGACAAGGACCACCAGCAGCCAACGGTGGTTCAAAGCCGACCAGGATGTCTGCCGTCGCCTCTTGTAGGAGGTTGGAACACATTCTTGGAAGATTGAGAGTCGATTTGCTTACTCTCAAGGACGACGGACGAAAGTCTGGCAATTTTCCGGACGTGAGAAGTCGCTCTTAGCCGTGCCGGGACCCGAATCAAAGATCACTGTACTCTTTCAAGATACGGCGCAGACATACGACAACCCCCTTTGAAGTCGCTTCAGATACCAAATCAACGACCGTCGTTGGCAGACGAGGCGTCGCATCATATGTGCCCCACGAGGAACCATGTACCGCCACTATTACGGAGCCTCGGTGGACGACATCAGTTACGACTAGGTTCCTGGAAGATACTGTTGTGCCAAAATTTGGTGGCACTGGGCCATGTCCATAAATCTTGGTTCTCTGGACGAAGGAACTCGATATTGAGCCATCTGGTGCGGCGGTTGAGGTCGCCAACGACACCTGACGATATTGCACAGCGAGAGTACAGCCGGAAGTCGTTCTACAAATCTGGAGAAAACCAAAGCACGGTATACTCGACTCATCTTCGAAGAACGTTCTTGCGAGATATTGCAACAAAATGTGGAGATACAACGGTATCACGAGGACATCGAGTGATCTGCGTCGCGACGAAGGCGAGCAAGCGACGGTGCTGCGAGAATTTGCAAGGCGTTGCTACCATCCTTTTAGCACCGGCGTTGTGCAGTCTACCGTTATATACTATTTTTTGTGTGACCCTTTCGGCGGCAACCTTTCCGTTGTCTGGTCGCCAAGGGGACGCCCTTGGTGTAGTGGTTGGGAAGCTCACAAAAAAATCTTACGTACAGCAACGCCTCAGTAACACTTGGACCAGACCCAAGTACTAATGCTGTATGAAAGATTTTCTGGTCAACCCAGTTTTTCGCCCAACAGACCTGGTACACATTCTTGCCTGGTCTTTATTTTCTAGCTGCCTGTCGAGTGATCCATCATTGCAGAGATGCGATATTATCTATTCCTGGGCGCGATCATCATGATACTGGAGTTCTTGGCCGTGCTTTTTATTACACCGGATCTGGCTGGGTAGTCGCGGTTCGAACCCTGGCGAAGGCTACCTTTATGCGCTGTCGGAAGCACTGAATCACTCGAACGACTTCACACCCAACAAGCAGTCGCGGCAGTCTCGGATATCAGGACACTGTTTTTCCTCCGGTGCTGCGAGAGTCCTCTTGTACAATTTCAAACGTCTTTTTGGGTCTCAGAATTTGATCCGTTGGCCTTTTGATGAGGCCCAGTGACGCATCACGACGCGAAGGCCTCAGCGCCCTGAGAAGCACCGCAAAGATTGAACAGAGTCTTGGTGGCATTGTCTTCTGGACACGGAAAGTGCTTTCGGATTATCGACCATCAGGAAATAACATCGTTGGACAATATCTAGCATATATCTGGATGCTGCAAGATTTTCTGGTGGTACTTGTATCTCCAAATCTTGGGGACTCCCAAAACTAGTGTCTGTGGTGTAATTGGATAGCATACGCAACTGTAATTTGCCCCGTCACATCTCTACACCACGTGTAGTGCAGCTTCGGATTCAACGATGTGCTGGAGGGACTGTTGTCGAGATCTTGGGTTCGAATCCCAGTGGACACAAACTTTTTGCCAGGTCTTTTTCCAAAGAACCTCTCTGTTCAAGCTGGCTTTTTCCCCCTTTGGTGAGTCTTTTTGAACTATGACCGACAGTGAATGCAAGAGGCTAGGAGGCCCATTGCTCTGATCATCGGTCTTGCAATTATATTGCAATCATAGAGAGGCTCTGATTTGAATACAAAGGCGATAATCAGAACTTTGTCGGAGTGATTTTGTAGTAGTCATGGCTCTGGTATGCCGCAAAGCGCTTCGAGCAGTGGATTTTCTGGAGCTGTCAAAAACAAAAATATCTTGCATTTTTACAGCTCTCCTATCGCTCAAACTGATCGCAGGAACACATTAGTATCAAAATAATCTTGCTTGGACATGAATAGAATGAGAGTCGTCGCTGAAAATCGCGGAGCGCTCGGCCGAGCCATCGTTCAGCAAGTCCGAGCGACGAGGTATCGCACCTTCCATCAATAATCAAAAGCCAGCCTCGGGCTCCGAAAGCGGTCGGAAGCATAATCTGAAGAAAGTACAGTCAGCAACAGGTCCCAAGATACTTCTTCTGGCTTCTTCTGCCGATGCGCGTGTTGTGTTGGGTTATCCGGTGGCTCGGAGAATGGGGATAACAGTTTCCTATTCGGGCAAGTCCGACTTGCATTGCTCCGAGCTGGAGATATATTGTCTCTGGTCGGGATACATATAAGCCCAGAGTCGCTGTCCAAAGCAAACACAACTCACACAAACACATACACAAGCATCCAACAACTACTCAATCAACGCAATAATCTCAGCAATGCCTTCCAACACCGCAGCATGGCAGCCCAAGCCGGGCGTTCCTGTCGAAATCAAGGATACACCTTACACTTCTCCTTCCGCCGACTACATACTCATCAAGAACCATGCTATCGCCATCAACCCCATCGACTTTAAACTCCAAGACATGGCAATGTTCCCATCTCTCTCCTACCCCACCATCCTCGGCAACGATCTCGCCGGCGAGGTGGTCGAGGTTGGCAGTGCAGTCTCGTCTCGCTTCAAGCCTGGCGACAGAGTCCTCGCTCAGGCTGGAGGTGTTTCTGCCAACAGCCCTTCTGGATCTGCTTTCCAGGAGTACACCGTCGTCGTCGGAAAGATGGCGTCCCACATCCCGGACAGCTTGTCCTACGTCGATGCCGCTGTGATTCCTTTAGGAGCAGGCACTGCCTCCTGCGGACTGTTCCAGAAGGACCAGCTTGCCCTGCAGCACCCTTCACTTTCTTCGAAGCCAACTGGACAGACAGTCTTGATCTGGAGCGGCGCAACAAGCGTAGGCCTCAGTGCCATTCAGCTCGCTGTCGCCGCCGGATACGAGGTGATCGCTACCGCTTCGCCCAAGAACTTTGAACTCGTCCGCAGCTTTGGTGCCACTGAAGTCTTGGACTACAACGTTGACTCTACCACTCTGGTCGAGCAGCTGGCTACCGTCTTCGAGGACAAGACCTTTGCTGGTGTGCTGCACACTGCTGGCGAAGCTGCTGACGCAGTCGCCATCTGCGCAGACCTCTTCCCCAAGATCAACGGCAACAAGTTCTTCACCACCACTGTGCAGCTGCCCGCCAGCATGCCCGCCGACATGAAGTACAACCGTGTCTTCGCTAGCGCTATCACAAACAGTGGAGTTGGAGAAGCTATCTTTGTCAACTACCTCCCTCAGGCACTCGCAGAAGGCAAATACAAGTCGGCACCCAAGGCTGAAGTCGTTGGAAATGGTCTGGAGTCACTGCAGAAGGGACTTGATATCTTGAGAAAGGGTGTTTCTGCCAAGAAGCTCATTGTCACTTTGAACTAGGTGGCTTTCCACGATTGATTACGTAGCTCTTTAATAATATGATATTGCAAACAAACACTCTACTGCAGACAAAGAGCACAAAGAGCCTCCATCCGTATGCTATAATAGAAGCTCCCACCACCAGCGACCCTTGTCAAAGAGCCTGTCTAAATGCAAGATGATTTCCGTATCGTTATAAAGGTCCAAAGAGAGCCAGAATATCCATACCGTAGTAGCTACCTATGATGATATCTCCAACATCCAACACCAGCAGAATTCTTTTGTCAAAATGCAAGATGGTTTTGACGATCCAGAGAATGTCCACTGAGAGCTCAAACCCATCGCCATCTCACTGGACAATCCCTTGTTTCTCAAAATCTTCTCGCATTTTGACATCTAAACTGTTGCAGTATTTGGTGACTGGGATACCTACTATATATGTACCTTTAGAGCAGCATTGAAGGGGGTTGAAAGGGGCATTGTGCTCCTTCGTGTGCAGAGTGGGGCTATACACATGTATGTAAAAATGCAGGAAGGTTTTGAAACCCATTGATGGGTCCAAAGAGAGACGATTTTGAAAGGATATAAAAGGTGTCAAACGGGGGTATATCTGCGTTTCCCAGAGACAGTGCTGACTACTATTACACACATAAAAAGGCAAGATGATATTCAAATCAGAGAGGGGTCCAGAGAAAGCATAACCTACCACGGATAAAGTGAGCATCACACGTGATTTTTTACCATGTGATAGACATATCGTATACCAGAATCGAGGTCGAAAAATGACCAAGTGAGCATCGCACGTGACCGAGATCGATAAATTCACTGAGTCCACAGTCGTTTTTAGCACCAAAATTCGTCCTTCTGTGAGCCTATACCGTTCACTCGGAGTGAAAGGGGAACGATAGTGACTATAGGCGGTCAGTGCTGTCGATTACAAAGCGATGTGAACGCCTACACCACTACTGCTACCTCTTCCTCCACCAAATTTCCCTACCAACCAACAACAACATTGCTGGTTTTTTTGTGCCGCTCGTAAGTACCATTGTTCGCTCCTGAATATCTACTCGCTCCTGCCATCGGTGCGACCCCTTTCGTGTCGTCTTTGCGTTGACGCATGATTTTAGCAATGACATACACACCAGAGATGTACGGTTTGCGTCGCGGCAAACCGGGTCCCGGCAACGACTACTACCAGGCGAGCAACAAGCCCCCCGGTGCCCTGGCCGCACAGTGTGCCCACGAGAGGTCGGCTGCCGACGTGCAAGAATGGCGCGAGGAGGAGTTCGTAGCCAGAGTCGACGACATAAAGCGTCTGAAGAAGAGAGTAAGTGATTACCCCTTTCGTCATACATCGACCCGAATTGACACTCGTACAGAACCTGGCCAAGAAGAATGGTTCCGTCATGGAGAAGCTCTTGCGTCGCATTGGCCTCGGTTTCTTGGTCGACGGCGAGGACATGAGTGCTCATGATCAGGCACTCCATTCCATGCCGAACTACGAGCACCTTGACGACAAGCAGCGTGCCCGTCTCCGTGAGACGACCCCCTACCCCTTCCACACGAAGGAGTCTGCACAGGCGTTCAAGGATGACAAGGCTCGCCGTCAGCGGATCAGAGACGAGGAACAAGACGCCAGAGACATGGCAAAGGCCTTCGAGTACTTCGACGATGCAGCCTCGTTGACCCAGTATCACTACTACCTGGTCGGAAAGAAGCTCGTACGCCGCCCTAAGTTCTCCGGCGGATTCGAATCGCTGTATGAGCGTCAGACCAGAATGCTGTACGACGCGTTTGAGGAGTTCAAGCGGATTGTCCTGCCATTCCACGATCAGCTTATCGCTATGAAGGAGAGTGGTGTCGACACAGCCTCTGATGAGTATCGCCGCCTTCGTACAAAGCTTGTGAAAGCTTTCCATGCCATGAATGGACCAGAGCAACTGGCCGCCATGGACGAAGGAACAGAGGCTGTGCGTCGTAAGAACAAGGAGCATTACATCAAGTCCACAGTCGAGAGAGTCAACATGGACCAGTACCCTGAGTACATCATCCACGACACGTTGCCCAAGGATGATCAGATCGCCATGTATCAGAACATTCTCATCCGCTTCAACAGGGGTGAGCAGCTTCCAGACCACGAGCTCAAGTTCCATGCTCTGGCTCTTCAGTCCCAGGAGGATGAACTCAAGCAGGTTCGCAAAGACATCGCCAACAAGTCTACCAACATCGTATGGATGAAGACTCGAGTGAGGTCTTTCTCCATCTCGCCTCGTCAGTCGCCACACAAGACGCCCGATCTTCCACCTGGTGACAAGCCGCCCAGGAAAGTCACCGAAATGCCCATCTGCGGTCCAAGATATATCTTGTGTTTCGAACTGGAGCCTTTTACCCTCAGCGATTATGATGAGATGTGTCGCAAGACTTACATCGAGGGACAACTTGCCGATGTCCTCAGAAGGGGAGAGAAATACATGTTCGAGTTGAGCAAGCCCAAACCCAGACGCAAGAACTGGCGTCACTTGCTGCGCAAGGAAACCGCCAGTGACACAGATTCGGACGAGTGTTCCTTCTATCCCAGCATTCCCTGGTATGAGATGATGCAATTGATCCGGGAGAAGCGCGCTGTCGACAACTCCAAGCCACTCCCTCTAGTTTCGCCTGCCAAGAACGATGTCGCCGAGGTCGTTAACAATGACTTCGATCTCGGTGAGATAGAGGAAATTTCCAAGGACGGCTTCAAGACAGGACCTCTTGCCATGTCCCGCACTTCTGAGTTTGTTGACGATGACTTCAACTTCATCCTCGAAGATGAGGAGGCTATTGCTGAGGGTCGCCGCAAGGCTGGCTCTTCTGCCATGGCCTACGCTCCTCAGTTCACTGATGATGACTTCATTTTCATTTTCGAGGAGGAGGAGGATGAATTTGCTGGTGGTGACACCAAGACCGACTCTCCTGCCATGGACAACACAACCGACACTATCAAGGACTCCGACGATGACTTTTCGTTTGACCAGGATAAGACATCCGAGATTGACGTCGAAAGCATCTCTCGCATCATTAATGCCGTTTCTGAAACCACGTCTCTCAACCAGGAGATGGCAGAGACTTCCAAGGGTGACTTCTTGGCTGACTACTACGCCATGCGCCACGTCACCGAGGCTGCCGAGAATTCCGACGACGAGTTTTCGTTCGACCAGGATAAGTCATCCGAGATGGACTTCAACTTCATCTTTCCCATGACGGATCAGGTCCCTGAGACTCTCGAGACCACTTCTCTCTATGAGGCGATGTCCTCTGACTAAGATCTCCGCAGAACAGCATGCCAGGTTTGTCTTCTGTCAATCTCATGTTTGCGCAGACTTTGGATTGAATCGTCCCGCAGGTCGTGTCGCTTCTTTTCTGATGTCGAGCGAGCATGAGGCGTGGCGTTGACAGACTTGGGGTTGGGAGGAACAGGTGGACTGGTCTTGCGTTGTGTGTTCTCGGAGCAGCAAGGAAAGGGACGAATGATGACTTCGAATGGCTCTATGGCTTTTTTCAATGACGGAAACGCGAAATGGAAACGACATTATGAGGCGGAAGGAGCCCAGAAAAACAGAGGGGTAATTGAGGTTATGATTTAAGTCATATGGGGGGCCATGCCGAATAAAAACAGGTGGTAGCAAAGAGACAGAAATTCTGATGAAAAAGGAAAGCCCCACCTCTATAACTCCCATTCCGCCTTCCCGACCCTGAATCGAGAGCACCTGCTGTGCAGTGAAAAGAAAAAACGCCGTGAAAATGCTCGATGGTAGACATTCCGAACCTCCCTTCGTCGTAGATTTCGTGATGCATTTGTTTCTTCATTTAACCGGATCCGAAAAGAAGACCTGCAGCATACTCGACGTTGCCATCTGTTGCGTCCAAAGCGGAAATGGCTTCCTGTCTAGAGAAGCCAAGGCCAATTAGCTGCTCAATGGCTGACTCTGGATGCTTGCTTCCCGGAGTGGCTTGCGTAGGAGCTGCCCTGGCGGGTGCGGAGGCTGCAGGTGTAGGATGTACTGCGGGTCCACTGCTAGATGGTTCACCAGCGGTGCGACCCTGTCCTTGAAAGTTGCCGTTGGATTGTTGCGATGAAGGGCCGGCCTGAGTAACGGTGCCTGACTTGGTGCCAATCTCGGTCCCGTTAGGACCCTTGATATGTTCCTCGTTTTGCAAAGCCTCCTCAAAGGATCTAGGCAATTCGGACTCGGGCAAGAAATCAACCTCGTTGCTCTCAAAGACCAACTTGTTGCGACGAAGATCGATACAACCCTGGTAACGCTTGAGCATGTCCAGGCCGAGCAGAAGATCGACATCTTTGCCCTCCATGACGGTGAAAGAACAAGGCATCACGGCATTGCCAATCTTAATGTCGGCGGAATGCACGCGGCCCAGAATCTGGGCAGTGCCAACACCGCGAGCGATACCAGAGTAACGCTTGTCGATCAAACGCATGATGCCACAGTTTTCAGCGCAGCTTGGAGACATGATGGTAGTTTGGGCACCCGAATCGACAAAGGCCTTGAGCTTGTGGCCATTTACTTCACAGTTGATGTAGAGCATCGTCACACGGCCAAAAACTGGATAAGATTAGCACATGTGGCGGATTGTGGAGGCTAGATGGGCCTACCTTCGGGGTTGTGCTCGTAGGCATACTCCAAGTTCTCCATGACACGATCTTGACGGATGATTTCCTCAATCTTCTGCTGAGCCTCGATGTTGAAGGGGTCATCGTTCAGCAACTGCATCTGCTCGCGTCTCTCGCGCTCTCTAGACTCGGCCTGCTGGATAGAGCTGACGTACAGTTCACGGAAACGAGCGGGATCCGAGGCGGCGGCGGCCAACTCAGGTCTCTCCTGGCTGACCTGTTGCATGGCTTGGGGGTTGCCCAATAGCTGTAGACGCAGGGTCTCGATCTGGTCATTGCTGAAACGGCCTTGTTGCGGTGGCTGGGCTTGTGGTGGGCGGGCCTGCTGACGGGGCATGTTGTTCTGGTCGCGGACTAGCATGTAGAGCATCTCCCCATTCTTGATTCCTGCCTGTTCCAGAGTGTTTGTCTCGCCGACTACTGGAGCGCCGTTGAGGAAGAACTGGATCGAGGGGATGGGGAAGCCGGTGCCGTCGTGGACCTGCTTCTTGAGATCGGCAAGAGTGGACGAGATGTCGGCGTCGAGCGGTAGGAATTCCTCATCGAGAGCATGGCCGGGGGCGTTTATTTGAATGGTGACTTGCACCCTGTTCGATGGCGCATCAGCATGTGTGGTCGAAAACAGAATGTCCAGAATGGTCGAGTGTCACGGTACTCACATAGTTGCTGGACTGGGGGAGGCTGCCTTGCGTAGACGTGACTGGGATGGGGATATGCACGTCGCTGAAAGAGGTTGACAGGCGGCGAAAGAGGTTGGTCTTGTGTCTTGGATAGATGACCCGGCGTTGGTGATGTTCTTGGTTGTTGCACTTGGACGTGATGAGTAATGTGAACAGTGAGCGAGACTGTGAGAGTCTACCGTGACCGAAGCTCGTGGAAGCGCCTTGAAAGCTTGCGGAGGCAAAGGCGAGCAAGAGCCGTGAGAGTCTGGACGATCAACGACAGACACGTGGATTAGACTGCACAAGCATATATATTTTGAAATAACTGAAGCCCGCCTTCGCAGCCTGCTCCTGCTCCTGCTCCTACTCCTGCTCTTGCTTCTCCTGTCCGTTACCAAAGATGCGCCATGCAGCCGTGCATGACAAGTCGCTGGCAGATTGGCGGTCAAACATCTATCGCTGTCATGATGCTGCCGAGTGCCCCTCTTTTGTCGCCTTTGGTCGCATTCAAACCGCGTTTCTCCTTGATTGTTCTGCAGTCGTGCAGCTCTGTGCATCCCTCTCCTGTATCCTCATCTAAGCCTTTGACCTGTCAAGTCCATCATGGCTGAGACCTGTTTCTCGTTGTCTTGACGCGCTCTGATGCCATCCATCCTTCACCCCACCATGGCCCATGCGCATGCTGCCAGACGTCACTGCCAACCCGCAAGTCTGTGAGGCAGAATGCTTGAGTAACCCTTCGACAAACTCACTTCTTCTTTGCCAATTCTCGTCCTTTCTTTGAAACGATCACACGCCAGGGATTAATTTTGCCCTCACACCTATCTCCTTGCTTGTAATTCTCATCTCTGATCACCACGTGCCTCGTACCGACATGCCCCGCGATCTGGCCGGTTTGATGAGAGGCGATCAAGATGAACCCAAGGACAAGATCTCTCGTGATATGGAGAAGCAGGATCACCTTGCTGAGATCAAGCCTTACGTCCAGACTCTGACCACTTCCGACATTGACAGCGCTGTCAAGTTGGAGGACGCCACGTTCCCACCCGAAGAGCGTGCAACCAGAGAAAAGGTATCGTACTACCCTTCTTGCTGCATGATGCTTTCCCTTGCGGCCCCTACACGTGATTTGGTCGCCTACTCAACATAGCGCCAATCATCTTATGGCTATGGGAGCACCATCTGCATCTCTGTCCATTTCTCTTGACTTTGTGATTGAGACAAAGACTTATTCGACTATTGTAGCTAACGTACATTGCACACAGTTCGAGTATCGCTTCACGAAATGTGGTGGCCTCTGTCTCGGTCTCTTCACTTCTGTCGACATGAACAACCCTTCTTCTCCTCTTGCATCGGTTGAGACGGCATCCAGTGCTCACCATCTATACTCCGGAGCTCCGGCGCGCAAGTCTGTACTCCTTGCTCACTGTGTCGTGACCAAGACCACCAACCCTACTGTCATGGACGAGGACATGGAAGTTCCGAAAGACTGGAAAACTTCCGGTACCTCGTCAAGCAGCGTTGGCCACAGAGAAGAAGGCCGCACCATTGCTGTACACAGCCTGGCCGTCTTGCCATCCCTGCAAGGCCAAGGTCTTGGTTCGACTCTGCTCAAAGCCTTCTATCAGCGTATGGGCTATGTCCAGGCCGCTGACAGGATTGCTTTGCTTGCACACGGTGAGCTTGTCAAGTTCTACGAGAAGCTCGGATTTGAGAACAAGGGTCCCAGTAAGGCCACTTTCGGTGGCGGGAACTGGGTCGACATGGCAAGTTGACCTTCTGAAACTTCCCTTCCGGTCGCTAACCAGTTTTACCAGGTGCTTGAGTTGAAGGACAACCAAAAATGATGATACCATAGCTGCACAACAACGGATTACCAGTGTCGTTATGGATATTCACATGAGGATTGAGGCAGAGCTCTCGGACACGGTCCCGAGCAAGAAACAGTGCATGACATGGCCGAGTGCTGGTCACACGCATAGTACTTATGCAGCAGAGGCAGCAACGAGTCTGTGGTACCACGGACTGGGACAGAACAACTGCACGAAGATTGCTTTTGCTGTCTGCCTGGGTCCATGAGATGCGAGTTCAGAAGCTGAAGGTCGATACCAGTAGACCACCAGACTCTACATGTCTCGACTGCATCGTAATGGTTATACGTCCTCCTGAAACTCCTTGAAACCTTGTCCCCTGTCAACGTGCCACTCATAGCTTTAGCGGTGCCTCTTTGTTCTCGTCTATCAGGTCATGCATAACCTACTGACCTTTTGACACTCAAACCAGGTTTTGGCCGGTGTAATGCATGCATGCCGATCACACAACCATGCATATTGGGCACGCCCGCATGAGCACGAAAATCTACGACTGGTCACTTTTTGTTTCCATGCTCGGTACGGGCTTTGCGCGATGATGGCCTGGGCATCTATCACCATATCACACCTCCCTTACGAACCCAGCTAAGCGTTTCGAGTTTATAATCAAGCGCAGGGAGTCGGTTTGTCCGCAATTATCTCAAGCACCAGATGCTTCCGAAAGTCTAGCTATCCAAATGCACAGTGTCATTGTATATCCAGAGAGGCTCCGCTGAGAGCTCGAATTATTTGGCCTCTCACCGGACATCCCCTGATTTTCCAATCACATTGTGTGTATTTTGATGGATAGCTACATTGATCGCACGGCTCTTGGAGAGGGGGAAGCTACACCTTGTGGCTGGTGTCACATAGCTTGGCCGGCTGGTAGAAGGCAGGTACGAAGGTGTAGAACATGGAGAATTTCGCTCTCATGAACAGGCAAGTGCAATACAAGTACCTGCCTCAAGGCAACGAACAGGGAGCTTCTCGCCTTACTTCCCAGGGAGAACGCTCTCCTCCTTTCCCTTCTCATCATCAACACATCAAAGAACATCAATTATCATACCCACAAACACCCACAATGAAGTCAACTACTTACTCTCTGACCGCCCTCGCTGGCTTGCTGGCCCTCACGCACGCCACGCCTCTTCCGGCCGTCGTCGTCGCCCCGACCGATCTCGCCCTCAGGCAATGTGGAAGTCAGTGGTACAACCCCAGCAGTTATGCCTGCAGAGCTGGAGCCGATAGTAACGCCCTCTGCCCGGTCGTTAACGGCGAACCCATGGAAGAGTGTGCCGGCGCCTGCTACACACCTTACCGCTACAAGTTTGTCATCATTCATCCATCAGATCCATCACACAATCGCTAACGAACACCAGCTGCAACGGAACAGACCTCTCGGAGAAGCCAAGAAAGGCCAGCGGAACCTTCACCCTCACCGCCAGCAACCCTGACCAGGACTTCAGCGGCCAGCCTATCCAAGCCTCTGGCAACCACTTCTGGGTCGGAGGACACGCTGCCACCTACTGCCCATCGAACGTCGGAAGCATCTGCTCCTCCTTCCCCAATGACATGACCCTCATCGGCAACGGATACATGGTAAGCAAGAACGAAGCCCAGTGATGTAACAACACTAACCGAGCGACGCAGGCCACCGTGGTCCCGGGCGGACAAAGCATCTATTGGCAGAAAGACGGCGCTCTGGCCTTCACCCAAGCACACTCGTCGTCCCAGTGGAACCTCAGCTACTACGGTGGTGGCATCGCTTACGAGGGCGGCGGTTACTTCGGACCCAACGGCGAGGACCTGGTCACTTGCCCTGTCGTTCCCCCAGGCAGCAACACGACAGCCTGGCAACTCTTCGCACGTCTGGCTGGCGTCAGCTTCTCCAGCTCGTGTGTCGGTGTGTACGCTCTCGTCCACGACCAGAACATCACAGCCGGTGCTTGGCAGTACACCTAGAGTGGGTGTGGGACGAAAAGGCGATCGAGGGTGGAAAGGGGTAAGGCCTGTGGGGCTACTCACGAGTATGAGACAATCAAGTATGTATACCGAGACGCACAAGAAGGATTACGCAGGCGCGAAGGTCACTGCTGTTACATACTTTGGTTGGAGCTTTACTAGTAGTCAGCATCAAATATTACTCTGTTTTGTTACTCGAGCATCTTCAACTATGATCAAAGAGGGACCCAAGATCGTCACTCTCTCTAGGCTTGGAAGTGGTTTCGAGTGCCATCGTGCATATCTACAAGGCTGAATAACTCCAGGAATGGCCACGAGAGATGACTTTGTGCAAGTGTGAACAAGTTCAGGGACGCGTTTCGAAAATGAGGGCGCGATTGCTAGCGGCGGGACCGGAGGAACGCACGGACTGTATGACGAGGCACTGGCTTGGGGGTTCTCATGAGTCTTGGGGCTGTTGTCGAGATACCGAGGGGCATCAACTTGCATCTATCGCTCACATCTTTAGCGGCGACAAGCAATCTGTCCTTCCCTGCCTCGTACCGCTCGCAGATGCGTCCAACGTACACTGGAAGCTGCTTTCACGTACCAACGAGACGAGACATCGAGGAGCGGAAATAACAAGGCCGAGCTTATCCCCAGACGGAGTAGACAAGCAGCAGCAGCTACCCTACTTGTCCAGCAGGAGCCGTGACAGACCTGACCACATGTCTGTTGGGCCATGAGCTCGCGCACTAGCTCGACGACAGCACAGTCGTCGACCCTACGCCCAAGAGCTCCCAGACTCATCTCTGGTCTTGACGATGAAGCTCCAGCTACCCTGACCCCCATGGCACGCCATGCCTCGCCGCTACCTTCTCCTTTCGAGTCCCGCGAGCCATCGCCTATGCCGAGTACACGATTACCGCGAACTGCATCTTCTCAGACCGTCCGACCTGCGAAAAGCATGAGTCGGCTCGCTCCCGATCGCGCTCAGTCGCCCGCGACTCTGTCGGCCTTCTTCGGAGACTCATGGTCCGCTATACAGGGTATGGCCTCGGATCTACTGACTCCTGCTACTGGGAACTCAAAAGCAGGCGCTTCGCCTCGACGTCGTAAGCCTTCGATCAACTCGACTTCTACGCGGAACACCAGTGCCCCTCCGAAGCAATGGGGTGTTCCGACCACGACATCCTCCCCTGCCATCGGTGTGGGGTCGCACGAAGAGAGGGAGTCTTTGGTAAGAGCTGAAAAGAGGAGACAACTCATGAACGCAACCCCTGAACACAACACTATCGGCCACTACAAGCGTCGCTCTTCTGAAGATGGTCCCTCAGCTTCCGCTCCTCCCGAAAATGGTCATGACAGAGATGCCTTGGTCTATGTTCATCATGTCAAGCCTGACGATACGCTAGCCGGCATCACTATCAAATACAACATTCATCCGTCCGCTTTACGGCGAGCGAACCGTATGTGGCCTAATGATCGGATACAGGCTCGCAAGACCATCCTGCTTCCTGTTGATCAGTGTGCTGTGAAAGGTACTCGACTTAATGGGAGTGAGGACCTGTACCAGCTCACTCAGGAGAATAACCCGTTTCCGACCTCTATAGAGGAGGTCAAGACGCCCGTCCCGACGGGCAGGAAAAGGAATGAATCTGTATCCACAAATGGCGATCGCCCGTCATCTTCATCATGTCGTTCTTCCTACGATCCGGAAGCAACATGGGAGCACGATGCCTGGGTGTTACTGCCCAACAGCAAACAACCTACCGAGATCGCTCGCTCGTCCCGCCGTAACCTTGCGTTCTTCCCTCCCGCTCGACGAAAATCTCAGTCGTATTCGGATATCGACACACCCTCCGCCTCGCTCGATTTGAACCGTTCGGTGATACACGAGAACCCTCTGGATTCTCCCAAGCAAGAGGTTCCTCAACGACCGCGTGGGACCAGAAGGTTATCCAACGCCGGCAACGCTTATTTCCCAAGTTATCTGGCTGGTCCAGGAGGTGTTGGAACTATGGGCAAGAACGTCAAGTCACCGGGACCTGCTCAAGACGGCTTGAATAAGATGTTCGCTAGCCACCTTCCCAACGTTGCACCTCCGCCGAACCAATCAAACCTATATCTTCCAGACATTCCGACTTACTCCGATGATCCGAGTCCCTTTACGCCTGGGCTAACACATGCGCAATCGCCATCAATCAATATCGAGAACGTGGGCGCAGCGGTCGAAGGCTGGATGCGCAAGATGGCAGCAAAAGCCAGTACATCACGTGAACCGCAGTCAGGTCGAGGAGTAGCGAGTAGAGGGGGACCTAGCGGCATTGATGATTTGATCGAGATGGCCGAAGGCTTTGAAATTGGAGAGGATGAAGAGGACGAAGAACAGCATAGAGGGCGTCAAGGTTCTGAGAACAATGGTCGACCTGGCATGAGCAGTAGTGCTTCATTTGCGCATGCTGCGGCGCTCAAAGACAGAGCGAGGAGCGGCACCAGTGCGGGCGCTGGCAAGAGGGGCAAGGACGATTAATTGGGAGGTCTGAACTTGCTTGGTTTTTACATGGCATGGGTCTTGTTTTGTCATAGAAGTGTTCGATAGGCAACTTCATCGTCATGAACTTTATTTTTCCCTGAACACCATCAAGATTCGTGTATTCTAGCGCTTACTTCCAACATCTGCAAGCATTCGGCATGCATCAATACGAGATGGAGGGGACGATCAAAGGTAGTATGCAAGAAGACTTCATTCATAATAACCAGCGGAATCCCCCCAATCTTCGACATTCTTCTCAAACGCCTTTCACAATGACACTGGATCAGAAGAGCGGCCTCAGGCTCGAGTATGCGACTTCAGATGACGCAGAAGCAATCGCACCATTGTTCGCTCAATCCTTTCACGACCACGCCTACTTCCGTCGTATGATAACCCGATACAACAGAGACTCGAATAGCGTGGGCAGATATATTCCGTTTCGCGACCAAGGACTCAAGCACGATTTGTCTGAAAGTCACGGATGACGAGACAGGGCAGATTATCAGTCATGGACGGTGGGTAAGGCCTAAGAAAGAGGATGCAGATGCACAGCCAGGACATGAGGAAGAACGATGGAGTGCACTTGATCCATATCTCGATGTTGAGACTGCAGAGGCACTATTCGGAGCTTTCGAGAGGAATAGGCATGAGATGATGGAGGACCGAAAGCATTACTGTAAGCCATCCAGCCTGTCTCTCGACTGCAGTTGACATGATTGGTCAGACATGGAGCTACTCATGACAGCAGAAGGACACAAAGGTCGTGGTGCTGGAAGTCTCATTTTGAAACATGGAATTGCTCTGGCAGACGAGGCTCAAGTCGAATGTTACATAGACGCGTCACCAGCCGGAAGACGTCTGTACGAGCGACATGGCTTTGTGTTCTCCAAGCAAGAGAAGCTGCCCATGGATTACCAATACAACTTTGGTATCAGAATGCCACAGGTGCAAGGGAGAGAGAAGAAATAAGTAACGTAAAAGGAGACAGAAGGTACTAATTAAAGGACATGTTGGCGGGGAATTTGTAGAAAGTTTGAAACCTTGTTCAGGGGTGAGGCTGACGGAGATCGGCAGCTTGGAGAGAGGCGGACCGTGGACGACGAATGGCCAAGGCCTTGTCGCATCCATGTCGACTCTCGTATTTGTTGCCTTTTCCATATTGCTGTGACTTTTCGACCACCGGACAATCACACTCCTCTTCGCCGCTACCGCCTTCATACCCATACCATAAACGCCCGTCGCATCTCGAACCTCGCCCATCAGCTGCAGCACCGCCGACTGTCCCCCCCGTCGGGCCCCTCAACACCGCGCGTCGAAGAAACGCAATACACAATACACAAACAATGCGCTTCCAAGTCTTGACGGCGCTGGCCACTCTGGCAGCCACCGCCTTCGCCGATGTCGAATTCACATCTCCTGCTGCCGGCGTTCAGATCCCTGGAGGCACTGCCATGACAATCACCTGGACTGACGACGGAACATCGCCCACAATCGATCAATTCAGCGCCTACACCTTGAACCTCATGGCCGGTGGTGCCACGTCTGCCTCTGTCGTACGTTGAGTCGCTGTCAAAAATAATACATGGTCAAGTGCTGACCCACCCTCCCTACAGGCAGTTGCTGCCACCATCAAAACAAACGTCGCCTATGTAGGCACTACAGGCACCATCACCTTCACCGTTCCGCTCACCGCTGGTAAAACCTCGACTAACGGATAGTACGTCTTCGCCTCCCTATCTGTTCAAACCAATCCCTCTGATCTTCTCTCTAGCTTCTTGCAAATGGTTTCGGTCGGCGTCGACGGCGGCCAGGACATCGTCTACAGCAAGCGTTTCGGTCTCACAGGTATGACTGGCACTTTCAGCGCTGCTCAGATTGCAGGCATCACAGCCGTCGGTTCCAGTACTGCCGCCGGTCTTCCCGCTGCCCACAACTTGGCTGCTGCTGCTGCCACTGGCGCCGCCGCCATCGGTGGAGAGATGTACACCGTACCCTACCACCTCCAGACCGGCCTCATCAAGTACGCTCCCATTCAACCCATGCCCGGAACAAAGATCACCGCAAAGACCCCTTCCATGATGAACCCGAGCACGAGTTTCACCATCTTCAAGACATATGCGCCACCAGCTACCATCACCTACACCGCAACTGAGTCTCAGACTTTCACTGCCTCGAGTAGAGAGAACCCCGTAAGTCCAGACCTTCTTCACCACTGCTTCTGTACAGCTTTACTGACAAGTCTGGAAATAGGCATCTGCTGCTACTCAGCCCACCGCTGCCGATATGAAGAAATACCTCAATCGCTGGAAGGATTAGATCTCTGGGACTATTCCCGAATATTATGCTTCATGGGCGTTTTGTGTGTTTTCTGGAGTCTTATTACAAGTAATGGCACTACCCACGGACGGCGTTCTCAGACCTTTGTATTTTGGTTTTTGGTGCGAGGAGATGGTATAGCATTGATGCTGCGGCGACTTATGTATATTGAATGAACAATTATCGAACTATTCACCTCTGCGTGCCGACTCTTCTGCTTCAGAAAACCTCAAGCTATTCACTCTATACAGGCCAAATTAGGCAGGCGATCACCGTTCCTTGGCATTCCGTATCCTGATCAATCTGTGTGTTATCGAAACTCACGAACTGTCAAACTTTTGATTTTCGAACATTTGACCTCGTTTGACCCTTCCAGACCATTTCTAAATACCTCGAACATCAAACATGGGTCTCGCAAACCACGACCTTCCTCCCCCACCTTCGGGCAAATACCCCGCCAAGGCACACGCCAAACGTGTAGCTGAATTCATCGCCAAGAATGGCGGTCCCAAGGAGGGTGTTATCTACTTGGAGGCGCAGAAGACTGCTATGGTTGAAGTGAGTGTTCGCGCTGGTTCGGATGGTGGTGGTTGAACAGTGGCTAGTATGACATGTATGGCTTGCTGATGGAGTGGTATAGGATGATGACCAAGCTGCACACTTCCGGTAAGCCAACAAGTCCATCAATTTTTCTCAGATATTGTCTTCACAACCTGAAGCAATACAAGAAATAATCTATCTTCGATGCTTTTCGTGGAACTAACTTCTTCCTAGCCAACGTAGATTCTTTTACTACCTCTCTGGATGCGCCGTACCTGACGCATACCTTGCATACGACATCAAGAACGATCATCTGACACTCTTCATTCCCCCTATCGATCCTGAGGACGTCATCTGGTCAGGCTTACCACTTCTTGAGAAGGAAGCATTGGAGAAGTCAGTGATGTAATGATCGAAATTCGGGCTTCTATTAACTTCAGGCAGGTACGACATTGATGCTTGCAAGCCTTCCACAAAAGTCAACTCATACTTGACATCGCCTGAAACCCCTCACAAAACCATCTTGGCCATTCCCAAGCAAGTTGCAGACCATGTCACTTTCCTCTCCTTCGAGGAGACCAACTGGGACCTGCTCAAGAACGCAATCGAAAGATGCCGTGTTGTCAAGGACGAGCACGAAATTGGCCTCATCCGTCATGCCAATGCTATCTCTTCGCATGCTCACACAGAAGTCATGCGTATGGTCAAGAACGCACGTAACGAGAGAGAGCTTATGGGTACTTTCGTCGGCGCCTGCATCAGCAACGGTGGCCGTGAGCAAGCCTATGGATGTATCTGCGCTTCCGGTCCCAGCGCCGCAACCCTCCACTACGTTCACAACGATCTCCCTCTATCCGAAAAGCTGAACCTTCTCATCGATGCTGGATGCGAGTACAACTGCTACTGCTCAGATATCACCCGCACCTATCCTCTTCAAGGCAAATTCACAAAGGAGAGCCGTGAAATCTATGATATCGTCGACGAGATGCAAGCCGAATGCATGAAGGCATTGAAGGCCAACGTCACCTGGGAGGACCTTCACGCGCTCGCCCATGAGATCGCCATCGACGGCCTTCGTCGCCTCGGTATCCTGACTGGCGGCAACAAGAAGGAACTCTTCGACAGTCGCGTCTCTACTCTCTTCCTCCCTCACGGCCTCGGACACTATCTCGGCATGGACACACACGACTGCGGCGGCAATGCAGACTACGAAGACCCCGATCCCATGTTCCGCTACCTCCGCATCAGAGGTACCGTTCCTGCCAACTCAGTCGTCACCGTCGAGCCCGGCATTTACTTCTGCCGCTTCATCATCGAGCCCGCTCTTAAGGAGGAGAAGTTCGCCAAATTCGTGGATAAGAGTGTTTTGGCGAAGTATTGGGATGTCGGCGGTGTGCGTATCGAGGATGATGTGCTGGTCAAGGAGGATGGATGTGAGAACTTGACTACAGCACCTAGATCTTGGGATGAGGTTGAAGCTTTGATTCATTCGGTTTAGTATTTCTTTCATACATCAAGAATGACTGGAACTTATTAGGACACCCCCAACGCTGGTGCTCAAAGCTTTAATGTGCTGTAGGGATACAACAGTTCATCTTGTGTCAGTGTATTGCCCATTGAGAGTTTGAAGAAACAAAACCAAATGCTATCTTCTCCGGCTTACCCATTGTGATTGAGCGGTAAAATTGCACAAACATATTCGCGATGCTGTCGGTGGATGGTACACCGTTTTGTATTTTCAGGCGGTAGTGGTCTGTAACACCATGCACATCTTCGACATCGCGGCCCTGAAGTATAGGCAGGTTTCCATTGTGACTTCCAGTGGACTGCGTCTATGCGAGAAAAAATGGTGTACTTTTGCAGATACTGGAAGCTAGGTGCGCTCGAAATTGCAGGCGGCGAATACATAGGCCGCTGCTTCCGCTTCCGTAATCTTGCTCAATATTGCTATAGCCATTGCTTTGCCAGACTTCAAGATCATCACTAACTCTCTTGCAGAGTCAGAAAATGATGTGACCACGTTGGTCCCATCTTCTACTTCCAGATCTTCTAGCCGACACATATTACTACTGTTCTCCCTGGACCATTTCTGTCTCCTGGTCTCTATCACAAACCATCTTTGCAGCAATCATGTCATCAACGACAGAATACATACCTTGGACTCCGACCGAATGTATTGTCTTGGTCAGCCTTCCCTTGGAACTGATTCTAGAGATAACGGATCACCTTCCTGCATCCAGTACCGCTTGTCTAGCGTTGACATGCAAGGACCTTTTTTACAGCCCTCTACTAAAGATTATATGGACCAAAGGACTAGATCCAGCCGCTTCACCAGGGAAATGTTACGATACGGAGTACCCTTGCTATCCGGGTGTTGAGAATCGCAACCACGAGTACTTGGAACTCATGAGACTTCTGAGAAAGGATACACCTACACATTTACTATGCGACTATTGCCAAAAGTTTCATCCAAAACCGGAAGTGGGTAGGGGTGAGAAGCGTCTAGTGTGTCCGTCATCAGAGAAAACATCATGGCTATCGTGGCCGGAATTTGACGTCTGCCTACAATTTGAGAATGTTCAGATGGTCATGAACAGACACTGCTGGGGCGAAGCACACGGTGCGCCTCTGAACTCACTATCTCTGCACACCCCTTGAAAATTCGTCAACAACCAACAAGGCACACTTTTCTTGACCAAATTCGACATGGAGCCAAAGATTGTTGATGGCAGACTCATCCTACGTACGACACAGCGCGCCTTCTTCACCAAGGATCAAGCCCGCATAACCACTGTGGATTTCGTCAGAGACTCGGCAAATCTGTTCAAGGTCTGCAAGCATAAGATGACTCGATGTCTCGAACTCAATCTCGCCTCTTTGATGGAGGAAAGTGATTCGGATCTCAAGAAAGACCAGACCTACCGATCGAAATTGTTCGTCTGCTCGCGTTGCTCTGTGTTCCATGATATAAGCATACTTGAGAACGGACTGTTTGAAGAAGCTACAAGAGCCGATGCGGGTATGGAGTTTGTGCTACGAACATGGATGGATCTGGGCCAGTGCGAGCACACGTTCTCGCCATTGTGGCTTTCCGCAGCGGAACACAGCCATCCATATCCTACGACCACATGCAAGAAAGCAGAAAAGATCACTCGGCAAGGGTTCGACAAGGTCATTGGCGACGTCAAAGCCTCGAAATCGAAGGAGAGCCATAGTGCCATCACCCTATCGGCTATAGAAGGTGCTCTAGCCAAAACAGCAGAAGAAGGCGAGCAACTCTCACAACAAAACCACGAGCACATGAAAATTATTGCGGAGAACGGCCCAATTGCTACGGCATTGGGATACAGAGTTTCCAGCAAGGTGCAGAACCGACAAAGCCTTCGCGCAGGTGTTGGGGACAGATCAAGCAGTGTCTTCGAAGCAAGATACGTCGTCTTCTTCGAAAGCACAATCGTCATCGAGCACAAAAGGAGGTTCAAAGTGAGGACTACATGGAAAGATACTCGACCTTGGTTTGATGAGTGATGCATAACCAACAGCTCAAGATCATCAGACGGATATCATATCAACCTAGCTCAAATTCAAGCTTTTTCGTATCTTGAGAAGCGGTCCTGCTGTGATACATGACTTTGTCTGGAAATAAGGGTACCTCAAAAATGGTCAGTGCCACCGAAGCAGAATTCACCTCTCAATAGGCCAACGTTCATGTTCGACATGATCTTGCAATCTTAAGCATTTAAAAGGAGGCCGCATGATTCGCTGAGAGTATCCATTGTGACTTGTTTTTGTTGAACAAGAGGGAGGGGTTTCGCCATGCCTGTCTTACAGTATCATTCGAAAGTCTGAGATTGCACTCGGTCTCTCGGCCTCTCAATGGACAGTCGATGGATCGAAAAATAACTGTGCATGCGATGGGGTACGAAGGGATATGCACACGCAAATACACATGAAGAAAGGTGTTCCACCCAAGACGCAACAACACCCCTCCCTCCTTCCGGCAATCGACACCGCAGTATTTGCAGAGAATAACGCATACCTAAGCAAATACAACGAAATCACGAAAATCTTGAAGGAAGCACGCCAAAATATCCGCGACATACCCATGGAAATCGTGGCCGAATGCGAGCTCAACCACGTACCAAGGCGAGTTTTGACAATACCGGAAGAAGTGGATGCCGTCAAGAGGGCGAGAAGTATCATACACGATCACGAGCTTCGGATTTTGGCATCCAGGAGTCGATGGGAAAAGGTCAAGGCCGGGTTGTATTGGGTGTTCGTAAGCAGACGAACATTGTCGACGACTGATTTGTTTCTCTTGATTGCAGCAACTGCTTAGATGTATGCAAGAACCATCGCGCCGAGATCGCACTACTCCATCTCTCCATCAGAGCTGCGTACATGGCTGTCAAAATGCACGATGTTTTTGAGATCGACGTGGTTGTCCAGAGAGAGCTAGCGGCCAGTATTCGTAAACATGTCAGGGGTAAATTCGTCCTTGAGGTTGTCGATTTCCAGGTTTGGACTCTCAGTGGAGGCATCACTGATCCGATTTATGTTTGTGCACATCTACAGCTTTTGATCGCGATGAATAATCCAATGGAGATATCACTGCGTCTGTATTCATATGCCATCTTGATCCTGCTCAATGCTCTCAGCCTACGACACAGTTGTCAGTTCTAACGTGTAGAAATGCAAGGTGATTTCCAGAATGAGTTCTTGCCCATTGAGAGACGAAATGAGCACTTGCGATCTTGAGCTTCCGATGGAGGCATACTCGCTTTTAAGGAACGTTTGTGCATTTCTACAGCATTATTGTGTCGAACTAAACTTGTAGGAGAGCTTTGAGCTCCTCCTTTTTCCGGGTGTTGTTGATCCTGCTTGATGCTCTCAGTGGGACGCGACTGCGGATATATACCTATAGAAATGCACAATGGTTTCGCGAATAGGGCGCGGGCCACTGTGAGGCATATTGATATGCTCTCGTTGTCCAGAGTATCCAGATTGAAGATTAGATTGGACCTCTCCTTTCTAAGAGACCCCTTCATGTCTGACTATGAACAGGCAGAATGTTTTTTTGTAGCTCGACAAGAATGTCTTTCAAGAGTAGTAGTCCGACATGCTCACATTGGACATGACCTACCACTCAAAAACCATCGTGCCTTTCTACAGCCTCCCTGTAAGCCTCGGTGGTCCTGAGAGCTAGAATCTCAGGAGTTCGAGGGAAGTCGCGAGGGCTGTGAAACTCCTTGCCAAGTTGAGATGCTTTCGTATCGCTGTTGAGGCGTTTCGCCATGGCAAGCGCTACTGACAATGTTGCAAGAAAGTAATGTTTGCGAATTGACAGACGAGGTCCGAGAGAAGGAGGCCTCAGTCGAAGAAGCATGCAGCCGAGGCGTTCTCAACGCTTGCATTTTGTGTTCGGAACATGAGTGAGACACTTCCCAAAGCCGAGCGGCCGCCCTCGGGCCAATACTTTTGGCCATAACATACATCCACAACAATCACTTGCGATGAAAGAGCGGAACGAGAATATAGAGATAAAAAAAACGTAGGAAATTTCAAGTAAGGTATCCTAGATGAAGCAATGAAAACCAACGTGTGTGGGAGAAAAAAGAGGTCGAAGGAAAATAGGACGACAGGCGCAATAAATCCAAGATTCCTGCTCTCGAGCGCCTTTGATGCTTTTTCTTCTCATCCACGTTCCATGCCTCGCATTATGTACAACTTCTTCATCTTTCTGAAAGTGTGTATCCACCACCTATTCTGTGTGTGGACTTCGTGTCTTTAATCGTAACAGCTTCTTGCTTATTTGTTGACGGGCGAGTCGGCCTCGATGGTGGGGTTCTCGCCGTGAGCGAACTTGGAGTCGGTCTCGAGGGGCTCTTGGGGCTTGTCTGGGAGGAATGCGTTAGTAAGAGTCGGTGTAAGTAGTTACGGGAATGGAGTGTGCTTACCGTGACGGGCATAGAGGTTGTACTCCTCGTCAGTGTACTTGCCGACCTTGCCGGACTCGACATCAGAGCGGGTCAGAGAGAGCTTGCCCTTGGGCAGACCCATGCTGCCGAGGTACTGAACAGCGTCCTTCCACTCCTTGTCCTGTCTCGACTTGCTCCACTTGTACTCCTCGGTCATCATGTCAATAACCTTGGGCAGAGCCTCGAGAGCAGCCTGGGCGTTCAAGAAAGCAAGACGGGTACGGCGGGCAATGACATCGACAGCGGTCTCGGCGTACTCGTGGCGCATGGCGTAGCGAACCTCACCGTCAACGAAGGGGTAGAGCTCGGAGATACGGGTGCCACGGACGGGGAAGCGTTGCTCGGTAGGGGCGCAGAGGGCAGCAACCTGCCATGCACGGTCACCGTAGGACTCGGCGAGATGCTGAGCGACCTCGGTCTCAATACCGTAGTGCTGGATCAGGTTGATGAACAGAGTCTTGCTCCAGCCGTGAGCACCGACGAGTCTGACCTGGTGAGTCTGGCAGCTTCCATCGAGGGTAGCAGCGTCGTTGAATCTCGATGAGCCGGAAACACGAGGGGGGTTGGGCAGGGGACCAGTGGTGAGCTTGAATTCCTTGATGGCTTCGTCGACAGTCTCCTCGGCCATTTGACGGTAAGTGGTCCACTTGCCACCGGAACAGGTGATCAGACCGCTGTCGCTAGTGGTGACGAGATGGTTACGGACGAGACCTTCAGACTTGGCCTTGTTGGGGTCGCGGACAAGAGGACGGATACCAGACCAGGCGGCGAGGACGTCACCGCGGCGGACAGTAATTTCGGGTTGGAGGTAGTTCTTGACTTCGGAGAGGATCCAGTTGATCTCCTCCTCGCCGGCAATGGGGTTTTGGTTGATGTCGCAAGGAGTGTCGGTGGTACCAGCGATGGTGTTGCCCTGCCAGGGAAGGAAGAAGATAACACGGCCGTCAGAGGTGTGAGGATCGATCATACCCATGTTCTTGGGAGCGTAGTAACCAGGAAGAATAACGTGCACACCGGAAGAGGGGGCGACAATCTCAGCGACCTTCTGGTCATCCATCTTGCGGATAGAGTCAGTGAAAGGACCAGTGGCGTTGATGACACCCTTTGCGCGAATGTTGAACTCGTCGGAGCTGCCGTTGGCATCAGCGACCAGATCCCTGACGCGAGCACCATTGAGTCTGCCGTTCTCGTCCTTGGTAAGAGAGGTAACTTCGATGTGGTTGACAACAGTTGCACCGTAAAGAGCAGCAGTCATGCCGAGAGAGACGTTCATGCGGGAGTCGTTGTGAGCACCATCTGCCGCTGTTAGAGAATGCAATTACAGGCGAGATCGAGAATCCTAGGACTTACCGTAGTAGACAAGAGCACCAACCAAGTTGTCCTTCTTCAGCATGGGGAATGCGTTGAGAGCCTTGGACTTGGTCATGAAGTAGGAACTTTCGATGTTTTCAGAGCCAGCGAGGAAATCGTAGAACTTGGTGCCTGCCCAGAAGTAGGGTGCTTGCCACCACTTGTTGATAGGAATCATAATAGGGAGCCATGACGAGAGATGAGGAGCGGTATCCAAGAAGAAGCGGCGCTCACGGAGAGCCTCCTTGACGAGCTTGTATCTTTACGGGTCATCAGCATGGAGAGCAATTGTACAAGTGGATCAATGTAAACGCACTGGTTGTAGTCGAGTTCCCAGACAGCCTTTTCGAGATATCTAACACCACCGTGGACGAGCTTGGTACTCTTGGAGCTAGTACCCGAGGCGAAATCGTCTCTCTCGACCATGGCGACCTTCAAGCCACGAGTGGCAGCATCGAGGGCGATACCGGTGCCGGTTGCACCAGCGCCAATGACCAAGAGATCGTATTCCTCGCCCTTGCTACCTTGGTTGTCGGCCTGGACATCGCCAGACGAGCCGGTTACAGCCTTGGCAACCTTGTTTCCGGCATCCTTCAGGGCACCAGTGACGGCGCCTGCAGAAGCCTTGAGGTCGGCGATTTGAGCGGCGCGAGACTTGATCTCAGGGAAGTTGGGAGGGTTGAAGACACCGCCCTCGCCGTAGGTTGGCGGCGGAACAGCAGCGGCCTCTGAACCAGGGATCTCGCGGGGTCTGTAGATGGTGTAGAGACCACCTGCACCGACGGCACCGGCGGCCGAGGCGTATCCCAATGCGCGGAAGAAACGATTCGATCGACTCGCCATCCTCAGTTGATTGTGAATGAAGGAAGAAGAGAGGGGAGAGGGGTCGCGGCGAGAAAAGGTTTCAAGAATCCGCAAGGATTGCGCTCTTGGTGAGAGTCGGCTATGATGCAACGGATGTCAAAGCTTGTGGGTATTCTCCACGGTGATGGAGGATTCGAGTGGACATGGTCCTTGGAGCGGCGCTACCACGGTCCCTTATGAGGACCTTCTCCACGGGCAATTATTGGATACATTGAGGGGCCGCATCCTGATTCCTGACAGTCATTTCTCACTGCGCGCGCTGCTCCTTCCGCGCCGTGACGGCGGAATTTGTATGCCCGGAGCGCATTTGCATGTGATGGTGAGCTGTTCAGGCCGCGACCGAGGGAGCTCAGCTGTCCTTCGTTTCCGCCAATCAGGGATAACTCCGAGAGACGCAGGGTAGCCCCTGTGGCAGAATCGCAGGCACTCCGATTTGGGTTGATCAACTTTTCGTCCTCATCTTGGCACTCACGATGATCAATCAACAACTCGGACGATCTTTTCTAACAACAGCATGAATGAATCGGCGAGTGCCCGTCATACTCCGATCATACTCGCTCTGTACCTTGATTTGTGTCAAACACGCCCGGTTACGGCGGACAGGAAATAACCCGGATCTGTGATTGCCCATGGCATTGCTGGAATCTTTCTGCTTTCGTTCTTGTCGCTACCATGTCTTTGAAGGCCGCGCCCGCCCATGCTAATCAAAATCTACCATATCTTTCATCCCAGGACGTCTAGTCATGTTCCGTCTATTCATTGCGCCGATCATGCCTCTGCGGCCTTCAACAATCCCTTCAAATCAATGCTCTTGGGTCTCTCAATGGGAAGACCCAATGCTCTGTCCCAGATGAGCTGTGCGAGCGGACCGAGGCCTCTGCTGACACCGAAGATGGCTGTGTAGTACAGTGTCTCGCGGAAGCCGTAGTGGTGGAAGAGTACTCCTGAGCCGGAGTCGACGTTGGGGTACGGGTTCTTTGTCTGTCTTGGAGTCAGCATTGAGGACTACGAAAAGAGTTGGATGTAACATACCTTGCCGTGTTCGCTGAGCACATTGGGCGCGATCTGCGAGTTGGTCTTGACAAGCTGGAACAGGCTGTTGTTCTTGATGTCCTCGTGAGCATCACCAAATGCGAGCAAGGCGTCGAATCTGGGATCAGGTTTGCGCAGCACTGCATGACCGAAACCAGGGATCACACGTCCGCTGTTAAGTGTGCTCCACAGATAGTCCTTGACATCCTTCTCGGAGAAGTCGTTTCCGATGTGGTCCCGCATTTGCAGAATCCATCGAAGGACCTCCTGAGCTGCTAGACCATGGAGAGGACCAGCAAGACCTTGCAAACCGGCCGAGTATGACAAGAAAGCGTCTGAGAGAGCAGAGCCAACCAGGTGGGTCGAGTGGGCAGAAACATTGCCTCCCTCGTGATCGCCGTGCAATGCGCAGTAGAGTCTGAGTAGGTCTTGGAAGCCTTCGTTCTCCTTGCCACCCTTGCCCAGCATGGCAGCATAGTTGTAACACCAATCTTGCTCCGGATCAGGCTGGGCAGGAAGAGCACCACCCCCATTGTAAGAGTTCTGGTAGATCTTGGCTGCGATGGTAGGAAGCTTGGCAATGAGGGAGATGGAGTCCTCGTAGGTTGGCTCCCAGTAGTCGGCCTTGTTCAATCCCTTCTCATAGGCCTTTGCAAAGACACTGGTCTTGTTGAGGGCAGACACGGCGCATGCGAACTGCGTCATGGGGTGCATGTCCGGCGGGAAGTTGTCCAGCATGGTCTCGACGTAGTCAGGCAATGCAGCCTTCTGTGCCAGCTCGCGAGAGAAGGCGCGCACCTGGTTGGTGGTTGGTACTTCACCAGTAAGAAGCAGCCAAAACATGGACTCGGGCAGCATTTCTGATCCAGTCTTGCCCTTCGGAAGCTGCTCCTGGCAGTCCTTGATGGTGCGGCCGTGGAAGCGAATGCCTTCATTGGCGTCGAGGACTGAACCTTCCCAGATCATGGCCGTAAGACCTCTGCTTGCGCTTAGCTTGATGGAGTTCTCGAGTTGGAGGATCAGGCGTACCTCATTCCACCAAGAGTGTTCTCGACCTTCACGGAACCAATGCTCTTCGAAGCATGGCTCTTGACTTGCTTGAGAAGATCACGTTTGGCAGGGATAACTTTTGCAAGCGTGTCTTTGAGGGTTGGCTCGGTACTTGTTGCGAAGCCTTGTTCTGCGCCTTACTGTGAGTATCCCGACCAAGATGCGCATCTGTTTTACATACGAGACAGAGTTGGGCGGTAGTTGGTAGCCTGTTCATGAATCGTTAGCTGTGTCGGAATTGAGTGGGACAAGCTTGTCACTTACCTTGACATTTCTGAAAGCCCTCAGGGCAGTGCGTGAATTTGAAGTCATGTTGAGTGTTCTGGAAGACAGTATCTCAGGTACTGTCTCTGACAATAACAAAAGATGGCTCGAGGAAGCACCTTAGATATCGAGGCGCCCTTCGTCACTACAGGCGCTGCGGGGAATGCGGAGGTGCTGTCACTGGCCGCTGCGAACGTGGGGTGAGGGCCGAGGTGTCGGTTGCTTCGGTTATGACGCCCGGAGCGATGGACCCTTGGACCTTCACTCCGTGACGGCCGCAATACCCGCCAGTTGGCAGCAGTGCGAGAAGATATCCTCAAGATTCTGCGACCGGAAGTTCGAGTGCACTACAACCCACAGCATGCGTCGGGCAACCATCCAGTGTCTCCAGCGGCGGCCATTGTCGAGGGCCCATCTTGCAGCTCGCCCTACCTCTCGCTTCATCTCAGCGAGCTCGATCCGGATGTCTGCATCTCTGAAGTCGGTCAGTCCTCCTTTGCCTTCAGCAGATCCTACATCCTCATTCCAGCTGTTGTCAACGGAAGAGAAAGTTGGAGAATCTGAAGATACAGTATTCAATGACCAAGTCAAACAAGTCCAAGAGTGGTGGGCTTCGCCCAGATACAAGGGCATCAAAAGACCCTATTCTGCAGAAGATGTCGTCAGCAAGCGAGGAACCTTACAACAAGTCTACCCGTCTTCGTTGATGGCCAGGAAACTATTCAATCTTCTGGAAGAACGAGCTGCCAAGGGAGAGCCTGTACATACAATGGGAGCCATCGATCCTGTGCAGATGACACAGCAAGCACCTCATCAAGAAATTCTCTATGTATCTGGATGGGCCTGTTCTTCCGTCTTGACTAGCACAAACGAGGTTTCTCCCGACTTTGGTGACTATCCTTACAACACAGTTCCCAACCAGGTGCAACGTCTTTTCAAAGCACAGCAATTGCACGACAGAAAGCACTATGACGCAAGGAGGAAGATGTCTCCCGAGGACAGGAAGAAGACGCCGTATACTGATTATCTTCGACCAATTGTCGCAGACGGAGACACCGGGCACGGTGGTCTTTCCGCAGTATTGAAGCTGGCTAAGCTGTTTGCCGAGAATGGAGCTGCAGCTGTACACTTCGAGGACCAACTACATGGCGGTAAGAAGTGTGGCCACTTGGCAGGCAAGGTTCTGGTTCCGGTTGGCGAACACATCAACCGCCTAGTCGCGACACGCTTCCAATGGGATATGATGGGTTGTGAAAACTTGGTCATCGCCCGTACGGATTCTGAAAGTGGCAAGCTGTTGAGCAGCGCTATAGATGCTCGCGACCATGAATATATCCTTGGTTCGACCGAAGATATCGAGCCTTTGGCAGAAACACTCCAAGTCATGGAACAGGAAGGTGCAACAGGTGCTGAAATCGACGCCTACGAGGCCAAGTGGACCAAAGAGCACAAACTTGTCACGTTCGATGAGGGTAAGTCAATCACACTTGCAAACATGACGCATATTCTGATGTCCTCACTCTAGCTGCCATCGCCCACATCAAGTCTCAGACTTCCGACTCCGAGAAGGTCTGCAAATATGGAAGTGAGATCGCTGCAAACCGTAACCGACCCCTGAACAGCCGTCGTCAGCTTGCTGCATCCATCGCAGGTTCTCCCGTCCAGTTCAGTTGGGATGTGCCACGCACGAAGGAAGGCTTCTATCACTACCGTGCCGGGCTTGCCGCGGCAACAAAGCGCGCAATCGAGTTTGCCCCATTCGCCGATCTGCTATGGCTCGAGACTGGCGACCCGAGTGTGCAAAAAGCTGCAGGCTTCGCCAAAGAAATCAGAGATGTGTGTCCCGGAAAGAAACTCGTGTACAACCTCAGTCCCAGCTTCAATTGGATGGGCCATGGATTTAGCGAAGACCAACTTAAGAACTTCATCTGGGACCTGGGCAAGGAAGGGTAAGCAATACGTACCAGACTACGGATTCGACTGACACATCTACAGATTTGTTCTTCAGCTCATCTCACTGGCTGGTCTTCACAGTACTGCCACGATCACCAACGAGCTCGCCAAGGGGTTCAAGACCGACGGCATGCTAGCATATGTCAACCTCGTCCAACGTCGTGAGCGCGAGCTTGGTTGTGACGTCCTCACACATCAGAAATGGAGCGGTGCAAGCTATCTGGACGGCATTCTGGGTAGCATTCAGAGCGGTAGCAGTAGCAGCAAGAGTATGGGTGAAGGTAACACGGAAGGAAGCTTCTAGGCAGACAAGTTGGACTGAGTAAATTTCGACTTGATTGATCTGTCTGGCTCCTGGGATTCAGCTTCAGTCATGTCTATAAGCTATCACAAACGAACAGAACATCACTCTCGCATATGGAACAGTCTCTGTCAAATTATCACTAGAAGTTTTCGGTCCCACACTATAAGAGCTGAACATGTCAGGAGACAATACCAGTCGAATGTAAGACTTTGTCCTTAGGTGCTGATGGGACTCAAATTCAGCGAGTATGGATTCTGAGGGTATGACCCTGGCCAGCGGTATGGACACTCCAAAGATGGCGCAGTATCAAATCTAGTCTCTCAGTAGCCGAAACATAACTCTGGATCAATCGTTGTGCTCTTCGATAACATGTTTTGCAGCTTTTCCGGTAACAGAATCCTGTCGTTGGTGCCTATAACTAATGTGCTCATTACAGACCATTTAGCATGTCTGGACGCGACAAGCACTACCCATTCTGAGTATGAATCATCGCACTAACATTCGCTGCACATATAATATTTTCTCGTCGCTTCCTTCTGCTAAATCCTTCGGAACACGATTCTCAGACAGTCATCAAAAAGTCATCCAAAGTCATCCGAGATCACAGTTTCGAGATTCACGACCACAATATAAATCAGGGTCATCTACCAATACCATCGAGACAACTCTTCAGCTTCATGGTAAATATCTAGAGGTCGAGTATATCCACTACGCACCAGCAACAATCAACAATCAACCCTCAACCGTCAACAATCAACCGTCAACCATCAGCAATCAACTATCTCACCACTCCCTCCTTATCGACCCCAAACTACACCATTCAACATGTGTCACCACCCCTCCTCCACAATCCGCACCCGTCGCATCAAGGCGGTTAACGAGACCAACTCCCATGGCACTGGTCGTCTCCGTATGATCCAGTACGTCAAGTTCATCGGTGACGACACCTACAAAGGCCATTTCCGCAATGGAAGGCCTTACTTTGTCACCGGCGCCCGCATTCGCGCAAAGCCCAAGATGTACCGTCTTCGCAAAGAACACGCTGACTGCTACCAACTGGTCATCACACAGGTCGAAAGGTACCGCGAACTGGAAAGCGCCTGCGAGCAATATTGGGGACCCATGCAGAGGGATATACCAAACAGAGTCAGGACGCTGTTTCACCTGAGCAACGGCGAGACAGTCTCGGACAAAGCTCTCAAGTACAACGAAAATCTCAGAGAGTTGGACATTGTCGAGATTGAAGATGCTGACTGCAAGACAAAAAGCTACCTAAGAGAGACTTACATGATAGGGGATACCGAAACCCTCCAAACGGAACACGACACAGACTGAGATCTGCCTCTTCCGCTGACAAGCACTGCAGTATCTCTTCGCCCAGCTCTTCGACATCAAGCATAAAGGACGGAGGCCAAGGAGAAGAAACGGGAGCATGATGAGAGTATCGAGCTGTCCGCAGACCTGGATGAGGATATGTCAAGCTCGGGCATATCTGCAGAACTCCATATTCGCACGATCGCCTTGGTCACGCACGACTAGGTGAGATCTGCGATATCACTGTTTCATATTTCCCGGGTTGATTCCACAGCGGCAACATAATCCTGAGTACAGCAATGTAATGCGTGGTTATTGGAAGGAGGACAAGGCTGCTGGACTTACATCTCTCCGGTGCATCAAGCCATTCTTCATGCATCAGGCTTTACGACCTCTGTGCATTTCTCCGGACGCCATCAGCTGTCTGGTCATGGAAGATCCAGGGCTTCTGACATGATATCTGGTGATCCAACAGCGCAATCCTTGAAGATGACACTGCATTCAGAATTCCTCGGCCGAATACCAAGAGTTGGTCAGACACGCGCATATGCAAGGATATGTAGATGTCATGATTCATGACTGCAATTACAATCTCTTGTTCCTTCTTGTTTTTTGGGGGGACTGTTCTCTTGTTAAGCTCCAATGACTACGCAGCCATTCGAATCTGCGGTTCGGTTACGTGGTGATACATATCTCTGAGGAACACGGCCCGAATCAGTGATGGACTTACGGGCGTAGCAGAAATATCCTGATCACTATACCTCTGAAATCTGATCATATTGTCCTTGGATCTTGATGCCTTCTTGATTATGTGATACACATATAGATGAGCATGAATCGGTAATCCGATGATCGACAAACGGCTTCGAGATACCGAGGCAGGGTACTGAAGGTCCCATGGAAAGCTGGTCGAGATTGTCGATAGCAGCCCGTTAGGGAGTTCAGGACCAATGTTTCACGATTCCAATGAACCATGCAATAGCTTCTTGAAGCGGAGTTGAATACGAGAGAGGGGGACTGATTCCTCATCAGCTAACAGGCAACGGCTTGACAGGCGTTTGCCATCTGGTGATGCCAGGAATGAGGACTTTGGTGTGTGTTGACGGAAGAATTGTTCTGCAAAAGTCAATTGGAAGGAGCGCCCAGCCTCTAGGCCATAGCTCCTGGAGCTTTTTGGACAGGTTTTTGGGGATGCGGACCGACTGCAGCAAACAGAGGCAGCTCCAAGGGCAAACATTCGGGAGTCGGGACGCTGGCGCAAGAACCGACAGGATGGACGTGTTCCAGCCACCCGAGACCCATCGGATCGGGTGCACGCCATGACAGGCCCAAAAGCCAGGATTTCTCTTCGGAGCTCGCAGTCTGGTTGATGGGTTCACGCATATCGCGCATCTCTGAAGAGCACAGCCAAGGAAAACGATAGGCCTGGGACGGCATTCGTTCAGTTTGTGCCTCATAAATCGAGCAAGCAAACCCATCTAAGCGACACAAAAGAGGGAGGGATAGATTGGAATGCACGAAAGCTCTGGCGCAGGGTTGATGTTTAGCTCCCGCGTTTGGCGCATCCAGCGCGTTTGCTCGGAAAGTAGGCGCTCCAGAAACATGCAGCTAATAAGAATTGGCCAACAACTGCCATCTACTACTTGGATAGTCACATAAAGAGGAGAGGGCAGACTGCGTTGAATTTTCCCGTCCGTTTTCTCTCAGAAGGCGGGACCCGTTCCATTGCCATTACATGCTGTTGTATCGTGCATTTCCTCGTTGTGGTAACAGCACAAGGCATGGCTTCAGAGACGTCGCCCGGGACCGCGGCCTCTACAACATCCGACACACTGGCGACCTATGTTACAGACTATCGCATGGAGAATGGACGAAGATATCATGCATATGCTGACGGAGAGTACTGGGTCAGTGCATCAACACATCGCATTTCCTGTGTGTGAGCACAACTGACGTCTCTAGGGTCCAAACGATGAACAGTCTACCGAGGCCGAATGCCTAAGTCATGCCATGTATTTGGAGACTCTTGGTGGGGAGCTGCATTTGGCGCCTGTCAAAAACCCGCGAGAAATCCTGGACGTCGGGACTGGCACGGGCATTTGGGCAATCCAGATGGCCGATAAGTTTCCCGAGGCCCAAGTCACCGGAACTGATTTATCGCCAATTCAGCCCGACCTTGTCCCTTGTAATTGTGTGTTTGAAATTGATGATGCTTCGTTAGAATGGACTTGGGAGGACAACCATCTCGATTACGTCCATGTTCGCGAGATGTTTGGTTCTATTCGTGATTGGGATCTATTCTTCAGTGAAGCTCTAAGGTGCATCGTGCCTGGCGGTTATGTCGAGATCATGGAGCATTCGACTTGGCCGGTACGACGGCTTCTCTCCCTTGCTGGTCGTCCTTTCCTCAGGCTGACATCCCTCTTTACAGGTTAGCGACGATGATACGTTAGGCCCCGACCACTTCTTCAATACTTGGGGACGAACGATTGAAGAGCTGGGCGGCAAATGGGGCAAGTCATTCAATACCTGGAAAGAAAGTAAGGCTCTACTGGAAAAAGCTGGTTTTGTTGATGTTGTCGAGAAACGCTTCAAATGGCCAATGAACGGCTGGTCGCAAGATCCTGCGCTCAGACATCTTGGAGAACTCAATCGCGTTCGTCTGGTAGAACATATCCAAGGCTTTACCATGAGGTTGTTGACCACCGCTGGCAAGGTTAGTACAAGTGAAGAAGAGATCTCTTGTCTAGACTGACAGTTTTCGCAGTGGCCACTGCCTCGTGCACATATCTTTCTAGCCGAGATGCGGAATGCACTAAAAGACCTTGGTTGCCATGCTTACCAGGATGTAAGTGTGGTCTATGGTCGAAAGCCATCTTGACATGCTTCATCTAATCAGCGGCGCTACACTGAACCTACTGGACAACTTAACACGCCCGTCTGGCAGCTATCATGTGTGCAACAGAACCCGCAAGGCCCCACGACTATCGTTACAGTCCAGCGTGATACTTTGGAACAAAATTCTGATCGCAAAAGTACTGGCACCGAGGTTCCGGACGCAGACCTAGCATCGAACTAGCTGTCAAAGCACAAGTCTTTTCGATGTTCGGCATACGTCCATCGAGAGCAAATACTACTTCATGCTCTGTCCCCTACATGAGCACCATGTTACATTCTGATGGCTTTTCACACGGGCATCTCGACAGGCCGATGATGAAAATGTCCCGGTGATCCGTGCCGCAGAGTCGGACGACAGCCAAATCAGCTATCTGCAAATCTGCGTTGCTGGCACTCAAGTTGCCGACGACGACCTGACTCCAAGCTCGCCTGGGAAAACGGTTGGAAAGACACGAATGAGTCAAGAACTACGCAACAGGTTACATTCCCTACCGCATACCACAAAGTGACGGACTCTGTATGTGCGAGCTGTGAAAAGGACACTGGTTAGTTGCACAAAAGGCGTTTCAAGTCCTCTTGTCAGCACTGTGCACCTGGCCCCGAGGCGTTGCTTACTCATGGGACTTCTCTACATCTATCGAACCACATTGTCTGACAAGAATATCCTTGTATGCCCGGAGTCATGTGGTATCGGCAAGACTCATGACAACGAGCGACATCGTCGCATGCACTATGTCAACAATACTTTGCTATGGTGAACCCCTTCTGTATTCTATCAGAAACACGATGAGCAACGGTCTATATATCTCGTGGTGACGCTGGACTAACCAACCGAGCGGCATAGTCGTAGTATGTCTCAGCATTTATGTCTTGCACAAAACTTCCGAGACATCGCCGTTCAGTTCGTAGCTCTACTCAATGACTCCTGACTCTACTCCTGGGGTGTGCAACATCTATCTAGCCCCTCGTATTACTCTTGTGATGCGGTCAACACACGTTGAAAAACAATAGATGGTCAGCTACGGCGTGTCCGATGTCCAGACCGATCAAGAGCCTCAACAATTCTGATGCTCAATCATGCTATCCGATACGTACGTAGAGTAAAGAGCGAGTGAGGTCTTTGTGAAGGGCTGGCTACCAGCAGGACTCCACGCGGCTGCAACTGCCTCCTGCCTTCGGGATAATAAAAGTGGCTGCACCAGTATTATTCGGGAAAAACAAAGAAAACGGCCAGACCACCGGTACCAGATCTTGTGGTGGCACCACGGGGGGTTGGAAAAGACGTTTTTGGAGCTGTTCGTCGTACTTGTGGGTGGCTGATGGCTTACCAAAATGTGCCGAAGGAGAAGGGGCAGCCTATGGCCCGGAAATCAACCATCAACAGCGAACTACTGCAACTGTTTCCAACCTCTTCCTTCCTGATGCTTGATCCTGGTTCTTGGTACCTCACTCGAGGTCTTACTGCATTATCAAAGCCTAGCCACGTCTAAAGCTTGGTGTCTCCTTTATTATGCTCATTCACACGTTATGCAATACGAAGGAGGATCAACGGACGCTCAAAGATACGTGACAGCCTCGAAGACAGGGTGAGCCACGTGACATTGGTACCGAGTGTTTCTTCCTCATATCTTCAGTGCCGGAAGCGGAGACAGCTTACCTAAGGTTGGTGCAACGAAGAATGATCTAAGCATGCTTCGATATCTACGCTCAGTTTCTGATTCAGATCCCAGCCACAGGCTGGAAGGCATGAAGCAACCACCCACACAACATAGAAACAGTATTGGGTTCGAAAACGACCGAGCTCCTAGAGACATGGCTACATCCACCCATCGGGAAAAGTCCTCTAGGATCTAGGCCTTTGGCTTTTCATGGGGTCGCCCGGAGATGACAGATGCACTCCTCACCGCACCCCGGTACACCTTGAGAGCCTGAGGCCTGCGAAGGGCTTTGACAGCCGAAAGTCAATATTCAACAGTTGGCAGCCAGAAGTGTTCGACGTAAATTGTCGCGTATTTTCTGCAGTGCTTCCCTTCGGCGCGTTAATGAAAACCGTCGTCTGATATGAGTGAGCAATAACCAACTACCATAGGTCAAACGCTCGGTAACTTTGCCTCATAAAGCCATAGGATAAACTTCGGTCAGGCTGGCAAGACTTGCAAGATGGCCAGGCGGGCATGCATGCATATTCTACATGCGGGGCGATGTGCGAGGTCTGCCGGAAGATAAACAGGCATGCCCACGAGGTCTGAATCCGTGCGATAGGAGAGCGTACTTACGGATTTCGAGATCTGCACGAGCGAAGAAAACATCTGAACAAGTCACCGCTGTTGTGACATGATTTCGTGAATTAATTGAAGCTCTTCGCCGTTCCCCGCGTGCTAAAAGACATCACATGTTAGCTATTGGGATGCACTATGCTGCGCGAACCAATGGAAGTGAGTATGACAGCTCGTTTTCATGGACACTGATGAAGAACAAAAGTATTGTGCATCTCCACAGCTTATTCTACTTGGAAAAGACAAAAGACAGGTGCGTATCGCAAAATGATGCCTCAAATGCATGCACGTGTCCGCTTGCCTGAGGAATGAAAGCGACCGTTTGCAGCAGGCCATTGACCGCACGGCCGAGTACGGGTCTGTTTTATGAAAGCCGAATTCAGAAAATGGTCCATACCATCTTGCCTTTGACAAGGCGGTCTCAGCAGATACTTTGACAACATCAAAACGCAGCGTTGGAAATGAACCAACCATCTGATAATCAGCGCTCGCGGTTCATGACCTCGATGACCGCGATAGAGAACGCAGGAAACATGGCCAGCCCACAGACGCTGACCGTTGCGATCTGAATCACCACACACAATGGCTAAGATCGCAGCAGAACTTCGCGTGGCAGCCATGAACGTGGGGTACCGATGATCAAGCCACAGCGTGGAAGGCATGGAATGGAGAAAATTGCGGACCGACGACGAGCAGAGTTGACGCCAGCAAGATCCAAGCAGACGGACTTGCTCCTATTGCGCACCATAAAAGCCAACGAGGTCGTCGGGGCGTGCCGATGCAAAGACAGCAAACAAGCTTCAGAACATCGCTGTTTGTTCTAAATTAGCCCTGGAGCGTTGAGCGGATTTCTCTCGGGGACCCCGAGGGCGTGAAGGGCCCATGCCGAAAGCCAACAGGGCACAAGAGGAAAGCAAAAAGCTCCGGCAGTGGCGTATGGGGAACTGCCAGAGGCGTGACTTTGGAGAAACGATTCAGGTGAAAAGAAGCGCCTCATCCGAGGAGTGGGTTGGGCGATCACACAGATGCTGTAGGCGAACTCGTTTACCGCTTGCCTGCAGCAGGATGCCGAAATTGAAGAAGAAAATTGGCGAAACAAATGATATGCGTGACAAACCTAGTGAACCACACTCGACGAGGAATCGGAGCAAAAGAGATTTGAGAGGAGCCTAGACTCGGTAGCTAAATATCTGCCTAAGTGAAAAGGGCCAGTGTTCGCTTAATAGATGGTTTTATTGGCCGAATCTTTTGTCTCAAACCGTCCATTCATCACTCACCCAGCACACGAGCTGCTCCAAGAATGCTGAAACCATGGAGAGCGCGCTGCACGCGTCGAGTGGTACGTTCTGAGCCGAAGCAAGTACATGTCTGTGGCCTCTCGCCGTTTGCAAAAGAATGCGCGCGCGAACAACGTAGAAAACGCACCAACAAGAGCTTCGCCAAAGGGGAGCGGCAGAATTCTGAAAGGGTTCGCACACCGTGCACGCGTCAACTTCGACCTCGGGAAGGATGCGGTCTCCAGACGCCATGCCGCTTTGGACATAAGCGGCATGGCTGTGATCATGATGATCATCCAGCCCCCACCTGCTTGCATGCATAACGATTGACAACAGGATGCTTTTTCTTTTGCTTTCTCATGCATGCGCGTCTCCTGCAATAGTGACTGCTGCATCCTTGATCCCGAAGAGCTGGGATGGGAGAGAGAGAGAAAGAGAGAGAGAGAGAGAGGCGAGGACCACCACTCGACAATAACAACAAGTTGACGAAGCTGCATCACCACCCAGTTGTTGTCTCGTTGGAGGCTAGGGTTGACGTACATAAGAATCGTGCATTTCGACAGCGACATACAAAGTCTAGCACGGGGATGTTGATGGGAACCGATTCGTCTGTAAGCAAGTCTTACCGGCCGTTCGCGCGACATCCAAGTGCTGGACGATTGGCCCATCCTGATTCTGTCCATGATATAAAGCTTTGCCTATAACGGCTTCATAACGGTTCACATGGTGACGACCGGATGATTGCGACTGCAGTACTCGAGTATGAGACTGAAGCAATGTTTTTGCTGCTGCCGTGACAGTCAGCGCATCTTAGCACACGAGGAATTGGCGAATGCATGGCAATGGTGGCCACGTGAGTGCAAGATCAGTAGTCGCTAGTGAGCCTTGATCAAATCTAACCAAGTCATCAGAACAAGACCGGGAGTTTGGTTCACAAAGATCAATCAGAAGGGCTTTGCGTGACATGGCTGAGAATGCTGATCCGGGCGGAGAACCGAAACCGACATTGGCACCGCTAACGAGCTCTTCCCTGCAGCTGAAAGAAGCACATCATATCTGGACGACAACATGGGTGTCGCGAAGATAGATTGGTGCAATAACTGCTTGTCTCGATCTATCGTGATGCTGCTCAAATTCTCCGTCAGGATCATGCTGCTTGAGTGGACAAGAAGAAGGCGGAATTATTATCTGCTGACCTGGTGTCTCCCACCCCGCGCTGCGCACATGGCCATTCACAATCCCAGAATATCGGCTGTTGACAATGCAATCATCTGCATGCTGCCAGCTTCAGGCACAGAACCTGTTGATGTGAAGGCTCGCATTGAAGATCCAAGTCTTGTGCAGTCATGCTCGTGGCATGACCAGTCGTACCTCTCTGTACCAGTCTTGAAGCGATGTTCAGGCAAGCTTGCATAGGCCCATCTTGGGGAAGGTTGCTTTAGACTTGGCCTGTTCACGTTCTGTGCCGCCCGCACGCTTGGATTGGATCTGCAGGCTGGCGCTTATCACGCTGGCGGCCGACCCAATGAAACGCGAGCGTCCAGTTGGTGGTGTCTTGGTCGGGGGAGTTGGGCGCGCAAGCGATGGTGGTGCTGTCTACTCAAGCCCGTCCCGCGCAAAACGGCCCCGAGAGTCTAGTCCCTAGACCGAGTCACCCAGCTAGCGAACGGACCACCCCGCTGCTTTCACTTTTTGCGAGAAACGCGCTTAGCGGCCGCTTCCAAATACCGTTTTTCGCGCAGTGAGCTGAGCCAGAGGAAACAGGGTGCTGCATGGTTTGATGAGGGTGTGAGATGGGCAGCAACGACACCGGCACACGGACGAGAATACAGCAAAACAGGGCCTCGTGCAGGCTGCGGCCAGTCGGACTCTCCTCCCACACAGCGTATCGGCAGCCGAAGCGTGAAGGATCGCAAATGAAAGAAGAAAAGACGCTGGGAACGGAAGGATTATTGCCTGCCTGTCAGGTGCATCGTCTGCGCGAGAGCGGTTAGTGCAGTAGCAGGCGCGGGAGGCTCTTTTTGCTCGCCCTCTCTTTTGCACCCCTCTGCCCTACTAGACTCGATCCAGACTTCCAGATTCCCTCGCGCTCGCGCATGGATCTCGTCTACCACTAGCGGCCTCTCAGACAGCGCACTAGTCATTTAGATTGCCGTGCATGTTCACCTCTCCGCTGGTGTCCAGCCCTTGAGTCCGCCATCCGTTCTCTAAAAGCGCCAGGGCACCTAAGCTTAACAAAGGATCGCCCTCCTCCCACATCTTCAAAGACGTTCGTCTGGTTGCCCTGCGCGTGCGCGACTCGTTCCTCGACCTCAAAGCACTCGAAACACCAAAGGCTTTCTTTGTCTACCCAGCACTCGTTCGCGCTGCTCTGATCTCTCCCCCTTGCTCGACTCCTTCTGTTGCGTCCACTCGCTCTCATTCCAACCAAAAGCCCCTGCAAGCCACCCTCTCCACCATCCAAGCAGCTCTCCCAAAACGTGCATTTTCTGTCTAGCTTGCAACTGCCCAGCACGGAAGCCACGTTTGTTGTTCATCTTCTGCGAATACTCGATACCTGTACGACGCGTGCGTGTGACCCTGCCGTCTGCACAACCACAGTTCCGGGCTCCCAGATCTCTCCCCAGGCGCAGCAGGCTTGATCTCAATGTAAGCCTCTTCCCCCGATCGTGGCCTTGGGTAGCGCCTCCTGTTGCGCAACACCCGCTGAGACGTTCTAGTGTTCATTCGGTTTGACTCGCAGCATCTCGCGTCACATTCTGCCTCTATCTTGACCATCGTTGCTCCATCTAGCGGACAGCAACGTCAGGCTTCGACTCTTTCCGGGTTTCTGGAATCGCGCTGCAGTGAGGTGACCCGACCACCCGCGCCTCTGGTATCCAGTCCGACCACTCCATCACCACCACGGCAGAAAGGAGCCCTCTCTTTTGCCTCAAATAACTTAGCAAAGCCATCTCGCAAGCCTCCATCTCCTCGGCTGTTCATTTCCTCAACCGCCGCAGCCCGCATCGCTACCCATCTCGTCCTCTGACCCTGCAGAATAAAGCCTGCGATCCGCCAACGTGGCTGCCATCGTTGCTCTCCCGTCACATATGATTCCCGGGTCGGATTCAATGGGTGCTCCTACGAGTTTCTCTTCTCGCAGACCCAATGCTTCAAACCTTCCCAACTTCGAACTGCCGCCTCCTCAATTGACGTCGCTGCACCAGAAGTACCACTCCTATGCTGGCACATCTCAGCCAACTCCATCCATCCCCTCGAGCTTGACTAGCGTCGGCAACCTGTTGACCCCTCCGAGTGGTATCTCGAGTGACGGTCTCAGCCCTAACTCGTCCAACATGCCGACCGGCAGCTCTCACGCCAACCATTCGGTACCCCCCTTCACCCCTACCGGATACATGTGGCCTCCTTCGCACACCGGCACTACTCCCTATGGTTTCCAATCTCACAACAGCCCCAACCAGCGTGGTCTGTTCTCCCCATCTCTCAACTCGATTGTCAAGGGCAACAACTCGCCTCACATCTCCGAGAACCTGCCTCCTCCAAACTTCCCAGAGAACCCGTTCCCTACCTCCATGTCCATGTCGGCACCCGTCAATCTCCCTGCTCTGCCTTCTCAGTCTTCGAGCATCGGATCAGCGATGATGGGAGGCCACACTCCTGTTACCCAGGCATCGCCAGTGAACCACCACGACTCTTTCGCAAGGCCTCCTCCCACGCCCACATACTTCAACGGATCACAGCACAGCCACAACGGACAGTCAGCGTACGGCTACTCATCGGGGCCTTCCCCTGTTCAGCAGAGCCCAATGAGTGCAGGCGGCCAAATTCCTCGCATGTCACCTGCAAACGGGCATGGACAGATCCCTCCTCTCCAACCACAGAATGTTCAGTCGCCGTATACACACCAGCGTCCCTCTTACCAATACCCTTTGCCAGGGCCGGTCTTGTCCAACGTCGGCAACCCTAACAGCCAGCTTGCTCTGGTTGGTGGCATGCCTCCTTCGATGATGCCTGCATACAACAGTGGCCACGCAGCGCATATGCAACATATGTATGGACACCATCCCCAGGCTCAACCAAACCCTCAGAACGACAGACCTTTCAAATGCGATCAGTGCCCTCAAAGCTTCAACCGCAACCACGATCTCAAGAGGCACAAGCGCATTCATCTGGCGGTCAAGCCATTCCCCTGTGGTCACTGTGATAAGAGCTTCTCCCGCAAGGATGCATTGAAGGTACGATTTCCTCGGAATCCACATGTTTACGTTCTATAACTAATTCCACAACAGAGGCATATTCTCGTCAAAGGTTGCGGCAAAGCGCCCACCAACTCGGGAGACAATGACCGAAAGGACGGTTCAATATCTCCAGCAATGAAGAGTGAAAACTCGAGCCCTGCCGTCTCTGCATCGGCATGAAGTCGAACATCCTGACGAAGAAGCGAGCAACACAACATCAACTTTAACAACAACGATAACCTCACGGTGATACCCTTTTGTTATTGTATTACTTATCGTATATACTTACGCTGTTACGGACCGGAAAGCATGCATTTGATTATTATTTTTCTTCTCTTTTCTCTTCCAAGTCGCAGAGGGCTATGGGTATGGATTGTCTTTTGGCTACATTACACAGGGCGTTGATGAGCTGGCATCTGGCCGGGGGACTGCGACTTTACGGACTTCTGTCCATTGCTTCTTGCTTGTTTTGGATACCTCTTTACGTTCGATTCTGAATGGCGATGGATTTGTTACGATTGGACGATGTGAAAGTCCTTTATCTTTTTCTTACAATAAAGCTATACTTTTCTGCTCTTCCATCCTCCCCTCTGCTCAGTTATGAATGTATTGGTGGTATTCGACCGTGTCTATCGGATCTGACGACATTGTTTCCACGTGCCTGCAGTTCGGCTGTCTCCAAACTTGGCATTCCCCCACCAGCTCTTCTTCTCTTTCCCCAGACCTCGTCTTTCTCTTCTAAGCATCGCGGACAGGAGATTTCTCTCAAAGGCAGACTCATATCTGCTAGAGCAGGAGGTCATCCCCTGCGATGGTAATTCTCCCTTTTTGCTCATCATCTCGATGCTTTCAATAGCGACATCAGGGGTACGTGCAACGTTTTTGCATGTCAGGGGGAGACGGTTGAAACTTGACATGAAGCTCCGAACGCCAGATGACGATGGTACGCCTTGAATGCCTTGAATGTGTCGCTGGCTGTGTTGATTTGCATGCAACGCGAATGGTAGAAGCACACAAAGATAGACAATGATGGCGGTGTCTCGTAGAAAGAGGTTCATGTTCTAGTGAAAGCGTCGCACAGCGTAAGTCAGAATGTGAGTCGAATTGCAGCGAGCAGGAGGTCCAACGTCGCGCACCGTTGCAGCATTCCTAGCTTGCACATCAAAACATTTAATCATCTCGGCCAACAACAAACAGAGCTCCTGATTCTGTCATTCCGTTCCCCTCGTCTCGGCGCAGTGATTCTTGTTAGTCGCTGACAAAGGCCACCGTTGGTGTCGATTGACGATTTCGCCGTCTCTTGGTGGTTCCTTCCCTCTCCATCACCTTGCTTGTACCTTGTCGCTCCTTATCGACCTACGCACGCCTTCCCTTCCTGTCCAGCCACGCGCATATCCACGCGCCCGACTATCCTTCATCGACTCTATAGATACATCCCTCATTTGTCTTTCTTGCGCCGCCAGCAACACCACTCCGCTCATTACCCGACCTGCATCTAATACACCGGCCAATGTATAATTAATCACGCTCGCTTTCTTTCAACTCGACCCAGCTTTCTGTTGTTTTAATCAAACAATTGGGTAGCCCGCATCTGCCAGAGGTGCTTGGACAATACAGTATACCACAAGCCGTATCTAGCGAAGCTTGATCAACAAACAATATCAACACAAGGCGACACAAGCCTGCCAACATGGCCGATTACCAACGTCGCTCGACGCGACCATCATCAAGACGAGAAGTCCTTGGGCCCGGCGAATCTCGCGCCAACATAGATTCATCTGCGCACAGAAGCACGCGGTCCTCCAAAGTCCCCGAAATATCATCACCCGCACATCTCCCCCACAACCAGTCGCTCGCCGCCAATGGGACACTCGACGTGCGAACGAGCAGCCCTGCCGCCTCATCGACAAACCAGGATCGCCTCTCCTCGGCTGCGCCCGAGTCCCAGAGAGCTAGCAAGCGTTATTCCGAAATATCCAACTGCACAACCGCGTCGGGATCGGGTCGCAAGAGTTTCGTTGGCCGATGGCAACTTGGAAAGACGATTGGCCAGGGCGGTTGTTCTACAGTACGCCTCGTCAGACACAAGGATACTGGTCAGATTGGTGCTGCCAAGATCATCTCGAGAAAGATGGCAGAGACAGTCCGGGCCCAAAGTCTGGCCAACCTCGCCGAGATGCCCGACAAATCGCTGCAGGATCTTGTTGCCGCTGGCAAGGCCATGCCCCCTCCTCCACCAGGTCTCTTGCGTGAAATTGCCATCATGAAGCTGCTCGACCACAGAAACATCGTCCGGCTGTATGATGTCTGGGAGAACCACAATGAACTCTACCTGATTATGGAATATGTTGAAGGAGGAGAGCTGTTTCATTACATTGAAGAATGTCGCGGCCTAGGAGAGCAAGAGTCTGTCTACATCTTCCGCCAAATTGTCGCTGCTCTGCTCTACTGCCATCGCATGCACATTCACCACAGAGACCTCAAGCCTGAGAACATTCTTTTGGACCGTGAAAACATTCAAGTCAAACTGGTCGATTTTGGAATGGCTGCTTTGCAACCAGAGGGCAAGAAACTGACGACGGCCTGTGGCAGCCCGCACTATGCTGCACCTGAAGTCATCAAAAGCAGACCCTACGACGGGGCGCGAGCCGATGTGTGGAGCTGTGGTGTCATCCTCTATGTCATGCTCACTGGAATGACTCCGTTCAACTACGACCAGGACAGAAACCTCAGCGTTATGTACCGCGCCATCGCAGAGGCCGACTACTACATGCCCCCAGAGCTGAGTCGTGACGCCCAGGATTTACTGCGCAAGATCTTCGTCCCTGATCCACGCCGACGTATTACTATGGAGCAGATCTGGGAGCATCCTCTGCTTCACAAGTTCGATGAGGAATGGGGATACACTGGACCTCTTGCTTCCAAGGAGGCCTGGGTTGGTCCATCACCTATCCTCGAGGACTGGACCGTTACGCGCGAAGCCGAGGTCGATAAAGAGATCCTCCGTAATATGCGCACTCTGTGGCACAGCGTGCCTCAGTCGGTTCTTGTCAAGAAGCTCGTCAGCAATGAGCCAAACCAAGAAAAGCTTTTCTATGCAGCTCTCATGAAGCATCGCGAAGAAAATCTCGAGAACTATCTCGGCGGTGCTGATGCCATCAGTTACTCTGCCAGCGACTACCAACACAACAAGAACGAGCCTAAGGATCAGCCTCCGATGCCGAACCAGAAGCAGCAGTCGCAATCGCAATATTCCATCATGAACGATGAGCATCTCCGCACGCCGCAAGCTGTCGATGAGAACCTACCCTCTGACAGCAGCTACGACCCTTACCGATCCTCTCGCTACCAGACTACCCCCAACGGAACGCCATACACCAAGGTCACGGTCCATCGTAGAGGCGAGAGCAACGGAAGTCGCAAGGCATACATGCAGCATAGTCTACGCCATCCCAATGCGCTTCGGGTCGAGATGCTGAAGAAGAATGGCAACTCAATCTCTAGCTCCAGCCTAGTAAAGCAAGAGCACAGGATGTCTATGACCCGCTCCATCTCAAAGGCTTCGACATCCCGAAACTCGGTCGTCAGTTCTGTCTGGCCTAGCAGCCCACCCGTCATGCCGAGAACAGTGAGCTCTCACAAGCACAAGAGAAAGGTCAGCTTTTCTCATCATCGCAAAAGCTCTCAAGCTGCCGTTAGCACCAACGCCTGCTTCACTCCGGAACTCCAGGCAAAGGCCAGATTCTCTCAACTCTTGCACGGAAGCCCTACACCTGATGCTAACAGCCCCTCCTGCCGTGTGGACAATGCCATTCGCTCCAGAAAGGACAAGTCTGTCACCCCCGGTCCCCGCACACGCCCTCGAAAGAATTCGGCTGGTGCTGGAAGAACAGATATTCGCAAAGCTAGTAGTGAGCTCGAACAAGCCTGCGAAGAAGCTTTCAACAGATGCTCATTCAGCTCGAGCACTTTTACGACGACCTCAGCGACCGAGAAGGCTGGCTACGAGACTCCTCCATCGTCCGTGTCTAAGAGGGATTCTGGTAGCTCGATCAAGGAACATGCCGCGCCGCGCCCTCTGCCTGCTCTACCCACTGATACCCCCAATACCTTCATCCACCGTACTCTCGAAGAGACACGCCACAAGTTGGCAGTCCGAAGCGCATCTGAAGGCAACGATGGCTCAGCGAAGATCGAACAAGTCTTGGCCAACCTTGACAGAATCATGCCTGGCGACAAGCGCGCTGTCTCAGCTCCTGACCACCACTTGATGGACAATAGAGCACCACTGCCTATCATAAGCGAAGAAGGCAGACCCGAAGGCTCTCACGGACGTTCAGTCGACCAATCCAGCAGATACAGATCCGTCACAGCTCCCATGCCTGAAAGAACGGTCCGTATGGTTCAACCCTCCTCGCCCATCACGCCAAACAGCCCCTACAACTGGCGCTCTGTTGAGGAGCCAGGCTCGGAGATGTCAGAACATACCGTTGTCGACAAGAGTCGTTTGACTGTACCTACCGCAGACCCACGAATGGTTCGTAAGAAGAGTAGCGATAGTGGTGTTGCTCTGAGCCAAGTCTCTTCTCAAGGATCACAGGACGGGACTGTGAAGAAGAAGTCTTCTTGGTTCCGCAAGTGGAAGGAACCTTCGTCATCGGTCGAGGAGAGCCAAAATCGTTCACGTTCGCCCATGCCTTGGGAGGAGACCGCTCGTCGACCTGTCAAGCCTAGCGTGCTCAACCGGGATAACAGACCACCCCACTTGGATCTGAGCAGTGCGCAGGTACCTGCACCCAAGTCTTCTTCTAGCAGCGAATTTCCCATGCGTCGCGAGAGCAAAGGCTTTAGCAAGTGGTTCGGTAGAAAGAAGGATTCGGACAAGCGTAAGTTGTGCATTCCCAGAACCTATAATGTGAAATCTACTGACCTCATACACAGTATCTCCGCCAGCCCCCGCTACCACTGGTCCTCTGAGTCCTTTCTCAACAGGGCCTCTGTCACCTCTACCGTCCACCACACCGACATCAGCTAGTGCCGAGACAGCAACACGTTCTTGGTTTTCTCGATTCCTCCGTCTACGACCCGAAGTCCGCACTTTGGCCTTTAATGTCCCACGTACCCGAGCAAGAACTGAGTTGGTGCGCATGCTTCGCGAATGGCAACGACACGGTATCAAGGATTTGACATACTTCCCTCAAGACAACGCCATCACTGCAAGCATTGACAAAGTCAACTCCTTGGGTATTAAGCCGGTTACGTTCAGGATTGAGTTGTTCGTTGTGCTCAAGAACGGCAGAAAAGCTGGCCTCTCCCTGGCGAGGTGCTCCCAGATGCGCGGTGCTGCTAGCTCTTTCCGCAAAGTGGTTGAGGTTCTCGAGCAAGTTGGCAGAGATCGTGGTCTGCTCATTGACGACGAGAGTCAATGGAATGAACTCTGTGGAATTTTGGCTTAATTGGAGACGAACTTCTATCGCATCGCCAGAGACATGACTGAATGTGTCTTTGATAGCGCATGCCCGGCTACATGCCACTACTCGGTTGCTTCCATCTCCTGGATCGTGGCCGTTCTCTTGTTTTCAGCTTTCTGTTCACTGTACTTGGTTGGGTTGTCGATTATGGCAAAGGATGATACCTTTTCTTTATCGGTGTGGAGTTTTTCTTGTTTCTATGCGAACAGCACGACATTCAACATTCGGAACCTGGAGTTTCTTTTTTCCTTTTGTTTTCCTTCTGGTCTGGTATGCATTGGCAGCGAGGTTCTTTTTTCTTTTCTCGAGGTCAGATTGAGTCGCGGTCTTTTACAATGTTTCTTGTCTTCACCCTTTTTTCCTCCACTATTGTATCATACCGTTCGAAAAAAGAGATGAAAAGCAGGAGGAATAAAAAAGATTGAGAAGCACAAAGAAGGAAGAGGAGCTGGAAACAGTACACTACGCTCTAATGTTAATGAACACACTTGTTATACTTCAAATGCGTTTTCCTTGATGTGCTTAATCTGGATCTGAATCTGAACAGCTCGATCTTATCCCTACTAATGTAGCATGAATAGGGACGAGGTACCATACACTGGTTGCTCGTCATTCAGACACACGCTCTCAAGCTCTGTGTGACGGCCACGAGTAGCAATGAACGAACCGAAGCCTGAACCCCCATGACGCTCGTTGTAGTATCTGACTTGCTTAAGAGCAGGGAATTGAATAGCATCACGCTTTCCTTGTGGGTTAATTGTGGAGACGTACGGATGTTTGAGGAAAAGAGTGACCACTGTAGTCGGTTGTACATTACACACTGTCCTTCTACCAAGCCATACTCTTGTCTTTTGGGTATCTCATCCAATCATTGAACCTTCTCTTGCACCAAGCGACATGTGTAATCCCATATCCTCCCGCAGTGTTCCGATCTCCAAGCACATGCATGCCCTCTCTTTCGCCTCCCTCTACTCCTCCACCCTCGCACTCAGAACCCTCACAGCCTCCACCGGCCTATCATCCTTGTCAACCTTGACCAATCCCATCCTCTGCACAACCTTCATGCCCCCCTTGACTCTTCCAAAAATCGTATGTTTGCCATCCAACCACGGCGTCGGCGCCAATGTGATGAAGAATTGACTTCCGTTTGTATTGGGGCCTGAATTTGCCATGCTCAAGATACCAGCACCGGTATGGCGTAGGGAAGGATTTATCTCGTCGTCAAATTTGTCGCCGTAGATCGAGGCGCCGCCGCGGCCTGTGCCGGTGGGGTCGCCGCCTTGGATCATGAAGGAGGGAATTATGCGGTGGAAGGGGGTGGTGTTGTAGTAGCCTCTGCTTGCTAGGGTGGAGAAGTTGTGGCATGTCTGGAGGGTGAAGAGAGGGGTTAGTGATGCTGAAGGTAGGAGGATGGGTGGGCAGAGTGATACCTTTGGTGCATGTTCGGTGTAGAGTTCTAGGGTTATCTCTCCCATTGTCGTTACGAGGACTACGGTTTGCGCCATTGTGTGTTGGAGGTCGGGCGTGTTGCGCGCGTCCCAATTGAGTTGATGGTGATGACGAAAAGACTGGTCTAGATGTGTTGCGGGAAAGTCGAGGTTGAGGATGATGTCGAGCAATGGTGATGCAAAAAGGTTGTTAGAGCAATGCAAGAGAGACGGAGCTTCGGGAATGTTTCGAGTCGCAAGCCCATCACGGTTGGTCCGAGCAAAAGCTGGACTTCTGTCTGCGCAAACAGACAAAACAACTGTCGCAGCCGTGAATCGAACACGGGGCTCGTGCATGGCAAGCACGAATTTTACCACTAAACCACTGCGACTTGAATGGAAACAAGACCGCCAAGATATTATATGATTAGCGACCAAATGTGCTTCTCACCATTTGCATTGCATCTGCACCTTTCGCTCTCGCCTTGCGCGTAGACATGGTTCATGAACTGAGCTGCGATTTGTTCATTGAAGCCCCGTTGAGATATCGAACATATCAATCCAGGCTTCTGGAAAATAAGAGTATTCATTAAAAAACAAAATTAGTCTAAAACAATAACAATTACACCGCGATCAGCGTCCCAGGTCCTCTACCATCTCCCACAGCATTCAGTCTCTCGCTCATCAGTACCCATGCTTCTTCAACTCTTCCTCCGTCCACTCCCAAAGCTTGTCAACACCCTTCTGGTCCTTGGCGAACCCACTGCCCTGAGAAGCGCTGCCAACAGGTGTAGTAAAGAAGTAAGCCTTTCTGACCTCCTCCTTAGCAGCAGTAGCGGCCCACAGCTGGTTCTTGGTTCCCTGAGGCACAGATGCCATGAAGATGTTTCCCACAGCAGCAAGGCCGTATCTGATCAACGCATTGTCTCTCTCGGTAGAGTTGTAAAGCTCGGTCTTGATGACACCAGGGTGTACAGCGACGCAAGTGAGCGAAGGGTAGTGGGCAGTCAGACCACGTGAGTAGAGGATATTGGCCAACTTTGCGCTGCCGTAACGTCCCCAGGGTCCAAAGGTCTCGGCGGCGGCTTGATCGTAGATGACGCCGCAGCTTCGGGGTGCCAGGTTGTGTCCTTCAGAGGACAGGGTAACGATTCTGACATCGGCGTTGGGCTCTTCAGCTGTTTTGAGAAGGGTAGGGAGAAGAAGCTTGGTGAACAAGGCGTGGCCCATGTGGTTGGTTCCGAATTGAATCTCATAGCCCTGCTTGGTCTTCGAGTAAGGCATTGCCATCACACCAGCATTGTTGACGAGGATATCCAGTCTCTGCTCCTTCTGCTTGAAGGTCTCAGCAGCAGACTTGACCGAGTCGAAATCGGTCAGATCCAGAGAAAGAAACTCGACTTTCGCATTGGGAACCTGAGACTTGATCTCTTCGATTGCAGAGGTGGCCTTTGACTCCGTGCGTGCGGCCAGGTAAATTTGAGAGGGATTGTGCTTTGCGAGCTGGAGAACTGATTCCTTGCCCAGACCAGTGTTTCCTGAGGAGCTTGGTGTAAGTGCTCGGGTCTTTCCCCCTCAGCTATCGTTTGTGAACGATCACATACCTCCAGTCACGATAATGACCTTGCCGGAAAGGTCGGGAATGTCCTTTGCAGGTTCAAACGACTTGCCGCCGAAGAGTCCGAACATGGTTGATGACAGCTGATGATGGTTGATGGTCTGTTATTGAAACTCCTGGTAGGGGAGCTGTAAGTGATAATAAAGGTCAAGGTACGTGCCAAGTATACAAAGGGGTGGGTCGAGGGGTGAAGTGTCAAAGGTGCTTGGTCCATGAATGATCTCTGCGGGGGAAAGCTTAATATTTATGAGATAGGGAAGCTCTTGATAGCATGATACCAGGCTGCAACATAAAGTCAAGCAGTCATAGATGTGCCCCAACATGCAGAGATCGATAACACTCCTGCGCTGAAGTCCTATCATATTGCCGTGTGCTATTTAGCAGTTGCAAGGCATGTTTATTTTCGGGTTGCAACCATATCCAATGAGAGCGTGCCATGTAGCTCAACTTCATCCTGCAAATAAATGGAAGATGTGGATAGACTTGAAGAATGTAGAAGGGAGTAATCAGTCATGATTTGCTATTGATCGATGTGCGAGAAAATGCCTCTATCATAGCTTGAAAAAGAACGCATCGTTCAGAAAATCAAAAAAAGGCGTGAGAAGCCGGCCGTGGTATCTAGTAATTCTCAAAATCCTTCAACAAACGCCATGTTTCCGAAAAAACGCCAACATCAATTCCATGTCATGATGTGGTAGGTGGTGTGGGGATCGTAAAACATCTCGGGCAGTTCATGAACGCGAGACTATCGCTCCATGCCACTCATCCATCCGTTGTTCGCAAGACCCATGTTCATGTTTGGCGTCTGCTGCCCGTAGGATCCCATCTCATTCTCGCTAAGATCTCCCCATTCGTTGCCGCTGCCAGCATCAAAGCTACTTCTTCCACTGAATACTTCGGATTCTTCGGGAATAGCTGGTGCAGCAGCGCCCCAATCAAGATTCGCCAGGTCGGGATACATCTGGAGTAGAGCGGCTGGGAGGATAGGGTGGAGATGGGGCTGGTTCATCATGGGCGGTGGAGCTACAAAGCCCTGGTCGCTCTGCATTTGTCGCTGAGCATGCTCTTCTGCCCATTGCTTCTGTCGCTCAGCGGCTTCTTCGTCCAGCAAAGGTTTGATGCACACGCGTCCAGCTTCCGACCGGAAATGGCGACCAAGTGCATCAGCACGCGCGAACCGACGACCACAGCCCCATTGTTCCGAATTGCTGAGCTGACCTCGGCAAACGAACTTCTTTTCGCCCGAATGCAAGCTTTCATGTCGCTTGCGATCATGCTGGCGAGCGAACGCCTTGCCACATACAGTACAGACAAATGGTCTCTCGTCTGTATGGGTGCGAAGATGGGAGCGTAGATTGTATGCGCGAGTGAACTTCTTCGGGCAAAGAGTGCACTGGAAAGTGGCAGGGTGTTTCTGAGTCCGTTTAGGGTCGTTGCCGCCACTAGCTGCCCTCTCAGGATTGGCAAGGTCAAGAATGTAGTCGCGTTGTGGTACGGACGAAGTGGAAGAGCGTCTAGACAAGCCACTCGTCGAAGAGACCGAAGAAGGCGAGGGCGAGCGAGAACCACTGTGGCGCGCATCGAAAGGCGATAGAGAATTTGTTCCAGGCTGTAACGAAGGAGATCTGCCTCTTCCTGCAACTGACGGGGTAACGGGTCGTGACCCTACAAAAGTGTCTGATTTGGCGCGCATTCGATTGCGACTGCGATCTAGACACGAGTCAGTACCAATACCGCGTCAAAGAGCTTACACAACTTACTTCTTTCCGGTGGGCTGAGGGCGTCCTCAGGACCAGCACCGTTTGGAGGCCCAAAGCTGGGTACTCTCGAAGGAGGAGCAAAATCGATATTGATCTCGGGTGGAGACATTGTGTCGGCCATACCTATCTCGTTGGGAGTACCACCGTTGCTCAGTTGAGGAAAGGGTTCAGCCCCCGTGAGTGACGCAGACGGATACATGTCAAAGTTCTGTTGTTGCGTCTGGAAGCCAAGATCAGGTTGGAGAGCGAAGCCATTTGCCGTGTTAAAGTCAGGGAGCGCTTGCTGCGACTGGGGCAACAAACGAGGCGAGACTGCCGGACTAGGGCCAGGGCTGATATGGGGTGGGATATGTGTGTCGGACAAAGAGAATTGTCCAAGACCGAGAGCATCGGGGAAGAGCGAAGGATCGGTCTGGGGGTTCAACATGGGTGAAGCATCGAAGCTATCGGCTGTGGGTAGATAGGGTGAAGCCTGGTTTGAATGCGACGAAATCTCCGAGTAGGCATCTGATGGCGAGCGGCGGTGTGACTGGAAGGCCTGGCCAGCGCCCCAGTCATTACCATGATAGCCAGGAGGCGGGTAGGCAGCGCTAGCAGGGTCGAGCGACTCGGACCTCTGGCGGTTGACTTGACTAAACGACGATTGCTGGTACGAAGGAGAAGCGCGTGGACTGGGGCTTTGCGATGAGCGGCGCAATTGAGGCTGCAGTAGGTGAGGGGGAGTCGGGTTGTGATGCGTCGCGGCCATCGGATCCACGAGTGATGGATTGGACGAATGCTGCTGAAGATTTCCGTACAGTAAGTTTGGATCTAACTGGTGCTGGTTAAAGTCAAATCCAGGGAAGGAGCTAGAGTCTTGCTGAGCGAGATTGTGAGGCGAGGGTCCGTTGAGCGACAGGTTCGTCGCACTGAGAGAGGTGGGAGACAAGTTGCCGCTCAGGTTGCTACTGCTGCCGTTGGGACTGTACAGGCTTGGAGTACGTGCGTTGAAGAAGCCACTGTTGTCAAAGGAAGGGGATTGGAAGTCCAGTAGGGTGGCTTGGGGGTCAAGAAACTGCTGTTGGTTGAGAGTATTGGCCTGGAACTGCTGCTGAGTATCATAAGGATTGGAGAAGGGTTGGAAAGAGTCGGCCGAGACGGGAGGTGATAAATGCGACGAGGAGGCCGAGCGATCGCGCTGGCCTTGGTTGCTCATGTTGGCGAATGTATTGGGGGGCTTTCTTTAGATGTCTTCCAATATCATGGCCACACGCGGTCGCGACAAGGGCGTCGGGGCTGTGGGGAGGCTGTATAAAGCGCGAATGCGCGCTGACTATAGCGCAGGAATGGAGAGCACAAGAGCTGCCTGAGGCGGTGCAAGTTGAGTTGCAGCTGGCAACGAGGCGAAGCAGATGCGGGTTTGACACTGGTACGAGTAGGAAGGAATAGAAAGCAAGATTCAAGAAGGAAAGCGCGTGTGTCAGAACCCAGAATAAGGCAGCTACCGACGACCGTACCCTACCTGTAATAAGCAACAGCCCAAGCCGACCTTTGGGGATGTCCTTCCGCCGATTGGATTGGGAGAGTCACCGAACCGAACGAAGTCAAAGCGCGAGTGACGGACAGCAGCCCAAAGCTGCTCCACCCGACTCATGCACCCGCAGTTTAGTTGCTGTTTGATTATCAGATCAAATACCTCTATCGCCATGTCTATACCGCGTAACCCCCTATTTGCAATCTACATCATCATTGACCAATTTCCATCGCAATCTCCAGCTGTCGGCGACCCTCTCAGTGCGACTGAAACCGTGCAGAAAGACTGAACTCACCGGTCGACGGTCGAGCAACAGTTAGACCCGCCAATAGAACGTGGCATAGCCCCGCTCGCGAATGAACCTTGCTTGACTTTCCCGACCTTTTCACGTGCCTGGTACCTAAACCTTTTCCCTCTTTTGAGGCCGCAGGATCACCATTTCTGCATCCTTTGCACCTCTCTGTGCCTGCGCCCCTGGAGCCAATTGATCGCGCATTGAATCAATCACGATGCAAAAGCAATCACCGCAAACAATCGACGAGGCTCGTTTGTTGAATTTCTGGCAGAAATGATGCGTGCATGCAGCTACTCCTTGCACTGCCTCCCCCATATTTTCGGCCATGATCAATCTCGGCTGTTAAGTTGCACGTAAAAATCCATTTTGCTCTGATTCATGAAACTCTTGTGGGACCTCTTTTGACTGTCGGGTGTGACCGATTGTGATGTGAGTTTTTGTCGCGAGGGAGAGCACAAGGGGAGTTGATGTTAAGCGCATGAGTATGCTCATCCAGCGCATACAGCTACTATCTCAAGCATCCGATGCTCTGAAGAACCTACTTATCAGAGTGCACAAAGTTATTGACGGCCACAAGGGGATCCAGTGAGAGCGTGAAGCGCCTTTGACCAATCTCGATCAAATCCAAGTTCTTACTGGACCCTCTCTCGATTTTGAATAACTCTGTCCATCTTGATAGATAGCCACATTGACCTCGCTGGTCTTGGAGAGAGAGCTGCTGTTGGAATGCGCTCCCATGTGCCATCAACGATCCCCAAGAAACAAAGGACGAGTCCAGTGTAACTTCTAAGCAGCTGTACCACCTCGACACAATCGATCGTAAGGACCCTTTCTGGACAAGCGGGGAGAAATTTCATAATTGCATTTTTGGAATTCGTACTGTTCTGCTCTTTACAAGCTACTGAGCCACCACATGAAGGCCAGCTGGATGATGTACGAGTAGATGAAGAGGAACTGCGTCCTCCTGCTCTTGTGTGAGCGGGCGATAGGGTTGTGAGCGCCTGAAGCAGTATCCGGGAGGATCACATACTTGAGGGAACGGAGCTGCTTCTGTTGGCGATCTTGATTTGGCACAATGGAGTGTTGACTACTTACCAAAAAGAAGGCGTTGGCCATGTAAGTGTAGGCAAAGACAGACCAGCCAATATAACCACCGGTACCCTTACCGCCAGTAGTAAGGGCGGCTAGGGCAATGGTAACGATGATGCCGACAAACTTGTAGCCAGAGTAAGCAACAAGATCCAGCCATTGCGACTCGTTAGAGATGTTCAAGAGATAGGTGCCGAGTTTGAGGAGGAGAAGCTCGATGATGACAACGGCAAAGGCATTGGTAGCAGTAAGGCCGAGCAGTTCTGGACGGAAAGCACCTTGCAGACCAGCGAGGAGAGTGGACAGGAGAATGTATGTGACAAAGGCCATGACGGGGATGTACATGTCAGGGCTGTTGATGTCTTCCCGAGGAGGCAGGAACATAGGACCGGACTGTCCACTGGTGGCCATGGGCTGCTGCTGACGCGACCAAGGACGATGGCGCCAGGGGAAGAGGACTATGAAGAGCTTGTTGACGACGTATTTGTTCGAAACGTTGAAGTAGTGCTTCATGGCCGAGACATTGACATAGCGATTGAACTGAGCAAACATTAGCAGGATTCCTTCTCGGAACACAAGGGTATAAGGCTTTGACAGACGTTTTGTTCCATGTACTCCTGACCAGCAGCTACGGCAGTCTTGCCCATCTGAAAGCCCATCTGAGCGGTAGGGTCGTTGATGAAGCCACCAAAGGGAGGCTGGCCGTAGTTGTTGGGGGCATAGCCGTACTGCTGCTGCTGGGCCTGCTGTTGTTGCTGTTGTTGTGTCATTGGCGGAGGAGGAGAGCGCAACTGCGGGACGGTAGAGACGTGCTGAGGTACGGGATGGTGAAGGGGAGGCGACTGAGCTGGGCCCATGTTGGAGTATGGACCGCGCTGCATGGTTAGGGGAGGCGGGTCAGACGGAAAGACTCTACTGCGTGTTCTCTTTTGTTATGAGGTACTTGTCAAGTTTACTGGAGTCGCAACAGCCAGACCACGCACCACGGACCACGGACCACGGACCACGGAGCTTCCCCCAACTTTGTCAATCTTGGCGGCCACACCGCCCGGCAGTCGCAGTGCGGGCGCTGGCGAGTGACTATCAATGAGACAAAGCGACAAAGCGTCGTTCTAGACACTTTGCGACTTCGTCCAACAATCACCCTCACCTTCTCGTACCGTCCATTCAATATGCTGGACGCTTTCGAGATCATCACAACCTCCGGAGTCGTCGTCTGGAGCCGCACATATGCTCCCGTAGCCCAGAAAGTCGTCAACAGCCTGATCAACGACGTCTTCATTGAGGAACGCGCCCAGAGCCTGCAGAGCCAACCGCGGAATGCCACCTTCAAGACGGACAAGTACACCCTCAAGTACACTCATGCCAAGGACTCCAGTCTGATCTTTGTCGCTGTCTACCAATCCATCCTACACCTGTCATGGGTGGACAACCTGCTCGATGTTGTCCGTGGTCTCTTCATCAAGCAATACGCCAACGACCTGAAGAAGCAGAACACAACAAGGCTTGACTGCTCCCAGTTTGGCCCGACCTTTGATGCTCTCATTCAGAAGCTCGACAAGACACAAGCTTCAGCCCCGAGACCTGACGATGCTGACATCGAGCCCGACTCGCCTACCGACCTAACTCCACCCTCAAGCTCTGCTGGTGACGACCAAGACATCCCACCGCCGCCCGTACCCGCCCTCAAGAAGCCTGCTCCCAGACAGGTTACCGACACAATCTCGGCCTCGACAGACGCTACCCCAATCCCTACACCGGACACGTCGCGACCTGGCTCGCCGGCCGTGAGCCAATTGCTCGAAGGAAAGAGTCCTAGAGGTTCGCGCCGCTCAAGAAAGGCTGCACTCGCTGCATCTTCTGCCCCGGCTTCTTCAGGCGACGAGAAGTCTCCTTCGCGCAAAGCCACAGCCGCAAAAAGACCAGCTGCAAAGCCAAGGCGTACATGGGACGCTCACGGCTTTGGCGCAGAAGAGGATGAGGATACCGTCTTGGACTACTCGACTCAGAGCCTCGATGATACACCCGCTGCTTCATCGACGTTACAACCAGTTCGCACCGATGAGATGGGCAGCAGAACAGCCAAGGGTCAATTTGTGCTCAAGGATCTAGATGACGAGGTTGACGCTATTCTCGCCGAGTCAAAATCGAAGAAGGAGGAAGCCGACACAGACGAATCGAAGGGACTGGTGGGAACTGGACTGGGCGCCATCAGTGGCTACTTCCGAAACATGGTGGGCGGAAAGACTCTGACAGCTGCGGATCTGGTCAAGCCGATGAAAGCCATGGAAGACCATCTTTTAAACAAGAATGTTGCTCGCGAAGCTGCTGTACGTCTGTGCGAATCTGTCGAGCGCGATCTCATTGGCCTCAAGACCAGCAACTTCACCACGATTGATCAGACTATTCGCGATTCTATGGCGAAGGCTCTCACGCGCATCCTCACACCTACCTCCTCTCTCGACTTGCTACGCTCAATCACATCTACCACCACCGGTTCGAATGCCAGACCCTATGTCATCAGTATTGTTGGTGTCAACGGCGTCGGCAAGTCAACCTCTCTCTCGAAACTGGCCTTCTTCTTCCTGCAGAACAACTTCCGTGTTCTGGTCTGCGCAGCTGATACTTTCCGCTCTGGCGCCGTCGAGCAACTGCGCGTCCATGTACGCAACCTCTCAGAATTGACTGCTCGTGAAAACCTCGGCCATGTCGACCTCTATGAAAAGGGTTACGGCAAGGACGCTGCCCAGCTTGCCAAGGAAGCCGTCGTCTACGCCGGTGAACACTCATACGATGTTGTGCTAGTAGACACAGCCGGACGCAGACACAATGATACTCGTCTCATGTCTTCTCTTACTAAGTTCGGTCAACTCGCAAACCCAGACAAGATCTTCATGGTTGGTGAGGCTCTTGTAGGCACAGATTCCGTTGCTCAAGCTCGCAACTTCTCCGCGCAATTTATTGACCGCCAGGGTAAAGGTCGTGGTCTCGACGGCTTTGTCATCTCCAAGTGCGACACTGTGGGCGACATGGTTGGTACGCTCGTCAGCATGGTTCACGCCACTGGCATCCCTGTCGTCTTCTTGGGAGTAGGCCAGCATTACGGCGACTTGCGTGGTCTGAATGTTGGTTGGGCTGTGGACAAGTTGATGAAATAGTGATATCCCAGGTTGTTAATCCTTCTTCTCATGCTTCTTAATCAGGAATCTGAATAATACGATCACGGCCTTTATGTATATAAATTCAAGCCTTTCTTCTACTCGGTCGAGCCCAGCCTTCCATCGCTTCTTCGCGACACATTCCCTACACAACCTTTACTACCAGACCCAAGTCAGCAACATTATCCCGCCCGCGTGTCCGAGGTTCTGGATTCCTTCATGCATCACGGCAATTGCAATTTTGAAGCTCAGTATGAGGGGTTGGAGGCTGGATCCCCGCGTTTGGCTGAAGTGCCCCGCAGCTGTCTTGATGCCATCACGGTGGGTCCGGTAGTTATATAAGCAGGCTCAAGAACGTGAGATTGCAGATCGTTCCAGGTTCTCTCTTCTTCTTTGCATACGCCGTACTTCTTCTTCCTTTCTTGAACTCGAAGAGACAATCCAATTCTCAAGTCATGTCGGACAAACAGATGAAAGCTGTGCATTACGAGGGACCCTTCAAGGTGTCTGTCAAAGATGTGCCACTCCCTCAGCTTGAGCATCCGGACGATGCCATCATCAAGGTCACTACTGCTGGTGAGTCCTTTGTTACACGCACTGTTTGGGTGTTCTTGCTCCCTCCGATCCACCCATTAACTCTCGATTCGATACTGCATGGATTCACTCATATATCAGCTTGATCTTGGCTTCGAAACAACCAGTACTGACCATATCCTAGCTATCTGCGGTAGTGATTTGCACATGTATCAAGGCCGAACAGCTGCAGAGTCAGGTCTGGTCTTTGGCCACGAGAACATGGGCATCGTCACCGAAGTTGGTTCAGGAGTAACTCTGCTCAAGAAAGGCGACCGTATCGTGCTTCCCTTCAACGTAGCCGATGGTAGATGCAGAAACTGCGAGCAGGGCAAGACTGCCTTCTGTACTGGTAAGTCCCGCCGCTATGACAACTATAAGAAGCACAGCTCTCACGATTCACAAAGGTGTCAACCCTGGCTTTGCAGGTGGTGCTTATGGCTACGTAGCCATGGGTCGCTACCAAGGAGGTCAGGCACAGTATCTTCGCGTACCATATGCCGATTTCAATGCTCTTATTCTACCTCCTGGTACCGAGAACGAGGCCGACTTTGCTCTTCTCGCTGATATCTTCCCGACCGGCTGGCACGGTCTCCAACTCTCTGGTTTCCAACCCGGTGACAGCGTCGCAGTCTTTGGTGCTGGTCCCGTAGGTCTGATGGCCGCCTACTCTGCCGTCCTTCGTGGAGCCAGTAAGGTCTACGTTGTGGATCAAGTCAAGGAGAGATTGGATGCTGCAAAGAAGATCGGCTGTGAGGGCGTTGACTTCACCAAGAGTGACCCCGTAGACCAGATCATCAAGCTCAATGGTGGAGAGATGGTTGACCGCGCTGTCGATGCTGTCGGCTACCAAGCAGTGGACAAGAGCGGTAATAAGGAACAACCTAACATTGTCCTTGATCAACTCATCCGCGTCACCAGAGCTACCGGCGGTCTTGGTATTCCGGGACTTTACGTTCCCTCCGTAAGTCATACCCTACTTTCATATCAGCCTATCATATGTTAACATACATGGACAGGACCCTGGAGCTCCTGATTCACAATCTGCCAAAGGACAAATCCTCATTTCCTTCGGCAAGCTCTTTGAAAAGGGTCTTTTCCTCGGTACAGGCCAATGCAACGTCAAGGCCTACAACCGCCAACTCCGCGACCTCATCATCTCTGGCCGCGCTAAGCCTTCGTTTGTCGTCTCTCACGAAGTCGACATTGACGAGGCTGTCGATGCTTATGACAAGTTCGACAAGAGAATCGATGGCTACACCAAGGTGTTGTTGCATCCCAATGGGCCTTTGAGCCAGTTCTCCACCTAAGAGTTGACCTCTAGCATGGACACGATGTCTTCATGACGCTTGGAATATGTGTCTTGGACCTACATTACTTTGGAACTGTACATTTTGAAATGTAGTTAACACTTGATTGGACAGAATACGAATGTCATATGACCTAGTACCATCTCGTCTCATCCTTTGAGCTCGACGAAGCTTATACGTAACCGTGGCGGATGTTCGAATCCTTCTCATATTAGCGATGACTCCGAAATGCAACCACCAGCCAGATGTTCCTACTGAAAAAGGCAGGAACACTCAGTCTAGCCAAATGCAGTAAGTGTTTTCTGCTCCTTCCTTCTCGATTGGGCAAACACGAGAACTCCTCTCGTAAGATGTAGGGGACACAGAATGCACCCGAACCGAAATCATCGGAGCTGGACGGCGTATCGAACTGGCTATCAAAAGGCAAGATGGTACTAAAGCTCGAGTAACTATTCACTCAGAGCGCATATCTCTTCTTGCTCTCACTGGACACTGTCTTCATGTGGAAACCCATCCTGCTTTTTGATGGTCGGTTTGAAAGACAACTTGGCAAGCTGAGAGCTCGGTTCTGGTTCGATCTACATACCCTACGTTTACGTCACACATGCAGGTATACTCTTTCACTCAATAGTTGCAGATCAAGTAGGACTGCTTCTGTTTGAACCAAACGTATCACGCAACGTACAGCAATGCTATAATTTCTTGCGAATTCCTCCAACTTTCACTTTCTTCACCCCCAGGTCTCACACTTGTTCTGACTCCTCTCTTTCTTCTATCATACATCATCATAAACATGGGCTCTACAAGCTCGAAGCCAGAAGCCCAGTATAACAGTAGACCTGTACAACCAGCCATGAGCACCATGCCACCACCGCCTCAGGTCTATACCGCCCCTCTACCAACAGCTCAGCAGCCATCCGAAGGCAAGAAAAGAAAAGGAGCAAAGAATCTCGGACTCCTGAGCATGCTCGTCCAGTAGGAGAGGACAAGGAAAGGAAATGACCACGCCGCTGCGTTTGTCCGTCCGTCCAGGACTTTGCTATTTCATTCGCTGACTTTCAAAAAAGTGCTTGGTTTAACAAAACACAGTGAGGATGAAGCAAATGCTATCGAATCTTTCGTCTTTTGTAATGACAAGGCTTTAAGTATTCTCGAACCAACAGCAGAGACATATCTCTTCCAAAAAGTCGACGAATCTCGAATCCCTGAAGCGTCTTCTCTCTTCGGGTCGTTGTGGCATTGTTTGGGGAAGGTTGACAATGGGGTAGTTCGAGTATGTGTTGTTCATGTTGTTGGAATGGTCCGGATAATTGTTCACCTCGATGTACTCTGGTTTTGAACTTGAGCTTCCCATTTTTTGTAAATGTTTTGGTGGTTGTGGTTGACGATTTGCGGTATAGAGATATGTAGTGGTAGATGCCGTAAGAGTGAATTGCGATGGAGATGTATTTTGGCTTTCTTGGGGGCTGATGACTTCAGAAGTTGACGGAGACTTTCTGCTTTTGTTTTCCTTATAGCTGTTGGATGCCTGATCTACCATTAGTCGGAAACAACACGCTGTAGGATTCGAATAATATACAGTCGTGGCTTAGTTCGGTCGGATCTCGGAAGGATGCAATGTTACTATTGTTAGTCCTAGGCCTACAAGCGACCCCAGTCTCCATCACCTTTGATGATTTAGACGTCACAATCTTTACCACCAAGGACATCATCAAGGTTATCACCAAGTCTTGACAGGCTCACAGATGCAAACGCTCGCTTGACACTGTTCCCAACCCTGACGTCTGGCTTGTGGAGAGTGACACATGACTCCGTAGTGGAGGTAGCTAGCTCCTTCGTCCCATCAAGGCCATGCTATCTGAAACAAACGAATTCGTTCTTGAGATGAGTATTTCTTCGTTGGGTGTCAGGACAATCTTTCCTTTTCTTTTTTGCTCGCCTAGCAATTTAGCACACCTCTTCTTCTAAAGAAGCTGCAATCTTAGATTCAACTAACGTATTATAGTACCTTATTCAACAATGTCTGCAACTCGCAAATGCGGAAGAACGAACCATACGGACTAAGATGATTCCTTTTGACATGGGGGTCTCGTCGGTTTGATCGAAAGGATGTCACAATCATGCTAATCGTATGGTCTGTCTACAGGGTGTTTTTACATCCGATATTTAGCGTGAGAGCCCATTTTCTTGCTTAACAGGGGTATTTGGCCAATGACATTTGTTACCAAGGTCGATATAAGCAGTGTTCAAAGCGCACGCTAAATGTCGGATGCAGCTACCCCTTGTATAGCGTGCAGTCACGGAGTGGTATGCAGAGACTTAGTCAGGCCCATGTTGTACAGATCACTTGCGCTGAGGTTGTTATGATAGCCCTCGAAAAGCGGTATGAAGATGCAGTACAGAAGATAGAGTACGATCTTTGACCTCAGAGCACAAACATGCCACAAAAAGATTCGAATTGTGTCCAAAGCATCCGCACGCAAAGACTCCTTTCAAGTTATATCAGAGGTCGTTACCGCTTACTGTATACACTAGCCATTCGTCAAAGAAGAAGTAGGCTCGGTGGAGCAAAAGCAAAACATACAGCAGCAGGGATTCCCACGTGGTCACCCACCGTAGTACTAATCTGCCGTTCAACTGCTTATGTATGGCAGAGCGGACGGGATGCCCAGTTTTCAGCTGACTGTGGCCGTATGTGTATAATTCGTTTCCAAAACTGATTATATAGAGAACAGATAATAACTTGGTGGCGTGGAAATGTCTGAATAACCACCTATGTAGCCTCCTGGTCACGCGTGTAGCTGTAGAATTGCACAAACTCAGCAACTTCAGGGGTAGCCTCCACTGAGAGCGTGATGGTCAGCGTCTCTCATCAAAGGGCTAGACTGGTGTTGAAAACATTGTGCATTTCTACGGAACAAACAACCTCAGGCATGACCGTAGGAGATGGCTAGAAATGACAGATTCTAGCATATGTGAAAAAGGAATTTCGAGCATTAGTCCGAGAATGTCTCAAGAATCTCATTTGGTGATGCTGTGTGTATAAATGTGCCCATTGATTGATGTCGATTCTCGGCTTCTGCTTTCCCTACCACACTCCCGTTTCCACTTCTCTTGAGCTGTCGGTATTGCTCACTCCAGCTTGATCTCTGCGCTCTCACTATGGATGTCTTTGCTCAAATGGCTATCACCCGCCATCTTCTCAAGATCTTCATCTGAGATCTGCGCTGCCGGCTTAGCCCATACAGCTTTCCAGGATCCCTGTGTCTGGATTCGGTAGACCTTTCCATCACTTGGGATCCACGGAAGACCCAGGTTGACGTCTCTTGTAGTAGTGGACTGAGGGCGAACTTCCACCACGGCATCCCGGGGAGGAGGCATCTGCCTGTTGATCTTCATGCCAGGTCCTGGGATCGCATCACCACTCTCGACATCTTCAAGCGTAAGAGCACCGAGGTTCATGGCTTGAGGGTCCAGAGGTGTGTCCCAGGTGAGCACGGAATACGTTTGAGTCGAGCTCTTATTCTCAAGGGTGACTTTGAGAACGGACGAGGACGAGTCGGACGAAATTCGGATTTTGAGATCTTGAGTCGAGCCTTGCTCGTGAGCAGATGATGGTGCCATGTTGGAGTAGGATGTCAATGCACCAAAGGAGTGTGCAACGAGGAGTAGTGAGATCGAACAGAGGAGGAAGACAATCACTGTTCGTGCTGCCATGGACGGGAGGTTGGAGTAAGGTGTGAACAATCGTCTTACCATGCCATCCAGCAAGAACAGTGTTGGGATGCAGGCGATCGTGACTCACAAATCACATGGAAACAATGATCCTATCTCCCCTGATGATCGATACGAACAGGCAGACGGAAGTGGAAGGTCACACTGAGCTGTAAGGTTTATCCTCTCGGTTGTCCAGCGCGGTGAAGATCATAGAAGACCCCGCATCCAATGGCGATAAGTGCTTGTAGGAGACTGTCATATCGTTGTGCCGAGGCTCTATAAGCATTGGTATGTGCCTCGTCAACTTGAGACGTTCGGAGGGAGGAGTGCCAAGCACTAAAGTCGCCGAGAAATTAAGCGCTACTTGGCATTGCTTCAAGGACTCACGGTGGCGGTCGAGGAACATCAAGCCTCGAGTGGTGGGCTGCTGAAAGAGGAAGGCGGACAAGGCCCGACCCGTTGAATGTCTTCCATGTTGCAGCTCCGCAGCTCAATCTCGACTTCATGCCTTTACCAGTGAGCCCACTCATCTATCGCGTAACAGTCCGCTGGTGCTGGCACTCACGCCGCCATCCAATCGACATTGGACTACCGAATGCAATTTTGCTGCTAAAAAGCTCGTCTAGAACGACACGCGGTGGTTACGCTCTGATCTCTTGCATGAACCTTGATACATTCGAGCCATTTCGCACTGATGTCGAACGCCATGTGGTTTTGTCTTTGCATGTGCTGTCTCCCGCCACGGTCTTTTTCTCGGCACATGAAACTGTGTGAGTGTCAATTGCCTTCCGTTACCCCTGGATCCATTGCTTGAACCGTCCTCCAAGAAACTAAGGTCGGATGTGCTAGAGGACCGGAATTCTGTACCCCTCTCTGATGCCGGCTTCGTGGAGTAAGCTTGGAACTTCTGTGGACCTCTTAGCATGAATAAAGCCTGGATACGTCCGTAGTTAATCATCGACTTGCAGTTCGCTTAATCACAAACCTTCCAGGTTATACTCTCGACACCTTCCAGAAAGGGTCTGAACCAATCGCTTGAAGCCTCTTGTACGAGTTATACTGAATCTAAGATTCGCTACCCAATCCATTCCGGAAAGATTTACATGTTATTGCTACAAAACGCTAAACGATCTATCAGATAATGCAGCCAAGCCAAACCATGTTCATGGTCTAGAAGACATAACTGCGGTCGACACGAAGGCAAGACACCCCATTGGTGGCTCTCTCAGATTGATGTTGATGAATTTATATCGTTATGCTTCGACGGTTTCTCCACACAGCATGTAAGTTGCATGAGCCCTTGTTGCTGCCACATCAATTGCATGATATTTGGACTGCATGTTGATATCGTGGACTACTTGACCTACTGGAGTAAGCCAATGGCAAGGTTTGGACTAATCTCCCAAGTCGCAAGGTGATCATAGGAGGTCGCCTATGCTAACAGGGGAGGGCATTGAGGTGTAGAGAATACTGGCGAAGCCTCTGACAGGTATCTCGCAGACAGTAGTATAAGTAGGTGTGTGCTCCTCTTCTTATGCCATCCCATCCCATCTCATTCCAACAACGACTTCACTCACTATCATCGCTCTCGCTACCATCTCTTCATCATGAAGGTCACTCTTTCTCAGCTCATTGCTTTGGCAACTACTGCCAGCTGCACTGTCATCGATCTCGACAAGAGAGCTTCTCCGCTCGATGTCACCTTGACTCCCCTCGGAAACACCAAGGTCAAGGCTGCTGTAACCAACAACGGTGATGTCAGCTACAACCTCTTCTACAAGGGAACTTTCCTGGACGAGGCCCCCGTCGACAAACTCCACGTCACCTCTACTGGTAAGACATTTTGGGCCATCAAGTTTCAAGTCACACCCACTAACAGCATGAGTTAGCTGCCAAGGCTCCCTTCACTGGTATTCTGCAGCGTCTTGCTACTACTCAACTCACCGAGGAGTCTTTCAAGCCCCTCATGGCTGGTCAGACTATTGAAGTCGAAGTCGAGCTCGCCGAACTCTACGAGCTTTCCACCAGTGGAGCATACAGTGTCCTTGCTGCCGGTTCTGTCCCCTACGCCGAGCTGAACTCGACTGTTCTGTCTGGAAGTGCCCTCTCTTTCTCGAGTAACACACTTTCCGTCGATGTTGACGCTGCCGAGGCTGCCAAGGTTGAATTCGCCGTCAGCAAGCTCGAGAAGCGTACCGCCATCCAAAGCGATTGCACCGGTACCAAGTTGACCGCCATCCGCTCTGCCTTGAGCAACTGCAACAGACTGGCAACTGCTGCCGCAACTGCCGCAACTTCTGGCTCTGCTAGCAAGTTCCAGGAGTACTTCAAGACCACCTCGTCTACCACTCGCAACACTGTTGCTGCTCGTCTCAGAGCTGTTGCTTCTGACTGTGCTTCTACCACTGGCGGCAAGACTCGCACTTACTGTATGTTTGACCTCTTCCCATGATTTTCGGAAGAACACGAGCTTACAAGTTTCTACCAACAGGCACTGACATCTACGGTGGCTGCTCATCTGGTGTTCTTGCTTACACTCTCCCCTCCAACAACTACATCGCTTACTGCCCCCTTTTCTTCAGCGATCTTCCCGGCCTGACCGGCTCCTGCCACGCTCAGGACCAGGCCACCACCGTCCTCCACGAGGAGACCCACGCCCCTGGTGTCTACAGCCCCGGCACTGAGGACAACGGCTACGGCTACAGCGCCGCTACTTCCCTCTCCAGCTCCCGTGCTGTTCTTAACGCTGATTCCTACGCTCTTTACGCTAACGGTATGTTATCACGAGTTATTGGACTTATTGATGATGTGATGCTAACAGCTTTCACAGCAATCTACTCTGGATGCTAGAGATTTAACTCGACCTTGCACTTACAAGATGATCGATGAGCACTCGGTCTTAGTCGGCATACGTACCTCTGTCCAACACAAGTACTAGTAGTCGAAGATGATCCTGGTGCAACCTGATCCGTGAAGTCTATGAATATCGTTTACAAAGAATCAGCGAGCAGGAGTGATTTGCAGGTGCCGTGATGGCTATGAATATTACGAAAGTTGGAATATCTTGGAGGTTGTTCAGGGTCTGGCTGGTTACAGTAAGCACTAAGTAGTCTTGTCCAGAAAATCACTCTTGAACATGATTTATTCAGGCCTCACATGCTTTTCTGTGGACCCCTGCAACCCTAAAAATGGTTGCAAAAGTGTTGGCAATATCACCGCTGCATCACCCTGGAAGAACCAGTCGTCTTCATGCAGACCCTCATTGGACTCGTGGTCCCTGTTTGTATTAACAACGCATATCCTTGCACCTTTGAGACGGGCCACGTTGATGTAGCCGGCTGCTGGATAGACCTGTGCCGACGTCCCGATCACCAACATCAAGTCTACCTTCGCACACGAATCGAACCAGTTTCGAATTCCTGCCAGAACTTCCCTCGGAAGCGGTTCGCCAAACCACACGACGCCAGGTCGTAGAAGTCTGGTGCAGTTCGGGCAGGTAGGGAGCGTCTGGAACGGTGGATCTGGGGAAGTGTAAGGTCCAGAGATATCCCGAGTTCGCTGCATCTGTGAACTCTCCGCCATCCCTGATCTCGAGTATCCGCAGTTTTGGCTATCCACACATCGGGATTGGAATAGTGACCCGTGGAGATGCAAAATCTGTTCTTGTGGATGCCCGGCCCGCTCACTCAGGTCATCAATCTTCTGGCTCAAGGTAAGAAGTCCAGGTTTCCGTCTTGAAGCTTCTGCCAGAGCGTGATGCGCTAAGTTTGGTTGGGCCAACGTTGCACAATGTCGCCGATGAGAATAGAATTGCCAGACGAGCTCTGGATTAGAGGCGAAAGCTTCCGGCGTGGCAAGCGTGGTTGGATCGTACGAACGCCAGAGGCCGCCGATGCCTTGGAATGTGGATAGACCAGAGGCGGCGCTGAGGCCGGCGCCCACGAGAGCAATTATTGAAGCAGAGTTGACGAGGTGATCATGGAAGCTATGTAGATTGACTTCTTCAGAATCGAGAGTCCGGAATGCTGAGCAAGAGGCAGTGGTCGCTTTGTTCGACATTGTGCGAACGTCAAGATCGAGGCCGATATATCACTAGTGAAAGGTGTGAGTTTGGGGAAAGGTGCAAAGCCAGATGATTAGCACCAGAGGGCGAGGGGATGGCCCATGGGATGTGCGAGTCGCTGCAATTCAGTGCAGATGACGTCTCAACTGACGAATGAAAGACAGGCGCTTACCGCGAGAAAGCGCTTACAGTCCAGATCTAGGAAGGCACAGACTGCTTTTTTGAGCGGTATTCCCGCACACCAACACAAGCTTGTAGGATAGTGAACTCTAGTCACACAGCACGAGGTTGAAGACGTTCAGAAGTCCTCGGGAACAAAATGGTGAGGAGGTCTGACAGGGTTTGCCAACTCGATCGCTGCCAACCAGTGTGATGTGATACCGAGGACAAGCTCTCTATTTGCAGTAATTCATGGAATTGATATCTTCTTTTAGTCTTGATTAGTCTGGCTGATCATTGGAGCCTCCATGATCATGTCACTGCTCCTCACGCATACCCGCGCTTTCTCAACAACTTCCAGATCAATGCTTCTTTGTTCTCCTGGGACTGGATACCTTGCTTCGACGTCTGTGTGGTCGGTCCAGATCCTCAATCATGCGGTACCACCAGCGGCTTTCTTCATCTCGTCCTCATTAAGCCTTTTCCAACTGCCGAAAGCGCCAATGAATGTGGATATGCCAAAAGCGGCAGTCGTGACCGCAAAGACGGCCTTCAATCCAACCATGTACGCATCAAGGACGATGGGGACTTGCAAGGCCGTGAATTCCTGACGTATCTGTGTTGCGCCAATTCCAAGAACCATCGCTGGCGAGGTTCCGGGCAGATTCTTGACGAGTTCCTTGATCACTTGATTGTTGAAAGCACATTGTACTGCAGATATGAAGAAAGAGCCACCGATGGTGACGAAGACTACGAAAGATTAGTAAATGAGCTGGAAATGGCCATTAGAACTTGACTCACAATTGACGATGGCAGAGACCTGCGATAAGTCCTCAGGCTTGGCATGAACCTGCGCATTGGCAATAGCGACCTGAAAAGTCCAGCCACTGGTAAAACCAACCAGGATTTGATAGCCAATCCATTTGGCAACAGAGGTGTGAGCATCCATTGTGTAGAACAAACCGCATCCTATCGTGCCTATCGCACCGCCAACGATCCAGAACAAAGGCACGATGCCAATTTTAGACAACGCAAAGCCCTGTAAGATAGCAGCGATTGTCAAAGGTATTATTAGTGCGAGCATTCTGACACCAGATCCAATGGGACTAGTGTTGTGGATGCTCTGGAAGTAGATCGGAAGATAGTAGAGCAATGTGAAATACGCGCCGCCGAAGAAGAACATGAAGACAGAGCCTACCCAGACGGAGCGCTTCATAAACTGCGATCACATCAGTTAGCTGTCCATGTATGCTGTAGACCGGCGTATCACATACCAGCCGTGGAACAATCATGGCACGCTCTTTCTGAAAAATCTCCCAGGATATAAAGACTGCGACGATAGCGACGAAGCCAATCAGCAGTCCAATGACTTGACCACTCTTCCAGGGATGCGTTTGACCGGCATATTGCAACGCCAGTATGTAACAGACGATCAAGCCCATCATGAGACCTGCTCCAGCGAGATCCAGTTGCAGTAATTTTTCCCTCATCGATGCTTGCGCAGGCTTGGCGGTATGAGGGACTCTGAAAAAGATGAAGACAATGAGAGCTGCCAGCCCACCTATGGGCAGGTTAATGTAGAAACACTATCGTGTTGTAAGTAATCAGCAACATGAAGGGATGGTCGTTGACTAACCCAACGCCATGTCACTTTGTCTGTAAAAGCACCGCCGACAAGTGGACCTAAAACTGCGGCGATGCCATATGTTGCTCCCGTGAAGCCTAGAAGTTGGGGACGCTTCTCAGGGGGCGCAGCAAACCCAAGCATTGTGAATACACCAACAGCGACTCCGGAGCCGCCGACACCCGCAACTGCTCTGCCAACAATCAAGGTAGTCGGATTTTGAGCTACTCCACAAACCAGGCTCCCAACTTCAAAGACTAGCATAGCGATAAGGAACCAAAGCTTGAGTGGGAAGTATTTGTAAAGCTTCCCCCAAGTTGATTGGAACCCTATGATGGTCAGCAAAGACGTCCAAGATCATCATACACGGCTTGGAACAAGCTGCTAAGTCGCTGGGGGATTGTGCTCTGTATCGGATGTCAGAAAATGCATATGGAATCAACACGAGGTAAACTGACCACCTCCAAAAGTCATAAAGTATGCCGCACCGTACCAGGACACTTTGTTCAGGTCATGGAACTCGTCGGTAATTTTGGGTATAGCGGTGCCGATGATCGTCTAGTAAGGATGTTAGTTGGATCGTGACGATAAGTAGCAATTTGGACACACATTTTCGAGCGCCACCAAGAACATGCCGAGCATGAGGGATATAGTTAAAGCGATCAATCGAGTACCATGTACATATTCATCTGCAATAAATACGTCTTCTTCAGGCTTGGTGACCTCGATCGGGGCTTCTTTGAGTTCGGACATCTCTGCTTGCCAGTGGTCGACCTCGTGACTTTTGCAGTTAAGAAAGACCTTTCGTGGTAACCTAGGTTGGGGTGCCAGGATTGAAAGCTAGAATAGGTAAATGTCACAGTTTGAGGGTGGTAGCACTTATATCAACAATCATGACTTCGGTCAAGGACGAATAGAATGTACCGACCGAGAAGCAATCGAGACTTGGAGATAACTCCTCAGACATCGGACATTGCGAAGCACCTTTTGATGTTTGGTCGTTCGTCCGAAACCCGCCTTCCAATTCATCCGAGATCATCATGAATTTCGGGTTCGATCATCTTTTGGCATACACAGAGACATCGATAAACATGACAGCCTATGAACAAGACATCGAGGTCGAGCACGTTTGGATGGCGCGTCCTTAGACTACTCGTATACTACACAGGTAGGGAGCTTTGTGTGATGAGTTGACTCCGAAGTTGCCAAGACAGATTCGGTCAAGCATGTGATTAGTAAGCACGACCGAGGCAGGTACAACCGGACACGGAGGAATGCAGAACAATGCCCGCAGCGGCGCAGCCTCCCCAAGAGACATGCGATAGAATGAACGTTCTTAGTAGGTGTAACGTACAGTTCAAGAAATGGGGCCTCAAGCACACGAACATACAGCGAAGCACGGCAAGGTCAGGAAAGGCACGCACAGCTGCCGGGAATGCAGGCGAAGAAAGGTAAGATGTGTATTTGCATCGTCCGGAGATGCTAGGTGTATTTCGTGCGAAAGACGGGACTCGGCGTGTACCAGTCAATCAGTCCCTGAGGACTCGAATACTCGTCTCAGCACAGGGAGTGCCAGAGGCGTGGCAACATGTGACTTCCTACCATGTGACCAAAGCAACGCGGAGGTACAGCTGGGAACGAGAGATATTATCAGTCGAAATACACCATCGAACTCTCTTCGAACATCCCGCACTACTACGCCAGCAACTGCCCTGTATGGTACCACTGAGGTTCGCTATCTAACTTCTGTTCTGTGGGCAAGTACTGATAAAGAACGGGGACACTTTACTAGCCATCAATATGAGGGATCAACTTTGCAATCACCCAATCCGCAGACCACAGTGCCTATGCCATCAACCCCAACATCAACCAATCCGTCACCCCTAGAACCGCGACTATATTCAGTAACCACGCAAGAACTCTTCGCGCCCTTCCTAGTCGAAGAGATGTCGAAGTGCTCATGGATCTAATGAGAGCCTCTCCGGAGGTATGCTACCAGCTCAACTACAAATCACATCTCCCAATGTCGGTCAAGTTATCGAACATGCGCGCTCAGATCCCCAATCTTCTGCGTCCCGAGACGAATCTCGTTTTATTAGCAAGACAGATGTTACTGTTTGCGATGGCTTTGCAATGCATTTCTCCCTTGCGACAGATATCTGAGCTTAGTAAGCATCACCATCTCATCATGGCCGATCTTGCAGAGTCAGCGATCAAAACAGTGACCACGAACGAATCCTTGCTGGGATCGTTGGAAGGCATAGGAAACATTGTTCTGGAAGCCATCTATCACATGGACTGTGGCGACTTGCGAAGAGCTTGGATAGCTATGCGTCGCGCTGTCATGGCCGCGCAACTGGCTGGCTTGCATAGACGTGCTCCTCATCAACTAAGAGGCTTGGACGATCGAACCGACCTTGATTCTGAGATTATGTGGAACAGTATCATATACATGGAGCGCATAACCTCTTTACTATCTGGGCTCCCCACGAGTACGGGTAGTGCAAATATCGCACTGCAAGAAGTCACGAATGACGCCGTTCCGGGCCAAAGGCTGCACGTACTTATTGGAAATGCTGCTGGAAGAGTTCTCGAACGAAATCAGATTGACTCATCGCAGCAGGCTTTGGAGCTTACCGAAGACATTGATCGAGCATTGATCAAACTTGCCGGACAAATGCCAACAGCTTTTTGGCGGCCCCCAGAATTTGCAGAGTTGGCAAGAGACTCTGTGGAGGCCTTCAATGAGACTCGCCGAGCCTTCAGCCATAGCTCTTACTATACTCTGGTCATTCAGCTACATATGCCTTACATGCTATGCCCGAGCCACGCCTCACAGAGAACATACTCCAAAATTGCATGTGTCAATGCTAGCCGCGAGATTCTAAGCCGCGAGATTGCGTTGCAAACATTCAATCCCATCTCATCGTCTTGTCGTATGAACGACTTCATGGCCTTGATCGCTGGAGTGACATTAATGCTTGCACACGCCTTGAGTCACTGTGGCCATGCAACAGAATATTTATTGGTCCATCAGCGATTGTCTGATCGAGCGCTGGTCGAGCGAGCCTTGGAGTGCATGCCCTTCGTATCTGAGTTACAAGAGGATATGCTTGTGGTCAGATGTGTGGCACTCCTACGGGATCTATTGATAATTGAGCAGGAAGCTGCACGTGAGCATGATGAGAGCTCGTCGCATCAGGGCTCCCAGACCTACGAGACTGGACGCGATCTGCTTATCATGAGAGCGCCTTTCCTTGGAGGTATCAAGATATCCAAGGGAGGGGTCGCAGCTGTGGCGTCTTTGAGGGCAGAAGAAGGTCGAGATTTGTCGGGAGGAGTAAGTATTGGTGGGATAGGATCACTTCGTGTCAACAGTCCGATTCCGGAGCCTCCCATACTATCTGGACAATCTTCGGGGGAGGCATCCGTCCATGAGGGCATGACGGGTGTTTTACAGGCATGTCCGAACGAGTTTTTCATGCAGCAAGACCAGGTTGTGTCGGAGGTTGCTGCCAATTTCGACGATTGGTCGGTGCTAGGAATGGACATAGCATTCTTTGAGAATGTGATGCGTGGTAACGAAGGCATCCTGTCCAGAACCGCTGGCACTGAACGATGAGACTAGAGTACGTCTAGGCAGATCTTCCCACTGTACAATACCCTCTTGCCATTAATCAAGCGTCTCTGAGCAAAGCATATCTTGACCTAGTTTGTCCGAAGCATATCGCTCGAATCCTACTGGTGTACAGGCCTGCTTAGTGAGCAGCGTACGGAATCGGGAGAAAAGCCGTTCGGACGAAGAAGGTCCGATATTCAAACGGATCATCGATTATCCCGATTTCTCGGACTCCCTACCATGTGCCGTTGTCACATTGTGCCTCACATCAGCGCTGCCAGATTACCGGATGGCTGTATCAAAGAGGCCGACTTCCGCTTACCTCGATCAGCTGCTTAGCGACTTTCAAGATATAAAGGCTCCAATCATCCTCATGATCAACGAGAAAATCATCAAGATGACGAAGCAGACCATACTGCTCGTGGGCCCAACCGGCGAGACTGGCAGACATATTCTCAATGCCTTGATCGACGACGATTCATTTGTAGGTAAAAGCAAGCCTCAACAATTGTACTGAAGTCTGACCCTTGACAAGGACTTGAAGTGCTTCATCCGATCTTCATCGGCATCAAAATCCAGTGCACAACAAATTCGAGAATGTGGGATCGCTACTGTGACGGCTGAGCTGGATGACCCTATCGAGGAACTCATCACATTGCTGCAAGATATCGATACCGTCATCAGCTGCATGTCTCCAGCGTCAATGAAGCTTCAAATCCCCCTCATAGATGCTGCCGTCAAAGCTGGTGTGAAACGATTCCTGCCGTGCAATTTCGGCACGCCGTCGGCTCGAGGAATATCGGCTCTGAGAGATGTGAAAGAGGAAATTCACGACCACGTCTTTCGCCAAAAGCTAGGCTTCACCATCATTGACGTTGGCTTCTGGTATCAAGCAAGTATTCCTCGCATCCCAAGTGGCAGGTTCGACAGCGCTATATTCATGCCATTGAACGACGTCTACTCAGGGGGGTCCACGCCGAATATGCTTATCGACGCTAGAGACGTTGGAAAAATGGTTGCGAGAATCATCAAGGATGAGCGCACTCTGAACAAAAGAGTCATCGCGTATGGAGATGTTATGAGCAAAAACGAGATTCACGACTGTATCGAGGACAAAACCGGAGAGAAGCTGGAGCTTGTCGAGGTAACAAAGCATTTGAGAAGACATGTGAATCATGCTAAGAATCAGCACAGATCAGTGATACCGAAGCTCAGAATCGACTCGATGCACGAAAAGCAGCATACGCAGCCGATCTTGAGAACAGGTCCAACAGATTCCTCCTAGCAGCAGCACAGTATGCCGTCACCAAATACGTGCGAGGCGACAATACGCCAGAGAACGCCAGATACTTGGGATACGTTCCCGCTAACGAGTTGTACCCGGAGTTCAGATACAAATCATACACCGAGTTTGTCGATGAGCTACTTACTGGCAAGATTGAGAGACCTTACCCAGATATCAAGCTTTCTTGAATTTTGCCGCCTCTGAGTCAATACCAAAAAGCAGCAGTAACACTCGTATTATTCCCAAAGTATTGCGTGTACTGAACCCAGTTTTTTACGCGCATCATTCATCAAACTTCAGATCAGACGTTCTCCCCCTCATCCATGCATCTATCTCGGTAAGAGCCTCGAGGTCGTTACTTGTCTCGGCCGTTTTGACATCGAAGTTGTACCATCCGGGCGTGCGACCAACATCCTCGAGACTCTGTCCAATGGCTCTGGTGGAGCCGAAGTCGATCAATATGGGTGACTCGTTGGTGTCAAGCATGATGTTCGCCGGGTTCAAGTCATTGTGAACGAGACCAAGGGTATGTAGATGGTATAAGGCATCTTTGACGCCCTTAATGATACGACTGCACCATTCATGATCGAAATGCTGTGATGATGCGGCAAACATGCCTTTGCCTAGATGTCCCGGATTGAGTCTTCGCTGCAACGACTCTGTGTACTTCTGGAAACACAGTCCAGTGATTCTGCCTTCTTCGATCTCACAGCCATTGTATACTGCGATATTAGGGTGCGGATGACGTCTGAGCATCTCGCACACCTCGACTTCTTGCAGTAGCTCTTCTGCAACACTGGTATCGGGAGAGACACCGATGGTTGAGTAGGAGCTCAAGCAAGGTCGTTTGACAAAGCTTTGATCCGTTGATATTGCTCGTGTGAACCTTTCCGAGAATGCTGGTTGGAAAGCATACTCCGGGATGAGTGCCACTTGCTCGAGCTCGCTAGACTCGAGATCATTCTTGCGGTTCAGCCGAGCTCTGGTGCGGGCAGTAAAGATTTGACTGCCTTCAGAATAGACAACGATGCTGTAGGCGAACAGAGGTGGTTCTGAGATGCTGCCCATAAATTCGACGAATTCAAGGATTTTCATGTTGCGTGAAGAACAAAGAAAAAGTGACAAGAGAAGCAGCGATCCAGCTAAGATCTACTAAGTAACAGAACATATCGCTGCCTACCATGTTGTCAAGCCAACAGGAAGACTGCAGGCTGCAGCTGTTGTGCGAGCTTGGCGTGCCTTCTTTAATTGAGGCAGTGATACTCTTGAGAAGATATCAACTCGAAAGTCCGGATACTGTTGCCCGCCTTCGTCTCCTCCCCCTACGATGGGAAAGGTTTATATAAGACGCCAAAGGAAATACTGGTCTCACGCGAGGCGGGAATATTGAATTGGCCCTGTGGATCGATCGCAGCACGGCACAGCCTTATGCTAGAAGTTAACGCGACCATAAGATGTATCATCGTGAACGCAATATTCATTGCGCTTTCCTTATATGGCCATCTATGACCTAATGGTTAGAGATCTACGTGGTACCTTGTCATGGTTCACGGTTGCCAGCCCCGACGCGGGGCAGTTTGACCGCAGATCGGCTTCCATTTGCTACCCTCTTCGAGATTTTCGCATCATCTTGAGCGATCAAGGACCGCGGACTCGGTCTAGCGCAGGCATTGAGCATCTGCGGCAAGCCATGAATCTTTTTGATGAGCCTCAGATATGGATGACGATGAATTGGCGGCTGGCATCTACACTTATTAGACCCCGCCGCCTAACTTCTACTTGAGCAATAGGAAGAGCATCGTCTGTTATTCACGCTACTCAGCCCTCCGATGAAACATCAACTGCAGGTGTTAGCTGTCGCTGCCACTGTGGCAGGCGCGAAAGCATATCAACATCAACTTAATATTCCTGACTCGGCATTCACCTCATGGCAGCTTCCTACCGCCATCTCAGGACCCTGTGACGTTTCCATAGGACCGGACAACTTTATATACGTCCAAGAGTTCTTCGCCAACAAGATCGCACGCTTCAACCAAAACACAGGCGAATTTACTGAATACGATATTCCCTTTACAATACCAGGACTGGACAACTTCACCTTACCGCTACCAGGCCACGCAAAGTTCGAACTCCTGAGTTGCGCCATACGCACTGGCTATGATGGTTACATGTACTTCTCTAATGGTGCTCACAACCAAATCGTCCGTCACGATGTGCATAGCGGCGAGACTGTCGTCTTCACACCTCCACCGTTACTCTTGAGTATCCTAGGCAATCTTCAACCGCTCAATGATTTGACAGCTGCTCCTGATGGCATATACTTCACCCAAACGACTGGCAACCAGGTCACCAAGTTCGACTATAAGACACACAAGTTCACTTCTTGGACAGTGCCTACCTTGCTTGCTAATCCTCTTGGTATCTACTATTCGCAGCACGATGACGGAATCTGGTTTCTGGAGTTCGGCGCATCGAAAGTTGGTCGTCTGGACAGACATACACACGAGATTGAAGAGTTCGACTTGCCGTTGAACGCCCTGCAGCCTCTAGTTGTGCGTGCCGAGACCGTCAATCAAGATGGCAGCACTACTCTGTGGTTCGCTTGCACGACTTCTTCCACCATCTCAGGCATCAACACACGCACTGGAGCCATATCTGTATACCAAGAGCCCAATGCTTCAACGGAGACTGTGGAAGTCGCACAAGACTTGAAAGGCAACGTCTGGGCAACACACATCCTGCAGAACACGCTGGGCGTGCTCAACCCAAAGACTGGCAATTTGAGCGTTGTAGTCGAGCCTAGTGTCATTCTAGATACTCCAGGAATTACTGTTCCTTTTTATGGCGAGAGTGGTATCTTTGGCTATGCTGTTGGCCAGCCTCCGGGTCAGGGTCAGAAGGATATTCTCGGCGATTCGATTTGGTATACGCATTTCCTGACCAACCAGCTGATAAAGCTTGACCTAACCGGAGTGGATATACCATAGGCTATCGTATACTATAATACGAAGAGAATGTAGTGAGGTCAAATGCACAAAGTATATACAACCCTATCGTATGCAGATTATATGTATCGGCGCCTGTGGAAGCATGATATGAGTCTTCTCGACCTCACACGAGTCTCCTACTTCTTAAACTAGGCCCCATAAACTTGGTGGTAGACCTGTAGGTACAGACTGTAGCTGCATCCGACAGTCAGTGTGAGCTTTGAACACTGCTTACGTCGACCTTGGCAAGCGTCGCTATTGGCCAAATACCCTTGCTATGCAAGAAAGTGAACTCCCACGCTAACCGTCGGATGTGTATTGAGTCTGTATATCTCATCCATTTATGTATCAATCAAAAAATCGATAGGATGACTGTTCTCCAGCACAGTAGTATTGTGCAGTCTATGACCTGGCTGGGCGGCGTCGAATCATCTCTACCCACGGACACATCATGCTCAGACTTGATCTCAACATACATCACGCGTATTCCTGTTATCGCTGCGACCGGAAAGTGGTTCAAAGAGGTTCCACATATGGTATTGCGCAAGAGACACTTGCACCCAATTAGTGTAATAGACATAACAAATATTCAACGTTTCTTTGAGCCCTTCTTTGATCCCTTCTTCACCTGCCCATCCTTCTTTCCTGCAGCTTCTTCTTCCAAACCAGGCAACCCACTCCTTCTCAAGCGACTCAAGAACTTCTCATCTTTCAACTCCTCCTTTGCGATCCCAAACGCTGCAAGATATATCGGACCCATATCATGCGGACCACATGGTCTCGCATCTCCACTAGCCCTACGCTTTTCGAAGAAATTCTGCAAACAGCCTTTGATAGCTTCTTCGATGGTGATGGGATCGGAAAGCAACGGGACAGCTCCTACAGTCTCACTCTCCGGTTCATCGTATTCGAGTTCCTCAAATTCTGGGAGTTCGCTCAGAGTTGGTGGCAAAATTTGCGTTGATTTGATTAGGGCGGCTTCTGAGGGGGTGAAGTATGGTGCGCTGATGTAGAGTTCGTCTGTGGTTGCAAGGGTGCGGGATTCTGATGTGCGGTCGGTGGCGATGTTGCATAAGTCGTAAAGCAGGACGTGAATCTTGTACCAAAGGTCGTGAGTTTTCTGGAGCATCGGCAGTCCCTCGAGGTTGTTCATTTCTGCTGAAGCGACGGAGGCTGGTTTTCTTTTGTGACGAGTTTGAATGCTCGAAAAAGTGTATGAATGTAAATGGTTGGAGAGGTCAAGGGATGGAAATGTCTGAGGATGCGAAGAATAGGAAGCTGCATCCCAGGAAAGACCAAGGGGAGCATGGCTGCCACGTTGCGAGCCACTCAGTCATACTGAAGAATGTGTCAAAACCCCACGCGACAATGGGGTTTGGACGTCAGCTCCTGCCAATCTTATGATCCGTTCTATACCATTTTGTACATTTTGGTCGAGCAATTATCCGTGCACAACGATCGAAGTGGGTTGAACAACGATGATGGACAAGATCTCAATACAGCTGAGATTTGTGCCAGGCCTCATCTGACAGCTCGTCCGGGAACAGGAGTGACAATGACCTAGTAAATCGAACGTACCGCCACATTTTACAGCTGAAGTATGTCGAAGAGACTAAGCGCGGGGGCACAGGCAATCTCGAGCAACTTGGGGCTCTTCAAGAAGCTTCCTAAAGGCATGGGTGATTTACTTTCGAAGAGTTGTTCGTTGAGAGCAAGTTCTTGATATGCGGCCATGAGATGTTATCCTCGTTCTCTCAGCTGTACATCTGACCACTTTCAGAAATGCAGGAAGGGAAATACAGCTGCGATTCGTCTTGTTTTGACCCACTATGAGAGCTCAGTTGCAAGTTAGCACTTGACGTGATCCCCTGATGAGAGCCAAAAGCACAACGAACATCACACGAGCAATGATTTCATCGATATCACTGATGCGATACGTGGTCCATGTTTGTTGAGACTTTGCTTTTGACAAGGAGGCTGAGAAGATGTACGGCTGTTGAAGCCGATGATAGCAGATCCATTCACCTTGATGATCAAAACAGGAATGTGCTGACCACGCAATTGTTGAGGACATGATTGCTCCAAAAGATGAGACGAAGGCAGTGTGCAATGGCGTCAGAGATAAGAGCTGCCCACGGCTGTATTTCCGATCCGATTGTTGAGACTCATGAAATATTATTGCTTTGCTTCATCCTCTCCAGGGAAGCCAGGACCGGTGTTGACGTGGAGAGCCGCCGGTCCATTCGGGACAAGAAAGTCCGGTAAATCAGTGCTGAAAGACCGGCGGGGTGACTTGATGAAAGCAAAGCTGAGACCAAACGAAATTGAGGCTGTTGAATGGTTAGATAATAGAAATCTTAGTGAGAGAAATGAGTCGCAAGGACGAAGAGTTCGGGTAATTTGGTCAGCGCAAAGGCACCGCCAACCAGGCCAGATGGTCTGATGTTCAGGAGGGAGATCAGCAGATAAGAATAATGCGGAGAGAACGGTCTATGCACGCTAACCCGCGGGAAGCCGGAGAAGGGTGCCGATATGGAGACCCATGCTTGCTGGAGCTCATCTTGAGCTCACTATGAGCTGTCAAGGTTGTATCGCGGGGTACTTTGGAGACATACCAGGCAGTGAAAATGGTCGTGGGGACTATCTGAGGGTAAGGAGAAAGCTGAAAGTCGTTGTGAATCCTTATCATGCTCAAGGTTGTTACTTGCTTTGCTTTGATACCATTCGATATCGGTATGGATTTCGGGGAAACCAGAGGCTTCGTTACCAAAGCCTAATTTGTGCCATGCAGATCCGAAGTGCTGAGGCTTATCTGGGGCTGACAAGCTCTCTACCATTCTATTCGCAGATACAGATTGCTGCTGCTGGTGAGCCAGCGGTGTGGAGGTAAAATGTCGCACGATTCGGACGTTCGTGCCTGCCTGATGCAAGAGCCCATGGTCGTACAACCCCCCAGCTGCCTTTTTCTTGTGCGACTTCCCCCCCAAGTTTCCTTCCTCCTCCTCAACCTGAATCCTTTGTCTACCTAGTAACTTCAATACGGCTTCGCCTCGAAACAATCGACCTTCCTGACAGCTTCACTCATCTTCCTACAGTGTCAACATGTCTGCACCCAGAGCTTACCAGTTCATCGCCTTGAGACGTCTGGCAGCTGGCGGCAGCCGTCGTCAACTCCATATGACTGGCCCCGCTACCTTCCCCTCGCCATTGCTCACTGCTGAGCGTCCTGTTTCGAACCTTCCACGTGACATTGCAGGCCTCAGAGCCGAGTGCAAGAGACGCAAGCTGGATTTCTCTGGCTCTATGCACGACGTGAGTTTTCCCATATCCCACTAGCTGCCAATCATATATTGCATGAGACTGATGGACATTGCAGCTCATGGGTCGTCTCTCCGCTGACGACTTGACTCACTCTCGTGCTTTCACCACCGCTGTCAATGCCAGCAAGCGTCCTAGCACTGAGCAGAAGGACGAGGTCAAGGCTGTTCGTCACTTCAACACCAGCCGTACACTCAAGGCCGTGAACGACAGCTCTACCATTGACTTTGCCTACTTCCCTGACTTTGACCCTGACAACGCCGAGAGCTTTACTCTCCGCGTTCCTCTTCTTCCCACCAACTTCAGTCCTGCACGTGTCGGTGCACACGCGCCAGAGGCCGATGATGCGGTATGTAGCATTGGGTGTGTTCATGTTGAAGATGCGACTAACGGGTCGAACAGATTGTCATCAGACCACAGATCAGCACTATGGCAAACGACAAGATCATAAGCAACTTCTCCGAGGTATCGGACAACAATGCTATGCCTATCGACTTCCACGCCATGGCGGATCGAGTTGCGGCAGCGACCCAGAAAGCAGTCAAAGCACCTCTGGCTGAGCAGACTAGTATCATGAAGCAGTTGTGGAAAGGACTCGTCGAAGACTTCCAAGGCGTTCACGCAAAGCCCATTGCAGCTTGAAGCTGATCAAGGATTGGCGTCGAGTTGTTTTGATGATGTAGATGTTTATCGACGGACAATGCAATTGACATTTTGAGGTCGGCTGTTGTTCTTCGTGATAGTGCTCCGCTGAAGTGACGTGTGGATAGTATGTTGCAGAGTATTACAGAATTAGACAAGGCATCCTGGGAAAGTTAAATTATGATGGCAAAAAGTTGGCTTTGTGTGTGGTGTTTGGAGCGGTTTGTTGATGGGTGGGGACGGAGTTTGTTGATGCGGCAACACTCGTCGTCCCCTCTTCAGCAATCTATCAAGCATCTTTCGCAATCAATCAAGCACAATTCAACCCAGCTCTTTGAGACACTCTTGCACAGAAACAGCATGGCGTCTCCCGATAAGAGCTTGCATTTGAACATGCCAATGATGCCTCCGCCCATGCATTCGCGCGGTGGTAGCGACTTGGGCGAACGACCTCTGACTCCCACCTCTCCACGACACCAGGGCCACAATGCGCAGCCCTTCATCTCGCCCGCCCAGACACCGCAGGGCAGTCCCAGCAAGAATCGCATGCCCCCCGGCGCCTTCGACCTGCCCGATGTCTTCTCCAACGCCATGAAACTGCTGCCCACTTTGGGCTCTCCCTCCAAAACACCCCGAAACCAGGACCACAGCCCTACGCGCAAGAATGGCAAGGAGAACACCCCGCCAACTCGTCCTGGCGCCCAACAACAAGACCACGTCAGCCAGGCTGCTGCTTCTAGGCAAAACCAGTACCGCCCACCGCAAGACGACCAGCCCCTGGCGAGACAACGAAGTGTCATCTCAGGCGGTCTGACCCAAGAGGAGATTGAGAAGTTGCAGAAGCCGACCGTCAAGCGTCTGGCCAATGTCACCCAGCTCTGTATGTGCTTCCTGCAATCAGACCTAACAAAAATGCTAACAGTCTAGACTTTCTCGACCACTACTATGACCTCCTCAACTACGTTTCCACTCGCCAAAAGCGCACCGAACTCTTCCACGCACATAACCCTCCCCCGCCACAAACCCCCAATGCTGAGTACCAATCAAACATGCAGCAATATCTTGGACGCGAACGTGCGAAGCTCCGTGCCAGACGTACCCGTCTCAACCATGGTGACTTTGCTATCCTCACACAGGTCGGTCAGGGTGGTTACGGCCAGGTCTATTTGGCGCAGAAGAAGGACACACGCGAGGTTTGTGCCTTGAAGATCATGAGCAAGAAGTTGCTCTTCAAGCTCGACGAAGTGCGCCACGTCTTGACCGAGCGCGACATTCTCACGACTGCAAAGAGCGATTGGCTGGTGCGTCTCTTGTATGCCTTCCAAGACGACTCCAGCATCTACCTCGCCATGGAGTACGTCCCCGGTGGTGACTTCCGCACTCTTCTCAATAACACCGGTGTCCTGCACAACCGCCATGCCCGTTTCTACATCTCCGAAATGTTCCTCTGCGTCGACGCTTTGCACCAACTCGGCTACATTCATCGCGACTTGAAGCCAGAAAACTTCCTGATCGATAGCACCGGTCACGTCAAGTTGACTGACTTTGGTCTGGCTGCCGGTTTCCTAGCCCCTGCTAAGATTGAGAGCATGCGCATCAAGCTCGAGGAGGTCGGGAACATGCCTCGCGACGCCATTCCCTTCGGCAGACCCATCGAGGAGCGTTCGCTCAAGGAAAGAAGAGAAGGATACCGCAGTCTGCGTGAGCGCGACGTCAATTACGCAAAGAGTATCGTTGGAAGTCCCGACTACATGGCCCCTGAAGTGCTCAAGGGCGATGAGTACGACTTTACCGTCGACTACTGGTCTCTTGGTTGCATGCTGTTCGAAGCTCTTGCTGGATACCCACCATTCGCTGGTGCCACGGTTGACGAGACATGGCAGAACCTGAAGCGCTGGTCGTCAGTCTTGCGCAAGCCCGAATACGAAGACCCCAACTACTTCCTTTCGCGCCGTACATGGGATCTCATCACCCGCCTCATCTCCGGTAAGAACCAAAGACTGCGAGGTATGGCCCAAGTCAAGGCGCACCCTTACTTCGCCGAAGTCCGTTGGGAGCGCCTGCGTGAGGAGCGTGCTCCTTTCGTACCCGAACTCGACAGTGAGACCGATGCCGGTTACTTCGATGACTTTGAGAGCGAGAAGGATATGGCCAAGTACAAGGAAGTCAAGGACAAGCAAAGGGCTCTCGAAGATATGGCTGAGCGTGACGAAAAGATGGGTCGCAACCTTTTCGTCGGCTTCACCTTCAAGTAAGTTGGAAATGTTTTGCAATGTTGTGATCATTATACTAATCATATCCCAGACACCGCAAGCCTGCCGTCGATGAAAACGGCGAGCGCACCAGCCCTCGCAAACCTTTGCCTCAAGTCGATGAAGATTTCGGCACCATCTTCTAGATGCACTTCTTTTTGACCTTTCTTCTTTTTCTTTACTAGGGATATGGCGTGGGTGAGGGATGGGTGGGTGTTGGGAACAGCGATTACGGTTGGGCATCGGCTGAGGAACTTCGATTGATGATCGGATTGACACGACTTTGCATGGGACATATTTCCAAGTCTTCATTTCTTTGTTTCCTTTTATTTTCTCCTTCAAGAGTCGATTGAATCGATGAAACATGTTCTTTTCTTCTGATTGAACCCCCTTTAAGCCCGGCTCAACATGGAACTCCCTGACTTGATGCTGAAGACTGTGATGTATGTGTGTCTTCGGCGAGTATGCACGCTTGAGCGGCCATGTCTCGTTGAATGATCCCTAGACCTTATCTATTGGTCACTTCTCGTAGAAAGTATAGTGTGGTATAGAAGAGAGATGACATCCGATGAAGTGTGTCTTTGAGGTGTCTGAATGTTTTCATCCAACATGTCTACCATCAAGGTCAAGGTCCGTGCTTTTTGCAATGTGGATCCCTGTCTGCATGCGGAGGGAGGATGGATTGTGTTTCACAGGGCTGGCCAAAAACATCAACGACCATCTTTTGACGAGACAATTTTACATACAACATCTTGCCATCCAGAAGTTGGCGCAATGAGTGTCTCATGAGAAGAATTGCGCTATTGTAGCAGACTACATAAAATACCCCGGAACGAAGGTTTTCGGGAGGAGTTCTCTTGAGCAGAATCTATCTGAGGGATCATCTGAGGCCTTTGAAGATGATATTGTTACCAATCTCGATGGCTGTCTTTGCAGTTTCCCTATATTTAGGGCTGCAGCAGGAAGTTCAATGGTTGAGGCCTACACGGGATTACTTTGATGCTATCATGAACAACTGGACGTATCCTCAAATCTCGGCTACGAATACCACAAATGACTGGAATATCTTATACCATCTTGGAGGTAACGGACCTTGGATTCCTAAAGTGGATGGAGTTGTTGAAGGCGGATTGGCGCCACCCGAAGGCTGCAGAGTTGAACAAGTGCATATGGTAAGAGCACTCCATTAAACCCTCCTTCCCATCTTGGTTATTGAACTTTTGCAGATGGCCAGACACAACGAACGATACCCAACAAGTCGAACAGCCGCAAGTAGGTCTTCTTCAACTTAAACTTTGTTATCATGTTATCTGACATCAAGCACAGAAATGGTCTCCCTGCACAACCGCCTCCGCACACTCGACTTCAACCTGCAAGGCGACCTCTCTTTCTTTCACAACTGGACATTCTTCATGCCTCAAAACTACACCTCAGAAATCGGCAAACTCATTCCCACAGGTCCCTACGCCGGAACTCTGGGTGCCTTTGCCGCAGGCGTATCCCTCCGTACCCAATACCCAGATCTTCAAGCTGCATCACTCTCACGCAACCAGACCAATTTCTGGGCGGCAGATTCCCACCGTGTAGTGGAGAGTGCAAAGTACTTCGCCGCCGGATTTTGGGGCATTGAGTGGCGGGATGTAGCGAGGTTGCAAGTGATACCAGAGACGAAAGAGCTGGGCGCGGATACCTTGACAACAGGAGTAACTTGTACAGATTACCTCCGCTCTCACAACCCCGAAGGCCGTCACAAAGGCCTTCACAAACTCGTGGAATGGCAAAAACACTACATTCCCCCGATAATCGCTCGCATGGAATTTCAAAACCCAGGGTTGAATCTAACAATCCATGAAGTGTTTAGCATGCAACAACTCTGCGGTTTCGAAATCCTAGCCAGAGGAAGCAGTCCCTGGTGCAACATCTTCACCGAACACGAATGGAAGGATTTCGGATACGTGAGGGATCTCCTCCATTACTACCGCACAGGACCTGGGAATAAATACAGCGCAGCCCGAGGCTTCCCATTCTTAAACGCCACCACCAATGTCCTATATACAGGTCCTTCAGCGGGAAGTGTATTTTTAAGTTTCGTTCACGATGGCGATATTTTACCTTTACTGTCAACACTTGACCTCTTCCCTTCCTCCCCCTTACCCACCGATCACGCCCCTGACCCCAGGACTTGGAAAATCTCAGATGTGGTGCCGATGGGTGGACGCATCATTTTCGAACGCCTCGCGTGTCCGCAAATCTACTGTCATTCCAACGCTCCTTTATATCCTAATCACATTTATTGTGATCCGCCAAAAGATGAATTGTATATCCGGGTCATAATCAATGATGGTGTGGTAGCTATCCCAGATTGTCAAGACGGACCTGGGAAAAGTTGCGCTTTGGCTTCGTTTGAGAGAAAAGTCATGTTGAGGGGTTGGGAGGTTGGTGATTTTGGTAAAACGTGTGGATTGGAGGAGGGAGCGGCTGATAAGGTTACTTTTTTGCATCAATGATGGATGCAAACTTTTGCTACCGGGCGGGAGTTGTGAGGAAAGCATCGATCTGGAGTTGTTGATTGAATGATCAGGGACGGGAATCGCTCGAACGGGGCAGGTTCACAGAAAAATGGCAGTAGGCTTGAGAGCATCAGCAAAAGTTTGAGGATTACGACGGAATCTAGGAGGTCGCATAGGGTTGGCAGGCAGAGGTGCTTTGATCGGAAATGCATCATGTCATACGATCATTGCTAGAGGTCATAGAAAAGCTCACTTAAGTTTTTCATTCCGTATCAAAGCAGATCTACCATCACATTTTCCGGAAACCATAGATGAAAAGACGATAGTGATTTCGTGCGTCTACTGAACTTGTTATTTCCCCTCTGTCTAACAGAGTCCTATTATATATCATGTCGTATATATCATGTGCATTCGTTATGAACAAAGAGAGCAAAAAGGTAAGAAGGAGTGTTGTGGTATAGCGCCTTGACCTCCAAAACAAAGCGAGTCCCAAGCGCCATATGCAATGCTAAGATGAAAATTCCGAAGGAGAGATGCAACATTTGTTGCGGGTATTTGATGTGAGACAAAGAAACAAAACAGTGTTTAGTGGTAAAGTTCCTCATCGTGCTCCACTGCGGGCGTCAAAGGTCCCCTATGGTCTCGCGCTGGCATATCGAGCGTAGTCGATCTGGTATGGAACGAATTCCTATCTCCTGGCGTGGGTGTGATGTTGCGGCTTCCGCTGAAGGTCCCCGAACGAGGTCTGATTGTCGGCGTGGGCACGTCTGCGATAACATCCCTTGTGCTAAAGTCGCCACCGAGTTGCATGTTCTCCACGATGGGCATGGGAGGGAGCGTCGAAGTTGGCATTGTCACCGATCTCCTCTTGGGCGTACGCGAGCCAGACCTCGTCGGTGTGGCAAATGCGACATCGTCCTCAGGCACATTCCTAGTCATGTCGATAGGTGTACCCGAACGATCATCTCTTGTCTCAGAGAAGTCGCGCGAGGTCCAACTAGGTCGGTGTAGACGGGCTCCACGAGGCAGGTTCGAGTAGCTCCCACTTGTACTTCTGTAGCTCACACCGCTGGCCGCGCGACCACGGCGGATGGGAGTCTGCGACGACTCTCCAACCTCCATACCAGGTGTTTGTGATCTCATGGGCAGTGCAGAGTACGAAGCATGTGGCGAATCCGCTTCCAAATCATCTTCGTGATGAAGCATTGCCATCTCGGCGACAAAGTCTGGATCCTCATCCTCAATCTTAGCCACACGACGGACTTGAGAGACCGAAAAGTACGGTCCTTTGGGCTCTTCGGGAATTGCCTCGACCTTCTCTGGCTTGGGCGGCCTAGGGACGTCTGTTGCAACACGATCGAGGTGCTTGAAGTATTTCTCACGAACACCTACCATTCTTCTCGGACGGAAGTCTTCATGATTGCGGGTGATTGACATGTACGATGAGAAAGCACCAACGAGGATAGCAATCATGGTAACAATAACCAAGACTCCTTGAATCACGATGATGACGATGCCGATGACTGTTGTGGTGATGCGCTCCAGATTGAAGGCGATGTTGAAAGCGGAAGATAACGCCACGGTGGCGACTTTGCTGAACCCAAGAAGGTAGACAACAAGGAGATTGAGACGCTGACCCTCGAAGGGCCTAGCCCAGAGAATGAACGCGAAGAAGAGGAACTCAACGACTAGGAGCCCGAAGACTTGAGTCATGGGCGATCCAGAAGCACCAGCATAGAAGCAGGCTCGAATGAACTCGTAAAGAGTCCAAACAGCGAAGAACCACCATCTTGTTCGGCGGAAGCGAGCAGCGAGCCACCCAAATCTCATGACATACTCTTCGTTGTCGTGAACAGAGGTATGGTCCTCATGAACGTGCGATTCCTTGCGGCGCAGTGAAACAGATGGCATCTTCATGGTGATGGGCTTCTTGATACCGAGTTTTGCAAGGAACTTAGGTGGCTGTCTTCCTTCGATTTGCTCTGGTGACGATTCGGATTTGGGCGTGTGGCCTTGGACGGCCCGCCCAGCAAGAATGGCGTAGATGACACATGCGGGGATGCCAACGAAGAACAGAATGAACACAATGGCCGCAACAGCTTTCACACCGCCAGAGCTCTGGTACGAGAACTGAAACATGGTGAGAAGCATCATCATGAAGAATGAGATGAAGAGGATCCTGAGGGCGACTAGAGCAGTGTATCCCAACCAGTGTTGTCGGAAGAAGGTTAGACGCTCATTCTTCATCAGCTTGATGGCGACGAAGGCTTCAAGAACCCACTTGAAAGCAACAACAGCAGCGACAAGGATGACGAGAAGGATTAGAAGCCACAAGAATCCAGTCATGAATGCGTTAGAGACTCGAATGTTCTCTTGAGCCAGGGTTCCAGCAAATCCAGAATAGTTTCCAGGCAGAGGCAGACCGGCTTGGACTGGCTGGCCATACCAGGTGAATCCGGTGGAGCTGTTAGCAAGATCTCTCCTGAGAAGTTGGTTCTCCACGGCACGCGAGATGACATCACGCTTCAGCTCGATGGAATGATCGCGCTGATAAATGTCCCAAGCAAGGTCTCTTCTTAAAGACAAGCTTCTTCTGTAGATTGACGAAATGTCAAAGCCACCTCCAACACCGTCCTGGTTGGTTCCGGAACCCGCAGCACCGACATGTGAAGTGTTGCCGATGTTGTTACCGATGAGCTTGTCAATGGAGCGTTGCATCGAGCTGGAATGGATCATGCCTGCTGACCAGGCAAAGTTGCTCCACCATGCAACGAGAACACTGGGCCAGTTCATAGAAAGAGCTCCAGTAAAGTAGACATGTTGAAAGACAGAGAAGACGACCAATACAGAAAGCGAGTGGGCATAGTGCTTGCGCATAACAGGCACACTATCGCCATAGACGGCCGTTGCAAAAGAAGCAATTAGTGCGATGAGGGCGAAGGCCCCGAGCACTGATCCAACAGACTTGGGCTGTGAGAAAGAAGCGCCATTGGTAACGACAGCCGAGTAACAGCCAATTTCGGCTTGGGTCGAGTTGGCAAAGATACGGAGAATGGCCTCGCCTTCAAAGTCTGGAATGGAAAGAGCGATCGGAGGAATAGCAGCGACATCGGATTGAGCGACAGGAATGATGCCGTTGGCCTCGATGGGAATACTTGCGTTCAGCGGACACAAGCTTCGAGAAGATTAGCATGTGACAATTTCATCGCGCGTATAAGAAATAAATTACCTTCCAATATTAGCACTGCACGGATCAAAGGTTAGATCAAAACGACCTTCTCCGTACGCATAGACACCAATGTACACTGACCAAATTAGATGTTGTCAGATCAGTCCAGCCAGGGGTAGAAACTTACTCATCAAGCTCTCATTAGCAATGGCCGTGTTGCCTGCCAAATGGAACAGCACGGTCATATTGTCTTTGTAATACGCAGCATCGAAGCGAGTGACATTGACAGCACTCGAACCCTTGCAATCTCCGAATCGTCCGGTATAGAGTGATGGTCGTCGATCATCTGCATATTGTCCAAGTTAGGGATATTCCAAGTGTCGCCAGAGTGTTGTCTCGCAGAACTGACCTGGTAAATAGACGGTCTGGCCGTCGGCATTCGTGGTTGTAACATAGCGAGTACTACTGCTGCTAGCAGCTATTGCAGGTTGTATGGCAGCTAGAAGTGTGATGGCCAGAGCCAGTAGTCGCGAGGCGACCATAGCGAAAGTTGTGAAAGTTGAAAAGGTCGAGGATCAGTGTGAGATAAGGGTCTTGGGCAACGATCACAAGCCTAGTCGATCCAGCCGTAGCGAAGCTGAAGACGAAGATCGAGAGACGGTTGGGCGTCGATATGGTGTAGTAGTATCGTGTTGTCCGAGGTGGCTGCTCTCTTGGAAGCGAAGGTGGCTGGTGAAGACTAGAGCGTGTTGCGATACGGGGCTGTAGAGAGGTGGAGACTCAAGTCATGTTGCGAATGCTCCCAAAGTCCAGAGCAGAGGCCGTCGAAACGAGAGGATGCGAGAACTGGGCGGACGGGTAGTTGTATGTGGAAGGATGAGAATATGGCCAAGTACTTGGACAAAGACAAGCAGAAATGGACTGCTGTAAAGCAAGGAATGGCCGGCTCAGATTAAAGCCGGAGCTTGGTGACAAGCACGACAAGGTCGATGTTCTTAGCGCCCGTCTTGCCCTGTAAATCACGGATTTCCGAGTATCCCGTGCGTCTTGATCTGCTGGCGAGATGCAGTCGTCCGTTTCCCTGACGCGTCCCTCGAGGTTTTGCTTGCCGCTGAACAATCTGCTATTGTCATACCATTGCTCTTGCCTTGAGTATCACGTTATACTGCAAACATCATAAGCGGTCCCGAAGGAAGCCGCGAACCTAAACACAGCCATATCGATGTCATCGTTTGCTCTTGCCAAAGACTGCCAACTGCCACCGGTGACTTGGCGGAAAGTCAATGGTTCGATAATGATAATCATGATCTACCCCCTCTGGGGAAGATGTGACACGGCAAGCGGGGTGGGGGAGGCTGTGGAGGCTGACAGCTCATGGTGCACGTCATGAGGGGCTAGCTAGGCAGGTGTCAGTCAGGTTTGTTGTTCCTTTTTGTCTCTGTCCTTCTACACCTCTACTTTAAACCACACGACCAAAAGTAAACAGCTCCCCTTACCACTCAAACTATACCACAAACAGCCAAACCATCCATCATGCCTCACCACGACAAGGAAGAGAACACCACCGGCAGTATGTCGCCTCACGCCATGTCTTTCGTCATTAGAGCTGACCTTTCCAGACATCACCGACCAGGTTGCAAAGGAGTCCTCAGACTCGAACGCCTCGGACCACCCTATGCACCAGGTCGAAAACACCGCCACCAGCGGCGGCAAGGCCACTGCTCAGGACCACAGCGCCAACCCCGTAAGTGATGCGGTTACAACCTGGTCTCTCAATCACGACTGACATACTCTATAGGGCCCCGTCATGGCTGAGGGTCTCGGCGAGCCTGCCAGCAAGGACGACCTCAAGAAGAGAGCTGCTGAGCTCAACAAGTAATGGCCGCAATCACGACACGATTTGAGAATGCCCCCAACCCATACCATAGCATGATTAGCATGATCAAGAGATGAAATCAAATCCCAGTTTGTACAATAGAGATCTTTAACGCGCATGTGAATGGTACATGACATAGATACAAAGTGTCTAGGGCGGAACTTGCTCACCCTTCCAGTCGTAGCAGTTGCCTCTGTCGTCTAGTGTTCTGCCTATAACAACCTCGTATAGCTTCTCGGCTGAGAACTCTGGACTAAACAGCTTTCCTTCCTTGACACCGCTCCAGAACTCCTTGCTGAATTCTGTCTTGACTGTGCCAGGATGCAAGCTTATAGCAATGGCCTTGTCGCCAGATGCTGTACGCAAGTGGTTATCAAATGTCTTTGTGACCTGATTGACGGCGGCTTTGGAAGCTCGGTACGAATACCATCCACCGAGCTGATTATCCGTGATACTGCCCACGCGAGCAGACATGGTAGCCCAAACAGCAGACTTGGGCAGCGATGGATCCTCAGCAAGCTGTGTCGACTTCCGCGGCAAGAAAGGACTAAAGTGCTTAAGCATCATCATGGGACCCAGCGTGTTGGTCCGGAAGGTCAGAAGCGCATCATCATGATCAATCTGCTGAGGTGATTTTTCAGGGAACAGGATGCCGGGAATAGCATATGATATATGCAAGTAATTCTCCTTCTTTGGAAACAGGTCACTGCAAGCGGAAGCTGCATCTTGAATCGTATTTTCGTCTGTCAAAGTTGGCATTAGCGTGGTGAAAGGAGACAACGGCTTGCAAGGAAAAAGGAAAGATTGCATACCAAGGACATCCAACTTCAGGACATTCAATCGCTTCTGGTCGACATCATGCAAGCCGTCAAGGATCGATTCCTTGGCCTGATCCAAATCCTTTCGTGCCGTGGTCACGATTGGCAGCTTCGTATTCTGGAGCAAATGGCGAGCGAGGTGTAGACCAATGCCGCGGGAGGCCGGGCTGATTAGAGCCCAAGGTTGCATGGCGAGGAGGAGGTTGGAGGAAGGTAACAAGCCATCCCAGCATCTCGAGGCACGCGGGAGATTCACATTTGAAATGCCTTGGATCTTGGAACTCCTCGTTTAAAGTTTGGGAGCATTGAGAAGGTCGATCCGGGGTCGATTCGTGATGACGATCGAGTTCGTTCGGAGGTCGAGCTTTCCTTTTTGCCAAGACAAAGTTGTTCAAGAATTTGTGCTTGATGAAGGTCGAGCAAGAGCAACGGATTAATTCAAGCACACTCAACTCACAACCATGGCGACATCAACACTTCCTTCAGCGCTCTCCTTCCCGCCGGCGACCTTTGCCAAACTCTCTCCTGCGCCTTACCTCCTCGCTCACCTTGACCCACAATCTTCATCTGCTTCGCCGACACGCCCCAGTGGCCGTTCCACGCAACAATGTCGTTCACCATCTGTCAACACTGGCTCCCTCACACACGCCAATGGTAGCGCCGTGGTACGACTAGGAGACAGCGCCGTCGTCTGTGGTGTACGCGCCGAAGTCTTGCGCACCTCAGATATACCCCACCCATACCGCGGACCGGAAGACAGCAGACGCGAGATCGAAGAGCTGGGTCTGCTCGTCCCCAACATCGAGCTCAGCACTGGCTGCTCCCCTGGATTCCTTCCCGGAAACGCTCCTGGCACACTGGCACAGTCCTTGACACAAAGATTGCTTTCGCTGTTACATCTGTCCAAGCTAGTCGACGTAGAGGACTTGAAGGTCAAATACCAACCACCAGAGACCGAAGACGATATCCCAGATGCGCCTCCCCAACTCCAAACAAAAGCCTACTGGGTCCTCTACATCGACCTGCTGGTGATCAGTCTAGATGGCAATCCCTTCGACGCAGCATGGGGTGCTATCCTGGCCGCCCTGTCAGACACAAAACTGCCCAAGGCATGGTGGGACCCCGATCATGAGAGCGTTCTCTGCTCTGACCAGCTCTCCGACGCCAAATCGCTTACCCTCGGCAACATCCCTGCATCTCTGACTTTCGCCGTCTTCAGCACCGCTGCTCCCCAGAAGAAGCCCGAGGATGCGAAGAACTGGGTCTTGGCTGATCCTGACGGCTTCGAGGAAGAGCTATGCAATGAGATGGTCACGGTCGTTGCCACGGAAAAGTCGATATTGAGGATTGAGAAGAGAGGTGGTGGTGTTGTCGATAGAGAAGGCATGAGAGAGCTTGTTTCGCGCACTCAGGAGAGACTTGGAGACTGGAAGCAGGCTTTGATGCAGCAACAGAGATGAAGTCATTCAGTGGAAAGCTAATATACACGATACGGACCACATGCCACACACGGATCAGCTCGGGGAGGTATGAACGCGCTTTCATCGATTCCTCAAACACAAGGAGACCGAGATCATTCGCACCCCAAAGCTTTAGTTACGTTTGGAAGTGTTGAGCTGTAACATCACAAAGGACCACGGAAGGCGAGCCGAGCTACCATCAGAAAGACACATGCGCAGGGTCCGGATATGAACATCCCAAGTGGATAACGATGAGCAGGCACGAAGATGTAAATGCATTTGGTCATAAAGGTTCATTTCGAGAAGTGTAGGTATCATAATCGCAAAAAGAGCAAACGTCCAAAGCGAGCATCAAGCCCGTCTTGCCATGGTTTTTTATGGCAGAGAAAAACGCCAGTTCTATGCATCCTTTTCCAATCTCCCATGTTTACAGAGCAGCCATACCGGCAAGGACGCCCATAGCACCCAGAGCGAAACCAGCAAAGGTGGCCTGGGCAGCGGCGCCGGTGGAAGTGCCAGATGCGGCGGAAGCGGCGGCAGAAGTAGAGCCTGAAGCTGCGGCGCTGGTGGTGGAGTCCGAGGTGGACGAGTTGGCATTGCCAGCGTTGGTCAGAGCGGAGACTGTGACGCCAGTGCTGTTGGAGCAGTGCGAGCTGTAGTCGGAAGCAGAGAGTTGGGTTGAGGTGAAGGTGATGTCGGCGCACTATGAAGATTGTCAGCATTCTGCTCAAGTACAAGGATGTGGTACAGGATGACTCACGTTGTAGAGACCGCCCGAAGGGTCACCGTTGGTAACAACCTGAATGGTAGCATTCATACCCTCGGTAATGTTCAAGCCAGCAGGGAACTGCAGAGCACCAGCGCCAATGCAGAAGTTCTGGGGACCCTTCTCCTGGAAGGTAGGGAGAAGAGTGATGTTGAAGTTGGAGCCGGGGTCGTTTCCAAGAGCCAGCAACACCTGGACCTTGGCTGAAGTGTGGCCCATGAGAAGCTGGATGGGTGCGCCGGTGATGGGGAACTCGGTGCGGTTTGTGGTGACGGTGTTCTGGCCACCGCAGGGGAACTGACCAAGGTTGTCCTCATCGAAACCACGAGCGGCAGGGTAGACGAGCTCGAAGTGGGCAGAGACAAGAGGCAGCAGGGCGCCGAGAAGCAATTGGACCTTCATCGTGGTGGAGTGTGTGTGTGTGATGTGATGGATAGGTGGAAAGCAGAGAGACGTGCAGAGAGAAAGATAGCACAAGGAGAGAAGGCGCAATTGAGAGTTTGTTTGGTTGGTGGGACGTTGCAGGGAGTGGTCACACAAGCAGAGTTTATAGCAATTCGCGCTTTCCTACCTGGCGGTTATTTCACCTACACAGAGAGAAGCTTTAACAGCTCTCCTTCCCCCTTTGCCGTAGATCCGGAACTCGAAACGCATTCCAGTTCGCGAGATACCCTCGTGGGCGGGCGGGCTTGAATAGTGAGCAAGTTTGAGCAAGTTAACTCGGTCTAGGCTTCCGAGCCTCCGTGGGATTTGTATGCACGGATGAACAACGGCATGCATGCGGTTAGTCCAACCCTGATCCGACATATCATCCAATACTCCAACATACGAGCTATCCTCTCAGCTTACAAGAAACAAACTCAAGTCCGTAGCCCGCATGTTGGCCATTTCTCTTTACAGTAAGATTTACGAGGTCGTCTTCTGGTTGGATTGATCCTCCCAGTGCTTGCCAGGCATTTGATATCATGCTACGCGAGTCGTATTCACCGGCTGGTAGAATTGCACCATGATGCGTAGCAAAACATCCACTCGAATGCATGTTGTCACACAAAGGTCATGGAGAACAGATAGAAAGGTCGTAAACGTTGGTCGTATACACATAATTAAGAAGTATGAACAGGCTGTATGGAACTTTTGGTCGGACCTCAATCGAGAGGCGCTGCTAGTGGTGGTCATCGACCGGAGAAGCATATCTGCCAATTGCCAATTCTCCAACAAACAGACCTGCAAGAACCGAGAGGAAGTAGCCGACATTCAGGGTCATGACTGCCAACATGCTACGGATGTATTAGTTTTGGCGATCAAGACGAAGACGGCAAACAAACTCACAGTAGGTAGCCGAGTCCTGCCTGGACAGTGTAGATGCATGCTCTGGGAAGATCGGTGGTGAATCTCCAGGGAGTTGTCTCTCTGCCCCTTGAGCTGGCTTTGATGACGCGGACCTTCTCATCTACGCCCCGGTATGACAAGATGGCTTGTTCGTTCTTCTCCTTGGCCGCCTCGGGCGACTCGTCGGGAAACTGGTCGGCTTCCTGCTCGCCAGCGACTCTTACGTAGCGACGCTTGATGGCTCTGTCGTGGAACTTTTGCTCGAGAGTATGCCTCCAGGCTTGTAGCAGACGGGACAGGACGGCCAGAACGATGAGGAAGATACAGGTACCAGCGTATGCGCCGGTAGAGGTGGGTGTCCAGGCCTTGGAGTAGAGAGGGGTGTTGTGGGCGGTGGTGAAGACCATGGACATGGAGCTCATTCCCGACATGGTAGACATGTCGGACATTCCTGTGGATGCGGCGGCCGAAGTTGCGCTTGACATTGCCATGTCCATGGTGGACGACGACATGTGTGACATGTCCATGCTGGCAAGCGGCTTGTTGTTCAATCGAGGTAAGAGTGGTTGTGCAACAAGAACGTTTCGGTGGACGGGTAGATTTGGACGGGGTCAAAGCAATGGGTCGAGGACAATTGTTTATAGATGGTGTAGCAATGGAACGACGAGCTCGGTGGACCTGCAGCTGAGAGGGTATGCGCAACTTTCAAGAGATGATGGACGGTCAATTCGGCATACGTGAAATTGGCGAGGAAGGATCAATGACAGCAATCGCGAGGAAACAACGATGATGGCAAGCACACACGAACGTCGCAAACATGTTGGGCTGGTGCTTCTTTGGCTTTGCGTTCCACGTTGACGACGCTCTAGAGGGGCGGAGGTTTAAGGCCAGAGCATTATTGAGCAAGTTTCAAGGGAAGCTAGACCGGAAGCGGTATGGTCTTCGGACTTCGAGACAAAGCCCCTCCCGCGATCTCTCACGGTCTTACCCTGCCGAGACAGCGACAACATCAAGCTCCACCGGCCTCGTGAGAATTGAGCGAGTTTGAGCTGCCATGTTATCCGACATGCCATGATTGCGTCTCCACCATGTGCCGGTCTTTCTTCTACGACGACACCTGATTCTGATCCTATTCCGACTTTCTCTATTACGAGTCGACCACTTTGAACGCCGCATCTGCCTCGCAGATTGCTCAATGACCATCGCCCCATCTCGACCATAACCACCGAATCGTTAACTTCAACCTCTTCACGATGGATATGTCTATGGGCGGCATGGATATGTCCATGGGCAACATGTCTATGGGCAATGGCATTCCTAGCCTGTTCACCTTCGAGCGCATGTACTGGGCAGTAGTCGGCGCCGCCGTTGCTGCTTTCACTCTTGTCAACTTATACAGCTGGTTTCTGTATCAGCAGAGGTAATTCCATCTGTCGCATTCCTCCTCAGAGAAGCTGTACTTACATATCGCCAGATTACGGTCCACGAGTATGACACCTGCCAAACCAAAGGCCTTTCCTTTCCGGGCCATGGCTACTTGTACCGCTGTCGTACGCGAAGTCGCAAACGCCTCCCTGCCCGTCTTCGCCATCAAGTCTCTTAGGATCCCCTCGCCTACTCTTGGAAGAGCTTCGATCGTCGGCGCAAACATTGTTGTTCTGCTGGTCATGTGTTTCTACAAACTCGACGTCAGCGATCAATGGTCATTCGAGAACATTGGCTATCGCACTGGCTTTGTTACTCTCTGTCAACTGCCTCTACTCTTCCTCCTGGCTGGAAAGCGCAACATCATCGCCGCCCTTATAGGCTCGTCGTACGAGCGTATCAACTGGCTTCATCGCTGGGCCTCGCGATGCTTCCTTCTGACTGCCACTATTCACATGGGCTACTGGTTCGCCGACTGGGCTCCCTACGACTACATTGGCACAAAAGTCCGTACTGATCCCATCACGAAACATGGTGTCATCGCTTGGTCAATCCTGGTCTGGATCACTGTCAGTTCCATGACTCCGATTCGGGGTTGGAGCTACGAGTTCTTCGTCGCTCAACATATTGTCTCCTTCGCCGTCTTCATTGGCTTCGTCTACCTGCACATCCCCGTCGAAGTCAAGCATTGGGTCTGGATCTGCGTTGGCTTGTTCTTCTTTGACCGTGTCGTGCGAGGCTTCTTCTACCTCTACAACAACTTGTCAATCCTGCATCCTGCTCAGCGAAAGGACGGAACCATGGGCAAACTCTGGGCTCTTAACGCCGAGCTCACTGCTCTGCCTAACAACACAACTCGCGTGACGATCAACAATCCTCCTATTTCCTGGCGTCCCGGTCAACACGTCTTTCTTTCTGCTCACTCGCTGGCCCCCATGCAGGCTCATCCCTTTACTATTTCCTCCCTTCCTAGTGATGGCAAGATGGAATTCTTGATACAGTCGCAAAAGGGTGGCACACAGAAATTCTACCGACACGCAGAGAGAATTGGCATGAGCCTTCCTCAAACCAATGGAGATTTGACAAGAGGCAGCTTTACTAGTGTTGCCATCGAAGGTCCGTATGGTCGTATCCGTCCATTGCAACAATTCGACAGCGTTGTACTCCTTGCTGGTAGCTCTGGTGCGACATATACCATGCCTTTACTACGCGATCTTGTCCATTCGTGGAAAGCCATGAGCGGTCAAAGCAAAAGCCAACGTGAGAAGCCAGTGACACGACATGTGAGATACGTCTGGATTGTCAAGTCTGGCCCTCAGCTTAGCTGGTTCTCCACTCAACTCGGCCAGGTCATGGAAGATATCGCTCGGCTCCAAAACGAGGGCCACGATGTGAGCGTTGACATCAGCGCTTACATTACTTGTGACGATACTTTTACGACAGAGCAGAAGACTCTTCTGGACGCCTGGAGATCATACTCAACATCATCGTCTGCCAAACATGGCTCGGTGACTGAAGTTTTGAATTCTGTTGATGATGAAAAATACAACGACTACAAGTCTGAGAAGAAGTTCGTGTCCAAGGATGAAAAGATTGAAGTCCAGGAGCTGGATCGCTACTCGCTATCAGAAAAGGCCGAGCCTACATCAAAACAATCTTGTGGGCCAAATGGCACATGTTGTTGCACCGCCACGATAGAGGATGAAGACGACGACGAAGCCATCAGACCAGCGTGCACTTGTAACTGTGGTGCGGGTCCATCACGAACAGAAAGCTCGGCATCAAGCAACCTGAACGAAAAGCCCAAGCCGAAACAGCCATTCCTACATCCTGCAATCTCCGTCTTTTCAGGTCGGCCAGCTTGCAGGAATGTCATCCGCAAAACGCTCGAGCAGGCTTATGGCGAGAGTGCAGTGGTTGTCTGTGGACCCCAGGGCTTGGTTGACGATGTACGAACGAGCGTTGTCTCGCTTAGTGATGAGAGAGCGGTCCACAAGGGCACAGGCGCTCAAGGCATTTGGCTGCATGCCGAGGCATTTGGATACTGATCTCTTTGTACATAGCATACAGTAGCATGGGACTCTTCTAATATAGAAACGCCGTTATGACCTCCTTCCTACAATGCAATCTCTTTTCTGTTAGCGAATCGACGTGAGCCATCGCGTATACGAGACAGGAAGGATGCGATCGCGTATAAGGTTCGGTGATTCCAAACCACTGTCATCTCTGATGGTTCCGTATCTCGGAAGTACCGAACTTGTGTGCCAGCCTATCCCCAGTTTCCAGATCTTTGCAGATTGATCGACATTTTATGCCGGGATCCGGGCGTTCGGAGCATGTGGTTTGTGCATGTATCTTCAATGGCCATGCATAACCGAAATCTTGATTCAACAACATCAGCTGCTCTCACTCAAGCCATGCATCCTACTCCTCCCTCACTAGCCCTGCTTGACTCTTACAGGGGACCAGAATCTTCTGTTTGTTGTTATGGCTCGCGGTAACTTCTGTCAGTCAAATGTCTCGGTCTTTCTACCAGAGCCGCGTCGGTAGTTCTCGCAAGAATCGCCATACCCGAACAGGTAAACGCCCCGCTTCTGAGGTTTGACTTCTCGGCGCACCATTAGCTGCCGTGGACTATCAGATTCATCATCCTTGGCCCTTGCATCCTTTCGCTACTTGCTGCGAGACGACGTATTTCCCGTTGTATTGGCTGGCTGGGTGGCCGGGATACGCAGATACGTACTATGCAAACTGATCACGAAGAGAGCTGACGTGTGTGACTCCCTGCCTCTCACCGATGTTGACCTTTCCACTCGACATGTTGATAGACATGGGCGAGATCTGCTGAATGACTTGCGGTCAAGCATAGCACGCGGCTACGCAACGGTCAGAGATCCAAGATCTCGCCGTCTCCGAAGCATGGCTCATCCGTGCAAATCCTCTGTGCAGCACGGCAGAGCATGCGTTTCCCAGGTTGCGGCAATGGCACATGTCCACAGAGCTAGACAAGCATAGACTTTTGTGTCCCGGACCAGTCACCGTGCTCTCGCTGACTGCGGAGCCTGGCTGCTCTCTGTGGCGTTCGTCAAATAGGCCGTAAGTGTAAGCGGGACCCTAGAGTTGCATGGGTGTTGCGCATACAAGAAAAGTTTGCCTTCCTTCGTTGTGTATGGTTGGTAATTCTTCATCTTCGATCTTGCTTCTATCTCGGTGTACCTCACTGCTAAGTGTCGATCGAACCCACGAGTGTTCTCACCGTGCCTCACTATTGGAAGATTGACGTCTGCGGGGTCTTTCTATAAGGTCACCTGCACCTGCCTGTCCTATCCGGTCCCGCCGTGTTCCTGAAGCCCGTAAACAACTTTCCCATAATCAAACTCTTCTGGATCAAAACAAGAACCCTTGATACTATCATCATAAGACATGGTCCTCTCACTTGCATACAGACGTCCAAGCCGGGTGTCCGATGGATCCTCGTTTACTTCGTCGAACGAAAAGAGATTGTCTAGCGAAGGTTCATATCATTCCGGAACTTCTGGTCTACCCAAAGGCATCCCGGAAGCACTATCATTTGACCGAATCATCGCTGGCGGTACTTGCCCAGTATGTATCATCGTATCATCAATTCGATGAGCATCTACTGACTGTATTCATCATAGCCATGCACTACCCGCGACTTTATGAACTATCTCAGATATATCGAACACAGCGCTGAGAACCTGCAATTCTACCTCTGGTATAGAAGCTATGTTGAGCGATTCGACAAACTTCCGGCGTCTGAACAGGCATTATCGCCCGAATGGAGTGCTGCTCAGATGGATACAGAGATCACCCAACCGGCTCGCCGTAGGAAGACTCCAGCAGCAATTGCAACGGTGCTACGCGGAACCGACTTTGCCGATACAGTACCTCTGGATGCCGAGAAGCGAGATCCGTTCAACGACCCTCGCAGTGACTCTCCAGAGATGATGAGGACTCCCGCATCACCGACATTCTCGGAGTTTGACTCTTCGTGCATGAGTGATGAGAGACCCGTATCATCACGTTCGGACTTTCAACGCAAGGCTGGTGAAGCCATGGACGATGCTGGTATGAAGTGGAAGCCCTGTACGTACAATTTGTGTCCTTCTTTCCAATGTATGCTAATACATCAACACAGTTACCGCACAACCTTTCCGCGAAGAACTCACCCGTATCATCACAATATTCATCGCTGTCGACGGATCGCGCCAACTCAACCTCTCAGACCGCGAACGCAGCGCAGTACTCCACGCTCTTCAACACACCACTCACCCATCCGCCCTTCGTGCCGCCTTCACCAGCGCAGAATATTCTCTACGCCGCCAGGCCCACCCCAACTTCATCAGATGGACCATCTGCAACGGCAATCGCCCTCGTGTAATCTTCGCCCGTGGCCTAGGCATCTCGTTGATCCTCCTAGGCATTCTCGCAGCTCTCCTCATCACTCTAAGCTCGGCAAGCCGTGCCTACAGAGTCATCCCTATCATCGGACTTATCCTCGGCATCTCCACCCTCATCGCAGCATGGAAGGGAATGTGTGTTGTCCTCCACGGGATGCACCATCGCCACCTCCGCCCCTGGGAGCTCTTCGCCGACCCTGAAGACGCATCTATCAAAAACTCCTCCAGTGATTCCCTGATCGATTCTTCCCCTGTAGCTAAGAGCTATGAGGATGAACCTTGGGTCGCTAGATATGAGAAGAGAAATGTCATTCGTAAGATTTTCGATCGGGAGGTTTGGGTGCAAGAGCCTGCTTTGCGACAGATTCAGGATACCATTTTTGTACAGAGTTTGATTGGTGCGTTTTTGGTTTCTTGTATCATTGTAGGAGTCTTCTGTGCCGTGCCCAAGGGTGGGCTCTTTTAGATAGAGGCGATGGATGAGGAGGAAATTTTAATGTGAATATGGTAATGAATTGTGTTTGATATATGGTAAAGGATTGGAATGTAGATAGAAAGTGGTGGTTGTTTCTCGAAATCAATTACATTTCGTATTTATGACCAAGTATGCTCTCTCTTCCAGCTTATACCTAGCTTCATCAAAACCATCTTGCCTTTTGACAGCAGACAACCTCTTGCAGATGCTTCTCCAGCCGCCATGAATTCGAAATCACAGTCGTCTGGTTTACTGTACCCCTCCACCTCATTCCAACCCCCATTCTTGTCGAGCGGTGCGATAAGCAGTAGATCGTTTACCACTGTGCCCATTTCCGCTATCAGTCTCTCCCCTGATTGAGAATTGGGGATAGCGAGATCTTCAAGTCTATCTATTCCTTCTATCCCACATTTCGAGCACTCGTATCCTCTACCTTCATGCACGAGCATATGCGGTCCACTTTACTCGATTAGACTTGTGCAGCGCTTCTAGATACCGGATGGTTGAGCTCATCTTGCGTATGTGATGGTTCTTCTGGAACATGGTGGAAGGAGAAATACATCGTTTCTCGCCTCGAATGGAGGCGAGCGTCGAGGATAAGAGAAGGACATGTTTGTTTGGATGGGAAGAGTGGTTGTATTGCACATCTCAAAGCACAGAGTACATGCTTTCACACATCCACATCTCATGTGAGACGGTGAAGATGACTCAAAGGACACGACCAACATGAGTGCAACACGAGCACAAGAAACAGCAAACGAGCAGTAAGCAAAAAGAAAACAGAAGTGTAGAAAGAGCCCGTCGCGCGAGGTATACAAAGAACCATCGAGCAAAAAGAAATAGCACCTTGCTTGCAAATGGTCACTCACAAGCAAGGTACCAAAGACCGTGGGCAGGGATCGAACCTGCGACCTCCTGTGCTCATCGGGACCACGTTAGAAGCGAATGACCACGTGCCCGAACTTAACGCAGGTGTGCTACCACTACACCACCACAGCTGAATACTTGCAAGGGACTAAAGATACCTAACATATAAAGATTGGAGGGTGGACAAGGCAGCAGCAGGGTTAGTGGCGGAAGCAGTGGGTATGAGTCAATTGATGACAGTCAGCAGACTTGAGGACAACAAGACCTCCAACATCAGAGAGAATGGAATCTTGGCCAATATGACGGACTTTTGTATTCGGGAATTTACAGGTCGCTTGCAAACATTGAGATCGTGGGTATCTTTTTCATGTCGGGACAAACAGCAAATATGCAAGTGTGGGATTATTGCTGGTTGCAGCCGTCGGCTTCGCTGAGCATATCTTGAGCGGCGTTCATGTCGCCAACAAGGCCAGGCGGAGGTGCTCCAGCTGCTTGCATCTGTTGTGTGTTAGTGACAACTAAGCTGTAAAGAGACAGATGGGGCTTTTACCTGTTGCATCTTATCAACAATGTATTCTCTGTCCTCCTTGTTCTCGTCATTAAAGTCCTTCTTTTCGAATCTGTCGACAATGTCCTTGACGACAGATTGCTGTGTCTTGTAGCGTTCCAGATCCTCTTTTGGAGTTGAGTCCTTGTTCTTTTCTAACCACTCGGGGAAGTTGTCGTGTAGTTCCTTCATGGGTTCGTAAAGGATATCCTTGTTGACGAGTTGCTCCATCATACCCATGAGCATGGAGTTGAAATCCCCTTGGTCACCATCCATGGCAGGGAAGTTTCCTGATTCCAAATCTTTGAGCATTTTCGCTAGCATGTCTTCTTCGGAGGAGCTTGCTGCTGCAGCAGAGGCAGATTGACCGGAAGCCTGCATGCGTTCCATGGTCTTTTCGATAGTCGAGGCAAAGGCAGGTTTGGCGGCAGACGATGATGTAGGAGGGGTAGGAGCTGTCTTCGGCGTGGATGACTTGTCGGCAGTATCTGCTGAGGGGACGGTACCGGCAGCTTCTTGTTCAGCAGCAGCGCTGAGCTCTTTCATCATTTGCTCGAACTGTTTTTGCATTTCCGGGTCTTCCCCCAGACCTCCGAGCAACTCGGCCATGCCGGCTTGTAATTGACGAGCGAAGTCGTCATCTTCTGCAGGCGCTTGTGGTTGGGCCTTGGCCGAAGATGATGTGGTCGGCTGAGCAGTATTCGAGGAAGAGGCGGCGCTAGCGGCAGGGGCAGATTGTTTCTGGTCTTGTATAGAAGCAGTCGAGAAGTCGTCCAGCATGTCATCAAGGTCGGAGAGATCGTCCTCATCAGGGTCCGGAGCCATATCCACGTGTTGTTCGGCTTGTTTGTCTGCCATAGTGTCGATCGAATGGAATTGCAGTGATTCAAGGCAGTGACGATCAAGAAGAAAGCAGGAGTTGGGAGCAAAAGTTCACTGTCGAGTCCTCAGCATGCAGGAGCAAAAGCCGAGGCTCACTCGGACCGCATGCCTTCACAAGGAACCCGTCACCGTCAGCGACCGACATTGCGGGGTCTTGTTTGCTCCGTTTGACTGCTTGATCGTTGATCGTTGATCGTTGATCAGATTAGACAAGGCGGCGCGACAGTTGTGAAGCAGCACAAAGCACAAAGCCCTCTCTTGTCTCGTTCACTTGCAACAATCGCTCGCCTTGTCGCGTCTTGATCCAACCCTCCGCCTTAGCTTGCCCTTACACCCCGTCAACATCCCCGTCTCCGAAACACTACGCCACTCACACCACCCGTCATAACTGTCTCACACCATGTCGCTCTGTACAAACCGTCTCTCCGAGGAGAGAAAGCAATGGCGCAAGGATCACCCCTTCGGCTTCGTCGCAAAGCCCGCAAAGAACTCGCAGGGTGGTCTTGATCTCCAGAAGTGGGAATGCTCTATTCCTGGCAAAGAGAAGACTCTCTGGGCCGATGGCTTGTTCAAGCTCGAGGTTCAGTTCCCTGATGAGTACCCTACCAAGCCCCCAAAGTGTATGTGATCCTCTCACTCTACCCCACCGATTCTACGACTGACACACCTCTAGGCAAGTTTGTTCCTCCTCTCTTCCACCCCAACGTCTACCCCTCCGGCACCGTCTGCCTTTCCATTCTCAACGAAGAGGAAGGCTGGAAGCCCGCTATCACCATCAAGGAGATTCTTCTCGGCATTCAATCTCTGCTGAACGAGCCCAACCCCGAGTCGCCCGCTCAAGCTGAAGCCTACAACCTCTTCCGCAAGGATCGCGCTGCCTACGACAAGAAGATCAAGCAGGTCGTCAGGGATAACCCGGCTCCTTGAAAGCCTCACCCATCGGCTATCTATGCCTATTTACTCTACGATAACGACTCACGTTCTCAAGACACTCAAAAACATGCTATAAGCGAGGAGTTGGAGGGAATTGGGAAATCACTGCTACGTCGAGAATCAGGAAGAGGTTTCAAGGTTGTTGATAATGTACTTCATTCGGGCTCGCTATAAAGAGGGGCCTAGCAGATTCACTTCTACGACGACGAAGCCACCAGTTTTCCCAGAACCTCTGCCACCTGGTCCGGCTTTTCCACCATGGGCAGATGGCCAGCTCCCTCGATCTCGACACATTCGGCGCCATTGCTGCCGTATCTGGCAGCCATGTCCTTCATAGTCTTTGGCAGAACTCCATCTCCACTGCCAACCACAAATACACCTTTAACTTTTCCATCCTTCATGCGCGGCTGGAAGTTGTAATCGCACAGTGCCTCCACACTCTTCCTGAATCCTTCCAGACTGTTGTTGATGACCATCTGCTTGACCCTTTCGCATTCCTTTTCCATGTCACCTCCATCGTAGCTTTCCTTGACAAACCATCTTCTGACCGTAACTTCGGCAAGTTGTTCTCCTACGATAGTCTCGTTCTCTTCTCCACGAGCATTTTCTGATTCGCACATGGCGACTCTTTCGCCCCATGCCTTTCTGTTGACTTCGGGGTTCTTGTCGTTGGTGTCGCAGGCGATGAATGAGCCAATTCTGTCAGGATAGGTCAAAGCAGCGTTGAGAACGGATGCTCCGCCCATGCTGACACCGATGATGGAGGCGGCCTTGGGTACCTTGAGTGCGTCGAGCAAGGAGATGATATCTGATGCCAGAACGTCCATGGTGACGAGCTTCTCGCCAGCCTTGCTTGTGCGGCCTCTGGTGTTGTATCTCAGGATACGGTATTGGCTGTTCTTCGCCAGGAAGGACTCTACAAAGCGATCCCAGATGCCGTAGGAGGTCAAAATGGAGTTGCTGAGCACAATCAAAGGTGCATCGGGGTTTGTCGAGCCCTCAAGTCTGTAGCCGAGCTCTGCACCATCTGAAGTTGTGATATAAGACTCGACGGCACCGCCATCGTTGCCAGTAGAGAAAGTCCTGGTCTGTGTAGCCGGACTCTCCCACTTTCTGAATCCTGCAAGAGCAAAGTTTTGGAGATCGCGAGGAGCAGGACCGAAGGTGTAGTAGAGCTCATACTCACGTCTGACCTTCTCGGCCACGAGGTTCGTCATGATATCCTTGGCCCAAGGAGTCTCAACTGCAGCCTTGAACTCGTCACCACCAAGTCCGTTCTCCGGAGCATATTCATGCAGAGCCATATACTCGACTTCATCCTTGTTATCGATGGCAGCAGTGACGTAACGTCTCGTACGCAACCAACCCTTGACCTTTGCCAACATATCAATATGCTCCTCTTCATACCATTTATCCAACTCTTTGCCATCTTTCCCTTGCTTCAATGACAGTCTCACAGAAACCATCACATTGCCTCTCCCATAATTCTCAATCTTCTCCAATTTCTTAAAGTCCGCAGCTTCCCTACTGCTCACCAGATCATAACTTCTCCTATCGATATCAACACTAGGGCGGATATCTCTTTCCCTTTGCGTTTGAATGGGAGCACCGCGGAGAGCGAGGTAGGGTTCGGCATTGAAGGCGTCCATGTCATCGGTATCGTAGATGGCCATCCATTCGTGCTTGCCCTTGCCTTCTGAAGTGGTGGTGTCACGGGCGCGGTAGCGGAAACCGTTGTGGATGAAGGGGAGGCGAAGGCGATTGGGACCATGTTCGTTATTATACCAGTCGTGGAATTCGGCTGCTGGGAGGGAGGCCGAGGGTTGCATGGTAACATACAGGATTCCCGGTGTTCTTGCCATGATTGCGTGTGTGGTTTCGTACTCGTTTCCTTCTTGTCTTTGGTTTTTGGATCTTGGAGTAAGAAGTATCTGGAGGACTTATCTGGCGAGAGAGAAACAAAAAATCATGTCCGTCTTTCTTGAGGTCCAATTCTACACTCCCGAGTCGGGTAGCCGACTACCTACGGCGTGAGCTTGAGCATCCCGAATGACGATGCCGTTGCTCCCCGAAGACAAAAGATCTGGTCCGTGAGATGAGGGGTAGTGGGGTCGTCCTTTTGCTACGGCAGAGGTAGCGGCACCGGGACACGCGTTCTCAAAGTGTTCCATACAAATCTCGAAGATGGAAGCAGGGCAACCCTGGCTCAGGGTTCCAGTTGCATTATCTTGTCTAGTATGACCATCTCGGGCACGTGAGTATTAGATTAGCTTTGTTAAACGTTTGTAGCCCTACGGGACCTGCAGCAACTGATAAAAAGATGTAACAGTCACTTCGGACAGGATCAATATGCATGCAATTATGTTTTGCTAATTGTGGGAAACAACTTAGAGATAGAGTATTCTTAGAACCCTCCACATCCGGTAAAGCCGTATTCTGTTAGCAGATTCCTGGTGGCCATGAACGTAGCAGAGAAGAACAAACATGAGATTGTGATGCCTGAGCAATAGCTTTCTCTGCATGGAAAATGTGAATAAAGCACAAATATATTATGCGATTGTATAAAATCCGATCAGGAGTTCGGAGGAGATCGGCGGCGTTGCAAGTCGACCATCGGGCGTGGAGTTAGCGTCATGCAAGTCGAGGCTTCCAGGGTCCCTGTATTTTTTCGAAGAGGCGGCAGTAACATTCTTTGCGACACGATGCGATGAAAGGAACGTTTGGATGGGCTCATTTGTTCAGGTCTGCGGCAGGGAAAGCGCCGTGGCACCCGCGACCAGCCTCACACCAATCCTGGACCTCCCCTATACGACCCAGTGATGTCCTCAACAAGCGCGCATATGCCACAGGGGCCGCTCCGACAAAGGCCAAAAGGTCTCGAACTCGCCTCTACGTTGTAGGTGGCATTGTCGTCGCTGCTGCTGGTGCTGTGGCTGTCAGCGACGATGCACGATACGTCTGGATCGCTGCTCAGCGCACTGGTAGAGTGGTCAGCACTCTTGCCCTCAATATCAACGACTACCGCCGTACCCTAAACCAATATGACGCCCTCCCCGAACCCGACTACCAGGCTCTCCTCAAGGCTTGTCATCAACGCTGTGCCGAGCGTACCCTGGTTGTGCTGCAAAAGAATGGTTCTATCTTCGTCAAGCTGGGACAGCACCTGAGTAGCATGAACTACCTTCTGCCCTCCGAGTGGTGTGATACTTTCATACCATTGCAAGATCAATGTCCCGTCTCCTCCATGGAGAGCGTCGAGGCCATGGTGCTGAAGGATACCGGAAACACACTATCCTATTACTTCTCCGAGTTCGAAACGAATCCAATTGGCGCAGCATCGCTCGCTCAAGTCCACCGCGCGACCCTGCGCGAGACTGGTGAACGGGTTGCTGTCAAGGTTCAACATCCTGCTCTCGACGAGTGGGCTACTCTCGATCTGGCTCTTACCCGCTTCACCTTCCGTACTCTCAAACGCTTCTTCCCGGAATATGACCTGACTTGGTTGAGTGATGAGATGGACCAGAGTCTGCCTAAAGAGCTGGACTTCGCTCTTGAAGGTTCCAACGCTGAGCTCGCCCGCAAATACTTCGCCGAAGTCGCCTATCTTCCTGTTGTCATTCCTAGGGTTCATTGGGCTCAGCGACGTATTCTTGTAATGGACTTTGTGACTGGCCGTAGACCTGATGATCTTGCCTACCTAGATGCCAACAATATCGACCGCGACGAGGTTTCTGCTGCGCTTGCTCGCATCTTCAACGAGATGATCTTCGGGAAGGACGCCCCGTTGCACTGCGATCCCCACGGTGGAAACATTGCTATTCGCTTGAACAATTCTAAGCGTGCGCCCAACAATTTCGATGTCATCCTGTATGATCACGGTCTATACCGTGTGCCAGACAACGCTCTTCGTCGCAGTTACGCCAAGTTATGGCTCGCTGTGCTGGACGCCGATGAGCCACGCATGCGCCAATACGCGAAGGAGGTTGCCGGTATTAACGATGAGCAATTCCCTCTGTTCGCTTCAGCAATCACTGGTCGCGATTACCGCGTTGTTACAAAGAGCGTTGCTACATCTCGAACCGATGAGGAGAAAGAGGCCATCTCAGATGCGTTAGGCGATGGCATGCTGGAACAGCTTGTTCAACTCTTGGGTCAGGTCCCTCGTGTCATTCTCCTCATCCTCAAGACCAACGATCTTACACGCAGTCTCGACGAGAACTTGCACACCCGCCAAGGACCCGTCCGCACCTTTATGATCCTAGCACGTTATGCCGCTCGTGCCGTTTACGAAGAGAAGATGGAAATATTGGCCGCTGCTGGTTTCGGTCCCAGAAGACTCTGGCGCAGATTTACCGCCTGGGCTGACTTTGCCCGCATCGAGTTCAAGCTTTCTGCATTCGAGACGTGGCTTAACATCAAGAGGCTCTTGGGCATGCAACCTACAGTCATCTAGTAGCCAAGATTGTAAGGCGTTTTGTATTAACCTGAGCGATGGCGTTTTTTGTTTTTCTGTTTCCACCTGGGATGGAAGTGTTTTGTTGCATTGGTTTATAGACATTGGGCCTCGATCTCGGCCTTGTAAGTAATAGATCACTTATTCTATGTTTCTACTGTCACGACTTTTCAACAACTTAAGCGATGCTCGACTATTGTCTTGGTCTTCGTATCACTAATAGAGGTTCAAGCATAATAAGCTATGAATCCGAAGTGTCAAGGACAATGAAGCCTCTCGAACCTTCAAGCCTTCGTATCCACATTGCTGTTTCAGCGAGCACTGGTCAAGGAAGCGAGCGTTCGTGAAGTTGAAGATATCGCAGATATCGTGATATTTACAGGATCAGCATGACTCGACCTCAGAGCAGAGTACAACGCAGCATGCCCAGCTCTTGGCCGAAAACATTCAAATCATATATATCTGACTGGATGCAAAAAGTAGGTGTCTATATCTCTGATCGCATGCAAGGGGAAGTCAAAGCGGGCGGCAGCAGCCGGGGTTGATGTGTTTCAGCCAGCCTCGTCAGAAACCGATTCGGATTCAAGCGAGGTTTAACCCCTGAGGGTTTGTCCTTGTACCTCAACTTGCGACCCACAGCCGCGTTTCAGGAGGCAACCCGCAGCGGCTAGTAGGTGACTGGGCGTCTTGCAAATCTGGAGTCTGAAAACCTGTATGGTGAGACGGCTGCGTGCTTGGCTTTGAGCAATAGATTAAAGGTATATGGAGATTCTCTGCTTGTTTGATCTTGCAAGTCACAAGCTGCCTCATCTCTGCGAGACAAGAGATACTCGAAACACTTGGCTACTGAAGCCAAGACGGTAACAGCGCAGCTCGACAATGAAGAGGTTGATGCCGGTACCTTGTTGTGCGACCTCAATAATGTCTTGCTCAACCAACGTGAGCATGCAAGGTTGGCCAAACCGGATCTTTCCTGGATTGCAATTGGTTCAACGAAGCAATTGTATCTGAAGATCAAATCAGGTCAATTCAGACAGCGTGTAACTATCATTCATGATCAATGACAAGAGTTCCCCTTACGGTCGCTGACGTGCCGAGCCGTCGCATAGTCAGTCGCGCTCGGAGAGGTGAAAACAGAAAATCGAGGATCTTGTGGTTTGCTATGCTTCTCCATCGGTCATGCATGTCATAGGTTTCATGGTACTTTGATGCACTTCCCTCGCGCTGTTGAGCGAAGCCGCCCCGTGCGTACGCAAGCACCTACCTTACCAAGACCTGTCTTTCCCCTTAGTTTGGCCTTTGTCCTAAACAATAGTTGGAGACCCAAAGGTGTGTAAGCGAAGCGGGTGTTCAAAGTGTCTGGACCAAAAGGCATGTAGTGATTGGAAAGAGACAGACGCCGTCTGTGGGTACATACAAAAGTACTGTTTCGCCCTCATCTAAGTGATCGGCCTCCTCTCCTTCCACGTCCTATTGTCCACACTTCCTTCCTTTTGTGCTTTGCGCTCTTTCTATTCTCCATCTTCGGACAATCTCATTGTCGCGTAGATCTGACTGCTTCGGTTCAGTCGTTTACACTCTTTTCTTCTCTCTCTTCTGATAATCCCTCTTCACGTTTGAAGGAATTCGCAATTGATCATCAGCCACTCATTACCGCAATAATCTGATCAACATGCATCATACATTCGCTCTTCTCCTGGTGGCTATCCTGGCCACGGTTGCGCTGGCCGCACCGACTGCCAAACAGGCCACTGCACAAACACTCTCTAAGCGCTCCTTCACCATTCCTCGAATTCGAAAGACTGGCTATGTCCGTAAGCCCTCAGAGGCTATGGGTCGTGCCTACCGCAAGTTCGGCTGGTCAAGAACCACTCCTGACGGATCTCCATGGATTGCTGTTTCCAAGACTCCCACGACCACAAGCTACGACGCAGATACCTCCTCTTCCGATACCACTTCTGATGTCAGCGATGAGTCTTACACTGCTCCCAAGACTCACGCATCTGCTAAGGTCAAGACTTTCCTTGCCGCAACTCTCTCCTGGGGTGTCTCGGCTCCTGCTACGTCTTCCGCCGCTCCTGCTGCTGAGGAGGAGGACGACGAGACTGGAGAGGTTATCGCTACGCCTGCTGACAACGGCGCCGAGTACCTTTCTCCTGTCACTGTTGGTGGACAACAGCTTAACTTGAACTTTGATACCGGCTCCTCAGATCTGTATGTGAAGCAATCATCAAAAGAGAGGACAGCAAGCTAACAATTTCGACAGTTGGGTCTTCAGTACTTCCCTTACCAGCGCTCAGATCGGAGAGCACAGTGCCTACAATTCGTCAAAAAGCTCAACTTACCAAGAACTCGATGGTTACACCTTCAGCTTATCCTACGGTGATGGCAGTGGTGCCGCAGGTATCGTTGGTACTGATACTGTCGACATCGGTGGTGCAACTGTGACTCGTCAAGCTATTGAATTGGCCACTTCGGTCTCCAGCGCTTTCGTCTCGGACGCCGACTCGGACGGACTAGTCGGTCTTGCTTTCTCTACGCTCAACTCGGTGTCACCTAGACCGCAGAAGACCTTTTTCGATAACATCATGTCTGAGTTGGCCCAACCCGTCTTCACAGCAGCTCTGGACCTCGATGGAAGTGGCACCTACGAATTTGGCACCATCGATGCGTCCAAATTTACTGGCAACTTGATGTTCACTCCTGTCAACGCCAGCTCTGGATTCTGGCAATTCGACAGCAACAGCTACAGTGTTGGCGGCAAGACGGTCACGAGAAGCAATGCCACACCTGCGATTGCCGACACTGGTACCAGTCTTCTCTTGCTTGACCCCGAGGTTGTTCAGGCATATTATGCTCAGGTTCCCAGCGCTGTATACGACAGCACCACTGGCGGCTATGTTTATGATTGTTCGGAGGACCTGCCTGAGTTTGCAGTGGCTGTCGGAGACAACTACATGGCCAACATCCCTGGCTCAGGCATCACATTCGCACCAGTCAGCTCAAAGACTTGCTTCGGTGGTATCCAGAGTAATTCGGGCAGCGACCTGCAGATCTTCGGAGATGTTTTGCTCAAGCATCACTTTGTTGTGTTCCACGGAGAGTCGGAGCTTCTGGGTATGGCCGCCAAGGCCGAGTAGATATAGCACGGATTAAAGGCAAAGGGATTGATGAATAAAGCAAGACATAGCTAGCGACAGTAATGCAAAGGACTCTTGGTAGGCAACGGTGTTAATGATAAGTGAAGGATGAAGTGATGTGTATGGCTGGTCTTAACGCCTCGTGGAGAAGTTGGCGGCTCGGCTTATCTTTGGGCGGCGGTATGATTGGATGGACGGCTACGAGGAAACTGGTCCGATAACGCAAAGCATATGCGAGCACAAGAAGCACCAAGTTTGTCAGCATGCCATCGAGGGCCAGGATGTTGTCTTTCACTATGACCGAGCACGACGCAGAATGCACCATCGCCGCTGACTAGTAAGGCACACAAATCCGCCGAAGACAGAAACGAACAACTCCTCGGAGCCGGCCAGCATACCGCGGGGTACCTGAATATCGATCAGCGGCAATCCATATGACAGCTTTGTGAGGTCGATGGAACCGCAGCAGCAGCAGCCGCCGCAATCACGCCCGGGAGCGGAGGCACCAGCGGCCCAGGAATCGACCAATGCCACAGCGAAGGCGACGACGGCCAAATCACGCGCTCGCCATCGACGGAAAGAGAAGGACGAAACCGCTTCAGGGACTGCTGAAGATGACTCGAACAAGCGACGATGTGTGAGCTCGGCCTGCGTGGCATGTCGCAAGAGGAAATCGAAATGCGATGGCAATACACCCGCATGCGCCGCCTGCTCTCAGGTCTACGGCACTGAGTGCATCTACGACCCCAACTCGGATCATCGCCGTAAAGGCGTCTATCGAAGCGACGCCGACTCGATAAAGACTCGAAACTCGACCCTTCAGACGCTCATTCACGCCATTCTCAACTATCCCGAGGAAGATGTACCGGACCTGGTCCACGAGATGAGGACATGCGAGAGCTTGGACAAAGTTGCCGAAAGGGTTGTTGCTCGCGAGCAAGGCCTAGACCTGGACGATTCCGATGACCAGCAAGAGGATCAACACATACCAAATTCTACACACACCTCGTCATCCTCGACTGCGACACCACAGTTCGAGAAGCAATTGTCGACACGCGTAGGCGAGCTGAGACTCGACGATGGCTCAGTTCGATACATTGGTGGCACTTCAAATCTGCTGTTCATGCAGTCGGACAAGGAGTCTCAAGCCTCATCAGTATCGGATGCATATCCCCAGCAAGAGAATCCCGTCACATCATGGACCAACCAGACTGCGGATCCTGAGCTGGTCATGCATCTGGTCAACATGTACTTTACATGGCACTACACTTTCTTCACATGCTTGCCCAAGCACCTCTTTCACCGCGACTTCATGCGAGGAAGACCACCACCCGATACCCGGCGAAAGACTGAGTACTGCACTCCGCTACTGGTAAATGCTATACTCGCCCTAGGTTGCCATTTCACATCATTACCTGGCGCTCGCGAAAACCCAGAAGATTCAGCCACTGCTGGTGACCACTTCTTCCGCGAGGCCAAACGGTTGATCATGGATAACGATGAGTACGAAAGGCCCAAGATGACCACCGTCCAGGCTCTAGCACTCATGAGTGTACGCGAGGCCGGCTGTGGCCGAGAAGCCAAAGGCTGGGTCTACTCAGGCATGAGCTTCCGCATGGCTTGTGATATGGGCTTAAACATCGACTCTTCGGGCTTGGCCCATGGCACTGACCGTGCTATTGATTCCGAAGAAGAAGACGCTCGACGGATCACCTTCTGGGGATGTTTTCTGTTCGACAAGTGCTGGTCAAATTACTTGGGTCGTCTACCACAATTGCCTAGTTCAGCCATCACTGTGCCCAAGTTTGACGTCTTTCCAGGCGAAGACAGTGCCTCTTGGGCGCCATATACTGATTCGGGCTTCATGAGCGCCCGCGCTCAGCCTGCACGTACACGCACAGTGGCCTTGCAGATATCCGTTCTGTGCGAAATCAGTAATGACCTTATGCGACATTTCTACAACCCGAGCGACATGGACAAGAGTCGCGGTCGACAGGCGGAACTCAAAATGTTGAGTGATATCCACACCCGTCTCGAGACGTGGCGTCGCAACCTGCCGGCTGAGATGGAGCCCAAGGAAGGCGGTCTCAGTAGTGTGTTGACGATGCACATGTTCTTCCAACTTCTTTTCATTCACCTCTTCCGTCCCTTCCTCAAGTACAATCAGAGCACATCACCGCTACCGGCAAATGTCAGTCCACGAAGGTTGTGTACACAAGCTGCCGCCATGATCTCAAAACTCATGCGTCTGTACAAGCGATCACACGGTTTGAGACAGATCTGCAATGTGACTGTCTATATTATGCATTCGGCATGTACCATCCATCTGCTGAATCTGCCAGACAAGAATGCTCGTCGCGATATCATTCACGGCATCAAGCATCTAGAAGAGATTGGAGAGGGCTGGCTTGGCGCACGTCGCACATTGAGCATTCTGTCCGTCATGGCGAGAAAGTGGAAGGTCGAGCTACCTGAGGAAGCAGCGACTGTACTCGCACGTGCCGATGCCAAGTTTGGCGCCCATGGCACAGATACACCAAGCCCAATGGCGCGACGAGAGTCCATCATGACAATGATGGGAGCTTCAGAAGCCCAGCCAGCACAAAGAGCGCAGCAACCAATGTCACAACCACGCGCTGCCTGGACACCGGCACAGCAAGCGATGCTCGCCAATTCTTCTGCTCCCATGTATGGGCAGGTCCCGTTCAATGCTGCACAATCAGCTGCAAGCCCATTCAGCCTACCTCCTCAATCAGCTTCCGATCTACGTGCAACGAACTACCCGTCCTCACAATCTACGCCCTTCACGAACGGTCTACAACCCATCAACTCTGCCGAATCACCGGCGGGAACCTACACCGCCGCAGCAAGCCCATCAGACATGTTCGGTGGTGTCGAGCAACTACTACGCGAAAGTCAAGATTGGGTCTTCCGCGACCAAGCACAACTGGCCTCAGGCTTTGGGAACTGGGGCGGGCTCGACATGGGTGTTGCATCTTTGGGCCAGAGTCCAGTCAATACGGGGCCGGCTCTCGGGGCATACCCATCTGGTGCTGGATACGCTTCTGTGATTGGTAGTGTGGGGATTGGAGGACAACAGCAACAACAACAACAATCTCAGCAGCAGCAACAGGATGGATTTGAGACTATGACGAGTTATGATGAGAGGGAGTGGTATCAATGAGCTCTATATCAAGACCATACAATTGAACCAGCATTTGCCATTTAAGCTTCCCTTGTCGCCGGTTTTCCTAGATCACTTCCGATGAAGACCACCTCCACAGCCGCAAATGCTGCCGTCGACGCCGCTATCTCCAACCTTCTCGCATTCGTACATGTTGCAAGCACAAGAGCAAACAAAATGGTGAATCCTGCCATTGCACCAATCCGACCTCCCTCTGTTTGTATGAAGTACAATGCTACGATTGAGATGATGGGCATTGCGGCTCCGATCACGCTTATCAGAATGTTGTTGAACTTCAGGAGACCTTCTTGGCTGTAATGCATCGTGCCGTCGTCGGGATTGATAGTTTTCCGAAATCTGCTTTTCCGTAGGGAGGGGGAGCTTGATGCAAACGTACGCAAACCATTCCAGATATCTAAAAGTGAAGACGATAGTATCTTGGAGAAGACGTCTTGCTCCTCTGTCGTCGTCTGGAGTGTCATGAAATCTTTGTCCAAAAGTCTCTTCTCGCTGGTTGAACTGTCGTCTGATGGATTCCACGTGTATTGCTCACTGCCTCGTAGAAAGTGATCACCCTCACCCGAATGGTCAAGCCAATCGCGTAGGAAGTTGATATCAGCAGATGGTGGTGAAGGCAACGCTGAGATTGCTGATGCTTGTATCACCGCGTTATCTATTTGATGTCAGTACTACAATCAAAGACTATTGAAAGAGAACCACCATACTATACTCTTGAAGTTTCTTCCTTATCTCGAGTAGCATCTCATTTTGCACGCTATTCTCGGACCTCCTGAGCTTGCGAAAATAGGTCGAGAACTCTTGTTCATCCAGATCACTAGAGGCATCATCCTCGGCCCAGATGTCGCGGAACTGCACCTGAAGGTCAACTAGCTCCGCTTGAAGACTCAATAGGTTCACTATGTTCAGCGCGGCGAATCGTCTGAAGATGGCGATCTCTGGGTACTGGCCCATGAGATCGGCAACGCGATGGTAGCCTCGTGGCTCTTGTATAAACATTGGTATTGACATCGAGATCTGAATACTGGATGCGGTAGGAATGGAGAATGTCAGGACTCGAGACTCCGTCCAAATGATGGAGGTCGACCGATTGGAGGGGTTTCGATTGTGATCTACAGCCAATACCGTGTCGTTCCTAGACGCCGTGGCTTATCGAGCGGGCTGTGCCCAGTGGTTGCTTCCAGGTTCCCGTTCCACCTCATTTCTGATCTCTCAGCTACGGATCAATCATCGAGATTTCGCTTGGGGAACAGTTCTACCATTCGATTAAGCGCTGCAATTCTTTCAGCATGGCAGATGTGGCAGGAATGATCAGCGACATCGTGGGTGTCATGCAGAACTGGACGAACGCGGTGAACGCCATGAAAGCAGCCCCGGAAGTCTACAAGACGCTTCTCCAAGAATACCTGTCATGTATGGGTGTCCTAACGAACTGTTTGGGTATCTTCCAGATGGTGAGAGAGGACACAATACCAGGGACTGTTTTTCAAGCTGCTGCGAGTTGCGCAAGCCTGGGATCCGAGCTAGCGTCTCCCAAGGAGATCAAAGAGGCAAGCACGAAGCAACGAATTCGACTTGCGAAGGTCGACTGGGACAACCTCAAAGCACGATACGAAAGGTTTAGGAGCAGTGTAAAGATTTTACATGACCTTGCTCAAAAGTGAGATATCCTAAACGCGTATCTAGACTCTACCGAAAGCTAATGGTCCCAAATTAGTCTACTAGCAAGGCACCTTGTGGAAGGCCAGACGCAGCTTCAAGATACCTTCGACAGACAGACCGTTGTACAAACTCTTCTCCTCAATCAAGACACCGCACGCGACGATAGATTTGGTTCGTCTTTTGCCCTCTCTGGATTCGGCAGCTGCCCTTTCATTGGGATGATGAAAGATGATAGTTCCTCTATACAGGATTTTTTTAGTCGATCTGGACGTCATATCAGACCGGATTGGCATTCTAGCGTCTCTGATGCTACTTCCTTCACTATTGGGCAGATGTCTATGGCGACTTCTGTAAACACTCAACATCATTTTGCGCGAGGCATCGGTAGCAGGGACCCTGGATTAGGTATCGACTTGAGCATAACCGATAGCACTATTACCGTGACACACGAAGACAAACCCCGATACATATCCGCTCGAGCGAAGTACGATACTGGGAGCGAAGTCAACTTCACCTCTTCTGAATTCGTAACAGAAAACGGACTCACGCCACTTTTGAACAGACTCGAGGACCCAGAGATCTTTGTTGGGCTGAACAATCAAGAATACCATGTAAAGCATACAATCGTCCTACACTGGTGCGGTTCAAGAATGCACAAAGTGCGGACTACAACGTTCTTTGTGGCCGACGAGGTTCCGTATGACATTCTTCTAGGCAACGAGTTCATTCTGCGCAACCGCGTCTTCGACCCGCAGCGAGCAGCTCTAGCTCTCAGACATAAATACCGCCACTCTGGTAAGCTTTAAGATATGATCGGATCGGATCGTCAATCCGTTGACTTTCAGATCAGCTCAACGCGAGGACGACGAAAAACAAAGGCAACAACATCAGGCACTTGCCGCACAAGAACATCAACGTACCAGAGCTGAGGATGCTCGTCAACGTGCTTTGGAGAGAGAAGCTAAGAAAGCGGCGAAGCTCCAAACGTCTGCATCATCAATGGGGTCGAGTCACCTTGGCGGCCAACCAGGAAGCACGCCATCAACAATTGAGCCATCTCTTGGTACTTCCACTAGCATTGATCCCATCGCACAGAGATTAATGACCATGTTGACGAAGGACTTGATGATCCGGAGCGGGACCCCTTCAATAGACGGTTCGTAGTAACATCGCACAGAGCTTAATACAGGAATTTGGACATTACAGTCTACCCACAATCACCTGCTATTGATCCTCGACACTCACCTATAGTATCAATACGGACAGGGCAACCGTTACCGTTGAATAACTTGCCATACACTCGGCATGTTGCTCAATACCAGATAAACCAGCATGTTTGCGGCGGAAATCACTCACAGCTCTCGTGTGCTTAAGAGTCGCGTCGGACCCAGGAAGGAATAAGCAAAGGGCTATAGGAACGGACTAGGAGAAGGCTATCAATCTACTTGGAATGGTCTTGACATACCCAGAGCTCGTGCCAAACGGCCAACAAAACCTCTGCTCCTACCGCCAACTCAAACATCCCTACGAAACTAGATACATATTCGGCTACAATGTTGGTCACCCCCTCGCCTGGGAAGGACCCGAGTGGGCCAGGAAAAGTGGAGGCACTCCTGAAGAAATCAAGGCTAGACTATCCGCAGAGCAGTGAAGGGAAGTGGAAACGGAGGTTGGATGTCCACTCAAACATTCTATCGCTATCCAGCGTCTTCAAGCGAAGATCGAGGGAAGGGGAGAAACTTGAGCTTCTCTAGGAGAAGTTGATAGTTGTGGAGATGGAATCAATCATTGGACGATGATGAGAATATTACCGAGGCATAGATGGCCACCACCGTTAATAAATGTCTCCGCTGCTGAATGGACAGTGACGGGAGCAAGAAAAAGAGAGTTAGCAACTGTCATAGAAAGAATATTGATAAAAAGTTGAGTTGTTTTGCATAGAAGAAGACCAATAAATTATATACAGGAGGTCGAAAGAAAAAAGAAGAAAGAAGAAACAGCTATTTCGCAAGTGCCAACTACTAGTCATAATCGTGCCAGACTCTGCCACTTCCAAATGTGGTCCTTGCCGGTTTTTCCAATTGGGTCGAGAAGTTCCAAGCAGTTTACTTGGAGGTGTCGAGGACGTAGCGACCAGCGATTTGTCCCTTGTGCATCATGTCGAAGACCTTGGGCAGCTCCGAGAGACCGACGGTCTTGAAGGGAGCCTTGATCAAGCCCTGACGGTAGAACTCGATGGCTTCGGCGGTATCTCTGCGGTTGCCGACGTAGGAGCCCTTGATGGTGATCATTCTTACGACAGACTCGAAGACGGGAGCCTTGAGGAAGGCACCTGCGGGCAGACCGATGCAGACGACGGTACCACGAGGGCGGACGTACTGTGTTGTGTTAGATTGTGATCATAGGAAATCGATTGAAAGCTCGTAGCATACCTCAGCAGCCTGTTGGAAGGGCTTTTCGGAGACGGCAAGAAGGATGACGGCGTGGGGACCAAGGCCGTCCTCGGTGGCAGACTGGACATCCTTGACGACATTCTTGCTCTTGCCGAAGTCGACGAAGGCGTAAGATCCGAGCTCCTTGCACATCTTCTCCTTGTCGTCTCCAGAATCAATGGCAATTGTGCGGATGCCCATGGCCTTGCAGTATTGCTGTGCGAGAGAGCCAAGACCACCACCAGCACCGACAATGGCGACTGTCTGGCCAGGGCGAACACCGGACTCCTTGATACCCTTGTAGACGGTAATACCGGCGCACAGAACGGGGGAGACTCCGTCGAGTGGGATGTCCTTTGAGAGTCTGGCAACATGCGCGGCCTTGGCGACGGCGTATTGTTGGAAGGATCCGTCGACAGTGTAACCCGAGAGCTGTGCCTTGGGGCAGAGAGGCTCATCTGCTTGCATGCAGAAGTCGCAGGAGAGACATGTGCCATTGATCCACTGTAGATGTCGGTCAGCCAGGCTAATTGGAGTTGAGAGCATGGATACATACCTTGATACCAACGTGGTCGCCAATCTCAACTTCACTGACGAGTTCACCGCGGCCAACGACTACACCAGCACCCTCGTGACCACCAACAAGAGGCATCTTGACGGGAAGAGGCCAGTCGCCGTTCATGGCGTGGAGGTCGGTGTGGCAGACACCAGTGAACTTGACATTGATGAGAACCTCATCGGGGCCGGGCTTGGGAACGGGGATCTGCTTGTATTCAAGCTCGCCGCCGACCTTTTCGCAAACTTGTGCCCATTGCATCTCGGGGATCTGAGGAGCCGACATTGTGGATTGATATCTAGTTGGACTAGAAGGTGAGAAGGTAGAAGGTGGTTGTGGTTGATGGGAGGATTGTTTGTATTGCTTGGTGAAAGGAAGAGTGAATGCCAGGCAAGAGCAAAGTACTTATGTCTTCTTGAGCTTTCTGAGCTTGAGGCAGGCCCGAAGTGAGCTCACCCCACCTTCATAGAGGGGTCAATGTGCATCGGTTGGAAGGGAGCTATTCGGCGCCGTGTTCTGCAGGCTCCCATTGAGCTCGCGCGGTAGTCCGGAGCTAAGTCATGCCTGCATGGAGTGGCAGGAGATCTCACACTTCCGGGCGTAAGTAAGTCACGAAACAGTCACCACGAACTAGTGGCGTGGTGGTGCTGTTTCCTGCTATTCCTATAAGGGCCGATATAACGGCCTCATTATTACCGTACACGGTCCGAATCAACCGACGAGTTCACGGAAGCTGCTCGCTGAACAACACCTTGGTTGGGAAGGAATCGAAAGATCTAAATCCTGACGTCTCACGTTTGCGGCGTCTGCTGTCATGGCGTGACCAAAACGCGGACATTTTTCAACGCCCCGATCCCGAATGCTGCCGCAATGGCAAGACAGAACACCGCAAAACTCACAGAGGTGTCTACAAGCATCAATTGATGGTGGATTGGACAGAAGAAGCTCGAGTAGGAACGCTGTAAACAACGTCACAAAAAATGTTGGACACAGGGTCATGCCTTAGTTTGGCAACCCTGCCGGTCTCCGACCCCAGTTTCAGGACGAGTTCACTGCCCCGCGTGGGGCAGTGAACTCATGGGTACGGCGGGGTATCAAACCTTCTCATTCATCCAGCTCGCAGGAGCAGCTCCTAGCGAGTTATCGGTGTTAGGTCCAACAGCTCTCATAGGCTCGTTCGAAAGGAATAATCCTTGCTCCATCTTGCCAAGTCATCAGGTCTCAATCCTTCGACAGATCATGGCTTGCTTCCTCGACCTGTAAGCAGCACACACCTTGTGTGGCTGGCCTCGAGTTGGCCATTCTTGAGCAGAAAAGATATCATGGCGTACAGGTCCAGTGGTCCGGACGAACGCAGCTGTTGCAGCAATCTTCCTGGAGCTGTCTAGCAGCTCAATTATCTTTGATCAAAGCGGTTACTTTTGTTGGCTTGCGTGTTCAGCTGTCGATCCAACTGTGGGATCTGCTCAATCATGCCCCCACTATAAACTCGAACTCCCCCAGCCTCCGTAGATACGAGTCATGTGGACGTGCGGAGTAGCCCTCGAACTCTGACAAGCCACTTTGCAGACTCTTACGGAGAAGTGGGCCTGGGCTTCATACGTGTAGGTTATCGACCGAGCAAGGAGCTCTTTGATGCAAGCCGCACGCCCAGAGATGGAAGCAGCCCCTCCTGAGGACATACGGGTTACTGTACATGATCACCACTGCGTGAACTATCGCCGAGTAAAGTTGCATTGTCATTGAATATGCTATATTAATACACCTAGTAATTCGTAGGTGACTACTCATGATGCTCATGTACATCCAACGGAGAGCATGGCTCGCAGCTGCTCAAGAGACAAAAAGGAAAGGTGGGTATAGTGGAAATCAACATGATCGTGAACCAGCTCTTCGTGCATTCTCGAGAGTTCGGTCTTCAGGCTTTTAGTAGTAGACCGGGCGTTCCCAGATTGGCGGACGGCCATCTTCAGCGTCCCATACAACCTTGTTCTTCTCGTCGAGGGTGGCGCCTTCGTCCGTAATGGGAATGACTTTGCTAGTATCCCTGACTTCCTGCCTGCTCACGCCCATGGGGTCCCGCGGAATCCAAAGCAGATGAGGTGCAGCAGTGACTGCGGGATTGTAGTAGGCATGGTTTTCTTCTTCCTCTTCGTACCTGATGTTAATCATCTTGGGGACCAGGCGACGCATGGTAGCATAGTCGGTGTAGATGTCAGGACGAAGGAACTTCTTCCAGAAAGAAGGCTTGCCATGAGGAGAAGGGCCAAGCTCTGTCCTTCTGTCGGCAACCATACCCTTCTCACCTCTTTCTTCTTCGACGTCCTCGTCCAACAAGCGACGCTCCTCGGCTTCCAGACTTTTGGGAAGGTAGTTGATCAGTGGCTCAAGAGCAGCGTTCAAGGACAAATGGTAGAGAGCTGTGAACACCAGGAAGACGATCATCAGAATGAGAGGACCGAGAGCACCAACAGACGATCCGGTTGCTATGGCGAAAAGTCCGACAAGACAGCCTTCAGCGACATAGAGACCTACGAACACTTGCTGCAAGGCGCGAGGGTAGACACGACCCTTGGTATCGATGTTGGCGTTCGAGACGTAAAGAAGGTTGTAGCGGTATGCGAGGTAGAAGAGGTACAGACCGATAGCGGCGAAGAGCATGACCAGTGGGGCAATGATTGCATAACAGATAGCAATGACGAACAGGTTAGTGTATGGAGGGAAAACAGTACCCCAGCTCATACTAGATAGAGACGTCCATCGCTTGTACATCTTGCGGGGTGTGTTGTCCAAGAACTTTCCGAGAATAATGAAGATGACAAGGCCCGAGAGGTTGAGCAGTGTTCCGGAGACGACACCCAAGCCCTGGAGTACGAAGTAAGAAAGATAGAAGTTGGATGCCTTGGGAATTGACGAGGCCAACAAAGTAGGGATCTGATCAATGTGATTCGGCAAGATGGATCCAAGAGCCGAGGACGCAGCACTACCCAAGGTTGCAACCAGGAAGACTTGCACGATCTGGAAGCCAAAGTAAGTGTTCTGGACAGTAAGTTCCACAGCAGATAGAGAGGGGTCGCCTCCTAATCTAGCCATTAGACGCAGAATGATAGGCAGAACAGACATAAGGATGGCCAGGGCGACAGTAGGCAAAAGACCAGACACAACACCAAAGATCTGGGGAGGCAGAGCCAATAGCCAGTTTAACCAGGTAAAGCCTTCTTTGAATGTGGTGGGAGGGTTGCCGGTACTGTAGTCTTTCAGGTTATCCAAATTTGAAATGAAACCAACTGCGGCAACAGGGAAAGACCAGAAAACAATCAAAGCAACGACGAATGAGACAGTTGCTGTTACTCTGAGGACCCGCTCCCACCATTTGATGCGCAAGTTGCTCCAGATGATTTCACCTGGGGTCATTCCAGTGTAGCGAGGGGCCATATGCAGCACTTGATGGTGTGTCAAGCTCTGATAGGCTGACTGAGCTTCTTGCAGAGTGGTGAATTGGACAAAAACCGAGTTGATCTTCTTGATGCCATCCAAAGCCCGGTGTTTTTCCTGCATTGCGGCAACTTCGGGAATTCGCTTCTCCAGCTCTGCGCGACACCAATCGATTGTATCGACCTTCTTTCCAATCAGGAATTTCAGGCGATGCGTCGGTCTATCCTTTGCAGAGATGTAGCGAGAGGCCGCAGAGCCACCCTCGACATCTGGTGTAAGCTCTTCCAATGCAATATCCTCGTTATCCTTCTTTGCCTTCTTCTTAGTCGCCTTCAGACGCGCAGCATTCGCAGCCTTGATGAGCTTGGTCTCAGCGGCTTCGAGCTTCAGCGCTGTCTTGTCTCTCTCCTTGACTTCATCCTCCAGATCTCCAGTATCGGTAGGAATCCAGACTCGCTCGACAGATTCTCCAAGCATGCGACGCAGATTCGTTTCGTGCAAATACTCATCTGGCACAGACGTAAAGAGGACTGTACGAGAGGAAAGGCGGCTAGCGTAGTATGGCGAAAGAAGATAAGCCTGGCGCAAGTTGATGTAGTAGATGCTCTCACGTGTGATCATATAAATGACGAAGCCTGAGGATATATGTCAGTTGTGAATGCATTTGCAGGTCAGGCGCTCCCATACCGAAAAAGAGATAAGCACAACCAACGTGGGCGAACATCATGTAGTAGTTGTTCGTGACATTGCCTAGGGTGAGTATGTCCAGCTGCGATTTTCCACCTCCACCAGTGATGTTGATTGGGAACAAGATAGGGAACGTAATGCAACAACCGACAAGACAAGTGATGACGGCCATCTTCAAGAGTCGCAAAAACAGGTACCCATCAAGAGAATGATGGTTCAGGACATAGCTATCGGGCATGTTGAAGAAGTTACTAAACCATGCAAAGATGCCATCGGGCAGTTTTGGTGATCTTTCGCGCTCTTGAATACTGCCTAAGAAAGTTCTTGGACGATAATTTCTTGGGAACCATCTCCTAAAAATCAAGAAGAGTGTGAACCAAACCAGTGCAAGCACAGCAACTGGTGCCAGGGTAGAGAGGAGACCGGTGGCTGAGGACGACACATTCTGTGCGCTGCCCACATTCGGGTCATCGTTTGCGTCCTGGCGAATCGATATGGTTAGATTTGTCGCTAGTAACATGTTGTTTTGTGGTGGTCGAAGTACCGTAGCTGATGTCGCTGCCATGTCGGCGATAATTAGTTGCTCGAAAGCAAGAACTGGGTCCCAGTAGCAAGCTCGGAGCTGAAGAAAGCAGGGAAACTCAGGAAGAAATCCTAGGGCGAAGTGCTTCTGATATCAGGGTCCTTTTTTGAAGGGGCTTGAGTGTCTAGACAGAAACGGCGCTAAGGTCTGTTCACCAGCCAGTTTCGCGCTTCACCTTGGAAACAGCCTTGCATTGAAGGCGATCGCTGCGGGATGACGCTCGACACTGCAATCAGGGATCAGACAGGTCTTGAAATGCTCTTTGACTAGAGCAGTCTGGATGCTGCGAGTCTTGTTATACTCGTCGAGCTCCAATTTGCCTGAAGTTTACGGCTCACCTTGTCCTACAGCACATGCGACTGTGCAACTCATATGGCCGCCCGGGCGCGTATCGACACCGCCTCGCTTGATTTTGAGAAGGCCACGAAATTGGTTGCGCTGCCGACAGGCATGTGAGCTTCACTAGCCACGCAGAATTAGAGTGCAATTTCAGCCACCCATTGCGGACCGCAAAGTCAAAATCCCTGCTTCGTTTCATATGACAACGGCCAAGACGCGGTGGCATCAAGTCTGGCCAGCGCGCGTACAGTCAGGAGGTCTCTGCGTGTTGGCTGCGCCATCCATGTCAGTCAGAGCTGTTCAAGCATGCAGCAACCGCATGTCTCGATTCAAGATGTTGCAATCGGTATCGCCAAACCGGCTATCGAGTCTCTCCGTACAATCAAGGTTCACCGTCGAATCCCAAGGGTCTTTGAACCAAGTGGAGAGAGCGGACGTTCATCCGACTCGACAGCAAAACTTTAACAAAATGACAGCTCGGTTTCTCGGCGAAATGGCAAGCAGAGTCTGAAAATGAAGAATCGAGGAAAATAAGGCTGTATGTCTCCATACATCCACTGATTATACAAAAATGAGTCTTTACTACGTATCGTATGCCTGAATCCGTCCCTGTCCAAAACTCCCGTATGTGCCCTTGACTATACATGCACAATAAGATACAAATCGAGTGCCTCGTGAAAATCCTCTCGCTGATCCCTGTATTGAGATCAGGATGATGCCTCCTGCTTCTTGACCATCGGCGGCGGTCCGGTTCCGCTTCTAGCTCTTCTTTCACGCTCGCCGACGCCAGGTTCAGGGACCTTGATATTGAGACGCTTCTTGTTTGTGAAGCGCTCGCCAGTACCGCGGACCCACTCGTCTTCGTCGTCCTTGCCGAGCCAATATCCTTTTCCAACTGAAGTCATGATGCGACCAAGACGACCCTTCCAGCCCTCGCCCTCCTCACGTCCCTCACGGAATGGGTTCTCGGCCAGATCGGTGCGCTCAGAGCCGCCGTGCAAGCCAAAGTTGTTCGATGAAGTCATGAGGATGTGCTGGCGCAGGACACCACGGGCGTAGGCCATGACGACGAGGCAGAAGTAGATGCGGATGGTCCAGAGTGCGCAGATGACACTAATACTAGCGATGCTACCGGACTGGAAGACTGCATGACCGAGAGCTGAACCATCATTGACGCCCGCGGCGACAGCCTTCTGGCCAGGCATGGCGGGGGTTGCGACAACCTCGACACGTGTGGCGTTGACCTCGGGGCTAGTGAAGCCTGCGGTATCGTTCATCATCTTGCCACCCGGGAGCTTGTCGTCGTCGCCGGGTGCAGGGTCGTTGATGTGACGGGCGAGCATGAGGAACCAGGTGGTGCCGAACAGAGCAGTGTAGGTTGCATTGATGAGGGAGTCGAGCACGTATAGCCAAGCGAGAGCAAGACATTGCAGCGGGCTTTGGCGCTTGATGTGTGGTGAGAGATAGACAAGAGCACCGAGTACGCCGATCGAGTAGATGTACATGGTGAGTTGCAGCCAGGAGAGGTGGTAGCCGGTAAGGATGGCAAGGAGGCCGTAGATGCCTGACACTTTGTTGATGAGCAGTGTCAGGGCGATCATCTCAGTGCCGGTGCGCAGCGAGATCAGGTACAGGAACGTCTACATAGTGTTAGTATACGCGCTGTCGCAACATGGTCGTCGAGACGCACTTTAGGCCGCAACATGCGGAAGATGGCGGGAAGCGCCATGGTCGCCGTCTCAGGGAGGTGTGCTGGCTAAATAGGTGACGCGATCGTCTTTCGAGGTGTTGCTCAGGCCAGGGCGTGTTCAATAGGACGGTGTTGTTGGGTCAGAGTGTTTGGTTTCGCAAAAGATCAACTTCGAGAATCGGTAATGAGGCTTGGAAGCCGGGAGCGTCGGCCAAAGAAATTACAGAGAAAACGGATCTCGGGCGCTAACAAATGCCGTATCTCAATTGTCGAGAGTGCTGAATCATACTATGGTTCTTGTATCTCGAGGCTGAATCTCAAGACATGATAAAGCTTGCTGCCTTTCTTCAAAGGACGATTTGCGTTGTTACCGCCGTCGAGTAGCCTCAATCCGTCCGCTCTATAAACAGACCATCATGAAGATCATGCCCAAGGTCCAATCAGATTCACCACTCGGGTCCCCAACCCATCAACGACACTCTTCTTACATTCGACCTGCTATAAAGTCGTCCGTCCGTGACTATCTCCTTGAGGCTTACCATAATTATCGCCATCTCCTCGTCCACACGACTTCCAACTTTTGATTTCAGTCAGGCATCGTTGCTTGAGACCACCCTGGCCTGCATCGTGAACGACTATCCTTTCCAATCAGCATGTGGGAAGTACAAGCACCAAGGCTTCGTGAGCAAGATCTCGCTGGGAAGGTCGCTGTTGTAACGTAGGTCTATTTATTGGTGTCGTTGGCTGTCTAAATGAATTTCCGAATGCCACTGTCACGACCACCACGACGATTTCCTTGCATTCCAATGACCCCACACCAAATGAGGACTAACACATTGCCAGGGGTGCCACAAGAGGCATCGGTAGAGCCATCGCTCTGCAGTTAGCAACTCGCGGATGTTCAGTACTAGGAACTTGCTCTGGACCAGACTCCTTGATACTGATCGACTCGCTCGCTCATACCGTATCCAAGCTGTACTCAGGCCACACCTCACCACCCAAAGTTGTTGGAGTAGCTGCAAACATAACCCAGACAGACTGTGCACAGAAGATTGTCCAAGCACTTGAGAAGAACTTCGATGGCCTCGTTGACATTCTGGTCAACAATGCTGCTCACCCTATCCGTGCCAAAATCGGCGAGATTGAGCCGCAGATGGTTACGGATGTCATGATGGCAAACGTCCAGACGCCTACGATGATTGTCAATGAATTTGTCAAGAAGAAGATGTTCCGTACTAGCTCAAGAATCGTCAACATTGGTTCGGATGCAGCTCGAGCATCCATTCCTGGATTGCCAGGAAGGTAAGTTGTAGACCAGGAGTAGTAAAATCGTAGATGGGCAGCTGACCAATACTCAAGGTCTCTGTATACGACCTTCAAATCAGCACTTGAGGGTCTCGCACGAGCCTGGGCAGACGAACTTGGTGCAAATCCAGAGCTTGAGTTTATGAAAGGCACCACGGCCAACACAGTTGCCGTAGGCTTCACGGAGACAGACATGGTTAGCAAAATGCCTCCCCCTATGAGAGAGGCAGTCAACCAAAATGTCCTTGCCAAACAGAGTTTGGGACCGAGAGCAGCTCTCCCTGAGGACATCGCCGACGTCGTGGGTTTCTTGTGTGGACCTGACAGTCGTTGGGTTACCGGATCAGTCGTCAGTGCCGATGGTGGTATGGTCAAGATCATGTAGTGACTGCTGCATTGATGGAGCACCAAGACTCAATCAGGTAGAGGCACGCAGAGAAAGGTGACATGCAGATGTATTTATGTACAAGGGGGTTATCTTTTATTCCAAAAGCCGATCAACCGCTCAAAAAACGCCGTGCTGCATGCAAAATACTGTACAAGAAAGAACAGATTGGTCGAAAAAAACTAAAGGTATCTTGAGAAGAAGGGAGAAAACAGTATCGAACAAGAACAAGGACAAGATGTCGTGGGTAGCTTAGCAGGCACAGCTCGAGTTGTCCGTCGTAGGACCAGGGTTAATGTTGACGTCGATCACTAGGGAAGTGTTAGTTTACGACTATACACAAAAGAAAGACTGAGCAAAAAAGACTTACTCTGGTTGGGCGTCTGGTTCTGCTCGCTCTCCATGCCAGGCAATGCCTGTGCTATCCTCTTGAACAAAGGCTTCACATTGTGTCCGACCTTTGCGCTAGTCTCGATGAACATCAAGTTGTGCTTCTTGGCCTCTTCCTCTCCCTGCTGGGTAGTGACCTCGCGCTTGTCGTTCAGATCGGTCTTGTTGCCTACGAGTACGATAATAACGTCGGAGCCGCGCTCACCACGAACATCGTCGACCCATTTGCGAGTCTGCTGGAAGGACTTGGCCGAGGTGATATCGTAGACGACCACGGCAACGCTGCTGTCGCGAATGTAGGAGGGGATCAAACTGCGGAAGCGCTCTTGGCCAGCGGTATCCCAGAGCTGCAGACGAACGGTGCGGTCCTCGAGGTACATGGTCTGAGAAATCAATGCGTCAATACACTGTTCAGTCTTGCGGATCGCGAGTGGAAAGTAGCAACCTTTGACAAGAAGTCGATTCCGATAGTAGCTTGGTATGTGTTGTCGAATGAGTCGTACATGAAGCGGGTGATCAGGGATGTCTTGCCAACTAGACGGGTACTGCATCAGTAGTGTGGATGGATGTTGAGTGGTTTCGTAGCATACCGCTCTGCTCGCCGAGAAAGACCAGCCTGTGATATGCATGTTAGCATGTGCATGTATCGATTAGAACGGTTATGACCTACTTGAACTTCTTCAGCGGATTGGTGTAAGATGCCGGTTGAGCCATGGTGACGAGTATTGGTCTGGGAGATAGCCGAGAGACGTAGAGGTATGTTCAGAATGTTGCGCAGAGAAGTCTTGCAAGATTATTATGGACAGGTTATTCAGGAGATTGATTGCAGACTCGCGCGAGCTGCGACACTCGAAGGTCTCCACAAAGGGCCTGCGCCTTGACCATCCCGCAGGCCGGAAAGGGCTTCGCCGGCGCCGCAGTCACTTGGCGCGAGAAGCCCTGCGGAGACAGAGCGAGAGAGATTTGGGGTGTCAGAAAAATTACTGGCTTCCGGTCCTGTTTTCCAATCGACTGCTTTTTTCCCGACAAAACCATGACTCCCGTGGCAGAAAAGACCCAGGCAGCGCCTGCAACTCACAAGCAGCCTTCCCGTAAGGGCAAGAAAGCATGGCGCAAGAACGTCGACATTACAGAGCTGCAGGAAGGTGTTGAAGATGTCCGCGACCAGATCATCCAAGGGTATGCACCGTACACACGACTCGCTACAATCTCAGCATACTAACCTGTCTATAGTGGTGTTTTGACCGAGAGACCTGCCGACGAGCTTTTCGTTACCGACATCAAGGGCTCCGACTCTGTACAAGCAGACTTCAACAAACGCCACAAGCCTCTCAAGGCCGACGAGATTATCGCACAACGCTCCAAAGTACCCGCAGTGGACAGCAGGAAACGTAAGGCCGATGGAATCGCAACCGGAAGCAGCAAGCGCAACAAGAACGGCACTTTTGTCTCCCACAAGGACCTCCAGCATCTTCGCAGCGTCGCAAACTCTGGCGGTGCCCAGACCGATATCATCAAGGCTACCGAGAGCGCTGATCACGATCCCTGGGGCATGGAGCCTTTGCCTCAGGACCCCAGATTCTCTTTCATTCCGGAAAAGAAGGCCAAGGTTGCTCCTAAGACCCTGAAATACGCTCCTATCTCGCTGGCTGCCAACGGCAAGCCCTTCGCCGCTGTGCCCAAGCCATCTGCTGGAAAAAGTTACAACCCCACCTTTGAGGACTGGGACGCACACGTTACCAAGGTTGGTGAGCGTGAGGTTGCAGCCGAGCGCAAGCGTCTGCAAGAGGCTCAGGAAGAGCACGATCGTCTGGAGAAGGCCCTCGCCGAGGCAGCAAGACCCGAGCCCTCGACCGATGACGAATACCAATCAGCATACGAGAGTGAGTGGGAAGGTATCCAGAGCGAAGCCGAGGATTCTGGAGCCGTTACCAAGAAGCGACCGGAGAGAAAGACGCCATCTCAGAGAAACAAGATCAAGAGAAGAAAGGAGTTGGAGCACAAGGCAAAGTGGGACAAGCAGATGAAGAAGAAGGAAGAGCAACTGGAACGTGTCAAGGAGATTGCCCTCCAGCTGGCTGAGAAGGAACGTCTACTTGCAGAGCAAAAGGCCCTGCAACCCACCGGTGCTGGTGCAGAGGCTAATGTTGACGCTGAGATCAACGACGAGGATGAGAACGAAGTGCTGCGCCGTCGTAACCTTGGCAAGCATGCGTAAGTTCCATGTGCCTCCTTGTCTTTACATATGCTAATTATTGTCGCAGCGTTCCCGATGCACCCCTTGAAGTTGTTCTCGCAGACGAGCTCCAAGACTCGCTCCGTGCGCTGAGGCCTGAGGGTAACCTCCTCAAGGACCGTTACAGAAACATGCTGTTGAACGGCAAGCTCGAGACTCGCCGTACCATGCAACACAAGAAGCCCAAGAGAGAGGTTACGGAGAAGTGGAGCTACAAGGACTGGAAGCTGCGCTAAATGCTTCGTCAGTCTCTTGTGATGACGGGGGAGCAGAACGATGTGATTTTTACATATTCTTGATACCAGCAACATGTCTGGGTTACTTGTTGCATCTGCCTGGCGTTGGGGGATATTCATGTAGAGTTCAGGCATGAGGACGATCTGTTTAGCGATAGAACAAAAGGAGAAAATGGCATCTGCGGTTTAATGTTCATCGGGTCATTCTCTTTGTTCACTTTTTGGCGTTTGCTGTTTGGCCACAGGTTCACTCAGATTGGAAGTTGATTGTGCTTGTGAAATGTCTAACCTCTGAATGGAATTGTTGTTTGTGTTGTCTTACTCATGAGAGAGGGCCTCGGCATCGAGACGTCGATGGAGTTTGCGGAGAACGGGCTTTCTCGAGCGTCACCAACCACGGAGCAATCAATCTGTCGTACGCGCCTCTGCAGCCAATCACTTCATCAACCCAATCACCATGGCCGACACGGAAGATCGCGCCCAGGGCGATACCAAGGTAGAGGCACCTCAAGCCACGACCGAACAACCGACTGCAGCTCCCGCGGCCGACGACATCGAAGCATCCATCGATCAAGAAATGCAATCCGCCGACCACGACGACAGCAGCCACACCATGGACAACAGCAGTAACTCTAAGAGCGGAACTACTTTGGGTCTCGATGGCACAAGCGACGAATCTCCAACCGTGCCCCAGATCGAGACCAGGATGCCGGCAAAGAAGGACGTCGCATTGCGCGACTTCTTGGGCAAGATGGACGAGTATGCGCCAATCGTGAGTTCTCCATCACTTCGCGTCGCAAGACGTTGTGCTCAGACTTGAGAGTAGCACTCACTAACATCCTTCACAGATCCCTGACGCAGTCACAAATTACTACCTTACTCTTGCTGGACTACCACCACCACCAGCCACCCCACCCCACCTTGCGCGACTCCTTGCCCTGGCCGCTCAGAAGTTCATCGCAGACATTGCAGCAGACGCATACCAATATTCGCGCATTAGGTCCACCAACACCACATCCAACAACCCTTTGACTGGACTTGGCGGCGCAGCTGGCTTTGGTATGATGCCGACAGAAGAGGGCGGCGCCAAAGGCAAGGGTAAGGACGCCGCAAAGGGCGCTCAAATTGGCGGTCCTCGCCCTGGCTATGGTGGCGGCGGTGTGGGATCATCAGGTGGCCGAACAGTCCTGACCATGGAGGATCTGGGCATGGCCGTCGGAGAGTATGGCGTCAACGTCAAGAGAGGCGAGTTCTACCGGTAATCTTCTTGCATAGCAAGTACATGGGCAGGCGTTTTCAGGATCAACTGGGCTGGGATACTGGCGGCAAACTGGCACGCATTCCTTACGACATGGGTCAAGGCGTTCAGGGGCATGACAGGACATGCATCACGCATCTGTCAATAGATGAGACTGTACCATAGTGACAAAGGACTCTGACCACAGACTGTCCAAAACCGATAACAATTCAGAGCACTGATATTCATGGAAAGAAAGTAACAAAATGAGGCAGCCAAAACGTGCCCCCCTGACTTTGGTATTTTGTACATGAGAACCCAATGAACGCCGGATATTGGAAGATGATGCTCCTGCAGATGATGTACATTTACTTGTTCTTGGTCTGTTTGTAGGTGAAGCGCTTTCTCGTCCTGCAGCACGTCAGCATACTCTTGTCCATATCTCTTGCTTCCATAACTACTTACGCCGAGAACTCTCCAAGCTTGTGGCCGACCATGTCCTCAGTGATCCTGACATCGTTGTAAATCTTGCCGTTGTGGACCTGGAAGATCAAGCCGACGAAGTTGGGCAGGATGGTGGCACCACGGGCCTGTGTCTTGATCGGAGGGGCGCGCTCGCCGTGCTTGGGGCGCACAATGGGCAATCTATTATTCTCCCAGTCAGAGCATGTCCTGAGTGTCTTTCGTGCGAGTCCATGGGTCCAGGAAGTTTGCGACGAAGGGTAGGTAAAAGTTGATTCGGGAGATGCTTACGGGACGATGTGTGGGCCTGAGAACGCATTTAGTATTTGTTTGTATAGCAGATAGAATATCAATTACCCTTCCACACGGAGCGAGCGCCTTGCAGTATCGTTGTTGGCCTCATGATGTGCTTGGTATAATTCACACTCGGACGTGTCTGCCGCCTTTGGCTCTTGATCGCATCTCTCTCTCGTCCGCCAATCACCGAAGCACAGACCACTTTGCCCTTTACGCGCTACACGTCCACCACCATCTTTCAAGCAGGCAGCAGTTTGTGTTTGCCTTCAAGTGTTGAAGCAAAGAAGGAAAGGAGATCTAGGGAAGTGAAGGTGTTGTGTGTTTTGACCTCTTCCAAGACGTGGTCTTGATTAATCTTCTCCTCTTCCACTTCTTACCACTTTCATGCCACCATACAACTAAAAGGCTAACCGTCAAGATGCCTGCTACTTCAGGTAAATCGAATCGAAGAACGAGACATGGAATCAACTAACGAGTTGTACTCTAGCTGCGGATACAATCCGGATTATGATCTCGACAGACAATCATGTCGGATACGGAGAGCGCGACCCAAATCGAGGAAATGATTCCTGGGAAACTTTCGACGAAATCATGACCATGGCCAGAGAACGAGATGTCGACATGGTTCTCTTGGCTGGTGATTTGTTCCATGACAATAAGCCATCTCGCAAAGCCATGTACCATGTTATGCAGTCACTTCGCAAGAACTGTTTCGGTGAGAAGCCATGTGAGCTTGAGATGCTCAGTGATGCGTCGGAAGCCTTCCAAGGCGCTTTCAACCATGTCAACTACGAGGATCCGGACATCAATGTCGCCATTCCGGTCTTCTCGATCCACGGCAATCACGATGACCCAACTGGAGACGGTCACTTGGCGTCTTTGGACCTGCTGCAGATGGCCGGCATGGTCAACTACTACGGTCGCACTCCCGAATCTGACAACATCAGCATCAAGCCTGTATTGCTTCAAAAAGGTCGTACGAAGCTCGCACTTTACGGCATGAGCAACGTTCGCGATGAGCGAATGTTCCGCACCTTCAGAGATCAGAAAGTCAAGTTCTTCCAACCTGGCACGCAGACAGGAGAATGGTTCAATCTCATGAGTGTCCACCAAAACCATCATGCATATACCGAAACTGGCTACCTTCCCGAGAACTTTTTACCATCGTTTATGGATCTGGTCATCTGGGGACACGAACATGAGTGTCTCATCAACCCTCGCTACAATCCTGAGCAGACATTCCATGTCATGCAGCCTGGTTCTTCCGTCGCCACATCTCTCATGCCTGGTGAAGCAGTACCAAAGCACGTGGCGATTCTCAGTATTACTGGCAAAGAATTCAAGTGCGATCCAATTCGCTTGAAGACTGTTCGACCTTTTGTGATGAGAGAGATTATTCTTCAGGACGACCCGCACATGAAGCGCCTTGCTATGAAGGACGACAACCGTACAGAGGTTACCCGCTACCTAACAACCATCGTCGAAGACATGATCAAAGAAGCTGACCAAGCCTGGCGTGATGCTCAGGAGGAGGATGCCGAGGAGCAAACGCCACAGCTGCCCTTAATTCGTCTTCGCGTCGAGTACACGGCTCCAGAAGGAGGTCGCTTCGACTGTGAGAACCCACAACGTTTCTCCAACCGCTTCTTGACCAAGGTGGCGAACGTCAACGACGTGGTCCAGTTTCATCGCAAGAAGACAGCCACAAGCAGAAAGAAGGAGCAGCCCGACATGCCAGAAGAAGCAGTCCTGCAGCAGCTTACGCTAGACACCGTCAAGGTTGAAAAGCTCGTGAAGGAATTCCTCACAGCCCAGTCTCTTACCATCCTCCCGCAAAACTCATTCGGTGACGCAGTCAGTCAATTCGTGGACAAGGACGACAAGCATGCTATGGAAGCATTTGTTAACGAAAGTCTTGCAAGTCAATTGAAACATCTACTCAGCGGCGAAGTCAGCATCGAAGACGAGGATATGCAGGAGGCAATGGAGACGTACAAGACACAGCGCGAAGAACTGTTCAGCAAAGGCATGTTGAAGCGTGCTGTTAGCAAGGGCAAGCTTAAGCCCAAGCCCGCCAACTGGGATTCTGATTTGGATGGAGAATGGGCAGAGCAGCCTGCTGCGCTGATTCAGTCCGACAACGATGCCGCAGAGGAAGAAGAGGAGGTTGGTCAACCAAAGGCCAAGGCTACTCGAGGCAGAGGTGGCAAGGCCACTGGCACAACGCGAAAGACTGCTGCTGCCACAAAGAAAGCAGCGCCTGCAAAGAAGACGACGACTCGCGCAAGGAAAGCACCGATCGAAGAGGAGTCAGACGAGGAGGAAGACGACGACGATGTTATCATGCTCGATGATGAAGAGAACGACGTTCCTGATGTGGATGACGATGAGGACGATGATGACCTGTTCGTCAAGCAAGCTCCAAAAAAGAGAGCACCTGCCAAGGCGTCAGCAAAGTCGACATCCAAACGTGCTGCTTCACCACCGAAGCGCAAGGCGCCAGCTCGTAGCACCGCAAAGGCCCCCACCGGTAGACAGACGACGTTGAGCTTCTCTCAAACCCCTGCACCATCGCAAGCACGTGCTACCGGAGCTCGTGTTGGTCGCAAAGCTCCAGGACCAGTAAGTCACAGTAAGTCGAATTAATGGAGGCTAGAACGCTGACGAAAATCAGAGCGAGGATGAAATTTCTGATGATGACGATGCGTTTGAACCACCTCCTACCGCTGCACGCTCTGCTGCACGTCGCAAGTTCTGAGGGTTCACTTGTTGTGAGTATGATGCTGCACGATCGCTTGAGACGCTCTCAATGGATGCAGACCTACTCTGGAAATTTTACTTGCATTTTTACAGTAACATCGGAACGGTTGCATGGCATGGGAGATAAATGCATAGCGTATGGAGTCTGGTGGGAGTCTGCTTGGGATGATGATTTGCTCTGACATACATTTCTTTTTAGCTCTTTTAAGCATTAGAGGAAGATCGCGATACCCCAGACTGTTCGACCCAGCTCTGTGGTTCTGGGAAAGGGTGGCCATCAATGTTGCTGTCATAATATCCGGGGTAGGTATACAAAGAAGGTGCCATTAACCTAACTCGGACAATGCATTCTCTCTTTCCCTGAATCCTCCTCTCGCAGGCAGCTGCGATGCTGGCAAGAACGTTCAACATGTCGTTCGCCCCTCATTTAGCCGCTTACCTCTTGCTTTCTCATGCTCTCACACCTCACGCTTCGCAATACATCTCCCCATCAGCACTCTTTCTTCCATCACAACTCACACTCATTTGGTCTCACGACGTTGCCATTCGTCTCTCTTTGATGAGCCATCACCGTCCTCCTCCACCACCGCACTGCTTGGATCAACCGACTCAATTGCTTGCTGGGCAGTAATACACCTCCGTTTCCAGACAGATACCAAATCCATTACCGGTATGCTCATCGCTGTACCCATCCTGCACTGTACAAGGCTGACATGTGTGGAACAAGAAGCTCACGAGCTCTACCGTCCTTTCAATCTCATCGTACCCATCATACCCATCGTCTCATCCAACATCAAGTATCATTTGATGCCAATGGCACACAACATCGCCCGCAAGGCATACTCTGCCGAACAACTCTTGGCCCTACGCCATTCGGCTTCGGATGAGACTGCTCTCCAGATCGAAGCCAAGGCCCAAGATGGAGCCATCAAAGGTGTGTTCAATCCCTGCGTGCCTTGTTCCCCGGCTGGCTGGCTCTCTGGACTTTGACCGACCTATCACGGCCGTCGACCACACATCCTCTTGGAAGCAACCACAACATTCATTCTACGCCTTCCGGCATCCATACACTCATTCAACAAACTTCAGTCTTTCATTATCATGTTCCCTCTCCTCACGCCATCGAGGGAACAATCGTCGTTGCTCAGCCCTTCGTTCGCCCATCACGAGAAATATGCCAGCGATCTGGTCGCCGACACACCGTCACCACACGCGCAGAGCCGCTTTGTATTACCAGATTGGCTGACAGACGATCTTGCAGATCATGTTGTCCGCAATACACGCTCCTTCGCTGCTCGCTCTTCGCGTTCGTTCGCCACGTCCGACACTTTGCATCCACCTCCTCCCACGGAGCCACGCCAGTTCAATGCACCAGTGCTCGCCGAGATTGATCCCAACAACCAGAACTTACGTCCTGGACTAGCTGCCAACCGTTACCGCCCCTCTCCGACTCCATCACTGAAGAAGCGCAAGGCCGAGCAAATTCTTAAGGATCATGGCTCTCCTCCTGGACTTCGCGTCACCGCTGGAGGTCGCATCGTCCCCAGTGACCAGTCCCCTCTGTGCAGCCCGCGCTATGGTTACAGTGCCATCAAGAAGAACGGCATGCTCATCAAGTTCGGCCCAAACTTCCCAGCTCCTCCTGGTGGCATTCCAATGCAGAGGAACGGCTTGCCCAATGGTTTCGTCGCTCAGGATCCCAATGGCAGACTTTGCCAGATGGTCGATGGCAAGTTCTTGCCCGTTGATGATGTCGACGGCATTCCTCAGCTCTATATTGCTGCTCCCAACTTGACCGGCAGCACCGGCTTCCCAGCTGGCGAGAAGGAGGAAGTCCCTGGCGCCACTCCGTTCGACAACTCGAGCAGACAGCAGCCCAGTCAGAGTTTCGAAGTTGCACCTCCAACCGGCCCATCGATCAAGCAGACGACCATGAAGCAGCCTACCGTCAGTGTCGCCATGCAGATCCAAGCTCTGGAGAAGCAATACACCAAGCTGGAACAAGAGTCAAAGGATCTCGACAAGGTTGAAGTCTTGCAACGCAGCTCAATGAGCTCCAAGGCATACAACCAGCTTGTTCAGAACCGTCGTGAGCTCGTCAGCCGCATGAACTCAATTCGTGTCAGCCTCAAGTCGCTGCGTGGAGAAAAGTCTTCGACCGACCACTCGCCCCAAACCATGCTTCAGTCGATGCAGCCGCAGTTCAGTATGCCACCCTACGGTCCGACAGTCATGATGGGACCGGCAGGACCAATTCCGGACTGGGCCTTCGACGGCAATGGTCCCGATTCTCACAACGTGCCTCCGTTCCATGGTGCTCCCATGCCACACGGTCTCGGATACTACGGCCCTCCTCCACCAGGCTACCCAGGTGCCATGGCGCCATACCCAGGCATGTTCGGTCCAATGCCGCCAATGTTCAACATGATGGGAATGCCTCCCGTCGACGCATACGGCAACTTCATGCCTCCCATTCCCAACATGGATCCTCAGGCCTTCTCCAACGGCAGCCCACCTGCTCCACGTACTGAAGCAGTCCAAGAATCTGCACCAATCAGCCGCAGACCTGCAGAGACCACGGCCGTGTCGCAGCAGGATTCTCCACGCAGAACGCATGCTCTGCAGATCAAGGTCCCAGAGAACAAGTCAGAGGAGAGCCAGAAGTCGGCACTCAACCCCATGAGCCCCAGCTACCAGCCTGCCGGCAAGTCGACACCCACATCCAAGGTTGTCCCGACCCGTGTCGCATCACCATCTCCTGCCCTTGCTGAGGCTGTCAGACAACACAATGCCTGGATCACCGAGTCGGCCAATGCTTCGGCCACCAACTTGAACTCTGCCGGTTCTCAGCGCAAGCTCCGATATCAGTCGTCCTCTTCAAGCTACGCCACTGCCGATTTCTTTCCCAACAACCCTCGCGACCATTCGATGAGAAAGGATGCCTACCCAATTGTGCATGATCGCAACGCAAGCCGCAACAAGATGGGCGAACATCCTTCGGCTTCGAGTGAGCAGCCAATCACCCCTGACAAGGAGAATCAGGATCCAGGTTGGACTTTCGCACCGGTCGCCAGTGTCACCACGCCACCTACCATGTACGAGCAAGCTGTTGATCAGCCAGCCATCCCAGAGATGGGACACGTCGATCCTGTTCAGAATCGCTCTGAGATGAATGTCAGCCCCAAGAACCGTCGTCCTGATTATCTGATGGGCCATAAGCCTGTCAGCGAGGCTGCTAGAATCGGATCTGGTCTTCCTTCTCCGGCTCTCGACTCTTCTCACTATGCACTCTCTCAGCAACCCGAGGCTGTTGTCTCATCCAAGTCTTCCAAGCAGGGCTTTGGTCTTGAGGAGACTGCTTACATATCTGGGTTCAAAGCTGGTGAAGCCCGTCTGCCTGTCAGTGTCGAGAAGAATGGTCTTTGGCTCGACGGATACTGTGCTGGTCTGCTCAAGTCTGCCCAGACCTCAGCCACAACTGCTCTTTCTCAACCAAAGGCTCCAGTTCCTGGTCATGCAGCTCTGGCAATCGTCAAGCCTTACCTGCAGCCGGATCATGCAATCGTCGGGACACAGCGCCCGGTCTCGACCGTCGATGCGAAGGTTACGCCAGTGAACATTCTCAAGGACGTAATCTTCTCGACTCAGAACGAGAATGCCGTTCTCACTCCAGACCCCAACGGACCTCACATCAACGACTTGGCTGGTTTGCATCTCGGCAGCTGGGCCAAGACTCATCAAGCTTCTATGCCTGTCGAGTCTGATGCTGTTCTTGCCCGTGTGCGCAACGGCGAGACAGTTCTGCCAGAACGCACTTCTTCTGCGATGCAACGTCAACTCCCAAATGCCGGCATTTCGACTGATCACAGTCGTACTGGCATGCCACTTGCCAAGATGGCCGATGTCATGGCGGAGCGCGAGAAGGTGCATGTTCCTCAGGACCGTCGCGCCACGTCTGCACAGATGCCAGCCGGCGGCTCTCCGACAGCTTACTTCCAGCGAAACTATCCCGCTCATCGTGTCATGAGCTCGCAGCTCGAATGGAAGTCAGGATCGTCCATCGCCCAGGTGGCAGGATTGGCCACAGGATACTTCGCGCAGTACGACGGTACGAGATCAGATGCCAACACTATTACAAACAGACAGCCGCTGACTCAGATGTCTGGCAACACAGGCATGACGACACACGATACCATGGCTGGAGCCTTGCCCGAGAAGCAGACCAGCATGTCGGGCAGATTCACCGAGGGATCTATGACGACCGACACCAAGACTGGCAGTCCATCGTCGTCGCCTGGCAAGAGATCTCCAACCAAGGGCTCACCGGCCAAGGTCAAGTTTGCACAGATTGCCGGCAGAGCTGGAATCAAGGTTCGCAGCGACAGCAGGGATGAACAGGAGAGCGAGCCCAGCAGCCCTCAGGAGAAGCGTCGCTGGAGAGACGTATGGGGCAAGAGATTCACCGAGAGCGGAGCCCGTGAGGGTGAACAGAAGCAAGGCGGTCGCCATTGATGAGGCGTGAAAGGTTGTTGGACATACTCGAGTCGTTGGAACATTATACTTTGGCACCAACGTTGATGGCTACAGGAGGCAGATTGCAGAAGCATGTTAGCAGGCGAGAGATTGATGGCTTCCGGAGCTCACGTGGCTCAAACAGGATTAACTAGAGGCATGTTTTTTGATTGAGTTTTGCAACTGACAGCATATTCAGAAGAAGCAGATGATAGACCGGGACTGTTGGAGGATAAGCAGAGTATACTTGCTTCAGATATATTCAGACGAATGCATGACTTCTTTCTTTACAAGACTGTGCTTCTTGTGCAGTGTGACTTGAGAGTGAAGAGGATGGAAATGCGGTGTCTTGTGAGAGTTGCTGTATGGATATCATCATGGTTGGTGGACCGTGCGCCGCGGCGGAGAGCTGCCTGGAACACCGGCGGCAGCTACGAGCATCATTCATCATCAAGCAATCAACACCATCTTCCGACCGACTCTTACGCATCTTCATATCGAATACTCCGCCAACACTTGCGCCCTATCTGACAAGCAACATCACACACAACTCCACAGCCATCATGGTGTGTTACTGAGACCGCGCCTCCATTGGCGAAACAGCCATACAGCTAACGCATGCTACCATGAACAGTCTCTCCGTATGGTGCCCCAGAAGGGCCACGCCCAACAGACCGCCCTCGCACCCTCCGCACCCGCCGCCCCCGGTGTCCACGACACCCTGCGCTCAAACCAATCCCTCAACACACCCCACAACGCCTCACCAGCCTTCAGCGCCGTCGCCTCTTCACACCCTCTGGAAGCCCGCCTCAGCAACTGGCGCTCCACCCAAGATTCTCTCAAGATGACCATGCTGCGTCGCGAATTTGGCGTCGGCGAGCCCGTCCGTCGCGGTATGGAGGTTAAGATTTGTCAGGAGGGGGAGTGGAGGCCTGCTGTGCTCGGATACAAGGGTGAGGGTGTTCACGAGCAGATCTTGAGCGGAAGAGATGCTAGTGTCGATTGGGAGGATGTGTTTAATGGTAAGTGTGATCCGGATCATGGAGATGAGGGTGGATGTTAGGAATGAAGAGGATGGAAGGCTAATGGTGATGCACAGGCAACGAGACACAGAATGCGCCCGACTTCCACTCGGAGATGGAGAACAAGCTTAAGATGAACTGGTAGATTGTTCAAGCACGCCGCCCACGACAAGTCGAGATGAGAAGGCGGAGATGCTTACGCCAGACACAACGACTGCAACAATCGAGATGAGAAGCAGACGAGAGCCAAGATTAGGAGGATCACTTCTGGTCGGCTCTGTTGGACTCTACAACATGGATTCTATCAGGTCTTCAAGCAACACACGGTCTGGAAGCAAGGACTTGCAGACGCAAGGTAGAATGAGGGAGGGGCAAACCATACCTTCTGGCTCATTATCAACCGCATCACTTAATGAAAACGAAATGCATAATCACATATACTGTTCGACCACTGCATACAAATCTCCTTTTCCCAGAAGACCTATACGTCAGAGAAAAGAACCAAGTGACTCGCACTCGTCCCTATCAAACTATTCCTCTTTTGCAATCTAAGATTCTCGCTTGCAACGTAAGATTCCAGACGACCCAAAGCAAGTTCGTGAGGGGGTGGTCTGCTTCGTAGAATCTTACGTAGCGTCGGGCTTCTCGTCCATGTTGGCAGGAGAAAAAGACAGAACAATCACGCATGGCTTGTAAAAAGTGTATCTCATCAATACTGGATATGTAATTGACACGGTTTCGCCGATATCAAAAGCTGCAGATCTCTAATTGGAACACACAAGGCTCAAAACTAATACCCATTGAGGGGAGGAGAAAAAAAAAAGAAACAACCAGGGGAGACAAGACACACGGGCAAGAGGAAATCTTTGGTCTCTGCATGTTTTTTTTGTATGTACAATCTGAACTCTGAAAAAAGGGACAAGGAGATCAATGGTATCAAATCAAGATGCTCAGTGACCGCGAGCGAGGAAACGAAGAAAGAAGATGGAAATGACGGTATCGACAAAACAATAACAGACCAAACCCTCCCTTTCCCTTTTTCGCCTTTCAAAAACTCCACTATATAGAACTCTGTCCCAGTCTTTGTATAGATGAAACGAAACGCCAAATGTACAATGGAAGAAGTGCAAGAGAAAGTATTATCAAGAGAGAAAAAGACAGCGGGGTGCAGGAAGAGAGATGGATGACTGATGGAAAGGGGAAAAGAGAGGGTGAGGTGGGGGTATCAAAAAAAAGAACAAGGGGAGAAAAATCAGAGAATAATGCATCGGCATCCTGCGGTGGGTTCTTCGCCATCGCCGCCGCGAGAGGGTCTGCCACCGCTGCTGCTGCCTTTGCCTTTGGCGGATTTCGCATTCTCTTCGTCGTCGAGGACTTCTTGGGGTTTGACGCTCATGTGGACGACATTTGGAGCCGAGTCGCTAAATCGACAGTCTGTAGATGGCTAAATTAGTCAAAGGACAATGGGTCGAGGTGATGTGTCTGTACCTTTCAAGGGCAGTTTATCGTCCAGGAAGCGACCGAAGTGGATCAAACGAATTGCGGCTGGAGACGAGGGTCTGGGCTCCCATTCTGAATCAATCGGTCAGTGATGGACTGTTGACACACGACTCGACAAAACGTACCTTCTCTCCAATCCCGCCAGATCAACTCTTTCAGGGTATATACGCTGATGACGAATGGGTCAAATTCACCATTGTCGTTCTCGGCTGTTACGTTCCGCTTGGCTAGATACTTCTGATCTATGCGGTAAGGGTGGCGCGTGCCAGTGCTGCTGAGCAACAGATTTATAGTGATAACGGGACCGCTGGGAGTACCGAAACCTGGTGTCTGAGGCATCGGGGTGGGTAGATCGGTCGAGGGACCTATCGGCTCGGCCGTCTCCTGGCGAATGAGGGCGGGGGCGGGCATCTCGAGCGGTGTCGGCGGTAGGGGATCGGTACCCTCGTCGATGAATTGTGGCCGTGTGAATTGCTCACGACGGTCAGTAATCTGAGGGGCTTCGACGTGTGCCTCGGTGGGGGCAGTGACGAAGGACGGTTGTGGTGGTTCCATCGAGGGTCGTGCTTGTTCGTGCGGAAGGCTGCCCATTTCCAGCGGCGTCGCTGTCGCGTGTGTGCTTGAATGGGGATCCATTCTTTCTCTACTTTGATATGCTTGTGTGTCCTTTTGTGCAAGATGTTGGGTGCGGATGACGCTCTCTGGACTCGATGGTTCGGCGATGCAGATCAGGCCAAGGCAGGGTTCCAAGAAGACAGAAGACCTTGGTCGAAGGAGGCGATGCAAAGTCAGACGGCAGGAAACGAGCGTAAGGTGGACCTGGTGCGCTGTACAGAGGTTGGAACAATAAGGCTCGACGACGATGAGAGAGTGAGAGTTGCGACGACAACTGGGACTGAGACGCTCATGATGGTCCGACGACGACGACTCGCCCGAACCCCAGACTCCACCCTGATCAGACATCAACAAACCCATTGGTCCATCATCAAACTCTAAACTTTATCTCAATTCAGATCAACAACTCTTGTCTCTCTTTTCTGTGAAACACGCACGACACCTACTGTAGCATTAAATCACTTCAATTACACTTTTGTATACACTATGTCCTCCTCCTTCCTTTGTACATAGACATCCTTTTCACATGGCCAGTCGTGTGTTGATGCTCCACTTTTTTGGATTCGTCTCCAGGACTTCTACTCCGACCACCACTCCGCATATTTGCCAGACTGCTCCACTCGGACTCCCTCCATCTCTTGCTTGACTCCCAGCATGCTCACTCTGCCCATACTGCCATCTGCTTCACCTTCGATCTTCCACGAAGAAAGCAGACCTTGCAACTTTTGTACCACTTCTTCCCTGTCCTCAATCAGAAGAGCAACGGCATCGTACCCGCCTGCTCCAGGTACAACTCCACCAATCACTCCATCGACTTTACTGCATGCGTCTAGCAGCCCCGTCTGTGCCGGAGGTTCAATTGGTACTCCGCTTTGCTCGCTCATTTCGCGGATGCCTTTTCTGATGGCTTGGATGCGTTGCCTCAACGGCGAGTAATCTTTTGATCCGCTCTCGGCCAGCTTGACCAACTCCTGTGAAAGTCCCTCGTTCACATCTTGTAATCCTTCCCAGACCTTTTCTGCTTCTGCTCCAGTGTCTTTTCTCCACGCCAGTACCTGCTTGACCATGCCAGGCGTTTGACTGCCGCAGCTGACATCACACATGACCAGTCTGATGCCTTCGGGTACCTTGACCTGATCCTTGATGATTTCAGTATCCCATTGGCCATTGGTACCGCTTTCATCAACAATGTCCACCAACTGCTTGCCGAACTCCGGTGTACCAGGTTCTCCGTGTGCTGACAGAATTGGCGGTGAGAACCGCCTGTATAGGCAGCTACCATAGACTGCTGAAGCCACATCGAATCCAGAGCCGACTTTGCCTTGGGCTGCACAGTGAGCTGCTTGAGCCAGGTTATGCAGTTTGCGCTTGCCGGATTCGCTAGTAAGGTCAAAGACCTTCTGAGGGAGGTAGTAGCTGAGTACAGCTGCTGTGAATGCCGTCACGAGAGCAGCAGAAGATCCAAGACCAGTCTTGTTGGCCTCTGAGAGGGGAACACCAAAGTCGTGGAATCTTGCATCAGTCAGTGATGCCGATGAAGTCGAATAGTAGTCGTTATCTGCCAGGATGGTGATCGACGAAGGGGAGATGTTGGACGATCCAACACTGGAGACGTAGCTCAAGGCAAAGGCCAAAGCTGTCTCGACGAAGGGATTGCGGTTCAGCTTAAAGTCGGCATCTCTAAAAGCGCAAATCTGTTAGTGTCGCATCGTTCCGAAATGTCAATCGAGTCTGTAGTGCTTGGTGGTCAGAGAACAACCAGTGGAGTGCCTTTGAAGCGGTTGCTCAGGGCCATCAAGATACAACATGCCGACACTGTCATGAGGACGGGAGCCCGACTGCCATTGACCTTTAGCGAGAGATGCTCTCCCTAGTGTGGGCACTCTGCATCAAGTCGCTAACAAGACCTCGGTTCGGAGAGGTCACTTGCCGGCGCACATGTGTTGTGTCGTTTTACGGAACCCGGCAGGTCGCTTCAAACACGTCCATCCGTCACTTCCGACTTCATATAATCTCTTGAATTCTGCACCTAAGGAAGAAAGAAAAGGAGTTTCACGACTTACACTCTCAATTGGGTCACTTTGACACCCCCGTCTTCGCCAGCCAAGCGATAGCCATATTCCCAGACCGCATTCTGGAACTGAGGTGATTTGACTGTGATTTCAGAAAAGGTGACCCCGGAGCTCGATTCAAAGGGCTTTACGCAAACGTGAATACGAGCATCCAGGCCAAACACAAGCCCATTGTATTTTCTGTCGAGCACAAGGTAACCACCAGCCAGTAGGACCTTGCCAGGCGCAGACACTGCGACAGCACTTTGACTCATTGTTGTTTCGCGTGATGCAGGGTGGATCTTCAGGAGAAGTGATGCGGATCTTCTGGGGAAAGAAAGCTGAGCAGCAGGAGAAATAGCTAGACAACAGACCAAGACCAAGACAGCGCAATTAGACGGCCCCTCCTCTTCCCGCTCAGGGTAACGATGCTAAAACCCTTGTCCCTCCTGAGAGCTGCACAACAGCAATGAAGCAGTACTGCAATCTTACTTTTGCTGCGGAAAGTCCACGGATCGATGGAGTAAGGCCGGAGAAAGACACCGGTCAGCAGACCAGAGGAAAGAGGGAATTGACGGTGAAGAGCCGGGTTGATGGTGGTGATTTTGGAAGCTTCTCGTCGAGGAGGGAATCGAGCTTTCGGGGTCTGCAGCGCGCACAGTCGATTCCGAGACTTTCCTTCGACCGTTTGACGGAAGCTGCGGGAGAATGTGCTAGTGGCCGATTTGACGGCGTGGCTATGTAAGGCCAGCTATCGAGCACAGTCAGCTGTAAGATTTGCCAGAAGCTGGGGTTTAGACAGCTTTTGCCACGTCCCACTGCCGCATACAGCAAGATCTAGAAGTCGACACTGCTGGTTAGTTCGAGCACAGTCGAACGGGCGCACGCTTCACAGTTGCTCCGAGTCTCCGACCCAAGTTCGTGGATGGACGCGACAAGCTCCCACACTCAGTTCGTTATCGTCATCCATAATTCTGTTGCCTGAACATTTTCGCCAGGCAAAAACCAGTCATCGCTCAGTCTTCCATTCTCTCGCTTTTATCAGATCTTCTTTCACGCTTGGGTTCTGGTGCAATCGTTCAATCTTGTGTTTCCGCATCTCTCGTGACATTCCACCAACATCACACCACACCACCAAGGTATCTTGTACCTTTCCACACTGCATTTTCGCGCGTTCTCTGCCGATCCAGCCATCGTCAGATGAACCTGCAATAACTTCTTTTTGAGAACCATCTGGTATGTCTGATCAATTACTCATATTTTACTATTCTTTTTCCTTCTGTTTGGTCATTGTTACAACGCGATTCGACCTAACCAAGTATGATTCATTGGCAATTCTCTAACCACATTTCCAGTCTCACGTTTCCAACTTGAGAGGTCTCAATCGCCGTCTCGATGGTGTTCGTTAAGCCCACCGTCGGAATCTCACGTCTTGCTGGTACAGCATTCAAATCCTTCACCCACGGATACGCTCAGACTGTCGTCGCTGCTTCTCAGTCTTCTTACGCTTCTCAAAACACCGGTGTTACTCCACTTGCAAGCAACTGGATCCATCGCATTGGCGGAAACGCCAGCACATCACAGGTCCAACATGTGCCCAGTCACCCCAGCGCACAGGCAGCCCGCCAGGACAACAACCACAACGATGGCTTAGCTCAATACTACGAGGCATGGCACAAGCACCACAAGAATGGCGACCTACGCGAATGGCAACAGTTCCAATTCCAGAAGTTGATCGGCTATTCTGGTGCAGAGGCTGCCGAGAGCAAGGAGCTGGATGATGTGCGGGAAAGCAGCGCCATTGAAGAGGTGGACGAGAGCGTGGAAGATGCGTCGCAAAGAGGAAACTTGAAGCGTGCATACACTACCAGCGCTGTCGACAACTTCGGAAAGGCCATTGACAACCAGGAAGCTGCCGCTATCGCATTCGCACAGGTCAATGAAGCAATCGCCGAGGAGATCAGTAAGACCAAGCAAGAGGTTGAGGCTGCCGCGGACGTGCTCGTCGAAGAGGATGCTGTTTCTGAGAAAACCATCACCGCTAGCCAGGCTCCTTCACAGGGATTCTCCAGCCCTGTTTCCCACGACACCGCTGCCACATCCATCTCGGAAGTCGATGCGTATACACAGGAGCTGGAATTGATGCTTCGCGATAAGCAGTATGCTCGCATTCCTAGCATTTTCGAGTCTATGTTGTATGCTGGCGTTAGGCAGCCTCCTGCTTCAGCTTACCGTGCACTGATGACGTCCGCCATTGAACTCACCAATGGCAAGCATCAGAAGGTACCCAAAGCTCTGGAAGTCTACTCGGACATGTTGCGCCGAAGAGTCATCCCCGACGCTGAGACTTATGCTGCGCTCATCAACCTTCTTACTAGCAGATCTTTGGAAGCCTCATCTACTAAGAAGGTTCTCGAAGAAAGGCGTAAGCGTTACGGCGGCATGGATGCTGAAGATAGTTTCCTCTTCCACTCGGATGCGCTGGAATACGCCATCTTTGCAGAGGACGAGTCTCTGAGCATCGCTTTGGCTACGTTCAATGCTGCATCAGCAAGAGTGGACTTCTCAACCAAGTCTTATGGTCTTCTTATCCATGCATGTGCCAAGCAAGGTCGCGTCTCCGACATGACGCGTTTGTTTGAGCACATGTCAGGTAGAGACGTCGTTCCCAATGCAAACATCTTTCCAGCTATGATCAACGCGTTTGCAACCGCAGGAGACTTGCGCAACGCTGTTGATTGCTACGAACACTACAAGAAGTTGGCAATTGACAACGACTTGGGATTGAACAGTATGTCAAGAATGGATGAGGCGGTCTATTCGTCTTTGATCAAGGCATATGCTGTTTGTCAGCACTCGACTGGCGGTCAAAAGTTCTTGCGCGAGATCGAATCTCAGGAGCAAAATGCCTTCAAGCGCCAAGCTATTCGCGATACTGTTTACGTCGAGTCTTTCCTTCCTCTTTCACTCCAGGCCGGTGACTTCCAGGAAGCTTCTGCCATGCTCACCAACATCTCGGACGCCGCTTCTGTCCACGCACTCAATTCGATCGCCATCGCCGCTGCTGATGTCAACAATTCAACTGAGGCAATCAAGGCCTTCAACGCTCTTGCCGCGATTGGTGCTGACTTGGCTCCATCTTCGATGGCTATGCTCGCAATGCACATCCGCAATGCGAACCTTGATGCAGCTGAGCCTTACTGGCATGTGCTTGAGAACTCTATGGCTGTTCCTGCCTTCATCGAGCCGGCCACTATGCGTGCTCTCGCTCTCATCAGCGTTGGTTTCGCAACCCGTGGTATTCAACAGTCCCGCCATATGCTGAGCCGTATAAGAGACGCTCAGAACTCGGCATCTGCCAATCACGAGATTGCCGAGAAGGTTGAGGAAGCCATTGAGGTTCTTGGTGGCTTTGTTTTGGAGTCCAGCAAACCCCTTGAGATCGGTACTAGTGTTGAACTTCTTCGCATGATGGTGGACAACGGTGCACTTGTCAGCCCTATTGCTGAACATCTGGTCGCCTCTTTCGGATCTCAAGAAATCGCACAGCTCAGTCCAGCCGATATCGGTCTTCTGACTAAGATTCAGTCGCGCATGATCCTGGACGAGTCCGCTCCTGAGATTGCTGGCCCTGCCAGATTTGCTTGCCTGCTTGAGAGCATCGTTTCTCGCAGCGTCCTTCCTGATGTATCCACCGAAAATTTGATCGAGAAGACTTTGATCAACCTTGATCGCAGCGATCTCAGCCGTCTTTGGAACAACTACCGCTACCCTGTTCTGCCTTCGCCTGTCTATCCCACTGTTCCCAACTTCAACGCTTTCCCTCAAGCTCCTTTGGTACCCATCTCGCCTGTTTTCGATGATGCTTTCGACCCTTATGCCAGCCGGACTGACAACAAGGCGTCGGTCGCTATCACTGATCTTCTCGAGAAGCCCCACGGTAAATCTGCTGCTCACCTGAACGAGGCTCTTGCCAAGTTCCGCAACATCCGCCGTGCCGGTCGTGTCCCTAGATTCTTCGCTTACTCGAAGCTCATTATGGCTGCCGCCAAGGAGAACCAGCTGAACCTCTGCCGCGACATTCTTGAGATGGCCAAGCAAGACGTGCCTTATCTTCCTCAGTACAGAGTCGTCCGATTTGGATGGGTCACCATTCTTGACTCCATGCTGTCTGCCTGCTTGAATGTCGGTCGTCGGGATCTCGCTGCTCAATACCATCAGGACTTACTTGACATGGGAGCTTCTCCCTCTGCCAACACATATGGACTTTACATCACTACCCTCAAGGAGAACACCAAGACCTTTGATGAAGCTACCGAAGCAGTCAAGATCTTCCTGCGCGCAAAGGCTGAAGGTGTCGAGCCTACCTCTTTCCTGTACAACGCACTGATTGGCAAGCTTGGCAAGGCCCGCAGAATTGACGATTGTCTCTTCTACTTTGCCGAGATGCGCAACCTTGGTATCCGTCCCACTTCCGTCACATATGGCACTATCGTCAACGCTCTCTGCCGTGTGAGTGACGAGAAGTTCGCTGAGGAGATCTTCGAAGAGATGGAGGCTTGTGCCAACTACAAGCCCCGCCCTGCACCATACCACAGTTTGATGCAGTACTTCTTGACCACCAAGCGTGACCGCAGCAAGGTCTTGAGCTACTACGAGCGTATGCGTTCAAAGGGCATCCAGCCTACCATGCACACCTACAAGCTTCTGATTGACACTCATGCCACTCTGGAGCCTCTCGATATGGCTGGTGCCGAGACTGTCCTTGCTGAGATGCGTGCTGCAGGTGAGAAGCCCGAGGCTGTTCACTACGCTGCCCTCATACACGCCAAGGGCTGTGTACAGCACGACATGGCTGGTGCACGTTCTCTTTTCGATACCGTTGCTTCTGAGTCCAAGGTCAAGCTTCAGCCTTGCGTCTACCAGGCTATGTTCGAGTCTCTCGTCGCCAACCGTCAAGTCGCGGATGCTGAACCTCTGCTTGCACACATGACTTCTCGTAGAGTCGAGATGACTCCTTACATTGCCAACGCCTTGATTCACGGTTGGGCATTGGAGAAGGACATCATTCGTGCCCGCCAGGCTTTCGACCGTGTGAGCTACGCCGACCGCGAGCCTAGCACATACGAGGCAATGGTGCGCGCTCACCTCGCTGTCGAAGACCGCGATGGCGCTCAATCTGTTGTCGCCGAGGCACTCAGCAGAGGCTACCCCTCAGCTGTCTCAAACAAGATTGCTGAGCTTGTTGGTGGTGGCAGACAATAGTCTTCCTTTCATCGCTTTCTCAGATTTCACTTTTCAGTCTTTTTCTTCAGCGTCTTGGAGCGAAAATGGAATTTTAACAACTTTTGTAATGAGCAACACGATTACAAGGGGCAACGGCGTTTAATTTTGGTAATCGATCAAAGCATGGCGTTTCGAACAAAGGGGTGGCTAGCGATGGTTTTTTTGGGTTTCGGGGGTGTTGTCATGTACAAAAAAGATATCCGGGAGAGTCAGGAGGGCAGAAAAAGCTGCCCTACCCCTCTCCCATGCGTTTGCTTTTTGGGAGCGGTTGGCTTCTTTTTACTCATCTTTTACATATCTCCTCTCTGCCGGATCAGCGATACCATATACTCTGAAAGAATTGGGTATATGGTTAGATCTGGGATGCTTTTTCAATAAGCATATTTCAAAAAGAAAAATCATTTGAATCTTCATCAATGCTTCCTTAAAATCAGTGATGCTCATCTGTCAGACTCTTCTCTCTACCCTCTACCCGCTCAGCTCTCATTGGTCATACACTCGATGTGTAGAATCATTGTGCATTTCTACAGCTACGACATCAGCATGTCATGATTGCGAGACGGAAGTCTGGAAAAGCAAGTGCCGAAAGCGCTCTGAGAACTGCACTTTCCATTCGAGAAACGATTTGCCAGCAGCCAGCTCTTCCCGCTTCAACAACCCTGCCCGTTCTATCTCTTCTATTTCTGCAACAAAAACTTCAAAAACGCCTTGGCGATCACAGCACCACCATGTGTATCTCCAACCCTCTTGATGCCATCCTTGTAAATCTCATCATTAAACACACCGGCATCATGTCTAGCGGTCAAAATATGCGTCACCATTTCCCTGTTGAACTCTGGATGTCCTTGGACAGTGATTAAGCGGTTTTTGGCATACATGCCTTGGTTTTCGCAGCGGGTGGTGTGGGCTAGAGGTAGGATGCCCGTGGGGTAGGAGTATACCATGTCTTGGTGCATTTGGTGGATACTCTGATTTTTAGCTGTTAGTTGTGTTGAGTGCAGGAAGGGAGGAGTGGGAGGGAAACTTACCAAGGTGTCAACGCCGAAGATGTCTTTGCCCAAGGAGGTAAGTTCGAGGGGTGTAACGCTGACTTCCCAGCCTTGCTCGCCGCGTGCGACTTTGGCACCCAGAGCGCGGCCGACGATTTGATGACCGAAGCAGATGCCGAGGACGCGAATGCGAGATTGAGATTCCAAGATTTTGCGGGTGAATTCGACGAGCTTGATGATCCATGGGTCGTTGTCGAAGGAGTTGTATTCTGAGAGATGAAAACGTCAGCAATTTGTTCGGTCACCAAATCCAGTTTCAAATGCTCTGTCTCTCATCCTTCTTTTCTCCCGCAAACTCAAATCATATCTGGTGGAAGAAACAGGAAATAATCGATAACTTACTGCTTCCCGTCATCAAAATAGCATCAACCTTTTCCAAATGCTCAGGGTATTCTTGCTTATCAACGACATCATAACTTGAGCATTCCACCTTGACTTCTTCACCTTCAGCAGTCAACTCCTCACTTCCATGCTTCAGAAGTTCTGTGAAGATGTCACCATAGGTGCCGTACTTGTTGCGTACTTTGTCTAGCGGTGTGTCGCATTCGAGTATGGCGATGCGGAGAGTGGGCATTTTGAAATGAGATTGTTGAGTTGCGGCGAAGGTCAAGTGTCTGGTATGTAAGCAGTTCAGATCGAGATTCTGTTGTTTAGATGGGAAAGTGAAGAGTGGTTTCTTGGAATGATTGCTAATTGATGAATAGTATGTCGTCGTGTAGGGTTGGTCAATGCACCGCTGGATCCACCTCCGACGTCGCTAGAGATTGTCTACTTGCGCGATACTCCTTATCTTTTTCGTGTTCACTTTCCTAAAAGAGGACTATGTAGACAACAGCTGACTCATGGGGCCTTGCGTCCTTGTACAATGTGATCTGTAAGGATAGCTGAAGCTTATAGAGAAAACGCACTCGCCTTCGAGAGCCATGACGAGACTTGGTTATGATGACCACATCGGTATGGGGTAAAAGGCGGGGATTCAATTTTTGTCTGCAACAGGTGGCATCACAAAATTTATCATGACTTTTCCATCTCTCGAGGACTTCAAGGAAAACATTTGCATTCAACAAGGACCTCCGGATAACACCTCAACGCCTAGTCCACCCGACCAAGACCTTCTGCATCTACATAAAAAAGGCTCACTTCTCACTATGGTCATCCGATTTGATAAGGACCGTCATTGGAAACCAACCAAAAACGTCGAGTAAAATGGGAAACAAATTCTGAATCGTTGATTCTGGACATCTCAATTTCCCTTGTCCCTATCCATCCTGTTCAGAGGAAATTCTCCTTTGCCACGGCAAGACTGAAAACCTGATGAAACCCCCCGACAAAAACGCCATGTGAAGAGCAAAGACAAAGTGCCTTGGATCAGAGATCCAGATTGAAACATCCCAGAGGCACTCTTGAAGCACCAGGAGTGGAAAATTGGTGAAGTGAAAGATGCGTTTGACCTTCGGCGACTCAAAACCACTCAGAAGAAAAAGATGGGCCGAGCTGAGGCTCTGTCGAATCGTCGCTCGTATGGTCGTCATTGTCTCGTAAAAAATGCGTTGCTCGTAAGGACCGTCGTGTTATGAGGAAATTGTGGCTTCCTTATTGCCGTGAGTACGGTCGGTTCATTGCTGCAATCTCGCGAGCTATGGTGCCCCACTCGAGCTCTCTGCGAAGTGGTTTGCCGCGCTTGGAGCATTGATATTCTTCCCACTTCAGGAGTTCGTATCTGCTTCTGGTCAGCTGGTTCCCACTGGGTCGAAACTCTTTTGGAACTCACGAAAACCTCAAATGAGGTTGGATGATAACGTTCAGCCGGCGAGCACGAACGAAGCAGTACGCTCGGGGGAGCGAAATGCCAAACTCATTCATCACTTCTGCAATGCAGATCGTGGCAGATCTGGACACGCCAACCCTACAATGTACAAGAGTGGCAACACCAGCCTCTCGTCCTTTCTCTGTTGGGGCTCGAATCAGCTGTGCAACTGGACACTGGAGGCTTGGACGACTTACTGATAAAATCTAAACAACGGAAAAAGGACGAAGTAAGCGGATCTACACCATTGTCCTGAACGCCATCGACATAAAGAATGCTGTCTTGCGTGCGGGCGTCATCCTTCCACCTCTTGGTCTCGTCGCTGGTCCAACTGATAGTTTCGCCAACGCTCAATATTTGGCCGATGTTGAGCTCGCGCAGCAGATCCGGGTTGTTCGCATGTCCGAGGTTTCCGAGGTACATGTAATTCATGATCCTGGAAGGGAAGGAACCATCCATCTTGCTCAGCCATCGCGGTGCAGGTTGGCAGAGTGCTGCCATCGAGCCGGCGGAGTTGGGAGACGCTTGCAAGATCCTTGGCTGAATTGAGCTCAGGAGGGCGACGTCAGTTGGATATGAAAACAGATTACGGTGATGCTTGGTATGAAGCTCCACATACGCCCTGTCGACCGTTGCACAATTGGCGTACATGTAGTAAGCGAGCGCGAGCAAAGACGTCTCAGTGTACCCATCTGTGCAATGGATGAGAACTTTTCGGCCTTGACGACCAGCATTGATGTGAAGATCGATCATGCCAATATCCCCGTCTGCATCTCTATACTTTGGCGGTGTCATTTGCTGGCTGTCTTTACGATGCATCATCTCTTCGTGGTCCGGGTTGGCCTGCTTGTAGAGCCATGTTACCGTGTCCATCAGAGCATCCACCTCGGCTTGGGACCATGATGGTGGCATTATCGAACCAGACCCTGGGAATTCGAGTTGGGGAATCGCGTTTTGGGACACCTTCGTGTTCGCCAACAGACTCTCCATCAGACCAAAAGCCTTCTTGTCCGGTAGCTGGGCCGGATCGGTCGCTTCTACGAACAAATCATAGGCCTGTGCTTCAGATGGTAGTGCTGCATCTGGGTCTGACGGGGCTGTTAGAGACGCGTCAGGTGTCGGACCAAGCCATACATTGTGCGCAATCTCGGTTGCCGAAGACATGGTGTGCATTTCGTATCGCTCAGAGTGGACTTCGCGTTCGTCAGCTATGCCATCTACCTGCTTGTCAAATAAGGACACTTACAGAAGTCCATGACTGCACCAGTCATGTTGCCACGGTCGTCAATGGCCACAATCTCTGGATGCCCGGCTTGCAGCTTTGCAAAAGAGTCTAAACAAGTCAGAAATGGTTCGAAGGCTAAGGACTTGAAATATCACACCTTTTACCACGTATGTGTGGAACCGTGGAACTTCAACGTCGTTTTCTCTGTCTTTCTCCCTCCAGACCTTTTGAGCTCTTGATATTATGGATGCCAACTTGTCAAGCACCTCCTTAGGAGTCCTGTCATCTGCATATACTACGATGTCACTCATAGTCGCCATCTTGACTGCTTGGATCTGGAAATTGCGAATAGAGAAGCCATCTCTAGGGTCAACATCCAAGAAGGTAGAGATCTGCTCGCCTGTCTTTGTCGCAAGTAGCAGCTCATCAGGGGCGATGGCACCTTTGAGCTTAGAGTGGCTGAGATCACCACCGGCCTTGACCACGGTGATGCCGCGCAAAGTGCGAGGTGCACGTCGGAATTGCTTCTTGTTCCTCGCAGAAAAGTATGTCAACTGGATACTATTCTCGGGATGCAGGCCATGAAGCCAAGGGAAGACGGTCTTGGTGTCTGGTAGGGGGCGCGAGGCTGTATGTTCCAAAGCCTCAAACAACTCTTGTGCGGTCAATGCATGAATAGGCGGGCTGTCGCTAACTTTGGGGTACTTTCCCGCGTCGACAAGGAGAGAAGGTATGTCGATGATTTGTTGGTGTTCAGAGGCTTCGGGTGACCCTGGTGGGGTTTCGAGCTGCTGTTGTTGGAGCTTGGTAGGTGTCGGACCGGGAGAGCATGTGTCCGGGAGATGCTTGTTAGGTACGGCAGTCGGTTTCCCCCGAACAGACGTGTTGATGTTCTGCTGTGAGCTCGATGCTCGAGTGTTCAATAGCGCAGGTCTCGCGCAGACTGTAGCCATGAGAGCGCTGTGGAGCTTTGGCGCTGGTCGCTGTGAGGCAGCCCAAGGTTGAATTGTACACCGGAATTGTACACCAATGTCGAAAATCGAATCACTGGACGTCGCTGGAGACCAGGAGATGCTGCGATAGAAGAACTGACGTCTGAGGTAGGGCTCTAAAGAGATCGTCTTTGTTTACTTGTGACTGATAAGAGCGTGGAGATAAGGTGATCCTCGCGAAGCGGAAACGCGAATGAGTGCACGATTGATTCAGAAGCAACGGAAAAGCAAGAGATGATAAGTCAGTCGTTCCTTTCTCGACACACAAATTGATGAAGAAGAGCAGAATCGTTGAGCAACTGCAAGTATTACTTTTAGGACAGCGGCACTCCGTACATGTGATTGATTCGGGGCAGGATGATCGTCCGAGCGCCAACTGCGGGGACGACGGGCGTTAGTCGAACGGGGGAACTTTCGCAACACCAATTATTGGCGCGAACCCTTGGCGAATGAATAGCTAAATTGCCTTGTACTATGCTATTGTCAAGTCTACATTGATCTCTAGACTACTCGGAAGTGCTATATCTTGGTTGTGGAGGTTCTTGTGCAAGAAGTGGCAGATTTCATGTCACCAAGCTTGCGCAATTGGCATTTCGCGGGTTGCTATCGTTGGCTGGTTCAGGGTCTCAAAGGTCCCGAACGATTTGGATTTGTGATGCGGCGGCGCCTCGCCGATCCCACACTTCTTATCGAACGAGAGGCCAGAGGCCCAGAGCATGCCAGCAAACAACTGGTGCGCCTTGCCGCTTTTTCCATTCCTCCTTCCATCATGTTGCAGGAGTGAAGACTTCGACTGAAACGTACTCGCATCGATCGGAATTTGCAAAGCGAAAGGTGTGATGGATGGGCACGAAGCAATGAGGTGATCTTCTTTGCTTTTCTCCTTCTCTTCCACCCAGGTTTCTTGGGCGCCCAGGCAGAAACCCTTGTCAAGTCAGGCCAGCTCGCGTGCTCCGCGTCCCCACACGTCGGATGATGGCACTAACCGAGCGAAGGAGCGAACACACGGGATGGCGTACTCTCTAGGCTGCCGGCGTGCCTCAACCTCCCATGGAAATCTTCAATATTTGATTCTAGAGGTCTCTCGCCATCAATTGGCCTTGGAAGGTATCAAAAGCAGGCAAGTAGCCTGGACGGGCGGTCAATGTGATAGTACGAGGTGACTGGACCTCGAGCTCAATCTGATCAGAAGTGCGGCTCTGTACAAGGATCTAAAGGCACAACTCAAGCCCTCGAAGTACTTCACCCTAACCCGCCAAACGAGGGGGAAACCCGCGGGCGAGATATAGCCTCGTTCAATCGTCGATAGGCTACCATCGGTACATCGTCCGATTGTGGTCCATCTGGTTGTCTGGAACAACTTTCAGTTGGTCCATGAATTGGCTTGTGAGACCAGGAGGAGTACAAGGTCTTTGTGTTGCATGCTGCAAAACCACGGCCACGTAAAAGGCTTACCTCTAGGCTTGGTACATGCCGGGTACGTGTGGTACGTACTGTGCAACGTCCACGGCAGCCAGCCGCTAGATCGTGATTGTGTGCCTAGATCGATATGATGGAAGATAGCCCAGTTCGACTCTGTACATACCCAATAACGTTTGTTCTCGTCAAATTCAGGCTCTGGTGTTCACCATTCTGTCACTCATGGTTGATAGAAATGCTCAATGTGTATAGTCTCGAGGTCTCTCATGATTTTGCCTGTCCGTACCAAATCATACGTAGAGAGAAGACCTCAATGATGAGCGTGCTGGCCCCGTATAATTTCTCCGCGTGGTACTCCTTAACATAGACGAGGTTTGAACTCGTCACAGCAGCTGATGAGGCATGTTACTCTCTCAAGTGGTCCATGTCTCCGCTTTTGAATGTGTCGACATGTTTCATCTCTCCTACCCTCTGATACTGTAGATCATAGATTCCTTCAATAATGACCTCCTGGTGAATTCAAGGGGTATCATGCTCGAGCCATATTCACCAAGTCGGCCTCTCAAAAACTCCTGCTATGAAAAACTCCGTACGCAATGCTGTAATACCAATTCCGAGCACCATGTGCGACAAGACAACTCAACGCCGACTTTCAAATACTCTGATGACTGCGGTGGTGGTCGTTGTGTTCAAGCGGCTTCGTCATCGCGGATCTCTTGCTGCAAGACGATGGAGTAAACACTAGCCTTGAGCAGAGTAAACACCGTCGATGTCTTTCTCTCCAGACCCCTCAGTGCGTCAAGAATCTCTGCACTGGGACGAGAAGCGAGATCATTGAGAAGAGCAGAGAGCTAGGGAGGAAATCAGTAGGGTTCTTCCTTCTTCTTTGATCGGGTCATGAGATGCGAGACGTGGTTCGGATATGCAGAAAGTAGAGAGCATGAAATTTCATCGAACGGGATAAATTGTGGACTCACATCTCCGAGATTTCCTGCCAATCGGACATATTCATCCAGTACTTCCTGCTCCAGTGGCGATAAAGACTCCTCGCCTGTTGCTCTTGGACTGCTGTCGAGGCCTGACATTGTGATTCGGACGAATCGGTAGTGTTTTAGAGACCAGTATGGTATGTTCGAGGGAAAGCTACTATTGCTTTAGATATTGTTTTGTTCTGTTTTAAAGAGCGTGAGGTTGATGTGTCGTGCGGACCGATGAAACATCAATGTCGTTGTTTTGGTTTGCAACACGCCAAGGCGGAGCATTGAAAACTGGGTGACCCCCTCAACCATCGATGCAGAGACATAATCGCTCTCAGGAGCACCACTTGTGGCAGAATTTAGCTGAGAGTGGATATAGCAATTTGAGTTGGTTGCTTGAGGCTAGTGTGAATGTATCAGATTGATTGACTCTCTCACGAGGCCAGGATATGCGAAATTCGACTTGTGAAATGTCTACATCACGATAACAGCACGATATGCACGTAACTGCCTCGACTTCTCACTATTACGATCCATTCACATTTCTTTTTGCAAAACAAATACGTCACATTGGGCTGATTACTCATGTTCGAACGCTTGCAATTGAAAGATTGTACGTGGAGGATAATTGTAGAGTATCATTCATCGACGCAAACACATGAGCTGAAACGCTAGGATTTGGATACCTTCCATTGCAAAGAAGAAGAAGAGACAGGCAAAACATTCGCTTTCCCGTGGCGAGCCCTGAAGGCTAAAGAATAGCAACGCCCCCTAATAAAACTCCCACCCGATTGCATGCGTAAAGAATAATGGCATAGATATACAAGCTGCCTGACACGCCCTCGGCATGAGATTGCTTTTTGTTGTCGTTTCCCGTATGGCGAGGTTATCAGCATATTGTGACACCTCCCGTACACGGAGGGGCAGCGTCCTATCTTTGCGCCTCGTGATATTGGTGATCGTGGTGTTGGTCGTCTCCATCGTGATGCAGCGTAACGGAGTTGAACTCCTCAAAGGGATCGGCGATTTCGCCGCCAGGCGTTGCTAGGTTACTGTCGAGCGGTACTCCCTTCATCTTACTCGAGTTGACGCCGAAACCCTTGTTGACCTTGGAGCCACCAAGATCGACACTATGACTCTCCTTGACGTTTCTGAAGTTCACAGTGTCGACGCCGCGGCCCTGATTGGGAATAATCGGAGGCTTAGAGTGACGCAAAAGAGCCCATTGTGTCGTGCGGAAAAAGGGATGGCCCTTGACGTCTGATGCGCCGGCACGCGAACCTAGTCGACGGAGCTCATCCTTGATGAGAAGCTTGCGGATCAGAGACTTGCACAAGCTGCATACTGGTTAGCATTGGAAACAGAGCGGAGTCAGCATGGTCACTTACTTGCTGGTGTTTGGGTAGCCACTACCTTCAGGGAAGGGCACCTCATCTCTCAAAATATTGGCAAATGTGGCGTTCCTGTTCTTCCCCTTAAATGGCGTCGTGCCGTACAGCATTTCGTAGATCAAGATTCCCAAAGTCCACCAATCGACTGCACTAGTATGACCACAGCCCTTGATGACTTCAGGCGCGATGTATTCCTCTGTACCCACGAACGAGTTTGTGCGGAAGTTGTTGATACACGATTTGGTGTCGATGGCGGGCATGTTGTTTGGATTGTTTGAAACACCGTTGCGACCAGACATGATCATGGTGGGCACACCGCCTGGGTCTGACTGCTTGGAAAGATCGAAGTCTGAAAGCATGATATGGCCGGACTGGTGAAGAAGAATATCTGGCAGTACATGTTAGCATTGCACGGTCTGGAAGATGTCTGTAGTGTCTCACTTTCGGGTTTGAGGTCTCTGTAGATGAAGCCCATGAGATGGAGGTACTCGAGAGCGGCTGTGACCTCGGCGGCATAGAAGCGTGCAGCGTCTTCGTCAACACACTTGTTTGGGCGAGTCTGGAGAGCTCTGAAGAACTCTCCTCCACTGCAGTACTCCATGCAGAGGTATAAATGGTCTTCGGACTGGAACGAATGATACAGCGTGACAATGAATGGATGGTTGCTGGTGGCTAGAATCTCCTGCTCGGCCAGGGCGCGCTTGATCTTGTTGCGCTTGATCATCTCCTTCTTGCTGAGTACTGTAAATCGTCAGCAAGTGGCCTGTAATCTAGACAGCCTGTGTACTTACCCTTCATGGCATAGAGTCTAGAGCTCTTCTTCTCGCGCACCAAGTATACCTTTCCAACATCGCCCTTACCAATCAACTTGATCTTGTCAAAGCTGCTAGGCCCGACCTCGACGTCGCGGACTTTGATGCTGTTGCTGCTATAGGTCCTACGGAACGCGGCCGCACTCCTAATCTTGCCGGGGCTGGGAATGCCGGGTACAGGTAACAAGTCGGGAGAGCTGCTCATAGGAACTGTCTCGACCATTGACTGTACCGAAATGTTTGAATGTTGCTGAGCTAACGGAGACGCTTTGGTCATCATGTCGGAAGTCTGTGGTCGACTGTCGTTGGAGTTGGTCTTTGTGAATAAGCCCTGAGCATTGGGGGCACTGGCGACACGACGTAGTTTTCGTGCTAGCTCTTCCTTGCCTGCAACAGCGGCAGCTTCGTCTTCAGCTTCTTGTCCCTTCTTGATGGGTGTGTCCGGAGGGCTTGGAGGTACGCTGTCGGCGTTGTGATGGCGGAGAGCTGGCGGGCCTTGATGGGCAAAGTAGGGATTGGCGTTGGCGGTAGGACTCAGTTCATCGAGGGCATTGCCTTCACTGGCGACGGTCTGACTCCTATTTCGACCGATATGTGGCAGGAAGCGACTGTTGCGGAGTTTGTGCTCGGAGCGCGGGGTCGAGGGGCCTTCAGAACTGGTCTTTCCCTGGCCAATCGGCTCGTCTTTGGTGGAAGACGATGTGATGCGGAAAAAGTTCTTGATCTTCTGGCCGACTTGCGAGTTGGAGCCGTTGACAGACTTGTTGGTCGACAGGGACACGCCCGAGAAGGTGCGCCGGTCTCCAGGCATGATGGGCTACGGGAGGGTTCGCCGGCGTGAAAAGACGAGAAGGTGGATATGCGACGCCGAAGATGCAGAGGGCACCGTCGCAGCAGGCAGAAGAGCGCTGCGGGATTTGGTGGTGACAGTAAGGGGAGTGTGGTGTTCGGCCTGTCAAATGGGCCAGAACGCGCGAACGAGCGAGGACAGCGGGTCAGGGTTATGCTTCGGCGTGGCGGAGGATGTTCCCGGGGGAGGGAGTTAAGCCATTCAGATAGCGATTAGAGCCGCGGTGGGGTTCAGCTGGGCGTGTATTCTGGCTATGTTGTTTGTGGATTGGATGTGCAATTGGAAGGTCAGAATCAGAGATATGGTTGGATCGAAATACGATGATGGATTAGCTGTTCTTGCGAGCAGATGGCATGCTGTTGGCTGTTGGCTCGGCCCTTCGTTGCCGTGGGTGCGTCAGCGTGGAGTCGTTTCGTTTCCTGGCATCGGCTTGGACCGGGCACGGGGTTTGTAAGCGGCGGAGGGCTGTGCCTGTGCTTGCCGAATCTTCTGGCGGATGAACTGTCCAAGAGCCCCTCGGCCCTCAAAACCTCCTCGCCAATTATTACTGCACGCATCCTTCACCAATCGCTGTGCCTCTTGCACCTTAGGCCAAGCCATATTGTGTGTTTACTGGAACCCATAGCGAGAACAATATCAGTCACCATGCTGTCAAGATGGTGTTGTCCATGGCATTCCTGTTTCCAGATCAACTGGCCTTATCTTGAATTGTCGTAGCAACTACCTATTTCGTTGTTTGTAACTTGGCGCGTGCGTGTGATATAATCTTTCTCGATCATCCCATCCTCTCCCTGCCACTGCATTTCAACTTCTACTCGTATACCAGCCACTCTCGTAAGTGCTAGCCACTCGCTGCATCAGTCGCGAATGTTTCCGCTTCCTCCCTCGTAATCACCTCTGGCTGTCATCACAATTCAGTTCGAAGAGACTCTCTGTTGCCTATACTCTCCTTGTGTCAATTGGCCCAAACGTGGATCCGTGAGCCGGCAATAAATTGAAGCCAACTCGAGCAGGAGACGGGAGGTGCTTCTCATGCATCCTTGATCGAAAGCCTACCCCGCACAACGCCTTGCCTGCTCCATCGCGATCATGATGCTCATCGAGCTGCACTCATCATGCGCCATTATCAAGGGCTCGTAACAAAGATCGTGTTAGTGGTGTGAAAATTCATGAAGAAATCAAGGTTACACTATGGTCGCATAACACAATTCAGCCGAATGAACACGCTCGGAAGTGGGGTCTCCGCATGACGTTTTTCATGATCTGTACCTGGATCTTCACCATCCTACTGATCTATTTCCCTTTGTAGTGTTGTAATTTGCAGATTTGTCCGGGACCTGGTCTCACAAGAGGGGTAGGGTTCCATTGGCAGACATGAAATGGAGCAGATCTCGGGTGAATGCATAACGATGGCCATGGCCATAAAGCTTCAGTCTCTCGCAGGTCTTTGGTTTCTTGTACCCAAGCCAACAAGACATTCTCGCAATGCTTGGTAAAACTCTCATCAAGGCCGCTGCCCTGGTGGCAAGTCTGGCAATCACGTCTGATGCTCTTGCACTCAAGAAGCAGAATCTCAATGACCTTATCAAGCCATACAAGAGAGAACTCCTGCAGGATCTGGTGACCTGGGATGAGCACTCACTCTTCGTACGTGGTGAGAGAATCATGCTCTACTCGGGCGAATTCCATCCTTTCAGGTACGATACAATTGCCCTTGCTAAGTACAATGCTGGTACTGACATGCCTCAAGATTGCCTGTCCCTAGCTTGTGGCTAGATGTCTTCCAGAAGATCAAGGCATTGGGATACAACGGAGTCTCCTTCTACGTTGATTGGGCTCTTATTGAGGGCAAGCAAGGTGACTTTAGTGCCGAGGGAATCTTTGCTTGGGAGCCTTTCTTCGAGGCTGCTACAAAGGCTGGCATCTATCTGATCGCTGTAAGTCAATCTTGCTACTACTTTTCTTTTCATTTGCAAAATTTGTCATTTCAGTATCCTCTTGCAATTACGTCTGGTGTTCTGCGTCCGTCTCATGCACAGAATTTGCCAATCTGCGTAGTCGTTCATAGAGAGGGCGTGCTTGGCGCGTGCTCCCTGAATTCGACTCTTTTGGCAACATATTGTACACTGAGGCGAACATTCGGCATCTAGAGAGGAGACAATCTTTGTAACATTATACTAATTCAAGCATAGAGACCTGGACCATACATCAATGCTGAGGTCTCCGGTGGTGGCTTCCCTGGCTGGTTGGCTCGCAATCCTGGAATTCCCAGAACTCGCGACCCCCGATTCCTCAATGCAACCGACAACTACTCTCGCCAGATTGGCGAGATCATTGCAAAGGCACAGATTACTGAAGGAGGCCCTGTTATCCTTTATCAGCCAGAGAACGGTATGTATCACACTGTCGGGCGTCTTGCTCCCAAATGTTCACCAAACCCGACCTCAACCCTATATTGCACCCAATACAGTGCTTTTCATGTTGTATCAAGTCTATATGAGGGCCTTGCTGATTCTCTGTCTCTTGCTAGAGTACTCCCAAGCTGTTTCAAGCGATCCCGAATTCCCTGACCAAGTATACATGGCGGCTGTTGAAAAAAGATTCCGAGATGCAGGCATTGTTGTACCTTCTATCCTCAATGATGCCTATCCGCACGGATATTTTGCGCCAGGTAGCGGAGAGGGTGCAGTGGACATCTATGGGCATGACGGATACCCCTTGTAGGTGTTTTTGTGGTTTGGATACTTTAGCGAAAAAGCTAACTTCTCAGGGGCTTCGATTGTGCCAACCCAACCACCTGGCCCGACAACGCATTGCCTACATACTATGGTGATCTGCATGCAGAGCAGAGTCCTTCCACTCCTTACTCAATCCTTGAATTCCAGGGAGGTTCATTCGACCCATGGGGCGGCCTAGGATTTGAGCAATGTAGCGAACTGTTGAACTCTGAATTCCAGCGAGTCTTCTACAAGAACGACTTTTCATTCGGCATGACCATCTTCAACATCTACATGACGTATGGCGGAACGAACTGGGGCAACCAAGGACATCCAGGCGGCTACACATCCTACGACTATGGAGCTGTCATCACAGAGCAACGTCTGGTATCTCGTGAGAAGTACAGCGAAGCAAAACTCGAAGCCAATTTCTTGCAAGCCTCGCCTGCTTATCTGACTGCCATTCCTCAGAACAACACTCACGCTAATGGATCTTACTCCAACAACCCCGAAATTGCTGTCACTGCATTGTTTGGTAACAGAACCAATTTCTTCGTCATCAGACACGCAGCCTACAACAGTCTTGCCTCGACTGAGTTCAAGTTGACCCTTCCCACCAGCCAGGGAAATATCACCATCCCTCAGTTGAACGGATCTCTTGTCCTGAACGGACGCGACTCAAAGTGGGCAGTCACTGACTATGATGCTGCCGGTACCAACTTGCTTTACTCATCTGCCGAAATCTTTACCCAGAAGGCTTATGGCGATAAGCAAGTTCTTGTCGTTTACTCAGGGGCTAACGAGAACCATGAGCTTGCATTCACGCTCTCTTGTAGTAGCGAAGTCATCGAAGGATCTGGTATCAACATCGTCAAGAAGAAGGGCACCACAATTATTGGCTTCAAGAGCAGCTCGGAACGCCGAATTGTCAAGATTGGCGAGCTCTACGTCTACATTCTCGACCGCAACGATGCATACAACTACTGGGTCCTTGATCTACCTTCCAGCCCCGTTTCTGGCAACTACACTAATGGCACTATCGACACTTCTGCTGCTATTGTCAAGGCTGGTTACTTGCTTCGCACCGTCGAGGCTAGTGGTACTATCTTGTCTCTCACTGGTGACCTCAATGCCACGACTGAAATTGAGATTATCGGTGGCGCACCCGCAAAACTCACCGAGCTTAAATTCAACGGTGAGACTATCAAGTTCGCCCAGGACAGCTGTTCCGGCGTAGTCACAGCCTCTGCTACTTACAGCGAGCCCTCATTCTCCGTTCCCGACCTATCGACTGTTGATTGGAAGGTTACCAACAGTCTTCCAGAGATCGTCGCAGGATATGATGACAGCCTTTGGACCAACGCCGACCTGACTTACAGCAACAACACTCAGCGTAATCTTACTACACCTGTTTCGCTATATGCACAGGATTACGGTTACAACATTGGCAACCTCCTCTACCGTGGTCACTTCACTGCTACTGGCGGTGAGAACTCCATCTATCTCCAGACTCAAGGCGGCTCAGCATTTGGCATGTCTGCTTGGTTGAACGGCACCTTCTTGGGATCAGCTCGCGGTATCGACGCCGCTTCAAACGCCAACTCTACATTCAGCTTGCCCAATGTCGCTTCTGGTAGCTCTTACGTTCTGACTGTCCTCATCGACCACATGGGTCTTCAAGAGAACGGCCAAGGAGGTTCCAGCGAAATGAAGACCCCTCGTGGTATCCTCAACTACTCTCTCAACGGCCGCAACGCTTCCGCGATCAGCTGGAAGTTGACTGGTAACCTTGGTGGTGAGGACTACCAAGACCGCACTAGAGGACCTCTCAACGAGGGAGGTCTTTACGCTGAGCGCCAAGGTTATCATCTTCCTGGAGCACCAACCTCTAGCTGGAGCAACAGCACTCATGGACCTATGATCGGCATTACCGCCCCCGGTGTTGCTTTCTACTCCACCACCTTCGACCTTGATATGCCTGCCGGCTACGATATCCCTATTGCCATTTCCTTCTCCAACGCCACATCGAGCACCAATGGTTCAGCCTCTGTTGCCTACAGAAGTCAAATTTACGTCAACGGTTACCAATTTGGCAAGTATGTCTCGAACATTGGCCCCCAGGATGTATTCCCTGTGCCTCAGGGCATCTTCGACTACAACGGTTCTAACTACTTGGCTGTTTCGCTGTGGGCTCTTGACGAGGGTGGTGCCAAGATCTCCAACTTGAGCCTTGTCGCTGGTCCTGTCATCCAGAGTGGTTATGGACCTGTTGAGTTGAGTCCTTTGACTTGTTGGTCGAAGAGAGAGGAGGCTTACTAAGCTAGCTCATCATGATAATGTTCCGGAAGGATATTTCACGAGACTCCAGCTGTTTGGCATGATTCGTCACGTGGGATTATTGTTGTTGTATCAGTTCCTTTTTATATGTGATCATTGCAGTCTCTACGTAAATGTTTGTCAGGAAACACCTTGTAGGGCCGCCCCAGCCGGACAGTGCCTTTTGACACCACCTTCGGAAGCTTGGTACATTAGATGTATGCTCTCAAAGTTTCCTGTAAGTACTTTCTCTCCGCACTTCCTTGAAGACAACACCTTGTAGGGCCGCCCCAACCGGACAGTGTCTCAATATCTGACACCACCTTCGGAAGCTTGATACAGTAGATGCGCAGCTGCCGAAATTCACGGTTCCTTCCAAATCAGAAACCATCAAACTTTGCCAGCCAGCTTGTTTTGTCTCTTTTCCATTGCTTTGTTGGTCTCCAGGCGCTTCATGATGTAATCACGAGCAGTCTTTGTAAGCTGCGTGTACTGAATGTGGATGGAGCGGCTGATTGAAAGATCGTTCTTCCCCTGAATGAGGTTGAAGAGCAGTAAGAGGCCGATGCGCAAGTGGTGTTCGTTCTCGAGGTCAGATGGAGCCCAGACTTTGTCGACCGGTAACGATAGAAGCACTAGACTCTTACGTTCGTCATCGTTAGGCTGGTTCTCAGAGACCCACTCGGCAAGGTCGTTGTCGTCACCTAGAAGGAGATCAGGCTCGTCGTAGAGCTGTTCCTCATAGTGTTGCTCTTGGCGGGTTCGTCCGCCCAGTGCCTCGTTATCCTCGTGGTATTCATCGAGCTCATCTGAGGTGGTCAAGATCCAGGCGCCCCCTTCCGTAAGAGCTGCCGAATCGACGTCCCCTAAGATACCCTTCGTAATACAGTGGCTGCAGTAATAGCCTCCGTCAATAGGGCTGTCCAACCCATGGCATTCGGCGTGCGCAAGTTCGGAGCATTTGCTACAAATACAGCCTGTGCCGTCCTCGATATCCTCGCCACAGATTCCTGGATGTTGACATTAGCATGAAGACCACAAAGCGTAGAGAATAAAGGAAAAAGAAAGCAAAGGAGACGGAGAGGAAAAAAGAGGGGGAGGCTCGCTTACCACATTCGTCGTCGTACGTCGAAGGCTTCTTCTCGGCCCTCTCTCTAAGGTTGTATCGGTGTCCTTGATCCTGTACGGTGACTTGCACCTTTTGAAGCTCCTTGAGAGCCTTGAACTCGGAGATCTTCTTTCTTAAGGCTTGTCCTTCGTCGCTTGTGTGGCATTCATTGACCTCAGATTGGAGCTTGTTGAGCTCTTCCACCATTAAGGCTTGAATTTTTGGATCCTGAGCATTAGATGCCAACTGCACAGTGACTTTGTCTGCTTGAATGCTGGCGCGGAATAAGTCGTGAGAATTAGGGGTAAAACTTCTTTCAAGCAACGTGTTGAAACATGAGGTGATCTAAGGGGTGATTAGTAAACATATTTTTAATTGCAGTCTCTCAGGTGCCCGTAAGCCCCTGAACTAGCTGAAAAAGGACAGGAAGTTTTTGAAACTGAGCCAGATGTCCGGTGAGAGCATGCGAAAGAGCTACTCTAACTGGACAACCAGTTCGGCCTCAAAAGTATCGTGCCTTTTGATAGCTGGATTTAGGAGCCACCCAGCCTTGGAGATGAATGACTTACTCGGTTTGTGCGTCCTCCAACCTGTTCCTCTTGTGCAAACGCTCTTGCGATGCTTGAAATGAATACGCGGTTGCATGCTTCGTGCAGGTTGAGTCCTGCTGCACCGACATCGTACATCATGATCAGAATTTTCAACGAGCTCTTGGGGTCGTTAAACTCTTTCACCATGTTAGCCTTGGCTTTGTTTGAAAGACCGGCGTGAAGGATACGGGCGTCAATTTGCACGGAACGCAAGACGGCTTGCGTGTAATAGGCGTTGGCAGGGGTGACTTCGGCGGCGATCATCTTCTGATGATTGTTGTATAATTCGGGAGCCAGTGGCTCGACGATGTGTCCTGTGAGAATCACTCTGCATAGATGTGCCAGAGTTGGGCTACCTTTGGCAAGGTACACCGAGACTTCAGCGGCTGTCGTCGGTTTGCGCTCTGCCTTTGTGCGCGTGATATCGACGAGGAAGTCGGCTTCTTTTCCACTCTCTCTCCACTTCTGGAGAGTGGAGACATGGGTATCTCCTTCCATTCTTTCCATGTTGGCATTGAGTCGTGCCACTTTGGTGCTGAAATTTGCTAGTGCAAGTCGACGAAGTGGGGCCATCGGGAGCGCAAATGGGGTGGGTTGGCTGACCAGAACAGGCTGGCCAGGAGGTGGTTTCTGCTCAGACTTGCGTGCCTTACTCATCTGGTCTTCGAAATCTCTGTCGATTATCATGTCAGCTACTCTGTATTGACAAGGAGAGGAAAGAATGTGGGTTTCCTTCAGTAATCACTGTGTGTGGAGGGATTCAGGGGAAAGAGACCCTCCGCCAGGAGCAGGACTTTCGAGGGGAAAAGGCAATGGGGAAGAAGCATTCTCCCTGAAAGAACTAGCCTGTGGTAGTACTTCCAGAAGAAGGCCCCTTTGGGAAAGGTACTTACAAAGCAGGGTTTTGATGCCACATTTGATACTCCAATTCGTCCTCGTCGAGTCTTTCGACTATGGTTGTTTTGCGAATTATCTTCTTGAACAGCGTGCGTAAAGGAACCAGTGTACCATCAGTGTTGCGAAGTTCGGAGGATGCCGACCTGCGGATCATCACAGTGTCTAGGACAGGTTTCATCTCGTGCATAACTCTCTTGTGTATAGAGTCCTTGTCTGAGTTGACAATCGGCATCAAGAGCTTTGTGTCGATTGCCCGAAGGCGACAGGAATCGGTGCGAGGTAGTAGGTTGAGCTGATGCATCAATTCGCCCTTCTGCTCCCATCCTTGCAGTAGCTGGACCTTGTCATTGTTCTGTTTCAGGAACCGCTCAAGCTCAGCGCGAGCCTGTGTGCCAAGAAGATGCGTCTTTCCGAGGAAGTCTCTGATGTGGTTGTGGAATGGCGTTGCGGTTGCGAGGACGATCTTCGGGATGTTTTGGCAATAGATGGCCGCAGAAAGACCTGTGCGGTAGTTTTTGATCTTCTGGGCCTCATCAGCTAGGAGCAGGCCCCATACTCCCTCGAATCTGGTTGTCCATCTGACATTGTACCGGGGCTTGCGCAACCAGTCTGGCTTCCCATTTGGCTTCTTGCGTGGAGGAGAGTGGTGTTCTCCGGGGCTCTCGAGTTCCACCACACGCTCCGCAGTCCTGGCCTTGTGCGTCTCGTATGATGTGATGACAAGAGCAGATCTAGCCATCGGATCTTTGGTGTCAAAGACCCACTTCAAGCGCTCAGGCATTGCGTTGTCGACAAGTCCAAAGCTGAGCATATCCGAGGTTGAGAGCAAGTTGAAAGGTAGCTCCTTCTTCCAGTCATGATCTTCAAAGGAGATGATGAGTTGGAAACAAGGCCAATACTTGTGGATCTCCTGAATCCAACCATGAACGAGTGTCGATGGGACGACCAGCAAAGATGGTCGATGCTTGGATTTGTCGCCCAAAAGAATGTGAAGATAACCAACCAGAAGAAGTTGTTTCGTCTTTCCGAGGCCAACATCGTCGCCGAGTATACATCCGTGAATGAGGAGATCATGAAGTTTCCCCGCGGCAGCTCTAACTTTCTCGACATTAAAGTCATATGGCCGCTCGCACTTGGAAAGCAGAGCGTCCACATCAATTCGACCAAACAGCTTGAGAATGCAGCCAACGGCACCGGAGATCTGATAGTGGTAAAAGTCAGAAGTAGTGACTCCCGCTAATATCTTAGAACGCCATAGGCCATTCGGCTGTTGCTCACAAGCTAGCAAGTCGAGGCATAGATCCAAGGGTGGGCCAACTTGTGCTTGGGTGCCAGAATACGCCGAGCGTAGAGTGTAGTACTTTTCGTCGTCTTCCAATGCTTGCTTTCGCTGCTGGACTGTCTCGGCGAGCTCTGGGGTGTCGGGGCCGTCACCATCTTCTCGAGGCATGCGAGATTCAGCAGTTTGGGTGCCCATAAAGCGAGCCTCTTCGACGGCGGTCTCGACATCCTTGTGCAAAAGCCCCTTCTTTGGCTCGTCGTAGACCGTGGAGGTAAATTTGGCTGTTTGAGTGATCTTGAGGAGTGTTGATCTCTGCCATTCTAGAAGTTGATCCGGCTGAGTGACGTCGAGCCCGTCAAAGTAATTCTTCATGGCCTCATGATCTCCACCAAACCTGATCAGGGGATCAGGTGCCATGCCAATATCATCTGCGTTCTTTCCAAGACCCATGGAACGATCGAGAAATCGCTTGATGATGTCTTCTTGGTGTTCCCGAACAGCACTCGCAGCAGCGACAATAGTAGTCGATTCGACTGGCGCGGAGTGGGAACCTCCGTCTTGTCGAAGACCTGCTGCCCTCTCCTCCAAGGCCAGTTGATCGACCTGGACAGGCGCTTCGCCAGGTTTTCCCTGCTTGAAATATCCCTCCATGCTGGGATAGTAGTTGGTCTCAAGGATGTCCTCAGTTTCGCGTGTAGGTTCGAATCCGACATTGAAGACAAAGTCCATGTTGACTGGGTCTCTCATAGCATTTTGAACATCAGCCCAATCGCTAGCCATAACGTCCAGCCTCGCATTTCCATCAGTATCCTTGTAAACGAGGTTCAAACGACGAATCTGCATGCACAATGAGACACAGGTAAATTGGCGGCGTATCTGGTCGCGGAAAGCCGGGACAGACGGGAATAGTCGAGGATCTGCCTGCATGACTTGTGTTGTGTTTGGGATGTCAGGATTATGATCAAGGTCACCAAGCGCGAGCTCGAGGTCGTCAGAATCGAGTCTGCTGATCCACTTGACGTTGAACTTGACGACTGTGAGTTCATCGGCATCGGAAGTTGCTGTGCTGGTGGGAATGTTGTTTGCTGGAGGTGCCTCTGGTAGCATCCAGTCTGGGATGTTCTTTGCGTCGATTGTGGTACCTTTCTTGGGATCATCGGCAAGACGGAGCCTGTGCTTTCTGGAACGAAGTCCGCCGTGCAGGTATCTCAGAACAACGAGACATCTGTTGTAGGATTCCACTGGTGACTCCAAACGCAACGGACCAAGGACAGGCAGCTTGATGAGACGCTTGGTGTGATCCAAACATTTCACAGGAACTGCATTGTTGTCGTGGTTGGCAAGAAACTCGGTGAGATACGTCTTTTGACGATCCTGGTTTGTCTCTGGACTGTTCTTGGCCATAGCTTCAATGTCGCTCTTCAGATTGACCAAGATCCAGCCAAGATGTCTGGCCTTTTTCGCATTGTGGACCTCTTTCGGATCTTCCTCAGCCTTGAGCGGCCATTGGAGGTGCGGATCAGTGACACCTTCGAAGTCCTTTGGGGTAGTCTGGAGAATTCTGAGAGTGTCGTGTACGCGCAGCTTCTCAGAGATAGGTTGGTACGCAGAGTATGCGCGAAGAAGAGGCCAGGAAGCTGAAAGTTCGCGGAGATCGTTTGTCTCTGCGTATCCAAGGTATGCAGTCGTCTGACTTTCGTTTTCCTGGCAGGCAAGGAAAGTTGAGGGATCTAGAGGGTCACCAGGTTGCTGCCTCGGTTTGGGTGGGACGGTGGCCTTTTGAACTCTTTTGGCTGACATGATGTGTAATTATGGCGGTCCGTAACGAAGCTGTTTGCAATGCTGAAGACCTCGGACGCAATCAGAGCGGCCAAAACGATTGGTAGTCCTGAACGAGGTGAATGAANAACGCGTGTGAGAATGAAACTAAGACGATGAATACTTTCACTACTGAATAGGAAAAGACAAAAGACGGATGGAGACAATAGTGAAAGCGATGGCAGAGCACATGATATGGTCGATGGCACAACAATTGATATTGTCATGCCTACACAATCTCATGCGGTTATTCACGGTAGAGAGTGAATTACCTTGTTCCAATAGCATAGATGACCATGCCGACCGTGAATAGAGCCCATCGCTGGCCCTTACACATGACTGCTGTATGTAAGAAGCCACGAAGCCAACGAATGAATTCTTACAGCTCAACGCCCCTTTCGGTGCTATTTGGGTTTTATATTAGCTAGAGTTGAAGTGCTTCGACTTCTGTTGTGGTTGCAGGGCTGCTAGCATTGGAAGTACTGACCATGAAGCCTAGAGGCGTCGGGAAGTGCTTCTGCCCAGTAATAGAACAAATTGGATGAGCTTCTGATGTGGTCATTGTGTCGTATTCTTTCTTGATGCGTGATTTGACTATGCTATGCGAGTACTTGGTTTACAGAGACAAACCATTGCCCCACGTTGCTTGGGAGCGATTTTCCATCCGATGTTGTGCCGAGCGAGGACACGTCCACTGGAACAGTCGAAGCTTCGCAGCTCGACATCAATCAACCATTGCTCAATCCTCCTTGGGCTCGCCGGTCTTGTAGTTCTTGGTGTACCTGGCGGCACGCGAAGGACGGGGAGCGCGGGGAGTATTACCAGGTGTGATGAGACCAGAGCTTCCCTTAGGCTTCCGGCCTCGACCGACGCCACGGGCCAACTCAGTCTCCTCCCCAGAGGTAACCTCCTCAGGAGTGACGTTTTCGGGGGTTACCTTCTCGGGGGTTACCTTCTCGGGGGTTACCTTCTCGGGGGTTACCTTCTCGGGGGCAACCTCGTCATCGATATCAGGCTCCCCCTCTTGACCTGCCTCCTCTTGACCAGCCTTCTCTTGTTCGGCTTCCTTTTCATGCACCTTGTCGGTCTTGTTAGATGGACCTGGGACATTGAGATCATCCTCAGTGGTGGACCACTGTTCCTCGTCCTCGTCACCGGATTTGTTGGCGACCCCGTCGTTGGTGGCGTTGCTAGTGGCTTCGTCGGCAGGGTTGTTGGTGACCTTGTCATCGGTGACCTTGCTGGTGGCCTCTTTGGCGGTTTCGTCGGCGACCTTGTAAAAGTCGTCTGTCATGTTCCAATTAGTCACAGGTCCTCTCTCACTTCTCTTCCGCGACGACAGTACGGAGGCTGTCGACCTGCACGACTCTTCTCAATCAGAGTAACGGACAGATCTCCTGACCTCGAAATCATCGTGCCTTTGGACAGCCTTGAATTGGCGCGTTGCAGGCGAGGTTGAAATGGCATATTCGACTTACCATTGATGTTACCGTAAAGGATCTTCTCGCCCTTCTTCAGCTTGAGAGTTCCGGCCTTCTTCCTGGCTCTGATGTCTTCGAGCTCCTTCATGTCACGCTCGGCGCGACGGAGCACCTCCCGAGCCTCCCACAACAGGTTTTCGACAGCAGCTCGAGCTTCAGGTGTCTTTCCAGGACCATAGATCCGGCGACCCATCTCAGCGATGCGAACGGCTTCTTGTGCGTGGTAGAGGTAGTCCATCTCACCGCTAGCCAGCACAATGTGTGCACGAGCGCGAATGGCCAAAGGGAGCTCTGCGCGCTCGAGAAGCATATGGGCGATCTTGTAAGCTTCCTCGGAGCTGTCAGGGGTGTTCTGCTCGGCGAGAGCATTCATCTGATCGCGGAAAACACCCATAATTCTCTCGCTGTTCTCGTGAATCGATCCTTCGTGGTGGGTTTGGTGCTGGTGGGCGTCGTTGTGGTCGTCGTGATGATGGCCGCCTGCGCCGTGCTGAAGCGCAGGGGGGTCCTCGGTAGGTACAGCTGCCTGCTGCGCAGGAGATGTAATATGGTCGCTCATTTTTTCTGTTGCTAGACAACGCTGATGTCTTCCTTGTTCCTGTTTGATTGCGCCGTATTGAATCGAGTGGGGAAAGGGTGTTGGCGCTGGACAGTGTCGGAATCCGGGGTTGCAAACAAACGACATGCGTTTGCGCGGGTTCACAGTCTCACACATGTAGGAATTTTTAATATCGTTTTGACATGGTTTCTTCCCTTTCGTCGACCAAATTGTAGTCTGCGCCTTCAACCCAACAGCATACTCTACCACAGCTTGACGATCATTTCTTCACCCGTGAGTTCCTTTCCCCCTGATCTTCACCATCAATTACTGACTGTCGCCAGAAACAGCAGCCTTCATTCCGTCCATCCATCCCATCTGCGCACACGTTTAGTAAGTACTTCCGGCTCAACGTTCTCCTGCCCTCGAAGCACTTCCACCCCCGCCTCCTCCTTGAAGTTCTTCCATCTCCCGGCGCCTTTATACTCAGAAGTGCTCCATTCATCGTCGCCTTCTTCTTGAAGCACTTCCATTCCCACCTTCTCCTTGAAGCACTTCCATCCCCACGTTCTTCTTAAGGTTCTTCCTCCATACTGCACTGTCCCAACTAGAAGCGCTTCTGTTGTCAATGTCCGTTTTGCGTTGATATACTTCCCTTCCCATCTTTCTTTCCACTCAGCGGTGCCCCCATCAGCACCATTAAACCCATCGGGAGGGACTTCCATTGCTACTCCCCTTTTCATCCAGAAGCGCTTCCATGACCACCTGCTTCTTTCAAGAGGCGCATCTTCAATCCTTCTTACCCTCCTCCCATCCCTCCTCACAACACACGCAGTGACTAACATACTCGACAGGCGTGGGCACTTTCAAAGATGGTCGGCACACGCAATCGCCCCAAGGGTTACGATAAGCCCACCCAAAGCTCCATCAGTAAGCAACAGCCCCGCAAGCGCCAGAGTGCTCAGGACGAATCTTCCGAATCTCCCCCCAGGAAGCCGCCCCCCAGGCCTCCTGGAAGGCCTTCTAAGGCGCCAGCTAAGGACCCTGTCGACTCGGATGAGTACAACGAGCCGGACGAGGCCGAGAGCTCGAGGGAGTCTGGCGATGCAAGCAACTCAGAAAACTCCAGCAAGTCCCAGGATCCGGCTGAACCCGTTGACTCCGGCAAGCTTGGAAAGAAAGCCGCAAAGAATCTCAGAAGGAAGATGAAGAAGAGAAGCAAAAAGTCCCCTGGTGAATCGGACGCTTCCGAGGAGTCGAACAAGGGTGAGAAGCCGCCTGCAAAGGCAAAGCCTAAGAAGAGAGGAAGAAAGCCCAAGAATAAGACAGGGCAAGAGGACACCCCGTCCGAAAGTGACGACGAAGACCAGAACGCCGATTCGGGTGAGGCTCGTAGGCGCAACAGACCACCCAACAATGCCCCCAAGGCCGCAATTGCCTTCGACAAAGTCTGGAGAGAATACCTAACGGAGCACTTCATCAACAAAGACGAGAAGTTACGTTACACAAGAAGGATCTTTGATCTTTTGGAGAACAGCTCACTGCGCCATCTGCCGCCAGAGTTGGCGGGTGCTGAGCAAGCCCAGCGCCATTGGGAGGCGCTGCTTCTGCCGGCCAACCGAGCCCTTAACACCTTCAACAAATCAGCAGCGTATCGCATAACCAAGCGGAAAGCCTGGAACTTTGAAATCACCCTTAATCCAAACAGAACAAAGATGCTCGATCAAGAAAACAAGGTCTCTGCGATGCTCTCATACGATGTCATTCCGTCGACGAATGCCGATCTAGCCTGCAAGGTCGCAGAGGAGTTCAGGGGCTTAATGAATCGATGGCATCTACCCTGGCGGGTTGCTGGTGGAGGTGCCATTAGATCACTTCTTCTCGAAGCCGCCTATCGGAACGTCGCAGGAACAACCATTGCGTTTTGTAAAGGCCCTAATGGCGTCACCGACGGGATCGGTCTGGAGGCTAGATCTCTCGGCGAAGAAGGAGAGATCCTTGAGCACAAGTTCAGCATCACTCATTCAAAGATTCCCGAGGATTTCGATATCGCATCAGTCCCGGATCCTATGCCTGGTGTAAGATGGGGCACGTCTGTCACCCATTCGGACGTGCCAAGAAACTTTAAGCCCAAAAAGTTGCCCAAGGGCTGGACGGAGAAGAAATGGGCTGCTGCAACGAAATTCATGCTGTTCTTTGTGAGCGCCACACATGGCCTCCTGGTCTCAGGCAAGCAGATGGATCAACTCTAGAACTTCCATCAGGAAAACGTTTTCGGCTCAAAGAAGTCTACGAGAGGCAGTAAGTCAGACTCTAACACATTGAAGGTGAACTAAGCTAACTTTCGAACAGCTCCAGGTCATCTGTACGGAAGAAGAAGACTGTTGTGCGCTTATCTAAGACCTGATCACAGAGACTACCGTGTCGTTCCTTCGAATTCCGTGCTTAAAGACCTTGGCTTCCAACAGAGCGATGTTGCTAGCTTCTTCATGTCTGTTAAGTCCACTCTAGCTCTTCGTGTGGTGCTCGCCTTAGATATTGGTTACAAGACATACAGCTTGAAAGCCGACCCTCGCTACACGATCCTCGCTGTTGCCGAGGCAATCGACATAATAAATCAGGAGATTTCGGAGGGCGTCCCCCCTACAGCGGGTTGTGTCTGCACGAAAGCCCAGTGCAAGTTCGAATTCCATCCTTGCGCGGTTTGCTTAGACCCGGCGCTTTGCTCTACCCTGATCTACAACTCTGATGGAGTTAGAGTGTGTCCAGGATGCATCAGAACCACCAAGGACGTTGATAAATTCGCAAAGGCTATTATTAGGGAGCGGCTGCGCTGGCTCGTTCGTTATGAGGCCATGCAATTAGGTCGTGATCACAAGAACGAGGCCCACGAACGTCTAAAGACAAAGTGCATTGACGAGCTTTGCGTAACACTTCCTAACCAGTCAAACGGACCAGCCTATTGCGATGCATTCGCAGACAACGAGGTTGTTATAATCCCCGAGGAGATGGCAACTACTGGTCGTAGGATGCATCCTAACTCCATAAGCATCGACGCTAAGCTGCTCCGCGTGCACGCTGAAGGCATCGGCTTAATGGGTCACGCTCCTAGCAATGTACACATAACTCGCGCCTCCATCAACAGAGCGAAGTTCGTATGGCCTCCAGGAGTTCTCGCACTGCTTACGCGTTGGATCAAGGATGCTAAAGGTCGACAGGCATACGCCCATAAGTTCATGCATTAGATGGCAGACATGCACTTACTTACGTGCAAGACTCCATACTACGCTGCCATCAAGAACACTAAGAAAGTTGAACGTTCGAAGTTGCAGCGTTAGAGAGCGGAAATTGTTGCCGGCCGCCCTACTCCTAACGAACATGGGCCATAGGAGCAGGCGTCTTAGCAATGGATTGAAGCAAAGGTTCATCCCGTTACAGTAGGCGATGAAGACTCTTTCACGTAGGAGAAGGAATCGCGAAACGGTCTCCTTAACATCGCTGCCCAGTACGAGCAGGACCTCGGTGTCAAGCTACAGTACTCCAGCGATGGTTGCCCTAATATCGGGTATGACACCTCTACTAAAGACAACCCTAATGGGCTCATGGAAGAGGGTTTGAACTGGAACAGCATGGCCGTTTTCTGTCGCGAGCGACGCGAAAGAATGCGCTTAAAGTGCAACAGACGTCATGCTACCGAAGATTCAGTGTATGCCCTACATGCTAAAATGATCAGATCCGCGTGTCTAGATCATGCTTGCGCCAAGGGAGATTGCAAGGAGCCTAATTTGCACTTCTTCCATCTTCCAAAGGCTTTGAAGATTAAGCACCCGCTCCGTCTCTTAATTGGACATAAGCACCACGGCCTGTAGATGCTTACTGGCTGGCCAGAGGAGCCCTCAGACATTAACTAACGAAACGACAAGATAAACAATATTCGCATAGAGACTTGGCTAGAGAATTGGACCAAGCTTAACCTCGATAAGGACTTCTACGACCTGACACGTGAGGTCTTTACTCGTCTTGTCGTTCCTCGTGATCTGTACGATCCTACCACTTCTCCACCACAAGACGTTAATGTCTCTTTGGCTGAAGGTTAAGACGTAAACTACAATGCTGAGACTGTTGCTAGTCCATCTGCCATGGACTTATACGAAGAGGACGTCGGCCACGGCAATGACCCCGAGGATCCGGAACTCCCCCTTAGCGGAAAGCCTCCTTCCGACCCGAAGCATCCTAGCATGAGAAGTCTCACCTTCGAGGTGGGTCAGACTGACTATGCTTTGCTCACAGACGACGATCTGGTAGGAGAAGACCACATCTTCTACGGTAGAACATTGTTAGTCGGCGACCAGACCGGTTATGCTTTCACCGACGGCACCTTCCGTACCTCCACAGGTAAGGTCGTCGGTAAGCACGACCACGATGGTGATTTCTATGCACTGGCTGCCAATATCGCCTCCTTTCCTAAGCCATATGCCGGTCCTTGTCGTCTTGCCAAGATGATATACCACCTACAGATGCCCTCTATCGTTGACAGCGAAAGCCAATTCTTCGACATCGTATTGATTAATGACCTCGATGTCGGTTTTGCAAACACTTCCGACAAGTTTGTCACCATCGACGGCAATGTCGTAGGAAGTTTTAATACCGCTAGCGGTACCGTCACTGATGCCAATAGTGGTAAGGTGGGCAACATCGGAGCATTCAGTACTGAGGAATACGAGATGGGCGATGACCTCCTCGGTGAGTACTAGTCCTTAGAGATGGTAGGCTACAATGGTAAAGAGAAAGCCGCCGCGCTTGCCACGAGCCTCCAGACCGGTGGTGATAGTTCATCAGTTCAGCAGCGTGTGCAGACTCTCTTGCCTAAGGACCATGCTCTCTACGGATGTGCACTCCAAGCCTTCCTTAAGAATGGAGTTAACGGAGACCCGCTGATAGCGTTTCCTCACACTGACAACGTCTTTCGTAATGTCTTGAACGATGATGTTGTGGCCTGTATACGCATCACAGGTGTAGTTGATGTCAATGGCAACGAAATCGCGCTGAACGACGCTAGAAAGAGCTACGGAAAGCCCGAGGATGACGAGGGAGAACTGCCTCCCGACAACGCTCGTCTGCAAGCCGTCGTCTAGCCATTTAGCACGGCACGTAATAAGATTGACTTACTCGCTGGCAGGGGCACCGCCCTCGACGGAGTTGTTGTACGTGTCAGAGACGCCGAAAACAGAGACTATAGCATCGCGTACCCGGACAGCAACAACCGTTTCCTAACACGCGTCATCCCTAGTATCCAGCAGCCGACCGCAGCTCGTGCTGTTACCTCTTGGCATACCATCCAGGGAGACGACGTTGTTCACATTAGAGACAACGAGTACAACATAATCGCATGGGTAGAGAGAGGCGCAGATGGTGTATAGGAGCTTCATGAAGGCAGCAGTGAGGCCTAATGTTTGAACCACCGACTCGAAGAATCAAGGATGGGCAAGACTACCACGCTTGTCACCGGATTAGAGAGTATTAGTAGACGTCTCTTGTTGAAACGTTAATTGCCAGTAAGTAGTTTAGACAGAAGCAAGCCATCAGTTGTACTTCCTACATAGATTTATATCTTCCAAATTGTGTCGTAGATAACATAGTTGTTGGGTGCCCAAGACTCTATCTTGAAACAATTGAGTAAGTGGTACGACACAGGTATTACAGAAGTAGAGTTGAGTTCCATGGAGCTCTATTAGCGCTAATGATAAGAGACATCTTCTCTCCAAATTCATCAAATGCTCCGTATACCATAACATGGTCCTATCGTGACATTCTAGGAATAAGGTAGCTTCTACGCAGGAATCTGTCTCGCTGGCTGGATCCTGATCATTCTGTGCTACCCAGAGGTGTCGGGCCTTACTCTTGAAGAGATCCAAGATGTCTTCTCCCATGGATTTGGCGTCAGATACGCCAAACAGCTCAGAAAGGAACGCAAGCTTGCCGCTCAGGAGCCCGCAAACGAGAAGATCTGAGCAGCACAGAACGATACAAGCAAGATCAAGAACTTGCTTCCATCAAGTATGCAGGGTATACGGACTTTGGCAGGAACCAAGGGATGGATTGATGTCGAAATGTAAATAGGTACGAACAGGTGGTCATACACAGGAGTACAAAACAGTCAGATAGGTTATGCACACAGATTGAACACTTTACGATTGCTTTCCCCTGTTCTGTCTCTCAATATTCTCATGACTTGTCGGCATTCCGCTTACTGAAGAAAACAGCGGAGACAGGTTTCCAGGAAGGCGCAACCCCACACGGACATCTTGCCGCAAGCCACAATCCTTTTCAATCACCGTGCGACCTTCATCAAGAACTCTTTTCTCCTCATCAACAAAACTCAATGAACGGTCAATCTCACGGTCTTGTGAATCCTTTACACTCACCTAGCTGAAGTCGGCCCTTTTACTGACTTGTTATAGGTCGGCCACTCCGTGATCGCTACAGCTAGCCCAAATCACAACCATGCCGTTGCAGATGACCTGCATGGCTCAATATGATGGCCCTTGCGCCCCCACCTCCTTTGCAGGCTAACCTGGGGCCCCGGGTTGTCCGGTTCGTCGGTATGCCCTCCAGCCTGTCTGTCTATCTGCCGCACCTCTATTCCACTGGTCACGCGGGCATCATTATCTGAGGACGTGTCCAATACCTACCAGCATACCAGCCACAATAGGCTCTCAACTCCAGATACGTTCCGGTTGCTTTTCGCATCTCAGTGCACAGAATACTGTCGGCCTTTGATGCAGCGCCGACAATGTGCTTCGTAGCTCGCGGAGCGATGCTGGCTCTCGAGGCAATTACGTGCTTGGAGGACAACACTGGCATACCCGTAGAACATGTCTGGAGAGCAACACTACACAAGGATAATGATCCAACTTGAGGTGGCTGAGCACACGCAAGGGTGCTTTGTGTGGGAAAGTCCTAGCAGCTCTCGATACTTGGTCAAGCAAAACACAAGCAGAGCAGCAAGACACTCGTCGTGCTTGTGTGTGTGCTTAGCATCCGAGACTCCTGGGGAAACAGACCGTTAAGCTCCTGTCCGTGCGGCGATGCACGTGCCTTCTGGAACAACCAAAGGCCGATCCGAAGATCACTGGCCAATGAGAAGCATATGCTAAGAGCCCTCTTTGCGTGTCTAAACTCAAAGGGCACTCGCGCAAGATTACCCCGCGGTCGATCGCCGTCAAGTCCTCCGAGGCTTCAACTTTTTCCCGCGACCGGATCATCTGTGTCTGCGTATAAGTTCAAGCTGCGAGATGCAATCTCCCAACAGTTCACCTTCAAAAGCCCCTTCTTTTCTGGGGACACCTTCTCTTTCTTCTCTACAACATCACACCGATAATTCACCATGGCGGAGATTCGAAACGAACCGCTCACCTTCCCTGAGAAGGACGAGCTTGCTCATACCAAAGCCATGAACTCGACCATCGCAAACGCCAAACTTGCCACCGAGAAGGAGCACAACATGACTCTGCTTCAGGGTATCAGATTGTATCCCAAGGCCGTCTTCTGGAGTGTCCTTATCTCGACCTGTATCGCAATGGAAGGTTACGACGTCTGCCTCCTCGGAGCCTTCTACGCCCACCCCAAGTTCAACGAGAAATATGGTGTCTTGCTTGCCGATGGAACATACCAAGTGCCCGCACGCTGGCAAGCAGGCCTCAGTAACGGTGCCAATGTCGGAGAAATCATTGGTCTCTTCATCAACGGTTTCGTCTCTGAGCGCTTCGGCTACCGCTACACTGTCATGACCTGCCTTGTCATGATCGCAGCTGTCACTGCTGTCTTCTTCACTGCACAAAATGTCCAGACTCTTTTGGTCGCTGAGATCCTTTGCGGGTAAGCTGATTCATCATTGATGCAGAAACCAACTCAACTGACCCCCACTCTAGTATCCCATGGGGTATCTTCCAGACTCTCACTGTAACCTACGCCTCCGAAGTTTGCCCCGTCGCTCTCCGTGGATATCTCACTACATACGTCAACTTCTGCTGGGGCATGGGCCAGGCTATTGGTATCGGAGTCGTGAAGTCCCTGCTGCACCGTAACGACCAATGGGCATACCGTATTCCTTACGCCTTGCAATGGATGTGGCCCGTTCCTCTCATCATTGGAATTACCTTCGCTCCCGAGAGCCCTTGGTGGTTGGTCAGAAAGGGCAGAGTTGAAGATGCAAAGAAGGCCCTCCTTCGTTTGACCAGTCTCAACCGCGAGACTGATTTCGATGCCGACGAGACTATCGACATGATGGTTCACACCACCAAGCTCGAGGAGAAGATTACCACTGGATCCAGCTACCTTGATTGTTTCAAGGGGACTGACCTCCGCCGTACTGAGATTGTCTGCATGGTTTGGGCAATTCAGAACCTCAGCGGCAATTCATTCTCTGGTTACTCGACCTATTTCCTCGAGCAGGCTGGACTCGACCCCGGCAAGGCCATGGACTTCGCCATTGGACAATACGGTATCAACATGGCTGGTGTGTTCGGCGCTTGGTTCCTCATGAGCGTTGGAATCGGTCGTCGCACTCTCTACTTGGTCGGTCTTTGCGGTCTCTGCACCATGCTTCTCATCATGGGCTTCCTCGGACTCGTCCCCCAGGCTCACAAGGACTCTGCATCTCTCGCAACCGGCTCCATGATGTTGATCTGGGCCTTGTGTTACCAGTTGTCCGTCGGTACCGTCTGCTACTCCCTCGTCTCCGAGATCTCCACTCGCCGCCTTCAAATCAAGACCATCGTCCTCGGACGTAACCTTTACAACATCGTCGGCATTGTATGCAGTGTTCTGACTCCTTACATGCTCAACCCCAGCGCTTGGGCATGGGGCAACTACGCCGGATTCTTCTGGGCTGGCAGTTGCTTCTTGTGCATCATTTACACTTACTTCCGTGTACCTGAGCCCAGCGGTCGCACTTTCGCCGAGCTTGACCTGCTCTTTGAGAAGAGGATCAGCGCAAGAAAATTCGCAAAAACACAAGTCGACGTTTTCGCCGACAGTGTAGAGAAGGTTGAGGTTCACCACAACGAGAAAGTTGATGTTTGATTCGCGAACGGAGTTGCTAATATGCATCTCAGGTCGGCGTGTTTTGACGCGTTTTTTGCTTGATTGCTTTTCATGATGTTTCACGAGTTTCATTGTTCGTTATGCCCGGTCACGATTTTGTACATAGTCTTCTACTGTAGATACCAGATAGCCTTGATGGCAAGAGATACCCATTCTTTAATAATTTTTTCCAACACGCACTTGGTGTCGCATTAGAAGGTCTGCCTGTCTTAGGCGTGCTGTTCTTCCTAGCCGCGTGCATCCGCTGACCGCCTCCTTTTTTTTATTGTTGGGACCGGAAGACGATAAGGTGACATATGCGCCCGTAGCTTCGGAAAAACCATGTTCCTGCTCGGAGCCTGGGGTGATTGGCTTAGCATTTGCCATCGCGTCGCATCCATTAGGCGACCATTATTTCATCGCTGTGCTCTCTCTCACGAAGGTGCATGCACTCTATCATTCAGAGAGCGAGAGCATTGCAATCGGAAAAGGAAAAATTGCTGCCTCGAATTTCCGTCGTTCTGCGCAGATGCAAAGAACGAATACTCTCTCACTTAAGTCGATAGCGCAAAGTGAGCGCTAGCGTGGCCTGTGCTCTCTCTCGTGTGATAGGTCATCACCTTCACTTAACGCGCCTTTCCGATTACCCTTGCCTTTTAACTAAAACAGAGAGGCATCTTTAGCCTTCTGCGCGTTAAGGATCCTGACGCTCTTCACTAAGAGCTTTCACCAGCGCGCGTTACTCCCCCACCTATCCATCCTTCTTACACCTCTCCGCGCGATCACTCATCCCTATTACACTCCCTTCTTTTACGACAACCGTACACTCCGCCTTCAGTCATCCAAAGCCCAAAGCGCAGCGCGCCGTTTTCTGCGACGCGTTCAAATCACACAAAATGGCGCCGACCATCGGTGACATCCAGAAACGCTTAGGCCTAAAAGGCGCTATCATTCGAGGAGGTGAACCGTGGAAAACTGATGAGATCAAAGACCTCGAGAAGGACATCAGGGATTTTTACCAGAAGTACGAACCCTATTTGAAGAGAGAGGAGGAATACCCTGCCGAGTTCGACGATGAGATTATCGCCGTTCTCAAGACCCACGCCAAAAAGGTATGGCCCGACACGCTTATCCGCAGTGAGGCGACCACCAAATGGCTGTACGTTGCGGGAGAAATCCCCGAGTACCTCGAGGACCTCTATCACGATCGTCACATGGACAAGTAAGTTCTCGACTGTTTCGCATTTGATGTCGTTAGCGACTAACAAGATGTAGGATCGAGCCGCTTTTTAGAGAGCTTCTCAATATGAGAGTCAAGATTTACCGTGGTAACCAAAGACACGCAGAAATCAAGAAGCAACAAAAGGCACAGGAAATTGCTGCCGCTACTGCAGCATCACCGGCACTCTCCGACTCGGATCTCACAGACTTTGACAGCTCCGGCGGAACACCTTCTCTTATTCACGTCATCAAGTTTGAGACCGACGAAAGCAGAGAAAGGTTGCAAGCAATCGTCAAAGGTGATGAGTTCAGTCTGAGAAAGCGCAAAGTCACCCAGACCGATTCGCCGCTTGACGCCATCAAGCGCTCCAAACAGACTGCCACAGCTGCAGAGCATGACTACGCTCAGCACATTCCTACCTGGGCCACGACCAACAACGACACTGTCCGTGTCGCCACCCCACAGCGTTTTGAAAATGCACCTGAACTCCTCGTTTCGGCAGCATCTGGCCTCACGCATGGTTTTGTGCCCGTCAACCTACCCCAACCACAATCACATGAGCAACCACGTCTGCAAGAAGTATCAGACAGCGATGAGGACACATCTGTACGTGGAGGAGCCACCCTGAGTCTGCACTCAAGCGATGGCAGCTGCCCCGACTTGGAGAACGTGGCCCACCATCAGCCCGATACTCCCAGCGAAGGCGTCACACTCTCTTCAGGCATGCAATACTCGCTCCCTCAAGGCACACCATTGAGAGCACAGATGAGCGGGATGGAAAAGTCCGTACCACAGTCGCTTGAACATCCGCGCGATGTGGCTACAGAAGGCTCCTTGCCGTCTGTCATCGGGAATCAATTCATTCCTTGGCAAAAGCTCGATAACAAGAAGCGAATGGCAAGAAGGTCGAAGGTCCCACTCCGCCCTATGATGGCCAATGGAGATAGTGACAGTACCCCTGAGCTCTCTGCGCGCGGAAGCCAAAGTGTGATGGATCTGCCTTCAAGACCCTCGGCCGGTGTTTCAGACTCGCCTTTGCCTCAACAAGACGTCTCCATGTCCGCCGATGTCGACGTCAATGGCGATGACAGCCATAGCAGCAACAGCAACACCGAAAAACGAAAGCTCAAGAGAAGAACCAACTGGACCGCCCCCACTTCCGAGTCGTCGAAGCGCAGATCAAGAAACACATCGACTGCCACCCCAAGCGCACCCAACGATGCTCAACAGAACCTCACACCTCTTTCCGTCCACCAACGTACATACCACATCCCTTCCGTGGATGCATCTCCACGCCAAGCTGCCCAACAGTATGCCGCATCGCCAGTCAACGCTGTTCTCGATGCTGCCAGCCCCCAACCCCGGCCGGCTGACTCCCCAGTCACAACCACTGGCCCAATCATCATCAACAAGGCAATGATTCCGCCTGCCGACATGCCTGTTTCGGCAGAACTCATTACAACACACTTCGCAAAGACTTTTGTCAAGTTCAACTTGGCTGTCAACGGTCGTTCTTTCCTCAAGATGATCAAGCTCGGCGATTGCTTCGATGCCGCCAACCTCCATGCGACCATTAATAACCGCTTCAAGCATGCGCTCCAAGGCCAAGTCCCTACCGAGATCGCCTTTACCATTCACGACAATGAGTACGCTATCGATTCCGACGAAGGCGGCCAAGTCCTTTACGACGAATTCTTGCAATTTCTTGTCAACGGTCATCAGAGCAGCCCCGTCGTCGCTGAGGTCAGAGTCTAAGGCCAATCTTCGCCTACGACCATCTTCTCGACCAACGTCACCTCTTGTTGCTCAACTCAGCACTCAGCCAGCCAGACACCCACAGGACATGGTCCTCAGGATCAGACCTACGATTGTAATAATATTTTGGGCGTGTTTCTTGTTTCTTTTCTGCGATACCAGGCCGAACGCGGTCTGTTTCCCTTCTTTGTCCTTTTTTTCACTTTGGCAAAGATTCACCAGCACAAAGACCAGAGTTCACATGAATGCTTCTCTTGCTTTCTTCTTTTGTTTTGTTCAGCGTGGGAGGAAAGGCTACTACAGGGTCAATGGAGTTTCTGGATGAATGCTTTCTTTTCTGTACCTTAGCATAATTAGATAACCCACAGACGCCTGTCAATAAGCTCGGAATGATGATACTAAAACCAACCTGAATCCGTAAGGGAACTGCTGTTACTCACACACGTAAGCTGCTTTCATTGGACGACTACACTGACACTAAAAGCACTGTGCCTTTTGACGGCTGTTCGTGAGAGGCGTCTCGGTTGGTGATATTTCGTGCCCGTACTTTTGTATTACAATTGACCTAAATGACCTACGAACCACCACCCTCCTCCTTCTTCTCCTTGATCCCCGTCTTCGTCTCCGTATGCTCCTTACTCAAATGACTCCTAACGATGAAGAAACTCGCCACCAACCCAAACGCACTCATCGCCGTCATCAAAATCCACGTCCTCTGCAGACTAAACGCAAAAGCCTGCTTGACGGCATTTCTCTGCCCCACATCCGCAATATCCTTGATCATTTCCACATTGGCCGCTGCATCACCTCCGGTGAATTCAGAGAGTAAGTCAGGGGATAAGCCGGCAGCACGGAGACTGGCACTGCGGGAAGCCATGGAGTTCTGGATGACCACGCCGGCGATGACGATAGACATTGATGTTGCGAGGTTGCGGATGAAGCCTAGAGTGGCTGTTGCGGTTGCTACATCGTCTTGAGCTGCTAGTGCTTGCATGGCGATGAGTGGGGGTTCGAAGAGCATTCCTGCGCCTAGCCCTTCTACGACTTCGAGGCCGAGGATGGTGGATAGAGGGGTGGAGGCGTCGATGTAGATGTAGAGGCCCATTCCTAGGGTGCAGAGGGCCATGCCGACCCAGATGAGCTCTTGATAGCGGCCGGTCCTGTGGATTATGACGCCTGACATGATGCCCATGAAGGCTTCGCAGAGGGTGAGGGGGAGGATGTAGATTCCTGAGTGGATGGGCGAGGCTTGCTTGACAGATTGGAAGTACAATGGGAGGTAGTATTCGGCTGCGATGAAGATCTGCGAGATGTCAACGGATTGCTGCGAAGGAGAGCCGAGACAGGCCAAGAGGGGAGACTTACGAAGCCGTGAGCGAAAGTGACGACAAGGCAGGCAACATTGGACGGGTTACTGAACACACCCAAAGGCATGAGAGGGTAACGGGCATATTTCTTCTCGGTCATGATGAAAAGACCGCCCATCACGACACCGAAAACGATGAGACAGATGACTTTTGGAGATGACCAAGGGAAGATGACGCCACCGAAGTCGAGGCCGAGGAGCAGCATGAGGGTTAGTCCGAGAACGCACAAGCTGCCTAAGAAGTCGATTGCCTTGAGGCCTTCCACGACCTTTGTTCTTGGGTTGTGGACATCGAGGAAGAATAAGAGAAGGAAGAAGGTTGTTCCTGAGATGGGGAGGTTGATCCAGAAGCACCCTGGTACTGATCAGTAATATTCTCAACTCTCAACATGAGTATCGACTTACACCTCCAAGAAACAGACTCGGCAAAGACCCCACCAAGAATGGGACCAATACCGCCAGCAAGAGCCCACATGAACTCCATGAGTCCAATGAACAATGTACGCAATCTCATAGAGAAGAGATCTGAGATGGTGATGATCGTGACCTGGATCAAAGCACCGCCGGCGATACCTTGAAGGGCTCGCCCGGCGATCAAGACACCCATACTAGGCGCAGTGGCACATATGATCGAGCTCACAAAAAACCATGCTACCGATACCAAGAGAATTGGCTTTCTGCCCCAGATGTCTGACAGTTTAGCCCTGATAATGGTCAGGAATGATACGACAGACAAATATTAGCAAGAACGTACCAGATTGGTGCGGCCGCAGCATTGGCCAGTAGATATGCTGAACCTACCCATGTGTATCCACTTGCTGAACGTAAGTCTGAAGTTATGGTCGGCAATGCTGTTGATACGATTGTTTGATCCAAGGCTGCGACAAAAAGAGCAAGCTTCACGAGAGTTAGTAAGACAGTCGTCAAGTTGGATATATGCAAAGACCTACGTTCAAAGCTAACAAGATGGCAGCGATCTGGAGTTTACTTCTAGGCACATCTGCTGGCGAAACAACATCCATCTCTTGAGTCTTGTTGTTTTCAGGTGTGGGGGACAAGGGCGTTTCTCCTACCAACTCATCGCGAGAGAATGCAATTGGATCGGACATGGCTGCCGAGGTATACAAAGACAATAGTGAAAAACACACACGAAGGAAACGAGAATTTACAGAGTACCGACTTATGCTGATGCCTGCCTGCACTCAACAAAAGGGCGCCTGGAGTCAAGGAGTCATCGTCGTGATTTCGGCAAGTCCGAGAAAATGTTGTTTTTACACGACCATTTTCTCCGCAATCGCCATCATGATTTCCCGATCGGGACAAGGCCGATCTACTTAGCCGGCTGGGTCCTGGCGGCTGTTTCTTCTCTGTCAACGACCTCTCTTTCTTCAAACTCCTGGCTGCCTGGCTGTGCCGTCCATGTATATGACATAGGAAGAATGATGGCGAGATTCGTCAACTAGGGTCCCGAGCTCTGCACAATTCTCGGGGTTGCTCAACGTCTGCCAGGAAGCCCCAGGGTTCATCTCTGTACTCATCTCTTCAGATGATAAGCATCGATGCTAGCTGTCGCAATGCAAGAAGTTGTCCTAGTCTCATTGACTGCCATTGAGAGTTTGGAAGTTAGCTTCACAGTGACCGCTCTCATCGGCGATGTCGTCTGGCAAGCATTATTCGTGCAATATGATGCAACTCGTAGACTAGGCAGGTGTTCACAGGTAGTGAGACAGCCCGTGATAAGTAAAGGAGAGTGAGTACACGCCGCATTGTTTTGTTGTTTACTGTGCAAGAGCGTCGCAGATTGCGTGTCTAGGTGCTTTCTCGTTTGCTTGTTTGAGCTTCTGTTTGCCTACGCCGCCGCCCTTCTGTCATCACATCGATATCAAAACAAGCCTTGTGTTTTCTATCAACTCCTCAGTTCACCAATTCAACCATCTCTACAGCGTTGAATCTTACGAACCCCTGAGCGCATCATGGCCTGCAACGAGAACAACCCTCCTAGCGGCGCCGGCACCAGCGACGATGACCAAAAGGTTTCCACCAAGAACGACCCTTTTGCAAAGTGTTTCAGCAAGGCCTTCCCCAACATCTCGATACAACCTAGGACAGTCAAATCCGCCCCTGTTCCCCAGCAGGCCGAGCAGGATTCCAAGGTCTCGTCTCTTTGCCCGCAAGACGTACCCCTTCCACCACCAGATGAGACGGAGCGCCTCCTTGTCGCCCCTGAGCACGTCGAGACCGCCGATCAACTCAATGTCGATCAAGATGAAGTCAGCCCCGATGATGAAGACTACGACTTCAATGACAGCGACATGGAGTCGTCTGAAGATGAAGACATCCCGCTTGAAGAGGACCCCTTCTTCGGCGACCCCACAGCTCAGGCTCCAGGCGTGACTGCGTTGCAACTCGAAGAGATCAGAAAAGCCTTGGAAGATGCTAAGGAGATCGACGACGAAATGCCTGCCCTGGAAGACGATAACAAGACTTCACCAGTAGATGCCATCTTCAGCGAGCAGAACACCAACCCTAAGACCATTGTCGTCAATGTCGGCTCCTCCTTTTCGAAATGGATCTATCTCGTTCTCGAGCCTAATGAGCCGTTGTATGAGATGAAGCTGAAGTTCATTCAGGCTGCGGACCTGGGTTTCGAGGAACTCGCCAGGCTTGAATTTACCTTTGCTGGACGTGTCATTGGAGACGATGATACTGTTGAACAGGTATGCAATGTCTGTCTAGAATCGTCGTACAGCGCTAACGGAAGAGCCATAGCTCGGAATTCAACAGGACTCGAGCATCTACTGTCAACTGTCCGAACTGCCCGATGGACGCGAGAACACCGAGCACCCCAACAGCGTACCTGTGGCCAATGCGACCAACACACGCAGCAATACCGAGACTGTGATCGATCCGGCCAACAGAGGTAGCATCTTCAGACTCAGACGCAGTAGTAACGACGACTCCGAACCGCACGATTGATCGATGTGAGACCAGTTACACCATGGCACAAGTCCACGTAGAACACGTTTGAATGAGCATGATCTGGAAGTGGATAGGCTTGTTCCAAAGGCACTCAAGCCAGCCAGAGTATGAAGCTGTAGAGATGCACGATGCTTTTGTTTCGTCATAGGTCTTCCAGGGAGATGAGCTTTTTGACACGCTCTCACTGGACACGAATCTGGTTGGAAAACTATTGTGCATTGTTGCAGCTACAAACTTGGCACAGAGCGAGGAAGAGGATGAAGGGTATAGCCGGTTCGCATACGATCTCGTAGAGTACGGTTTAGAGAATAGAAGACAAGTAAAATTGGGGGTATCAAAAGCGTTTCTACATCTTCAACGAAAAGTCTGCCTTAGATGGACCAACCAGCAGCCTTCTTCTTTTTCTTTTGCTGCTCTACAGTGGCGTTGTATTCCTCTTGCTGATCTTGCAAATTCAAAGGCTCGAGATGTTTGGCCAGATTTTGCGCCGTGAGCGGAGGGGCAGGGTCTTGTAGTCCTAGGCTTCCCAGCTCTTCTGCTAGTTTGGGATCGTCGACTTGAGGGTCTTCGAGGGTGTCTGTGTGTGTTTGTTCGGCGAGCTCTTGTTCGGTTTGGTCTTCTTGGGCGGTTTGAGAGGTGGTTGCTTCTTCGTCATCTTCCGAGTAGTCCTCGTCGTCTTCCTCATCTTCTTGACCATCGACTGCTTCTTGTGCGCCGGTAGCCTCTTCTTCGGCTTCATTCGTGAAGCCTACAGCCTCGACGAATCTGTCCAGGTCCTTTGCCATCTTCCTGCTGAAACCAGTAGCTTCCACCTCAATATCCAAACGCTTGCTCTGATCCGTGTCCTTGATTGCGTCTGCGAAGAATGGTCCAGGCTCATCTGATGTGAAGTTGAAGCGACGGGAGAAGAAAAGCTTTATGCAGTTGACATCGCGGTCAAAGTACCACTGCGCATTCTCGTGTGTTGTAGAAAGCATCTGAGGGAAATCGATAAGGATGGGTGTAGACTTCTTGGTAACAGGGTCCTCCTTGATGAGCAAATTGAACTCGTTGAAATCACCGTGGATCAAGCCGACTTTGGCAAGACGCACGATCAGTTCCATGAGTTCGCCGTAGAGCTTTAAAGGGTCGGAGACGTTGTCGATGGAGCGGAGAGGGAAGGAGTCGATCAATTCCATGACGAGAGTGTGTCTGGTTTGGGCGATGGGTTCAGGGACGGGGAAGCCTTCGCGCTTGAGGACTTGCATAAAGGCGTATTCCTTCATGGCTGCTAGGCGACTGAGGTACATCCATGATCCAGTTGTGCGGTTGCGCAGGTAATCGCGGTTGGCTTTTACGGTACGGAAAGAAATACGACCGAGTCTGTGGAGCTTGAGGACGAGTTGTTTGCCGGTGGGGTCTGCGACGACGTAGATATCTGATTCTTTGCCAACACCGATTTGGTTTCCAAGACTGAAGACAGTGTCTGATTTGCGGAGGGTGTTGAGAGAGAGGTAGTCGAGGCCTCCGTAGGTCAGGCGGTAACCGTCGTATTTGGCGTTCTTGATCTTTGCGACGAGACCGGACTTGGCGAGAGTTGCGATACTCTTGTGGACGCCGCTTCCTCCTCTGAGACCGGCGATTTGGGCAATCAGGACGGTGGGCACGAGTTCGTGGTTCTTGCTGCCCATTTCAACCTTGATGCTTTGTCAGTCCTGATTTCGATTATAGACACGCATAATACATACCGCCGTCAAGACTCGCCAGTCCTCGGACGTGAGGTAACGCAATTGTCTCGAATCCAACTTCATCTTGTCGTTTTGTGTATTTACTGATTGATGCGACAGACAATGATGGCCTTTGATAAATTCAAGAAAATCGCGGCGGGGATGCGACTTCTGCCATGTCAAGTCCGAAGGCGGTGAGGCGGTGCCAAGGGTCGCTGTTTCGCAACCTATCGGCGTCATTCTAGCTCGAGAGCTGCTCGCCGCATCGCCGCCATCACAATCACCAACCCTCACACGACATCTACCACCATCTCCATCATCAACCTCTCTGGACCTACTTCCCCGGTCGTCAGAGTCTACATCCGCGCCGCAACTTCTCCCCCGCCCACGATCTATCTCCGCCGACAACCGCCCAAACACTACCATGGCCCAGGACGACAAGCCTGTCGCCGACAAGGGCAAGGCTCCTGCTGAGAAGCAGACCACCGAAGTCCCCGGCGCAAAGGAACCTCAAGAGAAGACGACCAAGGATGGCAAGAAGCCTGTCGATCTCCCTGCTGGTATGCATAAAGTCATGCTAGGAAGTGTTTCCATTCTGACCCTGTCCAGATGAGTTGAGTGAGGAAGACCAGAAGCTCAAGGACGAGCTGGATATGCTCGCCGAGAGATTACAAGTTCGTCTATCCCATTCAAGTCTTTCTTTGCCATGTGAATGCATACTAATACATCCACAGGAGTCAGACAAGTCGTTGTACAAGCCCGCCCTCGAAGCCATCAAGACATCCATCAAGACAGCAACTTCTTCCATGACCGCCGTCCCCAAGCCTCTCAAATTCCTTCGCCCCCACTACGAGAAGCTCGAGCAAACATACGAATCATGGCCTGCAGGCGATGACAAGAACTCGCTGGCTGACACTTTGTCCGTGCTGGGCATGACCTACGCTGACGAAGACCGCACCGACACACTCAAGTACCGCTTGCTAGCACCATCAGGTGATCTCGGCTCATGGGGTCACGAATACATGCGCCACCTGGCTCTCGAGATAGGATCCGATTATCAGAAGCGCTTGAACGAGGAGCGTGACGCCGACGAACTCGTTACCCTGTGTCTCGCACTCGTCCCCTTCTTCCTTAAGCACAATGCAGAGGCCGATGCTGTCGACATCCTGAGCGAATTAGAAATGATCGAATCCATTGCCGACCACGTCGACGAGAACACCTACGCCAGAGTCTGCCTGTACATGGTCAGCATGGTACCGCTTCTCACCTACCCCGACAACGATCGCTTCCTCCACACCGCACACGATATCTACAGAAAACACAACCAGCTACCCCACGCTCTCACCCTCGCCATTCGTCTCAATGACTTCGACCTGATCAAGAGCGACTTCAACTCAACCAAGGACAAGAACATGCGTAGACAGCTCGCATTTGTACTCGCCCGCCAAAAGATTCCCCTTGAGCTTGACGATGATGAGAAGGAGGAGGACCCTGAGCTGCAAGATTGCTTGAACAACACCAAGATGCCCGACCACTTCAAGGCCTTGGCCAAGGAGCTTAACATCTTGGACCCCAAGGTTCCCGAGGACATCTACAAGTCACATCTCGAATCAAGCAGGACCGCTGGATTGACCAACACCGACTCGGCGAGACACAACCTTGCCAGTGCATTTGTCAACGCCTTTGTCAACGCTGGTTTCGGAACCGACAAGATGATGCTCGTTGAGGGTGGTATCAAGTCAAGTTGGGTATGGAAGACAAAGGATGACGGCATGCTTTCCACCGCCGCCTCTCTTGGTTCTCTTATGCTCTGGGATGTCGAGAACGGTGTTGACAAGATTGACACATACACATATGTTCAGGAGGACTCGATCAAGGCTGGCGCTGCTCTGGCTACTGGTATCGTCAACTCTGGCGTGCGTCTTGAGGCTGACCCTGCCTTTGCTCTGCTCGGTGACAACCTGGACAGCTCAAAGTCAAAGTCTGTCAGAGTCGCTTCTCTGATGGGTCTTGGTCTGGCTTACGCTGGCTCAAACCGCGAGGATCTCCTTGAACTGCTTCTTCCCTTCGTCACCGACACTTCTCTCGACATGCAGTTGTCTGCTATGGCTGCTCTTTCTCTTGGATTGGTCTTTGTCGGCTCTGCTCAATCAGATGTCAGCGAGGCAATCATCCAGACTTTCCTCGATGACGACCGCAACAAGCAGCTCAAGGACAAGTGGACCCGCTTCATGGCTCTCGGTCTTGCCCTGTTGTACTTCGGTCAGCAAGAAGAGGTCGATGTCATTCTTGAGACACTCAAAGCCATTGATCACCCCATGTCCAAGCCTACCTCTGTTCTTGCAGAGATCTGCGCCTGGGCTGGTACCGGTGCCGTCTTGAAGCTTCAAGAGCTACTCTACACCTGCAACGAGCACATCGAGGAAGGTGATGAGGACAGAAAGGGTGATGAGCTTGTTCAGACCTATGCTGTTCTTGGTCTCTCGCTTGTCGCCATGGGTGAGGAAGTTGGCCAAGAGATGGTCCTCCGCCAGTTTGGTCACTTGATGCACTACGGCGAGGCCAACATTCGCAAGGCTGTTCCTCTTGCCATGGGTCTGATCTCTCCTTCGAACCCTCAGATGAAGGTCTACGATACCCTCTCAAGATACACTCACGACAACGACCATGATGTTGCTGTTAACGCAATCTTCGCTATGGGTCTGCTCGGTGCCGGTACCAACAACGCTCGTCTGGCCCAACTCCTGCGCCAGCTTGCTTCATACTACCACCGCGACCCCAACGCCCTCTTCATGGTCCGCATCGCCCAAGGTATGCTGCACATGGGCAAGGGTACGCTTTCGCTCTCACCCTTCCACACCGACCGCAGCGTCCTCTCCAGAGTCTCAGCTGCTGGTCTTCTCACAACCCTCGTCTCACTCATCGACGCCAAGTCATTCATCCTCGGCGACTCGCACTACCTCCTTTACTTCCTCGTTACCGCCATCAACCCCAGATTCCTGATCACTCTGGATGAAGACCTCAAGCCTCTGATTGTCAACGTCCGTGTTGGTCAAGCAGTGGATGTTGTCGGCCAAGCTGGTCGCCCCAAGACCATCACCGGTTGGCAAACACAGAGCACACCCGTGCTGTTGAGCTACGGCGAAAGAGCCGAGCTCGAAGACGAGGAGTACATCCCCGTTACGAATGTCATGGAGGGATTGGTTATTCTGAAAAAGGTACGTTCGCATTCATCTCCATCTGTAAGGACCACGCACTAACTCATTCTCTAGAACCCCGAGTGGGAAGGAGCACAAGCATAAATGGTTGCATGAAATGATAAGCGGGTGTCGAAGCGAAAAGTTCACATGAAGCTTTCGGTCATTGACATACTTATGAACATCAGACACGGCGAATAGGCGCTGGTAGGAAATGTAATATAGAGAAGACGAAGACGGCGGTAGCATATTTCTCAATGAATGCACCCTTTCACGATTCAACACTTTGTTTCTTGGTGATGCGCGATTTTGCAGCTGTCAAAGTCAACGGCATCTCGGCCAGTTCAACGCCAAGGAGGGTCCGGTTCCATTCTCCGCAATCTCCGCCTTCGATGGGATTCCGGTCCAAACAAATCATTTCCTTTTGACTCTTTCCATCTTCTTTTCTGGAAGGCTCTCATAAACTTGCACTACACATCACTCTGACGGGCACTACGCGCGCACTCATCTCTATCGATCTCGCACTCCATCCATAACGCACATCGCATCACTAGAGACCGAGTTATTTATACCGACACCACCATATCGCATACCATACACAGCGACAACTACAGCGTATATCACTTTGAAAAAAGCAAGAGCCTGGATTTCCTCGAGTGAAGACCACAAGAAAGCACAAACAAACCCATCACAATGGCGACACCCAATGTCAGATTCGGCAGCCCCATCATCTTCTTCGACTCACATCCCGAGCAACAAAACGGCTACATCGCATCGTGGGTATACGCCTTCCGCGACCACTTGAAGATCGCCTGGACTGGTGATGTGCCCAAGAAACTGTTCCCTGGTACTCTGCGACTAGTCTGGTGGACTGTAAGCTTTCTTCCCCCTTCACTGCTCTTTGCTAGAGCGTCGTACTGACCGAGACAACACAGACCGACGGTGTCCAAGGCCTCCGCGACTTTGAACTCCACCAATCCGAACTCATAAAATCCCTATGGGACTCTCTCCTCGATAACCCGGATGTCGCCCGCGCGCTCGTGACCGGCTACTCTGGCCAAAACCCCTACGTCCTCAGCTACGGTGACAACCCCTGGCTCACAAAGGAACAAAAAGAAAGGCTTGTGCGCCGCCAGAACGACGAGATCTGGGCAAAGAAGTCAGCAAAGAGAGTGGAGACCAGAAGTAAAGAAGACAGATTTGAGGATGAGAAGGAGGCCATTAGGAGAAAAGAGCAGATTTTGGAACATATTGATGAGGTTATCCAGAGTAATGAGGATGCGGAGAAGGAGAAGCTGTTGGGAGCGGAAAGAGAGTATGTTTGAGGCCTGAGGGACGGTTGTTACTTCCTGGTCGGTCGTCTGGTGAAGAAGCCTCTTCTCATGGTTCTGGACGTACGCTCGCCGGTAAAGTTGTTCAGTATTGCCAGGACACTCGCCCCCAATTCGGTCTCTCATTCTTCCCTTTGCACTTGGACTCGGACACGCTTCTTTCTCTTGCACAAACCCCATTCTTCTTGCATAGTAAGCGGGCGTAAAGGGCATTCAAATCTTCTGTACATAACCATTCTTGTAATCACATTTTCAACACAGTATGGGTGCTTACTCTCGCAGCCGTGTCTAGACTCTTTGTCCTTGTCAAAATGCATGATGTGGTTTCAATTCACGAAAGGTGTCCAGTGAGAGTGAGAGGGTGTGGAGTGATCAGATCTCCTTGCATCAGTTGACCATATCCAAATGTATCTTGCGTTTTGCATTTTGCATTTCAATGGATAAGCTTAATGTGTGTGAAGGGGAGCTGAGACGACCTGCGAACCTAGTCTCCTTAGGTTCAAGGAAGAGCAACTATGAGGTTATCGTGAACATCGCTCCACTCCTATCATCTCTTAGGAGAGATCTCACCACTTGCAACGATGCAGAAGTACTACCAATAGAGGGAAAACGATGTAGAGGATTGTATTGTATACCTCATCCACTGACTAACCCTTCTCATTGCAGGAAGCGCAGTACAAAAGGTCCTTCCTTCTTGCCCATATACCTCGAACGCTCAAACATATGCCTTGCCTCCCCCATGTACATCCACCGTCTGTTGCGGAGGTGTCTCAATCCCAGTCTCATACCCTTCTCTCTCCATCTGACTTCTAATTCCTCTGCATGATTGTTCTCAATCTCCCTCTTATGCAAGAATCTCGTCCCGGAAGCTGTGATGATTATACATACAGACAAACAGGTTACAGTGATGAAACCCTTCTGATACCTAGGGACGTCCACTTGCTGCCACATGAGCAGAGGTAACCATGCTTGCACGACACACGCTATGTAATTCATGGTCGCGGTGACCATAGCGCAGCGATGCTGTTGAGTGGAACATTGAAGAGGGGTGTTCGATTCTCCTTGAGAGGGGTCCCGAATTGCGTGACAAAGGACCGAACATACGTGCTAGTCTGAAGCATAGCGTGTGTAATTGTCCTTATCGTTGCTCTGTAACGTGGTTTTACATGTGGTAGTCCGTACATACACAACTGGGTATATTTAGTCAAAACATCCGGTTGGCCTATTAGCTTGAACATCACTTTGATATTTGGAAGTTCGCGGACGTCGAGATATCCAGATAGTAGTCTATATCTCAGTGTTCGAAATGAGTCGCTAGGGACATTCAAGCAGTCCTGACTCTCCTAGATTTGGTCAGCGTGAAGGTATCATTGACGCTATGCAGATGTGAGTGACCAATAGAGAGCACTCCATTGAAACTCGCCATATTGCTCCAATAAACTCATCTCGATTACTTGCATTCACATGTGTTGAAGGTTGAGGTCATGTTTAGTGGAAGATCAGATGTCGCCATCGAAGCCTTCTCTCACGACAGAGCTGTTTTGCCAAGACATATGCAACCACCCTCATCAAAATCCATCACGACAGATGGAGATCTAAACACTGACCTATGGTTCGTACGCATATAGTGATCCTTCAGGATATCGTGATCCGCTATGGATACTGAACGAGGGGCTCTGGTGAGGGGTAGTGGTACCTTCTGTCAGGCCATGCTTAGCAATAGCTTGATGATCTGCATTTGGTTGCAATGCTCTCGTCAATAGATTTATAATCCGCGGAGTCTGTAGAGAGATAAGTGGACAGTATAAAGGGTTGTGTACTTGGAAAAATGCTGTCAAGCTAACCTGCAACCTTCAAAGTTTACAAACAAGATTTCTCAAACCTACCATCATGGCTCCTAGTGCTATCGACCCTTCGATCAAAGATGTGGTTCAACCACAAAAAGATAGTCTGGGTCTTCCCAAAGAGACGCGAGCTCGTCTTGAGAGGGCCAATGTCGACCTCTCGAATGGCTACCCTTACCGTCCAGCTCGTCCACTCTATCTTCAGGATGCCTACAACATCAGAAACGAGCCATGGAAGCACGATGATGCAGGAGCCAGAGCAAAGAAGGTCGACCCTACCAAGAAAGCTCTCTTCGAAGCTGCAAGCAAAGTCGAAGATCTCACGGCTCACATCGGTACCGAAATCCACGGTCTGCAGTTGAAGGACTTGACTTCTCAGCAGAGAGATGAATTGGCGCTCTTGATCGCAGAGAGAAGCATTGTCTTTTTCCGTGATCAGGATCTTTCTCCTCAGCAACAGAAAGAGCTTGGCGAGCATTACGGAAAGATCGAGGTCCACGTGAGTGCTTCTTTACCCAATGCCGCGTGATGCATACTGAATTGAATTGTGTAGCCTCAAGTACCTCAGGTGCCTGGTGTTGAGGGCGTTACTGTGATCTGGCCTGCTCTACAAGCGACCGAGAAAGCAGCCAACTTCAGAAACCCCGGCGGTGCTTCTCGCTGGCATACCGATCTCGTCCATGAACGTCAGCCAGCGGGCATTACACATCTCCACAACGACGTCGTCCCCCCTGTGGGTGGAGACACTTTGTGGGCTTCAGGCTATGCTGCTTACGAGAAGCTCAGCCCAGGCTTCCGCAAGATCATTGATGGCAAGAAGGCCTACTTCAAGTCAGCACATAGCTACTTGGACCGCAACAATCCCAATGCTGGTCCCAAGCATATCGAACGTGTCCATCCAATCGTTCGCGTTCACCCCGCTACTGGCTGGAAGTCGCTGTTCGTGAACAGAGCTTTCACGACGAAGATCGTCGGCCTTGACAAGGCTGAGAGCGATGTCATCTTGAACTACCTGTTCGATGTTTACGAAAGGGTGAGCTCTGACTGGATGATTTGCATACTCGTACAACACTGCTAACATTGTATTCCAGAACGTCGACATCCAGCTCCGCTTCAAGTGGACCCCGAGGACCAGCGCGCTGTGGGACAACCGCATTACAATCCACAACGCTTCATGGGATTACGAAGGTGGTCATCCCCGACACGGAACCAGAGTAACTGCACTGGCCGAGGAGCCCTACTTCGAGGCGGACGCACCAACGAGAAGACAGGCGCTCGGTCTTGATGCTGAGGATGAGACGGTGGAGAATCTGTCTGGTGGGTACTGATGGAGAATTAGATCTAGCCTTGCGACGTAGATGGCAATGCCAATAGCAATGCCATGATGATGCGGACCCTTTTTTGTTTTTGACACGTTCGAAAATCTCTCTCGAGTGTGTCTCGTCCTTGTTGAGTTTTTGCCTGTCATGAGTGACTGCCATGTGCATTGGGCGAAGGAGGGGTGGTCGTGCTTTCCTTATGTGGCGACTGTGTTGTTGACGTGACGAATCCTCTTTCGAGACGAAAGAATCAGGCTTTGCATCCAACATACTTGACTTCCTCGACTCCTCATTGGACAATGGACTTGTCGCTGCGCTGCAACTCGCTCAAATGTCGCCAGCGTTTGGCAGACAGAGCTGTTGTTACAACTTGCAGGTACGTTGTGCGCTGCCTGATTGGAGATCAACAACTAATCGACTACTCGCAGTCACATCTTCTGTGTGCCGTGCTCGGATGCCCTCGGTCTTTCAAGTTCGGCTAATGGCATTCGCATGTGTCCTGCCTGCGATGCCCAACTCGCGAATCCAGACGACGCTGTGGTCACGCAACTCAACCCGACTGAAGACTACAAAACGAGTGTCCTTAGCGGTCTCAGCCCGACCATCATCATGGAGTGCTGTAGTCGTGGTATATCGTTCTACCAGTACCAGGTGACGCAGGAGATGTGAGTATCATGAAATCCATCATGTCCGCACGGCCTGACAGGAGCAGCATGTATCACGATTACATGGCCAAGAATCTAGCGGACAGATATGCGAACCTCAACTCTCAGATGGACAACGTCATCAAAGACGCAAACTCGGAGATCAGCGGTCTGAGAGACAAGCTGGAACGTGGGTTTGCCAATGGTCTCAAAACAAGCTGCAATCACTGATGTTGTGCAGGAATGCACCAGGAGAAGAAGACACTCGAGCAGAAAAATCAAGAGTTGATCAGCGCATTCAGCGAAAAGAGCAAGGCCCATCAGCGACTGACGAAGCTATACCAACGAGCCAAGGGCAACCAGGACGCCCAGCAGATGCAGTACGCTGCTGCAGACGACGCAGATCACGTTATACAGTCGATCCAAGGCCCAGGCTTCTCTGAGGTGCTTCGAGACAGGACACCACAGAGACCAGTCTCAATGTCCGGAAGAGGAGGTGGCCAGGACTTGCCTCCGGTGTACAGCCATGGCAGAGTGGGCAGCTATGGTGGTAACAAGAACCAAAGCTGGGCAAGTCAAGGCTCGCGTGGTGATCCACAATCTTCCCGTACGTTCTCGAATACTGGCAAAGAGATGTCAAACTGACTTGGGGCTTCTGTAGAGCTTTCGCAAAACATTGGCTCTCCTTCGATGAGTGGTGGTGGCATGGCTGGCTTTGGTGCAAGAGGTCCGACATCTAGCCAACGGCAAGCCACACCGAATCGCCAGCCGCTCAGTGAGATGAATCGCAATGCAACAAGCAGTCAGGGATATGGCGGGTATGGTAGTGCCACAGGTGGGGGTGTCAAGGTTGGCGGAAGTTTGGAGCGACCACCTCCTGTCAACCGCAACTTCTCACGAGTGATACATCGGTAAGAATCTGCTCGGTACGGTCAGAAGCATTTTCCGAAAGCTAGGTTGGGCGGTAGAAACATGGTGGCTCCTTCTTCGATAGGTTCGAAGAGGAAGGAGGCCAGGTGTGGAGGGATGGAGAAGATGCAAGAGGCCTCGGCATGTCGGACCGAAGCGGCGGGGCAGCGTCAGGAACAAATGAATGATGCATGTGAAGAGCGAAGAGCATTCATTTGATTCACGCGACAAGTCGTCTGTACTTAGCATTTCATCATCGACTTCCTCCCACATTCGCACATTGAGATACAGCACAATGTCAACGACAAGCAGCCAGTATGTGTCTTGAGAGTGGACATGTTTGCCAAAGCTAACACCAGCTAAGACTGCCCCCGATCCGAGCATGTCTCTTCGACATGGATGGTCTTTTGATCGACTCTGAGGATCTATACACCGTCTGTACCAACGAGACTCTACGAAAGTACGGAAAGCCCGATCTGCCATGGAACATCAAGGCTCAATTGCAAGGACGCCCTGGACCAGAGGTATGTCCACCGCACCATGTTGAGGGGACACAACAGCAGGGAAGCTAACACGCCCTCACAGGCTGGTCGCATCTTCCATGAATGGGCTCAGCTACCCATCACACGCGACGACTTCCTCCAGCAGACCTCCGCCCTGCAACAAAAGTACTTTCCCTCCACACAACCACTCCCCGGTGTCCGCGACCTGCTAAAACGCCTGGACTCCAACCCAAACGTACACATTGCTCTCGCCACCTCCTCCAACAAGAACAACTTTGGCCTCAAAACTGCACACCTTGAAGATGTCTTCGCAGTCTTTGAGCAACAACACCGTGTACTCGGCGATGACCCTCGTATCCCTGCCGGAAAGGGCAAACCGGCACCAGACATCTACCTCCTCGCCCTGGAGACTATCAACGCACGTATCCGCAAGGAAGGAAAAGAGAAGGAGATCACACCCGCCGAATGTCTGGTCTTCGAGGACAGTGTGCCCGGAGTCGAGTCTGGAAGAAGAGCTGGAATGCAAGTGGTCTGGTGCCCGCATCCTGGATTATTGAACGAGTACAAAGGAAGAGAAGAGGATGTTTTGGCTGGTACGAGCATCATGAAGCAGTATGGTGTCAGCAGTGGTGGCAGCGAGGTGCCTGGAAAGGTTGAAGATGGCTGGGCTAGGCTGCACATGACGCTAGAAGACTTCCCTTACAAGAGCTACGGTATGGAGGCATAGCAGATGAAGAGATGGGCTCGATCGAAGCCTTTGCTGTAGATACTGCGTGACATCGCTGAATTCGCGAGGTTCATCCATCGCTACAATGCTAATAAATGTCAGTAGACAACTTTAACCTCACTATATCTCTCTGCCCGCCAAGTCCACGGGACTTTACTGCACACTTGATCAGGACCAGGTCTCGACGCTTAACATGCCCCGCGCTGATTCGAAATGTCTACTGAAGCATGTCCAACCCTACTCATGGCAAAAGTGGATTGCATTCCTGCCCGAGACGCATGAACTGATGGCGGACGAGGTTACCCGTCCTTCTCGACAAAGACAGACCACATGCAAGCTCTGTTTACTCTACAATGTTTAGCTGAATTTCCGTCTTTTTACTCAATACTCTCTCATCCTGTTGACCGTCCTCAGTCATCGTTTCTGTTCATTCTGCGGCACAGCAGCTGCTGATCGACATTGCATAGGTGGATGGTTACACAAGTCTTGGTCTTCAAGACCCACTTGCGGAAACCATTACAAGAACCAACTCACCGCCTCTCCTTCTGGTCGACTGTCTCGCAGTCTCAAGCAAGCAAGCAATCAACCAATATGAGTAAACTTAACGGCATTGTTCAAGCTCTTCGGACATCTCGATCTGTGAGAACGTTGTTCTGTCCCATGAACAACATCCTCCGCAAGCCTTGCGATAGTCACGGACTGCCCGCTTTGTCTGCAGGTTTCCATCGCATCGCTAGCCGCTCGGTGTATACAAGCTCTTCCTCATCGGATCTGGGAACGGACATTCTACCTCATGTACACACAGATCCTGTAGGAGCATTTCATGCTCATCTTCGTTGTGGAACTTTGAGCCGATACATAGCCACTGCGTGTCTGGAGGCAGCAGACCTTACAAACCGTGCAGATGGTCATTTGGGAGCTGCGACCATCAATTGGCTCTGGGACGACCACGAACACATTCACTGGCTCAAGTATTGCCGCCTGCTCCCACACATGACGAGTTTACTGGTACGTGAGGGGCAAGAAGAAATGCTATGGGACTGGATGTAACAGCAGCCAGTGCGACGACCAAAATCTTCAAAGCCCGTCTACAGCCTTGGATGGAGAGCGTACGTCCTGGAGCTGTTGGTTCTGATCATGACCAGCTAAGCAGCTATACACCGTAGTCTCGATGCACTTTTGTGTGCTTGCTTTCGAGCAAAGGGAAGTCCTGTGCATATTCCTCTCAACCAGCTCACAACTCCTGAGCGGCTCGACGAAGGAATGCATGAGGGCAGGCAAGAGTCGTACGAATATTCCATCAGGCGATGTCCATGGCCAAACACACATGCAACACTTCGACAAGCCTTCCACGACGACATCGGTTCTAAGAGACTGGAGACCCGACTGCAACAAGCATGCATCAAACTCTATGATCCGAACGATCCAGACCCGCAGCCCTTCTTACGACACTGTGATCAAATCGCCGCGCTGAGTGAGAAAACCAAGCTTGCTAAAGAGTGCAAATTGGTCAAAATCCGGGAATTGAGTGAGCAGTGCAAGGATGCGAGCATAGTTTTGCAGCATCAGGAGCTGTATGGTGGTCATTCATGGCTTGGTCAGTTTTCCAGGTGCCGCCCATGGCCTGGTCTGGGGAGAATGATCGAGTCTAGATCCAAATCAAGTAAGAGACTCAAGGACATGATCAGAAGAGTGGATGGGACGTTGGTTGGGGATGACCAGGGTCGCAGGCCTACCAAACGCTTTCAGGCAAGATACTACTCGGATACAGTACCGGACCAAAGTCAGATCTGAGTGGTAACTGAGTCTGAAGTACCTCAGTTTGAAAAGAATGTAGTCTCGAATGGGTGTCAATCTACTGGCCTCTGTCTGCTCCAGAGCAAGTTCTCACGTATTTGATGGTGATGGCTTTCGGCGACAATGAGAGACTGCAACCACTGGTGGACTTGGAGATGCTTGGTGCAGCTAGAGCGCATACCGCTTAGCATCAGGCGCTATGTTGTGACCGTTCTCAAAAATTTCAGGTCCGCTTTTTCTGATGTTGTTGTTGCTACCCTCGCGTAGGCATTGGTTCGAACCATGAACCATCAACCACGAGGCGTACAGCGTTCGTCGGCACAACACGACACGAAAAGCGTCTACTGCTACCGTCGCGTTGATGATCGTCATGGTGCATATAGCCAATAACTCAGAGCAAAAAGTGACAGCAATGTGCAACTAATGCAGTGTCGTGCAAAGGTTGCGGTGCGTAAATCTCAAGTCTGCGGTGTTGTGGCCACGCGCACTACATATTGTTTCCCCGCGAGCACGATTTCAGCTGTAATGGCTCAACGGAAGAAATGTCCCCAATCTTTCCGCCCACCCCTGCTGTTGGCAACAACCCAACCATCGGTGCCCGGTTCGAATCCCGTGGTGGCCACCCACTCGTGTAGGTAACTCATGATTGCTGCGCGTGGCCTTGAGACTGCTTGGATACCGCTTCAGCCGAGCAATCGGGCAGAGCGACCGAGCCCATGGGATGGCGAGTCCGGACTACATTGATGTTGTTGGTGGGGTGTTTGGGAGGAGTTATGAGGATGTGACTTTCTTTTTGCACTTTTTGACTGGCAGAATTCTGGCTTGCGCTTTTCGCGTCGCACGCGTTGAGGCGACAACACTGCGAGTCGCTCCTGCCACCTCTGACGTTCATGCATGTACCGCGATTAATTGTTCCTCTGTCGCTGGAGCGCGCTTTCATGGAAATTCACGAACGCTTCTGGGACAGCCATCGCATCAAGTCCATGGGGAGCAGTCAGCTGACCTGCTCTTTTCAGTCATGCCACGGCTTCAAACATAAGATTTGATCTCTCTGCCTCGCAAGGTATTCTCTATGGGCAATCGCTCAGATGTTAGACGTGTTTTGCTCTCCAGCAGCTCATTCGAGACCTCGTTTTGACAGCTATGAGAATGACATATCCCAGCAGCCAGGCGGATGTACTCGCTCACAAGACAGTCATCGAGATCTCTTACAAGTATGACAATCAGCCTTAAGCGGCTTTAAAGATGATGGTCATTTCTTACACCGCCACTGTCCAACGAACTCAGCCTCTCACCATGGGCTTCGACGTCACTCGTCGGCCGTAACAGCTAACAATAGCAACATGGCATCCTTCCGAGATCTGCCCGGATCCACCATCACTCTTACCATCAATCCTTCAGCATGTGCATAGAGTACATCATCTCAGACCTCCCTGACCGGCTATCACATCTTAGATAATTAGACCACAAAGCCAGTGATTCCAAAAACTCCCAAATTCATTCTACCCGCATCAGACCAAAGCTCCTCAAACGGACCACACCACCAATATCCATCTATCTATCTCGACAAACAAACCAAAAACACTCACCATCAAAAATAATGGGCAGCAAACCATCAAAACCAGATCACGCCAATGAATCCAACAAGCCCGATCAGCAGTCAACAACCACCAACCTATCCACCCAAGAAAAACATCCATCTACGAACAACACTTCCCAAACATCAACAATGCCAACAACACAATCAACACCACAAAAAAAACGAAAATACTATTCTTCAGGGAGTGATGCGAGAAAACTTGGCTTCTTGTCTGATTTGGGACTTTGCTGTTTCTTGTGTAGTTAAAAAACTCTGCATCCGAAAACAAACCAGACCAAGCCAGTCTAGGCCACAGTTGAACGGTCTTAGTTAGTCAAATAGAGACGCTCGAAAGAACCTTCCTGAGTGGTTGTTCGAATGCCGCAAACGCCACAAAGATATGGTCTTCCTTCTCGTCTGCGTAGCCTATAGCTCTGCTAGTCTTTGTGCTCCTGCCCGCGGACTGGACGCTGGGCTACTGGTTGTTCATTGAATGAGGGTAGCAGTACAGCCTTGAGATATGACGGTGCTGTGTCATTCGATGATTGCGCGAATCTGCCGCTTTACAAGAGAGAGCATCAATGGATCGCATTTCTTGGACAATGCTAAGCGTATGAGAAGCAATTGTGCATTTCGACCGATGTATAATTGCGCGTTGCTGCGACAGGAGAATGAAAGCGACAGCACGTGGGTTGTGAGCAAAACATAGGCAGGAGATATGTACTCCTACTCGTGCGGTCATAGCGTTCGAGAAGTTTGATCAACCAGATAAATCGGCGATAGTGGAAGGAGCGAATCTCACAGACGGGTGTCGGGAAACAGGATCGATTCACTGCACGACTATCTCGTAACAAGGAAAAGTTAAGAACAGAAAAAAGTACAGTATACCGATACACCAGTTACAAACGCCACTCTCCATATTCTGATACTCCCAATCTCCTTGAAGCACTCCCCAAATGCAAGTATAAAGTTGTTCGTACAAATCGTCAGTTGAATTTATCCCAGTCAGGGTCATCGTCAACGGGTTCCTAACCCATTGTAACTTGTGTTTCTTCTCCCTTGTTTCCAGATCTTCTTACGACTCCCAGTTTGAGTAGTCTTTCCCATACACTGTCTCTGATCAAAGCTCTGTCTTTTGCGAACAACAGGCCGTCAATTGTGGATAGAGTTTTGCAGCCGTTGCTGAGAAGGATCTCGTATACGCGTCTTCGTAATTTGGTGTCCTCGTCCAATCGAGCGAGGTGCTCGGCATCAGTTGCATAATCGGCGTTGGGCAGACGATGTGATATGGCCATCTGCAACTGTAATTGTGCTTCGGACATTGGCTCTTCGTCAGATGAGATAGTGCTGACAGTATTATTGGCTACAGAGATGGGAGCATAGAAGCCATGAGTGATGGGATTGTCTCTCAGATCTGTTTTGCGAAGATGCGGCATACGTGCCAACACGGCAACAGTCTTGCGAAGACGCGCGATGCGGTTTCCAGAAGCGTGAAGTTTTTCCAAGCGTGTGATATTGAGAAGTGGACGTATGTCTGTGATTGCGTTGAAAGAGACGTTCAGTGTGCGTAGATTGGGAAGTTTGAGGCCAAAGTCGTTAGGCAAATCTTGCAGGCCACATGATGCCATTTCCAGGTTTTGAACACTGTGATAAGAGTTCGACAGGTCAAGAGTCGGGATGATGTTGGATGATAAGAACAATGAGCGGGTAGATAATCGTTGGTTGAAGATGGTCAACTGTTGGACGGGAGAGTGCTTGAGATCTTGCTTGCGCATAGACAGCACGTCAATCTGATGCAGCTGCTCGAGACCTTCGACTGTAGGCAATTTGTTATCGTCTACGTTCAAATAGCGCAGGTCAGTGTAGTCTGAAACGTTCAGAGAGGCCAACTGATTGTTCTGCAACGACAAGCAATGAAGCTTAGAGCTGACTGAGGAATGTTGACCCGTCGAGAAGTGTTCGATCTGGTTATCATCTGCTGCCAGTTAGTCTTGTCTGAGGACATGAATATCATAAAATTACATACCAAGGATTAAGCGTTCCAACGCAGTGAGGCTTTGAACGCCAGCGACAGTGGAAAGCTTGTTGCTACTCAAATCCAGTTCTTCAAGGCGATGAAGTTGGCACCCTTCGAAGTCTACCCTCGATAGCTTGTTACGGCGGACAGAAAGTTTGATCAATCCATCCATGTTCATAATGCCATCTAAAGTGGAAATTTGGTTGTCGTCGGCGCGGAGTTCTCGAAGATGAATGAGCATACACAAGCCACCCAGATTGTCAACTTGATTGTTAGAAATGTCGAGATATTGTAAGTTCATCATGTGACTCCAAGCAGTGAGACTACTCAATGCGTTCGAGCGAAGATTGAGCTTACGAACAGACGTGGGCGCACCTTCAAGATGAGCGACATTGTTGCCCGAAAGGTCGAGATCTTCAAGACGTGTGCAGAAATCTTCCAAGTTGTGAACCGAGTCGAGACCTCTATCACGCAAGTTGAGCTGCTTGATATCTTCCCAGTATGGCTCGTCAGGTTCAACGTCAGTAAGCGTCTTGACAAGACTCTGAACAGCCATTGCATATCTGTCTCCAGTATTGGTGTGAGCCACTCGTCTCGCTAGTGCTTTTTCCGATGGACGTTCTTCGTCGACATCGTTGACAGTGAAGTCGGGAAGGTCACTAAGGTAGAATGTGCCATCCATGCGGGCAGGCGACGAAAGACCATATTCTTGGTTTGGTGCAGACATTGGAGGTCCAGGTTGGGCAACCACAGACACGCTCATCATCCGTTTGTCTGGGAACGTGGCAACGAAAGAAACTTCTCTCTGATCTTGTCCAGATGGGAATCCTCGTTGGAAAGTCTGTCTTCTTAGAGACGAGTTTCTGAGTCCGCCACGACGAGCTGGTTGAGGTGAGCGCAAAGGCCATGATGGTAGGGGAATGCCGCTCCCACGCTGCTTAGGTGCGGGTAGTTCTTCAGTCTCCGAGTCCTCGTTCAGGAGCTCATCGTCCTCACTCAGAAGTTCGTCCAGGAGCGAGTCTTCATGTGAGATATGAGATGTTTGAGATTCATCGAGAGCGGTCACAGAATTATCAGAAGCAAGCTCAGTCTCCTCTGAGATGTTCTGAGGAATATTGACGGTGGCAAGGTCGCGGAGCCCGTCACCGGTATGTGCTTGTTGCTGTTTGGCCCGAGCGATGTTAGCCAGCTCTTCGTTGCTCCAGGATGTGGCACGAGTATCAAACTGCTGCTGCTGACTCGATGCGAACGCGGAGTACTTTGAAGGCGCTGTGCTTGATGTAAATGGGTGAGCTGCGTTGCTATCACGAGTCGTGGGTCTCGAGCCAGTTGGTTCTTGTCTCTGTGGAGGTGGACGATCAGGCACCTGCTGCGGCAGCTCAGTATGTTGTTCAGACAGATCATATTCTGATTTATCTTGTTGCGCGAAGGCTTGGTGACGAGCTTGCAGCTGTTGAATGCGTTGAATCTCCTTAATTTCATCGACAGTCAAGTCAGGAATGTATGCAAATGGGTCGTCATCACTGCTGACGTTACTGGGCTGGTGATAAAAATCGAAAGTTGGCGGTTTGAGGTGCTTTGCTTTGACCCAGATCTGCTTTTCCTTATCGTAAGTCATCCCAGCGATTTGCTCAGGTATTAGGTGAGCGACCTTTTCTGGTGACAGATTGGCGACAAAATCTCTCGAAGAGGTAGACCCCATCGTACGAGCTCCACTAGAGGAATCTAGTGATGGATGTGAGCCGTGCTGCGACTTGGTCGGGCTAGCCTGGTTGCCACGTTGTGAGGCATTCGAGTAAGCTCGAGAATGACCAGCGGTCCAGCCAGGCTCAATAATCGGTGCATCGTCGAGGTCTCTAGTGGACACATCTGCATGGTCGAAGTCGAGTGCGGAAGAATCGTCGACGCGCAACGAGCGAAGTGAAGACTGGACCATACCCATATTGAACGAGTCCTGCTCGCGGAACTGCTCTAATCGACTTGCAACCATCGGATCATGCTTGACTTGACTTCTAGGTCTCCAGTTGGACTCGTTGCCCTCGCGAGAAGCTGGTCTAGAAATTCGTAAAGATCCGACCTGCCTTGCAAGGTCATCAGGGTGAAGGTGTGATCCGAAGTCCATCTCCGCGCTGGACTCTTCAACATCGTCCAAGCCGCTGTGAGGTCGTCCTTTTGCCCTAATCAGCGACATGATGTGCATGGCTTCGTCCAAGAAATCCTGGGTAGTGAATGAACGCTTGCGCATACTTTCAGAATCTTCTCTGGAAACTTCGAAAGTGTAGGCGGCAATGTCAGCTGCCACTGCCTTCGCTTTTTCGGCGTCGACTGACTCTTCTGGCAGTTCTGAGAGCTCTTCTATAGTCTCTTTGATGGCCTCGAGGCGTGGGGAGTTCGAAAGATATTCGAAAGTTGCTTCACTGATCTCAGCCTGAATCTGTTCACGACGTCTCTGACTGGGAGTAGGATTTCTAGGCCTGGTCACATCTCTTCTACTTGCCACACTGACAGTACCAGAGGCAGCGACGGAAGGGGCCTGCTGATCACTCGGGAGCGGCGCATCGACTTTGATGTGAATTTCGGAGCCTTCGCCAAGTTCTGGCAATTTGCCATCCATAGTAATCAGAGTACGCCTTCGTTTGGCAGTGGGTGCTTTGGCAGGGGAACTCTGAGGGCGTTTACCCTCTCTGATGTCAAATTCGTTGTTGTATGGATCGATGACAGGAAATTGCTCCAGCGCTTGATCGTCATCCGAGTGTCTCGACCTGATCGTGTTGCTTCTCTTCGACAACTTTCTCTTCAGCTTGAAGGGTCTAACTTCGGGTGACGATTCGATAGGTGGGGCGGTCTCGACATGAAAGCGGAATGGATGAGTGCTGCCTGGTGGAACAGCATCTGGTAGAGGCGAGCCCTCATTAGACTCGTATGTTGCGTCCAGGTCCAATCCGACAGGGAAAGAGATGTCTGCATCAAAATCATGCTCGTCCAAATCGCCTTCGCCGAAGCTGCTCAAATTAGAGACAACACGCTGAGAAGGGCGGCGTCTATTTGTGCTGATAGTGCCCGAGCTCGGGATTCTCCCAGCGTTCGATTGCGTTTCATCGAAAGGGTCGTCGCATTGGTGCACAGGAGAGATCAAGGGGTGATCCGGGTCCAGACCTTCCAGTTGACTCATTCTGCGGAACAATTTGTTGTTGGTGAAGGTATCGTAGTTGCCGAACAGCTTCAGCGGGCTTTGCGACGGCCTGCTCTTGGGTGGACTGAGGAGCGATGCCTCGTCTACATCTCCTAGCTTCGGGGTTGCCGGTACTCGGGCAGGACTGGATGGACCGGGAGAGGTCGACGTGTTGTCGTAGACTGAAGACGGCTCAATTTTTGAGGAACTGGAAGGCGACGTCTTGTTCATACTGAAGAAGCTGGGAATAGGTGGCGTACCGGTTGGTAGATCATCTGGAAGGGAGACCTCCGGAACGCTGGGCATGTTCTCGGGGCCATCGCTGTGGATCTTGCGGACGCCAGGTGTAGAGGGAAGTTCAGACTCTTGAAGACTGAGCGATGCGTCGGCACTGGTAGGAACAGAGCGCGAATCAAGGGGAGCGTAGCTGACGGCGCCAGTAGAGCTCGTGTGTTTCGAAAGGAAGACAGGACTAAAGCCCTCGCCTGACAGGTCGGTATTAGCGCTGATAGTGCGATTGCCTTGGTGCTTCGAAGCAGAGCGGTCAACGTGTAGTTGACTTGGCGAATTGACTGAGCGCATAAGGCTGTCATCTTGAGGGTCGTCGTAGTTTGTGTTGTTGACTTCTCTTTGACAGGTGCCTTGTGCATCGGGAGATTCTAATTGCGATGGTTCAATTTGCGATGGCCATGGTGGGGGACTGGAGGGAGGCATGATGGTATTCTGTAGAAGCCTCGAGGGACTGTTTGAGGAAGTCGGACGGTTGTTGGAAGAGGTGGGACGAGCTGGCGAGAAGATGTTCTCGAGACCAGAAGGGCCAAAGAGATCGGTCTGGTCACCGTAACCGACCTCACCACGGACGAGGCGTTTCTTCCACTCGAGAGTTTGATGTTTCGCAGGCGAGCGTTTGACTGAGTCGTGGTGTACTACCGACGAGTCGGATGGTTGGCGTTGGACATTGGATTGAGAGGAGGGGAGAGTCTTGAGCGGATTCCGTTGTTTGACAGAGCTGCTGTTTATGTCGAAAGCGCCGCTACTCCTACGCGGGATTCGACTAGACGACGACGAAGTTTGGTTCTTTCGCACGGAAGTGGCAGATTGGTGGTCTGTGGTGGGATTTGACAGCGACGGCGGCTCGACCCAATCTTCGTCTAGGTCTTCGAGCCATGGCGCAACCTGAGACGACATGTTGATTGCTGTTTGTGGTGGGAGCGGACAGGCAGAGGAAGACGAAGTTAGGCGTCGTGTCAATGGGTCAGCATGATATTCAAGCGATCCAGACTAAGTCGTCATTTCACAACAGCGCCAAAGCGACAATCAATAATATGGATGCGATCGAGATAAGTCGACCTTTAACTGGATTCCCGAAAAGTTGGCACATGTTTGCGATGAACTGCTGTGGGGGGTGTCAGAGCTTCTGTTGCGCAAAACACCATCGCCCTGACAACCGGCCTGCTCCACTGTCGCTCAGCCAATCATCTGCTCTGTCTCAGCCAATCCTCTCGCCGACGATCGACAGCCGTCTTTTCTCTAGTTGATGGCATTTCCTACAAGCAGTCAAAGCATCTGAAGCCGTCACTTGTCAGCTGTCAGTGCTCGCAACTCGCCCAACACGACGGGCCCACGCGTGGGCTTAGGCTGCCAATTCAGCTTCCTGCCATGCGCCAACTACGTCCTCAACCGTCGTCGTCCTTCCTCCCGTAACGCCATCGCCCATGCCTCCACGCCGCTGGCTGTGGCCTTGCGCCGATTCCCACGTCCTCCGATTGCCCGCCTACCAGAACCCTACCCTCCACGCCTGTCTGGTCCACCCTGACAATCCCGACGATATCCTGGTATCCGACTCCGACGATGATCTGGACGATGACTTCCACACAGCCAAACGCCAACGCATTGAAGCCATTGCCCATTCCTTCCTCAATGGCCGCCCCATTTACATCCCCTCTGCCACCTTGAAAGGTCCCTTTCCCGCCGACAGAGATTTGTCTCTCTGCCATGAGCCTTTCTCAAGCCCGCCTGCCAACTCCGTCTCGCCTCCTCCCATCGTCACTGCCGACACCTTCATCCGCCGTAGACCTGCACGCACACGGCTGAAGTCGCCCACTCCCGAGCCCACCTTTACACCCTCCAAGCCTCAGCAGTCCTCGCCGCTCATCCTAGAGAAGCCTGCCAATCGTCCTCAATCTTCTCGCCAACCTCCTCGATCCTCCAAGAACAAATCTCTACGCTTCGACCTCCCGTCTTCTGCTGTCTCGGCTCCAAGCACTGTTCTACCGCCATTGCCCAAGTTTGTTGCTATCAATAAAGTTCTTCAAACAAGGGACACGCCAGACAAGCCTCCAAGCTCTACAGCCCCTTCTCACACGACACCTTGGTTCGCCGATCGCATTCCCGATTCAAGTTGTATATCCCCTAGCCCTTCGCCTTCAAAAGATGCACTTCCTGCTCTCTCTTCCAGCAAGCTGGCCAGTGTGTTGAGGCAAAGACCGGCGTCATCCCTGAACAAGGCCGAGAAGGCTCCTTCTTCGACACACAAACTGCACAAACTATCAAGCGTGAAAAAGAACAAGAAACCAATCAAAAGAGTTTACCAAGCTGCCGCAACCTCAGACACCACTTCGCCTTTCATTTACAGGAGAAATGCAACGCTGGCCAGGAAGACGGTTGTGCCAGAGAAAGACAAGAGCGTCGAGTGCGAGGATGTGGTCAATAACCCGAGTGCAAGCGAAAAGCAGTCCAAAACTCCAGCCTCGCCTGTGAAACGTCATGCGGTTCTGTTTGAATCTTCTCTGGTCGTTCCCGAGCCTAAATTGTCGCACCCTCCGTCAGCAGTAGCCGAGCCCGAACGCTCGCCAGAACGTCCCCAGCATGACTTTGTACCTGCAATTAACATGTCGTTTGGCCAAGAGTCTTTGGGCATGGACTTCAATATCATCAATCATTTCAACGACCGACTGCCTGGGTCCTCGGCGAACAAAGAAAGAACAGACTTGGGCGAAGGCACCCCAGAGAATCAAGATCTACCCGTTGTGACTAGTGCTCCGGTTCTTGATACTGAGAACGAAACACTGAGCAATGATAAAGTAGCACCGGAAGAGGTTGAGGCTCAGGAGGCACTTCTAGAGAGAACTATTCAGGAACAACTCACCCAGGAACAGCTTACTCAAGAGCATCTCACTGCGAACGAGATGGATGTGCCATCAAACGAAGGGAATGAAGCTTTGGTTCCTGAAGGAGGAAATGCACCCCCGCAAGTTACCAATAGGCTAGCCGGTGAGCTAATGGACGATACTGTCCTCGAAGATGTAGAGGAAGCTGAAGACGGGCCTATGGATGACATGCCATACATCAGTACTCAGGCAGCCATACAGGATGCTCATCGCGCACTGTTTGATGCGTCTTCTCCCTTGCAACTCCAAGAAGAACCCTCTGAGCTGCCATTCGAGACTCCAGCCAAGCAAGTCACCAGTCGTGCGTCAAGTCCCGTACACACCATCACACCGTTCCATCAGTTCAATGCGGAGTTGACAACCGACACACAAGCACCATTGCCTAATACGCAGGCCTTGTTCGACGGGTTCTACTCTCCAATCAAACTGAGTGCCAAAAAGCCAAGAAGCACGAAGAGGGCTAGTTTTGCTCCTTCAGTCATTCTTGAAGACGCAGATGATACTGTTGCGAGTCTCGCGAACGATGCTTCTGTGCACGAAAACAACGAAGACCATGTTGAGTCTGATCTCGACGACTTCTCTGTAGCTGACGACCAGTCTCCTTTGCTTCGCAACTCGATTAGTCCGGCGCTTCCTCAAGGTCGGACAAGTACTTCTTCAGTCCAAAACCCCTCAGGTTACTCCCCTCCTCGAAGTTTGTCAGACCGTAGCGACTCTCCGGACTTCATATTGTCTCAGAGAACCACGACATCAAGAAGAGGCTCCAGTGGTCCCGTATTACCTGTCTTGCAACAAGAGTCAATAAGCCTCTCAGAAATGTTCGATTTTGTAAGCAGTCGACGGGGTGTGGATGTCGATACTCTTTTGTCACAGAACACTCCGACGTCATCATCCAAGGTTGGGAACAAGAATGGACAGAGATCTGCTCGCTCATCCCAGGCAAGACCTCGCTCATCACTGCCCAAGTCTCTATCATCTCAGTTGAAGCGGCCGCATTCATCACTGTCTAAACCGCTCTCTGAGCAGAGTTCTGGCAAACGTCGTTCTTTGCGCCTCTCTTTGTCACAACCGAACCCTCAGACGGAAGATGATCTTGACACTGATATCGACATTGATGGTCCTCCGGCCACCCAACCTCATCTCAACGACGTGGGCCTCGGCAGATCTTTTGCCTCTGTATCATCTACCGTCCCCGATGGCTCTTCTACGATACCTGATCCCAGTCTTGCGCTTAACCACCTGCAGCAGAACGCAACACCGGCGTCGGGAAAGCCTGCTTGTACACCTGGCAGTGCACCACAAAGCACAGATATAATGTCTAGCTACCAGAATGCCCAGAAGCAGTACAGCAGCCTGACAGATCTTGACAGCACGATGCCGGACTTGCCGCAGACGTTCTTGCCACCAGTCCGTTGATACTCGCAATGAGATTCTGAAAAGCCGCGTGGTCATTGATCTGAATGTGATAAGTTTGATTGGCACAATGGTGCTTGGGTGGGCATACTTTGGCGTTTTTTAATGAGGCATGATAGCATAAAGATACCCTCTCTGTTTTTATTTTCGGAAATTTGATATATTGTTTGATCGTTTGCCTTTTTGCTTATCGTGTGCGACTTTGACATTTCATTCTCTCGTGGCACGGAAGTTTGTTTTCTGAAACATGCACGACAAACTCAACACCACGAGATGCTTTGGTGAAATCGTGGCAGGCAAGGCTGGGCTTGGCTGGGATACGATCGCGCCAAGCCCAAATTGGAAGGCACGAACGTTCATGTTGAGAGAACCCTCAGTCATCAAACATCCGACTATCCGTGAGGTATATCACTACATGGAGTCGGTCGAATGGTCAGCGATATGAGTATCTGCATCCTTGCCTGTTGAAGCAGGTCAAACCTCCCAGTAGCAACTCACCGCTCGTCAACACCAAACGTAGTGCCAAAAGATGTCTGCCGCGACGGTGCTGCGTGGGACCTGCAGGCACAACGACGATCACAGACGCCTATTCTTTCCGCCGCCCCCGTAGCAGAATGTCGATCTGTTAGATGACTTTCTTGTTTAAAAAATGCTTGACTCCCCGTTCTTTTGCTTCGCATACACCTTCGTTGCTTGTTTTGACATTCGTTCGTTATGCGTGTTTCTTCTTCGGCCCTGTTGGCCACTTTACTTGCTGTTGCGGCAGCGAAGCCTGTGCCCGAAACACACGTTGTTCATGAGAAGCGTGATGTTGCTCATCGCTTCACCACTTCCAGATGGGTCAAGAGAGATAGACTTGAGAAAGATACTGTCTTGCCTGTCCGTGTTGGCTTGAAGCAGCAAAACCTCCACAATGGTGCTGAGTGGCTTATGGATGTGTGAGTAACGCTTTTCCAATGATCGGTGGATGCTTCGAAGTTCAGCTGGACCTCGACAGAGAACCAATGTTACCATGTGCCCAGAACATCAGACTGACCAACTCAGCTCGCACCCCCAATCTCCCAACTTCGGACGACACTGGACACAAGACGAGGTCATCGCCAAGTTCTCTCCTTCCAACGAGACGCTGACTACCGTTCGCGACTGGCTCGTGAAGAACGGTATCTCTGACCGTAGAATCACTCACTCCGACAACAAAGCCTGGTTTGCTTTCGATGCCACTACCGAGGAGGTCGAGGATCTGCTACACACTCAGTACCATGAGTTCGAACACAGCTCTACTGGAAATTACGTTGCAGCATGCGACCAATACCATGTTCCTAAGCACATTCAGGAACACATTGACTTTATCTCGCCTGGTGTCAAGGGTGCCAACCTTCGCAAGCGTGATTCAAAGAAGGCCAAGCGTGGACTCAGAGGTTCACCGGCCCGCAAGCAGGCACCATTTATGCCCAAGAACGTCAGCTCTCTCGCCACCTGCGATCAAGTCGTGACACCTGCTTGTATCCAGGCACTCTACAAGATCGCTCCCAACGACCCTCACGCGAAGGTCAGCCCCAACAACTCGCTTGGTATCTTTGAAGAAGGCGACTTCTACGCTCAGGGAGACCTGGACCGCTTCTTTGGCAACTTCACACCTTATATCCCCAACGGCACTCATCCAATCCCAAATTTGATCGACGGCGCAAAGGCTCCTGTGAGCTTGCAGCTCGCTGGCGGAGAGAGTGACTTGGACTTCCAGCTTGCTTACCCTCTCATCTACCCTCAGACCACAACTTTGTACCAGACTGATGACATCTACTACTCCTTCGGCAACGACCCCAACGCCACCGGACTCTTCAACACCTTCTTTGATGCCATCGACGGATCATACTGCACATACTCCGCCTTTGGCGAAACCGGCAACGACCCCGTCCTTGACCCCAAGTACCCAAACACACACGCAAGCAACGGCTACAAGGGCGCTCTTCAATGCGGCGTCTACAAACCCACAAATGTCATCTCCATCTCTTACGGCGAGCAAGAGCAAGATTTGCCTGCTTACTACCAACAACGCCAGTGCAACGAGTGGCTCAAACTCGGTCTGCAGGGCGTGTCCATCTTCGTAGCTTCCGGCGATACAGGTGTCGGCGGTATCAGAGGCGACGGCTCAGTAAACGGCTGTCTCGGCTCCAACGCCACCGTCTTCTCCCCTACTCACCCCAACTCATGCCCCTGGCTCACCAATGTCGGCGGCACAAAAATCTACCCCGGCCGTAGCGTCTATGAACCCGAATCCGCAGTCAACGACCCCGAGTCTGGCTACTCCTCCGGCGGCGGCTTCTCAAACCTCTTCGACATCCCCGACTATCAAGCTTCCGCCGTGAGCACTTACTTCTCCGCCCACGACCCGGGATACAAGTACTACAGAAACGGACAATACAACAGCACCGGAGGAGGCCTATACAACCGCAACGGCAGAGGTATCCCCGACGTCGCCGCCAACGGCGACAATTTCGCCGTCTTCAACGCCGGCCGCTTCATCCTCGAAGGAGGAACTTCCGGCTCCGCTCCCATTTTCGCATCCCTGATCAACAGGATCGTGGAAGAGAGGATCAAGGTCGGTAAAGGTGCTTTGGGCTTTGTGAACCCGACGCTCTATGAGCATCCTGAGGTGTTGAATGATATCGTCAATGGCACTAATCCTGGTTGTGGGACCAAGGGGTTTTCGGCTGTGAAGGGTTGGGATCCAGTGACTGGGTTGGGCACGCCTGATTATCCTAAGATGTTGGACTTGTTCATGGGATTACCTTGATTACTGTGTATCTTGTCTCATTCGGATATCTGTTTGATACGGTTTCTATTTTCTACTCGCGTAAAAGCATCATTTGTAGCACGTAGTCATTTACTTTCAGCAAACATGGCGACAGTCTACTTTCTTTTTCTACCAAACAGTTGACAATTTCCTGGTAGCAATTGCTTTGTGCACGACGCGGTCGGCAGGAAAGTGTGTGGTGACTCTTGACGAGCCCAACATTGGCACGCCTTACATCGCCCTGATTTGTTCTTGATACTCAAGCTTGATCTCGAGTCACATGGTTCAGAACAAAGATGATCAATAAGTAATCGAGACCATAAACACTGCTCATGTGTCATATAATTTCTTAATACTGTTTATCTGTATATTCGTGAGGAAGCAAGTATTGTCTTGAGGCCGTCTATGTGGCTAAGCCATGTCTTCTCATGCTTGTGGGATGTCGTTTTGAAGCGCAGTTCTCGAATTAACCTGTCGGAGGTCCTTGACTGTACGGACTAGCGTGATTGCTCGTCACATCGTAAGGGCTAGGTTGGTTGCTTGCCGGAGGATACGGACTGGGACGATTACTAGCGCTGTTGCTGTATGGGCTGATGTGATTGCTTGCGATGGTGTATGGTGATGGTTGTGCAAACTGTGTTTCTGAGGCGCCGGTGTTGCTGAAAGATGACTCGTGTGAGAGATGCATACCATTTAGTTGGTTATCAACATTCCGATTGTCGAAACGGGGCGTCTGAGCCGGTGTATCTTGCGCTGCTCTGGCATTCTCCATGATCTTTTCTCTAGGCCAGCTGAGGAATTCTGCCCAGTCGTCTCCGAGGATGTTTCCGATCCGAGTAACGAGAACTTCGGCAAGGCCTTTGAGATGCCATGCTCGTGGGTTGATGCTCGTCAATACGGCCCAGTATGCCAGGATGATCAGGGCGACAGGCCTTCGCTCGACCAACATGTCTTTGAAGGCGGCAGGCAGTCGTACAGCAAATTGGTCGATAAGATGTGCGCAAGTGGGATAATCATCCGAATGCTGTGATGCAGCTCCAATATACGTAAAGATATCTTCGATCGTCTCGAGACAGCATTTACGTCGTTCGGCATCTTCCTGACCAAAGGCTAGAGACCTCACCATAGAGTAGGTAGGAAAATCGGACGCAAGACTAGCGCGGACGCGATCCTCGTTACCTCCCTCGGTCCTGGAAAAGAGGCGTTTGAGCCAAGTTTGACTTAGATATGGCCAGTGAGGTGAGACGACGACCTTGATGCCTCTGCTCAGCTGGAAGCATTCGACAATTTTATCGATAGGATCTGTATCATCGTGATGAGGGTTCAGCATGAATTCTGCAAGACCAAAAGAGGAAGTATGACTGGAGAATAAAAGGGCAGCTAGAGAGTCTTCCTGGCGCAGATTGGCAATGATGGGTTGTACTTGCTGAATGGCAACACCCTGCAGGTAACAAGCTCGGTCGAAGAGCTCAGGCCTTGAACGGTCTTTTGAGTAGAGATGTAGAGCTGAAAGAGCCATGAAGTTATGCATCAAGAAACTGTAGGACAGACTATGCTCCAACAGTTCTTCAAATACCTCACCCCGGAGATCGACATCTGGAACCAGCGAAGCACTGTAACGGTAGACAAAGTGATGGTACAGCTCCAAATCTAGAAGACATAGCGGCTGAGTAGAGGCCTGAATGATTGGCGGAGTGCCGAGAGGAGTCGACCGATGCGAGACAAGATCTGGGCGTGGACTGGCGGCTTGAGGAGCAAAGCTGCATGCTATGTCCAAGCGTTGGCAGTTTCCACATTGAGGTCGGACTTCATTGCACTGGGTAAATCAGCATCTTGAATGACTGGCAGTTATGATGTTATCAGAAACTTACCTTGATATGACGAGTCTTGCACTGGGAACAGCCGTTGCGAGACTTTCGATGCGACCGTCTCATGGGAGCAGCTTTCGTATCCAGGTTGGCGATTTGGATTGGTCTTCGCGGATACGCGTTGTATGGGTGGCGTCGTATACCACGAGTTCGATTGAAGAGACTTTCGTGTAGATGGACAGGACAAGGCACAATACGGCTGTGACAAAGGTGCTCAAAAGGAAATGGAGCAGTTCAGAGTTGTGGGAGTTTGCTGTAGATACGAGACGGGATACGGCGAAATACGGCGCATCGGAACAGGCACGACAGGCGCTGCCTCAGCCGGGTTCGGGACCGAGCGCCAAGACGAGGGCTTGTTTTAGGTTTTGTTCGATGCGACACTCTTCTTGCTCGCTGTGGGAAGATATCCAGAACATCGACAAGCTCACTGCTTGACAAGATCAAAGAAACGACTTCAACATGGCATCGACCGAAGGTGCTCCGACCGAGCAACCGCACCACCAAATTCCCTTCCCCTTCTCCAATCAGGACGATTCCACGCCAGCTCCACTATTACTCACCCAGGGCGCTGAAGCTCTGGTATACCGCACCACTTTCCTCACTTCTTCAACCGCTTGCGCTCTCAAGTACCGACCAGCAAAACCATGGAGACATCGTACACTCGACATGCGACTGACACGTCAGCGTATTCTCGCCGAGGCTAGAGTCTTGACTCGCTGCCGTCGCGAGGGTGTCACTGTACCCGCTGTACTTGGCCTTGACTGGGAGCGCGGATGGCTGGCACAAGAGTGGATCTATGGCAACACGGTCCGCAGAGTCTTGGACTGGGTGCACAAGGAGAGTGCTCTGCCAAGTGACGAGAGAGGGCACCAGGTACACGCTTTGTTGCGAAGAATCGGCAGCGCCCTTGGCCGTTTACACGAAAGGGGTCTCGTCCACGGTGACCTGACGACCAGCAACATCATGCTCAGACCTGCCGAGGCCGATATCACTGAAGAGGATAAGCAAATCGGCAAGTCTGTTACCATCACAAGCACGAATGGTGAAGTCGTCTTGATCGACTTTGGCCTGGCCCAGCAGAATGTACAAGAGGAGGACAAGGCTGTTGATTTATACGTGCTTGAACGAGCTTTTGCTTCAACGCATCCCGAGGTCGAGGAAGACTTTGGTCACCTGTTGCAGGCCTATGGCGAGAGCTACAAGGGCGGAAAGACGGTACTCAAGAGATTGGAAGATGTGCGCATGAGAGGAAGAAAGAAGAGCATGCTGGGTTGATTGCCATTTACCCACTCTCTTTGATCACCTGCTGCAGTGTCTTGACATATTCTTCCACCTCTTTGCAGCCTTCGAGTGTAAAGTCGCGTCGCTTGCCCTCGAAGACGACGTACGGCACTGCATCCACCCCATTGCCTGCCTGCTCTCGGATAAGCATCTTGACATCCATCAATCCGTCGTGCTCGTCCTCGACAACCTGCTTCGCTTCTTTCTCGTCGAGTCCTGCCTCGCTCAAAGCTCTCAGCAATGTCTCTTTGGCACTTGGATGTTGCTCTTCCTCGAAATATTGCTTGTACAGGCTGTCGACCACCTTCTCGGCTGCGGCAGGCCCCTTGGTCTCTTGCACAAGCTGTATGACTCGATGCGCTTGCAATGTGTTTCCTACTCTTCCACCAAACTTATACGCAATGCCCTCTGCTTTGCCGTATGCTGTCATGAGCACCACATACTTGCGCATGTGCTCCTCGTCGCCATTGAATCTGGCATCGCGGTACCAAGCGTATTTATCTTCGCCCTCTTGCGGTGCATTCGGGTATAGCTGGTAGGGGAGGTATTTGACAGTAAATGTCACTCCTGGATCCGTGGATTGGACTTGAGCCAATGCTTTCGAGAGTCGTCGCCTAGCGAGATAGGTCCTGCATCGGGTCAGATGCGTTGTTAAAGTATAGGTAGATCGATTCGAGGTCTTGTCATGTTGCTGCATAGCGACCATACATCGATCTTTGGTCTACTTACCATGGGCAAATCGTGTCTAGCGTAAACGATATTTGGGATTCGTAACCCATGATGACGAAAATTCTACGAGGCTGGTTTGCAAATTACCCTGACTCGTGCTATACCATGTGGTGATATACCGGAAGCCGAAGGAATAAAGACGTCGACAGGTGAGCGAGCAACGGTTCAGATAAGTATGCCAGCCCCTCCAACGACCCCGCCATCGGCACCTGAAAGAGTTCGGGCTTGGCGTCATCATTCATGGATGAGTGGAAACGACTTGACATCCGACTTGACATCTGCCCCTTCCTCAGTCCTTTGCATCCTCCTGTCGGCCAAAACATCTTGCATCTGTCATCTGTCTCTTACATTCCATCTGTTCCTCCATGACCATGACGATTCTTGAGTTTGGTTACCATGTGATACCACCCGAAGCACACCGTTATGCAACTCAACGTTCGCATGAACGTCTCCCAGCCTGCATGAATAGCGGTCGCAGCCTCCATAACGGTCTTAGCCGGTGAGAAAATATTGTAGGTGTAGCTCTGCGGATTGGTTTTGGTATATAAGATCAGATCCCAGGATGCAGGTTCGTTTCTTGTTCAGATACTCACCAACTTGTATACCCTCCTCCACACGGCGACATCGATCAGAAGCCTCGTGCCTTACATCACATCGCAACATACTCACCCGTTGATCGGAAACAAGACATACTTTGACTCACATCGCTATCTCCCATCATGAAGGCAGCAAGCAGCATTCTCCTGGCCTCTGCCGCCTTGAGCACCGCTCAAATCATCAAAAATGGAAATGGAACCTACACATGTGCTCTTCCTTCAGGAGCGTATTGTGTTTCGGCATCTCTCGAGAGCAATATGATCATTCGCTGCAACAATGGCATCGGTTATGCCAGCAGTTGCGATGATCGTCTGTATGACAAAGCTCCTCTTGGCTCCTCTTACTCTCCCTGCTGGCAGGCATCTGCTAGATCTGGAAATGCACAATGCTCCAAGAACGGAATTATTTATCCAGATGGCAACAACACCACACCTTATCCCGTGCCGAACTACCAGACTATCAGCGCCAGCATCTCTAGTGCCGCTACAGCCACCACACAAGCAACCAAATGGCCTTACGTCGCCAACTTCACAACAAGCACCACCACATCCACAAGCACAAATACGCACACTACCACCGTCTATCTCTCGGCTATCGGATATGGTGCATACTCAAACTCATCATCTCCTTACTACAACAATGCAACTGCAGACGGCAATCTCGCTGCCGCCGCCGCTACGACCACCTCAGCATCTGTGCCATACCTGCCATACTTCCCAGCACCGGTTGTACCCACATCCACTCAATACACCACCGATATCGTTTACAGCTACACGACGATTTGTCCCGCTGGCGCCACAGTCACTGACTCTGCGGGCTCAGAAGCAGTACTCGCAACGCCCTCAACCATCACCTTGACCACCACTTCTCGCAGCACTGTCACTGCAACTGCAATTGTCTCGTTGCATTCACCAATCTTTGCATTCGACGCTTCGAGTACTACCGAAGCCGCAAGTGTGTACGCTCCTATCGCCACTGCTGTAGCTGCTGCTCCTTATGTCTGGAACAATGCTACCTGGGGTAATGTGACCACTTTGTCCTCGGTAGCCAGTGGCGCACCCGTTGCTGTTGTAGCTCCTGCAGCTTCTGCTTCTGCCTCGGCTTCCTACCCGGCATGGAACGGCACTGTGGTTCCATACACCGGTGCTGCTAGCAAGACCGGTGTCTCCTTGGTTGCTGCCATTGCTGCAGTGGTCGCTTTGCTCTAAGCGTTGGTTTTGTGTGTTGAAGGAGGGAAAGCCTGGTCGCTTTCCATGGGTCACTCAACAACAGAGCTGGTCTCTGCAGAATTGAAAGCAAGCACTGGATGTTTGCAAGATTTTGTTTAGATATATGTACATTTAGATAGTTTATACAAAGCAAGCAAGCCTTTTTTTATGTCACTACAATACCTGGTCTGTTCCATCCCGATCTTCGTCAAGTCGAATTGCTAGAGTCATGACCCTGTCTACATTCTACATATCATTGGCCCCCTCTCATATTACCCATACTAACATGAGTTGCATGCAGAAGATGAGCGTTTTGATGCTCCTAGCTAGCATTGTCTCTCAATCATAGCGTTTCTGTCAAGGGACCATTCCATGACAATTTTCCATAATCATCTCACAAACAAGACGTCGATGTGCACACGGCATTTCCGTGACAGATCGGCAAGAGAAAGAAGACAAGAAATGACGAGCGAAGAACAATCAAGTCAAAAGAGGGCCCGAACGTGCCTGCTGAAAGCGGCACTTCAACACACTCTTTTCGGACAACCGTATCGATATAAGTAGAAACATTATGCCTTTCGATGACGATCGGAAGAGAGCTCTCGTTCGACTGAGAGCTCAGCTTTGATGCGACTAGTGCAAACGATGTTCACATCTCCGATTTCATCATGCGGAGGAGTAAAAAGTATCATGGATATCGTAAGATAAATAAGAGCGATCGTGGGTTATTTTTTGATGACAAGGAAAGAATATGAGGATAGAGGAGGAAGAAAAGAAGAAGAAGAAGACTCCATTTAATGCAACATCCATTATCCTCCGCTAGTTCTGTTCGTTCCATGGTAACATTTTGGTGAGTGTCGTGAAGTAGAAAGATGACTGATAATGAAATAAGAAATATCATGTGTGTTGTTTTTCGTGAGGGTCGTAAAGTCTAGTATGTCGTAATCGTTTTCCTGCGTCGTCGTTTTTTTCCTTCCACCCCGGTTCCCGTCAGACACAGATGTCTGAGGCCTTTCGTGGTGTTTAGAAGGAGATCCATCCAGCATCGCGAAGGCAGTATTGGCAACGAGGATAGTGTTGCAGTACCGGAGCACGACGACAGGCACAAGCAATCTGTCTAGCATGAGGTTTCGCAGCACCAGCGTTAGCAGACCTGAGTCCAGCAACCGCAGAATCGACACTTCTAGGGCTGGAGCCACCAGAAGTATAGCTGGAGCTTTCATCCTCATCTTCCTCTCTCAGCTCGCCCAATCTTCTTCTTTGGTCGTTGTTGGACGATGTGGCAACAGCGGTATTCTTGCGACCAGAACCGATAGCGACGGGAAGGCCTTGGACTGTGCCTGAGCCCGGCTTTTGGCCGGGGTACATGCCATCATTGACCGAAAAGTTGCGACAAATCATGTATGCGCGAGTAGCGGCGGCGTCGCGGGCGAGAGCTTCGGTCGTATAATGTTGTCCATCTGTGCTGTATTCGCGATTGTTGACGCGGACGACGCAGGTGTAGCCATGACGTGTAACGGAAGGTTGGAACATAGGCTGGGGCCAGTGTCGGCGTTTGCAGAGACCTATCACGGACGTGTGAGCAATTATAATTGTACAATCGGTATGACGATAGGTGGTTTTCTGGCTATGACAACGACCACAACGAGGTTGACGATCGCATTTGCCTCAGGCTTCCGATTGCAGACAGCCACTAGAATATGTGGATCTGCCATGTGTGCAGCTGTCAATGCCCTCGGGAAGCGACCGCCGCCGACACATGTCAGAAGCACACGTTTGACGGGTGTCCTGAGACGACATGTTGTAGGGAGGAAAACAAAATCATTGGTACTCACCATCGAGATACATTGTGTAGAACATGATGATATGCTTGAATCTCGAAAGAGATGGACGTGCTTGGTGTGGCTTAGATCTTCAAGCAAGATATGTCGTTTTTGGCCGAAGAGGCGCGCTGTCAAACTGTATGTGTCGTATGTGTCACACCGCAGAAAGGGTTGATGGCTGAATATTGACGGGGCAGCAGAAGAAAATGTTGAAAGATAAATGCAGGTGGAAGAGAACGCAAGATGTATTGATGCCCAAGAAGAGAATCGGATCAATAATTATGTCTCTCTAAGCATAGACCGAACATAAATAGGATTGAAGAAGCAGGCGTCCCTTGATTGAAGGCGGTCTCCAAGAGATAGAAGGGGGAACAATCAAAAAAAAGAAGGGACTCGAAGAAGTGACGTTGAATAACACAGCATCAAGACTCGGCGGGAGGTCCAGAGGTACGGTAACAAGGGCGGGCCACTCACACGCGTGCACGAAGGACATACCGTCGTGCATTGCAGATGCGTTCACTGTGGGAACGACAACACAAGAGAAAAGCCTGGCGATGAAGTGGACAAGCTGACTTGTCGAAACCCCTCCCTAATCTTGTTCGATGTGTTGGCACTGCATGCCGCGCATTGGGCCATCTATCGAGGGTCCGAAGAAGAGGGAAATGAGATGCGTAGCGGTGCGGGTCTGCGTGCTCGAGCGTCTGCTCCTGTGCGACAGCGAGCGTGGTGCATGCCGATGGCGAGACCCGAATTGCCTCATACGGATCACGTCAATGCGCGACATGTTCGTCCGAGAGCGACAAGCACCAGGTACGTGGTCGAGGTCTGTGGCCCCTTGATTAGACGCAAGTGTCGTGCAGTAGAAATAAACGGTGCCCTTTCTAGCTTTCGGTAACAAGCCGGACCAAGATCATGTGAAGGACTATTATGTCCGTTGACGAGTAGGAGGAACCGCAGACTCACCGGTCCAAATCGGTAGCCAACTCGAGCGGGTGCCATGCGGGGCTACTGCAGCGGTAATTACTCGATAAAGGTGCTCCAGATCAGCAGTTCGTCCCTTCCGCGCGCTGGTAACGTTGTTCGGCGAAAGACCCATATTTTCTCAAGGCAAAGGAGACAGACTTCTGGGATTCTCTATTGGTCAAAACCCTGTACCCTGGATCAAAGGCGGTGACTCTGTGAGATGCTGCTGGCTCGTCTTCTGGATCTACAAAGTCTGGTTGTGTGCGACCCATCGTTCCAGTGGATCCAACGACGAGCATCGGAAGCATGAGTGCGTTGGCGGTCACATCTTGACGTCGCTGGGCACGAGGTACTCTGCTTCCACCCCTCAAGATGGTGGGGAGTGAAGGTGAGGAGGAGGGGTTAAGAGGAGATGATACCAAGCATGTGAGGTATTCTTACGGAGCATATGCCTCTCCCTTTCGAGAGGGACCTCTATAATTGGCCGAATATCTGCATAAAACTCTTTGAAACACCATAGAGGATCCAATAAGAGGTTAATGTTGATGCTTTCTCCTTGGACAAGCCCTGGTATCTCAATTACTGAGTACATCGATCCGTGGTGCGGAAGCACGCGCTCGATAAGAATCGCTCATGCGCTTGGAAGCATCTCCCGGGTCGAGGCACCAAGGAACCGAGGACTTGTCCCTTCAGGCAGCAAATCTTGGGAGATACCCTCCGTGCCGCAGGATTGTGATGGTAGTTGCCGAAAAGCCAGTCTCGCCATAACCGAGAATGGCAAAGGATTGGACACTTTGCAGCCGACGTGAACACTGAAGGCGATGGGTACATCTCAAATTGCCAGTGCTTGTGGCAAATCCTGTTTTGTTCCGAGAGAAGACCTCGTTCGGAAAAGACGAGACGTGATTGATGGGGCGAAAATGCCTTTCGAGTTTGACGCCAGCCTTGCAGTGAGGGTGAACAGCTGATTGCTCTCCATGCTGCACCGGCGATCGGGCGTGCATAATCGCGGGCACTACATTGTTATTTTGTCCCGAAAGCGACGTGCAAAGGAATTGAATGCCTCGGCGATGTGGTTGATGCTTCAGAAGCAGGAGCGGTCAACAGGCGGTGAAGGCGAGAGGGTGGTCCAATCGAATTTTGCATTGACGAGCTCGTTCGTACCTGCTGTCGCTTCTTGCCCAAACTTATCTTTTTAAGTTCCAGACAGAACGCCTCGCAAAACTAGAGGCATCACAAAAGTGACATGTACCTAGAAAAGTACTTGAAGTTGTGGACAAGCTCATGAACAAAAGGCAGTGGCGGTCGTTTGGCTGAAGCCTGACAGCCGGCAAATCGTCGTCCTCAGCCACGTTCCCTCCACTGCTGCTTCTGCTGCTTTTTGTACAACCAACACAAGTTACACGCGACGGGGCTACAAGCATGGCCGCATTCCGGGAATACATCAATTCTTCTCGTGGACGAAATGAAGTGCTTCACTTTCTGAAATACTCCGAAATATGTTATGCATGCAAAAAGAAAAAACACGAAGCATCTTCGTTCCTTCCTTCCCTGGGTATCATTCCGTGTTGACGCCATGTAAAAACCAAAGACCCTCTTCAAAGACACAAGAAACGAGAGAATACACCGCTATTTCTTCTTGCCCTTGCCCTTCTTCCTTCCTTGCTGCGGCTGTTGCTCAGGCGCAAAAGCAGACCCGTCAATCACCTCCTCACCTTGCGCTTGTAACTCTCTGACTTTCTCTTGACTGCTGATAAACATGGTCAAATCATGGTTCATCTCCTCCAGATCAGCCTTTTCTGCCTTCATCTTCTCGGCTTCGTGCTGGCTTTCTTTAGCCTTTGCTTCGGCGGCGTGGATGCGTTGAAGTAAGCCTTCGTTCATCGTTTTTTTCTTCGCGTAGTTGTGAAGACATGTCGCGAGCCATCTTCTCGAATTTATCAGCGCGGTTGGCGGCTTTCTCGATGCTCTTCTCTATACGGGCCATAGCGGCGGCGTGCTCTTTGTTCTCGACACGTAAAGCGGCCATTTCGTTGGCAAGTGTTGTGGCCGCTCTTGAGGCCTTTTCAGCTCTAGCTGAAGCAGTGCTAGCTTTATCCACAGCACGCTCCAGTTGATCCTCGTAGTAGCGACGCTGACTGTCTAATTGACTGGTCAAAAGGTATGTGTACTCATTGGCCATATTCTCCATCTTTTCTCGTGGCACGCTGTCTTCCGCTTCTGCGCGAAAAGCGGCATTGGGGTGACGTCGAGCAGGCAGATCGATCAGCTTACTGTCGGGCTTGTTCTGTATCAAGCGATGGACGTATCCATCTCCAGCGTAATCCCAAACGTGCTGAGAATTGATGTCCATAGCATAGCAGTGACTTGTGGATTCCCAGTGTGCAAAAGCATGGGCCGAATCATAGCGCCCACAACCTGTGTTGCCGCATATCAGGCATATCCAGAGATTTGTAGTAGCCGCGCAAACAGTACAGGCTGGCTCAACGTCAGCCTCAACTCCACTGTGGCCTGGCCGCGGATATGGAAAGGTGAAGGAAGGCGACTGAGTGTAACGGCACACAGGGCAACCAGATCCACGCCACTTTTCGAGGCAAGCACAGTGGAAGACATGTTGACATAGGATGGTCAAGAGACCGGTGGTCTCGTCCATACGCTCGAGACACACTGGACATGTGGGAAGCTCGACTAGAGAAGGAGTCGGTGGGGCATGTGGCTTGGCCGAGAGCGTAGTAGATGTCTTTGTAAAGGGATCCTGGGTGTTTTGAGGGAAGGCAGAGGGGTCAGAGATATCAGAGTCTGGCGTCAAGAACTCGACCGACTTGATAAAGACAACATGACAATTTTCAGGCTATTTGGTATCAGTATACGGCTTGCAATTTTTGGTGTCAAAATATCTCACCTCCATAGCACTGAAGAGCTTGCCATTCCACAGCTTCTGCCACTCTCTGGCCTTCTTTGCTTGACGGAACTTCATGAGGACCATGTACTTGTTGGCACGACCAGTTCTAATGAGTCTGAAGTGACTAACGTCTTCTCTTGCTTGGTCTCCGACAAAGCCCAGCAGATCTGAGGGCATCATCCATGACGGTACGGCGAGTATGCACAGAGTGTTGCATTGTTGAGGGTCGAAGTCGACGTCCTCCTTCGCCAGGCTGTGTTCCAAAGCTGCCGTCTCTTGGGAGTCTCTATACAGGTGTACGACACCCCAGCCTACATCTGTGGCTTTGGGAGCCGAGGGGACGTAGACGGCTTTGGTGTGTAGACCGCTCGACGGAGTCTTGTTTGCTTCCATATCGATGCTCTCCACAGTGACAGGCCCGTAGCGCCAGTCTCTTGTAGCAGCTTCGCTCGAAGCTTTGTGCGGTGGGATCGTGGGCGAAGCAGGCTCTTTCAACGCGAGGTTTCTCTCAGGTAAAAGGAGGGCATTGCCGTGAGCTGAAGGTGGTCGGCTCTTGGCTGCGGCGCTATCGTCCAGCGAAGTTCGTGGCGAGTGTTTGTGTCGGAGGTCGTGGGTGATGTTCTTGGACGTTCGATGGGCGGGAAAGGCGGATTTGAATATATCGGTGGTCGAGTCTGGAAGGAAGATGTTGTTGGTCGTCGTTGGTTGCGAAGCTCCAGATGACCGTGCCGAAGGATACAGCTCTAGCTTGAGATGGAAGAAGTAGGCCGCCATCATTCACCACAACGACGTGTCTGTCTCGGGTCTGTGTCGCGCCACATTACTGCTGATTATCTGATGGATGAGAAACACGTCCTGTCTCGTCGAAACTCTGGGAATGCCACTTCTATCACGTGCCATGCATGAGTCATGCGGCTCTGTATCAACAGCCCTAGGCCCCTTGTCGCTATTATTCCAGCCTCATCAAGCATTAAATATGGTATTGTAAGCACTGAAACTGCTTGAAGTTTCAAAGAGAGCACAAAGATTAGGCACAGCCGAGCTTCGTTTCGCGTGCTCGCATTAGAGATTTTAGTGATTCTCAATAACATCTTGCACTGCGAGGAGCCAGGATCATGGAAGTGGAGGTAACGTGAGCAAATGATTCACGGTGAACAAGATTGATAGTTGAAGAGGAATATCAGAGCATCAAGTGCTCTTTGGAGAATTGGTTTGTTAACCTACACCGCTGAGCTCGGCATCATAGAAGAGGTAAATAAGAAAAGCATAGTAACTCCATAGGACCATGACCGATCCGACCCGTCATCAAAAGACATCAAAGGAAGCACAGCTCATTGCTTGCTCTACTGACCGCCACGAAGTCTGAGCACCAAGTGGAGGGTTGACTCCTTCTGGATGTTGTAGTCAGAGAGCGTACGACCGTCCTCCAACTGCTTTCCGGCGAAGATCAGGCGCTGTTGGTCCGGGGGAATACCCTCCTTGTCCTGGATCTTCGACTTGACGTTGTCGATAGTGTCTGATGATTCCACTTCCAATGTGATGGTCTTTCCAGTAAGAGTCTTGACGAAGATCTGCATACCACCACGGAGACGGAGGACGAGGTGGAGAGTGGATTCCTTCTGGATGTTGTAGTCGGAGAGAGTACGGCCATCCTCAAGCTGCTTGCCAGCGAAGATCAGGCGCTGCTGGTCTGGGGGAATGCCCTCCTTGTCCTGGATCTTCGACTTGACATTGTCGATGGTGTCGGACGACTCGACCTCAAGAGTGATGGTCTTGCCGGTGAGGGTCTTGACGAAGATCTGCATACCACCGCGAAGACGGAGGACGAGATGGAGAGTCGACTCCTTCTGGATGTTGTAGTCGCTAAGGGTGCGACCGTCCTCGAGCTGCTTGCCAGCAAAGATGAGGCGCTGCTGATCCGGAGGAATGCCTTCCTTGTCTTGGATCTTGCTCTTGACGTTGTCAATGGTGTCGGATGACTCGACCTCAAGGGTGATGGTCTTGCCGGTGACTGATGATGATGTTAGTGACTGGTTGTGCGCAGTGGCGGTGAAGCGGGGTCGAGCGGTACTTACGGGTCTTGACGAAGATCTGCATCTTGAATGAAGTGCTTCGTGTGTGTGTGATGTGGATGTAGTTGTGTAAGTTGATGAGCCTTGATGGGAGAAAGGCGACTTGATGGAGAAAGGTTGTTGTTGGAGGGAAGGTCGAGGTGGAAGGAGAGAGAGCTTAAGTAGTGGAAGGCGCGGCGTCAGGTCAACGTGTGAGAGCGGGAGTGAGTGTGGCTGATTGGATGACGCTCAGAGCGGCGGTGTTGTCGCAACCAGTAAGGCAGCAACGGAATGAGCCAGAACCTTCCCAACGTGGCAACGAGTTAATGTCTCTTCACCGAGTTTCCCGAATTATTCTCTTGTTTTATTTCGCCTCCTTTTCATTTGTTAAGCAAGCCTTTCTGTCTTGTTCTTTTACTTGTCTCGCAAGGGTGGCGAGACATCCCTCACCCCGACTTTGCCCACTTGGGTACATCGTTATCGGCGCTTACCTCCGAAAGGTATCGCGGGGAAGCCACATCCGTGACTTCATTGCCTTCCTCAAATCAACTCACGCCAAGACGTTTCTGTAGTTACTATCGCATGTTAGTACTCAGAGAGTTCGCAATGAACGCAGTTGTGGCAGAAACGGCAGTCTGTAAAGGCTGTATGCAGACTATTTATGTCTGAGATAAGCGATGGAATTGTTGCTGAGGCACAATGAATGTTTGCCTGCGCTGACTCGCTGTCTGTTTCGCTCTTATCATTAACTTGGCCATTGCTTCTCTCATTTCAGGCTTCCTGACCTCATGCCCGATCGATGTTCGTTTCCTCGTAAAGCATAGTGCTGTAGTTCCAACAGCGATTCATGTTCGCTGCTTTTCCAATTCTCAAGTCGCAGTCAACGGCTTTCTGCCCCAGACGACCGGCATCGGGTAGTAGGCGTGTATACCTCTGTTTTTGACATCAGATGACACTTTGGCGACAAACACGTCAACTTCTTCCTTTCTCCATCCCAGTCCTCGGGTCATCAGTGCCAGACAGAAACCCTCGAGGCCGTCCAAGATGTTGATCATGTTCCAGTTGCCCAGCTCTTTCATGTACTTGTCTTTTGGCCATGGATTTGAAGGCCACATGAAGTGTTGCTCCTGGATATCCACAAAGCCAGCAGCTTCCATCCACTCTCGGTATCTTTCCGATACTTCAGTGCCCATGGGACGACCAAGCTTGCGGGCAGCTTCGCACATCAGAATACCCCATTTTTCGAGGGATGTGCCGTCTAATGTGTCATCGACACTTCTGCAGGGTAGTCCGTAGTCTTGAAACTCAAGATAGCCACCAGGCTCCAGATTTCTGTGGTTTGCTGTCAGGAAATGCAGTAACAACATTGCATTGGGGTGCCACTCACTCAAAAGCTTGCTGGATCAGCTTTTCGGGGTCAGCGAAACATCCGGCCATCAATCTACAATGGACGTAGTCAAATCTGTGGTCATACACCCAGAGCTCTTCTGCATCATCAATGATGTACTTCAAGTTAGGCGGAACGCTGGAGGGAGGTCAGCAAGCTCTCAGCATACAAAACGAGTAGGCTGCTTACAAGGAGGGTTGTCCCGGGCTAAGATCGATACCGGTCACCTCGCAATTGGGGTATTGATCCGCTGCTGTTGTCAGAGGGGATTTGCTGTGACAGTATTCAAATTTTGCTTACCAAAATCCATGGCCCAGATTCCAGTTCCGGTTCCAATGTCAAGGGCGTGCTTGGGGTTCACTAGAGGTGCCAGATGCAGTCTTCTATACGTCAAATTGCACATATGATGTTGTAGGTCTATGCATATTGTTTAGCTTTTGTCTGGTCTTGAAAACAGGTCAGGTAACATCATACCCAATCGATCTTGTTCGCGCTGCATACCGTCAATGAACAATTCAAAAGCAGGAACAAGCGGGCAAGTCTCACCTCATCATTTGGGAAAACATATTGGCCATCCTTGTAAGCTGATATGGGTCAGAACGTGGTGAACGTGAGTTGACTGAGGGACTGTTGCTTACCATGATATGTGCGACCATGTTCTTGTCGATAGCTGTATATTGACTCGCTCAGCGAAGTGGTTGTGCTTTGACTGTTTTAAACATTAGGTTCACGACTTCGAGATCAGTTCCAAGTGGCTCATACGTGTCGTCGCCCAAAGCAGAATCATTATCGCTCCAGGACTAAGAATCGGAGCATATCAGCAGCTATTCACATGCGCATGAACCCATCTCGAATACAACTCACGTCGGCCTCAAGGGTCTGTTCTCGGGCGTGATTGAGGCTAACACTCTCGCTCTCTCCACGATTGTCGTCGGCCATGATTGAATACTGTCTCGATACACGAACCCCGCGTGTGGTTTTGAAACCCTTGCAGGATAACCACTGCAGGCGCTACTATTCTAGTCGCCCAAGATACGCGGCAAAAGGCGTTTGGGTCTATTGACTTTGGCGTGGATCCAAATGCGACGATGGTTCGAAAAGAAGTTTCCCACACCGTTGGCGACCGGGCTCAAATATCAAGGGAAAAGAAGAATGGGAGAAAACAAAACTGCCGACGCTATCGCAATTGTTTGATCCTCGACTACCAAGGCTCACAATTGACACGACCGGCCCCTGACTCGTCAGGAATCCGTGGAGTGCGGGAGCTTTGTTCGGCCGGCGTGCGCCTTTTGAGACGTCCGTTTCGCGCCGTGCCGTCAACGAAATCTGTCGAGCTTGGACTTTCAATCCACTACCAGTGCACCACAGAGCAGGAACCGACCCTTGACTTATCTTCGTATGTGGAGCCCTATAGGACGACGGGTCACGGCTCCCTCCATCCCTTCCTTCGCCGATCCCTCTTCGCGTGGTCTGCCACACCTGCACTAAGCCGTTGAGCTTGACACAAGTCTCGTGGTCTTTGTGCAAGCGAGAGTCAAAAATCTCACATTCCTCAGCTCGCAAAGCTAAATCGCCTGGCCTGGCTACAAGCCAGACATGGGGTGGATTACTACTACTTTCTCAGAGCCGAACGAACACTCAGACCAAGGATGATACCGAGCGCAAAGTGTTTCTTGTAAGGCGTATGCTTCTCAGGACTGACGACAGCTACTCGTACTACGACCACATATGGAAATGCACGAAAACATTGCGGATTCATCGATTGTCCAGCGAGGGACCTAGATGCCTAGGCTTTCAGTGAATACTGTTCGGGTCACCAAAGAACCTCGTGCCTTTTCATAGCTTATTCTTGTTACAGCATCTGGTGCTCAGGAAGTAGCAATCGCTCTATAAGAAAAACCTATGCGCTTGGTATCACTTTGACAGGATGATGATCTTCCGCTTGCGCTACTAGAGCATGCATTGGTGTATGCACTTGTAGCGCCACGGCAGCTGATGGTCGGCTCGTCGCGGGCGTCGCTTCGCGTGTCATAAAGTGCCCTCTCAGAATATCCAAGCCACCAAAGGTCATCTAAAGAAGTCTAGCAGCAAAACCTGAAATCCAATACTCGGCTGGCGAAAGGAGTCGTTCCGAGGTCTTTGTTCCTAGTTATAAAACTAACTGACATCAGGCATAGTGATGTACTTCCCACTTCCCTTCTCGCCGAGATGCTTCAATTCCTTTGACCCTCCGACCGCTTTTTGTTTCCACCTTTTTGCCTACCCTTGTACGCCTCCTGCTCGATCTACGCACTTGCACATTAGACCAAATCCTGCGACTCTAGGGGAGCGTCATTGCTTTGTGCTCTCACTGGCCGAGAGAAATCCCAGCACGGCGGATCCCTAACACGCAGTAGTTGGACTCACTTTCGTCTGCACCACCAGACATCCGGGCCACCTGCAGTAGGCCTGAACAGACATATCGGCACTCGTTTGTGAAACGGGCACTGCCCCGCCTGTGTGTCTACTGATCATGTTGCCTATCGCATTAATTGTAGGATTGGGTCTCTTGTTCCTCTACGTCGTTCGTACCCTCCAACAGTATTGGGCTCTGAATGAATTCAAGGGACCATGGGTAGCGGGCTTCTCGAGGCTATGGCTTCTAAGAGCTAATGGCTCTGGCAAGATGAATTTGGCATTCACAGAGGTCAACGATAAATATGGTTAGTAGGCATCATGTTGCCAATCGTTTTTCTTCTTATACTTTGTCGTCAATTCTAAGCCCAAGAAGCTTTAAGCCCAAGAAGAAAAATAGCAATACTGTTGTGTCTTCCGAAGGACTGCGTGTCGTTCTGCCCGACCAATGATATGAGCGCCTAGCCGTCTTGTGTTCATTACTTGTGCCATCAACATGCTGACTGTCGGACAGGGCCGACTGCCCGGGTGTCACCTAACATGCTTATTACCACCGACCCCGAGCTATATAAACGCATGCACGCTGTGCGCAGTCCCTTCGTTCGAAGCGAATGGTACACAGCATTACGACTGCATCCTACCCGGGATAACATCACCTCCGTAATCGATGAAGGAGTTCACGCTGATCTGCGTAATCGCATGTCCACTGGCTACTCTGGCAAAGAAAACCTGCACATGGAAGATGATGTAGACTATCGCCTCCTCCAGCTCTTCGACCTCATTGACTCAAAATACGTTTCGACCGAGAAGGAGTACCGCCCTGTCGACATTTCACGACTTTATTCCTACTTCACCCTCGATGTAATCTCCAGTATTGCCTTTGGCCAGGAGTTTGGCTTCCTCAAGCACGACGATGACCCCTTCGGCTACATTGACAATCTCCAGGAGTTTCTTCCCGCCATCATTGTATTTGGTGCTTACCCAGAGCTCCAGAAGATTCTGCGTCTTCCTCTACTCAAACATGTCATGCCCAAATCAACAGACAAACGCGGACTGGGCCGTGTAATGGGCTTCGCCAAAGAGCGCGTAGACGAGCGATTTGGTGAAAAGGCTATCGTTAGACACGACATGCTAGGCTCATTCATCAAGCGCGGACTTACACAAGAACAACTGGAATCAGAGACTTTGACGCAGATCACTGCTGGAAGTGATAGTACAGCAAGTGCCATTCGCATGACACTGCATTTTATCTCTACTACACCACATGTCCATTCGCGCTTGGTGGCAGAATTCAAGACTGCCTTGGCTGCTGGCAAAGTTTCTAGACCTGTCATTCGCGATGCTGAAGCTAGAGCTTTGCCATATTTGCAGGCTTGTATCAAGGAGGGCCTGCGCATGTACCCGCCTGTCACCGGATTACTTGCCAAAGCCGTGCCTCCAGAAGGTGCAACCATTGACGGTAAATTCGTCAAGGGAGGTACGCAGATTGCCTGGAACTCCTGGGGTATGCAACGCGACAAGGAGATCTATGGTGTAGATCCTGAAATCTTCAGACCTGAGCGTTGGTTGTTGCGCGATGCGTCTGAGGCCGAGAAGAAGCGTGTCGACAAAATGACTGAGACGGTTTCTTTGGTCTTCGGCTATGGTCGATTTGGATGCCTTGGTAGGGGAGTTGCGACCATGGAGCTGAACAAGGGCATCATCGAGGTAAGCTGTTTCTAGATTTTCAGCTCACTTGTGCCGTATTAACTTATGCCCATAGTCACTTGTTCGCTACGAACTCCAGCCCGCCAGCCTTTCCAAGCCGTTCGTCGAGCGCTGCGTAGGCTTCTTCTTACATACCGAGATGTTGTTCCGCCTAACGCGTCGTCCTGATGCCGATTCGGCCGAAGCTAATGGGGTTCATGCCAGTTATGGCGATGTAGCTGCTCTGCCTGGCGCTCCTGACTCATGAGGAAGGGACCATTCTTGTACATAAGTATTCTTTGTTCCCTGGATGATTTGTAGATATATTGATCCGTTCGTTTCGGAAGGTGGGGAGGGAGATACACATGAGTGCTTAGTGGATTGCCGATTGAAGTTCTTGGTAGATTCACAATACTAATATTTGCAATCGATACCCATATGCATTGTTTATTTTCCGTGTAGTGAGTTCCTGATACACGCGATACTTTACGCACGCTTCTTTCAGATGCGTTTGCGCCTGTGTTCGGTTGAAATGAGGACGTCTTGCACCAACTCATCCCTAGTTACTGGTCTTTCCAGCAGCGAGCTTGCGCTTCTCATCAGGCGAAAAAGCAGTCGCAGTCTGTCGAGGGGAGGGGAATGATGCCGTAGATAGAGGAAGACCCACCTCGCTAGTGGTGTCTACGTTGATCTGAAATCAAAGAAGAGTCAGAAGACGGTACTTACAGCGCTCTCATAAGCAGGCGTCAGTACCTCATAAGAACACCGATCAAGTCAACGTACACCCAAGCTTCGTCTAGGTTGTCATTGGTAACAGTATATACAGATCTGACTTTCCTAGCTAATACTTAGGCGACAGCCTTGTATAGCGGCTGTACAGAGCAAGCATGCATGAACATCGGACACCAGCGACTATCCACTGCATCGAGTCTGCTCCACTCGAATAACGCCCAACCTAGAAGGACTAGACACATCACGAGTCCCAGCACCAGCGTCTCTCCGCTCCTGCCAGCCATGCCTCCTCTCCTCTTGCCCGGCACAACGAAGTTAGCCTCAATAACGGTCTTGACGAGATCCACTCTCGGTCCCTCTACAAAGTCCATGACGACAACACCGAAGCGCTGCGGCTCGTCTGCATCTCCCAGCCTCTGCTTCAGGAAATTGCAAAGGCGAAGATTAATTCCCTCTACCCATCTAAATACTGAATATCCACCGATAGCGATATCCTTGGGTGGAATCTGATGATAGATGTTGAACTCGAAAGCCGACGAAAAGTTGATGTACCAATGCCAGGGCTCTGTGTCTCGGGAAGCGCGCATGAGCATTGAAGCCACATCACCTCCTTTCTTCGCCACCAGGCTGGGTAAATTTTCCGGTGTACTGAAAGAGTAGTGGTCTTGGATAGTAAGATGCACACCCACACGTGTGCGGATCGTGAAGGGTAAAGGTGGATTGTCTTGCCATCTGCTAACGTCGATACCGGATGTGTACTGCTGATGTTGAAAGGTCTGGAAGCGGCGAAGTAGTTGAATCCGACCTCGCAGTTCGCCCAGAGTTGGTGTGGTGGTCTCCAGACGCCAGTACTTCATGTTTGCGTGCAGAAGATTCAAGACGAGCTCTGAGAAGGGCTTCGTTGAAGATTCGTCTTTGCGATCTTGTTTCAATTGTATGATGATGGCTTCTTTGGGGTGCTTAGCAAGAAAAGCGTACATTGAGGTGAGCAGGTCAGAGAACTTGAGGCCAAGAACTGCTCTGCCGTGAACCATCTGGACTTCATCCTTAATGATGCCGCAGCGGAGGTCGAAGTAACGGATGCCAGCGTCAAGTTGTTGAGCATTAGTAAGGGTTTGTGTCGATACGAAGGGCCAGGTACTCATGAAAGCGGCACTGTCATGAGTTCCAGGAATGGACATACCCGATATTGGGATGTTGTCCGGGAGAAAGCACATCCAATCTGCCAGGTGGGGAAGCGGAGCTGTAGGTGCTGCTGTACGAGGTTGAGGTGCAATGTATAATTCACCTTTCTCGGCCATACTGCCGTAGTTCCTTGAGCTATCCATGATTCAAGATCACGGCTCTCGGGTACTGAATTTGGGAAACTTTTGGTACAAGATGCTCAACTTCCGTTGCTCCCAGTGGCGGCCTACACAGAGCCTAGAGGATTGGTGCGGTGGAAATTCGAGATGAGTGGTGGATGTCAACCACAATCGATGTCCGGAAGTGTTTTGCTGATCAGATGCATGTATTCTCGGGTCAATCGCTTTGCCTGTTGAGTCCGATATGTTTTGTCGTTATCTTTAAGCATGATTCAGCGACGCATGGCTGATGGACGATGGGTAGATACCGCGTCGAGGTGTGCTGGATGTGTGTTGGGTGTGTGGAATTGGAAGATTTCCTTGAATGGTCACGATTGAACACAGATTCGATGAATTGAATTTCGTGCTCCCGACTTGTTGAGTAGTACGAGTAAAAGGTGAGGTTGTGCTCCTGCCGAGGTGATCATGACATGTTGACCTCCAGCCGCGCTATCTCCGGGTGGCGCACGCTAGTGTCTGCGGAGTCGCAGGTTGCGACCCTGTCCTAAGCAAGTGTTGAAGCAACACGCGACTCCAGCAAAAATTCACACTTTTCCAAGCGCCTTCGCCCTTGCCATCGCTCCGCTGTTTTCTGGAGACGTTGTGTGACTCTAGAGATGCATGATGTTCTCTGCTTTAGTAGAGTCGTCTACCACAGAGAAGACCCTGATACTCAACACGCTCTCACTGGACACGGCTCTAGTTTGAAGAACCATCGTGTCTTCCGACCGCTATGCGCATAACACCATTTGGTTCATGGGACAAAAGAGGTAAGTAGCTGCTGGGCGTTATGTGAAGTATACAGTGGCTCCGTCAAATACGCAAATTAGAGCTACCATGATACATGAATGGTTCGGCGTCCAACTCGTTTCAACTATGGGCCGATCACGGTCAAGGAAGACCTCAAAATTGCGGTCCCCCAACATTGCTTCGAAACCCAGTAACACCACAACAAAATCCTCTTAAATGTCTCTTACTGGTCTACCGAGCGATATACTGGTCCAAGTCATCAATACCATCTCACCGGACGATATCGTAGCCTTCTCATCCATCAACCGCCGATTTTACTCTCTTTCTACAAAGAGACTGGCCGAACACAGGGCACTTCAGGAACAGTACAGCAAAGTGGTGTTCGATGATGTCTTTGATGTTGAGAGCAGTATCTCTCATCCCATAAAACTACTATATGACATTTGGAAAAATCCTAGGGTCGCCTCCTACGTTAGACACATCATTTTCATATGCAGCGACAACTATGCTACTCAGGACTTCAGTTTTGAGCCATCCAATGTTGATCGGTCGACATGGGACATTATCGAGCGACTCGGTGGCTGCAAGGATTTACTACAAACCACCCTCTACTTCAGGCAGCATGCGGACGACCTCGAAAAGTGCCGTACTGACATACAGTCTGGAAAACAGACTGCTGCTTTGACCCTGCTCCTAGTTTTGCTTCCTAACCTCCAACGACTACGCTATACACGAGCTCAAGAAACAGATGTGGCACTGCTTTCTTCCATATTCACATCATCGGTAGCATCTGGCGTCAATCCTGAAGTTCTCTCAAAGCTACACACCGTGGAAACATACCATCTAGATTCAGAAGGGATGACTTGGATCAACATGCTTCTGTTGTTCGCTGAATTGCCCTCGGTAAGAACCCTCAAAGGGGCTCATACCGGCTGGTCAGAAGACATCGACTCGATTCCTGGATGGAAAGGCCATATTTCTCATCTGCAAAAACTCGAACTTAGCGCAGGAACGATCGAACCGGAAGACATGGAATCGATGCTGCTACCCCTACAAGGCTTGACCGACTTTCGCTACCATCATGCATGTTGTGGCAACACTTTCGAAGCCCAAATCTTCGTGGATGTCTTGGCTACCACTATGGGTGACCAGCTTGAAGTGCTGTCTCTGACAAACGACGAGGAAGACTCAGACATGACCACTCGTATTGCTTCGTTCAAAGCTTTCAAGGTATTTCAACACGCAGCTTATTAGGCGACGGTTCCAGCTAACATGTGGGTCCAGCGCCTGAAGCGACTTGAAGTCTGTATTCAAGCGCTCATAGACAACGCAATGGATGATACTATGGCGCCTCGACTTCTCGATCTGCTCCCTGTAACGATAGAGTCCGTCGCTTTACTTCCGAATCGATGCGAACGACTACCTCTATGCCAAGACCTTCAAGTACAGCTTTTGTTACGCGATATTATTAGCGATAAGCAAAAGTGCGTCCCGAATCTCTCGACACTTGTTCTTTACAATGTGCCGGATGCTCAGTATGTTGCAACACTCCGAGATGTGGGTATTGTGGTGGAAAGAATGGATACAGGGAGTCTTCCACAGCATGCAAAGTTTTGGTATGACGATCCACCTATCGGCGATATGCCATCTATCTAAGCATCCGAGAGGACAAGCTACCCAGGTATCGAGGTATGTCTACTCAAACTCCCTCATCCAAGCTCTTCTTTCGCCACCGATCTCCTTGCTGACTCTTGTTAGCCCCCACTGTAAGCTAACCTTTATATTTTATAGAATTCAAGTCCCTTATAATAGTCCAGCCGTGGTAGTGTAGTGGTTAACACACCCGAGGTCTTAACACGTGCGCAGTCATTCGTTGTTACTCAACGCCGTGTCAGTCTAGATCCGAGGAGGTCGCGGGTTCGATTCCTGCTCATGGTGCTATCTCTTTTTAGTTCTTCTCAAGCCAAATCGACTGTCCATCTGTCTTCTGTCGATTCTTTTTGCACATTCATGATTCCCTGACTAGTAGACTTCTAAGTTTGTTTGCAAAATATCCATCATGGAGTGTTTATGATATACGTTTTTCCTGTCCGTGTCAGTCAAGTGGTAGTGGCACGACAGACCAGAACAGAGTCTTATGCTCGAATGCACCTACTGCCTAAAATTCTGTTCTCGTGCTTGGAAGAGCATATTTCAAGGAGCAAGACAAGACAGGGTCACCCAGGACTGCGAAAGTGAGAGTGTGGGGTAGCTCTTTCACATGCATGCGCGTCACAGGCCAGGGCCGACCTCATTATTTTATCTCCATCGCGTCTTCCTTCACCAAGTACACCCTCCTACGCGATTTAGTACGGCCGTTCCGCGTTTTTCGACTTTGATAGCGCACCTTCACTCACTGTGTCTGTAATGGACCATTATGTCTTCATGGAACCTTCATATCCTTGATTCCGATGGCAAACACATCGGCAGTCACCATCAAGCAATCACATCACTGACACGGCATTCGGTCTTCATTAAGGGAAAGACACAGCAGCCTAGCACATGGCGATTCACTGACTATCACGACGAAACCCAAGCTAAAAGTGATTGGGTCGTCCTGTTCGGTAAGTCCACGGCTGTTCCTCGCCACAGTCGGCTGTATCACGCTTCACCTTTCACGTCAGCTAACTCGGTGACAGAGTTCGAGGGTGGCGGTATCAAGCTTAGCACAGACATACCTGACACTTTCATCAAGTCTGCATTGCCGGCTCACCCGCTGGTTTCTCGCATCCGACTACCGTGCACGATTGACAAAACCAACCACTTTGCTATACTGCGCCATGACGATTGCTTGGAATTCGACAACCTGGCAGCTAGTGTGAAGATTGATTTCGAGTCGAATACAACCAATCTGGACGTTCAAGTCGAGTCATCCGGACCTGGGGCCGCCACTCACAGAATCAAACGCGAGAAGGTCAAGGAAGAAGTGGATTCTGACGAAGACGAAGAGACCGATGAAGAAAGTTTCCAGCCGCCTGCAGATGTGCGTCGTGGCACGTCAGCTGAGGAGTCTCAGCACCTCTTTTCTACCAGCAGAGAGAATCTGAGTCCGACACCGCGTCCCACCACGAGAGAATCGCAAATTGTACAGGATACGCCCAATCAACGTAGATTTCGATCCCAACATGAATCTACCATCCCCGAGAGTCTTCCAATGGACCAACTACAGCCTGAGCAGCCAGAGCCCGCATTCGCCCCAACCGCCGTCGAAAGCACCTTCGCCGCCTTGCCTGACATCCATACCGGCGAGCTTCCGAACACATCCCCATCAGATATGCTTGCCTTCCAACTGCCTAAGGAGCCGACTCCATCTCTCTTCGATCAAGCCAGCATCACTGTCGAGGAAGTTGGCACGCTCCTCACAAACCTGAACGAGGACAACCCTGCGTCTCAAGCCCCAATGACGATTGACTCCCCGAAGAGAGCGCCTAAATCAATTCTGGTTTCAAGACAGCTTCACGAGGATTCATCTACCGAAGATCCGGTGGAAGCAACAGATTCGCCAGATTCGCCGGACCTGCAAGACGCACCCGCAAGCGTAGATTCAGCCATCATAGAGCCCGAGCACTCCCCGTCACCCGTCGATATCATCAATGGTGAGATTGAAAACGATCACGCAACGACTGGCTCAGATGGCGACCTCGCTGCCACCGTGGAACCAAGCCCAGTCTTGCCAAAGACCAAGCACAGAACTCCTGTCGCTGCTGTGAAAAAGAGGAAGGTCACAGACTCTAGCGGTCCCGCCGCCTCAGCCAAACGTGCAAAGTTTACTGAAGATGAAACATCGACCACCAGTACTACCCCTCTGAGTACAGCCTCAAGGCGCAGTTCCGGTAAGACGAAGGGTCTCCAAACTCCATCCGGCTCGGCACCCACGCGCGGCTCATCACGAAGAAAGAGTGTTGATGACGAAGTGCCTCCGGGCTCTATCTCCCGACGCGTTTCGAATAGACATAGGAGCGTAGAGAGTGAAAGTGCTACGTCAGGCTCACCAGCGTTGACCGGACGTGAATATACTGGCCCTCCACCCGTCATCATCTACTCGAACACCAAGGTCTACGAAAGAGCTATGTTAATGAAGTTCATGAAGAGTCACGGTGCCACTCGGACCGAAGACAGCAAGAGCGCAAACTTCTTGTGCGTAGGTGGCGGAGAACTTTTGAAGACACCGAAACTACTTCACAGCTTGACGTTGGGCAAGACGATCGTCACCGACGACTGGGTATCGCAATCAGTCACCGCGGGACGTCTCTTAGACACAGACGAGTTCCTGCCCGAGGAACTCAAGGCCACCAAACACATGGATCGCACAGGCATTTTCACCGACCAAGTGATATATGTCTCTCCGACGCAACGAATCGCGTACAAGAAGGGCTGGGATGATGTGATGGCTATTGTCAGACAGGCTGGTGGGACGGACCCTCAAACCGGACCCCTCGCAAAACTCGACAACATGGATAGGATTACTCTGTACATAGGTGCTGACAAAGACGATGATGTCGTTGCAGAACTACAGGATATGGGAGAGACAGTGTACAAAAAGGACATACTTGGTGCAAGCATTGTCGCAGGAGAATTGCAACTCGACGAGTCATTGGAGCTTCCCGCTGTGGAGTTGACGGTGAAGGAAGAATCAAAGACGACAAAGGCAACACCGAAGTCTGCGAAGAAGGCAGGACGTAAGAAGAAAGCTTAGACGAAGTGGTCATCATGTACAGGTTCAGAACAAGGCATTCGGGTATACAAGGCATGGAAGGTTTAGCGTATGCGCATTGCTAGATATCGGGTGAGCACAAAGCATTCATCGCCCCCGCATCCGTTCTCTCACCTCTAGACTTCCTTCATCGAATCGTAAGTGTGCGAGAAATGGCGGGTTCTTCTCGATGTTCGATTTTTGATAGACGAACTAATCATATGGCTTGATGACCCCCAGCACTCACCACAGTCCATCGAGTCAAGCGATGGCCGGATTTGCGTTGGTGTTCATTGCATGTGCATTGAGAAAGCAACATCCCCTGATCACTCTTTTGGCTTGTGCGATCATCGAAAAGAGAGAGATTAGAACACCCATGCAATACCGCTATGCTATGCTATGCCATTTAACATCCCTTAGAGGACGAAACCATCTGCTCGATATCACCATCTCCTCAATCTAAAACCCAACTTTTCCAGCAAACTTCGATCTCGTTTCCTCGACGACATCAAACGGCAGCACAAAAACAGGATGGACGGGCTCAACCATATCTTGCAAGTCAAAACACCACTGTTTCCTCTGTTGTTCCGTCGGCCTCTGGAAAGACCAGTTGAATGCCGCTTTCAATGCTTCTCCTTGAGTGATATCCTCTTCTGCATCTTCCTCCACTTGAGGCTTGTCGTAGGTATAAATGTATTGTGCCGCTGATAGACCGGCGAGTGAGTAATTGGTGTGATAGCCATCAGGACGTGTGGAAGGTTTATCTCTGAGTCCTCCCTTTTTGGCTTGTGAGCAGGTCAAAGTGTAGCGGACCAGACCTTCGCGATCCCAGAGGTATGAAGATGGAGGCAGGGAGAGGGCGGATTCGAGGAGGGACCAACAGCCGCCGACCCAGTGGCTGTAACATGCATCGACGAGTTTGTTTGTGCGGCCGCTGAATCCGCCTTCGGGGCACGCTTGACGGGAGACGAGCCAGTGCGTCAAAGTCTTTGTGTTGAGGTAGGTGGGGATGGCGATTGCTGGGTCGTCGAGGAGGCAGAGGCATGCTAGGACGCAAAAGGCGTACGCGCCGTGGGCTTCGTTGTCGGGAGCACCTCCGAGGCCACCTTCGAAGGTTTGGCATTTGCTGATCCAGGCGCCGAGGCCGGAGGTAAAGGTTTCGTGGCCGGCGGCGCGGGCGGGAGAGGATGGAGGGAGGGCGAGGGGCAGGTGGAGGAGTGTGTGGATGGTCATACAGCAGTATGCGCCACGGACGTCTTGTTCGCCGTTGACGGCCATGTTGAAACCGCCAGAGGGGTTCTTGACTTGGCCTAGCCAGTGCCACCTGTTTCATTTCTGTCAGTGATGCTCTCAACTATCAAAGAGGGAAGGCAAGGAAAGGGAACACTCACATAGATCTTCGGTCGATCATGTCCAAACCATCGACGAGAGCCAGACTTAAGGTAGCAGCATAACTAGCAGCCGCATGAGAAAGATGTCCATGACCACCTCCAAAACCACCTTCTGGGTTTTGTAGAGGTGTAAATGTGTCGATGCATCGTTGTCTGTATTCACTGACATCCACGCCCAAAGTGCGCAATCCATTCAGAGCCCAATATAACAACCAAGGACGACTGGCATCCATGACTTGGAACGGCGGTGGGTATTTGCCCAATATTGTGCGTAGGAAGGCGGCGTGTTTGGCCTTGAGGAGGTGAGGGAGGCCGTGTGTGTTTACGTCCAGCATGGTTTGGCCTTTTCCTGTCATCAAGTCTATGACTTCGCGCATTGTCTTCTCCTGGGCGATTGAAGTGGAAGTCTCGAGATCATCTTGCAAGGGGCCTGGTGATGCGAAGTAGAAGGGTAGGTTGGGCGGGAGTTTTGAAGCCATCCAGGCGTGTACGTTTTGGCCATCGTCGCTGTCGGAGGAGGTTTCGTAGTCTGAGTCTTCTTCTGCTTCTTGAATCTCCTCTTCTTGAGCAGAGGACAACTCCTCAATGCGAGCGTTTGAGTCGAGCAGTTCGGTCAGGCGGTCTGTGGCCGTCGTAGGCTGGGTGGACGGTGTGGAAGTTGACATGTCGGCGGTGTTCGAAGTTAACTGATTGGTGTTACGAACAGGAAATCGGATATTGCGCTTGAAGGGCATGTGTCGTTTCGTCGGGACACTTTTTCTTTATCGAGGGCTTAGTATTGTTGTCCGAGGCATGCGTTGGTGACAGGGAGTCGTATAGAAGCGTCTGTATGCGTCTGGGGTATTCTGAGTGCGATAGACAATGCTTGAAACTGAGGAAACAATGCGAAAGAAATGCTGCCACGCTCGCTCCAATGCAAAAAGGATAGATTCTCTGTCTGAATATCTTTTGGATTTGTGACGTCCTTGGTCATTCGAGATGCATCAAAGCTTGGACCATATACATATGTCCGTCCAAACTCCGCTTTGCTATGCTTCACCATCCTTCCGCTTGCTGGACACGAACTGCCCTGTCTTTGTTCTTTCATGTTTGAATAATCATCTTCCAAAGTTTCCTTTCTCAAGAGGATGTACCAACAGCATTGTCGAAACACACCATCAATGGCGGGGGCTCGACCTTGCCCTTTGCTACTGCCTTCAACGCCGCATGAGCCTCGCACTCGTTGTCGTAATACTTCATGTCATCAAGACTCGAGAACGTCGTTTGCGCGGCCAGAGTGTAGCCCTGGCTTCTTGCATCGTTGACTGCCGGTCCAGCTACGCATCGGAGAATGTATGGTTTGCCGTCCTGGGTAGAGAAGTCAATATCACTGCCATGAGCAAGCTTGTAACATGGATGAAAGCATACCTTCTTTGCGTCTTGAGCCATTGTTGAGTACTTGTCTAAAATAGGTTGAATGTTGCTCGGGTCCGGGATCTTGAACATGGTGATGCGATGCACCTGCTTTGAAGCTTCCGAAGCCATACTGCGAATTGACTTGGCTGAGATGTGACGATAAATCGAGATCGTGTGAGAAGGAAGAGGTAGGATGCTCTCCTTGAACAGCGACATCATGGTGTTTTTAATTTCCGTGACTTGTCTTCTGTTTTACCCAATAGCCTCACCTTACACTTTCCCCTCTTCTCCGATGCCAATGCCCGAAAGTCGGCGGAATGCGTTCCGTTCTATGCTTCTCCACCATCATCGCAAGCTCGGCAGTCACAGTCTAGAAGAATACTGAAACGTCTTTGAAAAGAAGAAAGTCATAATGTATTTGCATGTCTATGGGTATCGTGTTGTCTAAACTTTTAAAGAATCAAATCACTCCTTAAACGGAGGCGCCTCCGTAAGGCAGGGGAGCAGCAGTGGTCAGGTCGATGTAACCGTACTTCTCCATCTTGCTGTCCTGGCCCATCTTCTGTGCCCACTCGCCCATGTCCTTCATGAAGTCCTGCTCGTTCTTCTCATCGCTCATATCGATGGGCTCCTGGTCCTTGGAAATCTGGCGGATCTGGGTACCGGCAACGACGTTGGTGATACCGAAGTTGTTGTCATCGGGACGCTGCTTGATGGCGCCCTTGACCTTGCCGGCAAGGATGTCCTTGCAGAGACGGGGCTCCTGGCAAAGGGGACGAGCAAGACCAACACCATCGATCGACTTGAGCGAGTTGGCCATGGCACCAACACTCTTGAAGCCACCAGTGACGTAGACCTTAGTCTTGGTCAAGGCGGGAGCGATCAAGTCCGAGAACTCCATGAAGAAGCCTTCGCGCTTCTTGGTGCTCTCGCGCTTGTGACCGAAAGCAAGGTGCTCGTAAGTACCACCCGAAAGCTCGACAAAGTCGAACTTGTTGTCCTCAAGCATCTTACACAGCTCCTTTGCTTCTTCGGGGTTGAAGCCCTTGTCCTGGAACTCGACCGAGTTCAACTTGATGCCGAGGATGAAGTTGGGGGATGTGCGCTTGCGGACTTCGTTGGCGATCTCGATGATCAAGCGGGCGCGGTTCTCGAGGCTGCCACCGTACTTGTCGGCACGCTGGTTGGTTGTGGGAGAGAGGAACTGAGCGAGGAGGTAGCCGTGAGCTCCGTGGAGCTCTGCACCGTCCCAGCCAGCCTTCTCGAGGTACTCGCAGGCGTGGGCAAAGCCCTCGATGATGCGAGCAATGTCTTGCTCGGAGGCGGGGCGGGGCTTCTCGAAGGTCATGCCCATAACGTCGCCCTTGAGCTGGACATCACTAGCAGAGATGGGGTTCTTCTGGATACGACTCTCGACTTGACGACCTAATCATACAATAAGCATTGTGTCGTGTGTGTGTGTGGCAAAGAATGATGATCACTTACCAGGGTGCGAAACCTGACCGACCATAAGCATGCCGTTCTTCTTGCCCTCAGTGGCCATGCGCTTGAAGTTCTCGAAACGCTCGCCCTCGTAGGAAGCATCCACAGGGATGATGGGGTTGCCAGCAGCCTCGAGGTGATCGTACTCGAACATGATGTTACCACTCAAGATCAGACCGATCTCACCCTCGCCCCATCTTCTGTATGCGTTGATGAGTTGGTCGGAAGGCACACCACGTGCAGGCAGGTTCTCAGGATCCCATGAAGATAGACGCTCGGTCATGGCTCCCTTGAGGAACCTGTTAGGTGCAGAGCGGTTGGCAAAGGCGAACTGCAACTTCTCGCCTAGAGGGGCAGCCGAGACGTCGTCGGATTCGTAACGAGGTGCCATGTTGAGGGTATGTGAATTGGATAGATGGAGGGATATGAGTTGGCAAAAACAGTATGAGGATTGAGAAACAAGGAAAGGGGAAAGATTTGATACTTATGGCTTGCAATTGACTAGGCAAAACGTCACACCGTGTAAAATGCCACTCGATGCTTACAAAACATGTCTCCCTCGGCCTGGTTGCCTCGGTGGCAGCCAGACCATCAACGAGTTTCGAAGAATTGATTGACCGTGCACGTCATTCGCCTTCGACCGTCTTCGAGAAGTCCCGGGGCACTCTCGGCATCTGTGGAGATAATCGACTGCTGACAAACTCCCGACCGTCACCCTGTCGAGATTCTACAGCGCTTTTTGAGCTGTTTACAAGTCGTTTGATGCGCCGCCGCTGTTGATGTAAGATGGTCAAACTCGGGTTGTGAGGCACAAACGAAACGCTCTCTGGCCACGGGCGGAGCCTCCGACACGCGCAGGTTCATGCAACTCTGTGTTCGGGAATCGGCTACCCGCTTGACGGCGTTTGTCGGAGATACTGCTCGGTCGATCTAGGAGCGAAGCAGAGAGTGCATCTTGAGATGCAACGAGATTGAGCAGACATCAATGAAACATGTCAAGATATGGTTTGGTTCCAAAATGTGTTTTGTTTTGTCCTAGACTCCTAAGAGAAGCCATATAGCAAAAGGTATTTACAAGTGTTGCATGTACAGACAACTACCGTCAAATCAATCTCGCCCATTTCATTCGAACCAAGCAATATTAGCTCCAAGCATTATCGTTATATCGTTTGATGGATGTCATTCTTGCTCTTCGTTCGATTATTCGCGCATGTTGACGACGCAGCGGATGCAGTCACCAGCCTTCATGTCCTGGAAAGCGGCGTTGATCTTGTCGAGGGGCTGTCTGTGGGTGATGAACTCATCGACCTTGAGCTTGCCGCTCAGGTAGTCGTCAACGAGATCGGGAAGTTGGGTACGGCCCTTGACACCACCGAAGGCGCATCCCTTCCAGACACGGCCAGTGACAAGTTGGAAAGCTGTGCACGATGTTAGTTAGAGACAGTGAATGTAGCTCATGAAGGACACTTACGTCTGGTGGAAATCTCCTGTCCGGCAGCAGCAACACCAATGACAATACTCTCACCCCAACCCTTGTGGCAGGCCTCAAGAGCAGATCTCATGACATGGACGTTACCAGTGCAGTCGAAGGTGTAGTCACAGCCACCGTCGGTCATCTCAATGAGCTTCTCCTGGATGGTCTGGTCCTTGAGCTCCATGGGGTTGACGAAGTCGGTAGCACCGAACTTCTCGGCCCACTCCTTCTTGCTGTTGTTGACATCGACAACGATGATCTTAGAAGAACCATTCTTGACGCAACCCTGGATAACCGAGAGACCGACACATCCGGCACCGAAGACGGCGACGTTTGAGCCCTTCTCAACACCACCCTTACCGGCAGTGATGACGGCAGCACCGTAACCGGTGGTGATACCACAGCCGAGCAGGCAGGTACGGTCCATGGGGGCCTTGTCGGTAATCTTGACAACCGAGATGTCGGCAACGACGGTGTATTGAGAGAAGGTGGAGGTTCCCATAAAGTGGAGGAGGTCCTTGCCCTTGCACTTGAAGCGCGAGGTTCCGTCGGGCATGACACCCTTACCCTGAGTGGCTCTGATCTTGCCACAGAGGTTGGTCTTGCCGGACTTGCAGAACTTGCACTCCTTGCACTCGGGGGTGCTGTAGAGATTGAATGTTAGTTTTCTTGGGTATCATACAAGCGGCATTGATCGGACTTACTAGAGAGCAACGACATTGTCGCCGGGCTTCACGTTGGTGACGCCCTCGCCGACAGACTCGACGATACCGGCACCCTCGTGTCCAAGGACAATGGGGAAGGCACCTTCAGGGTCCTTGCCCGAGAGGGTGTAGGCATCTGTGTGGCAGACACCGGTGTAGTAGATCTGGATTCTGACCTCGCCAGCCTTGGGGGCCTCGACCTCAATGTCCTCAATAGAGAGGTCCTTGCCGGCCTCCCAGGCGACGGCAGCCTTACAGGTGATGGTCTTTCCAACGGTATCGGCAGACATTGTAGCGTATGATTGTTTGCTTGTCTGGGAGAGGAGTTGAGAAGGAGAAGGAAGAAATTGGGCGGGAAAGATACGGGCGGCTGATGATGTCGATTTATTATGCACGCGGGGTAGCTTGTTGGAGGGGCCTGTCACTCTTGTCCCGATACCTGGAGATAGTTCGGACTTATTCCTTCGGCAGATGCTTGCACTTTCGAAGCTGACGGAAGGAGCAGGGATGCGGAAAGTTGGAGACGACGATTGGAGAAGTGAGGTGAGACGGAGAGAGGAAGGAGAGAAGGGGACAGCGATATTCTTGAACATTGAAGAGATGAGAAAGAAGCGGTCGGCTTTTGAGAAGCTGGCAGGAGCTGCAGCTGCTTTATACGTGATTTCCCCAAACAGGCAACATGTTCCGGTCGCTCCTTCCTTCCGGCATCGATAACCATATCAAGAGGGGTCGGAACGATCATATCTCGCGCTACGGTTAGCCTTCGCGCCCATTCGCTGCCAATTTGATACGACTGTGCTCTGAGGAGAGTTCATGTTCTCCGGAATGTGGAGCGCGAAACCCTCGGCAGCTCCACTGACCAACCCCAAGAGCACCTATCGATGACCGGCCTGGTGTTTTGACCTGTCCTAAGAGCTATAACCGTTCGGCCTTGCTGGCAGGAACGATATGAACTCCGTGACTCAAGCATTCTCCCTGTAATTGTGCAAATTGACGGACCTCTACTGAGTAGCAAGCATTCCATGTTCACCAATACGATCAGCCCGAGCAGTCGGCTACAAGTCTCACACATTGAATTGCCTAACTTAATGACCGATAGCTGAGTCGAGGTCTGTTTGGCATTTTGAGAAACCCACCTGAGAATGATCACAAAGTACGGATTGGCGAGATAAACTGCATGTACTGGCTCATTACTTCTAGATAGGTACAGTGAACCGACTGTCCCGCTCAACGGCACAGGAATGCTCGCAAAACACAAGACAATGTTACAAGGCAAAGAAAAGTTGCGGTGGCCCTCTGCCACCATGATACCTCCCCACGACTCCATCTTCCAGCATCTTTCTTTTGTCCTATCGTTCCCTCCAATTACTACTGATAGTCCGTCATGGCAGGGGGTTTGCTCTCTCGAATACAACATGCGCGCAGGGGCTTGTCGGTGGGATGCGCATATCAAGATCGATGGTGCATTTAGCACTCGGCGGGCGAGGCTCTCGAGTTCATGAGAAGAGCAACGATCAGACCGTAAAGACCTGGGGTAGGTGTCAGTTTTGCGAAACAAGCGCGAAGCAGGACATGACTTACCCAAGACTTCGGCGAAAATGAGAATAAGAATCATTCCGACGAAGAGTCTGGGTTGTTGTGCGGTACCACGGACACCAGCATCACCAACGATGCCGATAGCGAAACCGGCAGCGAGACCGGCAAGACCGACGGAGAGACCAGCACCGAGCTGGATGAAACCAGAGTACAGGGCCATGTGCTGAGACAGATCGTTGGAGATCAAAACAGCAACGACCAGACCGTAAATGGCAATGATACCAGCCATAATGACGGGAATGATGTCTGTGGCGAGATTTAGCATGCATACCGTGACTGTACACCATCTGGAAACTGACTCTTGACGATCAGGTCAGGGCGGAGGACACCCATAGCCGAGATACCAACACCAGCCTTGGCGGTACCGTAGGCAGCACCGAAGCAGGTGAAGACAATGGCGGAGGTGCAGCCCATGGCACCAAAGAAGGGCTAGACTATAGTGAGCGTTTGTTCGTTGTGAATCATGTTGAGTGGTGCGACGAGGTTTTGAGCGTAGCGCAAGACGATAGAGGCTGATATAAAGATCGAAGCAGGGGGCGGAGGCGGGTTATGACATATTTGAGTGTTGGGACAGATATGGGAGGCGGCGCGCGAGACTTACGGCGTAGACGGGGCTATATACACATCATGTCAGTATGTTGAATGATATTGAGATGGTTTAGAGCGCTGTTCAAGTAGGTCTGCGGGCGTGTAACAGCCGGAGAAGGCAAGTTGCAATAGCCTTTGGCGCAGACCTTCCTGCTCAAGCAAGCTCCAGGGTGAGACGTACCAGAGATCGGTGGCCATTTTAGCGGTATGCGTGATTGTTCTGCTGGAGATTGAGGGGTTGTAGAAGTGGAGGCGATGAAGCAGAGAGTATAGCAGATGTTAAGGCCAAGGGAGCGCGCTGGTATCGGTGACGATTTGAGGTTGTCTCGAGGCGTTGGACCTTCTTCGGAGACAGCCACTGCTCTTGGCACACGTGATATCCCGTTTCGATGCTTCAACTCCATTACCAGCAAACACACCTAGGTTGATCTTTCTACAATGCCAACATATGCGGATATATCTATTCTTTTCGAAATTTGTCCTTTGATGTCTACTATTAACAATCTCATTCCAATATCTGACTTTTGCCAAGCCGGACCACATGTGCATATTTGACCGACTTCCAGCAAAGGGGGTTTCGTGCAGAAGAATTGGATCAAACAGCGATTCACAGAGAAACCATTTTGTGAACCCGACACAACGCCCAAGACACTCTGTCCATATGGCAAAAAAGCGGTGCATCGTACCTTAATCCTAAGGCCATCGAATATCTGCAGAGGGTGCACTATGGGCTAGGAAATACTACAAAACCACATGTACCATTGTCACTGGTGACACCCTGTCCCAAGCCGCGCTGCTTATACCGTGTCATGGACGACACAAAGATTGTAGCTCTAATTAAACTGTTCAAGGAGATCACGAAGAGGTACCGTCTTTAAAGCAGAGTTGGGACATCGTAAGCATCCTATCCTTATACAGCTTTGTTAGGAGTTCTAAGAGGACATAGGTCTCTATCGGAACAACCTTCATTCGATTACTGTCCCTTGCGTATGCTTAGTAGCCTTATCCCTCCTCTCTACCCGTCCAACAAAAAGGAATAGAAGCAAAACAAACCCCTACATAGCTTAGCTATCTAGGGGGAACAAACCCTAATCGGGATTATGATTTTAGAAACGATGTTAGCGATGCCGTAGGTCGAACCTATAGCTTTGCACACCTCCCTTAGGGGCTAACATAGAGGTACCATGCCTCTATACTAGATAGCCTATTCGACTAAGGGAGTAGTAGTAAGATGGAATTAGCACTATATGAAGTAAGGAAGTAACGAAGTCTATGTCACGCGCAATCATGTTAGACTTTCGAGCAACTCTTAATAAGATATAAAGTGAAAGCACTTAAAGAACTGCAAGAGGGGATTAATTCACGTACAGTTGTCGAGAGTGAGCTTCCGAATGAACACGCACTACTACGAAGCTAATAATCTTCACCGATCGCGCTTAAAGGGCCTAAAAGCTCTACGCTGCGCTTAAATAGCTAGCTATTGTCGTTGTAGAGTGACTAGACAACTCGATCTCTTCCTCCGGCCTTTACTCTCTTCTTGCCTGGCCGCTATTTATTGACTTCCTGCTTAGCAGCGAGCATGGCCATTCGGAACTCCTTCTTTTCCTAGATCGATGTTGTCAGACGACAGATTTATATGTGTTGAAAGCGCGACATACCTTATTAGAACATTTTCTGTACTTTCTATAATCGTCGAGGATACGTAAGTGATAAGCTCTAAGCACCTTTTCCCATTCCTCCTAGGTACACGCTTCCTTAACAAGCTTATTAGGTTGCTAGATAGTAGGCTACTATGACAAGTCAGTGATTAACGTGTCTCATGTGATTGTATTTAGACACACAGATTGCTCGATGTCTTCAACCACCTGCATCTCTCCTCTCATCTTGTATTGTCTTGCCATTCGTTGAGCCTCCTTTCGCCGAGAGCTAGAACGAGACGGTCTCGCTGACGAGGCTCAATGGTGAGGTCGGGACGTGGAAGGGCTGGGTATGCTGAAGAGGACGGCAGAGACGAGGCGCTGGGGTAGCCGAGATGGATGGCGTAAGCATTGTAGTAGGCAGTGTCCGAATGGACGATGTAGATGTGGTGGAAATGAGCTTCCTTCTCGTTGGCGACATCGCCTCTCGATTTGGTAGGAGTTTTGATGGGATTTGACATGATGTCCCGGTTGCAAATTGTCCAAGGAAGCAGAGGGGGCAGAGTCTTGTAGATATAGAGGGGCAGTTGATCGTACGTTTGTAGACGACAAGAAAGGCTAGAGCAGGACGGGGTGTGACAAACTTCAGCACAAGGCGAGAAGATGAATAGACATCAATTATCTTTGTGATAGTTGTCTATATGTACGCAGTCGTCCTGTAGAAAAGCCTTATAGCACATTGACAACAGTGTTCGGTGGCCAAAACGTACAGCCTTTCATTTTCAGTCCCTGTGTGTGTATTGCGAAGAGCGTTCTTTGCATGATTTCGTTCCTAGCGACTATAGCAAGCAAGGCCATGAAAAGAGTCCTCTCTCATCATCTGTCCAGCTTTGTCTCTCATTTTGCTCTCATGCTAATAGCAGCAGTGGTCATATCCACTCTGAACTTCTTCTGCTCCTACTATCGTATTAGTCAGTGCTTCTCATACAACATCAGGATAACGAACCTTATCAGAGCTCTTTCTGTACGCTGTGTAGCTGGTGCGTACACGCCACCAGTAGAAATCGAGCCTTCTCTCAAACTCCTCACGCGTGGTTATTGAGAGATCAATGCTGCTGACATCGTATACAGGGATCTGATATTCGTCAGCACTCATCCAATCGTTTCCAGTACCCGGACCACGGACCGTCGCACGTATCTCTGCAACGACTGTTACATCCTCTCCTGATTTTGCGTGCCACAGCTTGTCTCTTTCTTCAAAGAGAAGTTTAGTGACGTGCTGTTCAATCTTGGTGTCGCGGTCTGATCCAGAAATGCTGGGAAGTTTGAGATGAGAGGGCATGTCAACACCGGCAGGGAAGCCGTGGTAGATCGCGTAAAGGTCGTGACGTGATTGATCGAGATGGACGAGGTAGATATGGGTAAACAGAGCCCGTTTCTCGACTGCTTCCAAGCTTGTGTCGTTCTTGCGAGCAGCGGCCGACATGTTGCCGATGACAAGACACTCAATGATTATGAGGCTTGTATTGCTCAACATATAGTCGGAAGCACCGTTGGATTCTTGACCGGAGACATCTACAGGTTGGTGCTCAACATTACCATGTAGGTCACCAGCGATTCAATCTGGCCTAGAAACATCTTCGATATTCTTCGACGAAGCGATTCTACTCCGTCGCTAACACTCAACAACTACATACATGTAGAGCCAACTACCACTGAATGTCTTCTAATGGAACATTCACGAAGAGCTCATGGAGCGTTCGTTGAGACATCGAAAATGAGCGATGCATCGAGCACGCTATTCTGATCACCGCAGGTCTTGACGGCATGCGTATTCAGCTCCACTGCCAATGGAACTCGACGATTTATGGCAGCCTGATCGTGTTGTTTGGAAAGTACCTAGACAAAGCAAGGCTCGAAATGAAGGAGCGAGGTGAAGTCGGTGGTCGGTGTCCCTTGTCACCGATGTGGCTTGAAACCACGAGACGAAGGAGTCAAGTCGCGACGAAATGACACAAACATTCCGCTCCTTCGACGAGTAGAATACCGTCTTAAAGGGTGAACGGTGAGTCAAAAGCCATCTGCTTCGGGCCCGGCGACATTAGCAATGCCTGTCGTCGGATTTTACTAAGTACCATGGGCTGGCGGTCCCGTTCTGCCATGCTCGGTCCCGACCTTGCGGCCTGGACGCCCGCCCATTCCAAAATCCAGCTGCCTGGTTACCCGGAGGGGTTTTGTTTTAACCACCGAGCGGCCGTTTGCATGGCTTTAGGGAAGGAGTTGTGAAACTTGAGTATATGAGTAACTCGTATCTCTGTGTTTTGACTTTGGTCTTCACAAGCAATTTACAATTCGATCTTCTCAATTTACATCGGCGAAAGTATCTCCAGAATGTCTACCGCCAGCATGGAAAAGGAACCTGAAACCATCACGTCGCCGCCTCGAGATGAAGAAGAAGCAGCATCATACCTCACTGGTCTCACCTTGCTAAGTGTTGTCGTGTCGCTGGTCCTTGTCATCTTCTTGATGATGCTCGACACATCAATCGTCGCTACCGCCATCCCACGTATCACAACACAGTTTCACTCTCTCGAAGATGTCGGTTGGTATGGAAGTGCATACCTCCTCGCCAACTGTGCCCTACAGCCTCTTGCTGGCAAGATCTACAAGGAGTTCAGCTACAAATGGGCCTTCCTCTGGTTCTTTGGCCTCTTCGAAGTCGGCTCCCTTCTTTGCGGTGTCGCCACATCCTCCAACATGTTCATCGTTGGAAGGGCAGTGGCTGGCCTTGGATGCGCTGGATTGATCAACGGTGCCCTCTCCATCATTGCAGCCTCGGTACCTCTCACCAAGAGACCCTGTAAGTCGAGCGGACCATGAGCTGACAAGCATTCACTGACAAGATACAGTGTACATGGGCTTCATGATGTCTCTCTCACAGTTTGGTGTTCTGTTCGGACCCCTCATCGGAGGTGCTCTCACAGAGTACACCACCTGGCGCTGGTGCTTCTACGTACGTTACCATTATCATTCTCAACACAAGAAATATGCTAATCATACCTTTTATCTGCAGATTAACCTTCCTGTCGGAGGCATCGTTGCGGTCATCCTGTTCTTCGCGCCCGTTCCTGCCGGACCTGAGAAGACTGTCGACAAGAAGTTCCACGCCGGTACATTTCTCCGCAGTCTCGACCTTGTTGGATTCGCTCTGTTCGCACCTGCCATTATCCAGATCCTCCTGGCTCTTCAATGGGGAGGCACGCAATATGCCTGGAACAGCGCAACTGTCATCGGCCTATTTTGTGGTGGTGCAGCAACCCTTCTGGTCTTCGTGACTTGGGAGTACTTCAAGGGCGACGATGCTATGATTCCATTGTCTATGGTCAGACAGCGTATCTTCTGGTCCAGCTGTATGACTGTGTTCTTCACCTTCTCTAGCATGCTCTGCGTCAACTACTACCTGCCTATCTACTTCCAGGCTGTACGAGGAGCGTCACCGACCATGAGTGGTGTTGACCTTCTGCCTAGCATCATCAGTCAAATGATCTTCGCCATTCTCTCGGGGATCGGAGTCACGAAAGTCGGTTACTACCTTCCCTTCTCCGTCGCATGTGGTATCCTCACTGCTATATCTGCCGGTCTGCTAGGCTTGCTCGGACCCCATACTTCCATGGCCAAGTGGATAGGCTACCAAATCCTTGGTGGCGTTGGACGTGGTCTAGGCATCCAAATGCCGATTGTCGCTATTCAGAACCTTGTGCCCAAATCACAAGCGTCGGTCGCCATGTCATTGCTTATCTTTTCTCAGACATTCGGTGGCGCTCTGTTCCTTGCTTTCGCGCAGACGGTGTTCAACACTGGCCTATCGTCAGCGCTTAAGGAGTACGCCCCTGAAGTCGCTGCAGAGACAATCCTGGCTGCCGGCGCTACTGGAGTGAGAGGCGTAGTATCTGGCTCAGTGCTGCCTCACGTCTTGCAAGCATACAGCCAAGCAATCGACCATGTGTTTTATCTCTCTGCTGGCGCAGCTGCAGGGGCGACTCTTGCCTGTCTGGGCATGGGATGGAAGAGCATCAAGAAGGCTAAGGCTGAAGCAGCAACAGCTGAATCGGTGCCCGAGAAAGAGGTCGGGTCCGTGGTTTGATTGCACATGCAAACACGGTAGATTTCCTTATTACGATACCCCACTCACTGTAACGATTATGAGACGATACTGGATACCAGAAAACAGCCTAGTAGTATATAATAGAAACACTGAAACTACTCTTTACCCAGTTCTGTCGCGTCTCACGATTTTCAACTGCCGCAATGCAGAGACTGAGATGATATAGCCGTCTTCCCACCGAGAGCAATGATTTTTGAGCCTCTCGGTGGTCATACATGCATTGTGACAGCCTTTTGAGGCCACTCGTCTGCACGTGGGAGAACGTGGCACCGTCAACATCAGGAAAGGCAGAGATGGCATCGAAGGTTCCCACTTTCCTATCGATATCCTCTTGTAGATTCGCGGTTGAATGAGCAAGATATACCACGTGCACAGATCCGAAGACTCATCCATATGCGACGCTCAATTTCAGTCTTCGAAAAATGGAAAGAACGATGAGTACATGTTGACCTTAGCACTCTCCATCTCGCATTTCCTTCCATCAGAGCAAACCCATCTCTCTTCCCAACAACAGAACCATACAACCAACTTCAAATCCCATCACCAGTCAGCAAAGATGTCCACACATTCAAGATCCCTCAGAGCGCTGGTCATCCTCATCCTCCCTCTCACCATCATAACCCTGCTCATCACGACTACCCTGCTACCATCAAACCACCCAATATCCCCACTCTCGCGACTTTCATATGCAGGTTTGGAAACCGATATGGAAACCCTATCTCAGCACGGGATGAGAGCATTCAATTTGCTGGTCAATCAGATGGGGGGAAGAGGTATGGGTGTGCATTTTAGAGCTCCTTGGGCGGGTCGGAATGCTTTCGTGCCGGCAACTCGACTTGTGAATACAGGCGCGATGTCCGCATTTGGTGTAGGAGGGGATGTAACTTCCATGACATCGCCATCGGCGTCGACATACACGACCACGACCACTTCAGAACTGCGTCTCAAGACAAAGTCGCCGTCCTCAAGAATTACCAATCTTGGATTGATAGCCAATCTCGCTCGGATAGCGAAAGAGAGGTGTTGCAAGATATGCCATGGCTTTGCGAAAGTTGTGTATTGAGCTTTATGGCTGGAAAGGAGAAGCAATATACCAGTGTTACGACTGCGAAGAACGAGGGTGCTGCAACGGGGTTTGGAGGCGTTTTTCGAGGGCAACAGGAGGTATTCGAGATGCTTTGTGGAGGATCGGGATGTTCACGATCGGCTCGGAGTAGAGATCATATCTTGATGTGAGCGAGCATTCGTAGCCTTTTTCCATCTCTTGTCATGCGCAATGGAAAGCGCGGTGGATATTCTTGGGTATCAGCATAGAAGAGCAGGTGTTTTTCGGATCTCGTATCATGGCAAGTCCAACTTTCATGTGCTTCGACTCTTCCTGATACGTGTTTGCAGTTTGAACAATGATGATATGATGTGGGGGTATATGCTGTACTGTATGAACACAAAATCTCCTTCTTTTCCTGTACATGCGATGGATGCGCAACTTCTGAAACAAATCAAGAAGGGCTGAACATATGCTTAAATTTCTCAATCTGTAAAACAAACAGTCAACGTTCAGTAATCCAAGAGTAGCAGAGGATCGACTTACCTTCGTTCCAATGTATTTTTCCAGCTCAGGTCCTTGTACACCCTCTTTACCGCCAGAGCTCCAAGCCAATGGAATCATGGGCACACGCTCCTTGACCACAACTTCTCTTCCAGGTCCCTCGACTGCGCGCACCTTTTCCGGGTTATTCGTCAACAGCCTGATGCCTCTGTCACCACCCAAGCCCAAATCCATCAGCATAGCCGTCGCCAAACCATAACTTCTTGCGTCTGCGGGATGTCTGAGGAGCAGATTCGCTTGCATGGTATCGTGACCCAGATCTTGCAGGTTGTAGGCTTTGAGCTTGGAGAGCAGACCTATGCCACGGCCTTCTTGACGGAGGTAGATGATCACGCCGCCGAGGGAGGGGATGTTTTCGTCGGTGGGGTCGAAGGGGAGGGACATGAGGCGGGCTGCTTCGTCGAGTTGTTCACCGCAGTCGCAACGAGCGCTCCATACTGTTTCGCCAGTGTAGCATTCGCTGTGGATACGAACGAGTGGTGCCAATGGCGAAGGCATGTTCTGGGCTTCTGCGACTTGGATGGCCTTGTCTTGTCTTTCTTCCGTCGTTACGGCTTCGGGAGTGGGACTCCGTGAGAGCTGTGCAGCCGAGACACCTGCGTCTTGTTTGATCTGATCCAAGCGACTGGACGTACGGCCAGGGTATAGCTTTCCCACGTAGGCGCCTCTGATCATGCGGTCTTTCTCCGTCTCACCCTCCCTCGGAGCATCGAGACTTCGGCTGCGGATGTGAGGACCGAAGACAATGGCCAAATGCTCCTTATTATCTGCGCTATTGTGGTAGAGATGGAGGAACATTTCTTGACCCGAGGTGGTAGGGATGCGCGCGCGTACTTCGCAATTGACCTCTGGTAGCTCTTCTAGCAGGGCGGGAGGAGCTGCTGGCTCGGCCTCGTGGGCATCGACATCTTGAGTAGCGGGGTCGGTCGATGACGTGCCGGGAGGAGGTGTGAGAGAGGGCGATACCAATGGCGGTGCTGCGACTGCGGGTTCGGGGGCTGGCTTCACGGCGGAGGTGGTGGTAGAATCGGAGTCTCTGTGCTCGAGGTCGTACTCGGACATGTGGGACATTGAGCGCTGCGTGTTCTGCGGCCGAGGCGAATTGAGCGGTGGCAGTGCCGGTGATGCGTGTGCGGGATAAGCCATGAGTGCTCGATGGTATGCAAGAAACAAAGAACGAGAGGGAACAGAGTACAGTCAGTGAGGCAGACGGACAAGATAGACGGAGTCAAAAGTCTCGCGCTGTCATCATCCAGGGTAAATGTGCCCTCATTACTCAATCGATGTTTCTGGAGCCGAAATGGCCGACTTGCCCGCCTCGGGCCCCTCGTAGCCCGATACCGCCCGTCTGCCCCTCCCGACGCTGATTGGCCGAGAATCCCCCCTAATTTGGTGCGAACTTCCAATTTCCATGCCTTTGTAAGCAGCTGCATCCATCCTTCCACCCTCATTTGTCACTTTGTCCGAATGATTATGAGAAGAGAGAATTCGTCGAATTAATCTAGCCTTAGCCAGCGCTCAAATACCGCTTGAATCTGTCTTCGCTAGAAAAAGACGGTGGTCGAAACGAAATAAAGCTCAAAAAGGTAACCCAAAGCACAAGGATATCCTCCCATAGAAAAACAGTCACCGAAAACTCCAACCCCTTGTGTCGAGATATCCCTAAACAATCGCTCGACATGCAGCGTGTGAATAAGAAAAAGCAGACCGTCCCTAAAATCAGATCTCCAACCGAGCGTCTTCGCAACTGTGCTCTTGGATGTGTTCTCAGGTACTGTCGTAATCAGAATCGGCTGTGGTTTGTGTAGAAGAAGAGAACCAGAATGTAGAGGTAGTGTGCGTGAAGTGAAAAATCAAGGATAGTGGATCCACCTGGTTGGTCCAATAGGCAAGATCCAGGAATTGTGTGGTGTTTTTCTTTTTTCTTTTTGTGTTCTTGAATAGCAAGTCGAAAGAGCGTCCACTCACAACATCAATGAGTGCAGGTTGCGTTGAACGATCATGTCCTGCACGCTCTTCATGGTCTTTTCCAGCAGGTTGGTGTCCGTGGCTGTAGTACCGTGCACATAGACCTCCTTGGTAGGGTCCCGTACCAGGTTGCGGAACTTATCGGCAAAGAACTTTTGTCCAGCTGCCACATCTGTATTGCTGCCTTGGAAGTCTGGGAAGTGGTCGCGAATACGTCCTCGTCCTTGTGAGACCTTTTCCGTAAAGAGGTCGAGTTTGTTGAGGAACAGCACCAGGCCAGATTTCTCAAAGTAGCGACTGTTGGCAATGGACTCGAAAAGCATCAACGCTTCGTGCATTTGGTTCTGCAAGTCATGTCAGCAAGATGTTAGCCATGATCGTTGTGATACTGAGACTCACTCCATTCTTGTCTTCGACCAGAACATGATCGAATCCACTGATGGCCACGAGGAACAACACGACCTGCACGTTGTCGAAAACGTGGATCCACTTCTTTCTTTCCGAACGTTGACCGCCGACGTCGAACATCTTGAATGTGAGGTTACCAGTGTCGAAGACAGTCTCGCTAATACCTGTCGTTCTAAGGCGCGCACGCAGAATGTCCTGATCTCCTGGAACGTAGTTCTTCTCGAACAGCCTGCTGAGGTCGCTCATGTAGCTAAGAATGTGTTAGCACAGCCTTGGCTCTACGGAAAGCAACACGACTCACTATTCAAGGTTGTCATGAAGCGCATACTCATGGCCCTTTGCAATGGCACCCTGTACACCATCATCATCCCACAAGTTCTGGAAAGCGTGCATGCAGTCCAATGGCATGGGGTCATCCTGTCCAATCTCTGGCTCTGAGCAAACGAGTTCCATAGCCTTGATGTTCTTTGGGTCCTCGAAGGTGACCTCGTGCTCTTCCATTGCGCCCTGAATGCATTGGAAGGCGTGGATCAGGTTGTTGAAGATGGTCACCTTCCATTGCCTGCGTTCACTCTGTGAGAAGCCTTTTGTGTGGATCAGGCGCATCTGCTTGAGCACTGTGGACTTGCCGCTCTCTCCCGCACCTAGTATCGTGTGTCAGCATTTCTGCCTTGTTCTTGTATCCCTGTGTATGACGCACCCAAGAGCAGGATCTTGACCTCCTTCGCTTGCTTCTTCTGGTCCACCTTCAACTGCTTCTCAATGTCGGCATTCTTCCTCGCCTGCGGGTCGTCCTGCTTGGAACTTCCGAAACACATGAAGCCCATTCGGTCGGTGGTTCGGTTCTGGTGGTGGTGTTGTTGTTGTGGTATGGATTATGCGGAAGCGGTATCGTACTCGATGGTCGAGTTATAGCGGATTGTAGAGGGTACGTGTTGTGCGGCAGGGTAATTTGACACAAAGCCAGGGGGACGTGTATTGGACAGAAGATGTGCTGGGGTCTGTGTCTGAGAGCTATGATCCTCCGCCGAGCCAACAATCGTATAGGTCAATCTCCAAGTGCGACAACGAATGCCAATGAACGAGTGCGAGCGCTGGGGTGATAACAACGGAGCAGTAACCGCAGGCAGACAGTCTGAGGTAGGACGAAGCGAGAGGAGAAGGCAAAGAAACGTGGAATCGGCAAGGGAAAAGGCCCAAGAAATGAAAGCGTGGTATTCCTTCGTTCTTAGGAAGCTCGCATATCAAACAGTGGGGTCTCTGCTTTAACTCAACTTGGTCCTAGCCGGCACCATCTGTGCACTGCAGCGGCCGCCCGTTTTCCCATGCAAAGACCACCTGAAACGTGCTACAAAGGAAACCTTCGGCCGGTCGTTCGTTCGCCCAGTGCTCCCTTGTCTCCGTTTGGTCAGGCATTGGACAATCTCATCATCACAGCTGGTGGCCCTCCTGTCAAGCCTGTAACAGGAGACGTGAATACTCGTACCTCTGTAGAGAGATGGGAAAGGTGCACCACAGCTTTCCGACTTGTCCTGAAACCTTGGCCCAAATCGGAGAAATCGACTCTCTTCTTTCTGCCGCGTGCAGCGTCGCACCTCCCTTGAAAGAACATCCCTCTTCCCTCCCGCCTTACACACGCTCTCTGCATGCCTTCCACATGTGTGAGGGCTTCATTTCATTCGCTTCATCACCTTCCCGGCTCACGCGAGATTGCCCCCATAGCCCTCTATTGTGCTATTGATTAACTATACCCAACCACGGACCTTTTCCGCCGCTTGACTCGCGCATAGTTTGGCTATCCATGTTGTGTGTTACTAAGACCGAAATGGTCATTAAACCCTATATTGACAACTCGTTTGACAGCAGCCCAAGAGCTTCTTCAAATCGCGCGCTGCAGCCATGTACTTTTCTCATGCTCTTCAGTCTGCATCCACACCTCAGGCATGTGTGCAGCCTGCAGGGAAGCAAGGGAACCATGCATGAGCTACACTGCAGATCGCCAAGCCCAGCTACGGTACGGTACATCTTCAGCAACACGCAGTGTTTGAGCAATGTCGAATGCCTTCAGCAACTGCCGCTCGTCTTTTGTTTCCCAGCTTTCTTTTGGTCCCGCTTGGTTGAAGACACCAGTGTGTTTCTTCCACCAGTCCGGTGTTTGCCCTGCCTTTTTTGGTCGCTGGTCCCTGAGTCCGGGAAGCCGCCGTCGGCCTATTGATCCGCTACGGTCCGTCGCTACCAGACCCATCGTTCATGTTGACCCGTACTCGGCCGGTAGAATATTCTTTCCGGCTTCCTTTTCCCTCACCACATGCATCCACGACTCAGCAAAGTATCCACTTCCATGTGCGGAATACGATTGCCGACGCCAACAAAGCCTCCACGATTCATCGTCCACGTTGAACAAAAACATCGGTAGCTTGGGACGAAATGCTACATACAACGGTCTATTGTACCTCGGCGATACGAGTACCTTGAGAAATGTGATTGACTTCAGAAGTTGATTATGCGAACATTCCTACACGACATTGCCATGTCAGGTATCAGCGGTTGAATTTCAGAGCTCGCGCATGCATCACAATTCATGAACATCCTCATACTTGACGGCCGATCATGTGTCGGACAGGACGGGATGGGCAGTTGCGCAATCTATTGTCTTTGGGGACGCCTTCCTGCGACGGCATCATCGCGTACTAATGTGCAAGACCCTTAATCAAGCCATTGCTGGCTCGCTAAATCTAATATAGTATCAGCAAGCCTATGTGACTTGCTCCAGCAACAACACCCCATGCCCAGACATCATTTTCATCGTATGCGAGTCGAGATCAAGTGCATGGAGTTTGCTTATTCAAGGCATACGGCTGCTCAAGCACCCAGTGCTCCCAGAAATCTAACGGTCAAAATGCACAAAGTTATCGTCAACCGAGAGGGGGTCAGATAAGAGCTCGAAATCAGTCGAGATTGGTAAAGGACAACCATCTTGGAGAAAGCTGGAATCAACATGCGCAATGTAGGAAAACTCCATGCGCTTGTGTTTTTCCTTCTCTAAGGGAACTGCTTCAGTGCTATTTTTGGTCGTCTACCAATGACTCTTGAAACACAGATCAGTCAGTCGACTGCCGTGTTTCATGAAATCAAATCCTATGGTCCTTCGGCATCGAGGAGCTCGTCCTCCCACTCACTGATACCTCTGTCGGCGAGTTCGCGGTTACGCTCGTACCATGAGTTGAAGTCAAGCTCCGGCATCTCCCCACCGTGAAGTAGGTATCGGAGAATTGCACGGTCGTGTGGATGAGCTCCTTCGCCCACGTCCAGACCATCCTCGAAAAGCGCCTCTTCTCCCGATTCTCGTGGGTAGTTCTCATCGTGAAGACCCTCGAGATAGACACGCTGCAGGCCAGACTCGAAGATATCTGGGACCTGACGGAGGACTGAGTCCCAAGTACCTTCATTCAAGTCGCAGTCTACAATCTCAAGACTGTGCAGCGTCTTCGATTGCGCACGCAAAAATTCTATCAAACTGCTTTCGGTTGCGGTACAGCTCAATCGCAAAGTCTCCAGTTCTGGGAGTGTTGGTATGTTCAGATGACGTATTGTGTCATCTGCAGGATCCATGGGGTGTTCTTCGACAGCCCAGCTACCTTCATCATCGCGGCATTGGAGCTTCAGATTCTTTAGTGAATGCGCTGCCGCCGATAAGATGGCATGAATCTCCTGAAAAAGCTGTTTGGTCTGCCATGTCTGTCTCGCGGCAGTATTGGTCTGTCTTTCCAGAGGATTCATGGGCACAGTTGGATGTGTAGCTGCGATTACCGGAATACAGTAACTCACGTCCAGATCCAAGCTTGTCAATTGTGACAGGCCCTGGAGTTTCGCGGAAACAAGTTCCTGAGGGAGCTCGTTTCTCGCTTCACGTGCAGTTGGTACGGAAGCAGAGTTTTCAGTAAGGGCATAATGCTCACTCATATCGAGGAATGGTTGTCCGCCGACATTGACAAGTCGCAATCTTCGAACTGGAGACCCAGTACCCAGGTTAGCGCGATGCCCAATTGCTTTTAGAAGACAATCAGCATGCTGCATATGGATAGGGTACTTCAAAACGTCCACGACATGGACCTCCTCGTCATCATCCACTTCGACGGCATGCAGTTGCATCCAATTGTTAGGATTTATGATAATATCCCTTTCAATCCGGTTCCATGGGAAATGCAGATGATTGTCTGCGAAGCCGTGTTTTGCGTTTTCGACATAAACCAGATTTGGCAAGCGTGAGAGAGCCTCCAAAAATGAATCGTTCGGACCCCAATCCAGCTGTTGCTGACGATATGCGCCGTATTGCTCGAAGTGATACTGTACTTGCTCCGGGCTGAGACTATGCTTGGGCGTATTATCATATTCCTTGTAGGCTGCATGACGAAGGTCTTGCCTCTCTGTCAAAATTCGCATCCGGTAGTCATACTCATCGTCGGATGATAGTCGACTGTCCATACGTGATGGGGCAACAGTGATTCTCTCCTATGGTTTGTTCGTGAGTTACAAGGTTTCAAGAAAAATCTGCTTTCAGGTTGCCCTTACATCGATGTACTTTTTGGAAAACGATGACCAAGGCTCGCGCATATCAATCAGGCCCTCAAACGTCCCTGACCTGTAAGTTTAGAGTACAGTCAGCATGTTTCTTGTGTTGAAAAAGATACAACTACCATGAGAGCTCAGCTCGTCAAAACACCTGGATATGACCCCGCCGCAATGCAGAGTGTGTTTTGAGGTTGTACAAAAGTCCACTGAGAGCCTGATCTTTCTTTTCGCGAAAGGACAAACTCTCAGTGGCAGGACGTCGAGTATCTAATAGCACTCTGCAATGCGACGTTGCTGGTGCTGCCGGTGACCAATACCCAGATACCACTTGGTGGCGCTTGACTCATGATATCCGCCGCATACGTACCAGTCCATCTGCGGTATAACATCTCCCACAAAGACGAGCCGTTTGATACATCTTGCGATTTCTGGCTTTGACGAAAGCCCCACGAATCTCTCGAGATGCGATTGAAAGAAGGCTATGCAATAGCTCTGAAACACTCGAGTGTTGGCCAGACCACTAAGATATTTGCATGTTTCCCGCAGGTTCTTGCAGCCATCGAAATCGCAATGTTCGAGAATCAGGTATACAAGTTCTCGGGGCAATGTGTCCAGCTGACCCATGATAGTTGACGAGGTTGCGGTGGGAATACGACAAAAGCTCAAGTGTGCGACCTACGAGTTGGCCTTGTTAAACGATCGATATCGTGATGCCTCTACATATCATGGTGGATTAACGGGCAAAAGACAAGGGATGTAAAGAATTGGAACCCCGGATTGCAATTCTTGTTTCTTTGCCAAGCAAACAGTTTGAGGCTTTGGGCGACGACTGGTCAAACAGGCAGGTAACTTCGATGGCGGCCGATCTGGACTCTGGCAGCGCCTCTGGGTGTGCGGACTCTCATTTCCCGTCTCTGCTCTGTTTTTCTGTCTGACACGCGTTCGCATACCTGTATCAATATTCATAGTGTATAATCATGTCGTTTCCATCGACGCGCATCGGCGGTAGCGGTTAGTACTCGTACCCCCATCTGTCGCGAACGAGCCGAGTACTGACATGAAGCCCTAGCCTTCAACCACCAACAGTCTGGCGACTCCGAGGCCGAGTACGATAGATTGAGAGACCTTGCGCGACAGGAACACGGCAAACGTCAGCATTGTTCGGCCGAATCGCAGAAGGCGTATGCGCGTGGAGATGGAGGTGCCGCTCACGACTTGTCGCAAGAAGCAAAGAACCACGGTCAGAAGGCCGACGACTACAATAGACAGGCTTCGGAATACATCTTCCGCGAGAACAACGCTGTAGGAAGAGTCGACGGTGATACCATTGACCTCCACGGTCAGTTTGTTGAAGAGGCCGAGGAGATTCTGGAACAGAGAATCAAGTACGCAAAGAGCACCGGCCAGAACCATCTGCATGTGTAAGTAGCGTGAACGTTTGCTGCCTGTGTTCCTCCTTCTGATGGTAGTTACAGCATCGTCGGCAAAGGTAACCACTCTGTCAACCACGTCCAAAAGATCAAGCCGCGTGTCGAGCAAATCTGCCAGGAGCAAGGTCTCCAATACCATACCGAGCACAATGAAGGCCGAATCTACATAAACCTCACTGGTGGAGCCGCCGTACCCCCTGCTGGATATGGTCAACCTCAACAGTACGACCAGTCTCATCATGGAAAGCCTCAGTACCAAACTGCCTACCCTCTGGGCTACCAGCAAGGCCAGCAACAGCAGGGCTACCCTTCGCAGCAACAAGGCTACCAGCAGAACCAACAGAACAACCAACAGCAACAACAAGGAACTCACCAGATGGATTACGAGGAGGAGATCAAGAAGAACCTCCCCAAGGTCATCCGCTTCCTCAAGAAGAACTGTTGTACTGTCATGTAATCCCATTCGGAATTGTCGGTCTAGGTGCTACATCCCTGGCCTTTCTCTTTATGGTCTTTTTTCTCTTCGTTTTCGATACCCAAATGGCAATGGGACATAATAGCGTTGTCCGGATGGTTGGAGCCATGGTTGAAGGTGCAATTGCTCGGCGGCCGAACGAGGTTAGAGCTTGGAGTCTTGTGTCGTTCTTATCTGCGCGGCATGTGAATGATTTGGTTGATGGTCTGTAATTTCTCTCCTTCCTTCTCGAGTCATCAACGCAAATCACATTTCTTCGCTTGTTTCTGCACTGCTCAAGACCATTGCACGTGCCTGACCTCTTTGAATCACCACATCAGACTAGCTCATTGCTAGCGTCAGCTACTCCCTTTCTTCCAGCATGAATTCCCCTCACAGCGATGCCTATTCTGGTTCTTCTGGAGGACCCACGCGTATCCTTCGCGTAGTCAACGACACCTCCTTGGCTGCCACAATCCGCGAGCAAGCCATCGTACTGCAGGGTAGACCGGAGCAGAGAATCTACCTTAATATCCCTAACGTAAGTTTGAATGAGAAGGGTGTATGGTTTCTTGTCTGACTTGTCCAGACCATCAGCGAGTCAATCGACGAGGACGACTACTACCCGGTCATCGAGCCCTTCCAAGTTGCTCGTGCCTCCCGTTCTACCTCAGTTGACATCCTCGAATCTCTTGAGGCCGAAGTCCCTGTTAGTCCCCCCTATCTGTCAATCATTGCTATCTGACTGACTCTTCTAGGCCTCCTTCAGCTTCGGTCCCAGCCCTGAGCCTGAGACTCTTGGAGAGGAGGTATCCAGCTTCGGCTCCAGCTCTGAGCCGGAACTCCTTGAAGAAAAGGTCAAGGCACACACAAGAGTCTACAGAGGATTGTCGCGGTTTGCTAGCAGAAGCAGCACTAACCTAGCAGAATTCTCTTCCGCTACCAAGGAGAAGCTCAAGGAGTTCAAGCTCTCCAAGTCGAAGAGCACCTTCAACCTGCCTGGCCTCCTTTCTTCCCCACCATCACCTACATGGAGCGAATGGAGCGATCCTCCACCTATGCCGGCCCTTCCCTCCGCGTCAACACTCAAATCTCTCCCGTCTCTCCCGTCTCTCCAGCCTCGCCCATCCCTCTATCACCCCTTGCCCGCTCCCCAAATCAACACATCAAGTGTAGCTGCCGAGACTGCCGAGACCAAAGCCTCGCCCGCCAACTCCAAACCATCGACACCAGAACCATCTTCCAGATGGACCACGGCTCGCCGCAACTTGGCCAAGCGTCTGTCCACCGGTAATCTCTCTCTATCTCTGAAAGTTCGCTGCAGAATCAAGTTTTCTAACATGTCTTCCAGTTTTCACCACAAGCAAGCGGGTCTAAGTGGTATCGCCCCTCGTCACACTCATACAGAGCGCACTTCTAGCAGACACTGGGCTTCAACACAGCACCCATCTCGCCCCATCGCCGACACTTGTGGTATTCCGGCTGGAGTAGGTAGAAAAGCTATGCCCTCGTCTGAAACTTCACTTTCACCCCAATCGCCTCGTCTCCGTGACCCCGTCACTTCTGTTGGCTCGTCTTCACCCAAAACCGTTCGTTCTCACACCTCTGAGTTTTCTGCCAGCTCACCTACACCTAAATCGTCTCACGTTTTCACACCTGTCAAATCCGCCGCGTCACATAAGCCTATCAAATCTTCGCTGGTAAAAGTCACCCCTTCACCCACTGGTGCACGACAATCCGCTCGTGACAGACCTTCTCGTCTCGGCGCCATCGCTATGAACCGCTTGCCCCCATCTGTCCGCGACATTCCCTCCTCTGTCGACGCCGGTCCATCACCCAGAAAAAGCCCGCGCCCCTCTGTCCGCGACATGTCATCATCATTCGCGCCGACGTCTCCTTCCGCCCGTGTGAGGCGTCTGTCCGCCTGCAATGCGCTTTCCACTGCTGATATCGCGCCTTCCCCTATCCGCCGCGCCCCCCGCTCTGTACGCGGCGCGCTTTCGACTGCTGGTGTCGCACCTTCTTCTGTCCACCTCGCCCCTCGCTCTGCACGCGACGCACTTCCCTCTCTCGGCGCCGCACTTCCCCAAGCCCTCCCTGTTTCATCGGAAGGAGGCAATCCCTACCCGCGCCCCTACGGAGGAGGATGGCGCAATGACCCATACCACCTCTGGGACCGAGTAAAATACTTGGATCCCAACAGTTCAATCGCTTCGTGCGCTCCTCTCCTTCCCACTGTCGGCGTTGGAACCCCTGCTCCGCGACTCAAGAAAGGAAGCAGCCACAACTACTACGGTGGACGTTCCGCAGCTCAGAGAGAGAGCACCAGAGATGTGATCAAGACTATGAACGCCAACCGTCATGCTTACACGTCTACCTCTACCACTTCTTTGCAGGCACCCGACTCACCCATAGAGCTCGACGACCTCTCACCCGACTCGCCTATTGAGCTTGACGACCTCTCACCAGAACCTTTCGTCAGCACAGCTGTCTCTCTGTTGCAGAGAGGTAGAAAGGGCCTCAAGGTCAGACTTGTCAAGGCGCGTGATCCGGCTGGCAACACTTACTTCTACGAGCAAGCCCACGTGCCTCGTTACACCAAGCATTCTATGCGCCCCTCAAAACGCTTCTTCAGCATTCGCAACTTTTTGAGCCGCCGCCTCTATGGCAAGCCTGGTGACGGTACCAGTCTGCTCATGCCCAACATCCCTCTTCCTCCTGACATCTACATCCCTGGTGTTGACAAACTGTCCGTAGAGATGATAATAGCACAGGAGAAGGAGGCGGAAGAGATGAAGGCCAAAGAGAAGGAGCTGAAAGACAAGGAATCAAAAGAGAGGGAGCCGCAAGACAAAAAGGAGAAGGAGAAGGAGCATCCGTTCGGATCCTTGGATTGGCTGGATCACGAGATTCGCTTGCGAAGACGCTTTGAAAAGAGATACAAGGCCGAGGAAGAGGCTAGGATCAAGGCAAAGAAGAAGGCTACCCGATTTAGATTTGGTAACTCCAAAGCTCCCACCATCCGAATGAGCCACGATGACTACGAGTACGATCCTCGTGGCGTCGACGCTCTTGTACCTACCTCGCCTGCTGGCTTTCCCTCCTTGACCAGATGGCCCAAGTTCAGGTCCGGCGCCGCTCCCGCCTACAACCGCATCCTCCGTCGCAACAAGGCCGACTGTGTCGCGATTGCTCAGCGCGGTCAATCCCAGCGCCAATTCCTGGAGCAGCAACGCGAGAGGGAACAGCTCGATAGCTCCAGAGCACAATGGATCGAGGAGTTCAGAGAACAAGACGAGTTGAAGAAACAGGCCGCTCTCGAAGAAGAGAAGAGGCTGGAGCGCGCTGCCAAAGCTGAGAAAATGTTGGAAGAACAGCGTCTGAAGGATTTGGAGCTCGACATGCCCGAGGAGTCTTTGGACATCACTCCTCCTCGCCTCCGTACACCCAAACGCTCGATGATCCATGACTTTGATGACCATGAGCCTTTGATCGCGCCCAAGAGCCCCCAGCAACGTCAATTCGAGGCCGATCAGGCTGCAGACGCCGCCAAAGTCGCTATCCCTGTCACCCCGAGAACGCCCGTACACGTTCCTGTCTTGGAGGAGATCCACGAGACTGTAGAAGATGATGGTGATGGAGAGAAGGTTGAAAAGACCAACGAAGGTGATGAAGAGGAGCTTGGAAAGACCGACGAGCATTCTGTGGAGATCGAGGAGACCGAAAGTGAGAAGGAGTTCAGGCAATGTGCCGAAAACGTCGCAAAGCTCGAGATATACCGCTAAGGCCGACCTGCTCTGTCAGGTCTCTCCTTCTCTTTGTCTACAACTTTTTGTCTTTTCGCTTCTATGGGTTCTGGAAGTTGCTTTTGTGGTTCGGTTTTGATATTTGCTTTTGAGGATTGAGTTTTTTGAGGGTTTCTGGTGATTTGTCTTTTTGCTTTGGTTTCTTGCGCGTACATAAAATACAAAAAAAACTGTTTTGAGTAATTGTTCTTGTCGTCACAACGTGATCCCAGTGATCATTTCAAAGTGTAGGAGCCTTTCAAGTTTCAATGTCGTCAGCCTGGTCTATCGAAATTCTCGTATCGTATAAGATGCCTAGATGCTACTTTTGATGGGAGATGAGGTTAGCTACATTGCATCTAATGAAAGAGATGGATTACTGAAATCTCTATAGAAAGAGCAGAGTCTTTTCGTGTGTTATTTATAAGAGACTCCTGCCTGTGAGGGCACTGGGGTCGCTGGTCTTTGAATCTCAGAAAATTCAATCACATGGCGCAGACATAGGAGTTCAGACGCTCTCAAGTCATCGAGATGATGTTGTCCGAATCCCAGAAACGGAGAAACTTACAGTCATAGCCAGCAGTACCCGAAAACTGCTTCTCACAATGTTTAAATTTGCTTTGGAAGGGCTGACACGGTACATTGATCGTAACAAAGGCCGTTTGTGCATGCTCCTACAGCGCAGTACCACAGGCGAGTACCGAATAGAGCGTGCGGCTTCATGGGCTTGTGCCATCACCGATGTAGATTCTCAAAAACTGGTTGGAAATGTGAAAGACTTGGGATGCCTTGATAAAAAGCGTAGCAAATTCTCATGACACCACGAAAGCAAGCACTAGAACCTGTATGAAGAGTCGTCATTGTGTGATACGCATCGCTGGAGACCACTAGCCTTGCTTGCCTTTTATACTGAAGATACAATCCGGGCCACTGACAGCTTCCAACGATCGTGTCAGAAGAAAGTCGAGAAAGCGGTGTTCCTTCGAGGACAGCATCCAGGAACACAATCCCTGCTTATAAAGAATATTACTCCTGTGGAGGGTATTCATCGATAGTGTCGAACAACTGACGATGTTCGATGTTGATTGTCGAGAAAATCGAAGTCGAAGTTGCCCCTGATTTTGGATTCGACGTCGAGGGTATCCCAGCCTCCCACCACGCTCTGTGACCCCTTGTCGAAAGGCAAGAAGATTTTCTGAACCCGCGAAAGGTCCAAAGAGAGTCCAGCTCGACATTCCCGACAAGATTCACTCGGCCATCACTTCACTTCACTCGACGTGCGGTCTGTGCTCGCCCCGGCGCGCAGCCAGTACTATTTCCCAAAGTTTGCGCACTTCTTCCTCCCTTCTTTTTCTCATCACGTAAATCACACAGTATCCAATACTGTCCCTCATTTCGTGTATCCTCATTCTCATCGCTCTCCATCATCACAATCTCCCGATTGTCATCATGTTCAGCCTTTTCAGCACCCTCATCGCCATGGGCTCTGCATTCCATGCACCCCTCTCAGCAACCCCCACAACCTCTCCCGCCCCCATCAACTCCTCTGTCGCCAACTCATTCGATCCTATGGAGATCGACAGCATCACTATGCCTCAGGGCACTAAGCACAATCTGTGCGAAGTGTACCAAGCAACGCAACTCGGCACCAGAAAGCGTGCCAGGGTCGGTGTCAGAGCCGTCCCTGCCGCTCAGATGGTTGCCGAGGAGCGCCGAGACAGGAAGATCATGAGGGAGTGCAGAGCAATCCTGGATTCTTCGCCAGAGCACACAGCCCTTGTTACGACCGCGTTCAAGGCCTCATCGATGAGAGCGCTCTTCTTCCGCCACACCCCCAACCCAATCTCCTTCGACTTCGATATCATGAGCAGCGACCGCCCTAATCGCCTCCCTATCAGAGCCCGGTTTACCTCTGGGTCTAGGCCCTGGCAGCTTCCTGTGGAGGAGGTCATGATTGACGTTCCTGAAGCCGTGCTTCCCGTGGAGGAGGTCATGATTGACGCTCCTGAAGCTGTCGTCAATGTTGTTACCCTGCCTCTACCTTCTCCAGCCGTCGAGGAGCCCATGGCCGACGCACCACCTGAGAGTATATCCTCACCAATCTCTCCTAACTCTCCACCCCTGTGCAACAACTCAGACTCGTCATCCACAGCTCTCAGCTCAGACAACTCTACTCCAAGCATCTGGTCGACCTTGGCCTCGACCTCGACCACTACCACCTCAGCATCGGACTCCGGCCAGTTCCAGCCATCTAACAACTGCCCCGAAGGCGAGGATGACGGAACGAGCCTGTTCATCCCGGAGATAAGACAAGTCGTTGAGGGCAACAAGCATCGTTCCTTAAAGCCATGGATGAACGGCAGTCTGCACGATGCCCTCGAGGACGTGCTCAGGACTACGCAACCGCCCAAGCGAGGCGCCGCCAGGCAAGCAGCGAAGCCGAGCGGCATCACGAAGAGATCCACAGGCGTCGCGAAAAAGCAGAAGGCCAAGACCAACTGTCACCTGTCCTCCAAAAAGAAATGCCTCTTCGAGGAAGAGACTGACACTGAGGACGAGCAGGAGGAGGGGCAGGAGAAGGAGAATGAGCAAGAGGAGGAGCAGAGGGAGGTGGTCCAGCCAGACACCATCTCTTCCCAGGTGGAGACTTTCCTTTCGGAAATCTCTCCCGCGCCTACTGCGACCCAACCATCACGCACTCCCACAACGCTGACTTTGAGACCTCCACCTACTGCGCGATTTCCATCCTGGAGCAAAATCTCGAAGAACACGGTCATCGCCGGCGCCTCGAATGGGCCCAAGAAGTCCAAGGGTGCAACAACTGCCAGCGCTTCTGACGGCGTGAAAAGTCAAAGAAGGTGTCGAAACTTCGCCCAAGCCAGATTCACAAGCCGGTCAGCAATTTCGTCAAACAGTTGTTTGCACGCGTGGCTGCAAAAGCCGCTGCCAATAGCGGCGAGACCTATGTTGAAGAGCCTCTCATCGATTACTACGATGGAATGTAACGCGGGTACGAGAAACCAAACCCAAGGTTCCGCCCTGAGTCCATAAGCGCTCCCCTTCAGATTCGACAGGAACGACTAATAAAAACACGAACAATGACGAATCAACAAAAACAACACAATTAACAACAAATCAACGAAAGAAAAAACATTACAAAATAACGATCAAACGAACAAAGAGAACAGAGCGACAGTCGCACAGCAGCAGACTTGTACATGCTCAACGATGCTACGATACCACGACCAATGCTCAAATGATACCACGAATGGATGGTCATGAATGAGATACCCTGGCACACAGCGATGATGTTTTTGTCTTTTGGCAGGAAGGCTTGGGGTTTCGAGGGGAAGGCTTTCTTCTCTTGGGGGTGTTTGTTGGAAGATTCTTTCTGCTTTTCCGCTTTGTCCATGGGACTTTTCTTTCTGGCTTCCGAAGATGGAAAGAGATATGATGAGGAAACTTTGCGGTACGCACCTTGTTCGTTTGGAAGCGACTCTCTGGGTGGAAGGAGATGAACGATGAATGCACGTTACGCACTTTCTGTTTTTATGTGCTCTTGGGTTTTCATGGTTTTTGGTTTGGTCTGGATTTCCAAGATACCCCTTCATCGCGTTCACGGGGTTTTGGGTTTTGTCGCATGCATAATGTCTGAAGCATGTTATACCACAGAAAATCACAAAAACAACTCAAACAATCAATTCTTTGATGCTCTTTCTTAATTGTGATGTGACATGACTGCGGCAATAGGAAGGAAGGATGGAGGTCATCGCGGATGGCCTCTTTCCCCTTGCTCATCTCCGCCAAGCGACGGCATTCACCGACGTTCATTCCTTCCTTCTTTGACAACCCTTTCTTTCTTGACATTTTGTTTAGTCACATACATGAATGCCGAAAGAACTTTGCATTCTGATAGATGTATAATTCTACTCCTCTTTCTCATGAGGTAAATCAGAGATCGTCAATGATTTCATTCTGGCTAGTCTGCTCGATCGTTGTTTCTTTGGACAACACTCTATTTGCAAAAAGTACCGTGCAATTTGACAGACACATCGTAAGACTACTACTACTTTTAAGTAGATAACGTCCATAAACTTGCTGCAACTACACGACATCCCACGGAGACGCTAAGGGGTCGTGATACCATTGACAGCATGCAGCGAACGGTATAAGCAGATCGGTCGGCTTTACGAGTGTAAGAGTATAGCAAGAACGTCGACGACCCGGTACAGCCATCGAGGCAGCTACGTCGACATTGCTCGGTCTCTCGTCGACACGGAACCATCGAGGTGTTCGCTGCTCAGTCTCCTACCGAGTAGGACTGGGATCGGTGTGTGGTGGTTTGAGCTGTAGGTTGGAAGACTTTATATAGTGTTTTGCAGCTTGATTTTTGTCTTATTTTCAGGATGTTTACATCGCAGCAGAATTTGACATCCCAGTATGCCAGAAATTGGGTCTAGCAGTCTGTAAAAATGCAAGATAGGGTTTGGAACTGGTGGTATGTCCGCAGAGAGCGTGTGGAGGTGCTCATTCTCTTTGGACAACCGTGTGGATCTGAATATGTTCTTGCCTTTCAATAGATACGTAGAGGGCCTTGCAGGGAGAAAGAGATACCTGTAAGATTGAGATGGCGCAGATGATAGCAAAGGCAGGTGTGATTGTTGCTCATGTAGGTCTTTTTGTTCGTTTCTTTTTCATTCGTGTTGGTTTTGTATATGTACAGTATGGCCGCTTGCTTGACGTAGCAGGCCATATCTAATGTTACAATGCTCTTTCAGAGCGACCGGTCTTCTCTTTCTGGACCGTGTGCTCCATATTCGAAGCACGATGACGAAGAGGCGGTTTGATGCGAAATGCGTTGGGAGTGGAGGTTTTATGCTTCAACAATGGCGCTTTAGGCCTCAGCAGCGATGGCCTTTGCCTCCATGGGTGTAGCGACAAAAGGATCGGTGTTGGTAGCGTTGAGCAAATCGATCAAGGTGCCATCCTCCAATTCCAGACTCCACTCTGTTGTCTCGAACTGTCGTCTCTTGTCAGCACATCATCCTATTTCTTTGTCCGTGTCGAGCGGGGTTCAACTCACAATACCCATCCTTGTAGGTCTATGACTCTTGAACCTCATCTTCGCCTGCTGTCTCGTTCCCTTGACCCAGTAAACGACATCAATCTTTCCATGCAACTGGTTGATCTCTCCACCGATATAAGGAATCTTGCTTGCAAAGTACACTTCATCTCCAAGGATCTCTCTTGCCAAGGCATTTGTTCGCAATGAGTACATTGTGCTGGTTACGACCGAGGAGTTTTGCTTTTGGTAGTTGAAGATGGCGAGGGTGGAGACAGCCATGGCGGCGAGGAAGAGGGGTGCGGTGATCATCCATGATTTCGAGGGAGTCATGTCAGGAAGGGCGCGGTCGGCGCGGCGCTCCATCAAAGGACCCGAGTTTGGTTTCGGCGGTGCGATGAGGGTGCGGCGGCATGTGAGATTGGTGGCATTGTTGCGCTTGAAGAGAGCCTCGAGGGGCTTGCGGAGCGGTAGTCGTGGCGGCATTGTGATGTGTGATTTGGGTTGTCTTTCGAAATGGTCTGTTTCTTCTCTTCTTCTCGAAGCTCTGGTGATGCTGGTATACCGCCGGCTTTTCTCCGGGCGCTGGGTCAGACACGTCATTCGCGCTCCATTTCGCGGCGCGTCTTCCCAGACTCCGCGTTTTGGGGCTTTCGAGAAAGTCCATCTCTCCAGCTGGCAATACGAGTAAAGACAAGCAGCAAGTCACAAACCACACAACCATGGCGACCCGTCTGCGCAAAACGTTTCGCTACCCGGTCGAAGATGCAAACAGCGACGACAGCGATCGCGAAGAACTGGACGAGCAAGAGCAGGAAACAATCATCGAGGACCTCGCGAAGCGGGACTTGGACAATACAATCTTCTACCGCCGCGCTTTCGTCGCTCTGCCTGCAACAGCTGCCTTGATCTATCTGCCCGTTCTATTCGCTCCAGAGGCTTTCAGACATGTCTTGCTAGCTTTACTGTCTTTGACCGCCTTGGCCGGTACAGTCTACATCTTGCTCTGTGTTCCTTCTGCGCCAGCTGCTGTCGACAGTACGAGATTGTCGGCTGCTATGATCGACGGTAGGGGTCCGCTGGACATCGCCCTACCGTGGTTGAATGCCGCCCTGAGTGCAGTACTTGCCCTCACTGGTGTGCTGGCTTGGAGAAGAGATTTGGTCGATGAAGCCTGGCGCGCCTTTCTGCCTGGAGGTATCTTCTTTCGTCTATTCGTCACTCCTTTTGATCGTGTGCTGACTATGCTTCCCCAGCCATTTTCCTCGTCACAATGTACGCTCGCTCTCAACTGGTCCCACTCGACGTCGCGAGTCTGGAACGCCTCAAGTACAATTACAAAGGTGCTTGATTTTTCTATGCTTCTTGCAGAACCTGATTATCCATCATCAATCATCTTCCATGCTCCCTGTGATAACCTTCCGCTTTTTTTGCTTCCGCCAAAAACACCGCCTTGGTTTCATTATTCCTGCGCCATCCGCCCCATATCTATAGCTTGTCTTTACATGTCGATGCTTTCGTGGAATCGAAGCACTGCATTGTTGTCGAGGTATCCGTCCACCTCGTCCGGCAGTGCGTCGAAGGATGCTCTTGCAACTTGCTCCTGCGTTGTTGAGTTGGTCACGTCTGCGATCAGCACCAATCCTGCCGTCTTGACAGACTCGATCAATGCCGGTACCAGCTCCTGTTGATCCTGTCAGCTCACGTGCACTCCTATTATGTCTCCACTCGCTACTCACCAGTAATCTCGAGCTGCACATCAGTCCCATGAAGTTGTTGCTCTGTGCGATTCTCACTGCCTCCTTGACAGATGTTGTGGTACGGCCACTGCTGTACACTGGCCATTCTGCCTCTTCAGACATTGCCTGCTCGATGCCGAGGTCGTTGCACAAGAGCACGGGATCTGCATATTTCGTTAGTCGGGCTCAAATAATTCGTCATCAGATCTACTCACAGTTGGGCTGTTTCCAGTTGAGTGCTGTGCAGATGTTTGCATTATACGACGAGAAGACGATTGATCTGATGAATCCTTCGTTGGCTCCTCTCAGTCGGCTGGCGTGGTCGAATACCTCCTTCAACGAGGCATCCACAAACTCATTGATATTGCCTGTTGGTCCGAGTTGCAATAGCTCTTCTTCCGCCTTGGTTGGGAAGAGCATGTGCACGTCCAGGTGCATCTGTGGAGGCAGAATCTCAAGAACGTCATGTAGGGAGGTCCAGGACGTCGCGAGTCTCTTTGCCAATTGGTCAGGATGTGATTGAAGCAGAGCCCTCAAGCTTTCAGGTCCTTTGCCGTTTGCTTTGCCAATTGCGGAAAACTGCTCGTAAGTCAATCGACTAATCAGGTCGTTCCTCACACCGTATGAGGCGAGCGTCGATGGAATGGCCCATGAGGGGTAGAGGACTGGCACGCCGTCCTTGGTTGCCTGTACAAAGATACGCATGTAGTCTCCACTCAAACTTGAGCCGGTGATCAGCGCGTTTGGCTGCGAGCTGATCTGGCTTGTCGCCTTCCAGTAGGTAGCGAATTGTGTAATCTCCATAGGGATTCCATGGAATGGCGTGACCACCTGGTACTTGAAGCTGATACGGCCGATAGCTCGGAGCCTGGGGTCAAACAGCTCCAAGTGCCAGTTGCCAGAGCTGCTGTATCTACTAGAGAACACAAGCGATGATGCTGCGCCTCTAGCAATTACCTTTGAGCCGAAAGTTGGGAAAATGTCGAAATCGATTGAGAAGGTATCGAGGTTGTCGATTTGGAACGAGATGACCTTGAATTCGTCTTGTATCGGTAGGGGAATGTTGCGTGGGATGAGATCTGAAGACTTGGATGATATCGTCAATCTCGCAGCAGGGTACTTGTTATCGCCGTAGAATTCAATTGCATCCGAATCTTGTGAATCAAAGCTGATGACGATGAATGTTTTTGTAGTGTCAAGGAAGTTGTGTCCGTAGCGTCTGAGAGGAATGATGGGCGGAGGCAAAGAGAGATCGGGAATAGCTTCCATGTCGGCGCTTGCGGGAATCGGTGCGCTTGAACTGAGGATGGACTGGAAAGTGGCAGGGGCTGCCGCTGGCTCCTCACGAGCGATGCCTCTGCCATGTCCTGCTTTCTCTAGCAGTCGCAGACAGTCAAGATGACCCTCCCATGCAGCGTAGTACATGGCAGAAAGATCTTTCTCGTCCAGCGCATCAACGTCTACACCCAGCTCAAGTAGCGATTGAAGGCATGAGAGGTGGCCTTCGCTCGCAGCATGGAAGAGCGGAGTCCATTGGTACAGCTTGTCCGGCTGATCCAGATTGGCTCCGTAGTTTTTCAGCATCTCCAGAATCTGCGGGCTGCGGCCTGATCTAGGAACAAGATGCTGCGGGTACAGACCCTCGGCGTCTGGCAAAATTTGTGGGTGGTATTGTAGAAGGAGATCGACGATCGCGACCGAACCATACTGACAAGCAAGGTTGATAGGAATGTGATCAGCCTCGCCACTTGGGTCGACACGAGCTCCCAGTTCCAGGACTGCTTGCACCGCGGCAAAACGAGCATGGACGATGCCATGGATCAGGGGTGTGAAGTTGTCCAAGTCCTTGTAGTCGACACTTTCGGCAACAGGTGCGGCATTCGGGGAAGTGCTTTCAATACCCTGCATTGAGTGAGCCGAATCGTATTTGACCAGATCCTTGATCACCTCTACATGACCACGCATACAGGCGTAATGCAGCGGAATACGGCCGTAGATATCTGTTGCGGTGGTATTTGCTCCACGCTCAAGAACCATCGTCAGACTGTGTACTCTTCCTGAGATTGCCAGCTCGTGTAAACAAGTACGTTCGTTAATCTCATCCACGTAGCTTAGGTCGACCAGATTCGTCTCCAGTAAAGTCTTCTGCATTTCGAGCGGTGCGTCGTTGACTGTACTGAGGAAGATGCGGTTGACACGCTCTCGTGCTTCATCTGTAGATCCAAGTCTTGAGATCCATTCCATGATTAGTGTCACGTTGCCAGTGTTGACCGCCTGTTGCATCTGCATCTCGATGTCGTTATCTTCTTGCGCTCCTGCTTGAGGCCTTTGCTGTTGGTCGCCACTGGGAACATATTCAATCTTCTCGCCCTCGGCCCACGCACCAAGTTCGAGCAGACTCGAGGTAGCTTGATCAGAAAGATCTCTGATGACATCTCGATTGAAGCAAGGCTGGATCTCTACAGCTCTTGAGAGATACAGCTCCTTCGTACGTGATTTTGATGTTTTGTCCCACTACAATATTGAGTCAGCAACTGGCGGTCCATCTTCTAGGGCAATCAAGCCAAACCTTCTTGAGGATCTTCGAAAAGGCCGTTTGATTGATCTCGATGAATTGCTGCTGACGTTAGAACTATCGCTGCGTGGTATGACTGACATGACAAACCTGTAGCTTATCGAGATCACTGTTGAACAACCGGAAGCCTTCGTCGAGGGTAACAAAGACGGTGGAAAGTTTTGAAGCAGACAGACCGCGTGCCTGTAATGACTTCTTTCTGTCTGCCAACGTCTTCAACCGTAACTTGAGCTGTATGACAGTGTTAACAAGAGTTTCGGAAGAACGGATGAGCTAGAGCATACCTCGGCCTCTTTCTGCAGATAGAAGATGTTGACTTTCTCAAGCTCACGTTCCTAAAGAGTGGTCAGTCCAGAGCCATGAGCAAAGGGTGGGCTATATTACCAGGCGGAAGAAGAAGGTGGCCTTGTTGGCTTGGAGAGAAGCTTGAGAGTCCGCAAGGCCGCTCCCGGAATGTGTGAGGTCTTGTGCATGAATAATGGGCGTTGCACTGAGCTTCTTGATCAACTACAACTTATTAGCAAGATGCGAACTCAAATCTACACGCGATTGTTGATGGCGACAGCATCACTGCTTAATTACCTTCTTGAGAGCTTTGTAGTCAACGAAGCTGGCGGCATATTCTGGGATATCCAGCTGCCTTTTCTGGATGTGCTTGCCGAACTTCCTGATGGCGCGGAAATCAGCAAATAATCATACAATTAATGAGAGAGACGGCAAGTCAGGGAACAACGTACATCTTGAGTGAGTTGAGCGGGCGTGATGTTGTCGGCGTTCTATAATAGTGGCGTGGAGGGGCTGACGAACAGCTATGCTGTCAAGATTGCTTGAACTTGATTGGCAAACAAGCGACGCGAACTGTGTTGATGAGAGACGGGCTCGACTCTTATTTGGACTTTAATCCTTATGACATATGGGTCCGGGCGAGATTGTTCGTGTTTGCGGTCGGAAAAGGGCGTCAGATGAGTATCGCGTACACGTAGCAGCTTGCCGACGGCTGTTGAGAGGGGCCTCTGATAAGCATTGGCAAATGCCGCCAACCTAATAATCACTATGTGGATCGTTCTCTGGATTATCCTGTCCTCACCACGTTCAGAGGTTGGAGAAAGCACAACTGCTCGAGAGACTGAGCGCAGCTTTTCGACCAATGAAATCGTCCGGGGGTGCACGTGGAAGGGGCGATGGTAAAGCGACCCGCTTCTAGAGACACCCGGGGCGACTACCAAAATGATGTATTTCCAACCTCGAGTAACTACAACTTTATCAACCAGTCAATTCACTTCCGGAAAGAATACAGGTCACTTCATATGGTCCTGATTAGTCCACTAAGGCGATAAAAGAGGTGTTCAAGCAATCAGTGTCCTTGCATAGAGCAGATCATACATTGTCTTTACACAAGTTCCCAGGCCAGAGGGGGGCTCAGTACCCACGGGGAAACATTCCCCTTCCTAAACAGGCGGTCTCCGACCTTAGCTTCACAACTTGCCCTTTCCGCAACGACACGATTTTGAGATCACTACTTTTCTCAACGCCTATTGCTACCAAATTCAGGACGGGAGCGACGATGTTGTTGGTCAAATACTGCCAGTGCAGACGCCACGTCGTCCGTATTCCTGTCTGCCGGTATTGCGACAGGGCCAGGCCTGTGTATTTCGCTGAGCAGATTCCGATTTATATCAACTAATCATCTAGCTCGTTCTACTGTCGCGTGCCCACTGAAAGACCCAGCCGGTCTCATGTGCATGTCACTGCCCCACTACCGCGTACTCCCCTTTCTTCCATGACCCCCATGACCTCCACGTTCACTGATTCATTATTCGTGTCGCCGGTTTCTGCCTGAATGGTTCACGGGGTCTCCGGTAGGGTCTCCAGCTAAGATGTGGACCATGCGACATCCGTGTGAGCACGAGGCTTGCCCTCGTAACGTCTACTGTACCACATAACAGAGATCCCTGCGCCCGTAAATCCCCGAACTGCTCAGGTCTGGTTGACCTAGACAGACACATCTTAACATGGGACATCCCACCGCTTCTTTTACATGTTACGATTACCATTGATGGCCCGCGGAGATTTTGACATTGATCTGTCGCGCCGAAAGCCATCTATTCTCCCTGTGCGCTGAACTTGGCCACGCTCATGGCTATAAAAAATGCTTTCCAAATTGGAGTGGCCTCCAGTGAGAGGTCGTCAACAGGTCCCTCTCTAGCAACGAACGCACCACTCTCAAAAACATCTTGCATTCCTGCAGCTTCGATGAGAGGTTTTACCTTTGGCTTTGGACCCTTTCGAAGTTCGGCCGGGCCTTCCTTGGAGCCAGAAGTCACCATCGTCCTTTCCCTGAAGCCGAAAACAACACGTGCAAGCAGCCAAAGAGTGCCCGTTCATGACTCTGACTCAGTCTCAACCGCTCTCTGTCAAATCAATACCTACCAGGCGCCCCGCATAATTTCAACTCCCTTCGCGCTCCTCTCTATTCTTCTGCTTGGTCTCATTGCCGCCTCACACCGTTCATCATGCTCCTAGAACTCTACCAGCCGCCTCCTTCGAAACTCGATACCTACTATATCCTTGGAGAGATTGCTTAGAAAGCCACAGCTTTGGCCGATGTCCATCCTACTGTCGATTTGGACTTACTCCGTCAGCTTGCCGATGGTGTCCGAAGTGATCGTATTGGTTCCGAAGATGCGACCCGTGCTTTGTGTCAGGTTTTTGAAGACACTTTCACCTTCGAAGTGCTCCATGGCCAGCTCAATTCCGATTTGAAAGCGAAAGTCTCGGCATTTCTCAGCGGCACTCCCGCAGATGATATTGCAGCCAAAGGCTTCGATCCCACCCCTGCCCCTCTGAGCCTTCACAGACATCCTTTTGGTGGACGTGTACCAGATGCGCACAAGAAACATCATCTCTTTGGTGGCCGCGCCCGTGCTAAAGTCGAAGAAACTATTGATACATTGGAGCATCGCCCAATCGTGTACGAGGACCATGAAAGAACCATGATCATGGAGGTAAGAAGGACTTTGCAGACACACATCCAATCGCCAGCTGACACATCGCGTAGGTATATGCCGACATCCCATTCCTGAACTGGCAACAGAACGTACAGACCAGACCCGCCCTGACATTTGTCCCTTCCACCGTACTCGGCTTGCAGAATTTGATCAAGGCATACCCTCATAGACGCATCCGATGCAGCGGTTACCGTCATACCAGATCTGACTTCTTCGCCGAAGACGGAGATATTCTCGTCTCTTTCGTCAGCTTACACTACGTCGCAAGCGTTCTACCGGAGATGATCAGCATGTTTTCCGATCGTATCAACGAAGCCGAGCTGTCAGGCGAGTTGAGAAGCGTCCAGACCTTCCCTCCGAGGGCTGGTCAACCAGATACTCAGCGCGTCCGAGTTGGTGTGGCAGTGACTCCCGAAGAGCTTCGTGAGTGGGCTATCGCTGATGGATGGTCACTTCCTGTAGATGTCACAGCCGATGAGTAAGATGAGGTGGCGAATCAAGCTTTCCCACAAGAGCACAACTGACGTTTGCCTTGCAGGGTGACTACTGGTGGGATTGTTGGCTCCATGTGCCATGGTTCTGGCTTCGCCCACAAATCGATCAACGACTACATCCGATCCGTCGAGTACGTCGACGTCAACGGTGTTGTTCAGTCAATCACAGATGCTAAGGAGTTGCACGCTGCCTTGGGTTGTTTCGGCCTCATGGGTATCATCACGCACATCACGTATGAGGTCAAGAAGATGACATTCGCTGTCATGCAACCTCGTAAGGTAAAGACGATGCTTGCCGTCCCGCCACCCGACCCGAGCCATGTCCCAGAAGCGTTGTTCGTCGAGACCAGTCCCGATGAGCTCCAGGAGGCGATCGTCGACTTTGAACGAAGAGCTGCGCAAGATCATTATGCGGAGTGGTCATGGTTCTCCTACCAATCCGATGTTCTCGTCAATACATGGTCGACAGTGGCAGACAGTGAAGGCGAAGAAGACTATACCACTCCTACTCAGACATTCCTGCAATGGATTGCAGCATAGATCACCGCAGTCATTGTCGGTACTGATTTCTACCCTGACATCCCAGCTCGTTGGCAAAGTCAGATTCTCGCAACTGGAAATATGGCAGTCCTGTCACCGCTCACCACAGACCCAGAAGATCTGACCATCAAGACAAAGTTACCTAATGCTCTACACTTCCGACGTGGTCGCCACTACGCTCGTTCCAGAAACATGGAAATTGAGCTTCCGATACCCCCATTAGCAACAGACAACAGCAAGCCTGATTGGCTGACGGTAAGGAAGGCTTGGTGGGGTGCTCTCAATTTGGTGTACAGCTCAGCAAATTCACCAATGCGCCTGGCCATGGACATGCGGATCACTGGCGACAGTGACATAATTATGGCGCCTCAGCGAGGAAACAGTCATGGTACTGTCGCCCTCGAGATTGGTTCCGTCACTGACACAGTCACCGAAGAAGAATGGCAGACTTTCTGTCAAAGTTTTGTAGACATGTTGACTGCCCTGGCTCCAGAGGGTAAGCTGCGTCCGCATTGGGGTAAAGAATGGGTGAAGATGCGTTTTGGTGGGCTTCCAGCACGTGAATATATCAGGACGTCTGCATATAAGACCGAGATACCAGAGTGTCTTGCGATGTTGCAGAAGATCGGCAAGCGACAAAGTTGGACATTGAACGACTTACACAAGAGGTTCTCGAACAAACTGTTGGACGATCTCTTTTTTCACGAGCCCTCTGAGCACGCATGACCTGTCCTAACTGCTCTCATGAAGAGCACGTAATATAGCCGAGCAAATATTTCTTGCTGCAATTATATCCTGATATCCAGCTTCCAGAAGCTTTCTTCGCCAAGAAGTGGCTGTGCAGACCCTGTGGCTTGACCAGTGCTGACCTCCGACTCCACGGCCCGGCCGCCTGTGCTCCACTTCGTGATAGACATCCATTACATCTTCTATAATTTATCGCACCGCATAAACGAATCATAAACAACATCTCAAACACTTTGATAAACCACGGCAACTTCTGCAAACTCCTTCGCAGTTGCTCCGGCTGTTATTTAGAGAGTCGCAACTTTTTTCAAGCAGCTTTTCACATCGCACCATCGCCACCATGCCAGGCGCAAAGTTGTGGGCAAAGATGATCGGATCGTACGTGTTTCCTTCTTCACTGACTTGTGAGCCATTGAGAAGATACAAATACTGACCTGCTGTTTCTACAGTGGTGCCGTGCTGTGTATCGGCGGTCCTTACCTGATCTACTACGTCACGCCAACCGAGGAGGAATTGTTCATGGTGAGTTTTTTTCTGCTTCCATTGTTTATGCCTCACGAACGTCAATTCTCTTGATCTATGTATTTGAGAAGGAATACCGTTCGTTATACGTTGAGAAACATCGCTGACTCGATTGCGCAATTATAGAGATACAACCCCGAGCTGCAGAGAAGATCGCTGGAGAATCGCAAGGAGAAGCAGGAGAACTTCAACGAGTGGGTCACGCAGCTCAAGAAGCACTCGAAGAGTGATTTGCCTCGTAAGTCATAACTCCATTCTCACTCTTCCAATTTTTTTATTTTTCTCGCTCGTGTCATGTTTCCTAGTCTCTATCTTTCCCCTATTCAAGTTTCTATGCGTCAGCTTCATCGAAAGCTCAGAAGCTTATTCACAACACTATCTCTGTTCTTATGTCAGAATGTTGAGAACTCTTCACTGACATACCGCCTCACAGTCTGGACAGCCTGGGACAAGTCATCAGCCGAGCACAAAGAAGCCGGCGTTGCCCGCCTGCTCGAGGAACGCAGAATCGCCGAACAAGCCGCCCAAGCCAGAAAGGACGAGATCAAGAACTCTGCCGCTTGAAATCTTCTCTCAGTAACAAAAACAACTTTACACTTGTATTTCTAGATTGATCAAAGTAAACAAGCATTTCTTCTCTATTCATGCGATAGGAATGAGCTCTCAGCTTGCCATGTGACATTTGCAAATACCTTATCAAAAGGCAAGATGGTTTTGGGGTTGAGTGGATGACCAGAGAGAGTGAGTGGTGGTAGGCGCTCTCAGTGGCCAGTCGATCAACGTCGAATATCATCTTGCCTTTTGACGTGCATATTAGCAATCTTGTAGGACAGATGAGATACTGTTCTCCTGCAATGTCCTCAGAAACCTGGCCTTTTTCGTTAGATGTATCGGCGGTATCACTCACTGGACGTTCCATCCAATTACAAAACATTCACTTCAAGGACTGAGTAGTTTGGGGACGTTCCATTGTATGTATTATAAAGGCTGCTTTCTGCCATGCCATTTCTGTCAAACCCATTCGTTTGATTCCACGCTCTTGCTTCTACTCGATGCAATCCTGCGACCTCGTTACATATTCAACATCTTCTTCCACTCCATCGAGAGACCCGGGTTGTCGTTCATTTGTAGATTATGAGTCCCTTCGCCGTCCTCCTCGTCGTCGTCGATGATGATCAGAGGCATGCCACGATAGGTGGACTGTTTGAGCTCGCCGGACTCCGAAGCAGTGGGCCAAGGGTGCGAGTTGGCGACCGACATGGGAGCGCTCATGGGGCCCGGCTTGATGTGATTGTTCTCGTCATCCCAGGTCAACGGTTTGGGTCTGAATTCTCTGTCGCGTCGCACGAGAGGACTGCCCAAGGATAGGCCAGGGGTGTCGAGGGCATTTGATGGATTTAGAGAGTTGCTGGGACCGATGGCGTTGCGGCGAGATCTTTTTGTCGATATCGAGAACATAATGTTGGCCCATTCTCTCTGTGCAGATCGCTTGGGTGTGAATGGACTGGTGAGGTATTCGTCTTCTTCATCATTGCCATCGTCTTCGCGTTTCTCATCTTCTTCGCCGTTATCGTCATCCTCGTCATCGTTGATATCGTCTTCGTCCACACGATTGTCTGAGGATCTCTCATGTGACTTAGAGGCCTTCTCCTTTCCCTTGGACGAGAGCCTGGATGTAACACTTCTCCGAGGTGCGACAAGTAGATCCTCCGGAAGCAACTCGATGATAGGGACGCCATAGGCATGGAACATGGAAGTTGTGTGCAGGCCACGCTTCTTTCTTGCTTCATCACACTCCTTAACTGCAGCGTCCATCATATCTTGTTGCTCCTGTGCAGTGGCTGTGAGGAAGGCCGGTGACTGCCTGACCACGTTCGTGGCGCGGTTCCGGTGTTCATTGTCCAGCCTCGAGCGTTTGCCGTAGGAGTAGATTTTGCCATTGGGTGCTCGGGCTTTGAATCTCAAGTGCTGTAACTCGTGCTTGCTAAGTGCAGGGGCTTCCGTAGACGGAGAGACGGTATGTTCGGGACTCGAAGACATGGCTTGACATCAACTGTAACAGAACAATCAATTTAGCCACATACGGAACTAAAAGCTAGTGTTAGATGGCTGACCTTGACTTGTGTGATGGTATGTGATGTCCTTAATCGAGACCAAGTGAGTCCTGCTAGACGCTTTGCTGTGGGCAGAATGTGAAGGCGGTTGGTAGTGAGTATTTTTGTACCGTTGCTGTTTTTGTGAAGGAAGCAGCACTTTTATAGGGGTTGTTATGGCAATTGACTTGAGCATCGATATTGTGAACGTGAAAGCGGCTGTCTCGAACCAATGCATCGAATTGTTGTTGGTGTCGACGTGTGACTCGAGAACGGCATTGTTGTGTTGTTTACAATGGTTTGAAGGAGCTCGTGACGGTGAATAAACATGTGCCTGCCTTTTGCAACTTGTCTTGGCCATGATAGGTCGCACCTGCCATAAACAATGCTTTCTATCCATCACGATTGGTATAGTTCAGAAAAGGTTCAAGGACTATTCCTATAACATTATTTCGTAATGACGGTACTGCCTGCGTTGGTACCATCAACCGGCGCACTAATCATCAAACACACTACGATTGAAGAAGCGGAATATTTGTCTTCCAGCCTCCTTTCCGATCAATGCTGTCAGTTCGTCCTCGTCAGCATTGGCAACTTCCGCTACGTTCTCATACTTGAGAATCAAATTCGTCAAGTTCTTCGGATTTACACCTGGCACAGCGCGAAGCATGTCTTGTGGTAGTTGGTTGAAAGTTCTCTCTTGGCCGTCCATGTCGCTCTCTTCCAGACCAATATTGACGGCTTTGATCGGATCTGGCTCCTCCTGTTGCTTTTTGAGCTCTTCAAATATCTCCGCCGTCTGGTATGGTGATGACGACCAGATGATTCGTAGACGAGGGAAGGCGAGGGTCAGTAGAACGAGTTTCGACTGCAAGTCTGAGGCTTGCAGAGAGCCAGAACCCACACCTGATGACAAATCTGCAAAAGGCTCCAATGTAAAAGACTTCTGAGCATCAAACTCGATCAGAAGCATCGGACTCTTGTAGTGCTGTTGCATGGTTTCGGCCTGATGATAAAGACGACCGTTCTGGAAAGACTGAATAAGATCCTTGATCGACTTTCGCTCAATACAGATCTCAGGGGTCAGAACATAATCGCCGACCGTGAGCGTGCATGGAACAATGACCATATTCCTTCCATGCAGAAGCGAGGGCAATGATGAGCGGAACTCTCGAACATCGATGACGACTCTTGGTGGTTCTGCAGTTGCAACGAGTCGGCCTCCACCGGCGATTCGCGTATTGACTGTACGCAAGAAGGATTCCTGGGGGTCCAGCCCTGCAGGGTCGTGTGTGAGAGTTACAGCCATAGAACCTCTTTCACGAATCAATTTGGTGAAGGCGTCCTTCTCCTTGCGTACGGCGCTCAAATATCGCTGCTCTTCCACACTTCCTCCATAGTACATGAAGTACACTCTGACGTTCCGGTTCGAGTGACTGCTTCTGTAAACCTCGATACGTCGAATGAAAGCTGCATCAGGTTCGTACATGATGACATATCTCGGCTTGGTCTCCTCCAGGATGTGTTCGTCCATGTCGCCGTCGTAGGGATGTACCATTATTAGATCTTTCATGTCATAAAGTTCGTAAAAGTCGTCCATATCATCCAGAGGGTCAGCACCGATCTCGACTTTTTGTTGCGCTTCGGCTTCTGTAGGCTCAAGCTCAGCCAGAAGGCTTTGTACGTGAGACTCTTTGTCTCCTGCCACATGGATACTGCCATTTGCTGTGCGTGTAGGAACGGAAGCAGCAGATGAGCCACCTCGCATACGGCGTCGCTTATTAGACCCACCGCCCCTGCCTCCACGTCCCGCCTGAGCATGACGCTGGTCAGTAGTGCCGTTGATATTCTTCTGGTTCTCTGCGAAGAGTGAATTGCTGACTCGATTGAAGTCTCGTTTCCAAAGGAAGTAGTTTCTGAGCTTTCGTCGCATCATAGCAGCACCGGAGGGCCCTCTGGCATCTTCGTCGGGATCCTCGGTTGCCGATGTCGTATCAGGCAGGACGTTCATACTCTGTAGATACTCACGGATCTGGCGGCAGGTTCCTTGGTCACCACACATGATCAAGATACTGCCATTTGATTCGTCCTGGAACGAAGGATTGAAGTACATGTCGCGCTCAATCTCTTCCAGTATTTCGGCCAGGAGATTCCACTTTGGCATCTCTTCCAGGATAGGACGAAGAGAATCGGGAACACCGGTTTTTGAGTTCATGCCCTGGCTATCCTTAATGTTGCCAGAGTATACACGTCGCTTGGCATTGTCGAAGATGACATGGGCAGCATCGAGGAATAGCCAAGGTGACTGGTTCTGACGATTTGAGCCAGGGGGAGGAGAAGATGCGGCCAAGACGGTGTCGAGATATCTCAAGAAGCTCACGGCGTCGAAGGTGAGCAGGTAGTGTAGCATGTTGCGTAATAGAGCAAGGTCACGGACGATCTGACGAGTTCTGAAATTGGTGCGGTGCCAGACAGGGTCCAGTTGGCGACGAACGATGGCATCGAAGTTGCGGTGCAGAGCACTATCAAGATTCCAGTCCTCCATGTCTAGGCCAGTGTTTCCCTTTTTCAACTCGGTGATGCTGACTTCGACACACTCCATGATGGCATTCTGGATGTCGCGCATGTGGTCTGTCATGGGGACTTCGAGCTCGATGACTTCTGCTTTGCGGCGACCTTCGAGAGACTTTGCGACAGTAACATGGAAGCGAGGGTACAGCGAGGGTCGTCTCAGGAAGAGGTTACGCATCATGGTTGCCAGAGGAGCGAAGCCTGAAGCGAAAGGTTCTGGGGCATCGGAGAAGGCCTTGAGGAAGCCTTGCTTGTTCTTCTGACGGTATACACGGACGATGAAGGCTTCCAGGGATGTGGCAGCAATGCGTTCGGCATGGAGGACAACGAGGCCGGTGATTTTGGCAGGGTCGAGGTTCTCGGTCAAGAGGTCGACGACCAGGATACGGGATGTAACGGTAAAGATGCCTCCCTGTTTGTACATTTTTTCTCTCTGTCCGACATCCGTCAAGTCGGTGTTGACCAGACTGAGGCCACGGCATTTTGGTGAGGCGCTGATGGCGGCGTGCTCAGCCAGAGCTTCTCCAATCCATCCATTCTCTCGGTCGTCTGCTCCGACTACCACTATCAGGTTGTTCCCGGCAGCATCGTACGAGTGGAGGAGGTTGGTGACAATGCGCAGGAGGCCGAGACCACGCGCCATGATAACGAGCTCATCTTCGTCGCGGAGCTCTCGGAATATGTCCTGCTGGAATTCCTATCCCACCGTTAGCATTACCACACCAGCTTCGTCGCCTTCTCAACAGCATACCAGCGGCAATGAGAGCTTCACCGGCGCTTCATTGTTGTCCGACATGGAGTCGTTTGACAGTTGCATCTGATGGCGGCACTCTTACTCTTGCTCCAACACCACTGGACGCTTTGACCTTCATGACGTAATGGTATAGAGAATTGAGGCAGTCGCGACCTCCAGACTGATTTGTGTCTTGTCTTCTCTCTATTGCTACACTGCATCTTGTCGATTCGTCACCTGTATCCTGACTTCCATATATTCACAATCATCCCGTGGTACAGTGCCCAGCATTCGGGTCAATCCCCCACCGCCATGTAATTTCAACACGAAAATATTCGGGTGCTTGGCAGGTCGCCCGAGGAGCCGAATCCTTTTTTGGTGACCAGCCTCACCAAAATACTCACGCGTGACGTGCAATGCTCTATTTCCGTCCTCCAGAACTAAAGCTATCTTTTTGTTGTGGATCGGGTTAATGCAGGACACCGATCCGCTTGAAGCTTCTCGCTAACAACCCGGACATTTCATGTCTATAAAGGTAGGAAGTGCTCCCTGCTTGTATTCTCGTGCTCTCCCTCTTCATAATCCATCATCCACAATGCGTTCCTTCTCGACCATCACTATTCTGGCTGCCATCGGAGCAGTTGGAGCCGCTCCTGCTCCTGCCTCGCACATCAACAGCGCTAGATCTGACGCCGACACTGCCAAGGCATACACTCCTGTCGTCTGGAACACAACTGCAGTCGTCGATGGCATCAACATTCACAACATGCCCATCCAAGCCCGTGATGGTGCCTTCAAGGTCGGCGGCGATGCTGCGGGTGTCTGCCCAGTATGTGATCAAAACCGCCGCATTTGCTTGACTGTCATACTGACCATGCTTCCTCACAAAGTCATACGACCCCGACTGTTCCTCTCAGAACAAGACCATCATCTCTCCCGGTGGCAATAGAACCATGTGGATGGGTATCCTAGACTCCTATGGCCAACAGGTTGTTGCAGGAGATGGTCAGAGCTTGCAGTACACGCTACCCAAAACCTACCATGACACGCAGTCGGGTGTGCCTTGGGGTCAATCATTCGATGTCGACTTTGACGATTATTCGAACGAAACGGTCATGCGTTTCAACGGTGATGACTTTGTTGCATGCCCGAGCTGGGGCGGCGCTGGCATCACCATCCAGCCTCTATGGGACAAGGCTGCCGCCTATAAATTTCCTGGTTGTGTCCCTATCAAGTTCAGGTTGGTCGAGACGACTGCCCCTGCTGTGGACTACTACCAGAGTAATTGCTGCCAACCTTGCACCGAGTACTACCACGGTCCTGAACGATACCCCGTCCACCTCGACAAGTGCTACGACGCCTTCCCCGGAGGTATCAAGTACGGACAGGGACAGTAGAGAGACTTGAAATAGCCAACAATTAGTCGTCTAATCTAAAGCCTTTCGTGTCTAGCAACCGTCTGCTCCAAGAAGATTATCAACCTTACACTCAGTATAGCGAATTCGGATCCGTGGCTTTGCGCTTCACACCTATGAGCAACTCAAACGTACGATCCTTGAAAGGTTTCCATCGCTTCTGGAAAAATTGATCCCGAGCCCAGTAACGACCCAGACTGGTAATAGCTTCTGAGTTTCCAACACCATCACCCCAAGACAGTGCAATTTGGGGTACCCATCTACCAGACTTGGGCATTCCGAAATTGCACTGAATCTCCCATTCCTGATCCTTGGTCACACAACCCATCATAATTGATCTCTCATGGCGCGTGATGAAGTGAGTAGAGGTTCCAAATCGAGGCTCATGAATAATGAAATCCATGTGCGGGTACTTCTCGACATCGAGGAAGGCGCGAAGGGCATTCGGATGCCAGTTGTAGAGGACCGTCGCAGCTCCTTGTGCAGCAGTAAGTTTGGTATGGTCGACATCCTCGTCAAAGTTGCTCAAGTCGACGATCTGTACAGGAGATCCATCGATAGAGAGGTTCAACCCAGGAAACGGCGCAGCAGAGAGGAAAGTAAGAGGTCTGCGGGGATCTTCCTCGTCTTCATCCTCGTCCTCGGAGTAATCGTCTTCATCTTCTTCTTCTTCTTCATCTTCTTCTTCATCTTCTTCTTCATCTTCTTCTTGGTCTTCTTCATCTTCTTCTTCTTCGGCTTGGGGCTTCTGCTGTTGCTGCTTGCAAAAAGTCTTGTGCGATTTCCAGTGGGTCTTTTGGCAGTCTCGGGAGCAGTATGATGCTTGTGTGCAGCCACCACATCTTTTGAGAGTGATACCAGCAGGAGCGGCAGAGCCACAATTGGCGCAGGAACTCATGGTAGTTTCGAAAATTGGCGACTCCAGAACTGTGAATTGTTCTGGTCAGTAGTGCGGGCTCAATGGTCTTCTGGGTTACATTGAATATCATATATATATCCGGTCATACAGGTGACCAGGCTGACGCGATTTTGGCTTCGTGTCTCGCGGTCCACGCGTCAAATTGATTTTCTTCAAGAGCCATTCCCCGCGACCACAGCTGAGGACATTCAGGTTGTGGGAATACACAATGTTTCTCAGATCAGCACAGTCATCCACTAAAATGTGCTGGGTATTGATCCCTCAATGAAAGCTACCGCTAACGTACCAAAAATCGAGGTGTGCATCTCCACGAGGAGGGAGAGGGAAGCAGCAAACGTGAGTTGATGCCGATCTCTCGAGGACGCATCGACGTCATACCTTTCAAGCTGCAACATAAACTCGCAGCAATTCTTCCAACTCCTCCTTTCAAGTTCTATGCTTGTCACTTGAATCGGAACAATGTCAGAGTACGAAAAAGAAACCGTTGTTGAGCTTCGACAAGAACTCAAGCAGCGTGAAATTCCCAGTACAGGACTCACACGCAAGCAACAAATTATCGAGAAGTTGGAAGAAAATGATGCCGAAAGGGGGCAAGACAAATCAGAAGCTGCTATAGATGAGGAAGACGAAGATGAGGAATCTGTAGGCTCGAGTTTGTCTCTATTGTTTTGATCAATTGACTGACTCTCCTAGTCGTCTGAAGAGCTCGACCTAGAGGATGAGGATTCAATTGTGCCCAGCAAGCGAGCAGCCGAACACACCGAGTCTGCACATGTCAAGAGGACGAAAACAAAGCACACCGGGAAAACTACTGGAACCGGAAAGCCTAGACTCACTACACCAGACATCGAATTTGACTACGACCGCTCACAACTTCGCGACCCACGTCCAACACCGGGCAGAATAAAACGACCCCGCTACGATGACCTCAGCTGTCCGGACGACCTAAAAGCCAAACTCAAGACCGAGTTCGAAGTGCGAAAGCCAGATACACCATCGGACGCTTCCCAAGAATATGAGCTTTATGACAATGAAGCATTGATGAATCCATTATCATCACTTCGCGAAGAGACTCTGATGGAATTGAAAGGACCAGGAGGCTCGCCAACATATGATACAGCAGGCTTTGAGATTGATTATCACAAGCTAGTCGACGGCACGAACCAACCAATGACCAAACATGAAATGATCAGCAATATGGACAAATCGATAGAGAAGGATGAGAAAGAAAAGAAGGAGATGTTCGAATTGTTCTTTTTGCCTGATGAGCATCCTGAGGATGATCCACTAGGTCATGAGATTGAGAACTTTGTCAAAGACCAAGTATCCAAGGACATCGGTGTCCCGTGGCATCAGATTGGTCCGAAACATGTTGAGCAATGGTTGCAGAAAGGACACGAGAAGGTGGCATTCAAGAATTGGTGGAAGGATCCAAATGAAGAAGAGATGAAAAGAATGGATAACATGACCTGCGGATGCGTATTCAGAAAAGATCTCTAGATTGATGAGACTTGACCAAGAAGTCGATGTGGCTTGAAATGGTCACTAATGACTGTATGATTACTAAATGGACTATAGCTTTTCTAGCTCAAACCACCCTGTGTCTCTAAGACGATCCTCCTATATCTTGTAATAGGTGTCGCGCTCTGTCCTTTGACTGATAGGATAACATGATAGGTCTGACAACCAGTGTCCGGACAAGCAAGAGATTCAGCCGGCATTTTGGTTTGGATAGTCGAACAAGCCTGGTTCAAGCATGTGAAGTTGAGCTGAGGTATTTGAGCATTGGCGTTGTATTGATTGCTGGCCGTGATATCCTTGTAGTGCATCCACTCGAAGGTCAATGTGGAACTCGAGTTGCTATCTGGATCGATAGTACTTGACGCGTTCAAGATAATGCTTTGCTCTGGCCGGACACTCAATGAGTATGGCGCAGTTCCAGTGGTTCCGTTGAGGCTGATCCTGGGCGGGTGGACGGCTGAGCTGTAATTCGAGGACAGGGTCCATTGCATACGTGCGCTCATTTCGTTCTGATACGCGCTACGCCATCTCCAAATGGTTGCATGGTTGGAGACAAAGGTATTTCCGGAAACACCCACCACTCTGTCGATGGTATCTGCATAGTGGTTCGATGCACCGGAGATGTCGGACAGAATATATCGACCACCCCAGCCACCAAACTCGGGACGAGCCGGTACATTAAGTCCGTTGGGAATGACCGAAAGAAGCGAGGGGCTGTCGCCCTCCATGATGAAAGCTCTATCCGGATACTTCGCGCCTAAGGGGCCGATTTGGAAGTTGTTGCGAATGTAGGTGTCGTCGACAAGTGTGGAGTCTGGACCACCTGCATCGAAGGCATACAACAAGTCGCCACTAATACCAGTCCATGCAGCATTTTTGTACATGTTGAAGCCATGTACTGAGGCGATGTATGGAATTTGAGGGAAGTTCTTGCGAATCCATGGTCCAGCATCGTCCTGATCAGAGATCGAATAGACGTGGAGTCGGCTGACAAAAGTTTCGAGGTCTCCCTGCGAGCCCGTACGGTTGACGTGGTCTAACGCTTCGGCCAGTACGTTGGCACCGCCCCAGAGTAAGACGTGCAGAGTCTCGTTCGAATTGCCAGCCGCCGAGATGAGCAACTCAGCACCTGTTGAGAGCGTACCGTTCTTGAGTGCCGCAAGCCCGTAAACCGAGTGACCTGCTCTGACCACAGAGCGCAGGCTGTCAGCACTGGGGAACGTGTTTTCGGTATGAGCATTGAGGTTAGTGGTAATGTTCTCGTAGCCGTCGATGACATCTAGTATGTGCTCAGGATAAGTGGTGTCATTTAGCCAGTAGGAGGTTGTTGTCGAGATGCCTTGAATTGACAGAATGTCAGAATGGACAAGCAATCGAACCAACGACATTTGGTCATCGGGCTCATTAGAGATATCCGTAACGACAAAGATTCGCGGATATGATGCGGAAGTGCTAGAGTTGGTTGCATCGATTCCCATGGGTGCTGATTGCACACCCATGCATAGCAGAATTAGCAGAGCAAGGTGAAAGAAGGCCATCGTATTTCGACTATCTGGCTCGAGTAGCTTGCCATGCAGTGCGTGCGAGCTCACCTTACTTATAGTCCTGAAGATCTTCATCTCTGCTCACTCAAGTTTCAGCCCCCAAGTCAGCATCGGCAATTGAGAATGGGGAGCATGGTAGGATCTTCGCATGTCCTTGCCCTATGATACGTCACTGCGAGGTGGTATTTTGCCATGAAGTGGAGGAGACAGAAGATGGTCGATCATTGTGGGTGACTGACCCACAGCCGACCCCGCAATGCTATCCGGAAGGCATCGGATGCTCGGGCTCTCGGTGAATCACGACCGACGCGACAAACAAGGTTGCAAAAGTGCCAGAAGTTGTGTCAATCTTGGCGGTGGTCGAAAGTTGATTTGAACGCACCCATCTTTCGCTTTTGTTCAAATGATTCTCTAAGAGAGGAAGTCGAACCATCCGCAAATGAGTGGACCGTGGCCAGGCAACAGTGATGGGGATCGAAGCCACACGCGGCCGAGAGTACAGAACTCACCGACAACCTGAGCATAGAATCGTCCAGGAAGCTGCTCTTCACAGCAGTGTCAGGACACTTGCGGTTCCCATGAGTTACTGAAGAGGCTGGCGGCGAACCAGCGCCTTCAAGATGTTTAGCAACTTCCTGTCAGGGCCGTGCAAAGGTACCCTGGTAGAGCTTGAGGAAGCGGCCTACAGTAGAAACTACAGACCTCGAGCGTGCACAGCCAGCGCAGATCCGAATCGTCCTAGATCAACAGCACATATCAGCCTAAGCTCACTACGACCGCTGCTCCTTACTCTCAACTCCAACCATCGACGTTGAGCTTGATGGAGCCATCTACTTTCCCAGCGGTATGGGTCCAGCAAGCCTTGAACGAGAGCGACTATGAGACGAAAGCAAGCGCGCTGGCCGTACCCTTCAAATCGGAATACCCAAACGATCATCGTCTCAAATTCTGGCTGACGAAGACAAAGTAAAGGCTGGAAGATCACTCGAGATGATCGAGGAATGTCGTCCAATATTCGACAACATGGTTCCTCTCAAGGAAGAAGTGAGACTTTCTCGCAATCAGGAACACAGAGAAAATATAAGATGTTACCAGAGTATCCGAACACTCTGAGTTGCTGTTGAGTTCTTTAAACACTATTAAGCACAACGGTAGCAAAAACTTGAGATACGAAAGTTCCAAATTGTTGAGTATTGGCTCCTTCTCTTCGATGGTCTAGCAGTTTTTCCACAGCTATGGGCATCGTTGACTGTGTTTCAGCATCTAAATCAATTTAACGCGCTCACCACACGACGCACGGACACGACGCGACATACTCACTGCACCACCTGTCGCACTGGGCAACTGGACAGATTACCTTCAGCCTAACCATCTCAAATGTCGAATTCTGCGTTGATATCTCCTTTTATTTTTCTTGGACTTCTGGGCTTTGTACATAATGCATCAAGTTCTGCTAGATTCAATACCCAACATGCCGAGCACTAAACGCAAGCGTGTAGACTCCCCAATGGAATATCAGAACACTCTTGCGGCTGTACCGAAACCTACTGGCCCCCTCCAATCAACGTCACAAGAGCGACCTCTACAGAACGACTATGTTATCCAACACGGACCGATACATCATGTACCACAAACGGAAAAGGACTGTCAGAAGCTTGGTGAATGGGTAGAGACATTGGACGAATCCACAGTACGAAGACTTCTGAAGGACGCTGCCACACTCCATTCCGACATGTACACCTCAGTCTGGATAGAGAAACGAATGGTAGAATTGGCAGAGACTAATGCTAGACGCCGTTTGATAATGGAAGAACAAGCCAAAGTTCTTGACTTCTCGAAACAGATTCAAGGAGTTAGCCATACAATCAATCGGAAGTACAACGGGCTGCGCGCGTCCAAGCAGTATGAAATGGCACAAGAGGCCGAGGGCGACGTACAATACTACATCAAGCAGATCCACGATCAGCTTCGACCAGAAACCACACGGTACAACAAGATCAAAGCTATCCTGTCTTTATGCCAGATTGGATCCATCGTGGCCCACGGCGGTGGCTGCGTTGGCGAAGAGGTCAGAAAGAGTATCGGTCAATACTCTGATTTCATGGATAATCTCTGGAAGATTATCAAAAATATGAACGACTCGGACAAGGAATACGTGGGCCGACGCGAAGATCTTATGAAGACTTTGGAGCGATTTGACGACGACAGTCAAGGTTTCGACATTTTCCAAGGTTTCGACATTTTCCAAGGTTCAGAGAAAGTTGTATCTTATTTCAAGCGAGCTGCTGGGGAGCCAGTAGACTCAGACGACGATGACTACTACGACGGAAACGCCAGTGGATCTGAAGCCAACACTATCGAAAATCTCTGAGAGCGATGGAGTTGGATCATGTGCTCGATGTCTGTGGGAAACATTGCTTGTCTGTACAACTATCTAAGAGCACGCGGAAACAAACACGTCTTGAGAGCTCAACCCAGGTGTGGCGAACAGCGCACAATCGGGCGGCCAATGAAGAACTACCTCAAAACTCCCGCTGCCCGGCACCCAATCTCTAGAAGGCCTGTCCACAACACCTCGACATGATCGATCTTTTTTGCCACCGACACCCTACAAAACGAGCATTTTTTTATTTTGGCCTTTCTGTTCCTGAACTCTCATCAGCATGTATCCCATCATGGAATTATCAAGGGAACCTGTCGAGCCCGGCCCGAATTATTCAGCACTATCAGGGCTGTCGAGCAGTAAGAGGAACCCTCCAGAAGGCGTTCCCCAAACTTCACGGAAGATGTTGAGATCGAACGACGACATCTGGCAGCAAGACTCAGTCGGAAGTACGCCTGGTCGATCGGTCACCCCCGAAATACTTTGTCAAGGGCAAGATCATCTGCAAGCCGAAGAGATTCCGACCAGACGTAGTCCAAGCTACCCCAGCTATCGTACGGCTCAAGATCATCAATCAAACCCTCCTTTACCCTTGGCCGGGATTGCTACAGGACCTACTCCAGAAGTGTCACCCCGTCAGGCTTCCCATCAGCCTACAGCAACACAGGATCCCGATTTCGTCTCCCCATCTCAACATATGCCAACATATTCCAGTGTTCTCCAAGCGCCCAATACTTGTGCCCAACACCCTCTTTCATGCCAATGGAATCAAGCTTATCCAGGTTTCGGTCAACCCCTCCGGGACTGTTTTCCGCCCTATGTACAGCACTTGTACTACCCTACCGATCGTATACAACCAATGCCACCAACACCCACGTCATTGAAATGTATGACCCGCTACATAGCCCTGATTGACGACGTTAAGGTCCGCGATGTCCTTGCTATCGCCGTTGTACGTCACCGAGATATCCATGATATGGTTCAGACAGAGTACGAGAGAACAGCACAAGAGATGCAGGATCAACTGAATGAGGACGCCAGTGTCTTGTCCTTCTCGAAGGAGCACACAAAGGTGCAGAACATACTCTATGGAGAGTACGATGAACTTGTACACTGGAAGAAGCAAGAGACAGTTCATCGGGCTTTTGGGTCGATCAATGAGATAATCATGGCCATACCTTGCCACGTGCGGCCTAGGAGTAACTGGAAGACAAAGTTTAATGCCTTCCTTACACTCATCTGGATTGGCCGAGGTATAGTCGACGGCATTGGCTCGCTCCCAAACGAGATCAGGAATCAGATGGCCATTGACTCTAAGCTTGTCGACGCTATGGAGAGAGTTTATGCAACAATGAGCGAGGAGGAGATACTGGGCGATGCGTTGCGTCTTATAGAAGCTTTGGCGGATCTGGAGAAAGATCGAGGGCGTTGTTTTGCGGGGCTAGACAAGCTTGTGGACATGTTCAAGGAGGTTATGAGGCAAGGAAGGACCGGAGAAGAACGCATATGAAAGATTAAAATGGGCCTGATGGACAGACGTCAACAATGTATCGTTGGGTTTAGCCTCTTCATTCAACATTGTCCGTAGGTACCAGACAAAAAAAAATATAATAATACTAAAACCCCCTTCCTCAATGTGTCTTTTCTGGATGCAGATGTGCACATCTTTCCAGTTCGAAGCATAACTCTGTGAAATTTGGACACTTCGTTGAACCGTGCAGACGCGCCCGGAACTTCAATCTCAACCGCTCTTTGGATGATATGATTCTCTATCGAACGATTTCGATTGATCGGTAACAGCACAGGATGCAGACATCTGTTCCAGTCGACAACGAATTTGATGGTTCATTATCTCGGTCTCCGCGCGCTCAAGGCGTTAAACGTGACCATGCAGAAGAGAATCCTCAGGCACCCAACAAGGCCCCAAGACTAGAGACAATCACGAAGAGGGATGGCCCTTTATCTGATACTCCATCTCAAAGTGCCACTCCATCGGGGACCTCCAGGCCAAAACAGGTCCAGTCTTCGGCGAGAGCTATTCATGAACAGCGTCTTCCACCGATGCAAAAAATCCTGGCAACCGCACCAGCACCTGTTCGTAGTCCGGCGCATCTAAATGGCTCGCTTCCAGCTTTTGCGACACAAATGAACGGACAGCCCCTTGGACCTCTTCGCTTCGATGATACGAATCAGGTGGCAAGCGACTCTTCACTTCAAAACACATCCGCAGCTCAACCCCTCCCAGCCAATTTTGATCATAACATCAGTCGCATGGATGCCCCGGTTCAGAACCCTCGCATGGCTCAGGTTCCGACTTATAGCCAGGCATCAGCAAATGGCAATGCCGTGTTCCACGCTCTCCATGATGATCAAAATGGGCCATATCGTCAGGCACCATTCCATACGGCACAACTTCCTTCTCGGCCACCTCCTCCGCATCCATGTCTACACGATGTTAACTTGTTGTCAAGTATCGCACAAAGCTTGGCATCTTTGAGAAAAGAGAAGGTGCTTGAGATTCTTGCCACTGCAGCGATGCATCACGCCGATATCTATGCGACCATCCAGAAAGAACTTGCTCAAGAGGCTGTTGGTAAACTTGCCACGGAGTCTTCGCTGTTCAAACATCTCGCTGCTCAGTCCCGAGATGAATACAGAGCTGCTGCTGATAGGGATAACGCAATTGCCGCAGCCTATGCAGCACAGGCCGTCCAGAACCAACAGCGTCAACAATACCAACAGTACCAACAGTACCAACAAAATCTCCAACCAGGAGTCATCGAGAACAAGCACAACCAAGTTGAAGAGGAGGTAGAAGAAGAAAGTGAAGATGAGCAGGAGGAGGAAGAGGAAGAAGAACCCCTTACGTTCGCTCAAAACACGAACCGAGTGGAATATATACTTCACACTCGATACGCCGGTCTCCGAGACTCGCAGCAATCATACATAATCGTCGAGGCTGTGACCAAGATTGAAGACCAAATCGAAAGCATTGCCAGTCAAGTGCGAAACACCAGCCCATTCGAAACTAAATCCGAGGCCGTGTTCGAACTTTGCAACATTGGAAGACTGGTCGTACAGCAAACAAACGGATACTTGGGGTCAAAGATACAAGATCACATGTCGTACTCATCTGTACTGGTGAGTAGCTTGCAGGCATTATGCTGCAAGTTAGAGGAACGCGAGATGATGGCGATAGGTCGCATGTTGAAGAACGACCTGGAACAACTCGACAAAGAAAGAGAAGGCTGTTTCGAAGGATTTGATGTGGTCGTCGAGCAGTTCAGGCAAGCGGCAGCTGGCATGCGAGAAGGAGGTCCAAAGAGAAGTGGAGCTGCTACGATTGACCTAACGGGTTGATTGCTTTGATGAAATGCTCGCACATAGCTTCCCAGTCTACGGTGGTCCGCCGCATCCTCTTTCATTTCGTAGAATGATATACTCGGAGTATGCTAATAATCAGTCAATCGATCCTTGGTGTCACCACTGCGATTCATCAATACACATGGCTATCACGATGACACGAGAATACCCTGCTCGTAGTCAGTGATGGATAATATTCTTCCTTGAGTGTGATTGCCTAATTCGACAAGGTAAGCATCGCTGAACGTCGTCATTCCTGGTATTGATTCCTGGTTCCAGGGTTCTCACATACACCGTTCGTCTTCTCTTCCGATGATCTTGCTCCAACAAACTGAGCACCGACGTCACAGGCTGACAGCTCCTGCCACCCCAATCTCAACATCCCAGAAATATTCTCCATACAGAACGAGTTCCGCTTGGCAAATACGCCAGGATGTCACAATCCAAAATCTGACCCGTTCTGGACCGAGAGCTTTCAGAAGCGGACCCTGACAAGGAAATGGCGTCTGTCTGTGTGCCGGAATTGACGGTCTTGACGGCCGTGGCCAACACCGTCAGATAGCTCTGACTCCCGTGCCTCGAAAATCTAGATCGTCCTTGTTCCCAATTTTGCTTTGTGCCTTTTTTTGAACTTCATGATTTACGCTTTTCTTAGTTTCCCAGGATGAGAGTGCTATGCATGCCGTTGTCACGGATGCTAGACTGATGCATGCGAGGGTCGGATTCATGGAACACCGTTGATAGGTAAGATGTCAACCTGGACGAGGCGTGCAGTATCTCCGCCATCGAGGCTCTTTCATACAAAGTTTGGTCTACGCACGGCAGACGTGTAGATCACTTCCGCTGCTCAGGCACACAAGGTTGGAGGTCAGAGCGTAAATCGCGGCTCGTTGACTTGACACTGGGAAGGCCCTTGTTGCTTGTTACATGGCTCAAAGATAAGGCATCAACTGTCAAGGCTGCGGCCTGCCCTTGAAAGCATAGCGGTGTATCGTTAGCTTGCCCCATAGCTTTCTCGATGACTTTCGGTGGGTCATGCAGAGTCAAGTGGTTTTGCCGTTCGGAGGAATCCCGAAGTGTTCATGAACGCATAGCGTGAGAATTTACGCTCTTCGAGATACGGATATGTATGCGCAGAAATTCTCCGCTGGTAAGTTGAGCCACACGCTTCTAGGCTCCGCACGTCGCTCGAGTTGTCAGGTACCCACCCGTATATCAGATTTCATTCACCTCCCAAACACGAGCCTGTTCATGTATGTCCATCATCGAAGCAGAGATAAGTAAAAACATTAGAGCCTTGAAATTCTCCACCAACATCTTGGCTTGGAGTTGGACGTCGGGCTCGCGGTGCACCCCGGAACAGGGATAGCGCACGCTTCTCGCTCTCGGCGAGTATGAAGCCATAGTTGGCACCGAACAAGATGATGGTGGACTCCAACATGCAGAAGGGGCATCGGTGGTCCGACAGTTCTTGACAGACAGGCGAGTCATGATGAAGCATCGAAGATTGCATCGACTGCAAAGCCGTAGATGTAACACCGTTTGATGGCGAGATGCCTTATAGGTGGCTCTGCATATAAGAAATAGGTGAAAATTAGCGACCACAGTCAGCAAAGGTCTTGGTCAAGCATTTTCGAGATGCATCATTTCGGCTTTTCAACCATTCGGGAGCAGCGGATATGTGACGCTACCACTCCAGCGGGTCTTCTGATATGCCAATCATCCTCAGTGTCGGGAGACCACACCATAATTGGCGGTGGCATTCGCGGTGCAACTGGACGAAAAGGAGGAACCGTCAGGCACTTTCTACAGACTACTGCAGGGACTTCCAGCTGACAGATCGTCGTTCATTGAGATCCAGAAGCAAGCCAATATTCCTGCACGCAAGGTCGCCGTTTTTTGCCATGCCTACTGCCACAATGTGGAAGAGCATCATTTGCATCTGACAGGAAGCTTGCGGCTTTTAGCTCTCCGCCTAGGCAGCCTTTTGTTGTGATTTTCGGCCAATGGGATGTATACCCGGCGCTAGTTTCGGCTGCTGGAAACGGTTAGCGCCAAAGCTGAAGCACTTCACGGCCTTGGGCTTTGCATGCAGGCTACGAATAACAACAACCTGCGTGAAAATTGAACAACACATCGGCCGGCGCGTGAATGAATTGACATGTAGCGCATGCAAAACTTAAGCTGCGAGAAGAAGCAGTAGTGAATAACAATCATGTCGTCGCGACCAGCGCCAGTGACGCGCAAGTCAGCCAAATCGGAATACATCGAGACGGTAAGTGCGAACAGCTGTCCCTCACACCGCAGCATATGGGAAACCACGAACGGATGCGTCTACTTCCGAGTTGAGATCTGCGTTTCCCGAACTTGAACTAAGTTTGACACACAGGATACTGGCAACAAGATCTCCCGCAAGGCGAAGATTGAGGGCAAGCCGAACATCATGCTGGGCGGCAGGACCGTCATCATGGCAGATGTCTACATGCGTGGTGATTTACATCGCTTCTCAAGCTCTGGTGACGGCGGTGCGGCACAGCCGACTACCGCTATCAGCATAGGAAGGTATGGCTTCCATCCCAGCTGCTCGAACTCGCATCTCGGGTTCTGACAGAGAAATAGATACACAGTAGTTGCGACTGGCTGCACTTTGAAGCCACCGTCAAGAATCAGCCGCGGACAAATGGCCTACTATCCAATGCGCATCGGCGACAATGTATTTATTGGTAGATCACACCTTCCTCGTTATGGCAAAAGCACGAAACTAATAATACAAAGGACCCAACTGCCACATTTCGGCCATTGCGATCAGTTCTCACGTTTACATCGGCGCCAATGCTGTACTCAGCCCATTCTGTATCATCAAGGATAACTGTAAAATCCTACCCGACACTGTGGTACCTCCCAACATGGTGGTTCCAGTGGGCAGTATCGTTGGAGGTAAGCCCGGCAGAATTATCGGAGAGGTTGGTGAGGGATGGGGTGTCGGAGGTGGTGCTAGTGGTGAGAGCTGGGTCGAGGGCGGTGAATTACGTGATCTGGTCAGAAGTATCAGATGAGAAGAAAAACGATCAATTGGCATTCCAATGGGAGCTATTCGATATGTTAAAGAAAATGATCAAAAATCAAAAAATCAAAAACCAATGATTAACCAACATCTGCTCTTGATGAGATGCAAGATGCTTCCTGAGGTATTCTGAAATTGTCCAGAAAAAAAGTTCAATGTGTTAGTATAGATCTTCCATGGAATACCTGCAAATGTGCTCCAACCCAAGTCCCTGGCACTGCAATCCATTTGTCTTTCAATAATGAGCAATTTTTCTGTAGCCAATGGTCGCTGATCGTGATTCATCAAGTCGTTTCTGATATCTTTTTCCAACGTCAAGGGTTTTCCAAGGCGCCCCACGCTCAAGCTTCGTCCAAGTCGCCGGCCTGCAAGGCAGCGAAGCAGATTGGGTTGTCAATGCCATAGCCGCGTAGCAGGATTCCAAAACCAGACGACTGGAGTGCGCCAGCTTCTTCCGGGCGATTGATCAAGTTGCAGCATCTGGCTGCGCCAAAACAGCTAAAATCGTGTCAGCAGGGGATAAGACTGGTAAATCTTCGAAGGCGTTTTGGTAACGGAGAGGAAGCAGGAGCAGAGACTCAAAACAAGGGTCAGTAACCAGGGGAAAATTAAGGTATGACTTACATGTCAGCCAGGTTCGGACCAAGTAGGCCTTCGTCGCTCATCAAAGTGGCCAAATCAAGCAGATCGCCAACTGTTTGCTCGAGCTGTGCAGCAGGAACGGCTATGTCATTTTTCAACAACTTCTCCTTGACTTCTTCGACCTTGGCCTGCAACGATTTGATCTCCCGGCGGCGAGACTCGTCGTAGCCGTCGGCGCAAGCAATGCATGTGCATTCAAACCCCCACATGCACAGCTGAGCGCGTCGCTCGGAGCGCAACTTGTCTGCCCCATTGATATAGGCAGTGCACAGCTCATCTCCGGCGACAATTGGCTGTATGGCTTGTACAGTAATGTATCCGGATGTGCTGTTGTATGCAGTGTAAACGTTCGGGATACATGAGTGATTGAGGCGTGCTGCAATCGGTCCAATGCCTGCATAGTCGAGATCAATGCCGTCGTCGAGCATGTATGAGTTTGTGCGCCAAATGTTGATGATCCGGGCTGCCAGCGAATCGGTCATCTTGCATTTTTCCGAATCTTGTTCTTGATGTTCCTCATCACTGGAGTCGGGTACAAGAGCCTCCTTCAAGCCATCGACATTCCAAATTGTGGTTGTCTCATCGCTACCTTGGACTGGCGAATCGACTCTTGACTCATGGACTGGAGAGCACGATGTGGCTTCGGACTCTGGCAGCTCGAGCTTGTGCTGCTCTTCGGGGCTTTGATCGCCACGGCCGTCGTCCCAATTGGGAAGCCTGCAGCTCTTTCCAATCTCGAGATCGCTGTCAAGGACCTTTGGTGGAAGAGGCTGCATTTCAGAAGCACAACTGCGACGATCGTCCTGCTGTGGTGGATCTGCAATCCCGTCATCTGGAGTTCCAGGGTCTTCCACTTTTGTCGAAGTCCATGTGCCTTCTTCAGCCGCGGACGTCCCGCCAGCCTCATACTCTTGGTTGGCGCTGCACGTGTCATGGAAGCTCAACTTCAAGTAAGCTACTCGCTGCTCCGGCCGTAAATTGATGAAGCTCTCGACGATAGCTGCATTCATAGTGTCCACTTTTGGAAGGATGAACAGTGGAGCTTCCTGTATGAGACGTTCGCCGGGCTCGATGTTTCGAATTGCGAACAAGCCGAGACCTTTGTTTTCGGCTTTGCGAAGCTCGAAAGCAGGCATCTCGACCGGTAAGATGTGTTCGTCGTCCATGGTCAGATCCAGTAGTCCTAGCTCTTGCCTGCGTTGTCTCTTGAATTGCTCCTTCTTTCCTGCGCGGCGCTTCTTCTTATTCTCAGTCTGCATGGAGCTTGCTGCGTGTAAGGACTGATCGGTAGTTGAGTGACTGCTAGATAGTCGACTTGGTTCAGTGGAGCGAGAAGAAGGGTGAAACCTTGCGTTGGTTCGGATGAGCCCGTTTGCTTGTGTAACCGCCTGCAAACGAAGCGCTGTTGTGGCAGTGCTTGGTGTTTGTGTGGAGCCTTTGAAGGCGATTCATTCTATTGAGTGTTGTGGTCAGACGAGGTGAATGTCTGAAATCACCGTGAAATAAGGATTGAGCGACATGGTGTGATAGTGAAAGGCAAGCTGACGGCTTCAAACGTCAACTCCAGCTCAGATGGGAGGATGTGAAGCACCCGAGGAGTCATAGGCTCCATAGAGCATGTGAGCCATGCGAGTTCCTGTCGGAGGCTCTACATACGTTGTAAGAAGTATGAATGACCGGAGTTGACCAGATGCTGTCGCAGAAATGATATGGCCAGGGTCATCCGAACGACATCTTGAAGGTCACGACCTACCTCAGGCAATCTCTGAATATGGAGATCAACTGCATCTTTCAGCTCGTGCGGATTTGCCGTATTGTTTCAAGTTCCAGAATCCAATTGCCTTATCGCCATATCTTCGTGTTTGATGGTGGCGCGGTCACCTCGACTCGCGACGCTCGAGGTGCCTTCGCTACAACCACAAGTCGCAATATATATCGCGTGGTCCGCCGTGAGAGGTTGAGACAACGCGAGTAGAAGCTTCGCGTTCATGGTCTCGTAATCTTCTCGCTTCGACACTCGTGTAATTTGGTTCGAGTGCGTTAACTTCGCCGAAGAATAACACGTGGTCGGGCGGCTATCCAAATCCTTCTACCATCGACCGAGCTGACCTTCATGAGTCTGAGCAAGCTGTTTTTGGGGCGCCTGTCGGCAAAGCTTCAATGGTGTCCACCGGTGTCAAAGCACGGAATCGATCTAAATTTGATCAAGATGGGCAATATATCTCGTGAAGTTAGTGTCGCACAGAGCAAGCGCAGCCGTGTTACCCAGGGTCTTGACGTGCTCGTGTCAGGACTGACAACAATGACCAGGAAACCTACGAGCAACACCGAGTCACAGAAGTATTTAAATTGCCACTGCTTGTTGGAGGCTTGGAGTTCGCAATGTCAGCCTCACCGCCACGACAGCCTCTTGCCTAGAGATGGAAGGATGGTGACGAGTCAGTCACACCACAGGTCCGTATCCCGACTGTGTCATCGCTATGGCCGACACAACTTTACCACATGCCTTCTGTGTCTGGCGGAGGATCGTCAGCAAACCTGCATGTGCTGTGAAGGTCTCTGATGTGCGTTGGTGGTGTTCAAATCAATTTTCAGCTCCTCAGCATATGCAGGCACTGGAGCTACATGCCGATGGTGGCTTGACTACGTGCCACGCGCCAACGGCCAAGGAGTAGATCCAGAGATCCAGAGACGTTCCATAGAATTTGTGTCACCGGACGGCTTTTCTATCCATCAGATTGACGTTGCAGAAGGGGTCCTTTCTCTCAGCGGCTCCCCGCAAGCCATAGACCCTTTGCATGTTTCGCCCGTGTTGCACTGTCAGTCCCTTAAGTCGGGATACGAAAAAGGAGTGAGATCAACTCGGATTGATTGCAACGTTGATCCAGGCTCACAAGAACATCAGCTGAAGATTGCATTTTATTTTCAAGATTCCGCCGGCTGTTTGGACAAGATAGAGCGATGATGGTCTCGGAAGCTAATGAGTGGCGCACGCACACGCAGTTCGGACCAAGGACAACGTCCGGGTGAGCCCGCATCCGCGTGGAACGGTCTTCGATCTTGAGGAGCGTATGATCTGTCTAAAGATCGCGCCCAGATATGAGACCGTCGTTGTGCTAGCCAGATCTGTGGACAATAAAAATCTCCGACTGGATGAACCTTGAGCAAAAGAAGCCAACTAGAACCGCTTGGGTATGCCTTGATGACGATCTTGATTAAGAAATCGTATCTTGCGTTGGCCATCCAAAACTTGACAAGACCCTTCAGAGACGTCATGAGCGACGACAACATCCAGGGTAACGACTTCGAGTGAGACAGCTGCGTTCGCTAACTGCGGTCAATCAATATCCGCACTCGCTTGTTGAAGCATAGCGAGCGGGACTTCACATTGAGGCATTGATGATTTCTAGCAAGTTCAACTGCTCATATATCTGACTTCAGAATCAGAGATAGCGCACGATCGGAACGAACAGAAACAGACAGGATCTCAGGCAGGCTTTTGATCTGTTTAAGAGTTTGGAGGCGAATCTGCATGCGGATATGGGGAGATTGGTTTAAGAAGATCCCTTCCTGTCGCGTGGTCACTGGGCAAAGAAGCGGCTTGGACCGTGGGCAGAAACTTGGGATCACCGATGCATCGTGGGCTCTTCGGTGTCAGTTTCCTCGAATTGGTCAGTTTCTCAACGTTAGGGATCACTGGTAAGCACGAGCAGAAATCCTTCTAGCTGGCGTGGCCTTTTGAGATTGCTTCGTTGTTTATTATCATCATTAATCGCGATTCGGCACTCTGCGCAACCCAGGAAGTGGGATTCAGTGGCCTGAACTTGAAGGTTTACGGCCGTTCATGTTGGCGCAGAGCCAGGGTCCACGCACTGATGCAGGCAGTGAGTCGGGCAAGCCACAAACCCACGATAGGTAAAGCGAGGCGAAACTAAGCGACAGAAGCTCTTCACACGTGCGGAAACGCTTCTCTCAAAACAGACTGACATGTCTCTCAGGCCGAGGATCTGCTTCTTGTCCCCGCCTTGCGAGCTGTAAGATTGTCTTTGGACCGTCGCTTGAGATAGCCATCCGAGCTTATGGTCTGGTAAGCAGACTTAGGGAGACTAGTAGAATAGGGAGCTGCAACGAAGCGCAGCTGGGCTCAAACGCACGGAGCGTATCTGAGACAGATGAACAGAGGTGGGATAGGGTGACTGGTCGTTCTGAAGCTGTAGTGACGTTGACCAAACCGACAGTCGGGACAGCAGCGTGCATGTAATATATCATCATCCATTGCGGTGCTAGCGCACTGCATCTGCCGGCAACAAGGTGAGGCTTGTCGAGTTGCGGACTTGGCGAGCGAGCCGGCGCGCGGTGCAGGAGTACAAAAGCGAGTACGGCTGCTGCAAGGCCCTGATTTGCTGAGTGCTGGAAGGTGATCTGGCAGCGGAAGCAGGAGTGAGATTGATCGAGACGATGGCTCGATGCCGGTCCAAGATTCGATCGAACTCCACGGCGCAGCGAGAGAGGGCCCGAGTTGCACACGCCGCTAACCGAAGCGGGCACTCCATCTCGATCTAGGGAGTCTAAAGTTTAGGGCATGCAAGCCGCTGCACGCACGCACGCAGCGAGTCCGGGCATTGGCTGTCTTTACAGGAGGCCACCAACAAGGCTTGGAGCTGTGGTGCGATGGCCGACGGCTTGCAACCCATAGCCCCTTTGGTGGTAGGCAGATATTCCCAGCCTGTGAACAAGTGGAATGCCCGGTCCCAGCTGGCTCAAGCAGGCGGTACACCAGATCACGCACACGCATCTGAGCAGGTCGATAGGGTTTGAGATCTGTTCGTTGGAGGAACGTGATGTGCATGCACTCGGACAAGAAAATGTGGCAGGAAGCGAGGTTAGCGAACGGAAGCAAGCATCCAACGGCATGGACCATGTCATAGCTATTAGCATGTCTCGCTCTCCTGTGGAAGGTTATGCGTTATTCCACAGGACAATAGGGCCCACAGCTGGCGGCAAAAGCCTGACAAGCAAGAAGACACGAGCGACGAGCGAGTGGCATCCCTGTCACTCTACCTTGGGATCTGCGCGAACCGCTTGGACCAACCGTCGAGCGGACCTAACTCAAGTCTCTCGTTGCGCGCATGAGGTTAGCCTTTTCTACTCTTTTGCCCACAACGTAGACTCTCGCTCCTGCCGTAAACTTAACCCTTGACCTGTACTCGCCTTCCTCGTCGGCCCTCTTCCCGCTTCTTCGACCTTCACACAACTACATCCCATTCTTGCCGCACCACACCTGTCATCCACATAGTCCGACTGCCGACATCACCCACCCGCCGGCCTCGCATTTCTCGACGCAATTGTTTCTGGACGCATGGAACTGGCTTCGACAAAACCAGAACCCCATCAGCCTTGCACCACCAAAGGAATGAACTTTGCATCTTAAAATATCCTCACTCGAACATCCGACCCGTCTGCTACACACGACACGACTCGTTACCGCCGTGCCGCAATATGAACATGGACACCAGCGACAGGCAAAGGCAAGATTGGACTTCGCCGCAATCGAGTCCCATCGAGCATTCGACTAACAAGCAATTCAGAGCTGCGCTGCCGCCCATCAAGATGCTCGACATTGACAAAATAAAACGTGAAGAAGCCGAATACCAGGCTCGTGGCACAAACATGAACATGGCGCCCTCTGCTGTCAACAGCCCGACCATTCCTTACCCCTCCGGCCCTCCGCCACCTTACAGTCGTCCCTCATACCCCGACGCCCGCACTCCTCCAGAAGCGCGTCGTCCATCGCAAGAGGACCCGTCAAAACAGGCAAACAAGCAGTCGCTGCCTTCAATCCACGAAGCTCTTGGAGTGGAACAGTCTGCCTCCTACCCTCCCGCCGCCCACAGACCCTACTCGTCGGCACCTCAGCCCGCTTACCACGCCCCAGTAACGGCACCTGCACCCCCTTCGCCCGTATCTGCTAGACGCTCTTTCGCTGCCATGGAACCCCCACCACCGCCGCAATCTGCTGGTTTCGTTCACGCTCCTCGCAGTCCTTATACACAACCTCACCAGGACGTGAGCCCACGTCACATGTCCGAGCATCAAGAACGACAAAGATCTGCATATGCTCCTCAGCCACCCCCGTCGCTACAACCTGGCCAGTCTCCTCTGGCTCATCAATCACAATACCCCCGCTCGTACTCTGTTGCCGGACCTTCGCCTTCCCACGAAAGGACTGCATCTCACCCTCTTAGCATGCCGCCTGCTGCTCCTCCACCAGCACCACACCACCCTCTCCCATATGGCTATGCCCCTGCCCCTGCTCCTGCTCCTTACCCGTCTCACTATGCATATCCACCCTCGGCCCCGCATCCCGCAGCGACTACTTCTTCTATATACCAGCCATCGATTACCCAACCTGCTCCCCCTCAAAACAGCGAACCAGGCAGAGCTCCTTTTGGAGATTCTGTGAAACGCCACCTGGACATGTGGGACTTCGGAGAGGCTCTGAATGAGGTTTGTTTGCCCTGCACAATCATCAAATCTAGGCGTCACTAACCAATTCCAGATTGCCGAGTCTAGTAGTTACATGCTCGACTTCAGTCGCCAATGTGGCGCTCGCCTCCACCAGTCTCAGAGATCGGACCCTGCTCCTGGTACTCTGCCTCAGTTGCAAGAGATTGACTATCTGATGGAAAAGTCTCGCCGTCAACTTGACTGCTACGCTAAAATGCGAGAATTCATCATCGCTCAGCAGACAGCCTACTTCCAACAGGCGCAAGAACAGCAATTCAGAGCCCAGGATGGTATCAAGCGCGATTCTGTTCACCAGACTGAAGAGTCAAAAGCTGGCGGGTTTGCTGGTGCCGAGGCCAAGAAGCGCAGAGGCGTAAGTCAATTCCTCATGGAAATGCCACAAACTCACAACTAACACCAAATAGCGTGCTGCTCCTCCTGGCAGATGCCATAGCTGCAACAGAGCCGAGACACCTGAATGGCGTAGAGGCCCAGATGGTGCTCGCACCCTGTGCAACGCATGCGGTCTTCACTATGCCAAATTGACGAGAAAAGCCGGAAAGAATGCGGCAGCAATTTCCAGTTCCAATCTTCGTCCCAAGGCTCCTGAGGACACACCGAACTGAAATGCGCAAATTCGCGACACCCGATTGCGGCTCACGAGCCACGCCTCTCGATTCGTCATACCGACGGACCCGACAGGACTCTCCAATTGAATGGCATCCGCCTGTTGATTCTTCCTTTTCTTTTCGGTCTGTCATGGTTGGGTTTGAGTAACAAAAAAAGCGAAAACATGTGCCGGCGTCACATGCGTGTGGGCCTTATTAGAGGCCATATCTTTCCGGACCAATTCTCAAGGCCGGATTGTGCATCAACAAGTTTCTGCAAGAGGTTTTTAGACGTCTTGACTGCATATTTCCTATACGATGGATCACGGGACACGCATACGATGGCTATTAGGCCATCTTCACGACACTAGCATTGGGACCCGGAGTTTTGTAGGATATCCTGTTGCTTGGTTGATTTTGATTCGACTGTTTATTTCTCAGTGCGATTTGTTTTGCGACATGGCTCAATCGGCCATGTTAGTGGTTCCGAGAGCAAATAGAGCTATTAGGCTCTCGATGGTGTTTGGCTACCGCAATGCCGGGTTAAGGCAGGTGGTGTTGGGAATATTGGGTATCTTTGATTGAATTGTTACATATTTTGAGGGCAGGCGAGTGGAGTTTAGATAGTACCGCCCTATCGCTCGTGAATAGAAGACCAGTTTGTACAGGCTCGTTGCATCTAAACGTGTTTCTTTGACATGTGTAAGTCGGCTGACGGCAGAGAGGCCATGGTTTAGCGCCGAGAACACGAGAGACAAAAAGGAGTCTAGCGGTGCAAAGAACGGATCAGATGCAGATACGAAGATGGGCAGTGGACGCTAGATTTCCAGGATGCATGTACATGATGTACTCAGGGTACCGTTCGTTGGACATGTGGTGGAGGCAGAAATGGTCGCTGTGACACGTTTGAGGTGCAGGAGGCAGACGGATGGCTGCGCCTGACAGGCTGTGACAGGTGCAAGTCGAGATTGAGGCATCCGTCGGCTCCTGTCGAGCCAGCCCTAAGTTCAGACTTGGTCGCAGCACCAGTGAGCAGACAGACTTTCAGACATCACAGAGCCGCTTACAAACATGTTGACTGAACAAGTCGAGTCTCTGTGTATAAGTTGCACTGATTAGGCAACATGCCCCGCGAAGTCGGGCCTCGCCGGCCGGAGCAAATGGCGTGCTTGGACTGCCGTCCTGTTGTTCGCGTCGAGCATTTGTAATGCGCTTTTCACATGTCGCCGACTCTAGCTTGAGCTGTGCTATTGTTTTCTCTCCTGTCTCTACCCGCTATCCACATCCTTCCAACCTACCAGGACCCATACAGCTTCGCATTATGTGGTAACCGCCCACACGACAGCCTATCGCGGCCTCAGTATCTTCACCAAGAAACACGATTCTTGCAGCCCGCCTGCAGCAGAAACAGCAATATCCGTCTCAGCAGCTTTTTCTTGCCGGAAGCCAATTGAAGAGCGCGTACGACGTAGCGCAAACTTACGAGCATGGGTCTCTTGTAGGAGAAATCACCGCCCTCGGACCAATTGGCACACATCCGCTAACTGCTCCCGCGTGCAGAGCATTGGGAACGCCGCTTGCCTGGCCGGAAGCGAAGAAGGTCGCCGGACAGGTCAGAGAATGGGGTATCGAGGTACGTGTACCTATCCACATGCAGGAGTACAAGCACAAGAGCTGAGAATAGTCGACAGCAACTTCTGGCGACATGGCGACGAGCCAAGGGCAAGGAGCGCGATGCCCTGCTCTGGGGAGACGAGATTGAATACCTCGTCGTGACATACGATGACGACAAGCGTCAAGTCCGACTCTCACTACGCCAAGCAGATATTCTCGAGGCTTTGGCGAGCGATGAGAAGCTTCTCGCCCAGGGTGGTGGTGTGGACGAGATCCAGCGTGGCTCAGCCAGGTACTGTTTGTCTGCAATCCATGACGCAGGACTCGTACTCATTGTGTTTGTGACAGGCCCGGCAAGACAGCTCCCGTTTTCCACCCCGAGTTCGGCCGTTTCATGCTCGAGACGACTCCTGGACGACCATGGGGCATTGACTTGAAAGACCTGCTCGATGTCGAGCAAGACATGAAGTGGAGGTATGCCTGTCTTTCGATCACTGCTGCTACAACAATGGCGCTGACAACAGACATTACAGGCGCACGATTGCAAAGGAGCACATGGAACCCAGCGAATTCCCAATCACCCTGACTACCTTCCCGCGATTGGGTGCCAAGGAGCGCTCCATCACCCCCGAATATCCTCTGAACGGCGACAAGCTGAGATCTCAATTCTTGCCGGACGAGATCGCAAATCCTCACATACGCTTCCCCACCTTGGCAGCCAACATTCGCGCCCGTAGAGGTCGCAAGGTCGAGATCAATGTACCCGTGTACAAGGACGAAAACACAAAATGGCCGTTCAGTGACCCTACCGTGGACTACGACCTCCACACTTGGCCCGAAGACGACGATGTTCGCAATGGAGCTGTAAAAGAGAACCACATCTACATGGATGCCATGGCTTTCGGCATGGGAAGTTGTTGCCTACAGATCACCTTCCAAGCGAAGAACATCGACGAGGGACGGAAGATGTACGATCAACTCAGCCCAATCGGTCCTGTTCTGCTAGCCTTGACGGCCGCCACTCCCATCTATAAGGGCTTCTTGGCCAACACCGATGTCAGATGGAACCAGATCAGCAGAGCCGTCGACGACAGAACCCCCGAGGAGCTTGGAGAGAAGGTTTGCCCATCGATATCATCTTGGTAGAAGATTTCTGACTGACACTCAACAGCCTTTGAAAGAGTCAAGATGGCGAATTCCAAAGTCTCGGTACGCCTCGAACTCGACCTACATTGCTCAGGATCCCCGCTTGCGCAAAGAGTACTTCGATCCCGACCTCGTGGTTGACCCCGATATGAAGCAAAAGCTCATTGATGGTGGCATGGACGATCTACTGGCTACCCACTTTGCTCATCTCTTCATTCGAGACCCCATCGTCGTCTTCAACGAAGACCTAGAAGAACTTGATTTGAACAAAGTCGATCACTTCGAAAACTTGCAATCCACAAATTGGCAGCATATGCGATTCAAGCCGCCGCCACCAGGCAACGACATCGGCTGGCGTGTTGAAGTAAGACCAATGGAGATCCAGATTACCGACTTCGAGAACGCCGCCTTCTCCGTCTTTGTCGTCCTCATCACTCGTGCAATCCTGAGTTTCGATCTCAACTTCTACATCCCTATCCAGAAGACTACAGAGAACATGGAGACGGCGCATATTCGCAATGCTGTGACGGAACAGAAATTCTGGTTCCGCAAGAATCCATTCCCTGCAACAAGACAGCCGAGGTCTGGTACCTCGACACCGACACAATTCTCACGTCCTCCTAGCCCTGCCTCTCGAGTCGAAGACGAGTACGAGCTCATGACCGTCAACGAAATTATGAACGGCAAAGTAGATGGTTTCCCAGGCTTGATTCCTCTGGTCGAACGCTATCTCTCGAGCATCAATGTCGACGTTGAGATTCGTTGCGAGATGGCCAGATATCTGAAGCTCATTCGTCAACGCGCGACCGGTGAGCTCTGGACAGCTGCCAAATGGATCAGACATTTTGTTGCTGAGCACAAGGAGTACAAGAAGGACAGCGTGGTTGGCGAAGGCATCACGTTCGATCTTGTCAAGGCTGTTGAGCAGATGACTGTCAACGAGGGCAAGGATGGATTGGGCGTCGAGATGTTGGGAAAGAGAAATTGAGAGGTGGAAAAGTCATATCATTTGGGAGGGAGGGTTATCCTGATTCTTGCATATCCCTACGGCGCCACTAAGCATACTTTAGAGCAGACAGATACCCGAGTACATATCACTTCCTACATAATCAACTTTGGAGCTCTAACACGGAGCGACCAGTCCGAAGTATAGCCTTTTTGCCGCTCTCCATACTTTGCCGCCCCGCATCGATATCCCCAAACGACACCAACCCACGTTCTCCACACGAGCAACCACGCTAGATCGACCAAAACCATCTATTCAATCATCGGTCATGGTATCGGTAGGAAGAAAGCATTATCATCTGTTGCACTAAGGAGAAAGCCGGTCGGGGGCTGAGCTATGATGCCCGCCCAAGCCCGCAACCCAAAGAAGAGTGCATTCTCCTGCGAAACATGCCGAAGACGAAAGGTATTAAATCATCAAATATCAAGAGATGCAGGAGGGATTGAATGAGATATGTTCAGGTCAAATGTGATGGAATACAACCAATTTGCAATCGATGCAAAGCACGAGCTGAAACATGCGAATACAAACTGTGAGTGCCTTACCCGATTCGGAGGCAACTGAGTCCTAGATGGTCGGCTGATTTGACTCGAGTGCTCCTACCTTGTCTTATACTCAGCGTTTGGAGCAGCGTGTTGCGGACTTGGAATCCTTGCTCGCAGCTTCCCGAGCTGAGGTTTCAGGCTCGGCACCGACCCGAGTTGTTTCTCCTCGAGAGGATAACATTGCAACTTCATCGTTTCCACGACATTCGACCAACGAAGAAAAACACGACGAGAAAATTCCTTTTCATGGCTCTACAAGTCTTTTTCAACTACCTGGAAGTGTCAGAACACGAGCGACAGACAAGGAAGCCGAACAACAGGAAGATACACTGAGGCGAGAGAGCCTACTGAATAATGCATGGCGGGAACGAGCCTTTGAGGAGTTCTCTAGTACACCTTTATGTCAATGTCCTTCGTCGATTAGAAGTGAGTAGCTGATGGCAACAACAGGAGCCATATCGCTATCTGCTCGATTCCCACTGGTCTTGGATACAGCCTCTCTTCAATTTCGTATACCGTCCTGCTTTTACTCGTGAGTAGAGGCGTACTTCGTCATTGATATGCGACATGCTAATAGCTAGATCACAGGCGACATGAAGACAGGAGGTCAATACTATTCAGCAGCTTTGTTCAACGCAATCCTCTCACACTCTGTTCGATGGTGCAAGACCGAGCCAGGGATGGAACAACTACTCGCCCCTTTTAACGAAGGATCTAGCTTCTTCCAGACTGCAGTCACGAATGTGTTCGAAAACCTCAGGACTGGACGAAGTAAGATACCATCAGTACAGAGTCTGCTGCTACTCAGTGCTCAAGAGTGTGGCCGTGGAAACAGGACACAAGCTTGGTTGTACAGCGGTATGGCTTTCCGGCTCATCGATGATATGGGCATGTGTATTGATGGTCAACGCTACACCGACAGTGCAAAACTTTCGGCCGAAGACATCGAGATTCGGAATAGGTTATTCTGGAGCTGCTTCTTCTGGGACAAACTCATTGCTCTCTACTTTGGACGAGCACCCGTACTACAGAACTCTCACATCAGCCCGCCACGAGTAATTAGTCAGTGCTTACATCGGTATTGCTCTTTGGTGAGCCTGCTAATATTATCGCCAGTGGACGACACGGCAGAGACTGAATTATGGATGCCACATGGGCTTTCGTCACCCGATTATCCTCCCAGACAAGCACATTCGATCTCATGCTTTATACAAATGTGTGGACTTGCCGAAATACTCAATCAAGTTCTCATCCAATTCTACGGTCCGACTTGCGACTTGTCTTCGTCCAAAGCTCTCGCATGTGCTCTCGAACAAAGCTCAAAGATGAGGGTCTGGTGGAGAGACCTACCCGAGCATTTGAAGATCAACGTCGGAGCCCTGCCGCGACAGGCACCTCCGTCTCACATCGTGACTTTGAAGTAAGTCATGATATTTCTCCGAGGCCTTAAGCTAACAAGAAGAAACAGTTGCCTGTACCATACGATAAACATACTGCTTCATCGCACGTTGCTGAGACTCAGCAGCTCAAATCGTGCCCCATCAGACATCAACATCGACCAGAATCCTTTGATTCAATGCATCTCTTCTGCAGCCTCGATAATAGCTCTGTTCGACCTCTTCGTTCGCACCTTTGGAGATGGACATGTCGTCTTGAGCTTGGCATACAGTCTCTACACCGCGACATCTATCTTGTTGCTCGAGCTGCAGGCAAATCCGAGAAACCCACAGAGGTACACAATGGAAAGGCTGAGTTATTGCTTGTCGGCATTGGAGAGGGTCAAGAAGACGAATCCAGGTATATTCGATCTCTCTCCCCAAATCTACATGGAAGCAACGACTGATATTGAGGACCAGTCATCGCAACGGCTTCAGAGCTGATACACAAGGAACTCGAAGCTTTAGGATTAGATATACACGCCTACACTACTTTGCCCAATGCAACAGGCGACCGAACAGGACAGTCGCTTCACCAGCCCACATTCGTACCTCTATCTACTGGTAGCCAGTCATCCGCTCAAAAAACTTCTTCTGTACCGGACCATCGCAATTTCGTCTTCATGGACGCTTGCTACCTGGATAATGATGATCTGACTGGAGGCATGGATTACGACATATTGGACATGAGTCCAAGTGCTTTCGAAGCATTTACCCAAATCGAGCCATTGAGTACGACGATGAACCCTGGATTTGACTTCTTCTAAGGGTGTCTGTAAATGCGAGAAGATCGGTTTACTGTACTGCAACAACATCATCAGTCTTGTCACGAATTTGTTGAAGTCTACTGACCCACGTGCAATATGCCACGAGGTGACTGAATCCCGGCAAAGCACTTGGCACAACCCACAACTAAGAAAGTCCTACAGACTTGCTCCTCTTATTCTCAAATACGCCAAAAAAAAATTCAGTGCTTCGACAAACATGGCGACAGGATTCAGATCTTTACCTCTCGAGGTCCGAAATATGATATACGACCACGCTTTGGAAGACGACTACGACATCTTCACCAAAGGCGTACAAGCCATCTTGAAAGTGTGCCCGGAGATCACAAGGGAGATCTACTCATACCGCCGCATCTACACCACAATCATCGTCACTGAATTTCCGCAAAGAATGGACCCCTTCCAAATCAATCGAATTTTTGGCAAGGCCAAAAGGTTTAACATGGTCGAAGGTAGAAAGGGACTTGTGGTGCGTTGCAAGGCCATGCCGCTACCAGTGGCGATATCGGGGAACGAAAATGGTAGAACAGAGATGCAAACACCCACTTTCAGAGCACTCTGTAGCTTATACAAGAGGGTGATGTTGATGAGGGCTGAGCAATGGGTGAAACCTTGGACGGAGATGGGGTATTGTTCGATGGCTGTCGAGGAGTGCGACGCCACCGAGCTTGCAGCGTGCTGAGGGATATTACAAACCGGCGATGCGTGTGGACCACCGTCTTAGGACGAATGGTGACATCCGTTATCTCCATGAGCCACTTCTTTTAATTAGGAAGTGTATCGCAATCGTTGGAAGTCTTGTCCCTAATACACATGCTAGCTAAAAAGATGCAAAGGCCATGCCGTTATCCAAAGAGTCCACTCACGCCTTGAATGAATACCTCTTCCTTCCTTTCCCAACCATAGACATCGCATCTATCCGTACAAATGATCCAAACCCTTCAACATCCCTGGTCCTTATCACTCGAGTCCACCCAAAGCATCATTGACGATATCCATCAACACAGGTCTCTTGCCAGAAGCCTGAGACTTTCCAAACAGCGCCTTCGTCCCTATCTTTCCAACCTTCTCAGGAACTTTGAATGGTTTATTCATCTTCGAGTTTTCGTTATGATATACCGTCTTTTCCGCAGAGCCACAAAGGAAATCCTCAATACCTTCACGTTGAGCATGAGGATTATGATGACGTCTACGTTTCTTCGCCTCTGTTGCACCTTCTTCTTCATCCCCTTCCACATCGCGTTTTTTAGCAGGTGTCTTTGCAGGCGTCTTTTGCGTGGCCAAGCTAGCTCCAATGGTATCTTGAAAATTGTGACCTCGTTCGGCAAGTTTGGGGAGATTGTAGATCCATCCTTTGCTGTCGACCAACTTGAGGAATTTCTCGAGTAATTCGTTGGCGGAGAGCGTTTCTTTACTTCCCAGTATAACCATCTTGCTGCGGGCGCGTGTGAATGCAACATTGATACGTCGCCAATCACGGAGTAGATCGCCCACATTTCCAGTATCGTTGCTGCGCACGCAGGAAATAAAGACGACTTCTTTGTCACGACCTTGGAATTTGTCTGCAGTGTGCATTTCCACGCCTGAAGCCTCTGGGTAGGGCTTGAGCAGCTGGCGGAGAAGGGCGAGTTGGGAGCGGTAGAAGGTTATGACGCCGATTTCGGTAGGTGAGATGCCTTGGGCGATGAGGGAGAGGACTAGTTGGACGAGAAGAGTAGCTTCGACGGCGTTGACTATGCGGGAGCCCATGACTGTTTCTTTGGGCACAGGGCAGAGGGTGTCGGTGTTGGCGAAGACTACTTTGCGCTGGGGTGAGAGAAGGTCAGAGATCCAACAATTGCTTTGTGCGGGGTCGGGGCAGAGATTACGGTCCACGGACCAGGAGCCTTGGGGTTCGGAGTGGTATTTCATTAGACCATCAGGGGAAGGAATTTTGAGAGTGCGGGTTGCGACCGCCTCGTTACCGCACTTCAGACGGCCAGAGTAGATCATAGTCTTGGACAGCAGCTGTACTTCCTCGCACATGCGGTATTGATGTTCCAGGTTAACAACACTCTCTGGGTGTCGATCCGACAGAAGCTTGAAGAGACTGATATCGAGACCGCCTTCCTGAGCTTCACGATTTTGGACCAAAGGAGGAAGTTGGTAGTGATCGCCGACCAAGACGAATGTTTTTGCCATTCGGATGGGTCCGAGACATACCGGAAGAGTGATCTGCGATGCCTCGTCGACAATGCAGTAATCAAAAGCCCTACGCTGGAAGAGTTGATGATTGACACCTAAGCAGGTCGTTGCGACAACCTGTGGCTTCATGTACGTATCTTCTAGTTCTTCCATGCTCTGCTTGGGTGTTGCTGCAAGATGAGCAAACTCTTGGACCTCTGGATGGATCTTTGCCAGAGTGCCCAGACGCAAGATTGACGCATCCGAGTCTCTCAATTTCAGTAGAATGTTGTCTACCGCAGTATGCGTGTACGAGGTCAGAAGCACACTTTTGCCACGAGCCACCAAAGCTCTGATGATATGAGCAATTGTGGTTGTCTTTCCAGTACCCGGCATACCCAGGACGAGAGCATAATCCTTCGCGGACATGACCTTGTCGATCGCAGCACGCTGGTCTTTGTTGATCTGAAGTTGACTAGCCGGCCCCGACAGAGCATATGCTGCAGGCTCTGTCTTGAATTCTGGGTCGGTATTTTCAACGATGAGCTTACGCAATTCGGCCGAGCGGAACACATTGTCGTCCATCAAAGCTAGAAGGTTGTTGCGGACAGTCGCCATGCCGTTGCTGAACTCGTCCTTGTCAAGACGGTAGATGATCGGAGTTTCCTCAACACCTTGTGCATTTTGACTTGGTTCGTCTTCCCTTCCGACTTCCATGATGCCAGAGAAGGTCTGATTTGTGTTGGCGTCGAAGTCGGCTTGCTTTTGGCGTGCGTTGTGAAGTCTTCGGTCGACTGCAACAGTGATGCGTCCTTTAGAGAGCTTCGTTACATACCCATTGGCGAGGGCGAAGTGACCTTTCTCACTTGATATGACGATAGGCTCGCCGATGGTAATCTGCGACTCTGTGAAAGAGAAGCCTGGTGGTGGCTTCCTTTTGATGAGCGTGTAGCGATATCGATTGATCTTGGTCATGTCGTTGAGCTCCTTCATGGATCCTTTCTCGATGACAACTTCAGAAAAGCAGCGGCCAAGCTTCTCACGTTCCGTGCTGAGCATGGTCCAAAGCTCACGGCGGAACTTCATCAGCTCAGACTCTTCCTTGGTCAGAAGGTTGTCCCACTTCTTGAAGAAGTCCTGGTGAATAGGTTGCAGCTTGCCGACAAGGTCGTTGAACTTTTCCTTGACACCGGCACTTTCTGCTGTGCCGTCTTCTGCAAGTTTGTGGTACAGGAAGCATTCCGTCTTTGCATAGCATCTTCCACACTTGCGTTCATCCTGGATCATAGGAGGAAGCTGAAGACGCTCACGAACATAGCAGGCAAGTTCGTTTCGCTGCATAATCATATGGCGAAGTTCATGACGTATGGCTGGGATTCGTGTGACGCTAGAGTTCTCCATGTAGTAGAGCAAGCCGTAGATGACATCCAAATCGTATCGATCGGACAACAAGAGCGTGTATAATGCTGTTTGGGCGCGATGCGAGGTGTTTGTGGTGTTGCGGCCAGTCTTGACCTCAAATGGCACTGTCAATGCTCTCTGACCTTGCTCGTCTTCCATACGGACTTGAACGGTGGCGTCAATATTGCCTTTCAGGCCGTAAGTCGGCGACCACACATGCTCTTCGACATCGAGAAGTTTGGTGATGCTGACACGAATCTTTTTGCCGCCTCTATCTTCCGCAAGAGCATCAGGGCCCGGCTTGGCTTTGACGAACACCTTCGCCCAAGAGCTCATCTCGGGCATCTTGCTCTTGAGGTGCTCGAATGCTTTGTTCGTGTCCTCATGTCCGAGCTCGAACAAACTCTCCAGGTACTTGCCTACCGTCTTCCCAACAAGATCGTCCAGCGAGTCTTGGTCCCAGTCGTTGCTCTTCATTGCTTCCTGGAAGATCTCGTGAAGCATGGAACCGTAGACGGAAGGCTCACTAGAACGGCTAGTTGCCTTCACTCTGTCCTGGAGGACGGCTCTGCGGATGCATTCGAAGGAATCGGCAACGACGGTAGCCGAGATCAAATGGTCAGGATGAACGATGATCAGGTTCTCAGCATCATCAATGGTAATCTGAGCAGATTTGTTGAAGTGGCCGACGACGTGGACATAAGAACCAGGTGCGCAATGGGTTTCGAGCCATGATTGTCTCAAGGTGATGGCTTTGTTGCGCTTTTGCACTTCGTCCTCAACAAACAAAACCTGCACGTGATTGTCAATTCACAAGAGTTTCATGAGGAAGGAGCAATGTCACGACACGTGGCTTACCTTTTCTGGCTGTTGACGACCACGAAGATCGGTATACTGGCCGTCTATAACTTGCTTCACCAAGTATCGTTGAATGGCGCGAGACTTTTGAGTAGTCTTGATGACACTTAGCTATCTACACCCTGGGAAGATTCGAGATACGTACAGAGCTAGCACTTGTACTTGCCTCCAACGCTTGAGTGGCAGCCATTTCAGCCTGAGCAAATTGCTCTTCATCGAGGTCGGAACCCCCAAACTCGTCGTCATCATCGTCGTCTGAAAAGCCAGTAAGATCAAAAGTCTGTGGCTGTTGTTGTTGTTGTTGTTGTGGCGGCGGTGCTGATGGTGGCAGTGGTGGATGAGATTGCGCGATCGCGCAGGTGTTTGGTTGTGAAGTGAATTGGCCGTTGGAGGTACCAGGTCTGCTTTCAAAGAAGGAAACGGCATTCTCTATCTCGTCGACATCGAGATCGTCGCCAAACTCGTCGTCGCCGAATTCATCGTCATCTTCATCAATAGTGTTCATTATCGTCGTGTTGCTCATGGAATTATTCTGGACGGCTGCAGTTGGTTGTATGTCGGCAATGTCATCCAATGTGATATCGGCGTCGTCGAACTCGGTATCTTCATGCTGATAGGAATACTGCTGTGACGAGCGCGCTGAACGGGGTTGTGATTGTTGGTGGTCCGATGTAGCCATGTGGACACTGGGAAACTCGCCCTTGTCCGGCAAAGGTGAAGAGCTTGAAGGCAGGTCTTTGTGTGCAAGAGATTCTTGGACCTTTTCAACCAACATGCCTACTCGTGAGAGAGGCTTTGCAGCGGACAGGTCTCCAGGATCGGTATTATTGTTGTTGTTGTCCCGGAAGATTCCATTGACGCGACGGCGCTTGACGCGAGAAGACGGAAACTCCAGACCACAGCTTGCCCATCTTCTCAAACCACCAACGCTACCACCAGGAGTTCGAGGGGCGGATCGAGGCGACGAGTCGTTCATGAGGTGTGCGAACGAGGGTATACGTTTTTCGATCGGAGTGTCATCTGGGTTCCTCGCAGTAGCATATCGAGTCCATAGCTCAGCGGCAGGGTCGGCTTTCGGAGTCTTGAAGGCGGATAGTGGGAGGTTGGCGTCTGGGAGGTCTGCTACATCGTTCTGCGACGAGCTGACAGGCGACGAACTCTGTGGGCGCCTCCTTCTTTGTCGAGGAGTCAGATCCGGATGCGAGCTATTTGCTATCCAACCGATCTCTTCAACAGGCGATTCTTCTTGTGGGGTGGGCCTTCGCAAAGCGTCCTCGGCATTTCCAATAAGATCAGCAAGAGGCAGGCGCATAGCCGGTGTGGAAGGTAAAGGTCTGTCCTGTACAGTCTTGATGGGCGACGATGGTGCTTCGAGCTGCTTCACAGGCGATGCTGGAGCGGTGGTAGAGGTGTCGTTTTCCTTGTCGGGGTGGCGGGCAAACTCGAAAGCTTTCAATTTGGACCTTGTCTCGGTCGAGGGCTGGATAGGAGGTTTCGGAGGGGGAGCAGGCTTGCTGGTGGCCTCGTTCATCGAGGGCTTCCTGTCAAAACTGCGATTGCCCTGCCATCGTGCTTTGGACTGTCGCGGATTAGTCTTTTATCGACGCGTCTTGGGATGGCGAATTCCTACTTTTGAACCATGATCTTGTTCGAAGAACGACTTCTGCCTTGACGACATGAGGCAGGTGGGCTCGAGGACACAATTATACAGTAAATGGGCAACTGCTATCAGACTACAGCGATGCTTCCTGCCGCCATACTCGTTTCCGTGCTCGACTCGCGACAAGGGAAGTCGCGTCGAAACGCGCCTTCCCCACACTCTTGGCTCCATCGACGGCGCTAACGTGTGTCATTGTTGTCATCGTTGTCAACCAATGCTCCGAGCTCTTCTTGTCCTCGACATTCATCAAGAACGTACTCCGTAGCTGTCAATCATTGGGACATGGTTCTCAGTGAACACGAGTATGCTAATTAGGCACTCAATCCTACCTAACTTTCTGTCACGAATGAATTTTGGCACTTTCAATGTGTTCGTGTAATTCTACAATTGATCACGGTGACTTAAATTGAGCAGAAGATGGACACGCTGAATAAAGATGTCTCATGCGTTCGTTAGCGCATATCGTATCAACTCCATTATCATCACCTCACTGCTTGTCCATCTGTCGGTCAACAACAACCTATCTCTAAAGCTTGAACATTCGCGATGGCCCTAGAGATGACAAGGCACGGCCTTGAATCACTACCCGATGAACTGAAATCTCATATTCTGTCGTATCTGATCAACCCTCCGCCTTCTTGGAGTTGGCAGAAGAACACGCTCGATACTGGACTCACTCGCTCTTCTGATCTGGCAGACAAACCTTTGAAATCCATGATACTCGTATCGAAAACATGGTGCAGATTAGTTTCACCACTATTGTTTGCGCATCTACAGCTTCGTCTCGAAGACACAGACCAGACCACTCCACCGTTGCTGGCGCCGAGAATCAAAAGCATATCGGCCAACTTTAGGGAATGGCTGTTTCGAGACTTGGGCTATCCACATGATGTCCGACTGCCGTACAGACATGTCTGGCAAAGCGCTTCGACAGAGAAGGCTGCGAAGTGGACAGCTACACTAGAGCAACAACTGGCTAGCTTGTTCGCATTTCTTGAGTCACCAAATAATGGCAGTAACAGCGAAAACGTCCAGTCATTGACAGTCATCGCTACTGACGAGCTCAACAACAATGGCCTCGACTATATTCGTGACGAAGTACACTGTTTGATCGCAACGGATGCATTTTGGAATCTGCTTTTCGAGAAGCTTGATCCTGCAAGAGTCACAGTACTGGCACCTCCAAGTAAGCTCGCATGTCTGCTCGGCTGCAGTATGAATATGATGGATGCCTGGGCTTTTCCAGGGATGGCCATGCAATTAGTATCGGTTTGGAGAGAACCTAGGCCTGTTGAAGTCAACGATCATCGCCGGTCGCCGTCGGGGTCCGACTATGACATGATGCACCCGGTAGAGCTCGTGTTAGAGCCAAATGAGTACGGCAGACCCGCATTCTCGAGCTTTATCTACATCAGGCCCTGGACACACTTGGCCGTGAATGAGGGATCGTTCCTTGAGGCTTACTCAACATACGAATACTTTCACAAGAACCCACCAGGAATCTTGGCCTCTGTAGGAAGGGCGTTCAGACTCGAGATGGACATGTGGTCAGTGTCATACAAGGCCGTCTTTCCATTTGGCAACCACATTGGATCACCGCTCGATCGAATCACATACAAGGGTAACTCTTCAAACGTACGAAAGCTTTACGTCAAGATAGCACCTGATCCGGACGACACAATCCTGGACGATCCAGCTCAAGTCGGCAAAGCAGACATCACCGACTGCTGGCGTGAGGTGGAGTCAGCCTACAGATTCCTGACAGACCCTGCCCTACGAGGAGAGCCGGACTTCACAGAGTCGGGAGCTGTTAGGGAATTGGAGATGTTCGGCTTCGGAGACAGCAGCATCTCATCGATTAGAGAGACAGTCGCCAGCTCAATGGAGACTGCAGGATGGCAAGAGGTGACCACAAATGAATGGCACAGCTCCAGGCTTCTATCGCGTCTATCAGATTACGGAAACGGTACGAAGGTCGCTGGAGAGTTAGAGAGCATGCGGATCGAGTAGGGGCCGCCGAATGGACTGGCTTCGTACAGATCACTCGCATGTGATGATTGCGACCGGGTCCTTACGAAGCATCTGTCTCTACCATGTACGGATATCGGACATGGTTTTCATAACCAAGAACACTATTTAATCCTGAGATATTCTCCGACCTCCATCAACGCCGACGTGTCCCTGACAGAAGGCAAATTTTGAGGATTCCGCCACTCTGCCATTGAGAGCGACTCTTGAGTAGGCTCTCAGTGGACACGCACTGGTTTAGGAAATCACTGTGTATTGCGACAGCGTAGCACGTGCTGATGATGTAAGCTTTGAGATGGTTGTTCCTTCCTCATGTGCAGCGGTAGCACACCGTATCAGCTTTGTTTATCTACTCGAAACATCCAAACCCAGTCAACATCCAATACATATCAGTATCGCAGCCATGAAGCCAACCGTCCTCGGTACCCGCAATTCTGAAGTAAAGCCTACCTAGAAGAACTTTATGCAGAATGAGCCCGGTTTGACCGCCAGCGATGTTAAGGATATCAAGAAAAGTCTCAAAAGATTCGCCGTCAAGAATCACACACTCGATCACAACGACCGCCGTATTGCCGCAACCCCACTCATCAATTATATGCTCGAAAAATATGACTTCGATACTACAGAGACAGAATGGCAGAGAGAAAGTCTCCAGCAATTCGCAAGAGCTGCTTGTAATTCGGAGACACGTACCAACAAGAAGCGCCGCGAGAGGCTCCTCAAGCAAGAAGCAAGCGCCCAGAAGGCAAAGACTGCCGCTGAGGAAGAGAAAGAAGATGGCGACGACGGCGACAAAGAGGAAAGAGATGTCGCCGAGGAACAAGAAGGAGATGTTACAGAACAAGCAGAAGTTGCCGAAACTACCTGAGCACTGAGCACACCTGAATCTTCACCAACCACCACCATGACATGACGTCTACTCTCTTTGACTGTCCAACGGACCAAACCCAATTACCATTCACGCTAGACCACACTGAACATCTAAACCAACCATCCTCATCACTCAGCGTAAGTTGACTCGTCACGAACACGTACCCGTAACCAACCAAGAAAGAAGCTAACACCATCGAGACAGAAATCACGTTGTACCAGAAGACCGAAAATTGTTATCAGGGAGAAGCGGTTTGAACCATTGCTCAAGACGTCATTGTTCCTGCTGCCGCGGTCGTGATAAATAGCTTATGAAGCATTTTGCCCATCCCATTAGCCATTAGCTGTGTTATCTGAGCAATTGACAACTCGTTCGTCTGTTCCTCTTCCAAAGTCATATCTTCTGCCTCGTGAAAGTCTTTCCTCTTTCCATACTCCCTTCATCCTTTACGTCTCTTCCACCCTTTGATGTGAGCTTCGAATCAATCCCAGATTATGGTCTTCGAGATTAAACTTGCAGCCCCATCCTTCAGCAGTGACGAAAGGTCGTTAGCTTCGTACTCAAGTCTTTCTCGGGCTCCACCGTGGTAACCGTAGCTTAGGTCTGGGGAGAACACAAAACGGGTCAACTTGGGTGCCTCAGCCAGGGATTTCATGATCGAGGACAACGTTCCCATCGGGAGCCTATATATCGAACAGAGCTCAAAGCTTTCCAGTTGAGGCAGCAGAGGTCGAAGTACGTTGGTTGTGAGTTCATTGCTACCCGCCAGCCAAAAGCCATTCACTTCAACTTTAGCAATAACCATCTGTGCGGGTAGAGTTTCCACCACCCGTGCGATCAGTGCACTGAAGTGGTCTTGGACAGCCGCCCCGTAATTGAACAACTTCAGTGTCTTTTGTCTGTGATCATACATGACCTTTGTGTGCCAGGAACGCAACGAAAAGTTGAAAGATTGGTCATCTTGACTGCCCAGATGATTCATGATGGTGTTCTCCATGTGGTCCGAGTCTGCGCCAGTTTCGACATGGAAGTCTGGGGGAGAGACACCGGCACGCCGAGCGGCATCGAGGGTACGAGCAAGTGCGTATGACTCCGGGTACTTCTCCTCTGCGTCCCGAACGTCAAACCAGCCGTGTGCCGTTCCGGGGAGCTTTTCGATCCCGATAGCAAGATTGTTGCCATATGAGTGAGCGACAATAAAGATTTTCTCCATCAGCTGGCCGTAAAGTCCAGAGACGACAAACTTCTTATCCGAAGCATGCATCTCTTTCTCTTTGCCACCCTCTCTGAGTCCAAAGACGTGCTCATAGCCAGTATATTTCGATCTCATGACGACAAGAGTAAGCTCCTTGACATGTGGTCCAAAGTGCGGATCTGAGATGATGTCGTGGAGCGTGTTGATACTGAAAGCAGAGATGACATGACTACGCTTACGGAAGAACCTGATTGCGAACGGTCTGTAAGCCGCGTCTCGCAATTGTCTGCAGGTGAGGCGGAGGTTCTGAAGGTTTCTGTGTATATGCGTTTCGAAGCTAATCTCCATGAAAAGCTCTGTGACTGCGCACAGAAGCTCTGGAGGAAGGTGGAGAAGGCCAGTCTTGTGCGCAATATCTTCCATGGCGGCCGCTGTTGATAGTCAGTGAGGTGCACAGTCAAGTTATGCACACACACTTACTTTCGAGCCTTTGCTCCATCGATCTTGTAATGGGAACCATCGTGTTCGACGTCCAGGAGATGGAGAGGATTGGTGAGCACCAGCCGTACACTGGTGGAGTGCAAAAGGTGAGGAGCAGCGAGGTAAAGTGCAAGTTGTGCGAATCGTTCACCTGTATGTTCAAACAAGCACTGGATGCGATAGGCGGCAGGCACCGCGGATGACCGGATTCAAAGTTTTGCAGCAATTGCATACCAGCGCGCCTTCCCAAAGTAGGAACGCACTTCAGATGAGGTGACCCGCGTTGACAACTCGACGCTACTCTCAGCATTATTCTGCTATTGTTTTGTACAACTGACGAAAGACACGGCGCCTCGGACTAGAATCAATCTCTAAGCTACTCCCGTTGGACAGTTCTGACATTGTTGAACGAGTTGTGTATTGTGACAGCTCTTTCTGTGACACTGGGTGGTAGTGACATGTTTGTGCGCCATGGCATTCAGACTTCGCTAAAATCATACCACCCATTAGTATCGCCCAATCCATTCTCCTTTGGCAAATCACTGCGATGCTTTAGCATGGCTATCAAATCAATTGGGTGCGTAGCACGGAGTTGCAGTTAAGGTGAACAAGGACGCCATAGGGAAGCAAGGTGAAGAAGTTACAGTTATTGACTTTTGGTATTGGAATTAGAAGAACAGAATGTCTCCCACCTAGAGCGCGCTTCTATGGTTTTATTCGCCGATTCAAGGTTCCTGTTGAACTCTAACGAGCTTCTCGTATCGTCTTTAGTTTTATGACAGTTGACAGAGAAGTTGACTGTAAGCTCTGGCACGAGCTCGGCTCAGTAGGCGGACTCGGACATGTACGCATCAAGTGATGAAGAGCTCCGTGTGGGCGATCTTGTAATGCTAATAGGCTCGCGTATCAGTGCCGTACGTGGATTTGAATGAGAAAAGTCATTGAGCATCGTAGCAGCATGGAAATCTCAAGGAAGGTGGTGATGGTAAATTTACCTGTCCTTGATGCGAACGCCTTCAACCAGCTCCGGCATGTTATTGGCAAATGCGGAACCAACAGACCAATTGCTGAGGTTGCGCATATGAGATTCGAAAACAGGGTTGATCATGAATTCTTCATCGTCGTCCAGAACAGCAGCCGAAGTGGCCTCGGCGCCTTGCACGCTGTTTGCACGGGGCAAGAGGCATTGTTGTGGATCATACGGCCAGTTCAGCGATAGGCTCTGGCAATAAAGAGGACCAAACCGCTCGTTGGGATATGCTGCGCAGTTTTTAATCATGCGATCACGCATCCAAGGCCTGATAAGTGAGTTAGTGCCGACAATTACATGATGATGAAAAAAGACTTACCATGGCACGTTGTCAAACCAGATAGGGTGGCTGACTTCGAGTTGGGAGCGGATGGGTCGAATCCATTCGGGTAGGCGTTCAAAGTTCTCCTGAGTAGGGGCGATGCGCCAGCGCATTACCAAGAACATGATATACAAGCAGGCAACCTGCTCGGGGATTTGATCGATTTCGGGAAGGTTTGCCAGAACATCGGTAAAGAGTTTGCTCAGAGGATGCGACTTGGGCGCGCGAGCGGGGTTGAGGAGTGATGAGATGGATGGGTAAGCAGGGCCGACTAATGAAGACGACGGAGTGCCCTGTGCCGCAGCTTTGCGGCGTTCGGTCATGAAATCTAGCATGACACTGTCCAGTTGGTTGGTAGCGTCCTGGTTACGTGGCAAGCGCATGTGCACTGGCACGTCGGCCATGGCTGTAGGGATCAGATCGCGCAACAAGGGTGATGTCGGGCGCACCTTGCGCTCTTCGATCAAAAAGCTACCGAAGCCTTGGTTGGGCATCTCTGCTCCCATTTGCGTGTGTTGCTGTTGTTGTGCTAATGCAGGGGCGAGTGTAGGCTGGAAGTGTTGATGCGGAGAGAAGCGCTGCTGTTGTGGGACTTGTTGCTGATGCTGCTGCTGCTGCTGCTGCTGTAATTGAGCAGCCTGTGCAGCTTGGGCGTACTGCCTGGCGGCACTGGCTGGAGATTGGTTCGGGCGAGGCGGTTGAGGCTGTTGTACTGGCTGGATATTACGGAGGTCGGGGTGGAGGTGGTGCTGAGCGAAGGGGGGTTGTTCGTAATGGGGTGGTGGTTGCTGGGGGTACATAAGAGCTTGAGGCGGATGAGATGGTTGTTGAGGCTGATGTTGCGGCATGGGTAGAGGGCTTTGCTGAGCGGTAGCAGCAGCAAGGTCTGTTTCGTTGTGTCAGCTGTAGCCGGACTAGTTGGGGTTGACAGAGCTACTGCTACCATTCAGACCCTGCGAGGCAGCAACGGGCTGCAGCAACGAGAAGATGGTCTGCATGCGTCGTTTGAGGTCGTCGTTCTCGGCCTGGACCTGTTCGCGCTGGCGAAGGGCAGTCTGCAGTTCTTGGAATGGCTGTTGGCTTTCGAGCTCCTTGATGCGTCGCTCCAGCGTCTCGATCTGGTTGCGCGTACGTTCGCGAATGGCGCGTTGTGCCTCGCGGTCGTTGGCCCGTTTCTTAGCCAGCTGCTCCGGCGTGAGGTTCGCGACACCGCGCGATGAGGTGCCATCGGCCTTGCGTTTCCTTCCATTCGTGGCAGCGGGGTATCCCGGTGGTCCTGTCGCGTCCGGCGTCGTCTGTGTTATGGGGGTGCCATTGGTCGGCGGCATTGACATTGCGCCGTCGCGCTGCGGCGTACCGTAGCCGGACGAGCCATTCGTCGTCGCCATGATTCCCGGGGGTTGTGTTCCTCTATCAAAGTGATATCCGAGTCATGCACGACGTGAGGAGCTTGCGGCTTGATGTGCGTCGGCAAAGTCGGGGAATGGGTGGTGATGGACAGATTAACCAGACGACAGAAAGGCGTTGCGCCGTGTGATTGGTGATGGGTGTATGAGGTCGGATTGACAGCAAGGCGCAGAAAGAATCGGGAATGGGCGAAGGGGGAATTTGTGAAGGAGATCAACCAGAGAGAAGATCAATGGACTTGGGAGAAAGTTAATAATTACGAGTCAGGCTTTCCCTCTTGCATGACCCTAGACGTCCCCCTCGGTAGGGACCGTTTCGTGGCCTGTCCCTTGCTAGCTAATCGTTACTCTCGTGCGCAACCTTGGCTTGGCCGGCGTTCGTCCGTCGACGACAAGGAACCTTTTTTTCTCTTGTCAGTGGCGCTCGCTGTGCATCTGTGCGGATCGGAAGCGTAGATCGCTCAAGCCCAAGATGCTATGCGCTTTTTCCTGAGACATGACCTGCCTTGGCCATGGCTCTGGTGCATGCCTTTCCTTTTCTCTATGACTCCTTAGCCTTCTGCTCCCTAGCGACGCCGAAGTCGCCTGCCTATTTCACAATTCAAATTGACAAGTCATTGCTTTTGCTCCTCGTCCGTTGTGCCCAAGTGAAGTCAAGACGAATCCCCGCACAGAGCCTCTGCATATTTGACCGTTTGTTTCACTCCCCATCTAACTAGCATGCACCTGCTTGTCCAGTTGCAAGAGTCTCCTTACGCATTGGTAATCTTTTCGAGATATGTCCGAGTTCACGGTCCCTCTGCGGCTCGAACATTCTCAGGGAAAGGGTGGAAACTGGAAAGCATCAAGCAAACTACATGCCCCACCTTGTTGCACCAACTGCAATCGCAACCCCGCCAGATCTTCTCACTCTGATCATCTTCCTTCTTTGGTCCGTCGCACCGCTTATTTCCAACTCCCGGAAACAATACCTGAACCGCCTTCCACGGGGACCAACACTTCAACTTTTCCCTCTTCGATCTCTGCTCACAAAAGTTGTCGTTTCGAAACGGTCCGTCTGATTCTTGTCCGGATCTCTGTGCCTTACACTGACCGTTTGTATATCTTCGGCAATTCTAAGACTTTAACACGGCATTCCCGTCTTCTATGATCCCGTCCATTACCTGCGCACGCCGCATGTCCCGTCGCTACACTAGTCAACAAGCTTAGCTTCGTCACCACCTACTCGTTGGCTAAGATTCGTCCGTCGTTCGACACGATTCATGGGTGCGCTCTTATACATGCTTGACGTATAGTCACGCAGTCAGTCGCGTCGCTTCTTTTTGCCAGCTCCTGTTCGTTGTTTTTTTACTCGTAAAGCAGCTCCGCTCATTCTCTCCTTTCTGCCCAAAAGCCCAGACAACCTCGTTCCCTAACCGAGCGTAATTGTGCTCAGTAACCAACAAAACCTGACAACATCAACCAGCTTGGCTCGTTGACCCTCGGAGACGCGATTTCGTCGAAACGACCACGACTGAAACCGGTTGATCTTGTGACCCATCCATTCCTTGAACCTGTATATTCGAGTCATGACGATAAGCCATGACTCGGAATAGGGCTTGTTCATCGAATCCTGCCTCGGTTCATGGACAGATGCATCCAGTATGGGCATACGACTCGCTCTCTACCATACGCATAGCGTTCCTAGTCTTGACTCGAATAGCAGCCTTTCTCATCCACGTGGCTTGAGCATCTTTAACAAATCTTGGATTTGACCGCGCCGTTGCAATATTGTCGCACCTCTAGGTGTGAACACGATCGCGACTCCTGGTCGTACATATTCAGTAAGCTACTGCATGCGGCTTATGGGGAACCGACAAAACCATCAGAACTATACATACGATACCCGAGCAAATGGTTGAAACATGACGTATTGCGTCGTCGTCGATGTACTGGACAGAAAGCCTGCCAGAGCCATTCATTCCACAATGGACTTGAGACGATCAAAACCTCACGCGCAGCTGAGGACCATCAGGACAACAACAACAACAACAACAACAACAACAACAACAACAACAACAAACTGAAGTAGTCCGACAGTCTGCTGTTATTCAAGCTTAAGGTGATGGCGTATCAAGCAACCATACCTGAATCAAGACCATGCTCTCATGAATCGCATGGCTAAGAGTCGGCAACATCAACCCATCGACGTTTATCTGCCTTACGCGATGTGTTCGCACAAAAAGCTTCACAAGGCTTTTACACGAGCAGCGCTGTCTCAACAAAATCTCACGACCTTCGCTTTGGCGCTTAATCTTAATGTTCCAATATTCAATTCGAACCGCATCTCAAACAACTGCCGGCCAGTGGCTGTCTTTCGAGCACGATAGGGCTAGGCCATAATTTGCTTGTGGGGTCTAACAACTGTATCACGGGGTTGCCCCTCATACCCATGTTTCCTGAGCGTAGACATGATGACTGACTTCCTTAGAGCCATACGCATTGTTGTTTGTACCAACTAACGTGCTCGTACCTTACTAGTGCAGAGAAACTGCTCGTCAGTCCTTCGGCGACCTCCGCCATGCACAAACAGACAGAGTTTGGACCACGACTCAGCAAGCAGATTTTGAAACCTACCTTCAACCATGTGTACCGATGATAGCCGTTCGCTCGGAGTCTGAGGTATACGAGCGATTTCTCTCAACAACAACTCTCTCTGGACTCCATCTTTGCTTCAAGCACCTTGTGTCCGGCTAGACGAGATGTCAGATATAGAACCTAGACGTTGTCTTGCGAGCATATTAATTACCCCATGTCAGTGACTCTGGACTAACCATCTATCTTTCCACGGCCGGACCTGGCAGGAAGAACTATGGTTGATGCAACCCCAGTATCTCCACACTAGGATGCTGGTCCGTAACACACAACTGTCTCTATCGAATCACATGGGATGTTCGGCCACGGAGACGGTTCAGCCCTGTACGCCGCGTCCACGACCTCGGGAATCTGTCATGTCACGGGCTTTCAGACATCATCTCGTACGCAACCGGAAAATGCATTGTGGGCAGGCTATCGAGGGCAAGGCTTGCACCGGACGAGCGGAAGAAGGTGTCGAATGTTGTCGTATTGACTCGTTGAGCCGGTAGACATGCTTGGACGACAAGTTTTGCAATACCATCCTATCTTCATTACAACGGCCGATTCGGCATGGGTCTGCTGTAGCATGGATCTAAGTCGGGCCTATGGTCACGGTCACGATCAAGACCAAGTCTAATTGTGATCACTAGCCAAGCATTGTTTGTACGCTGCAAATGGATTTGGGAATCGATTCTCTTGGACGTCTCCAGAACTCGCAAGCAACTGATATCATAGCATGGCTGTTTCGAAAGAGTGGATCTTACACCAAGTGCGAGCTCCAATCATTTCATGTTAGGACGATGTTCCCGAGAATGGCCAGCCTGCTCTTCACCGCTTGGTAACACCAACGCGATTGTGGGCATACTTTGCCAAACCACATGCTGGCCATGACAAAACTCACTCATGTTGGTCGAGTTGTAAAGTTTTTTGCGCAGAACCGACGTCCCACTGCGCTCCGCAGACCGCCCGCGACCAACAGTCACCCCTGCAGCAGTGCTTTCAGACTAACCTTGAGCATCTAGGTAAGGTCATGGTATACTCGCCCTTTCTCGTCCGATTTTGATAGGGCTCATGTCAGTGTACACGTGGATGATAGCGAGGCCATCCAGGCCCTCGGAAGTCGTCATTTGCTCGAACACCGTTGCATACTTCTCTTAGCAAGTCCAATTTGAAACCGTCCCTGACGGAAACTCCCATGGCCTTTCTGCCACTTAGCCACGCGTTCTCAACTGTCGTGGCTCGCGCTTGCGACATGTCTTTGCTCACTAGTGATACAGTATTCACAAGTTCTTCTCTGGAGAAATAGGTAGCGAGTAACCGTTGTCACCGCTACAAGCCATCTCGCGCGATTTTATCTCCGTTGTACCGACAGTCTGGGTCATGCTATTGTAGTTGCCGTCTCCGCACAGCATCGCACGTGGCACTGTGGCAGAGCTCATGAGCAGCCACAACCCTGCCGGACCGAATTTTGGAAGCTTCGATGCCGTCGCCCGCGGCTTCCAGGAAAACGATATCGGAGGCTCTGCTTGTCGAGCCCATCACCCTGTTTGAAGAATGTCACTACCTTCAGCTCGTTCCACAAACGACCGTAGGGCTTGGTATACGAAATAGGGACACGTTAGAAAGTGGAAGCGGACACGAGTGCGCGTTCCGAAGCAACAAGACGTTTTGCTGGAGCTCTTGCTTTACGAGTTACCGTAGAACATGCAAGCTGTGAAGGAAACTTTGAGCAACGCCAAACTTCGTCCAACGAAGATGATTCAACCCAATTCTTCGAACCTTCTCCAAAACCTCACCCTTGGCTGCATGCTTGGATTGCCAGGGTATTTCGGTAACTACTTCCTGATTCTGCATGAGATGCTGATTACCAAGGAGGCATTTCCGCGGACTACAAAGTCTACCGAGCTCCCATCGAACCAACACTCTGTCATTTGCACACAACTGCGATGGCAAGATTTCATCTAATCGGTCAACATGTACCAAGGGTATAGATGCCTTGCTGGCGTTTCCTGGTCCACATGTCAGCAGCCAGTTGCGTCACACAACTTGATCATCAGACCTGCCGGGGTAGCTCAATCGGTAGAGCGTGTGGCTCTTATCTACTGTATAAGCACGGACACCTCAAGGTCGCGGGTTCGAGCCCCGCCTTCGGCTATTCCTATAAACACCGCTGTCCATTCCTTTTGCACTATCTCGATAGGGGCTAGAAACTCCATTTTTGATGTTTTCGATAGAGGCGGAAAAAAAGTTGAAGCCTGCCAAGTTTTTCGTAAATTTGCCAAGCACGGACTTTGGACCCTTTTTATGCCCTTTTTTCTTTTTTCTTTTCTAGATTCTCTTCCCTTGTTCATCACTACCAATTCTATTCAACATGGGTTGCACGATTTCATGATCAAGACCGAGAGAACCAAGCCAGTACAGTAGCTCTACTCTCGTCATCATCTTAATAATCCTCTCTGATCACTTGGAAAAGAAGAAGATAAACCAAAAGAAATTGTAAAACCTGCACCATCCTTCGATATTCAGCGATGATCCGAAGGCGGGTCTTCAACCCACGATCTCGCAAAACGGGCTTAAAGCCCTGTCTTCGGTTGCCTCTTTCTGTTCCCTTATTCTTGGTCGATGCTTGATGAAGGCTGATCTTTATATTGCTTCGTCATTGAAAACAAACAAGGTTGTCACTATTTTCTATCTATATCAAGAGTTGAGAAAGACATGGCTCCAGTTGGGTTGGTGACTTCGCGTGATCATGCCCTGCCAACGAACCATACTCTTAAACTCTTCCATATTCTACCTGATACACCCGTGTCTATTACCTTCCCTGACAGTTTCTGCAAGCACGGCATGACTATCGACCCCAAGACCACCAGATCCACGTCTAGGGGAGTGTACATAGCATGCTCAAGATTAGATCGACCAGGCTGCTACGTACGAGACTACAGAAACAGATATCACGGTCTTGTGTTCCGGATCGAGCTGCCTATAATACGGATACATATATAGATGGTGGACAGAAGCTACTTTGAGCCTAAACTGCTATCCTTATGCCTTGTAGCCTTTTTATCTCGATCGATATACAGCGGATGGCTATTATCACTTGCACGTTGTCTTCGGAATACAGACCAAGTGAACGGCTAGCTGGAGAAAACACGATGGTAGCTATTGCGGAACGATAGGAAAGATATCAACGGAGGCAATAGTACGGAGGAACTGTGAATTCCAAAAGGTAGAAGACGGCCTTACGAAAAGAGCAAGTATACACTTGAGTAGCAAGAGAAGTAACGGTCCAGTAAGAAGATAAGAAGTCAGCGAATGGAAAGGGGAACACGAGAAGCCACCAGCTAACACAGGGGAGGTAAATACGAAGGGAGGGAGAAGGAGCAACCGAGAAGAAATACGAGCTCTTGAGCAAGATCATGAGAGCAAAACACCTAATCACATTCAGCCGACAAGAGAGATAGAGAAGAGAAACCAGACAGATAGGCAACAGATTGACAACTTCCGACGGCGACACGAAGGCTAATGACCGTACATGTTCTGAACGGATAAAGTATTCATCCAAGAGACCACGAGAAAGACCATTCATCCATTTTGAGTGACGAAGAAGAAAACTGTCCATCAAGCCACAGACTACAAGTATCATGCCCAGTCGATCTCCTTTGAGCCTCATAGCCAAAATAAACGACACCTGATATCTTCAACCAATAGGCCCCAATGCCGAAAACCAACACCATCTCTCCTCTCGATCCCATCGAACGATCATATGTCCAACCCTACAAGTACATACCGAAGGAACCGATGTCACCGGATCCGTCGGAATTCTAACTCCGGCCAAGTCTCCAAGTCGCTCCCCGTTCGGCTCTTTCCTCGAGAGACGTAGCTATATCAGAAATCCCCCTTCCTATATGTTGAAAGAGCTAAGCATCGGAGTCGCTGCCGAGCACGCAAGACGCCCTACCTGACACTGCGGCTAAGGTCACCGAATTCGGAGCGGTACCCATCCTCTCCCGAAAGACGCAAGCTGGCATGTTTTTGAAGCTGACCAGGTTTTGAAGCTAGCAGGTGCTGGGTTGAAACTGGAATTGACGTTATTTGAGTAGCGACTGACTAGTGTGCATATCGAGGGCAGGTCATGAGAGGTCAGCGGCTGTGGCTGGCTTAAGGTTTGGGTTGCTACGATAGCGATGGTGCGATTGTGGGCTCCCCCTTCTGCTCGGGACTCTTTCGGGCACAGCCGCAGGCGTTGAGATATTCCAGACTCGATAATTGGGGATACTATCACCAGTATGGTGGAGGCGGATGTGCTTGATTCAGACTGGTGTCGACTGTGGAAGGAACTGTTGAATGGCATAGGATCCGGCATCATCTCGGTATCATCACGAACGAGAAACTGCTGATGACAGATCAACACCTGATGGTAGTATTAGCAACAACGGTAAGGAAGGTACGAGACGTCACCAGCAAGATCAAGTTGGAAGGGACGATGTCGCAAGAAAACAAGAGTTGTATTTGGTAAAGCAAGAATAAAGGAGGTAAAACTAGCAAATCTGTATGACTGTTGAGACCATACCCCTGATTAGCATGAAACATCCCCCTCTATCCTCGGAAGAAGGAAAGACGGATAGTAGATGCTCGAATAAGTACACCGCTCGTTGACAGTAGTGACTCGGAAATATCTGCGTGCTAAGGTTGTGCTTAGCAGAGAGGCCGAGCACCAAGAAGAACCCCATAGAAGACGGCTCCGTTCTTGACAGACAACGAGTTGGAGTACTGCTTCTTGTTCTGTCCTGAAGAAGGACGTAGTGATCAGGCAGCTATGCAGAGCGATTCCTTGTCCACACATCAGGGCGAGCCCACATGTGCACCAAAATCATCCGCGCGGCTTGTCCGGGTTGGTATGGCAGCGAGCAATACTGACGTCGACCATGTCTTGACTGAACACCAAGGTAGCGAGACGTGAAGGTAGGCATGATTCTTTCCAAAGAAAGAAGGAGTGACCATGAGATTCTCATCGTTGCGTCAATCAGTCGTAGCCTCCTAGACCGACCTGGCTGGCGAAAGCGGTGCTAACACTGCGCACATCGTCATCGTCAAGTCTGCTGGTACCACGAAGGCCAACAGAGGGCATGGTGCCACCTTCGACATAACGCTTGAGACGATCGGACTGAGACAAGCTAGCCTGCTTGCCAATGTCGTTGATGCTCAAACCAGCGAGACTGACACCACCCTGTCCGACACCAGTTCCGTTCTTACCAGCCACACCGTTGGTGGTAGTGGTGATGTCGGTGATCTCACTGGCGGCGACACTCTCACCAGCAACACTTTCGGCAGCATTGTCTCTCTTGGTAGGTACTGATGGTCCGTTACGTCCAGGAAGAGTAGGCCAGGCCTCGGTGAAGTTCTTGAACATGGGCGGGTAGTTAGATGGCAAGGTAGCACCTCCAAGGGCGGAAGAGTGGACCGAAGAAACATCATCAGGGATGTAACCGACAACAGATCCATTGTCATTGTAGCCATTCTTGCGACCAGTAGCACGGCCGTCACCGTTGGGACCAGAGGCAGCCATATTGGTGGCATGCTGGTAAGCCATCTGGTAGCGTTGAGGTCCACGGTAGGTGGTCTTGGGTCTGCTAAACTGGAGCAGAGACACCTGTAAGTTGGTGAGGGGGCCTTCAACTAGGCAGTTGCGCTCCTTGAAATGGAGAAGAAGGTAGTGCCACAAAGGGTGCTTGCTGAGAACCTTGGGGTTACCCAGAACGACCAGACCGTACTTGGCACGGGTCAAAGCGACGTTCAGACGACGAGGGTCAGAGAGGAAACCAATGCCCTGGTGGTCGTTGGAACGGACACAAGACAAGATGATGAAATCCTTCTCACGACCTTGGAAAGCATCGACGGAAGCAACCTCAATCTCCTTGTAGTACTCCTTCTTGAAAGTGCCAGTAGCCTGCATGGAAGAGACAACGTATGAGCGCTGACCTTCGTACGGGGTGATGATACCAATGTCCTGAGGCTGAACACCGGCCTTGAAGAAGCGAGTGACGAGCTTCTCGACATTCTGAGCTTCGGTACGGTTGAGGTAAGAGGTACCAGAGGCTGAGATTTCCTCATTGCCCAAGTTGGACCAGAACATCATAGGCGAGTCAGCGACAGGCCAGGGGAAGTCGACATCACGACGGAGGCGCTGGTGCATGGTTACACCATTCTGGAGAGAACCCTCGTAGAACATGTTGGAGGGAAACTCTGACAGACAAGGGTGCATACGGTACTGCACTTGCAGACGAATCGGAGCACATCCAAGGATGACCAGACGTTCGAATAAGGACTGGTTAAGACCAGCCTTGGCAGCTTGCTTGTTCATGATGACAGGGCCCAGCTGCTGGTGATCACCGACCAGGACGACCTGCTTGCAACCCAAGACTAGGGGAATCATACACTCTGGCTCAGCAGATTGAGTAGACTCGTCGATGAGGACAGTTCGGAACTTGAGCTTAGCAAGGCGAGGGTCACCAGCACCGACGCAAGTACAACAAATAACATCGGCGTTGGAGAGAATTTCACGCTCAGCGTTGCGGACGAGCTGCTTGTATTTCTTCTCATCCTGGCTCGACAATTCACCCAATTCAGCCTTAAGCTGGTTGAGCTTGTTGAGCTCAACGTTGGTGTCGTTCATGCGGACCTGCTCGTGAAGAGACAAGAAACCCACGGGTGACTCGACATCCTCTCTTGACTTAGCAGTGACACGAACAGTCTTGAGGCCAGTACGGTGAATACGCTCGCACAGCTGGTCGACGGCGACGTTGGAGGGAGCACAGACAAGGACCTGACCGCCGTTAAGCTTGGCCAAGTGGTAGATGATGGTGGCAGAGGTGACAGTCTTTCCTGTACCAGGGGGACCCTGAATCAAGCTGAGAGGCTTCTGAAGAACGCTCTTAACAGCATTGATCTGACTGCTGTTGAGCTCGGGCAGACCAGGAACGCTGAACTTGCGAGGGAGCTGGGTCTTCATGGGAGCAGCAGCAACCTCGTGTCCAAGAAGGCGATGGAAGATGTAACCCGACACACTCATCTCATCAATGGCGAAGGTCTTCATGGCGTGTTGCATGCGGTCGAAAGAAGTGGCTTTCCAGACGTAGTCGGCGCTGAAGTTGTGTGTGCACTCGGTAGGAACAGACTTGTGGTCTCCCTTCGAGCGCAACTCGATCGTAACCTCGTCGGACTGGTTGTTAGGAATCTTAATAACATATCCAACGCCCTCCCAGTGTGGCCTTAACTCTCCAGTGTAGCGTAGGCGCATTTCGTCTCCAACAGCCAACTTGACGTCGCCCATCTCGAGCTTGGGCAAGACAAAGCTAGCGAGATGCTTGTTGTTGAGGGCAAAGTCCCAGCGCACGATAAGCCCATCCTGTGATTGCGACTCTTTGAGTTTGCGGTCGTAGTCGGCTTCGATCTTGACCAGAGGGCCGAAGACGTTCTGGTACTGGTAGGCATCGTCGTAGCGCAGAAGCACAGGGGCGGGCTCATCGTCAACACCAACACCCTTTTCAAGATCGGCAATTGTGGCCTGTTGGTTGTCCTTCCACAGCTCTTCCAACTTTGCGATCATCTGGGGCGGCAGGTGACGAGCGCGCATTTGCTCTTGGTCCGTAGGAGGTCCGACAAGCCAGGGGAGGAAAGAGCGATCCTCAATCAGCGGCTGCCAGCGCGAAGTATCCCAGTTCATGTCCTTGGACGAGGGCATGGCGGCGCATGGCTGACGGCAGAGAAGAACGACAACTGTGTCGGACTTTGCGGGGATGAAACCGAGGAGGAAGACATTCTTGGTTCCGCAGTTGTAACATTCGAGGACGGTGTCGCCGAGGGCGGAGGCAGGGTGAAGCTGGACTTCCTTGTGACGGGCGCGCACGAGGTGGTTGATGATGTGCGAGGACGAGGTGTTACCACGAGCGCTACAGAACCACTTGTTGCAAGACAGACACTTGGCGACACTGCTCTCGTTGTGGATGCCGCAGTAGCTGGGGATGTCAGTTGGGATCAGTGCGAGGAATGCTGTTGGGCGACGTACGCGCAAGCGTGTGTAGGTAGCTCAATGTCGTGCTCTTCATCCTGGTGGTGGTGACCATTCTGACCGTTGACCTGGTGGCTGGCTAGGCTGTCCGCATCATCGTCTTCATCGGGGAAGATGTCGGACTCGTCGTCGTTGTCGCGGGCTCTGCGTCGGCGAGGGCGGGCCTGGGGAGGCTGGTTCAGGTTCCTGTTCTGGTATTCGCGGTCCAGGGCAGCCTCGTCGGCATCGATGGTGGAAAGGTCATCGCCGGCGTTAATGGCCGAGGCGGAATCGGAAATCAAATGGTTCCCGAGATGAGTAAAGGCGCCTTCCATGGCGACGATGGGTGTTCAGGAAGCCGAGAGACGGCAATCTTCAATTGTGCTCCGAAGCAAGAAGTGGCGGGGCTGCTAGTTGATGGTCTTGGCGATAACTGTTGATTGTTCGTCACAAAGAGAAGCTGGGAAAGAGAAGGAGCGAATTACAAGGATTTGTGAAAAGTTCATATCCCAAAGTCGATAGGCGTAAGTCACTTGACAAAAGGCAGTAGTTGAATGTGGTCGTTGAGGAAGGGACGAACAACTTCTCGAACCTGATCAAATGGCAGCAGCCGCCGCAGGGTGGCAGTTTTGGCTTGCCAGGAAAATCCATCTCCGCATTTTACAGAATAATTTATTTCCATCGCCGACATCACCATCTTTTTCCTTTCAGCGGCGACTTCTTGTACTACTCTTTGATCTGCACCAGTCAAAGATCCAGTCAGGACATATCTCACAATGCTGGTATGAATCAAGTGCCAACATGACTCCTCCTTCACCAACTAACATCCTTCAGCGCCGTCAAGCCCGCGAACGCCGCGACTACCTATACCGCAGAGCCCTGACACTGCGCGATGCAGAGATCGCCGAGAAGAGAGCAAAGCTGAAGTCTTCTCTGGCTTCTGGAAAGCCTCTGGATCCCTCGATTGCCAACGACAAGTCTCTTCGCGCCGACTACCGCTACGATGAATCCCGCCCGGATCGCACAACTCAGGAAGAGCTTGAACTGGATGATGAATACTCGCACCTGTCAGGTGTCGTCGACCCGCGCATTCTGGTCACCACATCCCGCGATCCCAGCAGTCGTCTCGGTACTTTCGCAAAGGAGATTCGTCTGCTCCTGCCCACAGCCGTCCGTCTGAACCGTGGTAACTTGATTCTGAACAACTTGGTCGGCTCAGCCAAGGGCTCTGGTCTCACCGACATGATCCTGGTTCACGAACACCGTGGTACTCCCACTGCCATGACCATCAGCCATTTCCCTCACGGTCCTACCGCCAGCTTCTCCCTGCACAACGTTGTCCTGCGCGCCGATATTCCCAATGCCGAGCGCGGCACTGTCAGCGAGAGCTACCCTCACCTTATCTTCGAAGGCTTCACAACCGTCCTCGGTCGTCGTATCGTCAAGATCCTGCAACATCTGTTCCCTCCGCGCGAGCCCTCGGCAAAACTCGGTTCTCGTGTCGTTACATTCAAGAACATCGACGACAGCATCGAGGTCCGCCACCACGTTTTCGTCAAGACTGGATACCAAAGTGTTGAGTTGGCAGAGGTTGGCCCTCGTATGACTATGCGTTTGTTCGAGATCAGAGCCGGTACTCTCGAGAACAAGGATGGCGATGTTGAATGGCACATGAACCAATACACCCGCACTGCTCGCAAGAAGGACTATCTTTGAGCAACACAACAACTCAAGCCAAGTCAGACTGTCAGTCTGGCTTCCGCAGGACAGCGCCAGGCTCGCTTCTTGGTCACGGCCACGAAAGGCGATCAGTTGGGGTTATCCAACAAGTGCGCTGCGATGCTCTCCGGTAGCGGACTCGAAAGCGGAACGACCGCGGTGTCATGTGGTAGTGGGACGACATTGCCTCGGATCAAGGTCTAGCATCGAAATACATTGAAGTCCGCATGCTGGACCAAAAGCAGTAATCTGACCGAGGACCGGATGACATCGGAAGCAACTTCTCCGCAACATTTTCCATGCTTTTTGTTGGAACTGGGAGACACGAAAGCAGAGGGCCGTTTTGAAAGCTGGTCAAAAGTAGTAGAGAAGAGATATTATTATTCTCTATAGTCGATACATTGAGGAAAAGAACCATTTGTATACATGTCCCGCATGTCCCATTTCATTGCATTCCATTTCCACCTTTTGTGCATGAGAGCGTGAGCCACGATAAAATCTGATATCCCACCACCAAAACTCCATCGCTTTTTGACGAGAACAAGAAAACAGCAAAGAAGAGCAAGAATCACAGACAAGCTGGATTTACCAATGGCAAATACCACCGTCGGAATCATCCACACTCCACACACCAGCAAGACCTACAACAGCAGTCTCACCAGAAGCATGCTCACCGAGCTTTCCCATCCTGGCTCCTCCCAACTCAGCAGCTCCAGGGCCATTGTTCAGGAGACGTCTAGCCCAAGCATCGATAGCGGGCTCGCCAGTCTCGTCTCTGCATTGCTTGAGGAAAGGAATCAATGCCGTTCCTCCGGTACCTCTAAGATTCTTCTTATCCTTGCTTTCCGAGCTGGCGGCTGCGATGTTCATCTGTTGAGGAGATGCAGAGTCCTTTCTTGCCGTGGGGGAGAGGGAGCGTGCGTTGCTGTTGCGTGATTCGCGGGAGGGGACGATGATGTAGCGTGATACCATTTGGATATGCTTGTCGCGGAAGTTGCGCAGCATGGCTAAGCAGGCGTCAAAGGCACCTGCTAGAGCGCGATCGTGGCGGTTTGTGGTGACGAAAGAGCGGATGTTTGCTACGGTGCCTACGTGCTCGAGGAAACGAGCGTGGGGACCAGGCATATACGTGCGCATGTCGTGGATGAAGTTTGCAGAAGGCCCTTGCTGGACTGTTGCTGCGGGTGTGTCATGAGGTTTGCTGCTAGTGGGACGATGCTCGACTCCAAGGATCAGGTCGAAGAACTGGATGATGGAAGATTGAGCGTTGCTGCCACCACTGTATTGGACGTAGGCGTCGTCCTTGCTGTTGGTGTCGAACATGACGCCGTTGGGGAGGCCGGCTTCGTGCATGTTCTTGCTGCCGGCAAGGAAAGGGCGAATGCGGTGGTAGAAGACGTGGGGGTCGCAGTTCTCGTACATACGGACGAGCATTGAGGAGAGTTCGTCTAGGCGCTCGGCGAATGAGCGTAGACATTCAGTCACGACGGCCTTGTCACCACGACGGGCGGCCTCGATGGCGTGAAGCATTAAGGGAATTATGGGGGCGCCACGGGCTTCGATGGCTACTGATACGAGGTAGAACCACGACTCGTCCAGCGAGCCAGTGAAAGTCATGAGAGTAGACAGGTTGTCCAGAGAATCGATACCTTCATCATCGAAGAGTGGTCGGTAGTTCCATAGAACGACTCCGGCGTATGTGGCAACGGTGGGCAACTCCAGATGCTTGCAAGCTGCTGTGAAGGGGATCGAGATGCTAGGAGGAACACAATCCTTTGGTCGCTCTCCGTTCCAGATGTAGGCGTGTGAGATGAAGCCAAGCATCATGTAGGCGCGACGCCATTCGGCATCTGAGCGGAGGTATTCGGTAGACAAGACAGGAAGGCTTTCGACGACGCCTCGCAGTCTTTTGCCGAGGATCAAACCTTGAAGATTTCTGACAATGGCTTCCCAAGGTCTATAGTAAGTGTCCGGCAGTACCTCGAGTGGGTACTCTGAAGGAAGGAAGCCATAATTCTCAGAGACCTCGTAGTCTTCGAGACGAGGAATGGATGAAATCATGGTTGTTTTTGGAACAAGCGTAGCGGCTCAGAGGGCCGTACAGCAGGGAGATCCTTTCTTTGTGCGACTCGTCAAGCAAGATGGCTTGCTTTATAATGCGTTGCTTCGGGCTTCGTCGCGTGCCCAGAGCGTCCAGAAAATAAAAGGTCGATCGGATGGCGGGGTCGCGGGGCACAGGAATCTCAAGGTACAGCGACAACGGACAGATGGGAGGCGTCGAAGGCTGCAGGTCGAGGTCAATTGCGTTGTATGTTGTGAGAGGAAGGAAGAGATTCAAGCCCAGACGAGGAGTGGCGCAAAGGGGGATTTATTTGTTCTTGGAAGAAAAGTGGTTGAGAGTTTAAGAGTTGCCAAAGCGGTGGTGGGGCAAACTGAGCGGCTTCTGTAGATTTGACAGGGCACCGTTCAAACACTCAAAGGGTCTTGGAACTTTTCGCGACGCGCGAACGACGGACTTCTTTTGTCTTAAGAGAGCGAGGTTTCCAGGGGAATGTCGGAGACGGAGGCAACGGAGATTGTCATGATGAGCAAGCAGCAAGCGGGTGCAGCGGCTTGCTCATAGAAAAGTGTTGGTACACGCGCAATCCAGTTGCTCCGGTCCCGGCGACTGCGGTCGCGGTCTGTTCGGCTCTTCCAGACCCGGAACTGTGATTTGAAACCATCAAACAGGCCGACATCAGGAGAGACGTCCCTCAAGATGACGGTTAATATCCTTCAGATGACCAACCACCGTCCACGAATCTACCGGCCAGAAGTCCATGACATCTTCTTTTTAATATGTCAGGGACCGTAGTCTGCAGATCTACTTGTACAATAAGCCTTTCCTCATGCATCAAGACAGGTGCATGCGTTCTTTTTCCGCAGCGGTCTTTGAGGAACCGTTGCCTGTAAATTCGCTCCCCCACGATTTGTCTACCTTCCACAAGATCTCTAGAAGTGCCGATCAATGTGTTTCAACCAAGATCCGCCGCTTTACCGCATGACACTCGACGTCAACGATTGTGGAATACCATCGAAGCGCATTTTTTGCCAAGAATCGAAATGAAAGATGCGGTTTGCGGTCTGGAGTGAAAATCTGGAGATTCTGGAGAATTGTTTGATTAAAACGCCAAGTCGATGGTTCATGCGAGATATAGATTGATATGCGATATGTGGACCTTGTGGTCTTTTGGTTTCCTTCTGCTCTTCTGCTCATGATGCTGTTGAAACACAGCCGAGCATTGCCGAGTGTTTGCTCAATGCAGTCGAGCTATGGCATTGTACTTCTTTGACCCGAGTCTTTGTTCTGAAAACGGCATGCGAGTCTGCTTGTGCCGATCGCTAGTCTGTAGCCATGGACCTGGTTGCTTGAGAGAAGCTTGCTCGTGATCAAAGCTTTGCTATCGTAGCAGGTTGTGTGAATTCGGAGTATGTGCTCAACCACTTCATGCAATCTTAATCTTGGAGCCCTTGAGCAGCAGTCCACCCACAATCTTGCCAACCGCATATCCCATGTAGGCTCCAGCCAAGATGGTGACTGGCCACTTCTGCCATTCGCGGTCCCAGTCGAGAGGGATAGGCACAGCACCGACCCAAGCACCAATCAGAGTTCCGACCGTGGCACCAAAGACCTCGTCAATGGGTGCAGCCAATGCGCCAACCTCGATCCATTTGGCACCATCGACACCGTGGACGTAGAAGAGAGGGTAGGCGGCGAGGAGGGAGATGTGGAGACCGCAGTAAATGGTGTGGGCTTGGTGGGAGGTGAGCGGGGCACCGAAGAGGATGAGGACGATGGCGATGAGGGGAGCTCCGAGAGTGACGGCGAGGATGAGCGAGAGAATTCCAGGCTATACAGAGAGTTAGTACGAAGTCAAGAAGTGCTTGGTTTGAACGAGGGCAGCACTTACGACCAACTTGGCACCAAAGCCAGTGTCTCCTTGGTGGTTTTGAGTGACCTTGCCCTTCTTCTTTCCACGCTGAGGCAGCTGGGCCTGGTTGCTACCGGGGATACAGATGCAGAGGTATAGTAGTTGGAGGGCGGCGACACCCAATGCTGTCTGAGGCAATGTTTCGACGGGATTCTCGACCAGCGAGGGGAACTGGTAATAAAACAGGCCGAGTAATAGCAGCGGGTGTAGGTGTGTGTAGATGGGCGAGATACCGTCGTCCCAGCTCTCGATCGGATGCGACTTGGTCGCTTTTGCTTTTGTCTCTGTCGCTGCCATTGTGCGTATGTGCTGACCACTTTGAAAAGAGAGAGTTGGTGATTCGAGGATTTGTTTGGCCCTTCGAGGAGCCGCGGCTGCTACAGGGAGAGCTTCGACCTCTCTCCGAACAAAGCCCGAATATCAATCTTCTTCGAAACATTCATCATAGCTTAAGAATTGAGAGTCATTTCATGGGGAGGGAACATGGTTCTATCTACATGCCCGATCGTAGAGCTCCTTCTAGCCATGCCACTCCAGCAACAACGCCGTCGACAATGCGAACCTTCGATCCCTGACCATGACCAAGCGTTTCAACAGCTGCCTCTCTGACCATGTCATCGAACCCTGCCATACCTGCACATCCAAGACACACTGCTCCGACCGGACCACCCGCATCATCAATCAAAAGTCTTGCGACTGCCTTCTTCATACGGCTGCGAACTTCGATTGGTGAAATCTCATGCAACTCTGTAGCGTTGAGGCCTGTCGTCTGCACTCCCGCGAATGCTGCACTACCTTCGGTATTGTCTTCGACACCGAGATAGTTGTCGACTGCCTCACGCAATGTAGCTTCCCATACCTTACCCGTGCTAACTATGCCGAACCGTTCACCGGGCCCGATGGCCTGGAGACTGCTGCTAACAGATGCTTCAAAGATACCCGTCACAGGCTTGCGGCGACTAGCAATTTCTGGTCTCGCCTTGAGCTGCCCAACAAGTGGATGCGCCGAGTAACAGCAAACGAGGAAAGCGTCGTGTGTTTCGAGTAGTGGCAGCAGAGGCTCTAGACAGTGTCTGGCTGACTCCGCCGCGTCGTCTTCGTTGTTGATTGATGCTGGTCCTGAAGGTGCTGTGAAATATGTATGTTGTGTCTGTTCAAAACACCCAAACTCAGACATGCTTCTTGTTTCTCAGTGGGCTAGTGATAAATACCGAGGAGTAGCCCAGAGAATCAACCAGCGGCTTGAGCGCATTCGTCATGGCTCTCGTCGAGTTTGGGTTGATGATGAGGATCTTTCTGAGTGCGGGAACCATCTTGTCGTTTGCTCTATGGTGCCGAATCTGAAGGTGAGATGAACGCGAACCTGCGAGAAATTCTTGCAAAAGTGTCTACTATCGACTCTGCATGCGCTTGTATTTGCGTTACTCGATATAAATGACCAAAGGCTTCAAGAGCAAGCTTCGGCTGAAGTCGGACGTCTCCGCTACGATCACTTTCGAGCCTTTCAACCGTTCTTTGGGTACTGGATGCAATTGATTCGAGAACTTCTGCGTGATAGAGGCATCTGCTTCAGCAAATAGAACCCCGCTTGAGAGTTGACGAGATGTGGCTCGGTCTGGTGGTCATCCGCCGTCAGCCAACACGGCGCGATTGTGAGGCTCAAAACTTAAAATACTCAACACACCTCTTCTCATCCTCCCCTCCTCTTGGCACAGCATTGACAACGATAATATTGAATCCTCCACCGATTGATCTGTGATGCTTCTTGTATCCCATGTTATGATTTGCTTCCAACCCATGCTGCCATCAGTCTGCTGGATCATGACTTCAGAGAGTTCACACGTGCCATCTCTGACAGTTGGGATGCATGCAATTGTGCTTCCTTCTGCATCAACATCAGCTTTGTCTCAATGGTACCATGCTTCCACATTTGCACACCTGACGTTCTTCGGATTGCCGACAATGTCTGTTGGCTGAGCATTTCCATTGTAAGGCTCCTAGACCGCTACAAAGTCCGATATGCTCATGTTCTCAAACATCTTGACATCCCCGAGCCCGGTGCCCTTGTACGCCAGATACATGCCGACAGGTGAGATACGGGTGTTTCGGACGGCGCGGAATAGTCGTATGTAGATGATGCGCTTGAAGGTTGCGATGACCATAGCAACAGGTTCAGGTACGTAGGTGTAAGTGTAAGAGCTTCTCAGGCATTGAGGTGACGAGTTTCCTGAGCTTGTCGAACTAGACCGTCCAAAAGGCGATGGAGTGTAGAGAATATTTGAGAGACAATGATCGACGCTAAAGTGAAGCAATGTGAAGCCTGGAAACTTCAGGATAGGCAGTCATGCTTTGGTTGCGACTGCTATTGTATCTCAAGTTGTGACACATCGGAATGCATTACTGCAACAAGCCGACTCAGCACATGGCACAATTGATTCTTAGAATGGTCCCGTGCAAAGAAAAAAGATGGATTGCTCCTATCTGATGATGAACAAAAGTATTACGCCTTGAGCGTTTAGATGCCTTGCTCCTGAAACCCATTTCCCGCTATGCTAAATGGTAAAGTACAAACGTTTTAAGGAGAGTCGTGATCGTGGTGTCGAATAAAATAATGATGAAAAGAACAAATCCGCAGCAACATATTTACAAGGCATTAAAGTGCCTGTGTATCCTTTTTGTCGTATATTTCTTGTCTCGTGAGTCGAGGCTGAACACACTCTCAAAGCATGTAAGCAAAGCCCAAAGCACCACCAACAACGGCAAGTGCACCCTTCATGTGAGCGCGAGATGCGCTGGCGGCACCCGACTGCAGACCGGGAGGGCTGGTGTTGGTAGAGCTGGGGCGGTCGGAAGAAGCAGTTGCGGCCTGTGCACCACCGACAACAGCAAGCGAAGTGACAGTGCTGGGAGCACCATCGGCCAAGGTCGTGGTCATGAGCACAAGGGAGCTGACCTTGCCGCCACCGGGAGTGTAGGTGGTGATGAAGGTAGATCCTCTAGCATCAGTAGTAGTAATCACAGCTCCGCGAGTGGCGCCAGAAAGGATAACGCTGTTGCCATACTGATCAGTGGTAGTCACCACGTCCGAAGCGCTTGTACGACGAGTGCTGCCGCTTGGCACAGGTGCGTCAACCGAGGTGATAACGTCACCATCCTGGTCAACAGCAACACTAGCGACAGCTGAGGTGGTTGAAACAGTCGAGCCACGGGAGTTTGTAGTAACAACGACGACACCGGGGAAGCGAGCAGAAGTAGTGACAGCACTGCCTTGAGCGTTTGTAGTGGTGTAGGTCTGCTCAACGCTGACAGATGCGGACTGCTGGAAAGCAGAAGTGGTCTGGTAGACGGTGCTGCCCTCGCTGTTGGTGCTCGACAGGACAACAGGGACGAGGATACCAGAGGCAGTCGAAGCAGCGACGGATGAAGAAGCGGCAGCAGAGCTCTCTGCGTTAGTGCTTGACGCGGCGACCTGGCGAGTGGCGGTAGCCGAAGTTTCGATGGTACTTCCGGCAGAATTGGTAGTAGTGATGGCAACAACAGTGGGTCTGATGGAGCTCTCAGATGAAGCTGCAGTCGAGCTTTCGGCAGAGGAGGCTTCAGCAGAGCTTTCGGCGGCGGAAGAGGCAGCTGCTGAGCTTTCGGAAGAAGCGACGGAGGAAGCGTCGGTCGAAGGAGCTGCTGATGAGGATGCTACAACAGATGAGCTACGTCCAGCAGAAGAAACCGCACTGGAGGAGGGAGATTGGGACGAAACAGATGAAGCATCGGAGGATTGGGAAATCTGACGGGCAGAAGACGAAGCAGAAGACTGAGCTGCGGAGGAGGACGCAGCATCAGAAGAAGCAGAGCTCTGTTGGGAGGAGACAGAGCTCTGGGCGGCAGAGGAGACCTCGGAAGATGAGGCCGGAGCAGAAGATGAAACAGTCGAGCCGGAAGAAGTAGTAACAACAGTATCCGAGCGCGACGCGGGTGAAGCAGAAGTAGAAGCGGAAGAAGCGGACGAGGGATCAGCACTGCTCTCACCTCCTGTAGTGCTCGAAGGAGCTACGGACGATTCAGTCGAAGTAGGGGCATCTGTTGTCGAAGGGGACGAGGTTTCAGTGGTCAAGGAAACAGAGGTCGTGCTGGAGTCGGTAACAATGACAGCCTCGGTGCTGGTCGACGCGTCGTCCGAAGTCGAGGTCGAAGGGACGGCGATGACAGTCGTGTTGTCGGCGCTGTTGTCCTGTCTCTTGCGCAACTCTGCTCGGACAGCGACATCATGCTTTGCAATCTCAATGAGACGCGAAGCCAGCGACGGGTTATCCTTGTGAATGTGCTCCATGGCCCTGTGGTCCTTTTCGAATACGCCAGCCTGATACTTCCCTCCTAGATGTCCGGACAATGCAGCGTGAATAGACTCTTCGGGCAGACGACCCAACAGCTGTCTGAAAACGCCAACGTCAGGCACATCCTCATGGCTCTCAGTGATCTCGGCCAGCGCAAATCCAGCGACCTGGAGTCCAGCGAACAAGAGTGATCGGATTGAAGGCATCTTGTCGAATGCCAGTGTCGAAGAAGAGAAAAGGTTCGCAACCTTTAGGGGAGACGCGTTAGAAGAGGAGTCGGAGGAGTGAGACAAAAAAGACGGATACGTACAGGATCAGCTATTGTGTATAAGCGAAGGTGTGGCTGATTATAGCTAGCCCTCAATATAAATAAGGTCTGTCCAATTGAAACGACGCGTTCAGGTGTCAGAAGGTGCTTTTCAGCGACTCTCGTTGAAACGGCGATAAAGATACTTGATAATGGTGCCTTGAGAAGCGAATGTGAGAAGAGATGGCAAGAAAGACTTGTGCTGCAGAGACGGAAGGATATGAAGGACACGGATGGACAAAAGCTCTTGGGACGGCACACGATGGCAACCGTCGAACCTTGAAAGCAACTCGGATCGCGGCCGACGAAGCCTCGAAGAACTTGGCACGATGACGGCCACGATCGACCGCACCACGCGAACTGAACGAGACCGCGCCAGCCAGTCAATTGGGCAGTGCAACCCAAAAATAAACATGTCCCACCCGAAGCCTTCTTGCTCCCTTTGTTCGCCACCCACCTATACCACTCTCTGACTGCTACTTTGTATAAAACAATGAGTCTGGGAGTGATCGTGAACATCCAGGATTTCCACCATCGTGCACGCCACACAACGACTGGCTTGATGCACGGCTTCCCGCGCATCCGCGCTCAACGCATTGGCTGGAAGATGACGTTGGCCGCTTCGTCTTTCTACCGTTCGTGCAGCAAGACTTGATCCACGTCGACTGACTCCGTAAGCACCTGCTTAGAAGCGAGTGCTCTGATCCTCCACACGCACCACACGAAACAACTGGCTCAAGGCAGGCCTCAAGCTTTTGATCACGTACATCATTTGGGGTTGCATCTCCTTGGCCTTGATCATGGACTCCTCAGACACTCCACTTTGACGCGATAGTTTCGCTGTCCCGAGTGGGGTTTCCTCTGCATTTGCCTAGGTCTGCTGCTCCGTCTGTGAGTTGAGACGCGGTGCCAGCACGGTTGCCTCGTAAAGCCCGTAAGAGACGTCTTCGGAAAAGCTACTCGAGTACAACGTCGTCGATCCTTTGCTCTTTGCTTGTGATTCGTACATCCTTCCTGTTCCTGAAAGACCGTCCTCCGTGTGTTCTCAAATCCTTGACAAACCCTCCGAGGCCCGCGGCAACTTGCTCTCAATGTACTCGGTGTACCTCTATGAATAGTGCACCTTGCATTGTATGCCTGCAAACCCACAAAGCAAACCGTCTCCTGTCGGCGTTCAATCCCGGACACGGTGCTCAACACTTTTGGAAAGAAGACTGTACCCAGATGTAAATCTGATGACAACAAAATGCTTTCTCCCATGAGAGGGATCCTAACGAAGCTGAATTAAGAAGTTAAAGTAGCTGCTGAGTGTAACAATTTAGCGGCCGCAGAAAGAAACAGCCTGGCTTCTGCGTCCCTCCCCCTCTTGTCCAAATCAAAAGTCTATATCAACAACCCATGCCTTATGCCCAAGCGCTTTCACCAAGCAAATCTCCCTCCTTCGTGTGCACGACAACCTAGGTCTGAGTATTGTCGAAAAGCTGTGCCTGCTTTGGCGTTCCCTCTGCAGATCCGATCGGAGTGTTTCCTGATGCTTGTGCGGCGTGCGTTTGGGCCTCACTGACTGCGACAGGCGCGAATGGAGTGAACGAGTCAGGTTGTCCAGGAAGCTGTGGATCCAGGGCTGCTAAAGGAGAGGCGCCATGAACGTTGGCGGTGCTCGTCTCTGGCAGCGCTCGTTGTGTGGTAGGAGATCGCTGTCTCGACAACTCCATGCTCTTTCCTCGTCCTGTAGGTGCATTGAGACTTTGCCGGGAACCATTGTGCTCCTCCCTCAGTACTTGCTTGATCGGTGATCGGGCTCTCCTTTCTGCTTCACGTTCCTTGCGCTCGTTCAATTTGCTTCTTATCCATGACATCGGCCCCTTCTTGTTGTCACTATCAGACAAGACTGACTCAGGATCAGACATTACATGGCTGTCCTGGAAGCTACGTCGAGGGTTTCCGCCGCTCGAACTGCTGATGGTCGACTTACTCTGATCTGCGCTGTTCATGTTGCCGAGATTTGAGTTCGTGCGACCATGTTCGTTTCCCTCTCTGTTTTCGACTGGTCTCGAGAATCGCCAACGGCGCTTCTTTTCGGGTCTTTCAGCGGATGATTGGAACTGATCTCCATGGTCCACATCAGAAGCATCAGTCACATCTGTAGTGTCTGTATGCGAATGGAAAGAATGTGCGGGCGACACAGTCGGTCTGAGAGTAGCATCCGTCTCTGTGCGCTGAGGAGTCATATATCTGGGTGAAGTCTGAGCTGTAGCATATGCAGAACGGTCATTGCCGTATTCGTTGGCATAGTCCTGAGTACGCGGATCGAAGGCGGGAGTGGTTGGTGAAGCGAAATAGTCACTCGGCAATTCCGAGTCTTGTTGAAGCGAGTGGGCAGAACTGTGAGCGCTGGATAGGGCACTTCCGGGAATACGTTTCTTCTGTAGCTTGTTAGGCTTGCGGCCATCTCTCCTCTCACTGTCACTTCCGCCAGGCGAGGGCTTGAGGAAGTCCATAATGGCGCGAGAGGGAGTGCCTGAAGGGGAACGCTCAGCGGGATTGGTTCTTCGGTCACCAGCTGATGAATTAACGTTCAAAGGCGCGGTGCTGTTTTGAGTATGCTCTCTCTGCAACAAACCCATAGTCTCGGTTCCGTGAGTAGCAAGAGGAGTGGTTGCCTCGCTGGACGATGCCGAGATAATCTCAGGTCCCGATGGCACGCCCGGATGCGATGATTGGAGAACTGTAGGACGGGCCACGATCGACGCGGGTGCGAGTGCAGGAAAATCCACGGCAGGTTTTGAGGCGATAGGTGTGCGTTCCTCGGAGATGCTGTTCTCAGCGGCGGAAGTGGTGTCAAGAACGGTGGGAAGAGGGCTAGAACCGGAGCCAGGGCTAGGGGTCGGTGGCTCTGAGCTCTTCTCACGGCGAAAGTGTGGCGATGCGCCTGACTTGGATGGGACAGTGTTGCTACGGTGGACACCTCCCGAGTTCGCAGGACTTCCGAGAGTAGGTGTAACATGGCCTTGAAGATGGCCAGAGCGTTTGGAAGCCCTGGAAGACACCGAGACATTCCTACGAAGGTTACCAAACAAACGAACACTATCCGCACCGGCACTAGCGTTGGAGGATGAGCGGCCAAGGAGTGTCTTGGATCGCGCAGGAGTCAGAGGTGAGCCCGGAGTCTTCGGAGTGGGAGCCCCGGACTGGACTTCCTTGACCGTCTTCTCGTCGGCGGCAGTACCATGCATACCAATCAAGAAGGAGTCTTGGTTCTCGATAAGGAAGATCAAGACATCCTGGCTGAGTCTATATTCTGGAGGAGCCATGTCGTGCTGGGGATGCGAGAGGAGACCGGGTTGGAAGATGGCAGCAAGATTGGGAGTGGTCATTTTGTTCAGATCGGATTTGGACGCAAAGACGGCAAGGAGATCGAGAATGTACAGAAGCAGTTGACGGTTGAGAGGAGGCAGCTCGGTGATGAGGTTCTGATAGACACGGATGGCCTTGGAGGGGTCGAAGTGGCCGATATTGGGGGCTTGCATATCCATGGAACCGACAGCTTGGGCTTGGTGATTCTTAAGCGGGTCACGGAAGCGTTCGTAGAACTCGAGAGGGATGATGGGTTCGGGCAACTGGTTGAAGTACCTGCGCAGAATGTTGGCAGCGTCGTGGACCGTGTAGCCACTCCAGTCGAGACCCTTTCCATAGCGGTCGGGAGAGTCGAATGCAATGCGCAGTTCCTTGATGCGCTTCTCGGATCCACTGAGGCGGAAGATGCCCTCTACATCGGTAGCTACGGCGGGAGTTAGCGCTTTGTATCTATCAGTCTTGCCGTACACTGGACGTACCCTTCTCTTTTAGATAGACGCCGCACTTGGCGACGACGATAGGGACGTAGCCATAGATATAGCTCTGGCCTTGTTCGTTGAACAGTGAGATGGCGACATTGGCGTAGCGGATACTGGTCTGGAGAGGGACGCCGAAGATGCCTTGGGGAGCTGCGCGACAAAGCAACGGATTAGCATGTGAAGACGACGAGATGGCACTGCGCAAACTAGGGAGCACGCAATAACAGTGGAGATATGTACCCTTCTCCTCTTGGACTCTCTGCGGCGTGGCGCGCTTGAAGTTCTTCCACCACGAGGTCAGATCGCGCTTCGACTGGACGGCCTCGGCGGAGGAGGCACTCGTCGGCGCTGGCGGTGCCAGGGTCGCGCCTGGATGGCCGCCGGTCGGCATGCTCGCTCGGCGCTGGTGTTAAATATGCAGGCCCGCCGTCTTGCTGCGAGGGAAGCTTTGGCTGGGCCAAAATCAATAACAAAAGACGTGGATGTTCGCGGAGGTTAAGTAGGCAGGAAAGTGAGGGTGATTCAAGGCGACTAGAGCGACGAAGTCCACGAGGACTTGGCACTTGTTTGAGCCTGCACAAGCGTCGAGACGGCGTTGAGAAGGGAGAGAGGGCTGTCTTTCTTGCTTTGACTCTGCTACATTCGCAAAACAGCCGACGACCGCTAACAACATAAATCACCCACCAGCTGCCTACACCCTACACAATGACGCGCGGTCGCAAAAGCAGGTTTGCACCGGCTGAATGAGCTCGATGCTGCTGCTGCCTTTATATTGACATGCTTGGCGCGCCAGCCACTTATACCGCAACACAACATGGCAGTCACGCTGCGAGCCTTGGACGACGGACGTGCTAGCGAATAGTGCCATCCAAGAATGTGGAGTAGATGCGGAGAGAGACACGAGAGCAGATAGACACACTCGGTCGGGGTCATCTACACTATATACAGTCAATCTGTCTGCTGACGACGGGCTGTGTCCATTGCACGAGAGCACTTTGTTTATTTATAGCCGCCTGCTTTCAAGCGTCGGTCAACGGCCATGCCATGCCATGCCATCGGTGCTGTGACGCGGCCGTGGACGGTTCAAATTGCTGCTCTTCGAAAGAACAGGCTGCATCACACCAAGCGCACATAGGATGAGAGTTGAGGCTTGTAAAGAATTCCAATCTATCCTGTAGATCTTTTATATTCTCCCATCTAAACGAAGAAGATGAGGGCGGTCAAGGAGGCAGGTTCGGGGATCTTCGCAAGTAAAACTTGTGACGTTCGGAAAGGCCCGCACGTGTGGATTGAGCTTCGTCGGCGGTCTTGCTGCTTGCAGCTTCTCGAGCGCATGAGAAAGATTCATTCGAGCATTGTATCAATACCGCGACCTTTTCCCCCCTTCAACACACTAATTACACACACACTGCCAAAATGGACGGGTATATCACATCCACCTGCGCTTTGCTGAAATTCGCCTCTGACCCTACTGCAGTCTCAACGCCAACGAGCAGCGCGAACTCGCCATGCGCATGGAGAAGAAGCAGATGTCGCAGTTCATGAACGTACGATCTTCCTCGACTATTCCTTGATGCGATCACCCGCTGAATATCACCTTAGATGTACAGCAACCTTGTTCAGCGCTGCTTCGAGCACTGTGTCGATGACTTCACCTCGGCCAAGCTCTCATCCAAGGAGGAGGGCTGCACCATGCGCTGCGTCGACAAGTTCATCAAGGGCTCTGAGCGCCTTGGTCAAAGATTCCAGGAGCAAAATGCTGCCATGGCTCAGTCCGGTGGTCTCATGCGATAAATCGCTTCCTCCGCCCACTCGAAATTTCCTACCATCTCAATACCACCCAACAACCGGCCACTCCACTGCTGCATATAAGCAGCCTGTACAAAAGAGAATGAAGAACACGAACTTTGAGTCGCGATGCAGCCTCGGATGACCGTAGAAGTCCGCTGTGCTGAGGTCCCGTAAGTAAGGATGGGACTGGACGGCATGCAGTGCATGCTTCCTGGCGTATACCACCACCACAATGTTCTGTTTGAAAAAGACGGGCACGCTGAACAATGAAAACAAACTCCAATTTCCACTCATACCTGAGCAGTGTGTGCACATCTCAATCTTTGAACGATCGTGCCTGAAATATTGCCTCTATGTGATTCTTTGACATTGGACGAAACATGCAAACTGCATCAATATTGAACAGAGTTTCCCCAAGTGCTTTGCGTGCGTTAATGAGAGCTTCATCTTCTTTCAGAAGTATTCTTCAATTTTTGTTGCGCGTGTCACCGTGATGATGTAGTCGAAGCTTTGCTCTCCACACATTTTGCCTACGAGAAACAGAGACCAAACACCTCGACTACCATCACACCAAACCCCATCGCCATCATGTCAGAGGGCGCACAAGGACTGCTGCAGCCTCAGATCTTTGAGAGCCTGCAAAAGAAGATTGATGAAGAGACTGAAGTCAGAGATGTAAGTATACCTGGACGATTTTCCTATCATTTGCAGGCGCTGGACTAACAGGCGCATCAAGTCAATCCGTGAAATCGTGCAAACTCTTGAAAAACAAGGTCGGTATTTTCCAAAGTCTTAGAAATTATGCTGACTTGGCTTCAGACCGATCAACTCAAGCAATTCTTTCTCGTGCACATTCGTCGAGCAATAGCGAGCGTCAGTAGCAGCATCACCGCCATCAGTAGCTTTTTCTGACTTTCTACCAGTCCCCGCTGTCGTTTCTTCCGCCCAGGAATCCATCAACAAGGAGGTTGAGTCGATTGCCAAGCTCTCTGATGCTGCATCAAAGTACCCCTACTACAAGTACAATGGCATGTGGACAAGACATGTGCAAGACGCTGTAAGTTAAAGGCTTTCTTCTATCAATGCCTTATATCGCCTTTCGTTCCATCAAAGCTTACGAATCACAGTCTTTCTCGATTCTCCTGTGTGGATACCTTGGTGGGTTCTCGGATGTTGGTTCAGGATCTCAGGATGGCCGTCTTTTGACCATCGAAGAAGTTGGCAAGATCATGAACAGTAAGGAGATAGGGTCGCCCCCTCGAAAAGAACAAAAGCTAACATGAAGCAGTTCCTGTCAACGTCAAGGATAGAGACGTTTTCCATCTGACTATCGAGGAATATCTCCAATCGCTAATCTCCCTGATCGATGAGCTGGTAAACTGCCACGAATTCGTTTCCAGTGGAGGGTTGACAAGCTAACACTCTCGATAGGCACGCCTTGCTCGCAACAGTGTCACTCAAGGTGATTACTCACGTCCTGTCCACATTGCAAAGTTCATCAAGCACCTCCATGCCGGCTTCCAGATCTTGAACCTCAAGAACGACTCTCTTCGCAAGAGATCTGATGGTATCAAGTACCGCGTCAAGGAAGTTGAGGATGTAGTCTATGACCTCAGTCTCAGGGGTCTTACTCCTAAGGAATAGATACCTTTTACCACCGGCAAATGAACCAAAGGCCGCGTGCGGCTTCTATACAGTGTTAAGCATACGAGGATAGAAAAGCTAGCTATGCAGTTGCCAAAGCCGCAGTATATGCTTCCAAGCTTATTCCCGTGCGAGGGAGTATGGCACAATATGCTTGTGGCGTTCTCGTTGTCCCGCCGAACAGAACCGTTCTCTTATCAAAAAAATCATTATGGTTTTCGACCCAAATCAATGAGGCGATCTCGCAAAACAATCAATTGTTGGTTGTTGATCACGATGGGCATGGTATGTTTCAGCAGCACTCGGTCAAATGTGTGAGGTCTTCCACGATTGCTGTGATTGGCTCATTTCTGCCTTTTCTCGAGCCAAGCTTTGCTATTTATTTTGAGACCCTGGGCCTCTCGTATCCGGGTGAAGCGAAAGGTCCAAAAGGAGATGTTATGACGAAGCCAAGCAGCGATCTTTGCTCGTCCGTTGTTCGTGCATGCTCGTGGCTCTGCGAACGCACGAGACGAACAGAAGATCGTGCCCTGGAAATCGAGTCAATGATGTCTGTGACAGGTGCGATGTGTGCGCGATCTTCTCTCCATGCGACAAGCGACAGACTCGTCAAGTCCTCTTCCCACGCCGACCGAGCAATACCGACAGCATTCGGCTCCAAAGGCATCCGTTTCTAGGGCCAGAGCGCCAAAGAATCCGGGGCCGCCGTTCTTCAAGATCAGAGTTTCGTCGTCTTTTCGCCCAGCGACGTAGAAGCTCAGAGTCAAGTCGTGTGGCTCGCTCGCTCGCTCGTATTAGGGGCGACAGAGGGCAGCTCTTCTTTCCTTCTTCTTGTTTCACATCTTCCATTACACCCTTGTTCATGAACCCATCTCTCGTTATCTCATAAGCAAATTTTAATATTCTTTCCTCGTGGTTCTTCTCTCTTTTGTCGACAGTGGTAATACATCTCATAATCACGCAACACACATAATCCGCATCCAATCGTCCGTCACGCGCACCGCCGGTCATGCGCTTCCAAACCGCCGCGCTGAGCGCTCTTTTTCTCGAGTCCGCCGCCTCATACGACTTCTCTAGCGTGGCAAGAAGCATACTCCCGGCACAACGATTGGAAAAGAGAGCAAACACAACGGAAATCCCCCTCCCCATCAATGTGGAGGCATCGCAATACTGGGATGGAGCTGATGGACCATGGTACGATCATGAGTGACGAGTAGGAGAGGTCGGAAGAAGGAACAGAGGCTTATAGTGTGGCAGGTCATCGTTCCCACTTCAGGTTGGCACGCCGGCGCAAAACATCCGAGCCTTTATCTCAACAAATGGATACACAACTTGGACCGTTAGGCCACTGGGATGCCCAGCAGGAACAATAACTGGATGCGAAGAGTCCCGCGGCGAACTGTTCTTGACCAACCAATCCCTCACATGGGTTCCCAATTCCATCTTTCAGCTAGGACTGCCAAACGAGATGGCTTTAGGATTGGATGATGAGGCAAACTATGGTTTCGACACCGTCACATTGGGATGGCAGGGCTCAGGACTACCTACGGTACAGCACAGCACCATTGCAAACATGGCTACGTTTGACTTTTGGCTTGGAACTTTTGGAATCAACCCTCAACCTGCCAATTTCACAACTTATACGGATCCCCAGCCTAGTTTCATGACCCAACTGAAGAACAACAACACTATCCCAAGTTTGAGTTGGGGATACACCGCTGGAAACCAATACCGTAAGTCTTGCTAAAATGCAGGAGGAATTGCGATGAAGAAGGCTGATACTGAACAGGTTTCTCGGGAGTGTATGGTAGTCTCGTCCTGGGAGGTTACGATCAATCCAAGTTCGAGCCCACTAACTTGACAATTCCATTTGGTTCCGACGTGTCTCGAGATCTTCTGGTTGGAGTGCAGTCCATCACTACTGGTAGTGCTGGACTGTCGAATACGTCTGACGCATTCTATGCCTTGATCGATTCAACTGTTGCAGAACTCTGGTTGCCGGAATCTGTCTGTACGGCATTCGAGAATGCATTCGGCCTTGTTTATGACGAGTACTATTCACGTTATATTGTTAACGACACTATGCATCAGAGTCTTCTGGCGCTGAACAAGTCGATCACACTTACCCTTGGACAGTCCAACTCTGGCGGCCAAACTGTCGACATCACTTTGCCTTATGCTGCGATGGATTTGGAGATCTCTTATCCTTATGTCGCCAACTCGACTCGCTATTTCCCTCTCAGACGTGCGGCGAACGACACTCAATACACTTTGGGTCGTGCCTTCCTGCAAGAAGCATATGTTGCAGCTGATTACGAACGCCGCAACTTCACAGTTGCTCCTTGTGTTTGGGAGCAGAACTCCGCATCAGACATTCGCACCATCCTGTCTACGGACTTCAAAAACCCCAACAGTGGCAGCGGTGGTATCAGTGGTGGCGCCATCGCCGGTATTGTGATTGGTGTTCTTGCCATCATCGCAATCCTTGCCGGAGCTCTCTGGTTCATGCGTCGCAAGAAGCAACAGAAGAAGCATGCAGCTGTCGAACTCGAAGCCAAGTCGTTGGCAGCAGCACAAACACCCTCTGGTCCTTCATCACCGGTCAAGGAAGATCCTCACGCTGGCATCAGCACACCCACTGGTGGCGAGTTAGACAGCTCAAGACAAATCCACGAAATTGCTGGAGCAAGCAAGCCTAACGCAGCCGAGATGGATGCGCCATGGCGTGGAGAGCTGGACGCTGCTGGAGGGCACCACGAATTCTACGGCAAGCTTCCGCAAAACACTTTCGAGATGGAGGGAAATAACGAACCAATCTTCGAGATGGACGCAACAGCGACACAATTGCATGAACTGGAGCCCGACACAAGGCGCCAGAGCTGGGATTCTGGTGACGATAGAGGTGACGAGAAGAGGTATCTGCAGATGCAAGGATACTAGATGTTGCTTTTCTTGTTTTTTTTTGTTCATGATTTCAGGGAAGATCTCGGTTGTCAATATGGTGTTTATATGGGAGGGCTGGTTTTTGTTTAGTGATATCACGGTGGAGATTTATGGGAAGGAAGGACGGGTGGGATATGGTGCAATTCCTGTGAATAGTATACCGAAGAATACATGCTCACGACAATATTTCTTTCATTCAAATGCCTCGACTATCAATCTTGACTTGTCCTTTTCGTGATCGTAGACTGGGAAATGAAGAGTTGAATTGAAGGCTTTGTCAAACACAAAACACGAGGCATCATCAAGAAGAACTTGGTAGAACAAAGGTTTGCGGGAAGAGATGAATTGCTGGGGTATCTAATACGATATGAATCCATCCATCATGATTTCCCTCAAAAGGACGAAAGAACTTTTTGGTCATCTCAAATTTTTCAATATTGAGCGAAAAGTTTACTCGTCATCCTCCTCCTCGTTCTCGCCAACGACGTTGTAGAAGCGGAGCTCGTAAACACCCTTGGAGGTGGAGACGACGCGGAGCCAGTCACGGAGCTGCTGCTTCTTGAGGAACTTCTTTGTCAGGTACTTGAGGTAGCGACCGGAGAACTCCTGGTGGGCGACGACCTCGATCTTGCCGTCGTTGAGGTTGGTGACGGTGATGCGCTCGCCGAGGTTGCCGGTGAGGCCGTCGACCTTGATGCGGGACTGGAGGAAGGTGGTGAAGGCAGAAGGGTCGAAGATCTTGTCGTTGGTGGGCTGGGAAGCGTTGATGATGAACTGTTTTGGGAGCGACGTTAGTTTCTTCCATCGATTGATTGTTGCGCAGGAGTATCAGCAGTGATGGACGTACCTTCTTGGTGACCTTCTGGGTCTTCTTAGCACCCTTGGTGGCGGTGGGCTTCTACATTTTGAACAATCTCAGCCTACTGTCTTTACAAGAACAGCAAAGCGGTTTTGGATTTCAATCACATACGGTGGCAGCAACCATTTTGACGGTGTTGATTTGTCGTTGGGGGGTTGGAGGGACGAGGAGTTGTAGTGGGCGCAAAGAGATGAATATCCTACGCTTGAAGAGAGGAGAAAAAAGGATCCGTCGCTCGTGGATGGCTTTTCGCGCCGACCGAGGAATTGCGGTCTGTGCGCGGCAGAGGTTCGCTTAGCGGTTGATTCCGGGGTTTGGATGCTTTGATGAACTCGACCTCTCGAGCCTTCTCTGAGACGACCATTGCACAGTGAGAACACGAAGATGGTGTGAACACTGTCTATCTCACGAGTGCCTTTCACTTCAATTGCAACGATGAAGGCAATGCACTGCTTCTCTCCAAGAGCTATAGGTTCCAGCTCTCCCCAATGGCTTGACTCTGTACCATCACCTGTCTTCTCGGTCACTCCCATCACCTGCTATCACTGACAAGCAAGCCATCGAAAAGCACAATCATTTTCAATATCGATGCACTGTCCAGTGAGAGCTTCTCAGGCAGCAGATCTCAATGGGCAGCTAGACCAATTCGAATATCATCGTGCATTGGTACAGGATATAAGACCGATGACTGCTCATGACAGGGATGGTCTTGATCCCCTTTTTGAGTCTTCCATATGTAGAAAGCTGTGTAGACAACAAATCTTGAGAGAAGTCAGAGACTATCAGAACATGCTGTACCTACTTGGAGAAGAGTAGGAAAGAGCAAGTGTGGACGGTGGTTCAGTCTGCTTTTTCTGCTTCACTGCTCCCAACAACGCTTGAAATCCTGCCTTACTTCAAGTCCCTTCCCCCGGCTTCACTGCTTCCTTCAATGAGTGCTCCCTTCACTCTGGCTCTCACCACCTCGTCCTCCATGGAACCTTCCACTCCTTTGCTTAGTAAGCACACTTAGTAAGCACGAAGCTGAGCACAGGCCCGGCAAGATCGTTAAAAGCACTTTTCACCCACACTCAAACCTGACTTTCTTTCTTTCATACTTACCTTGGAGGGAAGTTCGCGATCATGAAGGCGATACTTCTGAGAAGACTTGATGCATTGCACAGCGCGTACAAGACTTCTCATGGATGTCCTTCGGGGCCTCCACTTCTGCAATTTTTTCTCTCACACTTTGTGTTCATCACATTGTACCCATCTTTTCATTGAATGATCTGGCTTTACTGCTGGTCTTTGAAGAAGAGCTCTTGTTTGTTGTGACTTGGATGGTATGGAGGAGCTCTGATGGCCTCCTGTGGGTCTGTTGTGATGGCGTTTGTTGACATTGCTGTCACGCGTATGTATCTCTACCAGTTGCTACGATCACGGCTGGTTCATCAGAGCATCGAGCAGTGCTGTCTCATCTCCATGCAACTGCTGGTGTGGTGCCCTGTCTATCTAGAGTCGTGATGATTCGTTTTGTCGACGACTGCTCTACAGCTGCCCGGCAGCAAATGCACGCGTGGCTATCCCGCGCGCAACCATGATCTTTCCATTTGCGCCTTCTCTGTATATAGCTAGTAATACTGTCCATTCATAGATTCTCAGTCCGTTACTGTCTGCCTCTGTTCCTCTTGTGATAGTGCCTGGCAAAGCGGTTGTCGCAAGCTGCCCGTCAGCCAAAGCATCTCCGCCATCATCTTCAAACCTTCCTTCCTGTACGCCAGTCATGCCCTCATCCGAATACACGTCCGCAGGCGGCGGACTCAAACTCAAGGGCGCCAAAAATGCCGGTATAGACAAGAAGCGCAAGAAGAAGTCGTCGTCCAAATCCACCGCCGTCGCCGCAGCTTCATCAGCTTCCAAAGAAGCAACTCCCGCCAAAGACACGGCAACCGACCCAGAGAACACCACCGACCTTGAGCAGAGGGAGAAGAACAAGGAGGAGAGTTTGATTTCTGATGATGGCAAGACGGAGTATGAAAGACGACATGAAGAGACAAGGCGGAAGCGCGTAAGTGCCCGACTGCTACTGCTGGTCGCGATAGAGATGCTGACGAGAGTACAGCTTGAGGAGCGCTTGATGCGCGAAGGTGTCAAGACTCACAAGGAACGTGTAGAAGAGTTGAACAAGTACCTGTCGACTCTCAGCGAGCACCACGACATGCCTCGCATCGGTCCTGGATAACACTTTCCCTCCGTCTGCTGGCGCCTCTGCCAGCCCACTCATCTCCGGTCGAAGGGTCTTTCCAACGACCACGGCACGCCGATCCGCAACCTGCTCATCGAGCTACATCTTCGCAAATACATACGCTCACAAGAGTCGCGCCTCTCGAGAAGCTATTGCGCGCATACACACGCTGGCGCAAATATCACGGACATCAACCCGTCACGTCAAGTAGATCGCTCATGTGTCGCCCCGACTCACCATACCAGTCAGAAAGACAATGCAAGAGCCAGTACAAGAGCCAGAATATATCGATAGCAAGCAAAGGAGTACCCACATATCAAATACCCATCGCGACCAAGCTAGTCATTCGAACGTACTTTCGTCTGTCCAGTCACTCGTGCCATCATTTCATACATACAGCGATAGCACAGTGCATTCTGTCCCGCATTCAATCCATACTAGAACTGGCCAATCGACTGTCTAGGGAACTGCAGAGCACTGGCGTCGCTTGTGAATATATTCCAACCAAATTGGAGATGGTCACCATGCCCCTTTTGCCTTGTGAAGGAAAGGGTCAGTGAGGAAACCCTACTCTGATGTGGTATTTGCTAGAAATACACACGTCATGTGTAAAGAGGACAACAAGAAGGCAAGTACCAAGGGACGCTCGACTTCAGTTAGCTTTCACTCCCAATGTGCATTCTCAGCCTCGGGCCATGTTTTTTTTTTTTGGCTAGAGGACGAAACATATGGAAGATTGATCCGCAACAACATGGTTGCCAGCGATATACTAACATCCTAGCGCCTTTTACATCTCAGAGATATTTACCGAGTGGCTAGCTATTCCAGAAATTGATGCTATCCCAAACACTGCTGCTCATATATTGACTCGGGAATGCTGACATGTGGGGTCACCCTGTCCAGATAGGTAGCCACTACTTTCACAATTGTACATCGAGGGAGGTCAAATAGCTGCACATGCTTGAGCAGGAGAAGATTGGAGTCGCAGGAGGTACAGGCTACAGACATAAGAATACATAATCAACTCAGGAGTCAGACCCAAAAGGCACACCGACCATGAATCTCCATCAACACATGGAACGGCATGCGTGACTCTTCGCCTGCTCATAGAGACAATCCACATAGGTCTTGGGCTCCTTCGTCTTCAAAGTTGCCGAAGCTCCTGCCGTAACCTGAGGTGTCAAGTTGCGCAACTCGATGCCTGACTTGGACCTTCCTTCGATCACTGTGTTTGTAGTCGCGAGGATACCGCCCCACGGCTGAGAATGCTCGATGATTGAGTCAATGGAGCCTCTTCTTGCCTCCAAGTGTCCGCCTTCCAGCCATGAGTCCGGTTTCAGTACATCACTGTCCTCTGAAAGTGCTGATCGTGTTCTACTAATCTTACGAGATTTGACACGTCGGTCTTCTGATCGAGCAACCGCTTCGTGTTTGGTGAGTAGAGGTCCAAACTCAGCGTGGATCTCTCTTCGGATCCGGCCGTGATCGTTACACCCTGGATAGTAGTGTTGTCGCATTCTCACAAGATCCCAGTTGGCGAGCGTAAGACCAGCGGGGAGTTTGCGAGCTGGCTGGTGAATGTCCACCAGTCTGGTGAAGCCAAATACCATCGTCATGCCATCTCTTTGTGCCTTGGTAGCTCCATAGCGAAGCATGGTTGGCTCTGCACAAAAAACGAGGTCCATGAGCCATCGTTCCCCAAGTTTGGTCGTTAATGATGCGAGTGCGGTTCGAAGCATGATGATGAACGCCTTTTCTTCGCCGTCTTCAAGCACATCCCAATTCTGTTCTTTCAGCCTGAGGTCGCGGATAACCCTTTCAGCCGTCCAACCAGTATAGCGCTTGAGATAATCCAACTGACCCGTGTTCAAATTATGTGGCGACACCTGGACGTCTGGTAAATCATCCTGGCGATCGAGTGGTACGAGAACTCGGAAACTATCGCGAATTCGAGCAAGAGCAGCAAAGCAGACGAAGTAGGTACCTTGTTTTGGTGGAGAAGGTACACTGACTCTGTATGCATAATCCTGCACACGCTGCATCTGTATCGCAAGGAGACCGACAGGGATTTGCATCGTGTTTGCAATCACACTCTCAACGCGATTGAATGGAGCAAACCTGAAACCAGCTGCAATGTAGTGATCCATTTCCAAACAAGTCAGCCTTCGAGCATAGAATAAAAGCTGGCCCTTTTCAAAAATCGCGGATTGTTGGCTACCGCCGTTATCTAGGGTCCTGATGCCATTTTGATAGGCCGTGAGAAGACCCGTACCCAACACCTGATCGTAGAGAGGACCAATCTGGTCCAGCGGCTTTTGAAGCTGTTCTGCGAGATCTGCTGCTGCCACACAATAACCTTCTCTAAACAAGATGGTCGAATCGTGGTAGCTCTCTTCGTCGTAAATGCTACTCCTGCTCGATGTTGCTGTGTTTTGTCCAGAGTAGACAGATGTTCTATGTAGGTGAGCACGCATCCTAGGGATCAGATCCATGACACTGGCCCAGTCATTGGACACTTTCCAAATCCAGAAGAAGACGGGATGGTGAATGCCAAAATGGTCGTCGAATTTCTGCTCAAGATGTTAACCTTTATCTCAGAGCCATTGTACCAAAACCTGCCTACCTGAATCACAAATCGCTTAGCAATCCTTTGCGAAGGCAGAGTTCCTTCATTCGTGACCATGATATTACCGTGTTCATCGAAGTAGGCGCTGCACATAGTCAGTCAAAACACATCTTGAATACACCAAGCATATATGTACCATGCCAGCATCATATGCTGTGCTCTGTTCGCAAGTATCGTATTGCGGTATTGAACGTAAAACAGGATCATGAGACAAGATACCGCTGCTACGAAACACTGTAACTAAATCAATTAACGTATCTGAGACTTGCGTAAGATAAGACTTACCATGGTGGCTGCCACAATGACCGGTATGTTCCTCGCATTGGGCGCTTCCTCCGAAGGTACGCGCTTGAGCTCGTATCGGCAGCCAATCGATGCTGTGAAGTGCATGCCACATACTCCGACAGCAAGTAAAAGTGCACAGAGAAATCGCTTCCATAGAACGTTGATCCACCTTTCTTTCAGGTGAAAGAACAGCGCAAGAGCGATGGTCGAATCTCCGACTGCGATGATGCAAGCGGCAACAAGATAGCGCTTGGGGTATGTTAGAGTATAATTCGAGGCACCAAGATTCCCAACATAATGCATGGAGACAATGGACAATCCAGCCATAAGTCCACAGGCGGTATCAAGAAGTCTTCGGAAGACAAATGAGTTGATGCTGATCTCTGCAATTTGGAAGACCACAGTCAGACCAAGTACTGGCAATACACATGAGAGACCAGTATATCCAGGATTATAGACAAGTTGTAGCCGACTCTCGCCATTTCCCAAGGAGATTGACCGATTCCCGATGAAGTGCATACACCAGATGCCGATGAGGCCCATACTTACCGAGCAAGCAAAAAGATGTACTCTGATGAAGCGTCAGCATCGCAAAATCTAGAAATGCAGGATCACGCATACCTGCTCATGAGTGACTTGCCCAAACGCTTTCTCTGGAGCAACTCAACGGTCAACAGGGTACCACTGAGACTGGCAAAGAATGATGCGACAATGATGCTAGGGATGAAATGCCATGGTACCGTATCGCCTGTTGCATAGTGTCTATCGGCATCAACAACAAGAGCATTGGCCGCAGGTGCTCTTTTGTATGATGTCGCAAATCGCGACAGCGACATCTGGATGTAAAGGTCGAGCAAGGCCGGTAGTCTCTGGCGACATGGGTTTGAATTTACGCAATGATAGAGGTGTTACCAGTCAAGACTGTGTCCAGGCGCTGGGTTCTCTTCTCAGAGTCGGAGTGGTATAATGTAGGTATTGAGCTTGTTCAATTGCGATTGCCCAGGGACGAGGGATCTTGTCGACTTCTCAATCCTGCAGGTCTAGTGGAATAAAAGGCTCAATAAATCTGACGGTAGATATTGCGACAACAGTCAAGCTTGAGGCTGAATGTCCTTCTTTCCGGCTTGAACGAAGGTATCCAGCGATGGCAGCAGCTGTTGTGGTTGATAGTGCGAAAAACTGTATGTTTGCGCGACGATTCGATATGTGCCGAGTAGAGAGTCGTGCAAAAGACAATGCAAAATAAACATGTAGGGATGATGTCGACCACTGCGAAATTCTGAATCCTTTAAAAAGGTGTTCACACCACTATTGGCCGGCACGGCGCATGATGGCTTCAGCGACTGCAGTTTGGCGAGCCAATTGGCAGGGTCGAGAGCGTGATTGCGCATGGAAGGTGCGTCCGCGACAGCAAGTCCTGAACGCAAGGAAACAGTTCACCATGCTGTGCGACCCTTGAAAATATATCCGTAGGTAGATGAGCTTCAGCGATGATTTCGTCAATCAGGCACATAAGTGATTTGCGATGCTCGTTGCATACAACCCTGGAGATGGACGAGCAGCGTCTTCGTAGTATGCGGGCCCACGGTTCCTAACCCTTCCACATGAGGCTGAGATCCGTGCCGCATTATGTCGTGCGACTGATGGTTTCACATGCATATGAGAGAAGAAGGACGAGATGTGGAAGCCACAATGTGCGGCTTTCGATTGTGTACAGATGATCGGCACGGCAAGCCCCCCGCCACTTCCTGCGTCTCTGCGGGAGATACACTGACACAATTTTGGTGTCAATGGGAAGAAACACTAGTCAATGTTGTAGAAATGCCAAGTATAAGCGTGTCAGTCGAAATATCTCGAAGCATGAAGAAGTGTACTTCATGTAGAGCAAGCAAGCCAGAACTGCAACAACTTTTCGAAACAGCTATCTTACACTATACATACATATGTTGTTCATCGCCAGGTGTCCGTCAAGGCTCATCTTCGTACCATCCGAGGTAATGAGCAAGATATTCTCCTGTGAGGCCCAGAGTGATTGCGCCGCCAGTCATCCAGCATCCGCTCCTGAACCACCACCAGCAGTTCTTCACGCTGCTCAAACGCACTCTCCAGATCATGTTTGCAGTAGTGAGCAGAGCACCACCACAAGTACCAATGTAGAAGATAGGACCAGCTCCAATCGCAGCCCCAGCGGCGGCCAGCAACGTAGTGTGAACAATGGCAAGACCACTCAACACTGCCTTCGTGTTCTTCTCATGACGGAGAGCGATGGATTTGATTCCTGCCTTTGCATCGTCCTTGATGTCTTGGTGTGCGTAGATCATGTCATAGAGAATGGTCCATGCAATATTAGAGGCATACAAGCAGGCTGCAGCAGTGAGTGCTTCTGGATTCGACAGAAGGTCAACGCCCAAAGCAGGAAAGCCCATGATGGCCCCCCAAGAGAAGGTTAGACCAAGAACAGCTTGGGGGTAATTGGTGACACGTTTTGCGAGAGGGTACGTCGATACCAGCAGCAAAGAAGGCGTTGCGTAGAAGAAGCACTCAAAAGGAAACTGCAAGAGCACAGCCAAGCCGGTCAGCAATTGGCAGCCAGTGTAGATAATAGCAGCTTCCGGAGAGACAGCGCCACGTGCGATAGGTCTCAGACGGGTTCGAGCGACTTTGGGATCCAAGTTTCGATCCCAAAGGTCATTGATGGTGCATCCTGCACCACGCATGACTAGTGCACCTGTAGCGAAGAGAGCAGAAGTGGCCAAGACTGTCGAGGGCGCCGTGATCGGAGAAGCTAGGGGTGCAGCTAGAAGCGTACTGAAGATACACGGGAAGAGCAAATAGTAGGTGCCTACTGGTTTGTCGATCCGGATCAGTTCGGCGTATGGTACGAACGAAGCAGGCAGATAGGAGAGAAAGCCAGACTTTGGAGGCTCGTAGCGCACAGGAGATGGATTTGGATCTAGACCAGCTTCATGCTGAAGTACAGATGCACCGTGGTCGGTGGACTTTGGCGGTAGTGGCGTACTCGCAGACGGTAAACTTGAGCTGGAAGTGACATTTCGTGTGTTCAAGTTGACAAAGTTCCAATGCCTTGATGGCGTGAGACCAGAACGGCGAATACGGGATACAGAAGTTGTTTTGGAAAGAACTGAAGGGTTGACAAGACGTCTGAGGCCCATCGAGGACGATATCCGAGAACACAACATGATTTGGAGAGCAGTAAAAAGGCAAGGAAAACTGAAGACCTAGCTCAACATGTCGACTCAAAGATGAAGTGCAGAGAGTGATGGCACCTACTGAAGGAGGCTGAGATTCGTTCCAAGGAGCGAGACAAAACAGCAGACGCCGAAAAGCGATGACGAAAAGAAATGGTATACCAGCAATCAAGAAGAAGTGGAAATGGAAATGTCAATCATGGACATTCGCGAATAGACTCGTGGACCGAGCGGCGGTCGGCTCGAACTGCCCCGACGACGCGTCCGCCCGGTCGTGTCAAGTCGCAGCTTCCGTTGCGACAAGCACTCTCCAAAGTTCCGCTCTCTTCTCGACCGCGCCGGGAACTCTTCACTGCTCTCGACGCGCCTTGTCCTTGGTCGAGCATCGCGCATGTCGTCCTTAGTATCTCGCAGTGTGTGCAACACGTAAAGGCCAAACTCAGAATGCCGGCACAACGACCTCGCGCAGCCTTCGAGCCGATTGCGCCCGACTTCGACATCAACGGCCTGATAGAGTCAACACCCAACTTTTCCTTCGTCGATCGCATCTCGGTCGACCAGATCGATGAGCAAGGCGTAGCCGCCTTCGAGAAGCTTGTACTCCTGCATGTCATCGCCGGCGGCAAGCCCCTCGTCGTCGACGGCTTCGAGAACCGCCTGGACCCATGGACCTTTTCTTCGAAATGGCTGAACGACAACGTCGGCTCCAAGAGTACGTCGTGTCGCTGTCTTCCCTATTGCCCTGATGAGTTTCAACTAACGCGCGTCACAGTTGAGCAATCGAAGAACTTGTCCACGAAAAAGTCACTACCCCTCACCATCGGCCATTATCTTAGAAACATGAACAAGCTGAGCAATCAGTTCTTCGAAAACGCTCGCAACTACAAGGACAAGTCTCGTCAAAGAATCTACCTCAAGGACATTGACTGCCCCCAAGTTTGGCACGACAAGCTTCAAGACCACATCCCGCCCTTCCTCTTCTACCTCAATGAGAGCACCGGAGATATCGGCGGCCCCGGCGCCAACCCCTACACTCTCGGTCCTGGCAGACGTCCCGCCCGCGGAATTGCGAGAGCCGGCGACTTGATGAGCTCTCTTCCCCCAGAGATGCGCGCCGAGAATCTCATGTGCTACATTGGTCACGAAGGTACATACACTCCTTCGCACAGGGAGATGTGTGCGACCATGGGACACAACATCATGGTGGAGGCCTCAAAAGAAGTCGGCGAGGATGGCAAGCCAGAAAGACCTGGTTCCTCTGTCTGGTTCATGACCGAATCCAAGGATCGCAACCTCGTCTCCGAATATTGGCTGTCAACCCTTGGTCACGACATCGAGGTCGAGAACCACTTTGCTCAAATTTCGGCCTGGAAAAGAGCCCCGTTCAACGTCTATGTTGTCGAACAACGACCAGGCGACTTTATCTTAATCCCCCCGCTCGCCCCTCATCAGGTCTGGAACAGAGGCACGCGAACAATGAAAGTCGCGTGGAACAGGACTACCATCGAAACCTTGGACATGGCTATCCATGAAGCCCTTCCAAAAGCAAAGATCGTCTGTCGAGATGAACAATACAAGACCAAGGCCATCATATACTACACGCTGATGCTATACTCTAACAGACTCGCATTGGCCAGATCTCAGTCTGATAAGCTTCCCGCTGATTCTGCTCGTCAATTGATGGGCAGTCCCAAAATCAAGCATCTCGTCAAGGATTTCAGACGTCTCCTCGGATTGTTCCTGGACGTTCTTGTCTCGGAAATGTTCAATCCAGACGGCCCTCAAGAAAAGTGTGAATTTCTGCCTTTTGACAGCAACGTCACATGCGCGTATTGCCGATGCAACATCTTCAACCGCTTCTTGACGTGCTCAAATTGCAAGGACCAACTTGGTCATGAGGAGGAGGAGCCCTACGATGTATGCATGGATTGCTACGCAATGGGTAGGTCTTGCGGGTGTATCTCGAACCTTAAGTGGACCGAGCAGTTCAAATGGAGAGAGCTTAGTGGCAAATACGACTCCTGGAGAAAACAACTTATTGATCTAGACGGCGGTAATGCAGCAAAGGTTCCCACAACGCTAGTGGAAGCTCGAAGGAGCCTCCCTCACAAGACACTCGCCGAGGTGTGTAGAGAACAGCTCAAGCGTCGCCCCTTCACCGACATTGCCAAGCCGAAGCAGGAGGATGAGCAGAGTGAGGAAGATATCATTGTCGACGATGAAGGTCGCGTCAAGAAGACAGTCAAGAAGAAGCCCAAAGCATGGTACAAGACGCACAGTCCATGCCATGTGTGCTGCAAGAGACATCCCAATTGGAAGTCTGCGAAGTGCACCACTTGCGACAAATGGTGGTGCTACGGTTCTCTGTTCAGAGGCGCCGACCTCATGCCGCTTACCATTATGCAAGACCCTAACTGGTCGTGCCCGCATTGTCAGGAGGCGTGTTTTGCAGGAGCTTGCAGAAAGGACCCCAAACAGCACCCCTATGAGCCTAAAGGTACTCTTTTGGGCCATGATACCAAGAGAGTGGCTGATGCCAGAAGTGTTGAATGTCTTGTAGACTTTTCGGTTTCCAACCTCACTTGGTTGAGAGACGATGATGAGGATGTTCAAGAGAGCGTCCGCATTAGGAGAGCTCGTGAAGAAGCCAAAAAGGCGAAAGAGGCAGACCCCATGGACGAAGACGACGAAGAAGAGCCTGACATGGACCAAAGTCACGTTCGCTTCGATTACTCGCCAGATGACTCTATGATTGATCCTCAGCTCATGGACAACACTACGCAAAACTCTCGATCGAAAGGGAAGGCCAGAGCATCTCTCTTGCCACCGCCGGAGGCGATGCTCAAGGGCGCCAGACCGAGTACCTCGTCCCATTCGCAAGGAAATGGTCACGTCTCAGGTGATGCACCAGAGGGCTACGCTCCTGCTATCACCAGTGGGTTTATTGCGCCACAAGCTTCAATGTACCCGGATATCGAAGAGGACAGTTATGCTTACCCCGACCCACGTGGTGAAGAAGACGAGGAAGAAGGATATCTACCTATTTCGTCGTTGCTTTCAGGGCCCACGCGTCGTAACAAACGCATCCAAGAGGAGTACGAAGATGACGATGAAATCAACATGGAAGGATCTCGAACAAAGAGGCGTCGGGTCTCAGAAGATCCTACTTCTACGTTCAACAAACCCAGAAATGAGGCCACTAAACAGTTCGAAAAGGAGAAAGAGCGAAAGGCCCTGGATGAGGCTAAAAAGGCTGGAAGATTCATCGCCGCACAAGCTGCTTTGCGCGGCAAGAAACGTGTTGTCAGGCTTCCCATTTCCGGACCGCGTCTTGCACAATTGCTTGCACAAGAAGCTGCGAAGGCTTTCCGACCAGTTTCGGAAACCCCTGAAGTTGATCAAGAAGTGCCTCCAGAGAACGTCCTCGTGAGATCGGACATTGCTCCCAAGGAGAAGGCCAAGAAAAAGGCGCCACTGCATCCCAGCAAGATGAAAATCAGGGTTGAGCGTGATGAGGATTTCAGCATGCGAAGCGAACGAACAGACAGACGTAAACGCACTACCAACGCAGACTACGAAGAAGTCGACGTGGAATCAGACTTCAACTCGGGGGAGAGCGATGATGGTGGGTACAGAGGCCGTCGACAGGAGAATGGAAAGCGCAGGATCTCGTCCTACATTCAGAAGAAACACATCGATGATGGAGATCTTCCTGACGAACTACCCGAGAATTACAAGGACTCCAGGAGTAGAATGGAGGGCAAGATGCCAGTAGTGCGACCAAGACCTGGACCTGCAGCACGCGCACGAGTGGTACCGCCCGTTCCTCCGAAAGAGCTGCCTCAGCTGGACGGTGCAGCCGGTTACGATGACGATGACGCTTCAGACTTTGACGATGAAATCCCTGATGAGCAACCCACTTTTGAAGAGGAGAACAGAAGGGCAAAGCTAGAAGCACTCCGGATGGTCGAGGAAGAATCAGCGCGTGCACCACCACCACCAATGCACCGTTCGATCTTCGACAAAGGCAACGGAAAGAAGATCAGAATTGTCTCAAAGTCCACAGGCACATCTTCACCATCACTGGGGAAGAAATGAGAGTGGAGCCGTCTTGAGCCACTAGATGAAAGCCTATCACAAGGAGCCTGTAGTCTTGTAGATGGATAAATTCGATTAGCTGTGTATACTGTAGTTAGGGAACCACCATCACAAATCATTGATCCTATCCATGATATCGAAGATCTTCGCTATTGACCCTGCATTCCTTTATATCCGAGTGGCACGCCCGAACTGGGCCGTGAGCAAGGCGAAAGCAAGCGACCCTGACCAGTTACGTGTGCTTGACCCGACAGTAGAGTAGAGTTCATGCCAAGTGGAAGTACGACCTGAGGCCGTTACGCTGACCAACGCCCATCGTGTCAGATGTTATAGGTATGGGCCCCAAGGAGCAATAAACATTTCTTCGGAGAAAATAGGCATCACAAGGTGTGACAGACGGTCGGCTATAGACTTTTCGTGTATCACACTCTACTTTGCTATCTCTGCAGTGGCGCCATCATGCCATGGCCGCATAGCGAGATGTTTAGGAAGCCGTACTTCCATCGACGGATCGCTGGGCATTCTTCGCCTGTTGATATCGATTTAGAGCAAACCGACCAATAGGGACGGGTGGAATTGAACCAAAGAATCTCGGCTCCAGTTAATGACTCGACACGGGCATCTCCACAAATCGAGATTGTACTGCGTCAAGTGTCTGGACTGTGTGCGATCAACTCCAGTCAAGTCTGTTTACAGTTCTACTCGGGGAGCGAAATCATGGTTAAGGCTTTCGTAAGCAATCCATGTATAAGGTTTGGATTCTTTGACGTCGTGGGCTCGTGAGGTATGTAAGCAATAGGTGCAATCTCTTATGCTTTTCGCCGCATCATCCCACTCCTCCGTGTAGGGCACTCAACCGAATAGGACTTCATCGGTGCGGTAAGTAGTTCGCCCATGGCACGAGACTTGGGTATTCGATGGGAATATACTTTGTCCGGACAAGCACGCAGATCAGCCATGTCATGCCATATGTCGTCTTTACAACAACAGTCTGCCCTACATCGTCCAACGGCCGTCCAGCTCATGGCCAAGAAAGTGCAAGCGGAGTCGAAATCCTTCGGTGATCTGATAGATGAACCTTAAAAAAAAAGGTGCACCCTGTTCTCCTGCCAAACGTGCGAGTCAGATGGTACGGCCCAGGGCAAGGTTTAGAGTAAGGTTCAAGACCATACTGAATACAGAGAAAGGTCTTGCAAAAGATTGAATGCGGTAAGGCGTGATGCCACGAGATGACGGGATGGTCTCGAGGAGAGTTTGGCAAAGGACGTCCGTCGGGACCTTTGAAGAGCAAGACGACCACACCACAAGACGGTGATCAACAAGAGATCAATCGTGAGTCGTGAACGTGACAAACTAGACGACAGGGCAGATACCGAACGGTTCGTCCCGTGCCAAAGTCTTTGATGCAGCTGCAGTGTGAAGTGCTTGCATCAGCGGATGCTGCTGTTGATGATTGCGACCAAAGATCACGATGGCCGACGATGATGATCGCTGGGCCAATCTTTAATTCTCAGCCTCACATGAATCTCCCTCTCCACCGCTCTCCACCGAGATTGATTCGACCAAAACAACCCCCTTGACTGTTTTGGTTTCGCAGGGCACCCGAGATATTCTCAACAGTCTGAGGCTGATTGTATCCAACAGTCATCGAGGCCTTTCCTGCTTCAGCTATTGTTGCGCCCACTCTCCTCTCTAGGGAGAAACAACAGCAACGGCGGGCCTGGTTCGAGGTTCGTTTGCGATTCGCAATTCGCAAAGCTGCGGAACCCTTCCGTGCTTTCTTGACGACTCTTTGGAGACAGCCCCACCTACGCTACCTGACTCTTGCAGTGGGGAGGTTTGTGGGACAAAAGCAACAAGCAACAGCTCGAAACAAAAATAATGGCCGGGATGGTCGTTGCTTTCCCAGTCAAATCCGGGCCCGGTCCCTTGGGACAGGGTTGAAGGCGTTTACAGTTGCGGTGTCTTTTTTGTCTTGGATATTTCTCCCTGCTTGAATCGAGCAGAGAAAACCTTGTCCTCTGCCCTTCCTCGAGAGTTTCAATGGCAAAACAGCAGCGCGCAATCTAAACATATTGGCAACTGGAAAATCGCATAATCAAGCCATGCCAGCATCCGCGCAGTTGGATTCTGAATCGCGGTGAGTAACGGTTTCCTCCATCGTCGTCGTCTGGAATTCCACATCTCCAGTTTATCTCAACCTCCCCCTTGCACTTTTTGCCCTGACTTGGCATAAGACGTGCCATGCAGGTATCCACCGGCAGTGGCTGGGCGAGATGTTCGATGTTCGATGAAGGGTGCTTCGAGTCAAGCAACACACTATCGGAAGGCGAACCGGAAAGGGGACCCACAGCCAAATGTAGTTCTGGACTCTGTTTCTTGTAGCTAGAACCATCGTCTGACAACTACCTCATGTAAATACTCTAGTGTCGAACGTGATTAGAGGCAGAAGCTGGAAATTAAGAATTGGCAGACGGAAACAAGTAAAGATGAAGATCGTGATCTCAATGGCCTTTCGGTGATATCTACTGGGCTAGTGTTCTACTGTTTGAGTAATCATGTCCATCCCATGTGCGTGCTCCGTGCTGCTCTGCGGGTGCGTCCGGCTTGTTTCCGCTTCATCACACAAGCTGTCGAAGCTGTGCGTTCCCTTGGACTGATAATGCCTTCCCCCAAAAGGTCTATGACCTGGTTGCATACACCACTTCAATCTCAGGACTTGTTGCTGCGCGGTTCTGATGGCGTGGTTTCTTCGACATGCTAGGATATTCTCGAAGTCATGGGATGTGGGCTTTCGACACAGGTGGAGTGAGAGTCGATCGTAGTGGCGACTGAATCCGTGGCGACGAAGAAAGCCGAAGGCTGGTAAACCAGTAGTACTCCATAGCACATGGCCTGGTTAGGTACGGAACGTATAATCCATGTCGAATACCAACAGCAAGTCCTGGTAAAGACGTCCTTACAGGGGACCATCACTGCTAGTGCAGAGGGGTTCGTTCCGAAGACCAAGCTGGAGAAGTATCTGAGTGCCGCAAAGTAGAGGTCCAAGCGACGGACTGAAAGCCGGATGGGGCCCGGCTGCAGGCCCGCAGGCGCGATTATTGATCATTCATGCACGACGATCTTCGGTAAAGGAAGCCACATTGGTTTCCAAGCAGCCCAAGGATTCATCTCGTGTACCCTGCCACTCGTAATGTTTCGCTACTTCAGAGCTGCATTAGCAACCGTGTAACAGACGTGCATGAGTGCGGCAGCTTACAGGTACGCTGAAAGTATCAAAGCTCACAGGATCTAGGAAGAGCCATTGTCTTGATAGCTGGACCAGAAGCGAGCGATGGCCTTCTCAGCAACAGTTGACTCCTGGTAACGACCAATGAAGAAGTTGAAGATGGCAAACTCGTCCTTGGAAAGGACATAGCTGTCAGGACGAGACTCGAGACGGTTCCAGACTCCGGCAAGTTGTTCCTCGAGGTACTTTGCAACGGAGTGATCGAGGTCGCCTTCGGTGTTGCGAGCAATGTCGAGGGCACGCTGGATGTCCAAGACACCAGAATCGCCAATGTCCATCGAGTCGCGTTGAGCCATAGAGGTAGAGGAGGATGAGGATGAGGTCGAGTATTGACGGGTTCGAGGAGAAGTGTTCGAGGCGAACATGATAGGGGAGGGAAGAGAAGCAATTTGAATAGCCATGAGAGCGATTGTGTCTTGGCAAATGAAGTGATATTCAAGGAACAGAGGAATTTTTCTTTCTTTGGGAATCTGGTCTGTGGTGGGAGACTTACGACGTGGACGAATCAGGCCGGGTCGCGGCGTGGATATCTATATACGTAAGGCCTGAGCATCCCGTGCAGCCATTGTTTAGCCTAAGAAAAAAGGGAGCGAGCCTTGTGACGCCCCTGTCATGGGAAAGTTGATGTTGGAGAACAAGCTTCAGATGGCCGCTGTTGTGTGTACCACAACGTGTTTTGGACTAGGGGCGCGTGCTGAGGCGGAAGGGGCGGCGATGCCGAGAAGTGTATGCTCCACCACCATGCTTTGCAGACAGGTACACACAGATCAGGCATTGCAACGGTCTGATGGACGAGCCTTGTTCGAAGACGAGATCGAATCAGATGCCCTAACAAACGCCGATAGCAAGTTGCCCAGTGCACCATCATCTCGACTGCCGAAGTCCTGGAGAAGCATATTGACTCTTATTGCGGTTTCATGGCACGAATCTTCTTACGTCTGAACATCATTTAGGATTCCAGCGAGTATGTCACCAACAGTTATTTGGGGACTCGAGAACAAGGGAAGTCTAATAGAGTGAGATAGCGGGTGGGGCATGAGATGAAACCGGCTCTTCAGTGCACAAGCGAGAGTCATAGTACTGTGAGAGCCGTGTCGTCGACGGATGCTTCTGGTAGTATGTAATAACAACGGCCATATGTAAAGGATTCGAGTCAAAGGACAAACCTACACACGAGCAATGATACCAGTACTTGTGTAAACTCTGTCTTGACGAGCAAGGAGAAGCATGCAAAGCCTCAAGGAAGACAGACCCACCAAACACGATACAAACTCCTTCCCGAACATCATACATGACAGCGCGACAGACACGAGCATGAACCCTGAGATTTGACACCAACGACCCTGATGTACTCGTGCATCGAGATGTGGTGGATGGGGACTCTCGAGTCAAAGCATATCGATCACGGTGTTTCTCGCATGTACCGAAGTATCAAGTCGACGCCTCGCGGTAGAGATGGCGTTAGGCTCGACTCCGAATGAATTATCTCATTGGTGGAAGAACGCCTCGCCACGACCTTAATCTGAACCTTTTTGCCTCTTTTGTTCGAGTACTCGGAAGCTTAAACTGAGAGGCCATGGCACGTCTCGGACCTTCGGGCTCGGTCTTGTACATGCACGTATTTGTGTACAATCTTGACAGCTGTGGTTCCGATCAACGGCTACACGCCTTTGGATCAAATGGACCAATACCATTTTGAATCAATGGTGGAGATATGGATATCAAAGGAGTGGATCCCTTCGCTTGGTTCCGTTACTGGCTGTATTAACAGCGGTTTTGACGGACCTTGCACCGAAGAGACGGAGGAAGACGATGGCAGGCTACAGCGTCAGGGTTCACCACGATGGCATGTCATTATACATGGCTAACGTGGAGCCGCAGAGGTCGACATGAGAATGATTAATCTAGGGCGTACGGCGTCCGGTCGGCCTCCTTTTCGTGGTGATAAGAGAGTTATCACGAGTGACGAAAACAAGCGGCCTGTTTAGCATTAGATATTAGACGTTCAGTGGATCTCGCGCACGGCTGGAACTTCTGATGGCAGTCGCGGTCACTCGAAGAGCCGACTCTTACGGACGTAAGCCATGAAGCTACTCTGTAGGAGGAAATTGCAGGAGCCAAATATCGCTTTGAGATATGACGCGGTCTACGACCTGGTCGCAATCGATTCCGCAAGCATATGGCGAGCGGAACGTCTTCATGCTCGAGGGACAAGATGCATACAGGCAGCGGTAGACGACGTCCCCACGAACCCCATGTGTCTAGCTGAGACGCTGGAGGCTGTTCGGCGCACATGTGGCATTGATGGGAGTGACCGAGTGCAGGGTCGGTCGAGGCCGAGGCGGGGGCTAGCGTAGCTTTCTCGATTTTTCGAGCGCTCCGCCATCATCATGAATCAGGTAGCCAACAGCTGAGCTTCGCCAAGTGAGCTCTTTGCGAAACTGCGACAGCAACCCATCACAACTTATCATCAACATGGTCTTATTGCAGCTCTTACGCCGCCAAGTAGCCACCAGTTCGACAGGCCGCATCGCAGCCCATCCCGTCCATCCCGCCAGAGTCGCACACCAAATCTGGAGACCGCAACAGCGTGCCCAATTCCACCGTCTCTTTGCTCAAAAGACTGCATCCTCGCCCAACACCGCCACATGGAGACAATTGCTCTCACGCTTCCGCAACACCAACTCGCGACGATGGAATAGCTCAAGGCCCAGCCCCGATCCCACACCACACCTCGGTAGCCCCACGCCACAACTCTCTTTCTTCCAGCGGTTCAAGCAACTCGGCAAGGAATACGGTTGGGTTGTAACTGGTGTCTACTTTGGTCTTTCTGCTCTGGATTTACCCTTCTGCTTCCTGGCTGTGAGAGGTCTTGGTACCGACCGCGTCGCCCGATGGGAACACGCCATTGTCGGCACCATTAAGGATGCTGTCAAGGCCGTCATGCCGGAAGTTGGAAACAAGGCCGACGAGGTTGTAGAGCAAGTCGAGACTGCTGTTGGAAGCCCTGCTGCCAGGGAAGGTAACGTATGGGGTGTTCCGGAAGCAGAGGCGCGCAACAACGAGGAAGCTTGTACGTCACATATCCACATCTTTTGATCTTTCTCTCTGCTGACATAGCCCAAGCCCTCTGGACCCAATTCGTTCTCGCCTACGCCATTCATAAATCCTTCATCTTTATCCGAGTACCGCTGGCCGTCGCCATCACACCAAAGGTTGTCAAGACCTTGAGATCATGGGGATGGCAGATTGGAAAGAAGAAGCTCAGATCGGCCAAGCCGACCAAGCCTTGAATAAGTCATTATTCTGAAACGGAAACGAGGAAGAACCATCATTGTAAAATCACTTGTACAAAACTATAAAAGGGGGAAACCGTTCTCTTTGGATGTTAGAAAGATTAAGCACACTATTGTATACTAGGGCAAAGGCGCAGAAGAGAAGCGTTGAACGAAGCAATCATTATTTCACCACTTAGAATCTCTTCTAGGGTTATGTGCTACACGACTGTGTTGTTCTAGTAAGTCTGACGTGCATGGCAGGAGCGACCGTCTGTAAAACCTTTAGAAACGTCAGACGGCACGCACTTGCACTTGCCTACCTTTTTCGGCTCAGGACATAGAGGAAGCTGGTTCAACAACGAAGATCATAGCCTTCTTCCAAAATAGAAAGAGCAAATACAAGGGACAACGTCAAACAGAAAGAGCGATCATCTCAAACAAGCAATTGCTTGCATTATCAAACTGATACAAACATTGTTCATTGGTTCATTCACATGTATCAAAGGGACACCCTGTCCAAAGACAAGTTTAGTCATACACCATGCGCCTGCTCGTTTTCTTCCATGAAGTCGGCTTATTTGGATGAAATGATATTAAGTCTATTCTAGACCTCTGTGTTTATAGAACAAGTACCCGTACCACTTCAGTATTGAACGTCGTGCTCTAGAATTGCTTGAATTCAAACCTAAATTCCAGCTGATAGATAATATGATGTTGACAGTTGTTGTACGGAAGGGGTTCTATCCTCTATTGCTGAATGTTCTTGACTAAGTGTCCATAGATCTTTGACCATACCCAGGCGTGCAGCTTCTGCATTCAGGTGGTGTTTCTCTACCTCAAAGCACTATTTGATTGCTGTTTCCACTCAACTGAGAGCTATTTGATGCAGCCCCGTGTTATTAGATTTGACTGTACCGTTGTAACCAGCACCAATGGACGCTGTCCAGGCTTCTCATCAACCATGGAGCTGCTTCGGTTTGCGTAGGATAAATATGTATGGCAGATCCATGTCTGGAAAGCATGATCAGGCCTCTTGAGCATGTTGAATGCTAGGTCGACGCAAGCAGTGTGCAATAACCTTTGGCTCTCGTGTGCGTACAATATTGAGCAGGCAGGCGGTTGATTTGTGCGATCGTTCGTCCCACCTCTTCTTCATTCTATCCTTGCCAGCCATCATCCCTGGCATCACAAATTACTAGATTATTCTCGGTCGTAAGATAACAGCTCTTCCTTTGCCTCTTTCACATCTCTTGCTTCGTCTTGATTACGAGTGAACTTTTTGGGCTTCATCATCTTTTTCGTCAATCATATGGCAGAACTCTCTCTTTTTTCTAAATTTTTCTGTCTTTCTCGGGGCCGCCAGTTCCTTCCGCGCTATCGATCCCAAATAATAACACAAGAAATTGAAAGCAAAAAACTGAAAAAGAATCAATAGTATCAGCAGAATCGTGCGCGCAGTCCCTCTTTCGTTGTCATTCTTTTCCCGTTGCGTGCTCCGATATTGCCCACGATTCGAATTGGCATGCCCTACGTTTGTGTCGGCTTGGCCATACGTCGAGTGGTGTAGTCAGATGGTGACAGTCCGTAGTGTCTTTTGCTACGATAGCTGGCCGTCAGTAGATAATTCGCTCGGTAGAAATACTGGTTAATTAGTAAGGGGAGTAGCCTCTGGCACGGCCACGGAAGCCTCCACGGTAACTGTATATCGTGTTAGCATTTGCTCAGTTAAAGTGAGATGTATGAGTAACTTACCCGCCACCGCGGGGGGCAAATGGAGGTGGGCCGCCAAAGCCTCCGCGACCACCGCCGAAACCAGGAGGACCGCCGAATCCCATGGGGCCACCGCGACCACGTCCGCGACCACCACGACCACCGGCAGCAGCAGCAGCGCCTCTTGCCAGGCCGGGAAGGTTGGTACGCTTGGGGACGACCTATGTAGAATTAGCGAACTGCGGAAGAACTTAAAATCGCGGGGTTCAAGCATACCTTCAGGTTGCGGCCTCTGAATACGCTCTCGTTAAGAACGATGGCATTGGCGACAAGACTGGGCTCCTGGAATTCGACGTAGGCGTAACCCTTGGGGTGGCCGGTGAACTTGTCAAGCAGGATGGTGACACGGTTGATGGGACCACAGCTGCCAAAGTGTGCCTGAATCTCCTCAGGTGATGCGCCGTAGTCGACGTTGCCGACGAAGACGGAGCGCGAGTCGATGTCTTCTTTGCTCTCGCGCAGACCGTCCTGCTGCTGGTCCAAGCTGGCCTGCATCTCGCGCAGCTTCTGTGCTTCGGCTTCCATCTCTTGCACGCGCTTCTTCATTGCTGCAATCTCCTCCTCATCGTTGGTCTCGTCGTCGTTGACGGGCTGCTCCTCCTCGGGTCTCGGTGGTACTTCGTTGTCCGACATGATTGCGCTGGAGGCGAAGGGGTAGAAGGAAGCTGCAAGTGGGTTCAGCATGATGAAGCGACCAGAGACGACGGTCAATGTCTAGGAGCAAGCAACTTACGTTAACTAAGGGATGGGTAGTCGAGAGATGAAAGAGCCGGAGGTTTGCTCGATCACACGTGAAAGCGAAGCGCTGGCTGTCACACTTAAGTATCCGGACAGATGGTTCAGTCACACGTGGCAAGGCAGTGAGATACAGATGTGAGGTGATTGAGACAGGCAGATGAATGGTCGAGTCAACGAGTGAACGACATGCGAAAGGCACAAGCCACTCAAGACTGTCGCGACCGACTTCCGTCAAACACGCCAAGCATCCTGGAGAAACCTTATTTTCACCTGGTTCAACCTTCCTTTATCGCTTGCTCCTTCTTTCCCATTTTGGATCAAGTTTTAGAGAGACTTGTTGTACCTGAGATCTCCTAGGGTCATCGCGTTGCTCTGTCTCAGTAGAGACATGCTCGCAAGCTAGAAACATCTTGCATCACCTCAACACATTGTAAGCATCAGGCTCGCTCTATACCATCTACTTAGATCATTGTCTCAACGAACAATACTGCAACAATGCTAATGTCTTCAGCTTACCAGAATCATGGATGACTCTAGAAGACCTCTCTTGCGTGAATCGTCTCCTGAGCGTACAGATTCAACATTCAGTACGGCCCGTCGATGCACACGCCGTTATCTAAACTCAAAGTTTGGTCACTACGCTATCCTACTACTCGTGTGCCTCGACTGCTCATGTATCTTTGGCGAATTTGTCATCCAAATCCTCACGTGCGAAGGCAGAGTCTCAGAGTCCAAAGGTGATGTTGCTCAAGAAGCAATAGGCATTGTTGGTTTGGTCTTCTCGTGCTTGTTCATGCTCGAATTGATGGCGAGTATATGGGCTTTTGGCTTCCAGTGAGCAGGGCCTATATTGATTGTTATTTTTTGTCTTTGCTCATGCTGTTACAGATACTTCCGCTCAAAGTTTCACTGCTTTGATGCCACTGTCATTGTGGCCAGCTTCGTCATCGATGTCCTGCTGCGCGGTATACTCGAAGAGGTTGCTTCTCTGGTTATTATCCTACGTCTCTGGCGCGTCATCAAGATCATGGAAGAACTGAGTGTCGGCGCACAAGAACAGACAGAAGCACTGCGCGAGCGCATCGAACTGCTCGAGCACGAGAAGTCGCAGATGGAAATCGAGCTTTCTGCACTGAAGGCTAATCGGACTCAGGAGTCCTATGCTTGATGTTATGATGCTGAACATGATAAAAGGAGATCCTGAACCTGCTCGCATGTCGCCTAACTCCTCGCTAAGTTCAAAAGTCTTGTATCCATGATGTGGTTGTCCCTGCTCTTTCTGATTCCGACTCTTTCTTACATGCCCATACGTCCATCGCGATGGTAAGGTCGCTCTTGTGGCCACATGCTCGGCATCGCCGCAGGCTCGACGCGACCGTACTCTTCTTCATGAGTTTGTATTGGAACAACATCGCGAATGATCTTCATCGGGTTGCCGGCGACGACTTTGCCGGGTTGTACGTTCTGTAGCCTAGTTAGTGGGAATCAAGAAGCCGAAGTATACATTGAGGAACTTACACCGCTGACCACGGTCCCAGGTTCAACGACACATTCTCGTCCAATAATAACATTGGGCAATATTATGACATCGCCTCCGATATAGCAGTCTTCGTCAATCAGAATCTTGCCTCCACGCAGCTTGCCCTCGCTGCCGTTACGCACTCTTGCATCGAGGCGTAGGTCTGGTCCAAGTCCATAGAACTTGACATTGGGGCCAATGATTGTGCCTCGTCCGACAGTGATGGGACAAGGATCATACATGACGCAACCAGACTGTATGACCACATTGTCAGCGATGTGGATATTGTAACCGTATTCACACTTAAAGGGCGCTTCAATCAGGACTTTGGAGCCGATTGTTCCGACCGGATGGTTGCGCGGATCATTTGGCTGTAGTAGACGGTCCGGCTGGATGATTTGGCGAAACAACCTCATGCGACCATCCATGTCGATGTCGAAGGATGGTTTCGAAGCTTTGTTGTAGCGTTCAATTGCTAGTCTGCACCATGCCCGGTCGTTCAAAAGCTCTGGGTCGGTAAAGTGACGGTAGTCTCTGCCGCTAAGCATGTTTTCCTTCTCACTGGGTGCAGAAGAAGGATATGCGCCTAAGGGTGGGTTCATGGCAAGGCGGTTCGCTAATACTGCCCTGGGCGTGTCGAAAGCGCTGCCCAAACTGGTACTTCCACCGCCGCTGCTACGGCCCATGCTACCACCGTTGGTGTCGCTTGTACTGGGTGCTGACAAGCCAAATCGGGAGGACGAAGGTGGTGCACGAGCTTTCTCGGGGTGAAGGGGGCGGGCAAAACGATCAGACGGGAAGGGTGAACCGTGTTCCGGCGGCGCGATAGAAGTCGGTCCATTCGTTGGTGCGTAGCGTAGACCGTCGCTGAAAGGTCGTGCACGACTATCATACGAGAAACGTCTTTGTGCTTCAAGCCAGTGTTCGGCGGTAGCGGTAGCTCCAGGTACCCTGCTATGAATGTAAGTTATGGACACAAGGTTGGTGGCTGGAGAGACTCACGATTGTCGGTGGCTAGGGAAGGGGTGCCCTTCAACAGACTTGGCTTGTAATGGGATTGTTTTGGATGGAAGCTTGACGTTGAGCTCGTGTTTGGGGCCATAGCCTTCACAAGGAAAGCCTCCTCGAGTACAGTTCTGGCAATGCGGCTTGGCTTCGTCGCACTTCTTCTTGCGCCGTCGACATGTGCTAAGCGCCATGTGTTAGTATGCAACTGCGGCCATGGGACATATTTCACTTACTGGCAACCTGTCTTGGTTCTTTGCGAGAAGCGTCTGCGTTGTGCAGGACCTTTTCTGCCGCTTACCGAGTCATTTTGCATTTCTGATTCTTGGTCGCTCAGCATGTCAGTATCCTGTTGAAGACTGCCACTTCCATCGTGAGGATCATTGCGAATCTGATGCATGTGCGAGTCTCTTCGCATAGCGTCTTCCATCTGCAACTCTGTTTGGCTCGGACTAGGTCGTGGCTGGCGCCAACCTGGTACGTGATCTCTGCTTGACAGTCAGCTCGCTCTCAAGGTTCCGTGTGAGAAGCCTTACGGTCCATGTTGTTGTTCGCCCTCTCGGAACTGTAAGAGTGGTGGCAGACTTCGTGCAGGCGACCTTAATTCAGTCGGTGGCCTGAAGGCTTCTTCGCGACGCGTAGGTGGAGAGTTGAACTCTGGTGAGACGTTGATGAAGCCTTCAACAGACCTTTTGCGCTTCCCTATTCGGTTGGACTGATTCCCAGGGGAGCGGGCAGGAGCCTCATCATGATAGGCGCTTCTACTCTCCTCCGAATCTACAAACAGTGGTTTGTGCTTCCGTTCCGGTGGAGGGGCCTGTCTGGACTGGGTGTGTAGTCGATATGGGTCGGAAAGAGCTGAAGGATCTGGTCGAAAGGAGGTGTTTTGAGAAGGACTCGCAGCGCTCTTGTTACCGTTGACTGTCGTGAACTTGACTGCTGCCGAGCCCTCTTCAGCCTCTCTGTTCATTCGAGAGTCTTCGGCCTCGAAAGACGGCTTGACTGCCGCCATACACGATGAAGTGTAGGCTCGAAAAGTCTTGCACCCACCGACGTCTCTCGAGTCTGAGGTCCTGTACTAGTACCTGGATTTCAAGACACTTACGGTCGCTTGTCAACGAAGCCGTTAGTCCATGCGATTCTCTCGGGTGGGGCTGGAGGGTAGTGGGATTTGCAAAAGAGTCTGGCAGGAGAGAGCAGGTCAGAAGGGCCTCGAGCGCGCAAGAATGGAAACAAAAACAAGAGAAGCGAGGGTATTGAGTTCAGAGCGTATGCAGCGTCTGTCAGAGCCGGCGGCTTGCGGCTAAGGGCTGTGTGACAATGCGCATGCACTCGGCGAGGAAGAAGCAGGCAGGACGAAACGGAGAGACGAGCGGGTGAAGACAGAAACAGCAGCATATCACAACGAGTATGCACGCAACGCAGACAACGACAGCATTGGCCAGATTGAACAGAACAAGAGCAATAAGTTACCGCCTCTTTTCGTGGAGCTGCGGGCTTGCTTGCCGCGCCTGCCAAAATCACGCGAATCGCAGGGATCGTGCTGCGATTTGATAGGCCGCCTCGAGCGCCCACCTCAACTCGTTCACTCAACTTCATGCGTTTTTCACGCCTACCGCAGCGAACAGGCAAGGGGACACTTTCTGTGTGTCAGACCATTGGCAGCGCTTCGAAGTTCCCAGTATACATGGCTTTCGGCTCCTGCAGCATCGGTCGAATGCCTTCGTTATGTTCGAGGCAACGGCCTGGGGATCTGTCATGCATAAGACTACCGAGCTCGACAAGCGCGCGCACTACTGATGCATTGAGACCCGCTTGAGACCCCGCGCGTTACAATGCATCAAGCGCTGGGCGGCAGGTGCATCTTTCAAGGAGCAGCGAGCAGCGAGCGTCTTACTGAGGCGATGGCAGAAGCTGTCTTCTTTCGGGCCTATCGAGGGCGCTTCGTCCAGATGCTGGAAGCCAAGTTCGTTCGCGCGTCGGAATGTCCTTGCGACACAGGGGCGTCTTTCTGCGCGACTGGCGCGAGGCTGTAGTAATGACTTTTCAACATGTCACTTATGAAGTGTAGTTCTATTTTGGATTTTGATATGCCAGACCAATCTCCAAGACCCGGCGATGGTTCGCCATGCGGGCCCTAGGGCGGACCGTTGCGAGTGTACCAGACTTTACAATGGCACGGGGAGCTTCTCTCATCCTCTCGAAACATATCAAAATATGAAGGCTCCCTCAAAATTCACTCACCTCTAGCACACTTGTCGTCTTCACAAATACTCAAACTTCCCCTTTGACACGTGCCGTTGCTAAGCTGCCACGCTCGAACGACTCTTACGTCCGAAAGTCGGATATTATGATCTGCTTATGTCGTAAAAGTTGGCAGAAGGGGGGTTGAGTTGAAGCTTGATCGCTTCTGGTTGCTGAGGCATGGATATTTATTCTTGGTTGACCCGATGGAGTGGTTCAATAAACAAGAGTCGATCACACGCTTGAAAAGCTGCGACACTGGCCCTCGTGATGTGTCAATGTGCGAAAAAGGGTGCTACACTGTGCATGTGGTTGTGGCAATATTAACAGCAGCGATTTTTGCCATACCAGCTGCAGCTGTTTGTCGAAGGAGCTATGCTCATAGTGACTTGCGATCCTGTCTCTGTGTTCAGAGTGACTAGGTAGGCGCGCGTGTATCCACTGAAGGAATGGTGCCATCTTCGCGGCTAGCAAAATGCAAAACACAGTTTCGCATCAATGTTGTACATTGCTCAACGCATAGGCGACCGGATGCGCCTAACGACGTCTAATCCGATGAATTCAATAGCAAGAATGAATGAGCAATCATACAGAGAGCCTGGAATACAATAGGGGGTATGTAGAATTAATTCCACGGACCTATGTGCATGCTGGGCGGGCCACCCTGCCCAGGCAAAGACTTCTGACGCTCGGGAGATGCCTTGAGTCGAGTCGGCCATCCGAAAAGGCAAGCTCGGTCTTAGGAAAGAAGCAGCGACCAGCACCAGAATATCCAAAGGACGATAGCGGCGATTTGCAAATACACACACGATGCCGCCAATTACTTTCGCCGCGCCACTGGCGCTATCACAACCGACGACATTGCTGCCGCGCACATTTACACGCTCCATCAAGACGCTCAACCCGAAAATCAAGCCCAGTCGCTTCAATGCCGGTTTCGATCTACCCGTACTCGGTTCCTCCAAGACTGCTGCTCTCGAGCGCAAGTCATACACACTTCCGCCGCGCAGTGGCGCTCTCGCTGTCAAGAAGGGCATGACTGCTCTCTACGATCCCGAAACCGCAAAACGTACTCCCTGCACAGTTCTCCAACTCGATCGCGTACAGGTTGTTTCGCACAAGACCCGCGACAAGCACGGCTACTGGGCTGTTCAAGTCGGCGCTGGTATCAAGGAGCCCAGGAATGTGACGCGGCCTGAGAGAGGGCACTTTGCCGCCAACAAGGTTGGTATCAGCCGCCACCTCCACGAGTTCCGTGTCAAGGATGAGTCTGGCTTGCCCGAGGTCGGCTCTGTTATCAGCGCAGATTGGTTCCAGGAGGGTCAGTACATCGATGCAAAGGCGAATTGCAGGGGTATGGGTTTCGCTGGTGGTATGAAGAGATGGGGATTCCACGGTCAACCTGCCAGTCACGGTCAATCCTTGACTCACAGAACCATGGGTAGTTCGGGTGCCTCACAGGGTAGCGGTAGCAGAGTCTTGCCTGGCAAGAAGATGGCTGGAAACATGGGTGGTCAGCAAGTCACCGTTCAGAACCTGCGTGTCTTGAAGGTTGATGCTGCTAACGGAATTGTTGTCGTCAATGGTGAGTTCTCGATTGCTCCTCAAATCGCGTTGCCCTTGCTAATTAACTACAGGATGTGTCGCTGGTCCCAAGGGTGCCCTCGTCAAGATCCAAGACGCTTTGAAGAAGCCATGGCCTGCGGTTTCTACACCTCCGGCTGCAGATGCGGCCGCTGAGCCCGTCCAGGCAACCGCCTAATCGACTTTTGCAAGATACCATTTTCATCAAAGCACGGTTTCTGGGAAGGCAAGGCGCAATCAATGTAAATTATGTAACTCTATAAAAGAATCCAAGGGCTGGCATTCCGTACTTTTCTGCAAACATTCATCACCACGCTGAACCCCAGTCATCCTCATCTTCATCCTTTGCTGCCGGCTTTACCGGCTTGCTAGGTGCTGGCTTTGTTGCTGGCTTAGCCTTGGCTACCACTGATGCAGACGCAGTTCTAGCTACACCTGGCTTTGGTGCCAAGGCAGTCGCTGGTTTGCCCTTAGCGAGGCCTTTTGGCAGAGGGTTCTTTGCTTTCGTCTTGGCTTGAGCTTGAGCATTCAACCACCCTTCGAAGTCTGGCTCGCCGCCGTCGTCGAAAGACACCGTGGAGGCTTTGGCGGGCACCACAGACGGTGCACTCTCATCCATTCCACCCCATGCATCAGCAGCGCCGTCATCGTCCATCTCGCCCAAGCCATCTCCAAAGTCTTCCTGGTCAACATCAGACATAGTAGGAGTAGCATTACGCAGACCCGACGAGACTCTGGGCACGGTGGGTGCAGAAGGAGAAAATATTGGTGTGGGTCTAGTACGAGCAGCAAGAGACTGAGCAGCCGCCGAGCTCGGATTAGCTGGTGGAGTCGAGGATGGTCGATCTGAGCTAGCCGTAGTCGCAGCACTGCTGTTGGGTTGAATCTCTCCGCTAGCCGATCCAAGCTTGTTGGTGAATGACGATATTGCCCAACCAGCCCACCCTGATCCAGCGTTCTCCGGCTGTGGAGTGCTCATACGCGGCGCATTGGAGCCAGCAGCTTCTGGTGGTGGCAGAACACTGTCGGGAAGAGTTTGACTATACTTGCGGATACGTTGAAGATACAAATCCAGCGTCTTGTTGGCTTGGTCTCGTACAATTCTTTCATATGTCAGCACATGGTATGAAGTCTGGAAAATTTGGATCATACTTTTCTTTGTCTACAAGTGATGGACAGATGGCAGGAAGCAACTTGGTTGCGCATTCATCTTCTGTAAAGAGATCGGCTGTTGCCGCTAGAGCTTGAAGTGATGCGTTGCGCGCGTGTACAAATGGATCTCTGAGAGACCTCGAGAAAGCGGCGACAAGGACTTTAGTTCGTGACTGTGAGATGGTCAGACCTGAAGGGAGGAATATATAGCGGTTGACATACACCAGATCCGAGGTTCTTCGCAATTTTTCCAAGACAGATAGTCGTGTTGGTTCGGATGCCAGGTTGCTCATCGTTTGCAGTCTTGGCTAGATACCTTAAAAGCTCGCCGTTGATGATGCGATCAGACAGTTTCGGGACCACGACCAAGACTGCCTTGACGGTCTGTTCTCTCACAAGTGGGGCAAGATCGGTGAATCCAGTAACCTAAGAGCGGGTTAGAAACATGATCAAGCTTTGATTATACAGAGGCATACCATCTGGGGATAGATTCCGTTGTTCACAATCTTCTGAGGAAGATGATCGATCATGAGTGGGAGATTGTCAAGAAGGCATACACGTAGCGCACGGTCTGGACTGCTAAAAAGTCTGACCACTACGGGCGTGATAGTCGCTTCATACTCTTCATCTGAAAGCTTCTTGCCGATACGCATGACAAGCGACAAAACCTTGGGGCCTCCGCCACCGAATTCGAGAGACTTGAGCAACTCCGGCAGCACCTTGACTCTAAAGAAATCTTCTGGGAAGTCGTCCGCTTCGGCCACAGCCTCAAGTTCGCTGCGTAATAGTTAGCAGCTGATTAGATGATGCTGGGATATATGTACCGAAGAAACTCTTCACGTTCAGTTTCGGACTTTAACCCCAAGTTATCGATGCCATCGGTCAGCTGGATGAGTGGCGTATCAAAGAAGGAACCAGATTTTCTTCCTTGTTCCAGGAAATGAGCAACACTGAGTCTTGTCTTTGGGTTTGCATGGGCTAGACGTTTGTACGAGGCGTGCATAGCTGGAGGAATGCCTTTGGTCTGACCGACCTGATCGCCACCTGAGAAGCCGCCGCTGAAGACCTCGACGATCAGGATGGCAAAACCATAGGAATCAACTGCAGATACCGGATGTCGCTTGATGCTGTCCCAACCACCTTTAGCCACCTCAGGGGGCGCATAGCGTCCCGAGTCAAGTGCGAGACTTCCATAGGTCTGTATCCTGTGATTAGCAAGGAACAATCGTCAGTGAGCTGGCGCTACGTACGTAGATGATAGCCTCATCTTCCTTCATGGAGCTCAAGACGTCAAGGCCACCGAGCTTCCATTCTCCGCTGTCCGTAGTGAAAATGGAAGAGGTGCGGATACAACCATGGACGGAAGTGGCTTCTTCGTTGATAAAGGCAAGTGTTTTCTGCAAATTGAATCAGCAGGCGATCGACGGCTGTGTAGCGTGTGGTTGCATACGGCGACGTTGTGTAGGCCCCATTTGATGCTCTCCTCAGAGATGGCCTTTCTTTTTGTTTTCCAGGCGAGCGGAGTTATACGTTCAGTAGCAATGTAGATGTAGGTGTCTGTCTGCCTTGTTGTCTGGTAAGCAAACATCAAGAGATATGGGCGGTGAAAGCGACTACCTCAACAGTATCCAAGACCTTGACTACTCCAGGGTGTCGTAGGGTACGGAACTTGCGTAATGCGTTCTTCGCGAGAGGGAGACGGGACTTGTTTGCGTTTACATCGAAGGAGAGAATGCTACATCGGGAGCCATCTTCCTATATTGCCGTTAGAAGGGTCCAAAGGAAGTCGATGTTGAGCAGTGCATTACCCTCTTGGTGCCATTGTGGAGAGTCCAGATAGACTGGTCGATGTCGACTCTTTCGCCGAACGAATAGGGAAAGGCGGGACCTTTGGAGATGGCTGATGCGACAGCAGATTTGAGGAAGTCCATATCTGCCCGCTGCGTCTAGAAGAATCAAGAGTCTTCTCCTGACGGGCTTGTTGCGATGGATGGTGCTGCCTGCCACCGTCGCGACTCGCTTCCTTGGGCGGTGGTCCTTATCGATAAGCTCGGCCCACCTTCCATCTCCCGACACATCTGCCTGCTACTTGAACACTTCCAACTTCCAACACCGAGTTGCTGACTTATAGCAACAGCCTGTTCTCCCTCGCTATGTGATGCGAGAATCTGTCTCGTTAAACACGAGCATGCGCATTGAGCCATCCATTATGGCGTCGTCACCAGCGGTACGTTCTTCTCCATTTTCTAGCACACTTCTCCAAAGAATGATGATCATTATGGTAAAAGGGCTTATTGTCTGGTACTTGAGCCAACACTGTTTGGAACATGTCTTCTTGTTGCGATCATACCTTGCTTGCAAATTCCGTTGTCCATGTTTGCGAAGACTCAAGTCAGTACAACACTTGCTCCATAGCTTGGAGTTAAACACGACGAGTACATCAACAGTCTGCTGGCTTTGGAGTTGTTACGCCATCTCATCTGGCCTACGACCAACGGCGCTGGCATACAAAAACCCTGCCTTTGCGGCATCACTTCAAGCAGCTTGGCACGGGAGCTCGCTTTGTCTTGCATTCTCAAGGATTCACGGGCCATCAGTGCAATTCTGTACCAGGCGACATGATGTTACGAAAAATTCAAAGACCTGACACAATCTCTAATCTCTATCGAATGCCTGTCGTTTTTCTTCTTCACTTCCACTTTACTGATTTGTGAGCGTCAGTCGACAGGTCAGGTCAGTCTTCGGGAACCAATGCAGCGCCCTTCGTCGTCCGTCGCGCCTGCCTCAATGGGACCTCCCACATCTAAGTTTTCGACCGTGAGAAATGACAAGTTCCCCTCAATCCGTGGCCAAACTCCATCTGAACGATCTTCAACGAGTTCACGGAGCGGGCGAAATACATGCTTTGTCTGCAACGCCGCCTCGGCTTATGATTCTACAAAACTCATCAACTGTTACGTGTGCAAGCGGAAGTTTCACAGAGGTTGTCACAAGCCCCCAGTAGCTCAAGATAGTCCACCCGACTGGACGTGTTATTACTGTGCTCCACCCAAAACCATGCCACCAGCCGCGAAGAAGCGTAAGCTCAACCGCCCTGTCTTTGCTCCAATCACCGATAACAGGAGTCGCCTGAGCTTAGATGACAAGGAGATACCAGAGTCACCCCAGGAACAACCTGACACTACGAACGGTACTCCTCCAAAGCCAATCACTTTTGCGCAGCCGCCACGATTCGCGCCCTTCACTACAGAAGCTGAAACGCGAAGATCTGTCGAAACTCTCGGATCAGCTCGTCAAGTCCAACCTTCTCGATTCGCGCCATCCGATACGAAGCCTACGGGTCAGAGTGTCGTCAACTCTGAACAAGCACCACAGATGCTAACGCCGAAAGCCGCCACATCGATCAACCAGGCTGGAAAGCTGCAATACCATGACCTAATTGGCATGGCATTGAATGAAGCGACCAACTCTTGCCTGAGCAGGGAAGGAGTCCAGAGGTGGGTCGTTGACAATGTACCTGGCTTCGACTCTCAAGATGTGAGCTGGCAAAGAGGGGTATGGGTCACACTGCAAACTTCCGATGACTTTGTCTATCTCAGCGATAGGGCGAAGACTGGGCTGTGGACCTTTAGTGATGGGTCCAGCAACAAATATCAAAAGTGGCAGAGACCGGTCAACAAAACGTCCAGAGTTGACTCCTCTCCACAAGCTGTGCCGAAAATCCAGGAGCAAGTCAAGCAAGGGGCCAACGCCCTGGGAAGAAATGCAGGAGCCCTTGCTCCTGACCACGAGCTTGACGACATCAGATCCCTAGCAACGCAATCTGGCAAGGCCACATCTAATAAAGAACCTCGAGCTGGAAGCAATACCAACTCAGCTTTGCCTTCGACAATAGACGAGACTGTGGAAATGATCGATCTCACCATGGACGATGATGAGCCTGTACCTCCGCCTACGAGATTCCACGAGCCTGAGAGATCATTGACTGGGCGCACCAGTACCAGCCCTCTACAGGCACTCGAAAACATCTCCAAGACTAGCCCAAAAGACAGGCAGCTGTTGAAGCGGTCAAACCTTGTTGCATTCGGCGAGCCTGTCTGGGGTTCGGAAAACCCTGTCATATTGGAGCCGAACTCTTCAACACCGTTTGTAGACGGTATCATGAAAAACACATCTGAAGAGATGAAAGACAATATACGCCGCGGTGAGAAGTGGGAAGCTGCTAGGGAGAAAATGGGAGCCCGCATGAATTCTCCCATAAGGGCAAAAATTGATTTGTTCCGGAAATCAAGAACGAAATCTCCTATGCATTTGCAAGAGCCAAATGCACTTGTCTCTAAGCCTCTGACATTGCCCAGCGATCAAACTACAGATTCCAATTCGGATCCGCTACAAGCTTCTCCTGGATCACCGCTGCATGGCTCGGATACTGGAGTGCAGACAGAAACATTGCTGTACTATGGTACACGCTCAACAGACGTCGCCCAAGAGACAGCCACAGCCGACGGTGTCTCTGCAGAACTAGATCTGGAAACAGCCGACGGGATGGTACAGATGGATGTTGATCTTCCGGAAGATTTGCATGAACCAGAACTGATCGAGCCAGAGATGCTTGTACCCAGTTCGAAGTCTTTGATGCCCACCCAAATTCAGAGCGATGGTATCACACAGGGTGGAGTCAAGCAAAAGTCGCTCCCTCAAGAGCCCTTGTCTCATGAACTGCTCTCAGAAGAGCCAGCTTCACAAGAGCCAGTGGTAGAGAAGCCGCCTCGAAGGGCGTATGCAGATTCAGCTGCCCAGACCAGTCTGCCAGTAAGATTTGCCCTTGCATTGGGGAAGATCTCGCAAATCGGCCTCGAGCCACGAGTACCAGCAGTGACTCCTGATACTGCACGAACAACAGCAGATTCCACCACCCAGACCGAGAACCGACCAGAGCTGCAGATAGCACATCCAGTCTTGTCGCGAGCACCAACAATCCAGCTCCCCACACCCCAAGCCGAGCCAATCGAACCAATCGAATCACGACCTCTGCAAGAAAACGGACACGACGCCGAAGCCGACTTTGAAAAAGACAGCCTCTCCCTCCTCGAAGAAATGCTCTACCCAACCAACCCCACCACTCCATCCTGGCCCTCCCACCTCCAAAACCCTTCCAACCTCTCCCCCACCCTTTCCGTCCCTCTCTCCATCATCCGAGCCCGACCCACACGCAAGCAAATCTTCGGTAAAAACGAATTGTCCCGTATCAACCCCAACGCCTGTTTGAACAGACTCAATGCGATAAAACTGGGTGCGCAAAATATTGGCAACATTGTGCGCGGAAAAGGATACACAGAGGAAGAGAGAAGGAGGGAATTTGAAGAGAATCAAAAGGAGGGGTGCTATGATACGTTGGAAGAGTTATTTGACATGCCTCAGCAGGTCGTGCCGTTTATTCATGAGCAGCAGTTGGCGTTTAGGGAGTATGCTCCGGTGAGTTGATTGATGCGAGGTTGACAAATAAAGAAATAGTGCTAACATTTCTGTCAGAACGCGCTTGGGAAAATCGGTAGACCGAGGGTTGTCTACAAGATTGGGCCTAATGCGAAGTGAGGAACTGGCATTACGGGGTATCAAATATGAGGGTTGCCTTTGCTATGCTCACATGGAGCATAATCTTGGGCGGGAGACAGTGCTTACGAACCTTCAAGAACGGTTTCAGAGGCATAACTGAAAATGACGGAAGGGCAAGAATTTTCATAATGCATGTAGTAAATCATAATCTTCTACCTCAACCATCTCTTCGTCCGCCGCGTCGAGATGCAACATCTCTTCCAAATCGTCGGCGAGATCTTGACAGAGATCACCAGACGTCTGATCACTGAAACGGTCTAGCATTTCATCATCCAGGAGATCTGCATCCACTTCGGTGTCTGTGAAGAGATCCTCCCATTCATCATCGTACTCCACATCGAGCAAGTCATCATCATTGTCATCATCAGCGTCCATATCGCCCAAATCTAGACAGCCGTTGGCCTGCCAATCGACGAGTGTGTCAAGCTCATGCTGAATGTCTAATACGTTCTCGTACTCGTCATCTGGTTCAGATATTGGTAATGTTGTATCGCTGATCCGAATAGATTTGAGACCCTTGCCTGCAGATGGATCACGAAGACGACGTTGCATAAGACGCCAAAGCCTGATACTTACGGCCTTTTGAACGGCTGTTGGGCTGTCTGATGTAGTAGTGGTCGTCTCCTGCCGAGCAACCTCTTTGAGCTTCTCCCGCAGTGAGAAAGAGCGTGCACGTTGCTGAACAGAATTGGAGATGGCGTGGCTGATGGTAGGTAAGAAGATTGTCCGTGAAGCGATGGCCTGTGGACGACTGTCAGTCCAAATACTCAATAGCTTATATGCGTTGTTTGATGTTTACCTCTAGATGTCCCGGGCTCCACATAGCAGGGCAGATGTCTCCAAGATGCTTGAAAGATGACCTTTCTGTAATCTTCATTCCTGAGAGTGCTTTTGGAGGTAAATTTGTTATGGCGAGCCGAAGTGCTGTATCTATCAGGATGACTATCGACTCAGGAGCTGGGCCCCCATCTGTTGAAAAAGAGGCATCGTCTGCTTGATCGAGTAGTGTTGGACTCTCGAACAGCATGGAATCCTGGTCTATGGTCCTGGGCTGCATCGGTGATCTGATATCAAGACCGAGGTTTACTTGATCGAGAGTCCAGTGTGGTACTCCTTCTGGAGACTTTAAATGACTGGATGGAACATCTTTACCTAGACGATGAGTAGGTACTTTCTTGCCTGTAGAGGGTGGAGGTGCCGAAGTCAATGATATGATAATCAGATGGCATGTGTCCGGATGTAACGAAGGTTCAACGCTCAGAGAAGGTTGAAGATTTAATTGAGTCCATAGCTACCGATATATCAGTAAGGATGGGTTGGTCTTCTCACCTTTGTACTCGAGGGATGTGAGAGAGAAAAGGGTACTGACTGCTGCATGACGGAGAGCAGTAAGAAGACGATGCTTCAGTATGTCGACATGTTGACCAGACGCAAAGGACGGCCATGTGATATTGAGAAGTAAATGCACATTCGTAGCAGGGGCAATCCACACACGAGCAGATTCAATATTTGTGGCTGATAGTGTATCTTGGAAGGAACGACGTGCCAAAGTTGAGAAAGAGGCATTGCTAGTTAAGACAAGATCAAGGCGCGTTGAGGGACATGACAATCGCAGATTACCCAGGTCGATATGTGCAGACATAGTGAGTCACTTCCTCCTGAGCGGATAGATTTGGGAAAGACACGGAGAAATTGAAAGGTTGCCGGTGATTCGGGTGGTATTGTTCGGGGAAAGTTGGGCGAGTTTGTGATGTCAGCGGGGAGAATCGGACCGTGATTGGGAGATACCCTCGGTGTAGTTCCGCTCTTACCTTGTAGACGTGAGCAACATGACCCTGAGCAGTCGCTGCAATGCAGCTTCCTCATCCCACGCGTCAGAATGGCCAAACGATTGAGCTCATGCTGGCTTCGCCGGCTACAATGCCAGACTAGACGACCCTTCTCGTCGACGATACGGCCACAAACAGACGGCGTCTTTCGAGCTCTGACCGAGAACAGAATCCAGACACCTTGGATTGATGCTCTGCGAGAGAAGGAGCGTGGAGGCCATGATCCAACAAAGCCCTCGGGCAAGTCAGAAACGCCCAATGATCGCGACCTCTCGCCGAAACGCATGAGCGACAGCTACCACAGCGTTGTTCTGCCCCTCGCTCGCGAACCATGGCTACTCGATACCTACGCCAATTCCAGCGGTCACATCCGTCTGGGTACGCTTTTCATGGATCTTGATGCATTGAGTAAGCTCTGCCCACCAACAATGCCATCCAGCTATCCCTAACACGTCCACAGGCGGAGTTATTGCGTACAAGCACACTGGCGACGGAGTCACGACAGTCACGGCCGCCTGCGATCGCATCGACATCAAGCATCCCTTGACAGAGATCTCAGACCTCGAGTACAGTGGTCGCGTCACATATGCCACAGGTCGTAGCAGTATGGAAATCTCGTTGCAGGTCGCAAAAGCACCGAAAGAAGGAGAGAGCGTCAAGCCAGAGGACGTCTTGTTGACCTGTCAGTTCACCATGGTCTCGCTTGATCCCGGCACCAAGAAGCCCGTCAACATTCCCGCAATCACTCCTGAAACGGAAGAAGAGAAGGAAGTCTTTGCACAGGGCGAGAAGAACAGCGCTCACCGCAAGGACCTCAAGAATCGCTCCTTGATCAAGCAGACACCCAACGATGAAGAGTCCGACCTCATTCACGCCATGTGGCAGAAGCAATTACAATACCATGACCCTATGGACCCCGTACGCAAGCCCGACAACGTCTTCGAGATGGAGCAGACTCGCCTGTCCACAGCAGCCATCATGCAACCACAATACCGAAACAGACACCACTTTATGATCTTCGGTGGCTTCCTTCTCAAACAAACCTTCGAGCTTGCTTTCTGCGCCGCCGCCAGTTTCGCCCATTGCCGTCCCACCTTCGTCTCGCTCGATCCCTCGACCTTCCAAAACCCCGTCCCTGTAGGCAGTGTCCTCTATCAGACAGCTACCGTCGTCTACACCGATCCGCCAATCGTTACAGGACAAACCGATGAACCTTCGAATGGAGAACAATCACAAAAGTACACAAGAATTCAAGTCCGAGTCGACACCAAGGTCCGCGACGTCGAGCACGGTACTGCCAAACCAACTGGCCAATTCAACTATACCTTCACCGTCGAACGCGACATCAAGGTCATGCCCAAATCATATTCCGAGTTCATGATGTACATCGATGCACGAAGAAGAGCAATGAGGATAAGAGAGAGCGTCGAGCACGGGTCCAGCGATTCGGGCGCGAAAGACAGAGTAACAGAATAGACTCTTCTATCAAAGAGACGTCTAGAATTGAATAAACAAATATATGAAATCTACGCCAGATCCATCATCTACGCGACACCGACCAGAAACTCCAAATGCCTAACCTGGTATACCCAAAATGCTCAATTCATAACCAACAACGCCAATGTAGATGCAGCTCAGCTCCTCTTCTACTCTTCCAATTCATACTCTAGCGTATAGTCTTCAGAGCAATCGCGGCAGTAGTATTCACCGAAACCTTTGCAGATTGCAACATGATGTTTACACATGTCTAGCACAGTGAAATCAGGTTTGTTATCTCATGAGCAGACGGAAGTGGCTCTCTCACCTATTGACCAGGCATCGGCCGAGTAACCGGAAAGAAGACGATTGGAGCAGACCTCTACAGAGTCGGTCCAGATGTAGTAGTCGTGATTGCAGATATACCAGGAGTATGTGTATGTGCACATGATTGCTTAATGTGGATGTGTGTAACGAATGTAATGCAATGGAGTGTTTCTAGTTGATGAATGAGAGACTTGATTCGAATTAGAAGATTGGTCAAAGGGGGTGTTGGAGGTAATACGACTTACTATACAGTGATCAGACAAAGAAACATACACAAAGAGTCACAAAACTCCACAGATTATGCAAAAGACAAAGGTTGTAAAAGCAGAAGCACGTTGATCTATATACCAACGGAGATAAGAACTCTGTATACTGATCCAATTGGTATCACCCAGCCTTGGTCTCTACAAGATACACTCAGCAATCTGACTCACCTTCCATCAAACGTCCTTTGCTTATCCGTGTCGTCCGAATATAATCTTTCCTGATAGCGGGTGCAGCGGTGTACCTCATCCTTGTACTTCAGTCTACCGAACTCATCGTTGCAAATGCATGCATACATGTGCCTGTTTACCGCTTCGAGCTTAGTGGACACAAAGAAGGGGGCTTGGACCCTGGAATGCAGTTTGTGGTTGTAGGGTGTTCTGGAAGCTTTTCCTTCTTCTTTTGTCAGGATAAAAACAAAGATATCCATTCGAAAGAGTCCTGTATGTTAGATCCTCGGTATCTGATACTTTTACATCCACCTCTAGGATCTTGTAGTTGGAAAGAGTTGTGGGTAAGAAGTACCTTGATCGTGTGACCCAAGATTTCCCTCTCTGCCATACCGTTCATATACGATGACAAGGTTGTTTTTCTCTCAGCCTCTGCTTCCCCGATAACGTCTTTAATCGTATCGAAACAGTCAATGCAATTACTTTGTATCTTTTTTTGTGATCGAGTCGGTATCGGCAATCTTCGGGACAAGATAAGAAAGAACGGCTACGGGTATCATCGGTCGTTACTGGCTGATCTTAGTTACAGCATCGATGTGCCTTTTCATAATACATAGAGCTTCGCAGAGGCAGGAACGAGTAGCAAGGCAAGAGAGTTGTTTCTTAAGTTGCCGATTCCTGTTGTACAGTGTTGTAAACGAAATGTTGATTAGGTTTGAAAAGACGCCGAGAATCCTCTCTGTTATAACTCCTCTGTTTTAACGCCCATGACCGAGAGAACGTGTCGACCCAAAACTCCTGAATAGCTCTTCTGCTTGTGAGCCTCAGCCGAGGGCCCTACTTCCGCAAATTTATCTTTGGCTTGGACGACGCCTTTGTGCCCTACCCCTCGGTTCATTTGCCTCGCCGGACACATGGACTCCTTCGGCTAGAAACTATCTAGTCTCGGAGTAGTCGTTGAGTGCCACGCAGACAGCTCCACGATGGTGTCCGTTATACTGTCTGATGACCTGCTTGGAACTCAACTCCCACAGTCGTGCGTAGTGATCACTGCAAGCTGTGACCAGGTATGCGCTGTCGGCGCTGAAAGCACAGTCCCAGACCCAACGCTGGTGGCCATCGAGCTCTTGTTCAAGCTCAAAGGCGCTGCTGTCCTTATCTCCAGGTCCGGCGGCGATGGCGTTGTGATTTGAGAGGTCGACGGACCAGATACGTGCTGTGTGATCCGCAGAGCAAGTGGCGAGGTGACGGACATCTGGCGAGAGTAGGACGCGTGTGATATAGGTGTTGTGTGCATTGAATTTCGTGACGGGGACGAGCGTCGTCACATCCTTGGCTGTGATGATGCGCCAGACGTAGACGGAGCCTATCTGGCTATTGCTGACGGCAGCGCAGAGGAGGGAACCATCAGATGCGACGGTCACTGAAGCGACAGACTTGTCCTCTTCCGGAATCAATTGATGTGAGCATTTGTTCTCGGCAAGGTCCCAGATTCGCACGTTGCCGCCTCTGTCGCAGCTGATGAGTTCACCTTGGTTGGGATGGATCACCACATCGTTGACAGGAACACCGTGGCTGTAGTTACGCTGAACGTGACCTGTGCGAGTGTCCCAGATCTTCACAGTGCCATCTTCGGAACTTGTTACCATCCATTTGCCCTCACAGTGGAAGGCGAGTCCAGTGATGTTGTTGGTATGTCCCTCGAATGTTAAGACGGCAGCGGGATTTGTAGATTTGATGTCGTAGAGCTTCACGGTATGGTGACCGGCAGCAGCAAGGAAGCGCTTGTCTGGCGATATACACAAACGATTCACCTGTGAGTCCGGGTGAGGGATGGTTCGGCTGCATATGCCTGATAGTGCTTCCCAAAACCTGGTGACGAATTCGTGTCAGTCCTGGCACATTTGTGGCGCAATTCGAGACAACTTATGCTCCTTTCAAGCTCGACAAGGGGTCCAGGTTGCGCCATGTGACAAAGAAGTGGAAGATCCTGTGAGGCGTATATGCACACACTTACCTGATGGTATGGTCATAGCCAGCTATAACTGGTCAGCCATGTGCAATTCGTTATCAAGTCATGAGCGAATCATACCTGTACACAGAATGACACTCATTCTGATGGCTTGATTGTTTTGTAGTACGAGAAATGTGGTGGGATCCTCCGCGTTGGACGCGCAGTGCGCGCGTGGTTGTCAAAGATTCCACTGACCAGTAGCGTCGGATTTCGGTATTGTTAGATTGATCTGATATCGCGAGGATGTCCGAACAACAATTCGATGATAATGTGATGGTCGACGATGTAACATACAGATGAATGTTCTAAGTGGCAGCGGCAGAAGGTGTACACGGAGCGAAGCCTCCACAGTCTTATCTCATTAATCAGACGCTCCGCCAACGAGTCATGGGTCACGTGAATTCAAATTTTGGTGAGTAATAAGCCTGCTTGTTGGCGGAGCGTCTGAGAGCTCAATGAATTTCCCTCACCTACAACGCCCTTAACTCGACGCGTTTTGGACCACTCTACGGCGTATACTAAGTGCTACAGTACGTTTGCTTCCTAGCTTTTTGGACCTGTAGATTGTATAGGTTAAGAACTTTCATTATATCTATTCACTAGAAACCCTCCGCGTGCGCGCCCGACTATAGATGGAAAATTGATAGTTCACATGTTGTAAATCTGTCGAGTTTTATACATAAAATCCATTTGATATCTAGCTATATCTTAACCACAACACCTATATATGCTATATAAATTAGCTAGGGGCCTAGATATAGTAAATCTAAGGGCCATGTAGCTATTACCATAAGTATATAGCATAAAAGTAGTAAGAAATGAGCAGAAAGGAAAGGGGATTTTATAAGAAAAAGAAGAATAAAGAATCGAAGATTTTGAAACAACTGCATAACTTTTTCGACTTTTTTTTCGATAGACAGAAAGAGAATAGAGCACTTACTTAGACGTACAAATCTTAGCTAAATAGCTACTGTTGTTGAATTGTTGTTAATTAATTAGTAGTTGTGATAGAATTCGGCGTCGAATGCGCCTGGAAGCTTCGGGCGCATAACGACGTCGGATTTTGTTTAAAACAACTGAAAATTGTTTTTACTCACCCAAAAGTCGCTAAAATTAAGAAAAGAAATTAGACTGACCTCTTCAAACTGTGCGCCTACCTATAAAATTATCGCCATGATTATTAGCGACTAATCGTGTTGTTGTCGTGGTTTTTCGAAGGGTTTACCACCAAAAGAGTGTCATTGAACTCTCAGACGCTCGAACGAGTTCTCGCGATTTCGTCCACTTGTGGCCCGTGCTCCGTCCGCGCGACTCATGTTCGAGCTGTCTGATTAATGAGATAACCACAGTCGTCGGCTGTCGGGCGCTGCTTCCCGAAGGACAGGGTTGGCTTTTGCACTTGGTCATGGAAAAATGGGTTGACGGAGAATGAAGGTTGGTTTTGTCACGTTCTGCGCTATACAACTATTTAACCAAGCAATGAAAGTCTTGAGAAGGCTTTAATCACCGGCGGCTCTCGTTTGGCTTGGTTCGCTTCCATAGCATCATAGAACACGGCCTGACCACCGGCTGTGGGCCTGCCAGCTTCGTCCTCCCCATTGAGCTCTCCAGCCTCGGGATTGGAGGGCAGTGTTGGTTTGACCTGGAAAACTTCAGGGATGCATGCCTTACACAACTCGACGACCTCGATCATGGCGTTCTCCACCGCGACAGCACGTTCCCTCATCGCTCTCCTCATAAGACCCTCAACGAGACGAGCCACCTCCTCACTAACGCTGTTTGTACGCTCAATGAGACGGCCTATTGAGTTGACAATGTATTCCTCCTCATATACACTGCCCTTCTTTCCTCTAGCTCGCTTGCGCTCTTCACGGCGGCGATTCTTCGAAGTCTTGCGAGTCGCGTTCGAGGCAAGAGTGCCAGTACTGCGGTTTGTGTATCGTGTCATGAAAGTACCAGCTGAGGTCGTTGCCTCTGTGGGTGCGAGCGAGATGTTGTCCGGGATATCTGGCCCGTCTGCAGGAACACCACCAAAGAAGGCGAGTGGATCTTCCTCCTTCTTCTGTCTCAACTCTCTAAGGCGCGGAACCTGAGCATTGAGCTGACCCTTCATTTCAGCCAGAAGCTCTGTCATGGTCGCCGAGCCCTCTACGAGACCGGGATCGATGGCAGATGCGATAAGTTCGGGACGACGTCTCAGTCCAACGACTCTGATGGCCTCCGCGTAGTAATAACCCTTACAAAGAGATCTGATAGCTCCCTCAATATCATTCAGGTAATCCAGGTAGACAGTAGCTGCGTCGTGATGCTCCTTTGACTCCGTAAGTGCCTCGGCGAATGCCTCACCTGCAGCCACGAGCTCATCCTCGGGCAGTGGTATGAGAGTAGCCGAGGAAAGGCATTCACGCCACTCATTTGCAGATCTATATGCCTCGAAAGCCAGATCGTACTCACCAAGGTACTCGTAAGCAATACCTGCCTCCTTGTAACGGTTGCGACTGTTGAGATAGTCTGCGTTCAACCTCATAATCTCGTTCAATCGCTGAGCCTGGTATCTGTAGAGCTGCATGGCGTCGCTGTAGAGTTCGTGTTTTGCCATGTATGTCTTGAGCTCATCAAATTCATCCATGGTAAACAAGTGACCGAGAGCTTTGCTGTGCTTCTTCAGGTCGTGATCAATCGTAAATTGCCTTCGAAGTGGTTGCATCTTGCCAAGGCCCTGGACGTAGGGGAGGTACTCTCGAGGATCCTTCTGCGACTGCTGAGCGATGAGCAATGCGACGTCAAGATCGTAAAGTCCAAGAGCGTGGTCGTATAGCTGGTTGACATCTGCAAGGAAACAAATGTGTTCAACAGCGCGTTCCACCAGGTCTGGCTGCTCCTCTCGCAACTTGGCAATGAGAGTGAGACCAGCATCGAGATCAGGCGGTGACTTGCAAACGTGCGCTGTGATGATGTTTTGTAAGTGGGTAGATGTTCTGTTCCGCAAGACGTCCAAGAAAGCATCGCAGACTCTGTTGATCTTCGAGCTTGGAGGCTCAGTGAGATTCTGCTGGCTTTCGCTTGGGCCGTCTCCATGCAGACCCAATTTTGGGGCGTTAAGAGTCTCCTTGTACATGGTTTCCGCAACATCGTCGTCCCTTAGTTGTGAGAGGAACAAATCAATGTGCTCGGCCTTTTTCAATTGCTTGCAGAATAGGAGCACATTCGCCATGAACTGTTGCGGAGCGTAGTCGTGAAGAATGTTCATGTCCACTCTCTGGCCACGGCACGCAAAGAAAGCGGTCTTGTAGTCCTTAGCGCTTATACTTCTGCGAATGCCTGCTAGAACCAAGGCACGGGGATAGATTGTTTCCAAATTTCCTCTGGGCATTTGGAGGACTAAAGAGAATGCTGTAGGCATGACTGCCACCAGTCTAGCGCCTCTCTCAATGCTGCGGCAACGTTCGTCCTTCTCGGGCTCATCCTGAGGTATCTCGAGATCGCCTTGATGGAGATGGACAAATTTGAGGAGATGTTGAGTGGTAGTGAAAATCAGATGAGCAGGCGTGGTCAAGAAAGACGTGCAATTGCGAATTTGCAGACATTCTTGCGCCTTATCATCTTCTGAAGACTTGCGGTAGCCAAACAGAGTACCACCAGATGAGAGGCCGAACACAATTATTGTCTCATCATCCTTCCACACCTCGGTCCAGGGACAATGAACTGGAAGTTTAGCGAGCAATGAAGTAGAAGCAGCTGCGGTGACTTCGTACACGCCACCATGTGAATCCTCGAAGCAAGCATTGGAGAGGTCCATGGCAGAAAAGAGAGAACCAACGCCTAGGGTCAATTCGTTAGAATCGAAGGCAGCGTCGTCAGAAGCCTTGAGCTCGACAATGCAATCTGTTTGAGAATTTGGCTGACTGCAAAGCACAGAGATATTGTCCTCTCCAGAGAAAGCGATTTGTCGAGGAATTTGCTCAGCCATTGGTACCTCGCGCAAAAGCCTAGGATGTTGGAAAGGCCTGACACTGTAGTTGAGCTCATAAAGGAAAACACCTTGCTGATGCAGGACTGCGATCATCGTTGCTGATTGGTTGACAGCAACATCAATAGCATTGGCACCAAGTTCCAATTCCGCAAAAGCCATAGGCGGCGGTACGTTGGCTACTCGGAGTGGTGTGATCTTCAGGTTACGGCCATCGATGACAGAGGTGAGGCCAAGATCGTTTGGCGGCGATGTCGAGCTCTTTGAGACGGTGAATACATACGAGAGCATGTGCAGGGAGTCTAGAGGCCACGTTAGCGTACTCTCGTCTAAAGATAAGGTTCTATCAACTCACAGTCGGATGATGCAGAAAGGTACAGTGCCTTCTCCGGATGCCAGGCAGTGCGAACCGAGAGTGACTCTGCTTCAGATGTAGCATTCGTGAAGATCTCCTGCTTGAGGTAGTAGTGATAGTTGCCCATGGTCCACAACTGTACTCTTTCTTTGAAAGAGACAGCAAGGACAGTAGAATCACTGTTCCACGCAAGAGTGATGGTACTGGCCCAGCTTTCCATATCCTCTGCAGATAGACGCAGAGAGAATTCACCGTGACGCAAGCCGTTTCGCTCGAAGAAGACCACATCGACACGATCAGATCGGCGCTGAATACCAGCCATAAGATTTCCAGCAGGTCTCCAGCTCAAAGCACCCTCAAGTCCATCTACAGGCTCGCCAACACTCTCAAGTACACCTTCTCGTGAGTAGACTCTGATCATTCTTCGCTTCCCATCTTGAACAGAGTTAACAGCGAGGTAAGCACCATCTCCACGCCAGCTGATTGTTGTTTGCATCTGATCCAAAGAACTAAGTTGACCCTCGTCGACGTGCTCAGGCACTGTAGGATCTTTCAAAGCCTTGGCTCTCTTGCCTTGGAATTGCGTCTCACGCTTGCCCCAGCCGACAGAAACATGCGCTGAGACCTGGACATCTTCTGGAGAAAGGGTGATGTTGGCAATGCTCTCGAAATCGCGAGTCATGAGAATCAAGGTGTTGGCGCGAGTGCTGATAGCCAGCAGTTCTTCATCAGGCGACCATGCAGCTGCAGCAATACCTTCGTCGACCGAACCAACGATTTCGATAAGGTCCTCTCCGGGCAATGGCTCTTCTCTTACAATGACGATATCGCCACCAGCCAAGATCAAACAGATGGTAGCAGTGTCGGCAAAGTATTGCAACGACAAGATACGGTCGACGGGGATATCTGGCAGAGGACTGGGCGCGTCCCATGAAGCGATTTGTTTGGCATGCTCGCTTGAGTAACAGTCCTTGGCTATGCGTCTGAGTTCGATGACCGGGCTGGAAGATGAAGGACCGAAGGCAGCGATAAGTCCGTCTGTAGCAGGGTCCCAGGTGGTAGCTGTGGGTGGCAGGGAGTCGCTGGGAAACTCAACAAGGGTATGCCTCGAATTCCTTAAGTTTCGCATGATTTGATGTGTTATGTTACAAGCATTGATTGAACAATTATTGATGGTCAGCAGCTTCAAAAAATTCTGGGAACCGGGGCTAGCGGCTTTTCTGCCGAGCAGCGAAGGGTCAATTGGCAAGCCAACAAGCTCAGATGTCACGACATGCAAATCACAAAGGCACTTTCGGAGGAGTTGTAATTGCAATAACGAAATCATAGACGTGTTCGGGGTTCATTCGCACTATTATATACATCCGACAGGACGGGCCAGCGTCTTTCGAGTAGCTTTGAAGCCAGGCCAATGTAGGTAGTCCATGCACCACGATACGTCTATTGGTTCTTGTTGAGCTGCCAGACTGTTTGATTGTAAGTATGCGAAGGATTGGGAAAGGTGTCTTTGAGGCGATTGATTTACCAGCAACACCGAAGGGGAGGAAGAAGCCGGTGGCTGTAGAGGTGTTAGCACATGGTATGGCGTGTGGGTGCCGACTGGGCAGCTCACCCATGAAGCCCCAGAATCTGATGGCGAAGAACTTGGTCAGAGGGTTGAAGGGCAAGTTGCTGCGAGGGCCCTCGGGGTAGTGGTAGGGGCTGGCAAGTTGCATGCGGGTCGAGGAGAAGGTACGACGGGCGACGATCTGGTTGGCCACGGTGGGCATGCGCATGGCGGATCTGGAGAGCATCTGGACGGCGGGTGTCAATTGAGCGATCCTGGAGTGAAGAGAGGGCAGAGCGTACGGTTGCGGTGTGGGTGTTGGAGTGGAGATGCTTTCGAGATGCAATTGCTCGCTGTGTCGCTGCTCACCCGACGCGGACGCTCACGCTCCCATGACGGCCGGCGAAAGTGCGGATCGCCCTTGCAGCCACAGCCAATCACAGCTTCTACAGCTCTTGCCGCATCATTTCATTCCAAAGCTCGACTTTTTTCTCAAGTCAAAGTCGCAACAGCAGCCACTTGCTTCAGTCGTCTTCGTTCGTGTGCCCACCATGGACGATCTATTCGACGTCTTCGACGATGCTCCGCCCAACAAAAACCTAGATGTCGCCAAAGAGAAGCCGAGCAAGAAGCGTTCTGCGAACGGCCATGTCAAGACCCCCGAACCCGCCGCCGCGACCCAGGATACCACCATTGCCGATGCGAACGACGAGGACCAAGGTGTTCCAGTGCCTGCTGAACCTCAGAGCCCCGCTCCTGCTTCCGAAACCAAGCGCCTGAAGCGCGACGAGCCCGCCCCCGTCGTGACCGACTCCTTCGAAACCGAACAATCCAGAGAAGTCGCTGCCGCCGCCGGTCTCCAGGCATCCAAGGACGAGGCAAACGTCGTCCTCTCGCATCAAGTCCGCCATCAAGTCGCCCTTCCTCCGGACTACGATTACATCCCCATCTCGCAGCACAAGCCTCCGCCGAACGGTCCTGCCAAAACATACCCTTTCACCCTCGATCCCTTCCAACAGGTCTCGATCGCCAGTATTGAGAGAAATGAGAGTGTTCTGGTTTCAGCTCACACCAGTGCCGGAAAAACTGTCGTCGCCGAGTACGCTGTCGCACAATGTCTGCGCGAGAACCAAAGGGTCATCTACACCAGTCCCATCAAGGCCTTGAGTAACCAAAAGTTCAGAGAGTTCCAGGCCGAGTTTGGAGACGTTGGTCTCATGACTGGAGATGTTACCATTAACCCCACAGCTACCTGTCTCGTCATGACCACCGAGATTCTGCGCTCCATGTTGTACAGAGGTTCCGAAATCATGCGAGAAGTCGCCTGGGTCATCTTCGACGAGGTCCACTACTTGCGCGATAAATCTCGTGGTGTCGTCTGGGAAGAGACCATCATCCTCCTGCCCGACAAGGTCCACTATGTCTTCCTGTCCGCTACCATCCCCAACTCGATGCAGTTCGCCGAATGGATCACCAAGACTCACAACCAGCCCTGTCACGTTGTCTACACCGATTTCCGACCCACTCCTCTTCAACACTACCTCTTCCCTGCCGGTGCAGAAGGCATCCACCTTGTCGTTGACGAGAAGGGCACTTTCCGTGAGGAGAACTTCCAGAAGGCCATGGCAACCATCGCCGACAGGGCTGGAGACGATGGTTCTGACCCCATGGCGAAACGCAGAGGCAAGGGCAAGGACAAGAAGGTCAACAAGGGAGGCAGAAAGGAAGGTCCCTCGGACATTTACAAGATTGTCAAGATGATCATGATGAAGAACTACAATCCCGTCATCGTTTTCAGTTTCAGCAAACGCGACTGCGAGAACTACGCTCTTCAAATGAGTCAGCTGGCCTTCAACGACGACAACGAAAAGGCAATGGTCAAGAAGGTCTTCGAGAGCGCTATCGAGATGCTTTCTCCCGAAGACCGCGAGTTGCCTCAAATCCAGCACTTGTTGCCCCTTCTGCGCAGAGGTATCGGTATCCATCATTCTGGTCTTCTCCCCATTCTGAAGGAGACCATCGAGATTCTCTTCCAGGAGGGTTTGATCAAGGTTCTGTTCGCCACTGAGACTTTCTCTATTGGTTTGAACATGCCCGCCAAGACCGTCGTCTTCACTAGTGTACGAAAATTCGATGGTGTTGCTGAGCGCTGGGTCACACCATCCGAGTTCATCCAGATGTCTGGACGTGCTGGAAGAAGAGGTCTCGATGAACGTGGTATCGTTATCATGATGATAGATGAGAAGATGGAACCTGCAGTCGCGAAGGAAGTCGTTCGTGGCGAGCAGGACAAGCTCAACTCGGCCTTCTACCTGGGCTACAACATGATTCTCAACCTCATGCGTGTTGAGGGCATCTCGCCCGAGTTCATGCTCGAGAGATGTTTCTACCAGTTCCAGAACACTGCTAGCGTTGCCGGACTCGAGAAGCAATTGCTCGAATTGGAACAGGAAAGAAACCACATGAACATCGAAGACGAGCCGACCATCAAGGACTACTACGATCTGCGCACACAACTCAACAACTACGCAAAGGATATGCGCGATGTGGTCAACCACCCTCAGCATTGCCTTCAGTTCCTCCAATCTGGTAGACTGGTTAGAATCAAGCACAAGGATCACGACTTTGGCTGGGGCGCTGTTGTTAATTTCGCCAAGTGCCGTCCTCTCAAAGGTCAGCCGGTACAAGACCCTCCTACCGCAAGCTCATATGTGGTGGACGTTTTGCTGCAGGTAGCAAGCGACGTTAACGTACCCGCCAACAAGAACAACGACGAGCTTCCTCCTGGTGTTCGTCCTCCAATGGCTGGGGAAAAGGGCAAGATGGAGGTTGTACCAGTCCTGCTCTCGACTGTTGATGCAATCGGCCATCTCAGAATTTTCTTGCCCACTGACTTGCGGTCAGCCGACCAGAGAAACAATGTCCGCAAGGGGTTGGAAGAGGTCAAGAGAAGATTCCCTGACGGCATTGCCATTCTTGACCCTGTTGAGAACATGGGTATCACAGATGAGGCTTTCAAGAAGCTACTCCGCGTAAGTAATTCCGAAGATATGTGCACTAGCTGGATACTGACAAAGACGTAGAAAATCGAGATCCTCGAGTCAAGACTGCTCTCGAATCCCCTCCACAACTCACCTAGACTTGCAGACCTCCACACTCAGTACGAGCACAAGGTTCAACTTGGCAACAAGATCAAGGATGTCAGAAAGCAGATAAGCGATGCTATGTCAGTGTTGCAAATGGAGGAGCTCAAGCACAGAAGAAGAGTGCTTCGCAGATTGGGCTTCATCAGCGAATCCGATGTCGTGCAGCTGAAGGCCCGTGTGGCTTGCGAGATTAGCACAGGTGACGAGTTGGTGCTCAGTGAGCTTCTTTTCAACCGCTTCTTCAACGAACTCACGCCCGAACAATGTGCGGCTGCTCTCAGTTGTTTCATCTTCGAGGAGAAGAGCAATGAGACACCGACCTTGAAGGAGGAACTTGCCAAGCCTTATCGTGAGATCCAGGCGCAGGCACGCACTATCGCAAAGATCTCGCAGGAGAGCAAGTTGGCTGTCAATGAAGACGAGTATGTTGATGGGTTCAAGTATCAGCTCATGGAGGTCGTTTACAAGTGGTGCAATGGAGCAACCTTTGCCGAGATCTGGTAAGTCTTCTCGTTGGTGGTGTGAATGCTTGCATATGCTAACTAAATGACAGCAAAATGACCGACGTATACGAAGGCAGTCTGATCCGTCTTTTCAGACGTCTTGAAGAGCTTATGCGACAAATGGCACAAGCGTCGAAGGTCATGGGCAGTGAGGAGCTTGAACAGAAGTTCGAGACTGCACTCACCAAGGTGAGACGCGACATTGTTGCAGCACAATCGTTGTATCTGTAAGGAAGTGGCATGATTGCATAGGGAATCCATCTTTAAAAGGCGTTTTGGGCATGACTGGCGGGAAAAGCACAGGGCGACGGGGCGTTTTTCTTGTTGTCGGTTCAACGAGCGAGGCATATGATTCCAGATGAGAAGCACATGGCCAATATGCTCTATACCAAGGAATTGAGGAAGGTCAAGCATGTAGATAGGTAGATCAACGACAACGAAGTTTTAATCATGAGCATGAATGACCGTGATTGGACTTAACGATCAGGAGGATGATGCTGCGAGACACATGATCAAAAGGTCGGTGATGTCCACGATGTCCGAGCGTCGTCGAGTCGGTCGGGTCTTCCAGAATCTTTCAGCATCACCGTGACAAGGAATTTGCTTTCACACCTGGCGCATTTGTGTGGTGCGCTGTAGGCAACACAAACATTCAAACCTCCTGCAACCACAACGCAATGAACTCCGTTATCTCGTCGAACCCGCTGTTCGCCCCTCACCTCCTTGGAACTCCCCGACCATCTCCCTCTCGCTCAGGTACCGTGCAAAGTGCTGCGTCATACCGCCTCCAGTCCCACGACCGACTAACATATTCCACAGAGGGCTTTGGTAGCGATAGAATGTCTGGCCGGAAGCGCAAGGCCAGCGAAGACGACCTGGACGACCGCATGTCGGCCTCCCCTACGGCATCGCCATCAGTCACAGGTCGCCAGCTCTTCCCCGCCTCAAGATCTGTCAAGAGAAGCCGTACCGTCGTCGCTGCTGGCCGTCCGCTCGACTTGCCCCGTCTCCTCGAGACCCTATCTCCTGATGAAATGAGAAACCTCCTACAAAACATCTGCGACCAGAACCCCGCCATCGCTCACGAGGTCGTCACAAAGGCTCCTCGTCCCAGTGTCGAATCTACTCTCTCCGTCCTGCAAAAGTACGAAACCACCTTCAAAGAGTCCTTCCCCTTCGGCAACCGCCCCTCATCCGACTACACATACAACAGAGTCCGCCAGCCTATGCTGCAGCTCATTGAAGCTCTCAAGGACTTTACTCCTCACTTCCTCCCTCCGAACGAACCTCAACCCAATCTCTCCCTTCAATATCTCGACGCCGTCACTCAAATCATCCACCGTCTTCCCACATGGGACACCTTCCAACACAACCATGCAAAGTTCGAAGCATACGATGAACTAGCCCAGGCCTGGGCTCTGGCCATTCGCGAAAGTGCCAAGAAAGGTGGTGGCTTCCAGCTGCAATATGCTGGTTGGGACCAGAAGCTTCTCAAGCACAACGAAGAATCTGGCGGCAGACTGCAAGATGCCGTCAACGAGTTGCGTGCCAATGTCACTTACCTCGGCGGCCCTACTACCGGCGGCGCCGCTACCTCCAACCTCGACGAACGTGCTGCCATAAGACAACAGATCATGTCCGGTACCTACGGTCCCGATGTCTCTGTCGGCGTTGGACGCTGGTAGAGCGGCTGCACGGCCAGTTTAATGAGCTTCAAGATACCCTGTGGGACACAACTGCCCTTCATTTGTTTTTCTCCTTACTTCACTCGTTTCATTTGTTTCCACCCACATAAGCTGCAACCTACCTTACTTGTCACTAGCAGCCATGATGATAGCATTGCGAGGCGTTCTTATTTTGCGAAGTGGGTCCTGGCGCAAGGCAAGGCAAGGTTACCTAGATAGAATTTCCAAGAGGGCTGTGCATAACACGAATGGGCCTATAAATCGCCCTCAAAAATATAACCAATATCACCACCGAACTCCATGACCGAGACTATATTGCCGGAATTGACCTGAGTGGGATTAAATGGGGAGCCTTGAGCTGGCGGTTTCCTCCGTCTCTTGACCTGCACGCAGGCTTCGTCATTGTTTGTCTCAGTGATGCACACTGTGAACTCTGCACTTGCAATATCAGAGGGAGTCAGATAACCAGATCCCGACAAAGAAACTCTCAATGGTCGTGCTCTGTCTTGTAGTACCATCGTGTATTGCGGCGGGCCTCAACACCGGCTACATCCTGGAGAGGGATAAATAGCTATGCACAAGTCATTCATGATTTCATCTCGGCTCTCTGTCTCTCAGTCTTGCCTTGCGTTCCGATTCTCCCTTCCACGTGCGGGCATGATCTGGGCGTCCGCGCCTTCCTCTCTTGTTCAGTTTCACTCTATCACACCCTCACCGAGCACGGCCTTTGGCGTCTTCTTCGTGTCAAGCCGGCGCGTCACCCCAGCTTCCTCACCCTCGAACTTTCTTTCCCACCTCGAGTCGTAGGCGCCCTTAGCTTCCATCGCCGGCATCATGGCCATCATCCCGGATGTTCCATACGTTTCGGTCGATATCGTCGTTGATGGACGCGCACTTCCTGAATACCTGGATGAGGACGACCATGAATCATTGTCTTCCAACAGTACCATCAAATATGTCGAATGTGTCTCTGGTTCGAAGTTCGGCATACGCACTAACATCACTGGTATGGAGCCCTGGGATCTTGAGGGCGGCGACATTGTCTTGGAGGACTACTTCCTTGATGGCAAATGGGTCGATGGCGCTGTCAAATCTTTCCCGTTGAACAGACATCATGCTATATCAGTGCGTCATGCAGCTCGACACCGGGAGGGCGGAACGTGGAAGGAGCGTGACTTCATGTTCGCCGACCTCGTAACCAGTACGTTCATTCCGATTCACAACCTCTATCAAGTATTGACATTCTCCAGCCGAAGATGCGATCAGCAAAACTCTGAAGCCTGACCTCAAGGACCTGGGTACTATCACAGTCAAGCTTTACTATGCCGAATTGCTCGAGAAAAGACAAAAGACACAACACAACCACCAGAGAGTCAAGTTTGGCCACGAAAATCTACATGAAAAACATCTCAAAGGCCAAGCAATGTCATATCAAGCCAAGTATGCACTCATTAATCATTCAATAAGTTTGCATTGCAGCTGACAACTACAGGCTGGGAGAAGCAGTTCCCATCCAAGGCCCTGCGACCGTCAGCGCCCGCCGTCTTGGTGAAGCGTTTGCAGTGTTCACCTTCCGTTACCGTTCGCGCAGTAAGTCTACTCATAGCGATGCACGAATACAATTCTTACCCTCTAACTTTCTCAGGAGACCTACAAACCATGTACCTCATCCCCAGAAGTGCAAGTCCAGTTCCTCTGGAGGATCGTCCAGAAGAGTCCCTCAACAGAGAAGAGCTTCTCGAGCTCCTGCGAAGACAGAAGGTATATCTCACAGCTGTAGAGATGCACGATCCACAACTGACAGCAACAGGCTCGCCAGGATGAGCAAGCGGCGATCAAGAAAGAGCTCAAGCGTGAACGCACTGAGGTCGATGACAGCGATGATGACCTGATGATAATATCCTCTCGCCGACCCGCCAAATCGTTCAAGTCTTCAACCAATGTGGACACAGGCATAGAGACCATTGACCTGACTGATGGTTGATGGGGTTGATTGAACGAGGAATTGGCTGTATTGTGCTTTTACAGCCCCCGACACTGTCGCAGACATTATCGCTGAAGTTCGCTCTGCCAGCATGGAGAGCGCGAGATACCTTCTCACAGCATGATACCCACAATAGCAATACGACTAAATAGCTGATGAATTACGAACAAGACTGCATACCTACTTCAAATGTGTACGTGAGTATAGTTCGGGGCGGCACTTCGCCCAAAGTGCTTGTGCGCGACTTCCTTCAATGCACAAAGACACTCTTGCTCTCACATTGGTCACTTGCTAGTCAAGTTGTTGCACTTGGATGTGCAGTACGCACTGAGTTCGCGGATATCTACATACGCTTACTTCTTCACTTACAGATCTCGTCGAGTTGAAACTCGCTGCGTCGAAACACTTGACTTTCGCATCGCTTTCAACCTTCGCTCTCCATCTGATCAGCATCCGGCTCACTCTCGCTCGGTCTCTGCCACTCTATAAGTTCTCTTCCACAGCCCTCCACCTCGCAACCTTCTTCCTCAACACTATCCACCTAACATTCAACATTCAACATCCAACACCAATCACAGCTACTTCTTCAACTCAAATTTCAACACATCCTTACTCCAAAGCTCGATCATCATGGCTATTCTGGACTCTCTCCCTGGCGTTAAAGTCACTGTGGTCGTCGATGGTGAGGATCTTCACGAGTACCAGGATACCGACATGGAAGATGAGGAGAACACTGTCACCAAGTACGTCGAGGCTGTTACTGGTGCAAACTTCGCGATAAAGTTCAAGGGCTCTCGAGAGCTCGAGTACAAGGGCGAATACCTCAGCCTCGAAGTTTTGGTTGACGGATTGTGCATCGATAGACCATTGATTGGTCGTGAGAGAACACGAAAGGGCAGTTACACCTATCTAAGTGAAGGTCTCACTGTCAGAGCTGGGTATATGAGAAGGCTCAGGTTCAACACACTAGAGACCGGTAGGTGGACTCACATATCTCAACAAAGAGCAAAACCTAACAGTTTCATCTTAGTCACTGAGCACGGCTTTGGATTACCCGCAGATCTCGAGCGTGTCAAAAATATGGGCAAAATCGAAGTTCGTCTGACCCATGAAAACAAGGTTAAGCGTACGGAGGCGGTTTACAACAAGGTCGTGGATAATGAAGGAATCATTTCAGAAAAGGCTATCAAGGGCCAGGCAATGACTCACTCCTTAGGGTATTACCAGCGAAAACATCTAGAAGCCAATACGCTAACACTCTGCAGTTTGGACCCGGTTACCCCTATCGCCTCTGGGATTTGCAAGACCAGAGTCTCGAGTTGCAAGACCACAGTCTCGAGTTGCAAGCCTGTCGAAGGAGTTCAGAACCCTGCAGCTACCTTCGTGTTCTTTTACCGATCGAAAAGTGAGTCAACTTTTTGTGTTGCCGAATTTTGCTTACTGTTCTTAGCTTCATTGAAAGAACTGATGATCATTCCGAGAACTCCTTCGCCCGTGCCCCTGGAAGATCGTCCTGAAGAAGAGCTCAACCCCGAAGAAATGGCAGAGTTGGTCCGTCTACTGAAAGTATGATATTCCGTCGTCGTCTCAAAACAGGATCTTTGTTGACCACAATACAGGCCAAGGTTGCCGTGACTTCTCAGGTCAAAAAAGAAGTCAAGAGAGAGCTGGAAGATGATGATGACAACGACTCCCGTGCACGCAAGAGAGCTCGTCCGTCCGCTAGCGCAATAAACTTCGAAATCAACGACGATGACACCTTCACCGAAGTTGCTGTGATCCACAAGGAGAAGGAGAAGGAAGTCATCGCTTTGGACTGATCTAGAAGCCGAAACTGGGAAGACGGCATTCATCACCACACGATAGTTGACATCGGAAACGAAGCACAACAGAGACGTAGAGAAGTATCATCGATAAATGGAGAGGAAGGAGACGAGACTTAGCACGCTTTCGGCGGGGCCACATGCAAACAGGCTGAGGAAACACAAAGAAACAGGTGCTGAGACAGCAAACATTTTACATATAGCTTGACTTTGCACAGAGCACACAATTCATAAACAAGCGGGTCTTTTCAACCCTTTAAATCAGTGCCAACGAATCGTTCTCGCAAATCATATTCCACATTGTGCCATCATCTCGAGCGATGAGGTCAACCCCCTTTTAAAGACAGGGTGATGACCGCAGCTAATGGTTTTGGGCAAGCAAAATCAACACCGCCACTTTTGAAAGTCAGGGGCTCTTCATGCCCGAAGGCCAAAACTCCAAACGACGTACAAATGGAGATAAGTTTTCAGAAGCTATGCCTGATATGTGAAGCCCATTGTGGGCGAAGCAGGGGCAGGTAAAAATCACATCTGCAGCCCAACATCCAACTTCCAGAACTACAACTCCCAAACTCCAAACCTTTGCAAAGAAGCACAGTACTTTTCCAGTCCCACGACCACATCATTGAGGCCCCCTTCCTAAACAGCACCCATGATACCCAACTCCAACCACTCCAAACACTCCCCAAACACCACAACCCCCACATCATCCCTCCACTCCAAAACGCCCCGCTTGACCCCCTCAAACCTGATTTTCCAAAACTGCAAGTCCAGAAACTCGTCTTCCAGATCCGTGTTTCCGTGTAGAGTGCTGTGGAAAGGGATAGCGGCGGTGTACAAGCCAGCTCTTCGACCACCGGAGGAGAAATGATGGGATATGATATCGGTGGCCAGGGAGTCGGCGGAGAGGAAGGCTTTGCGGAGGGTGCGATGGGCGCGATGTGTGGTGTTGAGGCAGGAGAGGATACGATGTGAAAGGCGTTGGGGAGGTTCATCGTCCTCGTTGTCGTAGGAGAGGGTGATGTATTGAGATACACGGGAGCACATTTCATAGATGGCGTCGAGGATTTGGGCTGTGCATTCTAGAGGCCACATGGCTTTCTTGTTGGCTCGAGTGATGGAGGCGATGGCGTGGAGGAAACCTTGGGCGATACGGAGGAGGCGGTCAGGGCGGTCGTGGGATTCTGCTATTGCTCGACGGAGGGATGCCTTTGCTGAGGAGAGGATTGTTGTGGCGTTGGCTGTTGCGATGTCCGTTACGCTGTTTCCGTTGACATGGGTGTCGATCTGATCGTAGGCAGGAGGGAGTGCTACAATAGGGGTCAGTAACGATATAGTACAAAAGGGGTGCAGTTCGCTTACCCTCACGATCAATAGTCCTTCTCAACTCCTCAACTTCTTCATCGTTGAATTGACAGAACTCACGAAGGTCGCCGAGCAGGATGGCCTCCGAGTGATCACGACTGACCAATTCAGCCTGGTGCTCTCGCTCCATGGTCCGGTTTTGGATGCTGTGCTCCAGGTCCATCGTTCTGATACGAACGTCCAGCTCCTGGATCGAGAGCTCCTTTTGCTGTACGATGAGCTCCTTCAGCCTCACCTCTGCCACCAAACGCTCCTTTTCGTGCCTGAAGTCTGCCACGATATCTTCTTCTCTCTGCTCTCTCTCGGATTTCTTGTTGCGTCGAGCTCTTGCCGCATATCCGGCAGAGCAGACTTGTCTCATGCAGCCCATGGGCACGTTGTCGAAATCATGGTTGTAGGCCCCTTGTTCATGCCCTGCTGTGCCTTGCGGGACGAGATCACCGAGTATCTGCTGTTGGGCGCTGACTGATGGTAGATTGCGGCCAGCCATTGGATGACTTCCACGTGATTGGCGAAAGCTACCGTAGAGGTAAAGACTATGTCAACTGCTTGCTCTTGTTGCCTGAAGTGAGTGTTGGCACTTGGAAAAGGCTGCGTGGTCAATGAGTGTAAAGCTGTGAATGTGAGTTCAAACCACTGCTGGGCATGGTCCAGATAAACCAACTCGGTCCAGACGTGGTACAACACTCTCAAAGTGCCGACCGCGCAACACCCCCAGCGCAAATGGCGACAACACCGACTACGGTGATACAGCATCCCAAAATCCTGAATCAGTTTTCTGTTGAAAAGGCATACGCGACGGCGAAAATATCGGAGCCATCCTAAGCTGTGGATGAAACTAAAGCCAACGAATGTCATGAGGCAAAGTGCTGGCAAAGAGTAGAGAATGTGGTACACGTTTTCACGTGCAAGTTGATTAGAAAGAAACAAGGAAGAATCAGGATTTTGGAAGTAGGATTTTGAAAATAGGATTCTGAAGGGGCTGTTATACAAGGGGAATCTCTTTAGAAAAAGTTGGTCGTGAGAGAGGTCGCGGGCCTCTGCAGCAGGAAATATCGTTCGTACGTACGAGTCTGATCTAATTCATCTCGTGGGTGACCTGGGCATCCACTTCGTCTTGGACGTGCTTGCCGGGGCGGCCTCTGCTTGATTCGGCGGGGCTCTTCATGTCTGAGCTCTCTTCGCCGCTGTCAGGGCTGTCAGGTCTGCTATCGCTAAGAGTTCTGCGGTTGCGTTGCATCTAAAGAGCGATCAGTCAAGGGGTCACTAGGATTGGCGGTGAATTCCAAACTCACCCAGCTGCGGACACTGCCGAGAAGACCCATAGTGTAGCCGGCAGCAAAATCGCTGTTGCTGCCTCTTGAAGGACCTTGGCGAAGGTTATAGCCAAGACGATCAGGGGTCGAGAGACCGCGGGCTGGGCTGTTGGGTCTGCTGGGCTGCCAGAATTGTCTAAGGTCTCTGCCGAGCTCTTGGCCAGTCGCAGTCCAGTTTGTGCGGATCGAGTCGCGCAACTCGGCGACGTGACGCTTGATGTCGAGCTCGTTCTTCTTCAGCCATGAGACATTGAGTTCTTGGCGAGTGGTGCCGCGCTTGAGTTGACGCGCGATGTATTGTTCGTAGTCCCTAACAATTCTACGTGCAAAGGTTAGCAATGTCGTAGCAAACATGGCGGTTCCCGGTCTTACTTTGTGATGATTCCAGTGGTGCTGACGCCCTCAGTGCGCTGGGTAACCAGGAACATGCCCTTTTCCTTGACCGGCTTGTAGATGTCATCACCCTCGTCGGCTCCGTAGGGAATGTCGTCGTGGGCAACGTAGTCGATCTCATGCTTCTCGAGGAACTCGACGTCTACGATCCAGGGGCAGTCTTCTATGACTTCGTCCACCCATTTGCAGTGTCTGACAGTCTCGGCGCGTTCCTTTCCGCTCAGCACCGTCAGACCCTTGCGGCGGTGGGTCTCTTTGTCGCCGGTGACGCCGACGAGAAGATGTACGTTGGGAAAGGCGGACTTGGCTTGTTGGAGTTGGCGCATGTGTCTACGACCTGTTAGTAAGAAAGTCTTAAAGTGGCAGGGAAACAAGCTGCATACCCCATGTGGAACAAGTCAAAGACACCGTCGGCGTAGATGCGCACAGGGCGACCCTCAGGAGGAGGGTTGGTCTTGTAGCCGACGGGGTCAATCAGGCCGGCCTTGGGAGGAGCCTCCATCTTCATGGTTCCAGCCTCGCCGTTGACACCGAGGTCCTGCTCTTCCTCATCATCTTGGTCGTCGTGTTCCGAGCGAGATCGTTTGGCCGGTGGGATCTGGTCCTTGTCTGTTGAAGTCTTCGTCTTCTTAAGGCTTTGAGGGGTTTGTTGGGTGGTGTCCTCTCCGGACGCGTCCAAGGACAAAGGCTGGGGAAGATCGTTGCTAACTTCGGCAGCGGCATTGGAGCCTACGGTGCCAGCCCGCTTGCGTTTAGGTGCCATTATGAATTGAAGCTGTTGTAACAACTGCTTGACCTGCCAAAAAAGTTGGACGAAGAACAGGCGCAATGGAAAGAGCGACCGAGTGAACGATTGGAGGTAGGTGACGAGCTTCCTTGGCTGCTGCTCCCCGTAATCCTCCATCATTCTAACCGATTGGTGCACGGTTCACAATGACGTCCGAGTGTTTACAATCATCAGATACCGCAATAATCAGGGAACCGTGGAAGGTCTCTCGGCCAAGTGAATCCGAATGACGGTGAGACCTTTGGAAATTAGGTAGGTACTTTGTGAAATGTATTCCAACTCCCAAGCTGTCTTTGTGAAGCGTGTTGCGAGCTGTAATTGTAAGGGCTTCAATTCCTGCTCTCATTCGCATACGTGCAGACATTAACGCTTTTGATTGGCTCTTGCATTAACAAATACTCTGTCCAGTCTCTACTTCTGGCTCATTGTGCGCTCAATAACTCGAGTAGCCCCCTGAACTGCCTTGAATGTGGGAAGAAAGCTTATATCGTCATATCCGTGTCCCGAATCGTCTGTCATTGTCCACCATTTCATGCTGAATCACGGACACCACCCATCTTGGGCTCTGCGGGTGTTGATGTCTCTCCGGTGCCCTGCTTGGCCTGCTCTTGTGATCCATTCTTGCCTTCATCTTGTCCCTTGCTGACCTGGCTGGCAAGGTCCTTTTCCTCATCATCACTCTGGTCGAACATGTCTGTGTCGTTCTCTCCAGAGTCGGTCATGATTTCAGTGCCATCTCCAAGAAGGATGACACGGCCGGGCTGGCCGCTGCTCATGCGCGAGTGCTGGTTCATGTGGTCCAAGTCGTAGTCATCCGGGCTGTCGTTGTCAAAGCGGTGGTGCACACCAGGTCCCTTGAACTCGGCTGTACAAATCATTCGTATTAGACAAGGGCTCGTCACCAGGAAGGCGGGTTTTGATAGAGATGCATGGTACGCAAACAGGATGTCAAGCTCCCTTTTGAGTTGGGTATCCGCAGGCATATAGCGCTAATAAACAAGGAAACTCGAGAAACAGGGGGCGCAGAAATATGCTATAGAAATGCATGGGCTGAGAGGGGGAAAGGTGTTACGACTGACCGTACTCTGGGGGTGCGCAAGGTCCGTCTCCGTTGGCGACTCTGTCCGCAATCATTTGGTACCACTCATCCTTCGACTTGCCGTTGAGCAGAGCAACAACCGAGATAGTCATGTTGTCACAGCCAACGCCGCCGGTCTCGCTGCTCGAGGCCAGACAGTTGTCCATCATGTTTTCGCAGATGGCCGAGAGCTCCTGCTTTGCGGCGATTCCGCGACGGACGAACTCGATAACGGCTTGCGACGACTGGCAATCCCAGATACCTATAACAAACGTCAGCTGTGTGGTTTCCTGTAGTGCGTCATACTGAATACTCACCATCACATGCAAGCACAATAAACTCGTCATCGTCGGAAAGGTCGTGAACGGTCACGTCAGGGTAGGCGGTGACGATTTGCTGCTCAGGGGGCAGATCGGCGCTCTTCTTGAATTCGAAGTCGCCAATGGCACGGGACAGGGCGAGGTTGCCGTTGACACGACCGAAGTCGACGAAGCCACCAGCGGCGCAGATTCTTGCCTTCTCACCTATTGCGAGGTCAGTACGACAAACACGATGGCTACAGAGCGAGACGAACCTTCGTTTTGGGGCTTGTGGTCGAAAGAAAGAGGCTTCGCTCTTCCCTTCACGCCGAGCACAGTTCTGGAGTCACCAGCGTTTCCCTAACCAGTTAGCCGAGTACTTCCATTCAATGTCCATGTCAACGTACGACGTAGATCTTGTCATGGGTGACGATGCCGACAGTGGCGGTACATCCGGAGACTTCCTCTTCATATCTGGGGTCTATCGCACAGTCAGCAATTGTTGGAGCTGACAAGCGCTTTGGGCATGGTTTGACGAACCACTGAGGATGGCTCTGTCGATGGCAAGGAAGCCGTCCTTGAGGGCCTGCTCGAAGTCCTTGTTCTTGAAAGCCTCCTGCTTTGCAATGATCTTGTGCAGATTTTCACCAGTGTATAGTGCGACTTTGTCTCCACCGTGGCCGTCATAAACACCGAAAAAGCTGATGCGAACGTCGGATGCGGCGGGCTTCAGGTCGTCGCCCTCAAGGGGTTGCAGGTCGAGGATGGTTGCGTGGGCATCCTCCATGCTGATGCGCCATCCTTGCATGCAGGAGATTCCGTAGAAGATGCGGTCATCTTGTCCACTGCCCGAGTGCTAGAGATGGCAACATGTGTTAGTGACTGGGAACAAACAAGCGCAAAGCAAGGGTGGGCTGAAGGTCGAGAGATGATATTCGAGGCAGGCGGGCAGGCAGGCGATCAAGGGCACGATGAGAATCGTTGAGCGGCACGTACCTTTTCGACGACGGGCTCGGAGAGGGTTTGACCCATGATGGATCGGAGAGGGAAGGGGAAAGATTGGGCGGAGGAGGGCGGTTAGGAGAGTTTGGCGATGATGGACGGAGATGAGTGAGAGAGTCCGAGGATGTGTAGCTGATTGTGCGTGTGGAGTAGCAGTAGGTCCGGTAGTTAAGCGGGGGCCGGAACAGTCCTTTCTGCGATGCGTGATCCCTTATGAATAGGTGAGCAATACCGCGCTTTCTCTGCTTGTTCGAACGGCGAGTCTTGACGCGTCTGCTGAGCGGCAAGGAAGAGTTGTATGAGGTTGTGATGGCAGAGACGAGGGGGGGAAGACGAAAAGCCACTGGGCCAGTTGAGCGTCGTCGCGTGTGCAGGCTTTGCTAGAACGCCCAAGCCGCGCCCAAGATGACGTGCCCCCACTTCACTGTCGTAGAGCAAACAAAGAAGCCCTTCATCGCTCTGTCCGTCATACGATTCGACTCTCTTTCCGTCTTGAGACTGTTTACCTGCCTCGCAGTTTCTCGTACTCACCTCAGCATCGTGTCCACCTCTTTGATGAATTATACAGCTTCGCGCTGCTTTCAATAAGCAAGTGTCAACCCGTTGCTATGAACCCCTCTCTTGGAAAGAGACGCGAAACCTTAAGTCATACTCTAGACACGTCCATCTGTAAATTTGGTACTTGGCTCAGCTGCCAAAGATCTATTCCTCATTCTTGCAGGAATGTGCTCCAACTCAAACATGGTGAGGGATATACCGTGACAGGAATTTGAAACGCTTATACTCTATTGCATTGCCTGTTTCTTGACATATCGAGAGACTGGAAGTAATGTGTAGAGACCATGGTGTAGGTACTCAATGACTCTAAGGGGGTATCCAAACAAGATCCGCAACGCCAAATGCTAACTCCAAGACTGTCAAGCAAAGTAATTACAAAAAAAGCAGAATGTTGCTCATGGAAGTTCGCTCGGCCTTCGCTCTCTGCCCTGTTCGGTCCCGAAATTGAACCTGCCTAACTCATCCGAACTTGGGTAGAAAACCATGGGTGAGCTCTGACGCTTGGGACTGCGTGAGGGAATATCTGGTGTCGGACTCAAGTTCCGCCTCTGGTGGTCTTGGTAGGGGTTCTCGCAATCGTCCTCGTCGTAATCTTCGCTACTCGCGAAAGGGTTTTGGTAGTAAGGATGCGGGTAGTCTTGTGCTACAGAACCAGCCAGAGCTGCGAGTGAGGGCTGACGAGCCACTTGAGAGGGCTCGATGTTGCGGTATCCTTCAGAGCTGCCTCGAGGCGGCCAGAAGCCACTGCTGCGACGTCTTTGAGGATCTTGCTCGATCGGACTGACGGGACTTGCGGCCATTGCAGCAAACGACGCTGGTGAAAATGGAGTCGGTGGGCGATCTTGCATGTCGCCAATATGCCTATCTTCTGAGGTTGTAGTCCTTTGGAGGGACCCGCGTTCGGATCGCTCAGCAGATAGCTCGGCGGGATCAAGATGTATCTCGGGTCTATAACCGTAGCCGAGATGCATGTCATCGTCGTCGTTAGTCCAGGTTCTGGTTGCGTAACCACCATGAGCAGCCATTGGAGTTTGAAGCAATGGCGGCGCTTCTGAGGTGCCATATTTCTCTGCCTGTGCATCATTGCGCCAAGAGTAAACTTCGGTGTCTGAAGGACTTGAAGGTCGACGCTTGAAGAAGCTTCCCGTGTTCTTACGGCGTCGATGCAAGAACCAGATGAGGAATACACCCAGAGCTAACGCGATTGATCCCAAGACCACTCCGAGGATGATACCAAGTCTCCGGTCCCACGGGTCGCGCATTTGCGGGTTATGGCTTGACGAGGTGGACGTCGTGCTGGGAGCTATGCTTGACGCTGTGGAGGTCAATATTGGTCTCGCATTCTCGGTAGTAGAAGCAATGGCCGACGAAGGGCTCATTGAGGCTGAAGTCGAGAGTGTGGATCCAGCAGAAACAGTGTAAGTCTGTGAACCAATCGTCACAGTTGTCGGCCACGTCAAGGTGGCCAAGTCGGTGACTGTAGTCGATGGATAGATGTTCTTGATCAAGGAATCGGCTTGTGACAAGAGCGATTGGATTCCATTCTGGACTTGACTGGTCTCTGCTGTCACCACCGCTTCAAGAGCGTTTAATACACCGGCAGGTTGGTCTTCCGCGACCGCCAAACTCGTGAAAAGAGCAACGGCCAGACCGCTTGCGACCCTCATTTCTGACAGACGGAAGCGAGAGGGAAGTGTTTGAAGTGTTACAGGTAGGTGGTTTTGGTAAGAGATGGAAGTCCAAAACACAGGGATAGGATTGATCTTGGTTTAGGAGGAAGGAAAAGAATGAATAAAGACGAAAGGAAAGATAGTCATTGTTAAGGATAAATCATCAAAAGCAAGAACTCGAAGATGACCATTCAGAGTCCCGAAAGTATTTCCCACATGCTTTAAACCTACATCAAGAGCACGTCAATTATTCCGTGGATGGCAGGGTACTTTGTCCAGTGGAAGTGCCAGACCGTCTTGTAAGCGACGATCCAAATAGACGAGTGCAGCAAGCTCGAGGATTTGTCCTGCCGTCACGTCTCTAGCCTCAATCCCAGCCACAGAAGCGGGGTAGACGAGGCGCTCAGTGGCTTGCTGGGGCCGAGACTCTCGACGACCGCGCGCAGAGATAGGAAGCTCGATAGCTCAGCCACAGTGAGGCGCTAAGATGATCATCATGATGAACCCTGAAAGAAGAGCTCGCAGCGGCTGGCTTCCTCAAAAAGCAGGTTCTGGGAGCTCATGGAGTCACTGATCACCATAATTGATGCCATTGTGCATTAATAGTGTCTACCACGGTGTCACTGTCCCGTGGTTTGGCTTCGATAACGCCGGCTTTGCTGTTCTTCAAACGACCGCTCGCTTAGGAATACATGAAGCTGTTGTGACGTGCTGGGTTCAGGCATGATTCGTCGTCGGTGTACTGTACCGGTCCAACCTTCGATGCTCTTCTATCTCCCTTTGTGCCCCTTGTCCGCCAATCGCAGCACTGTGCCTGTCAAGTCTCTAGAACATCTCGGTAATAAGTGATCCTTGTGCGAACATATGCTCAGCCTCCGGACGGGGTTGCACCTCCGTCAGACGAATCTCCACCATTCTGGATTACTGGACAGGAGCTCTTCCTAAAATCCTGTTCTGGCCATAGCCACAGCTTGTATGGCTGGATGCTATCAAAGCAGATACGAGGTCCATGCGTTACATGTCATGCTTTGAGTCCGAGTACTCGATAGTGACTAGCAGTGATGAAATTTCTGTGTTTGCGCGCGTTATGGTATCATGAGATGGCAAGTTCTAGTATGAACGCGTGTGCGACATGCTGGGCTGTTCTGATTGATCGCCAATTGGTCCCAGAGCTTCAGAAGCGAATCCATGCCACGCTGGATACTGGTGATCGGTCTGAGGTGCGGAGTTGTTGTACTGTGATTGATAGAACGCGGTACTTTGCTGAAACTCGGGAGGATATGTTGGGGTAATTAAAGGTTGCAGGTGCTGATGCGGACCGGGCGGCGCGACGGCCTCTGAAAGAGAGCCGATGGGCTCAGGGAAGTTCCAAGCAGGACGAGTGGTGTTGTTTGATGAATCCTGTCTTTTCCACACGCGCTGATTCAGCGACGAGAGAAGAGATTCCGAGTCGCGTTGGAATCGATCACGCCAGCTCATGTACCCCCATCTCAATCCGAACAAGCCAAGGCAATCCGTAAGCCGTTTTATGCAAGTAATGCTCCGCACGAGATTCTTCTGAAAGTCTCTTGGTGTATGAGGTGCTGTTGGTGGAGGTGCGGAGTCCACAGGAACGTGTGGTGGATCTGGAATTATGCCTGACAGCAGTCGATCTTCGTTGCCTTGCAGGACTTCGAGGAATTGACGACCGGTCATGTAGACTCGCATAGCGTCAAAGAAGCTCAAAGGGGCAGTCTTGACACGTTCATTTGCGTGAGACGTCATCTTTTCGGCGTATTGAATGCAATGCTCAAAGATGAGACTCTGTGCGAACGGTGCAACGAAAGGCATTCGTGGTGACGCTGCGAGGATATAGATATATGAGTACAGCAAGTTGAGTTCAAAGAACGTACGAACTTGCGGGCTCATATTGGGCGACAGCCCATCGAACCAGCTTTTCATCGCCTCGCAGGAGCGCCATATCGTGGGATAGGGATCTGACAATGGTATCCGGCCCGACTGAAACAGTTCGGTATACCAATCGGATTGGATCCTTCTCAGGTTGAAAAGGTCAGTTGCTGACCCGAAGCTATTGAACAGAATATGGTTTGAATCGTCTCTGGTCTCTGGTCGACCTAGCGTTTGTGTTGTAGAGAATGGAAGGGCCACATTGGCAGAATCGTCCGAAAACGAGAAAGCTCGGGACTGTATCAGACTTGTCGATCTGTCGAAACCATAGACGCACCAGAAAACCCTTCTGCGCAGCTCTAGCTTCGCTTTCGAGATGGAAGCGCTCCTAGGTGGGTCTTGGTGGAGACCCAGATCGACCATAGCGCGGGAGGCTGCGCCTATCAGTCCCCAGCTGTCGAAATGATGAGGATCAATCATGGAATATTCGTGTAAGAGTAGCATGGCTTGTACGCTCGCGATTGACCCTGGACGAAGAACATGTTCAGCGTGGGCCAACGCGGCGGAAACATGGCCGATGGCTGCCATATAGTTTCCGTCACCTCGCTGTTGCATTCGGCCGGCGTGTGCAATCGCGAGAACCAACCGGACGGAAAATTCGTCGAACGGTGATGCTATGAAGCCCTTTGATTCCTCAGCCCGATACACAGCATCGATAGACGCGTAGAAACTCGACTCCTCAAAAAAGGGGTACATCACAAAGAAGTTCTCAAAGTAGTGTCTGATAGTGATCATGGCCTCGTTTCGCGGTGGCAGAGGTGTAACAAATCCAGTGGGTAGAGAGTCCTTGGTGCAAGCAGAAAGGACCATACGAGCATAAGACATGCTTGACGTGAATCCGTAGAAATCTCGCGCGGTAGCATTTACGGTCCTATCATTCGTCAACACAGAACAAGGGTAGTCAAGGGAAGAAGACCAACAAGTAGCCAAAGTCGGAGACTAAGTCATCAATTTCTTGGGCTTCATGCCTCTTTGAGGCTTTGTTGCCTCCTTCGGACGATGCATGTCTCTGTACTGCGCCTTCGTAATTGTTGTGCTCGTGAGCGGTCACGACTGAGGCTTTTCTCTGGTGAGACTCTTGCAGTCTACGCTCAAGCTTCTCTATCCTCGTTTCCAAGGTAGAGACGTAGCTTCGCTCTTTACCTCTGGCAAATTGATCATTGGTGCTTGAGCATTCTGCTTGCTTTCCGGACCTCTCGCAAGCAGTGCATGCCTAGTACCGTTAGGTTCATGCAGGACGAGAGAGTGAGTCAAGGGCAGGCTCACCGGAAGTTTACCATCACATTTGATCTTAGCGGACCTGCATCGCGAGCATGCGGCGACAGGACGGCTGACCCTGAGTAGAGGAGTCTCAAAAACCATAGGATCGAGATCTCTGATTGTGGCTTGAATGGCTTTTGCGCATTGTCAGTCAGGACTCATGGAAAGGTACAGGCAGAAAGACGGAATGAAGTCCGTAGGTCAACAGCGCTGTAGCATTCACGATGTCAAGATTGACTTACGGACGAAGGATTTTCTGGACCTAATGCGGGAGACGGTGTCAAAAACTGGTGTCAAGGCTGAGGCCAAGGGCGTTTGTTTGGAGTGACCAGGGAAAAGAAAGGCGATCTTAGTGGGTTTGACAAGACGCGGCTCTGCGAAAGACCCCTCTTCTGCTCTTCTGGGGAAAAGCCGAGGACTTTTTGGACGGCCAGAGACTGCGCAGTGCGAACAGGATGATTTTCGTGAACAGCAAATCAGATAGCAGAGAAGGGACAAACAGAGCGAGGCTTGTATATTTCTGGTTAGAGTTGGCCGGATCTGACAAGGCTTGCCGTGGGATACGAACGGCTTTTTTCAAGCAACGGCTATGAATTTGCAATGATTTGTTTCGCAGAGTTTGCTCTCGGGTAGACGAGGCATGTCGATGTTGAACAAGAGTAATCTCCACCCCATAGCAATGCGGAGCTTGTATGCCGGACTCGTATAACATCAACATCCGAGAAGTGCTTGGGTCGAAGCAGAGAGATTTGCGACAGGGCGACTTTAACCTCGCTCGATAAAGTAATTACCCAAACAGGCATCGGACCCTTGCCAGCGGTTGGTAGTTCGTCCCCACGGCAGCTGAGAAGTGGATCCTTGTCGAAAGCGAATCTGCTTGCGCTGAGACAGAAGTCGTCGCTTTGTACAGGTGGGCGGTTGCGATTTGCGGTATGAGGCGTACCAAGCGATCGATAACCCCTCTGTAGAGAAAGTCTCTGAGTGTCTTTGGATCGAGCTCTGGCTGCCTCCTGTTTGAGGATGCAAGCCTCAGCAACAGCACATGATGGGTCGGCCAAGGGCAAGGGCAGCTCTGGGGCAGCAGCGACCGATGACAGCTCGTCGCGAGTCGCTCACACTCTGACGGCATGTTCGAGATGCAGACAGGTACGGATACCGTGTCGCGAGGCAGCGTGCCCATGCGAAAGCTAACACGATGCAGCGCAAAACACGATGCGACCCTGGTCTGCCACGCTGCGGACCCTGCGAGCGGACAAACTCGGTGTGCGAATACTGGGACCCGGCCAAAGGAAAGAACGTCAACCGCGACTACGTCGTCTACCTACAACAGCGAGTGCGCCAACTCGAGCTGGAGCTGGAGAAGGTCGAGAACGATGAAGGACATGACGACCCCGAGGTCATGGTGCGCAGCGGTGCCGGCGTCAAGCTGCAGGAGCACGACGAGACAAAATACCTGGGTCCGTCCAGCGGCACTCAGATCACCCGCCTGGTCATGCAGCTGGCCAAGCACTTTACAGACTCAAAGTCCATCAAGGAGATTGTCAACGAGAGCAAAGCCCGCCAGGTCAAGGCCCTCTACGCTGAAGAGGCCTCCAAGCCCACCTCCAAGATCTATCCCCTGACCAGTGATGTCGCCGCCGAGGACCTCCCCAACCGCAGCCTGACCGACCTCCTGATCCAGCTATACAACCTCAAGGTCCAGCCCATGTACCCTGCCCTTCACGAGCCTTCATTCGCCAAGGATGTCGATGTTGTCTATAGTGGCAGTCCTGATCCTTATCAGAATTACATCGTCCGCATGGTCATCGCCATCAGTTTGCAAAAGATGGACACCCAATACGCTGGTCTTGCCGACAGCTACTACCTGGCTGCCTTGCAGTACCTGACTCCTGTCATCCGTCCTATGGACCTGAGGACCCTCCAAGCTTTCGCCATGATCGCCGAGTATTCTCTGTTGACTCCTACTCGAACTGCCATCTACTATGTCATGGGTCTTGCTGTTCGTCTCTCTCAGTCGCTTGGCATCAACGAGGAACGCACCATCACTCGCACTCAATCTGGTGGTAAAGCCGATTGTCTCGAAGTTGATATGCGCCGTCGCCTTTTCTGGTGCACATTTGTCATGGAACTCGGTTTGTCTCATGCTTTGGGCCGTCCATCCATCCTGGCCACACACCAGGATCACATTGACGTCGAGTTCTTCGAGGCCGTCAGTGACGAATACATTACGCCTGAAGGTATTCTTCCTGGTGCTCCTAGGCCAAACTTGAAAAAGTGGATCGCCATTCATTTCTTTAAAATGCGCATGCTTCAACTCGAAATTCGAAGAAAACTGTACCAGAAGAAGAGACCAACACCCAAGGACGACAAAGACATATGGTTCTTGCAGATGAACGCAAAACTTGAGTCCTGGAGAGACGCCAGTCCGACAAAGGATGAAGGCAGCGGTCTCAACAAAGTTTGGTTCATTGGAAGATACAATACCATGATTGTCTTCCTGTATAGGCCATCGCCACAGGTACCCAGACCATCTGTATCTGCCGCCTTGAAAGTCTTTGAAGCTTGTCGGTACAACATCTACCTACAAAGAGAGCAGATAACCATGGGCAACGTCGATCTGACATGGATTTTCACTCAAGCAATCTTTATGGCCATTAACAGTCTTCTGTGGTCGTTGTCCTTCGCTGAGGTGCGCAAGCAGAATCCCAGACAAGACGTGCAAAAGCATTTGCAAACTGCAATGGAAGCTATCCGACTCGGTTCAGAACGCTGGCCTGGTGTTTTGTCAGCTATTGAGCTATACCATGATCTGATCTCAGCAATCTTGAAGGCCTACGACAAAGACGGCGACATTCCACTTCAAGAGGCTACTCCATCTGACAGCGCTTCTCCTGGAGGAAATCCTTACTCACCAAATGCCAGTCATTCGCGAGGCGCGAGTCCTGGAACAATCTCGACTGTTTCAATAGCCACACCTCCAGAGAGGATCCCCTCCTTTGGCACTTTCCACAACACGAGTGTCGAGCACCCTCCACCAATGCCGTACCAGCCATCCGAGCACCCGAACGTGACGCCTCCAGTTTATCAGAATAATCAAGCGCCACAATCTATACCACGCATCAGCGGCCCAGAAATCTCGCCGGGCGCATATCAGACGACACAAACTAATCAGTCATCATATTTCCAGCCTCTTCCCGCCAACTTCCCAGAACTACCAGGAGCTAACTGGGGCGCACAATACAACTCTTCAGGCCAGAGAGGAACTCCCCCTTCCTATAGCCCATACGGCTTGTCTCCCTCTAGCAATGGATTGGCACCGCCTACTTCCTATCCGGCATCCTCGCCCCTCTATGGACCAGGGGATCCAGCCCAGCAAACTGCTGAGAATCTGATGGCCAATCCTGGTTTTTGGGGACAAGACATGTCACAATTCGGCTCCGGTCTCGATCATGCTCAACAAACCGAACTTATGCATTCATTGGAGACTTCTGGCATGGAAGACATCCAGCACATGATCAGTAACACTTTGCGTGCATTCGGCCAGAGACCGCAGAATGGTTGAAAGCATTGGTTCTCAGGACAACGAAGTTATACACCCCTTCAGTGCATCACCTCTTGCGGTGACAGTTTCTCCTACGCATCGACGGACTCCCGCTTCAGAATGTCCACGCAGGGGTGCGCGATATTTGGCCGGGAGCACTTCTCACGTTGATCTGCAACCCAGTCGGTGCTCTCAGCTTTGGCCGAGCGTCCTTGATGACGGATTGGCCCTATGATCAATGTCTCTCGACCCCCGGCGCGATTGTGTTCCTCCGCTCTCGCAAAATCCTACGCTAAACCAGCATTAGGCGTCGAAGGGAAGGAATTGCAAGGAAGAGGAAGTGGCTCTACATGACCACATCAACACGAACATGAGCCTGAACATGAACAGAAATACTGCATCACACAGGAAGAGATGAGGACAGACAGAGTCACACCAGCATCACAAGAACGAGCACATTTGGATCAACAGAACCATTTTACACAGAAGCAGATTAGCATACAGATAGAACATTTACTCGAAGTGCACCAAGCATGTATCAGCACTTTCACACCATTTGAGATAACGGGTCGGAAAGGCAATGGTTTGGGGGGATTTGATTGAGAGTGGAGCTGTCACTAGTTATCTGCCTGCAAAGTTCTAGTCATCGCCAGTCCGACTTGCCGAGAGTGGTGTAGAGAAAATCACAAAAGCAAAAAGTGTGAACCACTCCAAAGACGAAGCAAAGAACAAGGGGGTGGGTGTGAGAATGATGTTAGTGTGTGAGAGAGCAAGACATTCAGAAGTCGATCAGAGAAAAAAGGAGAGGAACATTCATTGTGAGAAAAACAAGAGACCTTGTGATAACATTGACCATTAAAAAAACAAAATCTCGAAAATGGGGATTGTAAATAGAATGTGAAAAAAGCAAGAGGAACAATAAACAAAACGTATGGGGCAACAAGTCCGAAAATCATATTGCAAAAAAAAGGGGAAATATGTGTATCGCAAGTACAAAGCCTCCCAGAGTGGTGTTGTGTGTTGAACCCAAATATGAGAAGAGCCTCGCATGTAGTAAACCATTTCCATATCTCGTTCTCGTTCTCATTCGTCGATCGTTTGGTCTCGTTCTGCTCGATCGTCATGTTTGTGATGCAGATCAGTATCGATACTGATGAATGCTGCCATGTAAGGTCCGGAACGCCTAATGAGTAGCCCTGGATGTGGCAGTGATGTATGCTCTTCGTTGTGCATGGCGCCGTGTAAAGCAAAAAGAAAAAGCCAGATGTTCGAAGTGGAGCGGACAGCGCATCAAAAAGGGGACAAAAAGCAGAAATCAATAGTCTTGGGGGTATGGGGTATGCCGAAAGGAAGGAAAAACAAATGATCAAGATGCTGTGAAGCATGTGGGGGGTACGCGAGGCAGCCCCCTATCTATTCGAACGCAACGTGTGCATAGGACCAGCCTAGTCAACCGAGGCGGTAGCCGGGCTTAGAGGTCGTTGATGGTGAACTCATCTTCCTCTTTGAAGACAGGCTCGTCGGTTGAGGGCCAGTAACCTTGGACAGGGCTGATACCACCACTTCCACTTTGGAAGCCAGGGCTGAGGCTTTGACCGTAGTTGGACTGACCTTCCTGTCCGTGCAAAGGTTCACCTGCGAGGTTTGTGTGGCCAGGGACACGAAGTCCTGAGCCATGGCCTCTGCTATAGTCCTGAAGGTTGCCAGTGGCAATGAGCTTCTGCATGAGCTCAGATACTTCGGTCTGCATGCGTCTCTCGTCTTCGGTCACGGGAGCGGACCAGTCATCACCTCGAGCACGAAGTCTTGCCTTCAGTTCGGCATTCTCCTCGAGAGTGTGCTTCAAGTGCCACAACAAGTCTCTGGTCCAGGCGACACTTCCGTTCAGAATGTCGCCTTTGTTGGGACCTTTGTCTTTGTCGTCCATAGGCAAGCCAGTTCCTACACTGGTGGTGGTGGCTCTTCTGCCGTTGCCTCCAGCCAGTAGAGACGTGGCCTGGGAAGGCGACATGCCTGTAGCAACAATGGACGGCGAGAGCGGAGCATTTGTTTGGAGGTGCTTTCGGACTCTTTCATCCTCCAGTCTGTGCATAGGAACGAGGCTAGCGAGATCCTGAATGCGTTCGTTGATGTTGTCTCGTCTTCTACGCTCAACCAGGTTGTGCGACTCTCTTCTGCGCTTCCTCTTGGCCTCTTGGGTCTGGAAGGCTGGTGGGTTCTCCATCTTGGCGGGCAACGACGATGCTATCTTGCCGTTGGCACCTGCATTCGACGACTTGAGGACCTCTGTGATCTGAGGGTGTTGCTGGTGTTGCATCAGTGGGTTCGACGGGGAGCCGAAGGGAGAGACGTCTTGCCAGGAGTGAGGATTCGACACATTTTCCCAGTTGTTGACACTTGAGTTGTGTCTGTGCCCAACGATGGCGCGAGGCTGCTGTGACATGGTCGTGGCAGGGTACTCGGGCTCACCCAGGTGGAGATTGGAGATACCAGGGGTGTTTGGTGTTGCGGGTGAGCGCGAGTCGGAGATCTTGCGTTCCATCTGGTGGACTTGCGGGGCGTTCAAGCCATTCAGATAGCCACCGGTAGTGGGTACGCTGTATTGGGGACGGAACTGGCCATAGTTGAAGTCGTTGACGAAGGGAGATTGGATAGGAGCACCCTCGGGGGTCGATGAGTAGAAGTTATTGTTGTTGCCATTGATGTGCTGCTGGCCCATTGACATCGGCATGCTTCCTTGGGTAAGGAAGTGCTGGTTCATGTTGTTGTTGTTGGTGTTGAACTGGCCTTGGTTCATACTGACGTGGTGGTGACCATCGTCCATGGTGATGCCGTCAAGTAGCTCATCGTCGGCAAGGCCTGAGTTTCCCATGTTGAAACTCGATGACATGTTCTGAGGGGCAAAGGCCGAGTTGAAGTTGGAGTTACCCATGGCGTGGTCGCCATTGCCGTTCATGCCGTTCTGCATGTGATGGTTCATGTTGAAGGCTGACGACTGCTGATATTGATGTGATTGGAAGTTGAAGTCGGTAGGCTCAGACTTGATATAAGGAGAACCAGCACCGGCCATTTCGGGCTTGACTGCCAACGAATCAAACTCGAAGGGTTCGTCGAAGGTGAACTCAAGCGGCGAGTCGTGTTGTGGGTTGTTGTTGTCTTGATGCGTCTCGAAGGGTGGAAAGGTGGTCAATGATGTTGGAGCTGGTCAAGCAGGAGCGTTAGTCGCACTTTCTTTTTCCGAATTAGGAAAGCAACGCCCGTGATCGTCACAAGCCTGGCCCGTGGGTCCGAGGCAGCAACGAGCATGTGATAGTGCGATGTGGGATGGATGAGCAATACTTACAGACTATAGGCATCACTTTGAATGTCTTGTGATGATGCGAGCAATTGGCAGCTGTGAAGCTACGCTTGAACAAAAAGTCAAAGGGCAGATCTCGAGAGGCGGGATATCTGCAGGCACAAGAAACGGTTTGCTTCAAAGGCCAAGCGATGTATCGCGGGAAGCAGTTCGGTTGGTCGAGTCGCTCCAGTCAGATCGTGTCTCAGCGGTTGTGGAATGGTTAGCCGTGTCGCACGACAGCTGTGACGGTGTCGTGGTAGATGACGTCGCGCGTATCTGCTCTTATATGTTCGGTCGAGGCGGCTGCAGGTCTGTAGTGCAATAGAGTTAGCATCAGAGAAGGTGAGGATAGACGTAGATGTGAGGTGGGTTATATGGACAGGGCCCAGAGGCAGCGAGCGCATGAACGCATGACGATGCCAGGGAAGCGGTTTCAGCCGGATCACCACCCGACAGCGTGTCTGCTGTCAGGGAGCAGAGCGGCTGCATACTGTGCAAGCGCGACACAAGCGACACAGGCTGGCTGTCAAGCCATAAATAGGGAAGGGGAAAGGAAAGGAAAGGTAGGGCAGCACTCACCTGGCAGGCGTGTTTCGCTCGCTCTGTGCCCAAGGCAGGCAACAATGAGACGACGGCGGGCAGATGGCACAAAAGTATTTGTTGCGCTTTGTGTGGGCGCGACAGGGAGGGATAGCGGGGCAGCAGCAATGCGCCGTGCTACAGAAATATGGCGGACGTGGAGTAGGACACTCGCACGAGCAGGGAAGCGGCGGACGGCGGGGTGCTTTTGCGCCGAGGGAAGGTGCCAAGACAGTCGACAACCCAGTCCGAGTCAGCCGGTGAGGAATGTGTCAGAGAGAAACCCCCCGAGATGTAGTCTCGAGAAGGGGTGTGTGCTGTGAGTCGTCGTCGCTGCTGTGTGTGAGACGGCGGCGATAGAGGAAGGTGGAGAGGAGGGGGAAAGAGCGAAGAAAGGGCGAGTCGAGTCAATTAGCACGACCCCGTCTTTGCTGTCGTTGCTTTCTCCAGACTTGGCCGTTTCAAGGCGGTCAAGGGTCGAAGCTCAGTGTGGGATGGCGCCGGGCGAATTGCGGGCAGGGCTTGGGCCAGGGCGATCAGCGCGGAGGATAATCAAAGTCAAAGATGTTGATTTATTTTGATCAAGGTAGAGTACGAGAGTCTGTACTGATACTGTGCTGCGGCGGCGGCGTGCAGGATGCGGTACCAGAGGACTTGCTAAGGTGAGAGGATGCGGTCTAAGCGAGCAAGAGCAGGTTCTCGAGCGACAGGATGATAGAGCTGACCAAAGGGGACTGATCGTGTTGCGCCGTCGAGGAAAAGGCGGGCTCCGTATACATATATACCCCCCGATCCGTCCAAACGCCTCTCACCCTGAGGCTCTGGCCTGTAAAGGAGGGCGGCCGTGACGACTGCACTCGAGATACCGTCTCACGCTAGGGCACGACAGAGTGACTCGTGTGCAGGACATGATCCACATTGCCGGAGCGCCCTGCCTTGTATTTTTGTAAATGCCCTTCGCAGACTAAATTATGTATGTACAAACGGTGTCTGAGCGCGTCAAAACCTGCTGCTGAGCCACAGATAGCAGCGGCCACACTTGAGGCGGGCCTGGCACACACACACACCATCCCTCCTCCTGTGCTCTCTCGCACGCAGGCAGCTTCGTATCTGCCTGCCAGGTCGTTGCGGCTTGCCCCAAGCTCAAACGGCGATAGCAACAACAGCAGCGATCCAGCGATCCTCGCCCCCGAGACAGACTTGTCAAGTATGCAATATAACATGCCTCTGCAATTGCGCTGACATGGTCTCGGGTCGGCTGTCGAGACAAAGCGCCCTTGACACCGGAAAGACGAGGCCGGCGACGCCTCGAATCACAGACGAACAAGGTGACGAAGAGTGCAAGTCTCGCAGCAGCAGAGCCGGGAGACGTTGCGGAGGACTCGCTGGAGGCAGTCGTTCTGGAGCCAAGCATTTCCGCGCTAGCTCGGGCCGGCGCTGGATTGGCTTGAGCGTGCTTGCATGATTGGAACTCGGTGTGGAGGCCTGTCGTCTCTCCAAGCTCGAATGCCACAAATTGCGCGCGACCAAATCACAAGGAGCAAGTGCTTGTCCGGCGGTACCTATTTCGACACAGAGAGTCACTTGGGCCTTGTCCACGCCGATCATCTGCACTCTGCACGCAATCCCGCGCTTGCAGTCCACTGAGAGTCTGAGCCCACAAGCAGCACCGCACAGGCTCGCCGATTCGGCCTCCAAGCTCGTCCCCCAAGCTCGTCGTCAGGACTGCAGCCTTCAACGACTCTCGCCGACCTCCAGACCGCCTGCCCATTCCCGTCCCAATCGGTAGTTGCGGAGCTGCTGCTACGCTTCCCAGGACGCCCACGCGCTCTCCCGCTCCCTGCCGCACGCCCCTGCAGCAGTTAGGCTACTACGATACACTTCGCCGTAACCTGTCCGGCCTGTCCTGATCTGTCTTGATCCGTCCTGTCCTGTCCTCCGCTGCACCCACCCTCCGTCTCTGGCCCCCCCAACGCTCGCCATGGCCTCTTCGTCCTTTCGCGACTCGATGAACTCGCTGGGTTGGAGCCGCAGAGAGCCCGCCGCTACCCCCATAACGACATCCAATTCCTCGACCCCGTTCCTTGGCAAACTGCAATCGCTCAATCCCTTCGGACAGGGGGGCTATGTCAGACTGCCTCTGTACGAGAATGAGGCGCCAGGTGCACCGCTGCCCGCCCGCACCCGACGCGAAGAAGAAGAAGGGTGGTTTGCGCGTACGTGCCTACGTTTCTCCTGATATCATCACTTCCTCAAGCATGCTCTACATCGTATAATCTGGTGCACGAGGTTCCAGGTAGCTTGGAGCCAATCTGCGCCAGCTCGCGCTAGAAGGTGCTGCTTGAGGGACGCGAGTGACCATGGCAGAGTTCCTGCGTTTCCTGAGCTGCCCTGCCTTGGATTATCCAGACCGCTGACTTGACATTCCAGTTAGCCGTTGGGACCGCTTGCTCGTCTTTGGTGCCCTCAACCTCGCCGCAATCGCCCTTTTCGTCGTATGTTTCACTCTGATGCCAGTCTTGACCCTGCGCCCCAGAAAGTTTGCAATCCTGTAAGTCTGCTCTGTCCGGGTGGTGTGCGACCAAATTGCCGCATAATCATCATCTCTTTTTCTTGTCCCTCGACCTCATCAAACATCAACAACCCGCACTATCGTCTTTTGATATGGCGTTTTCATGCAGCCACGCGCGGTGGGGTCGCCGAATGGTTGCCACCCCGCCCAGCTTCGAGGCCTGGTCATGCGGCTGCTCCCATACCTCCCTTAGCTCCCGCTCCAGGGCACGAACAAGATTGCTAGCGTCTTTCTTATTCCTCTTACCAGCCATACATTCCTGTTGTGTGGCCACCTTTATCTCGACTCCGCACTGTCACTCGATTTAGCTGCTTTTCTCTGATCGCTCCAATTACCTCCTCTGCTCGCTCTTTGTTTACGGCCGCTACGGATAAGGCTAACGAATCACCAGATGGTCCATGGCTTCAGCTCTCTTCCTCACCTCCTGGGCCGTCATGATGGGTCCCTACACATACAGTGAGTCTTGTTGCCTGATCGCGTCGACTCGCAGATCATCCTAACGGCCGTACAGTCAAGCATCTGCTTTCGACCGAGCGTTTACCCTTCACTGGCACCTATTTCGGTTCCATCGCATTGACTCTGTACTTTGCGCTCGGTGTAAGTGAAGCTTATTTCCGTTGTTTACTTTATCGTAAACCTCCATCATGCAGACAATCTGTGTACTTGTATACTCCTGCTGCTGTCTCATTCGTCCCGTCTTTCTGCGACTCGGCATTACGAAGCATTTTACGCCAGCTGACCACTCATAGCTCCGGAGCACTCTTCTGACCTTGATATCCTCCATCATTCAACTCGTCTGCCTGGTGTGGTATTTGGTAAGCTACTTCCCAATGGGCTCTACCGGTCTGCGCTTCGCCGCAAGATTCGGAGGCAGCCGCATAACCGCTTGGATGAACGAGTAATCAGCGCATTTGTAAAATTCGGAGCTATTCCACGAAATGGCCAACGTCCGGTCAGCCTCTTACCAATCATTTCTACGTTTCTTACTGTACTTCTTCACGCACCGAGACTGTGGCTTGACGGCTGTTGGGCGTTCTAGCGCATCTTCAATTCGTACCCGCTCGTTCGCGTGCTACTCCTGAATCAGCCAGCTCGACGAAGGAACATCCAGATGCTGATAAGTTTTATGCCGAGACAATCCGTTTCCCTGTTTGAGAAAGCACTGGGCAACGGTTGACGCACGTACTATCAGCTTGATGTATCCACAATCCCTGTAATAGAAGCACTTGTATATCTCATTTGATCATGGCGCTCGGCGAGCTGAGCTTGCTGAAGGCGCGATGCGCAACGAGCCTGGCGCAAAGTGATGACGATATCCACAAACGTTTGATCACCGTCAACGCTCAAGCCGCAGTTGACCGCCTAACCAGCTGCATCAAATGGTCGATCGCGTTGAAGGAGGCACGGGATGGCGGTTAGAACTCCGAAGGGGCTTTGCCTTTTGGATGCAAGATTGAGTTTGCGCCATGTTCTCGATCTCCAATAAAGAACTCTCCGTATCCTTGCAACAACCCTGCAAGGGTCTTCTCAAATGCCAACTTGGTTCACGAGACACACAACCTAAGTCGTAAATCAAGACGGAGGAATTTCTGTGTCTTTAGACTCGTGCAGTGTGCTGACTTCAGTATGGTCTTCATGACCACGAAGAAGCCGCCGCGCATGCAATCAGGACAATCATCGCGCTTCAATTAATCTCGTGAGTCGCGATAGCGGGACTACACGGGCTCTAACGGCCGGAACCAAGATTTGTAAACTGTCAAATCCAACCTCACTCGTAGAATCAGAAGGCCAAGGTATGTACCTCCTCATATCATGGCGTCAAACGAGATTAGCATATTGGTATACGACGCAGAGGCCCGCCGAGTGTGCAAATATCGTGGTAAGAGACGCCATCTTCGGCAGATGCATTCGGGCCCTCTGACCGACTTGCACCCCACATTATGCCCCACTACTCCGCCTTGATGCGCGACGGCAGTGGAGCTTTCGGGAGAGACACGGTCGTCAGATACAGCGGAATATTATTTCACGTCAATTTCTCCCTCTTTCCCTCTTTCTCTTGTTTTTAGACTGTATCATCTGTGTATCCAAAAAAAAAATGGCACTCGCAAACAAGAAGGTGGAGAAGCTCGATCGCTCTGACGAGTATCAAAAGATATTCCAGTAAGCAATTCAAGCCAATTCAATGTAGATCAGCGTGCTGACCACCATGGAGCTGGGCGGAGACTCAGAAAGACGGAACTGTACCTTCCTTCGCAACCCGTAAGAACGATCCTTACGAGGCAAGTGAACTTCGCTTCAGTATGTCTCGGTGAAATTATTAACTCCTCGCAGTATCAAGCCGGGTTCAACAACCAGTATGAAATGATCCTGCATCAGGAGAATTCTTCACATTTCGGATCATTGGCAATGCGTGGTCCCAGAGGCGTCTTGACTGCATACAGACAGACTGTAGTGCGGCGTGATGGAGCAGCTTGGGGCATGAATTCCGGAAATTCGGGCCTGGAAACTGTATTATGCGTCTCAACAATCTTCTAAAGAGGCTGCTGCAAGGCGGCCAACTTCCATTTGATGGTTGGTGGCGGAACGCCCAAAATTTTCTTGAGGCCCGGATGTCTGGTTTTCAACACCCCTTGCTGCTTTGCCTTACGGTCTCGATCCATGGGAACGCTTTGCCATTGACTCGGGAAAGCGAAGAAATCCGTGTTCGTCACCTTCAATACTTCTGCTGACACAATTGTCTCATGTAGTTTCGAGTCAGAGGCTGTGCCTGGTACTATCCCTCGCGGCCAGAATAGCCCGCGATGCGTGCGATTCGGTCTGTACGCAGAACAAATGACTGCCTCTGCCTTTGTTGCACCAAGACACCTGAACAAGAATGCTTGGCTCTACAGATCGCGACCAGCAGTCGCACACCAGGGGTTTGTACGTCTGTCTCAGCTTGAAACTACCATTCTTAGACCTTCCCAATTCAAACCAGGGAAACACAGAAGGCTGACCCATCTTGACCAAACAGACCAACTTGCCTGATAACTCAAATACGGAAGCCAACTTTCTTCCTATCAACCCACGCGTCCATGTTTCGCCAACTCAACTTGCTTGGCTGCCCTTTGATGTTGCCGAAACGAAGCATGACTTTGTCGAGGGGCTTTGCAGCATTGCCGGATCTGGCGACCCAACATTGAGGGAGGGCCTGGCAACACACGTCTTTACTGCCAACGTCTCAATGGAGAACAAAGCATTTGTCAACTCTGATGGCGACTTTTTGATCGTCGCTCAACAGGGCGCACTGGACATTCAAACCGAGTTCGGAAAATTGTACGTCCAGCCAGGTGAGATCTGCGTAATTCAAAGGGGTCAACGCTTCAAGGTTCGTGTGGAAGGGCCAACCAGAGGCTATATCCTCGAGATTTGGGGTGCCAACTTTGAGCTGCCAGAACTTGGGGCAATCGGCGCCAACGGATTGGCCAACGCCAGAGACTTCTTGAGCCCTGTTGCGTACTACACAGTCACAAAAGACGACCCTTGGAAGATCGTGTACAAGCTTGGTGGCAAGTTTTTCGAAAGCAAGCAAAACCATTGTCCTTTCGATGTGGTCGCCTGGCATGGCAACTATGTGTACGTCTTGATTCCCCCCTGACTTTTACGGCCGAGTCTAATCATCTGCAGACCCTACAAGTACGATCTCACCAAATTTGTCAACATTGGAAGCATCAGTGTTGATCACATCGACCCTTCCATCTTCTGCGTCTTGACGGCACGCTCGCGCGACCCAGCAGCACCTCTGGCCGACTTTCTTATCTTTTCTCCTCGTTGGGACGTAGCCTCAAACACGTACCGTCCTCCATACTACCACCGCAACGTCGCTTCCGAGTTGATGGGTCTCATCTACGGTGAGTATGCCGGCCGCAGCGACGAGTTCCAACCGGGTGGCGTCAGTTTCGAATGCGGAATGGTTCCTCACGGTGTAGCGTATCAAGAGTTCAAGGCCGCCTCTGCGCAGCCTCCTCCAGAGATGCGCATCTCAGAGGGTGCAGTAGCCTTCATGTTTGAGAGCTCTAGGCCCTTCACCATCACCGATTGGGCCATGAAGAGCGACAAGATTCACGAGCATGATCCGGCTATGTGGGATGATTTGGTAGACAACTTCTCGGAGCATAAGGATGAGGTTGACGAGATCTTGGAGAAAGCGGGGAAGCTAAGCTTGTAGGCGTATGCATTCTTCGATGACCGATTGGTTGATGATGCACTTGTCAGTCGATAGATCATTTACTTGCCTGCTTTTGCATGTGAAGAAGTTCATTTTTCCTTAGCAAATCTAAGCTCGTATTCCCGACCATGTAGTCCTATTGTGCGCTAGGTAGATTCGAAACAGAGTAGGTGACACTTTGATAGGTGCTCGTCTATTCGGCTCTGAAACCAGGTCTCTTGCCAACTGTGACAGGTTTTGTCCTCTCTCTTGTGCATGGTGTTGCTTTTCCAACGCGCATCATGCATGATGGCGTTCGTCATGGCATGTCGATTTTCGTATCACATATGCTCATTTTGCTTGAGTACTCAGCCCCTTGGCCATGTGACAAGGCGATCCAAAAGCGGCCGCGTTTCCACGCCCACATGCACAAGCATTTTTGCTGCACATACGCCATACATGATTTTGACAGCCAATCATTCGGATATCGCGAACCGCACGAGTTTTGGAAGACACGGCAAGGCGGAATGCTGCACACAGCCGACGTCAAAACTGTTGCTCGTCTGGTCCGCGCGGTGGGTGAGCGCAAAACATGTTTCGGGATCACGAAGCCCCGCTACGTGACTGCGGGCAGCAGCATTGCTGTGATTATTGATTCAGCGCATATTGTTGACTCTCGCTTGGATCAATCGTCGTCGTCGTCGGATGAGTAGGCCGCGAGACCCAGTGCAGCAGCGGGTGCCGGGGATGTTGAAGCAGCGGCGGTCGCTGGTGCCTTGTCGACCTTGTCCAATACGGCCTTGTCTATGGCTGCGGCGGGTGGTTGCACATGTTTGGCCGACGCAGACTGGTCGGCAGGTGTAGGAGCGAGACTTGATGGAGGTGCATTCTTGTCGTCTGATGTTGTTGTTATCGCTCCAACTCCTGCATCTGGAGTCGTCTGTGCCATAGACGAAGAAGTCTTTCGCAATTTGAGGCCTGCAATGGCTTCCTTTTCCCGATTTCGTTTGCGCTTGCGAGCATTGAAAGCCCAAGTATCGCCTTCAGATTGATTGCTCGCTTCGGGTGCAGCTTCGCGGGAAGCCTTCTCGGTATCCTCTTGCTGCCGTCTGAAGGCCTCGAGCTGCTCGGCAGTTTCCTTTCTCACGGCATCCTCTTTCGCCCTTGTTGTTTCCATGACGGTGTCCAGAAATTCGACTTCATCCTGATCTAGTGATCTGAATTGGTTCTTAAGTTTGGCTGCCTGCGCAATTGTTCGTCAGTAAGTGCTAGGTCACGAGTAAGTGTTTTCCTCTACCTCTTCAAAGGCCTCTTGTTTCGCATCTAAGAGACGTCAGCATCGCTTTCTGTAAGAGTGACAAGTATCATCAGCGATCGATATTCGATCCGTACCTTTATTAGCCTGAAGAACCTCGTACAAGCTCTTCCCTTCGTGTTGTCTGCTCTCGTCCTCCTTTTTTCTTCGTACGGCTTCTATCTGTTCCTGCGCCTTCAACCACTCATCATCGCGCTCAGTAGGTTTATCCACGGTACCTCCAGAGACAAAACGCGACATGACTGAGGACTCGATGCAATGCACGATATAGCAATTGCCAGTTGGACAAGCATCGGGGCTTCTGGTTCGGCCAAAATATGAAGCTATGACGGTGTTTGCCAAGCAAAGTTAGGGCTCGAGCTCCAAGGATCGCTTTACCCGGCGGCTAAATCCCAAAGTGGTAGGTGGGTTGGTGGGGTTGGTGATGTCGCCACGGTTCGTGGCAGGTACAGGCGTACAGAGGTGGATAGGCATGGAAACAGGCTGAAGTGATGGGATTCCTTCGCCGCATCATGCCCCGCCGGGCAGCACGAGATAGGTGGAGATAAGTTATTTGCGCTGGTCTTAAACATTTCTTTCGTCTCAGCAACTTGTCCTCCTTCACACACTACTTTCTACTCTCTACACTTCCCAAATCAGTCCCAACCACATCAACCGCAATCATGTCGAACGAGTGGACCAAGAAGACCTTCACCCTCAACACCGTAAGTCACGCCGCTCGATATACCTGGAACGAGACGAACTTACACCACATAGGGTGCTAAGATTCCTGCCGTCGGTCTCGGTACCTGGCAGTCCAAGCCCAACGAGGTTCGCGAGGCTGTCAAGGCTGCTCTCCTCGCTGGCTACCGTCACATTGACACTGCTCTTGCCTACGGCAACGAGGCTGAGGTCGGTCTGGGTATCAAGGACTCTGGCGTCCCCCGCGAGGAGATCTGGATCACCACCAAGCTTGACAACCCCTGGCACAAGCGCGTCGAAGAGGGCATCACCTCTTCGCTCAAGGACCTCCAGACCGACTACGTTGACCTTTACTTGATGCACTGGCCTTCTTCCACCGACCCCGACGACCTCAAGAAGCACTACCCCGACTGGAACTTCGTCGATACCTGGTAAGTGTTTCTGATGAGATTCGAGTTGGAAATGTACTTACACCCAACTAGGAGAGAGCTCCAGAAGCTGCCTGCCTCTGGCCGCGTCAAGAACATCGGCGTCTCCAACTTCGCCATCAAGAACCTCGAGATCCTCCTCAAGGACGAGTCTTGCAAGACCGTCCCCGCTGTCAACCAGGTCGAGCTTCACCCCAACAACCCCTCCCCTAAGCTCATCGACTACTGCAAGGAGAAGGGCATTCACTGCACTGCCTACTCATGCCTTGGCTCCACCAACTCTCCTCTCGCCAACGACGAGGTTCTGAAGAAGATTGCTGAGAGCAAGGGCAAGTCCACTGCTCAGGTCCTGTAAGTTTGCATTCGACTGTCTGCTATCCTGATTCAAGCTAACATCGATGAACAGTCTCATGTGGGGTCTCCAGCGTGGCACCTCTGTCATCCCCAAGTCCGTCACCGCCTCAAGAATCGAGGGCAACTTCCAGCTCGACGGCTGGTCATTGACCGACGATGAGATGAAGCAGCTTAGCAGCCGCCCCGACCGCTTCAAGGTCTGCGGTGACGCCTGGTTGCCCGTCAAGGTCTTCTTCGGCGATGACGAGTAACTCCCCAAGCTTGCTGGCAAGCCACGACCTTCAAAATTGTAGATACCTCAGTTTTTCGATGATACCAAAATTTGAATTTTAACTTTTTCTCTCAAATTATTGTTTGTTTGCTCTTGTCAACATCGCGCAGGACAACGGTGACGTGACGATTCGACGTACTCGTATAGAGTTGTGGAAAGAGGGCACGCGACCAGACCTTGGCGGCAAGGCGCAGCTTCTTGTCCACATCCATCGTCCCTTCTGTTTTGTCTTTGCCCAGAGAACGGATTCATCAAATCCGCTGTGTGTCGCCCTCATAATTTACTTGTCCTAACTCTGTTGTTGCGTGAACGTATAACCTGAGCAGCCCCTCGAATCGTGGGTGTTCCTTCCATTCTACATATGCTACAACCAGCCCGTTGACAGCAAACGTGTTTGTTTCCTTCTTCTCTTCATCTCAGCTCAATTGTTTCGCGACTACTTTATAATTTTATCCGACACCGATATGGGGTTGGAAATGCCGCCCATCAAGCTAATCATAGCCTATGTGCTAGATTGGATCCTTATCATGTAGGTGATCGCAGCTATTTCCTTCTCGTTCGAACCTAACAGTGCGCCTGTAGCGCCATTGCGGCAGTAGGTGGCGGTATCTCTTTTATCACACCATATCATCGGCCTTTCTCCCTGGTCGACCTCGCAATCAGCTATCCATACGTTGACCACGATGTCATCTCCAACGCAGCACTGGTCCTCATCTCCTTGATCGCGCCAGCCATCATAATCGTAATCGTCACCGCACTATTCGTACCCGCCTTCTCGCGCTCGACCATTCGCGACAAACGTTACTGGCAGCGCAAGCTGTGGGAGTTCAATGCAGGTTGGATGGGCTTAGCACTGAGCTACGCGCTCGCATTGTTCGTTACCCAGGGCATCAAGAATTTACTTGGCAAACCACGACCGGATCTGCTGGCAAGATGTCAACCTGATCTGACCGACATCGCTGCACACGTGGTGGGCGGATACGGACAAGATATCTCGCAGAGATGGACACTAGTCAGCTCGTCCATTTGCACGCAGACGGACAAGAAGCGTCTGGATGAAGGCTTCCGCAGTTTCCTGAGCGGGCACTCCTCCATGTCCTGGGCTGGTCTTCTCTACCTTTCTCTCTGGTTGGCCTCCAAGTTCAACATGCTGATACCTTACCTCGGCCATGGCACACCATCGCCTAAACGCAATGATGACGACGAGGATGCCGAGCAAGAAGCCAGAGATCGTGCCGCTGCGCCACCAGTCTTTGGCGCGATCATCGTCTTAGTCCCACTTTGCGTCGCCTTCTACATCTGCTCTACCCGCTATGTCGACTTTAAGCATCAAGGCATCGATATCTTCTCGGGCAGCGTGTTGGGAATAATGACCGCTTGGATTGGCTTCCGCTGGTACCACGGCAGTCTGACAAGAGGACAGCCCTGGACATGGAGTCCTAGATCGAAGGATCGTGCTTTCGCCGTATCGAGCGGTACACATGGGTGGATCGGCGAGAGAATGGTCAGAAGGGAACGAGTGCAGAGAAACAGAGAGGTTGATGTAGAGGCTGGTGGTTCAGGCGACCCCATCGTCAAATAGAATTCCGATGGAAGCTCTGTATGAATACGAACGAGAAAAGGAAACGACGAAGCGCTTGTATGTTTGTTTTTCAGTTGTGATTGCCGTTTATCATGACTTATGTTCTATACAAATTCATCGTACCATGATCGCTCGTTCCTTATATGCAACCAAATATCTTCGACTTAAACCCAATATTTACCAAGCAATCTTCGCAATAGGGCCATTAGGGAAAGACCTAACCACCAGTTTCCTCATCTCGTCCATAACCAAGATACCAAGCGCCAGTGGCAGCGGAATCAACCAAAATTCGATGGGCACGGTGGCAGTACCAAAAATCCTTTGAATACCAGGCACCATGGTGACGAAAATCGCAATCGAAAGCGACACAGCCATACCAGCCAATAACCAAGGGTTACGGCGCTTAGCACGGAAAGGATCGGCTTGCAAGATACTAAGCTTCTTACTCCTCACACTGAGCAAATTGCCGAATTGCAAAATAACCAATGTGACAAAGTAAACACCTTGTGCTACGGTGTTGAAATGCGTCAACTCATCTTGAGTGTAGCCGTGGAAGCCTTCTGAATATCCTTCAAAGAGGAAGAAGAGTTCGCGGACGGGGATTTTTGCGTGGCGCCAATAGTAGAGGAAGAACATGGAGTGTGCGCAGATTGTTTCCATGACACCGATGAAGAGGTAGGATTGTGCGTAGATCTTGAAGTTGATGAGATGGTCCTTTTTGTGGTTGCGGGGAGGGAGGTCGAGGAGGTCGAATTCTTCTTTTTCCATGATCAAGGTGAGACTGAGGAAGAGATCGGTGAAGACACAGATGATGATCATGAGGAAGGAGGACAGAGGGAGAGGGACACCGAAGAAGACGTTGAGCAGAACTGGCCAGATTTCACTGAAACTTCCGGCTGGAAGGAGGTATGCGATACCCTTTTGGAGGTTCTGGAAGACAAGACGACCGAGACGGATGGCCTCGACGATCGAATCGAACTTGTCGAGAAGTACCAGATCAGATGCTTCGAGGGCGACGTCAGAACCGGCAGCAATGGCGATGCCGACATCAGCAGCCTTGAGTGCGGGTGCATCGTTAACACCATCACCAGTAACGGCAACAACGTTGTCGCGAGCCTTGAGTTCGTTGACGATGCGCAGCTTCTGCTCAGGTGTAGTACGTGCAAATACGATCTCCTCATAACTGCAGACAATGTCCCAATCTTCATCGGTAAGCTTGTTGATCGAGGGACCTTCAAGGAGCAGACTGCTGTTGACACGAGCACCCTTCTCGCTGTCGTTGACGAAAGTGGCTCCTTCAGCGATAGTCTCGTACGTGTCAGGCTCGCCAGTGTGGGTGAAGATGCCAACATTGCGAGCAATAGCGGCACCAGTCAGACCGAAATCACCAGTGACCATGAAGAAACGTGCACCAGCACGACGACAAGACGCAACAGTAGGAGCAGTCTCCTTACGCGGAGGGTCAGTGATACCGAGGACTCCAATGATGGTCAGATCAGCAATGCCGTTCTCCATGATCTCGTCTCCAAAGGCGTTAGTGCCGAGAGCCTCGATGGGATTGTAGTGACGTTGACAGAGAAGGATAACACGCTCGGCATTGCGAGATAGACGTTCTTGGAGAGCGCTGAATTGAGCTTTGGCCTCAGCATCGAGAGGCAAGACAGAGTTGCTCTTAGCAGACCAATATGAGGTTGCGAAAGGAAGGAGCTTGTCAGGAGCACCCTTGACGTAGACAAGGTATTTGGTTTTCTCAGGAGCAGATTCGTAGTTGGAGTCAACTTCATCGTGAAGTGTAAGCATCCACTTGTTCTTGCTGTTGAAGGGGATCTGGTATTTGCGAGGATGGGCGTCAGGGAGACTTCTGGTTGAATCGACATGGGCAACTTCTGCGAACTTGAGTACGGCTCCATCGGTGGCGTTGCCCTGAACTTCGCGTTCCAAGATGGGCTTGTCCATAGTGAGGGGATCAAAAGTAGCATCGTTACATAAAGCGGCTGCACGATGAAGTTCGGTGAGTACGGTATTCTGGCCAGCTTCCATCTTCGAGAAGGCTTCAGCAACAGTAAGTTGCTCATCAACAAAGCCGACGGTGGTAACAACCATTTTGTTCTCAGTCAAGGTACCGGTCTTGTCAGAGCAAATGACGTTGACACAGCCAAGTGTCTCAACTGTTGAAAGTCCCTTGGGTAAAATGTTGCTGTTCTTCATTCGACGGGCAATCATCATCAGTGTCAAAGCGACTGCGACTGGCATGCCCTCAGGAATGAAGGCAACCACACAGCCCATGACATTGTTGAGCATTGCAACTGTGCTCATATATGCAGGGTGGTCGCGTCTAAGCCAACCAACCCAAGTCAACAAGATGGCCAAGGCAAGGACAATAGTCAGGCAGACGATAATTCTGACGAAACGACTGATCTCCATTTGAATGAGTGTCGGCTGTTCCTTTGCGCCAGCCATCGCACTGGAGATGCGTCCCATGCAGGTATTCTTGCCAGTCAGGACAATAATACCGGTAGCGCTGCCGTTGGTGACCATTGTGCCCATCAAAGCAATGTTACGACTCTCAAGGAAGTTCTTGTCAGTGGAGTCGACAGAGCCTTCGATCTCGTCAGACTCTCCAGTAAGCATCGATCTGTCGAAGCGAACATCGCCGGAGGTCGCGAGCAGACGAAGATCGGCAGGAACTTTGTTGCCAATACTGATCTTAACAATATCGCCAACGACAAGGTCGGTTGAAGGAACTTTTGTAGATTGACCGCCACGGACGACGAGGGCATCAGCTGGTAGTAGATCCAAGATGGCGTTCATTGTGCGGCCAGTCGACCAGTCTTGGAAAGCTGAGAAACATGCTTGTAGGAAGATGACGATGAGGACTAGGATAGCAAGACCCAGGTTGTATGCTTGAGGATGCGGGTTCCCTAATGGTTTCCTAGAGAGAAAGTCAGCAGACCATCTAGTGACAAGATGTAGAGCCACATACCAGCAGATGAAGAAGATAATCACACCAACCCAGAGTACTGAGCAGAAACCACCAAAGACATATTCGAAGAGCTTCTTCGCATAGTTCTGACGCTTGCGAGGAAGCGAATTCTTTCCGTCACTTGCAAGACGAGTCGAAGCATACTCAGATGTCAGGCCTAGCTCAGAAGATGATGAGAGTTCTTGTATCACTGAGTCGGCATCGAGCACGTGGTATTCTAACTTCTCGAAATGCTCTGCATCATTTTGTCGTTTGTCTTCGGCCTTTGCCTCCTTCTTGAACGGCGTCTTTGGCTTCTTGGAGGCCTTCTTTGCTGTTGGCTTGTGTCTCCACTTCGATTCTGAGACGACGTCGTTGACCGTCTGTGAGTGAGCGACTTGGAAGGAGAGAGTGCGGAACTCAATTGGGATACCAGCAGCAGCAGACGTCGATTGTGCTCGTGATCTGATACTGCTGATAGAATCGCGGCTCTGTGATCTTTGTCGACTGTGTCGGCGACGGCGTTCGAGGCGATCCTCGGGTTCGAAGGTGATTCGAGAGCGTTCATTTGTTGTGATGACATGCTCCATCTCTCCTTTCTCGATAGAAGATTCCTGATCAAATGATGAAGACATCTTGAGAGAGTCGTGTGTGTGTTGAGAGGGATGAGAAGAGAAGATCAGGCAGAGATAATATTATATAGATAGCACAGAAAATATCATGTGTGAGACGAGGATGATTTGTCTAAAGGGTCATTTGCCCGATATTCGCAGGCCAGGGCAAAAAAGAACATTCGAAGCCTTAGTCCTGGTCGTATCTAGGCCCAACGTTGGGTAATGGAAATTGAAGGAAGTGCTGACCATAGGAAAGCAAGACGTACCGTACCGTGCGGGCTGCACGATGCTTCAGATCCATTACGACTACGTGTTTCTCCTGTTGTTATGGTTGCAGTGCTTGCGACGCCACGTTGGTAAGGGTTGCCGTGAGGCATTTACGATGCGAGCATTCTGGATCTCCACAAATCGCACATGCCTCTACCGTTGTGCAGGTTGCGTTATTTTCTGATCGACCAATCCCCAATTCGCCGGGGCATTCAGTGTTCAAATACTGACGGCCGAGTGCGGAATACAATGAAACTTTCCCCTGCATGCATCTTTGCTCGTATTGGCGGTGACGAACTCAGGTCGAGTTCGCGACCTGCCAAAGAGAGTCTTTGCAATTGTTTTTCCCCAATTCCCAACCACATTCCAAAAACAAGCCTTGCCAAGCCGTTGGTGCAGTTCGTCAAAAGGCTTGGCCAAGCTTATATTGGATCGTCCTGAGGGTCTAAACACTCGCCCTGCATGGCAGCATCGTGTCGCGCAGATGGCACTGTTGTTAATTGATCGACTAGTTGGCGCGTCGATATTGAGAAAGTCCACTTCAAGGCAGATGGTCTTGGGTGGGACTTTGCGGCTTGCTGCGAAGTCTCCAGACTCCGGCTGGGGAAATTTCCCTGAACTCCCAAAAATCCCTCAAGACATCATTGCTGATTCCTCTGGGGCGCAGCATAGTCCACTACAAGGAGATGGTAGCGAAAGAGAAAAACGCTTCAGGATTTACTCCGTACCGTGTCAATAAACACCGCAACCATTTTTGTAGCACACAGCGTATTAGTCGTCAGTTCAGTTTTGTCAAACAAGCAAATTAGACGACCCAGCATGTGGCGTAGCATGTCGGTGTTTTCCTGGTCACACATGTCGCAGGCGTCTCATCTGAGCAGCGTGTCTTTGGTCAACCATGTGTTTGGTTGTGGTAGCGAATCATTGATCGCATCAGGTAAACATGCCAGAGAGATTGTGGCTCTTATGCCACATTGCAGGTCATGCCACACTGCAGGTCGTGACACATAGCGGCGGTCACCGTTCGTGAAAAGGCACAATCATCATGTGAGACGGCTCGAGAAAGTCATCTTCTGCTCCGCTAGACTATTCTTGATGGCCGAAAGAAAGGAGTTTGTGGCAGAGCTTCCGATTGGAGTTTGACAAGGAGGAGTCACTGTAGGTGAAGACGCACTTCTCTCGATATTGTCGGTCCCGCTCACGACAATCAAGGTGTCAGGGGGATCTAGAGGGGCTGTGCAGATGGCTGGAGTCTGGCTGGACGTTACATGCATCTCTGTGGGTCTCTCAAGGAACCTCTGACAGTCCAAAAGAAGCTGTGGCTCTCCATTGATGGTTTCGGTTGTTCGAGCTTCCTCTCTGGGTATAGGCGAAGTTGTCTCGCGTTCTGACTCTCTAGATCCCGGTGAGACAAGTGGCTCCGGACGGCGAGCCATGATACCTGGGTGACGTTCCAGGAACCGAGCAGGCCATTGTTTCCCAAGAGGTCGTGGTGGCGGATCGTCAGCGGTAAGCTCCTCGCACAACATACTGTAAGCCTTCTCCCCGATCTTGCGGTGAAGTGCACGAACATCCTCCAGCGAATCAACGAATTGGCAAAGGGTAATCTCCTGCTCTGGACTCAGGCGTTGGCTTCCATTCTTGAGGCGGTCGGACTTAGATGCTCTTCCTGCAGCACGAGCGCGTAGACGAAAGTATCCAGCTCTTTCGGTGATCCCGTAGGCTCGTCCAGCTTCAGCCAAGCTTGTATATTTGCCCGCCTTGAAATCAGTAATGGCATTGGTGATCTTTTTTTCGATCAAATGATATTCCAGAACTGGCTTTGGTTTTGGGGACTTCTTCTCAAGAACTGGAGGGTACACCAGTCTCGGCACCTTTCGGGATAAAGATTGATCTTCATTGACCTGCTCCATTGTTTGCTGGATGAAACGATCTCAATATGCCCATATCGAAGACACGACAAGAGTTGAGCCGCAGTTTGCGTTGAGTTGGAAGACACGTTCGGCACTTGCCGAGCCCTTGAACAACAACCGCCAGCTCAACTCCGTCCATCTCTCCTTCCTTGCATGTTATTTTAACGAACCTGGAAGTCGTTGCAAGAGTCTCTCGACTTCCCCCCGAAATCTTAGGTGACGATAGTTGCTGGTTCGTCGTCCAATTCTTGACCAATGTTCGACCGCCACGACCGGGCAGTGACCGACATCCGACTTGGAAGAGCAATCGAATATGTTTGCTATCATCATTTCATCAATTGACCACAAAGGTTTATTCACCTTGCTTACAAAGCGCCAGCCAATGTTTGTTTCCATACTTCAAATCTAAGGTAATGTTTGCCGTGAGGTCATCTCACGAGCATATATAATAAATCCAGCAGAACCTCGCCTGATAGCCAAAGGCATCTCTATTATTTGCAAATGGATATGTCCATGCCTTTAGTTTTTCCTCCGTCATTGCACTTCTTTTTCCTTCGCCATCGATCATCACGTCGTCAAAGAGATTCGACGGCAACTTCGACTCCTTTCCGGATAACAGCATTGTATAACAGAATGGTTGGTAGTCCACCTGCTAAGGAGTTGAAGGAATTGAAACGTAGGATCAAGTATTTACACAAAGCTCTCAACAGACCAACCGTTCTAGAGGTTATGGAAGACTTTTAAAGCTCTGCAGGCAGCGAACCCACACAGTCGGAGGGCAATGCGACCGAGAATCAGACAAACCCTGACATCGAGATTCTTGGCCAAAGAATCGGAGAGTTGCTCAAGGACAGGGCGGACACCGAGTTGTCGAAAAACTACATAAGCCGATCGCTTGACAATCTCTGGTTCAGGTACTGCGCACTCGTAGAAGAGAATGAGTGTCTCAAAGAACGATTGTCGGAACTTGGTTACAATCCTGACGGCACCAAGATCAACGAGGGGCGCTGAGTGCTCATCTTGGTTCCAACAGACAGGTCCTCAAGATATCAACAGGATGGCGCTCAAGAAGGACGAAGAGAGACATGTCGGCATCGATAATCTGGAGTGTAAATTGGCCTGCCTCCCTGCGTGTCAAAACCTGTGACTTCTAGCCATCTCCCGCGACTACGGCAGGAGCCTTCCGGCCTATGAAAATGCACAGTGCTTTGTAGGTCGGTATAGTCGTCCGCAGAGAGGTGCCAAATACTATGGTCTCAGTGGGAGCTGCCCCTAACACTGCTAAAATTATGTATTCCTACTATACGCGTGACAAATTTTAGCACACGGCGAGTTGGAATCCACAATGTGTAGAACACTCGACGTGGAACAACCCATCACTTTCCTTAGCACACTGCCAAGCTTCGTTTTATCGTGTCTCTCACAGTATCTCTGCTCACTCTCGATCAAACGCGCCGATGGCACTTGCGGTCTAGATAGGACTCACTGGATACGTCTCCTTGGCTTCCATTAAACTTGAGAAAGTCATTTCAAACTGGCTACCGCGTTCAGTAGTGACGTCCGACACAGTCGTTCCTCCTCTTCTTCACTACCATATGCTCTTCGCAAGCGTGTGAAGACCATCATAAGCCCCTTCTTCACTTGATTCACTTCTTTCAACTCTCGTGTTTGCTCATTCTCGATCTCGCTCATAAAGACAAGACCTTCCGACATTCGTATTCCTTCTCTTCTACATCAACCAACACCAAGCATCTACAAGGTTCGCTTCCTTACCCCGTTTCACTTTTCACCTCCCACTGACACATTCCACAGTACTCTCGATCAGGATGGCTCAGAACAATGAGGATGCGGTCAAGGCGCTGAAGGATCTACGCGCCAAAATCGGACTTCTCACTCGCTGCCTGAATGCAAAGGTTAGCCTTCCATGTAAGTCAATCTATCAAGACAGGCAGGAAACCTCACTCACTGATTGCGCGAAAGATAGAAAAGTCGGCAAAAAGACACCCATCACGGTCACCTCGAGACTTGAGGAATTGATCGAAGATCTGGCGGCCAAGAAGGACTCTTTCGAAATCAAGTACCTCGAGGCCATGAGCGAAAAGACAAAGCTTGAGCACAAGATACAAGACCTTACAATTTTGTTGCGCAAGCACGGTATTTCAACCGGAGCTGCCAGATTCATCTTGCCAGCGGGCTCGGAGGTGTCGGACGACGAGTCTGATCATTAATGAAATCGGTGCGCGATCCGTTGGCGACGGGAGTCGATCACAGCACAAGAAGATGGTCAAGAGGAGAAAAGAGGCATTTGATCTCAGGGGTATATACCAGACAACGCCTCGCTAAGATCCGGGAAGCAGATTCGTGGGAAGTTCAATGACAGAAAAAGGCTTTTTCAAAGACGATCAAAGATTACTTCCAAGACCGATGACCTTCACACCACCCGTGTCACCTGCATAGGCCAACCAATACCTAAGTGGATGCCATGCCAGGACGTTGATGATGTGAGTGGTATCGAAGGTATGAACAGTCTCGCCGGTCTGAGCGCAAGCGACGTGGATACCCTTGTCGCCGTCCTTGTCCATACCATGGGCGCCGCAGATGTATGTGCCGTCGAAGCTGAAGGACAAGCAGTGGATACTACCGGTCATGTTTGAGAGGGTGTGCTTGCAGACCCAGTCGGTTGTGTCCCAGAGGGTAACGAGAGAGTCGCCGCCCCCGACAGCCACAAAGTCGCCGTTAGGACTGTGTTGGACGCTGTATGCGGCGCTGGTGTGTGCGTTGAGTGTGTGGAGGAGTGTCTGGTGTAGCTCGTTAGTCGCGTGTTGTGCCCGATGTGTAATGATATCCTTACCATGCTTGGCCAGTCCAGGACCTTGACAGTGCCCTCGCCAGTTGTAGCAAAGACTTCGCGACCAGAGTTGGAGAAGGCCATCTGATTTGTCTGAGCACTACCCAACTTGCGACCCTCCTGCATGGTCAAGTCCTCGGTGTTGCCCATAGCTCCCATGCGCACATCGATGGGCACGATAACATCGTCCCTACGACCAGCTACAAGATGTTGACCAGTCGGACTCCAAGCCAAAAACAGACCACCATCTCCCAGAGCAATCTCCTTTACCGGAACAGCCTTGTTATGCGCACCAGGACCAACACGCACATCCCACAACTTGACGGTACCATCATTTCCCGTCGTCGCAATCTCACCCTCACGCGTGGGGTTCCAGACAAGCTTCTCTACACTCCCGACATGACCCAACAATTCCTGACTGCTCTTAACATTCGGGCGATCGGGGTTCCAGATGCGGACTTTGGAGCCAGAGGTTGTGGCTAGCGCTGCACCTGTTGACGACCAGGCCAGATGGCGGATGTGTGGTGGGATTGTACTCGGTCGCGCATTCTCGCTGAAGACGACGGGTTTTTGGCCTTTGAAGGTTTGGGAGAAGAAGTCCTTCTTGAGTGGGCGACTGCGTGCGGGCGCCGGCATGGTAGAGGTTGGGTTATGCGCGTCGATGCGCGTTGCAAACGGGGCAGAGCTGCAGTCGGCTTCGGTGCGTTTGGTATGCAATCGACTGGGCGAGAGACTGGAAAAGGGCGCAAAATGTCGGGATTGTCGCGAGAGAATGGTTGTGAAATGAGCGAATGGGTTTTGGAGCTTGACGCTTGTCTTGCTCTCACAGTCACTTTTGAGACTTGACCAAGCTTCATCCTCAATCCATCTCGAAACTTTTGATTTGCACTTGTACAATTACAACATCAATACACTATTTACATTTTATCGTGATAGATATCTACAATCTTGCGACAAATCCGCTCTTGTCAATCTTGACCAAATATTCCTTTGTAATTTCCTCGACCTTGGTGACGCCTGCGAGACCCATGGCCAGCCTGATCTCGTCTGAAAGCAGGCGCAAGCACAACTCAACACCAGCTTGACCCTTGTATGCCAGTCCCCAGAGAACAGGTCTGCCGATCCAAACAAAGTCTGCTCCAAGAGCCAGTGCCTTGAAGACATCGGTGCCGTGTCGGATACCGCCATCCACATGGACTGGAATTTTGCCCTGTACTGCTGCAACCACTTCGGGAAGTGCATCCAATGTTGCCAGCGCACCATCTGCAATTTGTGTTAGCAAATCAAACTAAGTAGGTCTTTCGAGCTGAATTTCTTACTCAGTTGCCTTCCTCCGTGGTTCGATACCACAATTCCATCAACACCGTGGTGAACGGCCAAAAGAGCGTCCTCGGCAGTCGCGATACCCTTGACCCACACTTGCATCTCATCTCCACACTCCTTCTTCAACCACTCGATGTCTCGCTCCCAGGAAAGTGTCGGGTTGGCTGCGTGCGAGTGGAATGTGATGGGACCCTTTGGCACAACTCTGTTGCCATCGCTGTCTGTGTATCCTGCCTCGCTGCCTCTTCGGGTTGCACCCTGACCTCTCTGCTCAGCCTCAGCATCCGGTTGGTTGTCGCCTTGTCCCTCGAAGTTAGGGATCTTGAAGTGTGCTGGCAGCTTGAACTGGTTTCTGATTTCGAGGTTGCGGCGGCCGAGGATAGGTGTGTCGACGGTGAGGAAGACGGCTTTGTAGCCTGCCTCCTTTGCTCTCTTCAACAGCTTGATGCTGTGGTCGCGCTCCTCGAAGAGGTATAGTTGTAGCACGTGAGGGTTGTCGCCATTTGCTTCGGCGACTTCTTCCAGCGTCGTGGTTGCAAACGAAGACAGACCCATTGCAACACCCATCTTCTTGCATGCTCTCGCTGTGGCCAATTCACCATCCGAGTGAGCGAGTCTTTGCATTGCTGTCGGTGCTACACCCAATGGAATGCTGTTCTTGTGGCCAAAGATGTTCACACTGGTATCGATCTTTGATACATCCCGGAGAACTCTGGGTCGGATACGGTACTTTGCATATGCGTCCAGATTCTCTTGCAATGTGCTACCAGAATCGGATCCCTATTCATGACTTAGCTGTGTCCTTCTCAGGAATGTTCACGTTACTCACCTCATTGTAATAGTCACGAGTCTGCTTATCCATCATAACCGCAGCATGCTTCTGCAGCTCGGAGATGGTCAAGCAATTCAGATCATGAGGCAATCTCTCCGACATTGTGATGGTATATGATAATGTTCGAAATAAGGATATAATAGGTCAAGTGAGATGTAAGAATGCTAATCGATATCAAGAAGGCAACACCGACGTGAGGAATAAAAATCACCTACGTCAACTCCCTAACTCTGCCGGTACATATCAGAGTGTAAAGACCTCGGCATGACGAACTGAGTTCTGCTTCCCCGAAGCCGGAGCGAATCGCCCCCAGGTTCTGGGTGCTCTTGTGGGGTCGGAGATAGCTCGCGAACGGAGACAACAGCGACACTTCCGCATATCCGAACCATCATACGAAGGCAGGAATGGATCTGATAGAGAGGTACATTTGGAATCAATTTGAGGTCTGAGAACGACAGGGAGCTATCCATACGGTCGCTGCCTTTGATATCGTATCTACCTAAATCATGGCTGTCACCAAACTTCCCACGGTGGCTTCGTGCTGATGGTCATCATTTTGCTGACTGTCGTTGACAAATTCGCGAACGATAGTTCCTGGGCCAAAACGCCAATATATGCAGTCTAAAGCTTAGAGGGCAACAGAAGAACAATTGTCATTCCTTCTTATCCACAAGAGAACTCACATAACAAGGCCGATAGCAGAAAAGTATCACTTGGATATATTGACAGGGTGACACAGATAGCATCAGTCAAAGCTAATATACGCGCGACGCGTCACCCAGAAACTCCAGCCATCGTGCTTTCCCACTTCTTACTTGACCTCGACCTACCCAAGAATACGCATTGAATCTTCTCTGTCAGCTCGCCGTCAACTCTTCTGCAACCTGTACTTTCGTCTTCTCCGTAAACGGGCTCGTCATTCGCCATACATACCAGATCAGATACTCGACATGGCATCTACCATGAGCAACAAGCGTCAACGCGTAGAACCTCCCACCCAATACCAACACGACCTGCCTTTCGGATATCCCCAAACCCTTTCTCAACAGCCCCAACATTTCCAACAATTCCAACAACATCAAGCACCGGCAATAGAAATCAACGTAACCAATTGCACAAGAACACCCGAAGAAACCGGATGGGTCGTCAACTCGGTACACAAACTGGACGAGACCACTTTACGCAAACTCGTGATCCTATCCGCCTTGAGCCATCAAGACATGTATATTGCCCTATGGAACGAATTGCAACAAATCGAATACGCCCGAACGATGAGACAGCAGGAAGAATTACAAGCTCAACAAGACCAACTAGCCAAAGAGAACGCACAAATCATCGACTTTCGCTCAAATGTCAATCAAGTCGACTACGTTATCAATGAAAAATGGTCTAGATTGAGGGGCTCGAAACAATACGACAAAGCAGGAGATGCAGCGGAATTGGTGAATGATGAAATCACCGAGATCGTGGGATCGGTCGCACCGCACAGTAACTCCACGACCAAGATAAACGCCATCCTGGCACTCTGTGATATCGGTAGTATCGTGGCTGCGGGTGGCGATTGTATTGGCGCTGAAGTACGGAAACAAGTCGGCTATGATGAAGAGCTGGTGAATGCCTTATGGACAATCGTAGAGACCATGTCTGCTGGAGACAAGATGGCCATGACAGCCGAAGACATTCAACTTCTTGAAGCCTTTGACAAGGAGAGAAAGGGGTATTGTGTCTTTGATGGCTTTGACGAAGTGCTTGAACATTTCAAGAAGGCTATCGAAGATACCTCGAGTGTTGAATCTGATGACGATGACGATTATGGCGATATTGATGAGCAAGCTTTGCTCAACAAGTCTGATGCCATCGAGGGAACGGCTTCTCAGCCTATTACTCTGTGAGATGCGACGGACGTTCAGTCTGAATGCCCTGTCACAAATATACAAACGTATTCATAAGCAGACCGAAGGCACGGTCGCCGCAAACTAGACCGACGAGGACGTTGTGTGACTCATTACTCACACTGCAAGAATATGGCATCCGTACAGCTGGCTTCATAATCCCAAGGGAGTCACTTGACTGGTTATGACTGGGTTAGGTATCCATTGAGCAAATTTCCTTACTAAGCAGCCCTGCTCCCAATCTCTTTAAGACCCCCTTCCACTCCCTTCCACCCTCTCTCCTTCTTTCTTTTCATACACACCATTCGTCTTCGGATTAGAGTGCAGACCCAAATCTTTTGAACCCACCTGAGGGGTTCGCGGTGTGCTGCAGCGCACTTCGAGCCTTTCTAACCTACCCACTTGCCCTTTCCCTTCTCACTGGCAAGAGTCCCGCACACTCATGGCGTCAAACATAATGAGCGCTCTTTAGTAATGACTCCGCCAAAACATCTTTCCCTTCTTCATTCGGGCCGTAATAGGATCAGTTGTCGTTCCCTCAGCGACTGGTTCGAAAGGGACCCTTTTTCCCTTTTCCATGATGGTGGCGCCTTTTTTTTCATTGGTGTGCTGGCTTTTGAGCCGGGCATTGGAGAAGAAATTGTCATATCGTTGCTGCTGGATGTGGTTGCTTGTATCGTCATTGCCGCTGCTTGCTGTTGCTACTGTAGTCGTTGCTCGTGGGTATCGTATTTCGCGCGCGAATATCTATCCTCGGCGCTGCCTGTAATGTGTGTCGTCGTTGCTTGCTGTGGTCGTCTGTCGTCGCCAGATTTCATCATCCACAATCCCATACGCGCTTCGGTCTGCATGCTATTGCTCTAGTCTCTCTTCTTCTCGATCCTTGGAAGCGAGATCCAGAAGAGCCAGATGACGACCAACAGTGCCAGAATGATAGGTTGAAGGACTTGCACACCCTTCGCTTGAGCAATGACACCGGTCACGAAGGGGAAGATGGCGGCGCCAGATCCACCAAATGCTGCTGCGAATCCGATACCACTGACATGCAGATGTCTGGGCAGGAGCTTCGTTGTGGCGACGACGGCGGCTGGAAACAAAGGACCTAAAAAGAAGCCTTGCAACGCGACAGCAACAGCAGAAACGTAGAATTGCGGAACGAGCCAGAAGAGAAGTTCAAGGCCGGTCGCTATCGGGAGATAGATGGAGATGGACAGTTTCTCGCCGATTCGTGGCGTGACGAAACCGAGTATCAACCTGCCAACTGTGATGCCGAGCCAAAAGCCAGTTGCGGTCATACCAGATGCGAATGCGCCTCCGTCACGCTCTCTGAGCATGAAGGTTGTGATCCAACCGCCAAGAGCCACCTCGATACCGACGTATCCGAGTAAGAACAAGGCGCACAACCATGTGACTCGGGCACTCGGCATGGTGAACAAAGCTTCCTTCATCCTGTTACCTTTCTGATCCGTCGTTCTCGGATGAGCCAGACGAAAGACTTCTCCAGTCTGGCCCCAGAAAGCCCAAACACTGGTTGCAACTTCGAGTGCTGCAAAGCCGATCTGAAGTCATAGTCAGCGACAGTACTAAATACACCTTGGGCCTCACAACATACCATGAAGTAGTACCACGTCCACCACGGTTTGTCAGCCTTCGTGATCAACGAGGTAGCGATCAGTGGAGCAATGGTTGCTCCAAGGCCATAGATCCCGTGAAGGAAACCCAGTACTTCGTTAGCGTTCGACATTGCACCCATCCAGGCGTTCCAAGCGGCGTCTTCCAAGCCATTGCCGAAGCCAGCAATTGCAAAGACGACTACCAGTACCGGATACGGAGGATGCAATGCGATGACTATGTATGCAATCAGGTGGCATGAGGGAGCGATGAAAGCAACGCCTCTCTGACCAAGCCTCAGATGTATGCTGTTGTTGAGCAAGGCAGAGAGATTGTAGCCGATGAGAGGACTGAGGAAAATGAGTGAGACGATAGTATAGGAGAGGTCGTAATGTGTTTCTAGCTAAAAGATGTCAGGTTTCATTGATAGTCAAGGATATCATATCATCGTACATATGGGATGATAGCTCCATAAGTTGCATCGTTCATTCCCATAATTGCAAAGCCCCAAAAAGCAGCAAGTGTCCGGTAGAGGTTCGACCCATTCCACTTCTCGAGTTCTTCGTGAGAAGCAACTGTTGGAGATGGCAGAGTCTCGTTCTGATCGTCTCGGTCAAGATCATCATCGAAGTCATCGGGGCCGAGTCTTCTACCGGTATCTGCAGGGAAATGCTTCTCGTATGCCCGTGGCGGATTATGAACTGGCTCAAGTTCAATGACAGCTGTCGAAGAGCCTTGATGGCTGATTCTTCTCGAAGACGACATTCTCAGATCTCGGTATCGAAGCCGGCGGGTGAATCAAAGAAGGAAGATGTTGAGCCCAAGTCTTGACAAAAGCACCAAGCACTTTTCCGGAACTCGTCTCACTCGTGGCAAGATTGCTTGATGAGTTGGCATATTTTCTAATCTTGCGAAGGGCGTCATTCATGTAGCAGTATCTTTGGCTCCGAAAAAGGAAGTCTCACGCGTCTTCCCCCAAACAGCAGGCGCACATGGAGAAACCTGGGGAAACCGCATCATGGCCGGCAAACCGGACCGTGTTTCCTGGGCATACAGCCAAGTCAGAATTCAAGCTGCGAGCATCAACCAGCAGAATACGACTACGTGGCTTGAATACAGCTGACACAAACTCCAACTCGGCCGAGTATCCATTGGACAGATCATAAGTACTTTAAAAGCTCTCGAGGCTGTCTCGTAACTACCTTCCTCCACATCACAAATCGTCGCACTCAGTATCGATCTTCTTTACCATCAATTGACACCATGGCCGAATCATACCAATCATCGCATTATGATCACTCCATCCCGGACGTGAGCAAGCCATTCGATCTGAGATGCCCAGACAACACCGACCTCTGGCGCATCCCTCCCTCAACCGACCGTGGAAACACACCTCACATCTACCGCACAATCCGCGCCTCAGACTTCAAGTCAGCAAAAGTCACAGTCTCTGGTCCCTGGACGGTACTCTACGATCAAGGCGGACTCTGCATGATCATCGACATCCCTGGCGCTCAGCAGAACAAATGGGTCAAGACGGGCATTGAAATGCTGAATGGCAAGCCTCGTGTCAGCGTTGTTGGTACCGATACTTGGTCGGATTGGAGCCTGCATCCCGTCGTCGCCGCTGACAAGGTGTCTGCCACCATCGAGATGATTGTTGAACATGATCATCTGTGGGTTTATTTGATTGGAGATGATGGCGAGCGTCATCCTATGAGGGAGATCACTTGGTGGAATGCTTTGCCCAAGGACGCAGCCGTCAAGGTCGGAGTGTCTGCGGCAAGACCGGCTACTGAAGGAGGTGAATTGATTGTGCATTATGAGAATTTGGTCATCAACGCATAGACGCATTTGATAGCGTCTGAGTTGAGTTCTGACTGATATTTACGTACGCTTCTCCAAGCGTATTATTACAATGATACTTAGCCCAACAAGAATACTCCCGAACCATCCCAGAAACTCCTTAGGTAATTGGTGACTGATACATACAGGTCATACTTTCAGAATCATGAGATGAAAGTGGCCTCAGTGAAGAGGGTGCCCTCCTCGGTCTTCTCTTCGCCACCAATCTTGATCTTGATGGGAAGCTTGGGGCCGTACTAGAATGTTGGTCAGAAATGATTAACTGGTAAAGCGTCTCTGGAAAACTCACCTGGTAAATATAAGGCTTGGTACCGGCTGCACCAGCAACGATCTGCTTGACAAACTTGGGGACCTCGGCCATAACGTCAACGCGGTCAAGTCTCTCACCGAGAGAGCCCTCGACAAGTGCCTCAACAGCCTGGCCGTTGGCATCAGTACCGTTCCAGGAGAAGGAAACAGCGCCAGGTTCAGGCCAGCTGTTCTCGGGGTCACCCTTGATCTCGCTGTGCTTTGCGTTATTTGAGGAGCCTGCGCAGAGGATCTTGCCGTCGGTAGCGATGCCGCCAACGTTGACGACAGTCGAGCCGTACGAGGGAGGAGTAGTGTACTCCATCATGACGGCGGAGTAGGTTGGGGATTGGTAGTTAACAAAGTTCCACTTTGCGGCTGTCATAGACAATCAGTATCAATGGAGGTGTCACAGTTGGACTTGATGGACTCACCTGCGTGGTGAGGCTTCATGCCCTGGAGAGCATGGACGAAGAAACCTCTGCCCTTGACATCAAGAGGACCGGAGGAGGTGATGATGGTACCCTCGACTTCGCAGCGAGGCCAGAAGGCGTGTCTCATGGATCCCCATGGCTTCTTGGGGTCGGTACCGAAGTTGGAGGTACCGTTGTTGCCAACGACGAAACCAGGAGCAGTCTGAGTGAAGCTGATGTCGACGATGCTCTGCTTGTTGGTGTTGGACTTGATGTGGTAGCTGTTGCCCTTCTCGTTCAGCTCGGTCGAGCAACCCTTTGCGCGGAAGTTGAATTTGCCCTCGTCGAAGCTGTGGTTCTCGCAAGCGTCCGATGACCAAAGGTTGGGGGTCTTGCGGTCGGCGTAGAAGATCTTGGTGTTGAACTGAGTGGTGATTTTGATGCCGCTGCGTCTTGTCAGATGGTGCGCAAATCGGACAAGGGATCCAAACTCACGCAACGTTGCTATAGATGACCTGGACCATGCAGATGTGACCGGTCTCAGTCATGAAGTACCAGGTCTGAGTCTCGACGCAAGTAGAGTCGATTGTGAACCATTTCATGTCATCCTTGGTCAACTCGGTGTAGGGCGTGGTCTTTGCCTGCTCGCTGACGGCCTGGATGGCCGAAGGTCCGTAGATGGGCTCTTGGGTGCCGGCGACGTTGGCCAGCCTGGGTTACGGTCAGTGGCGGTAGAGAGTGCTTGTTCAGGCGCAGCTTACTGTTGTTTCGCCCAGTTCATCATCTTGGCGGTATTTGTAGGGGATAGCACACGCGATTAACAAAAAGGCTATGAGTATGCGGAAGTGCTGACGGTGCGCGAGTAGGTGCTGGTTGGAATTTGTGGTTGTTGGAAAAGAGCAATAGCTAAGGTATCTCGCTGCCCCTCGGCGGCTACAGAGATTGAGAGATTATTTGCTGACTGGAATCCAGCCCAATTTCAAATGACGTCGTAAGAGATTAGATGGCGAGACTCTTTGTTCGCGACTCGGATGTTGATTTCACTGCCAGCTCATGGTTCCTATATCTACAAACTATTGCTGTATACAGATGCTATCCACGTTGTTGGCCTCGATTATTCCGAACACGGTATGACGAGTGGTGCGTTCTTGCGACAAGATGCAGATCATGCCCGACCATCGAGGTACTTCGAGCTCGAGGACCCGCTCATCACCGTCGTAAACGAAGAGCTCAAAAGCATCTTCTTGACTCCTCCCGAAAGAAACACATAAGGTCGTTGTCTCTCAAGGTTCGTAGCAGGCAGTGTTTGAAACCTGCTTGACCGTAGAATCATGTTTCCGCGGCGCGCCTGGTACGGTACAAGTACGAATGGAGCTCTTGCACCTATCACATGTTTCGAGCTCGATTCAACCTTGTGTCCACCAGACCGCCCACAGGAGGACCTCTTACTTGGGAAGCTCGATCCGACCATCTGTCTGCACGAGACTCTGTAGATTGCTAGCTTTCATGTCAGCTGCTGCTCGACCGGACAACGATATGCGCAGGGTCTGTCGGTGCAATGCAAGGCATGCAAGCCACAGTAGAGAAGAGCCGCATTCTCTTCACAAGCAACAGCGCCAACGGCGGGTTGGCGCATATTGGCAAGCCGGGATCAGAGATCTGGTGCGATGCCTCGGCCAAGCCTTGTAAGGTATGCGATCAAGGCTCCAGGCAGAAACGAGGGGCAGGCACTTTGTGAGCTTTGCAGACTCCCACCCTTAGCTAATGCGAGTCTTGCGAGATTGGCTGGCAGAAATTTTCTTCATGATACTTGTTGGATACATTGGCGTTCACCAAGAAATAATCCCGTATCCTGCCGAACGTTGTCCTCGCCTGCTAGAGGTTGAAAAGAAGAAAATGCTAAAATTTTGCCCGTTGGCAGAAGCACGCGTACTGGGTGCTGAGTCAAGAGCCAAATGACGAAAGCGCTTTCCCGACTTACCTATTCCTACCATCGCCCTTCTCCTCTTCCGCCAGCTGTTTTGCTTGACACGGCATTGATCGATACATGTTCCCGTCTGCGTTTCGCAAGTATTCCATATCTATATATCGCAGCTCGAGCTTGCCGTGAGCATTGAGCTTCTACCGACTAGACCGACCCCGTGTGGACCCGTTTTGCCCAAAGCGGCCTCGTCTAGAGAGGAACAGCAGCCCGCATCCTCTCGTTGGAACCGTCATACTCGCAGCCTTCCTCTGCTCGAGTCTTTGGAGACCATCTCGACAATCTCAGTTACTACTATTCTAAATCCCACTGTCGCCGTCAACCCACTAGGCATACCGCCTCCCTGCGTCTGCAACGTCACCGCCTCGCCGAGCCAGCACCGCGTCGCAACATATTTAACCATGGCTTCACAGCGTGGAGCAGACTCGCCGGCCCAGGGCGACCATTCCGTTCGGTTTAGTACTCAGAACCAGGAGATTGAGCCCGAACCCAACCTCTCGCCAGTCCGCTCACTTACCGGCCATGACGGACAGAGGGAGAACCTGACGCCTCAGGCCGAGGAGGAGCTTAGACAGCTCAAGACAACGCTGCAGAACGGCTTGCAATCAAAGCGCATGGAGCACTACTCGTTCGAGCCTGTGTCGTTGCCGGGCTCTCAGCCAGTATCCAGAGTATGTCTCGAATGAACGTGCCTCGTACAACCTCACTACTCACACGCTCTGAACAGGTGCCCTCGGGTCAATCTAACAGAAGACCTATCATGCCGGCCGGCTCTGCACATCCCTCCCCTCGACCCTCCCCTCCTGCCTCGACATTCCATTCCCCTCCTCTTACTCCCTCGGCCTCTCGTTCTAGAGAGGGCAAGCCCGCTGCCAGCACCGCTTCTTCCGTGTCTCAGCTGGCCAAAGCAAGAGCAGCTGCCGACATCGTGACTCCGCAGATGTCTGCTTCACCTCAGCCCGGCTCGCGGGTTCCTTCCACGGACGAGACTGGTGTATCCGCACACCCTAAACAACAGCCTCGATTCTCTCTTGGTCCTGCTGGCGACTCCATGCCCCCCTCGCGCGATCACAGCCCCAACGCGTCTGGAGCAAGTACTCCCACTGGTTCAGGAACTGTAACGCCGTCGGCTACGTACACAAAGCCTTGGCCTCAAGGCGACAAGGACGATCCCTATGCCCGCAGCAAGAGAGCTCCTCCTACACGCAATGTAGACTCCATCGACGCTCGTTTCCGCTTCGGTAACAGAGATCCTCGCAAGGGTCACAGCACTTCGGGTACCTCTCTAGTATCTCTTCCAGCTGCTGCAAACAACTCGAGCTCTGCAAGTCTCAAGCCACCAGAGTCGTCGGACAAAAGAACAAGCTTCTTCGGCGGCAAGAAGCACGACCACCATGGTGACGATACTTTCAAGGACAAGGACAAAGCTGCCTCCAAGGTCAGCCTGAAACGCTTTTTCAAGATTGGAGACAAGAAAGATAAGAGTCGTGCAAATTCGCCTGTTAGGACTGGCTCCTCGACTCCCTCTAGCCAATCTCAAAGCCTGCCTTTCGCCGATGACCACGGTCTGGCGTCCAAGTACGGCAAATTCGGCAGAGTCCTTGGATCTGGAGCTGGTGGCTCTGTGAGACTCATGAAGAGAACCGCTGACGGCAAGACTTTTGCCGTCAAGCAGTTCCGTGCCCGTCACACCTACGAGAGCGAGAGAGAGTACAACAAAAAGGTTACCGCTGAGTTCTGTATTGGTTCGACCTTACATCATGGCAATATCATTGAGACCATCGACATCATCCACGAAAAAGGCAACTGGTTCGAGGTAATGGAGTATGCTCCGTTCGACCTCTTCGCAATTGTTATGACTGGCAAGATGTCGCGCGATGAGATCACTTGCTGTACCTTGCAGATCTTGAGCGGTGTACTTTATCTGCACAGCATGGGACTTGCTCACCGAGATCTGAAGCTCGACAATGTCGTGGTTAATGACCACGGTATCATGAAGATCATCGATTTCGGAAGTGCCGTGGTTTTCAGATATCCCTTTGAGAACGATATCGTGCTCTCTACAGGTATGTTACATTACGACATTATGCAACCGAAGTACTAACAGCGTTCAGGTGTGGTTGGTTCAGACCCCTACCTTGCCCCTGAGGTTTACGACAATTCGCGCTACGACCCGCAGCCCGCAGACATCTGGTCAATAGCAATCATCTTCTGTTGCATGTGCCTGCGTCGATTCCCTTGGAAAGCACCCAGAATTTCCGACAATTCCTACAGACTTTTCGTTTCGCCTCCGGATCCTGGTCAAGATCAGCTCCTTGCTCAATCTAGGCAATCGATCACCAGTGGATCTAAGACAGAAAATGGTGCCTCATCAACGTCCGGAGACCAACCCAGCCAACAGATCAAGGGTCCTCTGCGTTTGCTTCGTCTGCTGCCACGCGACACAAGACACATCATTGGCCGTATGCTGGACCTCGATCCGCGCCGTCGTGCAACTATGGATGAGATTCTGGCCGATCCTTGGGTGCAGAATGCCTACGTATGTAGGCAGGAAGAAGGAGGAGAATGCTACCACGCTCCTGGTCACACTCACGTCTTGGAGCCTGGCGGTAGCGCTCAAGCACCCCCAAAGAAGTAGGACTCACCAAGGTTTTTGACCGGTCGAAATCTTTGGGATAAGGCTTTGGAGTAGGGAGGATGCGGATGGTACATGAGGCGTTTGGGTTTATTGCTACTAAAGGCAAGAAGTTGCGGCGCAAGCGACAGATAATCGCATGATGATCGAGACGAATTGGATGAGATAGGTAATACTTCACATATTCTTGCCTAGAGGCTGCTATCATTTCGTCTGCGTGCATGCGTTTTTTCGCAAAATCTTCGAATCAACCATTCTTCAGCAGCTTGTTATCGTGACTTGAACGGACAGAAGACCGATCACAACCATGAGTCGTCGTACGTGATCGATCTTGACCATTGAGCTCTCGCTGACTTATCTTCTCCATGCTGCTGTACGTGCGTACTTTCTTGGACCATTCGTCACTGCATGCGCTTGCTTGCAGTATCGCATGTGCTGGACGATAAGATTCGGAAGAAGTTCGTCCGTCAAACAAACCTTTCGACCTCCCTCGGTCACAACCAATCAGCGAGCAAGAAAATCACGATACCAACAAACCTCCACATGTTCTTCGCACGGATGGAGTTGTGGGATAGGATCACGCTATCGGGCGCTATCTTTGCTCTCGAACGTCTTGGCATGAGCAGTGAACCAGTCATAAGAACAGCTCCTCGCACGTTGATGAAAGGAGACATGAAAAGACAGACGTCGAAAGGCCCGTGAGAGGCCCAAATAGACAGAAAGTGATTTGAGTAAGAGACCACGTGCTCCTGCAAGACCGCAAAGAGCCAACGAGAAGGAAGAGATGAAGAAATGGTGCCCCGCCTGAAGCACCACCGCGTTGGTCTGGAAACTTTAAGAAGAGAGCTCCAGCTCGTCGACGTTTCTACCGCCTCTCCGTCGCCTTCGCTTTCTGTCAAGGACTCTTGGAAGGGAACTTTCCATGTGGATTTAGACGACAGTCGCGACTTCAGCTATACCAATTACCAATCGATTACTGTAGGAGACAAGATTCCAGGCTTCAGAACTTCTGCCGGTATGCATTAATGCTCAATTTGCCGAGTCTGTTGTCGTCTTGGACATTATGGGCTTTTCCAATTGTTTCTGATATCTGATGTTTTATTCAATCTAGCATTCTTTACTTCTCTCCGAACCAATCTTTACCTGGGCACATCACCCCCACCTTCACCAATGTCGACACCACCCAGCATGAGGGCGAGTGCCTCTTCGATCGGCCCACCCTCACCCTTGCAAAATGCAATTGACAACACCTCGGACGTACCAGAAGGACCTCTTGCAGGTGTTCCAGAACTCCGAACATATGTCGCAGAGACAGAAGAGGAAAAGTTGGCTGCATTGAAGCTGGTCGCAGATGGCGTCGCACAAATGCGTCAAACGGCGAATCGCATTCTGATGTACAATCCCTACAACCTGGCTGCTTTCTTCGCCTTCTTGGCTGTGGTCAGCAACTACCTCTATAAGAGCCGCTCCGACATTGGTATCCTGTTTACCACTTCTGCCGGTCTGTTGATGGCAGCCATGGTCACAGTCCGCCGCTACACCAACCCATATATCGCAATCGCCGAGGAAACACATATCAGCTTACTTGACGATGCCGATGTCTTGGTGACGAAGTTTGGTGAAGAGGTCATTGGAACTGTCATCATGGGCTGGGTGGACGGAGAGACCAAGGGCAAGAGGCGTAAGTGGAGAGCAGAGATCAGAGGATGGGCAGTAAGACTGCGATACCGTGGCAAGGGCGAGGGTATGGCTCTGCTCACAGAGGCCGTCAATCTGGCCAAGAAGAAGGATGCAGATGGCATTGAGTTTGCGCCCGACCACGCAAGTAAGTATATGACGACGGCGTCCTTGGTTTCGATGTGTTCTAACTTTTGGCAGATTCGAAACGAGTTCTTTGGGATTTCTACAACGGAAATTTCGACAAGCAAGAGAGGAAGGCAGAAGCCAAACTACAGGCTTTGTGGGAGAACAACACAAAGTCGAAGCGAAGATGAGCATCTTTATTTCTCGTCGCATTTGCACTCTGATACCCACCTTTTCAATTCAATCCAAATCAATTCAATGGCTCCCATTCTCCACAGCCTTATGCTTGATGGTCAAGTCAATTGCAAATCTTCATCCAGTCGAAGACGAAAGTGCCAAGACACGCTGGTGGAAACCACGAAGATTTGGGAGTCGCAGCTCAAGCCACGCCAATCAGTACTCCTAGGAAAGAACGAACAGAGCACAAGTCTGTAACAAGACCGCGCTTGGGCACTCTTATCGTCAAAGACACCAGATCCAAACCCAAAGCGTGCTTTGTCCAACTGTCCTGGTCGAGACCGTCAGTGGAAAGCAGACACCACCGTTGCAAGTCTCACTACAACCCCGGACACATTTTCACTCGATTTCTTTTCGAAGCACGCGCACCATGGAGATTATTTATGCGACTCGTACACATCTACACTTGTCCATACATCTTAATGTGCAGCCAGCAAGCTCAATATCCTGGTAACAGTTGACCACGTCGCCAAATCAGCTGTGAACATGACGCTTCGCCGTTTCAATTCACATCAGCTTTCAGCTCAACCATAACAAGAATGAAAGATATCGCACGGCATACGAGCATTCAATATGGCGTAGGAGGGCCAGACAACCTTCGACCTCGTCCTCAAGCAGCTTTTTCTCCCAAATAACGCTGCCACGCGAAGCTTCATAGCCGAAACCGTTGGTTCAACTAACGCCTCTATCAACATAACGGTTTTACTGATAGGAAGCCTTCGCGTCACTGCATACCTTTTCTCCAGCAAACTGAGGTGGAGTCGTCTACATCCTCTCGAGTCTGGCCAGAATCGCATTCGAGACAACCCTTACAAGTACCGACTACCGAATGGGCGCTGTGAACGTTAGATTCGTTGATTCTGTCTATCGATCTGGCAACGGTCCGTGTCGCCTTACACCATTGCAATCTATGTAGACCCTGCTCAGGGGAGTAATCTGATCGAAGATATAACATCGTCTCCCTGCTTGTCCTTGAGCTCTCAGCAACAGCTCAGAACATCATCCCCTCGCAGATCTCCGGGTGTCATCGTCTTGTTCCACTTCATTCGCTTGAACATACTATCCTCTTATACTCTTTAATCCTTTTAATCCTTAATATCATCCAACATGCGTTTCGACACCCCCATCAGCCAGGTGGCTCTTGTCTCCCTCTTTGCAGGTGCAGCAATCGCCGCTCCTCACAACGTCAAGGCCGCAGAAGCCGATATCGTCGAGCGTGACGCTGCCAGCCCTGCTGTTTTGATTGCTTCTACCACTCGTGTTGGTGGAGCCGTCATCATTCTGCCTGAGTTCTTGGCCAAGACATCTCTTTCCTCGTCTTCTTCTAGCAAGACCAGTGCAAAGACAACCTCTTCCACCAAGAAGAGTTCATCTACAAGCAAGAGCTCATCCAAATCGCCCTCTTCTTCTTCTGTCAAGAAGACCTCTTCGGCAAGCTCTGCTAAGAAGACCTCGTCATCATCGGCAAAGGTTACTTCTTCCTCAAAGTCAAGCAGCAGCAGCAGCAGTGTCAAGAAGTCTAGCAGCTCCTCAAAGGCTGTTTCCTCCTCGGCAAAGTCCTCCAGCTCAGTCAAGAAGACATCCTCATCTTTGTCATCATCAAAGGCTAGCTCTTCTTCTTCCAAGGCTGTTCCTGCTACCACTCAGATTCCTGCAAAGGTTTCTAGCGTTCAGTCCAAGGTTTCTAGCATTCAATCCAAGGTCTCGAGCGTTGAGTCTAAGGTTTCGTCCAAGCTTGCATCTCAGATCTCTGCAGTTGCTTCTCAGATCAGTGCTCATAAGTCATCCTCTTCGTCCAAGACCACGTCCAGTGTGCCCTCGACGTCTTCCGCTCCTCACGCCCCTTCATCATCTTCATCTGTCTCCCACAGTGCTTCATCCAGCTCTTCGGCCAGCTCTTCAGCCGTCTCATCATCATTGAGCTCCTCCATGGTCTCATCTTCGTCGAGCTCCTCCATGGTCTCGTCCTCTTCGAGCTCTTCTAGTGCCTCGACTCAATCTGCTCTGAGCTCTTCTTCGAGCATTGAGAGCTCGTCAGCTTCGTCTTCCGCTGTCTCCTCAAGCTCGTCTGCAATTTCCAGCAGTTCTTCCTATGTTCCTACCACTAGCTCTGCAGCAGTTTCCTCATCCAGCTCAGCCGAGCCTTCATCATCGTCAAGCTTCACTGAAGCTTCGTCATCAAGCTCGTCGATCGAGTCTTCCTCCAGCTCTTCAGCATCATCTTCTTCCTCCAGCACATCTTCCGAGGCATCCACCTCATCGACTGAGGCATCCTCAACCTCCTCCTCCTCCATCGCTCCTTCCACCACCTCCTCATCTTCCTCCGTCACCCCTACCGCCACTCCCTCCTTCGCCACCTCCAACGGCACATTCCCTATCAACGACAAACACGCCTCCATCATCATCTCGTCCATCGAATCCCGCTTCTCCACCGCTCTGGCAGCGCAAACCATTTCCATGCCCAACATCACTTCCTTCGCCACACCTACTGGATTCGACACCGTTCTGCAATCTAGCGCCAGCAGCGCTTTTGCTTCCGGAGTCCAAAGTGCTATTTCCAGCTGGATTGTTTCCGAGTTGTCGGTAACCATTTCGTTGGCCAGTGAGACTGCTTCTGCAACTGCTGAGGCTAGTGCCAGTGCTTAGAAGTGGGAATGGGGTAGTTTTTTCTTTTGTCCAATGAAAGTGTAATGTTGTCGATGAAGTTTTCATGGTCTTGATGATCGTGATGGTGGTGGCTTTTTTCTTTTTGTACATACTTTAATAAAGAATTGCTTTTTCATTTGACTTCAAGTCTTGCCATTTTAAAATCTCTTATCTCTTTTCCCCTGTGTGCTGGAGGTTTTTGGAAGTAGTCGGACTCCAAACAAATCCACAAAGAAAATATAAACGAGCAGCGATGAATAAAACTAAACCGAACGTTGACAGAAGGTGCAATACAGTCGGACAATCAAGCGGACGCTGCAATATCGTGGAAGGACTCGTATAAGGCTTAACAGCTATATCAAATTCAAGAGTGATTGTCGCACCCAAATGTGCAAGAGCCAATGGCTAGCTCAAAATCAGTGTGCGACTTTAACTAGACATTTGCTGATGATCGAATCCCCATCGTGCCTTTTGACGACATTGTTGAAAAGTCCGAGCAGGTACATGAGAGCACCTCTAGTTACATACATCCATGCTGACCGAAGACTTCTAGGGTATAAACCTCGTTCGACTCCCAGCCCCCCAAGACATCGCTGTAGCACTGATGAAAAGGCAGAGTGTTTTTGACACCCTGTGTCCTGTTTCATCGGGATCACATATAGCGAGACCGCGATTCTGAATTCACCAGGTGTGATGCCACTGTACCATCATGACTTCATTGTTGTAAGAGATATCAAGTATTCAGTGTATAAGGGTTGATAACTCGGTCTGGTGATAGCGGAGTTTGCGGCAGGGAGAAGCTTGCGAGGAGTTCCGCTTCAGCAAGATCTGAGGCCTGAATTATCAGGCGGTGATGTTCCCGATCACGTAGGAGCTTTTGAAGAGCAAAGCCTGGTGTAGAGCTGGGAAGAGTCTTTCAAGGGTTTGACCAGTGAGACTGTTGTCGACGACCAAGTATATTGAGGCATAGCACGACAGAGCAAGTGTGACCAGTTCTATACATCACCCGCACAGGCTTTCCAGAGCATAGTTGTGCATGCATGGCAGCAACAGCTCTCGGCCTTGTGCTCATCGTAGAGGGTGGCTCCGATTTCTTCTACTCCTGCTGTTCTTCTACCTTTTCCTCCTTGCCGTCGTGTCTGCGGTAGAGATGGATCTGGTAGCGCATGTTCTCAAGCTCGATAGGGTACTTGAGATCATCTTCGGGCAATCTGAACCATCTAGATTCATCAGACACAAGCTTCTTCCATTGTGGAGGTGTGCCCTTCTCGGCGTCTTTCTTAGGCGACAACAAAGTGTGGTCGAGCAACCACTGCATAGGGTACTTCTGCGAGGCACCGTTGAGTGTCACTGTAGAGTAGCTTCCAGGGCTGTCGACCACAAGCAATAGTGATCCAGGGCGCATGGATGCTGTCAAAGCGTACAACAGTCTCTGAGTCTTTGCTACTGAAGTGCTGTACAGCTCGTTGAGGGTAAACATGATGGTGACGATATCGCTGTTGACTAGCATCTCCTCAACTCCAGCGGCATCCATGTCCAGGAGATCTTTCTGCTCGAAGCGTACATTGAAGACTTCGGAGGGTAACACAGCCTTGTTGGCAGCCTTTGCGGCTGCGGAAGCGTACTTTGACAGGAACGGAGGAGTAATGATGCCTTGGTGAAGATCCTGCATGACTTTGTCCCAAGTGGCTACGTCAATACCGAAGATATCGAGTTTCGAGATGTTAGGCTGGGGCGCGTCTTCATCGGGAGACGATGCGTTGTCTCTCAAATGTCTGAGCCATCCAGCAAGACCAACAACCTCAGCACCCGCTCCACCACCCAGGCAAAGAATGTTCAGAGGTTTGTCCGAGGCTGTTTGCGACTGCAATGTCAATTGACTTTCAAGTTGATCGGATAAAGTCGCAGACTCGTTGTCTGTTGATTGAGACTCTGTTGATTTATTTTCGAGTAGATCAGAGATTTCAGGAGAAAGGTCGGAGAAGATCTGAGCATAACCCAGAGCTCTGCTGGGACTCCATCTGGCAGCATATGCCTCGAGGTACTCTTCCTTTCCAAAAGCGGTCGCAAAGTCGCGGTTGAAAAGATGGCCCTTCACTTCCTGTAAGATGTCCTCAATCTCAGCGGGTGAACCCTTATTACAAGCATCGCGGAAGACATTCAGCAGAGACTGCTGCAAAGTAATTGGAATAGCATTGTCTTGTTGATAGCCCTTCTCAGTTGGTAGGGGAATGGGACCTTTGTTCTGCTTTGTCGGTCTCTGACGCTTGTGCAGCGGCTGCCACGATGATTTGTCTCTAGGCATTGTGTCAAAATAATTGATGGTGGTGGTGGTTTTGATGCAAAGTAGAGAATTAGGACGAAAGATGGAGGAAAGAGCTTTGGGCAAGTTTTGGCGAGGGGCGCGTCATGTTGCCGAGCTTGACAGTTTGATGCTGAAGCATCCCTTTAGCATTGCTACTTACCGTCTGTCCATCTCAGCATCCTATCTCTCGAATAACACATCATGGCCGACGTAGATGACAAAGAAAAGGCCGAGAAGCTCGCCGCTGCAAAGAAACGCGTATGTCGTCTTGTATCTCACCATCAATCACAAGTCGAGCTAATTCACGTGGACAGTTCGAGGAGTTGAAGAAGAAACAGAAGGGCAAGAAGGGTGGAAAGAAAAAGGCAGACAAGGCCGATGCCACTGAAGAGAAGGATGATGCAGCAGTAGAGACTGCAGCAGACGGCGATGCACAAGAAGCCGAAACCGATGGTCCCACAGAAGAGAAGGTAGCCGACGATACGCCAGCCGCCGCAGACAAGGAAGAAGAGACGGGCGAGGATAAGACCGAATACAAGGGCGAAGATGCGACAGAAGAAACAGCAGCAGACGAAGCTTCGGCTAAGCGACCATCACACGAGCGCAAACCATCCCAGTCCGAGCAGTCGAGACAACGATCCGCATCCTTCAGACAGAATTCTGGCATCACCTCTCCATCTCTATCCAAATCGCCCGCTCTCCCATCCATCAGTGCCGAAGACGAGGTTCAAGACATCTACCGCAAACAAGCATCACGCATTGAGGACTTGGAGAAAGAGAACAAGACGCTTCAGGATGCCCAAGCAAAGCTGCAAAAGGTCGAGGATGAGCTGGAGCAGTTGAGAGAGAGCAGCGGTGATGTGGCTGAACTCAAGTCAAAGGCTGCTCTGGCCGACAAGCGACACGACGAGATTGAGAAGCTGGTATGAAACCTCGGACATGTGTGTCGCATACACCAAAGCTAATACAATACAGAACTCCGAATTGACATCAGTCCAACGACAGCTCGCACAAGCTCAGCAGCAAGTAGCCGACAAGCGACGCAAATCCAATGCCAGCCCTTCGCGCGAGATGCAGGCACAACTGGCCTCCAAGACGTCGACAATCGAATCGTTAGAACTAGAATTGTCCAACTTGCGGAACCAATACAACATGTCGCAGTCCTCCGTCTCGGCCCATGAAGCCACTATCAAGGAACTGGAACAGCGTGCCACCACAGCCGAGCAAGCCGTAGAGACTGCTCAGAAGGAGATCGAGACATTGAAAGAGACAATCAACAAGCCGGTCGAGACGGAGAAGAACGACGCCGAAGACCCAGCCGCTCTACAAGCAAAGATTACAACTCTAGAATCTGATCTACGAACCGCCCAATCCTCAGCCGACACAGCGACCAGCCGCGCCGGCTCCCTGGAACAAAAAATCGAAACCCTAACAAAACTCCACAAAGACCAGACCAATACCCACGATACCCAAATTAAGGATCTGACCTCCAAGCTGGCCTCACTAAAAACGTCCCAAACTCCCGCTGCAAACGACACAGACTCCATCGCAGACGATGCGAATGACCTCGAACGCGAGCAGCTACACCAACGCATCCGCTCCCTCGAAGCCGAGAACACCGATCTCCGCCGCGGCGTATGGCGTGACCAAAGAGCTGCCCTCCAACCCGACATCAACGATGCCTCCCCTGGCTACGAGGACGTCGATCTCAGTAACCCTTACGCCGCACCTTCATCCTCGCAACGCCCCCATGCCCGCACCGGTAGCAGTTTCCAAGACGTACTGCAGAGCGGGATTAATGCCTTTACTGGCGGACAAAGAAAGCAATCGTTGGGTTTGTTGAGTGAAGAGGACTTGGAGTTTGATGAGGATTCCTTCAGGATTGCGCAGGAAGAAGAGGGAAAGAAGAGGATTGAACGTATCAGAGAGGTCAAGCGTGGATTGGAGGGATGGAGGGGATGGCGTGTTGATCTTGTGGACGTAAGGGCTGGAGGGCTAGGCGGCGGCGCTGCCACTGGACCTATGTTTGAAGTCTAATCGGCTTTGAATCAGTAATTCGTAGACGATGATATTATTCGGTACGACTTTTCTTACCTGTCCTCATGTCCGGCTTTCTCGTCTCCTTTTTCTTCCTCTCGTTCCTCCATCTCTGTCCCTCTCCGCCCTTTCCTCCACTCTGCTCTTTTCTCCTCTGATGTCTCTCTCACCACCTTGCTCCTCCTTCCTCTCACCATCCAACACCCCATCCCCCAATTCCACAGTCCTCCCATGCCCCCTCCTAACACTAAACCTAACCTTCGGTCTCTTTCCCTCGCGAAACTGCAATCCAAACACCACCACCAAACTCGGGTCTTCTGGATCTCCGCACACGATCTTCAATTTCAGAATGCTGGGGTGGTAATCTTGTTTCCAGTGGACCGATTTGCGAGTCTTGCGGTGGGGTTTTATGGTTGAAGAACCCGAGGAGGAAATTGGCGAGTCAGTGGGCGAGAGATTCAAAGGGGAAGGTGGGTTCGAGGGGTCGGGGTCCGGTTGGGGGTGTGGGTATGGTTTATTCTTCACATCGACATTAGAGCGATGGATTGATTTTTGATGGCTCTGATTTTTATGTTGTGTTTTTGGGTATGGGAGGAAATAGGACGGCATGATTGAGCTCTGCGAAAAGAGTCGCGATGATGTGGGAAGGGAGAATATGCTTGACGACAGCAGCACGAATACATTATATGGGTGATTCATCATTGCCACTTTTGATCCAAACAGTCATAAGGAAGTGGGCTCTTGACCTCTTTTCATATACCCCGTGAGGCTTGTATGTGGTCGTTGCCTGCTGATGAGGTGTCTTGGATGATAAGTACCGTAGTGGTTGTCACATGTGATAGTGCCCACACATACCTGTTTTTGTTAGGCACCAAAGTCACTAAGAATAGGCGAAAAGACTCGTAAGCATTTTTCTTGATGGTTGCAAAGATGATATTTTGCTTATCTAGTCTAAGATAGGGAAATGGAGGGTGTCGAAGTATTTGGGTATAATGTTTGTTTAGAAGGACTTGGCGATCAAGTCTTCGAGCTCAGACTCAGACAGGCCCTTGACACCGAGCAACTCATTGTCGTTCTTGTCGTTCCACAGGTTACCATAGCCCTCTCTGAAGATGGAGATCTTGATGAAGTTCAACATAGCAGAACCGATATCACCGTTCTCCTTGCTCAGCTCGGCGTAAGCATTCTTCTCAACCTCGCCAAGATCGACACTCTCTGTCTCGGCCTTGAACTCAGGCTTGATCTTTTGCGCGATCTTGAGAGCTTGATTTTGACTTAGGGCGACAGTCTGGACGTAAACACCACGGTTCTTTGTCTCCTCAGGGTTGTTAAGGACACCAGCAACAGCCTTGCCGATATCTGAGAGAAGGGTGAAACTGTGAAGACTGTCGCCGTTGTCGTTGATTTCCGTCTTGCCCTTGAGGTTCACGACCCAGCCGAGGTTGATAGCCCAATCGAGGAACAATCCGTTTGTGATGAGTGTGTAGCTGATCTGGTCTTGCTTGGCACGCAGATAGTCTTGTGTCTTGACCTTGCCGCCGAAAACTGGCAGAGCGCGAACCTTTTCGTTACCGACGATGTTGCTGCCGAACTCGGAAGGGATAAATCGCTGAACACCGGCGGCGATAGCGGCGTCGATGAGTGCGGGTTGCTCTTCGTGCTTGGGAATAGCTGAGACGAAGGCTTCTTGGCCACGCAGGGCGGAGATTACGGAATCTTGGGAAGAGTAATCGACTTTGACGACCTTGATTGCTGAGGGGAGGCCAGAGGTCTTGCCGGAGCTGGAGAGGACAGTGACTTCGAAGCCTTGTTTGACAAGCTCATTGACGATGGAAGGACCAAGGTTACCGGTGGCACCTGCGATAGCGACCTTCTTGAATGCCATTGTGATGTTTAGATGAATGGTTCGTGAGTTTGCGAGTTTGTGAGTTTATAAGGTTGCGAGGTGATGATTATGTAAATTGAGTCGAATTGTTCTGGTAGTAGAGATGGTGGATGATGGATGGTAGATGATCAGATAGACGAGAGAAGACCTACATATTATATACTCTGTCATGTTTGCAAGCACATCATACTTCGCCATTTTGCTGAATCAACATGATCAGAGGCATTGATAAGCCAAGACGAACTCAGTGGTGCCATCTCTAAGCAACAAAGCCAAAAGCTCGAGTTGGTACAACGAGCGCGGCCAAGTTCCGCTCGATTTTGTCAGCTTCATGATGCGAATACACTGAGGAGATGGTGCAATCTCGAATCGCCAACCAGATTACGAATTTCCATTGCTGAGAGTTCCGCGATATGATGAAGCCAAGTAGTATCTTCAAGCACAAAACATGGTCTGGAAGTCGAGGTTGATCAGTGGTTTGGTGATTGTTTGTGAAAGAGGAAAGGAAGCCTCCGAGAACAATCGCGTTGCTTTGTCAGGCACGAGTTCTCGGTCCGACAGTCGGTCATCTCCCTAGACCCTGTGACCAGCGCACAGCACACGATGTCCAAGATGACTCTTGCTAGTTGGACGACACTCAAGAAGGTCACATCTCGAGAGCGAGCAGGCCTCTGCCTCATCTTCCTTCTCATTGATCCGCAGGGTCCGAGGGCATCATCATACGGCCGAATACGACGTCGCTAATCCTCCAAACCCTAAACTCAAACTCGACTTCGTGCAGCACGCTGAAACCATTATTCTGTCGAGTCGTGGTGTTTTTTAACATGAATTTGATGCTCCGAAGTCACTATTTGACTCCGCATGCAGCCGTCAGATGTCCAATGCGACCATATCAACATTTTATCGTGAGTCTCTTCATGTCGAAGAACATGTTGATGACAAGAATGGCGAGCTACTCAGACGATCATCTTTGGGTCTCCACTTGACGCTGTGATGGCTTTGACGTCCTGAAACCGCCATGACCTTGGTGGATGGAAAACAAACCTCGGTAGGTTCATGGGCACTTTTTAAAGCATCGTGCATCCACTTTCTGTAACCACATGTGGTTTCTGTTTCTACTTTGCTATCCGTCTCCCCTGTCGCTCCTTCACAGCCACCAAGATGTCGCTATTTAATATATTCGGCCGCCGCAATGAAGCCTCATCGGCGTACAACCCAGTCTCTGAGGACGAAGACAAACTACTGGATGAACCAACGCTGGCGACCAGACTCGAATTAGAGAAGCTCCAGCAAGCAAATGCGAACCTAAAGCGGGTGTTGGGCATCTTCGCTAGCTTCTTCCTAGCCTTCCTCGCCCTGGTTGCTTTTAAGAGCTGGGAAATTCAGGAGGACAGCCTTCTGTTCCCACGAATCCTCAAGTCGCCCGTACCGCCGAGTAAGCAAGCACTCTTGAGGTCGTACCAGAAACCGTCGCTAACCATGTTCTAGTGCCCATGAATGTGCAGACCTTCGAGCGCAACTCCCTCTACGCCTCCCGCCCTTCTCCCGAATCCGATGCAGCCTGGAATGCACTCCTCCCCGAAGGCCGCGGCTTCGTCTACGTACCCGAGTCAGAGCAATACTCTCTTCCTCCTGGCGAAAAAGTCTTTTACGGCGAGATCTATTCTGTTTCCTTGTTCCACCAATTGCACTGCCTGGGTCAGCTACGGAAATACTACTGGTTGCTAGTCGATGGAGTGAAGAGCAACAGCACAAGTTTGAAGCCAATGGTGGAAGGACTACTAGGACCCTCGGGCGAGCATGTGTCGCATTGCTTCGACTACTTGCGACAAACGTTGCAATGCGCAGGCGACATGGCCTTGGAGTGGCCGAGAAAAGAGGAGGATGGCAGCAGGTTTGCTGTGGATGGATGGGTAAGTGGTCACAAGACACATTTCTTGGGAAATCACACTAACGACTTGTCACAGAACATCCCTCACGAATGCAGGAGCTGGGATCACATCGTCGATTACATGAAGGACAACTACTTCAATTTGTCCATGAATAGCGAAATCGCGCCAGATCACCCCATGCACAAAGATGGCATGGCACAGCTATGATCTCTAGATCAGCCCAGACAACTACAAAGAAGCTGGTTCTTCTTCCAAATTCACAGGTCTCAGATATATAACATTCAAACCATCATTGCACTTATGTCTACATTATTTTGTGATGATTAAATGGTGCAGCAAGACCTTTGACACCCGCTCGTCCCAGCAACGACAAGAAATAATCTTCCGCGGAAAGGCATGAATGTCCAAATACGAACCCGCCGAGATTCTGCCTATTACACAAAATCTCGCATCTACTAAGACTTTGTCAAAGCGAAGCGATATTGGTAAGAGAAAGTCAACATTGTTCTCTTAAGCAGCCTCGCAGGGTGATAAGATCGAATTGGAAGTGGGTTGATTCTTTTCTTCTTCTACTGTTTTTTCTTTTCGAGAAGGGACGCTCAGCCTACTGGGATTTATTTTCATGTATTCATACCTTGGGAGGCCTGATGTTTTTGATGATCAGACACGTTTCCGTTCAGAGTGATGCTTACACTTACTCAGTTTGGCCGTAGGTGCAGTCCCCAAAAAATTATCTTACGCTTTCGCAGTCATGTTAGGAGCCGTGGAAAGAAGAAGCGGATCTCAGATATGAATCACAGATATGATCGAATTGTGGATGAATGAATTGGGTGTGACCAGCTGTCTATTCCGAACCTATGTCATGCGCACCAGATCGATGTTTCCGGCAAATCAAGCCAATCGCATGGAAATGCAGAAACAGACATTGCTCAACCCTGACCGCCATCAGTAGCCACGCCGCAAGGACCGTTAGAGACTACAGAAGAGCCAGAGTTCTGTCCAGCCGGTTGGTGCCTGATATTGAGGTTTCCAGCGGGATTCGATGCTTGGCCCGCTGAACAGGTCATCCCATTGAGATAACTGCAGCCAACGTTGGGATCAAATAAGCTGATGCCACAGGATCCGTCTAGTAAGCAAGCGACACAGCAGTCATAGGCGTCGGTTATACCTGTGTTGAGCTGAGGGTTGCCTGAGCCAGGATTATAGTAAGCCACATCGATTATGTCGCCTCCAGTGATCTTGGGACCGAGAAGGTTGGCGGTAGCACAAGCGGCATAGACGGTAGTGCTCGCTTGGACGGTAATGGTCTCGGTCGTCGAGGTGATCGATGTGGTAGTTTGACTCGAAGTTGTGGTCGTCGAGGTGGTGGTGAAGTCAGTCTCTGTATTTGTGATGTGCGGAGGGGCAACCGTGATGGTGCTCGTGGAGGTAATTGTAGTTGTGGAGGTGACGACAGGCGTGGGTGCAGTAATTGTTGTAGTCTTGGGCGAAACCAGGACGATGACATCGGTGTAGCGGACTTGAACGACTGCTTTGCCTGTTTCAAACGTTAGCACCATGAGCATGGAAATTGTCGCATATTTAACAATGACACAAGTACTCACAGGTAACCGAGAAAGGAAATGATTGCTTCTTCGGGCTGAATGGCAGCTGATTTGAAACTGCCCGAGATCTAAGCCCATGCGGATGAAAGATCTCTCGCTTGGCCAAGGTGCTGTCTCCAGATGTGTCGGAGATGGATTGGAAGCCGCTGGGTGCAGCAACGATCACGCTAGAGGTAGAAGTCGACGTTTCTGAGATAGTGCTAATGCTTATGACGGTGGTCGTAGGTGACTCTGTGATGATCGATGTGACGGTTGATGTAGTAGTCAAAGTGTCTGTCACGGTACTGTCCGTGAATATGGTCGACACAGTAGTCGTGCTGGTCGCAATGGAGGTGGAAGTTGATGGTGTAACGATCTTGGATGGTGTGGATCTGGATATGACAAGCTTGACTTGGGGCAGGATGGTTGTCGTTGACCGTCCCGTCGGCACAGCGTCCTTGCGGGATGATGTCGAGAGCCGAGTCCAGCATGAAGTTGACGTGACAGTTGATTTGCTTACGATGCCAGCAACCAAACTGCCCGAGGCCAGCTCGATCAAACACAGCAAGAGAAGAGCAGGGAAAGGGTAGTACATGCCGAGATGCTTGGACGTGATGTTGTGCGAGTCGAGTATCTCAAAGCTGGCTCCGATAAATCTCAAGCAGAAACCAGTTGTGGTTATAAATGGGAGGAGACTCCGCAGTGGCTTTCTGATGAGATTCTAGGCGGCCAAACTACAGCTGAGATGCTTCAGCTCAGTGTACCTCGCGTTCAGAGACACGTCAAGATGACTTGAGATGGTGTTTCCATACATTGCCACGATACCTGTACATTGCTCAGCTGTCTTTGGAGGCTTCAAACTGTGTACATGCTGTGTACTTGTCTTCAGCTGCGTACAAGCTTTAGATATGCAGTGCTTGACCATGTACAAGCTTCGATCCTCGGCGCTGAGACGTCCTACTAAGCAATGAGGTTGCCCGAAGATGATTCAGCCGCATGAGGTAGTCGAAGTACCCGCTAACAGCAACCTTGTTTCGAGGGCTGCATGACATTGCATTCGACTGGACCTCCAAATTAGGTTGCACAATATGGCTAGCGTACGAGAAGCGCCGGTCCAGAAGATGTATGCACGGCTTGATCCAGATGAACTACTGCAACACGACTTTCGATATCATGCACTCATGTCCATCGGTTCGAGTAAGCGAGACGCATAGTGTGCTGAGAGCGACAACACAAACAAAACGCAAGTAACGGCGTTGATCAAGCCTACGCCTAGAAGCGGCTGGGAGCCACTCCGAGGGTCGTCTTGTTGCGAACCCCGAGCCGGAATGGAAAATGGCAAATGGTCAATGAAGGTTGGATGTCGCGGCTGGAAAGGCAAAGCAATTGGGCAATAGCGGACAAACCTCAGAGTAGTATTACCCCGCACACCGTTCGGCAAAACGAAAGTAGCAGAAGAAAGAGATCGGCGGTTCGCAAAAAACCGAAACAAACCAAGACAGAAGAACGTGATTCAAAAGAGGATGTAATTGCTATTGGGAGGTAAAGTGGAAAGGTTGGGGGCATCAAGTTGTAAATCAATCTCAAACGCCGTTGGTATGCAGAGAAGATTGGAAAAGAAAAAAGGAACAGCGAAAAGCAAGTCTAGTTTCTATCCAACCTGCGTCTCAAGTTTCTTGTGCGCTTCATGAGCTTCTTGTACTTGTGCTTCTTCATCTTCAACTTGCGCTGTCTCTTGACGGAGATGGCGTGCATGTCTCCCTTGGCATTCTCGCCTTCCAGAATGGTAATGTCGCTCTTGTGCTGTTCGAGCTCCTTCTCCATGAAATCTAGTTGACGGCTTCGTAGGCGGTCCTTGAAGGGGGTGCGCGAGGCAGATGACGGGGCGTCCTTGATAGCAGCGGGTTCCGGGGGAGTGGCGGAGGCAGTGTAGAAGGTGACGCCATCAGAGCGCTTGTTCTCGGTGACGGTGATGGTGGTCTTGAAGTGTTTTTGGCTGACAGTAGGAGCGGGAGCAGCGCGGGCTTTGCGCTGTTGTTGCTCAATGTTGACGGGAGCGGGTGGCGGAGGAGCGGTAAAAGGCTTCAGCTGTGCGACCAGTTCTTCGAGTGACCTTGAACGAGGTACGCCGTCCAGGTGCTTGACGTCCGAGTTGGATGATGATTCTTGAATGATCTCCCAGCGCAAGTCCGAGTCCTTCTGTTGGCTTTCAAGACCATCGATGGCGTTGGACAGGGTGAAAATGACATCCTGGTTGGCCTTTTGTTTTGACTTGGGCTCGAAGATGGTGTTGAAGGCTCTCATGCCGACTGCTGGTGGAATCGCCGTGTCCAAGCTGAGCGGGCGGTGAAGACTGAAGAATGAGGACAAGGTGATATCTGTATGCTGAGGTCAGTCTTCTATCTTCCACAGCGTCTGCGACCCAGTCCACGTACCTTGCGGGAGGATGTGCTCTGTCGAAGGCACACTGGGCAGGTTGCCAAAAGCTTCATCCTTGGCGGCCTTGACATTGCGACTGGCCGAGTTGGACTTCGCATTTGCGCCCGAACGTGATTTTGCCGGACGAGATGATGGCAGTTCGGGCTTGGTGGCAGCAGCAGGCTGGCGCGAGCGGTTCGAGTCACCGTTGGGCGGGCATGAAGCCTTGCTGGATGAAAGTCGGCGTTGGCGCGAGAGAAGGGTCGGGCAAGCCGCTGATGAGGAGCGGTTGGCGACAGCAGATGTCGAGATAGAGGCCGACTGGGTACCGACACGAGCGGCGCGACCCAGCTGCGACGAGAACATGATTGGCGGTTGTGTATGGGCGGTATACGGCTGATTCGCAGTCTTGTGATAAGACCCTTCGGATGCGGCGTGTCACAGTGCAAACAAAGCAAACTGTTTGCCCGCCCAACCTCCGCCGTCGCCTTCTTACCCGAGTCGCCGAGCTCCATATGTCACCATATCGTTCAGCTGTTCTTCTTCCTGTCATTGCACGCCATAGCATAGAATTGAAACATTCGATACAGGGAAACATCGTGGCGATGCAATCTGAGAAATCCTCAGATACGTAAACTTCTGCTTGAGCTGATGCACGGCCAGTCAGATCAACCATTGCAAACCATTGCAAACCATCAAGTCTGGCCTCAATCTCAACATAACGCTGTGGCAAGGCTTGGATAATCCCGTCCCTCTTCTCTACACTTACTCTCGAAGAAAGGCGAATGTTCTTATTCGACGCTGAGACTGGACAAGGAGACGCACAACACGATGGTTGAAGCTTTATACTAGTAACACTTCCACAAAATCGTCAAGTGCTACCATGTGGATCACACTGTTAGGGACTTGCTCAGAGCCTATTCAAGAAGCTTTGACATCTCGGGATCGAGTTCACGATATTCAACAATCGGCAAACTCTCCATGCTGTCAATTTCCTCAGGTTCCCGGAAGAGGAGCTACCATTGGAGTCTGCTCGGGTGAAATGGATCTCTGTCGAGCCCCAAATGACTAAACTTACCAATCACTATACTGATGAAGTCGTGACGAGTTCACATCGGGCTGGAAGACATGACTGCGAGTCTGACACTACTGGTATTTGAGGAGTTCGCGTAGGCTGAGCCGGCGAGTCATGGTTGTGCAGTTGCCTGGCTTGGTTGTCTGAAACACGCGACGCCCTGTTTCATCTCCGCAATCTCACCTCACAATGTTCAGTCAACTACCTTCTGCTCCATTTGATTGTACACACTGTACTATACATTGGGTAGTCATGTCTACCATTGATGAAGATGGAATCAATGAAGAATTGGTAGATTCGGAAAGTTACAGTCCGCTCTACAAAAGGGGTCTCGAAGAGAAGACGCTCGACTTGCTAGCGTCAGAGGTATATCTATTGGTAAGCGAGTTTCCATCGTTCATCACTGGTTGGATTTTCCTCATGTCAGCGATCAGGAACAATGGTCAGATGTACCAGAAGACAAAGCTCGAGAACAATACGATCGTATAATGAACCAATGGATCGATCTCGGCTGCTTTGGCCGCCACGTCCGAAATCCTCCCAAACACTCTTACAGCATCACTGATTATCTCAGCCATACCACATCGCAGCACTAAAGCACACCTACCCACCGCCCACCGTCGTTCAAAGAACAAGCATCCTCTCATCCTGGCGCACACCCCAAGAACGTCAAGCAGCTCTCATCCTCACCTCGCAAACTTCTCGCCTCTGGCTCCGCACAAACTACAGTCTAGGCCATAATCCCCTTTCCGCTCTAGATGAAAATCAGAAAGAATCCATAACCGGCGCCGAAAACGCTGATCTCGTATTCAATGACGCAAATCTCTATGACTATGGATCCGACTGGTTCGAAATTTTCCTTCGTGTCCCTGAGATCCTGGATTCTTGCCGCGGACCCAAGAATGGACCTTTGCACTCTGCCGTCCTTCGGACTTTTGAAGAGCCGGAAATCGAAGTCATTGACCCAAAGGTTGCAGATGAAGCAGATTTTTATAGAGATCTCGAGCATGCTTCTATAACAGGTTGTTTATGGGTTCAAGACAAGACAAGCACGAGGACTGGAAAAGTGTTATTGATGTGGGTTGATGATTTAGGGAAGGTGATTAGGTGGAATAGGATGACGACACGGGAAATCGTGGATGCGGGAGGTATGTTTGCTTTCGGAGATGGAAGGGAGTTGGATGGGCCTATGTGGGAACGCGCGCAGTTTGGGGAGGATTATGGGTGGGAGTGAAGATGGCGAACTGGTCAAAACGTGCATCAAATCATTCAAAATATCGTTACCTACTATACGCTAACGTTCATACAGCCTTCTCAACATGCAGAGCCCCAGCTTTCTCTCCGGTTCCATCACGGTACGAGTTTTCAAAACTGTCAATTGAAACCTTTGCACTTCCACACTTGTACCAAGGTCTCTGGAACAACTCGTCCATACGTTCCATCGGGATACCCTTGGTCTCGGGTGCCCATAGACCGAGAATTACCAAACCACTTGCGCAAATACAAGCCCAGAAGGTGTAGGCGCCCCACTTGTCGAGAGAAGCCAACATAAGTGGTGTCACACGAACGACGGCGAACTGGAAGAACCAGTGTGCTGCCATGACGACGGCGTAGCATAGAGAGCGGACCTTTGTAGGGAAAAGCTCGGTACCGTAGATGTATGGAATGGTGCAGAGACCGATTGACCAACCGATAGCGTAGACGAAAACGCTTGCGACAGCCGCGTTGGAAGCTGACTCGTTGGTATCAGGGATGGCACCAAAGTAGACGGCCATGTAGATGTGAGTTGCACATTGGAGGGATAGACCGGCCATGAAGCAGCGTCTGCGTCCGATCATGTCGATCAGACCCCAAGCGAAGATCATGGTGAACAGCAATTTGACGAGTCCGTAAGCCCCAGAGGTGATGAGGGAAGTATTGCTTCCGGTGATACCGGCGTACTGGAAGATGTCGAAAATATAGTATGTGATGCCGTTTCCACCAGTCCACTGCGATATGGTCTGCATAGCCAGGGCTAGCAGGAAGCGACTGCGGAGTGTCGGACTGGTGAGGACCTCAACAGCGGTAGACTTGAGAGATGCGTTCTTCATCTCGGCGATCGATGCACTATCCATCTCGACACCAGCGTGCTCTGCCAGCAGCTCGGGATCGTTCACACCCATACCTCTTAGACGTGCAAGAGCGGCCACTGACTCGGTGTGTCTGCCCTTAGACGCCAGCCATCGGGGACTATCTGGCATAAAGAAGGAGCCGATGAATGCGAGGCCGACGGGAATCAGAGGAATAGACTGGACGAGGCGATACTGCATTCTAGTGGAGGATAGGTGAAGGTTGGCTCCGTAATTGACGAAGAAACCTAGGGGTAGACGTTAGTCAATTCGGGGCAACAAAGGAAGACTTCGTTGACATACCAAGGGACAAGAACGACAGAAGCATGACCATGTAAATGCTGACAGTCATACCACGCGTCTTTGCAGGAGCAATTTCTGACAGGAATAATGGTGAGACGACAGTCAAAGCACCAGCTCCTAGACCACTCCATATTCTCGAGAACAGGAGGAAACCGAAGATACCGGATGAGAACACCTGCATGAGCAACCCAGATGCCCAGACGAGAATCGAACAGCGGAAGGACCATAGTCTTCCGAGCTTATCGTTGCAGAAGAAGGCGATCAGCGCTCCAAAAGCAGCACCGAGAACTCCGAATGATGTGATATTGGCAGTTCTGTTGGCTAGCCCAGTCGGATCATGCTTCCAATTCGCTTTGATCAGGTTGTAATCTTGCTTGAACGAAGATAGGGTGACGCTGGCACTGAAGCCTCCTTCATCGTAGCCTTGAACGTATGTCAGCAACGATCACAGCATTCAGACAGTTTATCGATTCCTACCTTTAGGGATACCGCCAGCGGCCAGCACCACGATAGCGAAGAGGTAGAATGGTTGTATTCTTGCAGCCATGATGTAGTCAACGACCGTGTTGTGCTAGTCTGAGTGATGAGCAGGGCAAGACATGGGGTACTCTGGGGGTGGTCTTATATAACACACTGAATCGATCATTGTCTCCACGGGGTCAATTATCTCCAAGAAGTCAATTGAGTAGGATATGCAGCGTGCAGTCGTGTGCCGACATCGTTGGTGGTGGCGTTGAGGGCAAGCCCCACCCTCGGTCAACTTCCGTGAGCGAATCCTTCACGGAAGTTGACCGAAGTCAACCTCCCCTCCTTCCTTCCCAAACAACAATTCACATCTCTCATATCGTAGTTTCTTGGTCTTTGTCTAGTGCAATTTCTGTGCAAGTGAGATCTTCATTCAACATGCAATCTCCACTCCGCTCGGACAGACATCGTTCCGTCCATATAAAGACTCGTTGTCACCACTTCCTAAGGATGAGTATTGTTCCAGCATATCATTCTTTTCAAAGCCCGCAAGCATGAACTCGTTTGTTTCGGCCGATCAGCCTCATTCTGGCAGCATGTTTATGCCTCTTCTTCGCCTTGCACAGGCCTATCTTGTCCCTCAGTCGAGAGCCGCTCCTACTATACCCACCAAAATTGAGCATGCCAAAGTCTTTGCACGCGGCGAACCTATGCAGTCGCTCGCCATCGCTCAGCGAATGCCAATCGATGCTTGGGACTCCCACATGCATGTCACAGATCCCGAATATCCATTGGCTTCAGACGCGGCGTATGTTCCTAGTCTTCACAACCTGACCGACGTCCGCAACTTCGAGCAGACCATCGGCATCCAGAACACGGTGTTTATCCAACCATCCATATATGGAGACGACAATTCCTGCCTCCTTGACGCCCTCAGAGCAGCTGGTACTTCGCACGGTCGTGGCGTGGTCGCTATCAATCCCGACATGCTGAACATCACCGAATTGCAAGAGTGGCACAAGCTCGGAGTTCGTGGTGTCCGCCTCAACCTCAAATCAAACGATGCTACTTATACCGCCAACTCCCTCTCGAACATGCTTCAAAAGTACGCAGATGCGATTCGAGGCTTCAAATGGGTGCTCGAGCTTTACATCGGCATGGAAGCGATGCCCGTCCTAGAGAAAATTGTGCCCAACCTCGGTGTTCGAGTCTCAATTGCCCACTTTGGTGCACCCACACTGCCTGATCCAAAGAATACAACATATCCTCTCGACCCATACAAGATCACTGGCTTCCCATCGTTGGTCAATTTGACTCTCGCCGGAGCCACATGGGTAAAGTTCTCCGCACCCTATCGATTCGATAATGATACACAATTCCGTGGCGTCGAGAGTATAGCTCGTGAGTTGCTCAAGGTCGCAGGCGATCGTTGTATTTTTGCTTCGGATTGGCCGCACACGAGATATGAAGGTCTGGACATCAAGCCTTTTGTTGAAGCAGTCCTCGATTGGACTGATGAGGCCAACTTGACAAAGGAAGTGTTTAGCCTTAATGCGAAGGAGCTTTGGGATATTGACCAAAGACGTGACAGCCAGGATCCTTTGAAGTGTGATTAATGGTGGATTCGAGATAGATTGAGATAGATACAAGCCATACACCATATTTGACCACCCTACCCTTGGTACACCTTTTCACATCCACTACTGTTGATCGTGGCGTACAGTGAACCATCCTCTTTTTAACAACTGCATCATGGTCGGCACGTATGATCATGCTAGATATCGTTGCCGATGTCGCTACATGGATCATTTGGACCCGGCCTCCCGCATCAACACTCTCGGTCAACTTCCGTCTGATAGCGTCAACATATCATGCCTCAACAGAAATGTGGATGCATGTTCTCCGCACCACTCATGCATCTCCATTTCAAGTCCGTCAAAGTGCCGATACTCCAGGGAAAGTGGATACAATATATCGGGCTTCGGTCAACTTCCGAATATGTTTTTGGACCCACGATAGGCTAGATCCCCTCAACAGATAGTCTCATACCAGTATATATGCATGTAGGCTTCCTTTCCTCCGAGTGCCACACATCATTGACTCAGAATTTGATCATGGACAAGAAACAATCTACATCTACTTCGACCAGCATCCTCGCTGGTGGTCTAGCAGGAGCAAGTGAGACAGTTGTTACGGTATTCGCTCTCATATTTTCTTGATAGCTTTGAAAAGCAGACTCACAATTTCAATCAGTACCCAGCCGAGTTCGTCAAGACACGCCGTCAACTCGAAGTCTCCCGCAAAGGATTCAAACCTTCCTCCTCCCTCACCATCCTCCGCTCCACAATCGCAAACCACGGTCTCAGTAATGTATACTCAGGCTGCCAGACCCTAGCGACTTCAAACGCGATTAAATCAGGTGTCCGCTTCTTCTCCTTCGAAACATCGAAACGGTGTCTCACGCGAGTGTCAGGCAAGAACAACACATCCATCAATGTAGCTGCTGGTCTATGCGCTGGAGTTACAGAAAGTGTTCTAGTGGTCACACCAGGAGAGAGCCTGAAGACAAGAGTCATCCACGATGCTTCTTCCGGGGGCAATTTGGGCAAACAATCACTTCCGGGAATCGTCTCAGAGGTGGTGAAGAGAGAAGGCGTATTGAGCTTGTGGAAAGGATTAACGCCTGTGTTGTGTAAACAAGGTACTAACTCGGCGGTGAGATTTGCAACGTTCAATGAGATCAGAGATAGATTGAAGGTAGCGTGGCCAGAAAAGATGGGTGGGACAACGGCGACTTTGGTGGCGGGTGCCGGAAGTGGTGTTCTGACTGTGTGAGTATATTTTCATCCAAGCTGGGATGCAGAGGCGTGCTGACAGAGACTCAGATATGCGAGTATGCCTTTCGAAAACATCAAGACGAAAATGCAGAGTATTGGTAACACGCATACTCGCATGATCCGTTGCGCTATGCACATGGCGAAGACAGAAGGGGTGAAGGTGTTTTGGAAAGCAACAACTCCCAGGTTGGTCAGACTTACTGTGAGTATCCTGTATCATTCCATGACCTCGAGAAGAATGAAAAGCTGACCGAAACTTTTACAGCTATCGAGTAGCATAACCTTCATGGTATACGATCATGCCGTGAGCATCATGAATAACTTGACAACAGACAAGGCTGAGCTGCGAACGATGAGGCAGATGGCGTAGATGGACTTGAGGATGAATCCGGAGCAAAAAGAATGTAATTGCGGCGAGTGAGGATTGAACTCACGTTTCTACGTTTTAGGTGCACGTAACTGGCGTCGAGTCCCTGTGGTAGCGAGCCACTACGACTGTGCACCGTTGGGGTGACCGTCTTTACATAACGTCTTGACCACTAGACCAAAGTTGCTGGGTTTGACGGAGTGACATATCTGTGTATTCATCAAGAGAGAGCCTGGTTCGAAACGGCGGTAGCTACAAGAAGGTGCCTGGCCGAGTTGAGCGACGGGTAGACTTTGGTGTTCGTGCCTGCCTAAAATCAGGAATCTCAAAAAGATCCTGACGCGGTTGAAGGAGTAAGACTCACTTGAGTGCTTTTTGATTTGGAATCGGAGTATCTTTTGTGAAGAAGCAGATGAGTGTATCTATATCTATTGTTCATGTATGTAGCAATTCTTGAGTATATGCGCCAATTCGACGATGGGCTTCCACTCTATTCATAACTTCGCAATCTGTGCGGCTCCTGGCATCTGCATACCCTTTCCACTCAATCCAGTCTTGATTCTGACAGGCACCGGGCTGTGCGTCCACACATCTGGATGATTCTTTCTGGCATCCTCCACCACAGCAACGAATGCATCCCGTAATCTTTCGATGTCCCCAAAGTCGATGTCTCGGTCAGCTCTTGCATCCCAATACAGCTCTTCGGTCTCAAACACTACTCTTCTCAGAGCATCTCGTTCCATGCGTAATCTGTTCGGAAGACCTTGTCCTCTCATCAGCGCGAGCATTCCTGCCACGACTGTGCCGATTGCGCCCAGTGAGGCTACAGCGACGTGATGACGATCGAGGTTCGGCAGTGAGCCCAGCACGACGAAAACGGCCGAGATACAGAGTTGGATGATCATGAGGAAGATGACTGCGGCATCGTAGAGACGGTATTGACGTGCTGCACGGCGTTCGGCTTTCAAGAGTTGACTGTAGAAGCCATGGGCTGATTCGAGGTGACGAGGTGTCGTGTTGTTTGCTGTTGGAGGAGCCATGCCGAGGAGAGTGTAGATCTCTTGGCGGGAAAGAGGCTCACTGTCATTGTCCTGGCCATTGTTGTTTGGTGTGGGCTGAGTCGAGATGGGTATGTTGTCTGGTATCGAAGCATCAACACGACGCCGAGTTGCTGCTGGGTGCTTTGACAGCAAAGGATCAGTCTCTGTCGCTGCTTCTTCGTCCATGATTTTTTTTGTGTTTTGATGGGTATTGTTTGACGAATGAGAGGAAGACAAGCAGGCGGAAACGTACTAATATAAGAGAGGAGAAGGTCTGTCGCAGCTCGAAAGAGTCATTCGGCCTCGAGGACGAATGATGTAGTCGTGCCTGATCGGAGTCATCGCCTCGTGATAGTCGAACACTGCCTCTCCAGGAGTGCAGACTGGTTTGCAGCTCAGTAGGCAACTCGTGCATTTTTCACGTTTCTTGTCTGGTCAGCTGTCAATGCAGCATCTTGGTTTTCGTTCTAGGCAGCTGCTCGTCGCAAGCCTTGACTCATTAACAATGCAACCTGAACTCAGTGTCGAAAACAGAAAGAGACTTTTCACATAGTTGAGACTAGGGAAGAGAATTTTTTTTGAATATGTCGAGAGGCCAGATATCCCTAGGCTTACCGCGATGAGTCTACTCCAAGCTGGCGTTAACCTCTTTCATCATCTTGTTGCTTCTTGGTTAACCGGTCAGGTGTCGTGATGGAGGTGTGGGATGTGATTGGTCATGTGCTGCTGGGCGCACGCCTCGTCTGCGGCGTGTGATCATCGCACTTGCCAGACCTGAGCAACAGTACGTTTTGCCATTCTTACAGGGGCATGTCCAACAAGAAGTTGTGCTGTAATGAAAAGAAGGTTGGATGCTCGGCAAGATAGAGTAGTGATAAGGTTATCTGAGAATGTCGCGTTAGTGACGCGTGCCGTCACGTCACCCTGATTTCCTCCTGCTGTTCTGCTTTTCCTGAATGCTCACGTCTTCTTGCGATTACTATCGAAATGAATCAGAATGCGGGACACACTGTCAATAGCAACAATGGCCATAAGCGACGCAGGCTGGAAACGAATGGACACGTTCCAAATGTGAACCCTCAACCAGCAATCCCACCTCGAATCGAGGAGATGAGAGCAAAGCTTTCACGACTTGAACACAGTCAAAGAAATCCACTAAGTGCTTCTTTTGGAGGATGTACTCGAGCGACTGCCTCTATCAACTTGAGCGATGGTCAGATGAAAAGCAAAGAGCTACTGTCCCAGATTTATTTCCATTGCTATCCTCTCTCTCAGAGCTGTTGTTACTTCTACGATGCCGACTTGCTAAGCGTCATACCAAGCAGCTCACTCAACAAGCAAAAAGCAGTACCCAAGCAAGCCACGAGATTCCAGCCTATCAAAACTACCTCAATCCCTCTCACCCAATCGCCACCAACCTCACCGTCACCCTCCTAACCACCTCACCCTTTATATTCTAAAGAATTCCTCACTCTGGTAATAAGTTCAGCCGTGGTGGTGTAGTGGTTCAACACACCCGTGGTCTTAACACGTGCGCAGTCATTCGTTGTTACTCAACGCCGTGTCAGTCTAGATCCGAGGAGGTCGCGGGTTCGATTCCTGCTCATGGTGCTTATTTCTTTTTTTCTTTTGTTTCGTGCTTCGTGCTTGTGGGTGTGGTATACTTTTTTTGATGGTAGTGGTGGTTGGTGATTTGTTGGATCCGTGAGTCCTGGCTTCCTTTTTCCCTTCGAGTTTGGTATTACTCTTTTGCATGCTATTGTGCTATTGCACTTTATTCTTTGTGTTGATCATCGCATCGTGTGTATTCTTGGTCGTTCGGACCGCTCTACACGTTTTCTGCGCCCGCAATCGCTATTTGCATCGTTCATCTGAATGTCTGGTTGTCCTGTCTTCTTCTGACAGTCGTGTAGCACATGCCAAATAATTACCACGCAAGTACTCGAAGCAAGATTTCGTCAACCGAAGTAGTCTTCGATTTTTGACTGAACGTCGTTTGTTAAACATTTAGTAAAGCTAGGAAGCATAGACCACATCCCACATGACCAGACTGACCAGCAGTCGACCGTTCATTGGACCATGCCCTTCAATACGAGCAAGTGTCGAGATAGATGAAAACACCTTTGCGCCAACGCTTGGAAAACCAGAACTGCAACATCATGCCCACCCGAGCCAGAGAAGTTCTGGCATATCGACATAGTAGCAAGGTAGACTACCTCTCGTTTCGAACCTGTTCCTCAGCCTCACGAAGACTGCGGGCAAGAAACGTCTCTGTGCGTCTTGCAGCTGCATTCGAGAACAGCCTCGATCCACCAGGAGAGTTTGAGCGTGAAAGCGGAGGGGTATCTTCAGCCGTGGGTGCTCGCCGTGTGTTGCCAAAATAGCGCATGGTCGAAGCAGCGACTTGGCGAGAACGTTCACGAATATCAGAATCAAACTGCGAAGGTCGTCGAGGCGGGGCTTCGTCCTCCTCGTTATTGTCGTCGTCTTCGTTCTCTTGACTCACGCTGCTATGGTGGCGGATCCATAGTGTATCTTCGGGAGACATGCGACGAATAAGTGAGATCTGAGCGCGTCCTTCGGCGGTTTGCATAGCGAAGTCGTATAGCAGAGCTTCAACAGCACGGCGATCGTGATTGGAGCGTCCACTTGTGTCGGGCCCATATATGGTAGAGCTAGAATCTTCGGCCAATTCATTTGCTAGTTGGAACGAAGCTGATGCACCATTCGAGGCAAAGCTTGAGTCGGTCGAAGGCAGGGAGTCGTCAGGGGTGATAGTCGATCCGATGACGTGCCAGGAATCGGCAATAGGCGAAGGACTGCGATTGCGATCGCCCAAGCCATCGTCAGGGGAGACGGGACGATGTGCGAAGCTCAGGGGATGTGGGGGTACTTGCGAAGGACGTAAGAGGACGATACGAGACGATGCAGTGGGCTCCGAGGTGTCTAGTGGAGGAGTTGGCAAGCTCGATGAGACGCCACTGCGTGATTGCGGACGATCGCGTTCGAGAGGTGGAGGCAGAAAGCTAGTTGGTCGAGAGCGTCGACGACCAGCGTCGGATTGTGAGGACGAATTATCATCGCCGAGGTAATAGGCCAGGTCAAAATGACGTTCACTGGATGGTATACGATGGCGAGGAGCCTCGGGAACTGGCGGTGGTTGGCCAAGTCGATGGAAGCTGGTGGGACGAGAGGCACGAAGACGACGGATGGGCGAGCGTGATGGAGCGGTACTATCGTTCTTAACTCGGGATACTGCGACAGAGCTGCTGCTACTGCTGCGTGTCTCCTCAGGATCGCGCCATACTCTGTTGGAACGTGTTAGCAATCTCTATTGTAAAGTCGAGTCGATAGCAAGAAGCAGCCCGTCTCTCCTATGGCTGATCAGACAGTCATTCGAGTCGATCGCAATGCACAACATTCTAGACGAAGCGACTTCGATCCCCGAAAGTTCAAGATCTTGAATCTCTCAAGACATGCGGCGGTCCACGTTCGTGTTTCTGCATTGCAATAGATGACGCTGATGCTTAACGCCGCGTGGGAGACACTCGTTTATCGAGCTCCATGATAGTCGAGAGCGCGTCCCGGCGCGTCGCCTTCTCTGAAGCCTCCACCTCGGAACATCCAGACTGCACTTACGGAAGACCCATGATGATATTGAGCTTGGTCGCAGACTTTGCGCGATTCAGGTGATATAATTTAGCACGATACAAAGGATATGTTGATCGTGTCGCGAAGGAACGGGGATGGCATGTTTGTGAGCAGCTCCATCTCACTCTCCGCGTTCCGTTGCCCCTCGGCGCTAAACTGTTTCTCCACGTTCTTGGCACTGCAGCCAGCTCGAGCCTCGAAAGTCTGACGTTCGATAGATGGTTCGCTAGCTAAATACTCTTAAATGTTTTTGAAGGCAGAAAGTCCGACTCTCGCTTTGCCAGTGCTGTCAACCAGCAAGTTGTCCTCACAACTTGATCCAAGAGCACCGTTACCCAAGAAAGCAGGTTCCCAGTAGTAAAGACCAGCTCCACCCTTGACACCAGCAACGATTTTTCCAACAGCTTCAATCCACTCTTCCTGTCCGGCTGCCGAGAAGGGAATGTAGGTGGCATCCGAAGGGAACTTGTATGCGGGCTTGCTGCACTTGGCTGGCCAGTTGGTCTCGGCAACAACGAGCTGTTTGCTGTATGTTGCAGCGAGCTGCTCAAGCGAGTATTGCAAACTACCCAGGAAGGCCTGGTCATTGTAGAAGGGGTAGTAGCTGACACCCATCATATCAAAATCAGTTGTTTTCAAAGGTCCCTGCCCAAGGATGGTTTTGTACCACCAGAGCTGAGTACCCGAGTCCCAGCCATTGTCGAGGTGGATCATGATCTTCGGCTTCGTCGAGAGCTTGGAGTCCTTGATAGCAGAGGAGGCCGAGTGAAGGAGATCAGCGATATTGTAGTAAGAGCTGGTACCTCCAAGAGGCCACAGCAGACCAGCTCTGATCTCGTTTCCAATTGACACGATGGCTGGATTGATGCCTTCTGCTGCGTAGCGGTTGCACACTGCCAGAGTGTAGTTGTAGACTGTGTATTTGAGGTTGCCGATGGTGCTGTCGTCCCAAGCGGCAGGTGTGGTCTGGTGCGAAGGATCGGCCCAAGTGTCGGAATAATGGAAGTCCAAATACACACTCATGCCTGCATTGGCGACACGCTTGGACAACTTGACGTTGTAGTCGAGGTTGTAATTACCGTCCGAGGGGTTGACCCATACTCTTTGACGGATCGAATTGGCTCCGGACTGCTTGAGAATGGCTGGTGTTCACAGTCAGAAATATGCTCATTGAACCTGGAAGGTGGTCATCATACTCTCAAGAGGTTCGGTGGCTCCAGCGGTTGTCTTGAATATCTTGCCCTGATTTTCCAACATGATGAGGGAGCTAATATCGGCTCCCTTGTAGGTGAGTGCGCCATGCGTCACACTGGACAGCAAAGCCGTCGCGGTAAGAAGGACTGATCGCAACATGATGCGTAAAGGACAGTGAGAACTGAAGAGGAGGAGAAATGAATAGAAAATGCTGAGCTGCCTTCGAGGAGCAGGGCAACAGCTTATAACATCTCGTTCCAGACGCTAAAGAGCATGCTTTCGAACCACACGGTTTCCTTAATATAACGAAAGCGACACTTGACTGCTTGAAACGGACGGCTAATTTTCGCTTGTGTATGTACTCAGCCTTTGAGCAACCCTATAAGGTTTACTCTCCACTTTTCACCGCACGTAAGTCTAGTTGTGCGAAATGTCCTCATAACTCTTTGAGTATACAGGAATCCGGAAGGCACGTAGGATGCTCTCTGATTTGGAGACCATCACAGACCCGAGTATAATGTCGAGTTTGGAGACCTTGTGACTACGAAACACTCACTGCAGGCAAGTTCCAGGATTATATCAAGCCTAGTATAGGGCTCGCCATCGCTCATTGGTGGAACTGGTCCAACAACGCGGGTGCGGGTTTGTCGATCTGGGGCAAGGGGTTTCAAAAGTCGGCGTCGCTTGCAGGATGCTTCTTTGCTGTTGCATATAGAGGTAGGCAATAGGGCATGACCGAGGCTCGGCAATTTCGAGGAAAGATGCAATGGACGCTGATGGGCAACAAGAAAGGAAGACAGAAGACAGAATTCTTAACGCATGAGGAGCCGCACTGCGCCAAGCCTATACGTCATTGCTCCTTCGCCGAAGCGGCAAAACATCATGCAATTCTATGAATGCCATCACAGCAGCGAGCGAGGGAAAGATGGATTGTGTAAGGTATTAAGGCTCTTCATCAATTCGTTCTAAAAAGTGGTATATGTACAACAAAAGATCAAAACAACTTTCCTCCTACTAACTCAAGCTTGACATCTACTCGATCTTGATGCCGACCTTGCCGAAGTGCTTCTGGTCCCACTGAAACTGGTAAGCCTCCTTGAGCTGGTCAAGAGTGAAGATGTTCTCGTCAATGACGGGCTTGATGTTGTTGGCCTCGATGGCGGCGTTCATCTCCTCGAACTGCTGTCTGCTGCCAACGTAAATACCGCGGACCGTGCAGATGTTGACGAGAGCGTCGAGAAGAGTGGGCTGCTTCTCATTGGTGCCACCGATGAAACCAATGACGGAAATGACACCCTCGAGGCAGATGGCCTTGAGAGATTGCTGGAGGGTGTTGGGACCACCGACCTCGATGATGTGGTTCACACCAACACCGCCAGTGATCTTCTTGGCGGTCTCACCCCAGTTGGGGTCCTCGCGGTAGTTGATAACGTAGTCGGCACCGAGAGCCTTAAGCTTCTCACCCTTCTCCTTGGAAGAAGTAGTGGCGATAACACGGGCACCAGCAGCCTTGGCGAATTGGACAGCGAAGATGGAGACACCACCGGTTCCCTGGGTGAGGACCCAGTTACCGGGGGTCAGTCTCTTGCCCTCGAGACCGTAGAGACCGTTCCAGGCGGTCAGACCAGCGCAGGTGAGGGAAGCACCCTCGATGAAGTTGAGGTTGCTGGGAAGAGGAACAAGACCTTGCTCGTCGTAGACACCGTACTGCTGGAGAGAGCCGTCGATGACACCACCAGTTCCAGTGGCGATAGAGTGGTTGTCAAGAGGACCGGCAATGTGGCCCTGGTTGAATTGGGTGACGACCTTGTCGCCGACCTTGAAGCGGTGGACGTTCTTGCCAACAGCCTCAACAACACCAGCACCGTCAGATCCAGGAACGACATTGTCCTCCTGGGGGAAGGGGTAGCCGCCAGCGGCAATGATCAGATCGCGGTAGTTGAGCGAAGCACCGTGGACTACCATCGAATTAGCACTTGATCATCTGGATAATGAATCCTGTCAAACTCACACTTGACGAGAACATCCTTGTCGCCAACCTCGGGAACGGGAGCCTCCTTGTTGAACTTCAGGTTGTCGAAGGAGCCAGTGCCCTGAACTCTCCACTGCTTTTGGGTAGAAGGTGCCATTGTGTTGTGATTGTGTTAGATCGAAAAGGTTTGAATGTGTATCAATTGGAAGTGCGGGAATAGACTGGAATATGAAAGGCACTTATCATGTACCTAGATGGCCCTTTATATATCAATTGACGTTGCGATCATTCTCACGTGAAGAAAAACATCGAACATGCCATGACGTTCATAGCTTGCGGGGTGGAAGCATCAGGGCTTCTAGAACCGAGATCGGTTTGTAATCCGCCGCTCCAAACTCGGAGGGACTGGAGAAGGGGGCCTTGATTACGAGTGCAAAGGCAGAAGATGTCAGGTCTTCTCCAGATATTCACGATTGTAGCAAAACTACCTTGATGTTCTACCACGTGGTTACGTGGAAGGAAGTGCAGTGCAAAGTAGCTCCTGGCACGACTGCGTGGATGTGGATTCAAGCAGGTGTCAAAGGAGCCGGAGCAACTCTAACCGAGACGTCTGCTGTCTGCTCTCTACCAACCACACTCATCAACATCCTCTAACGGTTGCTAGGACAGAACATCGGTGGCAGCACGCCTGTCCGTTTACGAGAGACGCCGAGACACGCGTTGTTTGAAAATGGTCCTCGATTTCTAAGCACAGCGAGCAAATTCTCGAAAACCGCCGATACAAGCAAGGATATGATGAGGCCCAGCAAATTTCCTCAAGATTGGTCATAGCTTTCATCGCTTCAGATCGCCAGCAACAGCAGCTCGTATCAAACGACCATCGATGGCCATGCTCACCTTGCGCAGAACCTTCTCTCCACCGAAGTGTCCACCGAATCTTCTCAGTCTCTCAGCTTCGCTCATCATTACAAATGCAGGCAAGCCGTACTGACGCTTGTCCGAAGGCGACGGTACGGAGTCAGGAACCTTTAGTTTGATCAAGATCACCTGAGCCGCAAAGACGTCCATACCTGCTTTCCTGAGGAACAATTCCCAGGACGTCTCGTCTTGTAACAGCTGCACTTCTGGGTCATTCAGCCCAAATCGGACCATGCTAGCTACGATCCAGATTGCTAGTGCTATCTCATCCCCGGGGATGTACATGACTTGAATTTCATGACTCTGCGCGGCGCAGAAGTTGACAAGAGATACGATTTCGCCAGATTCGCGGCTGTCCAACGGACGTTGCTGACTCCCGGCTCGGTCTTCGTGCACCATAACGATGAGCCGCTCATATCGACGCGCCAGCTGTACGATTCGTTCGCGGACGACATTGCGAGTAACTTGACCTGGCAGATTCTTCTGAATAAGTTTCTGCAAAGTAGTCAGCAAGATCCCATGCCCAGGTGCCAGTATCATGTCCGCTTCATCGGCTTCCGAGGTCTGAGACGATACGCCACGCAATGAACGGGCTGAAGCAAAATCGCGTTCAATGTATTCAGCTGTGGGGTTGAGACGCTCAATATGTTTGATGAGAGCTCTTCTATCGAACATCGTTGAAGACAGAACGAAAGTTCTTGGGGGAACAGGATCAGGTAGGGATGGAAGGTGTATCGATGGCATCATTGACTGCATGCTTGGTGAAGTCTTCGAAGTCAAGCTTCTGGGGTTCTGCAGGCTCTCACTGTCTCTGATCCGAGCAGTGAACTTCGAAGTAGGCTTGGCAATATGTATGGGCGAAGTTGTAGCCTGCAGTCTCGACTCTTCGGATACTTTTGGGCTGGCTTTCTTCCCGGTCTGTATCTGCATGAATCGATCCAGGGAATTACTTGCCGAGAACGTGTTCCCCGACAGAGGCTGCGGATATGCCGGGCTCTTATGAGGCTTGAGGCCCTCCGGTGGTGTATGCGTCGCCACCCTAGATAAGGGGAATAATGGCTGTCGAGGCTGCAACATGGCTGCGAGCTTAGGGCCTCCTTTCTCGCTCCATGCCTTACCTTCCGGCATAGTCTCTGTCGAGCCCAGCCTCTTAAGTATTATCGGCATATCTGCAAACTCGATCGCTTCATCGTCGTCCTCACAAGCGTCCAAAATCCTGAGACCATCCAGCTTCCATCCGGATGTCGTGTCTTGAGGCTCTTCGTTTTTGAAGTCGTCCAGATCATCACAGGTTATCTCCTCCTTCGGAAGATCACTCAGTCGCGTATCGAATGGTCGCCAACGTGTCATGGCTCTATTAATTCGAACGACACCAGACCATACTTCGCGTGGACTGATAGTCTCTCGCCTCAACATAGAGATCATCTGTTGCTGGGCCTCAATGCTGGTACCAAAACCCAGCTGGTTGCGGCTGAACATTTCCCACGGTGGCAGTGGACCTGACTGATCGATCGTGGGTATCTCCACTCTCAACGTCGAGTCAGCCTGCGTGAGTTGCTCGTTTTCAATTGCAGAGACAGCTGATTCAGCACCAGCTTGAAGCACTTTCTTGAGAGCTTCATCGTATCTCTCATCTGCGCTATTCGAGTCGCCCAACGGGAATGGCTTGGCATAGTCGGGTATGGTAGTACACAGCTCATCTGAGAACGTGACTATCTTCGTCTTCTTCGTCGGGGATGATGATAGCAAGGCTGGTGACAGCGGAACCTCAACCTTGAAGTCTTCAGGTCGTTTGCGCTTCAACGGAGAGGTGGTGTATGAGTCGCCGAATTCCTCGATCTCGAATGCCGACAGGCCATCTAGGGAGAACTCATCGTCCAAATCCATGCTTTCCTCAATTTTCGAGAGTTCGAGGGGGACAGGATCTATGGGACTGGTCGCCAATTGCATGCGACTGACGGGTGAGTCAGGAACTCCGAGTCGGAAAGGCGAAGAGCATGGTAGCAGAGGTGATGTATGCCTCGCAGCCTCGTACTCTTCTTGTGCCTATCATCATCAGATTGGGATTTACTGGGATGAGACACACAACTTGCCTTCTTGTGTGACGGTGCACTTATATCTTCACATTCGGGCTTCTCGAGCGTTGAGACGCACTGCTGCAGAAAGAGAATATCGGTTTTGTCGAGTTGCAGCCTTTCTTGCTTGATCTGTTCGATCAACTCCGCAGGCAAATCAGAGCTTGGCCAATAGATATGTGTCTCGTCCTCTTCCCATTTGGCTCCAAGGAGCAAATCCTGCAGGCCCTGACTTTGCTTTGAGCGTCGAGCTCGCACAAAGCGACGTTGATCGAGCTCTGAGTCTGTGAGGAGCAACAATGGCTCGACTTTAAACTCGGCGGATCTGGTAACCCGTCGCTCGATGTCGATGGAAGGCACGGCTTCCACCAAAGCGATCCGTCTGAGGAACAGAGCGCTCTGGTGATTGATGGTCCATTTCTCATCAGTATCAACCTTATCTGGAAGAACGAAGTCGGGAAGCTGACTGAAGTCGGAGTCATCCCAGACTGGGATCGACTGAAGAACACAAGATGATAGAGGGTAGGGAGACGTGTAATCTTTGCTCAATCCGTAGTATCTGGCGTAGTCAATCAGGGAGACTTCCTCGTCTTCGGCATCTGAGTAGGTGTCGCTAGCGATGCTCAAGTCATCAGCGTCGCTGCATCCCATGGTTGTCGAGGATGAATCCATGTGAGAAAGAATTCAAGTGACGATTGATGTTGGTACGTGTGAACGTTTGTCCAAATCCAAAGCGCGCCTGATAGTTGTGTCAAGGTCACGATGCTCCGGACGGAAAGTGCGATTGGGGCCAGCGGCAGCCACAAAGCGAAGCCATTTTCGTGAAAAAGATACCACCCAAGAAAACCGGCCGGTCTATGGGGTCATTTGTGGTAGTCTCGATCGTGATGTCGCATGGTAGCAAGACGACAAGGCGAGATGTCCATCATGATCAGGGTGACTACAGCAGCACAGCAGACTTGAGGATGAAATATTCTCGACGAGACGCAAGTACAACCCATTCTGCCGGAGACTACTAGTCAATGCTAGAACGATACACGAGGAACGCCTAGACAATAATACAAGTAGCCTGCTGTTACGGGCGTTCAGTGGAGGCTCTAAGATTATCAAGGAAATATTGTCCGACTGTTCAATTGATCTGAACTGGCTAATAAGGGCAGACACGAAAAGATACGCAAAGGGGTATGGCTGTAGAAAGGCCTCAAAGATGCAGATGAACGCTAGTCACAAATTACGGTCCTCATTTTACAGAGCCACATCATCAAATTCGGTCGGTGCCTTTGACGATGGTTCCTCCTCGTGAGGTATACCGATAGCCTTAAGATTGTTCACTGATGGGGGTTCCGTGCTGGGCTCCTCCTTTTCTCCTGTAGCGTCAGCAGAGGTGGACGGTTCTTCGGTCGGCGCAGAACTCGCCGACTCCGCAGAATGATCTTCCACGTTCGTTGGGAGATTACGGAAGGGTAGGTCGGAGACGGGAGCGGGCTTTTGTTCGGCAGCTGGAGGTTGTGTGGAAGGCTGTTCCGTTTCAGGCACGGGATCTTCCTTTGGTGGGGTAGGAGGTGCAGTGTCTACAGACTCATCCTTTGGCGGAGGAGCAGGTACAGATGACGGTTGAGAAGTAGGAATCTCGGGACGTTGGGTTTGCTCGGGTGTGGGAGGGGTGTGTTCGATGCGAGGACTAGAGAGCGGGGGGTGAACTCTGAGCTGTTGTTGCTGAAGCTGGAGATGTTGTTGCGACTGTTGTGATTGAGTCGAGGGTCGTCGAGGATCCGATTGGACCTGGGGAGATGGCAGAGGCTGACTGGTAGGACCAATGTTTCGCAGCTTGGGGTCGGCGTCTAGGTAGTATGCGCGGACGCCGACTATGCGTCCTTCGCGTTCGCAGCCCTTGAGCCAATCGGGTACAACAACGGGGACGTTCATGTCGCCGGCCTTCTCCCAAGCCTGGCCACGGCCTTCTGTACAGACGAAGTGTGTAGTGTCGATGCGCAGCGTATCGATCATCTTTGCGCCGATGCGGTCAACAGTGGCCTGCAGGTCATCGCGAAGCTGTTGGGGCATGATGCCCGGTGTGATGGTGATACCGGTGAGGTCGGTCATTTTGTGGGTACGGACGGTCAAGCGATCGCTGGTGTATGTGCCTGCCGAAGTGCGCAGGACGAGGTGGAAGGTGTATTCGCTATCGACAGCGAGACCCGAGATCTTTGTGCTCAGCTTGTCGCGCGGGATGTTGCCTGCCTTGCTTCCATTGCGGTACAGGCTCAGACTACGCAGCTCGGCCGTAGCTAGCTGTACGGGATCCCATTCGAGCACAACAGAAGTCTGTGTGGCATTGCGACAGCGCAGCACGGGGGCAGACGGGGAGTGGATACCAAAGGTCGAGTAGATGTCTTCTTGGAGCGCGTCAAACTTCTGAATAGCCTTGTCCTCGGCTTCCTCATTGCGGGCTACGTTGATGTCGACAATTGAACCCGATGTAATGTCGGCCGGCAGCAGGATGGACGGGAATTCGATCTGTCCAACACATTAGTCTCCCTGATCTCCTTTGGCCATCAACTCTCTGTTCATACCAATCGCTTGTCCTCGGTCAGCAGGACTGCCACTCCGGCATCTACCTTGCCCACAGTCAACGACACGAGCATTTTTGGTTATGTCTAATGTGATCAACTGCTTCCCATACCCCGTGTGTTGATGTCTCGGTGGCCTTGACCTGGAGAGACTTGGCGCGTCACTCCGGCGCGTCGTCATCAACTGCGCCGCTCTTTACTTCTATCATCTCGACCCTGCTTTGATTTCTCCTTCTTTGACCTCTACTCATATTACATGGCTCGTTACCTCAAGTGACCACTGATTTTACTCGTGTTTATCACCCCAATCACACTTGATGACTTCTTGAGACTGTTGCTCTCTTTGACAGAAGCCCTAAGGTAATGAAGCAAAGTCGGAATGATCATTTCGCAAACAATTCGAAACTTTGACGATTGTCTTTGACAAGACGGCTACCAATCCAAGCCACCTTCTTCTGCACCTCCGCCGGCCTGGAAAGATTTACAGTAGCGAGACGTCCCGACTGGATCGACTCTGTGTTAGGGCATTGACTGTTCAAATGCTCATCGACGCTGAAGTGCTAGAGCTTCACTAGCAGACGTCTCCTCGGTTCCTGATACCATAACGCCTTCCGCTACCAGACAAATCTCATTGTCAAATGTCTGCCCACGTGCAGCCCCTTTTGTTTGGGCAAGCTCGACCTGCAGGTCATGAATCGCATTCTTGGCACTGCTTTCCGTCGCGAGCCGTCACAACTCGATCAGCCAGCAAGCACTCTTTGCCAAAGCTTCTCGACCACCGCCTCGAAGAGGCATCAACCACACTGATCTGGCCCGAACGCGATGCAAGATCTCTTGAAGACTTTTGAGCCTTGATGGTAGCGAATGACACGGTCACTTTGAGGTGACTATCTTTGATTCTTGGACAGGGCAAGTTTCCGCTCGAAGGACTCGCTTCTCAACACCAGACCCATGACTCGATGGTCATACTGCTCGCAGCCTGGATCTCTGTATACTGATTGAAAATGTGTGGATATCGGAAAATTTGTGTCACATGTGTTGATCCCTGGTTCCCATATGAGAAGGAATGGCTTGTGTATCACGTTTCATGGGATTGTACACGCAATCCACAAAGGCCTGAAGCCATATCTATGAATGCTTTTGACAAGGTACATGAGTATGGAGAAGGAGGTGCAGGCCAGAACGGAGCCCTGGAACCCGCAGCCTCCCAACGTCCACGTCCGTGTCACGGCTTCCAGGTCTGGCACGAAGTGTATGTTAACTCTCGTCCAGCACGTGCTTCCTCCGACCGAACAAGAAAACTATGGCAGCTTGCCAAGTGTATATATCTCGTTAGCCTCAATTTGCTGTCGAAACGGCTCAGTATGCCGTGATGTGATTGACAACAGATTCCGCATGCCTTTGGTAACAACCAATCCATCTTCTTGCTTTCGACCGAGGACAGTCTCCAGTATTGATGGTCCTTGAGCCCTAATCCATAGTACCCGCTGTGGCCCCAAAACGCAGGGTCATCGAAAAGTAGATGGCTGCAGACCTCGATCGTGTTCGATCGTCCTTTTGCCCGAGGCCATGAGATGATTCATGAAGATCCCGAGGCAAAAATATAGAGATTGTCGTTAGTTGAGTCCAAGTCACGATCACCTGTACAGATACAGGTGCATAATCGACAGGCTTCAAAACAATCAGGCCCATCTCGAAACATTGTGCACTGAACTTCAAGTCAAACTTTTGACTTTCTTTTGACATCCACTTGATCCGTAAATGATCTCCACAAACTTCGGGTGGAGCTCCCGCTACTTGGAACAATAGTCTGATAGGGTCCGGGGTATGTCTGCTTTCTTCCAAGGAGCCCTGTGGCCGTCCCTGATCAGAGTGACGATCATCCATTTCTGTGAACAATACGATCGACCGGCGAACAATAGCGTATGATCAGACTTCGAAGAGGCCGGAAGGGGCCGCGGCTGTTTGAAGTTGATGGTTGAAACGTGCCAAGCCGAAGCTTACTCCAACCTCAATCCCTATTCAGCTCTGACAGCAACAGTCGCTCTTGCTAAAAGTTTTCGACAAACCTTTTTGTGATTGTTTCGTCAATGACTCGACTTCCATGTCGGTCCAGTTCTCCTCTCTCGGACTTGGAAGCGACGAAAACCATCATCAACGGAGCAAGTTTTGACGACTCGAGCAAAGTCTTTCCATGAAACTCACGATGCCATCTGCAAGGAAGATCAATCGGCCTAGTTGACCGAGTATGGAAGTTCTGAAAATAGGCCTTCCAGTACGGCCACTTGCATACTCACTTGAAGTCATACCAGCTGATTGAGATTGATTGATCTACACTAGTCAAGCTGAATGTATTTCCAAAGCCGTGCAATGGCGTTATCGGCCGTCAGGACAGCTTCTCCAAAGTGTCTCCCACCCGTGGCCTTGAGCTGGCCATCTCCAAGTTTCAGCCACCCACAGGTCCACATCTGTAACACCATCTTCAATGGCGCTGCTGCTAAAGATCGTTCCTGTCTGAAGTCTGCAAACAAGCCTCGGTAGTCTAACCTTGTCGTCTGGATCCTCACGCTCACAGACCTTCACCGAGAGCAAGTTCCAAGACGTGCTCAACCACGAGATGGTATAAGTATCTGCTGGTTCTCCAACATGAACCAACTCATCCAGCATCGCAGTTCTTTCTTTCCTCTCCTGGTTCAACTGTTCAAGCCGGTCTCGACAGTTTCTTTGCTCATTCGTTCTTGCCTCTTTTTCCGCACAACAACTATTCAATCGTTTTAACTCATACTACATCTCTTCGACAATATGAGATACTCACTCACTACTGCAGCTCTGGCCTTCGCCATCTGCTCTATTGCTGCCCCTGTCGCCCACGGCGGTAACGACTACGGCTCTCTGTCCGGTACAGGAGCTTCAGGCGTTGAGGTTTCTCCCTCCGGCTCAGCAGGTGTTGGAGCTGATGTCAATGGCTCAGGCGCAGGTTCCGCAGGGCTTGCAGGCTCAGCAGATCTGGGTTCATCCGCCTCGCCAAGCGTAGGCGCTTCTGCAAACTTGGGCGGCTCGGGCGTTGGAGCGTCAGCAGGCTTGGGAGGCTCCGGCGGACTAGGCGCACACGCTGATCTTGGTGGCAAGGGTTCCGGCCTCTTGGGAGGTATGGCTGGGTTGGGACTTGGCCATGAAGGTGGTTTGAGTTCTGGTCTGTCAGGAAAGGGTGGTGCTTACGGAAATGCTTCGCCCTCAATTGGAGCCAACATCGGCGGTAGTGGCTCAGCATCGCCGTCAATTGGAGCTGGTATTGGAGGTATTGCTTCGCCTTCTATTGGCGCCAGTATTGGAGCCGATAGCTCAGCCTCGCCTTCGATTGGAGTCGGTTTGGGCGGATATGCCGCCCCTTCAAATTCAGCATCTTTGGGAGGAGCTCTAGGCGGTCTCGGATCCGGACAAGCAGACGCAGGCTTGGGCGGAGCTGCTGGTCTCCTCGGAGGCCTCGGATTAGGTGGCAGCGGTCACGGTCACGGTGGAATTGGCCTAGGTGGTAGCGGAAGTGGAAGCGGTGATCTCTTGTCGGGATTGGGAATTGGTGGCTCTGCAGGAATTGGCAGCGGCGGCTCAGCTGGTGCAAATGGTTCGGGAGATGTTTCCGGAAATGCTGGCGGTGACACAGAGACCGATGCTTCCGGAAATGGTTCTTCGGCTGATTCTGGCGCATCTTCTTACGGCAATGACAGCTCTTCGTCTCCTAGCGAGAGCTCTCCTTCTGGCACTGAGACCGACGCTGCCTCTGCTACTCCTACAGACGCTTCATCTGCTCCAAGCTACGGTGATGACAGCTCATCCCCTGAGGAGAGCTCTCCCTCCGGTACTGAGACTGATGCCGCTTCTGCTACCCCCACAGATGCTTCATCTGCTCCTTCTGATGACTCTTCATCTGTCCCTTCTGCCGACTCTTCGTCTGCTCCTAGCTACGGATCGGACAGCTCATCCTCCAGCTACGGCTCGGATAGCTCATCTCCTAGCGAGAGCTCTCCCTCGGACACCGAGACAGACGCTGCTTCTGCTACCCCCACAGATGCTTCGTCTGCTCCTACTTACGGCGAGGACAGCTCCGTGGAGGATGCAGATAGCTCTGCAGCTGCTCCCGTGTACGGCTCTACTCCCAGCGAATCTGCTGTCGACGCTGCCACTCCTACTGAGGCTCCTACCACCCCTGAGACCTCTGCTCCTGCTCTTCCCCTGAGCACTGCCGCCTCTGGAAGCACTTACAAGTCCTACATCAAGAAGCGTCAGGATCTCAGTTCGCTTATGGGTGGATCTTCCGGTGGTTTGAGTGGTCTCTCGGGCCTCTCAGGTGGCAGTGGATTGATGTCTGGAGGCAGTGGTCTTGGAAGCTTCCCAAGCTTGGGAAGTGGAAGTTCTGGCTTGTCTGGCCTTTCTGGGCTCTCGGGCCTGTCCGGAGGTGGTTTGAGCGGACTTGGTAGTGGTTCTTCCGGACTTTCAGGCCTCGGAAGTTTGGGAGGATCAGGCACTGGCTCGGCTTCTGCCCTTTCGACCGGCACTGCTTCATCTTCCAGCGGCTCGGGGTTTGATCTTTCAAGCCTTGGCGGCGGCTCTTCAGGTTTGAGCGGACTGTCATCCCTCGGTGGCGGCTCTCTCAAGGATAAGCGTCAATTTGGTGGTCTTGGAAGCTCCGGCGGTTCATCAGGTTTGTCAGGCCTCAGCGGACTGTCAGGCGGATCATCTGGGCTCAGCGGCTTGTCAGGAGGCTCTTCGGCACTCAGTGGCTTGTCAGGTGGTTCGTCTGGCTCCGGTTTTGACCTTTCATCGCTAATGGGCGGTCTAGGCTCAAGCAGCACCGGCAGCTCTGACTCTTCCGCTTCGACCGGTACAGCTACCACTGATTCATCGTCTGGCTCTTCTGGATTTGGCTCGCTCGGCTCGCTCGGTTCTTTCACTGGCTCTGCTGGCGGTGCTGTTCCTAGCAACGATGTTACCAGCAACACTGGATGCAAGAAGGTCACCTTCATCTTCGCTCGCGGGTATGTTCAAAGATTGCTAAATTCACGATTTGAAACCTAACATTTTACTAGTACCACTGAAATGGGCACTCTCGGCTCGGTTGTTGGCCCCGGTCTTGCTCAAGATCTGATCAAGGACACTGGCTCTTGCTCCGTGCAAGGTGTTGATTATCCAGCTGATGCCGCTGGCAACGCAAACATGGGCGCCTCCGGCGGTCCCAAGATGGCCGCTCTCGCCAACCAGGCTCTTAAGCAGTGCCCCGACACCAAGATCATCCTCGGTGGTTACTCTCAAGGCGCCATGGTCGTCCACAACGCCCTCAACTCTGTCGACGGCTCCAAAATTGCCGCCGTCACTGCTTTCGGTGACCCGATGAACGGACAGACCTTCAAGGGTGTTGATGACAGCAAGGTCGTCCGCTACTGCGGCTCTTCCGATTTCGTGTGTGACATGTCCGGCAAGACCCAAGGCACCGGCTCTCACATCTCCTACGGCTCCAACTTGGCCGAGGCCGCTTCTCGCCTGGCCCAAATCGTTGGCGTCAAGGCTTAAGTCAAAAAAGCACTCCCTAGGACCTCCTTGGAGCTCTACAACGCTCTCTACGAGCAAGTCTCTCTTATCTTGTTGTCTTTTCCTTCTTGTTTCCCAACAAACCAAAGCGCTTGGTTTCAGTCACTCCTTTAAACGTTCTCGGTCGTTTTTGAGTTTGTTTTTCACGCGCACATGTAATGGGGAGTAGTCTCTTAGGATGTAAAACTGTACTATCTATAGCTCTTCTGCAGCAATCACAAATGATTCATATCATTGTTTCATCAACTCTTGTCTCTTATCTACGATTTTGTGCAATGCCTTCTCGTGTTTTGTTTATCAGGTCGAGACTGCAAGACACACTTGAACAAGAAGTTGAACGGATTAAACAGAGATGTGACTGGAAAAGAGAGGATTGACTAAGAAAGAAGTAAAAGTCATCTCATTCAATTATAGCTTTACTGTAGGGAAAGAACACAATCGATACAGCACCCGCTTTCAGCGATCCTCCGTATTCTATCAGCCACCCATGACGATACAAAAGATCAAAGCCAAAGATCAGCGCTACCGATTGAGAGTAGAGCAATGTTCTTAGCATCTCAACTCTTCCTGTTTGTTTTCTGCTCTTTGGAACATCTCATGACAGACCTCGAAAATTCAACCCTGCATTCTTTCTCTCGCAGATCGTGCAACGGGATTTCGCGTAGTGCTACCTTACCATGAGACCAAAGAGTATCGAGGTATAGCAAGTCTAGATTCGGCGCCATCTGGGATGCGAGCTGTTGTAGCACTTGCGGGTCGTAAGGTCGTCTGTAGTTGCTTGAGCTTGAGGAAAACATCGTCCACATCGTGAAATAGTTCGTCTGCATGGTTAAGTTCTAGATGTCGGACACACTTGCAATAAGGCTGCCGCTTTTGGGGATGCGTGGTCGCCAAAGCTGAGAGCGGAGGTGCCGACCAAAGAAACTCGTTTGCTGCTCGGGTCCAAGTCTTGTTGATCCGAGCCACACAACGTAGTGACGGGAGGTCATCAGACAGACACCGTAGCTGCCGATCTTATAATGAAGGGACTGAAGGGAGGCGTGGCGGTATCGATGGAGAATGCGATTGTAATGGAAGATGCGATGGTATGACAGAAAGTGATACGCGAAAGAGATGAATATAGACCTGACTCCAATCAGCAAATGGTTTCAGTATCGAGAGAGGGAAGCAAGAGGCATGTAGAAGGCGCGCCTTTGTCCTCTCCCAACCATGAAAGCCTCCATTGCAATTCCAGATGGTTACTGTCCACACAATCAACCACTGATGATTGCGCGCATTGCTCGATCTCGCACCTCCCTCGGAAGCAGCGCAAAAGCACATTCGCATTCCCTGTCAACCACCGCATTGGCACCTTTGCTCGCCAGATACTCTGCAAACAACGTCGCTTTCGAGAACACAAAATGCCTCTGCCACCATGTATATGCAGCCCTGTCGAATATATCTTCCTCCGATCTAAGCTCGAAGATATTCTCATACACAGCTTGTGGAGGTGTTATGGATTTGCAAACTACAAGCAACGCCTTTTTGCGTGTGTCGTTTTCGAATCTCGAGATCTTTCGGAGCGATTGTTGTCGGTGATAGGGATAGTACTCGTGAGTCTGCGGTAGGAGTATATCTCTTGGGTAAGTTCGAGGCGTACTTTTAGGAGTGCTGGGACGCCGTGGGCGAAGATGTCGTGATCGTCTGAGAGAACATAGCCGTAGATTTGATCCTTGACCTCGAGAGGCAGCGACATAAGGTTCGAAGCCATGTTTGATGAATATATTGTTGGGAGTCGATGTCGGTTGTGAAACTCAAATCTTGGAGTGTGCGAAGCGTGGGACGAGAAAGGGAGAGAATAAATTTGAGAGTGTGGTCATGGCTGTTATAGGTAACAGAATTGAGCTCGTCTGAGTCATCGAACGCTGGATATTTCTCTATCTCTCTCAAAGATGGCTGCCAAGACCTTTGATGATCTTAGTCTCTACCAACCTGCCTTCTTCAAACGAAGGTAACATTTTTGGGGCTGGTGAGTGATTCTGTCCACCGCTCGGTAAGTCCCTAACTCCTCGGGCACTTGAAGCAGCTCAAAGTTCCAAACGATGAACACGACTAGCATACGAAGCTCGATGTACGCTAATTTCCGTCCTGCAAAATCGTCAGATTCAATTCGATTTGGAGAGTAAAAGATTTCCATCATACCAAAGCAACCGCGCACTCCAGCGCCAAATTGAAGGGTTGGACCTGCGTTCTTCACGAACTCCACCTCGCCTTTTTCATCTGTTCTCAGCCAGCGCTCTGGTTTGAATACGCTGATGTCATTATTGTCCCAAACACCGGTCTTGTCCTTAGATGCCTGGCTGCTGGCACTGCGTTTATGTTCTTCCACGGTGCCGACAGGTGGTGCAACATAGCCAGCATAAGACAAGAAGTTCACATCGACACCCTTGGGAATGTGGATGCCAAAAATCTCAGTATCAGCTGTTGCAATGCGGCTCAATACAGCAGCAGTCTGGCCGCAACGCAATATTTCTTCTAGCATGGCGTCGATGAAAGGGTGATGCAGTGTTGCGATTTCTTTTGCGGTGGGTTGTCTTCTCTCCGCACTTGCATCAGCATATGTTGAACGTAGGACTTCGCGCAGTCTGGACTGCGATTGTTGGTTGTCACTTATAAGCTTCACTCCCCACGAGACGGTGGTTGACGTGGTCTCGTAGCCTGCAATGAGGAACCCAAAGATTTCGTCTTTTGCCTCGCGAGTATTGAACCTAGAAATGTTTAGTTTTTGGTCATGACATCAATCTTTAATACTTACTGAGGTTCTCTGTCTTCCTTTTTAGACAGCAGAAGTTCACGTCGAATCATATGGTCAATAGCCGATCGATCTTTACCTTGTGTTTCAAGAGCATCGACCCGCTGGCCGGAGAATTTATCCAGCGCTTCCTTCATCATGGTTTCTATCTCCTGATCTTTGTATCGCTTGGCATTTTTGTATGACTTACCCTGTCGCAAGAACCAATGATATGTTTTCGGGAACGGGTGGGAGATCAAAGGTTCCATAGAGTTTGTCAATGTCAATATGGCATCAAACGCCGGAGGATGGGGCGCTTGCGGAAACTCAACGGACTCGTCCCTGTTCTGTGGAAGATCCAGTTTCGACACTGTCTCCAACATATTCGCCTGGCTGTCGATTGTTTTGGCTGACGAACCTAGTGCGACCACCCAGATAGCATCGAGAGTGGTGTGCGCAATGTCTTCGTGAGCTTCAAAGGGGTGACTCTCGGCAAGGTCCGCTTTTAGATTCCACAGCCGTACGAGGTCCATAGTTGCTTCAAGGATACGAGGAGTGGCAACCTTTAGAATGTAATCAGCACAGCATGTGAAGTGAGTGTGGTCAAGACGCCTTCTACCTCGTTCAAGAAGGGCGGCATCATAGTAGCGGATAGAAGACGTTTCTGAGCCTTGATCTTGTCGGTCGTTTTCTGGCCAATGTGATGATACGGAAGGGTACCACTGAATATATCCTCGAAGGCGTCGCTACGGTCAAAGTCCTTGTGCCTGCGAAGCAGGACATCTTGTGCCTCGCGGAAGTCGGCCACAATGACGAGTGGAGAAGCGAAAGGACGTAAGAACAGCTGGATGATTGGAGAGTCATGTTTTTCGATCTGTCGATGCCACCAGTTCAAAGCTTCACCCTGATTGTCTTTGACGTATTTCAGGAACTCGGGGACATCGCCCATGATATGCTTTGCGGCGTCCTTGTTATATGGTATACCTGGAATAGGACGGGGCAAGGCAGCGCGATAGATGACATAAATCAGAGTCAAGCAAAAGGCAGCGAGCGCTAGCACGCTTGGTGAGAAGGAGAGAAGCGACATGACAGATACGGAAATGACGATATTGAGAGCAGGAAGTCGAGCAAGACGATCGAGGCAGACATGGATTGTCCTAGCATTTTATACGTCTGTCATTGCGGACTGGGTCACAGGAGTTGCTGCTAGACAAGGAAGGTTTCATGGAGAACGAGCTGACGTGAGAGATGGGCATGATGCAAGTGACAGCGGAAGGGGATTGCGTCGACTGTCTTTACAGACCGGTGTGGCGGCAATGGAAGGAATGAGGATGATTTATTAAAGAAAGTTGTCGCGTATGCAGGACGCTGATGCTTGGCTGCAGGTGGGACGCGGATTGGCATGTGACGCTCGGGTGGGTTTGAGCGAAAGCGGATAAAGGAGCTTACGTAGGGCAACTCGAGGACAACAAAACACACCCATCCAAGACGGCGGACAGCATGGATTGAAGGTCGTCAACATCACAGCGCAATGTCATGGCCAGCGAGAAATCGAAGAACGCAAATGGCTCCGGCCACGTCGCCGAAGACGAGGAGCACCTGCTCTCCTACGACGAATCCCCGCGGCACTCTTCCCCCGACAGCGACATCGTAGCCCATCCCGCCAGCCAGTCGCAATCACCGCGTCCAGGCTTCCTACCCAGAAGACAATCCTCGTTTGCTCAGCCACGTCCTGGCGGCAATCCAAGAACAACCAACCGTGTCCACTTTGACATCGAAGACTCAATCCGTGGGAGTCTCGACCATGCCCATCAACACGACCACGACTTGATGGAAGAGGAGGACTATCTCACTGCAGACAACTGGAGTAGCAGAAGACACAATGCTGGCCAACGCGCCCCCCTCCTGACAGGCATTGAGGCCCCTGCCGTTACTGTCGCCGAGTCCGACTTCAACCCAGATGACCTGCTGGAAAGTGCGAGGCCTAAAAGCTCAATGTCTAGCGCTTTTATGAACATGGCCAACAGCATCATGTGAGCCATCTCGCTCCATTTAGCCTCTTGAATCTCCAATCTGACCCGTTCTTGCAGTGGTGCCGGAATCATCGGACAGCCATATGCACTTCGCCAAGCCGGTCTGCTTACAGGTGTCATCCTGCTCATCCTCTTGACTATTACTGTTGATTGGACAATCCGCCTCATCGTCATAAACTCCAAACTTAGCGGCACCAACTCCTTTCAGGCAACAGTCGAGCATTGCTATGGAAAGTCCGGTCTCGTCGCCATCTCCATCGCTCAATGGGCTTTGTAATTCATCCCTATCTCTGATCTGACAAGTACGAATGCTGACAGAATTAGCGCTTTTGGCGGTATGATCGCCTTCTGCATCATTGTGGGAGACACGATACCGCATGTCATGTCGGCCCTGTTCCCGTCTTTAGAAGAGAGCCACTTCTTATGGCTTCTCACAGACAGGAAATTCGTCATTGTAGTCTTCATCATGGGCATCTCCTACCCATTCTCGCTTTACAGAGATATCTCAAAGGTTTGCTAAATCTGCCTTGCTTCATATCCATTCCTGCTGACCCATCTCTAGCTCGCGAAAGCCAGTTCGCTGGCTCTAGTCAGTATGCTCATCATTGTTGTCACAGTCATCACCCAGGGCCCTAGGGTTCCTGCTGAGATGAAGGGTCCAATCAAGGGTTCCCTGATCATTAACAATGGCGTCTTCCAAGCTATCGGTGTCATCTCTTTTGCCTTCGTCTGCCACCACAATAGCTTGCTCATCTACGGATCTCTTCAGAAGCCAACCATGGACCGATTTGCCAAGGTCACGCACTACTCCACCAGCATCTCGATGCTTGCTTGTCTTGCTATGGCACTTTCTGGCTATCTGAATTTCGGAAGTCTCACACAAGGCAATGTCCTCAACAACTTCCCTACAGACAATATCCTGGTCAACATTGCTAGGCTATGCTTCGGCCTCAATATGCTCACAACCTTACCTCTAGAAGCATTCGTCTGCCGAGAAGTCATGAACCTCTACTACTTCTCCCACGAAGCCTTTGACCCCAATCGCCACCTCATCCTCACCACCGCTCTCGTCATCTCAGCCATGGGCTTGAGTCTTCTCACCTGCGATCTTGGCATCGTATTCGAACTCGTCGGTGCCACCAGTGCTTGCGCTCTCGCCTACATCCTACCTCCGTTATGTTACGTCAAGCTCACAAAAAGACGGACGTGGGAAACGTATGCTGCATACGTCTGCATAACGTTCGGATGCATAGTCATGGGTATCAGCGTCTTGCTTGCTGGTGCCAAGATGGCGAGGAATGAAGGCGGTGCACAATCCTGCTAACCAATCTTGTCATCCTCGAAAAAGATGTAATCGCCAAAATCTAGAAGAACTATAGATGTTCTATCCCACCCAGCTTCTATTCTATGTATACTGTATCAACAGGTTTTCTCTTAGGCCGGTGGTATGTTTCGGGTGTTCTTCGCAGGTCCTCTGGATCAGCAGTCCGTAGAAGGTAAATCATGCTTTCCAAACCGGTCAATTGACTCCGTTGGTTTTCGTTTTTCGATCTTGCGATCTGACATATAATATGCTTCTCTGCTTGTCACAAACCAGTGGTTGTATACCAACAGATTTTCAACACCAGCACATACGGCCACAGTCAGCTGAAAACTGGGCATCCCGTCCGCTCTGCCATACATAAGCAGTTGAACGGCAGATTAGTACTACGGTGGGTGACCACGTGGGAATCCCTGCTGCTGTATGTTTTGTTGCATCTCCCTCTTCTTTTTGCTCCATGTCAAACACATTACTATATACATCTATATACATCCATTATAGTATGTGCAAAGCAAGCATTTTGTATGTTTTGCTGTCTGTTGTGGTTGGGTTTTGCACTCTCTCCTACGACTCATGTCTTGGGATGTTTCAATCTGTAGATATGCACGAAGGTTTTTTTTTGGATATTGGAGAGTGTCTGGAGAGATGAGCAAGGTGACACGCTCTCACTGGACAGATTGTTGAGCTGGGAAAACATTGTGCATTTCTGCAGCTTCGATTGTGGTATATTGCCTGGGGGAGAGCACTGAAGCAATAGACATTGATAAGTGATATTGGGCTCTCGAAGCTAGTCTCAGCATAATTTATCCTCCGAGCAAAGGCAAGACTACCACCCTCTATTCCTCATCGTCTTCGGGATACTCTTCTTCTCCCTCTTCATCATCACCTCCGCCACCCGCGCCTTCCTCTTCTGAATCCGATCCTGATCCTTCACTTTCACCATCGGATCCGGGGTCGTAATCTTCCTCTTCTTCGTCCTCTTGATCCTGCAGCGCCTGCTCTGCCTTCTGCAGCTCGGTCATCTCATCATCGTCGTCTGCTCCTTCCGCATTGGGAGCTCCTTCTTCTGCTCCTTCCGTTTTCGGTTTTGGGTTGATATTCAACTTCTTTGCTTGGCGCTCTGCGGCCATAGAAGCGTCATTTAGGTCATGGCGTTTGACGTATTCGTCAATACCGGCAAAATCGGCTTGGTCTAGCATAGAAAACTCGATATCTTGCTTGTCGCCAGTGATGGGATCTGGCATGGTGGTTATGACGATGTTGAAGGTCCGTTGTAGGACAGATGTGTATGAGATTGACTCGATGTTCTCGAAAGTGAAGAGCGCGAGGGGCTTCTTGAAGGCCCAGACGATGCCGACTGAGAGGAAGAACAGGTAACCTGCGCAGCGTTAGAGGATATTGTGCTAGTGAATGCGGGTCTCGGAGCGCATCTTACCATCTTTGCTTCCCTTGTGGGCCTTGACGTGGTATGCAGCTTCGCCCTTTCTATGGCTTTGTGGTATCGCGCTTGCAAACTCTTGCTCTGTGGGTATGATGACGTTCTTCCCGTGAGCCTTCATGCAGGCGTTCAGTGATCTCATGGTGCTGGTAACGTATGTGTCCATGTCTAGGGGTTTGAAGCCATCAGCAGCCTTGACATTAGCAGGGGCTGTTTCGGGCATTGTCCAGACAATTTGTTCGGCCTCAATGACTCGATCGCCAGTCTTAAAGTCGACAGTTTGGTTGGCGAATATGACAAAGTTCCACTGCCGTGTCGCTTTCTCGGGTACCGGTAGACAGAACACCTGCTCTGTGGTGGTTGTTAGCCTTCTGTGACCTTTTGCTCCAATTTTGAGCATCACCTACCGATTTTGCTGAAAGGGACGGCCAAATTTATACCTGAGCCCTCATGCACAATTCTGACAGCTCCCTCTTCAAGCCTCTGCGGGTCTCCTGCCAATTGTACAGTCATCTTTTTTCTTTGTGGCACTGCGAAGCTCGTCTCCGGGACCGAGTATAATACGTTGGATGCATCTTTCAGGTTTAGTGTTGTCGTCAGGTTGAGAGCTGGTGCAGGCGAGGCAGCAGCAGTAGATGGTGCAGAAGTTGTCTTTCTCTTCTTTGCGTCAGGAGCGTCAATAGTGTCGTCGGATGATCGTTTTCCAGTGCGTTCGGACATGTACTTGGCAATGTCGACAAACAATTGCATTTGGTCGCGATTCTCTTCTAATTGCAGATAGGTTAGCGACTGTGCCTTGCGACAGCAACAGTGCCAAACTTACTCGCTGCTGCGAGGATACGGTCGCATAACGCAGTGTCATGGCCAAAGGCCGCTTGAATGGTATCCATGCCGTTTGCGATATAAGTTTTGAACGCGAGTAAACCGCAAGGTTGATGCGATTCAAAAAGTTAGGTCACAAGGCAGAAGGGACGACGCGAGCCCATCTCAGAAGTCGCGTTTCGCTCTCAGATCGACGTCATGTGCTTCGAACCAGCTGAAGCCTGAAGAGAGGCACGATTATATCTGGATATCGAGAACTGTCCAGTGAGAGACGAAAATGGTGTGCTCTCAGTGGACGCTACTTTAGTTCCGAACACATTTGTGCATTGTTATAGCTAGATGATCGATGAATGGTCGCGGGAGTGACCTCGACGAGATCTGAAGGTACGCTTGATACCTACCAACTCCCATCGACCTGATCTAGGTATTCGGAAATTTTCGAACAAGCTGATAGACGTAGAAGAATTCTGTTTGAATAACCAAGCTTGTAGCGGGATACAAGAATAGAACGAGAAACATGATCAATATTTGGTAAGATATGTAAGACCCCTGGAATTTTCGTGAGAGCAATTAAAAGCTGCTCTTACGACTGTTCCATCGCGCGCAACCCTTTGTCAAACACTCGAACCCTCCCTCCCTGCTTCCTTCACTGGCCTCCCCTGTTTCTTCCAACAGTAAAAACAAACGTACGATTATAACAAAGACGACTCTCGGGATGAGAGAGCAAAGAAGCAAAGAGAATCAAGGAAATATGAGACAAGTTTGTATGAACACCGGACCTGCGCTGTAACCAAGAAATTGGAGAAAATATCAGAAGACAAAAAGGAAGGGAAAGAGGGAAAGCGGAGGCGATCGGAATCCCGTGAAGTATCGGTCAAAGGCGCTGGCTGAGTGACAAAAAGAAAAGGAAATTCGTGAGAACAGAAGGATCAAATGACTCTGAGAACTCAGAAGTTCTGTGCAATGCCACTGTTTCCTGATTGGTAGTTGCCGCCGGCCTCGATGCGTGTGTTTCTTCTAGCGCTCACATCGCGTACGATTGGCATACCACTGTCACCACCGCCGTATGAGCCATCGCCATAAGGACCGTGCTGCCCAAAGCCGCCATAGCTGCCGCCATACATCTCGGTGGGCGAGTAAGCTTGGCCAGACTGACCCATGCCGGCTGATGCGTCGGAACGCTCACTGTGATTTCCGGCTGAGTAAGAGGAAGAGGCGTTGGAAGGTCCACGACGGATGTCATTGTTGTTACGGTGGGCACCAGCAACAGGGGCGGCGCCGAGTGCACCAAGATCATCGCTGCTGAAAGTCTCGCGCTTGTTCATGAGTGTGTCACCACTGTGGCCGTCCGAAAAGTTGTTTCCGGTAGGGCTGCCAGGTACGTAACCGCCAGGTTGACTTCCAGTGTCGCTCAGTTGTCCAGCAGTATGGCCGCCGGAAAGAGTGGTTGAAGCCTTGCGGTTCGACATGGAGGTGTTGCCCCATCCGCGGTAACCACCGTTGGAGTCCTCGGCCATTTCAGATCCATCGGCAGCGACAACAGGGAGGGTGGGGTCATTGTTCGGGTTGAAGCCATATTCTTCGACTTCCTTGCGACGCTCCTCCTTGGCAACCTTTCTTTGCTTGCGCTTTCTCCAGAAGAAGAGACCAGCGAGAACCAAGAGAGCGACGACTACGACGGGAACGACGACAGCAATGGCGGTCTTTCCGCCAGTACTCAAGCCGCCATTGTTGTCTGAGCCTTTGTTGGTTGTACCGTTGGGCAAACTTCCTGCGGCTGAGGATGAAGCGGAAGCCGAAGATGAGGCTGATGAGCCCCGACCAGCAGTGGTTGTCGAAGGGGTGTATACAGAGGTGACGACAACGGTGACAGGTGCATTAGACGAACCGCCAGATGCACTCTCGGTGACGACGGAAGTAATGAGCTGAGTAGAAGGAGGTTGCGACGAGGCAGACACGATTGACGTGACAACGTTGGTCGACGACGGCTCGACGGTCACTGTGCTGCCCATTTGAGTTGCAGAGGAAAAGACCTCGGATGATACTGATGATGCGACAGCAGACGAGACGGACGACTGGACGGCATCTTGGGTCGAGGACGGGGCCTCGTTGGCCGTGGTTGAAAGGAACGTCGACGACGCCGGAGTCGTGATGGCCGCTGTTCATTGTCAGTCGCAAACAAAGAAGCTGATGCACGGCCGCTCTTACCTGTTGAGTTGGACATGACTGCGCTTCAACAAAGCCAGGTGCGAGTCGATTATCGGACAGACGAGAAGCCTCTCATGCGAGAGAGGAGTGGTACGAGCGATGCGGGTCGATCAGTAGGTAGGCGATCAGGATAGGGAGAGATAGGGCTGGCGTGTGTCGGCGGTGAGGTTGAGAATGGTAATGGCAAATGCAGGTCGACGAGTATGCGTGTTGGAGACGCTCGTTTCTTCAGCCCGGCAGAGTCTTGAGATCAGCGAGGCCAAGGGTCCTGCACTTTGGCTCCTATGAAGCAGCGGTTCGTGTTGTCCCGCCTATTTTCACGCTTCCGATCGTTGATTCGTGCGTGCAGCGATGATCGATGCTCTGCTTCTCTCCTTCCGAATTGGTTCAGGGCTGCTATCTATCACTTTGTTTGCTCAAGAGACTCAATCAAGACAACAAGGACGGTGTCTGGGACTCCAAGCTGCACCGTCTCGCTCGCCTTCGAGGTTTCAGCTGCCATCCCGTGGGCTCGTCTACCACCTCGTTCTTTTCTTGGCCAATCATTAAAGTTGAAGCCACAACTAACCCTGTTTCGGATGCTTGTGTGGCCTGCCCGTTCACGCGCACGCTCGCAACCAAAACGTCACATTCATCTGGTTGTTATGCACATGGCAGCCTCATCCTCTGTTTACTCCTCCTGGAAGCGTCATATCCTCGACTGTTGTACCGATTTCGTGGCCAGATTCAAGTCATCTCACAAACACGATTCAAGCGCGGCTGGCCCTTTGTCAAGCTGCAAGGTTCGGCCAAGCCCAATTAAGCCGAAGCATGCGAGCACCTGATCGAACCATCCGTTGACTTTGGCTCCTTCCCGCATTTATTTGTTCCAGCTATTTTCTGCTTCGGTCTTCTCGTTCACACAACCACAAACTTGTGAACAGACTCAAGGAAGAAATCCGCGGCGACTATTTCATTGCCTCGTGATCGCTGCGACGAAAACCGATGGAAGATTCACTGCCAAGTCGTTTCTTCCTAACGTTGCGCCGGCCTTATTGCACTCCCAAAATAGCCCAGGCAATGACGCCTGCCAAAGTAGGATCAGCCCTCTTCAATACAACGTTGCAAGGAGCCTTGATACTGCCACGGCACATGCGAAAGTAGAGGTACACAGTAGGTAATGAAGCTTCATGAAGCGACGCGTATGCGTTTCATATTGAACATGATCAAGATAATCTCCAAACTGCATCCCCAAAAGAACATAACAACAAGAAGAGAAGTAAAGCTATCAACAGATAGAAAAGAATTGAATACATGAAACCATTTCCGTCTTTTATTGGTCAGGCACTGCCTGTCACATTTTCCCGGTTTTCCCAAATTCGTGTATAGATATCATGCAAAGCGCTGAACTCGCAGCGCTAGCGAAAGAGGTACGAAATGAGTGTGCGATGGTCAGTCTACTTGACTTCGCTGAAGTTGCTGAGTAGACTGCCATCAAGGTCTTGATCTAGGGAATGATTTAGTTCCAGCTCCAGGTCATGCCAGGAACACGGCCATCGCCGTTGGCGGTGACCTCGTTGAAGAAGTCCTCGCTGAGATCGAGGTCGGCCTCAACACAGCCGACACAGCGGTCAACGACCTTGGCAGTGTAAGAAGATCCGTTCTTGCCCTTGATAGTGACAGTCTTGCCGCAGAGAGGGTTAAGGTTGGGGTTGGCGGTGGCGTACTGAGGGTCGTCAAAGATGGTGTGGGAGATAGCGACAACAGCCTCGTCCGAGGTGCTGGTCAATCCGCAAGATCCTGTGCCGACTTGGTACCAGGTGAGGTCTCCAGTGTACTCAGTGCCGGATGCGGCCAGTCCACTGCTGGAGCCGGAAGACGAAGAGCTAGTAGTAGCTGCAGGGGCGCTGCTGGTAGTGCTGGTGGTGGGAGCAACATAAACCGAGGTGCTCTCAATGGTAGGGGCGACGTAGGCAGACGTAGTGGTGGGTGCGACGTAAACAGAGGATGTGGTAGGAGCGACGTAGATTGAAGTGCTGCTGGTAGTAGGGGCAACGTAGACCTCAGAAGTGCTAGTGGTAGGAGCGACATAGGCCTCAGAGGTGCTGGTAGTGGGAGCAACGTAAACAGAGGTGGTCGAAGGAGTAGGAGCAACATAGACCGAGGTGGTCGAAGGGGTGGGAGCTACATAAACGGAAGAGCTGCTAGTGGTAGGTGCAACATAAACCGAAGTAGAGGTAGTGGAAGCCTTGGATGCCTTGGAGTGGAAGAACTTGTGGCCGTGTTGTTGAGTAGTGGTGGTCGAAACAGCAGTGGTCTCGACAGCATCGGCCCAGACAGTCATGGTGACGGGAACAGTGACAATGTCGGTAGCGATCTCAGTGACCCAGACGACATCGCGCTTGGCAAGAGGTGCGGCGTTGGCAATGGCTCCGAAGAGGGCAGAGCCGGCGATGATTCCGAAGGACTTCATTTTGATAATGATGATAAAAGTGGCTTGAAAGAGTGAAGCTGGTAATTCCTGGTTTGATGGAAAGACTGTGATGAAACTGGCTAGCAGCTCTGGTGGTTGGTTGAGACCGTGGGTAGGAGAGTAAAGAGTGAAAGAGTGTACAGGAATCTGAGTTCCTAGAACGAGGAAGGAGTGAATGGGGGAAAATGAGAGTGAGAGTGAAATACACAACCGTAAGACTTCAAGCCTGTGAATACTGAGGGAAGAAGAGGGCGATCCGGCGGATGCGGCGTCCCCTTCTTGTAGTCTTTCACTTCACAGTGCCAGAGCACTGTTGTGGAGTTCCATCGGATCCTCAATGCAAGGCCGCTAGACGGTCCTCCCCTCCCGAGCTCAACCGGTACCTGTCTAGCGCACCTTTCCCCTGGAGGCTTTTTTGAACGGATCCAATAACATGCGCCACGCCCCCTCTAGGCCGGGTTGCGGGGTTCTTTAGATCTTTCTCTTGCAGCTCAGCAAAAAGAAGACGGCCCATCTGCATCAGTCATGTTCCCCACTGTCGCATGCTAGTTTTTTCACACAAAGAAAAAACTCTGCAGAGAAAAGACATGGTGAGGTACCGTACTCAGTTGCTACGCAACTAGCCGGTTCAATTTGCCAGCATAGCCCTGCAGCCGCAGTTACGGTCTGCTGTGTCCGTGTGTGCCATTTTTTTCTGTGTACCTGAGGCCATACCAACTTAGGTCTAGAGCCCGAGTTCCTGAAGCCACATGCTTGTGATGTGCACGGGACGAACGATGATTGGTCGGGCTGTTCGGTAAAAGCACGATTAGCGTCAGGGGTGTGGGTTTGACAACGAGGGAAAAAACGTGTCCACCGTGTTCGTGCTCGTGCCGCGGCGCAGTCGACTTTCACGTTTATCGATTGTCCCAGAAAGACGTTGTGCTGTCGCTGTCGAGGCGCTCGCGCAAACCATTTTGCTGATTTGGGAGCAGGACTGATCCAGACAGATGTCGTGCCACTGCGATGATTGGCGAGAGAGAAGGACGTGGCTTCCAAGATGGCGGAATCATATTCCCAAAGCATGGTCGCTGTTCCATGTTGCGCCGGAGCAGCTCAAGCCGCCAGCCAGTCTGTCGCAGAATCTCTGTCTCTGACCAGTGGTTGCTCAACATTGCAGAAGCCATTCTGCAAGGCACGATCGCAGACCTGCACACTGCTGCACCGCATAGACGGGTCATATCCGTCCGCCTCGGATATGTCGTGCGGTCATAAAAGGCGTGCCCATGCCTTTCTGCAGGTGGGGTTTTGCGGAACAAGTGGTGAGCCGAGTTCGATTCCACCATTCACGAGCTGTCGGTGGACCTGCACAATAGTACAAGCAGCCGGTCTCTTGTATCTTCAAAAGCAAATCGGTCATCTAACTGTCGATACCTTGTAAAGTCTGTCCGCTCGTTGAGCTCCATGGTGTTCCAGATGGCCGACCTGCGAGTCTCGAAACCCGAAGTTTTCCCGAGGAGAGTTATGGTTGCACAGCATAATGCTGCACAAGACAGGATGTGTCGACAAGTCGTTTTGTGTGTCAAGGGTGCTGCAGTGCACCTTCTTCCAGGTTTGTGCAGCACTTGTATCCAAGGTAAGTGGCTGACGCGAAGAGGGTACGAGTCTTCAAGTTCCCATGGCTTCTTGCACAGCAATTGGAAGATGAACGACTTTAAGATCAATGAAGCTTGCGGCACGCGTTGTGCGTCTGGCGCTTGCAGATTCGTGATTGACAATGATAGCGCGTGTGATTGGCCTGGCATACAACCCATCTAGCCGCCGAGGAATACAGTCTACGACAGATGACACACTGAGAGGCAGATAGCTGGCTGATATTGACCAGAATGGAGAGCTTTCTATGGAAACCAGATGGGATACCGCGTGGAAATTTTATTAAAGACCGCCTTCATCGACATCTGGAAGCCATTTACTTCCGTCCATATTCTTCCTGCCTTGCAATAATACTGAGCACAGCCAGAATGCACGACTTCTTCGCTACCACTTTGCAACAACTGGAGCCGTCGAGTCATGGTCACTCAGTGTCTGTTTCAGCGCAAGCCCGAAACCCTGGGTCAATTGCGATGCAGCGAAGGTGCTGGCCTGAAGGATGCAAAGAAACTTCTTCTGCTATGTGCTCCTGTGTAGTATCTTGCCTACAGAACCCTTGGCCTCGATTGCCTCTCGAATTTCGGCACTTTCATACGAATATCGCGAAGCAGTGGTAGCTCATCTATTCTCCGGACCTTCGTGTTTGCCGCTCAATTCTCGCGGTCACCAGTTTTACCTGCATCGGTCGCTTAAGGTTGACAATAGTGCAAATCGCGTTAGCTGCAGGCGCCGACACAATCTACTTTTAGCATATCGACAGCAAAGCGAATCATATCTGCTATGGTCGCCCATTGCCTATATCAAGAGTTGGGACACATGGTACTTTCTCTTCTTGTCAACATTGAACAACATGGTTCTGGGCCGTCTGTCATCTGATTCTTACTCGCAGGTTCCCGATCAAAGGGCCGGACCACTGCTACCCTCATACGAATCACTGCAGAATGATGAAAATCCATCAGTTAATACTCATGGAGTCTCAGACTCAAATCAGTCAGAGTCAGGCTTCAACGTTTCAGAACACAGAAAGTCGCATGCCATGTCAATGGCTCAGGCATTGACTGAGCAAATTCGAATCAAAGGGTGGCCGGAGGAGCCGCGGAAACTAAGAAACAAGACCTTGTTAACATTGTTTTTCAATCTTTGCGAAGCTTTGATCACCCTTGCACCAATAGCATTTATCAGTAGGTCTATCAGAAGTCCTTCCAGAGCTTGGCTTACCCTCTTCAGTCTTCGCTATACTGGCGGCTAAGCTTGACGGGAAGCCAACAAATGGCAACGGCCTTGGTCACAATATCAAGATCATAACGCGTCTTGTAAGTTACACTTACCATACTCTGGTCTTCTGTCTCTGCTGTACATCAGTCTTTAACGGCACCCTCGTTTGCCGCGAAGGTCATTTGCCCGCAGGGGCAGTATTCCCCTTCCATGATACGCGCGATGTTCACATTCCCAGGCTGGACCTTATGCTAACACGTTCCAAGGGGCCTTCAATCTACCCCATAATGTTCGCAGCAGTCGCTGGAAAGTCACTAAAGACCGTCGCCAGGTATTATGCCGAACGGGGTATGAAGCTTGGTGTACTGGAACTGCTTTTAGCAAGTCAGACAGTATGGGGTACCTTTGAAAGCCAGGTACTTTTGAGGCGCTTCACACTGTTTGGTGCTCACCTTTTCCTGCTCTGGTGTCTGTCACCTCTGGGTGGTCAAGCATCTTTACGTATCTTGGAAACTGCTATGGCCTCTCAGACTGCTGTTGGAGACCCTGTCTTATACCTTCCAACAGGTGGCATGAGCTATCATGCCATTGCGAATGACATCCTCATGACTGGAGACGCGGCTACACCTTTGGCAGCAATCAACTCGTTGTACAGTGCCAACCTCTTGGCTCCTGCCTCCGTAAAGACTTCTGCTGTCGACACGTGGGGTAACATCAAGGTTCCACGACTGAGTACCGTGAGCGCGAAGTCAGAATCCACAGGCCATTGGAAAACTGTCCCAGAACTTACATCGGCGGACAATTACACCTCCTTGTCTGGTTTGCCACTGGCCGGGCTCGCCAGAAAATCCCAAATCTTCCAGGAGTTCACGTTCGAATATGCTTATATGGACCTGAATTGCCCTGAGCCGGCGTACAACATGTCTCAAAGAGATCCACGTTTCGTGCAACAGCTGGGACTCATTTGGTCTCCGAACAATAAGTCTGTGTTCATCAACGAAGACAAGCATACAAAGACATCCTTCTTCCTTGATACACATACGCCAATGACAGAAGGTCGCATGTCAAACATTTTCCTTGATCAAAACCAGACGACTCTTACTGACACCAGTCTGCAATTTCCACGGAACCTTCTGTTCGGATCGCAGTACTCGGGCTCAGATTCAAGAGCGTATTCAGTACTCATGCGTAATTGTACAGTCAAGCTGAAGTACGTCGAAGTCAAAGCTGGATGTACTGAGGATGGGTGCAGAGCAACAGCATTGCGGCCGTCCACCAAGTACTCAGATCGGAACCCGAACTTGACACCTCTAGAATATCTTGTCATGTCCTATCACTTTATGCAAGATTTCCCTCTTGCAACCGGCAGTATTCACATGGGTGACACGTCACCCACGGAGTTCTATATCAAAGGAGCAAGCATGCCTTTCGGCACAGCAACCGCAGGCTTACCAGACATGGAAGACATTTCCAATGATCTTTTTGCGACACGAATGGGCTCACTGATGAATACCTACTTCCAACTCTCCCTTGCACCCTTGGCCTATACGGATGACCTCCCAGCCCCAAACGACTCAATCTGGAAATCCTCTAACCTTTCTATCACTACAAGTACAGAGCTCTACGACGAACTTCGGGCGCCTCCATATCTCCCTTTATACTCAAACACCACCATCACTGCGACGACAGAGGTTTACAAATGTAACTATCTCTGGTTCGCTTTCCTCTTAGTATCGTCCTGCATACTCTTATTACTCGGATCAGCGGGGACTGCATTGAGTCATCTATGCCACGCGCCAGATATGATGGGATATGTCTCAAGTTTCACCTACAACAATCCGTACATGAGTGTACCGTCTGGAGGAGAGTCATTGGGAGCCATGGAAAGAGCACGTCTGTTGAGAGATGTCAAGGTCAAAATCGGTGACGCTAGAGTCAATGATGAAGTCGGCCATGTTGTCTTTGCTACACTCAACCGTGCGGACTCTATTGGAGATTTGAGTCTGAAAAAGCACTATAGATAGATGAGTATTGTGTCGAGTGTGTGGTTCATCTGGCGTGTAGCTGTCTGGAGAGAATACGTTCTTTGATTTTGAGCAACATCATGATTGAGGCCATTGAGCAAGGGGACTAGCATATCACAAGGATTAGTATGTTAAGAAGACACTCTAACCATACTTAATTGCACTGCTGTTATAACTGCATGTGTGGAGACAGCAGTTGTCGTTAGTAACAATCATCATCATCATCATCATCATCATCATCATCATCATCATCNATCATCATCATCATCATCATCATCATCATCATCATCGCATCCTGACAGGGTGACCCTTTACATGAACCCGATCAAAGTCACAAACCTAGTTGTTAGGCGCTGTTATTCCATAAACATTGGACTTCAACACGATCTTTAACTTACGCAAGACGCTCGCATACACGTTGGAGCAGAGTTCATTCTTGAGCAGAAATGCTGGTAATGATTCTTGCTCGTCGTACGGGGTACGACCCTGACCCTTTCGAGCTCACGTGTACCTGCGGCACTATGGAGTACGAAGATACACACAATAGACAGATGCTAGACTGTGGCTCAATCGTTCCCTCTAGACAGGTAGGCCTTGTGAACGTCGAGAGTGGAGCCAATGGTTTGACATCAATATATATAAATAATGTTTCGTGGATTTACTTGAAAGCAATGCCTGGCAAGCATAATTGTCAAACATGGTGAGAGCAACGGACACCGTCACGATCTTCCGATTGCGACACACATTCTGGAGGGAAGACGCTCCCTGCGACTGTAGAGGAAAATATGTTTTCCGAAGTGCCACCAAAAGGTTGTGCACGCTGCACACACGATGGTCCGTCGCTCCTGACAAATCGCACCACGGCACTCCAGATTTGTCTGCCGAGGTGAAGATATTCCACGATCATCAGCAGATCATAATCGCAAGCCGAATCAAGTACGCTAGATACGGAAACTGAAATATCCCAAGAAGCATGAGGATTTGCTATATGGTGAAGCCAAGATAGGAAACCGAGGTTGGGACTACCCTTGCGAAAGCATGCCACTCGATGGCTGCCAGCAGCGCTGTATATCCCGGCTACATACCCTAGAAGAAAGAATGTCTGAGTAAGACATCCGGAAACCAAGTCGATAGATACCTTGATGATGCCTTCGCACCAAGCCAATAACTTGGCTAAGTACGGCTACCAGTCTCATGGAGCCCGGCTCCGCAACACACCATCGTCTATAGAGTTCCGATGCAGATCATGGCAAGAAGCTGCTCGAGCATGCCACGAACCATCATGGCAACCGGAAGAACTCCAGGGAGTGGTATTATCTCGCACCCTTACCCTCTCCACCTGAGTCGAATTGTGGCTAGTTGAAGCGCTCGACTCGGTATCTCCACTTGGTCAAGAACATGACTTCCTGACCGAGAGAAGGATTCATGCATGAGGGCAGAGCAGAAAGTTTGATAGACTCTGAGAGGGCCAACTCTCTGAGTCAAGTGGTCGAGTGTCAAGCAAGAAGTTTACTTTCTATCCGGAGCACAAACCTATTGTCCGGATGCATGGTGTGTGTGTGGTTGTATCCGTGAACCTTGACTTCTCCGCACCAAGGAGCTGAACCGGAGCTGTAACCGAGAGTCTGTCGACTTCAAGATATGTACTCGAGTACAAGCAACCTGCTCGCTGCGAGTCGCTGATGACTCGGGACGTCTTGTACTCATCGTCAAACTGGTTCGGGCCCGGAGACCAGGTGGGGAGAGAAATGGGAACATGCGAACTGCGAGTAATCGCAGCGCTTTGCAGGACCGCAGAGCCTCTGGCTGCGATTGCGATCACCACTGCAGCCCTTGTCGCCCGTGGCGTCTGCACTGCCCCAGCTCGAGATCTGTTGTCCTGGACACGAATAGGAGGGTGATAAGAGTCGCCGGCACTTGGTGATATTCTTGGACAAGGGTCTTTGGTCGAGATAGACACCGTCGAGCGCCGGCAGGATAGGGCTCGTCAAGACGTTGAGTAGACTTCGAAACTTTCCGCGGAGCGTGAGAGAAGCGGCTCAAAAAACACGTGTCTCCCCTAACGATGGAGGAAATACGAAGGAAAAGAGGGTTGGAGGCAGCGGGCCGCAGCATACCGCGATCGTGGTACGATGATAGGCGTGGTGGGCTAATGTGGTCTTGAACTTCCTTCCAATTCAGCTCCTCAAGGATTTGCCGGTAAACAAAAGGAATCTCCAACGGGGCTGCGGGCTTTCCAAGGCAAAAGCGACAGGCGAGTCATTGCGTATTTCAGCTTAAGGCAGGGGTTGCATACCGTGAAATGGACTTACGACTGCAAGATCGTTGGTGACAGCATTCGCGCAAACAGCTGAGACAGCGCCGTCTGTTGCAGCCCCTCTTCCTCCATCCAACGGCGGCGGGGCTTGCATGCCGATATCCTCAAAAACCTGCACGAGCGAGCACTCCTGCCTTCTTTGACGGGAAATTGGAACATCAGGGCTTTCGATGTCAGGTTTTTAACTCGCTCGTCCAGAACGCGCAGGTTCTCTCCTGCAGCCTTCTCGGCCTGGCCTGCATTAGCCACACAGGATTTGCATCGTGACAGCCTGCATGCATGCACGACATCCACGCCGGTCCAAGTCTCAAGGTTACTACTGCCATACATCGTGTGTCTGGGTCTCTGGCTGCATTCAAGCAAGGTCCTATCGACATAGAATCGGCAGTCGCTGGTGCAAGGTGAATATTGCCAATCTAATACATGCTCCGCTTGCCTATCTCGGGCCGCTGCGATCGTCTGGTTGGCTTGTAACGGCGTAAAAGGTACTTGTAGTTAACCAATGTCAAGCAAAGTCATGAACCAAGACCTTGGTCTCGATGCGAAGCTATTGAAATAGATCGTGACATGACATACAAGTATATTCACTAGGGTATTTTTCATTGTTTGTTGTGATGATCATCAGGTCAACAAGACGAACAGAAGAGAACACAGAAGTGGAACTAGTGAAGTGATGGTGAAAGAGCGATTGGAGGCATTCGAATTGAGTCGGAGGTGCAAAGTTGCCATCCTCTTGTATCTCAGAAACGCCTATGTACAGATAAGTGATCGAACAGTCCATCTCCCTAGCTATGCTGTGGTCGGTAAGAAATGTATAAGCCCATTTTTCCAGTGCTGTTCCACCCAAAAGCTGTACAATTTGGAACGCCGCCCACTACCATCGCCAGTATTGAAGTGAAAAGCGAGGACAAAAGAAAGTCAAGTTGCTGAAAGAGTTCTGTGCAACTTGTGTAGTCTAGGCGCGCTGTTTACGCCAAAAGGATGGGAAACGCTGCGCAATGAAAGTCCAGAAGAGATATGTTTGAACCCGCTGTACAAAAGATGATAAAAGACAATGCGGATATTGAAATATGCGGTAAATGCTGAGAGAAGGTATTGCACCTTCTTGAGCAAAGATCGACAAAACAGTGGCCCTTTCTGTCGGAACCGGGGTATGTGACTGAAACTTAGTAGCCGGAAGGAAATATAAAAACAAAAACAAGATGCCGATGAGACGCTAGGAAATGCTGACAGCTAGATGATGATGATAATCGAACTCCAGAGTGTGACGAGCACATATCCGGTATGTACAACGCGTGAAAGCCAGATAGGTACAATATGTGTAAACAGTGTGATAGATGATGCCTGTTAGCTCAAAAGCAAGGGCAGCGGTGTGACAAGCGCATGGCGACAGATCACTTGAATCTAGTCTCCGTCTGTACAGCAAGAATGGATGCTGCAGCTGATGAAGCCCATTCGTGATCGTCATATGGAGGAGTGGGCCACTGAGGATTTAAGCTATCCCGCTGCCTCCGTGGCGTGATGACCATGGATTTGGTAGGCGTCATGTCCGTTTGTCCAAAGCCAATGTTGTTGTCTTTGGATGGGGAAGGTGTTAGGTAGGGAGCCGAATAGCCGGGGTCCGAAGTCACGTGCGCAATGGGTGGTCTGGCGTTTTCTTTGCCCGAGGACGGCTTAGCTGGAGTGGGCTTCTCAAGACGTCTTGCTGCACGACGCGCGTTGGTCAATGCCTCGTCAAGTAACTCCTCCTCTTCGTCAGGGGTTTCGTATTGTTGACGAGGGTTCAGTGATTGCCTAACAGATCGCCGTGTTCGGCTGGTAGTCTGTGCGTTGACTGAAAGTGCAGGCGAGGTGCGTCCATCAGCGACTGTGGATAGCGAATGGTGTCGCTTCAGGATAGGCGTGCTTGACATGCGCTGGACTTGTCGCGCCGGGGCATTGGAGACACGAGCATCAAGGCTGGATCGAACGCTTTCCAAGGCCTTGTCAAGGTCTGAGAATCCAGTGTCAGTAGCAGAGTCGCGGGCCGGTGGGTCTACCGTCAGTGATGATCGGTTACTCGACGCCCATGGCGCGCATCCAACACTGGTCGGTTCGGGCTCCTCAGGTCCAGGTGATCCGGGGATTTGGTTGCGACCAGAGAATCTACGAGCTCTTTTGCGAAGGTGTGAGAAGAAGCTCTCTCTGATGCTTCCTGTAGGTGAGGCAAGACCGCTCATGCCGTTAAGCGCCTTCTCGGCTTCCTGACGGTGATATTCTGCGTAATGGTTGCCATGAGAATTGACTGAGAGTTGTCTTGAAACCTTTTTCTTTTCGGTAGCTTCAGTCTTCGCGCTGGCATTGACTGCATCGTGAATTGGTGAAGCTGGCTTGATTGACGGCAAAATAGGTATCGGAACGGCACTGTTCCATGTTGCTCTCTTGGCGAACGGAGGGCGAAGTTTCATGGAGCCAGTACCTTCTGCAACTTTTGCGTTAATTGGGGAGGGATGCGATGTAGGGGCATGAGGAGCTTGAGGAGTGTGTTCTGGAGGGGGAGTAAAATCGGCAGTGCTGATTGACTTCCTGAACCAGGAGGACTTCTTGAGTGAGATGCTGCCTTGATTTGATTCTGGCGAGTTCTCGATGCTTCCCAGAGTGGAGCTCTTGGTGCGCAGGAATTTTGCGGTGTTGGAAGACTTGGGTCTCACTGGGTCGACCGCATCTGCGAAATACTCGTGCTGGAGAGCTTGCGTCGAAGTTGGTCGAACACTGGGATCCCACATCAAGCACCAAGTGATGAAGCGAGCGAAACTCGCGGACCATTGTGGTGCTTGAAGAATAGTTTCCATGGGATGAGGGGCCATCTTCGGGAATGAAAATCCAAGCTTGCCAGCCAGGCGCACACCGTCCTTCCACTCTCCACCTCCAAGCTTCTGACCATGCTTGTTAACCCAGAGACCAGGGCTTCCCATGATCTCGCAGACTCTCCAGACTTGGTCGACTTCGTTACCACCAGGGAACAGAGGCTTCAATGTAGCAATCTCGACAGCCATAGCACCAAAAGCCCAGATGTCCACCGGGGCCGAGTACTGGCCAGCTCTGAGGAGTACTTCGGGCGCGCGATACCATCTCGTGGAAACATATGTTGTGTAGGGAACCATGGAGTGAGTCTCACGCGCTAGCCCGAAGTCCGCCAGCTTGATAGTATATGTTGGTGGCGTTGAGGGGGGAGTCACTAGCGACGAGTATCTCTTGAAGGCGCTTTGTGTGTCGGGTGCCGAAGAAGACACGAGGATGTTTTCCGGTTTGATGTCGCGGTGGAAGAAGTTATGCTCATGAATGTGTTCCAGGCCACCGAGGATTTGGAACAAGATGCTTTTAACAACAGTACCATCAAAAGGCTTGTGATCCCGGGTCTTCATCAGCTGATAGAGGTTGCCGTCCATGTTCTCCATGGCGATGTGCAACTTCTTGCTAAGAGGGTCCAGGAATATATCATAGGCCGGCACAAGATGGGGATGAGCTGGTATCGACTTGAGGAATATGACTTCTCTGAGGTCCATACATTGCGAGAAGGATTCGAAGGTCTTCTTCATGGTCTTAACGGCAACCTGTAAACTCTAAGTTAGATGCGATCTGATAGCTTTCACGTTAGATGATCGACATACCAGAGTGTTTCTTCGTACAAGGTGAGCGCCAGCGCCTCTTGTCCTTGCGAGAACGACACTTCCGAAACTGCCATCACCAATGTCCTTGATGATCTCGAACTTATCTTCAAGGCATAAGGCACCGGAGTTAGTGTTCGAGGACCAGCCACGAAATGAGTTGTCAATTGCCACAGTCATGGTTGATGTGAGCTTGCTTGATGATATCAAGCTCGAGCCTAGAAGCCTGTGAGAGATACCCTACAGCATCTAAATGCAAGATGCAGAGTACGAAAGAGAAAGACTCTTGACGGGAAACATCAGTCTGTGTTGCACAACATGGCGGGTCGCCTATCGATCGTGGAGGTGGAAGCATACCGGTTTCACTAGGATCAAAGTCTAGGCATACGATAGCAACGTATTGGTGCAGTGGGAAAGACAATCAGGACTCGGGAGGCCGTTGAAGAGCTGAATGTTGTCTTGAGGGGAAGCGGTGTTGTATTAGGATTAGTTTGTAGCGGGAGTAACGGGTATAAAGGTTGGATGGTTGGATTGTTTGGTTGACTGAAGGGTCGTATGCGGTCAGTGTTTAGGTCTGTGTGGTCGGTAAGAAAATAAAGGAGCGAAAATACACAAAGAGAGGGTTGGCTTAAGGAGAAAAAGAAGAAGGAACGTCAATGTGGTCAAGAGAGATGCAGTAGCAGAAAGTCGGGGACTCTCACTTGGTATCCTAGCGGATGATCACAACGCACGGAGTCCTGATGGTCCGCGCTAAATGGCCGTTGCGCTTGCGACTCGAGTCTACAGCCTGAGACGTCGAAGCTTTCTGGAGCCAAAGCGGTCAGGGATGGATGCTCGCATCCGACAAGGGACGTAATGTACTGTAGAAACATATGAGTATGGTGGACACCCCTGACAATCTCGGCTAAACTCACGGCTTCCAGATGAAGAGAAGAGTGATGAACCCCGGACTGGATGCAGCAAGAAGGCGGGTGCCAGAACGACAGTTTTGTGAGGCTGGTAGAGAGGTTGGTTGCCTCTGTTATGTGACTCGCAGGCACGAAAGAGAGTCAGCGCCCTCGGCAGCGGTACCAGAGGAACAAAGGGTTCGGATTATTGAAGCAAAGACCATGTAGATGATGCTAGATTAGCGTAGACGAAAGAGGCGCGCCTGTGGCTTTGGCGTGTCTCTTGAAACCTGTGTCGATGCTTTTGGAGAAACAAAAGTGGAAGAAATATTGTGCATGGCAGATACAGTTAGTGTTGTGAGATCCACGTAAGAAGGAAAGCGCAGTCAGGAACTTCCGCCAGCGCTCCTGCCTCGCCCCCAATTTACAAACAACAAATCCCGGCGCATGGCCGTGGTTGTCAGCCGAGTCATGGCTGTCGGGCTCCAACTCGAAGCCTCCAAGCGTTCATTAATTAAAGTGCACAGAACTATCTCCTCTCTCATCTGTATTAGGTTTCATAGACATATTGCACAGCGCCTTCCATTATTCCGGCCGTCAGAGGTCAGTCAACAACTTCGCTGGACACAATCAATAAAGTTATTCTACTGCATCGAGGAAGCCGTTGGTTAACCATCTGTGTATTGCTATTTAGAGTCCTTCATACCTTGCGACGGTGCCAAGGTTCATCCAGCACTTGATCCGCTGCCACGATCGGCCGACGAAACGACTCAGTCCTCCAGTAGAGTTTTCGGGTCATCGTCTGCCGCGAGCTACTCGCACAAGACCCGCGCGACTCGACAGAGAGATCTTCGAAAATGGCAGGAGAACAAGACCCTTGAATTTATGTTGACAGGTGGTAGAAAGGCTGTGTACGCGTCGTTGACTGGTGAGATGCCGCCGTACGCTTATCTGCCATGGCTCGCGGCAGCGATGTTATGGTCCCAGGTCCCTTGGATCTGCATGTTTCCAGGCTCCCTACCACAGACCTAGATTGATTGTCACATCGTGTTCATTGGTGGGCTATATCTGCCTGCACACCGATGTTCTGATTCGCCATCTTCTCCGGTCACGCTCTAGTGAATGCCGGGCCTCGGGGAGTAGGCGGGTTGAGCTTCCATCCAACATTTATGCATGCTCGACCATGCAAGTTTACAACCGCAGCGGAAGGGAGGCAGCATCTGCGAACGTGTACGGAGTACCGTCATCCATGCGCTTCCGGATTGCCAGTCAGGATCAAGGCAGAGGCAACTGGAAGCGCAGAGTGATGTAACGGACGAGGTCATCTTTGCAGCAATAACAGGTATTGTGTGTTTACGGACTCGACTTTCTTTGTTTTGGATCGACAGGAACAGGTTTGTCCCCCTGTTTGTCAGCGGGAAAAAGCAAAATGTGCTGCTCTCTTTACAATTCAAATTCTTACAGAATGAATCCGACCACACAAGTCGTCATTGCTCATAACTCTGAGACGAGGGGCCGCCGACGCCTGTCCGTGTTGATTTTCATAGAGTCGTCAATGGTGTACCAAGATCTCAATGTTCGCGGAGTATCTGGGGCTGTGTGGCTATCATGCGTTCACGCTTGCCGTGACGGCAGGATAGATGATGAATGATGTGACCTCGGACTCGCGAAGAGGAACAGGTGTTTCGCTACTCCTGCCCGGCGGCGACGATGTCTCTCGCCTGTCCAGTCTCGACACCCGAGTTGCACAGCATTTAATCTGACTTGATTACCTCCGAATAGCCTTATCTCCCACGTGTTTGATGCAGAGTAACCATGCTCCACGAGGCTATCTGCAAGTAAGAGAAGCATGCAGTGTCGACTGTGCAACAGCGACAGCCGCATGGTGTTGCTTGTCATATACAAGGTTCAAGCGAACGAGCTCTTTGTTCGCGACAACTAACTACCTCGTCCGAGTACAAGATCAATTTTCATATTGACCCGTTACCAATGACTCGGCCTCGGATATCGATCTTCGAGACAACCAACTCGTTTCTTTTGAATGTCAATGTCGCTACTGAGAGTACAAATTCCCCCTTGTTCGGCATGCTCGTTCCCTTGGCGAATTTCGACCATTTTCATGGAACTTGCTCCAATCTGCACATGGCACAGAAATACATTCTGCATCTGAATTGAATTGCAGATAGACGAGCTGTCAAGTCGAGCTTAGACTGCTCAGCTCTCTCGGGCCTCGAGAAGGGTCATGTCCACCAACGTAGAGCTTCATTTCCACTCAAATGCTATCATCAAAAGCCAAAACCTCTGACCAGCAAGAGTAATACCGGCAAGGTTGCCGGCTCTGTGGAAGATCTACAGGAGCAGGGTCTTCGAAACTCGCCTTCTAGAATATAGTTGGAACGAAGGATTCATATCGCTTTGATTCTCTTGATGCTTGTGTGGCCATATTATACGTATGTGCGAGAGTATTATTGCTTGCCTTTGTCATTCGACCATCACTGGGACCAGCCACCGGGTCTTACACCTCACCGCGGACCACGCTCCTGTTTGAATGAGGCAAGCAAGGCGGGCTGGGCTGGACGGCTCCCAGATCTTCTGTTTCCATTTGCTTCCCTTTGATCCGAGACGAAGTCCACATCATCAAGAACGATAGAGAGACGAAGGAGCCCCAGAAGTCTGGTTCGTCTGGCGTTCGCAAGCCACGCTGTTGATCCGTTACCCAGTCAGAGAAATACTTTTTTCTTATTTCCATCGTGAATCGCGTATGTATGCCCTATCTTTGCCTCTCCTACGTACGTAGGCAATAGAAACACACGATGACCAGACCAGAGACTTTTTCTCTTGTCTTTGTTGTCGCCTTGAGCGAAAAGGGGTCCTTTCGTAACAATCTTGTGTGTGTGGAGATTGTGGTTGCTGGGACGACGCGGGGCAAAGAGGAAGACTAAACCTCGCGGACTGACTGTATCATCACTCACATCTTGTGGCTCACACTTGCTTGGTCTCTTGGGCCCCATAGTCTAGCCATCATTCGAAACTCTTCTACCAGTTCGTGTTCTGGGTCACCTGCCAAAAGAAAGTCGCGCCATATCTCTAGATTCGGTCCAGGGCAGTCTGGTGGCATGTTCCGCTGACGACGATTCTTGTGTATATCAATATTATCACATACCGCCTATTCTGCGGCGACCGAGAATTCTCCACCACAAAAAAATTATAGCTTGCGAAATCGAAGAGATTGGGGAGCGTAGTCTCTGCTTGGTGAATCGGCTCGAGGCACGAGCGGGCTTTGGCAAAGCGGTGACATTGACACTGACACTGTTTCTGTTTGCTGAATCCCGAGAGGTGGCCGCCTTCACTATATTTTGCCCTTCCAACCGACAATGCGGTTAAACTCCCCTGCTGGGCTCAACTCGTTACGTGAAATATATATACTGCCTTGCCGTCTTATGCCGCTGCCGAGAAGGGCTGGAGATGGGATTATCGATTTTAGCCATGTTCTTTGCCTTGACATATTGCACCGAAGTTTGTGGTTGGTGCTTGCACAGCATGGCTGTCTCAAAGTGCTCGGCGTCTTTTTGAAGTGTCTCAATATGCAGAAGACGATAGCGAAAAGTTAAGGATACGATTGAAGCACGTTCAGTGTCTCTATATACATGCTCCGTGATGTGTTCGCGGAAGTATCTTCCAAAGTGCTCGTGAATCACTGAGATGAAGCTCATCTTGAACTTCCAACCCCTTTAATTTTCTGGAAGGACGTGGAATGATCGTTCTTCGTCTATGCTTGATCAGACACGTAGCAGGCAATAAGATCATCACATACTCATCGTACGGTGTGCCGTGATCCGTATTGTCAACCAGGTTGACGGGGTGGTAATGGGTATGATAGATGATCAGGGTCGTCCAGCCAGCAAGATTGACTTGACTGGAAACATGCATGCTCTCATCCACCATGGAAAACGACGTGTTCGTGCAAATGATCAGAACTCGCTGTAGAAATTGCTTTTGCAGCAAGAACGTGATGCGTAAATTGGGAATGGATGGAATGTCTATCAGGAAGCTCAATCGTCTTCGCTATCACTACCAAAAATGGCCTTGAAAACAGCGTCCCCGGGACGTTCTGCTTCAATTGCCTCATTGACCTCGATGTTTACTTGTGGCCTGGGCGGCGGTGGCTGAAGTGGTTCGGCTGACAGAGTCACGTTGTTACCTTCAGGTGGATTGATCGGTCGTGACCAAGTCTCGCGCATCATCTGATCAATCTTGTTCTGTGAGACCACGTCGAGCCTGCTATCAGAGACGACATCATCGTCGCCTGCAGGACCCTTGCCTGGATCCGCATGGGCAGGTGCTTTGACATTGAATCGTTTGCAAAGCAAGCGAGTAGGGTAGAATTGGAGGCGGGTGCGGGTCATGGGACCGAACATACCAATCTTCGCGGCGGCCTCAGCAGAATCTTCAGGTTTGGATGGCTTCTCTGAAGCAGACGGCATGGTATCCGTGGCTAGACGAGGCGATAATGAAGAGCTGGTAAAGCGAGATGCCATCAAGCCGGAAATTGGCTTGAACACCTCTGCCGCTTGCGCAAATTCCCGCATCTCTTTAGTCCATTCGTCAATAGTCGACCCCTTAACACGCTCAGGCAGCGCGTCGCGTTGACCGCTGCAGGACTCAAGAAATGAACGGTACCGGGCTCGTTTGGCTTCGTCTTCCGCGTATGGCATCCAGCCACTCGTACCACGCTGCAATGCCGACGCCGCGACCGAGCTGTCCAACTTTGGGACGAGATCCCATAACGACTTCTGCTTGTCGGCCTCTGATCTTTGCCAGCCTTCGGGAGCAGTCTCTCCACGTGCGATAGGAAGGTTTGATCTACCTGTTGCAGTGACAAGCTTGTCGCGTGCTGCTTTACTCATGAAGTCGAATATTGATTTTCCAGGAAGCTGTTCTTCACCGAGCACCGCAGCTCGTTTTGCTGGATCCATGGTAGAAGCGCGAGCAGCATCTGCAGTGGACTGATGAGATGGTGAATCGGAATTGTTCATCACGGCGGCCTTTGGCTCCCATCCTGCAGGGATGTCTGGTGGAGGGTATTTGTTCTCTTGAGTAGTCAAAAACAGAGAAGAAGCCAGGACAAAACCATCGATCGGAAGACGGCCGTCATGGCATTTTCTGAACCCATTGTGGTTCCTTTGACCTAATTTTCTGGACAAGAAAGTTGGTTGCTTCACGCCTTTTAGAGCAGGTGTTGCTGTGTTTGCAATGATACCACCTTTCTTCTTCTTCCGATCACCACCAACGATGCGATTATAAGATATTTTTGGGCCCATGTCGTAAGGATCCTCTTCGTCAGAGCCAGTGTCATTGAGAACACCAACTCCAAATCCAGTACGCTTCGTCTTTGATTTGGGCTTGGTCGGTCGAGCAAAGTCCTCAGAGTTGTCTTCATCTCCATTATCTTGTTGGTGTGATGCTGTCGTCTCACCCAAACGCTCTTCGGCAGCATAACCTAGACCAAAGCGATCCTTTTTCCGGTTGAAAGCCACCATACGAGAGTTATCGGGAGCGAAGAGATGAGTCTCATCGCCAGCTGTTGAAGCAGCGTTGTCTTCGATGCGTGCCTTCCTCCTGACCTTGGGCCCGACACCCTGGCCCTGTCTCCAGCCCATCTTTTGTAGAAGTCTCACGCCCATGGTCTCGCCTGCTGGGCGAAACAGATCGCTCATCAAGCCTCGACGCATCTGATCCTGGGTGGTGGAGCCAAAGCCAGCGAAGTCGTCCTGGGTCTGCAGTTTCTGGGCTTCTGCTGCAGCTGCACGATCCTCATCGTCCATGAAGTCCTCTGGACGAGCGGCTTGCGCATCTTTGCGACGATTTGTACGCGATGAAGTAAACGTGGCCGGAGCCCATCCTTCTTTCGAGCCTACGGTGTTGAAGTAACCGGCGCTATAGCCTCCAGTAAAGGCACCGTGAAAACGTTTTCGACCTTGCTCATCTCGAGCGTCTTGTTTCCAGACAGGAACATAAGAGCCATCGTCGCGTGTATCCGAGTCGAGCGGAGGAAGTGGTGTACCGAAGAGAGCAAAAGGAGGGACTTGATCAGCCTCGAAGTTGGCTCTGGATCGCTTGTGTGACATTTTCAGTTTCTGTTCGCATCGTGTCAAGCACTAAGATGATTCCGAGAGTGTCAAGGTCGTTGTACTTACGTCACGACATGAAAGATACTATGAAAAGCTGTCGTGGGAGTATAAAATGTATACAGCTCTCGAGCGACCAGACAGTGGGCTGCACGCTGCACTCTGCGCCGTTACAGGTTGCGACGTCAGAGACTGATGGTTCGTGCTCACGGCGACGTGGTTCTGTAGGTTGTGGAGATCGGCTTGTGTTGACAGCTCGAAAGTGTAGTATCAAACAAACAATGTTTGGATCGATGTGAGGAAGTGACAGTCCAATGGACCTTGAAAGCTTCGGGTGCAGTAAATTTTGCTAGTCTGAAAGTGCACTCATGTACGGAGTATCTGATGGCGAAAAGACGATTATGTGAAGAAAGAAATGGCTGGGACAGTGTGCTAGTTCCAGCCGTTCGTAGGGTTGGAAGTTAATTAGAACAGGGTACGGAGCACGAATAGCAGCAAAGTCAGAGTCTCCTTTCCTACTCGCTCAACTGCTCGGTAGACTCTGTTATTCATTCGTTGGCCGTCTGCCTCTCGTTTCTGCAGGACCAAGTGAAGCAGATTGAGACAGGAAGGCGCATCCCGTGGCGCTCCATCCACCTCTGAAAGCTAATACCACTACTCCCGTCCGACCTCACTCACCCACAAACAACAACAATCAAACCCGTCGCGCTCAAGATATCCACGCTGCCGCCTTCACGTTGATCGCGAATCCACACGGACATAGTCGTGTATCACGTCGTCGATCGGGCGCCCACATACAGGCGGTAGCTCCTCGCACAACGCGGGCTTACCACTGCCTCAACATGTCCGCCGCTGCCATTCCAGGCACCCCCACCAGAGTGCGCAGTCAACATATGAATGCGCCGTCTGCCGATCGGCCCCAGACGACTCCTGCTCGTTCTGACATGCCCCCGTCTCCTCGTCGCCAGTCTTCGCAATCCCAAGCACACACTCGTTCCGCCTCGGCCTCGGCCGCTCCTCCACTCGCAAATGTCGCTAGAAACGATTTTGAGCAATCAAACGTAGCACAACCTCCTTCATCGTCTCGCCATCGTGCTGACGCTCCTGCCCGCTCCGACTCAACGAGAAACCCCGCCTCGGCCAGTCAATCAAGATACCACCCTCAGGACATGCCTTCCTCTAGTTCAAATGGCACTCATGCCGCACCTGCCGCCGGAACAAACGTCCGTCGACGAACCACCATAGATGCAACTACTGGCCACTGGGATCTTGGCAAGACTATCGGTGCTGGCAGCATGGGTAAAGTAAAGCTGGCTCGCAATAAGGAGACCGGTGAACAAGTGCGCATTCCCTCCCGTACTTGAATCTAAGCGCCCATACTGACTCTGCCCAGGTAGCTGTCAAAATCGTGCCTCGTGGATCGACCGACGAACATCGCAACGCCCAAGACCGTGAAAGAGCAGATCACTCCAAGGAAGTACGTACCGCCCGTGAGGCTGCTATTGTCACACTAGTCGATCACCCATACATCTGTGGTATGCGCGACGTTGTCCGCACAAATTACCACTGGTACATGTTGTTTGAATACGTCAACGGTGGCCAGATGCTTGACTACATCATTTCTCATGGTCGCCTGAAGGAGAAGCAAGCACGCAAATTTGGTCGTCAAATCGCAAGTGCGCTCGACTACTGTCATCGCAACAGCATTGTGCATCGTGACCTGAAGATCGAGAACATTCTCATCAGCAAAACCGGCGACATCAAGATCATCGATTTTGGTCTGAGCAACACCTTCTCACCCAAGAGCCTTCTCAAGACTTTCTGTGGCTCACTATACTTCGCTGCACCCGAGCTTTTGCAGGCAAAGGCTTACACCGGTCCCGAGGTTGATGTGTGGAGTTTTGGTATTGTCTTGTATGTTCTCGTCTGCGGCAAGGTGCCATTCGACGACCAAAGTATGCCGCAGTTGCATGCCAAGATCAAGAAGGGAGCAGTAGAATACCCACCTTGGCTGAGTGCAGGTATGTTGGGTTTCCTCTCGCACCTTTTTGGACCGTACTGATATGATATACAGAGTGCAAGAACTTGATTGCGCGCATGCTCGTAACCGACCCCTCGCAACGTGCGACTCTGGCTGAGATTATGGCTCACCCTTGGATGACGAAAGGCTTCGGTGGTCCGCCTGAGAATTATCTGCCCCCTCGCAAGCCTTTGCAGTTGCCACTAGACCCTCGTGTCCTTCAGAAGATGGATGGTTTCGACTTTGGCTCTGCAGAGTATATCGAGCAACAGCTTACCAAAATCATTCAATCTGAAGAGTACCAAAAGGCTGTAGTTGCTACTGAGAAGCGCAATCAGTCTGGTATCTCGGATTCGCAGAACAAGCAGGGGGGCATGTTCGACTTTTACAAACGACGAAAGTCCACCACAAGCCGCGACACTCTTACAGGGCCCTCATCTGAAGCTGTTCAATTGGGAACGGACCCTTTGAACGCCTACAACCCACTACTATCCGTGTACTTCTTGGCCAAGGAGAAGATTGAGCGTGAAGAGAAGGAATCTAATCCAGGGGCACTTTCTATGCCACGCTCACCCGGAGAGAAACCGTTACAGTTGCCAGACCTTCAGCCGCCTGCTGCTGCTTACACAAACACCGCCACTTACGAGATGGCCGGAGAGGCACCCACGGGAGGCAGAAGTCGTCCACGCGCTAGAACGCACGGCGAGGATGAACTGCAGGACGACGTGAAGAAGGCCAGGTCAACCAATCGCGTACCTCCAGTGCCTTCTCCTGCCATCGTGCTCCCTCCGCCTGAACATACACCAGTGAAGAAAGAGAGTGCTGCAGTGGGCTTGCTTCGCAGGCTCAGCACAAGACGGCACAAGGACCCTGAAAGGCCCGCACCAGCGGCGACAGGGGACGCTTACTCAACCCCTAGGAAGAGTTTCAGTATGAGGAGACAGCGAGACACGAGCGCCAACAGGCTTCAAGCCGAGCCTGTTGTGGAGAAGCAAACCGAGACGCTACTCACACCGACGGCGGAGCGCACTGGATTGGGCCGCTCTACTAGCGTCAGTGCAGCCGAGCACAGCCGTAATGGTTCCCGCCGAGGTGTGTCTGAAGGATCAAGTGCTCGACCAGTGGCAATGACACCACAACCGACCAGACGGACCGACAGACAATATGGAGATGCCTCCTCAGATGCCGAAGCGTCAGGATCCAGGACTATGCCTCTTACGTCAAGAACGAAGTCCATGGGCCATGGTCGGAAGGAAAGCTTCCAAGCACGCAGAGCTCGGAGAATGGACATCCGCACAGAAGATGTGCCAGAGGAAACTGACCAAGATCTTCGGGAAGTTGAGGCGGTTCGTTCGGCTAACAGCGCGGGCGAGAGTCCCAATGGGATCAAGCCTGTTTATCTCAAGGGCCTGTTCAGTGTATCAACCACCAGTTCGAAGCCATTGGCTGTGATTCGTACGGACATCATTAGAGTCTTGAAACAGCTTGGTGTCGAATATCGAGAGATCAAAGGTGGTTTCAGTTGCCGACATGCCCCGAGCATCGACATGGAGAAGCCCAAGGACGAACAGGCAATAGGTTATGGAAGCCACAGACGCAAGATCAGCTTTGGTGGGCTCATGGGAGGTAGTAACAACACCGAGCCATCCACACCTACGCCCCCACGACCCACGCGACCTAGACGGGATAACAGCTACACTGCTAGCGACAGTTCAGATGATGATGAAGAGAGAAGGACTCGTGGCCAGCAGCACAATCGAGCTGCGGGCGAAACGTCGACACACGTGCAGAGTGATCTTGGTGAAGGTATGGTTCTCAAGTTTGAGATCTTCGTGGTCAAGGTACCTTTGTTGAGCCTGCACGGGATTCAGTTCAAGAAGGTGGATGGTGGTACTTGGCAGTACAAGAACATGGCGCAGACCATCTTGAACGAACTGAAGTTGTAAAGAAAAAAGGACGGAACGGGAGAAGGTGGTGGAGGTAATGGAAGACATGAGTACGAGAAAGCATAGCAGGCGTTCTTGCAAGCAGGCAGGCGTTTGGATGATGAAGCAAAAGGCAGATTTATGGGCTTAATTATGGGAGTCCTTTGACTTGACAAGCACGAACTTGGACTTAACAAAGGCACAAATATGGAGCATATCTAATTCATGGCCGAAGTATATGCCACAGAGATCCCTCATTGTCCCATTCTCTTGCTATGATTGTTCGGCGGGTAGGCACAGTGAAGCAGACATGGCTGCGTGCATGAGGCACAGACCACATTCACAGATCAGATAAGCTTCGCGGAGTCGAGGAAGCGTAACTCATGCGTGCGCTCTCCTCTCTTGACCACTCAGATCGTAACAGCCAAACGCCCAGCGATCTCTGCCGCTCCTTCCACTCCTCGACTCGAAGTTCCTACCGTCACAATCAATCAATCTGTCTACCTTCAATACACGCGCAGCCAAGATGCTGCCTTCGCAGCATGTCTTCTCGCATCAGCACCAGCATCAGCATCAACACCATAATCAGCACCAGCAGCATTATGCGCCGCAGGACTGGCAGCAGCAAACCCACCATCACCAGCAGCCGCATCACGGCTTACAGCAGCAACACGCTCAAGCCCAAGCCCAAGCTCAGGCTCAGGCACAGGCTCAGGCTCAGGCCCAGGCGCAGGCACAGGCTGCCGCTGCCGCCGCCGCTGCAGCAGTTGCGCAACAACAACACTACAACCGCATCGCTGTGAACAGCTCCGCTTCCGCCGCCAACATGCAGCCTTCGCACGAACATCAGCTCCAGTCGAGCGATGGCGCCGTCAGTGACGAGAACCGTCGCGTACTCGAATGGATTGCCCAGATGATGAACCCGACGACACGCGAGGGCGCCTTACTTGAGCTGAGCAAGAAGAGGGAACAAGTTCCCGAGTTGGCCCTGATCCTATGGCACTCATTCGGTATGTATCCATGTGTCCAGTTGTGACTGACAAAGGCGCTGATTCGGACTAGGCGTCATGACTTCGCTTCTACAGGAAATCATCTCCGTTTACCCTCTCTTGAATCCCTCGCAGCTTACGGCAGCTGCCTCCAACCGCGTCTGTAACGCCCTTGCTCTGCTCCAGTGTGTGGCCTCGCACGGCGAGACTCGTGGCCTATTCTTGGGCGCCCATATCCCGCTGTTCCTCTACCCGTTCCTCAACACCACCTCCAAGTCGAGACCTTTTGAATACCTGCGCCTCACTTCTCTCGGTGTCATTGGTGCACTGGTCAAGAATGACAGTTCCGAGGTCATCAACTTCCTCCTGACAACCGAGATCATTCCCCTCTGCCTGCGTATCATGGAGACGGGCAGCGAACTCAGCAAGACAGTCGCCATATTCATCGTCCAGAAGATCCTGCTTGACGACCTCGGTCTGCAGTATATCTGTCAAACATACGAGCGTTTCTACGCCGTCGGGACCGTCCTTTCAAACATGGTCAACCAGCTCGTCGAGCAGCAGACAGTGCGCCTGCTCAAGCATGTAGTTAGATGCTTCCTTCGGTAACCTTGCCTCCTAATTTCTTAACTGTGTTCTATGCTGACCATCACCGCAGCCTCAGCGATAACGCCCGCGCCCGTGAGGCCCTCCGCCAATGCCTGCCCGAACCCCTCCGCGACGCCACCTTCTCGTCTGTTCTGCGCGATGATGCTGCGACCAAGCGTTGTCTGGCACAACTGCTGCTTGCACTCTCGGACCAGGTCGCCGATCCCACGCAGCAGAATCAGCCCTCCCTCCTACCCTGATCAACCATTCTTATTGCACCTACCATTCTTGTCCAATCTTTGACAACCCATCTTTGTCGCCTTTTTTCTGCTGTTACCCCAACCAACGGACACCAACACGAAGACACGCATCATTTTCCGACTTTCCTATCGGCGTCGTCATGCAAAATCGACAAAAGCAGTCTCGGCTGTCAATCAGGGACAACAGACGCAAATACCCTCATCACGCCAATGTACTTAAGACCATGCCCGGCAGGGCTCTCGAGGGGGACGTTTCATCTTGATCTCTCCTCCTACCCTTCTTCTGGGGATCTGTTTTTCTTTCTTTTCTCTATACCAATCTGTTGTTGTAGTAGTAGTCGCAGTTTCTTTTATTCCTTTTTACTTTTGCGAAAGGACGGGGTGGGCAAAAACCGGCATGCGGGAACCAAACACGAGGAGTTCACATTGGCATTTATTCTTTTTATTCCATGCGCACAAACGAAAACCCGGAGAGATGGAGGAGGCTAGGCGTCTTTAACAACATCCGGGAAAGTAAAGGAGTCTCTTAGTGTTTTTCTCGTTCTGCATAGCACTGCGAGCTCCATCTGTTGCTTTCTTTCACACACATGATTTTTTTTTTGGTCTCTGATTTCGACACATACCCCTTACACCTTTTCCTGACTTTGCTTTCATCTTCTAGCATACCCAAAAGCATCTATACACTCCTATCTGCTCTCTGCTCGGCTCATGTCGATTGTGCTATTCGCTGTTGTAGTGATCAAGACACATGAATATGCTTCTGTAAGCAGCTAACAATCACATGGCCATGACCATCATATATCGGAGATTCGCACATCTCCTCTAGTACCATGCTTCCTGGACCCCTATCCTCTTTCCCTGTCTCTTGCACTCTTCGCTCACACTGGCCGCTCTTTCTCTCCACGTTCTGTCCTTTTCCTCTATCCATCTCCTCTTCCATCAATGGCTCCTCTCTACCACTTCTGCTTTGCATACACTCTCCTGTTTACTGCTTGCGGCGTATCAACACGATCTCCTGCATCTAAACAGCATAAGTTCGATCGTTCCCCATAACGCTCAATCAAAGACTTTGTTTCCTCTTCCATCACTAGATCTTCAGCAAATAGAAACTCTCTTCCCTGTGCAAAACAGACAGGTAAAAACCAGAAGAGTTCCCCCTTCACATGTCTGCGAACTTTTGCACATTTTCCCAGCTTTTTTTTTCAAAGCTGTTGAGGATGTAGAATGGGTGAAACAATTTTTTTTGCTCTCAAATCGCTTTTTATTATAGATGTCAATCTTTTGTCTCTTTTTTGTGTTTTCCGAAAAGAAGCATTTGGTACTCTTGATCGTATCGTATCGTATATTACTCGACCCCTTCAGCTTGACACTCGCTAATTCGTACGATCAAACCGTGATTTTCAGAAAGGTAATGGTGTGAGAATATTTCAGTCAATGCTTACATCTCGAGCACGTCTATACCCTTGTGTCTCACCTTGATATGACTCCATGGATGATCCGAGTGTGGTGTTACTCTTGACTTTCAATTCGTTTGAAATGGCTATGTATATCGCTTTTTAATTGGAGGGCTACCATCAAATGGGGATTACTTGACAAATGGATTCGATCAACGTCTCGATCAGAAAGTTTGTCAGTTTAGCGTTCTCGATGAGTACTTGTCTTCGAATGGTCTAATTCACATGTCACAAAGCATACTCATGGATGGTAAGAAACTGGAGAGAGCAGCTTTTGGTAATTACAAAAAGACAAGGGCTTTCATTTCAAACTCGCTAGGGCGCCCAATGCTCGGACATTTGACTTGATTATCGTGAAGAAAAAGAACAGGGGTAGAAAAAGAGGATCCAAACGCTTCCCCTCTCGGACAACGTGAATACGAAATTAGAAGTTAGACGTTGCTATCAACATCTTACTCCTCAGCCTCGAGAGGAGCCTCCTCGTCGTACTCCTCCTCACCCTCGGAGATGGAGGCCTCCTGGTACTGCTGGTACTCGCTGACCAAATCGTTCATGTTGGACTCAGCCTCAGTGAACTCCATCTCGTCCATACCCTCACCAGTGTACCAATGCAAGAAAGCCTTGCGACGGAACATGGCAGAGAACTGGTCACCGACACGCTTGAACAGCTCCTGGATCGAGGTCGAGTTACCGACGAAGGTAGACGACATCTTGAGGCCACGGGGAGGAATGGAGCAGAGGGCGGTCTGAACGTTGTTGGGGATCCACTCGACGAAGTAGGCGGAGTTCTTGTTCTGGACGTTGCGCATCTGGTCCTCAACCTCCTTCATGGAGACCTTACCGCGGAAGATGGCAGAGCAGGTGAGGTAGCGGCCGTTACGGAAGTCGGTGGCGGCCATCATGTTCTTGGGATCGAAGATTTGCTGGGTGAGCTCGGGGACCGAGACAGCGCGGAAGGAGTGGGCGTTACGGCTGGTGAGGGGGGCGAAACCGACCATGAAGAAGTGGAGACGGGGGAAGGGAACCATGTTGACGGCGAGCTTGCGCAAGTCGGAGTTGAGCTGACCGGGGAAACGGAGCGAGACGGTGACACCGGACATGACGGCAGAGACGAGGTAGTTCAAGTCACCGTAAGAGGGGTTGTTGAGCTTGAGAGTGCTCATGCAGATGTCGTAGAGAGCCTGTGTAGGTTAGTCGAGATAGCGGTGTAGGAGAGTAGTAGGATCAAGACAAACCTGGTTGTCGATACAGAAGGTCTCGTCGGAGTTCTCGACCAGCTGGTGGACGGAGAGGGTAGCGTTGTAAGGCTCGACAACGGTGTCGGAGACCTTGGGCGAGGGCATGACGGAGAAAGTGGCCATCATACGGTCGGGGAACTCCTCACGGATCTTGGAGATCAGGAGCGTTCCCATACCGGCACCGGTACCACCACCAAGAGAGTGAGTGATCTGGAAACCCTGGAGGCAGTCACAGCTCTCGGCCTCACGACGGACAACGTCCAAGACCTGGTCGACCAACTCGGCACCCTCGGTGTAATGACCCTTGGCCCAGTTGTTGCCAGCACCGGACTGACCGAAGACGAAGTTGTCGGGACGGAAGAGCTGACCGAAGGGGCCGGCACGGACGGCGTCCATGGTGCCGGGCTCCAAGTCGACGAGGACGGCACGGGGGACATACTTGTTACCGGAGGCCTGCAGTGCGCATTAGTATGGAAGCGGCCAAGTACAGAGTGATGTATGGTCGCTGACCTCGTTGAAGTAGACGTTCATGCGCTCAAGCTGGAGATCCGAAGTACCGTTGTAGCTGTAGGCAGTCAGCGAGCTGTTATGGTGCTTGTTGATGCGCAGGTGGGAGCAACGTACACACCGGCACCGTCAAGGCCGTGCTCGCCGGAGATGGTCTGCCAGAAGGCGGCACCGACTTGGTTACCCTGTTCACATGTGTCAGACGCGTCGTTCTTGGTGTCAATTGAAGCTCATTTCAGGTAGGCATACGCATTGGCCGGTCTGGAGGTGGACCTGAGAGAGAAAGACGTTAGCAACAGAGCTCAGTTGTGCGCAAGCGACAGCAGGGTGTACACACAATCTCACGCATGGTGACTGTGATGGATGGGCGATGAAGAGGTCTGGAAGGTCGGGTGCGGTGGTCGAGGAGATTGTCGGTTGGCAATGGGCGTGAGAAGGGATTCAAGGGGAGGCGGTAGGCAGGAGCGAAAGCACGCTCCTGCTTGCAATTTCTCTTGGCGCCCAAACATCAACAAAACGGCATCGGCCGCCCACTCAGCCTTACGACTGCCGCGACCCTGACCTTTATTTCTTTACCGACAAGACCATCCACTTGATGTACACCAAACTTGTACTGCCATGACGCCCTTCACTGTCCCTGATTCTACCCATGGCAGTTGACATGATGTGTTCTTCTGGTGTACGTATCCGTCGTCCCGTTGCTCGAGGTGTCAATCATGTTTTAAGCTTTTCACGTTTGATTCCACTGTCCCAGACAGTCACACGCATTTCTATGTCATCTAGCATGACTATCTCTGATGCTCATCTTGCTTTGCGAACACACCTGCATGTGGGTTTCCAGGTCACGAGCCGTTAGCCATCATTCTGAAAGAGCAATATGCCCGTCTACAGATCACCAACATTGGACGAGCAGCCCCTTATCCCCTTCGTCACATTGGCAATGTAATCTATAAATTGACAGACCTTTTCAAATTGAACGCGACCTCATATATCTACTTTTGCCTTCTAATCTCGTCTCGCAATCTGGAGCACCAGAGCGTGTGCTAGCCAGAGTCCAGCTCATATCGATAGTCGGAGAGGACGGTTCATTCGAAAGCATTCCTCACCAGGACAACGGTGGTGCAGACCATTGCGCGCCACAAGCATCACCTCTCATCTGTCAGTTGGACGATGACAGGCTTTTTTCACAGGCCGCCTGAGTCTTTCAAGCAGATTTTGGACTGAATCGTCAGGTTCAGGGCATCTCAATCTCGTCATTGAGGATGATTACCTGACCGCACAGAGGGACGTGGATCGTAGTGCTTGAGCCACAAGCTTGGACCACATTCTCTGGTTGCTATTTACAAGTCCAAACAGTTTAAACCGCCATCGACGCCTATCATCTGTACTTTCGCTCCAGCATACCTCAGAACCTCCACGTTATACTCTCGTTTCTCGTTGCACTATTGATTTCTTAACGACTGTCTTTCTTCCTTACTATATCTCTTTTAATCACCCTGCGCTCGCCGTCAGTCTTTTCTCCTACAAGCTGACCCAAGAATATCCGATATCCCTGTCTTCTGGCCTCATCATGGCCCCCGAGAACAGCGACAAGCACATGAACGATCAACAACTGGGTCAGCACATTCATTTTTCTCCTCCCAAACCACCACACTCTCCAAAGAAACCCTCACCACTTAGACAATGCCAACGACTCTCCTCTGTACCCGACTATGAGAAGATCAACAACTTGAGCTTACACGACGATGATTCAGCAACTTATTTACAAGATCTCCGAAACAACCGCGTCGCGCGACTAAACGGTTCAAGACCGCCTCCGCCATCAAGAATTGCCAGCAAGCGTCAACAACAAAGACCAACATCAAGCGACGGCTCCGTTCCGACCACCGCAACTAACGATGCAGCTCCAATCACCACCCATACCCGTCACAAGAGCCTCGAATCGAACATCCGCAGCGATTTCACCGGCCGTCCTCTAGTCGCAAAACCTGGGCCTACAAATGTGGCCAAGCCATCACCCCTGGTAGTACAGCCAATAGAAGAAGCAATGGAAGAGTTGAATTTGGATGAGGAACAACGCATACACGAAGCGGCTCAGGATGAGGCTGCCGAACTAGTCTGGAAACATCGTACTGGCTATGACCCGGAGAAGGAACGCGCCTCTGCCTACACAAACCCTGATGTAGATCCCAAAGCTGCACGAAAGGACTATCGTTCACACCTCCGGAATACGAGCAAGGACAGAAATGAGATTCGTCCTCTATCCATCAGTCGACCAGTGATAAGTGATTCACCAATCTCCTCTCCCGAGAGACCCAGCACCAAGGCGCTGCCAGATGATCCCTTTGTCGAAGCTACACCTGTTTCTACACCACGAAGCACGCGCTCAAAAGGCAAAAGCTACGAAGGACTTGCGAACGCTGTGGCCAACGACGTCGCAGCTTCGAAGCGCCGAGTCAGCAGTGGGTCAAAACGACGACCCAGTGCAGATGTCAAGGCTGGTTTCATGGATCCGAACGACAAGATCTACGAAGAACCCGACGAACAGCTGAAAGAAGCAAGAGCTGCAGAAGCAGTCAAAGCGGCAGAGAAAGTCGAAGTCAAGGAAGAAGTCCCACGCCATGTTCGCAGAAACCCCTTTGCCAGGGTGAGAATGGCACAGGAGAAGTTTGAGAAGAAAGAATCTCCGTCCGGCTACTCTGTCAAGAAAAATGATGGGAAAGAATCCATCTCTGGATACACGGCGAAGAGACACGAGAAAATCGAGATTCAGAGAAATCCACCTTCCCAGTCTCGGAACGCCTTTTACACTGTCAACAATTCCGTCCCAGCTTCACCTAACCTTCCACCTCAAGACTCACCAGAGAAGACCCCGGAGGAAAGTCCGAAAGTCAAGGATGGCAAGGAAATACGCGGCGATGACATACGTTCCGCGACAGCCATGAAGCGCAAGGACAGAAGTCCAAATTTGCCTCAGCCAACCGCGGTGAGCGACAGCCCTGGCAGACCAATTGTCAGCTTCCAATCAGGCTGGAAGCCCAAAGAGATCCAACTGGTCGAAGAGAAATCGATACCTTTGCCAGAATGCTTGGCCGTAGGAAAGAATGCCCCTTCTGAGTCCGCCTTAAGTGGGAAGCAGAGACGATACTCATTGCCTCGTTCCCAGCAGGGTCCACCTTCCATTCCTGCAATTGTGTCGCCGGATGATTCGCCAACGAAGATGGCCAAGCAATCTGGCAGCACGCCTATAATCGCTAGGATGAGTGCGGACATCCCAATGATAGTAGTTCCGGACGATGGTTTCTCAAGCCCATCCAAGACACTTTCTGAAGAGCCTGATGTTCCTGCACTATGCTTGTCGCCGACAAAGTCAAAACCTCCGGTCTTCGTTATTGACGAATCGAGCAAGGACAAGGACCAGCACCAGCGACCACCGCCTCTCCAGCACCGTCCGCAGTCTTCACCACCAAAGTCGTCCTCGCCTTTTGCCAAACGCCCCCTGCCTACACCTGTGCCTTCATCAGCTCGCCCACTCCCCGTTCCTTCCAAGACCTCGCCATATCCAGTCGTGGCAAAACCGCACATGACTCCTTCCGTAAGACGAAACACGGCCTTGTGTGCCCATTGTGCATTGCCCATAGCAGGGCGCATCTTGAGTGCCGCAGGCGAGCGCTTCCACCCTTCATGTTTTAAGTGTCATGATTGTGGCATCAACCTCGAATGCGTCGCATTTTACCCCGAGCCAGACAAGAAGCGAGCCGAGCGCCTGGCTCGTATCCAACAGCGTCAGCAGGGCCTTGACGTTCAAGTACCTGTAGGTGTAACCGAGGAAGACGTGAGAAGACTGGAGGAACAAGACGGTGACGAGTCTCTGCGATTCTTCTGCGGACTCGACTTCCACGAATCTTTCAGCCCGCGCTGCAAGAGTTGTAAAACGCCCATTGAGGGCGAGGTAGTTGTCGCATGTGGAGCAGAATGGCATGTTGGCCACTTCTTCTGCGCACAGTGTGGTGATGTAAGTCTTGCCTACACCGTCTTTACTTCGAGGGCAGAGAGCTGACACTAAATAGCCTTTCGATTCAACTACACCTTTCGTGGAAAAGGAGGGATACGCATGGTGTGTGGGCTGCCATACCAACAGATACAGCGCCAAATGCCGCAAGTGCAAACGTCCTGTCACCGAGATTGTTGTCAAGGCTCTGGGCGCCGACTGGCATGCTGACTGCTTCTGCTGCACTGTAAGTCAAAATTTCAGGCTAATGGAAAATCCCGACTAATAGTATCATAGGAATGTGGTGATGGCTTTGACGATGGTAGATACTTCCTAAGGGGCCACAATCAAGATCCCGTGTGTGTAAGATGTGAAGAGCGGAGACTCAAGGCCTATTAGTAGGGGAGAGGTTCTGAACGAAATGACTACGAAACTTACTGCATTTTCTTGGAAGGTTTTGATAGCGTTCATGTTGGATGGCGTCGTTTATGGGGTGGAGTTGGGTTGGGTTTAGATTTTGGCGCAAGCATCGAGATAGACGTTTACTTCGAGTACAAATGTCAAGGTTTACATCACAGCACTCGTCTGCAGCTCCATATGGGTGTTGAACGTCCATCGAAATGCATAGTTTCAACCGCACGTACTATATTGCATCACATTCATCGAAAATAAAGAATGCCAGCTTTCGATGGAGAGACTCAGGCAAAGTGCTCTGCAGTTGCTCTTGGGCGCTCTAGCGAGTCATCAAAACGGCGTCTCCTTCCAGTTGCATTGAACAGGAAGGACTTCACAGGGAGAGTGGTGTTTGTGTTTGAGAGTCGAGAAGCATTGAGTTTATCTTGAAGAAGGGAGCCTCAAACAAACGGCCGCGGAACGGTGGAACCCTATCCTGATGCTCTGGGTGGACCCCTTTGAGTTGTCGTCCGTGCTGATCCACGCTGCTCCTTCATCATCCCTGAGCCGAGCGATATTGATGTGCTTGGTCTGTACGCAAATGATAATTAATAGCGGTGTATGAACGCATCCTCGGGACTTTACGTGCTGAGCCGACCGTCCTGTCCTTTTTCCTTCTCCTGCAGCTCTCTGGCATCAAGACAGCAGGCATTTGTCAAGTTTGAGCCGATCTTAGCCTAGTAATTTCCCTTACGCCAAAGCATCCAACTAAAATAAGTCGGGGTTCACGGAGTAGAGCACCGCACACAGGACACTGCATTCGCTCAGTATCCAGTCAAGGAGCATCGACTGCACTTGAGCGAGTATACATCGCTCATTGCTGTCTGGTGCCGCAGAAGGTTGTTATTGACATGCAAGGAAGCTTGCCATTGACAGCGCGATGGAGGTGCTGACATGTGCATAGGTCGAAACGACACGGCTACTTCTCCTGCAACCACCTTCGCTACTCCCGCCGCCAGCCCTTATCGTCGCAGCAGGTCTGAACATGGTCTTTCTGCTCTAGTGGGCTCTCCATCAAGACAGACGCGGACCGCTCCCCAAGGGCATCGGTCGAGACGGTCCCTCAGCCCTGAGCCTTCAGCTCTTGCTCCTCAGCTTGTCTTCGAGACTCCCTCATCTGGCTCGCATCGCTCTGTGCGTGAAGAGATTCTTTCCACCACCGACGCTCCGTCTGTCTATTACACTGCTAGTTGGGGCTCGCCGTACCAGCGTCCCACTCAGGATCCCACCGTGCCCAGCGTCGAGAGCACTCCGGTCGCTTCGCAGAGACAGACCACAAGCGAGAGTCCCTCTCCAAGCATATCATTCGGCCTCGAACATCTCGTTCCATCCAGAGTCGCTGTTCAAGGACGCGACTTTAGCCCTTCCTTTGGTCTCGACCATTTGTTACCGTCCCGCATACCTATTCAGCATCACATAGCTAGCCCTGTCACGACAGAAAGATTGGCCCTTCAGGAAGATACTACACAAACAGTTGCGCAAAGGCCGTCTCGTCATACTATTACACGTCGCCTGACTGAGGATTGGGTGCATCAGTATACGACTGGCAAGTGGCGCTCAGAAAGAGGAAACTGGTTGAGCGACGATTCTGGTGGTAGTAACTCGGGTTCCGACGAAGAGGAGGAGTTCAAGACACCCATACCTTTCACTTGGTTTTCTGGCCGACACCGTCGTAAGAACACTTCTGCAAGTCCTTTCTTTGAGAGACAGCAAAGACCAGTATCCCACGATTCTTTCAGAAGAGGTCACAAATCTAGAGAGAGCAATTTGACTCTGAAGCAGGAAGATTTTTGGCAATTTACTCGCCAGCTAGACGAACCTGATATGTCGCTGTTTACCTCTAAATGGGCTTCGCCCTCAAAGGAGAAGCCTCTACCTCCGCCGCCTGTCCCATCAGACGATACTAAATCTGTTGGACACAGCCCTCAGAAGAATGGTCAATTACCGCCATTGCCTTCACCACCGAACTCAGACTCCCAACGCCCGACACCGCCACCGCGACCGAGGACCAAGTTGGCTTGGAGAGGAAAGGCTTGTTGGATTGCTCTGCCATCTATGGCCCCCGAAGCCTGCGGAGGTAACAAGCCGCTAAGCCCAGCTCAAACACAATCGCGATTAAAACAATTTGAAGAGGCCGGCTACAATGTGGATGGCTTCGATCTACAACCATGGGCATATCACGACTCGATCGTATCTCAGAGCAGCGGTCAATACCCGGACGATTCAGATGACGTTATAAAGCGCCAGCAAAAAGATTACAAAGTCTTCGTACCCAACCCACAGACCTGGAAGTCATATGTTGACGATCTGATGGAGCAAAAACTGCGTGCATTGGGTGTAAGTCTGGGTGACGATCTTGCTCCTGCTCAACCTCCACCAATGTCTCGTCAATCTTCTGGTCATTATCAATCTGTTTCGCCCAATATGATGCACGCTACCATGGCTGGAGGATCTCATCGTTCCACGCCTTCGCTAGCCCATTTCCCCACCCCTGGGCACTCTTACTCAGCATCTGTCGCTTCGCCTCTCTCCATGCCTGGCGATCCCAGAGGACACGCACATAGACACTCTGTATTCGGCATGCCAGGAATGCCATTTGGATTCCCCAATCAGCAGAACCAACCCAATGGCTTGCCTGCATTCTCTCCTTCGACAAACTTCAACATGAACGCACTTCCTAGAGGAGGGTCACCCGCGCTTGAGAGACTGAAGAGCGAAGGGCCCCCAGCAAAATCTCCCATCTCACCGTATGGTATGCCATCTCCATTTGCCCGAAGCCCGCAGCCACAGCCCGGCGACTGGCCTGGGCAGGCTCATCTCAGGCATCAATCTGTATACTCGAGCTTCTCACCTCAACCTCAAGCTCAGAGGAGCATCACCCCAACTCTCACTCCTGGTGCCGCAATGCGCCCAATTCCATCTTTGGCCGAAGTTCCTGAAGACGAAGAAGAGCCCATGCAAGATTACTTTGCGGGTGCCACACCACGACGCCAAACGCGCAAGGAAGTCGAGCTTGCCCATCCCAGCCCGCGACACAATCGGAACATCAGCGATGCTCTTGAAAGAGAGATCCAGGGATCCGACTACCATCTGGAAAAAGCTTTCGAACGCCAGCTCCAAGACGACGAAGATGAAGCGAATAATAGTTTTGTTAGCCAAAATTCTAGTGGCAGTGCTTATGTGCCTCCTGGCAAGCGAAATGCTCTCGGTCCTGGAATGAATGGTTTCGCTGGCCGCAAAGATTCACCCAGCTTTACCAATGGCCAAATCAAATCCAATGTTGGGATGCCCGCAAACGGCAATCTTGCAAACGCTGGTTTGGCCGGCGCTCTGCAGAACAAAGCTACCAACAAGGTCAAGGGGCATGTGTCGAGGCTCAGTGTTGCAGCGCCCGAGTTCAAGTTCCAACCAGGCTCTTCGTTCCAGCCCACTTTGCCTAGCCTTCCAGGTCTATCGAACTTTGGTCCTCCCATCCAGAACCATGCTGGAAACCAGTCTAATGGGGAAATGGATGTTGCAGCCAACGCTTTCCAACCATCAGCATTCGGCATCATGCCATCGTCTGACTTCAACTTCGCCTCGTCGTTCCCCTTCAACCCTGTCGTGCCTGCTCAACATCCTGTTGTATACCATGCTCCCATTCAGCCTGCTGCTCCAAGCATCTTTGGCGATGTAACCATCCCGGATGCGACACAGCCAGCAAGAAGATCAAAGGCTGTGGTCATTACCCAACCCAAATCTTCACCTGTAAAGGAGGAGCCTGAGGCAGAAGATGAGGATGGCCGCGTGGCCCAGAGCGAAGAACGACAAAAAAGGGCCCGCGTTGCTCAGAATGATGGTGATGATGTGCCTCTCTTTGCAGAGCGCCCTTCATCCTCTGCTCGAACAGTCGTTGAAGAGACATCCGTTCCACAGAAGGAGACCGCTTTCGTCCCTCCCGAACCACCACAAACCAATGGGGCTGGAAGCGCAACTTCTGTTGAGACTATTGAGCCTGCAGTTACCCAGAAGCATAATGCTAAAACTTCTGCCAACATTGCATCAACGCAAGACTTCGAGACGTTGGCTAAACTTCCTACTGAACAGAACGAGCAAGGTCATAAGAAAAATTCGAGCTCTCTCTCTGCGCTTGCCAAACCTTTCGAGTTCAAGCCGCAAGGATCGATGTCAAGCAACCAACCACTCGAGTCTCTTCTCCGTAGTCCGGATCCGAACAAGACGAAGCCTGACTTCAGCCCTTCGCGCGTCTTCTCGCGTACCTCAGAAAAGACACAAGCATCTGTAGAAGATCTTGATTATGCTCCTTCGCCAGAACCTCAAAAGCATGCACCTTATCCTACCGATGATAACGAAGAAGCTCGATTCCCCGAGCCAACCTTTGACGAGATTGATGCTGTCATGCAACAGCTCAACGATGACGATGAATTCGACCAGATCCAGCAGGAATTTGCCTCCGAGGTTGCAAGCCCTGATGCAAGTGTCATCCATCACAGCCCGAGACGTGATGATCGCGATCGCTCAATTTCTCCCCTCCCAGCGCTTTCGAGAGAGCAAGTTAAGATTCGTCCTGCTCGTATCAATCGCCTCAACCGTGGTGAGGATGTGCCCTTGAGCGAGTGGTCTGATGACCTCTCTGTCGATGAGGCAAGCAAGCTGCGCACACGTAGTAACTTCTTTGACGACAGAGTTGACCAGATTGTCGGCGGCGTGATTGACCATCGTTTGGCGCCTCTTGAGAAGAGCCTGCAGATGATCCACCGCGCAGTAAGCACTATCATGACTCGCGAGTCACGACCATCGACAAACCGTGCTCTCTCTGTAGATGAAAGCGATGCTGATGACGAGGATGAAACACTTGATGACAGACAGAACTTCCGCTCACTGTCGCGTGCACAGGAAAGGAAGGCAAGCCAGATCAAGGCTGCTGTGCTCGAAGCTTTGGCATCTCAAAAGGCAAACGGCTCTCATTTCTCATATGCATCCGAGATTCACAATGCACTCATGGATATGAACACCACCATCGCTCGCATCGCATCGGCAAACCTCGACATTGACGATGTCAAGCATGTTGTAGACGAGTCATTGCATCGTATGGGCCAAAATTTGAGTCCTACCGCACCCGCAGAAGATCCAGAGGTCACTCATAGGCACAGACGGGAGGTTTCTGAGCTTAACAATAGACTGAACAAGACTTTGGCCGACGCACTCGAAGAAGCGAACCAACGTCGCACGATTGAAGAGCGTGAGGCTGACACACGTCGCCTACTTCGCCTTGCTGAAGAGGAGCTCTCTCTTCTTCGCAAGACTGTGGGCGACAAGGAGCAGCGTATTCATTCACTGGAGAATCAGCGTGAAGAACTCGAGATCCGCGTCGATGCTGCTGAAGTTATTCAAGCGCGTGATCGGAAGCAGCTGTCAGACCTCGAAGCGGAAAACTCTGCACTTGAGTCTACCCTCGAAGAATACCGTCTCTCCAGCACCAAATGGAGAAACGAGGTTGACGATGTCGCTGGCGAAAATGAAGGCCTCAAAGCAGGTGCCCTTGATCTCAAGGCTCAGCTTGAGTTATCTCGCGATGCAAACGGAATGGCTCAGCAGCAAGTTGAGAATGCAGCCATTGAGAACGCAGCTCTCAAGACCAGCATTGCTGAGCTTTTGGTCCAGCTAGATGAGTCTAACGCGATCGGCAAACAAGCACGCCAGGCTGCTGACGACGCAGCAATTGAGGCCACGGCCATCAAGGCTAGTGCGGCAGAACTCATGGTCCAGCTGGAAGAATCTCATGCCTCTATGAAGCACGAAAAGCAGATCGCTGATGATTATGCACTGGAAAATACCGCCCTAAAAGCCAGCGTGACCAGCTTAGTTGCCGAACTTGAGGAGGCTCGTTTGTCTACCAAGAAGTGGAAGCAAGAGGCCGAAGTCGCTGCCCGTGACAACATGAATCTCCAGGATAACATGTCTGACCTAAAGAACCAGATTGCAGACGGCCTCAACATCCGTGAGAACATGCGTAGCAAGCTTGATAAGATCCACCACGGTATGATATCAGCTGCTGAGCAATTGGCCAACGAGAAGGCAATCTGGCAGAACCGCAATGAAGAGCTTCAAAAGAGATATGTTGTCCTGCAAGCACGTCTTGAAGGCGAAGTCAGCATCAGACGCAGTATGGAAGAAGAAGTGCAGAGCTTGCGCACTCAGCTGCATGAGGCAGTCACCACCAAGATTCAGCTCGAACAGATGCAAAGATCTACCACACTTCACGAGGAGACTTTGAGAACTCTCAGAGAGAATCTCACTGCAGAGCAGACACTGAGCGCTCGCTTGCAGCGTGATCTCCACGAAGCCAGAGAGTCTGGACGAGCCGAAGTCCAACGCACTCAGATGATTATGCAGTCCAGTATCGAGGCTGCTGAGAGTCAAGCCAACATCATCCGTGCCAGCTTGGAACACGAGATCATGCTCGCCAAGAATGAGATCGACAACATCAAGATGGTATCGGATGCTGCTCGGGAGAGACACGAGCGTTCGCTCGAGCAGGAGGCTGACCTCAGACGTGATGCTCTTCGCAAGGTCAACGAGACCAGTAGTTCTGCCTTGAACGACTTGCGTGAGAAGCATGCAGAAGAGATTCGATACCTCAAGTCGCAGTATGAGAGAAGCGTCGCCAATGCCTACGAGGACAAGCAGCGCTCAGCAGTACACTTCAATGACCGTCTTGAGCTGTCAAACGATCAAGTCCTACATTTGCGCGACAAGGTTGCTCATTTGGAGGAACGTTTGGTAGTGACTAAGTCTGCCGCGCAAGCGGCTGTTTCTGCTGCCCAGGCCGCAAAATCTACTCCGGCAACCACTCCCATGCCCACCTCCATCTCGCGTGAGGAGCCTGGTAAGGTTTCCCCTCAAGCTCTCCGTGAGTCTATATTGGTCCTGCAAGAGCAGCTCCAAGAACGCGAGACTCGCATCGAACGCCTGCAGAGCGAGCTTTCGAACGTGGACACCACGGCACCTTCCAAGCTCAAGGAGAAGGAGGTCGAAATTTCCTGGTTGCGCGAACTCTTGTCTGTCCGTAACGAAGACCTCAACCAGTTGATCGACACATTGTCAAAGTCCGACTACGACAGAGATGCAGTCCGCGACTTCGCCATTCGCATCCGCGCCAATCTTCAAATGGAGCAGCAAGAGAAAGAGCGACTCATCAATGCCGGCCCCTCTTTGACCGGTCAAGCATTGGCCAACCTGACCAACTTTGCTTCTCCCAAAGCAGTGTCTTTGGCCGCAGCATTCGGCAACTGGCGCAAGAGTAGAGAGACCTCGCGTCCTGCTTCTGCCCCCAAAGCTCCTGTAAGGGCTACCGCTAGATCATCTGCTGCTGCTGCTGCCCGTCTAGCCAATGGTCGCACACAAACACCTTCGAAGCCATCGCCTCTTCCCTCGCCTTCAATCTTGTCTGGCCTCATGACTCCTCCTGCCACAAGCCTTCGCCGCACACCGAGCCCTGCTGAAGGATCAGATGGATCTCAACGTTCGGGCCTCAACTACTCTCGTGATGCCCAGCAGACCAACGGAGAAACCAAGATGAGCTACTTTGACACAAAGACTGATGAGCAGGGTCAAGAAAGTCCCATGGTGTTCAGACGCCAGAGTTATGATGAAGACGCCCAACTTGGTGACGTGGATACTGGTATCGGAGCACATGAGGAGGAGGAAGAACAAGGCGCCACGGCTCCGGAAGATGTTGCACAGGGTCCTCGCGATCAAACACCCGAGGAACTAGTTGGCAGAAGTCTTGCTGATGAGCTTGAGGCCATGTAAGTTGTGATTTACTAAAGATTGCGATCTGAAAAGTACAAATGATGTTGAAGAGAAGGATCATTTCGGAAACGACCATTTCGGAAAGCACAATTTCCTATGTTACTTACCTGCCTGTTTTGTTTTACACTGTTTCAAAAATTGTCATAGCATAGTTGGTTTTTCCAGTTCACACTCCCTTGTCATCTGTTTGCATTTGTTTCTTGGGCGCGATATACCCAACCCACCGCAGATATAGCGATTTGCGTTGTTGTTGTTTACTCTGCTATACCTTGTACCGGCCTGGAAAGAAATTTGTCCTTGCTATTTCCATCTCTTCTCACTTATACATATAACCAAAAATAGTCGTTGTACATATAGTCTCTTTACCTCGAATCACAGTACCAGTCTCACTTGGCAGCACAGTGTCTTGAAAAGCGCAATTTCTTTGAGAAGTCTGATTTTCGTATTTGATCCATGGTCATTAGCTCCTCCAAGCCAACCCTTGGTGTTTCCCATCTTCAAATGTCTTCTCTCTTTTTCGCCTTCTCCTGTGATTCCAAATAGGGAGATTCTGATCGCAATATAACGCCGCGCTTGTAGAAATGATGTTTCTGACCTGGAGGATGAACGCCGGAAGGGGTGGGTATGGATGGACTATGTGGTCGTGTTGACCTGTGTGGGCGAACAAGGGCGGAATGCGCGGATAGAGACGTGCACTTCAAAGATACCGTGCATGCATGTTGCCGTGAAATGCCGCTGGAAGAGTCGCGTAAAGGTCGTGCGCAAGAAGAGATTTCGTAGCAGAGGTTAATGGATGATTTAGCGGGCCTCGAACTGGATCATGCTGTGAAGAAGTCAGAAGGAGAGCAGGGAGTCTATAGTGAACTGGATCATACCGGTTGGTGCGCTGCTTGTACAGGACACGGTAACCGCACTCCTTGCAACGGATGGGGTCGCCGCGCTTGAGTGAGACTTCGGCATCGCAGTCACCGCAGGAGTACTTGACGCTGCGGTTGGTGTCCTCGAAGGTGTTTTGGTTGGTAATCTGGAAGCCATTGTTGTTATTGCCTTGGGGTTGCGACATGATTGCGGATGTGTGTATGTGATGGAAGGGTTGTGTCGGTGATGATGGAGTTTACGGATGGTGATCGCAAAGAAAGATTGAAGATGCGCGATAGGAAGGTCTTGGCAGGGCCCCGGCGGCGGAGAAGCTCGCGGCGACAACGGGACTCGCGTGCCAATTGCGTCGTTGGTTTGCTGACCAACTCGAGGATTTATTTTCCCTATCGCTGTTTCCCTTGCTCCACTTGTTCTTGCCATAATTGATACCCTCCTGCCTTTCGTGTGACTCTGTTTCTCTGAGCGTCGTCCTTTCCTTCTAAGACTCTTCTTCGACTCATTGTCTTCTGCATTCCATTGAATTCAAAAATCCAGCACCCCGCCTTCGAACCCCCGCCACATACAAAGAATCACAAACATGTCGGCCATCTTGTCGGCAGACGACCTCAACGACTTCATCTCGCCCGGAGTTGCCTGTATCAAGCCTGTAGAGACCTTACCGAAACAGCAACCACAAGAAAATGCCTACGAAGTCACGACCGAAGACAAGGTTGCTGCCGCCGAAGCCCCACCAGCCAGCATTTCCTTGACAGATTGTCTAGCATGTAGTGGTTGTGTCACATCTGCCGAGGCCGTCCTCGTCAGTCTGCAATCACATCAAGAAGTCCTCAACACACTCGATGCATACCCCGAATTACGCTTGCCTTGGACCGCTCAAGGCGAGTCTCTCCCTGGACCCTCGGACGGCAAGATCTTTGTCGCAAGCGTGTCGCCTCAAACACGCGCCAGTATCGCCGCAACATATGGAGTCTCCGAGAACGCCGCTACAAACATGATTCAACAACTTCTCTCCGGTCCGGCTGGTTTACGATCAGGAGGCGCAAACAACAGTGGCTTTGCCTGGGTCATTGATACGAACGTCATGCGCCAGGCCGCTTTGGTCGCTGCAGCAGACGAAGTTATGGATTCTCTTGCGCCCTCGGCAAAACACACATCAGATTTCAGTGGCTCGCGCGCTGAGAAGCCCAAGAAGCCCATTCTTTCATCTGCATGTCCCGGTTGGATCTGTTACGCCGAGAAGACACACCCTCACGCGCTGCCGCACATGTCACGACTAAAGTCACCACAGGCCTTGACGGGCACATTGGTCAAGAGTGTTTTGGCGAGGAAATACGGCATCAATCCGGAGAACGTGTGGCACATGGCAATCATGCCTTGTTTCGACAAGAAGCTGGAAGCGTCAAGAGAAGAGTTGACAGATATACACTGGTCACCGGATGGCAACAACACAGAGCGCAAAGGCATTCGAGATGTCGACTGCGTGATTACTGCTCGAGAGCTGCTCATGCTCGCCGAAAGCCGCGACATCTCCTTCCCACAACTACCACAGAAGCCTCTATCAAGACAACATCACACGCCTTTCCCAGATTCGAAACTCGACACCTTCCTCTTCCCTTCTAAGTACGTCCCCAACAACACAAAAGATGCCGGCACGAGTGGTGGATATCTCTGGCATGTGATGCAAACATACCGCGCGCACAACCCAGGCAGTCAAATCACCACCCAAAGAGGTCGCAATGCCGATGTTGTCGAATACACTTTGATTGATGCAGAAAACTCACCAATCGTAAGAACTGCTCGTTACTACGGCTTCCGCAATATCCAAAACCTGGTTCGTCGACTGAAACCAGCACGCGCATCACGTATGCCAGGTGCGGCGAGTAGATTAGGCGGTGCTCGTAAGCCTGGCGCTGCGGCAGGCTCAGCGGGAGGACAAAACATGAGTGACTACGCATATGTAGAAGTTATGGCGTGTCCAGGCGGCTGCACGAACGGCGGTGGTCAAATAAAGGTCGGCGATGTCGGAGCTCTACGAGGCAGTGGTGTAGAGAACGGCGGCGATCAAATCGTCGCACCTCAGCAAAAAGAATGGCTGCAAAAGGTCGACGAAGCATATTTCTCATCTTCCTCTGCTTCTTCGTCACCAATGGCTTCAGATACGGAAGATGAAGGGGTTGAAGTGGATGCACAATCTACAGCGACGACGGCTAAATCTTCTGCCAATGGCGATGTCGAGATGGACGATGCAGAAGATGCTTCGCTTGTGGATGGTATCTCGCATTCACAGATCAAAAATATCTTCTCGCATTGGTCTGATTTGACGGGGGTGGCGAAGGATAAGTTGGTGTATACTTCTTACCGCAAAGTTGAGAGTGACATTGGCAAGACTGCTACTGATGTAGAAAGAGTTGCTGGTCTTGCTAGCACTATTGGAGGTGGATGGTAGATAACTATTCATGCAAGCACGATCATGTTGTCTTAGCATCGCATATACCCGAATTATTCATCACTTCAAACTGTTCCATCAAGAACTCTACATCGAAATCTACCGCTCCTTCCCTATCGTTGGCGTCCCCTCCTCACCAAGTTCTTCCTTTACGTCAAAAAGCTCCTTCCGAGCCACTCGCGCTTTTCTATCCCTCCTCTCCCTAGTCCAAATGACTGAGGCCACTATGCCAGCAACCGCCGTTGCCGCAACAAAAGACCACAGTTCCCACGTCGCTTCACTCCCAGTCTGCCACTGCTTTCCCATCATCTCCTCATGCCCAACACTACCTCTCCACCACCTCTCAAACCACCCTCTACATTCCATCAACGTACTCGTATACAAGAATCCAAAACTCGCATACACGACAATCTTCCCCTCTGATCCCTTCCCCCCTTCCTCCCCACCACCATCTTCTGCGGCAGAAGTCCGTCGAGCCGCACGCTTCGCCTCAATTTTATGCAACGATGATGTCCACCCACCTCCTCTATTCACGATTATATGCACCATCACACCCACTCCCACCATCACCGCAAACCACACTTCCCACCACTGTCTGATTCCTTTGGAGCCCGGTGATCTCGAAACCCCAATCATGTTGGAAATACAGAGATCAGGGAGTATGAAGCGTAAAAGGAATCTTAGCATTTTGAGTATTATCCAGGTGAATGTGTAGCAGGCGTCCATGGCTAAATAGGTCATGATGGTGAAGAAGGAAGTTGCGATGACGGTTGTGAGGAGCAGAGTTGGCGTAGGAGGGATATTGAGGCACGTTGTCAGAGGCGGTAGGAGGAAGATGAGGGCTGCGGTTGTGTATAAGAGGAGTAATTGTGGTGCATTTGAATTGGTGTTTGCCATTATTTCCGTCTTCGAAGTGGAAGTTGACAATATTCGCAGAGTGATAGATTGAGCGACTGTTGTGGAGAGGAATTATTCTGTAAGGCGGTGGTGTTGCAAAGGTGATCGATAAGGTCGAAGGATGTGTTGCGATGTGATGTGTTGCTAGAACCCGCGGAAGATCGAAAGATGTTACGGACGGAAGGATTCTAAAAACCGAATGGGGAGTTAGTTTGTGTTTGCTCATTCCGCTGCTTCTGTCATGATTCAGGCTCGAGAATCTGTTGTTGTCAGTACTTGATATGTTAGTCGTGATTTCCATGTCAGATACCAACTTCTCTTTGAAAGAGCTAGATGGAACAATCCACCCCGTGCCTTCTCAGGTCATAAGCACTCGACAGAAACTCATGAACAGTACTTGGAAGAGAATCACAACATAACAGTCTATTGGTATCTTTTCATTCAATGTTTCGCTAGAAACGACCGGGAATCCGTGAGAATTTTACACATGCTTTTTCATCTTCGCTTAATGACCGTGACCATCATCACCACCCTGGTTCTCAGGGTCGAGCTTGATCATCGTGTCGATTCTCATGATAGCCACACAGGCCTCGACGGCACTCTTCAACTGCTTGACCTTGCTCATGGCAGGCTCCAATACACCCATCTTCAAGCTGTCGACGACACGACCCTTGGTGAGATCGAGACCGTAGTTCTTGTAATTCTTCTTCTTGGCGAGTGACTTCTCGTCTTCGGTTGCGGGTTGTACGGTGGCTGCGGTGTGGGCGTCGCCACTACCGCCCTCGGAGGCGGATAGACGTTGTGACAAAGCGTGACGGCTACGGAGTTGTGCGACGAGTTCAGAGCTGTCCTTTGCGGCGTTGACAGCGAGGGTGGTGGGAATGATCAGGAGGGAAGCGGCGAAGGCACCAATGGCGAGTTGCTCGCGCGAGCCCTGTATATGAATTTAGCATGAGGATAGGAGGAGAAACAGGAAAAGATACGTACGACAGAGGTAGCCCACTCTTCAAGGTAGATGTGCAGGGCAGTCTCGACGGCACCACCACCGGGAACGATACGGCCACTCTCAAGAGTACGCTTGACAGCGGAGAGCGAGTCGTGGACGGAACGCTCCATCTCGTCGAGCGAGTACTCGTTGGGACCACGGAGAATGATGGAAGCAGAAGTGTGAACCTTGGTACCCTTGACGAGAATGCACTCGTCGTCTGAAATACGCTCCTGAACAACCTCCTCGGCGTGACCAAGGTTGCTGGCCTCGAACTTCTCGTCACCGTTCAAGTCGGAGAGAGAGCTGACCAGAGTGGCACCGGTGGCCTTTGCGATACGGCGGAGATCCTCCTTCTTGCAGCGGCGAACAGCCATGGCGCCCTTCTCGATGAAGGACTTCAAGCACAAGTCGTCGATACCCTTGGTGGTGAAGATGACGTTGGCGCCAGACTTCAGGATCATGTCAACACGCTCAAGGACGATACCAGCCTCACGCTCACGGATCTTCTCAAGTTGTGCCGGGTCGTCAATGGTGATGTGTACTCCAAGCTTCATGCGCTCCTTCTGCAAGTTCATGTCGAGACAGGCAATCTTTGCGTCAACAACGCGGGTGTTCATGGCTTGACTGGCCACGGTGCAGTTGAGGGCGTAACCCTTGACCAGGACACTCTCCAGAGCACTCTTTCCGTGCGCCTTGAGGACGTTGACAGCCTTGACGGGGTACTTGACATCGCCACGGCTGTTGACGCTCTTGACGCTCTGCATGGCATCCACGACCATGTTGGCGAAAAAGTCCGAGTCGGCACCGATAATCTTGCTGCTCATGCTGGTCTTTGCAATCGACATGAGCGACTCGCGGCCCAGAGTGTCGACCTTGGTGGCAATGTTCTCGCTCATGTAACGGACAGCCTCGCGCAGGGCCAGGCGGTATCCAGTGATGATGGTCGTGGGGTGGATGCGCATCTTCATGAGCTCGTTTGCGCGACGCAGCAACTCCGAGGCGATTAGTACCACTGATGTTGTTCCATCGCCAACCTCCTTGTCTTGTTGTTGTGCCAGGTCTACCAGAATCTTGCCGGCCGGGTGGGAAATGTCGAGCAGGGAGAGAATTGTTGCGCCGTCGTTGGTAACCGTCACATCACCGATATCGTCTACCATCATCTTGTCCAACCCGCTAGGTCCGAATGAAGATCTGACCACGTTCGATATCGCCTGAGTGGCTTGCACACATTGTTCTCTTACATCGCTGCCGCTGATTTTTGTTCCTCCAAGGACTACGGAGTATTTGGTATCAGCAGATGCTCCTTTCAAGCGCGGTTCCTTCCAGATACGTACAAAGTGTACCAGCATTCCTCGGGGCTTCGAACATGGATGCCATTTTTGTAATAGCGGTATAAGTGACGTTTTCTAGAAAGTTGAGGCACAGTCGACGACTTCCTTGACTTGCACCAAAACAGCCCTTGAGCTTCGCGAATGCCAAGACAAACCTCCGAACGCCGACCCTGATCTCCTCTCCAACCAGCCAAGCCAGCCAACCTCTGTTTCGTTTCTTCTCTCCACTTCTGTCTTACCTTCTGCCAGTGACTCTTTTGAACGTGGTCAGACGAGATCGATCTCTGGACATGAGTTTCGGATAGTCTGAGATGAATAGAAGATGGCACAGGGATAAAGAAACTGCCCCGGAAGAGAACTTAAATTCCTTAAGGGCTGTCAGAACATGTCTGACGCAAGACAAGATGTTTCTGTGATCAACTGATCATTTCAGTGAAAGCACCTTCTTCATGCGCTCTCACTGGACATCTCTCTGCTTCTTGATAACGTTGTGTCGTGCCATAGCTCCTCTTTCTTCTTATGTCAAGGGTCATTCGTGGAATGAAAGAAGGCAACGTACACTGCTGTTCTGTTGTTGGCTATGAAGTGATGTGCTGGTAAGTGAGTGGATGGTGCTAGTTTTCTCGCGGACGCTTCCAGGTTGTTCGTAAGGTGGATTCTTTCCACGCGGCTTCACTACATCTCACTTGCTTCGTTCAGCTCCGCTCCATCTATCATCCCTCTCGTTGCTATTCCACTCCATCAATCACAATACCCATCAAACCACCAATCATGCAGGAGGCACGGAGGGCGCACCTGAACGAGGAGGCCGGTCAGATCCTCGCAATGTTTTACCCAATCCACGAAGACTTCTCACCCACCGAAACCGTCTTTCGCGTCAACATCTACTGCAACCTACGCGCATTTCAGCTGAGAGGAATGTCCCTTGTCCCGGAGCCTGGCACGCCCATCATCATCTCCTTCGCCGATTACGATACCGATGGTGCCACGCAAAGGCAGCAGAAGTCGCAGCATTTCTATGCCGGATTCGTCATCGAAGACCATGCCGAGGCTCCCAGCATTGCTTTCTGTGCTGTTGTTGAAGGACGACCATTCTGGAAGTTTGGCAAGCAGAAGGTCTCGGTCACGATTCAGCTCGGAGGGGAGGATCGAGCAACTATGCGCCAATACAACGCATTTGAAAGCGCATCGAAAGGCCTTTCGCAGAGGGGTGGTGGCGTTGACTGGGATCGCTTTCTACTTAACTGTATGTCCCCCGATTGGCATACTCAGCACAACTCATGGGCCCGCTCCATGGCAGACTATCCGGGCCAGAAAGAAGAGTTTTTCCAGCAAGCAGAGAAAGTTTTTGGTCTTGATTCCAAGCAGATGGAGTTCACCAAGCAGTTCCTCGAGAACGATTCTGGTGTGTCAGTCCTCTTTGGAGCTACTGGGAATGGAAAAAGCTTCACTGTTGCTGTCGCACTCATGCTCTACCTGACTACAAACAAGAAGTTTCGCAGAGGTCTCAAGGAACTTGGCAACCATCACCGTATCCTGGTGACTGCGACATCAGATCAGGCCACTGATGACCTTCTGCGTATGTGTATCGAGCTCGACCCTACCCTCGGCAACCAGCATTTCGTCCGTTTCAAGGGCGGCGGCAAGATTGGCGCAAACCTTTCGGGCCAGGGCAACGTAATCGAGATCGAAGTTGGAGAAGAAGAGAGAATCAAACGTGAAAACATCGAGAATGCGTACTGGCACATGATAGATATCGATGCCCGCAGCGGCCAGTCAAAGTTGAGGAGCGATCTGAAGAAATTCGACTTTATCCACGACTTCCACAAGACTATTGCTAGCTGGAGCCATGACCATCCACAAGCTCGGATCGTCGCTATCTACAACGCATTCGTTGGCGGTCTCATGAAGGAGGAGTACTCAAGAGCACAAAGAGCAAAGTTATTCAACAAGAAGAAGGAGCTTGAGAGGACTTTGTACAAGGCCTACTTCCATGAAGTTGATGCCGTGTTCGTTCCCTTGATCGGTGCCAGTCACCCGATTCTGGAAGCCTTCTTTGAGCCGACACTTCTGGTAATCGACGATGCCGCCATAGCTGTGCTCGGCGACCTCTTGACCCCTGTCATTCCTCATCTGACCAGCCTTCAGCATGTCATCATAGCTGGGGACCCAGTCCCTGTGGGAGGCAGAGCACTGAACAAAGGACGAAACGAGTTTTTCGACCTGACCGACAAGACCCTGATGGTGCAACTGTTCTTGGACGAATATTGCCAATCCGACAACTGCATCACCGAGCTCGATCAGCAGCACCGCATGCAGCCTGAGATCTTCGGACCACTCAACCAAACTTACTACCACGGCAAGGTTCTCGACACAGCATCAGTCAACGAAAAAGATGCAGTGAGCATCACAGCTCAAGAGTACTTCAGAAAGACATTTGGTGCTGCCTATGCAAACGGCAATCGATTTGGCGTCGACTTCAGCGATCCTAAGAATGCTTCAAAAAACTGGAGAGCGTCGAAATCACCTTGTAACCATGCAGAGGCCACCGCCATCGTCGATATGGTCCAAGGCCTTCTCAGCCACAAGCCTCCGATCGGTGGCCGTCAAATCGAGCCCAGAGATATCCTCATCAATACCCCTTTCGCCGGTCAGGAAACCGAAATTCGCGTCCGTCTGATCAGAAAAGGTATCATCGGCACCACTGATGACAACAAAATCCGCGTCGCCTCACCCCTCAACGCAAGAGGTCAGGAAGGAAACGTTCAGTTCATCTCCCTATGCCTCAACGATCCTGCAAAGCCCCTGAGTACGGAGTTCATCGCCGATAGGGAGATGTTGAACATCATGTTCTCTCGTGCCAAGCACATGCAGATTGTCGTGGGTAACTTTCGCCCCTGGACCACTGCTATCAAGAGTAAGGCTAAGGGATGGGAGGGTGCTAGTGCCAAGAAGGCACAGCGTTACGAGTTTGTTGAGGTTATCAAATCGTTCTGGCCTTGAATAGAAGTTGCTTGGCTTGTCAGTTAGTTAAATAAAGTATCCCAATACATGATGTATTTCCGAAGATAGACAATGTCCAGTACAACCGATCGAATTTTTCTGGTTGCGCTCTAACTGGATGCAGCTTCCTAACGAAAAGCTTCATGCCTTTTGATGGACTTCAAATGACCCCTATCTGTACTGAACTGGGAGTAAGAAATGTGATCAAAGAAGAGAGAAAAAAACTGTAGCAATGCACAATACTTCTTGGACTCATAGCGTGGACCGAAGAAAGCTTGAGATAACGGAGCTCTCATTGAACGAAATATACGACCAAAACGAGATCAACTGTGCATTCTGGCGATCATGTCACGATAGACACTAGACCCCTTGAACAATTTGCTCAGACTCATGTGTTCGACACGGCTTTGCGTCTGTGAGTGATTTGTGACTCACTACATAGACAGTATCAGATTCATGCTTCTGCTGTCCAACTTTCTTACCGTTGGTAACAAAGTATCGCCAAAATTTATCGGAAGGATGTCTACTTTCCTACTCTGTCTTCCAAACGAGTTGCTTCTCCATGTCTTCGAAGAAATCGACTGTCCGAAATCAGCAGTCGCTTTTTCACAAGGCAACAAGCGCTTACAAGCGGTTTGGCTCAAATATGCGTCCATCGTCGCCCAAGCATCTTGTAACTTCGACAACAGTGCTACAAATGTAGCAATCAAAGTCGCGGTCCACGAAGCACAAACCAAAGCCTCTCTGGACCATGACAAGGTCCCACCACTAAGAACATGGATGCCAATATTCCACCACAACATCGCTAACCCTTTGCCTTTAATTCATAGTCGCTATGAGCATGTTCAGTCTTGCTTTACAAAATGACCACATGCAGATAGATTGTGATCAGTAGAGTCTATTCACTGACCGTGACTTCTTGAAACAGGATGGTCGTGTATGTCGTCAGCCTGATCAGCGCTCGTACCGATATTTGAGCAAGCGCCATATTCGGAAGGAAAGAGAACATGTGATGATGCTCCTGCCCATGATCGAGCTCCTTCTTCAGAAGGGAGCTGACGCAATGCACAGTGTTTTTTCAAAGACAACGTCGTGGCCAAGGAGAGTTGCTCATATCATGGCTCTCGATGGACAATTCGATAGAGACTGAAACACATTGTGCAAATCGACAGTCGTGAAAGGAGGACCCTCGTCAGTCGGGAGCAAGGCTTGTTTTTCTCTATCGTTCATAATATGTCACCTATCGGTACTGTCTACAGAAAAGCTCATCTGAGCAATCATCTAGCACCTTGTTTTGTTGATCCACATCTCCTTCTTTCATCTGCCGTAATACACATTCTCTCTTAGCATAGTCTCGTTGTTTACCTCTTCTTCCACGCAGTACGATTAGATCGACTACTGATCAGAAAAGACCAGATAACCACCTGGCGAAATGTAGGTGAGAGCGCCCTGCTCGAAGAGTCCGTAAGGATCAACGAACGGGTGGACCTGAGCACTTCCACTGTGGCCACTGCCGGCCAGGTTTGAGACACGCATCACCACATAGACTTTCTGAGGAACACCGTCACCCTGGAGGCGTTGCTCCTTTGCCTGTGAAGAGTCAGCGAATAGTTCCAGTAGCTACATGATCCACTTACCATGTCAATTTGATTCTGGCTGATATGGAAAGGCTCGGTGCGGGGACCATAAGTGGCCTTGACCTCGATTGAGTAGGTGATCGAGTCTTTGCCGTTCTTCCCAAGCCACTCTTTGGGTTGCCTACAGCCTCTTTCCACGAGCCAGTCAGTGAAGCGACCACTGAGGTCGCGAATGGTGAAGTCGGCGAACTGGCTGTCATCACCATCGAAAGTCTGGTCAGTATATTTGGCACTGGCGTGACTCGTCCACATGTCGTTCGTGAAGTAGTCGCCGAGGAGATTCTTGAAGAACCCGTACATCTGATTGGATTAGCACAGCCATAAACGAGCAATGGCCGGTCAACCACTTACCTTCATTTCACCTTGCTCGCCGATACGGATGACCTGAGGGTCTTCGTAACTGGTCTCCGAGGCACTGACCAACTTGCGATACTCGGAGGCCTGAGCTCGCTGCATCGTGTCGGTGACAATCTCGCTTTCTTCGCTGTCAATGTCGTTGATGTCCTCGTCAGACATGGCAAGTTTATTGCCGAAGTTGTTGGACTTTGCCTGGTAGCTGAACCCATCACTAGACTTGGCAGATCTTCTGTAAGGGGCAGCATTATTCGACATGGGTGCCGTACCCTTGTCCCAGTCCCCGTCATCTAAGAGCTGCTCTGTATCGTTTTCATCCGAGCTAGGCTCAGGTCGGAAGCGAGGCCTGGCGCTGTGGTTCTGACCATTAGCGCGAGAAGCAGAAACAGGCTTTATCTTGCGTGCAAGCTTGACACGGAAGCCAATGGCCTTGAGAGCTGCCAGCGAAGAGCTATCGCTGTCATCAGAGGATGAAGAGTCGTTGTCTGAGACCATCCCTGGGGGGATCTGTTGAGCGGACACACGCCTGGAAGACGATGCGGCTCCTGCCAAGCCACCGATGATGTTGTTGGTCAGCTTTTGCAATTCGACTTTGTCAAAGATCACCCCATGCTCCTCTAACATGTCCTCGATTTGCTGAGTGGAAGAAGTTGTAAGGATACCAAGGACGAGTTCCTTTGGCACTTTCTCGAGCTTGCACAGTGTTACCAGCTTTTCTGAAAGCTCGTAGTGGTTCAGGGAGTTGTCCTCGAGATCCTGGATAGGGGCAAAGACTCGCTGATCCTTGCCCAGCATGATATTGGCAGGTAAAGGTTTACCGCAGATTTCTTGGTTGTCAAGGCGTATCGAGCGATGCACCTTGATCGACTCCACGGCCCAGATCTCGATGCTCTCGAGCAGGGGTTTCATGATGTATTTCTCAGCAGGATTTGTCAGACATAGGAGGTAATGAGCCTTCACTTGGAACCTTCTTGTGTGCGAGACGTCCTTCGTAGCTTGGGCCATGCCTTCGACCACTTCCCGCTTAGTGACCAAATGCGAGAGATGTTTACCCCAAATGCCCATCTTCTCGAGAAGGGGTTCAAGTCTCTTCTGATCGCCCAGACCGAAATCTAGGAGATGAACCATGCCCGAAAAGGACACGCTCAAGTTCTTTCCATCTGGGATGAACCATTTCGGATCACTGCCAGGCACCAGAACAAGCTGCTTCTGAGTATTCTTGACCGGGAAAATACGGGAGTTCTCCAATGCCTTCAGATCGTAGGTCAGACGAGGGTTGATTCGGCTGCTGAGCTCAAGCAACAACTCTTTGATTTGAACAACGGACGGGGTATTATTCTCGTGAGCAAGTAGCTCGTTGACAAAGTCTCCAATGCCTGCATCTTGCAAGCTAAGAATGTTCTTGAAGAATGACTGCGCGGGTCCGTAAATATGTGCAATGGGACGGATTCTTCGCAAGCATGGTGGAGCTTCCCAAACACAGCTTTGCAGATGTACCCATTGTGCACTCTCAGGCAGGAAGATCAGGGGTAAGTCTCTGAAAGCGGTACGAGTACGTTCTCTCGCGACCATGCTCGGCTCACAGAAGTTGTGGATATCTCTGTACAGCTTGATGACAGTCATCTTGTCTGGGATCATTCCTGTCTCTGGGAACTTCATCAGGAGCTTGAGGCAGAAGTCCAGATCACGATGGGTAATGACTCCGAAGGTAGACAGCTTGGTCCAGTCATTGTGCTGTTCGTCTTTGACATCGAGGAAGTGGAATCCCATATGCTGGATGGTCATGACAGCAGAGCGCAGGGTAGGTAGAATGGTGTCTTTCAACTTTGCTCTTCTGCCATCAGTGCAGTCTACAACCAGAGATTCAATTCTGCTTCTGACTTCGTCGCTCGGGATCCTCACATCGCCTAGCTTCGGAGCTTTACTCAGGTGATAGTCCTCCCAGTTGACTCGGATACACGCGAGCCATTGTACACTTGGCAGGTTGTTGACAAGCCATTCGAACTCTGCAGACAAACCCTTGTTCATCTTGTTTGCCAGGCGAGGGACATCATGCACACCCAAACACTCTCGCAGCCAAGCAAGCCATCTTGTGCGCAATTCCACGTTTCCGTGGTAGGCTCCCAAATACTTGGGATGAATGAAACGTATCACCGTGGGGTTTTGAGCAAAGATCTGACTAACTGGCACTTTGAAAGGATTGTCCATGTGTAGCTCGATTCCTCGAAATTGCTCGCCACGTGAGTCTGCGAGCCAAAGGATAGTGCTCAAGTTCTGTGCCATTTTAGATGCTGATGGCATGCTGAACACGTACTGTGCATGAGAGAGCAGAAGATCAACGTCGGCGTTGGACATTGACTCCCTGTGCTGCTTGATGATGCCTTGAAGGACGTCTTCGTAATCGAGGTCTTGGGCGCCAATCCGTCTGAGGAAGCTTCTGCGTTCTTCGTTGCGAGAAGCATTGTGTTCAACGATCGACAAAGATACGCCTTTCGGTATGACAATGTTGGCATCGGAACGCGGTAAGTAAAAGGCTACAGGTGGTGTGTTACGAGTTGCGGCTCTTGAGTATGTCAGCTTCACACGGCTCTTCGCAGGTATCCATAGTCCATCATCGAGAGGAACGATAGGCAAAATCAGAAGTTCGTCCAAATTGAACTGCTTCTGCTCAACCATCAGAACAGTGGAAACTCTGCCGTGCCATGCATCAGGTCTGCTGCGGAACTCTTCTGACTGTTTCATGACATAGTTCTTGAGTATCTCGAAGAACTTCTTGCCATCAAGAGCCTGTGTAACCAATGAAGAGACGTGATTTGGGTCGTACTTGGTAGAGAGGTATCGATCATTTGTGGGAGTCAGAAGAGGGGTTCCGTCTTCGTCCTTGTACTGGTCGGGCACCAGCATCATCACCTTGGGCTTGGCAAACTCACCAGACCTCGATTCCAGGATCTTCACGTCTTTCATCCGATCGAGGAACTTGTCCTTCATCTTGTCGAAGAATTTATGAGCGACCTGGGCTTCTGGAAGATAAGCAGGCCAGCGGTACTTCAGATGAGAATCGTTGAGTCTCTGGAAGGCCTGAATAAGCGCATAGATGATGTGATCTTGTAAGCGACGATTCCATGGTTGAGATTCATCAATGCCTTGGCGACTGGCGACCAGCAAGAAGTCTGCCTGGATGAGGAATGGCAGACCAGAAGAGCACACAGGTAGGAAGGCATAGACGTCTTGCTTAGCAATGAGTGGTTGTTGCTGGTCATCCAAAGGGAAAGCTAGCTTGATCGAGGTCTCCGTGACACCTTGCCTCAGCTCAGTCGAGGGCATCTCTCGAGCAGTGTAATCAGAGACCACGTAGCGCGACCTTCTTGATCTCGTGCCCTTGGTTTTTGTCGTTGTGACAAGTTGTAGGTCGTCGGTGAAAGCACGCTGATCATGAGACATGATGATCTCGTCGAAGGTGTCTCCAGAGTCATCAAGCCTGACAACTCTGATCTTGGAAAGGCGACGCAGGAACATGAATGAAGATGGTTCGAGGACCTTGGTTAACTGGTCTTTGACAGCATCGCGGTCTTCTTGCTTCTCAATCTTGAGACAAATCATTGTGTTCATCTGAAGCTGCTCCGGGAAGTGAGGGAATTCTGCCCATACCGGATCGACCATGCCTAGGGGTTTGCTCTTATCGAACATGAAAGAGAAGTTGTTGGAAGAGATCCAGACCTTGTCTGCCACCTTGAAGACTGACTTGAAGCCAATGCCCTTCTCTCCGATACAGCTCTTTTTACCCTCCTTCAACAGGGTTTTTGTGCTCTGATTCATGTCGCAGATGGCGCTCACGTTTGCTTTAGAGAAGCCCTGCTCATTGCAGCCGAAGAGGAGTAGGCCATCAGAGCGGTAGGCGAGCGCGGCTTGAGGCTGGTCGCCATCCGTGTAGACGTTGTCATCGGCATTCTGGATGAGCTCGAATAGAAAATGAGAAGGCTCGCTATAAAGCTGTGCCGATAGCCTATATGATGTCAGTGACTGTGTCTGCCAAACGTGCAAGTCGAACTCACAGCTTCAGCATGCTCTCATATCCCCTGCGAAGGAAGCGCTCGGATTCGTTCCGCGCATCTGCGCCATGGCTGACACGGATATCTCGAATATGCGTCTGGCACTCTTCGACGGTCAACTTCTCAACCATGTTGTTGATGGGCTGTGAGAGATGAAGCTGGACTGGGAAGCCGGAGATATGATCTATGGAGCGAGCATCCAGCAATACCGAATAGTGAAGGGTGTTTGGTTCAAGAAAAGGAGGAAAGTGAGATTGTGTTGTGCGCTGTGAGAAAAAAAGGAGGGTTCCTTCGCTGGATTACAGCTCGTGTCTTTGTCGTCCCAGCTAACACGCAAGTGAAGTCGTGTTGTCTGGGATGGACTGGCAACACCGGATTTTTGAGCTGGCAAAGACGCCGAGCACTCGAGAGAAGGTTCAAGCTTTGTCTGTGTCTGAGCAAACGGAAGGCGCGTCTCTTCCGTTTGCTCGCATCTGACCCCAGCTCATGCATCCAAACAGATATTTGAGACATCTACCTGTTTATGATCTGCCCATACATACCGCCTCTAGTAACTGGACCTGTTTGCTCAAAGCATATCTTGTACAGACTCACACGTTCCTACGAAACCATACCGGTAGTTCGCAGGCAGCCCCCGAGTCCTTGGTAAGTCATCTGAACCTGTAAGTTGTTCAGTTGGATCTCGTCACTTTCCATCTCTTTCGAGCATTTTGTGACTCTCTTTCATTTTTCAAGATGGGTTGGCTCTCCTATGGCGGTTCTTTGGTGTCACGCTGCGTTGGATGGTTGAAGCGCTATGCAGCTAGCCATTGATAGCCAGTCGTAAAAGCAAACGAAGACGTCGTCAATACTCCAGCGAGCAGGTAAGTCTCTTTCCAGGGTCGAGCCTGTCTCTCTTACCGTTACACCACTGGTCAGTATATTCTTGGTCCAGATTGGGGTGTACTCGATGGACTTTATTTCCCCAAGCAGTCAAAACTGGAGAAGAGCTTGGAATGTTTGCGATCAAAGAAGATGTACCCGGCTGAACTGGAGTTGATATAGAACGTCTCGTCTGTGCCGCCTCTGTCTATCTGCCGTTCTTTTCCAACCTGTGGACGGGTGGTGGTAGTGTACAGATCATCAGGATCTCGTTTCCTCCAAAAGAGAACTCAAGATATCTTTGACAGGATGATATGCTCTGGTACTGCCTACCTCATATCTGAAGTGTTGTAGAGATTGACAAGGGCGGCAAACTGTTGCTCGGGAAATGCTATATAGCAAGACAGGTGTGTTCAATAACGATATCATCCATCCGATAACGGCCTCCTCACGTTCAGCACGCAATTAATCCGGCCCGCAGTGACGATGGTGAGTCTTCTCGGCTTTGAACTCCCTCTCACTTCTACCAAACAATTCCAGCGTCACTTAATTATTCGTCAATTGATTACCCGCACGCGCTTCAAAGCACCACCACCGCTCATCGGATTACACTCAACTCCCCCTTCTTACTCGTATCTCAATAACGCAGGTGGTTGGCCCTGTGAATCAAAAACCACGACGTAACACCATCATGTCGTCTTCTACTGGTCCTTCTGCGCCTCCTCCCGTCAACAAGACTCTGGATCTTGACGGCCACGATCTGCCCCCCTCACCCACTCCATCAAGCCCTAGCAATGGCAAGAACAAGTACTCGCTCGCAACTGAGCTCGTCTACACTGAGTCAAACGACCAGTACAACGCCAGCAGCGTTCCCATCTACCAGTCCGCAACCTTCAAAGGCGAAGGTAACGAATACGACTACACTCGCTCGGGAAACCCCACCCGCACCCATCTTGAGCGTCACTTGGCCAAGATCATGAATGCCCACCGCGCGCTGGTCGTGACTTCGGGCATGGCTTGCCTCGACGTTATCACTCGCCTTCTTACTCCTGGCGACGAGGTCGTCACTGGCGATGACCTCTACGGTGGTTCCAACCGTCTCCTCAAATACCTCTCAACCCACGGTGGCATTGTCGTTCGCCACGTCGACACCACCAACCCCGATTCAGTCGCTGCCGTCCTGTCTGAAAAGACTGCTATGGTTCTTCTCGAGTCCCCCACCAACCCTCTCATGAAGGTCGTCGACATTCCCACCCTCTCCTCGCTCGCCCACAAGGCAAACCCCAAATCGCTTGTCATCGTCGACAACACTATGCTTTCGCCCTACCTCCAGAACCCTCTCGATCTGGGCGCCGATGTTGTTTACGAGAGTGGTACCAAGTACCTCTCCGGTCACCACGACGTTATGGCCGGTGTCATGGCTACAAACAGCCCCGAGCTGGGCGACAAACTCTACTTCCCCATCAACGCCTCGGGTTGTGGTCTCAGCCCCTTCGATTCTTGGCTGCTCCTCCGCGGTATCAAGACGCTGGCTGTTCGCATGGAAAAGCAGCAGGCCAACGCCATGGCCATTGCCAGATACCTTGAGAGCAATGGCTTCAAGGTTCGCTACCCCGGCCTCAAGTCACACCCTCAGTACGACCTTCACTGGTCTCAAGCTCGTGGCGCAGGCGCCGTTCTTGCCTTCGAGACCGGTTCAACCACCATCTCTGAGAGAATTGTCGCAGCCGCCAAGATCTTCGCCATCTCAGTTTCCTTCGGTTGCGTCAACAGCTTGATCAGCATGCCCTGCCGCATGAGTCACGCCAGCATTGACCCCGCCACTCGCAAGGAGCGCGCTTTGCCCGAAGACATCATCCGTCTTTGCATCGGTATCGAGGATGTAGGCGATCTCCTTGACGACCTCCAACAGGCTCTGGTCAGAGCGGGTGCTGTGAAAATCACACCCGATGGCATTGAGCCCCTTGAAGTCCCCGAGGGTGAGACAAAGAAGACCAGAGATCTCACTGACGAGCCATGATCATTGCATTAGTTTCTTTCTACTACGGAGGAGTTCTTTGAGACTCGGTTCTCGGCACAGCTGCTCTAGTAAGGTGCGAACTCACTGAGAACTAGCTCCTCCTTCCTGTACATACCTTTTTCTTTCGGAGAGATTTGGGATCATAGCAGGCGCTCCGATACAATAAAAATTACACTTCCAAGTTCGAACCACATCTGACCAGAAGCACAATAAATGAAATGCAGTTCCTAATGTAGATCAAAGGATGACGCCAAGATAACTGTCAAGGTGCGGGACTGGAGAAGGTGCGGGGGTCCTCGTGGTTGTACCTCTATCTCCCTCGCTCCTTCTCAGCCATCCTGCTTGCTTTCCAAGTCGTGCTTCAAAGCCGTGTGCCTGTTTGAAGTCTCTGAACCACCGAGCTCGATCTGTTATCGACTTCTTCCATCAACAGCATCGACACACTTCCAGGTACAAGATTTCGTGGATAACGGAGTTAAAGCCAGCCACATTCCACTAGGGTACAAGCGCTCGTCGCCGTCTACTCGTACCGCCATTACTGGAGCGGACCAGTCAAATACTCCCATCGAGTATCGTCAGTCCTCCTCACATCAGTCTTCAGCTCGGAATAATTACTGACTTAATCTCTGCTCTCAGGTCGCCATGCCTTTCCTCCGGCAGGCCCGAGGCCTCAGCCTTCAACCCCGCGCTGCCTTCCTTCCTATCAACACCGTACCCTTCCATCCTGCCGTCCGCTATGCAAGCCATTGGAACAAGCACAAGAAGAACCATGCGGCCCGAGACTTCCAAGAAAAACCTCGATCAGACCATGACATGGGATCGGACAAACATCAGAAGGCTTTCTGGAAGTCTATCACTCCCGACTTCCTAACGAACGAGTCAGAAGCTTCGCCAGGAAGAAGAAGTCACTTTGCCCAGGTCTCGTCCTTCAAGATGCATGCTTCTCACAAGTCAGGCTCGAAGCCGACTGTCGAAGCTTCTTCCACTTCGTGGGACTCCAAGACCAACGAAGTCAAGCGTACCGTTTACGACCCAATCTCGGGAAGAATGGTGCCCATTGGCAATGGTCAAAGCAGACAAACTTCCACTTCGGCAAAGCACAGAAAGAGCAATCAAACTCCTTCAAAGAGTTACCAGAAGTCCGACATCGTGTCGCAGCTACCAGCCCACGCCGAAGCCCCTGTAAACACCCCCACGACCCAAGCCTCTTTCACTGAGGACTTTGAGAAGATCTCCACGTCCGAACATGAGGAGCTTCTCGCTGCCCGTAGACATCTGGATACTCTGCGTGAGCAAATTCAGGTCCTGGAACGTCAGGCTCATCCAGAGTTGGTCAAGCCCAGCGACACCCTTGATGCAGAACGACCACCCGTCTTCGAAGGCGGTTGGGACAACGATCCGAAGGGACTTCAAACTGCCTTCAAGCACGAGAAAGAGGCGTGCGAACATGGTGACAGGGAGCCTCTGGAACAAGAGATGGCTGCTCTTAACAAGAGTCCCGTTCAGGAAACCAATGATGACTATAGTGTAGCTCCTAGTGGCATGGAAACTCTTTTCGCACATGAACAGGAGGTCAACGACACTGACCACCACTCATCTCTGGAACAGGAACTGGTTGCTATGAACACCAAGCCTCCTCCACTCGAGGATGGATATTCTGCCTCGCCAGAAGGTCTCGAGAATCTTTTCGAGCAAGAACGGCAAAAAGCCGGAACCGGCGAACGTGAGTCTCTCGAAGACGAAGTCAGGATGAACGGCCTTGTCAAAGGTCAACCACAGCACACCGACGTTTATTCAGACAGCGGCCTCGAAAGCTCATACCGTCATGAGCGGAAGGTTACCCCTCAGAGACTGGAACGTGAGCTCAACCTGGCGGCAAAACCATCTGTAGGCGAAATCAATGATGCCTATTCTACCGAGCCTATCGGTATGCAGACCCTTTACGAGAGGGAAGCAGCAGATGCTCAGAAAGGACAGCGCAAGGACCTCGAGCACGAGCTCAACGACCACATCCAGGCCCGTTCTCTCAACGAGAGCCTTCTGCCCAACCTGGACGGAATGCAGAACCTCTGGAACCGAGAACAAGAGCAAGTTGAGCGAGGAAATGTCAAGTCTCTCGAAGAGGAAATTCGGGCTCGACAACAACCAGCGGTCGCGAAGGACAAGTCTGATGCTACGCCATTTGGTATGGAGATTCACTTTCGCGACGAAGCTCGGGGTGTTCGAAGTAACGGATCTCAGTCTCTAGAAGATGAGATGAGTCGCAGGGTACAAGCTCAGACATACAATGACGACTGCTCTCGTGCTCCAAGCGGTCTGGAGACTGCTTTTGACAAAGAGGAGAAGGACGCGATGCTTGGAAAGCGCCAGAGCTTGGAGAGTGAGATGAACACCCCTGAACCTGCCTTTGAAGATGGTTATTCGACAATGCCGATGGGCCTTCAGATGATATTCTGCCGAGAGAAGCAGAGCGACGGCCGTACTCTGGAGGAGGATCTGAAGCAGGTCAGGAATTTTACTACTACGTTGCAGATTCGAGACTGACCCAACTTCTAGATGGAAGAAGCCTCGTACCATGAAGACGGCTACTCACGTGCACCCATCGGCATGGAGAACTCATTCGACAAGGAGACAAAGACCGAATCGGACCCTCTCGAGGAAGACTTCAAGACCATGCCAGGTGAGGGTGATCTCTCTCCAACTGTGGGTAAGTTCGCTACCAGCGATAAGTGGTATAAGCAGCCTTCCAGAAGCACGTTTTCTGAAGATTCCCCAAAGGCAGACAATGATGAGCTCAAACAACATACCGCGGTCTTTGGACGTTCGCTCGATGAAGCGACTTCAAATCGCATCGAACCCAACGTACCGATGCCAAAGACCGCAAATACAGCAGAAAGTCAATCACCAGCAACCATACCAGAAAACAATTCTACAGATGCACACTTAACTCCAGCACCAACGTCACACGTCGCCTGGGCAGAACCCGCTCTTTACAAGGTCGTCGCGTATGACTCCGGCAAGGATGCTATCTCTATCACCACCACCCCAACGAACTTCTCGGATGCAGAAGCGCCCATATCGATACCCTACGCTATCTCTCGGCTGGATCAGGCTGCCCGTTTCATTCCACATCTCGCATCTTTACAGAACGAGGGTTTCCAAGTAATTCATGCGGAGCGAGACTTTTTGATACTGCGAAAAGTACACAAGGATTCTCGTTCAACATCGTCAAGGCTTGGGGGCGCTATCAACCCTATCGATGGTACGGCTAAGCATGGTCCCATTGAGCCACCTACTGCTCGTTTCGCTTCACCCACAGGGTTCGTCAACTACGAGCCCATCTTTACACCTGAGCCCATATCCAAGTACAAAGATACATTCGGCACATCATTCGACATCCCTACTCATGGAAATCCAGTCATTGAGCAGCATGACTACTATCCATCGCCCGTTGATGGACGAATTGTTCGCAAGCCACGTGATTATGGGTTCCGCAAGGAGAAGAGAGGTCGCTGGCGTCGTCGAACTGCTTGGCTCTTGAGCGTGGCTGCAGGTACCGCAGTGTCTACGTATGCTTTTGGTGTTGCTGGTGAGCTGTCTCGGCCTGAGAAGCATGTGATGGGATCATCGAGATGATCCAAGGTCACTTTTTCATCCTCCGATATGCACATTATGTAATCACCCCTGGACAGTTGCTCAGGAGCAATCTCTTCCATTCTTTCCTTTGTATCTTGATGATGCAGATGGTAGTTAGTATACAAGTAATCGAACGAATTGTAATTCGATCGACACCTTGTGTGAACGAGAGGCAGATGATGAGAAACCGTGTTCGAATGCAAGTTCTGTACAGATATGTATGCGTAAAATGTCGATGATCTATATGGAATTCTATAACAGCCCACTCTCCCTCAATCTCTTCTCCAGCTCAGCCTGCTCCAACTGCTGCACCGTCTTCGTCTTTGGCACCTTGACCTCAATCTCGGCAAAAAAGTTCTCCCAGAACCTTACACCATCAAGACCTTGCTCACGACATAGTGCACCTCTTTCCTCTGCCATTTCCAACTCTTCTGTCGCGACTCCCACACTCCAACCGAATCGTTCTGCTGTTTCTTGGGCTGTGACGCCGCGGCCGAACATTTGCCAGTCCCAGGTTACGGAGGGCCCTGTAACTGCGCCGAACTCGGAGATATTGGACATGGCTGGGGGGATTGAGTGTAGGTCTTTGAGCCAGGAGAGTAAGCTCGCGACAGTCTTGTCATCAGTGCGGTCGCGACCTTGGACGACGAGTAATCCACTTCTGAAGCGACGGAGACGAATAGGCAAGCGCAAAGTATCCCACATAGTGGCAGCTCTTTCAAAGTCCATGGGTGAGACCAATTCGATTCCATTTCTCGTGCGGTTGAAGACGGCCCAGAGGTCTACTAAAGACATGATACCTCCTTCCCTCCTCAACACACCTCTTTTGTCATCGGTGAGGAATTCTGCAAGATTGCGGGAGAGTTCGGCGATGTAGGTGCGATCGGCGCCGCTGCCTCCTGAGAGCATATCTTTTGTGGTCACGAGACCCATGTCTGAGAGTAAGGAAGCGGCTTCAGCGCTATTGGCATCGTTATCGCCATCGCCATTGCTGTTTTGACTGCGGAAGCGTTCGGCCATGGCGATTACTTCTTTTGCTGATGTCATGAGGGCTTCCAAATCTTCAAAGGCGCTACCGATGACGAATTCGTTGTTTTTGCGTAATTCTGCTCCTCGGCGTTCGAGTCCTGCTATTCCTACTACCTTTGGGGGAGGTGGTGTCGGTGTGTAGCCGTCGGTTAGAGAGTAGGTGGATATCGGGTTGGCCTCGTTCATGTGGGAGCGAGGGATAGGAGGGGCGTTTTGAAGGAGCCATTTTCGTTGGACGAGGGCGCCTTTTAGACGTTCGTGGAAGATTTTGTCGCCGCCAGCGCGAAAGGAGAGTTTGATACTTTCTGGAGTGCCGTCTCCTAAGGTTGCATTTGGAAGAGACGGGCCAGGAGATTCCGGACGTGTGGTTGCGCTTTCGATGATTTGGGAACGTCTGTCTGCTGGACCTGATAGTTTGGCTCCACATATCTCGCAGCTACTTAGAGATGGATGATTGGAAAAAGTACAGCGTGGGCACTGGTTCAATGAAACATCCATGGGCTGTGATGTTTGTGGTGAAGATGAAAGAGGAGTAGTTGTGACTTGGGTGGGTACAGACGTGAATGAGTTCGTCCCACTTGGTCGATTTGATAAAGCTGCGATTGCTGCTTTGACGACATGTACTAGAGGAGGCTTGATGCCACAAGCTAGACATGGTGGCAAAGGTGTTCGATCGTTTGCTGTGCTTGGATCGAAATTGGACGGTACAGGATTCGAGAATGAACAGATGGGACATATCCAGGTAGCATTCGGATCTCGGACCGGTGCTGGTGAAGGTGCTGAGGGACGGCCTGGAGTAGCATATCTGCTCGGCGGTGTTGATCCTAGAGAACTTCCTGAACTTGAATAACCAGGCTTTGGACTCCTGATGGCCAAAGCATTATGTTTTGGAGCTTTCGGATATAGAGTGATTTTTGCTGATGACTTTAAGAACCCAGCATAAAATTCTGGCCTTTCGATATCCTTAAGATCAATACCAACGGAGAACTTCCGCGGCTCCTGATTGTCGACGTAGCACACGCGATGTGAGGTCAGGTAGGCGTGACCATTTTGGTAGTTGGGAATTTTATATTTCCCCTCGTAAAGACCTACTGCATCCTGAACAAACAAAAGAGTTTCGTCTGGTAGTAAAGATGGACGAAGAGCAGTCGTCAGGTCGAGTTGGCGAAGAAACATATGCAGTTATCCGTACTCGTAGCCTTCTCAACGTGGGGCCGATATTGAGGGGTGTCCAAGAATCAAACGAAGAGGGTGGGCGATGACGATAAGAAGACTTGAGGCTACGGATATAGCCCGAAGTGTCTCTGATGTTCCCAACACGCGACTTGACAATAGATCTGCACGGTATAACACAATGGGTGGGCACGTGGAGCGCGGAGGATGGTCTATCAGTGACCGCATAGTTGGGGGTCTTGGCACAGGGTCGGGTCGCTCTTGCTCTTGTGCGTGCGCGTAAATCGGGCGTCGTCCATCTTTCACCATCGAGACTCCCACACCCACAAAGGCTGCGTCTTTCACACCCTGTTTGATTGTCGTACTTCTTTGTCGCGCACTGTAATAGTCCAGAATTCAACATGACAACAGCACCGTGGCAGACCGGTAAGATGCATCCTCAAATCACACATTCCGACATCACTGACATAACTTCTCTAGGCTCGCCGGCATTCACACCAGTCACTGCTCGCCGAACACTAACTCGTCCTGCTCCAGCGGTCGAACTCACAGCCCCTCAAGCTCCTCCAACTCAGCCGCAAGCCACCGTTAAGATCGAGTGGCCACAGCCTGTACGCGAATACGTTGGCCGTGCCTTCGCATCCACATCTACCCCCGACGGCATCGAAGACGCTGCCATCAGCGCAAAACTGAGATCCATCATCACACAAGCAGCCGAAGCCAACCTCCTCGCTGTCATCGACTGGCCAAACCACCCACTTCCACGAGAGATTCTCCGCGCCGAAAGAAACGCCGCCCTCATGAATGCCTCGAAAAAACGAAAGTCCATGGACGTGGAGTCCGCTCTTGACGCTTCGTCACCCATTCCTCCATGGAGAGTGAAGAACCTCTCCCTTGCCGATCGCATCACAAATCCCAGCCCCGACAAGCGTCAGAAAAAAGCCGACCAGTTCCGTGCCACTGCCCCTCCCAGTAAGTTGAGCGACCTCGAGAAACGAAGGCAGCGTTTTCAGCTCGGCAACCAAGGTCCTGCTTCTCCTTTCATCTCTTCTCCTCGTGACGACTCTCCCATGCCCGACGCCAACGACGGTCCCTGTGTCGGCACATGTCAAGTGCTTGAGAAGAATTACTTCCGTCTCACCGCCCCTCCCAAGCCCGAAACCGTCCGTCCCCTTCACATTCTCAAACAAACTCTCGACCTTCTCATCAAGAAGTGGAAAGATGAGCACAACTACGGGTACATCTGCGATCAGTTCAAGTCTTTAAGACAGGATCTCACTGTCCAGCACATCAAGAATGACTTTACCGTCCGCGTGTACGAGGCTCACGCGCGCATAGCTCTGGAAAAGGGGGATCTGGGTGAGTATAATCAGTGTCAGACTCAACTTCGTACTCTGTACAAGATGAAGTTGCGCGGTTCCCCTGGTGAATTTTTGGCTTATCGCATCCTCTACACTCTCTATACCTGTAACCGCCAGACCATGAACGACGTTTTGGCAGACTTAACCCCAGCAGACAAGCAGCACGCCCCAGTCAAGCATGCACTAGATGTGCGAGCCGCGTTGGCTACAGGCAACTATCACAGATTTTTTAGGTTGTTCAACGAATCGCCAAACATGGGTGGTTATCTAATGGACATGTTCGTCAACCGAGAACGGGTGGCTGCCCTAGCTGTCATTTGCAGATCGTGAGTTTCTTCTTACCCGTCTGCCTTTGCTCAGTTGCTGACTTTCTTCCAGATTCCGTGCTGATGTCAAGGTATCTTTCTTGACGGAAGAGCTGGCGTTCAATAGTGACGAGCACTGCAAGCAATTCATCTGCGAGATGGGTGCATCGAATGTTCTTGAAGACAAAGCAGATGGTGCTCGCTTTGCTTGTGCGAAGGCAGCCCCTGTGTTTGAAGCCGCCAAGAGCGGTGCATACCGTGTCGATATCAAGGGCCAGATCTGAGCGACTATCATTGCTACAAGTGGGTACGTGGGACAACGGCTAGCAACGGAGTTCGAAGCTCCCTGCTATGCAAACAACCCTTGCTACGGTATATCTGTTGTGTCGCGGATCTATATACATCTCGACCACCAAAGACATCTCTCAAGGCTTCCTAGTATCGTCTATACATCTGTCAGGCATGACGTGCACTGTTGGTGCCAGGCACGATTTCGTCTTATGGAGGATGAGCACCCAAGCAGTCTTCAGCCTCCGAGCCATATCTGATTTCAGTCGATCTGGCAGGCCCGGCACTTTTGGCAGTTCTTAGCCTTATGCAGATCGATTCCCTTCAACTTGGATAATCAAGCATCTGACGACTTGCAACCCAAAGCGAGGCCCAACGGCACCGGATCGACTGGGCAGCCTCCCAGCTTTCATCTATGTCTCGTGTTTGGCGCACGCAGATGCATGCACGTTGGTGAAGTGCAGCTTCGGATGTCGCACCACTTCTTTTCTGACACATAATTCTTTTCTTTCATTGCTTTAGCCATCAAGTTAGTAATTCAATACTTTCCCTTTTTCATGTGTTGGTACCATCAATCGTGCATTCATACTGGCTGTGACCGCGCGTCGGGCACGAATCAGACCAGGACCCTGGTTAGATGATCGTCGCTCGGGATCCGCCTATCCAGTCTGCCAGTATAGTGGTTCGTATACCTATGCTATAGCAATGTCTTGACATGTACGGGAATACATGTTGAATCAGTCCAAGACAAGGAGCGGCTATCACAAACGTGAGAACGCCTTGCGAACACGTCTACGTCACCGAACGTTTCATGGTGGCACACGAGCGAGGAAGGAACAATGAATGGAAGTGTAGGGAATAAATGGCTGACATGGCTTCGCAGCCGCATGCGGCGCAGGACTACCTTCCCAGCCTGTTGTTCGGTTCGATCAGAGACAACTCCACTTGTACAAATCAACGACAATATCGAGGCTGTCCAAAGGAGCGCGTAGAGGGGCATCTGTAAATAACATAATTTAGTCCACGCCCGGACTAATCGCAAGCGCGACTGATAACTTGGTACCCCACTTCACGGGGAGAGGCACTAAGATCCCAAGACCACCCTGCAGCACACTCAATCAAGCCTCTACAGCACGCGTATCCACCGAGGTAGGAGGTCGGGTCTCTGTGCAGAAAAGAGGACAACTCCCTGTCCATTCTTTTCACTTTGCGACCGAAACACCCAAGCGCAACCCCTTGAACGCGTCGAGACACTCCTGCACACTGGAACGCACGACAGTTGACTAAGGAAAGTCAAAACACTACAGCCATCGCGCCTTCGGTATCGAGGGCAGGTTCGTGGGAAACGTTTGGGCGTTCTTAAGAGAAGGCTTCTGGCACTGCGTCAAACTCACCGGTTTACTATTCCTGGATCTCCTCTCCTTCATTAAATCGTCCGCCTGGGTGTGTCAGTTTCCTTGCTCGCAATTGACGGGCCAAGAAGCGAAACAAGCTAGCAATCTAATCCCCGAAATAATGGTCAAATTCAGACGAAGCAGCGGGCGCGCCTCGTCGCATAACCACAGTCTCTCCATCCCCGAGAAAGACCCCACCGCCATTGTCCCTCCTAAAAAGGTCATCAAGGCCTTGTACGACTGGGACGCTCCCAACGACAACCCTAACGTCCGATTCCTGTCCTTTGCCTCTGGCGACTTCCTCCACGTAACCGGGCGCGAAGACGACACCGAGTGGTACGAGGCGTGCAATCCGCTTCACAACTCGCGCGGCTTGGTACCGGTGAGCTACTTTGAACAAGTCGGCAAGACAGTGCGCGAGAGCGCCTCGGTCACATCGTCGCCCAGCACCCACCACGACAGTGGTTATGCCGACAAGTCATCGCACGACCCCTCCAGAATGAGCAAGTCCTCGATGGGCAGATCCGGTGGCGCCCCTGTCTACGGCATTGTCGCATACGACTTCAAGGCCGAGCGACCCGACGAGCTCGAAGCTCACGAAGGAGAGGCCATCATCGTTATCGCGCAATCAAACCCGGAATGGTTCGTCGCAAAGCCCATCACGCGACTGGGTGGTCCCGGCCTCATCCCAGTATCGTTCGTCGAGATCAAGGATCTTACTAGTGGTCAGACGATCGACTCAGCGGAGGCTATTGCAAGAGCTGGTATACCGAGGGTGGAAGAGTGGAAGAAGATGGCAGCAGACTACAAAAACACCAGCATTCCGTTGGGCCAGATTGGCAACATGCAAGCTGCCTCTCAACAGTCAATGGCAGGTCTGCAGTCCGGTATGGATCGCATGAGCCTCAACAACGGGGGACATTCGCGCAACATGTCGACCGTGTCGCGGCGTACCACATCGCAGGCGCATTCGCAATACCCACTTGCGCCGCTGCGTGCCTCAGTACCGCGCTACATGTACCTCGATGAGAAGTTCCATTTCATTGTCGAGGCGACACTGGCCGACGGCTCTCATTGGGATCTCACACGCATCTACGAGGACTTCTATGAGCTTCAGATCAATCTCATAAAGGCCTTCCCTGACGAAGCTGGCAACACCGGCGCACCGCGTACTTTGCCGCTGATGCCTGGACCTGTACAGTTCGTGACGGACCGTATCACAGAGGGTCGCCGCGAGAACCTTGACGAATATCTATATAAGTTGTTGCGACTTGGTTCTCACGTCGTCAACAGCACACTAGTCCGCGGCTTCTTCACTCCTCATGCTGGTGACTACGAGATCGACCCCAATGTCGTCGATCTCAACGAGCATAGTCGTTCTGCCGCCGAGACGAAAACCGATCGCTACTCTACCGCTTCCCATGCCTCAGGCCACTATGCCGCTTCGACCAACTCGGCTCGCCAGTCCACCAGCGCACAATCCTTTGCAGCACACCAACGTCAACAATCGTCCGTCGGGGCTGGTTCTATGCGTGCTCCTCCCGGTCATTACAGAACACCCTCCCAATATACCGATGCCACCGTTCATACCACACATACCGCCGCACCTACTCTCGCGCGTCAAACCACAGCTATGTCTACCGCTACAACCTCTTCTGCAGCAACGAGTGGCGGCGCCTTGAAAGTCAAGGTATGGTTCGACCGCGAAACCTGCGTTGTATTGCGTCTACCACCACGAGGCGCATTCAACTTTGACGACCTATACCGAAAGATTCTGGAAAGACGTAGATTAGAGTACGGTGATGCAGACCCGCGCTCTGACGAGACTGAACTCGATATTGAGGTCCGCAACGAGCGAACAGGCGATTATACACCACTCATCAACGACGATACGCTGGAGGACGCAATTCAACAAAACGATAAGATGATGCTTGTTGTACAAAGCGCTCACGGAAGCTGAGACTGGCTTGCTCCGCGTATATCGAGCTAGCCCTCTGCATTCCAGCGTGATATATCTGCATCTCTTGGTTGTCTTGCATTATAGCATGGTCTCGAATGGAAGCCACGAACATGATACCTTATTTTTCCTTACTTTTGTCATACCCACACCACGATCGACGACTTGTTTCTCTTGACGACCAACGACCGCCGCCCGAGAAAAATGGACAGGACCTGCGAAACTCTTTTGGATATCAACAAAAAAGAATTCCCTTTTTGTTGCTTTGCATACTTTCATCTTTCTCTTTATGTTGTTCATGTGGAAAAGAGTAGCAAACGGCGGAGACGATTGCCCATTGCTTGCTTGCGTTGATTCTGTCGATTGTCCCTTTACTTTGCGTTTGTTCTATCTTACCAGTAACCTTTTATGCTTCTATGGATTCCCCCTTTTTTTTTCTTGAAAGTTTTTTATTTCCACTTTTCTCGCGTCTTTTATCTATAGTGTTATACCAAATCCAATCTTGTCAACTCATTTTCACTGAAATGTGTCTTTTTTGTTCTTTTAATTGTGATTTTTCGAATGCGTAGAGTTTTATATGCGTGCGTCCGTCTTCCATGCTTATATTTACAAATCTTTCTCAAACTCTCTCCCCTCCGCGTTCTTTTCACTCATAAAGCGGCCAGAGCGGTAGCGACACAATACTCGCCATCATGTGAAATCGACACCTTTACGATTTCCCCTTGCACGTCGACCAATTCCAGGGCTTCTTTTGCATTTTCCATTTGCAATTTCATTGCTTTGTCGGTGGCTGTTGAGGTTTCTGTTTCGCGGGCGGGGTGTTTTTTGATGAGGTTGGGAGTAGGGGATGGAGATGTGGAAGTGCTGGGATGGTTTAGGGCTGCAGTCACAGCGTTGAGATCTAAGATGCCTTCATCCGAGAGAATTCTGGAAGCTTGTTGCTGTTGTTGTTCGATCATTTGGCCGGATGATCGTTGTTGGTGTTCAATAGGTAGAGTGGACGGTCGAGTCAATGCTTCTTTCTCGAGTATCGCTTTGTAGATGAATTTTGCAGAAGAGAGACCTTTTCGAGAAGGAGGCGGTGTGTCCAGAACGATACCGTAGGGTTCGCGTGTTGTGCTGTTCCGTCTGATTTCGATATCTCTGAGCAAAAGTCTGCGTTTGGGAGCGTAGGCTTTTATGATTGCTTCTTTGGCTGCCCATCTTTGTTCGGTTTGATGTTAGTGATTTTCCCCTTCCGATGGTTTAGTAGGGTTGGGTGGGAGGATGACTTACCGACCACCAATGTAATCCACACATGCTTTTCTGCTCTCTGTGTCCCATATTGCAGGTTCCTTGGTTGTTGCCTTCTGCTCTTCTCTCTGTGCCACTTTCCTCACTAGCCCTTCCATCTGCCTCTCTCCGACCTCTTCCTTTCCCTCTACCTCCCCTGCATACACCTCACCATCACTTCCTTCCACTTCCTTTCCCAAAGGAAATCTCTTCCAAAATGCCTTTTGCTCAGACGGTAACAAGAATTTATCAAACAATCTGAAAAGACCAGAGTGTCTATACGTAGGGTGTTGGATGAAATATTTTTTGAAGCGGGCGGTGTGGCAGACGTCCGTTCCTATATTCAACGCCAGAGGGAAGGGGCGAGGCGGCATAGTTGACAGGTGAGAGTCCCAAGTGCCGTTTGGCTTTGAATCTTTTCTTGTAGTCCAATCCGGTGGTTGGAGTTTGTTCTTGGTTTCCTGAAATTTGATGTCTGTGATGCTTTTTCGCCTTTGAATGTGTGGTTATGCAAAATCTTGGTCCGATGGTTGTCACGTCTTGATGACGACCTTTTAATTAGAGAGATATCTGTCACGACATTTTCCGATCGATAGAGGTTGAAGTGCTTAGAATATACAGGAGGAAGTCACGAACATGGTGTAAAGATGGAGATCGGCGGTTGTGTCGGCTTCACAGCTGAAAAGCGCCGATCACCAACATAAATTCAAGCAAGAGCGAAACCATACGAGGATTGAAAAATATGTACATTAAACATGACAATGCTTATTCTATGTCATTATCTAGAAGCTCAAAAGGTCGCCATTACCATTGCCTACAGTAGGCTGATAGACTTGCTGTGGTTGGTTCTGATTCACAACGAACATGGTCTGAGCCCCTCCTGCTGTAATCGGTGAAGTGGCATATCCATCGTCGTTCAGACTCATGTTTGCCATCTGCTGAGTGCCAATGTTGGAGAAGTACATGTCTGCTGCGTCGACAGCTGCTGCAAGGTCGCCGTTAGCAGCGTTGCCATTCTGTCGTGGCTGTCCTCCGCTCATCGAAGTCATGTCTTTCCAGTGCTTTTGTGCATCCAACATGGCCTGGTGACTGGGAAGTCTGTGCTTCTGGAGTGCCGGACTTTCTGGAACAATGCGTGGTCGAGCAGAGCGGAACACAGACTTGATGGGCTTCAGATAGATGGTCGCAAGAGATCCAACCACCAAGCACATTTCTTGCAAGGTGAATGGATCCAGTTTTTCCGTCTCTGCTGTGATTGGAGGCTTCTCTCCCATCACAACTTGCTTTGCCGCTACTGGGTCTGAAGATAGCAGACGCCAGTACATGTATCCTCGATCTCGAAGATCGGGGTTATCTGTCTCTTCGGTGGCCCACTTCAAGACCTTTGGTACAAGCTCTTGTCCCTTCTTTGGTCTTTGAATAAACAACTTGACCGTTGCTGTCAGAAGAGCCAGCTGCACCTCGTGAGGCTCGTCGGCAAACGTGTACAAGAAGTCGTCCAGAAGAACATCACTGTTGTCAATTCTGTCTGCGTATTGTCCAATGATCCAGATCATGGCAGCCTTTGCCTCGGGTTCGTCCAAAGAGTCCAGGTTCTCACATAGCGTGCTGATAATCGATTCGTACTGGTTCGGGTATTTGCGGAAGATGTTGCGAATGACTACCGTCGCTTCTTGCACAATGTATGAAACCTTGGTCGCGACAAGTTCCAAGAGTGTGTTGATGCAAAGTCTTGCCGCAGGTTCGATCTTGATGGCCAGCTTTCCGATAGCGCGCACTGACTTTCGTACGAAGTGAATGTCAATTTCGGTCGCGTACTCTCTCAGCTCTGCCAAAACTTCTTTGATATTGTCCTGAGTGGCAAGCATGAAGATGAGTTCGAGCTTGGTGACCTTGACGTAGATAGGGTCATTGTACTTGCAGAAGAAAACGCGGATGTCGTTCTTCAGAATGTCCGGTCTCCTTTGCAAGATGAGAAGGGCGTTTCGCAAGGCCAGGTATTGAATCTCATGGCCCTTGGAGAGTAACGTCACAAGCGGCGGGGATAGTTTGTTCATCAAAGCTGTGATGATCTTCTCATCTGCAATGTAGTTCATGAGGTAGAGAATGAGACGAATACATCCTAGCACAACTGCGGAGTTTGTGTGTGAAAGGCGAGGAGTGATGCGCTCGGCCAACATTGAAGCCTGGCCAGAGTCTTGCGGAACAAAGTTCATGAGGGCTTCTAGGATGTACGTCTGGTTCCATTCGGATGTCTCTGCAAGGATAGAAGCAATCTTTGAGGCACTGTTGTAGTCAATGGTGAGCTTGATGGACTCGCTTCTCTCCCAGATGTCTGTCAAAGAAGCCAATGCGCTGGAAACGACAGTCGGATTTTCATCTCTCAGCATGTTGTTCAGTCCAGTGATCAAATCCGAGTTCTCGACCAGAGTCTTGTCGTGGTCGTAAAGTTTGGCGACACAGAAACAAGCGGTTTTGCGGACATAGGGATCGGCGTCTCTTAGCAGGTGTTTGGTGGGGGTAACGGCGGCTTCGACAAATTCTCGGACGTGTATATACGACATTGTTCGTAGGGCGAGGGCTCGTACTAGAGGGTTTGTGTCTTCCATGTCCTGTACTTGGTCAGCCAGGCTGTCAGCGGGCTCGGAGGGTATGACGAACTTGAACAAGATGCGGCAAAGCCTTGAGAGCAATCTCGGGTTTTATCCTCGCATAGTGCACAAGGTATAGGAAGCACATCTTCTTGATTTCCAGACTGGCGAGGCCCATGACTTGGATGACATCGGGGAACAGGGCGATCATATCGTTGTTGCTCATGGTCATGTTGGCAACGATCTTCTTGAGAGCAATCTTCTTGCCGAGGTGACCCTTGTCCTTCTTTCCTCCGGTGGCTTGTAGTTCTTGTCGTAGTTCGGCGACTTTGCCCTGTTGAGAGCGATGCGCCGGTAAGTATGGATCGTGTAGAAAGAGGGGTGCAAACATGGCGACTGGTGAGATAGAGTTTGGAGAGACTCACTCTAGCAAAGAGCTTCGCATCCTGATTTCCTGCACTCATTATGGCGGTGATATCCTGGACGTCTGGTATGGACCAATCCCGAAGCTCGTCGGCAGTGTGCCCCTCTTCTTGGTATCAATCGGATGGCGGATCGCGTGATAGAGTGGTGTGAGCGGCAGTCGTCCAGATAGGCGTAGAGAGAAGCGACAGAGGAGATAGACAGCGTCCAAGAAAACGGGATGAAATATGCAGAGTAAATTGCGAGATGTTGATGGTCCCTCGTGTCAGGGAGTCGCGATCCGGGGAAATCGAGTTGAACCCTCCGCCTTGTTCCTCGTTCCTCGTTCCTGCCCTGCTTGGCTCCATCTCCGTCTCCAGCAATCACTTCCATTCTCAATACATCGCCTTGAGCATTCTCACAGCTATCAACAAATATGTCGGTGCCTCTACCACCGCAATGGGTCGTCGACCTGACCTCTCCTCCTACCGCCAAACCAAAGGCTTCGAGCATTCCTGACCCGCCAGGCTACACTGCGCCGACTACCGTCTCGAACTCAAAGGTCCGACTACCTCTCCCTTGTCGCACACAACCATACTAAAACATCACAGTCAAAGTCATCCAAGACTGCAGTTGCCCAAGCTCCCGCCCGCAAGCCCCCAAATGCTCAAGAGATGGACACTTTGAAGCTCAAGAAGGCTTGGGAAATGGCCATTGCTCCGGCCAAGCAGCTGCCCATGAACGCTTTCGGCATGTACATGTCAGGCAACAGTCTCCAGATCTTCAGCATCATGATGGTTTTCATGCTGTTCAAGGGCCCCATCCAAGCCCTCATCAACATCCAGAATGTCTTTGCTCGCTTCGAGACTGAAGGCACCCGCGATCGCCTGATTCTGGTCAAGCTTGCCTATGTCGCATGCAACTTCCTGGCCCTGGCTTTGGGTATCTGGAAGGTCAACGGCATGGGTCTTTTGCCGTACGTTTCGCAACCTTACCTACGTTACCCATACATTGCTAACAATCAATCAGGACTACGCGATCGGATTGGCTCGCTTGGGAAACTGCTAGGGAGCCTCTCGCAAGAGTCTACCCCAGCTCAACCTTATGATCTTTCTAACCAAGCTCTAATATTGACAACTAAAATTACAAATCAAGATTTCTTATATCCTGCCGACCTTGTCCTGCCAGTACGTGCTTCGCACCGGACTTTGATCCGCAAATCTGAGACGAAGAAGAGTGTGTTATGTACAAATCTAACAGAAGATGGCCAATGTCATCTACAATTCCTTCTCTTTAGCGGCACCAGCCTTGGACTCTATTTGAGACAGAGCAGACCTGCCTGTTTCGGGACGACCATGTACAGCGGCGTCTCCACCGACTGATGAGAAAGCCTTGTGGAAGACCCACTCAACAGCGTGCTCGACGGGCTCATCGAACATGAAAGGAAGGGCAGGGACAGCGGCAAGACCCAACTGTGATGAAGAGTTAGACAATGTAGGGTTCAGGAAATACAGCAACAGATACTTACGCCGATGGGACCCCATGTTCGGAGCTTTACGTTTGAGTTGTTCTTCAAAGCCTTACCAGCATACTTCACGATCGAGTGGATGGTGAATGCGGGCAGACCCATACTGGCAACACCTTGGAAGATGGCTCTTTGCGCCATGACAGTTCTGTAGTCCTCGATGAGAGGAACCTTGCCAGGAGTGTTTTGAGCAACATTGAGGCCAGTGACGGCAGAGACAGCAGAGCCGAGTTTTGTTTGTTCGGGCTTGTCACTGCTTACAACAGTCATGTCCTCGGCGGCCTCGCCATTGATTACACGCTGGTTACGAAGGTAGGCCTTGTAGCCTTCGTGGGAGACATCACCGATGAGGTATGCCCAAGAAACACCATACGCACCCTTGATGAGGTAAGGATGGGCAATAGGTCTGAAACTCTCGCCGATATCACTGGTATATGCAACGTAACGGTGGGCAGACAGCAAGATGGTGCGAACCCTCGAAGCATAACCAGCGTAACGGACGGAGCTCTCTGTGGACTCTTGGGCATGACCCTCGTACATGGTCTCCCACAGCTTTTCTTCATTGTCCAGTGTGTCTTGCAGAGCGGCAGGTAGTCTTTTGCGGGGCAGAGGTTTGGAGAAGTCGGGTCTGGGAGCATCGGTGCGTTCGCGTGGGACATCCTCGAAGTCGAGGATCTTGCTGTTGTTCTTCTTGTCGTCGGACATGGCGGCGGTGTTGTTTTTGTCGGAGTTGTTACAGGCAGAAAAGAACGGGTTTGCGCAAATGGATCTTGGAGGCATGCGAATAAATACAAGTTACTGCCTTGATCGCGCTCGACTTTCCCAAGCGATGACCTCGAACTTACGAACGTGCCTCGGACAGCCCCGGACACGTCATTCCGACTGGGCTTATGCACGGTCTGTGGAAGATTTATGCAGCAGATGACTGGATACATAGATTGGCACGGACTTGACTGGCCGACGGAGTGCCAAGGCCAAGTTCAGAAGCAGCTCCTCAACTCAAGCACCGAAGGCACGACGACACGACCATACCGCATCTTCCTCCTCCCGTCCAATCCGTCAATTCTTTCACCGTCAAAATGGTCGTTATGTACAACATCATGGGCCGCCAGGTCGGCTCCCACCACGTACGCGCGCACTCCGACATGATCCCCGAAAAGCGCAACCGCAGATGATTAACAAAACTACCAACAGCTCGCCCTCGGTATCCTCACCTCCCTCTTCGCCGGTATCGGTTACGCCTCAAGCGGCGGTAGCAAGAAGATCACTGGCTCGACTCCTCCCATCAACGCTTCATCCAAGGACGAGGCAGACTTCATTCAGTACGTCGCCTCTTTTGTTTTGTCATCCGGATCAGAAAGAGCAAGGAACATTGGCCACAAGGGACAAGAACGACCAGAAAAGACGCATTATTCGAACCATACAGAGCGCATGCTGACGAGTTGTTTCCTCCAACAGGCAGTTCCTCAAGGAGAGCGAGAAGAAGGAGGCCAAGCACTAGATTCCGGAAGCCAGGAAATAATCTGTTCTCCAATCAGACAGAAAAGCTATGGGAATTACGAGTCAAAGCCAATCTCGTGTGTATATATATTCTACACCGATGTCCCTCTCCACAAGTGCGACGACCTGGCACGGGGGATGTCGTTTGAATTGATGAAACCCGATTCAAGAACACTTGACTGCTTCCCTCACCACATCTTGCATGTGCCAATTCGCAGCTCCACTCTTCTTGAGTTTTTGATATCAGCCAATTCTTGAATTAGCCTGATGTGATTTTATGTCTTTCTTAGCGTCATTCCTGCTACGGCAAGTATCCCTTCACTTTACCCCCTCTTCGCTTGCTTGCTTGCTTAGACGTCTAGACCACGGATTATGTGCCTACCCCTTCTGCCCGACCATTTGATGTCATACGAACTCCGAGCAAGTCCTTTCATAGAACCTTTTTCGGCAATCGGCATATGTCGGCTATTCTACTTGTGGAAAGGAGCGGCCGTTTACGGAAGGGTAAACCCAAGCTTCAACCTCGTCATGTGCTCACTTGCTCGCCCAGTCGCACAGCCTCTCGACTCTTGGACCTTGATTCTTGGACCTTGGTGCCAACACCTCGACAAACATATCGTGCCTTGACACCCTCGCTACATATCAGAGACGCAGCCGCCTTGCATTGATATCTGGACTTCGACGTAAACTCTGACTACTCTGGATTGACAAATATCAAATCATCGTCATCGGTCCTTGTTGCAAACACAATAAAACATACCCACCAATTGTTCCAGGAAGACATCACATCGACGCCGACATGAGTAAGGGATTTGAACGTGATCACCTCCGGATCTTACTGGACGGCGAAACGGCTCAGCAAACAGATCAACCAACACATTACTTCACACCTGGGCAGCTGATCAAAGGCACGGCTACCTATTCACCTTCATCAGAAGTCAAAGTCGATGTCATGACCGTCGTCTTTAAAGCGACTCTATACATTGGTCTGAAAGATAACGGTCAAGCCTCATATGGATGCGTCCGCACTCAAAACCAAAACCTCTTCCGCTATGAAAAGCTCATCTTCCAAGGACCGCATAAGCTATCACCCCGAACTCATGAATGGCCATTTGAGTTCGAATTGCCAGGATCGATAAAAGTGCCTTTTGCAACAGGTCCTCAAGCAATTCCTCCAACTTGGGATGTGTTGCCATCTGTCAGAGTGATATATTCACTACGACTAAGTGTAAACCCAAACTCGAGGACTCGCTACATGGATCTTGAGCGTCCCATCAATGTCTGGCCTTTCCAACACATAGAGCTGCCACTTCCAACATACGCAACCCAACCGCTTATCGATTCGACCCAAACTCCTGGCCCCAAATCAGCACTCACCAGACGACGCTCCTCTGCGGTCAACACCAATACACCAAACCTCAATGTCAGCATAAGCATCCCCAGCGCTCTAGGAGCATGGCAGAACTTCTCCGTCCAACTCCTCTGCAACGGCACCTCCGACGCAGAATACACCCTCAACACCTGCGAACTAGCACTAAAAGCACACGCAACCTACGGCGCAACAGAAACACCCACACCTACACCACCACCCCGCCGTCCCTCTAACACCGAAATCCTCCGCCGCATCTCCAGCACAGATATCATGTCACGCCGTCGTTCCAACACCGAAACCGCAAGACGCACTTCCAACGCCGAAGCCCCTGCACCCGCACCAAAAGAACTTTTCCAAATCTGCAAATTCAAACTGTTGGGTAGAGGATTACAGATTCCACTGGACAATACGCATATAACCATCAAACGAGACATGCGACTCATCGACATGACAAGAGGCGACGCTTCCATCTTGGCACCTACATTTGGAATCAGTCATTTCAGATTAAACTATATCATGGACGTATGCGTGCAGATGACTGATGCAAAGACTGGGGCTGTTATTGAGAGGAGGGGAGAAGTGCCGTTGGAGATCTTGCCTGGTGGGTTGGTGGAGGAAGGGAGGGATGATGATGCGCCGCCTGCTTTCCATGAGGTTGCTAGTCCGCCTGGTTATGAAGAGGGAGTTGGCGAGGCAGGGATTTGGGAGGGTTTGTATAGGAGTCCGGCGTATACGGTTACTGCTTAGTGGTAGTGAGGATGATCTGTTGGATGTCATAGCACCATCTGTATTTGTATCTTGTATGTGTAGGATTTTACTTCGATTCTTAGTAGGGGCATGAGAGCCAGTCTGCTTGATTCAAACTTCCCATCGATAACCGCATGCCCGATTGCTCGATTGTTTCTTCCTTGGTTGTCTTGATGATTAGAACTTGCGATTCTCAATCGTTGCCTATACCACCCTGTCTAATATCGATGCTCGAGAGAAAAAAAGGAGACCTGCCGTCTAATTCTAAACTGGTCAACTCGTTCGTGCTCATTGCCAATTGCTTCTCTGTCTTTGTGACACTACACATGCTCAAATGAGGCAGCACTCTCGCACGATGCGAACAAGCATGCAACGCATCACGCATTGACTTTGGAGTATTTGCAAGTCATACATGAGCAAAGTAAGGCATCATTACATTTGTATATCTAGTATGAATTGAACCTCTCGATGGAACAATCCCAGCGCCACATGCCGAATGAAGAAAATCGCTGTCAAATCTATAGCTAAAAGAAGTGCAAGACCCCAGCAAAAGCAACCAGAACTCCTAACCAGCAAACAAGCATTACCGGCCGTTCATATCATATCAAAAGCAACACAAGCTTAAACCAGAGACGCAGCAAGATGCAGAAAAGTCCCCTTACTCCAACCTCCCCATCAAATTCGCTCTCACCCTCGTATTGACCACTCCACCCACACCAAAAGCAGGAACAATCCTCGCCATCCTAGCAAACGAACTCTTCAGCCAGTCCTTTCTTACTTTGACCATTCTTTCTCTTGCACCCAACTTGCCATCTCTGTTGTACAAATCCAATCCCAGCAAATGCAAAGGCGTAGAAATCAATTGGATAGCAGCAGGAGCCACGAATTGCGCCGCCGATGCTGCAGAAACGTGTTTTTGCATGTTATCCGACAGAGGCATGAGTGGTGCGATCAATGGTGGTACGTTGAAGGAAGCGAATACTGTAAGACAATCCCTGAGTGCGAATAATGCATAACTGGGTCCTGGGATGGGACGTGGAGATGAGGTAGCCACGCCGAAGAGTTTGGCAAATCTGCTGTCTTTGTATAAACACAAACTCAGATTTGCAGAAGAGGTAGCGAGGAATTTGGCAGGGCCTGATGTGGTAGTTGAAGCGGATTTTGCGGATATCGTGCTGGAGCACGTGTCCAATGTGTTTGCGGTGACATAGGTGCCGGTATACAGAGCAAAGATCAAAGCAAAGGGTTTCGAGAAGAGGAAACGATGAGGACGTAGGGCAAGAGTTGCGAATGAGGAGCGAAGGGAAAGCCCCAGTGCTGCACGGCCAGAGGCATTTTCGATAATGGCTTTGTCGATTGCGGTGATGACGGGAGCGACGAGGACACCTGCTGTTGCTGCTGCCGTGATGTCTGCGGCCAGACGCAGACTCAGATTCTTTGTATTCCAGGTTGATGTGCTTGTCGTCGGTGCCATGATCTCAGGGTTGACATCTGGTCGGGATGCGCCGGGACCTGCAGCCGTACTCATTGCTTCCTCGAGGGCGGCGCGTCGTGTGGATACCGGTATTGCTGTTGCTGAGCATGTGACGGAAAAACAGGGGCGGGCTCTTTGTCCTTTCAGAATCCTCCTCTTTTGTCAGGTCGTGTGTTGCTTCCTTGTCCTTCCCGTAAGCAATCGCAAACAAAAAGATGGTCAGAATCTCTTATCTGGGGATCCCGCAGCTTGTATGACGCGAATGGTCTCAGTTGCCGGTTGCGCTGCCGCCGGGCTGCGGGTCAATGTTTGGCGAGGTTGGTCAAACGCCGACCTCGCTCTTTCCCTTTAATCTGCCGCTCCCAGCCTTCCCAATCTTTAACCGTTATACTATACCTTATCAACAGTTGCTATATAGGAAGGCACGAGTGACTCATACAAACGGGACTACAGAGGCAATTCGCATTTTCTCTTGGAACATTGACAGCGAAAACGATGGAATCACGTACTTGTTTTCGTTTTACACTGGTCTGAGATTACTGGAAACTTGTGATGGCAATGGCATTCTGCTTGATTCTGTAATGGCAGCAAGTGTAGGGCATTGTGTTGGCTCAATCGCACCATCTTTCTGCGTTCACGCCTATGCTGAACCCGTGGCCATCGTCTTTAGCCCTTGTACCTGTGTATCATTCCATCGTTCCTTCCTTTGTCTAGAATTCAATCGTTGCTTTCTCCATCCTTTGAACCCCTCAAGACTTTGCTATCATCAGTCGCTGACATGAGTCGCTGAACATGGCAGAACTCCCCTTGTGTCGTGGATCTGTCCGACTGACTTTCCAGTGGTTGACATTCCTCCGTAGTGTGATTGTTGGAGAGACTCGAATCATTGTGGTGAAGAAGCAAATGCCGCATTTGCATAGTTGTCGACAGCGGTGTGTTGTCGTCAAACTTGCAAAAGTAGTGACCATACCCTACAGCATTGCTTCGATCAAAGGTAGCTGATCTTGACTTTGCCTTGGTTCATCTCACATTGGCAATGGATCCAAGGATCGGGATCGCCGCAAGACTTGCAGACAATGCTGAGACAAGCCGGCTTCATGCAACGACCTGCGCAATCGGGACAGACATTGCGGAGACAGGTGCCGCATTTGAGCATTCTCTCAAAAGGATCGGTTTCACGAGGCTTGAGGGCGTTGATCTCGTCAATATCGCGCTGGAAAGCTTCGCGGTACTTCAGAGGCACCACGGGGTTGGGGCGTGGGTTTTCATGGATGGCTTTGGTGAAGGCTTGGACTGAGCAGCAAGCAGTACCGCAGAGTTGGCATGCGCTCTCGTGCTTGTCGGTACAGTTGAGCTTTTGAGTGTCCCACCTGTAGATGTGAGCAGGGTGGCGGCGGTAGTCCTCGGGGCAGCGTAGACTGAGAGGAGGCAGACCCCAATTCTCACGCATCGAGTTGAATTCAGAGTGAACAGCGATCTGCAGATTATTAGCAGGCTGTCAAGCTGTGAAAACCAAAACAGTAAACCTACACGAGGGAAGGGGCGGACTGGGATCTGGCCCGAATTGAAGAAATCAGTGTCCTTGGGATCCCACTGAGTGACCCAGTGTTCGGAGGTGGGGAAGTCCTGAACTTGCTGAAGGACAACGTCGGTGTCGTAGTCAGATCCTGCGAACGGGAACACAAGTCCCTCGGATGATTCTTTGCTAGGTGAATCATCGTCAGATGCTCTGCGAGGCGATCCATCATCCGACGATCTGAGAGAGGAGCCTTCATCGGATAGCCTGAGAGAGGATATCTCATCCGAGTCTCTGGGCAAAGATCTTTCGGAACTGTTGCGCAATCCTGGTAGGAGCACTCTACCAGATCTTCTGAGTGTACGGGGTTTGACAGGTGTGTCGCTTTGATCGGACCATTCTCCGTCACTGGAGGAATCGTACTTGAGCTTCTGGGGAGTCTTCGGTTGGACGTGAGGCTCAGAGGTCGTGGACCACTCTGAACCCTTGCTTGGAGAGTCCGATCTGCTGGACGTCTCAGAATCGCTTGCCGACTTGGGGGGACCTATACTGAACATGTCGGCGGTGTTCAGCTAAGATTGGACGGGGAAGAAAGAGTGGTTGTGGTGTGTGAGAGTTGAGACGCGCAGGACGTGATGTTGTGATGAAGCCGACCGATGATGATCTTCACTTGTGTGTGCGTGAAAGTATGCGCAGCGGGTTTTGTTGTGCTGTTGTGTGCTCGAGATGTGTCTGAACCCGGAGACGGCGCTTTGCGGACCTGGTCCCCTTATGCACGCAATGTTATCCGTGGTTGTGACTTCATAAGAATATCGGAGCATCATCTAGGGGTTTTCTGCACAGCACTAGAATCAACCTCACGACGATGCTCGTCCAGACAAGCGAGCTCTTCTCTCTTGGGCGTAGCGGAACCACCAGCAGAGCCACCAGCAGAGCCACCAACTCCTGCCCCTATCCGGAAGTCTTGTCTTGTCGGTTCTGCCCTAGGAGGACGACTAGGGGGAAAATCGCTTCTGTTGAACTTGGGAACGAATGACGCAGGGCGCGATGGTATCTGTCCAGTGATCTCTTTGCCTCGACAGTCAAAGACGCGTCCCGTATCCTTGGGTCTGCGAAGTTTCTTGGCCTCGGCTCTCATCTTCTGGAATCTCTCAGCTCGAGGATCATACAGGTAGGAATCTGGCGGCGGAGGCGTAGTGCTTCCCAGACCCAGCGCCTTCTTCCAAAATCCTCGATGCTTCTTTACGACTGTTAGATAATGGACTTGAGTTCCAGTGGAGCTATAGATCGTCTGAATCTCGCAATAATTTGGGCCGCCGTTACTCGGACAACGCCAAACGAGGAGGAACAGACATCCTGCTTGCCAGTCTGGGCTTAAGGAGACAGTGCTTACAGGCTTGTGCTCATCTCTTGATGCTGGTGGCGTTCTTGCCGCGATCTCTGATGGCAGAGCGAGACTGGCGGCGGTAACAGGCGGTGCAGTCGACTTACCCTTCCAAGGAGGGAAGTCAGGGTCGGGCTGTATCTCCTTAGGGTGATCTTTCCAGAAACGCATCTGCAATACATCAGCGAAGATCTTGAAAACCGATTTTTTGACTCACTTTTGCTCATGTTGATGTACGAGACTAGCGCAGACTTCGAAGCTTCTGCATGTGATCACACGAGCCGGCTATACCATGGAACAAACCGGCCAGCAGTGACGGAAATACAGGAGCAATCGGTCTTCAATCATGCGCCTGGAGACATTTGAATATCAGCATCCGCACCACGGTACTGAACAATTATCAGTAGCATAGGAACCCTCGCCTTGTGCTGGGGGTTCAGGAGGAATGATTTATGTGGACACCATGGGTGCTTCTTTGAAGGAAAACAGAGTGTATTTGATGTAGAAGGAAAAATGCCTGGCCAGCGCCTCCCATGCTCATAAAGGCCAAATGATGTTGGCTGAGACCCATGCAACGCTCTTTATCTAGGAAAACAGAAACTGAAGCCAAACCGATTGGTCTATGATCATGCCTTGGCGTATTGCTGAGTCCACTCTCTGGCAGTCTGGATAGCGGCGTTCTGGTCTTCCTTCCATCTTTGAGCGACATCGTTGGCGAGCGGGTCGTCTGGGTTGGGTGCACCAAGCAGAGCTTGAATTGACAGCAGGATGGTACGGATTTGGAGGGCAGGCGACCAGTTGCCTGTCAAGGTTAGCCTATGGCTCTTCACAATCGATGATGGATGATCTCACTCTTGAGGACGTCCAGGCAGATTCTACCGAGGCGATCGATGTTGGGGTGGTAGATCTTGGTGAGGAAGCGGATCTTGGGTGGTGTCATGGGGTAGTCGTCGGGCAGGAAGAGCTCGAGCTTGAAGATGCCACCTGAATGACGTGTCAGGGAAGGATAACGTGGGCAGGCGCATTCGCCGTGGTCAAGTACCTTCGTAGGGAGATTGCGAGGGACCGTGGATCTTGACATCAAAGTAGCGCAGATTGTCCTCGTGGGGAATGGCTTCGATACCAGGCACACTATCGTCCTCTGTTAGTGACCAGAAGTGAGTGTCTTCAGACTGGCAGACATACGGCTCGGCCATCAGACGCTCAGTCTCCTTGATGATACGCTTTGGGAGAGCCATGCTTGATCAAGTGGTCCTCTCGGCGATGTATTGTATTGTATTGTATTGTATTGTACTGTGTAGTGGGCTATGCCTCGAGTTGAGAAAGTCGAACAAAATTGTAGGAAACAGATGGACTGCAGTGACGATGATGATACAGAAGCAGGCCGCCCGAGCACCCCGCTATCCTTCGTTCACGGTTCACCTATTCTGAAGCTCGGACGTCAATCACGTGCGAGTCAGAGAGACGCGATAGAGCTGCTTGGCACTTACCACAATCCATCCAACCTCCGAGTCCTTCGGTCATGTCTATCAATCAAGACCGATGGATTTAACAATGTTCGTTCTTGCCCAGGAAGCACTGTGTTCAGTGTGACCACTATGTCAGTGACTCTGCTTATAGTCCATATCGTCTGGCGTCCTGAAGATCCTGGCTGAAGACCGACCCAATTCATCCCACCGTGTCTTCAACCATGTCTTCTACCATCACCGGCCGAAGTGGCAAGGATACTTCCATCTTTGACAGCCCTACCTTTGACAAGGATCTCCGTATCCATGTCAATCAGGCTGTAGGTTCTGCGTCTATCTCGCCTGGTGGCAGAGACGTTGTTCTGGCTTCTCAACAAGGTCTGCATATCATAGACCTCGATTCTCCTTTCTCTCCTCCACGTCATCTCCGCCATCAAACTCCATGGACTCCCGCCGATGTACAGTGGTCTCCTTTTGCCTCGAGATACTACTGGGTTGTTAGTACCTCGAATCAGAGAGCCTTAGTCTGGAATCTTGAGCTTGCCAGCCTTCAAGCCCCAATCGAGCACACCTTACATGCTCATTCCAGAGCTATCACTGACATCAACTTTTCTCCCTTACAACCAGATCTTCTTGCTACATGTGCAGTCGACGCCTTTGTCCATTGTTGGGATCTGCGAGTGTCGGCAAGACCTGTAGTCAGCTTTTCTGATTGGTTCGCCGGTGCGACCCAAGTCAAGTGGAACCGACGAAATCCACACATTGTCGCTTCATCACACGACAAGTATCTACACATTTGGGATGACCGTAAAGGCGCCTTACCTCTCAAAACAATTGAAGCTCATCAGACAAAGATCTATGGAATCGACTGGAGCCGCACTGATGAGACTAAGATTGTCACTTGCTCGCTTGATCGTACTATCAAAGTGTGGGACTACGAGTTCTCTGAAACCGAGCCCGAACGTGTCATCAACACGCCCTTTCCGGTATGGCGAGCTAGGCACACACCATTTGGAAATGGAGTCTTGGCTATGCCTCAAAGAGGAGACCATGATTTGCACATGTACGACTGTCGACCATCCAATCTGACCAATACTCCAGCTCTCACTGAGCCAAACTATCGATTTACTGGCCATGATGAGCAGGTCAAAGAGTTCTTGTGGCGAGGACGTGGCAACGTCGACGAATACGCCGACAGTCGCGACTTCCAGTTGGTCTCGTGGGGAGCCGACCATGAACTGATCCTCCATCGCATGGGAGATAGACAGTTGCAATCCATCGGGTTCCACAAGGGAATGCAGATGGACAAACCTGTGCAGCTTACTCGAATTGGTGCCCCTTACAAGTCATTCAGGGATCGTCCCGTTCATCCTGGAACATCTGCTGAGAACACGGCACAAGGATCTGGGATGGCGCATCCTGGTACCAGTCCTGGAATGAATAAAGTACCCATTCCGATCGCTGGTGGATGGGCTGACGACAGTCAGATGATGACTTACTCTGGTATTGAGACCCGAAACGCGAGACCGCAAGACAACGGACTCATTTCCTGGATGAAGGGTGTCAAATTCGGCAAGCGTAAGCCAAGCTCTCCTGAAAGACAGGCCACAAGAAGGCTTTCGATCATCGCTGATCTACACCATCCGGATTCTCATAATGTGCGTGAGAATCTGAGCGACGAAATCATTCACGTCGGAGAAAAATTCACCCGAGTCACGGTCGAGGAAGCAGACGTGTCAAATCGATATGTGAAGATATCGCTCAATGGGCCATGGGCCGCTGAGGAAAAGCTGGCTTTCATGCAGCTATGTATGGACTTCCCGGTAGATTACCCTGAAAAGTCGGTTCCTTGGTTTCATCTTGACAAGGCATCTGCGTTGTCCGAGGAGAAGGTGGCAGAGCTCGAAGGCAATCTACGTAAAATCGCCACAGGATACTTGATACATCGCCGGGGATGTATCGAAGGTTTCTTGTCATATCTCACTGGCGAAAGAGACCTTGAGGATAGCATCAGTTGGCTTGGCCTTGGCGGAAATGATGTGATCGCGCCAGGAGAGGAAGCCGAAAGTTCCAGCGACGAAGAGGACGGCTTACTCGGTGACTATGGTGGTAGTGAATCACAGAACTTGGGCATGGAGGGCAGTGTTGGATCTGGCATCTTCAGCACCAATGCCAATGTGCCGCTTCCCAGAACTTGTGGAGCTCTCTGGGCACCGAATGGTCAGCTCATCTGCTTCATGCCGCCTAAAGAAGAGCCACGTTCAATACTGCAGAAGTTTGCCGTAGACGATAGGAACCGCAACCGTGGAAGTAGAGAAATCTTTGAAGGTTTCGGAAGGCTAAATGCAGGCCAGTCAGAGTCGAAGTCCAAAAGCAAGCCTAGCACTGATGCCTTCGAGGCTGATGATTCGGACAACAGCTCTGAGTTCTCGTCATCGAGCTCATCTTCTGGTTCTGATGAGCCAGAGATGTTCCTTCGCCGTTTCCAGCCACCATCTGCCTGGCATGGTGGATCTCTACGCTTCCCGAGACTTAAAGGTCTACGAACACATTCCACTGAAGGCTCAATACCAACCAGCAATGGCCTTAACAAAAAAGCCATCAGCGCTAGACACAAGACCAAGGTCAAAGTCATTGATGTTGAATGTTTGCTCCCTTCCAAGCGTGTACTTGGATCGGAGTATCTTGTCTATGGCGATGGGGAAACGGTTTGTTCGCATAATGCTCAGGCCGCTCTACGCAATGGTTTCTCTGAGCTGGCTGACATTTGGGAGTTCGTTGGTCTTATCTTAGCCAAGAAAGTACCTTTGAGCATGCTTCCAATCCCCAGACAAGAGACAGACATTCGGGTTCTGGCACGTCGATTGCTTATGCCGTCGCAAAGGAACGACAGCGGGCTCGACCTGTCCTTTGATGAGCCCGAAGCTGTGCTTCACCCACGAGAGACTGCTCTCATCAAGTGGGGAACTCATCCATTCGCCGGCTCGTGGCTTATCGACACACTGTAAGCCTTGCGTTGCCATTGTGCCTTTCGAGTCCCTTTGGCTGATATTCTCTACAGTTTTACTCACTTCGAAAATCTTGCGGATGTGCAGATGCTCGGCATGCTGTCATGCATATTCGCGCAATCACTATCCGACGACCAACGTCCAACCTATGAGGTAAATTGGTCTTCTCAACGCATTCGTCGTCCACCAACTGACTGTTCAGGATCTTCCGCAATCAATGAATTGTGCTGCACAGCTTTTCGATTACTTCCCAGATAAAGAGACGGCTTTCGGTTTCTTTGAACCCATCATCTCCGTTTCCGATCTGTCTAAGAAACATAGAAAATCAGGAGCTGGGTTGAATTCAGCAGGAGAGTCATCTCAGGATATCAGGGAACAGAACGTGGTTGCAAGTGAACCTGTCACGCCCTTCTACACTGGCAACACGCCCCCAATGCCTCTATCGAGAGCCAGCACACACCGCTCCAGTGCCGCACCCAGCCTCTCGACATCGCCAGAGCATCATCGTACATCTGTACCTAGTGCAACAAGTTCATTCGCTGCTTCGGTCTTGGCTCGTCCTTTCCAACTCGCCAGTTCTCCTCCTGTTCGCAATCGGACAAGTGGAGAAGAGCTCTCATCGTCGATACCCTCGCAAGCAGGTGTTAACTGGAACAAGAGTAAGCCTTTCAATCGAAGTGACTCCACGATTCGAAGAAGCTTCATGTCGCAGGGTTTTGGGGATGATTATGACGGATCTACAACAGAGGATGATGAGTCTTTACCGCCGCAATCTCGAGTAAAGATTGGTCTGAAGAACCAAGACATGTTTGACGATGAAGGTTGCTCGAATGTCGCTTTCCTCGATCCCAACCAGTCGCTCAGATTCGCAGTATACCGAGCAGTGTATGCGAATATGCTGGGTGGATGGGGACTTCGGATGCAGCAGAACGAGGTTGACAAACTTGACGGACTGTTGTCGAACATTCTCACTCGCACCAGGTCAAGGGATCATGGTTCGCAATCTACCCTTACGCTGGGTGAGGTCGAAGACGACGAAGCAACGATTGACAGCTTAGGCCCACAGGTTGTCAGATGCTGCATGTCTTGTGGCGAAGTTGACAACCCAGAGCGCCGGGCAGACCGCAAATGTGCAAAGTGTGGAGGAAAGTCACATCTCCTCTCTTGCACCATCTGCTACCAGCCCATCGCTGGTCTCTACAAAGTGTGTCTCGCATGCGGTCACTCGGCTCACATCTCTTGTCTCGCACTCCTTCTCGAATCACTCTCGGAAGACGAGAAGCCGGAGTGCGAAGCAGCATGTGGATGCGCTTGCGATGAAAACATGGCAGTTGGTGGTGAAGAGGTGTTCGGCTTGGCAAGACTACCGACGTTCGAGGAGGAGGTTGCGAAGGAGACTGGCTTCCGAATGCTGCAGCCAGTGGGAAATAGCACAATCTTGCATCGGCGTGGAAGTGTCATCGAGGCGAAGCAATCTGGCAGGTTGCGAGAAAGGGCACAACAAGAACCCATGCGATTGGCGAACACTGGCCTTCGTAAAACTAGAACAAGGTCGTTTGGGCATTAGTGGTCAAAAAGAGGTAGCTGTCGATAAGAACATTGGAGCAAGACAGTCTGGAAATGATCGTAAAGAAACAAGTGTGTGTATCATAACTTTCTAATCCTCGACTGGTGATGTTCAAGGTCAAGTTATCTGTACTGTAATTACCGCAATGCTCCGTCCAACTCCTATTACCATGCAACTTCAATTACCGCGACGAACTCTGGAGAAAAAAAACAATGCCAGTGTCAAGCGCCCAACCGCTCCCTCTCATTGCCAATTGAGAGAGAGCGATTCGCGACTCGCGATTGCCAAAGAAAAAACAAACCAGTGAACCGTGACTGACCGAACCTCCAGAAAAAAGAAACAACGACTGATGAGATCCAGAACCCAGAAAAAGAAAGAGTGGAGAGTCCAAAACCCACAAAGAAACAAGAGGGGCCAACACGCCCAAGAAAAAAGACAAATCGAACCGAAGAAAAAAGTCGAGCTCAAGTGAGCTCTCATCAAGCATCCTTCTCTGAACCAGTAACCATCCAGCAGAAGTCTCGAGAGAGAGAAAGTCGTCAAGGCTTCCCTTCCTCCATGCAGCAAGAGAAATGCCAGAAACTTACTCCTCTCTCAGCGCCAACACACTTCTGTTGACAAAGCGATACCAGCCAGCCTGTCTGAGGCGAAACTTCTTCTGATCACTGTCGGCACAAAAGATGTCCTCTTTGACTGCCTCTCTGATCTTTGCCACCATCTCCACGATAGGCTTTGGCATTCTGTGATCGGTCTCGGAGATGTTGAGGGCACGCATGGCGTTGTCGACGGAGACTTCCAGGGGAGCGGTTGCTTCGTCTATGATGCCGATGAGTTTGTGCTGGAGGGCCATGCGGGTGGAGTTGAGTTTTCCGTTCACGTCCGGGTGGAACGCTTTGTTGGCGTTCATCAGGTCGGTGAACGAGGTGTTGGAGGTGAGGGGGGTGGTGGGAGTGAGTGGAGTGGTGGGAGAGGTAGGTGAGGTGGGGGTAGGGGGGTAGAGCGAAAAGTCGTCATTGTCGGTACTCTGAGTGCTGTTGCTGGCACTGCTCTCAGTGGCTGCGGTATCGGTGGATGAAGCCGAAGATGCACTGTCGTTGCGGACAGGAGGGTGAAGAGCTGCACTGAGGGCGGCGATTTCGGAGGTTGTGAGGGCATCGCCTCCTTTCAGAGCTTTTATGCGCTTCTTCGCCTTCTTGCGCTCACGCTTGTTGAGCTTTGGGGTTGCCTCTGGCTCGGTGTCGGCAGACCAGGGGTCGGATGCTCTTTCTTCAGTAGGTGTGAAGATAGAACATGGCAAAGAAGGGCAGGCGCTGGGCTCGATGCCGTGATCTTTTTGCAACTGTCTGAACTCGCGGAGGAGCATAGCCAGAGCTCTGTGGCGCTGGTCGTGAGCTCCGTTGAAACGGCGACAAGTATCACAATTGTGGGCTTGGCCTTTCAAAAGATCTGTCAGCTTCGTGTTTCTTCCCATGCCAGTATCTTGTTCTTCGAAGGTGGTGTGCGGAGTGGAAAAAGAAATCGCGATGTTCGACAGAGGATATCAACTTACCAATCATAAAAAAGTGTTGGTGAAACAGTGGGCAGATTTCAACGTGTTTGAAGTAGCAGGTATGCTTCGCTCTGGGATTGTTCAGCGGTGTCTGGCACTTGGGACAGTGGTGCTCTGAAAGGAGTCAGTGAGCGCAGTCCGAAGGATCTTCGTGATAGTATAGCTTACCGAGACCAGGACTGTCCTCCCAGCGCAGAAGTTCTTTGGTCATGTTTTCGTGCTCAAAGGGGATCCTGAGATAAAATGTCAACAAGGAGATCCGTCGAAGATCTTACTGTGCGTACTGTGCGTAGCGTCAAAGGGCTGTTTTGTTCTAGCAAAGATCTTGCGTGCCGAGAAGGGTGCGTTGACAGAGGAACAGCGACAGTCGATAATAGAGTACTCTGTTGTAAAGCACGCTCTCCTGGGCGAGTAGACGAAGGATGCGAAAGAAATGTCAAGCACAACTTGAGAGGAAAGGTATGCAAGAAAACACGGGGTTGCTGGTGAAAACCGACGATTGATTTGCGGCGAAGCGAATTTTCAATCGGCAAATTCGCTGGAAGATTGTATGTGAGAGTCGACGTGAGCTAATGACCCGATTCGGGATATAGCAAACGCAGCAAACGCCAAAGCGAACGGACAGACAAGCACACCGCGTCGACATGGTAAGTGACAGGGCTAGGCAACAGGAGAAGTGATTCACATTGTTCTCATACTGTCATTCGACGACAGATACTAGCTCTGCAGACATAAGAGAATAGGTTGCACCTACCAGACGGATGCTCTCATGGGGATGGGGCCTCTTTCCGCCTACGCATCCCTCACCATGCGGGCTCCCGCCCAGACGAAGGGATAGTTACGTTGGTACCAGTTTACACTGAGGATTGTCAGAAACTGATCGTTTTCGCATCAGACGAGTCAACTTACAAGCTCTTGCGTCCTGCAATGCGCGGGTGCGTTGCCCATGACCCACCAAGCACGACATTATGCTTGTCATCGAAGAAATCGGCTGCGAGATATGTCAGAACCGGATTTAGCATGGACATAACAAGACCCTGACCTGTGTAACCTGGATAGAGGGGCATGGCCTCAAAGCCCTCGTGTTTGCTCAACACGCTGCTGGTCCACTCCCAGACACCTCCCATCTCCGATTGACCAGCAAGCTTGTTTCCGTTCTGCGAAACAGGCATGGGGTGCCAGTGTCGGAAGCCAACGTTAGCTCCAAGCAAGTCTACGAACAGGTCACTCGGGTTTGGACCAGTCGAGCTCCAAGGTGAGGTCTTGGATGGTGGCGACTCCTCTACGCCATCATTGACGAGATGCCTGTGGCCGAATTAGTCAAGTCTTAAGATATTGTCACGAGTTATACTGACGCGTTAACAGCAGGAATGTTAGCTCCAAGCGACTCGTGAGCTTGCAGGGTCTTTGCCTCATCAACATGTCTGTAGATGCTTCGAGCCTCTTCCATTGTCGGTATGCGGCCACCCATCCAGCGAGCACAACCGGCGATCTCGTCGTATGACGCGCAGACAGGCCAGTCTAGAGCCAGCTTCAGAGAGATCGGTCCGTACACAGTACGTACTGCTTTGCCTTGAAGGAAAGACGAAGAGAGGCCACTTGCGTGACCATTTGTCTCTGCACCGTTAGCATAAGGAAGAGTCTGCCAAGACGCAGGAAGAGCATCGATGTTCTTCTCTTCCATGTACTTGGCATATTCGCCATTGGTGATAGGTCTTCCTTGGGCCTTGAATGCTGATACTCGAACAGTACGTTTGGGCTTCTCGTTATCCCATCCGAAGAAGTGTTCAGGGCCAGAGTTGTCATCAGGATCTTCGATGCCAATCTCGACCTCTTGTGCTGGAATGTCAAACCACTGGTTTTCGACAGCCCCTTGTCTTGCTTGAACAGCCAAAGCCTCAAAGTCAGGCATCACGGTTGTAGGTGGTGCCATGGTCTTCTCACTCTGGATGAGCATGTATAACAGCGTCTCGAGATGCATAACCTCGTGCTCGTATGACAGCCAAAGAGCTCTTGAGACGGCGCGGTCATTGATCGCTTGTCCTGAGGCGTACAGCTTGTTGACTCTAACTCGCACTCTTGACTGGAAGTCTAGAATTTCGGGTGCTGGTGGCCATGAGTCGGGGATCTCACTGTGTGAATGGCACTGCTCAGGATCATCCACATCAGGGTCAATTCCTCGCTCGAAGATGCTCGGATAAGAGCTGGGCTCTGTGGGCTTTCCGTTGGTTGCGCGTGTGAGATGAATATCCATAAAAGTAGGGATATGGCCAAGGTAGAAGATGCAGGCATTGCGAAGCTTAATAGGCTTCTCAAGCAGCTCTTCCTCGGGAATCATCTCCAAAGTGACGGCGTCCCAGGCAGCCCAGAGTTGGTTCCACTCTTCGAGCGAAGGGACGGGCTGAGCAGCATATTTATCGGGGACCAAAGGATATTGGACCTTAGGTTTGTTGAGTAAGTGCAGTCCTGCGATTCGTAAGCATATTAACTTTGACGAAGACAGATTGTGAATACTCACCATAATCCCCAGTAGAGTTGGTCCACTTGGCACCTTCGGTCAAACCAGCATCAGACCAGAGTTTCTCGCCTTGGACTGCGTTGTACTTGTAGCTCTCCTCAATTCTGACCTGCTCGCCAGCACGGATGAGAGCGCCCTCGATAGTCACATCTACCTTGGGCGAGACAAAGGCTTCGTGACGGTCGGTCTCCTTGTTGTATCTTCCGATGACCTCCCATTTGCTAACGTCAAAGGCATCGTAGCCTAACAACTTGTTCGCTTGTGTCAAGCCAGCAAGGATGAATTCATGCGTCAGGCCTTCACGATCATTGTAGGCGTGATAGACCTTGTTTGCGTCAGTGCAGGCATCAACGCCGAGCAGCAGCGTGTCGTTTGGGTCCAATGTCTCCGCGAATTGCGAGAGGAACTTGGCAGCCTCGTCCCTGGAGAAGTTTCCGATACTTGAGCCAAGGGACAGAATTGTTTTTGATCGGTGAGCATTCTCTGACTTCTTGAGCCAGTCGAGACCCTCATCATATGTTCCTAGGAGACCATGGCATTGAACATGCTTGAAGGTGCCCTGTGGGACTTCGGCCAACGTGCGTTCGAGTTCTACCTCTGAGACATCCAAGGCGTAGTAGGACACGTCCTTGCCTTTGCGATCGAGAGCGTCTAGGAGGATACGGACTTTACGAAGATTGCTGAAAGGCGGTCAATGATCAGTCTTGGACGGTATGTACGTGATTATGTGCATGTACATACCCGCTGCCCAACTCTACCAGCATAGAGTTCGACTCGAGAGCAATACGGTCGGCGATGCGATCGGCGTATGCTTCTAGAACCTCAATCTCCTGCCCCGTAGGATAGTACTCGTCTAGGTATGTGATCTTCTCGAAAAGCTTCAGTCCATCTTCGCTGTACAGCAACAGCGTCGGTAGCTTCTTTTCCTGTCCATCTCTTGCATTAAGACCTTCCCTAATCTGAGGGACTAGCGGCGTAAGTCCTCCACCATCTTGGCGAATGTCAATGATCTGTGGTGCGGTATTGGAAGGCATGGTGCTTGTGGTGAAATCACGCGATTTTGCGTGCTCAAAAGACGGGTAGACCGAGGGTATATAAGCAGATGGCAAGTCTCACCTTTCCCCTCCTGCCGTAAACACCTAAAACCCACATATCCATGCTGAAGAGTATGTCATAATTGTCATCAGAGCCGCAGTTGCCATACGGAACCGTTTCCGTCCCGCACCTCGAGGCCGAGGAACCAATCATGTGGAACCAGACTCGAGAACAATGCTCTTTGTACCTGAACTCTGCGGGGCAGCGAGGTCCAGTCTCCTTAGCATCAGCTGTTTGAGTAACTTATGCGCCATTTACAACAGGCACCGAGTGTCACGAAGCCTCGTGCGTGCCATGTCAACTCGTGAGTGGGTGGCTGGTTCAATATTCCGGTTCGCTCGATCGATCTTGGTTCGTTCGGTGGCATTGCCATGTGACGTAGATGATCCATAAGCTTCGGAAAGCTGTTCCGCTGTTCAGTTGATGATGGTGTAACCCTGGCATACCGATAATTTCTACGGACACTGTATGATTGTGGACGAGACTGCGTTATTTCACTAAGAAAAAGCATGATGATTGTGTCGGTGTGAAGCTTTGGTTACGACAGACAGAAAGAAAGCCATTATTGTTCGTTTGCTTTCGTGAATCTCGTGAAAAGCACGATTTAGAGCTCGACACAAATCCAAGAGGCAGAGACGTCTTGCTGGAACATTTCACCATCGATGGATGTTTTGAGACTGTTTGAAACGATTGTTGGAGGTTCGAAAACCCAATGGATAGTCTGCCCATCATGTACTTTCACTGCCAATTGTCATTATCAATGCCCTGATGTCTTGGTATCAATCCCCAGAACGCCTTTTTCCATGCAGTCCATACAGCTTGTCGTAGTTTGAACTCTATTGCCACCTGCGACCTCTACCACGTCCACGACCACCGCCGCCTGATGGGCCTGATGGAATGCCTCCTTGACCCTGCATCATGGCAATCTGTTGTTGGCTGTAGCCGTCAAAGCCTTGACCCTGGGCTTGTGGGCCTTGCTGGCCGGGTTGTGGTGTGCCTCCTCGGAAGCCTTGATTACCCTGCTGCTGGAAGGATTGCTGTTGTTGACCGCCATAACCTTGATTTGACTGCTGTGGCTGCATTGACTGGCCACCATAGCCGCCCTGACCTCCACCCATGGATGCTTGCTGATAGTGTTGCATGAAGGTGTTGAAGTCGAGCTGACTAGGATCGATGCCCTGACTTTGTAGGACGCTGGCAAAAGCGGCCATATTATCGGGGTTCATATCAGGCATGCCAGGCATACCCATCCCGGGCATTCCCATTCCCATAGGACCACCAGGAGGAGCAGCTTGAGGACCAGCAGGCGCAGCTTGACCGGGCATACCACCTCCAGTCAACATCATCTCGAACTGCTTGGTCTCGGCCTTTTGGTTGTTGATGGTAGAAGCCATGTTCTGCTGTCGCAAACAGTATTGGGTCCAGGTAAACTCGTCAAAGCCGTAGTTGAAGAAATCGGTCTGGTCGGTGCCTGGTAAGCGCCAGGGCTTTGTGTGTTCGGCGAGATCAGCGTCAATGTCGACCTCGGTGATGAGCTTTCCAGCAGGGTCCCATGAAGGAATGGCATTGACGTCTATCGATGATGTGCGGACTTCGGGATATTGTGAGCCGTCTTTCAGCGATACGAGCTTCTTGTTCTGAGCAGTCGAAGATTCCGTCTTGAGAGTCGGTGTTTGTTGTGCTTGTTGGGTAGGAACGTTGTCGACAGAATCAGTTCGGGCAGGAGCTTCTGGCTTGATGCCGCGGAAAGGACGAGCTTGCCTGATGGGCGAGTTAGGAAGGAAGTTGATGTCGCAGACGCTATGTAAACTTACGGTGGCTCTGGTACAGCGCCTTCCTTGTGCTCGGTGATGATGTCAATGTCGCTATCACTGTCTTCATCTTCGTCGTCCTCATCCTCGTCGTCTACGTCGATATCCGGTTGTTCGTTAGGATCGTCTTGGTTTGTCGGCTGTTCGTTCTTAACCGGCACATCGCCATTCTGATCGTAGAAATCATCCTCTTCTTCTTCCATGATGATGTGTGCTATGTGAGATCGCTAAAATGTGGGAGATAATTGAGTTGTCGCAAGTTGAAGCTGGCGATGCTACAGAGAGAGGGACAGCGACAACACGTAGGGGTCCGAGCTCGAATCGAGGTCTTTGGCAAAACTAAAGCATCAAACGCGACTTCCAACTCTGTCCAGTCTGTCCAAACAAGCCGATCGATTGTATATTTGTATCTTGTACCGAGTACTCGAATCTACGAAGCTGTCGTCTTTCTGCCACCATCTGACCCCGGCGACGTGCAATCAACCCGGACGCGCGCCTTCACATCATCAAGCAAACAACTTCATCATCGCTTCACTGCAGACATCCTTCACTTTGTGCATACGGCCATGGCTTTCGGCAGATCTAATTCGCTGAGCCTGAATACTGGCGCCGCTAACTCTTTGTTGTACGTCCATCCAAGACACCCCTTGCGCAACAGCCATTTTCAACATGCGACGATCCGCCATCACATTCCTTCCAGGCGCGCTGACTATTGCTCCCTCTAGCAGCGGCGGAAACACCGCAGCCTCCAACACCCAGCAGCAGCAACCGAACACTACTGGTCTCTTTGGCCAAGCTCCAGCAGCATCCTCGCAACCACAACAATCCGGCGGCCTCTTTGGCGCTTCAACCGCTACATCACAACCACAACAGTCGGGCGGTCTGTTCGGAAACACATCTGCTGCCCCTGCCGCAAAACCTACCCTCAGTCTCTTTGGAAACACCCAATCTTCCACATCAACTTCTCAACCACAGCAGCAACAATCCGGAGGCCTTTTTGGAGGTGCAACTGCCAACAACAACAATACATCAACCACCGGAGGTCTTTTCGGTGGTACAACGGCCAACAACACCACTTCAAACACTGGAGGTCTTTTTGGAGGGGCAGCCGCCAACAATACCTCGTCAAACACCGGTGGCATGTTTGGGAGCTCAACACAAAACCAGGCTCAGCCTCAGAACAACAATGCCGGTTTGTTCGGTGCGCCAAAGCCTGCCCCCCCAGGTCTCTTGTACGTCCTGATCTCTCAATCTCTCAAGCCAGATAGTCTTCTAACATGTTCCGCCCAGTGGCAGCAGTACTGCTCAGCAATCGAACAACAACTTCGGCTCGTCTCTCCTAAATCCCCTGGGCGGCTCAACTGTCAGGCCCTTGGCCGGTAGTCTCACCATGGGCCAAGGCAACACGGCGCAAAGCAGCACACAGCCTGGCGTCAAGATCGATCTGTCAAACCTTCGCCCAACCACGCGCTTCAGCGACCTACATGACGACCTCAAAAAACAAATAGAGTTCATCGAGACGTCTATCAGAAAACAAGAAAACTATGCCACTCAATGCGAGGCTATGATTGTCGGTCATGCCGCTAACGTCGAGAGCATCAAGCCCGACGTCGACCTCATCCAGAACAAGATCGAGACGGTCGAGCTTGCCCTTGAGAACGACGGTGCGGCCATTGCAAATGCCAAGGAGCTTGTTCAAAGGGATGCTGGTGATCTTATTCGTGTCGCTCGCATGGCCGAGAACTTGCAACTCCCTCAGCAGTACCACTACGGAAGAACCAGCAGACCTTCAACAACGGACGACGAGTACGACATCGATCTCGTTGGGTACTTCGGAAAGCAGGCCGAAGTCATGCAAAAGACTCTCGACACGTACACCTCTCACCTTGCCGAGATTGAAGCTCACCTCCGCGTCGTCGAGGGAAGCACCGTACAACAAGCACATCAACTCGCCGCTCAAAGAACAGGTGGTCGCGCTGGAAACAGTTCAGATAACGTCCGCGAACTGGCAGAGACACTTCGCGGCTTCGAGAGCGGCATCCTTGGTGCCGCAGGTCTGGTTGGTTCCTGCAGAGAAGGTGTCAATGAGTTGATACTTGGCAAGATCGGCGGCGATCCTCGAGAGAGTGTTGGATACGGAGGCAGGAAATCAGTCAGATTCTAAGCGGACCATAAATGGACTCTCCAGAAATGTCCAATTCTTGTCATCAATCGATGTCCTTGAAACTGCGGATGACAGGCTGCGCTTATCGTCACTAGATAGCTCTGATGAAACCAGACGAATACCTCCCGTATACACGTAATTAGCTACGATAAGAAAGGCAAGAGCCGAAAGACGAAACTCGAGAATGGAGACCGAAAATCGCAATCCTCAGAGACGATTGTGCAATTGCTGCCATGTTTGACGCCAACCCCCGGATTCGGTCAAGCCACCAAAGCTGCAACCACGCAACCTGGTTTCGCACCTCCTTCTTTCGATCTTCGAATCGAACTCCTTCTGACACGACACGTCTTCTCAAACTGTCGGTGAATTGGCTATCGAGCCCAGACCATCGATGATTGATAATTCACACAAGCCACTCTCGCGTGTCAAGGCAGTCCCCGTGACAAGTCAACGGCTACACGCAAGAGCACGGTCGTTTCGACGAGCACGCGATTCCGCCTCCTGCCATTCTCGTCTGCGAAGAAGCAATTGAAAACTGTCATCGAGATTTGCATGATCCCCGGCAATGTAATGTTTTACCCCAAATCGTGCATGTTATGCGGAGCCGTGTAAGATATAGGCATTTCCCGCTGCTCTCATCATTTCCTGGGGCCAGCACGCCATTTGTATATGGACAATGCACCTTGATGATTGCGTTTACTTGTGATGATGATGGTGAGATTGTAAGACTAATTGGGCGTAGGTAGGTATATAAGTCTATTTTCCCAGTTGTCATTGATGTTCCTACCAATCATTCATTCTGCTACTTGATACTTCCATCCTTCTTCGTGAAAATGGCACCATATCTTCAAGAAGCAACTGTACCGGCGAGTCCTGAGATACGTGATACCAAGGCATCAGTCAAGTCAGCACCCAAGAAGACACTCAGCTACGAGCCCGGTCGTACAGTCGCTGAATCACACGAAAACTACCCTTACGAACACCTCCTCCCCACCTTCCCAGATGTCAAATGGGAGCCCTTGAAAGAAGTCCCCTACCACGACAAAGGAATCGATGGCTCTCCTACCTTTGACGCCCTCCTCTCAACCGCCACCTCGATCCGTGACTACAACCCCAAAATCGGCACCGAAGTCGAAGGCATTGATCTCGCCAACATCACAGACGCACAAAAGAACGATATCGCTCGCTTGATAGCGACAAGAGGTGTGGTGTTCTTCCGCAATCAGAAGAACTTCGACATCGAGGCGCAGAGGAAGTTGGGAAAGTACTTTGGTACTGTGCATAGACATGCGACCACATCTGTCCCGAAGCAAGAAGGGTTGGAAGATGTACATGTGGTATTTGCGGAGGGAGCAAGAGGAGCACGCAACCATGTGTTTTCTCCCGCTTTCCTATGGCACAGCGATGTGAGTTACTTCCTTTACCCCAAGCCGTCAAGCAGAATACGATACTGATGATATCGCGACAAAGGTCACCTACGAAATCCAACCCCCCTCCTACACAAGTCTAAAACTCCTCTCGGGTCCACCCTCCGGCGGCGGTGGCAACACCCTCTGGTCATCCCAATATGCCGCCTACGACGCCCTCTCCCCAGCCATGCAAACATACCTATCCTCCCTCTCCGCCCTCCACTCAGCAGACATGCAAGCCGCCGATTCCATCCGAGGAAACCGACCCGTCCGTCGCGATCCCGTCACCACAATCCACCCTCTGATCAGAGTAAATCCCGTCACTGGTTGGAAGTCGCTATTCTTCAACCCAGGGTTTGTGACCAAGATCGTGGGAGTGCCGAAATTGGAAAGTGATTTTTTGATTTCGTATCTCAATGAGGTTATCGCTACTACTAATGAGATTCATGTTTCCTTCGAGTGGGGAAGGGATGATGTTGCGTTTTGGGATAACAGGATTTGCGTAAGTCGCTTCCCTTCCACGTCTCTTTCTTGCTTGATGTTTACTGATGTTGGGACACAGAATCACTCGGCGACATATGGCTTTGCTCCTCACAGAAGACATGCGGTCAGAGTGGCCACACAAGCGGAGAAACCATACTACTCTGCAGATGGAAAGTCACAGGAGGAGGAGTTGAATGCAAAGTATGGCTTGCCTGCTGGTAACAAGGACTGCAGCGGTGTAGGCAATTACAACGATTAGTGTTGTAGTTAATACACGTAGCAGAACCAAAATAACGAATTACATGACTTTTATCCCACATCCTTCTTTGCAAATGCGATTCTCTTCTGGTTCGAACTGACTTGGTCTCAAAGGGCGCCCCGTCCACAGTCCTGGTTCGAACTGTATTCAGACCGCCGCATATGGACAGCGGCTCTACCGGTTGTGCCATGTGCCATATGCCTTTTCTTTGATTTGAGGCGGCGTTGACTGAATATACAGTCTTAGGTCCTGTTTACTCGGCGAAAAAAAAAACCTTGTATCTGGCTGTAGTCAGCTGTAATAAGTTCATAAAGCGTCCGTGTTTACTTACCGGTATAAAAACCCCTGTTTTTCGTGGTACTTCGGTCGATTTCGTGCTTCTAACATCATCACCGTGTGCGTGATTACTCCACATCGTAAAAACCTCTGTATTTAACCTGTAGCTCGGTGTAAGTGCTCGGCCCTCTGCCAATTGTCCTGTAGACGTCATATTCAAGGGAGGGGTTGTATCTAACCGGTTAAGCTGATAAAATCATTACAAGGCCGACTTCTGACGGTAACAGTAGAAAGTGGATACATCTCAACTTTCAATTACAGCTAACTACAAGCGCAGTAAACAGGCCCTTAGAAAAGGATAAAGGGACTTGGCACTTTTGATTCAACATCACTCTCTCCTTCCTACGAGTCTACAGATATCCTTCGTTTTTGGCATAGCTGACATGTTGAGCAGAGGTAAAATGCAGCTGGAGCAGTAAGGTATCGTATACTTTTCATCGTAATATCATGATAGCTAATCTCATGCATGGTTATCATAAAAGCCATTTCTTTCAAGCATACTCCCAAATAGATAGCAAGACTCCCTTTCCCATATCAAAACCAGATAGCAATTGTGAACAAGTCATCCCATAGACATTCTTTGGGTTCATCATGAACCAACTTCTCTCAAGCAAGCAGCCCATCAAAGGCATTCGGTCACAGCAAGACTGTTTCATGCTGACATCGTTTGCACTCCAGTGCTTTTACTCATCGTAATCGTCATCGCTCTCGACATCGCTAAGGTCACTGCTCTCGGCCTCCTCACTGTCGCTGTCAACCTTCTTCTTGCCCTTGCCCTTCTTGGCAGCAGCAGCTCTCTTCTTGGCCTTGGGAGCGGCCTTGCCAGCAGGCGAGAGCTCGCCCTTCTTGGCGCCGTGTCTGGTGACCAGGTGCTCAATGGGACATCCTTCCTCCCAACGCTCACTGCCTGTGCTGGTGGCGGCGCGACATCTGGGACATTCCTTGCCATGCTTGATGAGAAGCTGATGCAGAGGGTACTTGAGATCGTCCGGGACGCGAGCTTCGCAGTGAGCGAAGGTGGTTTCGCGACCGACGGGAGGTTGGCCTTTTTCAACCTCCTTGGGAACCCAGCCGAGGTATTGGCAGAGACGGAAAACGTGAGTGTCGACGGCGAAAGAGGGGCGTTGTAGGCAGAAAAGCAGGACGCAGGATGCTGTCTTAGGTCCGATACCAGGGAATTGGACCATTCTGTCAAAGGCTTCCTCGTTGGAGAGCAAGTGAAGATGATCGAGGGAGAGCACACCGGACTCGGCACGTTCGATCTCAGTGTTCTTCTCCTGCGCAGGCTCGTTCTCTGAGCCAGGTGGGCCGGAGACTTTGCTCTCCATCTCCTTCTTCAGAGCAGCACATCGAGCCTGATTCTCTTCGTAAACCATGTCGAGGATAGCTTTGATGTCTTTGCTTTTGTTATTGGCCAGACCACCACTCTTGATGGACTCGAAGACTTCTGGTTGAGATGCAAGGCGAACCTTGTTCCAGTCCACGCTGCCCTTACCGACGCCCTCCTTGAGGGTACCAAAGGTCTTGACGAGGCCTTTGAAGGCGTTGGATGAGTTCTTGCCGGTGGTTGCAGCAGAGAGTCGTGTGCGGATCAAGGCGTCCAAGACTGATGGAACCTCACCGCAGCCAGTAACTTCCAGTGAGGGCAGGGGGATCGTCTTTGGGGCAGTAACTTTGCCGTGCTTCTTGGCGAGGATACGCTCAACTTCGTAGCACTCTTCCGAGGTAGGATGAGCATAGTCAGGGTAAGGAGTTTCGCCTGGGGTGAGTTTGTAGCTCTTGCCCTTGGTAGCCTTCTTCTGTGGCTTTCCTTCGGTCTTCACTGCCTGAGAGGCGGCTTCTGACTTGACCTCAGACTTGACGTCTGTATCAGGCGAGGCGATATCAGCTGCCTTCTCGGCGAGTTGGTCAACTTCCTCAGGATCAGCCTTGACCTGCTTGGCCTTTGATACACGCTTGGCCTTCTTCTTGGGAGGCGATGGCTGAGCTTGATCAACATCATCAGTATCCGGAGTGGGCAGAGAGCCAAGGTTATGCGGCAATTCATCGCCAAAGACTGGAGATTCTTCCTTGGCAGCAGGAGCCTTGCGCTTTCGCGAAGCCTTAGGAGCAGCTTTCTTCTCCGGGAATTCGGCATCGTCTTCGTCCTTGATTTCGGGAGACTTAGCAGGGGCCTTCTTGCGAGTCTGGCGCTTGGCTGGTGCAGGTGCAGGAGTTGTCTGAGGACTCGAGGCTTGTTCACCGCTTTCGACTTGAAGATCAGCAGCAGCACTGGCACGGGTTCTTCTGGGAGCCATGGCTAGGAGAATTCTGGTTGGCTTGTGAAATCGAAGAGCCGCAAATGTGTTTAATTGCCAATTGCGACAGAGGGTCGCAGTGGCAAGGGTGATGGGTCGTAGAATGATTGTCAGACAAGTCCGCAGGTAAGTTTGTTGATGTCTGAAGAAGCTTCGGAGGAAAAAACTTGAGGAAACGGGATTCAAAGTATGGTATAGGTTGATGAAGAGGGAAGGCGCATACTCGAGAGTTTGATGCCAACATCAATGACGATGCATCTTGTGGAGGAGTGCGCGCACAGGCCAGACGTTCCAGTTCATGTGGAGATTGTGCTTATCTCCGCTGTCATATGTTTCCGCACTTGCACTGCTCTCCTCTTGGTTTTCCTTTTTATGCACATGACAGAATTTCGGCTCATGGGTAGAACGGAGGCGTGTCCAGTTGAAGGAGGTGTGTCTCGATACAGGTAGACGTGGGAAGGTAAGTAGAAGATTGGCTCGTTGAAGATGTGACGTGATTTGCAGATCATCTGTGATAGCATGCAGGTACAGCAAGAACGATCCGGGAGCTGCGAGGACCCTATCTGAGTCATCAAGGTGTTGAGGAGCTGCGACTTTAAAGCTTCGGTGTGTCCGACAAATCCAACTCTTTTGCTTACAGCCTTGAGGATTTTGCAACAACATCATGCCTGCTGTCTTGATCGTCGGAGCCGGCGTCTTTGGAGCAAGCACTGCATATCATCTTGCCTTATCTTCACCCGACATAGACATTACAGTACTGGACCTAGCACCTAGTCCTCCAGCTCCAGCTGCCAGTACAGATATCAACAAGATCATACGAGCAGACTACTCAAACTTACTGTATGCCGACCTCGCCTACGAAGCCATAGAAGCATGGCAGAACTGGCCAGATATAGCAGATTGCTACCATCGGACGGGTTGGCTTGCACTGCAAGAGAAAGATTCCGATCTCGCTGAACGCATTCGAAGAGTCTTTTGCGAGAGGGGCCACGATCCTGCTTCTGACGTCTCCTTATCAGAGATCGAGAAGCTGTACGGCGGCATACTGAAAGGCACTAACACGAATGGATTCAAAGATGCCTACTGGAACCCTGAAGCTGGATGGTGCAATGCCAGTAAAGCAACCTTCTCAATCATGAATGCTGCCATCAAGAAAGGCGTCAAGTACATCTGCGGACAAGTCTCCCAACTCGTGCTCAACGACACCGATGTCTCGGGCGTCAAAACAACCGATGGTAGTACCTACACAGCCGACAAAATCATCTTAGCCACAGGCGCATGGACAAGCAGTATCCTCAACCCAACCGAAGATCTCCTCTCCATCCCCGTCGCAGACCGTGTCGAAAGTCAAGTCACCGCTGCCGGCGTCTGCGTCGCCCACTTCCGCATGTCTACTCCCGAGATGGAATCTCTCTCCCAGATGCCCGTCATAGTCTACGGCGAAAATGGCGAAGTAATTCCACCACCACCTGCATCAAACCTACTCAAGTTCACAAATTCCAAAACATTCACCAATATGCAAACCACTGCTTCCGGTCAAAGGATTTCTATACCACCGGAAAGAGATCAACACATCGTGTCCAAGAAGCTGCAGCAGGAGATGTGGGACTTGATGGTATCGAATGTGATGCCGACTTTTACGGCAGGGAAGAAGGTGAATTACTACCGTATCTGTTGGGACAGCATCACGCCGACTCAAGATTGGCTGTTGACCAAACATCCTCATCCCCGTCTCAGCAATCTCTATCTAGCTGTAGGAGGAAGCTTCCACAGTTACAAATTTTTGCCCACAGTAGGAAAATATATGGTCAATGTGTTGCACGGAGTGAGCAATGGTGAAACCAGAGACAAAGCCTGGGCATGGAAGAGCAGAGAAAGTCTGACTGGAAGGGGCGCCCACGAAGCTACCAAGCCAAAGAGAGACTTGAGTGAATTAGAAGATGTCGTTGCGAAGTTGTAGATAAATTACATATTCTGACCATAGCTGTTGTAGCTGAGAAAGATGAAAGAAGAAATTGATTACAAAAAATTGCTGGAAACATCACAAATAAACCATCGCCACCAAAGACCCCAGCGCAATGCCCGCCCAAGAAATAGCTATCCTCGACCCAGCAGACGAACTAGTTTTCTTCCCCGCCGTCGTCGATTGCTGCATCGAAACCTGCGTCCCCGATGCTTGCGTCCCAGCACTTGTGGTAACCGCCGAATGTGTCGAAGTAAAAGGAATAGTCGTCGTAGCATTGACCACAAACCCGCCCAGTGCCAAACTGATAGTCTCGCCTTCGACAACTTGAGCAGGTCCACCGACAGAAATAGTTTGGCCGGAGATGGAAAATGCGTTGTCGCCTGCAGAAGCGGTGAAAGTGTGGCCATCGATATTGAATTCGATATTGATGGCTGTGTGTCCTATTCCTCTCGATGGTCGTGGTGCGGCGGAGGGGATCCAAGTACTTGCTGAACTTGATGAGGGAGAAGGAATAGTAGAGGCGGAAGAGGTTGAAGTAGGTGTTGTTGCGGATGTCGTAGCCATGGTTTCTGGTAAAGCGGTGTATGAGGTTTCTGCTGGAGATGCAGTGGCGGTTGTAGCTGGGCCTTTCCAAGGTACCGTTGGTGTTGCGACTGCTGTGCCTGCCACCAAGGCGCGCGGTGGATCGAAGACGAAATTCGGAAGGGCTTCGTCCCACATACTGCAAGAGGACCATTCTGGCACCATGTCGCGGACTTCCGTTGGCATTGCGAGGATAGGATTCAGATCCGACCAGATAGTTGAGCATTGCGAAGGGGGTTTGTATGGTGCATCTGTCCCATTGATATATGTCGTTGATACATCGGTGCTGCAGCGATTCATGCAGTTGTAAGCGCTTGCTGGCCAAGGGAAATTCAAGTCGGCATAATTCAGGGGTGTTCCTGGCCCTTGAGCAGACTGCCATCCACCACATTGCGTCGATATGGCGCTCGAAGGGAACGGCATGATGAAGTCAGTGTATGTTGGGCCGATGCGGTTGTCAAATCCATCTTGGAACGCATATAGTGTCTTGAAAGACAGATAGACATTTCCAGAAGTAAGTGTAGTTCCCAGTGCTTCGATGACCGTGGGGCCACCTGTGTTGGTGATGGTAGATCCGTTTGCATGGCATTTGTTGCTACCAGCCGTAGTCACGGGGAAGTAAGCAAGCTCTACAGGACCTCCCATGATCAGACATGGCTGCAGAATCGTTAGCAGGATGAGCAAGCGTGTGTGTTTCAGAGAACAACTTACCTGACCAAGATGAGCAGGACTGCCACAGAGGGCCATCAATGTGACATCATCCCATGATATTCCGCTGCCATAATAGAGGTATAAACACTCATCCGAGGTGGCTTTCCGCGGATGCGGCACCGAGTAGACAGGAAGCCCCACGGTAACATACGCCTCATATGGTGAGAACGAAGTATATGTGGAAGTCAGAGTCAGAGGCTCAAAGTCTACACGCGGGGAGCCATCGCAGAGCTTATATGTAGAGAGGCTCTTGGAAGGATAGATGGTATTGACTGTTTGCAGCACTTGTGTGATAGTACTGGTGGTTGTTTTCAAAGATGTTGATCTTCCAGAAATTGCTGTTGAGTACCAACTTATCGAGCCTTGACGCCATTTTGAATATGTCTTGTAGCAAGCCAGAGCCGCCGCATTTGTCGTCGTGGCAGTGGAAATGTTTGTCGTGACTCCTCGGGCTCTTAGTAGCTCCGGTCCAGTTCCATGCCTGTGATATTGGTGATTTATCGAGCGTGTTTCGGTCGGTATTTCTGCTGCCACAACCTTTGTCGAAATCTCAGTTATCGTCGAGGTCCTTCCCTTCAAGTCGCTAGCAGCCGCTAGACCTTCGCCAATACCAGCCGCTTTCGTATCATGACGCGGCTCCTTTTCGTATTCTCCGTTTGTGATCGATTCTGAGTTTGCAGTTGCTGAAGACACGAGCAGGAATGCGAACAGCAATATCGATGGCATCCATCGTGTCGGCGTGCTTGAACGCATCTGGCAAGAAGGAGAAAAGAGTTGTGTCTATGAAGATACGAGTACACTCCTGGAAACACACTGCATGACGTCGAGGCCGAAATCCAAGGTCGTGGTCGTGGTACAGTCCAGTCACTCCGGGCAGAGGTCTCACGAACTCCTGTTGTTTGCGAGAGACGGGAGGTGCTGAATTTTGATAAGAAGGCGAACCATGGCCAAGTCCTCGAGAGGCGCAAGTTCGAAGATCGAGGATCAACGTGGTTGATGGCGCACGTTGGCTAGCGCGAGAAGCGTGGACCGAGAAACCCGGTCCAGGTTCGCTTGGTCCGTTCGCAAGACAAGGACGACGAATCCTTCTTGAGGCCTCGAGAGAATAGAACCATTTGACATGGCAGATCAATGTACCGACCTAAACTCGTTCAATGGCCGATTCCATGGTGATGACTGCAAATGTTCGTCTCGCTCCGTTCGGCTTTTGCGAGTTGAGAGTTGACAGAGCAATTGTCGTTCTTACCGTGCTACGAGACAGCTGAAAACCGTCTTGCATCGAAGTCGTCACGTCCAGTTTGAGTACCTATAGCGACCAATATCGTGTTTGTTTTTCATGAGCATCTCGCCTTTGCTGATTGCTCTGCGATGCTGCTAATTCAGGCAAGCATCGATATGATGATATCTCGCGTGTCCTGACTCGCTATATTTGCACGTTGTGTTTCATGCTACTCCAATCTGCGTTCGCTGTCGGCACTTTCAAGGAGATGAACGTATTTGACTCACAAGTTCTCGAGAGGGTGTCAATGTCAGAGAACGGTTTGATCTCGGTAGAAGAATATCCCGCCCGCGCTCCACCGTGATAATCACGGACAAGATGTCAGTGTTTCAGAACTTAGAGTGCGTGTAAACTGCTCGGACCTGCGACAACGCTGTATATCCTCTCACGAGCATTTTCTTCTGCATGCACTTGAGTAATCACACATGTCAATCTCACGCGCATAGTATACCACTTCATCTGAATAATGATCATTTCATTTGTTATTATTGGTAAAGCAAGTCATGTCGGACCGAGTCCCACTACTCATTTGTTGTGTGACAATACCAAAGAAGAAGAAGTCTTGAACGTAAAGTGCTGTATGCACTACACTTCACCTGACCGCAGTAAGACCTTTCATGAATCTGCATCTTAGCAAGTGAAAGCAACAGCCGTGCATCAAACCCAAGACAGAGGGTAAAAAGTGTAAAAACACAGCGCCAGCATGGCAGGAGGATGGGCGTAAAAAGAAAGGGAAAGGGCGAAGAACGAATAGTCAGACAGCTCCTTGTTGCGCCTGAGATAAAATTCCAGTGACTGATAACTCCTTAACGACCAATTGTGAGCAGGTTGCTCGTTTAGGCTTCTGGTCTGTATGCGCCACGGCCACGACCACGAGGCACTTTGGGCACTTTGGGCCACTGATTCCTCTTGAGACCAGCATTTTCGGAGTTTGAGTTTGAAGCAACAGTGTTCTCGGTCAATGGCGTCTTCGTGACTTTCTCGGTGGTATCTGGGACGCTCTGGGGCTTGCTGCCGGTGGCCGAAGTAGCGTTGGGTGCTGCGGTATCAGGCGTATCGTTGACAGTATTGCTGGAGGCATTACGCTTGCCCTTGTTGTTAGGTCTGCTAGAGTTCTTGCGGCCTTGAGCTCCCTTGTTCTTGCGGAACAGAGTCACTTCTTTGCGGACGAACCAAGGCAGTGGAAGCTTGATGTTGACCGTGATGTCGCGGGCTGCATTGTCGGGGAACAAGTAAACGCGCTTCGACTGAGGATCTACAGCCTTGTGGAATCTCGAGTGCGGTCTGACCGGCGTGGAGACGGTAGCAGGAGGTTCGGGGTACGTGACGCCACGGGGCAAGAAGACTCTAGGAGTGGAGCCGAAACTAAGTTCTCCATCGAAGATATCGTCAACGCCGGGCTTTGACACGATTTTTGTGTAGGTAGATACAGGAGAAGATGAGCGAGGCAGAGAGACAGTGGTGGCGCTCTGCGCGATAACAGTATCCGAGCTTATTCTAGAGACGGATGCGACGGCAGGAGCGGGTGCTTGCTCCTTTGGAGGCGTCTTGGGCGGCGATGGAGGAGTTGTAGTTGTGACTTGAGCTTTACCGAACAGACCGTTAAATCTGGCTTGCCAATCCTGGGTCTGAACAAGAGGCCTGGCGCCGACAGCACCGGCCGTGTATGAATGCACACTGCGGGGCATTGTGACTGGACTCGGCTGCTCGTGGTCCACTTCAGCGGCAGGTGGCAGCTTGACCTTGGGTTTGGGGGTTGGGAGATTGACGTGAGGATGCCTGGAGTCGCCACCAAAGACTGGATGGTCAGCTTCCTCGGGAGGTGGAGATCCTCCGTAGAGCGCAGAGGGGAAGAATCTCGATTGCTGTTGAGTCGAGCCAGGCGTAGATGGCTGAATGGGAAGAGGCAAAGGCTGGGCATTGCTGGCATATGCAGCAAGAGGAGGGAGTCTTACACCAGTGGTGACGTGACCGGGGCTGCCAAAGGCTCTTGAGAAGTTTGAGGGACCAGAAGGAAGGCGCACTATGCCTTCGCCTGCCATGTGCAACTGCTCGCCGCCAGGAGGAGGAGGATGGTTCATCGACTGTTGGGCGATGGGCGACAGGGGGCCTGGTACAACCTGGTGTGTTCTGTGGGGGCCTGAACGGATGGAACCAATTGCGCCAGCTCGATGGGGACCGGGAGGAACAGCACGTGTGGGAGTGCTGTCTTCGGGGAAACGGTCTTCGCCACGTCGCGTTTGCTTGAAAGTCTCAGAGACGGTCCAGTTTGCGTGAGCGTGGGCGTGGCGGACTTGCTGGGGCGCGGAGGGTTTTGCTCTCTCATCCTGGGAGCGCGCCGCGGTCTGCGCTTCTTCTCTGGCAGCTTGAGCGTTGTTCGAGAAGTTGGTCCATGCCGAAGTATCGCGATGAGGCTGTTGACGAGGAGTTGTCTTCTGTGGAGGAGCGATGGGGGTTGGGTACGCAAGGCGTGCAGGCTCGGGTAGAGGTGACGCGCCAGCGAGTGCGGAGGCGCCGACAGGCTCGGGCATGCGCTCGTCAAGGGTAGACAGAGATCCATACTGCTGATCCATGGGGTTAGGCTGCGCAGAACCGGGCTGGCCGAATGCGTTAGGCGAAACACGTGGAGGATAGGGGCGGCTGAAAGGCGCGGCGAAGGGCGCATTTTGATGTTGGGAGCGCGAACTAGGAGAAATGCTCGAGTAGCCTGCATCAAAGGTGCCGTTTCCGATGTGTCTGTTATTGCTAGGTGGAGGACCCCAGAGATTGGGTGCCGTGTGCGAAGTCATGCTAGTGCTGCCCCAAGGCGTGGCCGTGAAGGAATCACCGCTAGAGATCGATGGCAAGCGCGCAGGTTGCGCTTTCTGGTCGCCAGGCGACGAGAAAGAGGATGTATTCATGCCTTGCAACGATGATTGTTGATAAGGACTGCGCGTCGGACCATTCGGCGAATGCTGCTGGAGACCAGGCAATTGAGGTGATGAAAGAGACCCGTGCGTCGGGCGGGTGATGGGAGTCGGATTTTGAGTGAAGGAAAGTGAAGGTTCGACAGCCTTCTCCTTTCGCGGTGAAAGCTGCTTGATCGGTGACACGTGCGCTTCCGTGCGAGGTTGTTCCTTCCTCGGTGCAGCCAGCTCGGCGGCCGGTGGCTTATCCGGCGAGGCCTTTGAAGCAGTTGCAGAAGGCGCATCTGCTTGCTTTTGTGCCTCAGGCTGTTTCTCGACCTTCTCTGGTTTGTCTTGAGAAGGCGTCTTTTCGAGAGACATTCCTAGAGCCTCCATCTTCTTTCTGATCCTCTCTCTTCTCTCAGCCTCCTCGCGTTGCTCTTCCTCCTGTCTGCGTCTGACAGCGGCTTCGCGCTTCTCTTGCATGAGCTTCTTCTGTTTTTCGCGCTCTTCCTCGATCGATACCGCGCTAGGTGCGGGTCCATCGGTCTGGTGGTTTGGAGCTTCTGGGGCTGTGGCAGAGGGTTGCAGTTCCCCGTTGCCTTCGGGCACGGCTTCAGGAGAAGGTTCGGCCGGATCAAACACTCTGCTTGAACTGGACATGCGTCTATCACGAAGCATGTTTCCGCTGACGCTGGATCCTCTTCTGCGGCCCCAAGGACTTCCCTCTGTCTGAGAGTTTGTTCGAGCTTGGAAAGCGGCCGAGGGCTCTGCAGGACCAGCTCCAGCAGTAGGGCGTTGTAGAACTGCGGGCTGTCTGTGGTATTGATCCTGCTGGCGTGATCCTCTACGGTGCTCAGGGGCTGGCTCATAACGACCTGACTGCGAGTTGAAAAGCTCCCTATTCGTTCTCTCGCCTTCCTTCCAGGATCGGTCAAATGTGTCGGTAGCCATTTCGCGGGTAGGTGGTTGAGACATAGTATCAAATCCATGGGGATCTCTGTTTGTAAATCTGGGGCCGGCCTGGGCAGCTGGCGGAGGGTTGACTGTGACAGGCGAGGCCTTCTCAACTGGGGGAAGAGGTGCCCAGGGTGATTTTATGGGTGCGGGTGCAGTGTTCTTCAGCATAGGTGACTTGCTGTCCGGGGTAGCCTTTCCATCAGCGCCAATTTGCTTCGCTTGCTGTGCAGCTCCAGGTCTCAGAATAGTGCGAGTTTGTGCGGCCAGAGTCGATCGTTTGAGCGCGGTCATGGAAGGCTTCACGGGGGCAGCAGAAGTGGCAGGTGTCGTAGGAGCGGTCGAAGCAGTAGGAGGCAGCTCTTCTTGTGGCTTCTCCAAAGACTTCACCTCTGGTTGAGGAGGAACAGCGTCGCCATGACTTATAGTGGTTTTGGTACCGTCCATCCATTCAACTGTCTCGGGTGTCCACTCTTCTTCATCCTCGTCGATATCTGCCCATTTTGCCTTCTGCTCGGTTGCCTCTTCAGATTCCAGACGTGTGGCCAGGTGAATTCCGTATTTCTGCTTGAGTTCTTCGTCCGTGTAGTGCTTGGCTGGGGCAGGTGGCGCAGCTGTTTGATTATTAGCATGCGACAAAGCGTGATTCTAGGTGGCACTGACGTTGGTTCTTGTTCCACACAGTCCTACCATTCGGAGTGCTTGTGCCGTCGCCTGGGTGAGGCCGAGGAACGTCGCGCAATCCGCTGCTACCGGTTTTCGCAATCAGACGGGGCTTCGCATTCAGTTGCAGCGTAGCCAACTGAGGGGATGCTTTCGAGGAGTCAGCGTAAAGTCATGAAGACGAGGGTATAGTCGGCGCACGCTTCTCAGCAATCTTGACCGGGGGAGGGGTATTTCCAGGAGTTGTAGCGGCCTTTGCCAGGAAGGATTTTGTGATAGATACAGGCTTGAACGACAGAGGCTTCTTGACAGCGAGTTTGGGACCATCTGGCCGGCTGGAATCAGTGTCGGAACCATGTTGGTCGGGCGTCGCATTGTCTGCATCTCTGTTGATTGCGCCGTTGAGATGAGGGTGATCCTGTGAGAGTTTCGAGTCTAGTAGAAGGGCGTGATCGTCGTGTGGCGGTAATGGTTGTGTCTGTTGCATGTGCAGGCCTTGAGCGGCGGTCTCGAGTTCGTGGGATGCATTCACGTCAGCGGACTTTGATTCCACCGACTTTTCGTTGATCACCACATTTAGGGGGCTCAGCTCTGCCATAACAGAATCTCGGTGAATGAGAGGCGTGCAGTCGTGAGATCGTGCCCTTGTGGTTGACTTGCGAACAGTTGGTGTCTTCGTGGTTGCGATGATGCGGGATGGTCGGCGTCAGATCTCCGCTATTATGGAAGCTCCGCTCTCACAAAAAGACTTTCTTGCAAACAGCTGGAAGATGGCAGCATTTGCTGAGATGTACCAGATCACGTTCTTCAGATAAGTATCACAATAGATCGCACCTCACTAACAACGTCCGTGCGTGGCCGTTCAACCCAACTAAGCGTACAAACAGCTGGAAGATGGCTTCAACACATCACGAGACAAGAGACACGGAAAGAGTCCAGTTACTACAATCTCGGTTTATGCTGTATAATTACAAAGACGGGGTTTTTGACTTTTGCTTTCCTCGCCGTCCAGCATGCTACCATCGCCTGCCTGATTGCCCCATTTAGTGGGCGTTGTTCTTGTGGTGACCTGTGGAGCCTGTGGTTAGCTGCATGTCGAGTCTTTGTCCAATCCAGAAGGGACGTACGCAAGTGGAAGTAGTAGTTCTGGGCGTAACCAAGGAGGATCATGGTGCCAATGACGTGAACCAGGGCTGTGTTTGGCCACGTTAGCTGGTGCCCGGAGTATGGTTATAGAAATGGGGTGGTCGTACGCATAGCCGAAGGGTTCTTGCCGTTGAAGTAGCGGTGCTGGTATCTCTGGAGGAGGCCGGAAGGCTTGTGCTCGGGAGCGGGACCGCGAGGGAGTCTCTCGTAGAACGAGACGACACGCTGCATGCGGGCGGCGTCGGCCGAGGCACCAAGGCCCTGGTAGTCGACTATGTCAGCCTGATTCTCGTAGCTCTTTCTCCAAAATGAATGCGATGATATGGGTTGCGCCAGCGGCTGAGGTCGGGTTGTAGGTGCCGTGTCATGTAGATTTTGCGGAGGATGGAGCTCAACGTACCGAGGGCGAGGCAATCTGGGAGCAGTCAGTATGAGGATCAATCAGCAGCATTGAACAGAGCAGACGCACCTTGGGAGGAATGAGCGTAGACACCATAGTTGCGACAAGTGGATCTTCTGTGCTATGCAATACCTCTTCGACATGGCGTTGCGAAGGCCTCCCAATCGCCGCCAAGACTCCGGCTTCACTCCGGCTACCGCTTCGAGGTTGCTGACCTACGTGAGAGCATACCGATCGAGCGACAAGACGCCATTGCCATTCGACTATATCCACACAATGTCGCCAATCAACAGGACAGCAGCCTCGAGGCTCTTCGCCGTCGCTTCCCGACCCGCTCTCTCGCAACAGACCCCCCGCGTCGCCAGATGGCAGTCGACCGTCGGCCCCAACTCGCATGAGGTCGACAACATCCAAAGCCGCGACGAGCCTCCTTCACCCGTCCACTTGACCAAGGGAGAGACCAAGGGCAGCGAGCCTGCTGCTCAGAACACACCTAGCCATGCTCCCAACTACGGTGCCGCCGTCGACTACAGAACTTCGTGAGACTCGCCCAACACTTCAACGCCGACGAGCGATTGTGGGCTTATTGTGACCTTACAGCGCCTTTTCTCCCGTGCCCAAGCGCGTCATGGATGGCAGCGAGCCTACCGAAACCGTCGCTGCCGCCGTCCTTTCTGGCGCCCCTACCGATCTCCAAGCCCGCACCGTCCGGTTCGTCAATCCTCGTCTTTCGCCGCTTGTCTCAAGTTGTTCATACTCACATTTTACCTTGTAGCATCTTCCGTCCTGCTAAGACCGCGACTCAATCCGGCGACTGGAACGCTCACCACTGGCGCATGGACTGGGATGTGCTCAGCAAGGGCCACCGCTGGGAGAACCCTCTGATGGGCTGGCAATCATCTGCCGACTACATGCAGGGCACCCACCTCAACTTCAAATCCAAGGACGACGCCATCAACTTTGCCAACAAGCAGGGTTACGAATACTTTGTTCAGGAGCCCAACGAGCGCAGAATCATCCCCAAGGCTTACGCCAACAACTTCATGCACAGCCCAAAGAAGCTGAAGCACATCCGTACCAAGTAGAGCACACGGCGGACACCTCTGTACATTTTCTTCTTTCTTCCAATACCATGACATCGATTTAGAATTATTTCTCAACCTAACCTCAAGCGTTTCATTCCACTGCTTCTTGCGCCGGACACGCATCTCTTTCCTCCAGCTTTCGAAATTCGAACCATCGCCGAGCAACCTGTCTAACTTTCACACTTCTGCCAACCCAACCTCGCTCTCCACCGCCGAACGTCTTGGTGGTTATGTTCAGCATGGACAAATCATGGTTCCATGGTTTGGCGGTCGTGTGTTGTCCATCGAGCATGTCTTCATCCTCATGGGCAGCAACTTCGTATTCGTCTTCTGGTTGAATGCATTCAACCATGATGAGCTGTTGATCGAGATGATGTGCTACGTCTACAACAGAAGCAAAGGTTCGATTAAACCCCTGAGCCGAGTAGGACAAGGTATTTTCATGAAGCTTGACCGGGTTCATGATGATCAGAAGTGAACGAGGTTGATCGGGTGTGTCTCTGGACTTTTGACTGGTGATCTCTGATCGAGGACGATGCATAAGTGCCACAAGGTAGGCTCGCAGGTTGGCAAGATCCGGACAGAAAGTGATTTGAACGCCGCGTGAATTGTGTAGATTGCTCAAAGTTGGAGCAAGCAGGTTTAGAGCTGAGCTATGATCATCTCCTTGGTGTCTCTGAACTTCGTACAAGAGGTTTTGTAGAAAAGCATCACGGGTCGAACAGATGATCAAGTGTTTGTGTGGTGATGAGTGGCGCATGCAGAATTGAAGGACATGATGAACTTGGCAAGGCTCGAACGCAGTCGGTCTCGGTGATTGAGGCTTGTCGGATAGCATGTGAAAATGGACATGCAGACTAGAAGAATGATTCTAAGAGCATCAGTGCATTAAGTGGCAATTTGGTGCACGATAGAGGATTTAATCGAGATGAAGATGGACGTATGTAAATAGAGGTAAATGCATGACAGGGTCAGAGGAGATTCCAAGCGGCGGAAAGCACGAGGCTCGGCGATGACGCCGGAGGTTGAACATCCTCGTGCCCCGCCTGTTCCAAACATTCGAGCTTGAGCAGGCACGATTGCGCCTCGACCGATTACAGCAAAGATGGAGTCGATATCGCGTATCTCTGGCATGCTGGAGACAGGTAACACGCATGGCAATACAGTTCCGAGGTACCCAGTCTAACCAGTGGCAGCACGCGACCTCACGCTCGAGGCGGCTCGAGATGCAGGAGCCAGTCGACGGTCGATCAAGCAGATGCCTTCGGCCCAAATAAAGAAGTTGCTGGACAGCAGGAACGAACGAGATGTGCTCGAGGGCTTGCGCCGTGTCATTGAAGTCAGTTCTGATCAAGAGAGAGGAGTCCTGCTTGAGAGAGAAGCGTCAACTTACCCAGTCCACGACAGATGCAATACACGGCTCCTCTGTCGCAAACACTTCCCTTCTTCCCTTCGGTCCTCAAGACTCTCTCACACCCGACATCATCGACCCGACCGCTCGTATACTCGTACCTACTACACCATGCCGAGGCCGATCCGGATACTGCCCTGTTGTCTATCAACACGATTCAAAAGTCGCTCTCCGACACCAGCCCTCGTGTACGTGCCATGGCCCTCAAGACCATGTCTGGCGTTCGTATCCCTCTCATCAGCCAAATCGTCTCGCTCGCAATCAAGAAGGGTACTGCCGATATGAGTCCGATAGTTCGCAAGGCCGCTGCTTTCGCCTGCGTCAAGTGCGTCAAGCTGGACCCCTCAACTCTACCTCAGGTTACCGATTATCTGTCTACACTTCTTGGAGATAAGCAGTACTTCGTCGCTGGTGCTGCTGTCGCTGCTTTCAGCCAGGTCTGTCCCGAACGTTTGGACCTGATCCACCCGCATTACAGAAGCCTTGTCAAGAAGCTGGTCGACATGGACGAATGGGGGCAGATCTCTACCTTGCAGTTGATGACCGTCTATGCGCGAAAGTCTTTTCCAAGAAGGACTCGTCGTCTTCGCAAGGCCAACACTCAAGTTGAAAAACAGAAGGGCTTCTACGACGATGATGATGCCGACGAACAGGAGGTCGAGTACGAAGACGTCGAAGTCTTGGATCCCGATCTTGACCTCCTTCTTACCTCCGCATTACCACTCTTGCAGTCTCGCACCTCAGCCGTCGTAATCGCTGTTACGCGAGCCTACCTTTACCTGGCTCCTGCTCAATATCTACACCACGCCATTGGTCCCTTGACCGCTCTCCTCCGTGGTCCTCCTGACATCAACCAGATCGGCCTTCACAATATTGTCCAGATCTGTCTTCTTTACCCACAGCACTTTGTCCCACACTTCCGCCACTTCCTTCTTCGATCTGGTGAAGGTGAACAGACCTGGCGTCTCAAGCTTGAAGTTTTGACCCTTGTCTTTCCTCACTGTGCCACTGATGTACAAGGCCTCATCCTCACCGAACTCGAACACTTCTCACAAGGCCACGATCCTGCTCTCGTTCGTGAGTCAGTACGAGCAATTGGTCGTTGTGCTCACAATTCGGATGCTACTACCGGTTCTCGATGTCTGCGATTACTACTCCGTCAAATCCACAGTCCGGACCAACATCTTGTCGCCGAGGCCTTAGAAGTCATCCGACACATGATTCAACGCGATCCGCTTTCTCATACTAAGACTGTCATCCGTCTGGCGAAGAACCTCGATACACTGACTAGCCCTGCTGCACGCGCCAGTATCATCTGGCTAGTCGGTGAATTTGCTGGCTACTCTACAGACCAAAGCATTGCACCCGATGTTCTGCGTATCCTCGTACGTGGGTACCCTGACGAGCACGATCTTGTGAGACAACAAATCGTCTTGTTAGCAGCCAAGGTATATTTGCACTGGTTAAATGCCGAAAACGCGACGAAAAAGAAAGACGGCCCTCCCATTTTGGAACGCCAATCGAGCTCAACTGTTCTTGCGCCTGACGAGCATGAAGATGGTGCAGGCTTCAGAGACGAAGGATTTGAGAACGAAAACACTTCGAACTTCGACTCACAAGAAGACAAGTCTCACCCGATATCGCTACTATACCATCACACCCTGCTCTTAGCACGCTATACGCCCTCATACGATCTACGCGATCGTGCCCGCATGTTCCGTGCATTGCTAGCCGTTCCTTCAAGCACCGAGCTCGCATCGCTCCTTCTGCTCGCACCCAAGCCGGTACCTCAAGCACCGAGTCCAAGCGAGAGCCGTAAAGGCTATGTACTCGGCAGTGCCAGCTTGGTCATCGGAGAGGAGAGCGGTGTGGGCGGACTCAGCGGATACGAACCCTTGCCGGACTGGGTTCAGGAGGGTGAAGAACCTGACGCCAAACTCAGAAACGATGATACCGAAGCCAAGACCGAATATAGGGTTGGTGGATCGACCAACGCGCCCGCGAGTAGAATGCTGGATGATGCACTCAAGGGATCCGCGCCCGTCTCATACAAACCCAAGTCTGGTGCGCCGGCCAAAGAGAAGACCTTGGACGATTGGCTCGACGAAGAAGACGACGAGTCAGAAGAAGAGACTGACGAGTCCGAAGGTGAAGAGGAAGAGACCGATGAAGATGAAGAAGAGACAGATGACGAAGATGATGAAGAAGATTCATCAGAAGAGGAAGATGAAAGCGATAGCGATGACGGAAACGAAAAAAGGCGACTTGTTGGATAAGAGTCCCAAGCATAGAGATACCCATATATGCATACAATACTGCTGGCTACGGCCTCTTGACACATGGTTTACTTGAATGTTTCTAACTCTTGTTCGAAAACAACCTCGCGGGAAGCGCAAGGGACGATATTCAATCAAGTCATGATCGAAAGGCACGGTCGAGCAAAGTGAGAGAGAACGACCTTTTTTCATATTATAGAAAAGCATGGGCTAATGTGTAAGGAAGGAGCCTATCCTCAATCTACCAATCAGAAAGTGCAAAAAGAACCCTTGTAAACCGCGGTTGGCTGTACATTCGAAGAGGGTTTTGCGTCACGACTAATTAGCAGAACAGCTGGTAAGTTGGAGATGCAGCCAGGGGCTGTTTCAATCTAGACTCACCATTTCCCCCTTACCTCCTCCCTATTACTCTCAACAAAAGCCAACCCCTTATATTTGCGCGCGAATCGGCGCGGAATGTTATATTTCACCAACGGTCTGGGAATAAGATACAACCAAGGACGATCAAGATACGCTAGCCTGTGCGAGTAGTATACATTGCTATCGAGAGATGTTGGCAGTTTCCTTGTCCTTTTCTGCAGTAGTTTCCACCACATAGCTAGATGGAAGACTCTTTCAAGACGTCGTAGTGGTTGTGGAGTTGGCCTTGAAGTTAGAAATGAGCTTTCTGAAGATCTTCGTCGTCTTGCTTGATGATGTTGTGAGCTCATCGACCCAAAACCTCTTCAATGTACAGCCAACCGCAGTTTACATCACCAGACCACCTACCTTGTAACCATCAACAAAAGGACAGTAAAGGCTGGATACTTATTCGGTGAAGGAAGTGCGAGACAGATCGCATCAACGAGCATCACTACTGTGCCTACTGCTCTCCTCACGTGCAGTGTTGAGGGTTGAGAAGACTTTGTTCGTTCCCGGACTCTCCCTCTACAAGTCGTCTTTGTGTTTATGGTGGCATCTCTTTTATTCCTCCTGGTTGGATGCACACTTGCCCTTGTTCACCTTCTATCGTTCTCAAAACAGCATAGCTTTGTGCCATTGGCACGTTCGAGGGAAGTAGTGAGACGTTTTTCTGTAATGGTTGGATTGAAAATAAAGAATCTTGACGTGAAGGCCGCAACAGAAACTATCGAATCGGAAGTCATTCTTCCAAAGGAAAACAGGAAGAAGAAATTAAAAGCAGAAGAAATAAAGAGGGTGGAGAGAGAAGGGAAGGAATTGTTACCCGCGATCTGTCTCTTCTCCTGTTGTGAGACAGACCTGGCCTTTGTACGCCTGAACCTTGACCCGCCCGCCAATATCGAAGAAGAGTCTTGTATGCGGCGGCGTATACACACAAGCCTCGTATAGGTCATCTCCATAGAATAAAAGAGAAGCAACATGAGCCGTATACAACGAATAGAAGATGTAGAATAGAAAAAAGGGGGGCAAAAGAAGTGAACTTGTGCCTGATGTCGTTCAGACATAACCAAGCATGTTGGACGCTTACCGGCGATAGCGACTGCAAGGATTGTTAGTATCGCGTGAAGATATCGGAGTGTATCCGGAACATACCTGTAAACATCTTGTCTACTCCGTCGCATGCGATGTGCTCGGGGTGTATCATCGTCCTGTCTGCGGCGACCTTCTGCAGCGGCGACTTCCTCATAGGTGCGCTTCCTACCGCTGCCTGATTTCTCGGGAGCGACTGGCGCCTTGGCTTTGGGAGTTGCATCCAAATCGACCATTACGTCGTCGGGATGGAAGTCCGAGCCAACAGCGGTGTGCTGAGAAGTAGTCGACTTGGGACTCGCAGGATCGTGTGCACGCCAAGGATCGAAAGATGGTGATCTGCTTTCGCGAGGAGGAGGTGGAGGAGGGAATTGGGGACCATATGCGAAGCGTTGGCCTGCAGGCCCGAAGGCGCCAGGAGGGGTGATCTTTTTGCTGCCGTAGGTCAGATCGTAGAACGTTATACCTCCAGAAAACTGTACATACCGATTGGTCGGGGGAACTGGTAGCCCCAAAGCAGGAGGTGGGGTGGGATAGACCATCTTAGGCGATCCTTCGACACCAAGCGCGGCAAGAATATTCTCCTGGGCTGAATCCTTGGGAAGCGGAGCAGGCTTGGCCTTGGGTTGTTGTGATCCTTGTCGGCTGCGTTTCTCAGGGGATCGCGATCTCGAGTATCGAGCAGAAGCTCTAGATGACTGTCTGTCGTTCTTTCGAGGCGACTTGGGACCCAGGGCCTGCTCCAAGGTGTCGAGGATAGTAACCTGCTTCACAGGCGGAGCGGCATGAGCTACTGGACGGGGCAAAGGATGTGCGAGAGGCTGAATGACTGGCTGCAAGACAGGCTTCGCTGGTTCATCTTCGTCGTCACTCATGTCCATAGCTTGGTCTCCATCAGACTGATCTTCGTACGCTCCAGCGACAGCTTGCTGCATCAGCGCTTCAGGGTGCGAGACTAGCGCAGTGACATTATCCTGAGTGACCGGCTCAAGTTGGTCAGTGACAGGATCCGGTCGATCACGATTCGCAATGACAGTGCGGACAGGAACAGTCACAGCTGTCTTGCCAAACTCGACGAAGATCAGGTCATCCTTGACCTTTTCCCACTCATCTGTGTCTCGCACACTCAGTCTGATGTCGACGGACATGTCGTCGGGGAAGAATTCGGATGTGACACTGATGTGTGCATCTTCAGTCGCCTTCACTGACTCGGTCCACGTCGGTTCAACATCGTCGAAGACTGACGGCAATGGCTTGCTAGTCGGGATAGCGGGGTGCCATATGATAAGACCGAGGCTCAGCTCTGGCACGACCTCCTCAGCCGGAACGCCAGCTTCACCTTCAAAGTCGAAATCAAGGCCGAAGTCGAGACTGGACTGTCGAGTATGCGACGCGGCGTATCCGTCTTCGCTGATGGGTAGGGGATAGGCGGAAGCATCCATGTACGGCGTTGAATGGGCAGAAGGCGCAGCGACGTAAGCACCGTTCACATCGTAATATCCTGAGTGCTCCTGAGGGGGATATGCAGATGCAGGCACAGCGTACGGCTGTACGGGTGCTGCCACTGTATACGATTGTGCTGGTTGCGGAGGTTGATGAGGTTGATAAGGTGGCTGCTGGTAAGCTTGGCTCGGATCATACACGGGCTGAGTGGGATAAGTTGCTGCCGGAGGATAGCCTGTGGTGGGTGGAGCCTGATATCCTTGGTAACCCTGCTGAGGGTAAGCTGGCTGAGGAGCTTGGTGAGTAGGATAAGTCGGGGCTGTATATGGAGCCGCGGTATATGTCGGCTGTTGTTTGTAACCAGGAGGTGGAGGATAGCGTGTGATCACGGGATTGCCTTTTTGCTTTTTCAAAGGGGGACTGAAACAGAATCAGGACTGCGCAGAGACGAAAGGAGATGGAAATAAGCAGCAAAGATGATCTTACCCGTTTTGTGGAGGAGCAGCATAAGGTTGCTGGTATGGTTGGGCTCCATATGCCACTGGTGTTGGAGCAGGCTGATACGGAGGCTGAGCATAGCCGGCTACCGCAGGATAGTGAGGTTGTGCATAGCCGTTTTGATATGGCTGTTGCTGCTGGAAAGAAGCTTGAGCAGCGGGCGCATTATACATGGCGGGCAATGTTTGCTTGCTCTTGGCCAAGGGTCAAAAAGATTTGACGAACTGAGGAAAGAAGAGAAGACTTTTGAAAGCGGCCCACCAAAGATGAATCAGAAAGATGCCATAGGCGGATGAGAAAGGAGCGATCAGAAGGGACAGTAGAAGAAGAGTTGCAAGGGATATGAATCAACTTGTGCCAGTCGTTTGACGGGGAAGGAGAGACGAATCAACTCGGACGCACAGACGAAGACGGCAAGGTGCGGGACTTTGACAGAATTTGTGGAAGGAGCTGTTTGTTAGGAGGTGTTTGGATGAGACAGCTGCCAACAGAGTCTCGTCACCTACCCTCTACCTGGCTGTAGTTGATTGTCGTCGCAGCAGGAGGCAGCAAAGCAAGGTGCAAGGATTATTTACATGGTAAATTGCACGTCGGGCCAATCACAACGCTCAAGTCTGGCTACGTCACGTGAAAGCCGTTCACAAATTCAGATTTGGTGGGAGGTGGTGCGGCGTTCGGGGGAGATGGGCCAAGTGCAGCAGTTTGAGGCAGCATTTGGAAGACCGAATACGCTCGCCGCCGAGCTCTCGTCATGTCGTTGCGATAGACGCATCTTGCACGCTGTGTACCTATTCCTTTCGACCATGTGTAAAAGGGTCGATTCAACCAAGGCACCAATATCGCCTTTCCCGTCCCCCTAAGTTCTTCTGATCCGCACTCTTTCGCACCTGCCTGCTAGAGCATCCACCGCAAACATGCCCGGACTTCCCTGTAGGACGCCTATCGCTATAGCATTTCACCGAGCGGCAAGAGCTGACTTCTGCAAGCCAGCATCGATCTTGACGAATGCATCTCCAGACTCTACCAGAAGGAGCTGCTTGCCGAATCGGTCATCGAGGCAATATGCGCAAAGACAAAAGAGATGCTCATGAAGGAGAGCAACGTCGTGCACATCCAGGCTCCAGTAACCGTCGTCGGCGACATCCACGGCCAGTTCTTTGACCTCCTCGAGATATTCAAGATCAGTGGGCCATGTCCAGACACGAACTACCTCTTCCTCGGTATGTCTTGCGCACGCGACCGCCTGCCCACACCTCTCTGACCAAGCATAGGCGACTACGTTGATCGCGGCCTCTTTAGTGTAGAGACCATCTCGCTTCTGGTCTGTCTCAAACTTCGCTATCCCCATCGCGTTCATCTCATCCGCGGCAACCACGAGTCCCGAGGAGTCACTCAGTCCTACGGCTTCTATACCGAATGTAGTCGCAAGTACGGCAACGCCGCCGTCTGGCATCACTTCACCGACATGTTCGACTACCTCTCCCTCTCCTGCGTCATCGACGACAAGATCTTCTGCGTCCACGGCGGTCTGTCGCCGAGCATCCATAGTATCGATCAGATCAAGATCATCGACCGCTTCAGAGAAATCCCACACGAAGGTCCTATGGCCGACTTGGTCTGGAGCGATCCGGACGCCGACCGCGACGAGTTTTCGCTGAGTCCAAGAGGAGCTGGTTACACCTTTGGCGCACAGGTCGTCAAGAAATTCCTCGAGGTCAACTCCATGACACACATTCTCCGCGCACACCAGCTCTGTAACGAAGGGTACATGGTCATGTTCGACGACAGACTGTCAACCGTCTGGAGTGCTCCCAACTACTGCTACCGATGCGGAAATAAGGCTAGTGTCCTCGAGGTCAGCCCGACTGGAGAGAGAAAATGGAATGTCTTCGACGCCGCTCCGGAGAACGAAGTCCATCGCATCGAGCAACAGAACCAACACAACAATCCCGGCTCAGATCCGGTCAGAGACTATTTCCTGTAGAAAGAGCCACCCTTTGCTTCAGCTGTATTGCGTTATGGGTCGATAGAGGCAGCATCTCTGGAGTTTACAAATGATACCAAGGCGGCGCGATATGATATTAGGTTTGCTTCTGTACGATACCATTATTGCAACTTTCTTATTCCTTTGCTTGGTTACCTGGTCAAACCAATTTAATATGCCGTTATTCACGAACGTAAGTTTAGCGCCTAATCACACATTCAAACATCGAAGGCACAATTGGCTTCTTAAGTGGCATTGTCGAGATGACAATATCCAGGCTAAACACAGCTATGGCATAAAGCAGTAAAAAGAGTGGCAGAGGTCAGAGCGCAGTTATCAAAAAAAAAACAAAAAGGAGCGACAAGGGTGGGAACGGAAGGAGCAAAGCACAACAAATCAAAAACGCACATCACAATCTGTCTTCAAACGACAGAAATGCTGGCAATTGTGTCCTTCTCACCTCCCAGCTTCAAGGAAACAGAAACCGGACGAACAGTGGACGAGGCATTAGAGACCAGACTGTCCACCTTCTCCAGGCTCAACGAAGACTGATTCTTGCTAGCCCGAGGTTCACGAACCATGATCTCGAGATCCACGACCTTCTCAGCTCGCTTGAGATGGATGGATTTGATGATCTCGAAACCATACTTGCGGTAGATGGCTGGATTGGCAGCATTGCTGCTCTCGAGATAACAAGCTCTACCCTCGGCATCCGCACTGTTGGTCACGTACTCGATACACTTGCGCGCATAGCCTTTGCCACGGGCTGCAGGCTTGGTGCCGATGTACACGAGGTAGTAGGACTCGTCATCGCGAGCGCCCATGACCTCGAGCTTGGTGTCGTGCAGCAGAGGGAAGAACTCGTCGAAGAAACGAGTCTTGCCTTCGGCTGAGAGCTTGTACCACAATCTCCACATGCCACTACGCAGGATGGTCAAGTAATCATCCATGTTCTGGCCCGGAAGCATCCTGTGTCGCTGTCAGCCATCCTTACAACATGATATCACCATCAACACAGAACTTACCACAAAGCAACACAACCGTAGTCGGATCCTGCGGCCAACACCAGGCCCTTCAAGATGTGAGCATAGGTCATGTACTCAAGAATGCTCACATGCAGGTCCCACTTCTGCTTCTCGGTCCAATGAGCACGATCAGGGACTTCAGTGAAGTAGCGAGCGACATCATCGTCGGCGAAGGCCTCGGCCAAGCACTGAGCAGCCTGCTTGTACTCAGCCAGAGTCACCCGACGGACCCCATCCCCTCCAGCAACAGCAGCAGTAGCAGCAGCAGCGGTGATCTTGTCACTGTTGACAGCGACATAATTTTTCTGGTGGCCACCACTGTGTCCATTCATGGTTGGCTTATTGCCATTGAGGGCGTAGGTTGTCTTTTGATGTTTGACGCCCTCCATGATGGATTATTGGGTTTGTTGGTACTGCTGCTGTGATTACTGAGGGGGATGAAGGTCCTGCCGGTGTTCTTGTTGATGGCAACGAAAAACGACATCAATATCTGGGCTGTAGCCGATGTGCCTTGCAAGGCTCGAAGGAAAGCTGAGATGCTTTGTTGTATGAAAGAGGTGATCGAGTCGGAAGGTGTTTGGTAGCAGCAAGTGGTTCGAGTTCGTGTATAGTATCGAGAGAAACGAAGACTGATGTTTGGGAGAGGGGAGAGGAAGTCAAGGCAGGCCCGGAAGCCGAGTGCCGTTATATACACCTGCTCCTCGCCTCGCCCTTCATGCACAGATAGAGCAACCCAGATACGACCATAGTTAGCTAGCCCCCCACGTTTCCTCACTCCTGCGGAGATGCCCGCGCTATCACGAGGAGCTTTTAGCTTCAACATCGCTCATCCCGGACGTCTCACCTCCCGAACTGTAAGACGCATGCATGCCTCTCTCCGGTGTCTGCAGAACCCCCTCTTCCTTTTCTGCATTCCAGACTCTTTCCCTTGGTACCACCAATGCAATCCTACGATACAACATACATACTCCGTACAAAGATAGCAAAAGCCGAGCCCAAAAAGCCCCCCCGCTTCCTGCGAAGAAGCAAACGTCTGGTCGCACCTGCCCACATGATGAACACACACGCCTGGAAGCAAGATTGCGGAGAGCAGGGCCTCCCCCGCGTGAACATGCCCGATTGGGCGTAGCACAGCAAGCCACTCTGAACCCTGTTCGAGGGCCACCTGAATCCTTCGGGTAGATCACCTTGCTTTCTTATTTGGCATCACCGCCGTATCTTTTGCTTCATCTTTTACGTCCGCAGTGACCGTCCAAAAGGCGGTGCTTCCTTTATCAGTGGAAGACGCGTATTGCGACGTGTCAGATGCTAGATTCGGGCCTTTGTCTTCTTGGTCGGTGATTTGATGTGTTGGCAGGGCATGACGACTCGGGCAAGATAGCAATCTTGAAACGCTAACGCGTTTGCCTATTTCCTGCTCCAAAGCAGTGATTGCGATTTGTATGCCTGCAGAGCGAAGGTCATGGTGCTTCATAGACATCCGAACTTCCACACATGTGTCCCCGTAGTTCGATAGAATGCCGTATTTCCAACAACGTCCCCCTCCTCCTCGATTCAAGCATGGCGTAGAAACGGTGCCTTTGACCAAGCCTATCCAAACAAATGTCCGTCCAAATGCCTCGAAGCATTGGGATGCAAGCCACTGGGCACTATTCGTCTTCGAGGACATACCCGTAGAGGTAAGGACTAGCATCTAAATCACACAGAAGCGACCACTGTTTATCAAACGTCTAACCGAAACAAAACTCCAGACTATCAACAAAGCCATCCATGCCATCTGCCCTGATCCGCAAGACGACGACCTCAATTACTGGCTCGCCGACCACACTCACAACGTCGCTGAAGCCTCATCCCTTGTCCTCCCTCCTACTTGGACCCCCCCATTTCTGGGCCAATCCATCGAACAGGCCTTTGCCTTTCTCGCCGACATTCCAGAAGACATCACACTCAATAGAGAATACATCGCCGTCCTAGACAAACACTTTTTGGAGGGAAACGGTTGGGTGCTGATCTATCATCTTGATGGAGAAGGAGTCATCACTTGTGTTCCTTGTGTTCTTGAACTGTGTAACATGCTCCCTGGAAACGTGAATTTTCACGAAGGCACGTGGAAGACGGATTTGGAGGATTGGAAAGATCGAGGTAATGTCATGTTCGGTGGTGAACGGATGGAGAAATCGAGAGTATTGGGTAGACAGACACTGGAAGAGACGACGAGCTAGCAAAAGAGCTTGGTTTGCTTTCTATTCGTGCTATGCTGGACTGAGTATACAGTATGGTCATCTGTGATGGCTTCTATTCCATATCTTGCTAGCAATCTCATATCTTGTCGTCATGTCCTAGCGCGCACGGCACAAGGATTTTTGGAATTCCTCTCGAGCTCAATAGCCCGGTTCTATCCGATTCGTTAGCGAGTCTTGACTTGTAAGTAGGAAGCTTTGGAGCACACACCATCGTTCCAGTACAGCGTATCTGCTTGCACTTCCGGCCCAGTAGCTCCGAATACCCAGCCAAACTTCAGCTTGATGTATTGCATCAGATGGCTTGCCAACTTGATATGTCCAACATCCGTAGGATGATATTGTGGTCCCTGTAACTTCAATCAGTACCAGTCATCTACCATCTCTCCCACGCCAGACTTACAATATCGTTGTGTTGCAAAATACCAGTAGTGTTGAAGTAATGCACGAAACCGGCGTGTTGGTAGTGAGCGTACACCTGTTGAATCTCCTCTATGAAGGCACCACCTTGCTCCCAAGTATTTCCAACCTGACCAAATCCGTTCCAAAGAGCGATGAGGATGATCTGAGCTCGTGGGTACTTCTGATGCACCTGACCGACAAAATCGATATAGCTGCTAAGATACTTCTCGTTCGTGACGTTGTTGTGCGTGTTGTTATCGTTGGTGCCGAGGTTGATGACCACAATATCGGATTGTTGATGATGTCTAAAGTCCCAAAGTGGTGGGTTGTCGCCATAGATGACTTCTGAGCGGTAGGAAGTATCGGAAGCTCTGTACCATTGGTATGTTTGACCATGAGCATTTCCCCAGCAGTTTTGGTCCACCAGACAGATACCAGGATAGGCGGTGATGTCGAATTCGACATTTCCGAGACCCTCGGCTAAACCCCAGGCGTAGCTCGAAATGCCTTCGTAGGTTCCGTATTGACCTGCTGATAGACTGTCGCCGATGATCTCGATTTTCTTGGAATAGTTCGGAATCTTGATGAGTTTTGCACCTTTGCTGAGATGGACACCAGCTATCTGGACACCATAGGCATAATTGGTGACACGAAGCTCGAATGTCTGCGGCTTTTGCGATTGAGTTGTAAGATTGAAGCCTACAGTCGATGCGTCGATAAGCTGGTGGGTCGAGTTTGCAGTGACGTTTGTGAACAACCAGTCTTGACCAGCGAATCTGTATGCAATGAGCACGGCTTGAGAAGTGTATTGACCAAAGCTTATAGCAACTTTGTCGCCGGTGAAGCCGAATTTGAGACCAGGAGCTGACCACCAAGATATATGCTTCTCGTCCCAACGACCTTTGTATGAGATCTGGGAAGCGTTGGGAGAGAAAGACGTCCAGTTGGAGTTGCTGGTCACAGATGCAATGCTTGTGTCAGGAAAGACTATGTCTCGAACTTGTCCATTTTGCAGGATGGTTGCAGAGGCGAGAAGCGGTGCGAGTGCATACGCTATCAGATTGGAAAGACGCATCTTGACGATTAATACGAACAAAGTGAAGATACTCAGTAGAACAGCGAATGGGGAAGGTTATAAAGTTCCATCCACTACTACCTATACCAGCGATGGAGCGGGGTCCAAAGTATGCCTACCGTCTTCGGCACGATGTCATCGTATCGGTTGTCCTCCTTGGAAAAAGTCGAGCGGGGAAGGCAGATCATTAGGGCCTGGTATAGACCTTGCTCGAGCACGACGATGGTTTGTTACAAAAAGGTGACGGAGGTTCTATCTCCGTTGGCGATCACTGGTGGAATTCGCTGAACTTGCATGCATATTGCTCCGCAAATGTTTAGCCTGTAGCTCATAGCGGAGATGTAAAAGTGTGTTGTTCTTGCATGATCATCAGAATACGGCCAGTGTTTACGAAGAGTTGCAGCTGGGTTTGATGGTCGTGGTAAAGTGCAGGACTCAGGAAGTTGGGCCAAATCATGACGCATTCGCTAAATGAGGTGGCTGGGGTCTTGACATGATCGCTTTCGATGTCGCAAACTTCGTCCAGGTCAATTGGCGCTTGAAACCTGAAATCAAGCCCAGAAGAGTGCAATTACCACTGTAATCATCATGAGTGAGACGATTGAGAAGAAGATTAGATGTTTGTCTAAAATCTAGAACAGATACTGCAACTCTGCCTCGGTCATTCAGCGCCCCAGCTTCCCCTCCCCACCTTCTTCATCACAACCTCCGGCCTTCCAACCATCGTTCTTGCCTCACATCAATCATATCTGGAACAAGAAAGCCTTTTCACAATCAATGCAGAGCATGTTTAAACAGATACGACACCCATCCGAAGCTTCTCGGTCATGTGTGGCAATGTCCTCAAAACCGGGAAGCATCAGAGAAAATGAGAGCTCTGGGCATAGGAAGAAGCGGTTGTCAAGCAAGAGGAAAGTGTGACCATCAAGCAGGAACAACATGACTAACGAATCAATTTCACTCCTTATTTTTATTACATACGCTCATCTCATCGGATTACTCGAATGACCTCGTTCCAAATGATTGATTGAAACATTGATATACATTCTAGACTAGACACGTCAAAATGGATACAATTTGTACGTCTGTTTTTTCCTTCTCACCTCCAAAACAAAAACACCGAAATAATCCAACCGGTGGAGGCTAATAAATGTGATAGTAGAAAGAAGATGATATATAGAGTAAAATGCAAATAAACATGCACAGAGGTATACCGAGCGTCGGCCAAAAAAAAAGCAGCATTAAATCCCATTGATAGAAATGACGTTGACAAAAGAAAGAGACTGACAAGATTCTAGAATTAGAACATGTTGTCGGGCTGATATACTCCTGCCGATAAAAGGGTTTCAGTCGGAATGTTAGCTCTCACTTCGCGAGGGTGAGGATAACCGTTGATCGATTCACCGCCATTTTTGTATTGCTCCGTAGGCATACCAGGAGCTGGAGGTGGTGGCGGAGGCGGCGGATGCATTGCGTTCTGCAATGAGAGCGAGGCGTCAGAAGCTGCGGCACTGACTGCGATAGAAGAAGTCTCGTAGGGAGATCTGGTGCGAGTCAAAATGTTCTCAGGCTGTGACTGCTGTCTGGAAAACATATTCGGCAGCACAGTCTCATACGGCGATGGCGCGTATGCATCTATCGGTGGTGACTTTGTACGGTTCTTACTGTTGTTACGCATACGCTCCGTCACACTGCGGAAACGTGAGTTGATACCCTCACTGATGCTTCCACGACCACGTCTCTGAGCCTGCGCTTGCATCTGAGCTTGAGCTTGTGCTTGAGCCTGAGCAAAATTGTTCAGTGGGGGAGCTGTCAATGCGCCAGCTCGGTCGATGGTCGGAAGTACGTCAATGACCATGGGTTCTTCTTCTCCTATGGCTATGTTGATAACGCCCAGACCACTGCCACGATTAGCCATCAGTGGCGGTGGAGGTGGGGGCGGGGGTCCAGCAAGATGTTGAAGCTCTGGCAGCATCAACTCTGATTCCTCAACAATAATAATTTGAGCGTCGTGCAAAGTCTGGTCGATACTGGGTCTATTCGATGAAGGACTCTGTTGAGGTTGCAGGTCGTTCTCCGTAGGCGTTAGCTTACGGCTGTGTCCTCCCTTGTTAACTGATCCTCGTCGGGCGGAATGCGGCAGCACAGTCTTGTAGTGCCAAGGTGTGCCATCCATGTTCATCTCAGGAGGTGCCGAGGAAGAACGAGGAATAGCCTGTGAAGTCACTTGTCCGAACACTGTTGAGGGTAGAAGAGGTGCGATGTCATCTTCTGGAGACCTCGGAGACGGCGAATCTTGATGGAAGGTGGCAGATGACAACTGGGGAGGAGTCTCAGGGACCTGAGGAATGGCAGGTACGTCTTCGCGATCGCTTGAATCGGCAGACATGTAACGTGGATGCCTCATAGCCCGTGGAGTGGCTGGCAGTCCGATTGGCGCCGTAGGTGTTGATGTGCCTGTGTTTCTAGTCGGCGGAAAGCGGCCCTTTGACTCCGGATCGGCCGTATGACTACGTGTAATCTGATTGCCAGAGTATGGAGGCATGAATGAGCTAGGAGCATCTCCAAGCTCCGTATGGTGCCTCGGGGGCATGAACGGTCTTCTTGGAGGTGTCTTGAAATCGCTAGGCAAAGGTATCGCGGGTGCGGATGGACGTCTGGCCAAAGATGCACGTCTCTCCTCAAGTTCTCGAGCGGCCAGCTGCTTCTTTGTCAAAGTCCGGAGATCCCTAGGTCTTGCAATACCCTCCTCTGGCGTTTCGGAAGCAGAACTGTCTTCGTCGAGACTTTTTCTGGGATAGTCGAGAGCTTGTACTCCGGTATGATCACTAACAGATGCTGCTCTGCTTTTCTTGACATTTAGTTTTTGCCGAGACTCGCTCCTTCCGGCATTTGAGTCGCCGGAGATTTCATGTGGAATGGAAGGCAAATGGACGGGCGGTCTCGCCGGCGTACGCGACTCGCTTCTTTCACGAACATTGGCTGGTAGTCGTTGATCAACCTGACTGGGCTCTCTTACTCTGTTTGGGACTTGACTGTTCGCTCTCGACGTACGTCCCGCGTTCGATACTCTCCTCTGCGGTGTAGACTCTCGGTAATAAGACTCATCTGCAGTGGCGGCTGCGGCCATAGCTCTACTTGCCATGACTTCGTCAGGAGACATCGGGATTGGTGAGGATGGTGATCTTCTCGGTGGATTAATGTACCGCTTTGCTGGCCGTCCACGGAAATCCACCGCGTTACTAGAGGGTTCGTCTTGGTTTTGATGAGGGGCCACGAACGGATCCGACTGACGGCTTTGATTGGCAGATTCCAAGAATGCCTGTGGAGCAAGATACGTCGTGTCGTAGACCTTCACTTGTAGATCGCTGTTGGCTCTCTCCCGTGAGCCGTTCCTAGTTCGCGATTCGCTCTTCAATCGTGAAAACACGTCACTACTTGGAGACGGTAGACGATTTGAGCTCGAAGTTTGTTTCTTTGCTTGCTCAAGGCTCTGACTCGAATTGGCCGAAACAACGGATGAAGGATTACGACTGTGTCCAAGCTTTCTTTGGTCCAGAGTTCCGGCTATATGTGCAGAATCAGAAACCTCTCTCCGAGCGGTCAAAGGGGTTTGAGAGGTGTCGCGAGTACGGGACACCCCACTTCTAGAAGGCAGTTGTCTTCTAGCGTATCCACCCGGAGTCGCTGTTCTTGCAGAGGATGGATCTCTATCGAACTTGTGACTTGGACGGAGCCAAGGAGCTACACCACCGGGCGAGATTGCAGATTCAGCTATTGGTGTGACGCCAACACCGAGCATACCGGCCAATGGCGTTCTCTGGTCGGCGGAGGGTAACAGAAGAGGAACCCCTTTGTCGCCGAAAGTTGTGATCAACTTCAGCGATCCGTTCCTCGTAAGCTTTCGATTCGAGCCAACAGCAAAAGGAGGAGAAAGCGGAGGACTTAGTGGGGAAGGGCCAATGCCTTGTTCTCTTTGACTCGAGAATACTGCATCTTGGGCTCGAGGAGATGACCAGGAGTCAGAAGTCTCGATGCTGATGCATGAGAAGCATCGAACAGCGAGTTCAGGTCGGCCTTGCATTACCAAAGCCTCACCCCACTTGCGAACGAGATATGATTGCCTTTGCCAATCTGATGGCATGGTTAGACATGTCAGAAGGACTGCTTCCATATGGTAGCCACGAGAGACATAGACCTCAATAGCATCATCGTGTTCACCAAATCCTAGAAGAACTGCGACGGCAGGGTGAATGTCACCTTTTGCCAGAAGCCGTTGGACAAAGGCTTGACCAACTTGTTTTCCGGAAGAGGGCCCCATGGAGCTCAGAGCAAGAAGCATCCAATCAGAAGAAGTCATGTTTTCAGATCCGACCATAGCGGCCATAGTATCTGCACCAAATTCTCCAAGCCATTTGGAAAGAAGTACACCACTCGCAGATCCAGGTCTTTGTCTCATGACTGCTGTTGTTAGCCAAAACACTAGAAAGCATGGATGCAGAAGTGGCAAAACTCACATTCATCCCTAACCAAAGACTCGATATCATCGTTCCAGCCAAACACTACGCTCAGCATCTCCTGTCGCAGAACATCAGATGTACGGGCGACTTGCCCATAGTGGGGAGTTCTGAAAGGTACATCTCGGAGTCGTGCTCGAGTATGAGGAAAGAGATCCATTTGCGACGTTTGTTGAGCCTCATCCGGACTTCTCAGGATTTCTTTGCGTAGACCTGAAGAGCGGAATGAAGAAGTAGATCGAATTGAGACACTCTCTCGAGGCTTGATTGATGGCAACCCGAACGAGAATTCGGTTCCTTCGTTGTGAGAGACGTTGGAAGCCCGCGAAGAGGGCGCTTTGTCGTAGCGATATGACGGCACCCTCCGTCCTCCATCGGAAGACCTAGAGCTTACCGACGATGTCTTACTAGAAGTTGGACTGAGCGCTCCAAGGCGGTCTTGCTTTTCTTCTTCGAGCTGATCCATCTCTTTCGCAATCTTCTCAAGAGGTGACATTGTACCAAGCTCACCTTCGCTCAGATCCGCATCCATAAAGGCAAAAGGTGCCGAAGCAGCATTCGCCGCAGCCTGACGTCTAGCTGTTTCCTCCTTTTTCTGTTCTTCGATGGAATTTGGTGGAGATGGCGGTAGCGGTCCTGGGGCGTGTTGAATGCTGGCGACCTGTATAGGAGTTTCACTAGGGTTCACATCGTACTGTTGAACAGTGTGATTTGGTCCTAGCGTGAAAAGCGTCGAGGACGGTCCATAGCATGCGACACCTAAAATGTTGTCGACAGTCGGAACAGACTGGAAACTCACGTTCTTGGTCCGAACGTCCCAGGAGCGCGTCTCTCTAAAAACTAATTATCAGCAGAGATTGGCATATCGGAAAGGGGAATGGTCTTGCCCATCTGCGTGCTGAATGATCCGACCGTTCTTCGACCACGTAAACCAGCAAGGCCCAACACCTCTATTTTCGAGCCTACTGAGAATTCGGATGATGTTTGGAGTCTCTCCAATGACAGCTGTCTTTGGTATGCTCCATACTCTGAGATCGCCATCTGCTGTTTGAGTGGCAAGCATGTCGGACTTTTGACGCGAGGAGGAACCATGCCAGGAAAGCCCGGCAATTCGGGAAGGAGCTTTCGACGTCGTCAGACTATGCACGATTGTGAAAAGCGGTTGCAATGTTGCTATTAGAATGGAGCCGTTTAGGAAGCTGCGACTGTTAGCAAGAGTGACACATCTGACTCTGGAGCAATACTGTACCCAATTGCAAAGGTCCGTGAATCGGCTGCCGGGGCTATCGCTGTAATTGGATCATAGATTGTGCGAGCTGATATGTGCTCAGATGTCGAGGGCTCAAACAAGATTACGTTGCCTTGCGCGTTCCCTGGAGCTCGTCAGAACAACCTCATGACCAAGGAGTGCATTTCTTACCAAAAGCAATGTTTCCATTCTTCATCCATGCTGCCACCCGGATGTGTTCGTACGCTGCAAAGCGGGCGATTTCGTCGCCTGTTGAAATGTCCCAGACTATTGCCGTGTGTCCCGTATCGTAGCTGACTGCTAAACGCCCTGCACCTCTTTCGCTGACAGTGTCTGCGTGTATCCAAAGTACATCTTCCTGGTGTCGGTCAAATCTTCGCTCTATCGCCAATGTATCGTGGTGCAGGCAGAGAATGATGTTTCTTTGTGCATATAGGAAGAATGAGGCAGTCGCTGCACAAGGTTGGAATTCGACATCGGGGTCAGGTGTGAATGACGATTGAGGAGGATTAGGCTTGGTGGTCGCTTGCCTTCTAACCGCAGAGTGCGACCTTTGACCGGAGGGCCGACCGGTCGACATTGCTGAACAAGATCTAGAAGAATCAGGATAAAGGTCTCGTAGAATTGACCTCGAGGGAGCGAATCAAGCGGTCATGAATTGGGCCAGGTCTTTTTGGCAGTAGATGGCCGAGTACCAGAATAGCAATCGGAAAACAAGGTGTGGGATGCTGTATATTTCTGCTGTAACGTTGCGCGAGATCGACGTACCGAAAACTTGTGCCAAGTGGATGCAGTCACACCGCGTGGAACGATGAACAGGCAGAAATGTCCTCAAGCGGAGGTTTGTGCTACGGCGAAAGTTGTCCGCGTCAAGGGCCGACCAGGATGGCCTGCAGTTCGGGCATGCAAGCAACCACTCTTGAGATCCGAAACCTGCAAAAAATCGTGTTCTTCGTGCCAAACTTGGAACAAATTGAAAGTGAGAAAAAGGGAGAAAGAGAGAAGGAAACAAGACAACAGAGGCGTGCTCATGTTAGAAGACAGCAAATCAGACGCGGGCGCGTATACCAAAAGCCATGCGTTTTCGGCTGGCGCAATATGTGCCTCTGGTGATGAGCCACCTGTTCGGGAAGCGATCGGGGTGCAGAGCGCCTAGACATTATTGACGGCTTGGGTAGGGGACCTATCGATTTGCAAAGGAGATACAATACTGTGCTTGTTGGCCAGCGAGTACAGGCGAGCGAACTAGAGCTTCGAGGGAGGACAATCCCCTGCGCACACGGCTGGCCGTCATTGCTATTACTGGGCAGGGAGTTCACGCACGAACGAGTCGAGGCATGGGGAACAGGATGCAGAGAGAAGAAGAGAAGGTTGGGTCGAGTGATTGGCCCAAGAAGCCCCCGCTAGAACGTGCCCAACACGCACCTCGACCTTCAAGCTTGTGCATCCTGCTTGATCCAAGCAAGATATATCGATAATTGGGCCAAAATTTCCCATCGTCATACTTTCAAGCGAGTTGCTATCAAATAGGGAGGTCGGAACCGTCTCAACGGTATTCATGGTTCGACGACCTTCACGTCCCTTGCGTTGTCGCTGCAGCATCCAAAGGTCACGTTTTCTCAGTCGTACTAGACCATGCGACAGGGCGTCACGAGCGCGTTCACTCACCGCAGTCCAACATGTGATGAATGGACGTTGCCGGGTCCGGTGTTCCTTGTCATTTGCTTCTGCGGTTGTAGAACCGAAGGAGGACGCATGCGACCAAATCTTACAGAGTGCCTGCATACAGCTTGGAGGGACGTGGAAATGAAGAATTTCGTTTTGTCCCGAGTCATGCCACGCATACCGCTTCAAAGATGGGGGATAAATTGGCTGGGAAGTCAAGCTGATCAACTGCCCAGGATAGGCATTCCGACAGGAGGTGGAAGTGACTCTAGGCAAGTGGCAGACGATAGAGAGGTTGGGAGCAAATGGGATTCGCGCCGTAAGCGCCCCGCTTCATAGATTGCATATGACTGCATATGACTGCGCAACAATTCCGCTACCCTTCTGCCTATCGCAGAAGGGTCTTCTTTGATAAACAAGCTGTCGTCCTCTGCAGGGTCTTCCTGCCAGAAGGCTATCTAGATACAGTAAAGGAAAAAAGGGGATATCTCAAAATTGGCTTTGTCTCGCCAAGGGGTATCAAATGAGAAGGTAAAGAAAAAGCTTTCCATCGCGTAGGACTTCGCAATGCTCCGACCATGCAGGATGCAGCAAACTCCAAAAGGATCAACAGGCAAAGAAAATGGGGTTGGGAAAAAATGATGCAAAGCGAATGCAGAGTGTCCGTGGCACTCTGTTTGGGCCTTGACTCTCAGCTGCGACACGTCTCGACGTGTCGCCAGCACATGAAAGGCCCGGTCGGATGGTCCAGCCAAATGTCTGATGGACGGGCTTAAACGAGTGGACAGCCAGAAGAAATGATGAATATCTTTGGCCAGAAAGAGGTGATTGAAGCCGGAGATGATCCAGGCTTCAGATTGAAGGGTAGATTCGTGATGTCTTGATGGGTATTAGAATCATGAGATGATGCTTATTTCTTCATCATCATGATGGGCTTGCTAGGCACATAGCCGTTACTGAAGCCGAAGCTGTCGTAGCTACCACAGCTGCTGTCGAGGGTGACAAGGCTGGCGTTTGCAGCCATAGGCATGCCACGCTTGGAAGTCATCCATTGCTCAGCGGTCCTGGGTGGCTCAGGTGCCTCGTCGAGGTAGTGAACGTCGTCGTCGCCGAAGAGGTCCTCGTCACTGATGTAGGAGCTGGGAGGGCCTTGGGGGAGTTGAGGGCGGGCAAGCTTCCAGGAGGGGTATGCGGCAGGTCCGTTGGGAGAAGGGCTGCCGGAGAGGAGCGAAGCATCGCTGGTGTTGCGGGGCCTGGTCATGGTAGACGACATGGAAGAGAAACCAATCTGGATTGGCTGGGTAGGGTTCGAAGAACAACTAGGAGTTGTGGATCGGGCGGAAGAGGTAGTAGAGGTCGACATTGTGCAGTGCAGGGCAGCCAGCTTTATACATGTAGAGACGAATTTGAGAGGAGGTGTGGATTGAGGTTGAGAGGAGAGGTGAGAGGCGGCTGCTAAGCGACTGCTATACCGTGATCCAGACGGTATGCGAGGAAGGTGTCAAGTTGTTTGGCGTTGTTCCAGAAACTAGGTGGGGGGTGCTCTGGCCTTCTTGTAGTTCTGAGGGTATCACCCAGTAGATTAACGTTGATAGTTAAGGTACCCGGCAAACAAACAGCTACGTGTTGGCTGAAATCTCCGCACTGTCAAAGAGCGCTAGGAAGGCGCTGCGACCGCCAGATATATTTTGGACCCATCGTCCCGAGATGCTGGTGGGCCTTCCTCGGTCGTCAAGAGTCATAGACGGCCCAGCGGTGTGAGCATCGAATAAGCTACGGTCAGCACGATTAGCCGCTTATGGCCGGTAGACTTGGCGAGCTTGATCCACTTGCGGTTAGTCAACCAGTTCGGCTATGAGTTCGGCTTGCCTATTTCCACAACAAGGCAAAACGCGGCGAGCAGAATCGAGATTTTACGTGAAAATAGGGCCCGGCTTTTACTGCGCCGCCGCTGGGAAAAGGGTCCAGTAGGTTTCGGAAGGGCGGTTTTAGGTCGCGATCTTTTGCTGCATGAAACTTCACATGTGAACGAAGTCTCGAGGAGCTGCTTGTTGTGTTTCTGACTCGCGTTTCAAGCTGGTTGCTACCCTTGTGCCCCTGTAACATGCTCTTCTTGATACGACGCCTAACGTGCAATCTCCTGTTGGGCGATATCAGACAATGGTGGAGTACAGGGCTGGTTGTCGTGCTCTTACAGCCGGCTGGGCGGCATCATCTCCTTCGGAAGATGCAGGGAAATGGCATTGCTTGAGAGGTTGGGATCAACGGGTCAAGTCGGCCAAGCTCCACCTTACTCGTGACGGAGCCTTGTCGGACCAAGACAAATCCGAGGGCATGTCAAGACTTCACATGAAAATGACGACTGTCGTCATAGGGTCCACGCCCTGGTGGATACTCTCCGCAAAATTTGCTGCTTCAAATATCATCAAATGCCATCATGCCGTGGGATCCCAGACACCATCTATTGAGCCTAACACGGGCTGCGGGCCGTGAAAAGCTATCACAACGCAGATTGACGACATTTCTTGATGGTAAACCACGTGAATGCTGGGAGATCAGCATACCAGCACGTTGTTGAGAGAAGTATATTATATCCAGCAGCCACCGGTTGCATTGCGCCAAGTCCTTGATTTGGAGGAAGAGATGACGGTGCGGTAATAGCTCGTGTTCTGCGCGCTTGTATGTACGAGATAGGGAGGTGCACTTGTGTATGCGTTGCAGGCGTTGGAGCAGCGATAGGCCAACTGATAGAAGGCAACCACCAGGCAGTTCGCGCAAGCAAAAGATGTTGAGCACATCAAATGTAACTCTGCACATCTTGAGAAGTCGGACCCATGCCGGAGCTCGGACTAGGAAGTCTAGTAAGATTTAGAGCTTGGCGAATTGTTTGAGGCGAGGTGCTCGAAGAAGGTCGACTCGAGGAGGATGCTCGTATGCTCGTGTCGTGATCCATAACTGGCAACAGCATGATGATTTTAGAAATGATACGGAGTGTGGTGCTTGGCGAGATCTAAGACTTAGATTGCCAACAGTCGGTATGATTGAATTTCAGCACTTGGTTGCCCCATGACCACCAACCACCCACGAGATATCTCGCAAAACACTCGAGGATGCGTTGTTTTGTTGATGTTGACGTTGCGTTGATCGCGAAGCGACTGAACAGGGCTTCCAAGCAAGGCTTGCGAGAATGCAGATCAGGAACTCCGATAATCACTCTCCGCTCAACCTTGGAGCTGTCGGTTAAACTGACGTGTTGATCACTTCTCCTTGGGTCACGTTTGCGCCCGACAAGGAGAATTTCGTACGGTTTCCTCCAAAGAGCGTTCAGAGACGAGACAGGCTCACCTTCGGATGTTGTTTTGATCCACAACCATTCTTCTTCCAACTGCACGTCCCAGCTCTCGAAAAGGCCGTCCTCGCCTAGGACAAGATCTCTGACCGCGGGTTTGTTGGTAATCCAAATGGCAATCACACCTTCGTTGGCCAGGAGAACATCGATGTCCATCTCGAAGATTAGTTGCCTAACATCCCAAACGGTGGGAGAAACCTGGTAGGCCGATCTTCCCGATTTCTCAGTGCGTCTGACAGAGGCATTAGGCCAGGGAGGATCCATGATGATCACGTCAAACTGTCGAGGTGTGTCAAGCTGCCCAGCAATATCTCTTACGGCCATATGGAAGGGTCGTGAGCTGGAGCAATCACCGAGATAGAATGAAGCTCGTGGTGGAACGTAAAACCTGGCAGGAGTTGACATGGAAGTCAAACCGATTTCGAGGATACGAGCAACATCCGACATGTTGTAAAGGTAATTCGGCCAGAGGGATGTTTCAGGTAGGGGTTCACTCCCACGACTTTGTTGATCATCCAACTCTCTCCAGCCAAAAGTATAAGGTTGTATGGGACCGGACGAAAGCTGATGCAGCAAGTCATCTCTGGCTGACTCGGCATCTGACAAAGGGTCATCAGCTTTGCGTTTCTGCGGCACAGTAGGTTCTGATTGTGAGTTGATAGTAGTACGCGGTAGACACCAAGGGCCGGTGTATTCCTCGCGAACCGTGGCTAGAGAAGAAGCTATCATATCGGCATATATGTCATCGTTTTCAGTAGCCATTTTTTGGCGCAGCTTGTCGCGCGCGGCTTCTGATTTTGGCTCATGGTTTGGGTAAGGGGTCTTGAGAGGTGCGCATGAAATGAGAGATGAGGTTGAGTCAAAGAAAGAATTTTGCTGGGCATCGGCAATCGAAGTTGGTATATCAACCAGGGCGACCCTGTCTGTTGAATACAGAATGCATGACGGCGGCGACGATGCGCCCTGAGGCAGATGAGAAGTGTTGAACTGCTTGTCTGGCAAATTATTCGTGGTAGACGGCATTCTTACCACGTTCTCTTGATCTTGAGCCGACATATATCATCAAGCACGAATTTGAGCTGGAAATTATGTATGCGGAGCCAGAATGAGATCAAAACATGTGGACCGTGGAAGCAATCGGCGTCCAGGCAGTCCGGGAACAAGACGAGATGTGCCTGAAGGACCGATACACAGTCGAGTCTGGAAGATGGTGGATGTCGAACTGGGACGTATTTCGCAAGAGATGTTCTCGACAAGTGGACAAAAAGGGCCGGAGAGGTGGAATGGCTTTCGTGCATCTCGGCCGGTCCAGAAAGAAATCAGAAAGTCAGACCTCGGCTCACGATGCGGGCACACCGGGAGCGTTTGGTCAGCGGCTTCTTCTCTCCACACGATTCACGAAAGACTCCCGCATCATCTCTGCATACGTCCATTGTCCATACCTACGCAATTGCACACTCTTCCCTATCCCTCCTCACGTGCCATCTCCCTACGATCCTACGACCCCCCTACCGACGACTAGACAGACCCAGAGCATCTCCAACAAAAGCAGCATCAAGAGCGGCTTCTGCCGAATGACATCTCGGACCCCACACGACAAAGAAAGAAGCCTCTTGGATTGATGCCGGCGAGCCTCGCCATAAGCGGCAACCATGCCACGGAACAAGACACAACAGACGCACGACTCATGACATCCCCATCACCGCCTGCGCAACTGAAAGCGCCCGTGAACAAGCAGAGCTGGGACTATGTCATGCGCAGCGGTCTGGCCGGCGGTATAGCTGGATGCGCCGTACGTCATTCTCAGTCTTGAACTTATTCACTCTTCCCTCTACTCACACCCGCCCAGGCAAAGACAGTGGTAGGCCCGCTAGACCGCGTCAAGATTCTCTTCCAAGCCTCGAGTCCTCAATATGCAAAATACACGGGCTCATGGTTTGGCTTCTTCCGAGCCATGCGTGATATTCAATCCAACGAAGGCACGCGAGGTCTCTTCCGCGGTCACTCTGCCACCTTGCTCCGTATCTTCCCCTACGCCGGTATCAAGTTCCTTGCCTACGAGCAGATCCGCGCCGTCATAATCCCATCCCAAGAGAAAGAGACGCCCATCCGTCGACTACTCAGCGGCAGCTTAGCTGGCACCATCTCTGTCTGCTTTACTTACCCTCTAGAAGTCATTCGCGTGCGACTAGCCTTCGAGACCAAAACACAGCACAAGACTAGCCTGAGAGAAATCTGCAAAACCATCTACCACGAACAACCGCCGCCCGTACGTGCAGCTCCTCAACATCTAGACACGTCCTCCGTTACACGCGCCGCGACCTCGTCCATCTCTGCCACCTCGGCCGCCCTGAACAAAGCAACACCTGCCTCGGGCATGGTGAACTTCTTCCGTGGCTTCACCCCTACCCTCTGGGGCATGCTCCCCTATGCCGGCTGCTCCTTCCTCACTCACGACACAGCCGGCGACTTTATGCGACGTCCGCGCTTAGCAAAATACACTACACTTCCCGAATCACAATCCTCCCAAAAGCGCGACCCCAACAAGGCTGTGCCGCTCAAATACTGGGCTGAACTTGCCACTGGTGGCTTCGCTGGTTTCGTATCACAAACCGTGTCATACCCGCTAGAAGTCATACGAAGACGCATGCAAGTCGGTGGTGTAGTCGGCGATGGCCATCGTCTCGGCATGATGGAAGTCGCTGCACGCATCTACCGTGACACTGGCTTCAAGGGCTTCTTTGTGGGTCTTGGTGTTGGTTACATCAAGGTCATCCCTATGGTTGCCACCAGTTTCTTCGCCTACGAGCGCGCCAAGCTCGCTCTTGGTATCTGATACTGCTTCTCTCCATCTGTTTTCTTGATGATTCCCGTCAAGCCTCATTTTTTGCGCTGACATGTACATTGGCGTTTTGGGGTCATGCGTTTTGCATAAGCGATGTTTTGCAGCATTTGGGTATTTTGTTTCCCCTGGCCCCGTTTTGCCAGGATCATGAGGATGCCGCTGCTTCAAAGATGATCAAAGATCTAGACCTGACACGATATTACAAGCCAAACAAGTTCACACGAAACACCTCGCCCACCTCGTCCTCCCTGTCACCTTGTGTTTCGCCTACATGGCGCCATCGCGTATACACGCAAGAAGAGACGCAAAGACATACGTCTTAAAATCTGGAGAATCGATCTCTACTTTTGCGAAATATGCTGCCTCACGCCGCGCCGGCTATTGCGTCTCTTAACACCGATATACCACTCCACCGTTCCAAGCCTCCAGGCAAAAATATGAAACAGACCGCTCTCAACGCCTATCCCTCCCCCTTTTCGCTTTCATACACCTATCGAGCCCCTAATTTTCCAGAAATCCAGTATCCACAATCACATGTTGAAAGTGCATCAAAAAGTCCATGCACTGACATCAGCCTTTTGAAACGCACCCCAGAAAGCTTACTCTCAGCCTCCAACTCTGCCCTGACCAAAGGAACCTCCTGTGCTTCTCCTGACTAGAGAGACAGCTGCTTCAGAAACCGTCTTCTAGAAGGACTTGAGACTTAGGAATTGAATGTCGATGGATGCTGGATTTGAAACAAAGACTCGGGACGACCGTCAAAAGCCACGCCGAGGCACTCTCCACATTGTTTTGTCTCCGCTTCCCTTGATCGCAAACAATTGGTGAAAGAGATGGCTATTTCGACTTCCCTGATCTTCGAAGTGCAAGCAGTGAGGGCTTGAGATGGTCTAAAGGACTACACCAATCTCACCAGCCTCGGCTTGCGCCTGTGACAGCCACGAAGGTACAAAACTCTTGAATCAACCAGAGGAACATTCACAGGGAGCCTTTGCACGTTGCGCGTTCGATGGACAGCGCTCAGAATTCAAAGAGTGTCACACCTTTCCATGGTTATACCAGGACCATCGGAAGGAGCGGAAAGAGCAAGCCCAACAGCGTGCCTGCCACTAGAGTTGTATTAGTTACGGTAACAAGAATGCATTCTCAGACTCAGCTCGTAGCCTCTGCTCTATCCCATAAGCTCGGAACACCATCTTGATGAGAGAACTGTTTTCTATCACAGTCGTGGATGTCGTGATTAATCCTCGTGTGCTTTGCAATTTGTCCTGACAGATATATTGGAGTGTCGTCATCTCCGCAGGTCTCCAAAGAAGGCCCCTAAAGATGACTGGAGGGTGGTAAAGCAGCTTGTCGACTTCTCACATACCAGTCCTTCTGCGCATCATGAACACCGCCAACAATAGCTTGCACTCATCCCGCACATTAACAGATCCTGCAGCACAAACACCAATCACTCAGGCACCACAATCCAAAGAACTTGCGTTGACGATAATCTCTGTGATCTTATTTTCATAACGTCATCCTCATACCAAGCATATCATGTATACCATGCAGCATCGCTGGTTGTCTTGTTCCTCAATCTCTTTACTCCTTCTTGCTCTGAGCACCCTCCTTCTCCATACCCTCACAACCAGAAAGCTTTCCGGCCACCTCTTCAACCTTGCCGTAGCCATCGGTGGCGGGGTCGCGGTTTTGGCTTGCCGACTTCATGGCGTCAATGCCGCCTTGCTTGTCGGTCTCGCCGCTTTGCTGCCATGCTGCGTTGCCGGTTACGCTGCCGATGACTCCCTGGGAAAGATGTCAGTAAGGGGGGGATTGGAGAGGTGGGCAGGGAAGGAAGAGTTTACCTCTGCTGCGCCCTTGACGTATTGAGCGTGGCCGCCGATGAGAGAGGGTTGCTGGGTGTTGTCCGACATTTTGTGTTTGTGTGATGTGTGGTGTTTTGATGTAACTGTAGAGATATGTCTTGTGCTTGGATCTGTTTGCAAACGTGTATGAGAGAAGGTAAGATGCCCATGGTCATCGTTTATTGATATATCGAATCGATGAAGCGTCATCGACGTCATCGTTGTGTCGCGCCACTGCTCGGTCTTTATGCAAGCATTCCTTGCTTGTGCAAGACACAGCATAAGACATAAAACACAAAGCTCTGCCCTTTTTATTCACTCCCTTTTTCTTCGCAATCTCGCATTCTTTCCACTTTTCGCACTAATTATTTCTTGGTACTATTAGAACGGATGCATCGGAGTTTAACATGGAGCAAATCACCGGAATAGCGGATATGCTTATATAAAAAGCGCAAATGATTAAAGATGAGGTAAGTCTGTGTCGTTCTTGAAGAAGGAGCAATCTTTCCATTTTCTTCATATCAGTCCAGGAAGGAACTACCCAGGAATTCTCACCAAGATGAAATGCGACACATTGGCAAGAAGAGCCATCCTCTTCGTCGCTTTCATCGCAGCGACCACCATCCTCTATGGACTCACCACCAGACTCTTATTCACAGCTCCTAATTACGATGACGTGAGCATTGACCCAGAAGGAGGAAGCTACTACGACTATGGTTCCAAAGTCGCTGCTGCTGTCTGGAAAGGAGCTGGCCAGTGGATAGGCATGTCAAGCGATGGCACAATCGAGACGACAATGAGCCATGAAGACATGATGGTCAAGTCGAAAGAGCAGGGAGAGGACTCTACGCCTACGCAAAGTGGTGCACTGAATCCGGAGGAGACTTTCGCTGCTATTGCGAATCAAGACAACAAGTCAAGGGAACGACGACTCCGGTCTCGTCGTGCATATTCCAAGATGAACCGAGGTCGACGTTGATCATTCACCGGCCACCCTAGAATGCACGCCAGAATAATACACATCATGCGTCAAGTCAGGCCAAGTTCTTGGTCGTACTGTCACATCAGCCAACGATCAGCTTGCCCGCCACGATTGTACGACATGATCGAACTTCGAGTACATCCTCCGATCTTATCCATCCGTACGGCGCAGCGAGCGTTCAACTCCAAAAAGAACAGCCCACACAACTGCAGTCGACAGGAAATAGATTGTACGAGGGGAGCAGATCAAGACATAAATTCGACCGACCTGCCAAATCCAAGCCGCCGAAAGAGTACGAAGACCGCGGCCAAGCAAAGAAAACCAACGCTCAGTCATACACAGTCCATCTCATCTCGAAGAGCTCTCTGAGTCATCCATATTGTCCACATCAATCAAGATGCCTCGCGAGCCGCCTCAACACCCAAGGCACCAACACGAAGCCCTGGTCATCGATTCGTCAAATCCACCGAAAAGCCCTCAATCTACCGTGGCCCCCACCCACAACCACCCAACCAACCAGACATTTCCACGTCCCTCACAAGCAAAAAAGCCGTGGTGGTGTAGTGGTAGCATACCCGTCGTTAAGTTTGGGCACGTGAGCATTCCTTTCATTTCAAGCGTGGTCCCGATGAACACGGGTGGTCGCAGGTTCGAATCCTGCCCATGGTGCTTATCTTTTTCTTTCTTTTTGGTCCTCGAAATAAAGGATGTAGGGGGTTTGTGTCGTAGTTCTGCGTTTACGTTTGCATTCAGTCTCGCGTCTTTGTATATTTCTACATCCGACTGGTCATGAGTTTGTGATGGCTGTTTCTTCTTATGCCATCGCTGTCGCCCAGATCCAGCGAATATGTTTGGCATCCCACCCGATCCATGTCACTCATATTATTTTCAACCCTTTTTTCAAACACTCACGGAGCCTGCGCAGCCACGTAATGTATCTCTGAACAACGATTTCGAACTACCAAGACACCGACCGCAAGAATCCAATTCTACGTTTGCCCATGCTAAGCACTTGCACATGACGATGTATCTGCGACATGATATCTTCGACGAGTGATGTAGATGAATGTGGAGACAGTGATTTTAATCTTAGTGCCGTGCGTATAAAAATCAGCGAATAGTTTTATCAAGACTACATCAGCCATGATGGCTTGGTGGAAAGAAACCATCACCAAGATAGTGAGAAATTGCTTGTAAGCGCCATATCTATACATGAGTTCATACTGATTATTGGGGAGCGAGGGCACATTGATAGCGTTAAAGCAGGCGTGCAAAGCCAACGATCAAGGAGAACCGAAATATGGGGGGGCAAAAAAAGTAGATATTGACCGCCAGGAAATCATTCAATGATGTTGGGAAGGGGAAAAAGGCATAAAAGCAGCAACATGAACAGTCGTGATCGTTGGCAGATAATTTCAGGTATCCTATCGAGCCCTTTCGTACCTTTCACGTATTCGATGCATCCGAGCCTCCTTGAGGTCTGGGTCTATCTCTTCATCGATGTCCACATCCAAATGCCTTTTTGTTGGGGTAAACTTTCCACCACTTAGGCGACGATTAAATCGTACACACAGGTCTTTCAAGCGCGGAGCAAGGGCTCGTAGCAGTCGTGCATAACTTCCAGCTTCGGCGTGACGGAAGCCCCAAATCTCCTTGTCATCGTGATCTTTGGCTTGCCCGAAATGAAGGGTATGCAGTTTAGGAAACAACGGTGCCTTAGAGGCATGCCAGGTACTCAGGTCGTGTTCCCACAGGAGCTCGCATTTTTCCAGCAATGGACAGCTTCTCGCAAGAGATTCCACAGCGACGAAAGTCAGTACCTTGCCGACTGGAGGAAATACAAGATGTCGAAGTTGTGGTAGCTTCGAGACCAGTTGCTCAAAGTGTTGATCGGTAAGCCAATCGCACCAGCCAGCGGCCGGTCTCATACGGCCAAGACGAAGACTCTCTAGATTAGAGAGCTTTGAAAGGTGGTCAAGGTCCGCTGCAGAGAATACTGTGTCGCCACTAAACCCAAGCTCGAGGTGAACGATGGCCGGTAGGTGGCTAAGGGCCGGGCAAACAATTTGATGATTGGTATGGACGACAAGTCTTAAGTCGACCAAATTGCCCGTAACACTGGACAGAAGGGATGCCACCAGACCCGAAGAAGGTATTATGGACAACTTTCTGAGCTTTTGGAAACATGGTGAGCCTGGCGACCTGCGAGAGCACCGTTCTTCGTACTGCTCGAAAGCCTCTTCCTCTAACCATTCATTAATGTAGAGTTCTTCGAGCGAAACATAGTTGGAAAGGATGATCAACATATTTGCGCTGACCAGACTGGTTTCTTCCAAGTGTACTTTGCGTAACTTTGTGCACTTTCGAAGGGAGTTGTCAAATGCGCTCCTGAAGTCGAATGCATCCAGATTCGCGAGGGTCAATTCTTCTAGATTTTCTGGAAAATCAATCCGAGGGCCCAAAATCTCTTGGATGTCCGGTAAGGATTCCAAATGGAGACGTCGTAAAGATTTGAGACTCTGTAAAACTTTCGAAAATCGACTATCATCGAGTTTAGGCGTGTTGCAGTCCGATATTGTCAAGCTTTGCAGTTTAGGGCAACACATCTCCACCAGGTCCAAGATATTCGCGTGGAGTTCGAAGTCTTGGAAGCCCAAGGTATGTAGCCCTGGTTGGAGAAGTGACCGAAGCTGAATGTCAGTCGATCTACAATTGCAGAACAGCACTTCTTCGAGCAATTGGAATTCGAGCCTATCTGAGACCTCCTCGCGGATACAACGGTCTAATGTGAAGTTGTGAATCATACTGGCATGATATTGTTGTCGGTCGAACGTCAACACTTTGCTCAACATCGATTGCTTTGACTTGTACCATAGCATCTGGACACAACAGTTGTACCAGACCTTGCTGACTAGTATTGCAGAAGAGAGCGATGCTTTGTCCCCAGCGAGGTAACCGAAGATGTCGTGTTGAAGTTCAGGTGGCAGAATATCAAAGCCAGACGTGCCTCGATAATGTGTAGAAAGTGCCATGTCGAGGAGCCTTTACCGCCAAGTTTCGAGTGAAGAGTGTCTTGGTTGGTGGCACGGTTGGAGTGCGCGCGTCCGTTAGTTTTCGTTGGAAGAGAGCAGGAATCGAGGCTTGATCGAGGTTCAAAGACGAGCTCAGTCGAGCGGGGCGCGGTCAAGTCAGAAGCGTTAAGGACAACGCGTCTGCGCTTCGGGGTAGAGGAGTGAAGACAGACTGTCAGACGGTTCAGAGTTCACAGACCAGCGAGATCTTCGAACTTAAGATTGTGATAAAGGTCTGGTCAATGATCAAGGGTGCATGTCAATGTTGATGTGTGTTGAGTCGAAGGCAGAAGCATATTGTTTGGAAGCTTCGATGGGGACGTACGAATGACGGCTTGGCGGCTCTAGGCTGTTGCCTACTCCAGATGAGAACGCGATGATGGCAACGTGAGCCTCTGTTGACATCAGCGTCGGGATGTGGAGGAAGCGCGATGCAGATCTTCAATCACTAGAATCAAATACAAAAGCTCGAAGGACTTTGATGGTAAAAATGAATAGTTCGGTATGGATTATGATTAAAGTACCAAGAGTACATTGACCTTCCGTGGTGGTATATTGCAAGAAGAAAAGACAACAGAGATACGAAAAAAGATAATAAAAGGCTTCGTCGAAACATCATACACATTCTTCCTTTTCACACTCAACACTCTTACAGAGCGAGGACGGCGGCGGCCAAAAGACCAGCGGCACCGGCACCAACCTTGGCGGCGGCACCAGAGTATGAGGCAGGCTTAGAGGAGGTGGGAGCAGCGCTGCCACCCATGGTAGAGTTGGAAGATGCAGTGGAGCCAGCCATGGTGGAGTTGGACTTGGCGGGCTTCATGGTGGCAGGGTAGGCGGCGCAGGTGGCCATGGGGGCGAGGAGGCAGGTCTCGTCCTGGCAGATGCTCTGGAGCTGAGCACCCTGGGCAGGGATGACAGTGGTGGGGGGAGCGCAGCGGACGTTGAAGATGGTGTTGAGGGCCTTGCCGACAACAGCGACATCATCGGCGGTGACACCGAAAGAGGTGGCAGCGAGGGCAACTTGCTGGATGAAGTAGCCGACCTCTGCAGCAGAGAGGTCCATGAATCTGTGGACAGCGGCCTGAGAGCCGAAGCCAGCGTAGCTGGGGAAGCCGGTGGCAGAGCAGCCAAGGAGAGCACCGAAGTACTGGTACAAGTGGGTCATGAGCTTGTACTGGTTGGATGAAGTGCCGTTGGAAGGCATGTTCATGGTGAGAGGGACGGCACCACCATCGTCAAGGAAGTTGATGGAGACACCGGAGCTGCCACCACGGTTGGAGGAGGCAAGACCACCGTTGAAGTAAGGAAGGAGGTTGACCTCAGTTCCGTTGTAGGTACCCTTGGCCAAGATACCGGGGACAGCGTTCATGTTGGGCTTGGTGTAGTTACCAATGACAACAGTGTTGACGAGAAGGGTCAACAGGGTCAATTGGTTGGCACCAGTGTTCTCCTTGAGGAGAGCAGTAGTGTACTTGTCACAGATGGATGCGTTCTGGGCAAAAGCAGGAGCAGCAACGGCAGCAAGGCCGGCAACGAAAGTGGAGGGACGCATGGTGATTGGAGTTGGAGTATGTGGTCGACGAAAGAATGAACGAGCGTGGGATGAGAGAGAAGAAAGGAATAAAGGCGGATTGTCTCGAGCTTATGTGGTTCTTCATTCCATGAGAAGTTTGTGGTCATTCCAAATCGGGCGCTTCCCCTTGGTCGGAGGAAATAAGACACACCAACGTCAATGGCGCATGAATAAAGAACAGGAATGACATGCGGGAGAGCAACCATCCGCATTCATGAAACCACTGAAGCCGTTCGTTCCTCCAACGTGGAGACTGTATTGACACTTGCCAAACAATAGCTACAGCTCTTCCTTGCTTTACCCATACAATGAACACTCACACATATCTTTTTCGCATTCTTGAGGTCGTCGTGGAGTTCGCATTGTTGCGAGGCTGTGTTGTTGAAGTCGGGAATAAACTCCAGGGACCTGACATGCTCCCCTGCGTGACTGAACGTCGATCTTGAGGATCTTGAACAGATCAGGAACGTGGGCGCATGTTGCGGGAAATTTCTGAAAACGGTCATGAAGCCAAAATCCAATGATTTCGACTTACCAACCAATCAAAACGACGACATTACAATGGATGTCGTTCGAAGAGGACGTGCAGTGTGGAGTAATTAGTTGGGGTACCAAGCCTCGAGATAAGCGTAAAAGTAGCGCGACTGTAGCGCAACGTTCAAGGTGCTAGACCATTCAAGCGAGCATTCCTCAGGAGAAAACAGGTGGGAAAGTGGGAAATTGGAGTGCTTGAAGAATGCCAGATTGGTATTTTGCCCGCTTGTAACCCGCACCCGTTATGATGAACCGTCCCAAAACAACGCCAATGATTGCAACCAGACCGAAAACAACCAAGCCTTCTCGTACTCAGGCTGATACTGGGCAGACTAAAACATGATCAGATGACGCCGAACCTTCGAAGGGCAATCAATCTATTTGGTCGTGAAGCCGCTCTTCTTTTGCAACCAGGTCTCCATGTTCATCATCTGCGGGTGGATTGAACGGAGGTTTGAGATGTCGGCCTTGTATCCGTCAGAGGCAAACCAACCGATCATGTGGCCCAGCTCAGCAACCATGTAGGTCAAGACCGAGCCAAGACCCCAGAAGGTTGTACCTGCAGGAGAGCCGGTTGCGTTCTCGAAAGCCTTTGAGATTTGGGGGAAGGTGAGTTCGTCGCCAGCCAGACCGCGGGCCTTGTGGTTCCATTCCTCGGGGTGGGTGAAGGCCTGTGCTGCGAAGAAGCCAATGTCCGCGGTAGCGACCCATTGCAGAGGCTTGGTGTCGCCAAGGTGATTGTGGAGGGCGGTCAGGAAGACCTTGGTAGGGAAGCCCGGTTGCAGGTTGTCCATGAATGCGACGGGTCTGAGGATAGTCCAGCCCATGCTTTGTGCCTTGTCACGCAGGTGGATCTCAATCAACTGCTTGGTTTGGAAATGGGGGATAGGGGTTGCGTTGTCCCAGCTGGCCTCATCACCGCCACGCTCAACGCTGCTGTAGACAAAGTGCTTGACGCCGTTCTTGACGCTCTCGTCAATAAGATCAGTACCCTGCTTGACTTCACCCTCGAAGGTTACGCCCTTGCCCATTGAGATCTGCACTGAGTAGACACCCCAAATTGGTTGCTGGGCGACTTTGTTGGCGGCTTGGAACAGAGCGGGCACATCGTCGAGGTTGCCTTCTACGAGCTTAATGTTGGATGCTCTTCCGGCAAGCTTCTTTGCGCTACCGCTGTTGGCATCTCTGGTCACAGCCAGAATGGTGAAGTCGGAAGCATTGGGCAGCTCGAGTAGAGAGTCGATGACTGAGCCACCCTGCTTGCCAGTGGCGCCGGTGATAAGAAGTACGCGAGACATGATTATGTTCGAGTGAAAAAGGTGTAATCAGGGAGCAAGAGATGCAAAGGCAGAGAAGGAGGCAGAAACAGCAGCTACGGCGAAGGACATGGCTGCAGTACCCTTATCACATGGTTGCTCCAAGCTCAAGCTCGAAGACATCAAGCTCATCATCGTACATTCTATTCAACGGACATGTCGCGGAGGGTTGGATGGTGGATGCAGATTCCGAAGGGCGCGTCTTGATTTCCTCCGACGCCGAGAGGCTTTTTCGAGCGGCTTTGGTGACGATCATCGGATCCCCAACTCGTCCTTGATTCCTTGCAAGCAGCGTCAGCGTCCTCCTTCACGCCTGTCGCTCCATGCGCATTACGCATGCTACTGTACATGTCTGTGTAGTGCAAGATGCAGCGCTTCGGAGAATTAAGCGCTGATCATGGATGCCGTAAATACTCTCGTGTCACTGACCTGGTAGAAATCATGCCGTGCTGGTGCTCCCATCCCATCGTCGACGTCCTCTGACAATACTCTTTATCGCCATACATATTCGCGACAAGTCTTTGTGCAAAGTCTCAAGTCATCACCATCACAAAATGGCCTCGGAAGACAGATCAACACGGCTGAACACGGCCTATTCGCTACTCGACGCATACGGCTCCCTCTCGCCAGACGCCATCCTCTCCCATCTCGATGAGAGCTGCACACACCAAGCTCTGCCCGAGTCGCTGGGTATGCCGCCTCGCTCAAAGGAAGAATTCAGAGGCCATGCCCAAGGCATTACCTCCATCTTCACCACCTTCGCCATGATCCCGCAAAACGTCTACGAGGACGAAGACAACAATGCCGTAGTCATCCACGCAAAAATGGACGGTCAGCTGAACAAGCCCGGCATGGGTCAATGGAAGAACGAATGCATAATGTTGCTGCGCTTCACCGAAGACGGCTCCAAGATCACCCAAATCAGGGAGTTTGTCGACAGCGCAAAAGCCATGGAGATGCGCAACAAAGTCAAGCCCAAGAACTTCGACTCGCATGGTGGAAGTCTCTTTTCCACTGTCGGTTGGGTTGTGTCCACCACTGTACCGGTCGCCTTGGCCGGCGCCGCTGTTCTTTTCTTCACAGGAAGGCGCGACTTGCTTCGCCTGAGATAAGGAAGGCGGCCGTATGCCAATGCTTACGATACATGTAATCCCTCCGAATGTCTACAATACATGTTGCCTTGTCTACCTTGTGTGTGTCCAGGGCTGTGCCGCGTTAGTGATACATCTATTCAAGCGACCATCGCACAATCTCCTTGCATGCTTGGATTGTTCCAGAGCTACAGTCATGCTTGCATACATCTCGTGGCCATGCGTGAATTTCAGCTTGGTGGGTGCACTGGATGAAGTGCTTATGTCGATACATCCAAGCCAAGCCAAGGCATCCTCTAGCAAAGCAATTTGGCCCAGAGACTCGCACCGGCACTGCGCGAACCATCACAGATCGTCAATCCGAGATACTTGCCTACGATCGTCTCCCACAACGTCCGCGAGGTAACCAACGAGAAATCCACAAACTGCGCCAGATTCCCTTGCATAATCAAATAGATTTCCATAACGTTTTCCGGCCCCCTTTTGAAACACGATTGCATCCATTCCCCCCTTCCAAACACCACCAACCCAGAACTTCGTAATCTACTCTTGCATATGCTTTGTTCATCTAGACATCTGCACCGGCTCTCCTCTCTGAATACCGAAGGTTGGGACGAAGTGACGCGTCGATCTTGCCTGTTAATATATCTCTACCCCAGAAAATATGTCGTCAAGACTTGCTCAACCCGCCGGCCGGAGTTGGTTCGTTGATGGGACAGGGGTAGATCCCTGCCGGGTTGTCCAACCTCACTTCATGCTCCAACCACACGGTCGCCTGCGTTAGATAAACAATCCTCTGGGATTTTTGAGTAAAAGATTGCGGCCGTACTACCAACAGCTCGTACGGCTGCTGTGCAAATTTGTTGGTTGGGAGAAAAGTGTGTGAATGAACAAATACATTGATATCTATCTCGCCCTGGCAAAAGAAAACTCTTTGCTCATGTAGTAAACAAAACGAACAAGATTGCTGTGGTGGAAGAAATCACACAAAAGGGGGTAATCAGAAACAGATAGAAGCAAGAAACAAGAAAGGCAGGAAAAAGGAAGAACAAAACAACAACATTACTGCGCCGCCTGGCCAAGAATCTTGACATACGACTGCTTTGCCTCTCCATAACACAACATGGTCCACCCGGGTAGATCGAGCCGGACATGTTTGCCTTAGATCGTGATGTCCTCAAACTTTTGCGTCTGTCCGAGTGCTGCGGCCTTAGCATACGCAGCCCGCTCCTCGAGATCCTTAGCTTCGGACATCTTCCACTCGCGAATGACGTCGGCCTTGCGTGCTTCGCTGCGAGGCTCGAATGCCATCTCGAATGGGTCGGGTTTAACGATGAGCAATGAGTTGCACTTGTCGGTGGGGACCTCGATCTCTCGGCCGGTGGCAGGGTCGACCTTGCGCTTGAGGTTGTACGCCCACGCTAGTGCACCACAAGCCACAATGAGCTCGTCCTGCGTCAATGACATGCCGAGACACTGTCTTTGTCCAAAGCCGAAGGACGTCATGCCCTTGATGTTGGGGTGTTGTGTCAGGGGCTCCTGGAAAGTTGGCCAGCCGGCCTCAAGCCAGCGTTCTGGGCGGTAGTTCTCTGGGTCGGGATACTTGACAGGGTTGAGGAGGAAAGCGCTAGATATCAAGGTCAACACTCGGAAAGCCAATGAGAGCACTGACAAAACTTACTAGTCGAGGGGTAGAATGCGAACGCCCTTGGGGATGAAGTAACCGCGGTAGTAGTCGTCCTGCTCGGCCTCGTGTGCGACACCGGTAGGGACGTTGGGACGCCAGCGCATAGATTCCTTGATGCAAGCGCGGAGAGTAGGAAGCTTAGGGAAGTCCTCAATGCTGGGCATACGTCCTTCGAGTTGTTCGTCAATCTCCTTCTGAACCTTCTGAAGCCATTCGGGGTTGTGAACCATGGCGACAAGGAAGTAGTTCAGAGGTCCGGCAACAGTAAAGATACCGACAAGCGCGAGCATACCAAGAACGGAAGATGCTTCGTAGTCGCCAGAGAGGTTGTTGGTCTTTTCGGTCTCGAGGAACTGCTTTGTGAAACTCCAGCGAGCAGTACCTGCCTTCATTTGGGTCTTTACACGGACAAGGTTCTCCATCCACCAGCGTTGTTGTTCATCATGACGCTTGTGCTCAGCCCTCTTCCATGGGTTGATCATTTCAGGAAGCTTCCAGAGAGGTGTGAGGATGTTAGTGATAGGACCGGCGGGAGACATCTGAGTAAGAAGGCCCCAAGCACTACCAATACAGTACTCGCTCAGGCTTGGGTCATCCCAGTTCAGCGTGCACATGATCTTAGATGCCATGTCCTCAAGAGTGTAGTTGAAGTTGTCAGGGTTTTCGAGCAGACGGAACATCCATCGCTTGACTTCATGTTGCATGACACCATAGTAGCCAGCGTTGGTGGCTTGTGTCAGGTAGCCATGTGTGAAGCGACGTTGCCTGGCCCAGTATTCTATAGCATGTTAGTCAATGAAGAGTTTTGTGATGGAAGAATGTGCCTTACGGTTCTTGCCCATCAAGGGAAGGTATTCCATGGAGCCATGAGTACTCTTGGAATCAAAGAGAGAAGGAACAGCAGGTCTGTCGGAGTTGTACTTTGCCTTCTTGACAAGAAGTTCTTCGGCAATCTTCTCATCAGAGACGATGATGAACGACGTGCCAAGCATCTCGGTGTAGTAGATTGGGCCATGGATATCTGCGAACTCCTTGAACTTGATCCACATCTTCTGAATAGGCATGTCGTGAATGCGTCCAATGATCGGTAGCAACTTGGGCCCAGGCAATTGGTGGTCTGCCTCGGCCTTCTTTGGACGCCGTGCATTGTTCAGGATGGAGATGGCCACAAAGGCCACCAGGGCGATGCCGACGGCTGCTAACGTGAGGGGTTGCATTTTGGCTTACAATGAGAAGAACAGAAAGAAGAGCAGAGAGCGGGAGGACAGAGATGTTAACTCAAGAACCAACAGACGATCGAGACTCAAACGTGCCGTGAGCATGACAATATGCCAGAGTCTAATCTCATGTGGTAATGATGGGTCGATCTACGATCAGACACCTCGGAAAGGTTCCAGCAGGGGGGCTTCAAGTGTAGGGCATGCAAGCCCAAGAATCGTCGCTGCACGATGATTCATGAGATCTGCTCGCTCTCGAGCGAGCGCACACCCAGCACACGGCCGCAAGGCTGGTCCCATGAATCGCAGCAAACCACCGGCCTCGTTGCTGACAGAGATCAGCATGGCTATCTGAGAACCAGAGAAGAACAAAGAACTCGAAAAAGGCTGTCCTCTCACCAACATGTTGGTCAGATTCTGGAAGTCTATCGCAGCATGCTGATGAGATGCTCATGCAACCACGATGAATACGAGAGACGATTGGTTGAAAAGGTGAGCAACTTTTACCATAGTGCATGATGCGTTGCATGGATGGCCTGCGGTTACGTTGACACATACCAAAACACAGTTAGACCTTTGTCGAAACTGCAAGGCTGGCGACTAGCCAAGGCACGCCGATCGAAGGGTGAAGCTTGACTGGGATACCGACGCTACGAAGGCTCTACCCGCAGCGAACAAGTCACCACCGACGTGCGGCACAACTCAATCTGCTCGGTTATCTGGGACCAAGCAGGGCTCCTCATGCAGCCTCACGATCGAATCATCATGTCCCATAGGAAGTGTGGGGGGCGACATATGTGGGTAGCACAGTCAGAATCAACAATAGCAGCCTTACACCGCGTTCTCGTGGACGCAGCAGTGTAACGGGAGTGAAGGTACCGGGTCCGGAATGGAAACATTGTGGTATGATACTTCACAGAGACCGTAGCGACGTTGCGAGTCCGAGACCGATCTAAGAACAGCAGCGAACGAGTTGTCGATCAGGAACGTGTGACTGGCGGATGGTCTTTCGGAGTTGCTAGGATGGTGTGTAGGCCGTGAAGAGCAGCGATGAGCAGTGCTTCCTGCTCCCTGGACAGAAAGACGTCGTCGTGTCTAGCTCGGCCCGCGCCGATGCACAGACAAAAAGCGCAGGGGTTATTCAGCAAGGGATCTCTTTGCCCAGAAACTTGTTGGGGGCGGGGAGGCTTGAGAGGCGTTTGGAGTGGCAGCTCTTGGTTGCTTGGGTGGCTTTTTCCCCGGTCGCAAAGCCAAATGTCACCGTCATGGGCAGCAACAGCACTAGCAAGGCATGTGAGAACGATGATCAATGTCCATCATGCTCGTCATGAAGCTCTTCCGTCGGACTCTCTTGGAGACCCGAAACCACTGTCACGCCTCTCCGGCATGATCAAACCACCGACCAGCGACAATCTCGTGCCTGCATTGGGAGCGTCGGAGATTTTGAGCGCGAGCAGAACTACACAAAAACATGGGCAGTTCCTGCTGAAAAGATGCATCTCCTCTCGTTTCACCTGAATCAATTCTCCGAACTGTCATCAACATGACGACCAAGATGGAACACAAACCTCTGGGTTCTTACCCTGACTCTGGCATCGACGTTCTCATTGTCGGTACCGGTCTTGCAGGTCTGACTGCTGCTCTCGAATGTATTCGCAAGGGTCACAATGTCAGAGTCCTCGAGCGCAATGCCACAATCAACACCGCTGGAGACATGTACTTCATGGGTCTCAGCGCTACTAGATTCTTCAACCACTGGCCTGAGATGAAGAAGGAATACGACTCGATTGGTCTTCATGATGCCTGGATCGAGACCTTCCAGCACTCTGGTCAGCAAATGATCAAGCCTCTCAAGGTCGCCGACCGCCTGAAGGCTCAGGGTCTCGACCCTGGCACTCCCCCCGGTACTTTCCAGATGCGTCCCCTTGTCTACAAGATGTTCGTCAACCAGGTTGAGTCTCTCGGTGTCAAGGTCGAATTCGGTCGTCGTGTCGTCGACTACTACGAGGATGCCGAAACCAACAAGGCCGGCGTTCTTTGCGACGACGGCAAGAAGTATGAGGCTGATGTTGTCATCGCTGCCGACGGTGTCGGTTCCAAGTCTCAGAAGCTTGTCGGTGGTCAGGTCAGAGCTGTCTCCTCCGGCAGAGCCATGTGGAGAGCTGCTTTCCCCATTGAGCACCTTGACAAGGATCCTGAGGTCAAGGAGTTCTTCTCTCTCATTAACGGCGAGAACCCCATTGTTCGTACTTGGCTCGGTCCCGGCACCTACGCCCTTACCCTTACCCGCCCTGACACCATGATTTGGATCATGAACCACGATGCCACCGGTAGCGAGGCTGAGTCATGGAGCAACACTATTGATTACGAGGAGGTTCTCGAGGGCATGGACAAGGTCCCCGGACCGAACAAGTGGGCACCCATCTTCAAGAGGCTCGTGAAGTGCACACCACCAGACACTATCATCAACTTCGAACTTTTGTGGAGAAACCCTCAGCCCACTTGGCTGTCTCCCAACGCTCGTGTCGTCCAGATTGGTGACGCTGCTCACTCTTTCTTGCCTGCCTCCGGAAACGGTGCCACTCAAGCCATTGAGGACGCCATCACTATCGCTTCTTGCCTACAGCTTGCCGGCAAGGACAAGATTGATGAGGCTCTTCGCGCCCACGTCAGAGTTCGGTAAGTGATCTATGCCATGTTCTTTTTTTTCGAATAGCTTTCTGACTTTTACAGTTTCATCCGCAACTCATGCGCACAGAAGCTCGGCTTCAGTAACGCAGAGCTCCTCCAGGACACCGACTGGGAGAAGGTCAAGCTCAATCCTCGCATGGCTGCTCCCAAGCTCCCCAAGTGGGTCTGGAGTCACGACCCCGAGCACTACATGCACTCCAACTACGACAACATTGTTGACGGCATGAAGAAGGGTATTAGACACGAGGATGACGAGCGTGTCCCTCCTAACTACCCTCCTGGTTACCGTTACGAGCCATGGAACATCGACGAGATTATGGACGCCATGAGAAACGGCAGGCCCGTCGAGCTTGGCGCCGGTGACTGGGACTAGACGTCTCGAAAACTTCTGCAGGTCCACGTGAAAATGCGTGGCCGCTGTATTGACACGAGCGTTAACGAGGGTCTGTTTTTAATAAAGCGAAGCATGGGGACTGAAGATTGTTATCATTACAGCAACTAGCACCCGGGCGTTATATATCATGAATTTACTATCTAATTTCATTTCAATTCGTCTCCCCTTCAAGCTTGATTCATGCATCTAACCCCTTGCCGAGCACTTCCCATGCAGAAGCTGCTTTCAGTATGTCCATCTCATGCCACCTCTTGGCAACGAGCTGCATACCAACCGGAAGCTTGCCTGCTCCGTCACTCGTCTCTGACCAACCACATGGCATACTCATTCCGGGATGTCCTGAGCAGTTGAAGGGTGAAGTATTCAGAGTCACACCCACAGCCTTTTGTGCAATCTCCATTACACTAGTGTAATTGCAGTGCTTTCCTGCAACAGTGGGAGTCGTCGGAGTAATCAGAATATCAATCTTCTCGAACACCTTGTCATACTCAGCGCGCAGCTGATGGACGAGCATATGAGCCTTGCGTGTAAGCGAAGGTCCAAATTTGGTTTCCATGTGCTCGGCGTTGAGCACGACATTGATGACAGCCGGGTTCTTGTAGACCAACTTGTCATAGAACGTCTGATCAGTCGGGTTCGGCTCGAGCCCTGGCAAAGGATGGCTGAGAAGATCAGAAGCCCTGTTCTCGAAGAATCGGGGAATAGCCTCACGACCTGCAACGGTCCAAATCGATGGACCAAGCAGATGCAGTGGCACCGAGACCTCGTGGACCTCCGCCCCGAGCTTACCAAATCTCTCCGCTGCGGCCCTGACGATCGCGGCCACGTCGGTGTTCAAGCCGGCGATCTCCCATGCTTCTTTGAGGATGCCGATCCGGAGGCCTTTTGCCGCTGCTGATGCAGTCCACTCGCCGGCTTCCTTCTTCGCTGCCTGCCACTCTGCAAGGAGTCCGGTGTAATCTGGTACAGCTTGACGCAGAGGCGTTTCGGGGGTTTGACGCGGATCGATACCGTCATAGCCTGCGATGACGCCGAGTAACAGTGCGATGTCCTCAATCGATCTCGCCATGGGTCCCGTAGAATCGATCATCGGAAGGATAGACACTATGCCAGTGTAGGGAACCAGTCCTGTTGTAGGCTTCAATCCATAGAAACCACCGAAAGATGCTGGTGCACGAATTGAACCTCCCTGGTCTCCGCCGATCGCCATGTCGACACCTTCCTCACTAAGTGCGCTGGTTTCGAAAGATAGCCCCTTCTTCTCACTCCACTCTTTGACATCCTTGGCCGAGACTAATGAAGCACAGCCGGAACTGCTGCCTCCAGTCATGTAACCTGCTGCCCATGCGTTGTGTACAGGACCAGTTTCTGATGAGACGGAAGTAGGGAACAAGCTGAAGTTTTCGCACACTGCTGTTCCAGTGATGGTGCCTGAAGCCTCGAGAATCCGCTTAACCACGATTGCATCGATTTCACTGATAGCATGCTTTCCACCTTTGAACAGCTCCGGAGCCGTGCCGAGACGTAATGGTGCTCCTGCAACACTGACATTGTCCTTCATGGCGAGAGTCTTGCCAGCAAGTGCCTTGCTCGTCGGAGAAGATGCCTTGAGGTTTGTCTAACGATTGTTTCAGAAATTGCTCAAACATGATACAGAGCACAAGATACACACCTTGTGCGACCAAGCATTCAAGGGATTCTCTTCTGAAGACGGTCTGGACCATTTGCGCTCTCCTCCTTCCACGGCCGTTGGCTCGAGTCTAGGATCGATATACTCTGGGAGAGCCGCTACAGCCGATGCGACAGCATCAAAACTGTTTTGCAGCAGCAAGAAGTCCGTCTCATCCTGACTTCCGACAGGAATCGAAAAGCCTCTAGCCTTCGCAGCGGTATGCAGTTCCTCTTTGGTGACCGTGGGCCTGGCAAGTTAGATTCGCTGTCTCTGTCTGCTCACGTGTGGGAGAATCTTACAAGCTACCCTCTGCAAGCGATACGATAGACATTTTGGTGTGAGTGTTTTCTCGAGCAAATACTGAGAAGAGCACTCATCTTGAGAGACAGATTGTTGGGGGTGCTACATTGATCTACGGCCAAAGTGGTGGCCGGTCGGGTAGATAGGTCGGTCGTACCTGCCACTTTTGTCGAAGGAAGCTGGCCGAGATCGGCGCTTTTCGGGACGCTGTTTTGGCCACCCCCACTCTTGTCCACCAGCAAAGGAATCTGTGCATTCATTCTCACCAGCTAGCATACCATGAAACAGCACGAAAGTCTTTGTGGAAACAACGAATTGCTCAGAGAAACTTGAGCGTTGATGAGATGTAATTACCAAATCACAAACGCCGCGTTCATCCATCTTCTCAAAGCTCGACGCGCTTCTCTCGGCGAGCAAGCTTCATCCACATATCGGTGTGGAGGGCGAAGAAATATGTCTTGACTGACCACGGACGTTCCTTATCCACCAGCTCAAAGTCGAACTTTTGGACCATCTGTGCTACAAACTTGTACAGCTCAATCTACAGAAGTTAGCATCCAAGACAACAGAAGAACAAACACTCGAGGATTGACTTACCATCGCAAGATCTCTGCCAGGACAAGATCGTGGTCCTGTACCTCCGAAGTTGAACAAGGCGTTCTCCAGATACCTCCCTCTTGCTTCATCACCCAGCCATCGGTCTGGCTTGAAGACATCAACATCTTGTCCAAAGATTGCAGTATCTCTGTTTTGCGCAAGACTGCACATGCCTACGATCGTTCCTGGTGGAATGAAGTGACCATCAACCGAGAGGCCACCGTCGGGGACGATTCGGTACAGCTGAGCAGGTACTGAGGAGTACATCCTCAAAGACTCTCTGACGACAGCTTTCAGGTATGGCAGTTGTTGCGTCTGTCTGAACGAGATCGATTCGCTGGAATCTAGTGCATCAATCTCCTTTTGCAGTTTCGCAACGACTGCAGGATTTATGCTGAGATAATACAGGACTGAGCGCATCGCAATACCTACTGTATCTGCTCCAGCGCCACTGTGTGCTACAGTAAGTACACATACTTCTAGAGAGACGAGCCAGAGACTACTCACATGGTTGCAGTGGCACCATCAACAACCTGGAGACGGGTCGGTGGTTTGCCTTCAGAATCTCTATAGGCAAGAAAGTGATCAATCATGTCCGGTTGAACTCCGCTACGATCACTCTCCTCATGCTGTCGGACCTTCATGGACGACCACTCGAAGAACTTCGAAAGTGGATTCTTGATGCCGAGGAGACGTGTCAAAGGATTCTCAATCCAGAAAAGCTGACCCCAAACATGACCCAGAACCGTGGAGACCATAAGAAACTTGATCAGTATACCCTGGACGTTCATGTCGCCGGCACCAGCGATTGAGCCGAGAGGTTCTCCATAACAAAGCTGGCCGATAACGTCCCAAGTCAAGGTATCCGTCCAGTGACACATGTCGACGATCGCACCTTCCGAGGCAGGTTTATCGAGTTGCTGCCAGAGCTTATCAAAGCAATCCTGCATGGAGCTTTCCAGTCGCAGCAGAGCAGTCATCTTGAAGGCAGGAGCCATTCTCCGTCGGATGTCGGCAGAGATCTGAGGATCTTGCGTGGCGAGTTGGTTCGGAGCTGCTTGTGGGCTTTGGAATGCACTATACCAGTTACTTTTCAGAGCAGGTGTACCATGGCCGTAGAGAGTTTTCATAGCCGACTCGTCCACGACCGAGAGCTCGTTTGGTGCCAGTCTGACTACCCTGCCATATTTCCGGTGAAGGTCTAGGATCAGATCATGCCAATCACCGATCGCATAATGATAGAGACGCCATAGACCTGTTATAGAAGCCAGTCGAGGACCTGGGAACTGAGCTAGAGGGTGGAAGAAGGCGTTGTAGCACAAAAGTAGGACACCAGCACCAGAAAGTGATAATAATCCTGCTATCCAGTAGTTCTCAGCAATCAGCGACATCGTTGCTAATTTACAGTCAGGAGAATGAAAGCATTAGAAATGCGTTGAGTCTTATTCATCAACGTTGCCTTAGGATCCCGCCAAGGTGTGGTCCTCAATCCTGCAGATCCCCCATATTGGTACGCAGTCAGCTTCATATTGCTGACCCGCATTGTGCTGCATCGGCTTGATCCTTCGCGCATATGCCGACCCTAGTTCATCTATAAAGCTTTTGCTTTCGAAAGTCCTCGTTTGGAGAAACGCGGGTTGGCTTCAAACCTTCGACTCTGTCGTAATGACAGCAGCGGCACCTACATCGCTGCCACTCGATTCTCCATCTTGATCTGAATCGTCGCCCTTCTCTCCATCATCCACTGTCAGATCCCACTTTCCAAACACCACCATCAATGTTGGCGGAATGGTGAATATCCACAGGGCAAAGGCGATAATCATCTGGTTGCGGTTCGACACGCTCGACGCACCAATACCATATGCGATTGCAGAACCGATCGACTCCCAGGATCGCATAATACCAGTCATTCGAGAGACTTCCCCGTTCTTTTGTGTGCCCTTCTTCGCGCCCAACAGCCAGTAGATGTACGTCTGCATGGCTTCGTAGAAGAACTTGAACAGGATGTAAACGGCAAATGCGGAGTTGAAAAATCCGCCACCACCCAAGTCGAGATCTGGTGCTGTCGAGCGATTGGAGATGTCGACTTCGACGACGGCATTCCAGATCCAGGCTGCGGTTACGACGATGGCAATGCCTAGGTAAATAGCTCGAGATTTGATGGTCGCAGTCAGCTTCAAATCTAGGAGCGCGCCGGTAAGAAGATTGGCTGTCAAGCCGACGACTGCGCTGAGGAACGAAGCCAGAGCTCTTGAGCGGACCGTAAAGTTGTCTATACACTTGTCAGCAAGGTTTGTAATCTGATGGCATATAGGTAAGTCTCATACTGGTCAAGTAATTTCCTTGATAGGTCGTGCCAAACTGCCCTGCCAGGAAGATCGGATAGAGCAACACGAGGTAAGGAGTTCTCAACAGTTTCCAGATGCCACGAGCCTCGATAGCAACGTTCGTCTTTCGCAAATACGGTACTGCTGTTCCATCACTCCTGATCACATCTCTAGGTTGCGACAAGAGTAGAGCGAATGGAGCACCAAGAGAGGAGATAGCAATGAGGCCTTGATAGGTTTTGTAGCTGACCTTGCCAGTATGAGCCGTGTTGACGTTGATGGCCAGAGAGATAGCACCACCAACAAGTGGCCCAAGCTGGCGAATGCCCATCCAGATGCCGACATACCTGTGTTGACGTATCAGTCATGCGACAATGTTGTCAGACGATCATGCGATAACTCACTTTCCTCTCTTAGCTTCCTCGGGGTATCCTACGGCTATAGCAGCCTCGCTAGCCCACAACAGAGAGGCACCCACGCCACACAAGCCAGCACCCAGAAGCAGGAACCATTCGTTTCCAAATCGGTTGTTGCAGTAAAGGCCAGCAGCATAAGGTGTATAAAATGCAGCTCCGAGTACCAGTGTCCACTTCGGAGTTATGTAATTTGAGACGCCTCCGCAGAGGGCGCATCCTATTGACATTAATCCGTATGTTAAGGCGTTTGCAGCATTGTTCAATGTTGCCTGTAATTTAGGTAAGCATGTCGTGCTGAGCGGGTATATCTATCCTCGAACTTACACTGGCATTACCACCAGCTCCAAGGTTGTTCAAAGCTGTCCAGATACCAGGTTCACAAAAGCCGACCAGACCAACGATGATGATCTGGAAAAGACATGACCGGTAGAAGGCTGTAAGCTTATTCAAAGCCATTGGATGATTGTTTGCTGGAGATATGAGTGCCGCCTTTTTGGGCCTGCAGCACATGCTTTATAGTTGACTTCGCCATGCTTAGGTCTTAATCTTATCATGGTTATGGAGCAAATTTTGTATCGTTGAAAGCACGACATTTTCGAGGACGAATCAAGCACAGCTGGTTAACCAAATCCTGGTCGCAACTTCCCTTGAGCCTGCAGAGCATTGGGCCAAGTCGATCAACAAGAGCACGCAACGCCCCACGCAGATGGTGCTTTGAGCTCGGGCCAGCAGTGATCCTTCCTAGCAATGTCAACGATGTGTTCCGGATAGACTCATCTTTTCACGTATCGCGATTCGAGCCAGAAAGGAAGTAGTCAATGGTGGCATAGACGTGATTTTCAAGTATGAACAATGTTTGATTTCTTAGCTGTCTCAACCACGTAAGACTACCTGTTTACAGACTGGTGAGTGATCGTTCTTCATTATCGTTCCGAGTGTTATACATAATCAACCACAAAAGCTGATTGTAGATTTTCCATGTCGTTTTCCTTCTAGAAGCTGTTGACAAGTGTGACGCCTGTTGTGTAGATCATCATGGCGATACCGATCACCATGAACACAATGTCTCCGGCCTTAGCAAGGCGTGACTCGGCGACACCCTTGTAATGCAGAAGCGGTGGGTAGATGTATACCAATGGCACACAAGCGAAAGAACCGATCAAGGCCACGAATCTGTCGAGGTTGCCAGCACCTGCGATGGCGATCGCAATACAGACGCCAGTCAAAAATGTTCTGAAAGCGTTCTTCTTCCACTTGGTAAGCTGATCCTTCTTTCCGGACAAGTGACCGAACATCTTTCCTTCGATGATACGCATGGCAGGGAAGAGCTGCACCGGGTTTCCGAAGAGCACGGCCATTGAGTACAAGAACTGAACGGCGTTGACGAGCTTGCTGTCCTGAGGGAAATTCGAGATAATCTCGATCTGTGTGTCGTCTCCAAAAGTAGCGTAACACAGAGCGCCAACCGAGGTGAAGATGACTGTGATGATGAGCATGATCACAGCCAAGAGCCACTCAAAGTTCTGAGGCTTCTTCATCGAAGACTGAATAGGCAGGATGAGACCAATGCCTTCAAATGTGAAGATGGCCGATCCAATTGTCAGTGTGAATTGGTTGGGGTTGAAGAGTTGAACAGTAGGGTGAATACCCTCTTTTGCGAGGGTAGCGATGTCAAAGTAGTAAATATAGCCAAGACCGATCATAATGAACACGTCAGCCAGCAATGCGACAGGACCGAGCTTTGAGATGTTGCGAATGAAAGACAGGGGAACCAGGACGACAAGCTGCATAGCGATCAAGGCGCGGACCGATACAGGCATACCGCCCTTGACGACAGCTGCGAGGAACGAATGAAGGTTCTCGGCGACGAAGACAACACCTGCGCAGACGAACCCGATCTGTGAGATTGTGACCGAGGCAAGAATGAGAGATCTCATCTTCTCTCCAGCGATGGCCTTACCAAGGTCACCGTAACCACCGCCATACTGGTTGCGGCACTTGAGTAGCAAGTGGAAAGCAAGCATGGAAACGGCCGAGATGGAGACCAGAGTCAAAGAAGAGAAGAGGATACCGCCGTTGTTAAAGGCCTTGGGAAGAAACATGATACCGGTACCGATGAAAGCCTTCAGAAGCGTGAAGAAAGATTTGACCATGCCAGCATCTCCCTTGGGTGCTGCCCTTGACGACTTGCGGCGGCCAAGAAGAGGTCTTCTCTCGGTTGGAGGTGCTTCTTCCTCGTCCTCTTCCTCCTCAATGGCTTCGTCGTCAGATTCGTTGAGATCTTCACCAGCGAAACTTCCGTAAAGATTCAAAAACTCGACAAAATTCCTGGTGACAGGCATCGTCGCACTGCTGAAAGCATGCTGTCTCTGCATGTACTGACGACGGAATGCTCCAGGTGCACGAGCTTGAGAAGCTGTCAATTCCGAGTCCCAGCTTTCTCTGCGAACACGAGGAGCGGAGAATGTCGCAGCCCTTTGGTGCAGTGTTTGACGAGGTTGAGCATTGAGCTTGAATATATCTCTGTGGATGTCTCCTCCCTGGAGATTGAGGGAAGACTCGACTCCAGAATCATTGTTGCCAGTAGCCTCGCCGAATTCGGCAGTATAGCCTGAGGGAAGATGTTCGGAGACGACCTGAGCCTGCTGCTCCTCCTCCTGGATTTCCTGTTGCTCTTCGGACATGGCGAAGAAAATTGGGTGAAAGAATGTTCAAGAAGAGAATGTTCACAAGTATCGCATCCTTCAAGCTCGAGCGGTGAGTTTGAAGACTTCCAACGCTGTCTCAAACAAAATTGCCCCTAAATGACGTACCGATGAGAAGCCACCCGATATCACGTGCTGGTGCGCCAAAGCCAAAACAAAACTTGCTGGGACCGGCGCTTGCACCAGCGAGGGACCCGACCACGACCAACCCGGCACGTCGCACCTTCTCGTCGCGTTCACAGTGACATCTTTGCTCGTATCTTCGCAGCCATCACTATGATTGGATTCTGGTGTACTCAGGGAGTACCAAAACAACAATTAGAGTGTTTGAGTCGCGCTCTCAAGAGCAATCATTACATGCAGAAAGACCGGATCTGAAAACTATAGCGACGCCGGGATCCCGACTGACACAGGTCATCTTCGCTTTGTCCACGGCTCGGCGACAGCATGCTATATCGCTGCCCGCAGCGCTTCACTAAATGGCTTTTTGTATGGCATGGGCGTTTGTTTGTCGCCATTCCTTTCACAGGCACGACTCGCTTGGTTCTCATGACCTACATCCTTCCAATAGTCGGATGGTCCCCGACCCTAACTCTAGTTGGCACAACGGATGCTGAGTTACAAAGAGCTTTGAGTGCTCCAAGTATTCTCACAAGAAGGTAAGTAGATAGCTGTATTGACGCTTGTTGGCTAATTTTTGTTTGACCTCATGGGTTTGTGCGCAGTGCTCCTGAACTACACAGCCATATTGATCATTGTTCCTCTAGGCTGAACTTTCCTCGTCGGACGTCTTCTCAAGTAAATTTTCTGCAATCGGCCAAATCACATTCATTCAGTCCAACACCTAAGCACAAGCTATGGGTGTTAGGTTCGGCGTGTGAGATCGCGACAATGCGCCCATTGGTACGCTGCCTGCCGACTTGAATATGAGCCAATACAACGCTCGATAGTATTATCAACCAAGCCACCAGTATATCGCCGTCTCCAGCACGTTTACTATCCGACTTCCACTTGCCAATGACTCTGCTTCTCTTTCGGACCCCTACATGACTGGAGAACAAGCTTTGCAGAACGGCATCATTATAATTCGGGCTGCAAAAGTGCACGATCTTTTTGGCCATTGGAAATATGCCCAACGGAGGCTAGTCAAGTATCCTCTCTCGGTGCCAAAGGGCTCTGAGACCGTGTGGCAGCCATATCCCCTCACTATTCAAGACAGAAATGCTGTTGTCACTCTGTTTCACAGTAGGTACGCTCAAAAGCTGGGTCACTGTTGAGAAACAACTCACATTTCTTTCACTTCTCCTGAATCGTACAAAATAGAACATGCTTCATTCAGACACTCTTTAAGAGTCAAACACAAAACTACACTACGCAGAACAGTGGTCAAGAGAACATGCCAGACATCTTATGCTTCACTGTGAAACTCTCATACATCGCGGGTGACTGAATGATGGAGGTGCTCGGGCTTGAGTGAACGGATGAAACCGAGCTCGTCGGATACATAGAACATTCCGGACTCGAGCTGCGTTCGCGTTCGAACTGCAAATTTCGCTAACCTTTGATCTTTAGCCATCTGACTTCCATCCACTTCTTCCCCAACGCACGACCAACTTCATTCGAATCCGACAAGCTCGTCGAATTCAACTTGTGCTCCGTTCGCATTCGAGTTGTAAATTCCACCAACCCTTGATCCTTGACCATCCAACTCCCATCCAAATTTCTTTTCTTCAACGCACGAGCGAGCAACTTCACTCGAATTCGACAAGCTCGTCGAATCTACAGAACGTTCCGGACTCGAGCTGCATTCGCATTCGAACTGAACTGAACTTCACCAACTTCTGGTCCGAGAAGCTCGTCGAATCCACAGAACGTTCCGGACTCGAGCTGCGTTCGCGTTCGAACTAAACTTCACTGATCCTCGATCCTTGACCATCTAACTTGCATCCACTTTCTGTTCCCTAACACACAACCAACATCACCCGAATCCGACAAAGACATACCTTCCTCGATCATGTCTTCCACCACTGCCTCCATCCTGGAGAACACCAAGCCCCACAACATCACCGCTTGGAGTTACGATATCTCAGTAAGTTAACATCACTCGCCCCTGTTTTGACGCCTCGGGTCTTCGACCGTCATGATTCATGCTCGTCCCGGGCATCTTAGAGCCCTCTTTCGGAAAGTTGCGTCCATGCACGACTCTTCGAAAGATCTTGTATTCCATCTCAGAAGTTCCGGCTATCTCGAGCACATTAGACCTCTTTGTCAGAGGTTGCGTTCACGCATGGCTCTTCAGTACCACCGTCGCCCCTGTCTTGACGCCTCGGGTCCTCGACCGTCACGATTCCTGCTCGTCTCGAGCATCTCGGAGCTCTCGGAGCTCTATTGAGAAGTTGCGTTCATGCACGGTTCTTCGAGAGACCTTGAACTCCACCTCAGAAGTTCCGTCCATCTCGAGCACATTATACCTCTCTTCAGAATTTGCGTTCACGCATGGCTTTTCAAGAGGTGTCGTGTACCACCTTCGCCCCTGTTCTGACGCCTCGGGTCCTCGACCGTCACGACTCCTGCTCGTCTCGAGCATCAGAGCTCTATTGAGAAGTTGCGTTGATGCACGGTTTCTCTAGAGTATACCGACTATGTCAACCACGACTCTGATCCTCAATCGTCACTGTTTCTGCTCGTCTCGAGCATCTCAGAGCTCTGTTGAGGAGTTGCGTTCAAGCACGATTTTTCGAGAGATCTTTGTGTCCCATCTATATCAACACGACTGGGATCCTCGACCGAAAAAAGGCCCTCACATCTAGCATCCTGGACATCTCTTGAGAACTTCTGTTCCTACACGGCTTTTCATGAGGTTGCGAACATTCTAGGCCTTTCTAAAAACTCACCTTCATACACGACTGAGAGCTATTGTCACTTTGTCTGTTCACTTTGCTAACTATCTCAACCTCAGATCCAGATGCTCGAGGATGATATCTCCAAGCTGAAGAAGAACCCAACTCAAAACAACCTTGAGCATATCTTCAAGAAGGAGACTTCTATCACTGAGAAGAAGATCGCCCTCGAGAAGCATTGTCGCCAGTTCGGCATCACTTACAAGAAGTTCGGCACTGAGGAAAGTGAGATCAAGCTTGAGTCTACCAACGGCGAGAAAGCTGAGACTAAGACCGAGACTGCCAATGGCGAGGTAAGTGCGGTGATGACTTCCCTTCTCAATCCATACTGACAAATAAATCAGGCCGGTGTCATGACTAAGGACGAGGCCAAACACACTCCCGTCTCTTCTGCCGAGGTCCCTGTTCCTCTTGTTCAGGTCAACAAGATGGAAACCGACAGCAGTGTCCCTCCTATCGACGCTGCCACTGATGCAGCTAACGCCGCTGCTCTTGACGAGATCATGTTCCCTCCTATTACTGGAATGCTCAATGGCATCTACTCTCCTCAGCCTCATCAAAGCGGTATGTCCGCTCAGGCCCTCCTCAACAGCGACTTCTCATTCACCCGTGCTGTCGATGCTGAGGTCGACGACCCCTTCATTGCTTCTCCCGGCAATGACACCTCCACCGGATTCTTCCCTTCCTCACCCTCTTCCAACATCAACCAATTCCCCTCCTTTGGCGGCTTTGGAGGCGGCGGTACTGTCGGTCAGATCAACGACGGCCACTTTCCCGTTGAGAACTACACAACCGCTGGCATGAACATGACCACTGAAGAGTTCATTGCCCAAGACCTTGCCCGTCAGGAAGCTCTGGCCGCATCCGGCAAGATCGCTCACAATGGTGTCGCCCACAGCGATATCCAAGACTTCGGCGCTTCTGCCGGACCCGTCAAGGAACCTGACTTCAAGGCCGACGACGATGACGAGGACATGACCTTCGATGCTCCTGTCATTGAGCACACTAAGGTCGTCATTCCTGGCATGGAGAATGACGATTTCTGAAAAACGACAGTCGGGGAGGAAACCTTTCTGATGGAAGGACGAGGCGTAGATACGTTGTAACATAGACCGACGGTTTCTAGACATGGAATCAAGGCATGAAGCCTGGGATGGGAGATCTTTATGCTACTATACTTCTCCTTATGTGTGTCATTTCTCTCGTGCTCTTGTGTGTGTCTTGTGAGATGTATTGAAGTGTGATCGTACTGCTTGTTTGCAGGAATGCAAGTCAGTATCGTGTGCTCACATTGAGCATTCTGACAGATGAGCTGTTTGATCAGGATTTCACTCATAACGACCGTAATTCGTGATCTGTGTGTACGAAACCGGCACAACCTGCTCTAGTATAGAATAGAAGTCCATCAATTACAGAAGCCAAAGTATTTGATCAGTGGTGGGCGCAATAATGTCGTCGTTCATCGGAAAATGATCGTCAGAGGGATGACCCTGCCCAAAGCACCTCGATCGCGCCTTCCACAAGACCGTCAGATCTGTCTTTCATCACCTCAGTCTGCAAGAAATGATCACCAGGATTGCTGCAGCTTCATCCGAGGACGTCGAATAAACGAATTTCGCATATGCATCATGAATCTATGTACCTTCCGTCGTAACACTCATCAACAAGCCTCCAAACACCTAGATTTCACCCACGAAACCGACCTCCACCAACTTCTCCACTGGAACATCAAGCTGCGCGACCTTTGCTCTGGTGTTCTCTCTGACGAAAAGAAAGGCCCCGAGCAACGTCTTCTTCACCCATCCGGTCATCTCGTATACCCTCAATTGCTGCTTGCCAACAAGATACAGCGTTTGTGTTTTGAACGCATTGTCCAGCGCCAGCAGACGATGAGAAGTAACCAGCGCGGTAGCACCAGAGGTCGAAGATTCCGGTCCATCAGCGGCGAAAGTAGTAACGGTCGCAGTATCAGCATCCAACTCTCCATCGCCAACGGTGTGCAGCGCCCTACTCATCACAGTCTCCGGCACCGTCGCTTTCGGCCTGCTGACCACAGTTCCCCTGACAATAGCCATGCGTACTTGCTCATAGACCAATTTGCCCAAGTCAGGAGTCACCACTCTGTCAACGTAGCCATAGCGTATAGTCATACGATACACATTAGGCAAAGGCGTACGAGCGATAGTGTAGCGATCTTCCTCATGAACATGAGGTTCAGATAACGCGCGCAAGTGCAGGAAAACCACAACTTGCATCTGCGCTTCGAATTTCGTGATGAAGTGTTCATACACCTGAGGGACATGGATGTCGGTGCCAGATTTGTCGAAGAAGATGCCCATGCCTTTTGTTTCTGTCAGTTCGCCACCGCCGTGTCGCCAGGAGAGATGGAATGATTTCTTGGCTGACATGTCGTGGGATGTTGCGGTGGAGGAAGCAAGGTTATTGGATGAATATACTACTAATTCAGAGAGTTGGGCTTGGGTCTTGGCTTCGGTAGTCCATTGTTTTTCTTTACCGTAGCGCCAGAGGCTGAAGAAGGAGGCGAGGAGCATGGCGAGAAGGAGGGTGAACCATGCGCCGTCTGGAACTTTCGTGAGGGCGGAGGAGAGGTAGAGGCCGTCGAGGGTGACGAGGGGCAGCCAGATGGCGAAGACGAGGAAGGGATTCGTTTTCCAGACGATAAGTGCGACGAGGGTTACAAGGTTCGTGGTGATGAAAGTGACGAGGATGACGCAGACACCGTAGGCATGTCCGAGTTTGGTAGTCTGTAAACATGTTAGCTATTCGTGGTATTTGGAACAGTTCTCCACTGGGCTACTTACGTTGCTGTAGACGGCAGTAACGATCACAGTGCCGACCATCATGATCCAGTTGGCCAGAGGTATATACACCTGCCCATGGAATTTGGTGCTAGTATAAGTCGCCTTGATCTGCGGAAAATAGGAAGAATGCATGAGCTGAATGAGCAATTGGAAGGTACTGGTGATGAGAGCTTGAGAAGCGACAATGGCGGCGAGAATCGAAAGGACAAGCGAAGGGTAAAACATGCCAGGAGGCACAGTCTCGAAGAAGGGATTGGCATATGCTGATGGGGTGCGAGAGATATATGCTGCTTGGCCGATGTATGCCAGAAGAAGACAGGGGAAGGTAAGGCAGAGCCATGATATCTGGACAGCACTATTGAAAGTCAGATATGAGGCTTCAGGTGGACTGGACATTGAAGCTTACCGTTTGCTGAAGGCACCGAGATCAGCAAATAATGCCTCGACACCCGTGAAGCAGAGCAAGATGCCACCGAGTGACTGCCATCCCTCCTCCTTCAGACGCATGAAGTAGAGGCCGGCATAGTAGGGGGAGAAAGCCTTCAAGACTGTCCAGTCGTGCATGACGAGATTCTTCCGTGTTTGTTAGAAGGCTTGCAGTCATAGACGATGAATGAGCAGAACTTACATAGATACCGAAAGACATGTTGAACAGCAACCAAAGAATGACGATAGGAGCAAAGCAACTGGCCAACTTCTGAATGCCGAGTGGTTGCAAAACAAACAGCAAGACGAGAATTGCACAACTGACACCGATAATTGTCGGGCTACCAATGCTGTCGTCGACTACCTTCAAGCCTTGGATAGCTCCAAGCACCGATTGTGCGGGTGTAAGAATACCGTCTGCGATGATCAGACTGACACCGAAGACGGCCAGGATCTTCAATATCGCGTGTGCAACCTTGCTCTTCTCAAGCCAAGCTCTGATGCTACGACTTTGTCTATTGAGCTCGGCATTGGGGTATCTTTCCATCTTGATAGCGTGATATGTTCGTGGGTCTCTTTTCATGATATCGCTCTGTACAAGGGATTAGGTCATATTATCGGTCTCTCCTTGCTCGGAATGAACCTACAAAGCGTGATAACAAAGTATCTGGTATCGGTGTTAGTAATTGAACAGTACATAGAGAGAAAAGCTGTAGCTTACATATGGCAAATGTGCCTCCTTCTCCTTCATCGTCGGCGGCTAGGACGATTAGAACATACTTGATGGTAACTATCAGGGTCAAAGACCAGATGATGAGTGACAATGCACCAAGAAGGTCGTCTCTCGAAGGCTCAGAGCTGAATGTAGATGAGTAGACATAGAGCGGACTGGTTCCGATATCACCGTAAATCACTCCAGTGGACTGGTAGGCGAGACTGAGGAAGACATGTCAGTAAAGATACACCACGTGCATGCGAAGCAATATTTACTAGAGTAGAGTCCATCCTTTGAACGTCTATGCGGGTCAGTAAGGCTTGCGACTATAAAGCTACGAGACCGTGACAGTCACGAACCTGTTTCTTCTTGTAATCGCGCTCTTCCAAACCATATGGCTCGTCCGACCAGACCGATTCGATATCGGCCTCCTTCTCAGCGATAGACTTCTTGCGCGAACTCATGGACGATTCTTTCGTCCGTTCTCTTTGCAGAGTCTTGTCGTCGAAATGTACGTGACCGTTCTCACTCATTTGGCAGCGGGGTTCGAGGCAGGAAGGTGTCACAAAACAAAGAGGGGCAAAACGACAACAAAGGGAATGTGGAATGCAGCTCAACCACCTACTTAAGCTGAAGAGAGGCTTCAGACCCGCCATCTGCCATGACGGTAAATTATCGAGTCGGACTAGATGACCAGCACGTGGGACGCACAGCAAGATTACCGAGTAGGCAGTACGAGGCGGCTGCAGCACCATGGTTCCATGATAGTGGTAGTAGGAAAATCACGCAGTGGTTGTGAGTGGTGGTGGCAGTGCGACATGTTCGCGGGGGGAGACGGTAGGTGGCATATAAATCGCGCACGATACAGACGTTCGTCCGGGTTGGATGGAAGGATGTCTATGAGCAAAGCGTTTTACAAAGAGAAGACTTACGGATAGTTATCGGCGGGGCATAGAAGCACATGTCAGCCGCGGCCGGTGAAAGGTCCATAACGATGTGTCGAATCGAGCGGTGTACATGGATGAGGCAGGTCAGCATTGCTGCGCGTGTGCAGATGTTAGAGGGGTGAAGGCTTCGGAAGCACGCGCTGTCGATCGTCAAAGGGTCCAAACACGATTTGTACCTGGACGTTTGAGAGACTCTTCAACTGCCAGACCAGGTACCTTTAGGACTACGCTCTCGCGTCGAAGTGAAGCCTTTTAACAAGATACGAGATGGTATGTATGTTCAAGGAGAAGGAGAGCTGCTTTCAGCTTTGTACGAATGTGCGGAGAAGGGGCCCAATCAGGGGTCGGCTGTGACTTGAAGCTTTGGCGGTTGCACTACATTGCGACGGTTTAACGGAGACTGACAGCACAGCAACCACCATCGTGCTCCTCTTCCTTTTGTAATCGAAGAGTCTGTCGCCTACCATCATCACCAATCCAGCCACGGAATTCTTTCCCTTTGTCATTTCTATAGCGACTCAACTAAGCCCTATCCATCCGTGCACCTGATCATGCCTTCACAACGCCGAGTCAAGGTCTTTGCCCTGTTGGCAGCTCTGGCCGTCCTCAGTTTCATCTACCTGTCTTCAGCGGGCTCATCTACGCGATCGAGCGCTTTCTACACAAGCACATCATCCGCACTCAACGCGAAGCACCAGGAAGCTCTTGACCTGGAGAATCACCAAAAGATCCAAGAAGTCCACGAAGCCGCCGAGAAGCAGAAGGAAGCCGCCAACATCCGCGACCCCGATCTTGCTGCCGTACCCGGTCAGAAGGTCGGAAAGGACCAGAAGCCATTCGCTGTTGACGTCGAGAAGGCTGCTGAGAAAGCCCAAGAGGTTGCCGATACCGTCAAGGAGGGCGCCAAAGACGCCGTCCATGGAATCGTCGATGCCGGCGAGAAGAGCGTTGCCGGAAGAAAGATAATCAAGGGAGAGAAGGGATTGAAGGACGACGGTGTGGCCAAGGTTGGAAACACGGGAGCAAAGCCTACACAAGCCGCAGATGCCGATGATGAGTCCGAAGAGGAACACAAGGTCGAGACTGAATTGAATGCCATCCTGAAGAAGAGCCCGAGTACGTATATGGAGGCCAGGTCATTTACAAATACACTAACACATACACACAGTCATCATCTTCTCCAAGAGTTACTGCCCGTACTCGAAGAAGGCAAAGGCTATTCTGCTTGAGCAATACAACATTGTCCCTGCTCCCTACGTGGAGGAGCTCGACCTGCACCCTCTGGGCCCTCAACTGCAAGCCGCACTCTTGAAGACGACCGGCAGACGCACAGTCCCTAATGTTTTGATCAACGGCAAGAGCATTGGAGGAGGCGACGATATCGCAAGCCTCCACGAGGATGACAAGTTGGTTGCACAAATCAAGGAGTTGGGAGGCAAGCGCATCATGGAGGTGACAAAGGCACCCCCAAAGGCCGCCGTCAACTTCAGAAGCTAAATTGACCCTACCTGACCTTGAGAAATCAAGGTAGAAAATACGTTCTTTTGTTTATTTAATGTCACTTGACAACCTTTCGTATTTCAGCATGGGAGGCACAACATTCAGCGATATCACCAGAATAAGGATTTGGAAAGAGGAAGGGTATCAGTTTCTGCTTTTGACGACCGTGTACAGAATGTTACATCAGGCGCAAAGCGAATGTCTGCTGCTGTGGATCGAACGGGTATTGGGTGTTTATGGGGCGTAGTTTCGGTATCGAACAAAATACGAAATAATTCAAAGCACTGCTGGGCGCTCGAGTTGGCGGGTATAGAGACGTTCAGTGAACAGAACAAGGAGTCTTTCTTTTTGAAGTCGTTAATGAATTTTTGGTCCGCGAAAATTTTGCCCATTTTCATTGAAGCGCTACGCAGCCCGTACAGCAAAGTGCCCTGATCCGTCATTCGCCAAAGTTGATGAAACAAGTTGTCGCTTACTCCTCGACGATGTTGCCGCGCTCCGAGACGTAGAGACCGTCCAAGAACTGTAGTATGTGTTAGCCAGGGGTATTCCAGATGATGCGATGCGACAGCCGTCGGGGGCGCGCGGGGAGGCATGCGCACCTTTCTGATATCCTTGTTGCGGACTCTGCAGATCTGCTGGATGTCGGCAGCGCTCTGGGAGACCTTCTCGAGGTCGTTACCGGTGAGCTGCAGCTCGTCCTTGACGTTCTTGGAAGCCTCGACCTCGACACCGTCGGCCATAACGACACGGCGAACGAGCTTCTCGCCCAAGAAGTTTCTGATCTCAACCTCCATGCGGCCAGTCTCGTTGTTCTTCTCGAGGTTGACGTTGATGGGGAAATGGGCGTAGACGTAGCGCATCTTGTACTTGTAGCCCTTGGTGACACCAACGATCATGTTGTAGATGATGGTGCGGACGGTGCGGAGAGCGGCGACGTTCTTGCGGGCACCGTGGTGCATCTCGATGTCGATGATGTTCTTCTCGGGGTGCGAGAAGCAGACAGCCAAGTGCTGGAGCGACTTCTGGAGAACGCCACGGGGGCCGGTGACGGTGACATGTCTGGTCTTGATCTCGACCTTGACTGCGTGGGAGTCAGTCCAAAGCGCTCTTTTCTGTATGTCCTCCTCGGTCTCTGTCTCGGCAGACAGCAGACGGGTGTTGCGCAAACGTACCACCGTCGGGGATGGTGAGAGTCTCCTTCGAGTGAATGTACTTCATTTTGGCGAAATAACTGGATTGACGGGGTGTCGAAGGGAAGTTGTCGTCGTCGCTGGTCGTCGCTGCCGGATTGGAGGTCGCGGTTGCAAAATTCAGTCAAAAGCCCAAGCGAGCTGTGTGGGCTTGGCGGTAAGTGGTCCGAGCGCCGCCATCACTTTTACTCTCTTCGGACTGGACACCTTGAGCACAATACACATGTTGCACCGATCATGGTCATGGGAAATATTGCAAAGACAGACTTTCGGTGAAGGGCTTGTAGTCATCACGAAATGTGGTATTCAAGTGGTGAGAATAGGTATCGATAATATCTAGCAAGTGATGCTCCCGGTCTCTTGCACACTCATATCGTATGGAACAGGGAATTGATCACTTCTATGGTTAAAGTGATGTGAATTTTAAGGCATGGTAGTCTTGCTGCGAAGTTGTTCGAGGAACGCCTCCATTCAAGCTGTTATTCGCTCACGTCGGATGACTGTTCTGGTGGCTGGGGAGGTCGGTGTTGCTCGACGCGCCAAGGCGTCTCCTATATAACCTGCCCTGACTCCGCTTCGCGACTTCCCTCTTTCCTTCTCACGCCTGTCGGACCGTCTCGACTGTGTGTAGTGACAGCGGGTTTCGACCCATATCATCGCACGTCTTGACCGGAACGCAGGCGTCAGTCTCATCACGCGGGTGGCTCGGTAAGCGTGTTCTGCCCGACCCCGCGTGTGAAGTCGTCGATGAAGAGTATCGCCAGACACCACCGTCTTCGCGCGAGAAATCTCGACAAGAATGATCGCAACTTCACTGTTGCTCAGGATCGTTGTTTTGGTTATGCGCGACTCCGACTCGGGGAAGAACGGTGACCTTTGGATGCTCGACATCTTCTTGGAGGACCTTTGCGGACCACTCGAAGTCGTTGGCCAGCCTTGCCCGTTCCACTTCCTTCCGACTGGAGACGTCCAGTTCGCTTACGAGTCGTTGAGTCCCATCCGAACAGCACAAAGGATTGGCTTTACGCCTACAAAGGATTGGCATTACTGCCTTCGGAGGAGCTCGTTTTTAATGAGTTCGCACCTTGCTAGGGAAACTGTGCCGAGACTGCGAACCGACTTAAAACAAACTCCTCCGTACAACGGATTGGCTTTACTGCCTACAAAGATCGTCGGATAGTGGATTGCAAGTCGGCCACTTGCCGATCTGCTTCCGACAAGAAGCCCAGAGGACACGGGCAGCTTGCCGCCAGCAACCATCAGATGAGCTGTCTCACCCACTTCGCATCTGGGAGCTGTACGCGGCCGAGTGCCCTGTCCTCGAAGATGTCTCAGAATCGAGGTTACGACCTCCTGAATCAAAGAATCGAGTGGTTATGCTGAGCTGCTTGCTCTCGCGAAGGCCCCGCCCTTCGACACCACGAGAGCTTGCGGAAGGCCCATGGCACTCCAAGAATCGAAGATGCTGATCCTGCCGGCGACAAGGCTCTGATGCAGCGTCGACAGCACGTGTATACTGCTGTCCGCTTCCCTCCAGAATGCTAGTTGTGGTAGAGGCTCTTCAAGAATTTCTCAAGAATCTTTCACAAGAATCTCCCTGAACCAGCACGCAAACCCGGCGTCGACTCCTCGAGGGTCCGCGGTAGTGTTGATGAGACCAGCAGCTGACTCACAGTGTCTTCACTGCATACCAGTCGAGCAAGCAAGTCGAACAGGAGTCAACCTGTCTAAAAAATCACTTCAGCGATTTGCTCACACCTTTACGTTGGTGCTGAAGATAAGTACGCCAGTCGAGCGGAAACCAAGATGAGCAAGCTATTCATGAACCGATGTTGTTCTATTCATATGTGCCATACACAGTCAACCAAGCTATTTATCTTTCCCATCAAGATCCGTGCATGTGCCTGTGACGTGTAATGCTGTTTCCGTATGCTCTCCGCCTTCTGACCAAAAGTTGCTTTTGAATAACGAGGCCTCATGTCTTTCTGCTTACAAGATGGCCGACAAGAAAGCATGGAACTTGTGATGTTCATGGCAAAGCTCGTCCAAAGCCGGAGCTTCACCTGCAAGGGAGCCTCATCGATGTCGACGTCGAGTCCGAGTCGACCTTGGCGGGTGAAGCCGCCATGATTTAAAGCGATTGTTTTCATGTCAGTTTGCTTGAAACATTCCGAAAGTCAACAATGACATAAGACACATTCGTTTACAGCATCCTAATGGCAAACAAGAAGGGCGCAAACGCGCAGAATGGCCAGCAAAATACCGCGGCAGGCGCATCTTCAGCATCTTCTTTGATCATATGCCGCAATAAGTGAGTAGGTGCTATCTTCTCTGCCACTTTGTTTCCCGCGCGTCCTTCTACCCTGGCTCTTGGGACGCATATAACTGACATACAACCCATAGACACTGGCGATACATATCATCCTTCCACGGTCCATGGTTGCAACTACCACCCGAGATTCTGGATTCACTCGCTCACCAGAATTATACACAACCGCTCCCTCGGTTGATTGACCCTGCCGTCTTCTACGATGTAGTCAAAATTCGACGCGCAGTCGACGAAGCAACAGAAGATGCGGTACGCGCCTCGAACGGAATGTCGACGACGGCCATGAACAGTTCGCTCAACTATCTGGATCCATTTGGACAAGGAGGGCCACAAGCGCCGAAGATGAGCAAGGAACGCATATACAAGATACGGCAGAAGGCTGCGCGATTGCTAGCGAAGGCATACTCCCTGGATGAGGTCGCAGCAAGTGTTGCGACAATGCAATCCACAACTTCTCTAGAAGAAGTCGCATTACATGTTCTAAGGCGCGACCAGACGGACACCGAGGCCAAATACGTTCACTTCTTCCACGAGAAGATTCCTTCAAGGATGATGGAACAGTATACTCCACTTGAACCACTCGACGATGTCATCTTGAATTCACCCTGGGAGCTACAGGGTGCTCCATTGCGTACCCGCGCTCTTGTTCAGATTTTCAAAGGCCAATACGAAGGAGCTGCCAGCGATCTGACTCTAGGCCTCAGGATAGCCCAGGAGCTCAAGAAACTACACAAGCCCGGAACTGACCAGTTGGTCGTGGCCAAGCACTTCAAAGAAGAGCAAGACCGATGGAACAGGAGTGGTAGAGACTGGAGACAGGTACCACAATTGAAAGAAGAAGACCAGCCAAGTAGCTTGGAGCAACAGATGCTGTTCAATCGCGCCGGTGTCTATCTCAGCATAGCGTGTGAGAACGTCCATGCTGCTTTGGATGGTCTCGAAAAATCACGGCTCAAAAGTGAGCAAGGAGAGTCAATTCCCATGTCGGCGCAAGAAAAAGAGGCTCACCAGGTGAGACTGGATGCGCGAAAGAAAGTCAAGACCAACGCCAAAAGGGCCCTAAAGGACTATCTTGCCTTCCTCGGTTACTTTGATTACACACCTGGCCTGCCTGTGGAGATCATCGAGGAGATTACTCGTAGAATCAATGAGTTGGCGAACGGTAATAAACAGACAACGATACAGCGCAATCGCTTGCTAGAATGGAACAGCCATTCATCATCAGGAAGGAGTAGTCCGACGGTGGACTCTATATCATCACACCGATCAACACAAAACTCGGATTCTGGCTTGGATTGGGATGCAAATGGATGGCCCAGAATCCCTCATCGAAAGATTTATCCTTCCTCGGCTCTGTTTGCCGAGAAGCCGCTACCAGATCTTCCTGTATTTCCTTCTGCAGAACACTCGTCGCAAAGCGAGGGCTCAATGCCAATCAGCACCCGCGAAGCCATCACATATCATCCTCTTCTTACTGACGGGCTGCACTCCTTGTTACTAGCGCATGCTTTGATTCAAACCTCACCGACCGAACTTCTACGACACGCCCACAATGCTGCCCGTCTTGCTCGCCTCGCAGATGGCTATCCCATCTTTCAAGCTGCCCGTTCACCCGCACGAGCTGACTGGATCGAGGTCTTGCGACGCGCAAACAACTGGATTGGCTTGTCACAACCTTGGCAGAAGCTCTGTCAATCGGCTCCTCTCACGCCTCAGTCGGAGCCAGATGCCACAGCAGGTGCGCAAAACGGAAGTGCATCTGCAGGTGCCATGACCGTGAAGAACACTGTCTCCGAAAGCGAAGAACAAAAACGTGAGCGTAGAAAGCAAGAGGCGATCATTGATGCTCTAGGAGACGAGCGCGTCGTCGACGAAGAGAGCTTTCAGAAAGCCGTCCGTGCTCGCGAACGTAGAGCGATTGAGGATGAAGAGGGTTTAAGTGGACCATTGTATGACGGACACGGTAATCGCGCCCCTGCGGCCAAACGCTGGGCACAAGATGACGGCAAGGAATACCCCATCTCAACCGAAAGAGCTGAGGCAATCTGCCGCTGGATCAAGGAGGCACCACTGAGCATGGGCGTGAAGAAGAAGCGTCCAGTCAAGAAGAAGAAGGTGCCTGCCACGAACGGCGCGAGTGCGGCCACAGAAGGACTGAAGAACATGCATGTCCATGAATCCTCGGAACAAGTTGACTGATTAAGCATCACCGATCCATGACCACGCCTACGGGCAAGATCGGTCACTATCATAATGTTGCAGTAGATGTCTCCTTACGATAACGAAAAAACACAAATGTAATTCCAAGACCTAGACCACGGTCGCTGACATCTTGTCTACGCAAAGAAGCATATTTTTCCCGTTCCTCCCTATTTGTCCGGCGCGTATCGCAAATTAGCCTATCAGCTTGCGGTCACCACATCCAGTGAGCTCGACTGCTTGAGACAGGAGGAAGGTGTTGTCATCCAGCCCGTTACCATATGGTGGATTCACACAGCAATCTTTCTATCAATTTACTCCTTGTACTGGATGCCGTACTTCACTTGTATCTGATAGATAGGCCTACTACTGCTTTGGTGCCTCCCTCATAGACATGTCAAAGGATGGGGTGATTCACTCAGGAGGACGATTCTGTCGTCCAATTTACGTTGAGGACATAGCTGATAGCCAAGCAAGACCGAGAGCAGGAAGACATGCCAGCCAAGGACTCGGCTCTCTAGCAAACGCGAGTCGTCGTGATCAAGACTCGCCTTCATTCATTGGCGGAGCTTGAGCAAAGATGCCAAATCCGTGAAGTACCCAAGTACTAACGACGTCCTTTGGTACACCTTTGAACCATGGAATCGATTTTCTCCATGGCCAACTCAGCTTTTCCAAAACATCATGAGGTGGAAGAATGAAAGAATCTGTTCGCTTGGTGAATTGATTGATCCGCACATGCAATCCTTCTCGAAGAGTGGACCCATCGAGGGGCCCCGTGGAGAGAGCGAGGGCTTGTGCGGTGGGGGGACTTTCTCGACGTCTGGACTTCTGAGACCTCTCTTTTTTTTTATTGCAAGCATCGGTGCACCCACCCACCTTCTACCATGCCCTAATCGAATGAATGCAGTCTGGGAAGCTCCACGTGAGGTCGAGTCTCTGACAACAATAAACAGATGCCGCACGTGAGATCGCCTTGAAACAAAGCTCGCCTTTTTTCCTTCAAAGCCTCGGCCGCAAGAAGCCGGCGCGAAAGCCACCAGAACTCAAATGTTTGTCCTTCCACGAAACAACATCTTTGCAACCACATCTTGAACCAAAAACTTCATGGCAAGAAGAAAGCAACGAAATCAAGAGGCTTCGTAATCTCGTCATGCTGCACTCCAGATTCAATAGCGCGTTCCGGCGCGACCGGCTGGTACTGGATGCACAGCGGCGAGGCTCTAGTGCACATGAGCCCTGGTCGAAACGGAGACGCCACTGATTGGCGGAACAATCCAATTCCATGTGATATATTTTCCGTGAGGGACAAGCGAGAAACGACATCCAGGTGGAGACTGAGCAGGACAGGCCTGGGGTCCCCAGATGGGCAGAACTTTGACTACCAGAAAGAGCATGGTCTACCAACGACCCCATATCATGGTCTGTGCCGGCCTGGAGTGGCGTGGGGGAGGAAGATACGGGGGGATATTGTTCCATTTCGTGAGGAGAGATTGGATCTGCAATATTTAACAAGGCCTGCCCTCCTTCTGTGTATCTCTTTCTTTGTACATCTAAGGATCAATCTCGCCGAGCACTACGACCCTATCACGGGCCTTCTGCGACCACGACCTTTCCTTGGACAACACCTCAATCGTTCCACACAGGCTCAACTCTGCCTACTACTCGCTGCCTTCGTTCCATAGTCTTTCCCTGTCGTTCAAGAAAGACCACCGCAATCATGGGCAAGTTTAGCATGAGCAAGACTCGTGCCTACAACTGGTACATCTCGCTTGTAGCAGCATCATGCATGGTTCTCTACGGTTATGATGCATCCGTCTTCAATGCTGTACAGGGATCCAAGCACTGGGTCGCTTACTTTGACAAGCCCGTATGTTGTCCCTGATTTACGCAAGAGATGTCTAAGACTGACCTCCAAACAGAGTCTCCAAACCATTGGTGCCATCAACACTGCTTACACTGTCGGAGCTATCGTCGCTGGTTGGTTCATGGGTGGACCCATTGCTGATTACTTCGGTCGTCGTGTTGGTATGGCTTCCGGTGCCACCCTCGTTATCATCGCCACATTCATCCAGACCTTCACACCTCGTCACAACCTAGCATGCTACATCGTCGGTCGTGTCGTTGTCGGTCTCGGACAAGGTCTTGCTCTGACTGCCGGACCCATCTACATTGGAGAACTCGCTCCCTCGGAGATTCGTGGAAAGATCATGTCTTTCTGGCAGATGTTCTACAGTGTCGGTTCCTTCATCGCCTACTGGGTCAACTTTGCTTGCTCGAAGCACAGAGCCGAACTTGGCGAGTGGGACTGGAGAATGGTCACCATCTTCCAACTCCTCATGCCCGTCCTCATCCTGTCTCAAGTCTTCTTCATCCCCGAGACCCCTAGATGGTACCTCCAGCACGGTGACGACGGCACCAAGGCCAAGCAATCCTTGATGAAGGTCCGCGACACCGAGCAAGAAGTCGACGATGAAATTCTCATGATCAAGGAAGCCCTCGAGTTCGAAAAGGAAGCCATCTCCAGCTCATACTCTGCCCTCTGGAAGGACCCTTCAGTCCGCAAGCGTCTGCTTCTCGCATTCGTCCTCAACGCCGGTCAACAGATTACAGGTCAAGGCACACTCAACACCTACAGCACAATCATCTACAAAAAGGTCTTCGCCAGCGACTCCACCATCGCCCTCATCAACGCCCTCAACGCCACCTTCGCCATCTTCTTCACCATGAACGCCACCTGGACCGTCGACCGCTTCGGCAGAAAATTCCTCCTCATCATCGGTGCCCTGGGCATGGCAATGTGCATGGTCATCGTCGCAGCCGTGGTGACAGAAACACCCGGCGGCAACACAAAATCCGAGCCCGTGGGTATCGCCGTGGTCTTCCTACTCTTCCTCTTCGCCTTCTTCTACAAGCCTTCATGGGGCGCCACGGTCTGGATCTGGACGGCGGAGATTTTCTCCATGAACGTCCGCGCTCAAGCTGTCGGTATGGCTTCACAGACGCAGAATGTTGCCAACCTTATCGTCCAACAGTTCTTCCCCACTTTCTTGAACAACTGCGGTTTCTACGCTTTCTACATGTTTGCCGGAATCAACTTGTTGCTTGCGGTGTTTGTCTGGTTCTGCATTCCCGAGACCAAGAACGTTACGTTGGAAGAGATTGACACTCTGTTCGGTGGTCAGAACCACGTGGAGAAGGGTGGAGACATGATGGGTGTCATCGATGCCAGACACGCCGAGGGAGAGAAATTCGGAGTCGAGCACATTGATGAGATCAGAGAAGACAGAAGATGATTGTGATGTATATATTGGTTGTTTATGATGGACATGATGGTTTTTTTTGCTTTGATATCCCAGAGTGTTTGATACTGTCAAGCATCGCACAATATGATTGTGCTATTTTCTACTTTCCTCGGCTTGCTCCTGCCTTTCTATACTTGCTTGAAGTGATGTGCTCAACATATGCAAGTCATAAGCCGTAGGTCAGGTTTGGCGAGCATCTTAGGAAGGAGCTTGCGAGCATTCATCCGGAATAATACCCGATCGTGCCTACCTTACCACCGCAGCTTGACTGTCACCAATCATTAGAGTAGCATCTGCCACTCAGATCCAAGCTAAAGTCCACCATCTTTGGCCAGGCTTTACTAAAGAAGGTGGTAGGAGTATCGTGGATATGGAGATGCAAGTTGCCAAGAAGGGTGATATTTGATTTGGTGCTTATCCGGATCGCATTGTGAGATTCAATTATCATCTGAACATGCTATGCGACCACTCATGCTACAAGAACAGATAACCCGTAAGAGCCCATCATTATCATAATTCTTCTTCCTCATCCAACACTAGTTATACTCCCAAGCAGCAAACCCCTCCTTGACATCCTTAGCCAACAAACTGACCATCGTACATGCATTTTTCCCCGTAAAGCCATTCTGCTTGACCGCTCCATTCTCATCTCTATACTCCAACCAAATACGATAAGCCTTATCCGTAGCATCCTCACTGCACAACCAATAATCATAAAACTTGCCAACCTGATTCAACGGCGAGATTTCAAACCCACTGATTTGAGAACCGGCGGGCATGGCGGCGGAGTGAGGGATGGTGTAGGTTAGGAGTCCATCGGGTCGGATGTACACTTGCTGTCCACCTGGCACTTCGGCATTGAGGAAGAGTTTGCCGTCGCCGGAGGAGGTGAAGGATGTGTTGGTGCCGGGAGGGCAGGGGGAAATGTTGGAGGGGCATGAGGTTGAGGCTTTTTTGCCGATCCAGAAGGAGCCGTTGGAGGCTTGGATGGGTCCGTTGAGGGGGGAGTTGCTGAAGGAGATGTCGAGTTCGAAGGGTTTGGCTGGGTTGTGGCGGGCTTCGAGGGGTGCTGCTATGGCTGAAGAAGCAGAGGCCAGGAGGGCGATGGTGTTTGTGAACTTCATTGTGGCTTTGAACTGTTGTTCGATGATTGATGTTCTTTTGTGTCTTGCGTCAAGATGGTTTATCGTGGGTCTTGTAGATGGAGAGATGTTTGAATGAGAAGGAAGTCTTCAACAGAGCATCGCTCTTACCTTATATATCTGATGGAGATGTCGATCAGCGAACACGCTCCAACTGACTAAAGTACCCTTGATTATTTTTAGTCAAGCATAAATTGTAGATCCGGGTAAGAACGGTCGAGAAATATGTGCGATTCGTATCCAAGTGGTCGTCTGGGCAAGTGTCAAATATACTACTCGGAGGGCAATGGACAATGTGACCCCGTTTATGCTGCAAGCGTTGCAGTCCTGGCTGATCAACAAGGCCCCGGTTGCTTAGAATAGTAGCACAGTGGCATCATGGTGTTACTCTTCTTGACTCGGGATATTGTGGTCAAGATTTAGTTACGGCCATAGCATGCATGTCACTCGTCACAGCGGTGAAGATGGGGAGGTGGAATGAGGGGAAGGTGATGGAGGAGAAAGAGCTCCACGGGCCGAGGAGGGCGTGTGCTCTGGAGTGACAGCATTGGAAAGAGCTTGGTAGAATGCGTCCGAGGACACGTCTTAACATATGGTATGCCTCGACATCGCAAAGACGTAGCTTGAGAAGGAGATTATGGAGAGGAACAGAGACAGTTCCTTCATGATGCGGTCAAAGCGATCGTGAGCTGGCGTGATGCCTCCACGATGCAATGTGGAGAACGAGATCTCGAGTACGTCATGACAGCCAGCTCGATCAGATATTATCTATTCAATCACCAGAGCTCCCCAAACACTTCCCTCTTCTCAATTCCTCTTGCTACAAACTTCAAGCAAAACTTCTGTAAAAACCGTCAACATAGCTTCTCGAATCATCCCCCGTCTCACCCTCCTAAGCCGTCAAGCAACACGCACAATGGCCACTACATCCTCCACTTCCACCCCCCAGCCTGCTCCCTGGAAGCAGGCCTTCCTCAAGGACCTCGACAAGATGGATTCGCCCGAATTCGTCTTTTCCTCTCTGCACGCAGCTCCCAAGGACTCACCCACCCCTTACCTGCCCCGCGCACGCTACTGCATCTTCCGCGGTTTCTGGGCCGAACTGCCCGAGAACAAGCACAACGAAGCACCCATGAACCCCCGCGTTTTCGAATCCGAAATGCCCACCTTTACCTCTGATGTTAGAATGATGAAGGTGCCCGAGCTGTTCAGCAGTGGCAGCGGACATGCGGACAAGGAAGAGCAGATGCAGGGAAGTGGCGGTGGTGGTCCTTGTGAGGCTGTCTACTGGATCAAGGAGACCGGTACGCAGTGGAGATTGAAGGGTGAAGCTTTCGTGGTAGGACCCGATATCGAGGGCGAGAGCGAGCAGAGCAAGGAGAGCAGTGGTGTGAGGACTGTCAAGAGTGAATTGGGCAGCCGTATGAGAATTGTGGATGAGGGCAAGCAGGGAGAGTGGTCTTGGAACAAAGAGCTTACTGCTCACTTTGGAAACAACTCGCCTGGTTTGAGAGGTATGTCTGATCTTTTCATCGTGATACACACGAGCTCAATGCTGACTTACTATCAAGGTTCGTTCAAGGCACCCCCGCCCGGCAAACCGACCTCGGAGCCCTACGACGACAAGAACCTAGCTCTCGGCACCAAGGTCGAGGACCTCAACGACCCCGTCGCAAGAAAGAACTTTAGAGTTGTCGTCATCAAACCCGAGGAGGTTGAGCAGCTCGACCTCAGCGACCCCACAAAGGCACGCAGACAGGTCTACATCTACCAAGCCGACGGTACCTGGAAGCAGGAGGAGCGCTGGCCTTAAGACTTCCGTGAAGTTCTCATGGAAAGCTCACATGCATATAAACGACCATCAAGACAAAACATCAAAGTAGAAATCATAATGCAATTTAATCATGTCCATAACCGTCCACCAACCAACGCCAACGATCCAGAGGGGTATATCAAGTGAAGAAAAAGAGAAAAAGGCGTGAAAGAAGAAACAAGAAACCGAAGAAGATGAATGCCGCCCAAGTCTTCAAACCAAGCTCTGCTCCATCTCTGTAATGTAGAGCTTGATGTGCGACTCCATCTTCAAGTATTCCTCCTTTGCACTTTGCACCTCCATATCGATATTCTCCTTCAAATCCGCCATCTTCTTCTCCGTCTGTTCAATCCTAATACGTCTTCTCTCAACCTCTTCCCCACGCTTTCGTCTTTCTTGACCAAGCTCCGAATGCGTTTGCTTCAGACTCTCCATGCGTCTCTTGGCTTCTTCTGCTTTGGTCTCTGCACCGTGTCGTAGGTTATTTGTGCGTTCTTGGATTTTGGAGAGTTGTTTTGTGAGGATGCGTTCTTGACGTTCGATCTCGAGTACGTTGTTAGTGCGCTCGGAAAGGGCGTCGCGGTGTTTTGTTGCGCGAGAGGCTTCTTCATCTTCCTTCTTCAGCTCGGTTTGGAGGTCTTCTAGGAGGCGTGTGAGTCCTGTTACGTCGCCGTGGAGAAGTGTGAAGGTATCGGTGCTGGTCTGAAGGGCACGGGTGCGGCGGTCGAGTCGGTCAATTTCGGACTTGTCGGCTGTGAGGTTGGCGTTGAGGTCGCGGAGGGCGGTTTCGAGAGCTGCGGGACTTTGCTGTGTGTATGGACGCAGTTTGTCGGCCTCTTTCCTGACATTGATGGCTTGAGTCTGCTTGTCCTCGAGGGTCTGCTTGAGTCTGCTCTGCTCAGACTTGACGCGGTCTAGCTTCTCGGCCACCTTCTCCTGGCCCTTTTTGAGCTCGAGCAGGCGGGCTTTGAGTTCGCTGTTCTTCTTCTCCTTGTCACGCATGGCTTGTTCGACATTCTTCCTGTTGCGCTGCATCTCCTGCAACATCTCCTCCTTTTCTTGGTTGCTGTTGTAAAGCTCCTCAATCTGAGCCTTTGTTCGCTCGGTGCTGTTGAAGTACTCATCGATGACCGAGGTTTGCGACTCGCGGAAGCGGATGAAGTTGATGACATAGGAGAAGATCTTGACCAGGCGCGGATGTGTCGGCTTGTACAGATCCTGGAAGGTGAAATCTTTGATGCCACATTCGAGCAGCAGGCGGCGCAATGTGACGAAGAAACCCATGAGGTCGCGAGTGTCGGCGGTGAAGATCCTATCTGGGTCGTCGCCAGCCAAGTCGTCGGCCGCAGCCTTCATGGCAGGCGCAACGACCTCGCGCGTCGTGTTCATCAACAGCTCTGCCAGCCATTCGAACACTTTTTGGATCTGCTGAGGGTTCGGCTTCTGAAGGTCTTGGATGGTGAAGGGGATGCCAATGTCGCTGATACATCCTGCAATCTCGCGGTCGGGCTGTACACAGATGGCCGTCAGTCGTGTGTTCACGCTGTCGTGAGAAGAGTCTAGGACTCACCAGCGTCATGAAAGCATCCTCATTGTCTTCTTTGCGAGCCCTAGGCTGACTCGACGGCTGCTGTGAGCCTCGCGGCGCCATACTCATACGTCCACTGTATGCCATGTTTATCGTCCTGTCTTGTGGTATTCTTTGTTGTCGCAAAAGTCGACTGCCTCGAAACTCTTCTGCCCAAATGTGGGGTAGTAAACAAACCCGATGCACGGACCATCTGATAAGCAGAACAGGGTTGCATCGAAATTGACTTGGTCCCTCTGGGAGTACTCATCACAGTCACGACTTGTAAATATTCCTCCTCTCATAGTCTTGTTCTGTCCGAGCATTCAAGTGCAGTATCACTATTCATCGAGGTATACAGAAGTTTCTCAGCAGCGAATTATGGAAATGGTCATTTGCATTAAAAAGTGTGAATATGGATAAGTGACGACTGTGTCGCTCTAAAGTAGACATTCGGGTATCAACATGAAGAAATGAAAAAAACATTAACAAGCACTTCTCCCTCTCTACTTCTTCTCAGCAGTGACTGGGGTAGTCTCGTTAGGGGTAAGGGAGCCCTCGCGAGTCTGAGGGACACCGTGGGTGAAGTCAGTCTGACCAGACTGCATAACATCAATGCCAGCAGGGCTCAAATCCCAGTGGTCCATCTCCTCGTCAAAGAACTGGTCAAGGTCAAGACCTCTGATTTCAGCCTCCTTGTCGACACGCAGGTGCATGCCGGGGATGTACTTGATGATCATGAGCAAAATGTAGCTGACGACGAATGAGTAGGCGGAGATGGCGGTGATCTCGGCGAACTGCTTGCCAACCTGAACACCATTGCCGTTGTAGGCGCCGGGAGCAAGAGTAACGCCATCGAGAGCGGAGATGGCCTGGTTGGCGAAGATACCGGTGAGGAAGGAGCCCATCATACCACCGATACCGTGGAGCTTGAAGACGTAAAGACCGTCGTCGATGCGAAGCCAGTCATTGATGTCCTGAAGAAGAGCGCAGACAACGGCAGTCAGGAATCCGATCACGGCTCCGAGCCAAGGGTTAACATAACCAGCAGCAGGAGTAATACCGACAAGACCAGCAATGGCACCCTCGCAAGCACCAACAACCGAAAAGCGACCCTTGTGACGGATGGCATCAACAAGAACCCAACCAAGGACACCAGTAGAGGCAGCAACCTGGGTGTTGAAGGCAGCCATCATGCCACGAACGGAAGCGTTGAGAGCACTTCCACCGTTGAAGCCGAACCAACCAAAGACAATGAGGACGGTGCCGACAAACACGAGGGTAGAGTTGTGAGGCTTGTGTTTAGCGTGATGATCCTTGGAGGTTCTCTTGCCGAGAGCCAAAGCGTAAGCAAGAGCGGCCCAACCAGATGCGATGTGAACGGGACCACCACCAGCCTGAACGGAAGTCAGCAAAGCTCTTTGCAGTCAAGGAAGAAAACTTACATAGTCGAGCGAAGGAAGGTTGAAGAGCCAGCCGTTGGCGTTCCATGTCCAGCAAGCGATAGGGCAGTAGACAATGGTACACCAGCAGAAGGCGAAGATGAGGGAAGGCAGGATGCGGCCACGCTCGAAAGCACCACCGACGACAATCTGTACTGTGCAAGCGGCGAACAGAAGCTCGTAAAGACAGAAGACGATCTCAGGAAGGACAGCACTGCCAGGAGAGGGAGCAGCGGCAACATTTCTCAAGCCGAAGTTGGCCATGTCGCCGATGAAGGGGCCGGCGGTGCGACTGAAGGCAAGACTGTAACCCCAGAACATCCACTGGAAAGTCACGATGGCACCGACCATCATACTTTGGAAGAGTAGTGACAGTCCACTCTTCTTGTGTGCCAGACCACCATACAACAGACCGATACCAGGGATAATCATGTAGACGAGGAACGCGCAGACCATGAGGTAAACATAGCTAAGTTGCAATTAGTGGATGATGGTATGATATCTTTTGTGATTGTCTTACTGGAACTCAAGACCTGCATATTGGGCATTGACATCAACCTCCAGAGGGTTACCTCCAGCGGGTTGGGAAGAGTTGAACTCAGGCTAGGAGTGAGATGTGAGTAGGGTGACTCAAGACCCGACCAGGAGGCTGGACTTACTGCTGTCGACATTATGATAAGACGAGAGCGATGACTGCTGCTTTGCAAGCAAGCAGTTCAAAAGTAGCGAGAGAGAGAAATATATGATCCAGGATGAGTGATATGCGAGAGCGGACCTGCAGGGTATTTCTACCTTTCATGCAACACCCCGTTACCGGTCAACAACTCATCTATCCTCCCACATTGCAATCATAGGGCATCCTTTATCTTCGCGACTCCTCCCGTGTTCCATACTATTGCCCCATCACCCACACGATCCTTCTACTCCTACTCGCATCCAGACGCCAAGAGATAAGGAAACCAGATATCAAAGCATCCATTTCAAAGAAAGCGTTGTCGGCATCTGAGTCTTTTCTTTGTAAACGTCGGAAAATGTCGAAACATCCGGCTTAGTGGTTCATGGGGGCTTGAGGTTACCGACTTTCTATGGCCTGTTGTTCCGAGCACATGGGCAAGTTGGGTGTACAGGTGAGGTTCCGACCTTCCCAGAGATAAGGATTCCTCCACGAGGCGCTCCCGAGGGCGCGCTAGCGATGGATATAAGAAGCCGTTTCCATGGCCGGTCGTAACGATTCGTTGACTAATTTCGTTTCGTACTCATTTCGTTCCCGGGCTATATGGCACCATGTGTCGGTGACCAGGGTCGGACAGAAATGTTGTTGGAGCTCCTTGTTGTCTTGTCAGCAGAGTTGAGAAGTTTCGTCGAAGCGCAGCCAAAGGATTCGTTGAACTGATGCGGGCTGCGTTTGCCCAGCTTTGACCAACCAACTCCTGCGGGCAAGACGGCCAATCCTGAACCACGAACTCTGCGTCAACTTTGGCTATAAATTGTCCGACATGCATGTCTGGGCACGAGAAATAGAGTGTAAGCGTGATGTTGAACATATCAGGTAAGTTCTTCCACAAATAAGCATGCCAATGTTTTGGCGTGCCCACTGTTAGAAGGCACCTTTGAGCCATCCTTTCATGCAGTGTAACTGTGCTTATGTAGTAGCGGTGCCTGGGCATCACATTTCAAGCGAACAGTTCTTAGCATCCAAGAATCCTGACGACTGACCCCTCACGAAGTAGTAAACTGGCCTCGCCAATGTTGAGCCTGAAATCAGACAAAGATAGCATCATTGTGATTAGCAAGTGGGACACCAACCAAGTACTATAGTCTTGTATTGTGAGAGAGGTGAGCTTCTGATGGAGTCTTTTTGGTGCGATTAAATGTGTCATTAGACCTGCATTGTGTTCTAGAGAAAGGCATGCTTAGACCAGAACTCCTCAATCTCTTACCTGGATGTATCTTGTATATCGCCATATTTTGAAACGCCTGGACCTGGAAAATGTAGCATGGGGGTGTTTTCAAGGCTTATTGTAGTAATGGGCCATCTCTAGGCCAGCACGCTTGAAGCCGCACTTGACATAGAAGCCCTCGTTGGCCTCTGAGCAGTCGAGGATGGTCTGTATGTCGAAAGTCAGCATTGTGATACTCATGGTAGACTTCAAAGACGGAAAAGAAACAAACCTTGTAGCAGCCGACCTTCTCAGCAACGTGGTCCAACGCTTGAATGATGCGCAGACCCAGCTTCTTTCCTTGCTGGTCCTTTGCAACAGCGATATCCTCGATGTGTCCAACCTGACCCAGGCTGTGGATACTATTGTCACCCGTATCAGTACCAAAGTCTCTTTGGACGTATCTCTCCTCTTTCTTGAGACTCACAACTTCTTCTCGACAATCAAGGCACCAGTGCCGACAATCTTGTTCTCGCCGTTCAGAATGACCAATGTGTGGTAGCCACCTGCACCTTTTCCCAGCGCACCAGATGCCTGCATCTCTTGGAAGCGCTCGTTGAAGTCTTGTTCTGAAACATCGCCGACGGTGGTGAGGACGGCGAGCACGTCTAGGAAGCCGGCATGGTAGTCGCTCTTTTGCAGAGGACGAATTGTGTAGCCCTCTGGAAGGGCAGCCGCGACTTCGGACGAGATGAGGTCGGGTGAGAAGAGAGACTCGGAAGACATGGTGTGATCTGTCGGCCGTCGAGGGGTGATCGAGGAGGAGCTTTGGAGAGAGTTGTTTTGGCTTTTCCGGTATACTACTGGTTGCGCATATGTGGACGGTTGGACGCAAGCTTCTAAGCGATGACAATGTGCAATGCGAGAAGTTGTAGTTGTTCGGGGAGAAAGTTGTCCTGGTCACAATATTTTGGACTCGAGTTTCCCCGGACGACAGCTTGAGCCTCCGCGCGGCTGTTCCTGCAGCGGTGCCAAATTTAGATCACGATTGAGTTAGGCCCATCTGATCAGCAGTCTGTCTGTCTTCTGAACACATACCTTCAACAACTGGAGTTATCCTCATCTCATCACTGATATGTGAGGTTCAGATTCACGAGGCCGTTCCCAATGCACTTCCTGGTCGCTTGAAGGCAATGTACAGGCTTTACAAGCAGCTAAACCATCAAGGTATATTTCTGAAAATGGCATTGACGACTGTCGATAACAACCGACTGGCACCTTTGTTTTCAGGTATTCTCCTGCTCTGATGGGATTTCCATTTGCGAAATCGCAGCTGTTGTCTCTAGCTTCCCAGTACGCAATCTCGAGATTGCATCATCATTTAGAGATTGTTCTGCCCGGGTCCTCTCGGAGTCGCCATTGCGGGCATACGAATACCCATCGCACTGGGATTGACAGCCCGTCTCTTCGCCTCATCTATCCTTCCCTTTGACAGACTGATGGCTGGCACTATCCACTCGCCACAACTGCATCGCATACCTTGCCAGGCATATTTGCCCACGTTGGCTTTGCACTTTTCGTTAGGACATTCCAGCCTTCCTTCAACTTCCCCCTTCTCCAGCTCGGGTCGCATCCATGACAGAGGATCTAGGAAGTAATGTGTGCAGGAATCAGCCGGACCTCTTTGAGCTTGGTGGGCGATCAGGAATTGTGATGTCGCTAGTGTGCGTCTGCGACTTCGTTAACGTTTCTGGTGGTCTGTCACTCAACAGGAATGACTTACCTGCACTTTCGGCATCGCATGTCAAAACCACCGTCATCCTTCGCTGCCACATGCTCATCCTCAAAGCGAATCTTCTCTGCTTCCGGGGCCTGTCCGCAGGCACGGCTCATCTCTACCTCACGCTGGTATACCCAGCGTTGGTACGTCGGTGTATCTTCTACACTCTCTGGGGTGTTCATCTCATGATAGAGTTCCAGCTGCTTCATGAATCCTTCATTAGGCTCACAGAGCGGTCTACTCTGTCTGATTTGCTCTAAGGCCTCCGATGGAGAGATATGATACTTCTGCATCAGGTACGCAATAACGCATGTTGCTGATCTTGACTTGCCCATGGCACTATTGTTGATGCGTTAGCTTGTTCGTGTGCTAGAAGAAGGTTGGAGGCCAAAAGACTCTATTTTTCTGCAACTTGAAAACGATAGAATGCAGAACGAAGAACGGCCAAGCATATTAAACTTACCAGTGTACAAGGACTGCACCTCCAGATGCAAGACCATCTTCGATAAACTGAGTGGCTTTCGGGAAGTGCTCTAGCAGATTTTCGTCCTCGACGTCATCAACTTCGACGACCATGTGTTTGTATCCTTCGAACAGCTTCTCCTCGAGCGGAAGTCTCAACACGGATAGTACATGTGTGATGCCGGCCTCTGCGAGTTGATCCTTGCGTCGTAGTGTGAAGATACTACACTTGGAGTCAGTAGACTTTTCCAACAGATGTCTTGTTCTTTCTGAATTGAGGAGATAGTGATAAGGGTGTGTTCGTCACATTGCTGCATAGAAAAAGAATTCATCGAGAAAGATCAGATTTTACGCACCCTCCGATGTAAAGCTTGAGATCGCCAGGAACTTTGTCAAGCAAAGACATGATAGCGTCGTGTTGTTGGATAAGTTGGGGGTGATGTTGTAAAGAAGGCAAATGGATTCGAATAACTTTCTTTGCTTTGATGCACACAAGTCGCCGCCTCAAGGTGGATGGATGGTTTGGGGTCACCGCAGCGTGTGCACATTTTCACTTGGCATGTCTACACAAATTATGCACTCACATGCACGGACTTGGTTCGCCGATATCGTCGTTAAACATTGCCATGCTGACCTTTTGGGCTTTTGGTGCTTCTCTTTGTGCAAGTTCCTTGCAGCCTTGCCCGATCGCCCTTCTCAGACCCCCTTGGTCACTGCTTCTCAGTCAGGGGCGGCGGCTCTTTCCATTCTGCAGCAGTGGCACATAGGTCTGGCCAGCCAAACTTGAGATCCTCACCATCCACAGCCTGATGCAAGCCGTCGGACAAGCTTTGTCGTCACGCTTGAGCAAAATCGGTCTGCGCAGGCGTGTTTAGATAGCTGCTAGCACTATCCACGAGCACATGGAGAGTTTGACTCGCGCCAGCCCGTGGAGGTCGTCGATTTTGTGTTTTGCCGGTTATATTAAGTGGCTTGAAATGTCGAGTCCGTAGGGCATAAGGCGGCTTAGGACCACAGGCAGAGACATGGCTCTGGGACGAGGTACATGGGACAGTCACTGCCGCAATGCTCTAAAATTGAATATCGAGTAGATTGGCATGATCCCAAGGACAATCTCACCATCAGAGGGGTAGCTCTTCGGCTACAGGACCAACTAGTCACAGGCGGGTCCTCTCTACATGCAACTCACGCTTAAGCAAACACAGAGCACTTTTGCATGAATCGTGCCTCTTTGCATGTATCCACGGCCAAAACGTGGGGCATGGTCAAGTGGGAACATGGAACGGCGAACTTGCATGGAAACGGGGCTTTAGGAGGCACCTGTTCCCTTGGTGTACGTACCAACAGAAGCCATGCTGCCAAGCAGCAAGTTTAGACCTTGAAGGAAGTTCGGTCTCTTTTTTCACACGCGCTTGGACTCTGCTGACTAGGACGGCTGAACGATGGAAGGTCGAAGGCCTTTTCTCCTCGCGAATGAGATTGAGTGGGTGTGTGTACGGGCGTATGGCGGACGAGCTGGGCGTCGTATGAGAACGGGTGAGTGCTGCGTGGCACATGGCGGTGCACAAACAGCTCAGAGGACTTCTAGAAGACATTGAATGGCGGAGAGGTCGCGAAGTCTGCCGTCTTGTGCAGCAGACCCTGATAACCTGAGTGGGGAGCAGGGCCTTGGGCGTGGTCCAGACTGAGGAAGAATTCCCAGCTAGGCACAGCATTTTTGGGAGATCGACAGAAGCGATGTCTGAATTCTGCTCTCTGTCTTGGGGGGCACCAAGTGACAAGGATGCAGCGGAGAACAGCGCCTGCGTGTTTTTACATAGGGCTGATGGGAGCGACGTGAATCAAGATGCTCTGATCATGCTCGACTCCTTTCCTCAGCATCAGCTTACACTAGGTTCTTAGAGTCTTGTCGTGCCCCCTCTCTCCCCAGCGGCAGTTGTCAACGCCTACAGCGCCGGCTTCGCCAAGTAGTAGCCCACGGTGAAACGCTCTTTCCAGTTGCGCGCGCCCTTCCATCATGTGTGGTACTCCTTCAATTCGCATCAACTCTCACGACCACCGCTACCACAGTCCGCCGTCCAATTCTCGCCATTCGCCCCATCGCTCGCTGCATGCGCCGGCGTCGCCGATGGCCATTCAATCCCGAGCACAAGAGTCCCCGGTGCCACCAGCCCTCCCGCCGCCCCGCGATGTTTTCACCGACGACATGACGCCCCAGGCGCAGCAGAAAGAATGGATGTTTTTCAACAAGGAATATGTCGATCAGCACTGGACCGACTTTGGCAAGGCCGCCACTGTCAGGCCCGGTTCGAGTCTGCTGGGCGGCAACAAGGCGCATCAGGGCTCCGAAGGCGACGACCACACACAACATGAAATAGACGCCTCCCGGAGAGGCAGCTCCATGTCCACCGTCACCGCGCCGCATCGCAACTCTGAGGCCATGATCGATCCTTGCGAAAAAGACGAATCAAAACTCTCTGGCTATAGGTGTGTTATTCTGCCATTTTCTTCATGTCACGCTTGTCGCATATCAATCGCGATCCGATCAAAATCTCAAACATTTGCCGTCCGGATTGGTAGCCCATGATGCTGCCAGTCAATATACGAGGGCTTTGTTGACTGTTGATGTGTTTACGGCTTGGGTCGAAGCCCGGCCGACGCTTCGGCTTTTGAAGACACGGACTATCCACCGTTGCTATAGAATCGTGAATACTGACAACAAACTCTACAGACTTCAGAGCGAACGACAACTGGAGCAACGATCACTCAGCACCTCATCGCAGGCTTATGATAGAAACTTGCTCTCAAAGATCGGCGGACCGAACACGCCCAATAGACTTTCGGTTTCAGGCGGCCCGGAAACCACAGGAGCCGTGTCCCCTGGTGCCGAGCCGACTGCAGAACACGCCTCAAGGCATCTCTCTACCTCTTCATCTGAAAGGCGCCATCCTTCGGTCGACAGCTCGACCTTTAGATGGTCTGTATCGAGTGCTGCCTCGCCCGGTCCCTTCCGCAACCCCAACTTCAATCCGGAGAACAGCCGGCCGACAGCACTGCGACACTCGAGTTTTCAATTTGACGACAACGCCTCGCATCGCAGCAGTTATGATCAATCAATGTTCTTGCATGACGAGTTTTCTACAGAGGAGGGTCAGATGAAGGACCTGAATCTCAACGATCGCGATGATTTCCAACTCCACGCAAAACCAGGCATGAAGAGGCGCGCTTCGTCCCCGCATAGAGATTCCTTACGCGAGGACCGCTCTTCCGTTAGTAGCGCCCCGGGTGGCAGTGACTTATACACTCGCCGCTCTTTACAACAATATCCTAATCGTAATCCCTCAATCTCGGCGTCGAGGTACGCGCCGAGCCATCATGGTTCAATATCTTCTGCCTCATCATACAACCCTCGAAATGGTTCCCTGGCCTCATCATACACGCTTTCCGTCTCTAGCAGCGCTACGAGCTATGCGTCAGGACGTATATCGCCTGGCATGATGTCGCCAGCTATAATCGACCCGGAGCTGGGAGCCATGGGATACACAAATGCTAAGCCACTGAACAATCCAAGCCCTGGGCCTCAACAAACTATGCCGGCTTACTCGCGCACAATGTCTGACACTCCCGTCCATACGGCTCTACAAACTCCCGTCGACAGTGCTCCACAATCACGGCACAACAGTCTTCCTGGCGTACAGGGCATCTACATATGTGACTGCTGCCCTAAAAAGCCAAAGAAGTTCACAAGTGAAGACGATTTGAGGTTAGTTTTGAATGTTGATAATGCTACTTCTTAAGCCCTCACTAACGACATACAAAAAGGGCTCACCACATGGAGAAGCAATACTCATGCCTCTACTGTCCAAACCGCTTCAAGAACAAGAATGAAGCGGAGCGACATCAGAATTCTTTGCACTTACGCCGTCATTCTTGGTCGTGTGCCGCTCTCAATGCAATTGAGACAATCTTCCACACATCGCCTACCACAAATGGAGCAACAGACATCTGCGGCTACTGCGGTGAAGAGTTCCCCAACCCAGCAGACTGGAACCACCGACGCGACCACGTCCTCGGGACACACAAGTTCGGCGAATGCAACCAAGCAAAGAAGTTTTATCGCGCCGATCACTTCCGTCAGCATCTCAAGCACAGCCACGCAGGAACGAGCGGCAAATGGACCAATATGCTCGAGACGACGTGTATGCGTGACGAACCACTGCCTCAACCCATGTCTATGGCCGGCATTATGCACAACAACGGTGCACCGGCGATGCCTATGATGGGTATGGCGAATACAGCCGGGCCACCTATGGGCGGCAAACCAGAAGTCATCACAGAGATGCCGCACGAAGCATGACATTGCATGGAAGGATTGCATTCAGAGACACATCTGGTGTAACAAAGGCTGACGTCGGGGGCATAAGATGACATTTTACCCTGCATCGTTGGCATGATAGTGGAGCCATAATAGAGGGCTCTCGCCCTGGCTAGTAGCGTGCCGATGGCATGACAAGAGGGGTAGGTTCGATGCGAGGGAACCTATCAACGCTATTCATCACCAACATGGTTCGTCATAATAGAAGCGACGAAAAAAGGAGGGGGTCAGCAATGACCGCAAGGGCGAAACGAAAGGGTTGCTGCAAGAGCACAGAGAAGGGTCGCTGCAAGTCTGTCTCTTCGGAGGCCGCGGGTCATACCGATAACCAAATTTCGTCAAAAGACCCAATCACGAACTATTTTTTTCATGACCATATAAAATATTCAAGGCGTTTTTAGAGAGAGCAAAAAATAAAAAGTCAGGGATTGGTGTTTTCTCTCCAGCCAGCCAATTTTCTGGCTGGTTTCTTCATATGAACTGTTCGACCTGTCTTTTGTGTTTTGTCGTGATCCTAACTAGGCTATTATCTTGAAATGTTTATATTGTGGTTCTTCCTCGGCTGGTCTACCTATTTGCGGAAGGAGACTAGAAAGCAAGGAGAGTTTGATAGAAGTCCGTGATATGCGTATTATCCGAGGTGGCGTTACGATGGAAGTCCGATCGAAACAAAGAACAGACGCACACCCGTACGGGCAGCTGCGATGGCTTTTTCGGACTGCGCTTCGTATTGAACGATGGCTTTCGTATTCCGGCCTTTGTTTTCCGCTTGGCAGATGCCACTTGAGTGCTTCCTCTTTATTTGCTGCACTGTCGAACTCGGGTTTTCGAGTCAACTGTTGATCAAACATAAGCAGAAGGTGACATGTGACAAACATGTACGAGGACTTGGTGTGACACAGGATCCAATGACAGGGCCACTCGCAAAACAAGCATTCAGTAAGCAGCCAAGAGATTCTGAATGTCGTGATATGAGATGCGAAGGATGAAGGATGGATAGGCTTGATCGGGCTTGGGGTCAGATGTGCTGGACCCAGATTGTCGGTGTCGGACCGTCGTACGTGTCTCTTGCGCTGGCAGATTCGGGCCTGATCCAAATGCTGACAAGGGCTGAAAGAAGAACGAGGGCGAATGCATCGTATCTGCCTCAGCCCTAGTGCTGACAGGTGTCTTGGCGGATGGCGGTGGCTGTGTGCGAAAGACAGGTCGTAGACAGTGACGCAGAAGGGGCACACATGTCTTCTGAAGTGGGGCGACTGCAGTATGCGACTCCAAGTTGTTATGCTGGAGTGCTGCAGGAAGCCGGCGGGTAATGCAGACGCTTGATCACGCTGATGTGGCGGTCAAGGACAAGGTTGTTGGCAGGTCATGTGCAAGGAGGGTCTCAAGGGTTGCCGCTGGGGACAGAGGGAAACAGCTGAGGGTTTCGCATACGTTCGCGGTTGCGCTTTGCAGCTTCCGCGTTACGCATCTTCTCCAATCTCATGTTGTAGAAGTGTTTCTGCAGTTGAAAGACACGAGGGCCGTCGTCGAGGCCGGACTTTGTCGTGGATGAGGCATCGGCTTTGTCGGTCAAGGCCTTGATTTTGTCGTCTCTTTCCTTTTCTTCCTGGTCGGACTTCTTGTCGTCCTTTTCCTTGCCTTTGGCGTCCTTGTCCTTGTCCTTGTCTTTTGACTTGTCCTTCTTTTGCTGCTTCTTCTTCATCTTCTCCTCGTATTCCTTCTTGACGGCCTCGATCTCGCGATCCAACTCTTCTTTCTTCTTTCTGTCCGCAATGGCCTTGGCTTCGTCATCGGTGGGCAGGGCGAAGTTGCGATCCTTGAGGTGGGAGGGGCAGATGTAGAAAAAGTCCTTGCTGTCCGGGGTGATCAGGACGCTGGCCGAGGGCTTATAGCAAATCATGCATCCCTTTGCTGCTGTCTCGGCGACTCTGCGATGGTGCCAGATGTTCTCCATTCGTGCGACTGTCGACCGATGGTATTGTCTCAATGCCCGTGTTCAGGAAGATGGAGACGCGAAACATGGAGAGAGCTGTGAGGGAAGTCGCGATGTCGGCCCGCCGATAAGCGCGATAAGGAAGGAGCAACTATGACTGATATGCATGAGGATCAACATCTTTTTTCTCAACCTCTAGAGATACTGTCCCTTACAATCTTTGCTTTATCTGTCTTGTATTGGGTCAATTCATCTCTCTCGTCCCAAATATACCATCACACATCTCTACAAACATGGCAGGTGCACCTAGCAGCGAGAAGCTTTGGGGAGGTCGCTTTACTGGTAAGCTATAGCTTTGTCTCTTTATCAGGAGAAGACAGTCCGATTGACATGTGCCACAGGCGGCCAGGACCCCTTGATGACTGCCTACAATGAGTCCATCTACTACGACCGCGCTTTCTACTCACAAGACATCCGTGGCTCTATCGCATGGGCCCGTGCAAACAAGAACAAGGGTATCCTGAACGACCAAGAGTTCGCCGAGATCGAGAGAGGCCTTAAGGAGGTGGAAGAGGAGTGGAGGTCGGGCAAGTTCACCATCAAGCCCGGCGTCGACGAGGACATCCACACTGCCAATGAGCGTCGTCTGGGTGAGATCATTGGCAAGAACATTGCTGGCAAGCTTCACACTGGCCGTAGCCGAAACGAGCAGGTCGCTGTTGATATGCGCATGTGGCTTCGCGAACAGCTTGAGAACATCGAGTCGTTCCTCGTCGACTTCCTCAAGGTCATCGCCAGCCGTGCCGAGCAAGAGATCGAGCACGTTATGCCTGGTTACACCCATCTTCAGCGCGCACAGCCCATCAGATGGTCACATTGGATGCTCTCGTACGGTCTGGCCTTCGCCAACGACCTTGAGAGACTCCGCGAGGTTAAGCAGCGTGTGAACCGCAGCCCCCTTGGTTGTGGTGCCTTGGCTGGTAACCCCTTCGGCATCGACCGTGATGCCATGGCAAAGGAGCTGGGCTTCGAAACTCTTATCTACAACTCCATGGCCGGTGTTGCCGACCGTGACTTTGTCGTTGAGACCATGCAGTGGGGAAGCATGCTCATGCTTCACTTGAGTCGTTGGGCCGAGGACTTGATCCTCTACTCGAGCGCCGAGTTCAACTTTGTCAGACTCGCAGACGCCTACTCGACCGGTAGTTCGCTCATGCCCCAAAAGAAGAACCCCGACTCGCTAGAACTCATCCGCGGAAAGTCTGGCAGAGCATACGGTCAGATGGCAGGCTTGATGATGACCATCAAGGGCATTCCTTCAACCTACAACAAGGATTTGCAGGAGAGTGTTGAGCCTATGCTCGACCACGTCAAGACTGTCGGCGACAGCATTCAGATTGCGACCGGCGTTCTTTCCACTTTGAACATCCAGCCCGAGAACATGCTGGCCAGCTTGTCACCCGACATGCTTGCAACTGACCTTGCAGACTACCTTGTCCGTAAGGGTGTGCCATTCCGCGAGACCCACCACATCTCTGGCAGAGTGGTCGCCCTCGCCGAGGAGAAGACCACTCCTATGGACAAGCTCTCGTTTGAGCAGCTGAAGGGCGTTGACTCGCGATTCGAGCAGGACATTCTCGAAGTATTCAACTATCAGAAGAGTGTTGAGATGAGAAGCGCTTCAGGTGGTACCAGCAAGAGCTCGGTCTTGGAGCAAATCAAGGTCATCAAGCAGACCATCGAGAAGAAGTAAACTAAAAGCCGTGTAAAGCTGTAGATCTAGTCCAGTATAATTCATTTCATGTATTGTTATGTTAGATGATCACCCAAATTTTAGGAAAGAGCGACCCTGTCCAAAAACGACTCCGCTTTCGTGCCACCTCGCTTCTGTCAACGACACGACAACATGCTTTTTTCGTCTGACTGTCTTTTTGACCGACATCCCACGCAATCATGTCAGGCTCAACACTGGAATTGACTGAAACAGACGAAGCAGGAAATGTCACCGCGACTTACATCCAGACGAGCACCGTCAAGCGGAATGTCACTAGGATAGACAGAATTGTAAACGCTCTTCGCCCCGACACCCCAAAACTGGTCACTCACAATGCTTCCAGATCCCCGAGAACTCTCAAAAACCACTCAAGGCGCTACTCGATGTTTTCCTGCCAGCCGGATATCCTGAATCCGTGACTGAAGACTATTTACCGTATGTTGAATCATCTACCAGGGTCACCCGAATAGCATTGACCGGATGACCGCTACTACAGATATCAAATCTATGTATGTACGCAAACGAATACGACTAGCAATCGGATGCCAGCTCATCCGGCACGTATAGGATTCACTACAAGCATTCTCTAGCTCGATAGCAGGCCTTCTTGCATCGAGAGCAGTGCTCGAAGGTAAGTTTGATAATCCTTGTGGAGCGTATCTCCGTATCGCATGCGAATGCCCCAGGGGACGTCATATTCGCTACACATTTTATTTGTAACGACTGCGCAACGAACAACTGTTAACGGAATGCATACAGGTGTTGGCGTGGGTGATGCTTCGGCATCTGCTACCGGTGCACTCTTGCTTTCCATCTTCCAAGAGTCTATGGGCAGAGTCGCAACGATACTCTTTGCTCATCGCCTCGGTACCTCTTTAGAGCCCGAGTGTAAAATGTACCGGCTGCTGGTTTGCGCTTTACCATCTGAGACCTTTTCGCATGTCCTTACTAATGATGGTTTGGTAGGCTGATATTTTCAACGACGCTGCCATGGTGCTTGATTGCCTTTCCCCTGCTTTTCCGAAACCGATGCGGATTCTGATACTGGCGTCCGGCAGCGTCCTGAGGTCGCTATGCGGCGTTGCTGCCGGGAGTTCCAAGGCCAGTCTGAGTGCTCACTTCGCTCGATGGGGGAATCTGGGAGAGCTCAACGCCGTAAGTTTCGAACCAAAGAGTGATGCTTTTCCAAGCAACAACTTAATCTAATGATGCTAACTTTGGTCGTTCCAATTCTTCTAGAAAGATTCGAGTCAAGAAACCGTAATCTCTTTGGTCGGCATGTTGGTTGGTTGTCTTGTAGTCAAGGTTGTCATTACGCCCTTGGCGACTTGGACGACGTTGCTGCTGCTGCTCACGTTGCATCTTGCGACAAACTACATGGCGGTCAGATCAGTGTGCATGCGTACGCTCAACCGTCAGCGCGCCAACATCGTCTTTGCATGCTTGCATAAGCACAATCGCATCCTGAACCCTAAGGAGGTCTCGGCCAAAGAGAGGGTGTTCGAACGTGATGGCATATTGCGCGATGTGGATGACAATTGCTTGGGCTATGCTAGGATAGGGATCCCCGCTTCTGAGCTGCTGCAGCGCTTGGGAGAGACCGAAAAGCTGACTAAAGCGACTAACCTCCCGGACGGCCGACTACTGCAGCTACTTGATGTGTTTGAGGATGAAGGCTACGTGCTCTATCTGGAACAGCCGTCAGACATGGTCTGCATCTTGTTGAAGAAGGGCAGTGATACGGCGGTTCAGTTGAAGGCCTGGTACCATGCCCTGCTGCTTGCACGGCTAGTCAGACAGGGTTACGAGAGTGAGAAGAAACCCATGGACATGGTTCAATCCACACTTGTGGCTGTGAGGAAGGACTGGGAAAGGGTCCAAGCAAGACTTGGTGAAGCAGGTTGGGACTTGGACACGGCAGCGCTGGAGACAACCTCAGGTTTCCGGGTGTCGATTCGTAGGTGAGACGTAGGGTCCATTCCTCCACAGACATCCACAGACACCTCACAGTCATCATCGGCGATCAGGACAGATAGTGAGATACGAGAAGCTTGTCTGTTGAAGAAGCACGTTCTTTCAAGCGTGCAGACCACGGATCAGTAGTTGTCTCTGAGGCTTTGCGTGTCGGGTGACGAGTCAGTGCGAGATGTATGCCGAACCAATCAAGGACGACAACGTCTGAAAGATCGTCGTCAGAGCACGAGAGCAGTGAGCACGCACGCACAGAGGGAGCGAGCGGACAACGGAAGAGCAAAGTTTCCTTTGGAGTCATACTCCGACATGCGAAGAGAAGTTAAGCTTAGAGGCAGGCGTTTGATGCTCATGCCATGGAACCTCTGCAAGCCTCCCTCTCCCTCTGACTCTGATGTACCAAGGTATCGACCTTCTAACTTCGCGCGGGCGCCTGTCAAAACCTATCGGTCCAAGGCGCAAATTACTTGATATGAAATAAAGGAGAATTACAGAGATAACGGTGCCAGCTGCGAACGAATGTCACGATGCTGCCGGCCGCGCATGCCCGCCCGGGTTTGAAGTCAGCGCAGGCGAGCAATAAGATCGACACTATACGGGCGTAAAAGGGCAGCGGCGGTGATGTAGAGGTTTCTCGTTCAGCAGAAAAAGGACACATACATGGAATAAGAAGTTAGACATCGAGTGAGACAGATGTTGTCGCCATCTTCCGCAGCCGTTGGTTGTAATAATACTGTTACTGGTCGCCACGCTGGGGTCCAATCAACCGGGCTCCGGAGAGAAAAGGTTTCTCTGGTGTGCTGCAGCACTCGGCGGAAACATGCAAACAAGTTCAACAGGCAATCGTTGGTTCCTGCGTTGGCCGAGAAGTCAATATCAACAAAGAATAAATTGTTTGGTGAGAGTGTAAAAAAAATATGTACAAAACTGCTGAGGGCCGACAGAAGCGCCGGACGGGACCAATGACGGAGATGGCTATCCGGCGAGTGGCACAGAAACCTGAACTTCGGCTCTTTGTGCCCTTCTAGAAGACGCTTCGAAACTTGGGATTGTTTCGAGCAGGCTTGACCAATGGCACGCGCTTTGGCAGCCAAAAAAGCCACTCCCAAACACAAGTACGAACAAGATCGACTGTGAGGTGCGCGAACAGGAGAAGACGACAACGGAGACTTGCAGGATGCGTGGAACGATCGACATGATACATGCCCCCTTCTCTCTGTTCAGCACAACGGTAAAGGGTCTCGAGAGTGCTCGAGCTTTGCGATGTGCCAACCGTCCATACAAAAAGGACGGACGGGATGGTGGTGTTACGGGCGTAGGACAGCAGCAGCGACGAGGCTCAGCCCTATTCTAAAGGAACGGCTACCGGAGAAGAGAGAGATTGACGTAGAGAACCACAACAGAGTTCAAACAGCGCGCAGATTGACAGTCATGGGTTGCACTCTGTTTACGACTGCCGTTGGCGGTGAGATGGCCCGGAAAGCGAATTGCGAAAGTAGACGATCGGTGATGCGGCGTCGAATGTCTCATTCTTCAGGTCGGGCACAAAAGGGTCAAACAAACAGAAGATTCGACGGCGTTCGGGGATGAAAGAAGACAGGCCATGAGTGCAGCATGGCGGACAAAGGAATGGATCACTGCGCCAACCCACACAAAAGAAGCGTCAGGCAGGACGAAATCAGCAGCCAATACCCGTGCATGGGGGCGCAAGTTAGTGGATCGCGCCATTCCGGAAGGAGCGTAGTTTGTTCTTACCAGTTTCTAGCGTGGAAGGTGCTGAATCCGTTAGCGCCTGCCAAAGAGGGAGTACCTTCCTCCCGCGCCCTCGTTCTGCAAGAGCGCACCACATCACCTCACACACCCATCCGGCCTCGTCTCGTCCTCCCTCTTTTTTCAATCTCACTCTCGTCCACTCGCTGCAAAACCCCGCCCGCGGCTCGTCGATCACACACCACGCAACTACTTTTCCAATCGTCGTCGACCTTGGTTACTCGCTCTTTCAACTTGCTCCGTTCAAAGACGGACGACCAAAAGCCCTGTCGCTCGCTCTTTCCCCGGACTCACTTTCCAGCTCTCTACTTACGGCCGGCCTACTGGTTTTACTGAAAATCCACGCTATACTTTATCAACTGTCTCTCTTGCCGCTCCACCTGCTACACACAATCTACCCTGCGATATACACCTGCAGCTTCCCGGCACCAGCAAATTCCCCTGTCAAATTCTAGGCCAGCCGTGCGACACGACGTGCATAAGCGTAACCACGACAGCCGACGTCAGACAGGACAAGCAGCAGCGACAGCATTAGCAACAGCGACAACACCTTGCTTCTGGTTCATGTTTCGCTTCTGACCCACAGCAACACAAGACAAGCCAGACACGTGTGGGAGAGATTGACTCTTCCACTCCAATTTCCAAGCTGGCGCCTATATTTGAGCACCAGCGTGCCTCTGCCGGCACCCTGACTACACCCTCTCCCAACAGCGACCCCGCTGCTGGTACCCGCCGCAAGAGCAGCAGCAGCTTCTGGGGTAGCGTGATGAGCTCGCGCAAACCCTCGCATTACCAAACAGACTCTGCTCACTCGGCCAAAATCGCCGTCTACTCATCCACCACCGACTGCGACGCCGACGACGAAGCCACAATGTCGGCTGAAGAGTCATCACAACAAGTCCGCCCCATGAGTGTCCACATGGCCGCCTCGGCTCCCTCATCAGCAGCATCGTCGACACGACCAATGTCGGAAGCCGCACCCTTCTGCCCAAGAAGACCGAACCTTCGTGAGATCCTGGCCAACACCGCACCTGCACCATGGACGCTCGCTGCCTTCATGGCATACCTCTCCAACAATCACTGCCTGGAAACACTGGAGTTCACCATGGACGCTGGCAGATACAAGAAGCACTACCACAGAATGATGAACAAGGCTCCCGTTCCCGGACAACCGACGGAAACTGACGCCAACTATGTGAAGGAGTTGTGGGACCGCCTGATGGAGGCCTACATCCAGCCCAACGGCTCGCGTGAGGTCAACCTCCCATCGCAGGTCCGCGATCCTATTCTAGAGCACAAGCCCGAAAACAGACTCCCACCGGCACCTACAATTCTTGAGCCTGCTGTCTCCAAGACTTACGAGTTGATGGAGGAGTCTGTCCTAGTTCCTTTCCTCAACAGCGTCTATCCTCAATCTCCTACTCCTGTTAGCCCTTACTACCCCAGCAACTCGAACAACTCGAACGAGAGCATGACTCCCGTCGAGGAAAAGTCACGCTTCGGTCGTCGCAGTCGTCACTCTTCGAGAGGTAGCCCCCCTCCTCTCAGTGCCAGCTCTGCCGAGTTCTCGGCTGCTTCATATTCACCCCCTTCTCTTAACAACCGCAAATCTGCCCCTTCCGCTCTCACTACTGCCCTTTCTCGTCACCGCTTCTCTCAAAAGCTCAGCCCCACAAGCTCGGCTCCTTCGCACTCTCTGTCGGCGGCGCTCAGCACTGCAAGCAGTGCATCTGACGCCATCTACTCTGGTCCTGGTCTGACCGACGACTCTGGTAGCAGCGGTTCGCCGATTAACGACTGCCCCATGACGCCGCCAGTCACACCACCCATGAGCGACATCAGTGGCAGCCCGAAAACCAACAGAGATAGCGGTGCCTGGAAGAAGCTAGGCCGATTGAGCGGCTGGAAGCCGTCACGGAAGAGAGGCCAGCCAGGCTTCGATCTTCACACTACATGAGCACAATTGGGAGGACATCTCTTATGAACCAGAGTCCGTCCCGATCACAGTCATTCTTATGTCACGCAGCGAGTGCATCAAAATCTTTACAATCATGGTTAGGCGTCGGGGAGTTTTTAGAAACGACAGAGCATGTGCTCTTATGATGGGTCATCTGGCATTTCTAGCAAAATGGGTTTTGTTTATTTTTTCGACGATGAGACGATGGGCATTGGGAGCAAAGGCTGCTTTCCAGACCGCCGTGGGTCTTGTACGAAGGTGATGGCCGATGGCTATCATCATTCTGGATTATTTACTTTGCGAACATGCCGAGCTCGACCTTACGAGGCAGCCGCTGAATTGTAACAACATTTTCACCTCCTTCAATATGCATGTTCCTTTCCACTACTGTGAGTTTTAGTGTGAGTGTTGTCTAGAACCTGTTGACGGTGTTGAGGCGCTGCAAGCGGCTAGCTGGCGTGACGCAAGTACCGCCGCACCAGTTGGACGCCATGTGTCGGGCATGATCTCGCGGCAGGCCAAGTGGTACAAGTAACACAACAGCTTGCAGCCCAAGCACCGAGGATGAAAATGCACTAAACCGCCGTGTACGTTGTATGCGTTCCCGACATGAGGGTGAGGCTGGGTGAGCAGGCTCGATATGCAAGTGCGGCTCGGGCTGCACCTGCTCGGGTCGAGTGGTGATGGAGGTGGGAAGATCTAGCAGGCTAATGACATCACGTTTCGGACATGGGTGCTCGAGATTGTGTATGCAATGAAGACGTGCAAGACGAGCCCTGATAGGGAAGACGCGCATGGGACGTCAAGGAAGAAGAAAGTCTTCTGCCCACTCTACTGACCATCATGTCAAGCGCTAATATTACCTGCCCAACGCCATAATGTCGCAGGACACAGGAGTGTATGAACTGCCAGGCGACCTTCCGCCAGTCATCGAATTACCAGGTGAATATCTACCCGCAGAATTACCTGGTGATGATGCTTCACCAAACGAGTTGCATGATGGAAGGCCATCTGCTGAGTTGATGCCAACGCCCTACTCGACCGACTTGCTGCCAACACCCTACTCAGCTTTCTCGGCCCTCTCGTCGCATCCATCGCTGAAGCCTTCTCCACTGAATTTTTCACGGCCACGTCCAGTACAGGCCAACTCGTACAATTTTGGCAGCCAGGCTGGACCCATTCCTGAATATGACCCGAACAATCGCCCAACACTCTCCGAGTCTCCGCACACTCACGATGGTCAAAGGAGCGAAGAGGAGAATGTAGACGAGGAAGAGGACAACGATGATGGCATTAGAACACCAGCTGCAGATGACAGAACATTCACTAGTCTGAGTCAGGAAGACGTACCAAGAGACAGCATAGATGGAGCAAGCATAGGTGGAGCCAGCATCGACGATGCAATACCACCTCCCATCAGGACGTATGCAGACTTGAGGGATATGGACATGCCAAGAGACAGCTTAGATGGTGCCAGTATTGATGAAGCTCTGCCTCCTCCGATACAGACACCTAAAGGCTTCAAGAGCTTCAGTCACGATTTCAGCACACTGAACATCTCAAGAGGCGACAGCATATATGAAGACTTCCCCACACCTCCTGGCATCAAGTCACCGAAGGATCAGTTTCGAAAGGACTCACAGGCTCTGCCCGACATTAGAGAGAACCATGATGCCACGCCTTCATCCCTTGGACAAAACAACCATCCTCTTGCTCGCATGAACACCGTGAGTTCAATAGCGAGCAGTTTCGACGAGGCCGCACCACCTCCCGTATCGACACGGCGATATCCTTTGTCACACATGGACACAGAAAGCTCAAGAGGCACAAAGAGTTCAAATCAGACAAAGACATCCAGGGTGGACAGCGTCGTGGATTCATCCGTCGGCGTTCCACCGAGAAGCACTGCTCGTAAGGAGACACGAACCGAACCTCGGGCTCCAAAAGTGCTCATCTACAAACCGTATTTGGACTACGCATCTAGCGAAAGATCGGCTTCCTTGCGCACTGACACAACGCAAGAAGAGAGCATCCCAAGTTCAGGAGCACAAGACAGCCGAAGGCACAGTGTAGCAGAAAGCGAGTCTAGCTCGGTATCTGATTTTGCCTTTGACGGCCGACTTGGCTGGAACCCACGCGGCAACACTGTCCCTGACAAGGATGCAAAACGTCAGCAGAGGTGGTCAGCACCTCTCACGAACCCGCTGAAGAAGGTGACATCCAGACCCAAAGGCAAGGAAAAGCAACAGACAACACTACCAACCATGCAAGAGCAGCCATCACGACAAGGCTCAAACGCAAGCTCCGGACCAGCACTTTCACCAGCAACCAGCAGAGGATCTACAGGCACACAGAGCAGCGCTTCAAGCAGACCGCCTACCATCCCCGCTCGCATTCCTCGCATCATCAAACGCACATCGATAGATCAGATGTCCCAGCATGTTAATCCATGGCAAGGGGAAACCATGAGTGATCGTGGTAGCGAGTCAAGCAATGAGTGGACAAGCAGTGAAGTCGATACTTCTGGTTTAAGCGTGGAGAAGATACACAAGCTTAAGAAGAAGGGCATAAATCCTGCTCTGTATGTCGAGATGCAGAATGCGCGTAAGGGCAAGTCCAAATGGATCAGTCCTTTGCAGGGTAATTCGTTCATCTCCTGATCGTATTCATCTCTTCCTTACCATCAACACCACCATATCTCTTACCCACCAACCCAGTCCCGGTATACTGGACACGGATGCTAATTCCGTCGGCGCCCTCCGTATCGCACTCGCATTTAAGCATGCTTCTATTACACACGATTCAAGCACAAACGACTCCAGTCACTCCACAAGGCGTCCTCCATACCATGGATCCCCTTCAAAAAGCCTTACAACGTGATGATAGCGTGGCACCGCATGGCACCCAAATAACCATATTCCATCGCATCCGTCGGATAAAATGACTCGACCTCTCCTTCCACGACTATTCCCCGACCGTTATGCCAAGATCTACGAAAAGTCCCCTGCTGTACCGTAGTTTCTGCCCGGGCAGAGGGACAGAGAGCAATTCAATGGTATGGTATGGCACGCCGTTGTGGACAGTATCTGGAGGTTAAAATCTTGGATCTATGGAATTTCCAACTGTTTTTCGGCTGCAACGGTTTTCTATCCGATTTTTGTTTCGCGGGAAGCTGATCGGTTCTTCGGTTTCGCGATAAAGAGGCAATCTGGATCTCTGTTCATTGATGATGACGGAAGGCAGAATAGCAGATAAGCGAAAATGTAATACCCTGATGGAAATGGTATTTGAAAGATGTGGCTGATTTGATGTTTATGGTATGTGGCTTGAGGAAGAAGCGAAAGGTGTTCACCACTCCTTCCTTGTATTACCATTGGCCGAGGACTATAGGAACACTTGATTGGGTATTTCTTGCTTATAGATGAATGACGTGTTAATAAATAATCTTCCTACTCAAATACCCCCAAACTCTGGGTAGGATTCCATGTGATTGATATTCTTGGGTAGGAATGGCAAGGGAAGGATGCACCCGCTGGAAGGATTGTTTGTCTTTCCATTTTGCCATGTTGCAGTGTCTGACATTTGTAGATCTTTCCCATCATAGATTTCAGGGTAAAAAAACGCATGGCATATCTCGGTGTGAAATTTCAAATGCCCATCAATGTCTCTTCTTCTGGGCAATGGTGGTTCCCAAGACTTCGATCGAGTGCGGACGAGTCGCCGGCACAGAAAAACGCTGGTGGTGAGTCTTTTCCATTTACTGTATTTGTTTACTGCATTGCGGTTTATGGGTAGGGCGAAACACGTTGACGATAAGAGGTTGCTCTGTTCGTGACATGCGTTTGTACAGTCATTTGAAAGCTGAACCAGAGACATGGGGGTGTTCAGGAAGCGAAATATTGCAATCATCAACCATGGAAAGAGCATACAACGATGAGAGATCAAGCAGAGAAAGGAAAGTGGCAAACAAATTGACCATGCATGAGCAAGATATCAACGTCGTCGATGAATTGGCGGTAGATCAGCAATACAGGTGTGAGTGGCGGGACACAGGACGAGGCCATCAAGCCGTCTCTCTTTGTGTTGCATGAGGCACCTACAATGCTTTGTATGCCTTTCATTGCCAGACTGTCGTCGTAAGCTCTAATGTATCGCTGGTCTTTGTCTCCTGTGTGTGTGTTCTTCGCGAAGCAGACGCGTAGAAAAGAGGATGTCGCAATGGACCTGGCTTGCCAAGCGCAACCCACAACACCTGCCTCGCGCAACCTGCATTTCCTTCATGTTGTTTGTCAAAAGAAGTTTCTCGTACACAAGGCGAGATGTGAAGAAAAGTGTCTAGCTCGCTGTTTGTTCAATTGCCTACCGAGAGTGCAGTACGAAGATAGGATAGCCTGTGACTCTTGCGGTCTCGTCTTGAGTGAGGTTTTGAACCACGAAAATCACGTTCATATCTTCAGGCCTGGACAGGGTAAGCTTGTCGTCGAATCTGAGTGTATTTCCAGCGCACACTCCTCATCGACGTTACGGTTCTGGTCAAGAAGAAGAAGAAGGCACACTCAGCCTTATCACACTTGATGACACGGCACTGCGGCATTTTCATAACTTGCAGGATTGTGCCTCTTCTTCCGCTACAACCAATCACGTATCATGAATCCTTTGTCTTCTCCTCCTCTGACCGATGAAAAAAGCAGAAAGTGTTATGGCAAAGGCTAAGTATACTCTGTCGGCACGTTGCAGACGCAATGTACGCAGGCTCTAGATTGCAAGCTTCGGTAAGCAGCCACAACATATCTTAGCCTGACCACGCTTAGCTTCAGAAGGATCTTGTGTGGTAACGCGGCTGCTTAAGTCGTTCTCATCTCCTCTCAGCACTTTCTCACACTTGATGTTAAATCGGACGGCTTCAAACTTCCACACAACGGCATCATGAATGCAGAGAGTACTCCCAAATATGTGGTCATAGAAGAGGCAGAAAAGTACGTTATGGAAGCAGAGAATCACAAATACTTCGTCATGGTTAGGTCTTCTCTCGAATTACCAGAGGCAGCCCACATCTCGACAGGCCATGACTATAGCCCTGACCCTTATCCTCACCTCGATCTACGACCTGCAACTCTGCTGGAAGCACAAAAGAGAAGGAACAGGCAAACGTGTATGATAGTGGGATTTTCACTTCTAGGTGCATTTGTGGTGCTGGCAGTTGTGCTTGGGGCGGTGCTTGGTTTGAATCATCATTCGAAACACTCATCGTAAGTTCCAATTTGTGCATGCTGGATCGAATTCGCTAACTTAGCAAGCTCGACAGTGAAAGCCGATAAGCTCTGAACACGAGCAGCACTACATCACTACTGTTCGAACATTTGTATCTGACCTTATTGGCTACTTCAAATGGCATTGGTGCGAACAAGCCTCCATTGTGTTTTTGGCATCAGGATGGGTGCATCTCAGAGGCTCTTCGAGATATGAACAAGTCATGGCCAAAGTTGCAGAAGAACGAGTGGCTCGTCAATCTCAGACTATCTGCATTGTCTTTAGATGGGAATGTTTCTGTTATAATTGATGAACTGAATATAGTTATATCGATAACAGAAAATATGAGATGTTGACTATGGCCAACGTGGACAACTGCTGCAAGGGCCTTCCTTTCTAATACAAAATCGCACCCAGAAGTCTAGACGCCAACGCCATTTACCAACTCGATTGCCTCTCATCTCATAGCAGCCCGTTCGGCTAGTATAGTTGCGTTCTGCAGCTTCAATTCCTTCTTACGCACTTCTATTCGTTTGTTCTTGATATCGTCCTTCGCAGCCGGACCGGCCAATGCCCCACCGACCATTCCACCGACGGTAGTACCGACGGGCCCAAGGACTGATCCGAAGATCATACCAGCGGCAGCTCCGCCACCACCAGCAGCAGCGGCACCGATGTACATCCTAGCCTTGTCCCCATCCTTCAACGTGGGTGTAGCACGCGGACTCTCGAGAACGCCAACATCGAAAACGTGTTGCTCCCATTCGTCACCACCAGTTAGGTACACGAACGGTTGTTGATTCCTGCCCCTTTCGCCAAAGATCTTGAAAGGCTCGAGCTGGGTGGGAAGGTCCATTTGATCAGGAACGACGTAGACGTGTGCGGTAGGGACCAAAATGTAGAAGACAGGGGTCGGACCGACAACCTCTCTGAATTTGAGAAGGATGGCAGCCATGGTTGCTATATTGTCGAAGATGCCGCAGAGACCAGGCAGGGGGTCTTTACTAAGCTTAGCTTCGAATTCGGAATGCCAGTTGTTGCCGGGATGGAACACGAAAAAGTACCCCTGACCTGTCGTAGCATTCATCTCCTTCATGCGGCGCTCTGACACACAGTAAACGTGCTGAGAGAGCTTTTCAGGCTCGTCCAGATTGACTCCAATGTTGACGGCCTGGTCAATGTGCTTGACATTATTGGCGATTTCTTCTCCAAGCTGGGCAAGGCGAGCCTTGGATCTAGCTTCATCCCAGGTCTGGTAGGCAGTGCAAGATGCAGAGATAATGGTCGACATTTCCCAGCAATATTTGACGGTACTGATGCAGGTATCTGCCGTACCAAGTGTATCTCTCATTGTTGTCATCGTGCTCGATGCTTCGTTGAATTTTGCACGGATATCGTCTTGAAAGAAGGAACTGGCTTCGTGTGCAGCGCCACGGCCACCAGCTTCTGACATTGTGCTGAGAAGGCCGCCCATGGTGGGATTATAAGAGGAGTATATGAGATGAACGGGCTCTTGCTGAACAACGAGCAATCCCACAAACCTGTTATAAACACACGCAAGCGCTTCGCAGAAAGACCCGAGGCCGTAATGAAGACATGATTGACATCACAGCGTGTGGTCACCTTGTTTGTCTGACGCAATCATGTCGACAGTATAAGCCTGGCTATCGGAGATTGTGATAGAAGTCTCTTCTATTGATAGAGTAGACCGAAAGGATCCCGAAGCCTTTTATTGTTTCAGCCTCGGGTACATGAATGCTTCATATGCATACCGACAGGGGCAAAGCCAATCAATCATCTTTCGAGATCTCCGCTCCAAACGGCGATGCATGCGGATGCCTTCCCCGGTGGACAGCCACGTGAAGGCGCATTGGACTTTCCAGAACCAGCGTCCACAAATCTGAATTGTGGCAGCTGAAAGCTGAGAACTGTGACGAGTCCTTTCCAAAACCAGGCTTTTGATTCGTGTTTCTTTCGGATATGCGAGCATGACGCTCAATCAAGTCCGGGCCGGGTTGAGTCGATTGAGTACGTGAATCTGTCAAGTCCTCGTCCGTACACGTTTAAGACGGCATATCTCGAGCCTTGTCTACGATCCTAGCCATCAACAATCCCCAGAGATCCTCAACAGGATGTCGTGTTCAAGATCATACCTTTACTGCTTCCTCGCACTGTGTGCCCTGGTCGTCTACGCATCTGGTGCGGAGCCTACCTTGAGAGGTATGTCAATCGTTCACGCTATAGTCAACATACCTTGGCTGATTCACAACTAGCTGCTTCGGAGGCAAACACCACCGAAGGAACCCTACCAGCAAAAGAGCCAGTTCACGTATCGCCGTTAAACGCAGTGCTGTGCCTCGTCGTCCTCGGTATTAATGCTGCCACGCAAAGATCAGGAGCCGATCATTTCGCAAACCAACATCTTTCACCAGCTCGCACCTCTCCATTCATATGTCTGGCAGACATACTTGTCACCATAATCTGGCTCGTTTACGGCGTGTGCTATAAAAAGATGAGCATCAAAGCCTCGGCGAAGATGCTTTTCAAGGACTTTGACTTCTCAGAAGAAGAGGATACACTCGGAGTAGGCAACCGTTGGTCTTGGTCTATCATTTTTGTGGTGTTGTTTGCAGTTGGAGTCTTACTAGAGGCGATAAAGCTATTCACCTTTGCGGCAACAGGAACCGCGCCGTGGTTGCAGACATTTACCGCTGCCATGTTCTTTGCTGCGTACGTCGTACGCATATCTGTCAACACGATCAGCTGGCTTTGCACCGATTCAAAAACCATCGAAAATCTAAAGGCAACCAAAGCAGATCGAAAGATGCTCTTCAACATCGCAGACCTGCTGTACAACATCGCTTACTCGGCACAATTTCGTTTCTGGATCGCGACCTTCGGAAACCTCGAATATTTCGCCAGACCAAACAAGAAGGTTGTGCCCACCTTGCTCGCCATCGTTGTCGTCCCTGCCTTGGCTTCTTATTTCTTTCCAAAGGAGAAGAAATCTCAGGGGGTGCAACCAGTCGAAGAGCAAACATCGCAATCTACACCAACTGGAACACAGAAGCCAGAGATCTATGGCGGAAGTTGGTCTCTAAAGAACTGGGAAAAGGACGACCAGAACAGAGCATTCCTTGTCTTATTCGTGGTTATGATCAGTGTCCCTCTCGATGCCGCATGGAGAATACTTTTTATTCCCTTGGCTTCGCTTGCCGTCGTTGTTGGACACTTGTCTCTTGTGTCTCTCATATGCCAGATCGTTCGCAAAGTCAAGAAACGCAACAGTGTCGCGAGCAAGACAAAAGCAAGCGACAATATATCAGAGGCATCAGTACCGGTGGATGGAGATTCACAGGCGATTGAAAAACAACTCCGTGAGAGATGGTCCCCTCTTTTGAGAGCGAAAGACCCAGAGTGGAGAAATGTTGTCAGCTCGGCCTCTGCGGTGGCTAACTTCAGCTTCGTCTGCATGTACTACTTTGGAATATACGACGCTTCGAAGACCGTGAAGCCAGGTTGGTTAGAAAAGTTCTGAACGCCGAGGATTCTTCGTGTCTACCGAACATGACTAGCCCTGACGGAAGAAAGGTCTCCAGTTGGCTTGTTGGATGGCGGAGCTGTGGTATTAGTACTAAGAAGCAATGTAGATAGATCAAATTCGATTTTCCAAGAAAGTGATCATGCTCATCTTGATGGTAGCCAAGTCTTATATCCAAGAACGTGGCGATCTTGATCTGACCAGAAATCCTTAGTTGGCTCTTCCTTTACTTCAGTGGCTTCCATGAATAGTTCCTTCCTGTCCTGTTTGAATGACAGGCCGGCATGGGAGACGTGGCGATTCACCCGATAAGTGAGCTGTTAGGCAGTCGATTCCCACAAAGATAGTGCAACGCCGTGTTGCCCTGTGAATCCTTGCTTTTGAGCATCTTTATCTTTGAACCATCGATTTCGATACTCCCGAATATGCGTCGGACAATATTGGCCTGCTCAGCATGATGTGATGTGTCCGGCACAAAAAATCTCGCAAGGTTCCGATTCGCGAACTTGGCATCAAGGGCATCGACCTCGGAAGAAGTGAGAGGTGCAGGGTCGCCCTTTTTGTCGATGAAGCTGGGTACTCTAATTGGTCGTGGACGGGTCTTCTCTTCCCGCCGAATGCCGGACAGAGAGCGGATCTCGCGGATTGACCGATAAGATATTGGGCCAAAGAGCTGATATCCTGCTCAGTGCGAGGAAAGCAAGCCGTATGGAGGAGGAGAGGCCAGAGCTACTGCCTTGATCCAGGCCGAGGCATCGGCTCCGGCCTCTAAAAGTACATCGAGGGCCTCAGAGCTGCCAATTCGAGCAGCTGCAACAAGTGAATGCATAGCATCACCATTCGTAGATAAATCAAGCGGTATAGGGCATCCGCCAGCTCAAAAGGGGGTGATCCTTTGAGATCGTGTGTCCGGGTAGTCTCCTCCAGACAACACCACTAGCTGTTAATGATATTATAGCGCAAGCAAAAAAAGAAGTCCTGTCAAAAGACAAAACATACAGCAGCAGGGATTCCCACGTGGTCACCCACCGTAGTACCAATCTGCCGTTCAACTGCTTATGTATGGCAGAGCGGACGGGATGCCCAGTTTTCAGCTGACTGTGGCCGTATGTGGTTGACCCGGTGATGCGTTGCAGTATATAGTTAAACTGCTGTGACTGAGCGTGCACATACGACTTGATGTCGGACCAGCAATCTTTGACACAGCTTTCGTAAGGGCCTTGCGAGCAAGTATTCCTCAGATAGTCGGCTATAGAGTAGGCCAGGAGCTCGAGGGCTAGGAGCCGGTCATGTTAGCATCTTCGAAGAGAATGCCTTCTGCCTCTCTCGGAAGTGAATGGTAGAATTTGGGTCTTTGTGTTCCTGGTTCCAGAGATCAAGGTGGTTAGGCAGCTGTGGAGCCGCATGGTGATGTTAAATAGAAGATATGTTCGGTGAGATTTTCAACGACCTCCACTGAACTATCGCCACGATAGAAAGACTTCGCGCATTCTGACAGGTATGTGTAGCATGGAGATGGTCAATTATCCCTTAAGTACTCGATCGAGTGTTGGTGAGAGTACGAATTCCGCCAAGACATGGTTCGCCGGCCGCCGCATCTCCGTCACCAGCGCATCTTCAACCTCTAAACTTCTGTGACTGTGCAAGGCATCTGCCTTGAATGACTCAGCTCCCAGCTATAAAGGCTACACCAAAATCTCTGTAGCAAGGCACGAAGGTTTTCGCACAACATGGATGACCTCGAAGCGCTCGAGCATCTATCGCTCGTCTCGAAGGTCGCTTCAGAAATCCAGAACCACATGGGAATATCTGACAAGACTATCGCCGAATTCGTCATTGCTCAGCATGAGCAGTGTAAAAACCTCGATGAATTCAAGACAAAGCTATCGGAGTTCGACTTCTCGGCCAGTTTGGCGACAGCTATTGACCGCCTGGTGCTTACCATGCACCCCAAATACAAGTCAAAGGCAAAGCAGGCGCATGCGCAAGAGGAAGATGATCGCGATCTAGATGGTGAGCGCGACAGAAAAACGAGGGTATTCAAAGGACTAGTCATACCCGACAGGGACGTCGCCTTTGATGAGCAGGATGATGCGCAAGAGGAGGACACAAAGCTGGACGCTATGGACGACACCTTTGCCCTACTGGAGGGCCTAGCAGGCGGACCGAAAAAGCCCAGCGCCCCTCGAAAGCGCAGCGTAAGTCCGGTGGAGGCCGAATACGACTCGCGCCAGAGCAAAAAGTCGCGCCGCCGAACACGCTCTCCGGAACAGCGACACGACGACTTCATCTTTGAGGACGAATTCGGCCGAAACCGCCCATGGCGCAGGTCCGATCAAGACACCGACCGCAAGAGCCGACATCGTCAGAGAAGCCGCAGCGAAGACAGACACAGGCACAGGCGCGAACCAACTCCAGAAATGGATGATTCGCCCGTGCTGTACAAAATCTACGATGGCAGAGTTACAGGAGTCAAAGATTTCGGCGTCTTTGTGAACCTATATGGAGTCAGAGGCAAGGTAGACGGCCTCGTACACATCTCCGCCATGGCCGAGGGTAAGGTCAACCACCCATCCGACCTGGTATCTCGGAATCAAGAAGTCAAGGTCAAGGTCATGAAGGTTCAAGATAATCGCATCAGCTTGTCTATGGCCGAGGTTGACCAAGTCACCGGACAAGACTTTGAGCCTCATAAACGTATTGGCGCGGCCACTGGTGCAAATGCTTTGGGCATGAACGGAGAAGAACGCTATGGTAATCTGACCTCAAACGTACCAGTGATTGAAGGCAACATGAACCAGAGACGCAATCGCAAGAGAATGACGTCCCCAGAGCGCTGGGAGATCAAACAGTTGATTGCATCTGGTGCTATCTCAGCTCAGGAGTATCCCGATATCGACGAAGACTATAATGCCGCACTCAGAGGAGAAGAGATCGAAGAGGAGGAAGACGTCGATATCGAAGTTAGAGATGAAGAGCCGCCTTTCTTGGCTGGTCAGACCAAGCAGTCTTTGGAACTTTCTCCTATTCGGGTGGTCAAAGCACCAGATGGATCCATGAACAGAGCAGCTATTGCCGGTGACGTTCTTGCGAAAGAGCGCCGAGACTTGAAGCAACAGGAATCGAGAGACAAGGCCGCCAAAGAAAACTCTGGTGTCGACTTGCAAGCACAATGGAATGACCCCATGGCAAACCCCGAACAACGACAATTCGCCAGTGACCTGCGCCAGGCTCGTCAAAATGACGGAGAAGTACCAGAATGGAAGCGTATCGCCTCACACAGCAAGACTCAGTCGTTCGGCAAGCGAACCGACATGTCGATCAAGGACCAGCGTGAGAGTCTGCCTGCTTACCAGTTCCGCAAACAGTTCTTGGAAGCCGTCGCAGGATATCAGCTTTTGATTGTCGTCGGAGATACAGGATCTGGAAAAACAACACAGCTGACACAGTATCTCGCCGAGGAGGGTTATGCCAACCAAGGAATGATAGGTTGTACACAGCCCCGTCGTGTCGCTGCCATGTCAGTCGCCCAGCGTGTCTCTGAGGAAGTAGGTTGCCGCCTGGGAGAAGAGGTTGGTTACACTATCCGCTTCGAAGACAAAACATCAAGCAGCACCAAGATCAAGTACATGACGGACGGTATCATGCAGCGTGAGATTCTTCTGGATCCAGAGCTCAACAAATACTCAGTGATCATGCTTGACGAAGCGCACGAGCGTACTATTGCTACTGATGTTCTGTTCAGCTTGCTCAAAAAGACGTTGAAGAAACGACCAGACATGAAATTGATCGTCACATCGGCAACTTTGGACGCAGCAAAGTTCTCGGAATACTTCAATCAATGCCCCATCCTCACCATTCCTGGCCGCACTTTCCCTGTCGAGATCATGTACTCCCGCGAGCCAGAGTCCGATTACCTCGACGCCGCTCTCACTACGGTCATGCAGATCCATCTTACAGAACCTCCTGGCGATATTCTTCTTTTCTTGACTGGTAAAGAGGAGATCGATACGTCTTGCGAGATTCTCTACGAGCGGATGAAGGCGCTGGGTCCGAGTGTACCAGAATTGATGATCCTACCAATCTATGGTGCACTGCCCAGTGAGATTGCCAGTAAAATCTTCGAGCCTGCGCCAGTGGGCACTAGAAAGGTTGTTATTGCCACCAACATTGCCGAAACGTCTATCACCATCGATGGAATCTACTTCGTCGTGGATCCAGGATTCGTGAAACAGACTGCTTACGATGCCAGACTTGGCATGGACCGTCTTCAGGTTACACCCATCTCACAAGCGCAAGCACGTCAACGTGCTGGACGAGCAGGAAGAACTGGACCCGGAAAATGTTTCCGTCTGTATACCGAAGCCGCCTACCAATCTGAGATGCTACCCACTACTATCCCTGAAATTCAACGTCAGAATCTTGCCAACACGATTCTGATGCTCAAGGCTATGGGTATCAACGACTTGCTGCATTTCGACTTCATGGATCCCCCACCGACAAATACCATGTTGACAGCGCTCGAAGAGCTTTATGCGCTGTCGGCTCTGGATGATGAAGGACTGCTCACTCGCCTCGGCAGACGTATGGCTGACTTCCCCATGGAGCCCGCGCTTGCCAAATCAACCATCATGTCGGTTGACCTTGGATGCTCAGACGAGATGCTCTCGATCGTAGCTATGATCTCGGCTGTACAGACAGTATTCCACAGACCCAAGGACAAGCAGGACCAAGCCGACAAAAAGAAGGCCAAGTTCCACGATGCATCAGGCGACCACCTAACTCTGCTTAACGTGTATAACGCATGGAAGCAGAGCAGAATGAGCGATCCTTGGTGTTTCGAGAACTTCATCCAGCCACGAAGTATGAAGAGAGCAGAGGATGTGCGCAAGCAATTGGTACAGATTCTTGACCGCCATCGCTTGCGAGTTGTCAGCTGTGGTCGTGACACAACACGCGTTCGACAAGCATTGTGCAGTGGCTTCTTCAGAAACTCAGCCCGCAAGGACCCCCAAGAAGGATACAAGACGCTTATCGAAGGAACACCCGTGTACATGCATCCCTCGTCGGCACTGAACCGCAAGGCAGCAGAGCATGTGATCTACCACAGTCTGGTAGAGACGACCAAGGAATACATGCACAACGTCACAGTCATCGAGCCCAAATGGCTTGTGGAAGCGGCGCCGACGTTCTTCAAGGTGGCAGGCAAAGAGGGAGGCCTCAGCAAGAGAAAGCGCGCCGAGAGAATCCAGCCTCTTCACAACAGGTTTGCGGGAGAGGACGACTGGAGATTGAGTGCTCAGAAGAAGCAAGGTAGAGGCGGTGGTGGAACTTGGGGTTAAAAAAACAGCAGCCGTAGCCCGTAATAAAGAATGCAGGCTCTCAAAGGACCATGCACTTATTCTCAAGTAATTGTGCCTTCTGACAGCCACCAGCTAAGCGAGTGTTACAAGTACTGTTCTACCATGCAAATCGTGAAGTAGACCATGAAAAGAGGCGCTTCATGGTCAATTGTGCTTTCCTTCCAGCAGGACAATTGAGTGATGGAATGCTCTGGCAAGTGAAGTGATGGTCGGCTTGTTCCGACGGCGGGGTCGAGTGAAGGTGGAGAGTTTGGATGCGGCGGAATTTTAGCAAAGCAGTCATCACCGTCAATCTGAAGTCAATACAATTTTCTCGACAGCTCGTGCGAGCTATAAACACTTCGACTAGACTTTCACCTCTACGCAGACACGCGACAAAACCTCTATTCGTTTCACAAATCACCCACGTGCGCAACATGGCTTCCCTCGACGACAAGTCCAGAGCTCTGCTCCAGAAGGCCTACCCTCAGACCCCCGAGCTTGAGGGTGACATGATCAAGTTGTCCTCGTCGCTCTTCCCCAAGGCCGAGGTGTGTAGCTCTACATGCAACAACAAGACAACTCTAACCAATTCTCGATCAGTACTCGACCAACGAGAAGACCGAGATTGAACAGTGGCTCATCACCTCATCGCACATTGCCTCTACCACCGAGGATGCCGCTAAGACCGCCGAGCGCCTGTCTTCGCTCAACACTCACCTCAGCACCCGCACCACCCTCCTCGGCTCCAAGCCCTCGGTCGCCGACATTGCCCTCTACGCCCGCGTCGCTCCTGTTATCGCTTCGTGGTCAGACGAGCAGCGCACCGGCGAGCAGGGCTACCACCACATTGTCCGTCACGCCGACTTTGTCCAGAACTCCCCCCTCTTTGGCTTGAAGGTCGAGGATGCCGAGAAGGTCAAGATTGACCAGGACAACGTCATCTTCAAGATCAAGCCTATTGACTTGAAGGCCGAGAAGGAGCGCAAGAAGAAGGAGAAGGAATTGGCTGCTCAGGGTGCCACCAGCGCTGCCAACGCCGGCGCAACTGTCACCTCGGCAGCTGCTCCCGAGGCTCAGCAGAAGTCAGTTGCCGAGAAGGCTACTGAGCAGGCTGAGAAGGTCAAGGAGCAGGCCAAGACCGCTGGCGAGAAGGTTGCTGATGCCGTTGGTGCTGAGACTCCCGGTGTGAGCAAGAAGACCGAGAAGAAGGCAAAGAAGGAGAAGGCGCCTAAGCAGCCCAAGGCTCCCGCCGCACCCGAGAAGCCCTTCTCACCCGCTCTTATTGATCTCCGTATCGGCCACATTCTCAAGGCCGAGCGTCACCCTAACGCCGACAGCTTGTACGTCTCTACCATCAATGTTGGTGACGCTCCTGGCACCGACAACACCTCCGAGTACGAGGGTCAGACCTGCCGTACCGTCTGTTCTGGCCTGAACGGTCTTGTGCCCCTCGAGGAGATGCAGGGCCGCAAGATTGTCACCGTCTGCAACCTCAAGCCCGTCACCATGCGCGGCGTCAAGTCATGCGCCATGGTTTTGGCCGCCTCACCACGCGTGAAGGAGGGTGAGGAGGACCACCACGGTGGCCCCGTTGAGCTTGTCAACGTTCCCGAAGGTGCTGTTGCTGGCGACCGCGTCTACTTCGACGGCTACGAGGGCGAGCCCGAGGCTGTTCTTAATCCCAAGAAGAAGATTTGGGAGGCCTTCCAGCCCGGTTTCACCACCCTTGACAACCTCGAGGTTGCCTTCGAGGTCTCAGCTGTCCCTCAGCTCGCCGAGAAGGGTGACAGCGGTGTCAGACAGCTGAAGACCAAGTCTGGCGTCTGCACCGTCAAGTCGCTCGCCGGCGCTACCGTCCGATAAATATGCTGATGATGGAAAACCACGCTGCTAAGGATCAAAAGGAGTAACGATATACATGCTTGCGTTTTAGACATGTTTGCATGAATTCCAAACATTTTCTACAAAGCTTCATTATGACCACTTTCTGTGAGCCCATATCCGCGAACATCGGGTTCGTGTTCTGTTGATATGTACGGAGTACAATGACACGCATCGAGGGTTTGAATGGCGCGAAATTGTAGTCATCTTGCGTGCTTCAGCTGGTCTTGTCGAGATACGATAGCTGAGGACTAGAAAGATACCCCTGCATCAGATAGCGTAACCAAGTGCTCGTTCGTAAACAAGATACGAACTACATCGGAAGGAAAAGCCCAGGCTGACGAGAGATTGAGCGCATTTGCCAAAATGGAAAGCGGTTCCGCGCTAATGACTCGGATAAGCAAGCTTATCGTCGTGTTTATATTGGACACCTTTGCTAGATCTACTAGAAGCTGTTACTGCAGGTCCAAGATTGTGTAGCAAACATTTAGCCCGTATTGTGTTTGCTCGTGAGATTGAGACGTCTCGATTAAGTACTTCTGCAGCGCTTGTCGAGAAGAAATTAGTGGCAGAAGTTCGTGCCGGAGGCCGTGAGTGGTGGATGTCCTGCATGATGCCGCTTGACGTATCAGATCTTCCCCGACATCGAGGAACGCTAGCGCTGTTTGGCATGCTCTCAATATTGCATCCAAACACAGGGGGTTTCGAGATCTTCTGCTACCGGTTGATGGAGTTGAATGAGGTTCTGGGTATACTCAGTATGAGTACCAACTAGACAGGATGCGCGAAGAGCCGCATTATCCTGTTGATTGGTGGCTGTTCCGGAAGGATGGATGTAGATCAACGATTTTAACTCGCCAATAAGAAAAGCAAAGCAAAGGGATGCGGCGTGTCGGCGTCAGTGTCTGTATCGGAAATGTCGCATCTTGTTGTCCGTCCTCCACGTTGCAGCTCGTCTCCTTTCTTCTTTCCTCATCTCCCTTGCGACGCACCTTCTTCACCCTATTCTTCTCGTGTTCACCCATACATCGTTTTGAGAGACTTGTTATTGCCGGCGCATAGAAGCGACCAGCACCTTCCATCTTTCCATAGATCCGCGCAGTCAGTCACACCTCCCCGGATTTGTAACCCGCTTGGCTTTGGCTTGCAGCAGCTGCCTAGTGTTGCGTAACATCACGCCTTCCCTCTTCTCAACTTTGATCTTTGGGCTTTTCCACCAAACTTCTTTCTTGTCATTCCCTTGTGTACCAACTTTTTTTCTTTCCCTCTCTCGCGCAACCTTCTGGAACAGTTTGCGACGGTTGTCCTTGCGCACTTAGCTGTCGCGCATCGCCTCCGAACTCCGTACCTCTCTCGGCGCAAACCGAATTCCAAACGCGACGTTCGTCTTTCTGCAGATGAACCACTAGGAATCAACATTTGAACATTCCTTGAGGTCATGCAAAGCATTTTCCGTCTGCCATGGTGTACGGACCCCTCAGGCGACGATAAGTCCGAAAAGGTCATGTTTCCCAAAATGCGCCAGTCACCCGTGGTCGACCTGTCTATGCTCAGCAGCAAGCTCAAGCGCAAACGATCCGTTAGTCCGTCCTTTGATTCGCTGCCTGCTTTCGACCACTCCAAGCGCGTGAAGGTCTCCAATGTCGACGATGATCCATCTTTGCCTGGAAGACGGCAAGTTGATTCTCAGGTCGACATCAACCTTTCGGACTCTGGACTGCACGACTCAGCTAACCAGGCTCTTCAAAATCCGATGGCTAAGGTTCCTCTGCTTACTCCGGACGTGTCGTTTGCGGCCTCCGGCGCAAAGGCCACGGCTCCAACACCTCCGCCTTCTGCCAAGCCAAAACAACCTTTGGAGACCAACGACAAGCCGGAACTTCTGGAGGGAACCAAGGAATCGCAGCTCCAAGACGTTATCGAACACCAGTTCAATCTCGAAATCTTGCTCAAACATCGCGAACTCCGCCTCATTGAGCAAGAGCTTGCCAAGTGTCAAACTGCGCTCGAGCAACTCAGGAGATGTGAACTGATGCCGTATTCCGGAGCTTCTGGTCTCTCGGAATCACTCTCTTGTGGTACTGGACCTGCTTTGAAGCCTCAGTCTGGATTTACCCAGCCACAAGCGCCCTCGCCCTGGGGCGTTACAGACGGTCCTTACACCAGACACTATGCGAGATGGCTTCTCAACGACCCGACATTCGACTCCGTACCCTTCAGTCATGTCATGCCGGGGCTTGAGAGCTACGCGATGCAGCCTGAAGGCCGCTCGACCCGCAACAGTGGTGCGGGTGTTGGGAAGACTGGCAGATCTCGTTCAATGCGGGATTCGTTCGGCAATCTCAGCCAAGCGTTGCCCAACTACCCTGCCCAGTCTCGTGGCAAACAGGGTCCTTTGGTCATAAGAAGACTAGCCGACAATCTATTTGTCAAGCTGATATGCAATAACTGTCAGCGCGGTGACTTTTCTAGTGTCCAGGGATTCTTGAACCACTGCCGTATAGCGCACAAGGTTGATTACAAGAGCCACGAAGCAGCTGCTCTGGATTGTGGAAAGCCGCTGGAGGAAGACGAATCTCACCTGATTCCTCAAGGTGCTCCCGTAGCGACATCTGGGGCGCCAAAGCCGCAACAGGCTCCCAAGCCTATCGTGGCGCAAGCCGTCCCTCCACCTCCAGCTGGCTTTGTTCACCCTCTCAATGCGCAGACTCTGCCGCGTTTCACGTGGAAGAGACAGGCGGATGAGGCAAGAGCATCGGTCTCTCAAACCCAAAGTCGCCGTGCAGTGGCAAACAAGCCCAGGAAGTCTTCTGCGTCGGCTTCTTTTCATGCGAGCCCCTTGGTCGGATCATCAGTCACACCATACCTATCTGCACGTTTCGCCAAGCAAGGTCTTGGTGGAGATTTGCAGCGCGCAACCACTCAAGCTCGCGAGAAGATTGATCTAGGCCCGGAACCAGCTGAGGACGAACAGCCCGCAGAGACGCCGAGCGAGACGCCTAATCCCAATGGTACATCAGCCATCAGTGTCAGCAGACCTGCTGCAACTCCTATTCCAGACGGAGCGCAAGGTCACAAGGGCTGGTATTCACCTATCTCACGCCCTAGACCTGCGCCAATCATGGCTCGCCACGTTCCCGAAGCCATGCTAGATTCGCCGCCCAATCTGTCGCCTCATGCGGTAGACAGTAATCCAGGACTTGTGTCTGACCACGAAGACGATGACGCTCCTTCTGACTTGGACGATGTGCGATCTGAACGTCACGAATCTCCTGGCGCAGTGAGCAGGCTCAGCGCTCTCAGGGGTAGAACTTGTGGAGATGAAATGGCTGTGGATCTTGAAGTTGACGTTGATGACGAGGCAGATGGCCACAGCGTTCTCATCAGACCACGCAGCCTCGGCCTGCAGATGCATTCGAGTGGAAGTCCGAGCAGGGCAAAGTAAGGGGTGATACATGGATAGCGACGACCCAAGTCAAGATGGTATCACACGTAATCAATGAGAAAAAGAAGAGTGGAAGGCGATGCATATTTGGAGGATTCGACACAGGGCGTGGAAATATGGCAGAGCTTATCGTTGTACGTTATTGACGAAGGGAAGACAAGATGGAGGACTTTTCGTTTCATTTTAGAGTGTTCTTACTAGACATGAAATTGGACAAAAAGCTTTTATTATCATTTTGATGTTTCGTCTTGGTTGTGTGATCTGCTCGTGTCCGGCATTGTGACGAGCAAAGAGAAGCGTTATCTAGCTATTAAGGATGCGATCAAGCGTTCTTCAGTTCATCAATCGATCAACCACCGCTGGCCTCGCGGTAGAAGCTGATGCTCCTGTTTGCGCCGACTGTGACGAAAGTTTCGTTTCTCGTCATAGGTGTCTTGGGTAGCCACTTTACAGCCCAAAGAGTCTTGTCGGATTCAGTCTGAGTAGCAACGCACTCGCGGCGTTCAACACTCCAGACCTTTGCCTTGCCATCATAAGCACTATAATAGCGTCAGCATATCTCTCCTGCCGCCAAGCTTGAAGGAGGGAATTGAAATCAGAACAACATACCCGCTCAATAGATTCTCACCCGAGTCACTCCAATCCAGACTCATGACCCAACTCTGGCTACCAGTGAGATTTGCAACCTGCTCACCGTTCTTGACATCGTAGAGCGCAATGACCTTTGCATCACCACCTGCAGCGAGGAATTTACTCGCAGGCGAGAAGGCCACCGTCCTCACTGGCTTTACCAGCCCTTGTAGCGAATGTGCCAACCTTCCAGTAGTGTTGTTGAACAAATACACAGCACCGTTCGCATGTCCCGAAGCCGTAAACTCGCCATCAGAAGACAGCGCAACACTCATACCAAAACTACCTTTTGTCTCGTATTCGCGAAGCTTGGTAGCCGGCTCGGAGGAAGTGAGGGTGTTGAGGTCCCAGACGTTAATGCGTCCGTCGAAAGTTGTGGCAGCCAGGAATTGACCATCCTCACTCAACGCAATAGACCAGATCTCCCCTGCATTCTTGGCAGCACTGTTTTCTGCAGAATCGAGTATTGAACCTCTGGCACTCCATGGTGGGGTGTCGTCTTCATCATTGCAGGACCAGATCTTTAGCTCGCCGCCGAAACCAGCGGACGCGGCGGTCTTGCCATTTGCACTGACGGCGATGTGGTGGGCGCCTAGTTTGTGGGCATTTTCCAAAGTTTGGATGAGGGGGTAAGGGTTGTTTTCGTCATTTGTAGGGGAGGTAGAGTAGATGTGTAGGGAGGAGGAGCCGGAGGCGGTGATGAGGTGTTTGGGGGTTGTTGCGACGCTGTAGATGTCTGCCGGTGAGGCGTCCGGGATGGTATGCGTTTGGAGGTATTGTTTCGACTGGATGCGCGTGTTAGTTGGTCGTTACAGAGGAGAAGTGAATTGACTTGCCATTGTGTCTTGTGGATGTGCAGTTCACCTGCTGTTTGGTGGATGAGAAATGTTCAGAGCTGTAATTATGACGTTGTGATGTGGGCGTCTTTGCGCCTGAGGCTTTGTCCAAAGTGCAACTTCACATGCAATCTGAAGGAAGTCATGTCATGGAAATCATCATGGTAAATAGTAATACAGTCAATTCGTGCCACGCGCGATACTCTCGACGTCGTGTTGTTCTTCTTTGCCCTTCCCAAGTATAAACACCTGCAAATGCCCATGTCCTTTTTACAACGCCTTGTCCACAACTATACAGGTATACAACTCTCCGTCTTCCTCTTCAATCCTTCTACTTTCTGTCGACAATGTCCGTCTCGTCAATCTTGCTCTCCTCGGCCTTGATCTCGTCGACCTTGTGCTTTCTCTGGTCCATTCTCTTCTCCTGGTCCTTCTTCTCCCACTCGGTCTTTTCCCTTCTGGGGCTGAAGTCGTTGCTGAACCACTTCTTGATGCCTGTAGCTTGTCAGAATCGCGCCCTAAGCTTCCTTTCCTTCTAGATTGACATACTCATAACGCAGTGAGGGCACAAGTAATGTGCGCGCTTGACTCTTCCACAGCCAGAGCACTTGTTGAGCGAAGTGACATCCTTGAGACCCTTGCCAGCCATCTGTCTGTGACGCTTCTTCATGTGTGATGTCTTCTTTTTCGGTACAGCCTTAAGGATGGACTCCCAGATATCCGAGACAAGGCCAGGGATGGGAATGACGATCGAAGGCAGTAGAGGGGCGGGCCATGATCGAGCGCCGAGAGGCAGGAAGCTCCTTGCAGGTCCAGCAGGGCGGAGAGAAGCTGATGCGACAGCGAGAAATGACTGAAGGAAGCCCGTCGAGGGCGCGGCGCGGAGCGACATTGTGGTGGATATGGACAGACTGGCGGACTGTTAATTGCTGCTCAAGCCGAGTCGCATCGACAACTTCTCAAACTTCGCGGATGGACGAGACGCCGTGCTGAGATGAACTGCTGAAAGTCTCTGATATACGCGTACGAGTGCAGCTGCAAGAGCGGTCGGAAGCAGCAACCGAGGGCTTTCATGGTTGTGGGGGGCCGTGCATCGGTGGATGGCAGCTTCCCCTTTCGCGACCACGGACAGACCCTGTGCCCCAGACTCCAATTGCTCTTGCTGTATACCATCTGCTGTCCTCTTTCCATTCAATCCGCCTTTCCCATCTCCGGCGTCATCGTTTCTTCGTCCGTCTTTACCTCGTAGTAATCCTCGAACCCCGTCACTCGCTCCCAACAATTCACAATGGCCGCCGCAGCCGCTCCCTCGCAGCAGCAGGCGTCGTCAATCTTCCCCAAGAGCCACGTCGGTTTCGACAGCATCACCCAACAGATTGAGAGAAAGCTGCTCAAGCGCGGTTTCCAATTCAATGTCATCTGTGTAGGCCAGACCGGTCTGGGCAAGTCGACCCTCATCAACACCATCTTCGCCTCGCACCTCATCGAATCAAAGGGTCGTTTCACCCCCGACGAGCAAGGCCGCTCTACCACTGAGATCCACCCCGTCACTCACGTTATCGAGGAGAACGGCGTTCGTCTGCGCCTGAACATTGTCGACACTCCCGGATACGGCGACCTGGTCAACAACGACAGATGCTGGGACCCCATCGTCAAATACATCAAGGACCAACACTCGGCCTACCTGCGCAAGGAGCTCACCGCCCAGCGCGACCGCTACATCCAAGATACTCGTATCCACTGCTGCTTGTACTTCATCCAGCCCACAGGCCACGCCCTCAAGCCTATCGACATCGTTGTCCTGAAGAAGTTGAGCGAGATTGTCAACGTCGTTCCCGTCATCGCAAAGGCCGATGCTTTGACCCTGGAGGAGCGTCAAGCTTTCAAGGACAGAATCAGAGACGAATTTGCTTTCCACAACATCCGCCTCTACCCCTACGACAACGAGGAGTACGACCACGAGGAGACCGCTGTTAACCAGCAAATCAAGGTAATGCTACACTACCCTCTTTGGACCAAGATGCAACTATCTAACACATTTGCCAGAACCTCATTCCCTTCGCCGTCATCGGTAGCGACAAGACACTCAACATCAACGGCCGCGCCGTCCGCGGAAGACAAAACAAGTGGGGTATCATCAACGTCGAAGATGAGAACCACTGCGAGTTCATCTACCTCCGCAACTTCCTCACCCAGACCCACTTGCAAGATTTGATCGAGACCACCAGCCAGATCCACTACGAATCATTCAGAGCCAAGCAACTGCTCGCCCTCAAGGAGAGCAGTGCCGTTGGTGGTGGTCACGGTGGCAGCAGGTGAGATTGCTCTTTCTTTCAATCTTGCGGCACAGTTACTGACGTGATACGAAGACCCATCAGCCCTAGCGCCGATCGCGAACTCAGCCGCAACAGCAACAGAATGACCATGAACGGATACAACTAGCAGGGTACTCGTCCATCAGAATAAGGTGTTTGACAGAGGGAACTGTGGGCCGGCCATTATTCAGGTCTCTCGGGAAGCGCTTGATTGAGATACCATCTTCTGTTTTTGTTATTAGCATATCTTTTCCCCCTTCTCTCCCTTCCCCAAAAGCAATTCCCCAGGCTATCTTCTACTACGGGGGGATAGTGATACAGTAATCGTACAAACTTATAACTTTTTCATCCCGCCCTCTTGATCGTGTTTCTTTGTGAACATACTCAAGCATTAAGTTTGATGCCAAGACTTTCAAAGTCTAGAACAAATCCAACTTCGAGCTTCTTTCAATATCAACCTTTAAATAATCACCAACACAAACCAAAACACATGCTTCTAAACCGGTGTTGGACACACCGCATCTCTGCTGCACCCATCGGCATCCGTGTCCGCTGTTACAGCTCTAATAACCATGGAATAACTCTCGACCAACCAATCCAATCCTACATATCTCGGAGTTCGGACCCCTACATCAACCTCTCAATCGAACACTACCTTCTCCAAAAATCACACCCGGACTCTTCGATCCTGTTTCTCTATGTCAACCGACCCAGTGTCATCATCGGACGCAATCAAAATCCATGGATGGAAGTAAACCTTGGTCTTCTGAACGCCGCATCAACACCTGCCAATTCGCCATCGAGGATTGAAAATGAACCTCCCGGCTTGGGAGATGTGGATCTAGTGCGCAGACGCAGCGGCGGCGGTACTGTTTTCCACGACGGTGGAAATGTAAACTGGACTGTCATTTCACCCGCCGCAACATTCACACGAGACAAACATGCAGAAATGGTGACTCGAGCCTTACGCTCCTGCGGTGTCTCTCGCTCCAGAGTCAATGAACGGCATGATATCGTATTAGACCAAGGAACTTCCGATTTCTCTGGTACATGGGGATCCGACGAAAACACACACTCCACACCCTGGCAAAGCGATACCATCCGCCCGTTGAAAGTTTCTGGGTCGGCGTATAAACTTACCAGAGCTAGGGCTTTACACCATGGTACCGCGTTGCTGAATTCGCCGAATTTACACACCATCCCTAGTTATTTGAGGAGTCCGGCGAAAAAGTTCATCAAAGGGAGGAGTGTGGATAGTGTTAGTTCGCCGGTTGGAAATATTTTACTTGGGAATGAGGAGTTTATTGAAAATGTGCAGAGGGAGTTTGGAGAATTGTATCGGGGTACTGGGAAGGCGGTGGGGTTGGGGGAGGAGTGTCTTGAGATTGAGGAGGTGAAGAAGGGGCATGCAGAGTTGACGGTATGTTTTACGTCTTTTGATGTAGGGAGATGTGATACTGATGTGACGACAGAGTTTGGACTGGACGTATTTGCAAACGCCACAATTCACCTTCTCAGATCTGCCATTGAAGCCAGAACAGAAGGAAGGAGAGATCGATTACTCGGATGCCAAGGTATGTTCTCTTCCTCCTCAACACGGTCTCCAGTTCTCCTATTGACAGAGATACAGTTCCGTTTGGATGTCCGCTACGGAGCGGTCACTGGATGCCAACTCAAGACCAAAGGAGCAACTGCGCAACAAAGCGAGCGTCTCGCCCAGATCTTGGAAAAACAACATCTACATGAGATCAAGGATTGGCAAGCTGTGTTCAAAGAAGCCGGTTCCGAGACCAAAGAAGCGATTGACATGGCCAAGTGGGTGCAGAGTATGCTTAGCATACCATCACAGTCATCTTGAACTACGAAGGTGGACAATGCAATCTCCCCGTTACCGTTCTTCTCACGAATTGAATATCATGTCGTCCTTTGCGTTATTGCTGAACTGCTTGTTCTCGAGATAGCGTGTTGCATTCCTTTTTCTTCCAATATTACATTACGCTGCTCATCAGGACTGACATATTGCCAGAATCTCGACACACGGAACGGCTTGTCCTGAAAGCTTCTGGGGTGTGGAAATCCATGTGGTGGTGTCGAAAGGTCTCTCTGTGTTGAGGGTTCTATGCAGTCCTTGTTTGCTTTTGGTGTCTACTTTCTGATCTTCTGCTCTGCTTGGCTCGGGAGCTGGTCTGGTTGGTAAGATCTGGTGTGTCGGTTTCGTTTGCCTGTATCGAGTCGTTATCGTGATCGCATTATCAATCTCCCAGGGACACTGGGGCAGTAGATGTGGCGTAGAAAGTGATATCCTATAGTTGAATTTTGCTTAATCAAATGAAGGTGACTGATGATAATCAAAGGCTCCTTCTGTGAAATGTATCCAGGCGCTGTAATGTTGCCGGCGGTCTGCTTCAGTGGGTCTTAGTCGTACTTGTTCACTATACCACACAGCTTCCTCAGCATCTCGTCCGAGAGAAACAAGCATAAGCATCCGGTAGCGAACTCAGGCAAAGATAGTTGGAACCAGCCCAAAAAACAGGCAAAGGAAACTTTTTGTGATTATTCTTTTCCAACCATGTCAAAGCGTCGTGACTTCATCCAGGTCATCTAAGCCGCAGACTCGTTCTTCTCGACCAGCTCGCCAACACCCAATTGACGACCGACCTTGACCTTCTTCAACAACTCTTGCTCCTCCTTGTTGTTGTTGTTCTTCCCCAAGCTGCCTACATCGTCACCTTCATCTGCAGCACCAGCACTGCTTTCCTCCTCTTCTCTGAAAGTCTCGTCGTCCCAGTCGCTAGGCTTGGGCTTCAAGTGGTCGAGGATCATCTTCATGCCGAAAGCGTCTTCACCGTCGGCGTAGTACTTGGCTTCCGTGCCGTCGACCTTGAAGCCGAGGGTGTCGCGGTAGAGGGCGAGTGCTGCCTTGTTGGAAACGCGGACGTGTAATGAGACGTATTTGGCACCGTAGGTCTCTGCCATTGCTCGTTCTGTTGTGTGTGTCTCTCGTCAGCGCTTGCTAGATCCTGAGCAGAGAGAAGTGGTACAAAACATACGACTTTGTCTCATCAGCTTCTCGGCAAGACCTAGTCTTCTGTGCGTGCGCATGACACTGAGAGAGGTAATGTGACCGTGAGGAACACCATCACTGGGCTCCTCTTCCATCTTTGCGAGAACGTAGCCGACGATCTTGGGTGGGTCGTAGGGTGTCTTTTGCGGGCGCGATACCTGGAAAGAAAGGCGACATGTATGAGCAATCTATTCTTTCTTCTTGCGGAGTGCTTGAATATGTATTCAATCGGAGGGGCGACACACATCGACGGCGACGTAGCTGAGTTGCGGCCAGCTCATGGCATGGTACATGTAGTATTTGCAAAAGTAGTTTTCTGGCAGGTTGGTGATGTTGGTCTGCTGGACATGAGGAATGTCGCTTGATCGGAGTACGCGGATATCCATGTTGGGCGGTTTGTTGTGTATTTCGATATAACAGAGCAGCTGTTCGCGATTCGACGACGAGGTCGGCGTCACACTTTCTGATGCTCGTGCCAAGCACTTTGGCGGGGGAGGCTTGACCGCCTTCTGAGCACGTGTTATGGTAGAGTAGAGAACTTGTCACCTCTTTCCTCTCCAGCATCACCCTCAAATCACACCTGCTAAAATGCACAAAGTCTCTCGTAATCCTCAAAAATTCCAGTGCGAGAGAAGACAAGTTGAGCCGCGACTGTGTATTTTGCTAACGAATGACTACAATGTCCATCTTCAACCTCATGTTCAGCCCTGACTCCGGCCTCGAGTCTAGCTCCGGCTCCTCCAAGTACGAAGTGTGTCAATGTCCCGTTCTCTTCTGGTGACTTGCCAAGCTCTTCTTGTTACCGCAGTACTTGTAACAGCCAGATCGTAAACAGCTGAAACTTAGGTCGTCGATGTGGCCTATCATGTGTTTGTCGAATACGAAGCGAAAAAGTGTCTCGTGGCCGCAATTATTCCAAGCGCACCGACACTTGAGATTTCCGAAGCTACGTTTGCCGAAAGGTTCGAGGCTACGTTTGCCAACGTGACTTATGGCATGGTTCTACGATAGGCATCAGTAACACGAAACGATTGCTGCCAGGCAGCAACTCACGTAGAGCTCGCGGGCCGTCTGAAGGGGTCTCGCTGGACAGTTTACCCAGTAGCAACGATGCGCCGCCATATCGTCGGTTCATAACTTCTTGACCGGCCGTTCAACGCTCGTGGTGGTAGATAGGTATGCAGAGGAACAAACAATGGTATGTCCTGAGGAGCAAACAATGTTTAGACACTCAGCTTGACAGCGAGTCTGGCGAGTTATGTCTGTATGGATGTATGAGATGGTTTCATTGTGGAGACGAGGAGAGGGGGAGATGGTATAGCTTACCGTATGGAGTCGTCCAAATGGATCAATCAGCGAGAGGGTCAAAGATGCCTGCTATCAATACCATTGATTATCGATGAGTGTTGATCGTTGAGGAAAACCGATGTTCGTTACGATGAATGTTGTGTGTCGAAGAAAAGCAGAGCCATCGAGAGAGATGGCTTGCTTTGATCTGATTCCATGGTCGTTCCTGCCTTTCGTCAAGTGTGATGCCACGAGACCGCCAGCACTCGCATCTTCCGCATCCGTCACGGCATAGGAAGCGATCGCGTGGATCGTTTGTGACACCAGCCGTCGGTAGAACACTCTTCTGATTTCTCATTTTATCATGTCTTGATGAGTACTAGGTAAGGAAAAGGACAAAGAAAATAGTATATCGTACACAGGGAGCAGCATGTTGATCCCTTGTCTGGATGCGTAGAGCTGTCAACGCACCTCCTCCCCAAACATGCTGGCATCATTCGAATGATCATTAACGTGCATAGAGGTACCCACCAAAAACCTCGAAACGCCTTATGAGGATAGCCTCGCCAGAACCATGTTGCCTATCCCAAAACTCCGCTTCGTGTTGTAATGCGCCCAAAAGATCGAGACGTGAAAAAGAAAGTCTAGCAAATATGCCATAACAAGCCATAAAGGCCGAGCAGCTGAGTTTACAAGAAGTACTCTCCTGTCCTTCCTCTGCCTGCAGGAACAGCACGTCTGTGATCTGGCACAGCGGAGAAGATGGTGAAGTCCGGCTCAAGATCTTCGCCAAGGGTCATGATACTGGCAACATTACCGCATCGGTAGCAGTAATTTGGTGCTGACCAAACAGTTACTACATCCTGGTTCTTGAAGTGATATTTGTAACCCTCGTTGACCAATTGATGTGCGCGTGCAATGAGTTGCAAACCGTTGACATGGTTGAACTGCATTCTGTGTAAGCAACATTCAGGGGTAAGATACCAAGCAATCAACATACCTCTGTTGCAACCTTGTCACCGAACAGCCATCCAGCACCTCTGGGACTGACGGCCCATGTATCGACTTCCTCAGGATCACTCCATACCAAGTCACAGAAAGCTCCCTCATGTGGAATCTCTTGGGCTCTCGCAACAACGCGAATCTGGTCCAATGTGCGGATCTCAGGACTCAAGCCACCGTGTACACACAGCACCTTGCCATCGACGATTGCAGCGAGAGCAAGAAAATCAAAGACCTGGCAACAAGACTTCCAGACCGAGGCATTTCCATACTTGGTCTGGCATTCTTCGTAGAAACCATAAACCTGAGTGATCTGTCTTGACTCGTGGTTTCCGCGTACAAGGGTGATGCGATCCGGGAACTTTGCCTTCAGGCACATGAGTAATGTGAAGGTCTCAAGGGAGAAGTATCCACGGTCAACAAAGTCTCCAAGGAAGATGAAGTTCTGCTTTCCGTTGTTGTTGCTGCTTGAACCGGGCTGCTTTTTCCGGGAAGCCTCAGGACTGCCTCCGATGCCACTGTCGCTGTCATCGTCGTCGTCTTCTTGGTCGGATTCGTCAATATCGCCACCTCCAGCAGGACCTCTGTGGTCGGATCCGCTGCTGCGACTCCTCACGCGACCCCTGAGTTCGCTTCCTTCTTGACCATCATCTCCTTCAAAGTCGTCACCAAGGTCGTCGGAAGCATTCGAGGCGGATGAGGTGTAGGCACTGTCACGTTGGAAACGACGCTTCATCTTGCGCTTAACACGAGGGTCGTTGATCTGGGACGGAGGCTCGATATCGGCAGCTGAGAAGCCTTTGGGCAGGGGCGATTTGGCAGGCTCAGGCTTCGGGGCTTCGGATTGAGGTTCATTCGGGTTGTTGTCGCAGGGCATGCCACCAGCAACGGCAAACAGCTCGAGCAAGTCATAGAATTGGCCGTGGATGTCGCCGCATACGGTTACTGGAGTGTTGACTGGTTGGATGTTGGACTCCTCCATCAGGCACTCTTTGACGATTTCGCACAAGCGCTTCATGTCGGCTTCGGGCAGGTACTTGCACTGCTTGGCCTGCTCGAGCCATTCGTCAGGGCCGGCGCCGGGAGACAGGCGGGCGGGGCCCGGTTGGGGGACTTGACTTTCTCTGGCCATGTTCTGTAGGCAGGTCCACGGCAGAGAAGGGCGTATGGGTGGTTTAGGGGGGTGTATGAGACAAAAAATGCGATGGTTTCATTCATGCCGGCGGCGTCAGCGTGTCACTTCGCGGGACCGGCGTGGTCTGTGCGTGGCTTCCCGCCGTCTATCTGTATCATGCTGAAGCGTCTTGAGCGTCTCTCCACACAGGGAAGGCGCATGATTGCACGTCTGCCAGCCTGAACTCTGTTGACTATTCCTCATGACCAGCGCGGCCTACCTATCCCCTTCCTAATGCCGCCCAAGCCCATGGTCGTTCTGGCCAAAAAGGGCGCCAATCACAACCATGCCGACTCACCGAGTCAGCCTCAACACCAGCATTCCGGCAAGCAGAACCACCAGCCCAAGAACACTGCCCGCTTGAAACTCCTTGTGCGTCGACTGCCTCCCGCCCTCACCAAGGATGAGTTTCTCAGCGCTCTCGGCGACGACTGGAAAGTGCCCAGCAACAAGATCGACTGGCTGGAATACCGATGTGGAAAGATCAAGGCTCCTGGAAAGACGTCCCTGCAGTCCCGCGCATACCTTCACTTGACCAACGAGCAGCACATCAAGCCCTTTGAGACTCACTTCTTGCAGCTCTCATTTCACGATGCGAAAGGCTCGCACAAGGATCCTCAGTTCAAGCAACTCCTGCCTTCTTTGGCCTTTGCTCCCAACCAGCGCATCCCTACCACGAAGCAGCGCCACGACGGTCGTCAAGGTACCATCGACCAGGATTCGGAATTTATCGCCTTCCTCGAGCGCGAGACCCAGCCTGTCACCAAACCTCTTTCCCTTGACCAGGCTCTTGCCCAGGAAAAGCCCAAAGACAAGGTTTCGTCTACCCCTCTGTTGGACGACTTGCGCGAGAAGAAGCAAAACAAGGCTAGGGCCAACCAGAAGCACAAGGAAGAGAAGCAGTCCGACAAGTCGCAGGCTAGAGGCCGCGACCACAAGTCCGACGCCAAACAGCCCGTCAAGCTCCTCGCAAAGGACAAGAAGAACCAGTCATCTCAACCTGCTGCTCCTACACCACCAGCTGCCTCTACCCCTACTTCAAGCCGCAAGCGTGAACGTGGTGCTCCCAACAACAACACCATCAAGTCTATGCTGCAGAGAGATCTTGGCTTGAACCCTCCTACCAAGCGTGGTGGAAAAGACACCTCTGCAGCAGCAGCAGCTTCCAAGACGACCTCTTCTGCACCTGCTGCTGAACCTGCTACTAATGCCGCCGCTACCCCAGCTAAACCAGCCAAATCAAGATCTGGCCGCAACAAGGAAAAGGCAGTCGCCCAGACGTCCGCACAGGAGAACTCGAAGCCTCCGACTCCTGCTCCCACTGGCATTCTGAAGAAGCCCGCTCACACTCCCGCTCCCAAGGCTCCCAAAGCTGCAAAAGGAAACAACGCCGCTGCTTCTGCACCAGCGTCGGCTCCTACACCTCCAAACAAGCAGCCCAAGGCATCAGCAAACTCGGCCAGCAGCACCACAAAGGCCTATCTGAAGCACGCCAATGCTTCTCAAGGCGTGACTGAGGCACTTCTTCTCGCTGCCTTGTCTACTTTCGGACCTGTCGTCAAGGTCGAGATTGACAAGCGCAAGGGCACTGCTCTTGCCGAGTTCAAAGACAACGAGGGTTTGAAAGCTGCCATGTCCAAGAAAAGCGTTCCAGTTGCTCAAGGTGCGGTTGAAGTGCTCGAGTACAAAGACAGACAGGCCTCAGGTGGTCGCAACGCTCAAGCCAGTAACAAGAACGCCGGTACCAATGCTCCGAACAGAGGCAGAGGAGGTCGTGCCAGGGGAGGTGCTGCCGGCAATGCCGCTGCTGCTGCTACCAATGGTAATGGCCAGGCTGTTGCTACTAATGGGAACAAGGCGGATGCTACTTGAGTGCCATGAATCACACGCGTGGCGCAGATTGCGCGCACTTTCCGACAAACCAGCAGATTAACATCAGCTTCATCGGCATCAAAGCTGCAAAGATATCCTACCTCAGAGATGAGTGCAGTTCAGGTAATCTGGATCGCATATCTCACTTCCGACCTCAGCAGCGTCTGCGCACTACCGAGGTCTGGATAGCACCTTTGCTTCAACATCTCTACGGATCCGCCTCCTTACCAATGATCCTGCAGGCCAAGCGGAACAAGGCGATGGTTTGCAAGGCCATGTCCCGCAAGAGATCTGAGGCCAGAGGGAGAAGAACGCACTCCTGCATTCACTTCTCAGGTCCCTTGGCTCGAGGTCTCATATGCTATCTGAGCTTGACTTCTTGCTCAAGGCGGCACAAGCTTCCACGGTATGCATATATCACAGAGCCAGACAGAAAAACTATATAGCCAGAACACTTTCGAGAAAATGCCAAAATTCAATACACTTCCATCAAACACTCGCCAAATTTATACGAGCTTTAAGGAGCGTACAGTAGATGCTGCATCTCACCAGTCCTTTTGCAAAGCCCGTCATTGTTTCAGCATTATCACCGCGCTGGGTATTGTAGATTACATGACACAGGAACGCGAGACAACTACATGGTTCGTTGATAGTCTTGTGGTTTGAGAGACAGCGAGGTTTGACAGAACAGTTGCACAACAGATGCCACATCCGTTACAACGTCAAAAAGTCATTATTCGTTCTTTGCGATCATCTAATGACGTCCGATAATTCACAAGTCGACTTCACGATTCAATTCAAGTCATGAGGTGAGATTAAAGATGTTTTTTTGGTTTTCGTTTTATGCGAGCCATGAACCAACCGAAGGCCATCTGTCCATCCTTCATGCCGTGCTACATCCATGAGAAAAAAGAAAGCAATCTTCAAAAACCGGTTTCCCTATGCTCTTGTGCGAGCATGCCACCCTCTCCGTTGCAAGTTTGATTTGCGGTTTTGCGTTTCGAGTGGTGGTGAAGAAATAAGAAAAGGGTTGAGGCGGAAAGAAAGAATCGTGAATCTTCTTTTACATGATCTCGTCCTCCATGGTGGCATCGCCAGTAGCGGGAGTTGCGGCGGGTGCAGGTGCGCCGTTAGTGTTGGCGGCAGGTGCGACAGCGTTGGGGTCGAAGTACTCGCTCATCTCAGCATCAAGTTCCTCGACGGTCTTGGGCTTGGGACGGCCAGCACGACCAGCCTTGCGACCAGCACGACCGGCGGCCTTGGTAGCACCACCAGCAGCGGCGGCAGGCTTGGGTGCTGCGGCAGCTGATTTGGGCTTGTTGTTCTCCTTCTTTGCCTTTGGTGCCCTGAACAAATGGTCAGACGGGTGTCGGTATAGGATCACGCAGTTACACTTACTGGATACGGTCACCGAGAGACTTGGGTGCAGAAGGAGTGGGGGCGAACTTAGCACCAAGGATGACCTCGATCTGTTGACTGTGTCAGCAAGTGTCCAGTCTTTGGAGCACGATCCAGATTGAGCATACCTTCATGGGCTTGCCGTCGACCTTGACGGAGTCGAGCTTCTTGGCAGCTTCGGCTGCGTGATGTGCCTGGGAGAAGATGATGGTGGCGACGCCCACACTACGGCCGTTCTTGTTGTAGTTGAGGAGGACCTTCTTGACGGGTCCAACGCTCTGTGAGAAGTATTCCTGAAGGCGAGGTGTTAGTCCACATCTGGAGGTAGTTTGAATCGCAACGGGTATCCATAATCCAGCGGACGGCAGAGCAAGGCCAGGCATGAGCATTCGGCATGTCAAGTTTGGTACTTGAGCACCAATGAGCGAGCAGCAGAAATTAGTATCCGAAACACAGCATAATCCGTCAACCACTCAACATCCCACTGGGTCTCTCGAAGACGGCATACACCCCAGTGTGTAAGAGGAGTCGCGTATGGCCCCATCAAGCCAGCATCGAAGATCCATGAACCCACACGGTCTTCGATGATTGATCTAGGCGTACTCATGCGCCATGTGAGAATTCAAGAATGGTCCGCGGCCTAAAACCTGTGCCAGATAAGACGCAACTCTCAGGTGTGCGACCCAAGAAGTTCGGCGTGTCTGCTGCTGTGCTCATTGATGCTCGGTCGAATTGTCCTCGGAACGCAGGCGCCGGGATCAATCAGGAACGAACCGTGGCGTTCTGGACATATGTCCAAGCCTCATGACCTTCAACGCTTGCACCTATCTGGATGAATCTGCTTGCCAAGCAGTACATTGCCGAGTATAGGTTTCTTGCAAAGCGCGCGTGCTACTCGGTTCCGTCTTCGCATTGCATCAAGCCTTGACAGGCGAGCAAAGTGCTAGGAATGAGTGCATCTGGTCTGGCAGTACTCGTGGACGAGCATGTATGTAGATGCTCTTGCCAACTCCAAGGAAGGGAAAGGAAGGCGCAATGTAGGTACGATCGAAAGAAAGAGTCGCGCAAAATGGACCATTTATCCGTTCGGCCATGTATCGGTCAACGTACCTTAATCTGCTGCTCCGTAACATCGGAAGGCTGATTGTATTAGCGGATGCAATTCGGCGGAGGATGCAGGTCGACATACCAGGTTGCTGACAATGATCTTGCTTTCTCCAGTAGCGGGAAGAGCGGCACCAGCGAGGGCGGCAGCGGCGTTGTGAGCCTTAGGTTGACGACCGGCGGGCTTTGTGGGAGCGGTGTTCTTGGCGACACCTCCGGTAGAGACTCTGGGCTTGTTGGAGCGGCGAGTGCGACGAGCGTCGTTGCGGCGAGTGCCGGCAATCTCTTCGAGACTCTGGTCAAGCTTGGAAGACATATTGTATGTGTGTTTGCGAGGAAGGTATGTGTGAGTTATGGATGTTTGAGCGCGAAAAGCTGGCTACCGTATGATAACAGGAAGCCTGGATGAAAGTCGACGTGTGGCGACGAAGTGATTATAGAAGAGAGAGATTCGAGTGAGTTGGCAAAGCGTAGATGCGATGTCTCTTGATGAGGTTGGTATGTAAGACGTGGAGTCGAACGGGCTGAAAGTGGTGTGGCTTGTCGCAAAGTCGTCGCGTGAGCGGCAATGGAGCGCGAGTTGGTGAGACGCGACGCGAGATTAAGAACGAGTTGCGACGAAGATGGATGGAGAAACACGGATAAAAGTGTCTCTGTGAGGTGGGTTTGATGGAAGTGAGAAGGGAAAGGAGAGTGTCGAAGAGAGTTGGGGAAGGAGCGAGGCAGCTCTCTAGCGCCCCAGCACAGACCGCTTTCGTCGTCGTAGCCTAATCCGGCCCATCGCTATTAACATGCGATACCAAGTCGAGCTGTTATTGTCTCTCAATGGAACGAGTCGACTTTGACTATTGAGTCGTCGTCGAATTGAAGTCTTGTCTCGGTCGAATTGTGTCTCGGATTTCAGTGCAGTCTCACTTCGGTTTCATCTCGTCTCTTAGCATGCATGACTGTAAACAAACCACCCATGGAAGTAAGGTATCGTAGTATTGTGGTAATAGGTTCGGTCGGAGAATATGCGCAATTAGAAGAGAACACCAAAACCCGTTCCTGTCGTCCATCGCGCCCAAACGCCGTGTAGTGACTGTCCATCTCTAACTCTTCAGGGCCTCGAGGCGCCCTCTCATCTGAGCAAGCAGTTCCTCTTGGTCTTCCTCCTCCTCGGGTTCGGCCGCCTGGACAGGAGGGAGATCCAGTGGTTGTGCATTCGTAGGTAGTTTGTCCTTGAGCACCTCGCTGAGCACCTTGTCGACCTCGCTCTCTGCCTCTTCCTCCTCATCTTCCAACAGTTCGTTGTCGGGCAGACTGTCACCTATCATCTCCTCGATAATGCCCGCCTTCATCAACTCTTGACTCAATTCTCGCATGGTGCCAGTCAACTCGGGTAGGCGCACCAAAGTGTTGACGTCCTTCATGATTCCAACACTTGCTTTGATGCTTCCCTCGATCTTCCGTACCGAGAAGGCTTCGTTGATTTGCATGCCTACACTTTGCAGTTGTGCCTGGCTGGTAGCCAACCTCGCGCTCTGCTTGCGCACTCTTATGAGCTCTCGTGCGAAGGTGCGGGTTTCCTGGGCGGCCTGTTTTGCTTGCGAAGGGTTGCGCTGGGCACGTTTGGCGGCTTGGGTGATGAAGGTCTTGGTCTTGCCTTCCAGCTGCTTCAACTTTTGAATTTCGCGATCGAGCTGGCGAGTTTGTTGGCGCATCAGGGTATTACATTTTCTTTTCTGCGACTATTAGACAGACTGCGACAGCAGAGAGGTGCGAATGCTGGCTAACCTGCTCCTCGGGAGTCGGGCCCCAGAGGAAGCTCTTTACCGACTGCATGCTTGAGGATGGTATGATTTATAGCCCTGGTTCATAGCATGTCAGAGCGCTATGGATGTCGTCAAAACACCTCGGACACGCAAGTGAGGATGAGTGAGGGAATGAGTGAGTTCGTACATTGGACAAGCACGCTGCCTTGGCTACTATCGCTATCGGCAAGTGCTTGGCATACGTGTGTTCGGCCGCCCTCCCCCGCGATCAAAGCATCAAAGCTCCAAGAGCTTTCAGCAGCCTCGACAGGACGCTTCACATCTGTGATAATTCGAAAACATTATATTGCTGTGTTGCATCGGAAGCGTGCGCATTACATAGCTCGCTGTTCAGTAAGTTCCATTTCCATGCGGGTTGGCTGTTTGTTATCTGTTTGCGTGGAACAACATTCGGCGGATTCCATTTGCTTCGCGTGTATTCTAGACTGCGACCCCACAGAAACGAGCGACTGACGACTTGCAAGGTCTTTTCTAGACTCCCGACCATAATACTCAACAACAAAGACATCTTCGTCGTATTTCATTCCAATCTCCCATACACAGCATCATACATCATGGAGCAACCTACCAACACTACCGACGTCAAGGGCTTGAAGCAGATGGTCCCCGAGGGTATGCCGCCCCATGTTGAATTGACTGCTTGCGAAACATGCTAACTCCCACGCGCAGTCACCTGGGCCCAGCGCTCATCCACCACTGAGCCCGAGAAGAACCACATCTACATGACCATCGTTGTCCCCGATGTCAAGCCTGAGAACCTGAAGCTCGACCTGCAATCTTCATCGCTCGAATTCACCGGTTACTCAGAGAGCAAGAAGGCCACTTACCACGTCAAGATGGACCTTTTCGCCGAGATCGACCCCAAGGAGAGCAAGATCAACCACTCTTCCCGCTGGGTTGAGCTGGTCCTCAGAAAGAAGGAGCTCAAGGAGGAGTACTGGCCCCGTCTCCTCAAGGACAAGCAAAAGGTTCACTACCTCAAGACCAACTTCGACAAGGTACGCGCTTCTCTTCCAGACTATTGTCTTTCGACGCATACTGACTTCTTCACTAGTGGGTCGACGAGGATGAGCAGGACGCCGTTCCCGAGGACGACGACTACATGGCCCGCATGGGTGGCATGGGTGGTGCCGGCGGCATGGGCGGCGGTATGGAGGGTATGGGCGGCATGGGCGGTGACGGTGGCTTTGGCGGCATAGACTTCTCCAAGCTTGGTGGCGGCGCTGGTGGTGCCGGTGGCATGCCCGACCTCAGTGCTCTTCAGGGTATGATGGGCGGCATGGGAGGTGGTATGCCTGGCATGGGTGGCGACGAGGGCGAAGACGACGACGATGACGACGACATGCCGGAACTTGAAGAGACTGAGGAGGCCAACGCTGGTGCCTCCAAGTCGAGCAAGATCGAGGAGGTCGAGTAAAGAAGTCGCCTCGGATTGATACCCTCCATTACTTGGAAAAGTAATTATGAACCGTTAATGACGAAAAAGCGCTCCAGCAGCATTCGGACATAGAGACGAACCATAATCACCACGAAGCTCAATGAGATACCAAATTAGTTCATATCGACATAAAGACGCGTCTACTATTGAGTGTTTGTATATGTGTCTTGCAAGATCAGGTATTCTGGTTAAAGTTCATGCTGTACCCTCCACTGTTCTCGTCTTTTACAAACTGGAAGTTGTTGGTACTCAGACCAAATGGCTTCAGAATGCTGTTTCCGAGGCCCTTTAGCTTGCCCATCATCTCGGCCATTTCTTTGGATTTGGCATCTTCCAGCTTGGGACCGATTTCAGCCATTGACTTTTGTACAGTCTTCTTGTCCATTGGTGATAGGTTTGTTACCGTTGCAAGGAACGTGTAGTCTAAGAGGAAGTCAGACTTGTATTGCCGTGTCTTTTCGTAGAGGACAGTGTTACCTTCGTATGCTCCTTGTAGAGCAGCCCACCCACCGGTCTCTGATCTAGCTTTGGCCCGCCTTAGGAAGGCTTTGACGCGAATCTTCTGTACATCATCTCGTGTCCTGCCACTCTTCTCTAGAGCTTCGATCTTCTCTGCTGTCTCGTCGTCGATTTCCTCGACGGCCGATGGTGCCGACTGGGTCTGAAGCTTGCCCTGACCAGTACCCTGTGACTCCTTGGGTTTTGGTAGAGGATCGATCCGCTCTAGTGCTTCTATGCTCTTTGTAGCGCTGTCGATGGCTTCTTTCCATTGTTCCGACTTGATGTGACAGGCGGCAATGTTCGAGTGTAGTACGGCGAGTTCGTACTCGAGGTAGTTGGGACATGATGAGAGGGCGCGATCGTACGTCTGGACTGCTTCCTCGAAGGAGCCGTGAGCAAATAGAGAATTGGCATCCGCTTTGAGTTTGTTGGACTCTGCTAATAACGACTTCCGATCATCAGCGCGTGATACAGCAAGCGGCGGTGTCTGCGACGTACAGCTTCCTCTTTCGGGGAGAAACGTGAGCCGGAGGGCGGATGGCCAGTGTCTTGCCCGCTCACATGGTGTGAGGATCTAGCCGAGACGAAACTCTTGTCGTCGTCTGAAGGGTAGTCTTCTCCTGACATGGTCGATCTCGTAGAGCAGACACTCTGAGCGGACTCATGTCAACAATAAAATGTTCGGATGACGTATCCGTCGTTGGTCGCATCGCGCATGTGAAGGCCTTGGCAGCCTGGAGCGCTCCTTCTCGCGTCTTGATAGAGACCTTATCGACTGATTGAGCAGCGAATCAGCCATCTTCAACTTATCGACCTTTCTCGACTCCGATCATGGATTCAGAAGGTAACTCGGGTACATCTACTCCTAATTCCCGCTTCACCACCCAGGCAAAGACGGCCGATGACATTTTGTCGGCGCAAACCGTCGGTCTTGTCCAACTCGACGATTTTAGGAAACGAAGAGCAGATGCCATAGACGCAAAGGAACGAGAAGCACTGGAATCTGGTCGTGCCACTCCTGCCAGTGCAACAGACAGCTCGTACGTATACACCCGTCCTGTCAAGAAATCATGGCCAACAGAACAAGTGCAGTGACCCGACGTTCAAGCCATCCAAGAAGAAACGCAAGACTGTCAAGAAAGGCGCCCTGTCGTTCGGCAACGATGAAGACAACGACAGTCAGACACCGACCGAATCGTTGAAGTCTCGCTCAAGCACACCTGCAGCCACAAAAGAAGACAAGATCAACGAGGAAGATGACAGTCCACCTATCAAGAAGCGCCTCGCTGCGAACTCAAGTGTCGGCTTCATGGCCAAATCCATGTCAAAGTCAGCCCTCTTGCGTGAGGCACAGACACGGGAACAACTTCGTAAAGACTTTCTCGTCATGCAGGAAGCAGTCAAGCAGACGGACTTCCTGCTCCCTTTTGTCTTCTACGACGGCACAAACATCCCTGGGGGCCAATGCCGCATGAAGAAGGGGGACATGGTCTGGCTGTTCCTCGATCGAGCAAGGAAGGTTGGTGCAGAAGTCGGAGGCAGCGACAAGGCTCGACGTGAGTGGGCCCGCGTTGGCGTCGACGACCTGATGCTGGTCAAGGGCGATATCATCATACCTCATGTACGTTTCCATCCATGTCTCAGCATGCAGCTTACTGACGGCATGCCAGCACTATGAGTTCTACTATTTCATGGTCAACAAGACGATCGGCTACAATGGCCCGCTGTTCCCTCACTCTGCGGAACCGACAGCGAATACTCCCCTCGACACCTCGGCTTCTGCCCCAGCGGGAGGTTTGTCAATTCCTACCGCTCCATCCAAGACATCCAAGGCGCAGATGCAGTCACCCGCCGTTCCTGACGCCGACCTCGAGGGCTTCGGCGACGACTCAAACTCGACAAAGGTCGTCGATCGACGCTGGTACGAGAGGAACAAGCACATTTTTCCTGCCAGCACATGGGAAGACTTCGACCCGACAAAGGACTATACCAGTCATGTGCGCAAGGACGTGAACGGTAACGCTTTCTTCTTTTCGTCATGAGGTCAACACCACCCTCAATTTCCGGATCTTTCTCCTATTGGCTCGTGCCCAATAAACATGGCCTCATCGCACTTGGTATTTGCTCAAACCGTCTGCAGACTCTTGTAAGTTACGTCGTGCATCTGTAGCAGGAGATGTTGAATCTTGGATCAAATGAGAACTCCCTGCGCCCCTTCTCCGCACCCAAGGGTACGGCCCCGCACCTGCATTGAACATCACATCCCGACCTCGAAGCGAGGTACGGACATGCAGTCGCTGGGACCATACAGGAACCATGCCGTTGATGTGAGTAGTCATGATTCGTCCCGTCAGTGTTATGAGGAGAAACAACGAGATGAACCGGTCCGTGCCGTGCTTTCCAGGCCTGTTCCGTCCGGTAGTTTCTGTGTAACTCGGTTTTCTTCCAAAGGTTCCACCTATTTATGGCCGCCTCTTCTGCACGTGCTCGATCGGGATGTATGCAACATCCCGTCCGACCAGATCCAATCGTTACATGCACAGCCCAGCCTTGCACGGCACTTCCAAGACATCTTGAAATTCACGAACCTAGGGCACGCCTGCGATACTTGGTAGTATCATTGGGACATTCTCTGTTACTCTGCTCGACACTCGTGTTCGACTTCCTTGTCTGCTCATATTGGACTACTTGGTTGAGAAGCGGTCTGTAAGCGGAAGCAGTCAGCAAAGCGGTTGGTCTTTAGCACTCGCAATTCGGTCGCCTCCATAGCACAAAAATCTAACAATGGATCTCCTCGTCGCACTGCGCTGCTTACTTGGACCTAGGAATATTCCGAGTCGATGATCTTTAAAGTCCGATGCCAGGCACAAAGAAAAGCATATCTTTGTGCCTGACAGAGGGAGTGGTGGACCCGCTCAGTTGCACGACGCATCCGATCCCGGCGTAGAGACATTCTCGAGATGATCTTGTAAGCTATTGAAACTACTTCTCACCTCCTCATGCGTGTGGTGATGGAGTGCACAACAAACCCAATGCTTTGGTACCCGTTTCGATGATTGGAATTGCAGTACGGCGAATCAATGTCTCTACGAGGATACTTTGCCAATACAGCTTGCATCTTGCATTCTGCATCACGTTTGCAGCTTGCACGGGAGTTACTTCCCAGGACTTGAGTAGTCGGGTCTCGAATGTTGTATGACCACCACGCTAGAGAATCGATGGGGGAAGCGATAATACGTGCTGCATTATGGGAGTCAAGATGGCATCATACCTGATGGTGAGGGGCTCTGTCGAAGATATAAAGACAGCCTTCCATGTTCACTGTCAAAAGGTATCCTCAACAACAATCTCAAGACAAAGCAACAACAGCACCATTCCCTCGCTCATACACTATCGTTTCACTATCCCCCCAGACCACTCTCAAGATGTTCTTCAACACCCAAGTCGCGGTTGCAGCTCTGCTCGCTTCCAGGTAGGACATTTGATCGAAAGCAAGCCATCTCGAACTAACACTCTGCAGCTTCGCTGTCGCTCTGCCTTACGACACGTTCGCTCCCAGCAGTACTAGCTCCAAGGAGATCAAGACGACTTCTTCCTCCGCCGGCTACGGTGGCTTCCCTACCCCTTCTTCCAGCACCTACGTAGAGACCACCACGAAGAAGACTGAGACCAAGACTTCCGATACCAAGACTTACGAAACCAAGACTTCTGAAACTAAGAAGACTTCCGAAACCAAAACGTACGAAACCAAGACTTCGGAGACCAAGACTGCTCCTACTTCGAGCACCTACAGCAAGACGACTGAAACCAAGTCTACTCCGGTCACCTACCCAGTGACCACTTCCAAGACGAAGACTACTGAGACCAAGTCTACTGAAACCAAGAGTTCTTCAAAGTCGAGCAGCTCCAGCTACTCTAAGAGCAGCAGCTCAAGCTACTCCAAGTCTTCTTCGAGCACCGCAAAGACCACCGCAAAGACCACGCCTGTCACTTCTTGCAAGACTGAATACGTCACTTCCACTTCCGTCGGCCAAAAGACCACAATCACCTACACCGCAACTACGGTCTACGTCCCCTACCCAACCGTCTCCAGCTACACCAGCACTTCCATCTACGTCTCCACCGGCTACACCACAATCACCAAGCCCACAACCTCTACAATCACCAAACCCGTGATCACCGAAAAGACGTCCTACTCCACCTACGTGATCACCACTTCCAAGCCCGTCGTCGTTACCGAAACCGGCTACGAAACCAAGACCGAAACCGGAGTCGCTACCGAGACCAAGCCGGTTGAAAAGACAGAGACTAAGACTGTGACTGAGGTCAAGACTATTACTGTCAGCAAGCCTGAAGTTGAGAGCAAGACTATTACTGTTACTGTGCCTTATACTAGCGTCTACACTACCGGCAAGCAGGTTTGCAGCACCGTTCCTGCTATCCCTACTTACGGCGGTGGCGGTTACTAAAGACTGCTGATCTTTCGAGCCTTGCGCACTGAGGGATGAGATGAGATGAGATGGGATGTTCAGGGTGTTTCTTTTGTCTGTCGATTTGCACAAAACACACACACTCCTTATATTGTTGATGATGCTTTTTACTTTCGGATTTTTCCTCTTCGATTCTCCTTGATGGAACTTTTTGACTCTGATTTCGTTTTTCTCTTTGGCTTCAGATAGTGCTTTTGATTTAGTACTTATACTGGCAATAAAACGGTCCTACTTATACACCGATATACATTGAGCGAATGTTCTTGACAACTACCTGTGATGGCTCGTGCAAAAGTAGCCGAGCAACACGGTGATATGCTTCGCTAGGCCCTTCTCATTCCTTGTTCGACGCACCATCTTTAGTGGCAGAGAAGAATGCTGTGCAGTCGAACAAGATTGGTAAGATGTACTGGCAGCCGTGGTCCGAGAGCTCGGCCGAGCTAAACTGGGTGTGTCGAGCCAGGGCTCGTGTTTCAGAGGTTACTGTTGATCTTGAAATTCAAGGTCAAGGGACCATAGGGATCGTCTTTAATTTCCATGCCCACGTCTGAGACGTCGGCACCTTCGAACGCGTCTTTCTGGTCAAGATGGATCATTAGCTTGTCTGAATAGTTCAGGTCGTCAGTATCATGATACGTGGAAAGATGGGCTGGACGTGGTCTGCGAGGTATATCAAGGATAACTGACAGTCATCGATATCGTCTTGGTCTTCTTCATCCTCCAGCTTGACGTTGTCCGCTTCCTCGATCTTGCCAGTGCTTGTCTCTTTCTTGACCTCCACAGACCTGGTCCAGTTCAACATCCACTGTCGTTCATCTTCGTGGGTGTCCCTAGCATAGTCAGTAACAATGCCAGTTTCACACTTTTGGGATAGTGACTTACTTGAGAAGATGCTTCAAAGCTGATCTTGCTTTTCGATTGGCCTTCTTCTGATGGAGGTCTGGGTACTCGCGTGATGTTTCGGCGATGATGACTTGCTTCGTGATCTGGGAGACTGGAAGATGACGCTTTCTGATACGATTGATGATCCTGGATACGAGTATGGGCGTCTCCTTTGGGGTTTTGCTGCCTTTAGATCTGTCGACATTGGACTTCGTTCTGCTTTGCTTCGCTTTGCGTCTAGACATTGTCAAGTCTGGTTGCTTTCACCGTATCTTAATTCAGGAGTGTGATCGGGAGTTGAGGTGCAGCGATGACACTTCAGTCGTGAAGAAAGTGGATAGAGAAGAGACATGGGGTTCCCATCGAGACGTGTTGATTCCATGACGTTGTGAATCTCTTCAAGAAGGAAAGATCGATCAGCCTGAGTCTAAGCAAGCGAAAGAAATTACAAAAAGTGGTGAATCAGGGAAGGAGGCTGTGGTTAGACAAAGCCGTCAGGACCAACCGGGCTCAGATCTTTGGGCTTGCTACAAACGCTAATCATGATTTACTCTGGCTGATGACATTGTAGAGGCGAGAGTAAAGGGTAATACGAACTTAGAGGAATAGAATCCTGACCCGACCCCTGACACCCAGATACAGGCTGCTCATCGAACTGTCTGTTGAAAGGCCAGCTGCTTTTCACGATTGGTGCTTTCTCCACTGAGATCAACACCTGTCTCGTTATCCAGTGGGTACCAAGGGTTCAGACGTTCTTTTTTTCGCTAGCATGTTCTACCGCTGCTTTCCATCCCAGGGTGTGTCAGAGTTTACACAACTCGCAGCTGCACTCATCAAGGGTTCCAAGCATCATGTAACGAACATGCACACAAAACGATTCCGTTGTCAAATTCGGTTGTTCATAATAGTCGTTTGTCATTGCATTTTCTCTCCTCCGTAAATATATACTGTATGCGTCGATCGCTTTCTTTGTGCCACATGACCTTTCATTACTTTGCGAGCTTCTCCTTGAGAGCGTCCTTCATGTTCTTCATGCTCTTCTTTGCGCCACTGAGGGTCAGGTATCCGAGCTCGCCCCAAGGGGGAGGAGTCACGTTGACGTCGTCATCGTCCATGTCTTGACCGTCCCAACTCTGTTGGCTTGCAGATCCACGACCTGCGACCTCAAGATAAGCATCACGCTCTTCTTCCTTCTCTCCCAGGGCTACGATGATACCGGCATACTTGGCAAGTATGGCATTGAGGATCAGGCGACAGGTGCGACCGTTTCCATCGGCGAATGGGTGTATGTTGACGAACTTGTGGCAGTACTTTGCTGCAAGCCAGTAAGGATCGAGGTGTCCAGCTTTGCTAGCGATGTCAAGGTCTTCATTGAAGTCTACAACCAAGCTGCGCATTTCGCCAGGGACACTGCCGGGTGCAGTGAAGGTGGTAAAGCCAGCGCCAACGGGCTGGGTACGATACTGGCCACCATATTCGTGGTAGGTGTCACCATCGGAAGAGTCGACTTTGTAGGTGAGAATCTTGTGGGTCTCCAGAATCATATTTTCGGAGAGTGGGTTGTCCATGATGACCATTTCGTTGACCAGATAGGTGAGAGCGCGCGCATGTTGAACAATTTCGCGACGAGAACGGATGACTGCATTCTCGATACCACCAAGAGATTGGCTCAGCATCTCGGCACGAAGATCCTGGTACTCTTGGTCACGCTCGGATATCTCTTCGTTAATGTGCTGTCCTTGGAAGATCTTGGTGCAGATCTGGAGAGTAATTTCGAGACTAGCGCCAGCATTCTCGATGAGGTTTGAGCCGAACACAAAGCGAGTGAGGACATCCACCAAGTGATCCTCGAACTTGACATTTTCGGCAGGAGTGAGATCTTTGAGCATAGCTGTAATCTCGTTGCTAAAGCCTTCAGTTTCTTGGAAGATCTCATCCGGATCTTCCTCAAAGCGGTACCAGTCGTAGGGGCCATCCATGCGGACAGTGAAGTTTGAAGGCAAGGGACGCGCACGAACTGAACCGCGGGGTGGCCAGTGAGTTTGAAACTTGGTGCGTAAACTGCGGACAATGTTCTTGGGTGAAGAGCCGTACGAGCCTGACTTGTGAGCCTTGGTGGGTGAGATGTCAAGGTTCTCGAAGATGTTGTGAAGGCTACCACGCTTACGCTTAGGAGTGGTAGGTGCCATGGTGTGTGATAGTGAAGTTGTCGAAGAAAAGGTTGAGAAGTTGAAAGGTTGGAAGTTGGAAGTTGGGAAGATTGGAAGTTTGGAAGGTTGGTAGAAGAAAGAGCGTCGGTTGGTTGGAGAGGAGATTAAGTAGCTCCTGTCAATCGAGTCCCTCACTCGAGTCATCGCAGCGAACCAGCGCGTTCACTTTTAGCCAGTCAAAACGAACTCATTGGCTCTCACTCGTACATAGAATGGCTATTATTGTGAGTCAACCTGCCAGTGAATTTCGAAGTGAATAAAGCACGGGTGCGTAACTGTGGAATGCTGTAAGTTGTAAACTCCCAAGCCGTCAGACCTGTGGTTCTTTTTTGCTCGAATACTTTTGCGAGATGTTTTTGAGGTGTGTCTCACCGTCTGATATGTATGCCTCCTATGACCACCATCTGATATGTATGTCGATTTCTGCTGAGAAAACAAAGACGTCTTGGAGGATCATCTTTCTCATGCGACAACCCAATGCGAGAGACAAACACACATCTTGTGCGCGTTCTGCACCCAAGCAGCTGAATGTCCGTCCACCAAATTCTCAATGACACTGCCACATCTCCTGCACTGTCTGATCTTCGCGCCTGGCGCGATGGCACACTTGCGCAGAACATCGTATTGTTGCATTCCTGCTCGCTTGTTTGCTTCTTCGTCTTCGCCGAGTCCTAACCATGCTGTATCTGCAGTATAGATAGCCACGCCATCGACCTGACTTTCGATACGTGGCATTATATCGCCAAACAGCCTCTGTAGCACTGGACTCAGCACCTCAGGTATGTCGGCTTCGACGAGCATACTTTGCTCAAGATGGCTACGCAATGGAGCTGATGATTGCGCTGTTTGGTATGTTGCACGCACAGCACCATCGATCTCCATAATGAGGTGCTCGAAAAGTCTGATATCAAATGGTAGATCCGAGCCCATCATAGTTTCCATTTGTTGCAATTCTGCGCTGTCTCGAATGTCGTTCGCTCTGCTGCTGAGGCGTACCTTCTCCTGAGTCTTGGGAATGCGCAGGGCAAAGTTACGAACTAGGTTTCCCAACATAGCCAGCAGTGCTCGCGATGTGCTGTTCAGTAGAAGGTGCACGGCTGCGGTGTTCTTCTCATGCACATAAGACAATATCCGTTCTCTGTCGAAGTTGCCATTGCAGAAGCGCATAATTTCGATCATGTCGTCAAGAATCAGTATCATCAGATCAAGTGACCATCTAGCCAATCCCTTGAGTGACACGAACAGGCTGGGCTCCATGTTGTACATGCCTCTGATCTGCTGGGTCATGGTCAAAGTTTGTGCAATGTTGGTGCACACCGAGCGAAGATTCAGCAGCATCCATGCCACCTTTGCAGGGATGTCTCGTCGCTTGGGATCGGTCTGGTAGCTAATAATGAGCTGGGCACTAGCAATTCTGTACAGAAGGCTGTCTTTCAGGACCTTGCCTGACTGCACCTTCTGGTCATCGAGGGAGAAATCGAGATTTCGGTTGATCGTGCGGAATATTTCGCTGATGAACCTACGTCGCAGACTTCTGTCCAAATCCGTTGGTATCATGGATAGCAAGTCATCAAAACCAATCTGATAGCAGGTCACGATACCGAGCTCTCTAGCCAAAGACACAACCGCAGCCTGTGCGAGATCTACAAAAGTCAGTCGGCGCTTTCAAGGATAATTCGTGACTTTGGTCTCACCATCGTCCTCTTTAGCATCTTTCCAGCCGTGAAGATATTCGGCGTTGTGAAGCTGAATTGTGCCGTCTGGTTTGGTGATGATCGAAGCAGCCATACTAGGCGAAAGCGATATGTCGATGCAATCAGAAGCCATGAACGAAAAGCCATTCTGCGGTAAGCTTGTCGCTTTATTTGTATCTCCATCCGCTAAGATGATTTGCATGGTTTCTCGAGAACGAAACTCGACTGTACCGTCACTCGCCGCGAATGCAAACGTGTTGTGATATACATTACTTTGAAGAGCTAGAATGGCCTTTTGCGAAAACACATCCTCTAATCGATGCAGCCTCTGCACGGGTTTCTGAGCAGCGGGTTGTGCAGCTGTTGGCTTTAAGCCTTTGAAGCTATCATGCAACGTGGTGTCGGCTTGTTGGAGTTCCCAACGAGATATGATACTGAACTTGCCACCATGATCCTGGGCTACGCTGGTGAAGACAGCCACGACCGTAAAGGTGCTATTTTCTATGGCTTGCGAGATTGGCTCGATGTGCAGAGATGAGAGTTGAGCACTAGCTGCTCGTTCTGAGGATTGAGGGACACATTGATCAAGTAGTTCAACATGCAGAACGGCCATCTGAGGGTTAAGGGTAGGTTTTTGGTTGTTGCCATCTCCAGTATTGGAGTTCCAGTGGATCATGATCTTGTAGAGGCGTAATCGCTTGGAGCTATCATATGTGGCCATGACAAGGTGTTCTGCGTGAATCAGTACGAGCGTGAGGTTTGTAAGAATCGGCAATACTGACGATTTGCTTGACAGAAGGAAGCGTGAGTGAGCACGTCTCCGGAGTCAGTCAGGCTGTCCAGGCTCAAGTTGAATTGAGTCCATGGCTGACCGGGTTGCTCATAGATCAATTTGACAAGACTTCTACGAGTGACGCATATAAACGCAGCCTTGTTGTCAATGGGGTTCGAGACGCCATGAACCTCGTGAAGCCTCATGTTGTTGATCCATCGGTCACCTTCCTTGTGAGCAGGATGGATCAAAGCAGTCTAGCATGCGTCAGAGAGATCTTCAAACCAACATTGATACATGTTACATACGCGATTCTGGCCAGCAAGGTTCAAAGGAAACCAGTGAAGCCCGACAATTTGATTCAAATCGTCCACAGTACTGCTCAGGTTGACTGGACGGCGTTCGAGACTATTCAAAGCATGGGTAAGGCTGAAAAGAGTCAACCGACCAAATTGATCCGCAGCGACCAGGTCAAGACCAGAGCTGCTCCATTCGACATGAGTGAAGATGGCATCTTCTGAGGCATTGACTTCGGTCTCACCAGACAGCGACCATTTTGCGGTATCTTTGTCGCGGCAAAGGGCCCGCACGAAAATCTTACGAGAATCCGCAGATATTTGAGCAACACAACTGGTCCTAGACCATGCTAGCCTCCTGTTGATACAGGTTATCAAATGCCGAAAACGATCAAAACGAAGAGAAGGAAGAATAAACTTACTGGCAACAGCCTACAACGTGGGAGCGCTCAATTCTTTGGAAGAGAGCATCGGTATCAAGAGATGCAGCGATAGCAGCGTTGATGCCATCTGCATCACCATCGCCAAAAAGGTCGTCAAGATTGTCCATGCATGCGACGACGGTGCCTACAAAGAATCACAAGACGCCGAGGATCTACAGGCTTCACGGTGGATTGAAGCCTGGATAGAAAACAGTCTAGACAGAGACAAAGCGACTACGGTGGTCTAGAAGCGACGACCTACGAGCAGCGAGCTGTGCAGCCTGTGCTGTCTACGGATGGTTGACAACGAGTATGGAAGGAATGTGGAAGTTGGACTGGAATCAGTGCCAAGAAGCGACCGATGAAGTCACCCCGTCACTCTCGGAGACGCCCAAAACAAACAGTGCAGCAGGGCTTTTGGTTTGGAGAAGCGGGAGAGTCGACAGTCCCGCGGCGCTGCCGACGGATGCGAGAGCGGCTTCTTGTCTCACCACGACTTCTCCACTCCGCTTCTTTCGCTCTTTCTCTCGTCTTTGTCCAGTCTCTTCTTCCACCAATTCGCATTGTTCGCCCTGCTCTCGAACGCACGTGTCGCTCGACGCTTCTATTTCCTGCTGCTCAGCAGTTCCCGCTTTAATCCAACCAATGGTCGCTGTTGCCGGTTGATTGTAGAACCGACAGAGGCTTTCTTGACGGCGCGCCCGGCTTCTCTATTGAGCTCCTCCCTCGTCGACAATAGCTGCTATGGACGGCTACGACTCGGACGGCAGCTCATTATTGAGCTCGCCCAAGTCTCCTACTCCCCCTCCTGAAATGCAGAAGAATCCCTATCCCTCTCCGCCCCGGTCCAAGCACTCGTCGCAATCTGCGTCGCCCTCACCCGACGACCAAATGGACCCTTCCGACAACCCACGCCCAGCCAAGCGACGCCGAATCAGCGAAAAGCCTGAACGCACCACCGAGTACCTCGACTTGAGCAAGGGTTTGCGCCCCGACGAAAAGACCCAACTGGATCGCATCCTGAATGTCCTGCACAAACGCCAGAAGATTGTCGTCGTCGCCGGTGCTGGTATTTCTGTCTCGGCTGGCAGTAAGTCCACACACTCCTTTTTGATCTCGCGACAACACGTCACTAATGCCCCACAGTCCCCGATTTCCGTTCGTCAACCGGTCTCTTCAACTCCCTCCGTGCCCAGCATAATCTCAAGGGTTCCGGAAAGGACCTTTTTGACGCGTCGCACGTTTACAAAGATGCTTCATCTACCGCTTCCTTCCACCAAATGGTCCGAGAAATGTCCCACATGACCAAATCCGCAAATCCCACCCCGTTCCACCAGATGCTGGCCACGCTTGCACAACAGGATCGCCTTCTCAGACTCTATTCTCAAAACGTCGACGGAATTGACACGTCGTTGGAGCCGTTAGCGACGCGTATTCCTCTGCAAAAGGAGGAAGGTAAATGGCCCAAGACCATTCAATTGCATGGTGGACTCGACAAAATGGTTTGCTCAAAATGCCACGAGCTTTCTGATTTCCACGCGGACCTTTTCGACGGCCCTGTCCCGCCCGTTTGTGGCAATTGTGAGGAGCTTAACAGGGTCCGCACTGAAGTTGCTGGAAAGCGCAGCCACGGTGTTGGTATGCTGCGTCCCCGCATGGTTCTATACAACGAACACAACCCAGATGATGAAGCGATCGGCGCCGTGACGCGTGAGGATCTCCGCAAGCGCCCGGATGCGATTATTGTGGTTGGTACGACTCTGAAAGTTCCTGGTGTCAAGAGAATTGTACGCGAAATGTGCGCAACTGTACGCGACAGAAGAGATGGTGTAGCGATCTGGATCAACGCAGGCCCTGAACCTTCTGGCAAGGAATTTGAGGATTGCTGGGATATTGTGGTCAAAGGCACTTGTGACGAGATTGCGAAACACGCTGCTCTGAGACAATGGGATGAGCCAGATACAGGCCTTCCTGTGTCAGAAGAGACTCTAGAAAGAGCTCGCCAGAACCAGCCTCAGATCCCGATAGTACGGACGTTCAAGGCACCGCCCAAGGATTATACTCCTATGCCTTCGCCACAAGCACCAGCAAGTACCCCTCTTACCGGCCGCCGTCATGGAAAGATTGTCGACAACTCCTTTACCGAGGAAGAAGATCTGGTTGACATCGAGACACCGTCAAGGCGCGCAGAAAAGAAGCCTTCGGCCTTCAACCTACTGGGCAAGCCAACAACGAATATCAAAATCAAGGCTCCCTCAAAAGCTTCGGTCACAAAGGCTACCACAAAGAGAAATGCGGCAAAGAAAGCTCCACCAAAGCCACAAGGCAGAATCGATCAGACTCTCAAGAAGACCAAAACTGCGGCTGCCGCTGCAGCAATCAAGGCAGAAAAGAACGCCAAAGGTGGTGCTGCATTCGACGACATTGCAGCAAAAGATGTTCGGCTCAATTCACCACGAGCCAGGTCGTCAGACAGACTTGTCAAAATCTGAGAAGACTCGGACGTAACGTGTTTCATGAACTATCGGTGTTTTCTTGGACTCGCCCTCTGCTGTACTTTAGCGGTCTGCATGGCTGGATATGTGGCGTTTTGCGTGCTCGTACGTGGCACGATATGGCTCGGTGGAAATCATGCATGTGCGTGGAGTCAAGGAGTAGTGGCTCTGGTCATTTTTGGGCTGGCTTTTTTTCGCTTTGCTAGACACTCAGACGGTGTTGTTATATTTCTTTTTTCTCGCTAGACGCTACAATTGTGTCTCTATTCTTATCGGTATCATACACGATTGCTCACGAACTTTCAGAAATTCTCCCGTTTTCAAATCCGCATGACAGATAGAGTAGACTGGCATGAACGGCAGGAGTGTCAGCTGCGGGGCAATCTTGACGCCATCGAACCCCGAGCTGCCGAGAGTCACTCGTAGTCTCGTCTTCATGTCAACTGCATCCATATACATAAACCAAGTTGTGCCACCTATCGAGTCTTACAAAACCGAACTACCTATGAACAAGGAGACCGACTTGCTCACCTCACACCAGAATGTCTAACAAAGATGATATCAAGGCGTTTGCCGACAAAGATGGTCACTTTCGAAGACAACCTTCGAAATTTCGTGATTCCATATCGAGAGAAGCAGGAGCTCATTTTCCACCCGAGAAAGACCGCTATGTACGTTTCCGTCATAGACCACTATATCTGAAGAGAGGATGAAGACATTACCTGCTTTATAGCAGAGTGCGTAAGGAATAACTTGTCTGGCACATATCTGACAGATTGATAGGTTCTCTACATCAACTGGGGTTGCCCCTGGGCAAATCGCACAGCCATTGTGAGATTCCTTAAAGGACTCGAAGACATTATCCAACTTGTTGTAATGGACTATGAAATGTTTCCCGAGGGCTGGGGTTACAGCGGACGCAATGGAACTATGGAGAATGACCCCTTGTACGGATTCACACGCCATCGCCAACTCTACGAGAAAGCAGAACCTGGGTATGAAGGTCGAGTCTTGGTGCCTACTTTATGGGACAAGAAGAACGAAACCATCGTCAACAATGAGAGCTCTGAGATCATACGTATGTTTTATACTGAGTTTGACGATCTTCTGCCAGAGAAGTTCCAAGAGAAGAGCCATCCAGCCGGTGGATTCCTGCCTGACTCGCTGAAGAAAGACATTGATCAGTTCAACGAGTGGGTGTACAACGACATCAACAACGGCGTCTACAAGACTGGTTTCGCCAGCTCGCAAGAAGCCTACGAGCAAAACATCGGCATCCTCTTCAAGGCTCTCGATCGGGTTGAAGCACATCTCGAAAAGTCAGAAGGACCATTCTTGTTTGGCAAGCACCTCACCGAAGCAGATATCAGGTTGTATCCTACGATTGCGAGATTCGATGTCGCGTACCATAGTTTGTTCAAGTGCAATTTGAAGCTGATCAGACATGATTATCCAAGGATCGACAAGTGGTATAGGAATATCTACTATGACGAAGGAGACGAGACGAGAGGGGGTGCGTTCAAGAAGGCGACATACTTCGATCATGTAAGTGTCTGCATGATTGCACAAGGGATATATGCTGATATCAACAGATCAAATATGGATACGCTGGCGCGAAGAAAGTCCAGATTGTACCTAAGGGTCCCATGCCCGATATTCTAGCTAAGGGTGCTTGATTATGAGCGGACTCATTCAATCTGTTGCAGGATGATCAGTATTCCAGGACACTGGGGATCATATATGTATGGAAATGCTGCTCCCGTCGGAGTGAACTTCTCGCGCTCGTATTTCGTAATTCGAGGCGAGCATACCTCTCTTTATGCTAAAGTCTGTCACTCTTGGTCACCTCTCGCGATCAAGACTAAGGTCATCCGGGCTGGAGAAGTGCGCAATGTTTTTTTTTAGATTAGTGTAGCTCTTCACTGAAAGTGTGAAACTCACCGCTTCTTCATGGAGGGTTGCACCAATCTCAAAAGCATTTTGCATTTTTACAGCAAGCACATGACAAGCACACGGGAAGGTAAAGTGACAATAGCCAGCGACAAAAGCGCCATATGACTACTCCATATAAGGCACGTATCTAGATATCGATTTACTTCTTACGAAGCTCATAAGACCGTGCTTGGTGTCCTCCAACTTGGACTCGACCGAACAATCATCGGAGGAGATGTAAAGCAGGGTGACCACAAGGACACGACCAGAGGGTAGATCCGCAGGCGCGGCGATAAGATAACAAGACCGCCGAAGCTCCACAAAATTTCCCTTTTCCTTTCCGCATTTTGTTGCCCGCGCTTGAGAGACGAAGGTGAATTTTGCCGTCGAGATATTTCAATACCACAACAACAACACACAAGATGCCCAAAGCCCCCGGAGGAGATGCGCGTCAAATGAGACGTCACAACCCATTGTCAGAAGACTACGCACCTTCCAACCCGCACAAGCAAAAAGCACCAAAGAGAAAAGGACGCTCCACCGCCGGCGACGAGGACAATGAACAACAAGCATACATCGACTCGAAAGCGTCAAGGAAGATTATAAGTCTGGGTCAGGACTTGACTGCCGAGGAAGAGGCCGAGCAAGAGGCGCGCAGACCGCAAAACGGAACGAAATCGGCTTTCGAGTTTGAGAGAAGTTTGCGCGATGAGGAGGACTCTGATGAGGAGGCTGGTATCCCTGCAGACGATGAAGCTTGGGGTGATGAGGAAGATGAGGAGGTAGAAGAGGTCGAGGTGGATCCTGAAGACTTGGCCATGTTCAACAAGTTCAACCCCGAATTCGACCCTTCCACACTGCTGGCACCGGAGTCGAACGAGGAGCAGGGAGACAGCACCAATCTTGCCGACTTGATCTTGGAAAAGATTGCTCAGCATGAGGCTAGCCAGGCTCAAGGACATGTCATCCGTGGCGGTGGTGCTCCCGAGGACGCCATTGAGTTGCCCGCAAAGGTCGTCGAGGTCTACACCCAGTACGTTGCGTCTATCACCGAAACTTGACAAAATCCGACTAACACACGTCTTCCAGAATTGGTATGATCCTCTCACGATTCCGTTCCGGCAAGCTCCCCAAGCCCTTCAAGATCCTGCCCACCCTCCCCCAATGGGACACCCTCCTCTCCATCACCCGCCCAGACTCCTGGACCGCAAACGCAACCTACGAAGCCACCCGCCTCTTCACCTCCTCCCGCCCCGCCGTCGCCCAAGCCTTCATCCACGACATCCTCCTCGACCGCGTCCGCGACGACATCCGCGAGACCAAAAAACTAAACGTCCACCTCTACAAAGCCCTCAAAAAGGCCCTCTACAAACCCGCCTGTTTCTTCAAGGGCCTGCTGTTCCCTCTACTCGCTTCCGGAACTTGCACATTGAGAGAGGCACATATCATCAGCTCTGTGCTCGTTCGTGTGTCCATTCCTGTCTTGCACTCTGCAGCCGCCATCCACCGTCTCTGCGAAATCGCCGCTGAGCAAATGACCGACAACCTCGAAGCCGGCGGTGCGACGAACATCTTCATCCGTGTCTTGCTGGAGAAGAAGTACGCTTTGCCCTACAAGGTTGTGGATGCAGTGGTATTCCATTTCCTGCGCTTCCGCGCCGTGGACGCCGATGCCATGACCGATGCTCCTGCTACCATCAAGGGAGGAGAAAAGTTGCCCGTGCTGTGGCATCAGTGTTTCTTGGCCTTTGCACAGAGGTATAGAAACGATATCACTGAAGATCAGAGAGAGGCGCTGTTGGACCTGTTGTTGGTCAAGGGACACAGATCTATCGGTCCTGAGATTAGAAGGGAGTTGTTGCAAGGAAGAGGAAGAGGTGTTTTGGCTCCCGAGGTGGCCATGGCGGGTGTGGATGGTGATGATACTATGGTTGATATCCAATAGATTTCCGTTTTGTTGGTCTTTAACGTCGCTTTTACATAGCATCACAAAAAGGGAAAGGCGTTTGGGTGTTGATCCCTGGCGCTGGTTTCTAGACTACTTTGAAGCATCGGTTCTTTTAGCATCGGCTCATCGTGATCTCTTCTGGCCACTATGTCTAGCCTGTCAGAGCACAACAGATTGATGAGAGGTTGAACATCTTCATGGAGTTTGTTCTTTCAATCTTCTCGAGGCAACCCTGTCTTGATCTCTCATCCGGCAACCACTTGCCAGGCTTCACAGACCGCCTTGCACCGCCCAAGCTACTTCTATTATGATTCCGGTCACGAGGAAGAGAAGTCAACATTGTGAATGTGTTTGAAAGCAAATCGTTCGTACTGGTCATATCATGTATTCCTTTTCCCACTCATCTAGCAAAGAAATCCCAGTACCTCAAAGCGAACCCCTCTCAGCAGAACGCCAGCAAAGCAAACTAAAGTTACAAAATCGTTGTGGGTATAGGCGTCAATATCTTCTTGCTTTTGCTTTCTTTACATCTTCTTGCCAGCCTCCTCCATCATGCGGCCGTACTTCTTCAGGCGGATGGCGTTGACGGAGATGAAGCCGGTGGTGTCCTCAGGACGGAAGTCACCGATGACGTCCATGGAGGACTCGTCCATGTCGTAGAGCTTCTCGGTGTCGGACCAGCGGCCGAGGACGCTGAAGGAGCCCTTGTAGACACGGCAGCGGACGGCACCGTTGACGCTGTCTTGCGAGGCGGCAACGCATTGGAGGAGGAACTTGCACTCGGGGGAGAAGTAGAGACCGTTGTACAGGATCTGTGGATTTCATATTAGTCGTGGTCTTGGGTTGAAGGAGAAGAATGCGAGGAAGCATACCTTGGCGTAGTTGAAGGTCAAGAACTGATCACGGAGAGCGCGAACCTCACGGTCCATGGTGAGACCCTCGAGATCGATGTGAGCGGCGCGCAGGCAGGTAAGACCGGGGGTCTCGTAGCAGCCACGAGACTTGAGACCGATGAAGCGGTTCTCGACAATGTCGATACGGCCAACACCGTGCTTGCGGGCAATGGCGTTGACAGCAAGGAAGAGCTCGGTGGCATCGGTGACAGTCTTGCCGCCGGGAAGCTCAGCCTTGACGGGCAGACCCTTCTCGAAGTGAAGGACAAAGTCCTCGGGCTGCTCGGGAGCCTTGGTGGGGTCGACGGTCAACTTCCACATGTCCTCGGGGGGAGTGACGTTGGGGTCCTCGAGGATACCGGCCTCGTAACTGCAGTGGGCCAAGTTCTCGTCCATGCTCCAGGGCTTGCTCTTTGTGCTGGTGACAGGGATGCCGGACTGCTCGGCGTAGTCGAGGAGATCCTGGCGACCCTTGAAGCGGTTGTAGAAGACGGGGTCGCGCCATGGGGCAATGACCTCGATGGTGGGCTGCAGGGCGTAGAAGGCCAACTCGAAGCGGACCTGGTCGTTGCCCTTACCGGTGCAGCCGTGAGAGACGGCGAAACAGCCCTCCTTCTGGGCGACGGCAATCTGGGCGCGGGCAATGACGGGACGGGCAAGCGAAGTACCTGATAGCTGGTCAGTTCCTGCTCTCGGGGTGGTCAATTGGCGCAGCATTCACATACCCAAAAGGTAGACGTTCTCGTAGATGGCATTGCACTGGACAGCGGGCCAGCAGAGCTCCTCGACGAACTCCTTGCGGAGATCCTCAATGTAGCACTTCTCGGCACCAATCTTGAGGGCCTTCTCGCGGGCAGCATCAAAGTCCTCCTCCTGGCCAACATCGGCCATGAAGCAGATGACGCCGTAGCCCTGGTCCAGCAGGTACTTGAGGATACATGAGGTATCAAGACCGCCAGAGTAGGCGAGACAGACCTGCAATCGCGAGTCAATTCAATGCCAAAGATAAGGTGGAATGCGCAAATGCTCACCTTTTGCTTGACCATTTTGATAGATGTGATGGGATGTGGGTTGGAGAAAGTGTATAGAGGAAGGAAGGAAGAATTGATTCAGAAGACACAGTTATAAGAGGAACGGGTGAGTGTTGGTGAGTCAATGGGTAGAAAAAAAGAGAGCTCCACGTCGGCGCGCCAGCTAGTCAGCTATCGCAGCGCTGATCACTGCTCCCTGTTTGACTTTTGGTTGCTGTGACTGTTTGCTGGCACTAATCGCTCGCCAGCTCCGTCACCGGCGCGATTTCATGAGCTATTTCCCCGACCCTCTCCGCGCTTGGCATCTTAAAGCCGTCGAAACCCACGAGTCAACCGATTCTCAACCTCACCCGGAGCCCTCACAATCCTCACCAACAACAAGCCGTTGCCCTAAAGAGACGACGACTGCATGTGGCTTGCTTGCTCTGCTTCCCCGAGCCCAATCCACGCGGTGTTTCGGGTTGCACTTGAGGAAGACATCAACATTAACAATTTTTTTATCATTGTGTCCCGTTACTGTCCTGTATATGTGGATGGTTGATAGGTAGCTAATATGTCTGGTTCAATTCTCCCGCATGGTCTTTCGTAAACAGCAAGTGCATTCCAGCCCGTAAATAGGGACATACTGTAATTACATCTTTCCTTCGATTGAGTACTTGTAACAGCGACTCCTCAGAACTTGTACTTGGAGCCTGACGCCTCGATCTGCGAGCCACGTTCAATGTCGTGGTCAGAAGGCGGGTTTTGGTCGAAGCTGTATTTAATACCGCCACGCTCGAGATCGGATGCAGCGTCGTAACTCGACTGCGACCCGTGAGAGCTGTTGCTTGGTCGGCGCTTCTTTTGCAGCTTGCGGCTTTGGCGCCTCTCGTTGCTGTCGAAACTTGCTGATCGTGCACGCGCGTGATGGTTTGCTACATTGTGTGCCGATTCCTTGGCTGCAGCCTCTGCTTCTAGAGTTCCTGGCTTGAGCACTGCAAATCCTGAGTTAACCTCGCGCAAAACAGTAGGGTCTGGGCGTGTGTAGGAGTTGCTCGAGCCACGGCGGGATTTTGGTTCCGAGGTAGAAGTCTTCGGCTCAGGGAACTCGATTTCTGGGTACTTCTCGGAGACAGGAGTTGTAAAGGGATTGAAGGTGTTGTTGGAGCTGGATGAGCCTGGCGGTGGGGGCGTTTGTGAGCGCGGTAGAGAGAAGTTGTGTACCTCGCTCGAGGCCAGGGGAGAGGAAGTCCAGTCGGCCGATGTGCCAGTGCGGCGACTTCTAGGTACCAGACGTCCTGTCTCAGCCACTTGAGACATGCGGTGTGTTTGAAGTGCATCATCGAAGGCAGGGTTGCCACTTGAGTGGACTGGGGGAGGGCGTGCGAAGTCGAGATATGAAGCTGGCAACTCATTGCTTCCACTGCTACCACCTCGAGATGAACCGGAGGATGAGCTATGGTGGCTTACAATTCTTGCAGGATCTGCATTGTCTTGTCAGTACAGGCTGCTTATGTGTCTTGAGGTAAGCAACTCACCAGCAGGCATCCCAGTGGGCACTCTAGTTTCCAGGGTATGCGCGTTACGGAAGTGTTTGGAGCTGCTGCCCTCATATCTCTGGTATGAGTGTGGAGGGTAACGACGAGAAGCCGAAGCAACAGGTTCTGGAGAGGAAGGAGGCTGACTTCCAATGCTGCCGCCAGAGATTGAACGATCCATGGATAATGTTTGGCTTGGCTCTCTCGATGAAGAAGCCATTGAACCATTGTTCGTGAGGGTCATTGCAACGTCAGTCATTGAACCCTGTCGGCTTTGCTGAGGAATTGGCTTGTAAGCAGACAAGGAGCTTGATGAAGGCTCGCGTATACTCCCAGCTGGCGTGTTGTTGCGAGAGATCCAAACTCCGTCAACCTCGATGCCGCTTTCTATGGCACGGATACCGAAGGGCACACTTGGACCATCGTCCATAAGACGTCTCTTTTGCACCATCACCTCCTTGGTTGGCTTTTGCTTTTGCTTCTTCGGGCCCTTGCGCATGCTCAAGCTGCGGATGATGCTCTTTTCCCGATTGATTGGCTGAGGGCCGGCCTTTTCGTACTGGCGGAGTTTGCGATGTGTGTACCACAACTTAAGACAGCCAGCAAGAATTGTTAGGACCTGTGATCTTTGTGAGTGGTTGTTGAGGTCAGCTACGGACGACAATGTACATACAATGAGGCAAGCAAGGACCTGTCACATGTTAGTCGAGACTCAGAAGCAATTCCTGAAGCACATACAAAGGTCATCTTTTCCCATAGCGCCCAGTCGACAAAGAAAACTTTTCCCATCTTGAGGTTGTTTATCGAGTTTTGACACAGAATAGATAGAGAAGCGAGAGTGGTGGAGAGAGAAGAAGAAGAAGAAGGAAATCTTAGGGATTATTAGGCGAGCGAATGTCGTGAATAGTTATTCAGGTGGAGTGTTGGTATTGTCGTTCAATCTGATAGGAAGGTGCGAAAATGTTTAGGATGGCGACTTCTTCTTTGGTGAAATCCAGTCCTTTAGGGTTGCGGCCGGCCACAAATAGAAAAAGAAAGAGGAAAATAAGATCAGGTTAACGAAAGACGGCGGTGAATTAGTTGATAGGTGCAAAGGCACGTCACTCCACGGCTACACACAGCAGGGTCAGGGCCTGCTTTTAAAGGCAAGGAAAGAAGGATGCGTCCAGAGAGCCAGTCGGAGGGAAGAGAGGAGACACTCCTCATCATTATAGATGCTGCCGCTACTCTTCGCGTGCCGCTTACCTGGGAGAAGTCGATCCGTCTCTACTAAGAATAGAGAGGAAAAATCAATAGAGCCAAGAAGCCATACGGCCCATACCTTACACTGGAGGTTTCCATGCGGCGCCTGTGCGAGGATGCACGTTTCTCTGGGTCGCTGCGACCGACCCGTAGTCGTGCATGTGGTTGCATCTGAGCAGGCGCTTCGGAGAGTCGTAGCAAATGGATGGAAGCACAAGCTCGTCACCGCCTGCTCGGATCGACCCTTTGTTCTCACATTTTCGCCAGCGCAGGCGAGATTGGTCTCTAGAGTTCCCCTCTCTACAAGATACCTTGCAGAGTGAGTTACTCGTAGCTCGCGAGACATACGGTTGAAGATGCTTTGCAACAGACGTGAAACGTCGGATCGTGAAGGTTCTTGGTAAACCCGTTTGTCCCGCGTTTGAGAACGACGGCACAGACGCGATCGATGCGCCATGAAGAGGCCATTGCCCGGCCGGAATCACAGTTCGAAGACCAAATAGCAAAAACGTGCGCCTCGGACGCAAATGCTGGGTCCCTCGACAGGGCATGAAGCACGGCATGAAGGAGAAAAGGTTGCTGGATTCAGTTCGCGGAGGATTGACGCGAGCTTGCACAGACCCTGACGTGTACATACCCGCAGTATGATCTCCATATCAAGAATGCAATTGTTCTGTTATTGGGACAAGCGAGGACAGAACACGGCAGGTCACATGCATGGATGAAGAAGAAGGGAAGACTTCGACACATCTGGACGCTACCAAAGGTTCAGTTTAATGAGATGATACCCCAAGTGCAATGCAGGTATTGTGTGATGTTCGTGACTTCGTATTTCGTTCTCGGTCTGCATATACCAAGGCTACCTCTGGGAATAATACCAAGACAGTCAGACAATGTTGTGACCGCAGCCTTTCTGTCTTTTCCCGGGTGTCGTGGCATTAAAATCCTCTGGCTCTTGCTCGTTCACGTGGTCTCCTTTGGCAGTCTGACTGTTCAGCAACCATGCGGAGGTTCAGGGCGCGTTACCCTAGGGCGTCATGAACGGAAGAGCTAAGGAAGAGTATCCTAACCCTGATGGAGGGAGATCTTTCGTACATGCTCAGCCTCGGTTCTAACTTCGCTGCTTCACTGTCGACAAACGTTCAAGCACAGACCCTAAGAAGACCCCTCCCTAGTCAGAAGACTCACTTCGAGCCGACCCCTCACTTCTGGGCCGGGGTACTCATGCCTGACCATTCATGTACCTGGCATTATGTAGATTCGCGATTTTCTCGATTACTCGCCCTATCACATCGTCGTTTGAGATGGCTGCTTCATGTTCAACAAGACTATTCTGGCGACAACAACCAAGATTTATCAACCATCGTCTCTTCCATACGACGCGCAGACGAGATGTAGTCAAGCCGTTCTTACTGGCTGATATCGGCGAGGGAACTCGAGAATGCCAGATCATTCAGTGGTTTGTGCAGCCAGGTGCTCGCGTGGAGCAATTTGACAAACTCTGCGAAGTACAGTCGGACAAGACAGCATCAGACGTAGGGTATCGGATGACTTCCTGTCGATCATTCTAGCTAACTTGTAATAGATCACGTCGCCATTTGATGGTGTTATCAAAAAGTTATACTATGAGGCAGATGATATGGCTCTTGTCGGAAAGGTAACATCGCGTAAGAAACTCACTTGCATATACTTGCGCTGACTTTCGTGTTGCCCCTGCTGGACATTGACATACAAAGCGACATATCACCTGAAGATGAGGCACTGATAGAAAGTTCTGGCAGCGAAAAGTCAGAAGTTCCACAGAAGGAAGCACCGCAACACCAAACTACACAACAAGAGCCTCAAAGCGCGGAGAGGGAGGAAGTCCAAGGCCCTCTCGGAAAGATACGGCATCACGACAAGGGACTAGCGACACCCGCTGTGCGACACCTCATCAAGGAACTAAATGTCAAAGTCGAGGACATTGACGGAAGTGGCAAAGACGGCAGAGTGCTGAAAGAGGACGTCCATCGCCATGTCTCGCAAGGCTCTCAGAAGCCCGTCCAACAGGAGATTGCGAAGGACCAAAAGAAGCCCTTGACGCCAGTCCAGACAGCCATGTTCAAGACCATGACCCGATCACTCACGATACCACATTTCTTGTACTCAAGTACAGTTGACACTGGCAGCCTTAATAGGTTCCGTGTCAAGATCAACAGCACGCGAGAGGCAGGGAATAAACTGACACCGTTGCCTTTCATCCTGAAAGCAATCTCGATGGCAATGGGCCGTCATCCGCTGCTAAACGCCTGGTTGGACACGTCAGATCCTAAGAAGCCCGAGCTGAGCTACAAGGCATCGCATGACTTCGGAATTGCTGTAGACACCCCTTCAGGCTTGCTGGTTCCCGTCGTCAGGAATGTCGAATCACAAAGTGTGGCTTCTATTGCGGAGCAGATCAAGGTTGTGTCAAGCAAAGCACGTGAAGGCAAGCTGGGGCCGAAAGACCTCCAAGGACCGACATTCTCAGTCTCGAATATCGGTTCGATCGGTGGAGGAGTAGTGGCGCCAATCATCGTCGAGCCTCAGGTGGCCATCGTGGGAGTTGGAAGGGCCAAGGTAGTGCCCGGCTTTGATGAGCAAGGAAATGTGGTCAAGAAAGAAGAGATGGTGCTGAGCTGGAGCGCAGATCATCGGGTGGTGGATGGAGCCGAATGCGCCAGATGTGCCGAGAGAGTCAACTGGTATCTGCAGAACATGGAAGCGTGGGTGTTGGAGATGAAATAGAGAGAAGAAAAAGTATAGCCAAACCCCGTCAACAGCGTTGATTTGACGTGTGGCGGTGCCATGTGCTTTTTATAGCGTTTACAGGGTTTCGGAAGAGGCTGCCGGTAGCTTTTGTGGCTTCGCGGGCAAGACGAAACGAGTTTTGGGAAGGGGGACGCGCATGTGGATAGTGTTGCGTACCTCGTTCTTGGTGCTCGTATCTTTGCTATCAAAATATTGTTGTTCTCCCAACTCCGACCTCTACACTCGTGTCGCAACCGCCAGACCTATTGTTTAACCCCTGTCGACACACTCGCTTAATCACCCACGTACCTGAAAACAGCACACTCCGTATACACTCAGCAATTGCCCGCGAAGGCCGTTGGGACACAAACCTAAAGCACAAGAAAGAGTCGGACACGTAAGAACGGGACAATCAATGCAGAAGGAGCAGTCGTCGATACTGCGCTGAGGCAATGGCCGACGAATCGCCCACTATCAACAGTCGGAGACACCGTCGCAACCAGTCGACTCCACAAACCTCGATCCCACTGCAGGACCTGGGCCCCGCTCAACATGCTCCGATCAACCAGGAACCCCCTTCGCCGTCTGCCCAGGCTTCGCATCGCCGGACGTTGAGCGACCGCGGACGTAGCTTGTTTCGGCGCAACAGAGACTCTCTTCTATCACGTAGCCCGGGTAGAAACCCACCACCTCCTAATACGCGCGCTTACTCGCCAATCTCCGAGGACCCTCCCAGTCCGCCGCAAATCGATCGAAACTTGTCGCCGCTTGCCTATGTCACCTCGCCTACTGGCCATCGGACAAGAGTAGAAGAGGATCATGATGAAGATGAGCGTACACCACTATCTCCACAGGAAGGGAGCAATTTCCAGCAGGCTATGGGCTTTGCCGGTCTCAGTATAGGCGCTCCTGCACGCCCTTCGTTGAACTCGGGCCATGGCCGATTAGGCAGTGTGCCTAGTCTTCGCACAGTCGACACATCACCATACGATGAGGAGCCCGACGATCCAACCGGCTTCTTCCCACACGAGGACGACATGGACACGGTGCCATTGACAGACATCAGTCGTCTCGATGCCCACTCGCCGCAGCGCAATGATCGTGGCAGCTTCCAGAGCATCCGTTTCTTGTCGCCTTCCGTCTCACACACGAACAACGCAGATGTCGAATCTGGAAATCTGACTCCTTCAGGTCGCTGGAGCCGCTCTCCTGATGGCCACAGTCGTTCTCCTGCCGATAGTCGTCGCTCTCTGTCACCAATGGGCGATTCTCCCTTCCATCGCGCGAGTGACATGATGCGGAAGATGTCAATGCGTGTGGTCAATTTGAGTAACGAGCCTGAGGTTGCAGAACGCATGATAAGACGCAAGTCATCTGTAGGCCGTTCACCTGGCATTCCCGAAGCTCCTGACTTTGCCGGAGATGGTGCTCCACGTTCACCTGTCAGTGAGAAGATGCCTTCGCCAATGCTTCGTCCGTCCGATCGACTTGAATCGCATGCTCAAGAGCAAAATCCGTTTCGTGGAAAGTCCCTGGGCATCTTTCCACCAAACAGCAAACTGCGTCTCAAGCTGGCCGACTTCTTACTCCACCCTGTTACTGAGCCTTTCATTCTCGTGCTCATTGTTTTTCAGACAATCTTGCTTGCTGTTGAGGCTCGCAACAATGTGAATGACGAACCACGATCTAAGCGCTTTGGAACTACTTGGATTGACATTGCACTGCTCGTCCTCTTCGTCATATACACTATCGAGATCATGATTCGTGTCATTGTTTCTGGATTCGTTGTCAACCCCATCGAGTACAGTACCATCGACCGCAAGGTTGGTCTGCGAACGGCCGTCATGAGAAAGGCCAACGACATGTTCGCCCTGCATCGGAAACCTTCTGTCAGAAACTTGAATCCTCTTCCGCCGTTGACCCCTGGCCCTCAACCCGGTATTTTGAGGAGTTTTACTACAAACACCATGATGGAAGTTCCTGGCGGTTCTAAACAAGCTCAACTACAACGATTGGCGTTTCGAGCTTTCCTGCGACATTCTTTCAACCGACTTGACTTTCTTGCGGTCTGCTCCTTTTGGATCAGCTTCATCATTGGCATCTTTGGTGTGGAATCACAAAAGCACGTCTTTGTCTTCCGTATGCTGAGCTGCCTTCGAATCGTGCGTCTTCTGGGTATCACCAGCGGCACTCTTGTCATTCTGCGAAGTCTGAAAAAGGCTGCACCGACTCTGTTGAACGTCGCCTTCTTGACTGGTTTCTTTTGGCTGTTGTTCGCAATTATAGGAGTTCAAAGCTTCAAGTCTAGTCTTCGACGTACGTGTGTATGGACCAACCCTAGCGATCCTACAGAGACTTTTACGAACGAAATGCAGTTCTGTGGTGGATATCTTCTATCCAACGGCAGCTCAAGACCGTGGATTCATGCAGATGGTTCGCCTGGTGCGAGCGATGCCAAAGGCTTCTTCTGTCCTATCAACTCAGTCTGCATCGAAGGCGACAATCCCTACAACGGAACTGTCAGTTACGACAACATCTTCCAATCGCTCGAAATGGTGTTTGTTGTCATGTCTTCCAACACGTTCTCCGATCAACTCTACTACCTCGCTGACAGCGATTACTTATCTGCCGGCTTATTCTTCGCTGCTGGCATCATCATCTTCCCCTTGTGGCTTGTCAATTTGCTTATTGCTGTCATCACATCGTCATTCCAGGTCATCCGAGACGAAAGCAAAGCCAGTGCTTTTACTGCTCAAGAGCAAGTCAAGCACCTTGAAGCTGAAGAGGGGAGCGATGGGTTTAAACAGAAGTCTAGCACGCTGAAACAGTTTGTCGGCAACACTCGATGGATTTGGATTGCTGTTATCACGTATGGATTGATAGTTCAATGCCTGCGTAGCGCATACATGAGCCCGAGCCGTGCTGCTTTTCTTAGTAAGTTGACCGTGTCTCGTTTTTCTAATGTACACTGACCAGACCACAGGCTCTTCTGAGCTGGGAGTCACGATCGCTCTTGACTGCGAAATTATTCTTCGATTCGTAGCGGACTGGCGTCATTTCCACAAAAGCAAACGCAATCTTGTCGACCTTGGATTGGCTATCATAACTACAGTCGTCCAGATCCCAGTCATCAAGCACTCCGGACAACCCTATGCTTGGTTGACGGTCTTCCAAATTATTCGAATCTATCGAGTTGTTCTCGCAGTCGAAATGACTCGGACATTGATTGTAAGGTCCACTTATCATGTAGATCCTACCGGCTAACGTTTCTCGCAGCTCACTGTGTTGGGTGACTTCACCGGTTTCGCCAATCTGATCATGTTTGTGATGCTCCTCTGCTTCCTTGCTGCGATCTTTGCCACACAAATTTTCCGTGGTCAGATTCCTCAAGAGAACGACGACGGCGATGCGATTCGAGTTCCATTCTTCGACATATACAATGCCTTCTTGGGCATGTATCAGATATTCTCCAGCGAGAATTGGACAGATATAATGTACGATGTCACATCATACAACGTTCTGTACAACAATGGCTGGATCGGCGCAGCGTTCTGTATTATGTGGTTCATTCTAGCAAACTGTAAGTTTAACTGTGCGAAAATCAGTGGCTTGTAGAAGTTTGCTAACTTTTCAAGTCATTGTCTTGAACATGTTCATTGCTGTCATCCAAGAGAATTTCGACGTTTCCGAGGACGAAAAGCGTCTGCAGCAGGTCAAGGCATTCCTTGCGAAGAGGCAAGTCAACGCATCGTCTGGCAGTCAAGGAACATTATCATTGTCGACGATATTCAAGTTTGGTCAAGTCCGCCGACAGGATCCTTTAGACTATGGCTCTGCACAGACAGAAATGCTTCTCAAAGATGCGGTTGTCCGAGACTTCCTTGACGACCACGAGATTGATCCGGAAGCGAGTCCACCAGATACTTCCGATGGCATTCCGACCAATGGAGCACCCGTCAAGTCCGGTACTTTGGCTCAACGTTGGGAACAACTGCTCAATCGTCTCTTCAACCGCGAGCCCAATCCCTTCTACTCGAACGTGGAGCTCCAGAAGGCTCACGAAGAAGTGGACACTCGACAGATGGTTAAAGAGGTCGTCGCAGCCAATGAGAGAGTCAAGAGAGCTCAGCGCGAATACCTGAGGAAGTATCCGAACTACAACGTGTCACTCTTCATCTTCAGGATCAACAACCCTATCAGGAGATGGTGCCAAAGGATCGTAGGTCCAGGTCGTGGTGGTGATCGCATAGAAGGCGTCGCACCTTCTCGGCCTATCTGGTATGCCTTCTCGGCGTTCATTTACGCAGCTATTGTTGCCATGGTCCTACTTGCCTGTGTCACTACTCCATTGTACCAAAAGCAATATTTTACGACTCATGGCTTCAAAGCCACGAATTGGTTCGTCTTCAGCGACATGGGTTTTGCAGCTCTATTCACCATCGAGTCTGTCATTCGAGTCATTGCAGATGGGTTCTATTGGACGCCCAACGCTTACTACCGCAGCTCTTGGGGCATTATTGATGGCATCGTCTTGGTCACGTTGTGGACTGACATCCTCACCACCATCTATAATCCAGGCGGTGGTTCAAGAGCTGTGGGTGCTTTCAAGGCGCTGAGAGCTTTGAGACTGCTCAACGTCAGTGACAACGCTAGAGATACCTTCCACTCTGTTATCGTCATGGGTGGTTGGAAAGTCGTCTCGGCAGCCTTTGTGTCGATGAGTTTACTCGTCCCATTCGCCATTTACGGCTTGAATATCTTCAATGGCAGGTTCATGGAATGTAACGATGGTAACGGAATCACAAACCTCACTGACTGCACTGGCGAATACCTCAGTCAACCTTTCGACTGGGATGTGCTTGCGCCACGTCAGGTTGCCAACCCATGGTATGACTTCGATAACTTCGGATCATCCCTGTTCATTCTTTTCCAGATCGTCTCTCAGGAAGGCTGGATTGATGTCATGTGGAGCGGACAATCTATCACCGGTGTCTTCACCCAGCCTGATGCTTTTGCATCCCAAGGAAACGCCGTCTTCTTCGTTGCTTTCAACTTGCTCGGTGCTGTGTTCGTCTTGACGCTTTTCGTTAGTGTCTTCATGCGTAACTACACGGAACAAACTGGAGTGGCTTTCCTGACTACCGAGCAACGATCATGGCTCGAATTGAGGAAGCTTCTGCGTCAAATTTCGCCATCCAAGAGGCCCTCCTCTAAGGAAGTGAGGGAGACTTGGAAAGAGTGGTGCTACCGAAGAGCAGTCACCAAGAATGGTAGATGGCAGCGCAGCGTTACTGCTGTGCTCGTTTTCCACCTACTGTTGTTGTGTCTCGAATGGTACCCTGACAACAACCGTTGGGACAGAGCTCGAGATTACATTTTCTTGGTATTGACGTTCTTCTACATTGTCAACATCATCATCCGTATCATCGGTCTTTCCTGGACTCGTTTCCGGAAAAGTGCTTGGGACGTGTACTCGATCTTCTCGGTCTCTGGAACATTCGTCACCCTGATACTGCTTCTGACCAATTTCAAGAACAGAGACTATGTCCAGGTGCACAAACTGTTCCTTGTCTCAATTGCATTGCTCCTCATCCCGAGAAACAACCAGCTTGACCAACTCTTCAAGACCGCAGCCGCCAGTCTTACCTCAATCGCCAATCTTCTAGCGACATGGTTTGTCCTCTTCTTGGTATTCGCCATTGCCTTCACGCAGACTTTCGGTTTAACTAGGTTCGGCGAAGGCGAAACGGACAACCAAAACTTCCGTACAGTGCCCAAAGCCTTGGTTATGCTATTCCGCATGAGTTCTGGAGAAGGCTGGAACGAGGTCATGATGGATTTCACCACGGTCACTCCGCCTTATTGTACAATCGGTGAACACTACTACGATGGAGACTGTGGCAGTGATGGATGGGCTATGGCTTTGTTCATCTCCTGGAACATCCTCAGCATGTACGTCTTCATGAATCTGTTCATCTCGTTGATCTATGAGAGTTTCTCGTACGTCTATCAACGAAGTAGCGGATTGTCCGTCATCAGCAGAGAAGAGATTCGCCGGTTCAAGCAGGCTTGGGCAGAGTTTGATCCAAGTGGCTCAGGATACATTTCCAAGGAGAAATTCCCGCGCTTGCTAGGTGAACTCTCTGGTGTGTTTGAGATGCGCATCTACGATGGCGATTTTACCGTCAGCAACATCATCGCAGACTGCACCTCTCATCCGCATCGTGCTCATCCTCTCGGGTTAGACGGTCCGAAGGATAGTCCCCAGATCGACCTTGATAAACTCAACGAACGTCTGTCCGAGATCCCGATCGTCGAAATTCAACGACGCAGAAGACGCATGAATATCTTCTACGAAGAAGTTCTCGTCTCTGCAGATCCTGACCGTGGTGTAGAATTCAACTCTCTTTTGATGATTCTGGCTCATTACAAGGTCATCAATGATAACAAGAGTCTGCGACTGGAGGAGTTCTTGCGACGCCGTGCCCGCCTGCAACGTGTTGAGGAAGCTGTACGTCGCAATGTAGTCGTTGGTTTCTTCGATACACTGTACTGGGCTCGACGTTTCAGAAAGTCTCTGGAAGCGAAGAAGAATGCACGCATGACTATGGTGCCTCAGCTTGATGTTCCTGAAATTTTCATCCAGGACGACAGCGAAGACGTTACTAACGCCGGCCGCAAAACTCCTTCGGCACCTTCCACGCCTATTGATCATCAGACTCCCAGCTGGACTACTGGAAGCGACAACGGAACTCCATCGTTCAACATTGGCCCCTCAGCGACTCGCCCTATGTTGCGCAATCGCAGCGACTCCATTCAGGTCTCACCATCTGCTTCACCAACACGTTCACGGGCAGTCTCGCACTCGTCACCGTCCGAAATGCGCGACATTCCTGAAGATTGGCACTTTGCAGAAGCTTTGATTGAGGGACACAACCGGTCTAGGTCACCCTCACCCTCACCACAGCATCTCGACCCCGATGCCACATCAGACGCCTATGGTGGGTTGGGCGTCGGTGCAGGCCCCCGAAGTCGCGCTCAAACATTGTCGTCAGCAGCTCCAGAGCCTCGCTCAAGAGCAGGTACTTTGTCAGTCGCCGGCGCACCTGCTGCCGGTGGTCGTTCGCGTGCTGGCAGCTCTGTCAACGCTCAAAACGTCCTTGATGTCCTGGATACATCAGCATGGGGCGAGAGTATTAGGCGTAGTTTTACCACTCGCGGATCGACTGTTGGGCCGCGCGGCTCTGCTTCGAGGGACGCAAGTGCAGAACCCATGCCACCAATTCCTGACACAAGACCCTCAAGTTCGTCACAGGCGGAAGGTAATGGGTATGACCATCCCCATGAGCGATAGTCGACTCGTTCAACGTAGATAGATACGCGCGTTCTGATTGCAACTTTCTCCCTTCATGATTGCATAGCGAAGGCGTTTTCTGTTTCTTCCTATATGATTTGCATAGAAAGGCTACACGGCCTCATGATAAATATAAATTACTATTGCCTATTACTCACTATTTGCCTGTTCACTCCTACTTGATCATGTGCTGTGCTTAACAACACTGCCTCGAAAGTGTAACATCGAAGCACGTCGGCTAAGTATACGTATTGCTATCTAGAGATGCTGGCAGTTTCCTTGTCTTGTTTGCAGTAGCTTCCACCGTACAGCCAGATTGAGGACTCTTGCAAGACGTCGTAGCGTTTACAGATCAGCCTTAAGACTAAAAATCGTTTTTTTAGATCTTCCTAATCTTGCTAGTCTTGCTTGATAATGTTGCGGCGCTTCTGCTCGGAGTGAATGTGGTCTTTAAATTCTTGTGGGCGAGAGTAAATCGCCAATTGGCCATGCACACAGTCGAAGCATAGTCCTTGAGTGCCTGTAATGTATTCTGCCCTTGCCCACAGCGACAGCAAAAGGGTGATACCCGAGCAAGGAACAAAAAGGCAAAAAGAAAGGATAGCTAAGCTTGGTTTCGATCCAAGGTCCTCCGGGTTGCATATTATGAGCTCTGTGAACTGTATGAGCCCGGCGCGCTAGTTTTCATTAGTAAGAAATTCTGGAAGCGGCTAGAGTGGAATTGATTACGAACCTTCCGCTGCGCCACTCAGCTGTGGATACAGAATTCGACAGCTGCAAAAGATATAATCCTACAAACGGCTGCCATCATTGAGTCCCAAATTCACCATCAGACCTTGCTTTCTCGTGGTGCAGCTATCCCTTGAGAGATTTAAGGATGAGTGTCACGTTCAGTCTTGTCCTTTTGTAGTGAGTTCTAGTCTGATCCGACAGCAACACGCGCGTCCTCATTGCCAGCTCCCCTCGCCGCGGCTTTCTCGCATCATATGCTTTGCCAGACCCTTATACATCTGAGCATCTCTACATAATGACAAATGGCGATGCAAGATTTAATTGAATGAGCGCACTTGCCTGGCAAATATTCCAAGTGTTACGTGCTACCAACTTCCAGGCAAGCGCGTTCTCGTTACACGCTCACGCCTCGAGAATGATGTCACGACTGTGAAACGATAGCTAAGTCTGCTAAGACATCAAGCAACTCCCACTTCATTCAATCCATCAACATCACAAAATCAGAATGCAACACTACAAACCACACTCTGGCTCGACTTTCGAGGGATACTACTCCAAGTTCCGGATGCCGTCCGGCGCACACCTGGCATTGATCATTTGCTCGGTACCAGGAGCCAAGGAGCGACCTCACAACATCACCTTTACATATGTGCCTGAAGATGTGACAAAATGCTTCCAGCGCGAAGTTTTCGTCGACAAGATAGATATGTTCAATGGAGAGGGTGATGTCGCATTTGAGCAGCATTGGAAGGGAGGCTACGTAAAGGTCTACAACGATAACAAGACCGAGTATCGCATCGACCATCTGGAAGACGAGGGATTCAGCTTCACAGGAACTACGACCAGCCACACACCATGGATGCCCGACATGGATACTCCAGAAGGCGCCCTCGTCTATCTGCCTCTCCCACTCCACTGGCACGTACACTCAGTCGCCTCAGACTGCGAGTTCGAGATGAAGATCAACAACTACGACCTACCTGAAGAAGACAAGAAGGGTGTCGCATCAGTTCACCAAGAAAAGAACTGGGCGAACAGTTTCCCTTCGGCTCATCATTGGGTGCAAGCCCGTGACGGCGACCGCGGCATCTGTATTGCTGGCGGTGAGATCCTCGGTATGGAAGCCTACCTCCTCGGCTACCACGCCAGCGACCCGAAATACAACATGACCTTCCGCCCACCCTACGCCGTAAAAGCCGCCGGTATCGCTCCCTTCATGAGTGTCAATCATTCCTGGGACACTCGTACCTTCGAACTCAGCCTCCAAAGTTTCACACAGAAGATTGTGGTTACCGCGAGAGCACCGATCGGCCAGTTCTTCACATTGAGCTCGCCATTCCCTGATGGTCATCGTCTCAACTTCTTGGCTGAGAGTTTCCGCGCTACCATTAATGTCAAGGTGTATCATGCTGGTGTGCTGGGACCTTGGGAGTTTGTGCATGAGGATAACTTCGAAAATGGCAGTCTCGAGTTTGGTGCTGGGTACTATCCTCCTGCTGGTAAGGAGGAACGTTTCTATTGAGGATGTTGCTCGGTACAGATCATGACTTTTCTCATCTCTTGCCAAAAAGCATTCTCGTAATTTTAGTCATGCAGCGGTTCATAATTTAATCAATGACCAAAAACACATGTATACCTATGCTGATCTTCTCCGCACACGGTACCAACGTTGGATATTGATTGCATTATTTACAGGTATAGTCTGCCTTGTCTCTTTGAGATGTTGAACAACCCCATCGAGGCAAAAGAGCCTCCCTACGTACCTTGGATGATGTTTTCAAGATTTCCATGTTCGCTCTTTGGGACAGGGTGATACCCTTAACTATGGATGCAGACGACCATACACTCATTATACGGCCACCTTGGGCAGTATTGTTCTTCTGTCATTCTTCATATATGTATTAAGCCTATTTTCATATCTCGATGGCCTTGAAATGTACATAGAGACTCTAGTGAGTGTCTAATGGACGAATTTTGGTCTAATGTTTGTGAATTCAAGAAAATGAAACCAGAACACACGCGATTGATCCAAAGTCTGGTGTGATCGGGAAGACATTTGCTCTTGGCATAGATGACCATTTAATGCATACAAAAATCCCACTAGCAACCATAATATGGGCCTCAGCCTCGTCTCGTAAACCAAGAGTGAAAGCTCGTTGTGGTGGTGCTTCTCAAACCACCAGCCAGGGTCACCTTTGAGCTTTGGGCCTGGACCGACCGCCCCACGACCCCACATGCCGAATGTGGAGCAGTATATAATTGACCAACCTCCTGCTCAAGGTTACCTAGGAGAACATCCACCAAAATGCCGATAACAAACCACAAGAAGCTCAATGCTCAGTTTACCGGAGTCGATCTCGAGTCTTGTTCACAGTACCGCGGCATACAATATGGCACTATCAGCAAGAGATTCGATCTACCGACATTAAAATCAGACTGGAATGGAGAGCAAGTCAACTGTCAACGATGGGGGCCAAGATCTCCGCAGAACAAATACGACATTGGCCATCTTCTACGAGCACCAGAGGGCGATATCTTCTACGATGAAACCGAAGACGAATTCCAATGTTTGAATCTGGACATCACCATTCCTGCCGACACACCAAGCGATGCACGACTACCTGTCATGGTTTGGATACACGGAGGCTCGCAAATCATCAGTTTTGGCAATGGAGCGAGTAAAGCTGGAGATACGACGAAGCTTGTGGCAGAGTCTGCTCAACATTCCAGACCAATGATTGTGGTATCTGTTCAATACAGATTGAACATGTTTCATGTTGGAGATGGCAACAGCAACAAGAATCTGGGCTTCAAGGACCAACAGCTGGCTGTCCAATGGGTCCATCAATATATTGCAGAATTTGGTGGTGATCCTGAGGAGGTGACACTTGCTGGAGAGAGTGCAGGAGCCGTTTTCGTACATGGGTTGATTGTCGGTGGAGCTCCTCTCAAACGTGGAATTCTCATGTCTGGATCTTTGCATATGTCGCCGCCACAGCCGGAGGCGAGAGCGAAGACTATGTTGATAGATCCTGTACTTGAGAAGCTTCGAGCTAAAGGATATTCATCTCTCGAGGAAGCTCCGGTACGAGCATTGCTCGAAGCACAGGCCGAGATACCAATACCATCAGTATTTCTCCAGGAAGAAGATTGCTTTGCGAACTGGCAAGAGAAGACTGGTGGAATCCAAGAACTCATCATTGGAGACTGCGAATTCGAGTCGGTGCTATGGCGGAACGGTGTCGAAGCGATGACCGCAGAGCAGATTGTGGAATGCTTCAACAAAGCCGGACCTTCAGGTGACCGACTGAAAGAACTATACCACATCAATGGGTTGCGAGCACCGCAATGCAGGCATGGTGCATTAGACTTCTTGAACGATGTGCGCTTTGCATCGCCAGTACCATTGATCGCGGAGAGATACAGGGCTGAGGGGAAGAAAGTATACCGATACTTGTTTGACCAAGCAAACCCATGGCAGGCTTCTTCCCGAGCTCACCATGCGGTTGACTTGCTCTACCTATTCGGTGGATTTGATATGACAATGAATCCATCAGCAGAGGAGCTTGGCAAAGAGTTGAGGAGACGACTCATCTGGTACATCAACGGAGATGCACCTTGGACGATACACAAATCCATGGCGTTTGGGCCGTTGGGGGAGACCAAAGAGATGAACGATAGAGGGGTTGCAGCTCGCAGACGCACACGACAGATGGAGGAGGTGAAGAAACTACAGGCTAGTGACGTGGCGGCGGTCTTTGGAAGCCTTGCAGCTGGTAGAATCAGTCTGCACAACTAGAGGTGCTTGTTGCGTTTGCGGCGGGGGTAGGTTAGCTGCAACACGTCAGGCCATGAAAGGTCGCAGTGCAGGACACCCCGCTCTTGCTGTGTAGCGTGCGTTGATCGAGATGCGACTGTGCTCGGCCCCGGGCCGCTGAGCTGAATGGACGTCAAAGACTCCAGTCGAGTCTGTGTTGGTTCAAGACAATCCGGAGTCGGTCAGGAAGCTGCTGTTCTAGACAAGCCGACAACATGCACAACAATGTGGCAGCAACAATCAAATAAGCCATGGCCACCCCTTGCTTCCACCAGTTCCAATGACACCACAGATGCATGTGAGATGCACGTCAACGCACGTGAGTAAGACAGCCGAGCCCTCGTTTGGCGGTGGGGATGTCGTTGATACTACAGCCAGAGGATGGATCATTGAAAGTAACCAACTAGGCACAGAGTCACAGTGCGAGGACAAGCGGAGTCACGGACTGAGTGATGGCAACCTTGTCATCTCTGTCTGTCTCCCCGCTCCTTCACTCCTCGCTTCCCACTCTGCCCATTCTCACAGTGAGTCGAAGTTCACCGGGCGTTGCCGCAGTCTGCCCCTCTAGACGAAAAGTAGCCGCGTCGTCAGTCTGCGGGATCGGCTCGCTGCCCTCTCCGGTCCGTGCTACTAAGCTCGGGAAAAAAGCAGCGCAAACGCCTCGAAGTTGCAAACCACTTTGACGGCCTGACGGTAGATTTTTCCAATCGGTTTCTCTGGCCGAACAAAGTGACGGAGCTGGCTCGCTGATTGTTCGCCTTTCTCTGGAGTCTGGTTGTATTCTTCTCTCGCTCGCCCGAATCTGCTCAGCTTTTCTTTCTTGCCCAATTTCGACCGAACCTTTACGTGTGCGAATCCAACGCCTATCCCGCGTCGCACTCATCTGGAGCCTGTCATCTACGCTCGCCAACGACTCCCGACTGACGTCCGCCTGTCAGCCTGCGCCTGTTCTCGTCTACGTCTGAGTCGATTGTCCTGGTGTATATCGTGCGGGGAGGTCACAACTGAACCTTCCCGGACAAGTTGAGACTGCGCGACAGCTCTCAACTACTTTCTTTGGAACCGCCCACCCGGGCCCCAAACCAAGCACAGAACTCGGAGAGAGAAATCTCTGATAACACAGCCATGTCTTTCTCATACGCACAGGCAGCCCAGGGCCGCTCGTCAGCAAAAGCTTCTGGCACTGCGACACCGTCTTCTAACTCAGTAGCCGGCGATGCAACTGCTCTCACAGTCGACTCCACCCTCTCCAAGGTTGATGGCCTTGCTGGAGGAGATACTTCCAGTGTCACGTCAGCCAACAACAACGACGATGGCTCTTCAACACCGAACAGAGCTTCTTCAGAGTCAACATGGGACACCAAGTCGCAAAACTCGGACCGCCCAGCTAAAGCAGATGGCGCCGACTCCAAGACCGAAGCACGCGAATCCAAAGGTGACGCATCCAAACAACAGAAGCCCAAGCTCCGCGACGCCCCTCCACCGACCGTGAACATTTGGCAGCAAAGAGCCTCGACCATGACTCTCACCAAGCCGGCGACATCAGTACATACCGCTGCGAGTAGCAAGCAGGAGAAAAAGGCCGAGAAGGCCAAGAACACAGAGGCGAAGAAGCCCGTCGCTGCCAGCACGAAAAACCGCGACCAACGCCAAACGGTCGAGGCACCTCGAGCACGTGGAAATGTTTCTGCACCGCCACCATCAAGCGATGTTGCATGGCCTACTATGGAGACAGCACGTGAGGAAGAGCGCAAGAAGTCACAAGTGCAAGAAGAAAAGGCTTCCAAGGAGACCATCGCCGCACCGTCAACCAAGAAGACCGAGTGGGTCAATATGCCTTATGTGCCCACTGCCGTCTTTGAGACTACACTTCCCGCAAGGGGAGCTCCCCGTGCCGCTCGTGGAGGCGCTCGTGGCGGAAGCAGCTTGAACGGCCGTACAAGTTTCCAGAGTGGTCAGAATGGAGAAAAGCCTCAATCGAAGGGTGCAGACGCCACGCAAGAACAGACTGCTGCCGCAAATGCCGATGCAGACCGCGAGTCTATGCCTCCTCCGCCCAAGCCCGTCAAGGTTGAGGAGTCCAAGGATGTTGCCTCTACCAACGGTGTGGTCCACGATGCTCCTGTCACCAACGGCGTACCCAAGCGTCACAATTCATCTCGTCGCAACAAGTCGCCTCGCAAGTTTGAGCCAGCTGCACGCCGCCCATCTGCCGCTTCAGTAAGCGCCGATGCTGTCAACGGAGCTCAACACGAGGCGACCAAGGCCGCAAACAAGGAGCGTACCTTCGACAATCCTCCTACATTCCGCGAAGTCAAGTCAGGCAAGCGTGGAAGAGGTGGTCACCGTGGTGGCCTTACTAACGGCCACTTTCCTTCTCAAAACTTCACCAACGGCTTCCCTGGTGACTTTACCCCTGCAGCAGCAGCGCCTTCTTTCCCTCCTCGCGGTGGTCATTACCCTCAGCAGAGCCGTGGTGGCTTCCGCGGAGGTATGCGCTCGCAGTCCATCCCCTTCGACTATGGTCGTGGTCAGTACCCTGGCTACCCTATGATGGTGCCTCAAGGCTACATGCCCGAATACTATGGTGGTTACGCTCCGCCAGTTCCTGCTTACCAGCCGGGTGTGGAACAACTGTACCTTGTTCCCATGATCTCTCAGCAAATCGAATACTACTTCTCCTTGGACAATCTCGTCAAGGACATGTTCTTCCGCAAACACATGGACTCGCAAGGTTTCGTCTTCTTGACGTTTGTTGCTGATTTCAACAGACTCAAGTCTTTGACTACCGATTACGAATTGCTGAAGTATGTTTGCCTTAATTCGCCAAACATCGAGCTTCGCACAGGTCAAGATGGAAAGGATCGTCTACGAAAGGCTGGCGACTGGGAGATGTGGGTCCTGCCTATGGCGGAGCGTGATATCACAGCTCAAAACGATGGCCCTGTGTCATTTGAGCGCCCCGCTGTTCCTCACATTGGCATGGCTCCTCCTTTCTACCCAGGTGCCATGGAGCAGTTCGCTGAGAATGCTGGTCTTGAGGAATTCAGAGGTCGCCAGGCCAAATCACCTCATCGCGAGAACGGCATGTCACCTCTAGGCAACTTCTTCATCCCTGCTGAGGATATGGGTGGTGAGCCAGACACCTTCCCTAGCACACAGATTGACAATTTGACTGTTGTCGTCCGCAAGCATGAGGAGACTCCTCGTCGTGCACCTTATCACACCGCAGGATCCAGAACTTTCTCTGATGGATCTATCGACTCGAAGAACATCTACGAGGAAGTCCAGAAGACAAAGGCCCAGGAGAAGAAACCCCAGACGAACGGCACTGAACAACCCGCCACCAACGGAGACGCTTCCGCTGTCGACGGCCCCGCAGTGACATTGTTCTGGGTCAAGGACCAGAACTCCCCCGTCGACACTCTCCCCGAGGATACTACCCACGAGATGTACAGCCACCTTCGAGGCAAGGCCTTGTCGCAGCGTGAAGTTGCAGCTACAGGTACCTGCCCTTACGACATGGACGTTCTCTACCAATTCTGGTCGCACTTCCTGATCCGCAACTTCAACTCGAGCATGTACGCCGAGTTCCGCCACCTTGCATTTGTCGACGCCGCGCAACGTCACAACTCCACTGGTATCACCAACCTTATCAAGTACTACAGCGAAGCTTTGGCCAGCCAGATTCCCATTCGCGAGCGTGTTGGGCGCCACTTTGCTGAGATGCTGCACTCCGAAAGGACTGGTGGCGAGCGTGTTGCTTTCATCCAATTGCGTGATTCATGGCGCAGCGCATCGTTCAATGTCAACAACCGCAAGAGATTCGGTGACATGATCGATGCAGACCTCAAGACGGAGCTTGAGGCATAATTTCCCAACTCCGATTCAGTTTTTTCCTTGTTTCAAAAAGTCACTATATATGCTAACGGGCGTTATTGAGGGGAGTTATTCAAGCATGGGACAAAAGCCGGCGATAGATTTATCTTCCAGCATGGGGTGGGCAGAAAAGGCGCATCTTTGTGCTTCACCAAAAGCAACGTTTAGCTGCAGGGATGGGTCGGGAGATTTGGGTTTTTGCTTTCTTTGCACACACGCCGACATGGTTAATCGTCTTCTTCTTCTTCCTCTTTTTCCTTTTCCTTTTCCTTTTCCTTACCTTTCTTCTTTCTTCTTCACGCCCCTCCTTTTCGATACTCTTCTCTTTTTGATTTGATGTCTTTTCTCAGGCCGCACTTCGCCCTGTTGCATTTGGGGCAAGATCGCTATTGGCAGGACAGAAGGAGGATATGGGGCAGAAAAGCTATGTTTATGATATGTACATACACGAAACCTTTGCTCCATCCATCTTCTCGTGTGCATATTTCTGCCACCCTCGCCATCGTCTTGTGAACCACTCTGAAGTTGAAGCTGCAAAGATACATAGTGCATTTTGCTTCGGTTGGCGTCTATAGAGAGGTCAAAAGTTGACACGCTCTCACTGGACATCGCTTGGAAGCCAGTGCGATGACTGAAGTGAAGGCTCGGTGAAGATGATCTAGACCCTGAGACTTCCGAGATAAGATGGTTTAGATCCAGTTATCTCCGGCGGTCGCCACCCGTCTGCGCCACCTCTCCCCGCATCCTAGTCATAACTACTTAGGCAGCCGCTTTCCATCGACCTTTCTCTCACAACCTCTAGTCTGACCGACGAATCATATTCATCATGCCGCCCTTGGCAGGAAATTGGCATAGCCTCTTGATGAGGCATGTCAGAACTTGGAAAGCAGCAGCTAAACAAGTTCAAAAGGCCGTCCAGAGCAAAGTAGCTCAACCGGCACAGGCAGAACTCCAGCCTGTCTTTGTTCGCGCACGACAGCCATTACACCCGGCCGCCCGCATCCGACAAACGCAGAGCCGCTGGTTCAGCAGCTCGTCTCGATCAACCTTCAAGGACACTGTCCGTCGCCTGAGCTCCATCGCCGAACAAGCATCTGGAAACCAGTACAAGCGTAGCTCTCTGCCCAAGTCGACCGTCGGCAATGCCGTCATCCGTAACTCTGGCCGTGCTCCGTTCGCATCTACCCTCCGACCCAACCTCACCGGGGGCACCTTAGGACGCACATCTGGAGGATACTCGCTTGGAGGTGGTCGTGTTGGAGGTCAGAGATACTTCTCTCATGGCCCAGCCAGCCAAGCACAGATCGTCCAGAACGTCTCTCAGGCCGTCCGTGCCTTCTTTGTGTCAGGTAACAAGGCCCAATTTAACGGCGTCAACCCTCGCGGCGAGAAGTCGTACAAGACCGTCACTCTCGCCCAGCACGACACTGCTAAGAAGCTCCGCTCGCTCCCCAAGCAGACTCCCGGCTCTTACATCTCTTTCCCCATCAACCCTACCATCACTGCCTTGACCACCCTCGAGGCTGTTGCTGGTTACGCCGACGCCGAGCACGTCAACTCCGAGGGCCTCCTCGATGGTCTCACCGTCGACTTCTCCCGCTCCCTCAAGGACCTGACCGCCGTCCTCAGCGATCTCAGCAAGCTCTCAAATCTGGGCGATTTACCAATCACATACGAAGGCTCATCACTACGTATCCACTTCCCTGGTTGTGATGCTGATACTGTCGACAAATTGAGAGATGAGCTGCAAATCCAGCGAGGCACGACCGTCCAAGACGAAGACTTTGACGACTTTGTTGGATCCGAGATTGCCCTTCTCTTCCCCTTTGCTCCCAGCACACAACCCTCGGACAGTGGCAGCGAGTTTTACGAGTCACCTTCTGGCAGTCACACCAAGCCCATTGATTGGCAAACAATGCTCACACCATCCGAGAGCAGCGTCGGACGCCATCTCTCGATGAAATCAGACACCTTGTCGGACGTCGACTATGAGTTTGACAGTCCAGCTATGGTCTCTGATTACGAGTCTCTACACTATTCCAGCTCTGGCGAACACGAAGATGCCCAAAGCCCTCTTGAATACCAAGGGTTCGAGGGCATTTACCGCTTCATCGAGCAATGCGACTCTCACCGACACTGAGAGGAACAAACGAGACTCCTTCCACTTACCACACTTTCTTGGTTCAGATTGTACGATACGATACCCACGGCGTTTGCTCTCTTTTTTTGTTCCAATTCTTTTCTTCAGGGCACCTACAGTATGTAGCGGACCAGTACTCCAGACTTTACCCTATTATCACCATGCATTCTTGTGCAGTGAGTGACGATATGTTGGCTTTCATGCACAGTACACGTAGTCACAGCCATACAGTAATGCCACTGATATCCCCTCTCCTCAAGCTATGTCCTTCTTATGTCCACCAAAAAGACGTGATGTTTTTGAAAACCCCAAACCTGTCCTGTGAGATCACGCAAAGCGATCGCTCCCACGAACTCACTTTCTCGATGGCCGTCATCACAGAAGTCGGGGGGGCCTCATCATGCACGTCTCACCGACTTCAGCCCGAGCCCGACAGTATGGTTCACCTTGCCCTCTTAGCTCGATAACGAAATGTCTCTTCGGGGAACCATTATGCCGGGTTTCCTGTCTTCGCTTAATCTTCCTCCTTCCGCCCGAGTCACCGATGATGTTCGGAATTTGGAGACTTGCATTTCTGATGCAGGATAACACGTTTTGGAACTCGATTCTTTGGAGGTGTCGCGGACATTGTATGCGAGATCGATGGACGGGTTTGTGTGATGTATTGATGTTTCAGTTGGTGCGAAGTTTCAGGTGGTGAGGTGGTACATATTTCAGTACGCTTCCAAGTGTTTTCCGAGTGCCATGTTTGTAGGAAGATCGTTATCAGAGATGTGACTATATGATCAACTGGGTACAGGGCAAGAAACAATGTACCGGGACAAGAAGACCCTGAGTTACCGGGACATCGAGACATGGTCCGAATATTGGTGAGCGTGACGAGAAAAAGGGATGAATTCATGTATTGGTTGAACGGCGTGTTGCTATAGGTCCGGCAATGTATACCTTGTGAGGCACGGTAGAGGCACAGTCACGAATGGGTACATGTACAAGAAGGAGCTCAACAATATTGGATGCATTAGGTGTTTGGTAGAGTCATGATTCATAAGATATGTAAGATCGGTAGGTGCAGTCCTATCACACCTGCCTGTGTGGTGGCGAAGCGACATCTGCAACTTCTTCGTCGTAGATGTTGACATGTCTGGTCATCAGCACCTCGTCATCGGGAAACCAACTCTTGTTCTGCAGTGAGCCGGTAGTGACTGGTGCTGGCGGTAACACTTCGTCCTCGATACCTCTTGAAGTCGAATTTGATCTTGAGCTCTCGTTAGAGTTTTGTCGCTCTCTAATTGGATCCAACTCGTAAGCTTGGCCAGGTGGAGGACTCTTCATGTCGCCGACTACACTGGTGAAATTGCCCATCTGGCGTGGTGGCTTGTCGTCCATTTGTAGATATCCACGCTCGCTGAATCTGATGCCTGAGTAAGGTAATTTACGCTGTAGCGATATCTTTGAGTTTCGACTATGATCAAGAGTCTTGCTGCTACGGCTTGAGTTTGTTGTGTTGCGTGCCTTGTCAACCATTGACTTGAAAAGAGGACGTAGTGTTGCTAGTGATGCGGCAACTATTCCTAGACCTGGTTCTATGCAACTCCAGACGCCGATATTGATTGCGTTACTGAAGAAGACAGGTCCATTTTTGAGACCAGGAATGTATGCGATTCGGATGAGGGAGCTGATACTGCCGACTGCCCCGAGGCTGAGTAAGAGACCAGATGAAATCTTGGCCGACCGCGGGATCTTGCTGTTCCAGAGAACAAAGACGGGAAGGCATGCAAAGGTCCAATCGCTGGCGGCGTTGAGAGAAGCGTGAACATAGTTCAATGGTTGCAAGATTCTGTCAGGTATGCACTCGCCAGCGGCTTCCTTGATCAGGAAGTGTGTTGGAACACCACATTGGAAGACAGCGATGAAGGCGAAAGCTATGCCGAAGATGGTGTAGACCCCCGTTGCAACATATATGACTCTTCTTTGCCATTTCCGCACAACGATCCTGAGGAAAAAGATTGCCAGACTGATTTTCAGGGTGACAGTGGTCAGGATGTATATACCCATCAAGGACACGATGTACTGCGGTCTAATTAGCCAACATAAAAAGAAAGGATGGCATACGACAAACCTTCATGATGTGATTAAGCAAGTCCAGCTGGGCTAAAGGACCCTCTTCCAGCACTCGACGTGGTCTGTCACTTTGCTCAAGTCGTTCGATGGAGATCAGAAGACCGCAACATGTTGTGAACAAACATAAGGTAAGAAGCATCGTCCAATCATCTTTTCCAAAGGACCGGATCATAATTGCTCGCACGTAGACTCGAAGTGCAAAAGAGATCCACGTCAGGATAAGAAAGACAGTGGCCACGATCAGCATGATGACGGTGCGAGGTCCAAGGGCGGCCACCCTATGCGCTGCGTCTGATATGGCCTCCATGTCAAGGTTGCTGCTAGTCGACCACAGGAATAAGAACAAGAACAAAGGAAAGGTGGAAGAGTAAGATGTTGTATGGCTTGTCGTTAAGCAAAAGAATATGATCGAAACATCCAAGGCAAGAGAGGGGAAAGAAAGTCAAAATGGAAAGACCTACAGCCTAGATAAATTGGTTGATGTATTGTTGACCCTCGAAGGAAGCCATCCAGGGTAGTCAGCCACAAGACCCGAAGCCATGGGTAGAACATGCATGGCTGGCGGGTTTCCGATTCAGCCTTAGGATTTTTACCTCGCTTTACCTCGCCTATTGAGTACGCCGCCAGCGAGCCTTAATTGCGCCAGCAACTTTGGTTCTAGCATGCAGGAACTATTCATTGATGCGACAAGCGGAGTTCTGAATCGAGCAGATTTTGACGTGGGCCTTTCGGTGGAGTCGCGTGGAGCTGGACATGCAGTCGCTCGTGCCAGAATCGATGCACGTCCGGATATCAAGTCGATTGACAGGTGTGGAAAGATCCCTCTTTTCCAATACACAGGATCGTTCCTTTGGGTCGTCAGGATCCGAACCGATGTTTCGTGGCCCCGCCATCGCGTTTCAATTGGCTTTGAGCGCCACAAAGGCGTTCTTCCTAGAGAAGTAGGCGTGTTACAGATCCACCATGGTTTCTTTGTGTTAAGCTGATTCAAGGTTGACTAAAGGGAAGCTTCAATGGCTGAGGTTGAATCATCAGGGATCTAACGAGGTAGACCACGGCAAGTATCTGCGAATGTGCCGGCGTTTGCCTCGGCGCATGTAGAGTAGCAGAGCCGCTCCGCTTCTTGTGCAGTAACGAACCTTCAAGATCGAGGTCAAGATGAATGCATGGCACTACTCCGTATCCCGTCCGTCAAGACTCAAAAGTGTCCATTGATATTGCCAATAAACCATCTCGCCGTTTTGAGGGACATGATCTGCTTGGTTGAAATGATTCCGATTCTCCCCTAAGGTCAGGTCATCAATGCACTGCAGATCTGTCCGGCTTCGCTCGTGCCTGCGCTTGACACTCAACAAGAAGGCATAGAGACCCGAGTAGACCTAACCTGTGTCAAAAAAACTAGAGTTCATCAAACAGATTTGGTGAGTGCTCGAGGACTCCACACTTGCGCAATTCGGACCGCGGCGTCCGGCTCCACTGGTTCAGTTTTCTCCACAGGTTGACGACTCTAGAGATGCGTCGAAATCAAGAAGTGCTGCAATGGAGGGATCCTATGGTCGGTGATGATATTGAAAGAGATCCAGGGTCGAGTCAGCTCGATATGGAATTACTACAGGTCAAGTGTTTTATCGATGCTATGTGATCTTTGATACCTTCGATCGAGTGGGTTACATGTAAGAAGTTCTTGCGCGTCGAGGTAACCCTCACACAAATTGATTCCTCTGATTAATATCTGAAAGGACGCTTTTTTGAAGGCATGTCGAGCTTGATGGAAGCCGATACAAGCAATTTAGCCGTCACGTGCCTTCGTGCCGAGTCAGCAACCTTTCCCGCGTGGCCGACACGTCGTTCCTGCCTTTGTGGCGAAAGTCCCCCACATGGAAAGGCTACCATCGCGCTAAGTAGTCGCGTCCACCTTCAAAGATGACTTTATTATGATAAATCGTTCGCCTCCTTGAAATATTTACTGCTTTGACAATCGCTCTCGCAAATCATTCGTTAAACTCTCAACTTACATACAACGCAATGAGTGCCGAAGGACAAGAGCTCGCATCGCAGTCAGGCTATGAAGATGGCGCCGCCGGCGGCCCTGGAGCACCTACGCCACTTTCCGCTCTCGAGGTATGGCGCATTGTCATGATTATCACCTTGACATGAACTAAGCGTACTGTAGGGAATGGCCGGTTTGACCAAGAGAGACATCCAATTGTTCATCGAAGGCGGATTCCACACCGTCGAGGCTGTGGCATACACGCCGAAAATGGTGCTCGAGCGCATCAAGGGTGTTTCGGAGCAGAAGGCTACCAAAGTCCTTCTAGAGGGCAAGTTACCCATACCCTTGCTGCAGTCAATAGCTAACACGGTCGACAGCCGCCAAACTTGTGCCCATGGGCTTCACCACCGCAACCGAGATGCATGCGCGCCGTAGCGAACTCATTTCTATCACGACTGGTTCCAAGCAGCTTGATACGTTGCTCGCAGGTGGTATCGAAACAGGATCTATCACTGAGGTGTTTGGCGAGTTCAGAACCGGAAAAAGTCAGCTCTGTCATACGCTGGCCGTAACTTGTCAGCTGCCCTTCGACATGGGCGGTGGTGAGGGAAAGTGTCTCTACATCGACACCGAGGGAACATTCAGACCTGTCCGTCTCCTCGCAGTCGCACAAAGATATGGGCTATCAGGAGAAGAGGTTCTCGACAACGTCGCATATGCGCGCGCATACAATTCCGAGCATCAGCTCGATCTCCTCAACCAGGCAGCACAGATGATGACGGAGACACGCTTCTCACTCTTGATCGTCGATTCGGCAACGGCACTCTACCGCACAGATTTCTCTGGTCGTGGTGAGTTGTCGTCAAGACAGACGCACTTGGCCAAGTTCATGCGCACCCTTCAACGTCTAGCCGATGAGTTTGGTATCGCAGTGCTCATTACCAACCAGGTGGTGGCACAGGTAGATGGTGGACCAAGCGCTATGTTCAACCCGGACCCGAAAAAGCCCATTGGTGGCAACATCATCGCGCACGCCAGCACAACACGTCTCAGTCTGAAGAAGGGTCGTGGTGAGACCAGAATATGCAAGATCTACGATAGTCCTTGCTTGCCTGAGAGCGATGCTATGTTCGCCATCAAGGAGGACGGTATTGGCGACCCAAGTCCCAAGGACCTCGACAACAACTAGACCATAGTACGAGAATGGAGGGGAGGGGCGTACACGAGAAGATGACTTTGCTCTTGAGCTTGCTTTTGCGTTTTTTAAAGATACCAGGAGGGCTGGAATGGTTTGCACTTTTGGCTTGGCGTTGGCAGGACAAGCATCATCATGAAGCGATGGATACTGAAATGTGGCTCGGAGTCACGGTGAATAGCTTCTTGATGGACATGACAGTAATATTACAAAGTTTTGAACTATCAGAGACGTGTTCGAATGCTGTTTGAAGTGACAGACTTGCATCGAAGTGATACGGAGTAGTGAAGCTGCTTGCTTGACTCGTGTTTCGTTCAGCAGTTGCAGCAAAAAGTCGGGGCAGCTCCAAGTTTGGTGTTCTTCACAGTCGCAGCTCGGTCCCCAAACAGCAAACGCGCATTAGCAACATTTCCGTCTTCCTGTCGCGACCATCCTCCCTCGACCATCGCCCACCGCATGTCAAGATTACATGGAGACACAATGGCCTTGACTGTGACGGCTCCACTGGCGCCTTGTGTCTACACCGAGGCTCGTCTGAACATTGAGCCGACCTACTCCAATTCGACCCTGCACATCCCGACAGAGGGCCAGTCCTCGTTCTTCTCGCGCAAACGTTCAAGGAGCGACGAAACTCTTGCCGACGCAGACGAAGATGCTTACGCGAAACGCCATCTGGCCACCGAGTCCTCAATCTTCTTCCGTCGCAACAACAGAAACCCGCGATGCTTCCTCTGGCGCGTGCTCGAAGAGGGAAGGCTGCTACACATCCAGAGCGTCGACCTTGTTCAAGCGCGTAGAAACACCCAGGAAAGCGTCATCACCTTCGCTCTGAGCTTCAGCAATCCCATCAGACCCAATGGCGTCGCCTTTGCCGATGCTGTCGAGCGCGACGCTTTGGAAGTCTTCGTCCTGACGACCAACAACGAGCTTTTCACCTTCACCCTGCGCAAAGACCTCCTCTTGCGCGGCTCACTCCCTTCGGCCGCCGAATTCGATCCCGCCAGCTGTTACAAAGTCTACCAATCACCCTCATTCAGCTTCCGCACCCCCTACAAGCTCGTTGCTGAAAGTGCGGTACAACTGCTTGTATCGCTCAGTGACGGTGGCTTGCTACGTCTCACGCGAAACGTAGGAAAACTCCAAGGTCAAGAACTATGGCATGAGACTTTGTTCGGCGAGTCTGGCTGGGGCTCGTCCTTCAAAACTTTCTTCTCTATGAGAGGCCACAACACTATCAGATTCAATGGCTTAGACCTCGAGCCTTCGACCGCTGCTGCCATAGCCATTTCGCCTGACACGAACCACGTCTTTACCGTCTGCCTGGACCACACCCTCAAAGCTTGGAACACAAAAACCGGAAAGTCTGGGGTCCAGACTGATCTTCTCAACGAGAATGATAGAGAGACACAATCTGCCCAATCACAGTATCTTATGAGTCCTGCGCAAGGTACTCTTCTCAAGCTTCATCAAGTTGACGGAAGTCCGGACGGTGACATGTACTACGTTGTCACAAATTCGCCAAAAGACCATCAGTTCAAATTCTGGGCAGTCATGGATCCCGATGACATCGAGCTGGGCATACGCGACGTCCAACCGGATACTAAGCTGATCCCCCCGCTTGACGAGTTGATGAACACAAATGCCTGGCAGCTTGTCGAGTACCATGTTCGTCCTTCAAAGGGCTGGCGCAACACTCAACTTTGGATCAGAGTCAGATCTGGTGCCATTTGTAAGATATTCACCCTCACCTTCGACCTTCTTGCCGACTCTGAGGATCTCGAGGACGCGTGGCGCAACAACTGGGCCTTTGTCGACGATGGCTCACTTACCATCGAGTCTTTGATGAATGACCCCTCCTTTCCCGGTGATGCGGATATTCAACTTGCCGTAGAAGACTGTTCCAGCCTTAGCGACAGATGGCTCGACTTTCTCTTCTATCCTGGCAGATTTAGTGTGCCTATGCTCGAAAGCGCCTTGCACATCTACAAAAAAGGCCTGAAACTCTCCTCTGAACCATCGCGGTCGCTCAAGGAAAGTCCACTCAAAGGGAGAATCTGTGATGCTATTGCTGCCAAAATCAGTGTTGACCAGACACCCGAAGGCCATCTAGACTTTGACAAGTACCAGTCAGAGATCGCTTCGCAGTGGCATGTCTTCTTTGGCCTCGTTCGGCACCTTCATACACGACGTGGCGATTCCCTATCTCTGGCGTTCGACACAGAGACCGATCTAGCATGGTCGGTCAGGGCGGATCAGGTTGGCCCTGTGAGGCAATGCAGCGAAGTTGAGATTATGAATCTCAATGAGGATGTTTTCCTTACTCAAGAAGATCACTCCATCGTCAATTCGATGCCTCTGGCGGACCATTTGATCGACGAGTATAGTGTGCACGTTGGCCGTCTTCTCGCAGGCGCAAGACTATTCAGGAGGGGCCTGTCATCAGATTTCCAGGCGCTATTTGTGACGGCGAGCGCAGCAGATGCTCTCAGAATTGGATCTGACGACACAACACCAAACGGTACTCAGGATAAGCACCTGGAAGACTTAAGACAGCTCTACGATATCTGTGCTCTTCACACCGAAGTGTCAGATGAAGATTTCAACCAACTTACTGATTCTATGCAAGATCTGGGAGGTCTTGGCGAGCTGGACAATGAGCTCTTCTATTCAGCCATTGAACGTCTCACTCAAGCACAGCATGGTGCCGATGGGGACCAAGCGCTCACCCGTTACGGAGACAAGGCGACTATCCGTGGCGCTCAGGATACGCTCTCTCTGACCCGTGATATCATTCTCGACCTTCTTGCCTTGGTTGTGTTCATGGCTGGTGATCTTGAGACGGAAGAGTTATCGCCTGCATTCAGACCATCCGAACTTTATGAACAACTGATTGTTAAGCTCAAGGAACACAACGTTTTGTTGTGGCTTGCCAGCAATGTGCGAGAGGAGCCAACAAAGAAAGCCAAGGACACTATCGACAGCACTGTTTCGAAATCCAACAAGTCTCAGTACCACCCTACCTTAACGGTGCTTGAAAGCATCTTCATCGGAGACTGGCACAGCTTGCGGTTCCCAACCTCGGCGACTCTACCTTCCCTGATTACTTATTGGTGTCGCGCATGGACGTATGGAGCCAACATCTCCACCGCTTATAACGGTGTTGTCACCCATGTTTTGGGAAATCTCCTGAAGCACCAGGACTACGATCTGGCCACAGACTTTCTGAGATTCGTACCGGAAGGACCTTGGGCTTCATATCTCCGAGGAAGACTGAATCTCGCAATCGGAGAATACGCTGTGGCTGCTGAGTACTTCAAACAAGCAGCCGAGCCTCTCGCTGATAAGAGTATTAACATTGATACTCTGGACACATCCAACTTGATCGATCTGCAAGCGCGGAACTTCTTCAGCGATGGACTGCCTCGCTACTATCTGCACATATCATACCTCTTCGAGCGTAGCAGATTACATGCATACACAGCTGACTTCGCTTCGCTCGCGGCGCAAGAGTTTGCAGTGAACTTTGAAAACTTCGATGATAACTCACTGATCGACCTGGACACTCGCAAGCAGGGCATGCATGGTAGCCCGGCAGCCACCAGAGTTAACTTGGCTATGGAGGAAATCAAGCTGTTGCGTGTGCGCGAAATAAAGGAGGACATCCTGACGCGCGTTTTCAACGCCTCGCTGCAGATCTGCCGGTACAAGCCTGCGTTTGATGCTTTGCTTGTCTTTGGTAATCCTGTGCTACGCAAGACCTCACTCCAAGCTCTTCTGCAATCTCTCATCTCAACCAACAAGATGAGCACGCTTCTATCTCTGCCATTCCCAGAATATCTCCTTCCCGAAGTGGATGACATTCTACTGACTTTATCACGCAAGCACCTTTCATTCTCGCCTACCCCAACACCAGGACAACCCCAGTACCATCAGGTCATGTACACGTGGCGCATCCATAACAACGATTTCCGTGGAGCAGCTGAGATACTCTTCGAGCGTCTACAACGTCTTAGACATAGCACCGCTAAGGTATTTGAGCCTGATGATGAAACTCTGGTGGAGGCGTATTTGGTCCTCATCAACACGCTCGCCTGCTGTGGCAAAGACGAGGGATGGATCCTTGCAGAGAGAATCGAGGAGGAGTATCAGCGTGGCAAGGTTGTATCGGCCAGCCATAGCAAGAAACGCAGGATTGTCACGTTGGAGGATGTGCGCAAGGAGTACCAGGCAGAGTTGGACCGCAGAAGCGAGATGCAGCAAGGCAGATTCGCACTAACTGCAGGAGACGAGATGGACATGTTCTAAGGGATGTTTTTTATGATAGTGCTTCACTTTCACCAGGTCACCATGCAAGCGACAAGATCAAAAGGGTCGGGAGGTGATAAAACAGAAATGGGCAGGAAATCAGGCATAGCGCAGGAGTTTATGGCGTATAGTAAATGTAAAGATAGTTGCAGCTGTATCAAGAAAGGTCTGCATGTTTGCCGAACCACCATTACCCTTCGATATCCCGTCAAGTGGCACGTATCGATCAAGCAAACGGAATTACTGGCAGCAGTGCTCAACTTATGGCAGCTGGAGAGAGAGGAAAGAACAAGCTATGACGAAGGGCGTTAGGGCTGTGCCGAAGCGGCCGAGGGTGAGATTGGCGGAGGTCGGTCACATCACTGGGCAACAACGACAGGCATTGAGTTGGCCAGAAATCAAGCAACGAACAACAATGTCGAAATCGACCTTCTTTCTCGTGTCGCTGCCGACGTCCATCTCACAATCAAATGACCGCGACGAAGCGCTCACGGCGTTGAGATCCGTCGTGTCCACCGACAACGGCACGACGTACCCATTCAGCATCCCGTCGTTCAAGATTGGTACTCTGGATGCGCTGGTACAGCAGGCCGACGACCTGCAGAAGCTGGAACAAGGATGCAAGGGTGTTGTGGAAAAGGTGGCCGACTCGCTGAAGAACATCCTTGAGGGCGACGAGGACAAGATCGCCGACCAGAAGAACGTCAACGACAAGCCCGTCGACCACTACCTGCAGAGCTTCCAATGGAACAAGGTCAAGTACCGCGCCGAGAAGCCCATCTCGGAGCTGGTCGACATGCTCCAGAAGGTGGGTACCCTCTTTCTTCATTGAAGTAGTCGCATTATCTAATTGGAGCACTACAGGATATCGCCAGCATAGACAACGACGTCAAGACCAAGTTCAACCAGTACAACTCTGCAAAGACCTCGCTGGCCTCGGCCCTGCGCTCGCGCACCGGAAACCTTTCTCAAAAGTCGCTGACGTCTATCGTCAACCCGGACAAGCTCCTCGCACCCGACGCTTCGGAATACCTTCAACAACACTTGATCGCCGTCCCCAAGAACCAGGTCAAGGATTACCTACAGAGCTATGAATCTCTGTGCCCTATGGTCGTGCCCCGCTCGTCAGTTGAACTGGCCAAGGATGACGAGTTCAGCCTGTTCGCTGTCACGGTCTTCAAGAAGCACAGTGCTGAGTTCGTCCACAAGGTGCGCGAAAGACGCTGGACACCGCGTGAGTGGAAGTTCAACGAGGGTGGACGCGAAGCAGAGGAGCGTGAGCAACAGAAGCTTGAGAAGGACGAGCGTCGTGTCTGGGGTGAGGCTCTCCGTCTCGGTCGCACTGGCTACAGTGATGCTGTCATGGCCTGGATTCACGTCCTTGCTCTGCGTGTCTTTGTTGAGACGGTCCTGCGCTACGGTCTTCCTCTGAGCTTCGTCTGTGGTCTTGTCAAGGTAAGAAGATGCAACGCCATCCTTGACATATACATAAATGCTAATTTGAAAACTAGACGGACAAGAAGTTGGTCGAGAAGGCCAAGAAGAACCTCGATGGCGCCTACTCACACCTTGGCGGAAACGCTTTCGGTCGCGACAAGAAGGGCAGAGTCACCAAGGACGATGCTCAAGTGGCCAACGACCTGCAAGCAACTGGTCATGCTGGTGAGGACTACAGCGCATTCGTCTTCTATCAGTTCGAGATTGCATGAGCACAGCATATTGAACTATACTCCTTCCTGCCTTAGTCATTCCGGCCAGCGTTCCCTTTCCCACTTCTGTTTTCCTGTCCATAGACACTCTATACCCAGCCAAATTTCGCAGGTTGTCCATACAAAAAAAAAAGAACTTAGTCAGGTTCGTCGTCTACTTTTTGAGATAGGTACAGTACATGAAGACGTTATATGCGATTGGTAATGTAGAAACCGACAATATGGGTATCAAGAACATTTAAGCAGCCTGCTTCAGGAGACCCTCCTTCTCGAGGTACTTGGTGATGATGACAACAGCCTCCTCGACGCTGGTGTTTGCCGAGTCAATGTGGATCTCGGGCTTCTCGGGGGCCTCGTAAGGAGCGCTGATGCCGGTGAAGTCCTTGATCTCGCCGGCGCGGGCCTTCTTGTAGAGACCCTTGGGGTCACGCTTCTCGGCCTCCTCAACGGAAATGTCAACGTAGACCTCGATGAAGGGGAGGGGGGTGTCGGTGTTGGCGGCCTGCTCGTGGAGAGCACGGGCGGTCTGACGGTCGGCCTTGTAGGGAGAGATGAAGGAGGTCAGGGCGAGGCAGGATGAGTCGGCGAAGAGCTTGGCGACCTATACAGATAAACAGTCAGGATTCAATTCATATATCAATGAATTACAAGAGAAGGAAACATACCTCTGCGATACGGCGGATGTTCTCGTTACGGCTCTTCTCGTCGAAGCCAAGGTCCTTGTTGAGACCGAAACGGACATTGTCACCGTCAAGACGGTAGGCAGCAAGACCCTGCTGGAGAAGGTGCTGCTCAAGAGCAGTGGCAATGGTCGACTTGCCAGAGGCGGAGAGACCGGTGAACCAGATGGTAGCACCCTGCTGCTTGCGGAGCTCGCTACGCTCCTTGCGGGTAAGACCAGCGTGCCAGGTGATGTTGCTATTGTTCAATTCACGTCAGAAATACTGCATAAAGATACCTGATCGAAGGCATAACTTACGTAGACATTTTTGAGATTATGTGGTGAAATATGGAGGGGTTGAAGGAGGGGAAAAAAGATGGTTCCTGTATGCAAGATTCGGAGGGGCAGTTGAGATTGTCCGATTGCGTAGTCCTCCCCACCGACACCGCCAGCACGTCAACACCAAGCCACGCCACAGCGCTCACTGGGCAAGAGCCTCTTCTTTGACTCGTCGACTCGAGCGGGTCGGTCCGGGTCGAGCTAACCTGCCCCTCGGGGTTACCGTCGGCGAAGGTCGGGGGAAGCTCCTTCCTATGCGGGCGCGGTTACACGAACCTATGTGGTGCATCCTTCCGAGAGCCTCACTCTTATCGATTACTTGTCAAAGTCTGTCTGTTGACTCGATCCATAATATCCATAGTTCAATCGGAACATTTGCTTGTACAAGAGACGTTCACAGTTTCGTCAATTTCCATTCACATTTGCCCGCTTTGCTTCTCCATCACTGGACCTACTCAGTCACTTCCTCGACCATGTCTGCTATGCGTTCTTCTATCAAAGCAGCGACCCCTTTGCTCCGTGCTTGCGGTCCTAATGCTGTCCGCCGAACACACATTGGCACTCATGCGCCAGCTGCGAGATTGACTCAGTTGCCTAGTAGATCGCAGTGTGTCACACCAGCAGCAGTACGATGCTACGCCTCGTCGACTGAACAAGCCAACTCTAAGACAGGTCTTTACGATCTTCATGTTTCCAAGGGAGCCAAGATGGTCCCCTTTGGAGGATTCATGATGCCCGTTCAATACAGCGATTTGGGCGTTGGTGAATCGCACAAGTGGACGAGAGAGAAGGCTAGTTTATTCGATGTCAGCCACATGTAAGTTCGGCTTCCCCTGTTATTAAGTTGTAGTCGATCCTCTTTGAAACGCCTTGACCAACACAACGTTCCTTCCTTCAGGGTTCAATATCACTTCACTGGACCCGGAGCAACTGCATTTCTCGAGAAGATCACACCAGCAGATCTGCAAGCACTACCACCTCATCAATCTACCCTTTCAGCATTGCTGCACCCCCAGACTGGAGGTATCGTGGACGACACCATCATCACCCGCCTGACTGAGGACAAGTTCTACGTCGTCACCAACGCCGGTTGCAGAGAGAAGGACGCCGCTTTCCTGACCTCAAACTTGGACGCCTGGAACAACGCAAACCAGCCTCGCGTAGACAAGTACGAACTCAAGAACCAAGGACTGGTAGCTCTGCAAGGACCTCTGGCCGCCGACATTCTTCAATCTGTACTCGCCCCTTCCTCCGATGATATTGACCTCAAGTCCCTCTACTTCGGTAGCTCCCGATTCCTCACCCTCAGATTTGCGTCCGGCGAGACTTCCAAGCCAGTTCTTGCCTCTCGCGGTGGATACACAGGTGAAGATGGCTTCGAGATTTCCGTTGCACCCGAAGACACTGTCGCAGTCACAGAATTGCTGCTCACAGCTGGCGGACCCGAGAAGCTGAGACTCGCAGGCCTGGGCGCCAGAGATTCGCTCAGACTGGAAGCAGGCATGTGTCTTTACGGCCATGATCTCGACGACAGCACAACACCAGTGGAGGGCGCTCTCGGCTGGATCGTAGCAAAAGCACGTCGTTCGGCTCCTCGCAATGAGTTCAATGGTGCAGAGGTCATCCTCCCTCAATTGGTCCCTGTCAGCAAAGGTGGCAAGGGCGTTTCCCGTCGTCGCGTAGGATTGCTCGTCGAAGGCGCCCCCGCACGCGAGGGTGCACAGATCGTGGATGCTGAAGGTCAAGTCATCGGTGCAGTCACGAGTGGATGTCCTTCGCCCACACTGAAGAAGAACATCGCCATGGGTTATGTCAAGGATGGTCAACACAAGTCTGGTACCGAGCTAGGCGTCGTGGTCAGAGGAAAGACGAGAAAGGCTACAGTCACAAAGATGCCATTTGTGCCTAGCAAGTACTGGAAGGGTGGCATCTCACCTGCTTAGGTTACTTCAAATCGGAGAAAACACTCATGGATGCAAGCAAGGAGGTTGGACTGAGCAAGATAATTCAACACTGAGACGATGCACGAAAACGATGACTTTAACATGTCCAACACAAAAGGACAAAAGCAGCTAAATACAAGCAAGCGATTTTCGCTCCCCACTCTCTGGTTGCACTTTTCCCAAAGCACTCATGCATTTTGATGATTATATTCATAGCTAGAGTGTCCGCAGGAGAGATGGAAATCCGTGTTCCTATAGAGCAGTGTCAAACACAGGTTCCGTATATGCGATGGATGTTGAAAATCATCCTGTCTTTTTACATGTCGGTTTAGGGGCTTAGTCTGCGCTCAGGGATGTCGAGAAAGATGCAAATACAGATTTCCCTTTTTGTGCACACGCATGTCAATTCTGGAATTTGATATCAAGAGAAGGTCGATCATTGGTTATAAACTTGTATTTGTAAAGCTAAGACTAAGCAGTCATCCTAGCTTTCTAAGGCGAGTACAAGGATTTGAGAAAATGACAGAAAAACAAAAGCTATAGGATCACCTGATTTAGGAGGATCATGCAAAGAGAACCGCCAACGCCGCGCTATCATGCAGAAAGAAAGAAACAAGCAAAATTAAAGAATCGTTTGAGTAAAGGCAACAATCTTATCCACAGAGAAGAGAAGAAAGTCAAAGGAGAACAGAGCACATCAGGCACTCTGCGGCAGCAGCAGAGGTGCGATGAATCTCAGATCCCAGGTTCTTGGGTCGGGTCCGAGTTCAGATATGGGTCTGTCCTTGGCTCTGAGAAGATCATAGGCTGAGACGTTGGTACGTTCGATCCAGGCGGCCGCGAGCTGCAACTGCGACTCGGCAGCGGGGCCTTGGGTCTCAGAGCTGTAAGCCTTGTTGTGCGAGCTTGGGATGACGACCAGACTACCAGTGTGGCGGACTAATGTGGCAGGAGGAAGACCGCGCATGCGGAGAAGCAGATGCACGAGGTTGCTGAAGGATTCACCCTGAGGCCAGAAGTGGTTGGGTGCTTCTTCCAACGCCCAGTCTCCTGGACGATCGGAGGTCTCACCAGGAGATGCCACGGGCTGGTGAGAGGAATCCTCGTTGTTGTCTGTGGTCAGCTGAGCGTGAATGTCGTCGTTGGAAGAAAATCCGGTTGGATCGAAGGAGCGATAGAGACCAGTCATGCGCTCGACGCAATTGAGCAGGATGACGGCAGCGAGGAAGGTCAGAAAAGAAGACGACTGTTGACGTTGCAGGAGACGGCGCTCAAGCTCATTCATGACGAACTTTGCTTGCTTCTGGCAGTATCGCTCGGCGGCATGCTGCAGCTGCGCGTAGATGACGGTGTAGTCTGTGGAGTCTTGTGAGAAGGCCTTGCGGTCCGACTGGTTCTTGTCTGAAGAAGCAGATGCGCCTTCCTCGGGGTGCTCGCCGTGGACAGCTTCCATGACTGGAGGGTGGTTGGGCTCGTAGAAGATGGACCAGATGGGCTCATTCGAGATCAGAATGTTTGTAGCAGCCCAAAGGTTGATCAGCTTGCCAAGTAGAACATCATTGTGATCAACACTCAGCTCAGTAGCAACTTCGAGAGTGGAGCGCATGAAGGTCGAGGGTTCGCGCGAGATGCACTGCATGATGACCATGTGCAGGTAGCGTTCCAAGGTGGCAGCCAGCGTGTCTGGGTCTCGACGGTAGTTAAGCATAAAGATGAGAGACGGGGCGGTGGGAGGTGTCATCAGAGCGGGAAAGGTGGCATAGATGTGTGTGTCGGCAAAGAGGGTGACCTCGATTCTTCCAGGCAGCTGCATGGGCTCGACGCCTTCGAGGGCACCGAGGACGGTGTGGTGGTCCTTTGCATGAAAGAAGGAGGACGAGTAGAGAGTGAACTCTTCGGCAATACGAGAGCGGATGCATGCGTTCTTCCACAGTCTGGCACTCTCGATGTTCCGGCAGGTGCCGCAGGGAGTGCCTTCAGAGCAGGGCTTCTTCAACATGCGACAGCGGAGGCAGGCGCCCTTCTTGCGCACAGTCTGAACTTCCTTGCGTCTCTCTTCAGTAAATCTGCCGCGCACCTTGTTCTTGTTGGCGCGTTGCAGCAGACCGAAACCGCCATGGTTGACGGTGAATGCTGGCTCTGAGTAGTTCTGCGAAGCGGCTTCTTGTGGCTGTGGTGTTTGTGTGCCAGTCGATTGCTGGGAAGGATGATGGACTTGGGCAGGAGACTGCACAGGCTGTTGGGGCGATGGCTGTGCTGGTTGCTGTACGGGTAGGTGTGGCTGCTGAGACTGTTGTGCTTGTGGTGTGTTTTGAAGCTGCTGAGGCTGTTGTGACTGCTGACGTTGGTGTTGCTGAGACGACTGGGACTGCTGAGGCGAGTGCTGAGAAGGGGCGTCTTCGATGTGATTGACGAAGGAGGAGTAGTCTTCGGACTGTTGTAGTTGCGGATCCACGTGTTGATGGGCATGGGTATGTTGATGCGAATGCAAGTGTGAATGCAAGTGTGAATTCGGGTGTGGCAGCGGGTGCTGGCGTTGTGGAGCAGCGTCAGATTCAGCTCTGCGCTTTCTTGACTTCTTAGGGTGCAACTGCTGGGCCAAATCCGTAGCAGCACTTGCCGTGTGCATCAAGGGGCCGTTGTCCTTCTCTTGGTCCATGTGCTGTCTCAGTTGGGCTACCAGAGCCTCTTCGTGCTGACCATTGGCCTGCAGTTGACGCGAGACTTCGGCAAGTGCGTCTAGACCCGAGGGTTCACGGCGTGGCATCAGAGGAAGATCTCCATCTGATTGGGGAGTTGTGTTGTTCGAGGCGGTATAATTGTCGGCGGGCTGCCACAAAGCGCGTGAGCGGTCCTCGTCGGTGATGTTTGGGCATTTTTCAAACAAATGGCGTGTCAAACTGTCGGGTCTTCCTTTGGGAAACTGGGTTTGTCTTTGTCAACAACAGCATACAAAGTACTCGAGCATGCTCACTCACCACCTCGCCGCATCTTTTACAGCTGTGTTCGTATCTGTTGCTCTGGTCGGCCAACTTGGCGCCTCTCTCGAAGAACTCGAGGATCAAGGCGTTCGGCTTACGTCCCATGTTTGCGCGACACTCCACCTGGGAGAGGGCAGCGTGGTTTCGATTTTGTTGTCGCTTCTGAGACCAATTTAGCTATCCATTCGCGACAAAGGCGGTGACTGAAAGACCAGGCGGTGAGACACCAGAGCACGTACCACGGTGTTCAGAATGCTGTCTTGCACTGGAAGCTAATGCGATGTCAACCAGATCGCCATCCGAGAAGCTCAGCTAGACACGCACGTACCACCACTGTCGCGAGTGCACGGCCCTCTCGGCTAAATGCCGGTCATCGTCATCCTGTTCGGAACTCGAATTCTGCTTGACTGTTTACAGCTACAACTTCGACTTCGCTTTGAGTATCTCCTTCTGGGTCAAGGCCTGGACGAAGCCATCAGACATCTGCGACCTCTTCTCTCTGGGTGTAGTTGATCGAAGAGCCTCCAACTGAGTATACTCGTCTTTCCAACGTCTCAACTCCTGCAAGAGCCATCCACTGCACTGATCTGCCGTTTCCTCTGCTCGCTCCATCGGCATCAGATGTCCGCCACCTTGCATAACATACTCCTGGACACGGCCCTTGACTGTACCTCCGCTACCTCCTGCACCCATTCCTGTGACTTCCAATTTGTCTGCTCGGTATTTGGATGTGGACAGATCTGACTCTGTACCAAAAACGTACAGCACCGAAGGTCGGAGGTATGGCAACTGCTTGAACAGGTGGAAGCTCTCTGGCCGATAGAATGGCGAGACAGGTGGCAAAGTGACATCGACATCTGGGTGCGTCAAAGGGTTTGGATTTGTGTCAGGAGCAGGATTCGATAGAGTCACGAAGTTGCCTCGCATGAAGGTCATGACCTCCTGATGTTTTGTCGTCTTGAGCGTGACTTCGATCTCGCTCGTTTTGCTGGGTGACATCGTGCTGCCAGACACATCTGCACCTATCGCTGGTGGTGTTGATGATATTGCGATGTTCGGGTACAGTTTGGTTGGCAGGTCTCGTAGAGCGTGATCCATCCAGCGATCCAGTACACGTCGATCCCAGGTTTTGAACATGGGCGATTTCTCGAATGCTTTGCGGGCCGCTGTTCGACTTGGCCATACGTCTCTCCTTCTCGCGGACAATCGACCTAGATTGTAGTTGCTGAGGGCAGTCTCCTTTAGAACCACGGGGTCAATCAAGACCAACGTGCTCAACAGACGAGGGTGCATTAGTGACAATGTGATCAGATGTGCTCCTCCCATGCTGTGTCCCACGCCAACTAATGGCTGAGGCATTTGCTCGCGGAAGTGATTGATCATCAAGAACAAGTCGCGAGGATGATCGAACCACGATGCTATCGAGGTTAGAATTGAGTTAGGAAGGACGATGCAGACAACTCACGATCGTTGCCAAGTTTGTCCTCATTGAGAACACTGGATTGACCTTGATGTGCTACGTCCGCAATCCAGATGCTACGGATCTTGATACCTTCGGCCTTCAGCCTTTGGTGCATCTCATCCCACATGGGCTCATACAGTTCCTACAGCAAATTCTGTTAGCGCTCTTCTTCGGCTAAGAGACGTCTGAGCTACCTTTGGGAAGCCATTAGCATGTGCAGCAATTATCGTGACATCTCCTTTTTGCGGCGATAAGTTGTCAAGCGGGGTGTACTGCTTGATGGCAAGATGGAGCGTGTCCTCCTGGCTATCTGCAGTCGCGAACGGGTACTCTCTGATATATGCACATGGCAACGTATGCTCTTGAATTCTAAAGGTTGAAATGGACATGATGATTGTCTATGTGAACGACTATGATGGGATACAGGGAGATGGCCGAGTTATTGATCGAGTCGCTCGAGAGTTTGGCCGAGGTTCCCCAGAGATTACCGAGGCGTCGGTTGATCGTCATACCAAGCGCATTGGGTCTCCTTCTCTTTTGCATCAAGCTCCTATCTGCAGCCATACTTGTCCTGCGATCCATCCATCACAATGCATCCGGCCCTTGATCCGACCCTTGATCCGACCAAATGAGGATGTTGGGGGCTATCTATGAAGGATTCAGACACGAGATTGGGTCTCCATCTTACGAGCTGGTTTCTTTCCGGCCGCGAAGATGCACAAAGTGAGCCCACTGCTCGCCTTGTAAGATCCCACTCGAGTGAGCATTTCACTGGAGATCCCGCGTGTTTGAAGAAACACATTGCAGTTTGACAACTATCGCTCGACAGTACGCAATTCTGAGGGCAGAGTCTCTGGGGTGAGACTGACAAGCCCACTGCGTGCTTATCCGCCGTGTCTTTCTTGAAGTTCATTTTTTGATACCTCTCACAGTACCTTGGCATGGGTTGCACTTGCATTGGGCCACATTGTTGTTCAATAGGCTCCAAAGATGAGGGCAGAACTGCGTGACTGAGGGGTATCTGCCACGAGCGTGTCCATAAAGAAACACATCGCCACGCTTCGCTGTCGACTTCCAGACCGTGTAGTTGGGAGGGAGGCTCGTGAATACCAAGTTCACGTCGTACAACTCAGCTGCAAATCATTAGTTGCTGGTAGGGTATTGTATTGGAGCGGCGACCTTACAGTATGTCTCGCTCAGCATCTTAAGATAGTGGCTAGGGTCTTGCTTTTCCAGACCGGTGATGGGTGCAGGAATCTTTTCAGACTTGCCGTCGCTCCAGTAGATGTATTGCAGAGGGACAACGATCTGTTCTTTGTTGGCAACCTTCTTATCGATGATGTCCTTGGTCTCCTTGAGGGCATTTGAATCCATGGTCGCGTTTTGGGTTTAGCGTAGGACCTTTGTGGCTAGCGTAGACGAAGTAAACATCGCTTAGTGTAAAGAAAGACATCCGGGCTTTTGTCCGTGTCTGACCGCCAAACACCGGCAACTTGGTCTGACTGCGAAGTGTTTCCGTGTTATTCTTCTCACTTTTGGCTTGCGAACATCGTCTGTGGTTTTGGGTAGTGTCGAATTTCGACGCGAATACGGCCGTCAACAATCATACATGCTCTGTATCACTATCATGATATAGATTCAACACACAAAACACAAAAAGAAGAATTCCAATCACAACCAAAGAGCTTCCTGACACAATTAGGGATGTCTCTAACAGAGGCCCAGAGAGCAGTTGCCGCTGCAGTTGATGCGGAGTTCATGAGACCACGGTCCCCTCGACCCTTACAACCTTCCAAAGACTATCGACCAAGACTACGACCCGCTGCCAACATCCGTCAGATCACTGAACACAGAGCTCTGAATCCCGTCAACTTTCCACATCTTGCAGAGTGTCTCGACGACCTCATCGAGGCAGGTGCTTCCCTGAGTGGTTCTGACTCTGATGGAGATTCAGATTATGAGCTACCTCCGCCCAGATATCACCGCGAAGGCAAAGAGTTACCGCGCGAGATGATTGCCTATTACAACAGAGGTGTAGCAGAGTCGGCCAAGGAGTTGGAGGAGCGACCACTATCACCTGTTTCCGACACTGAATATTTTGGGCGCGAGACTGTTGAGCCTGAGCCGGAATCTGATGAGGATCTGGACTCACCATCGCGCCAACTCAAGGAAGAACTATCGCAAATGTCACAATCAGAGTCGCCTTTCGTGGGTCAGGTGGAGGATCCACTCGCACACCCGGAGGTCCTTCTGTTTATCCGACAAAGCCCTCAGGTGCCGTCCTCGATTTCCGCAGATAATACGTTGAAGCCAGGAGCCCAAGCCACCTGGTCTAATAAACGCAGACGTCTGGCATAGAGGAGCATGCGTATTGGAGATCAGAAGCTATCGCCTACCTTAGTTCACGAAAAGGCACATCCAGACGCAAAGCAGAAACACACACAACATCTCGGCAGCACAACCAACATGCAACAACATTTACCAAAAGAGACGAGCGACACTCCCCTACATTGATTTAGCATTGCCAGCGGACGATTCTATGATTCCACGCCGACACGAAAACTTCACAGACCCGCGTGGATGTCGAATGTTGAGTCAGCCAAAGAGGCAATGTTCGTTCGCATGGACAGCTACTTGGCCGATACACTGGGAAAATGAGAGGCTGCACATCGAATCGTGTTGAGATCGGCGGCAAAAGACCAAGCAGGACAGGGCTGTATCATCGACCAGGCGCAGCTCACGAGGCAAGCTTGGAAATCGGAGTTCTGCCCTTGATACGTCCTATAGAAAGCCGAAACCTGCCAAATATGTGTCACAACTAACTCAATCACTCTTGCCTCTCAGTCACAGCCCAACCTTTATATACCACATATTCCAGGATCCTTTCAATAAGCAAAAACAGCCGTGGTAGTGTAGTGGTTTAACACACCCGTGGTCTTAACACGTGCGCAGTCATTCGTTGTTACTCAACGCCGTGTCAGTCTAGATCCGAGGAGGTCGCGGGTTCGATTCCTGCTCATGGTGCTTATATCTTTTTTTTTTTTTTGGCTCTTGGAATAATTCTTGCTGGTGGGTTCCTCGGTATTTGCTTTGGTGTGTGAATTTAAAATTCTAACAAGATACCGAGTATCCTAGATCTTTCGCCCTCTTACCGTGTGTGGATTGTGTTCACGATGGGCTTGTTCTTAATCCATTCCTGGCCGGCAACATTTCCAGCCCGTTCTGGTCGCTGTAGTGTGAAACTTTCGTGTTGGGGATATAGATTAGTGTATGGCTCGTCGCCGCCACCACGACTTTAACCAGAGCTTTGATATGGACATGTCAATTTGGAAAGACGTAGATGTATTGAGGGATGATATATCAGAATCATACAGACATGTCGCGTTCGAGACGAAAATTTGACCTGTCCACCAAATTTCCCGATGATAGAGACCTGCATGCCTATTCTCCATTTCCCATATTCTCTCTGACTTCAATTGTATTGTCTATCACTTTGTCTGCCGCCTGCATCAAGCCTAGTACACTTGTCTGCACCCAGTGTGACAACATCGGGTACTGCTCGGAGACCTGCCAAGTCACTGATAAATCATCTCACCAGATTGTCTGCCACGCCTTTCAGAACTTTAGCGACAATCAGCGCCCCAACCCTCACTCCAAACGCGGTATTCTACTCCCATCCAATGCCGCAAATCCTCAATTCGTCTGGCTCGACACAAAAAAAAATTAACATCTCGGGCGTCGAGCACTATAGTCAAGGACTATACGGCGCGAAAGACCAGCTGTCTGACAGTGATGATGTTACAGAAGGCAGTGCTTAGATAGTAAAGTCTTTGTCCCGACACGGATATGTCCGCTGCCACAAGGAGACACTGGTTACTCATGAGCCCTACGAGGCTATCATTCTTCTGTCATGACAGAACAATTTGCTACTTACGCATATATATTGTTAGCTGAATATGGCTATAAGATCTCTGTCCAGATATCATACATCAGATCTCAGCCACAATGACAAGTTCTAAGTGGTGTAAGTTAGCGAATGAAAGATTGAACATGTACTATGAGTTAAACTTACTGCCCGCCCGCGGGGCCGCTGCATGAAATCGTGAGAGCGGAATCGCAATCGCAATCTCTCCACGTCTTGCAAGGAGGATGTGCTGATGGTAGTGGAGGTGGCGGAGGTGCCTCTTGAGTTGAAGACGGGGGTGGTGGTGGTGGTGGTGGTTGTAATGGCTCGGAGGTTGAAGACGTGGGTGGCGGGGGAGACTCCGAGGTAGTAGAAGGGGGCGGTGGTGTGTTCGATGTCAGTTCTGATTGGCGTTCCGAGGTAGGGGCAGGAGCGGAAGATGCAGCTATGGTGCTCGACGAATCCACAGAAGTCGTAGTGGCCGCTGAACTGGTGTCGGCTGAAACTGTTGCAGAAGTTTCTGTTCCAAAGTGTTCTCCATCGGGCACCGGCATGGGGAAATCACTTGGGTCCCAGCCTGGTACATCACAATCTTCCTCCTCGTCCTCGTCCTCTTCTTCTTCTCCTTCATCTTCCTCTGCTTCGTCCTCGGCATTGGCGGGTGGAGATGGAGGTACTGGCGTACTCGAAGGCTTCGAGGCAAGTGAAGGAGTTGCCAGCATGATCGGTGGCAAGATCGGAAGACGGACTGTGAACTTTGGTATGACGGTCGCCGGAGGCTTCTCATCAGGTAAAGTGATTGGTTTGGGTGGATCAATGACAGGTATCGGTGTAACCTTGTCTCCAGGATTGTTGATAGTCACCCACGAGAAGGACACCATGTCAGTGGTAATAGGAGGGAATGTTATAGTCTGATCTTTGGTCGTGACCGGATCTGGGATGATGGTTGTTGAGTCCGTCAACGGGAAAGGTGGAAGCATGATGATACATGGTGGGCTGCATGTGACTACTGGTGAGCTCATTGTCCAGATGTGAGGGACCGTTATAGTGGAGATGTTGGATGTATCGGTTGAACTAAGACTTGCGCTAGCACTTGGACCGGAGTGTAGTGAAGACGGAGTCGCAAAATTGGAAAAGACAGATGATGTGCTATTTGAGCTTGCTGTAGAATCGGATGCATCGGATTTGGTCGAGAACATCGAGCTTGTGATTGTGCTTGATCTTGAACCAGTAGCACTTGTTCCAGAACCCGAGCTCTTCGAGATCTTGATGATACCCGAAGCCGTGGAGTTGAGACCGAGAGTTTGTGACATTCTCCTTGATGACAGAGAAATATCCGAGATACTTGAATTTTTCGAAGATACGGGTGTCATGCTCGCGATCCCTAACTCAACGATGCTAGTTGTTATTACTGATGCACTTGTATTTGCTGCTGCTACGCCGATAGCTTCTGTTGACGATGATGTGGTGTTTCGCGAACTCAAAGAATTGGTGATGCTAGATTGAGTACTCGAGGTGGTCTTTCCGTTGTTTCCGAGCAGCAAGGTTGATGAAGCGAAGGTAAATGAGGTCTGGTTCGCCGACGATAGCGTGATGATCCGGGAAGCCCCTACGTTGGATGCTACACGGGAAGTCTGGTTACTCGACCAGGGCTGCAGAGAGGTCACTTGGGTCAAGTTTGACATGCTGAAACTTGATGAACGCGAACTCCAAGGCTTTGAAGTCGTGAACGATCCAGAGTAGAGCAAACTTCCAGATGTAGATACTGTCCGTTGATAGGTTGTGGAATTATCCGAAATTGTGTTTGAGATACTTGAATAGCTCAGGCTGATGTGACTGCTGCCTGTACTTGAATTAGAGAAAAGAGCAGGACGCGTCAAAGAGGCTGATAGTGGATCAGATCGGATAGGATCGAAAGAGGCAAGCCTCTCTGTGGCATCTACAATTGTCGATGTCGAGGGTAGGGTAGTTACTGTCGCGTTGTTCGGGAAGATCAATTGAGAAGCCTCTGTTGGCGCTAGTCGAAGGCTTCTGGCGCTGATATCAGGTCTTGTGAGCGAGATGAATCCCGAGGTCCTGGAGGTATGTGATTCGCTGGGGTCAGAATTACTGCTAGAGTACGGTGCATAGGAGTCACCGCCAGTGGGAAGTCTACTTTTTGATTCAGAATCAAGATCCCTATATTCTTGGCTCGCGTTGGCGGCGTGTTGGATCTGGAATGCGGCTACGACTGTTAGCATGAGATTATCTCCGAGGCGGCTTTCGGAACTTACATTGCATGTCAAGATCGCGCCTTGTGTTCGACATGTCGACATCTCCATCCTCATCATCTTCTTCATCGTCGTCTTCTCCCAACTCCATGTATGCGAAGCGAGGTTCGTTCGGATCGCTGAATGTCTTCAGTTTGAAGAGGAAAAGGTCACCCTTGAGTTTGGAGAAATGGCGCTGATCATGTCAGTAAGTTCCACTGTGCAAAAGTTGAAATTGACTTGTATCACTGACAGCCAGTTCGCTGAGGGCACCAGCTTGCATGTTCTGGTCGCTGACAGGATAGTACATATTCTTTGCGGCCATCCAGTTGCTTTTTGCAGCGCTGCCAGGCGTTAAGGCTTTCCATTGCGATAGTAACCCACGTGAAGCAAGCCAGTCATCCTGCCATCTTACATCCTTCGCACATCTTGACCCTTGTGGAGCACAGTAAGTCGTTGCGCTATATGTCAACCCTGCGTTTGGATCTCCAGCAAGGCCAGTACCGCCTTGGATAGTACTATTGCCCCATCAGTCTAGTTCTTAAAGAAAGTCGAAAGGATTTACCTCGCGAATGGGAACTCATCACAGGTGTACATCAACCCACTGGGAGTGCCAGAGTAGTCCTCAATCAGATAATTGCGTTTCCTTCCATTCATCCCCATGTTATATTGCAACTTATTGGAGATCTTGTTGGGCCTCAATCTGTTGCCATCAGCGTTCCTAGTCGAGTCGCGCACCCAGACATCGGGCTGGTCAACTTCTGGACAAGTGTGCTTTTTGTTCCAGGTCTTGGGACAGATTTTACCCCTGCGTGAGTCTCTTCTGTCTGAATCTTTGTCATATACCAGTTCCATGTCAATTGTGCCAGCGTGAGCCCCGTGCTGTGTTAGTTCTACGTTATTGCACAGTGAGCCTGCAAAATGGCAATTGTAGAAGACAGTAGGTAGTGGCGAGGCGACGAAGACGCTGGTCGATGGAGCTTCTGCTTCGGCTGACCACCACGCCGTTGGCTTGCCATTATTGACCTCGACTGAAGTTGCTCTGTTGTATTGTGCAACTGTCGGTTGAATTAAAGCCAGACACACAAGGCCTGTAATCTGTCGAGACCTGTCAGCAGGCCAGTCTTCGCACTGGAACATCGTGTACAAACCTCAATAAATTTAGGCAACATATCTCTACCACTATACTTCTGCCAATGGAAGTGCTTACTGGGTCCCGATCAGATCCCAACAGTGTTCTGACCTCCAATCTATACTCTTCGTGTGTGGCTCCATGATTTATGGCGGCAGACTGTGCATGATTAAATGTCAGAGGACATGATCTTAGCTCAGGCATCGCTGCCGTTTGAGCCATGTTTCGTAACCTTTATTGCGACTCATGATACGGGACCAAGATCAAGATTGATCGCGGCTCGATCGTAGGCACGAAGAGTGCCTCCGATCCTCCTCGTACACAAGTTTGATGAAGCCTTTGGCATCCCCGTGTTGCTGATGATGTGTTCGTTCCCTTCGCTGAGCATGTGGTGAAGAGAGGCATCTGGATCAATCTTGTGGTCAATCGTACTTCTTGTTCTTGGCAATGAGTAAAGTCATGTAGCCTTTAGAATGACACTACGGTTTTAGTTTATCAGTCGTGGGAGACTGATAAAGATGCAGCTGGAAGGGGAGGGAAGTTATGGCGTTGGTAGCATAACACAGGACGCTTGAAAGGCAACGAATTCACCGAACACAATTGATTCGACCTACTGGTCGCGCACGAGTGACGCCTCCATGTACCTAGCTCGACTTCCTGCTGGGCGTATCAGGATCCAAGCAGTCAAGCAGTCGAGCAGTCACAACCCGAAGATGAGAAAGGCGGATTTGTCAGGCCCCTGCGGCCCAACCGGTGCATTGGCTCAAAAGTCCAAGACAGGTTTCCATTTCGCGAATCTATTCTTTAATTTGTTTACAGCAAGGTAGAATTAATAAGGTGAGAAAACGGAAAGAAAGAAAGCATGTCACAAAAGAAGCTACGACTGGCTGACTTGCGTGCGTAGCAGCCAGTTCGGAAGGTCAACCAAGGAGGTCAACTGGAGCTATTTTCGTGTGCAAGAGTCGTGGAAATCTTGGCGGCGGGCGTCGAAGCCGATTAATGCAACTTTTGGATTTTTTCAATAAGACACGTAGATAGAAGAATGCTTTAAAATCTTTAAAATTATGATGAGATTTATACGACTTATTTTAACTCTATCTATAATAGAACCTTACCTTATTTTAATAGAGTTATAACTCCTATAAGTATGCTAGGACTACACTATTTTTAACTATAGTTTACTTTACTAGAGGAACTAACTACTTAGTTTGTACACGTAATAAACCTATTAAGTAAGGATATTAGATCCTTACGCTTATAGAGCATAGTTATACGTACGCCTTTCTATATAGCTTAAAGATTAGTAAATTCTATCGTATGTAGTTAGCTTAGTTACTTAACAATAGTAGTAAATAACATTATTACTAGCGTAAGCTCTTATACGTAGTAAGGAAATTACCTATCTTATTATCTACGAGTAGAGTATATCTCTAGCTCTATATAGAACTACCCGCTCCTCTTAATTAGTTCTACTTATTTATTAACAAAGTTAAAAATAGTATAGTCCTAGCATACTTATAGGAGTTATAACTCTATTATAATAAGGTAAGGTTCTATTATAGATAGGTCTATAATAGACTATAATAAGGGAAGGGATAATAAGGTTAACTTAGTACCCTAACGCCTTAGTAAAGTAGGATATCTAGATAGATTGCGCCTATAGATACTCTCCTCTCTTTAATTGATTAATTACTACGCTATATACTATTAGCCTACTTTCGTTAGTAAAGGTCGCGTCTCTACCTTCGGTTAATTCTATAGGCTCTAGGATTACTTCCCTACGCTAGCTAGAGTATTTTTACATACCGTTATACGACTTATTTTAACCCTATTATGTAATGTAAATTTGACAATTTTTGGTGAGGATATAGTCGTTTTAACGCCTCCGAGAGGGTCGCGACGGGTAAAGCAGGGACGCGCCTACCATTAGCGCAACCGCTGCCAAGGCAACGAAAACGTAGGATGGGATAAGACAATGTGTTATATTTGCGCAAACCACGGGTTGTCACGAAAGTTGTAAGCGTTTACGATGTCCGAGCACTTCGAAGCCGTAACGCTCAAATTCCTACGACTCTTGCACACGAGAAAATCAGTCAGTGCACCTCGCCGCCGTCTCAAGGTCTAGGCGTCTTGTCACAACTGAAACTCGTACAAAACATGCTTGTAGTACGAACATGTTCTTGTTTCCATGCATCAAATGCTCAATTTCCGAGGAAGGTCCTGTCACACTATGTTCTTGTGCCCTGTGAGTCGGCCCATAGGTTAGCCAATCCTTTTGGCTTGCTCGACGTTCGCTGCATTTCACACATCGGCCTGACATTTGCACGTTCGACAAAACTTTCCGACTCACAATTCACCGGCCGGAATCACCACTTCCCAGCATGGTCCATATACTACCAGATGTTCTGAGCACAATATTCAGTCTGGTTCGCGAGGAGCAAAGCCTTCATGCTCTTTCCGAACTTTCCACCGTCTGCAGGCTTTGGCGAGACATTGCACAGCCAGTGCTGTGGTCACATCTCGTCCTTACTGCCGATGGTCTTCAGTTACTCGTCGAGAACGCCGGGCGCGCTTCTGACAAGCTCAAAATGGTGAGAAGTGTCACCCTGCATATCGAGGTAGTAACGTCAACGTCCGTCACAACATCGCGTTCCCAGTACGATCCAGACATGTGGGAATCTAATAGGCTACATGGCTTTCCACAGACTCGGGCTCTCCAGCAAATTATCGATCGCTTCACTATTACGATCCTCCCCAAGCTCGTGTCATTGGCCTCGTTCTCCGTCTTCGTCACGAGTCCTTCAGCATCCGAAGACGATCACACCCCAAACTCTATTGGGTTTAGGCTGCAAACAGAAGTCTTGGGACGCTTGCTTAGAGCACTTCCAGCATCTTGTGAAAGCCTCGAGCTCGACACTGGCGGCACGGACTGGTCGCCAGGACGCGTCTCACATCATCTTTGCCCGGATATTTGGTACATCATGCCTAGACTCCGACACGTCAAGCTGAGAGTACACAACTTGTGCAGCCGTATCTTACTTCTGAGCTCCGTGGACTCGAATGACCGTCATGATGAACCGGACCTAGCTAGACTAGACCCGTCGGAAGCTGGAAATTTATTACACGCGGATCTTCTTTCAACGCTTAGCATTTGTATCCTTAGTCGGGTAGATGCTGGATGCACATTTTCTCTCTGTCCAGATCTTCAAGCCAACCTGGACCTCGGACAACAACAACCCTGGTTGATTGGGGGAGGTGGTGGCTATGATACCAAGCCACTCTCACTGACCTCCAATCTTGCTTTGGCATACAAATCAGGTTGCTTCCCCGCTGCTCACAAGATCGAGGTCGTCCAAGACCAACTTTCCTTCATGTCTGATATGGAAGAGTTCCAGGATGATATGTTCAGTATGACAGACCAAGAGCGACAACGTGCTGAATTGTATGGCTACTCGGTGTTAATCCGAGATTGTATCGAAGACAAGACTTATCCTTTGCCCATGCGGTATATCGGTGATGGGTACCATGGGTTATACGACAAGTCGGACAATTGTGTCATCGGAAAAGAGGGGGACTGTATCAGATATGCAGAAAACACGGTCTGGGACGAGACCGTCTACGGAGCTAGGCTGCCCTTTGGTGCTGTTATAGCGTTAGCGGGCGCAACACCAAAACCTCCACCAATGCTCTTTACTAGAAAAGAGTGGAGACAAAGATCAAAGAAGGGAATGCTTTCTTGGCGGAAAGAGGAGGGAAGGACAGGTGTGAAGATAAAACGTGTAGTTCCTTTGGACGGTGTTGATGTCAAGTTTGACTACACGATGATGCCTTTGTTGCCTGCTCGCGGAGAGCGCATACCAGGCGATGATCGAATTGACTGATGGAGATGTTTTGAGACCGTACGATTGGATACATGATGGTAGAGTCAAATCACACTAGTCCTATACACATCAAACCGCACGATGATTCTTGAATTCAACAAAACTTCCACTGGAAGAAAATGGTGGCGCACAAGTCGTTGTAGTATTCTTGAGCAACCCAACATGCTTATCGCATCATATGAGACCAGATACCGCAGAGCCTTATCAAGCACGCTTACGAGGCGTGAGATGAGCCTCAACAGTTTTCCACCCCAATCTATCATTCCTCCTTCTATAGTGTCCCGCAATGTTTTCCTTCCTCTCCTGTCTTCCTTGCTTCTATCCAATTCCATCAAATATCATCAGCAAAACTCTGCTCTCTGGAACTGTTGACTTTGCTGTAAACACTTTCGGCAGAAGTCACAGAAGAACCTCCAAGATCCCAGCCACAATGCTGGCTATGCATATCAGATGCCCTTCTAACATCGGTCTGGCAATTTGATGTTCCGTCGCCGTGGATGCTCGTGCAGGGAGAAATGTCTTGCTCGGGGATCCACTCGCGGTGATTGTATGAGACGTATTCTTCGTCTGGTGAGTGAGGTGTGAGGTATGGTGTTGGTGGCAGCGGGCGAGTGGATGTATATGTTTTTTGTGATGCTTGAGAATGCATGGAAAGGAGTGATGATGGTCTGCGTGCTGATTTCCAAATGTCTGTGTCGAAGATGGGGAAGCGTCTGGGTGTATTGTTCGGATCGGGACCTTCAACATGGCTGATGGTGGTGGTCGAGCCATGATTTATAGCCGCGGCGCCGTCTCTGGGTCTGAGGGTTGAGCTTGTGAGGTTTGCTCTAGATTCTGATTTTGCTTGAGGTGGGTAGCGTGATTCGCCATCGACAAAAGTCCAGAACTTGTTGGCGATCTTTGAAGTGGTCGAAGCATTTGCTGGTAAAGAGACGGCTCTGGAGGGTGGAGCTGTGTAATCGTCTGGTGGTGTGCAGAGCATGAAGACGCAGAAGCTTTTTGCCGCTTTCTTGACGACTAGTTTGGAGAGAATGCTTGCTTGACTGCGAATGCTATCGCTTTTGAGAGACGTTGACTGGCGCTCGCTCACTTCGTCGTCGGTGACGGTGGGTTCTGACAACTCGTTTGGCTTTCTGCGGACTTGACGACGGGGTTTTGATTTGCGATCCTTGTAGACGCAGATCGAGTCGCGGATGCGCTTTGTGCTGAAGCTGGGAGGGTTCTCTGTCAAGACGGGTGTCGATATCTGTTGACTTGGTGGGTTGTGATGATGTTGTGCTTCATCGTGGAAGGCTAACCAATTTCTGGGTCTGATTCTGCAGAGTTCGGCAACGTCGATGGGGTCCATGCCTGGGAACCAAGTGTCATGGGCTTGTGCCTCATTCACTCTGGTATCTGTGGAGTTTGCCATTTTTGATTATTCTGTGAACTTGAGAACACGGCCGCTTGACTTTGATGTGAGATTTTGCGAATAGCGATCGGAAAATTAGAAGAGAGAGAGCAAGTCCAGCTTGTATGTCTTCATGTAGTCAGAAGCAGAGTATGATTCAGAGATTTCTGCGTTCTCTCTAATTCACTCGTTGCGACTTAGATATCAATGCTTGGCGTTGTTGTATAGGTCAATCCGTGACTTTAGCGAGTATGACTCGAAGCTACCCGCGCGCGCAAATCCATCTGGCCACTTGTCAGTCATTATCAACAGGCGCACAACCATTCTCGGATCCTCTCTGTCCAAACAAACACTTCCAAGGCTCATATGATGTGGTCGAGATGGACTCCAGACCTCACAACCTGCCTCTTGAGGTTGTCCTTCAGATCTGTCAAGCTCTGCCTCTTCGAAGTATTGTCTGCGTCGCCTTGACTAGTAGAGAGCTCTATCACGCGCAAGCTTTGCAAAAACTGTGGCGATCAAGGCTCACAGGACTGAATCCTAAGCATCGGCTTTGTGATTGCCCCCGACTCCTCGAAGCACGCGCTTTCAAGTTGAGATCCGAAGAAACCGAGATGCTGTACATGAGGACGGATATCTGTAATCATGAGCTCCTCCTAACTCTGGAATTACTGGATCGAGATTTGCCTGAGCACTGGTTATGCGATCTCTGCATGAAGCTCCATAAGCGTGTTGCTCAAACAGAGGATGGCTTGACTTATCGACCCTGCACGCTCAGTCAAAGCAATGGACTGTTCTATCGTCTTGCTCCATGGGACTACCAGTTCCAATTCGAGGACGCGCAGCAAGTCATGAAGCGGTACATATATGGGGCCCCTCATGGTCTGCCCTTCGAAATGATCCAGATGGACCAGAAATGGGAATCCATAAGCGACTGGTCGCCGAGAGCGTTGGGCTCCACAGAGCCGTCGCCCTTGATCTGGAAGAAGAGCATAGAAGTGAAGCCGGAGATTGTGTTCAGCAGCGGTCCGGTCCTAACTCTGTGGACGAAGCAGCGCCTCTTCTTCCCCAGCGTATACATAGGGATATTGGGATTGAGATCGCATGACTGGGCCAGGGAGATCGGCCAAAAAGCAGAGACCCACTTTGCAATCTGCTGCCATGCGAACGATACCGGAAGACACGTTGCTGCGCTACTGGATCAGCCTTCACGCTTATGTAGAGCCAGTCCTGAACTAAGACGATGCGATGTGTGCTTGACCGAGTATGCGTTTTTCGTCTACCAGGAATACAACAAGGATAGTGTCGAAATTGTTTTATCAACGTGGACGAGTCTTGGATCCTGCAAGCATTCGTTTCTTCCCGCATGGTTGACCAGCTCTTGGCTCACCAGTGAGCTCACTTGGTTCGGAGAACGAGGCTCCTTCGCATTTCCAAAGCCCTTCCACAACAACACGAGCGAGTTCTACGACCATGCAGCGTTCCGGAGGGCCATGGTTCTTGCTCGAAGCACGAAACGCAACCCTCCATCGGACATGATCGGTCGACTGGAGCCCTCGGTGTCGAAGGAATCGGATGTAATGCTTGTTCAAACAGTCTCTGATTCCAGTGATATCTAGAGACATGCTATCGTACTAGACTCCAAAACATCGCCGTATCCGACTAGGAGGTCCAGTTGGGAAAAGAGGATGTGGCCACAGGAAAGCGGCAAGCAATTTTCTGGCTTGACATGAAGATCAGAGAATGTCAAATGTTGGGGAAAGGAAAGTTGGGCAAATTGGTGGAAATCTTAACAATCATATCTCATTAGGCAGATTGGAATCCTGTGCGTCATCTTGTCTTTGTCGTCCTCCTGGTCAGTCTCTGCCGCCTTATCTCTGCCATTCGACACCTTTGTAAACGCTCGTAATCAGGGTCACAAGGCAATCCAGACCCGTTTTCGTCGTAGCTCTGAGGGTAAGACACTTTGGAGTCAGGAATGCATGGATGGTGTCGTTGGGGTGTGACAATTTCTCGAAGTGCGGCTCTCGGTGGCGTGATCTCTTTGGTGACAATCTCTTGGTACGTGGGCATCTCGTCATTGGTCGCTTGCGGAATCGTGTTCTGTGACATGGCCCTCTCGCACTGTATCGTTCTCCTTTCTTGCTCCTGCCGCAACTCCTTTAACATCTCTAGGCACTGAAGCTCTCTCTGATGAAGGACTTGCAGTTGTCTGTCGTCGTCGCTCGTACCTTTGCCTCCAGCTCTGTTGGTCTGGATGCGAGCCTTGTGGAGATGAATCCTCTTCTCGTTGTGTAATATCTCATTCAACATGTCCTCGAGCTGGATTTGTTTGTTCGGCTCTTGAGCTTGCGGCTCCCATTCGAACTCCGTCTTGGCTTGCGGTACCTGAGATTCGGCAGTTTCCTGTTGCGGTGCCTGAGCCTCCACCCTTTGTTCTTCCGGTGCCCTAGTTTCGGCCTTTTGCTGCTGTGACTCGACCTTCTCAGACGATCGCTGCGCTTCGATATTTTGCTGTCTGACCCAGACATCGTGTTGGTCATAGATATAATCTTCCATCTCGATGAGGAGATCACCAAACAACATGTTGACGGCTTTACATGAAGGGGGCCTGCTCTCGTCAAGTCGGGCAGCCAATTCGAAAGCTCGCCACCTGATCTGATTGTTGAGTTCAGGAAATCCGTTGAAGCCTTGCCTAAGCCAGTGTGCAAACTCCTCGTCCCACAAAAGAAGGATATCGCGATTTGTTTGGGCAATCTTGATGACATCTCTCTTGTATTGGTCGAACTCCTGTAAGCCGATAGCCTTAAGTTTGGGAGGCTTGTTGTTGGCGAAGAAGTCATGAAGCCTTTTTTTGCGTTCCTTTTCCTCTGGTTCTGCGTCGACATAGGCTTTCAGAAGTTGTAGGAATTCGGAGTACTTGATGCCACCACGACTGAGACACTCCTTTTCTACTCTCTTGCAGAAATCCTTAGGGACCCTGCCATTTGAACAGAGCCACGCTATGAATTGGTTCATAGTAAGTGAGTTGAATTCCACCGGGCGTAAACAGTAATTATAGAGAATGTCGTAGACAGCCAGCTCCCAACGTCCAACTTCTACTGGCTTGAACGTTTTTAGCACCGGAGGGTACCATTTCCATTCGTGCGCAAATATCGTAAAGGCGTCTTCTTGTTCCTCGCCATGTCGTCGGCAAATGTCTTCGAAGTCGTCCAAGACTAGATTAATACCTCTTGCACTGTCTTCAGGCAACCCTTCACGTAGGCCGTTTGGTTGACTGTCGTCTGAAGCCCATTCCATGAAGAGTTCTGCAACCTCCATCGCCCGAAGGTCCCGATTGGACATCAAGCGATGGCCATAGATTGATAAATGTTGCTCCTTGAATTCCGGATTTACGTCAGGGTTGAGGACATCATGATTGTCGGCAGTTTGGTCCTTTTTAATCATCGCCATGGCCATCCTTTTCTGCCTCGCCAAGTTAACCTTCATTTTCGATTTGGGAAGCTTCGATTTTTTGCCCATGTTGGCGGTCGTGGTGGTGTACAATGGAAGGAAAGATGGGAGAGTTCGAATGCGTGGAGCACTAGAGAGTTCTTCCTAGTATATACAATGTGCAGCTGTCTCGGCGTTGCTCATGAATACATAGATTGATTCCACAGTTAGATCGGAGTTCCATCAGTTGATTGCTGTCCAAGGATCATATCGTGGCCATGGCGAGCGGGAGAGGAGGTATGGTTCAGCGTGCCTAGGTCGATCAAGCTCTGGTGTTGGCTCGTCACGCAAAATTCGCGTTGACTAGCCAACGCGGCTTCACCCACATGGAGACTGTAAACGGCAGCAGCACCTTCTCCAAGAGCTCGACAAACACACCTTGCCATTTGAAAGTAATCATCCCTCTGCCTTGTCGCATGAGAAAATCGCCAGACCGCGATACTATTCGTATTCAAACCGATATCTGCGTCATATGGGCTTCCATACCATCGCGGGTGCGTACAAGCATGGGCGCATGTACCATGATGATGTCTGACTCTTGTCGATGATGAAAGTATTCGCGCTCTTTGCAAGTCAAATCGAACACAGATGGGAAACAGAATGCAGGCGCCTTCTGTTTCTACAAGTTTGTGGTCCGCTTGATGAAGACCAACGCGCTTTCTGTTTCTGCCTGATGCTGCCTCGGATCTCAAGCCACTTTCCCCAATTCGGACAAACATTAGGCAGAACCGCGTCTCATCCTCGGTCAACCACCAAATACAACATCTTGTTCTCGTATCTACCAGGCCGCATCGCCGTCGCCTGGACCGTGGGACGAGGGGCAAATAACCATATAATAGACGTGCAGGTAGGTCAAGGTGAGATTCATTCCCGTCAGCAGTACTCATCTCATTCAACTTTGACTGTACAACTACCATCCTTACACCATGGCATTCTTCGAAGCTTCAATACCCCAGGGCCTCAGTCCGAAGCAAAGGCTAGAAGTCGTTGGTACCTATATGTACTCTAAATGCACAACAACAGCTCTTACACTGGCATGGTCGTTGCTTGGCCAGAAGCGAACACACGACGATCTCGAAGACAACCAAGGACAAGACACCGAGATGCCCACACTCGAGTCCGAAGTCTCCCCAACTTCTAGAAATCTTCGCAAGCGTGCCCGGGTCTCTTATGTGGAGCCCACCGAGTCCGAATTCGAAAGCGATGCAGATTCTGGCTACAACTCAGACTCGTCAGTCGAGTGGGGCACCACCAGGCAATTCAAGGCAAAGCGTCCTCGCAAGGAAAAGCCTGTGAAGCCTTTCCCCTTTCTTTCTCTGCCCACCGAACTGCGCAACAAGATCTATCTTCTGGCTTTGGAGGATCCTGATGGCATGGTCCTGAATGAAGGCTGGCGTTCACATCGCCGAGTGCCCAAGAGAGACACATTGCTCCAATATGATGACAAAAGTCATTATGCTGGTCTGAGTAACCTCGAGCGCCCTGGCCCGATGTCTCCCCATACCGCGTTCAGGGGAAAAGAAGACCTACGCACTCTGTCGCCTTCTCTCCTTGCGGTCAATAAACAAATTTACGCAGAAGCTGTTCGAATCTTGTACTCACAGCCTCTACATTTCGCCAATACCGCTGCTCTACATCATTTTCTTGCCCCTCTGAGCAGTCAAACTCTATCTCTCGTCCGCGACATCATTGTTCACACATACTCAACCTGGGGCCGTGGAGTGCGAAAAGCAATGAACGTTTCCGCCCTTACTCTGCTTCGTGGCTGCAGTAACCTTCAGTTACTACGCATCGAAACCCTGGGCCACCATTATCATCTCTATAGTCGCAATTACAAGAGGACCGTCGAGGATGACGGCAGATCGCACGGTGCTCTGTTGGCACGGCAAGTCTACCGCGATGCCGCATTTTGGATTGATACCGTGGGTGCAAGCAAAGCACTACAAGTGTTGGATCTGCCTGAACTGCGTCGTGAGATTGTCCGCCAGAAGTGTTGGTCTCAGGAGGCATACGATGATGATGTGGAGGGGCTGAAGTTCGCAAACATGACTTTTGTCGAAGAGTTCACATATCTGGTTGAAGGAATGGGCAAGGGAATGAAGAGGAGCAAGAAGTCATATGCGAAAAGGTCTGCTGCTGCTGACAATGCTGCACAAACTCTCACGTAGTGAGGTGCACCTCTTTCTTTTGCTCAAGCATAACAAAATGCTGTACATACATTTGACGATATATACGAATCTACTATGAAACCCCTGATTGATCCTCACATCCCCTAGCCATGACATGTTGCACTTGGACCTTTTGTCCACAAGTAGCAACCTCTAGTGCGACCTCAATATCTCAAAATTTACAAGCTACAAGGAAATAACAATCCATCCTTATCCATCGCCAACAACAACCCCGGAATCAAAACAAAAAAACAAAAACATCCATCTGCAAACCACGCCAACCCACGTTGTTTTCCAGAAACCCTTCTTATCGTTCCCACCATCCCCAATCCTGACACCAGAAACATACTTTTTTCGTTGCACCCCTCCATCGTTTTCCTTCAAACCATACTATCTAACTCCTGCAGCAAAAAAGAACCGCTGATCAAGATAATAACTCGGAAAGGTACATAGATACCACCCCTTCAAGTCAGAAATATACATGTCAGGTACGTGTACGTTTTTTTCTTGTTCAAACAGGGGATGGATGATCACGGATGTGTTCTCCTCGATTCTGTACTCCGGTCGACCGAGGCTTGTGTGAACAGTGTGTGTGGGATTATTGGGGGGAAAAGATTAATTGGCTTTTTGACATGTTTTGGTCGCGTGTGTTGTCGATCGGGATTATTTCTTTTTTCTTGGACCCTGTGAAGGATTTAGGGAGACAGGAAGATAGGGTGGCTGGATTTCGGAGTTGTGTACGAGGAAGTGGCTTGACTGCGATGGAGAGCGAGAAGTGGTGGCTCGATTGATGCAAGCTTCATTGTGAATGGATGGGCGAGCAAAGTGATCATAGGTTTAACGGATAGGCAGAGGGATATGATTAGGAAGAGTTATTTAAATACAAATAGTACGCTTGGGCGCCGACTATACTATAGACAATATATGGTATCCAATTTGAAACAGAAAGAAGAGAACAACGCTATCCATGAACAGGGGTATAAACAAATAAACAAAGAATCAAGTCATGATCTCATTTTCTACGAAGCTTGGAGAACGGCGGTGTTCTCCCACATGTTGGTCAACATGCTGTGCTCGTCAGGGGTCAATTGGGGCATCACAATGCCTGCATATGCCTCACTGCCATTAGTGCTGCTGCCGCTGCCCCAATCGTTGCCGAACAGCTCATCGCCGGTAGCAGTGCCATCATCAGTACCAATGCTGAAGACACTCTCAGGGTGAGCGACACTGCCAGCCATGCTGCAGCCCATTGCATTGATATCCGAGTTTGTCACGGCCCAGACGTCGGGTGGTGACTGATTCCATTGGGGAGCCGGATTAGGCAGACTCGAGGCCATAGGTACCATGTGTTTAATGTTTTGGCGATGGTGGTCGTCCATGAACTCGACGGGTGGGCCGCCATAGATGTTATCGAAAATGTTGGTCTGACCATTATCCAGTGAGCCGAGCAGACGCTCCCAATCAGAAGGTTCCTGCTTGATGGATGTGTGACCATCAGGTGAGTGTGCGCGGGTAGGAACGTTGCTGAAGGAGAGGTAATCAAGATTGGGGTGTTGTTGAGGGAAGGAGCGCACGGGTCTAAGGTTTGGTGGCGCAGATGGTCGGGCGGATGCGGGCAGTGGTGCGGGGGAAGGATTGGCGGGGCTGTATGCGGGCTCAGAAGTAGCAACCTGGGGTATGTTCGGCTGGCTCTGCGTCCGTATGGCGTTATGATGCAGTGAGATGTTCGGGAAGGTTGCTCTTCGTTGGTCGTTGCGATCGAACGGAGTCTTGGCCATGAGTCGTTGAGCTGCTGCCTTGAATCTGTTCCTTTCCGAAGATGAAGGAAGTCCATGGTTGGAGAAATCTACCGGGTGGATAGCGCCGTCCGAGTTGTGGCGTGACAAAGACGGGTGGTGTTGCTTAGCTGCGGGCTGTGCTGATACGACGGGAGCCGAAGGAGTGAGCTTCTGAAACTCCAATGCTGAGGGCGCCTTGGTCTGAGTAAGAATGTTGACGACAATCGAGATCATCTTCTGATTGTCCTTGACGAGCTTGCTGGTCTCCCCGAGTCCCAGGCTTTGGAATAAAAGACCCAGTCCAGACAAGACAAGAAGTTCATCCTTGTTAATACAGAATGAGAAGCTCAATCCTCTTTCGCTTAGCAATTCAATGATCTGAATGGTGTGCTTCGAGGATCCGGCGACCGCAAGCAAAGATGAGGATGCTTTTGGACCAAGAGAAGCACATACTGCTGGGCGATGGATGAGAGCACGGATGAAGTGGTAGGTCAATGACTGCAAGCAGTTAGCCAAAGCTGCTTTGAGCTCAAATCTCCGGACAACTTACCAGCAAAGGAGAGCGGCTGCTGACAGTTCCGGTGGTTGGTTTGTCATTCGCAAAGGGAAGGCGCAAGTGTGGCGCAAGAGCGTTGTGCCATGCGTCGAGTTCTTCCGACAAAGCCGAGAGTTGTTGTAAAGAGAGGTCGTACGATGAGCGAGCGGGATAGATCTCTTCCAAGACACGAGACAAGATGCGAGCAGCACGGAAAAGTGCAAGAGCGCTTGAGACTCTGGTATACTCACCAGGGCAAGGTGCCTTGAAACCAGTCTCGTCAACATATTCCTCGTCCGCGTCGCGAGGCTCCTCGCAATGAACATCCTCGTCCTTGAGCTGCTTGGGAAGACCCAGAGTCACAGCGGAGAAACTGTCGAACGTCAGTAATAATTTACGAAGTTTCTCTCTTAGTAACATACCAGTCTACTGTGTAGAGCGACCAGAAGACCTTTTTCCTCATCTCACTGGTAGAAGCGCCAAGAGCGAATCGCTTCTGTGATTGATGTAGGCCTAGTCTGGAAGAAAGAGTGACGGCGAGTGCTTTGTAAGTTAAAAGTCTGTCATAATCACCGCGTTGCATGCAGTATAGCTGTGCAAGTACTAAACATTGCAGAGTAGGCATGCTGTGATCTGTGAGTATCGCGTCGATAGCGGCCTGCCATTGTGACTCGTATGATTGCAGTTCAGACGAGTCGCGTGACTGTATTTTGTCAGTTGTGTTCAATTGTGACTGACAAAGACACTTACACCGCTGGACAGTGCTGCGATACCGAAGACTAGGTTCAATTGAGCATGGCTGCAGTTGTCGATGATCTTCTCGGGAGCAGACATGTAAGACTGGTAGAGTTCGAGGAAAGAAGGGCGGTGTAGAATAGGGAAAAGTGGTGCCCACTCTTGGAAGAAGATGCCAATCAGTTGATCAGACTCGAGCCTAGCAGGCGCCTTCCAAACGATGGGATCTGAAAGAGGGTCACGAGGAGCGATGTGTGTACTTCCGGGCAACAGATTCTGGACGTTCACAGCTGGTGATGGACGGCCGAGTTCTTGCACTCTTTTTGAGAACGAGTCTGCGAGAATTAGCGATTGAGCCGACACTATTCAAATACAACCGTACCATAGAAGGCATTTCCACTTGACGTGCCAGCAAAATGAGCATTTGTCCCGTTTCCATCGAGCTGAAGGGTCTGCTGTACTTGGAAGACGTCTTCGCTATTTGTGTTTGGCGATGCCGCAGATGGCGAGGTCGATGTTCTCCGTGTTGAGTTCTGGAAGCCTGATTGTGCGGATGCAGAGTGCAGTTTAGAGAGCATGTCGATCTTCTCGTCCTTCTCGTCGAGTAATTCTTTCAATTCCCTGACCTCAGCTTCTAGACTCCGTACTCTTTCTTCGAGCGATTCTGTGTATCCTCTAGGGAACGCGCGACGACTCAATTTGTCGCTTGTTTTGCATTCGAATCCGACACTGGTGCATTGCGAACAACTCGGGCGAATTCCGTCACATCTGATCTTCTTGCTTCGACATCTGCCAAACGCATCAGCATTGGCGGAAGAAGGCGGAAAGTCAGACATACCTGTCGCAAGCTTGTGCGATACGGGCTTGGGCACTTGACCCGACCTTGATCACCTTCATAGGTAAAATGCCTGGCATGGTGCCGGTGTGTGCTTGTGAGTAGGTAGTATATCCAGTAGTTCACAACAGTAGGTTGAGAGTTGGTTGGGATGGTCGGTTTTGGTGAGCACGAGATAAGCGGTTTTCGAGGGAGAGGCTACCGAAGGAATGGTGCATGCGAAGGGAATCGGATCCAAGAAGTAGGGTGCATGGAAGGAGGCGTGATTTATGGTTATGTACGTACAAGTAGAAGTGTGGAGATCTCGAGTGACGAAGAAACAAGGCCTCATGGTCAATCGGCACAGGACCAGTGCGGGACTCGAAACGCAGTCCGAGTCTGGGGTGAGCACACACCAGCGGAAACCCCCAGACGCCAAATTCCACTCAAGCCTCTTGGAGTGCTCGAACTAGACCGAAAACGTAGACAAAAGCCTCGGACCTGTGTCGGCGGTTCGACTCGAGCACTTCTGATTGGCCTCTGAGACAAGACTGACAACTCTGACATGACCGGTACTCTTGGTCGTTGCGGGGGAGAGCTGGACGCGTTGGACGATCATAAAGTCTAACGTCCTTGATGGCGCCGAGTTTGAGGCGGCCCTGCCTCGTAGTTACTCCCGTGAATCTCCGAATGCTTTTGATTTATCAATGCAGGATATCGATGCGTGCGATCATTCGCTGGTTGCTTCTCTGGATCGAGTCATCAAGCCAGCTAGTCTTTGTGGTGTTGCGCTTGAAGCTGACGAACCCAGCGGAGTAGCAGCAACGTGGATGAGAACACGGAAGCGTTCGAGACCAGGCTTCAGACCACGACCGAAACCGGGGGGAGGCTGTTCCGAGTCGATTTTAATCATCTCTGTACATAAGCTCAGCATTCGTGACTACGTAGGACCAGATTTGTCACAGTCAGTGAATGGGATCTACGGCCGAACTTCCCCAGAGCCAAGTACCTGGGCATGTATATCAATCAGACATGAGCTTGATCAAGGTGGCCGTCATGTGGAATTCGATTGCCACGACATGAGCGAAGCATGGGCATCACGCAAATACGGCAGTTGGGCCACCAAAGCCTGACTCATTGGTACCAAAGTTGAGAAACTTTGTCACCTGTAACGCTGCTTTCTTGTCGCACAAATTTGCATCATTTTCTCTGATTTGAAAGCTTGCGATGACTGTCGTTGTCGATCATTAATAGAAGCTGTCCTATTTTGCTGATTACGGGCGTAGATGATCACGACTGTGAAGCAATCCGAGGCTCGTACCGCTCGGAAGCTGTCATGACCCGTGCAAAGTTTGGGACGCCGTGGAGCAACCAAAAAGGGGGTCGTTTCTCCAATCACAGAAACAATGGAGATAAGGTAGACGTGGGGTCCCGTGCTGGGTGCGTGATCGCGGTGCAATAACCACGTTTATGAGACTTCCAACATCACAACAACTCAAGCTGACGCTGAGTTTGCGTGTTGCAGTGTTTTTCCACTTTTTCATGGCTAGGCTCATGAAAAGTCTTCATCTTGCTCAGCATCGGCTCCCGATAAATATCTCAACACGGTTTCGCTTTGCATGAGTTGAAGCTTCTACAAGCAAAGCAATTAGCATGTGTGGAGCAAACATCAATGTACTCCGTGGTCAGGCCGGAAGCTGTGCAGATCTTCGGAAAGGGGTCCACGTCGCCAACTTACCTCGTCTTCATAGTAGCTGTAAGCTTTCTCCAATAGTTCACTTTCCAGGAATCTGAGTCGCTTTGCAAGATGCCAAGCTCTTTCCCTGATATTGGTGCCGTCGCCGTGTTGCGCGGCATCGACCTGGTCATCTGATCCATAGAGATCCTGTAGCTGACTCGCGATTCGTTCTTGCAACACACTCACTGCTCGGAGATGATAGACATCCCACAAAGGGTCCTGTTCTAGGATAGACCGGAAATCTTCGAAGCCGTGCACCGGTTCGTCTTTCCATGTGGCGATCAGCTCTCGGTTACCTTCAACAGTCTGTTGGATTTGGAACGAGAGTCCGTCCTCCTCGTTGACACAGATAAGCCAGATGTAGGCACCATCCCAACTCACCCCGTCTCCAGATTCGACGATCTTGAAGCCTGGAGCACAATTCGCAACTGCCGCTTTGGCTCGTCCAAGTGGGTCGTCTCCCGGGATGGAAAGGTCGAGAAATAGCTCACGGGCAGACTCCATTTCGTCCTCAATGAAGCCGTACGAGAAGAGCATCTCACAAGCGCCTTTCTTATCGCCATATGTGATTGTAATCTCGCCATTCTCCTCGACGGTCTTTCCATCACGTAATAGAAGCACCGCATTCCCTTGGTCATCAACTTCATAGATAGCAGCGGTGCCGGTGCCGGAAGAGTGGTTGGCCATGTCAATGCAGGGTACCATGCAGTCACCCACTCCGGGATACTCAAGTGCCCTCGAGCGGTAGAAGGCATCGACTTGCAACCAATCGTCAAATTCAAGAATACCGTCAACTTCGTCCCACCACTGCTCCGCGCACCACGGCAGGCTTGATGTCGCCTCACGCAACTGCTCAAACTCTCGGTTGAGTGAGTTGAGCTTCGCGGTCAGAGCAGGAGCGAGGGTAGTGCCAGTTAGTAAGTCACATTCCGCAGGAGCCCAGAAAGTAGGTAGCATCTCCATGGGTAAGTATTTGAGGTATTCGGTAAATGGGCTTGATATGCCCTTCTTTCTTGGGGCGGAGGGGCATGCGGTAAAGGATTGCATGAGCAGGAAAGTCAAGATTGCGCCTCTTGCAGTCTGACACATGGTCAGCTGGTGTTGGAAAGATAGTGCGTGATGTAGAGACGGGCCTACACTGGACAGAGCTGTTGGAGCTTGAGCATTTGTGAAGTTGAGCTCAAACTTGTGATTGCGCAGCAGCAACCAGAAGACTCAGATGTACCAGTATATAGAGGACGAGGGAACAGGAGGCTTGGAAATGTAAAATGGAAAGAGGGAGCACCTACCCTTCCAAAACCGTCAAGGCTATCGAGAACAGAGCGGAAATCAGAATCAGACTTTGCATGCTCATGGACCCTCTCCAAGGACAGGATAAGTTCTCTAGGGATGGTCATGAGAGGAGGCTCTTCGCCACCTTTGAGATGGCGCTTCGCAATGACAGTACAGCCATGTTCTTCTTTACCTGGCAAAGGACCAATCTTGATGCCATCGAACGAGACCGAGTTCAAGGCAGCCCATGCCGGAAGGGTATCAACAGGCAGTGACAGCCATGCGTGTTGTTTGCCGTCTCGTATCATGGCTGCAGTGTATGCAAGAACGTCGAAGGTGACGTATCCAAATGAGATTGTTGTCGGTATGTGTGAAAGCAAAAGCACTCTGGTCGCCAGGCAGGGTTGGCTGGCAACCAGTAACAACGCCCGTGCACTCTGGACACCCACTGACGCATCACAAGCTGCGACGGGCTATCACAGCGAGGTATAGCGCAAATGATTATGGGAGGGTGTGAAGTACAGGCTACACACTATTATCCGATGGACACACAGACGGCTGTTGTGGAAGAAACCATCTGAAGACATGTCTCATCATGTCATGCATGAGAACGGTTGCTGTCTCTGGTGTGCGAGAGCAGAAGACTTGTGAGGCGGGCGTCCTTAGCGAGCACAGAGTCGTTAGCTTGCTTGGCAGACTCGTTGTTGACATGCGGATAAACAACAACATTTCGAAGTCGAGCTTCTTCAACAGAGTTGATCCCGCGACATCGACATCGACATCTTTACTTCTCGACTTCGACATCCAGCTATTCTTTTCTTGATGCTGTCGACGCCACACTAACCACTTCTCCTTCTCACCCCGCCGCCCTTCTCCATCGTCGCCGCCCAAGCCTCGGCGCATCGCAGTCCCATTGTCGCAATCCCTCGACCGTCGCATTTCGCCGCACCAGAAGCTGCCCCATCTATTTCTACCAGCCATTTCCACCCACCAATCGTCGCAATGCCTCAATCCGACAGCCCTTCAGCCGCCACCAGCTATGGCCAGGTCATTGAGTATATTCAAGGTCCGTGTCGCTCGAACACGACAGTACACAGGAACTTGGTCTAACAGCAACCAACAGACCGCCTCTACTTGGCTTCATACACACACAAGCCCAATGCACAAACGCCCTTCCCCTACACAAACAAGTCTTCCAGCAAGTCGCCGTCCAAGCGCTCCGCCAGATCCCAGTCGACTACAACCACCACTCCTTCGCTACCTCCAGTCTACTTCTCTGTCGACAAGCACTTGCTGTACAATGCCTTCCATGCCGACTTTGGCCCGCTCCACATCGGTCACCTCTACCGTTTTGCCGTCATGCTGCACGAGGTGCTTGGAGATCCCGAGAACGAGGGCAGACCCGTCGTCTTCTGGTGCAACGCAGACTCAAGGAGTATGAACACACTTAAATGATACTTGGTAGCTTTTGTTACTAACTGCTAAACCCAGGTCGCGCAAACGCTGCATGCATCCTTGCTTGCTACATGATCTTGATCCAGAACTGGCCACCGCATCTTGCTCTGGCGCCCATTGCCCAGATGGACCCTCCATGCATGCCTTTCCGTGACGCTGGTTACAGTCAGGCCGATTACGGTCTCACCGTACAAGACGTTGTCTACGGTGTGTGGAAGGCAAAGGAGGAGGGCCTCTGCGGCCTGAAGGACTTTAGCCTTGAGGAGTGAGTTGGACGCGGTTCCACCGATAAAGAGCATCAACTGACACGCATACAGATATGAAAAGTACGAAAGAGTCGACATGGGTGATTTCAACTGGATTTCTCCCTCATTCTTGGCCTTTGCCTCGCCTCAACACCAGCCCACCCATGTCATTACCCCCACGGACTCCCAATGGGCCACTCTTCCTCGCTCCCTCTCTGCTCTCCATCGTTCAACCTCTGTTCCTCAACCATTCAAGAATGTCCTCTCGCACTTCGTTGAGCGCGGCATTGGTCTTGTTGTTCGTCTCAACTCTGAGCTCTACTCCCCTTCGTACTTCCAGGCTCTGGGCATCAAGCACCTTGACATGATCTTCGACGACGGCACATGCCCTCCTCTCAGCCTGGTCCGCAAATTCGTCAATCTTGCCCACGAGATGATCACCGTCAAGCGCAAGGGAATTGCTGTTCACTGCAAGGCCGGTCTCGGAAGAACTGGCTGCTTGATCGGCGCCTACCTCATCTACAAGCATGGCTTTACCGCCAACGAGATCATTGCATACATGCGCTTCATGCGTCCCGGTATGGTTGTTGGCCCCCAGCAACATTGGCTTCATCTCAACCAAGGCACTTTCCGCGAGTGGTGGTTCGAGGACACCATGAGAGAGAAGATCGCCGCTTCCATCGTCCCTGCAACTCCCACAAAGGCCACCTCTGGAAACAGCAGACGCCTCGCTAGCAACGGCCAAACTTTCACTCCTCCCAACGGCAGCACCAAGCGTGCTGCTCTTGGTGAGATCAGTCACATCAACGAGCAGGAACCTGCAACTTTCGCCAGCAGCACAACCAGCAAATATGCCGTCAATGACGAAAACCTGCCTGCACCAACACCCGGCCAGCCCCGTAAAACTAGCAAGGTTTACGGCCATGTCACCGGCCGCAAGGTCACCAGAACTGAAAACGAACCTTTTGAGATCAGGCCAGACACTGAGATTGTCAGCATGCAGCGCACAAGTCTCGGCGAGAGTGAGAGCGAAGAGGAGCAAGCACTACGCGCCTTGACCTCATCACGAAAGGCATCGCAATCTCCAGTCAGCCGCAGCGGCAAGCGTCGGGCGGTTAGCTGCACCACGACGACCACCACAACAACAAAGTGGGGCATGGAAGAGAGCGACGTCGAGAACCGTCTCACCGAGATCCACGAGGACTCAGCAAGCCCTCGCAAGCCCAAGACCCCTTCGACCAGATCTGGCAAGGGTGACCTCAGCATCGGCAAGCGTAGTTCGCCATCACGCCGTAGCACGGAAGGCAAGACCAGTGTTCGCAAGACCAGTGGTCGTGTCGGCAGTGTTGGCGCCAACGTGCCTCGCACGCGTGCTTCATCAATGAACACGACGTAATCATCCGATGTTCAACAACCTCTTTTCACCACAACCACAGCGTGCTGTTTTTACCACTGCATAGCGATCTTCATCGAGCGCCTCCCACCAGCATCTAGCGTGCTTTCTTCGCATCACCATTGCATCCGCGGCCACACGAACAATCTCAGCGCATCTGCATCAAGGGCCTTGAATCCAAGGCTCCTACATCTCATGGCATTCGGCGCTTCAGCCTGTCATCGAAGAGTCAATTTCGTATCTCCTTTTCTTCTTCTTTCTTGCTTCTTGCTTTATCTTGGATGGGTTATGCATGGGGTTTTCTCAATCTCGCATCTGGAGTTTCGGATATGGGATGTGCAATCGGTGCACATCTTCTGGTATGGCGTTGGTGTTTCGTCGAAGAGGAAATGGGCCATGAATGAAAAGGTCAGGGTGCGGGGAGGTCAAAGGGGATGAAGTCTTCTTTATGGAAACGGAACCATGTTCGGGGATCGGAATGTTTTTGTTCTTTCTGTTACGAACTCTTGTCGTGTTCCATTGTGGACGCAATTGAAAGGCTCTTATTCATCAAACTGTCTTTGTCTCTGTGATCATATTTGTGGAAGTGTTCAATCTGATCTTTGGTTTCCAGCTCATGGTCACGAGGTGTGGTACCCAGGGGGTTCGCCAGGTCAAATGTTGGATTGTGATGTTTTACAATCTGAGATGCTTTGACTGTACTAAATTGACCGCAATTCGGGTCGATGAAATATCATACTCTCTTCCATGTCTTCCGATGATTTGAAGTATGTAGGAGAAGTGGTGTGGTTGTTGGAGCTGTCTCTGTCTCTGCCAAAGGTGCCGAGAGGGTAACCCTGGTCTGCTCAGAAGAAATGCAAATGGAAGATATCCTCGAGCAATTCCAAACACAGCCATGTCGCCATGCCAGAGATTACTGTTGTGGCTCCCTTCCAATCGTTGTCTCAATCTTCTCCATGCCTCTCCCACCCCCATTCACCAATCCTTGTTCGTATAGGCAGCAGCAAACCCCCAAACCCCTCTTATTTATTACTCCCCCTTGACATAATCGACAGGCAAATCCATACCCACCCTCCTCGCCGTCAACCTAACCCTCTCCTCCTCATTCATATTCATCCCCGGATTATACCTTTCCACAAGAGTGACATACATCCTCTGCGCCTTCAAATAGATAGCCAACTGCTCCGCCTCGTCCACTTTTTGCCGAAGCGTTTTTGTAGCGCCGATGCCGTCGAGACCGGAGGATGAGGCGATTTGGGAAGAGGTGGATTGGGAGTCGGAGAGGGAGGCTTGGGTGATGGGGGAGAGGGGCGTTGTGGCGGGTGTAGAGGCGAAGGTTTGGCGGAGGTGGGTGGAGAGTGGGGAGGGGGTTGCGGAGGTTCGGGGTGGGAGTTCGCGGAGGAGGGAGCGGTAGAGGCTGCGTAGGGTTGTGGGTGTGGGTGTGGACATTGTGTTTGTGTCGTAGTCTTTCGGTGGGTTGTGGTTTGTATGCGCTCTTCGCAGAGGTCGATTGGACTTGTGTGGCGGGGTTGCGATTGAGCGATCGGAGAGTTGTTTTGATGCGACAAGAGTGATCTCGAGCTTGATTGCCGGGCTTTGGAAGAGTTTGATTGTGGATTGTGGATTGTGATGCGATGGTTGATGGAAGGTGCGGCTTGAATGGATTGCGGCGAAAGATGGATGCTTCGGAGGTGCTTGGGCCACATCTGTCTCTATCAATCTTGCCGGTCCATCTCTTGTTCACGTTACGATAACAATGGTCCTTCTACTTTTCAGTTCGACATGAATGATCATCTGGCTTGACTAGCTAAGTACTGATCCTCGTTTTCACTTGTTTCACCGTGGCTTTGCAGGCTTCATGATGGTCATCTTCCCACGAACTTCATCCACGCCCACTTATGCCTGAGGCTTGAAAAGTGCCTCTTGAGTGTCGTAGGTATAGGCTAAGTCCAAGTGCCAGTAATTTGGCGTGGTCGGTTTTGTAATCAACCAGGCTTCATCAAGAGCCTTGACAACTTCCTCTGGCAAGGGCCCCTTTTCGACATCCTTGAGGTTACCCTCGAGCTGCTCTTGTTTGCTCATACCAATGATGAGTCCATCGTTACCACCATCCTTGATGTTGAGTCCACTGTGGTGAACTACCCAGCGCAATGCCGTCTCGATCAGAGTCAGGTTGTGCTTCTCGACAACAGGCTCGATGACGCGCAGGGCATCGAAAGTGGCATCTCTGAAGTAGCGCTTGCGGTACATGAAGCCCATCTTGCCAACGGAATCACTGTAGCGACCTTCTGTAGGTACTTCGCTGGTCTTGTACTTGCCGGAGAAGATGCCTCCAGCGACAGGGTTGTAAACGACAATGTCCAGACCATAGCGACGGCATACGGGGATCAATTCTTGCTCAATGCTTCGAGTGATTGCGTTGTACATGCCCTGGTAGATGGTAGGACGGACCCAGTTGTTGTATTTGCAGTGCATGACAATCTCGGCAACCTCAAAGGCTGTGTAGTTGGACAGACCAAGCTGGACGAACTTGCCCTGCTTGTGAGCTCTGTTGACAGCCTCAAGGGTCTCGGTGAAAGGGACGGATCGGTCGGGAGCGTGGAGGTAGAAGATGTCGACGCAATCAGTTCCCAGCTCAGCTAAACTCTTATCAAGGGATGCGAGGATGCTGTCTGCCTTGTGCATTCCAGGTTCATGAGGGTAGCACTTGGTGGCCAGGGTCAGACCACGGTCCTTCCAGCGAGCATCCTTGGTCCAGGCTTCTTGCTTGCCTCCAACGTAGGTGCGAGCAGTATCAATCTCGTTGTAGCCTTGAGATTGGAGGTAATCGAGAGCCTTGTTGTAGTCGGCCAGATCAGTCTGACGAGCACCTGATTCGGTGTCGGGACCCTAGTATTGTTAGCATCTTGTTGGGACATAGCTGTGTTAGAAGCCTACAAAGGTCATGGTCCCGAGGATAACTCGCGGCTTTCCGGTACCTGTAAGCAACATGTTGGATCGATGGATGGGTTTCAGAATTGACTTGAGTGGTACAAATGCACGTCTCATAGAAGTCTATGAGAAAGAGAAGGAGGAGACAGTTCAACACAGACAAGATGGATATCTGATGGACCCCTCATCGGCAGTGACGAAAGAGGCAGCTACTATGGAGTTAAGGCTACTCTAGTAGATTAATACCGAAAGGCTAGCTTTGCCGACTTCCTGCGGCAGAGGCTCGTTGGCTTGTGACGATGGTCAATTATCAGAAAGTCACACCGCCATACCATCTTGTCATTTGCTCGGATACACAGACGGAATAAGCTCGTGTCCAAGTGTTTGACAATCGAGCGCAGCTGACGAAGATCCCATACGAAATATCCAACGCCCGGAGCGCATTGTGGTGGAGTCAGTAAGGGGAAGTTCAGCCTCGTAATCACGCAAGTCTGTCACGTTGGCTACTGGCACCGCCGTCCCTTATCTCGTCAAATCAGGCATAGCAGCCAGTACAACCGCGTGCATGAATCCTAACAAGTCGTCGCTGGTCCCGCCGCCCCAGTCCTCTAGCGCTCTTTCATCCTCAGCTACAAGTCCTGTACATATTTCCAGGGATACGTCGCCCTTTACCGACCTGCCCCACCCGGATGCCTTGGAGCTAGACGACTACAAGAAGCACCCCGACGAAGACGAAGACGACGACGACTTTGCCTGGGACGACAACTACGACCAAGACGATAGAGGCATGCCTTCAGACCTACGACACGCTGCGGACAGCAGGTCGCACGCTGCTCCTCTACTTTCACCCGAGAACAAGCATCGCGACTATGCTTCCCCTCCTGGCAGTGCTGCTCTACGAGAGCGCCGCTCACGCCTACGAGAACGCGACCCGGATGTGGCCGCCGCGCATGCCACAAAGCAAAAATATACATACGCCGCTGCATTTCTCATTCTCAGCTTGATCTCTTTCACCATCCAGACAGAGACAGCTGTGTACATTCAACATTCATTGCATTGGAACAAAGCATACTGCATGCTATACTTTACCCACGGTAGCTGGGTCCTGCTATGGCCTACACAACTAGCCATCCTGCGCCTGCAGAAGTTAAACATGCCCTGGGAATCCTTCTGGCGCAGACACAAGGCCATTCTACGAAGCACAGCTCAGATGGTCGAGCACCAGAAATTGGACATACCACACCACATGCAAAAGCAATCGCCTATCCCATATTTCATCAAGATGACCTCCATGGTCACTTGCGCACTCACTGTCGCTGGCGGCAGTTGGTACGTTGCTGTCGACCTGACCACCGCCTCAGATTTGACAGCCATTTACAACTGCTCCGCCTTTTTCGCATACGCTTTCGCCATCCCTCTGCTAGGGGAACACTTCAAATGGAACAAGGTCTTCGCAGTCGGCGTCGCCATCGTCGGTGTCTTGGTCGTCGCATACGGAGACGTCAGCCCCAGCAAGCACGGAAGTAAGTCCGGTGGTGGCGCAGGTGGCCCTACAGCCCCAGAACCCGAAGAGGCGTCCAACCGCGCCCTCGGTAACCTTGTTATCGGTGTCGGCAGTGTTCTGTACGGCTTTTATGAAGTCTTGTACAAGAAGGTCGCTTGCCCACCTGAAGGCTGCTCTCCTGGTCGCGGCATGATCTTCGCCAACACCTTTGGCTCTCTCATCGGGCTTTTCACCTTGACCGTCCTCTGGATCCCTATTCCTATTCTTCATTACACTGGCATCGAGACCTTCGAACTCCCTAGAGGAGAGGCTGCTTGGATGTTGATGATTTCAGTTCTCGCGAACGCCACATTTTCCGGCTCTTTCCTCGTTCTCATTTCCCTTACCTCTCCAGTATTGAGCTCCGTCGCAGCTCTACTGACAATTTTCCTGGTTGCTGTTGTCGATCAACTGCTCCCTCCACCACTCAACCAGCCTTTGTCAGGTGCAGCTGTTGCAGGTGGCTTACTCATCATTGTTGCATTCTTGTTGTTATCATGGGCCACATATAGAGAGATGAACGAAGAGAGGCGGAAAAAGGAGGCCGAGGCCGAAATTGAGAGTGACATCGAAAGTGTCATCTAGGCGAAATCCCGTTCTTCGAGAGATACATAGATAGACTTGAATCACTACGCGACGATGATGTCGTTAAATAGTAGTATGGCTGCACCCCATAGCCTTTTTTTACACATACAAATTACAACAAACGAACGCTGCATTGGGTCGGCGTTCTTGCACATTCCGAGTTTACTTGACACCGATCTCATCTTGCCCTAGGTATTTTTTTTCTCCAAATTCGAAAATTCATGACATTTCCCTAAGTGACAAAAGAGATCTATGGCTAATCCTTTCCATCATCATCATCTTTCATCCCACGTTCCCTCGTTCTCATCCTCACTCAGTACCCATAGGCCTCTCCCTTCCAAAAGCCAATTCCTCTCCTTCACTACTACCACTGCTTTCCTCATCACTACTGGTATCCTCCGGACTCTCGAATGGATCAGACATTTGCCTTTGCAACCCGGATCTCTGCTGTTGATGTTGTTGTTGACGATGATGATGATGATGACGCTCATCTTCCTCCTCACCATCGTCATCGTCGTCGAGAGGAATGCGTTTCTTGGCTTCTGTGGTTGAAGGACGACGTTTGACTCCCACGACCACATTATCCCCTTTTACATCCTGCTGCTCTGCTTGTTCTTCGGATTCTTGAGGACGATCGTCATCTTCTTCTTCTTCTTCTTCTGAAGAGGATGAACTATCCTCTCCTGAACTAGACGAGTATGCAGAAACCACCGCTTTTGTGGTAGTTCTATCCTGTGCTTGTGCTTGTGCTTGTGGTCCTCCTTGCACACCGATCAACTCGTTGATCTGGCGCTCGGTCACTGCGGATAAATCTAAATCGGGGAGGTCGGAAAGCGGTTGCACGGGCATTTCAAAGGCTTGTTGGATGGCTGCCGCGTCTGCTGTATCTGGATCTTCGTTTTCGAGTGCGGAGGATTCTTCGGCTTCTTTTTTGCGGGCGGCGAGGCGGAGGGCCAGTTTGTTGCGGGCCCGGCTGGGTGTTACGTTTAGGGGTGCTGGTGGGTTGACTGAGCTCGGGCATGGTGGGGTTTGCTGTGTAGAGACATGTTAGTAAATTGTGATATGATGCTTTGGAGTGGAGGAGTGTGTGTTCTTGTGTCAAGTGTGCGTACCTGGCATGGAGTAGTGGTTGGGTTTGTGTTTGGCTTCAAAAGGCACGAAGGGGCAAAACGTGCAAGGAAAGGGAAAGTGGAAGAAAGGGAGATGTGAACAAAAAAGAATCTTGTATAGTACAGATAAGACAGACTCGGAGGAGAGTGACAGAGAAGCTGTCGTTCCCGTCCGAATCATGTCTCGTCGTCAATCGTTATAGCCAAAATCTCCATTACAAGAAGCCGGTGACGCCGATGAGAGATAATTGGTGCTGTTTCCTTCTCTTTCCATGCAAACAAGTTACAGACAAGAGGCAACTGGGGATAGGGAAGGGGGACGGGTAACAGGCAAATCTTTCAATGTGCAAGAGTGTGTATGTGTGCGCGATAACATTCATCGGAAGTGGTTGATGTCGACATCGTCAAACGAGAGTTCACCGACCTGCTCATCATCGTCGACTGCTTGCTCCCTCTTCTCGCCGCTTATGGACGCTTCAAGATCATCATCGTCGTCATCTCCGTTGCCGAATCCACTGAGCAGGCCAGATCCTGTGTCGTAGCCACTCGCATCACCCGCCTCTTGCAATGCCATGCTGTCAGCAGGCACGAGACCAGCGTTTGAGAGAGCGCTCGAGTTGTTGCCGCCTGAGAAGTTGCCACCGATGCCGGCCTGTCGGGCACCGAATCCTTGATCGGGCTTGACACCGCCCAGTACAGCGTTGTCCCTGTCTCTGGTCTCGGAAAGGGTGGTCTCGAGATACTGGTTCCATTCGTCGCGAGTGATACGCTCCATGATCTGTTCGCCGAGGACCTCCGGGGCTTGGCGATCTTGCAACTTCAACACTTCTTCTGCGATCAAGGTAAGATGACCCATGTATCCAAGACGCATGCCCTTCTCCTTTTGGGCGTCATCGGACGCAGCTTGTCCGTCCAGGATGCGTTGAGTGACATCGGCTTGAGAAGTCAAGTCGGTGCAGTTGGAGTGGCAGAAGAGGTCAATGGCCAGGGTACGGTTATAGCCGCGTTCGAAGCTGCCATTAAACACTTGTTGAACCACATCGTATACAACGTTGTGGAGGAAGTTGTTCCAAGGGAAGCGGAAGAAGAAATCCTACAAAATAAGTATGGAAACCCGTATCAAAAGTGGAAAGAAAACTCACAAGGATCGTAGGTACGACTTGATGCTCAACGAACATGATCTTCAACAAGTCTCCGACGACAGGAGAGCCGTCGACATCGGCTTCCCAAAGGCCGTTGTCGCCTTCAGAACTGTGCGGCTCGGGCTGCAACGTAGCCGTACTATGGCTTGGGTCCTCTTCGTTGGAGCTCGTGGCAGACTGACTAGTCTTACTAGTAAACAGAGGGGCAGGTCTGTCCTCGGGATGCGAAAGCATATCAACGTCTTCTTGATCGGTTCGGGGTTGATCTGATAAAGAGTTGAGCTCAGATTCTTGAATGTGTTGTTGGAGCTGCTGGGTCAACAACGAGACGCGGCGCTTACCCTCAGATTGAGGTTCATTGCCCTCTTGTTCAGGGCTGTCAATGTGTAGCTGGCTGATTCCTTCTGTAGGAACAGACTTGTCTTCCGAGTCTGGCACGTGGTGAATGCTTGATGGATCGTTCTGTTTTGTTAGTGGTGGCAGGCTTGTGTCTCCTGCAATCTCGTTGAACTCGTCTGCATCTGAAACGGCCACCTTCTCGAAACCATCCTCCTCGGACGCGTTTTGCACTTCGAGTCTCTTAATCTCTTCTGGTGAGCCGCTGAGGTCGTCATCCGGTCTTTGTGCGTGGTGGAATCCGTGGCTGTCGACACTACTTGCAAACGGTTCGTGTTCATCGTAGGAAGAGCCTTCGATCGGTTGCCCTTTCAGGCGTCCTTCAAGCTTGAGCTTCTCTCTCTCCTCGTCTCTGTGCTTGATCTGAGCATCGCTTCCACGCTCGTTCAGGAGAGCCATATTGCTGCAGTGCAAAAGTTCGGCCATGAGTTCGCATGTCTTGAACCTGTCAAATCCAAGTGGTTGGATTTCCTTGCCGAAAGCAGTTTTGAGGCCAGGCTTCCTTGCTCCAGCGCTTCTGATTAGGTGCATAAAATCAGGCACGTGAGTTGCAAACTGGCGAAGCAGACTTCCTAAGTAGATGGGGTCTGTAGTTCTGGGCTCGGGTCCAACCTGATTGTCGAGATCGTAGTCCGAATTGTTCTTGCGGATGACTTCGATGATGATTCCAACTCCGACCGTTAGAGCGTTACCTCCTGACAGCATATTCTTGATCAGGATAGTTGTGCATTCGTCCGAGACCAGTTGTCTGGTCAGTTCGTTGGGACCAATAACGGTCTGGTCCTGAGTGGTAGCGTTCGCAGAAATGGTAATAATTGCTTTCAAGAAGTCTCCAGCAGCTGTTTGGGTGGAAGCACTGTTGTCAGGTCCGAGGTACGACAAGAGGACGGGGATAAGGTCCTGTGTTTGCAACCACTTCGCAAAGATATTAGCAAGTTAACAACATGGAAAGTTCGTCCAGACTCACATCAACAATTCCTTGGCCTCCGGGGGCTTTCTCAAGACTGATAATCTTGAGTAGCAAGTCCATGATCATGGGGCAGTCGACATGTTGTAGCATATCAGGAACAACGTGGTCCAAAGACTTGAAGAACGCCAGCATCTCATCCGTCTTCTTATCCAGCAAAGATTCATTGACCTTTGTGAAGTAACCAGCCTGCAGAGGATCGAGCGGGGCTGGGCGACTGACATAGTGCCAGAACTCGCGGAGGTAGTTTTGGTATTCCAGTACGGCCTCTGTTATAGACCAGACATCGGAGGAAAGAACCTCGCACGCGACATAGGCGTACTTTTTGCGCAAGGCTTCACCCTTGTCTTCTTCTTCGGCTTCAGGAGCCTCGCCGCCAGCATCCGACTTGTTGAGCGACTTTGAGCGCGAGCGCGAGGCAGACTTCTTGAAGAAGCTGATGGGTGATGATCTGTCGGCGTCTTCGTCCTTACTTGTAGAAGCATTTTCGGGGTGCGGGGGCTTATCGGCAACGACGTAGTCCAACAGCTTCTGGAGGGTTGATTCCTCTCTAAGGAATTCGATGAGTTTGGAGTTGTTTTGCTTGAGCTCCTGGATCAGGTCGCTCTCGTCGAGCAGCTCCTCGAGCGAGACATTGGGCTTCTCGAGGATGGAGTCGATTGAGGAAATGTTGGCATAGCCGCCGAATCGCCAGAACATGGTCGGTCAGGTAATGCCTGACTCCAGTGAGGAGCGAGGACTTTCGGATGGGGCGTGTTCGGGAGCTTCTAGATAGAGATTGACGTCTTGGACTGGCCTTTGCATGCCAGGGTCTGGGGTCTTATGCGCGTATAGTGGATAGGCGTGACGCGAGCGGCATTCAGGACCTGTATCTAGTTGGCGCTTGTTCAGGCTTCAGACAGGGACAGGCAGCTTACATGGCGCTTGCGGTACGTACGGTGAAGAATGCTCGAGTATGCGAGTTGCGCGAGTGTGTAACAGACGGAGAAGTTGGAACAGGCCGACGGGCCTTCGCTGTCGCTTTGCCAAGCTGTAGATTTGTGTTTGTATCAGGGCGATCTCGGGCCTTTTCCACCTCCTCAACTTCTGTACAGCTATCTGCGAGACGTGACTATTCTACAGAGACAGGAGACAGTACTCCACAAGACCTAGATCCATCCTCTGCTGCACAACGGGGTCGACAAGAACATCCGACATCCCCTAGTCAGGCCTCGTGCCCTGTGCACCTGAGAGCGGTGGGCGGTGGACGGACTCCGAGTGCGGGCGTCGATCAGCCGGCCGAGGCTCCAGCGTGGGGGAACCTACTGGCCAAATTGTGCATACCACCAACACGAGTCCCTACAGACATAAACATCAAACACATCAACTTTCCCACATTCTTGTCACGATGAACAGGCTTTTCGGAGGAAGAAACACGGGCCCGAAGCCTACCTTGAATGATGCTATCGGCAATGTTGGTGCCTCGCGCCGTCAACAACAGAGCTCGTCATACTGACCTATATCCAGATGCAAACCCGCGTCGATACCATCGACGTGAATATCGCAAAGATCAACGGCGAGTTGACGACGTATCAACAGAAGCTGGCCCGCATGCGCGACGGCCCCGGAAAGAACGCCATCCGACAGCGCGCAAAGGCCTGTCTCGAACGCCGACGCATGTACGAAAGCCAGAAAGATCAGCTCATGAGCCAGCAATGGAACATGGAGCAAGCGACAATGATGCAAGACAATCTGCGTAACACCATGACCACCGTCGACGCCATGAAGACCACCACCAAGGAACTCAAGAAGCAGTACGGCAAGATCGACATTGACAAGATCGACAAACTACAGGATGAGATGGCAGACCTCATGGATATTGGCAACGAGATTCAGGAGAGCATCAGTCGCAGCTACGATGTGCCTGAGGACGTCGACGAGGCCGAGTTGGACGCCGAGCTCGAGGCTCTGGGCGAAGAGGTCGATCTTGGAGAGGGTTCATACGAAGGTGCTGACTCCATGCCTGCCTTCATGATGGACCAGAGTGCCCCTCCCCAGTTCATCGATGAGCCTCCGCAAGACAACAAGGTCAAGGAGGCTGCTGGCTAGGTCCGTCTTATTCAAGACCGCTTCTTTCTGTCTAATGAATTACGACATTCCGCTGGATACCCATTACCAATCCCCAACCACTGCTGTACATATATCTGCTCTTCGCTTCTGACGCGAAGTCTATCAAAATGCTGATACCAAGTTCCACCATCTCTATCTGCGCATTAAGCTTCTACGACTGCAGTCTCCAGCCCCTTCTTGCCAATGGATATCTTCGCCCGAGGTCTGTGGTCGCATCCTTTTCCTTGTCTAGGTTCCATGACTTGCTTGTCATCTATCTTTCGGTTCTCGCCTTGCATCTTATCTGACTTCTTTCTAAGCATCCGAGCCCTCGTATGGGCGTAGTCTGCTTCTTGGCCTCGCTTGGCTTTGAGCAAGTGCTTCTGACTAGGAACGACTATATTGTCTTTAAACTCAGAAGATGTGCAGCCCGACACTTGGATATGCTTAGGGTTGATGTGTAATAGCGAATCGGATTGGGGAAACAGCCAACGCGCACCTGATTGATCGACCACGCTGCAGCCTTGGCGCTTAACAACCCCTCAGACCTTTGTATAACATGCAGGTCCACGGAGCTGACCGCTCTTAGCTAAGGTTTCATCTCTTGTTCGGCACTCAAATGGGAAGGTGTTTCATCGTCGCGACTTCCACGTGTGATAACGGTTGGGCTATCTTGACCATCTCTGCACGAGACCACTGCGACATAGGCGACCACCGAGTATCAGCAGTGCATACCTTCGGAAGAATGTCACATCTTGTGGAAGAATCATGTCCTGAATGAGCGACAGGCAGAATGGTCACGAAACCTCCCCAAGGACTTATAAGCCTACAACCCCTCCTCCAGAAGACTCTCACATCCAGAACATCTCGCATCCCACATCGAAAGCTACAAGGCAAACATGGTCTCACAATCTGTCCTCCTACTCGCCGCAACTGCTGGCCTTGGTCTTGCAGCTCCCATTGAACGCCGCGGCAATCTCCCTGAGCCCGTCTCTGCCGCAACAGCAATTCAGTACCTCTCCTCTATCAAGGTAGCCGCGGAGTCGAACGTCCCTGCATACGATCGCGACCTCTTCAAGCACTGGATCACCATCAGCGGCGAGTGCAACACCCGCGAGACCGTCCTCAAGCGTGACGGCACTGGTGTTGTAGCATCCTCTGCTTGTGCTGCCACCTCGGGCTCTTGGTACTCCGACTACGATGGCAAGACTTGGACTGCTGCTGCAGATGTTGATATTGACCATCTCGTTCCATTGAAGGAGGCTTGGGTGTCTGGAGCAAAGGACTGGACCAACGACAGGAGACAACAGTTTGCTAATGAGTGAGTTTTGTCTACATCATGACGCGATAAACAACAATGCTAACAACCTCACAGTCTTACACGTCCTCAGCTTCTGGCCGTCACCGACAGTCTGAATCAGAGCAAGGGTGATCAAGATATTGGAGAATGGCTTCCTCCTCGTGTGGCCTACCAATGCGAGTACGTTCGTGCTTGGGTGCAAGTCAAGTACTACTACGGCTTGACCATGGATAGCACGGAGAAGGCTGCTGCAAGCAAGGTTCTTGCTGGTTGTTAAAGCACAATCATAACGATATTGATGAAACAAAAATACAAAAAGATAGTTTTCACCACGAACATGACTCGTCTGTTGTAGTATATAGTCAAGTGTGATCTCTCGACTATTCTAATTGCTTTCCTCTGACACCAATAGAAGAGCGTTTTGTTTTTGATCGACTTGTCTCGAAACTATTCATGCCTAGGCCATCGAGCGGGAATAGCTAAGCAGCCCCTTATCTCCGATATCAGCCACCTTCTTTGTAACTTCCTTCGCGTCAGATAGGCATTACAACTCTCATGTCGACCCTTTGCGCCCTTGGTGTTGAACCCCTTCACTCTGCGACAAACTTGCCATGGCAGACTTGTCGCTTCCGAAGGCCCTGCACTGCCGCTTTGCCCCTGTGGCTTCCCAATCTGCCGACCGTTGAAAAACATCTACCAGCCCTGCCGGCATCGAATTCTATTAGCGAGATATTCTTGTTTCCCGTCCAGATCTTGTCAGTCTTCAACAGAAGAAACATGGAGGACCATTTCCACCGAACCCACGATTCATGGGTCTGTTCTAGCTGAACAACGGGCTTGAGAGCCTCGAACCATGTTCGCTGGATACGCAGTTTACGCCAATCTTCCTCCTTACTACTGTAAGACGATAGCTGCATTTGTATAAGTGGTTGATTAGCCCTGCTCCTAGAAAGGTAGGTCCTATTTTTCTTCCGTAGTCATGCATTCTGCGGATATATCGCCCAAGATGACTTCACTGCCGTATGATAGATTGCAGGATGAGGAAGAGCAGGGGACATCACATCAGAAGCCTTTCCACGATATCGATACTGATGAGCAGGAGATTTATCCTTCTCAGTTCAGCAGACTGAGAGAACATACTCCACGAGTTAGTGATGTCCAATACTCAGAGCAATGGATGAGATGCTGATGCAGACAACAGTGGCTCAGTACAAAAGTCTGGGTAGTCGTCGGCAGCACTCTCGTCGTCTTTGCCATCTTCTTCGGCTTCAAACATACACACAGAGCGAACACCGACAACTCCCTCTCACTATCATCGCCATACAACATCGACCTAAACACAACCACAAACCCCTACAAAATCTCCAAAGTCTCCATGCTCTACGGCGACAACGACCTCTACGAACGAGCCCTCCAATCTCACATCCGCCACGCCGACCGCTGGGGCTACCCGACCAAAATCTGGCGTCAAGACGACGGCTGCGGCTTCTGGAACAAACCCACTTTCCTCATGTCGCTGGTCACGAAAGAATTGGCCAAACCGGAAAAGGAAAGGATGGAATGGTTGATGTGGGTTGATGCCGACTCCATCATCCTCAACCCGACCATTCCCGCGCACATGTTTTTGCCTCTGCCTGGTCAGATGCCTCATGTGCAGTTTGTAGGCACGAGAGATGCAGGAGGTCTGAACACGGGGATTTTCTTCTTGAGGATTGGGCCTTGGGCTATTCATATGTTGCTGGACAGTATGGCCATCCCTCTCTGCCATCCCACTCTAGATCTAGGCCGCAATGCCGATCAAGAAGCCATGGCCCGCGTCTTCCAAAAGACTTCCGGCGGCATCGATGGTAATGGCTACAAATCGGGAGTGGTATACATGCCACGCCACCTCTTCAACAGCTACGAATTGCGACCGAACCAATACGAAGAATTCGAAAACAGCACGATACAGGAGTTCCCGGGATGGTCCAGACGCCACGGCTATGAAGGTCACAAGGGCGATTTACTGGTCCATTTCCCTGGATTGGAAGGTGGTGATAGAAAACCATTGATGAGTGATTGGTTGGATGTCGTTGAAAAGAGACCCGAGGAGTGGATTGTGCCTGTGCGGAATACGAGTTATGTCAAGGACACGAGGGAGTTTTGGAACTTGTATGCGGAAGCGCTGGAGGTGTTGAGGGAGGCTGCGAGAGTTAGTGGGGTTAAGGAGGCTGGTGTTGTGCATGTCGGGTTGACGGAAGCTATGCATACGCTCAGAGTTGGGTTGAGTGATGAAGCGGATGATGAGGAGAAGATCAGAGAGTACATGAAGGCTGTGCAGGAGAAAATGAGTGTTTTGTAATTGCTAGTTATACGGCAGAAGTGTGTTTTGGCTTCTTTCCTTCCGGCTGGTCCTCATCATCGTCCGTCTCAATCATTTCTTCGTTGCTGACTCCAACTCCTCAATCATGGCCTTTATGTTCTCCAGATCATCCACCTCGAAATCATCTCCTTCTAATTCCTCATCGTCTACTTCGCTCATTTCTGCAGAAAATGCTCGGTATCTTTTGGCCGGAATGTATCGTCCTTCCGGGGGCAGGCATTCATCCATGATGCACTAAGAACTTCGATCATCGCAGAAGCGTGCTACGGTTCCCAATAACGTGTAATCGGTGCTGCCTTTCCAATGTCCGCGAAGATCCTCATCCAGCTCATTTTCCCTGTAGAAAGAGAGGAGGGTCTCGATGATGCCTTTAAACTGGCACTCGTCCCGATAGAAGACTCTCTCCAACAGCGCTTCGAACAAATTCGCGGCCGCAGCTTGCAAAGGCTGGATTTTATATTCGTTCCCGATGAGATAGACGTTCAACAAAAAGTCGGCGTCTTCCTCGCTGGTCGTTTCTTCGCCGAGTCCGAGTTCAAAGCCGTACACGTAGCGGATCATAGAGTGTATGACTTTTTGGGGGTATCCTTGGATAGCGTAGTCTCGAGTCACGGCGTTCGCAAACCTATCGCCCTTGAACGCAGCGCGAAAGACAGGCGAAAACTCGTCCAATAGGTCCAAGTGGGCGTGAATCCTTTCTTCGCCGAACGTCAAGGTAACGTCGGAAGTGGAGGGGTTGTTGTAAAACTTGCGGGCGAATGCTGCGTGTCCTGTCATCTCGTGTGATTTTTGCTAAGGTGTGAAAATCTTGGATGGGGTGGCCGAATTCATGGAACATATGTAGTACAGGGTATTCGGATTCGTGATAGATTGAAGGCGTGACTCAGAACGCGTATTGTACTCTCGCAATCACTCTCGGACTTCCTGTAGTGTATAAGTGGTTTGAGGGCATTTGAGCCACAGAAACAAAGAGCCGGCTGACAGAATCGAATAGCAAGTGATCTGAGTAGGCGACTACCAAAGACAGTGATGGAAAACGCATCTCAAATCGTGGTAGTAATCGTCGATGTAGGCTTCATCAAAAGCGAAGGAGAGAGTTCGAGGAAATATGTTCATGTATATTTGTGATTGCGGAAGCTACGCTGCTCTCGATAATGTCAACTTCAGCTACCCGTTCAGCTGGCTGAAGATGCTCAGTATTTCGGCAGTTGTTCCTGTCTGCGACTTCCTGACGAAATGTCCTCAGAGTGACACTGATCGTCATCGGCATCAACCTATTGGTCAAGATGGCAGGCATGTTGTGTATTGTAAGCCGCCAGATTCCAAATGCGTCAGTGCGCGCCGCGTCTCGCTATACCTCTTACACAGCGCCGTGTCCGTTTCGAGGGGGGCGTAAGAACCCATGAGGCTCGATCTTGTATATCGTCGTAATTGTGCCAGCATCGCAAGGTGGACGAGTGCGTAGCCTCTCCTTTTGTGATTCTTTTTCTCCTACTCCCGTTCCTTTCAGCCGTCAACAGTGATGGCAGTCTTGGGTCTGTTCTTGTTCAAGCCTTCGAGCAGCATGCAAGCTTTGCAGATGGCCTGCGAAGACATGTAACCACAACGGTCGCACTTTCCAAGTGTCTGCTTCGCATTTGCAGGGGGAGTTGGTCCTTTGGTCTTCTTGGGTCGTAGCGGTACCGTGTTTTGCTTCTTGCTCGGCAGCTTGATCTCAACTTCTGCTCCGTCCTCTTGCGCTCTTTCATTTTCTTGTAGCTCTTTCTCCATATCACCCATCTCGCCTCCGGTACCTCTTCCATTGCCGCTGCCGCAACCACCGTTTCCATCGTCTTCCTCGTCTGGACGCATGCTGACTGTTCCGGGTTGTGCCTTTGCCTTGCTGGACCCGCATGCTCCCTTACAACGGCCGTCTGCGTCTGGTACCAACATGGCCATGTCGATTCCACTTCGTACAACATCGAGGATACTCTCAGGTCGGATACGTTCGAGGTTCTTGATTAGTGTTCGTGCACTTCCGCGGAAGGCTTCTGGCGAGTAAAGACATTCGGTCGAGAAGTAGTCGAGCTTGTTGTGGTGGGCGTAGAGGACGATCTCCTTCTCGTAGGCATACATCAGAGGCTTGGATCGCTTGACGTTCGTGATTTCGACCTCCCCGTTCTCGGTCTTGGACTCTGAGCCTGAAGTGTCACCAGCCTTGTTGTCAGTGACGATGCTCGTAGATCTGCTTAGACGTGGCAGATCGCCGCGCAGCAAATTCATCAGGACAGTCTCGGCCACGTCGTCGGCGTTGTGTCCAGTGACAACGTGCTTGACACCTAGTTGTGCAGCTCCTCTGTCAAGTGCCTGTCTGCGGAAGACACCACAGTATGTGCAGTTGCCCTTCTTTCCGATTTGCGCCACCACCTGATCCATGCTCCAGCCGTAGAGTTCCTCATAACTGACAATCTTCAGGGGCAGCTGCAAGAAGTCTGCATTGCGCCTGACAGCATCCAGACTGTGATCGCGGTATCCTTTGATGCCCTCGTCCACCGACAGCAAGACCAGGTCCAGTCCCCAGTTGCGCCTCTCATTCAGTGTCTTGAGTACTGCAGCCAGCACACATGAATCTTTTCCTCCGCTAGCACCGATAGCCACGCGCTCTCCAGGGTAGAACAGGTTTGTTGACTCGACGGCTTCAGCGACTTCTTTCTCGAATACGGCGGTGAAGCAGGTTGCACATAGTCGGTGGTGGTTCTTGGGTCGCAGGATCTGTGCTCGCTTCTCGTTGCACGAGGAACACAACCGTGAAGCCATGTTTGCTGTGGAATGTCTTGTTGTCGAAGGAAGGCAAATTCGAGGAATATTTGTTCTAGAACCGGTCGGCCTAAACAAGATGCTCGGAAAACTTGCTCAGTCGCTCTGATGTGTGATGTATTTCCTCCAGTCAGGTTGAAATCTCGGAAGCAATCAACAAGCAAAGAGAATGTTCGTAAGTCTCGGCAGTTCTATTCGCTCGGCCGCAAAATGGTCGTGGCAAAAAAACATGGCCCATCTTCGACCGAGATGCGAATCTTCGAAAAAGCAAGGTCCCACTGAAGCCTTGCCAAGCCTTGACCGACTTGTGCAGCTGTGCTTCTTCATTCTTCGCCGCCTGAGCATCTGATCCAGGCGTCTTACCGAAGGAATGGTTGCAGTGCAGCGCTCTATGGAATGTATACGGAGTATCTCTCACCTCTTCGTTGTCACGCCTCCATCATGCTCAGCTCCGGTGTTCGTCCTGTCACACAAAGTCTAAATCGCGCAACCGCTCGCTGGATACGCGGGCACCACGGAGACGGCGAGCCCGTCGACATCGTTGACAAGGAATCCTTCAGCTCCTTCGTGTCTCTGTGTGCAAATCTCCGTTTAACACACTCGCCTGCTCGACAAGATCAACAGGTACATACTGTTGGCAGCACACCGGCCTTGCAGAGCAAGTTCGAGTCAAGCATTTCCTGAGACCCTCGGCCGACTTGTCCTCCTTTTCCAAATGCCCAAGCGATACAGTAACTCCACCAATATCGTGACAACTCTGTCTCTGCTTCTCTCGCTTGCGAATCAGGCATCATTTGTGTATTATCCCTTTGTCTCGGTACATGTTGCTCATCTCAGTCACTATATGACAATTTCCGAGTCCTGGCAGTTGCGTGATACGGTTTGTCGTGAACCGGGCTATAAAACCGTTGGTCTGTTCCCCTGTCGAAGGGGCCAGCCAGCCACCTGTGAACCGACCAACCCCCTGCATGCAACGACTGGTACCTGATGATCCTCAGAAAGTCGATCACGTTCAAACGAAGGGAGATGAAGATGGACAGTCTTGTTGTTTGTGAATGCGAGCTCTATTGCGAGCTTGATTAATTAGTGTGCTACCTAAGTACTATCTATTGTATGCACCATGTCGTAAAGTCGTGCTGAACAGCGCTTTCGCTGTTACTGATGCTTGATGCTGCCTGCCCAAAATGTTCCTGCTGTCTTTCCAGAGACGCCTTCGCAATGCGATGTTGAATGGTATCCTGCACAAGAAACGAATGAAATCAAAAACGAATGGATGACAATGCCTCGAACCCGCAAAGCTTGTCTTGAAACCTCCCTTCTAGCCATCCAATGCTCTAGTGAGCTGTGGAGAGAAACCTCGAGAAGATGTTGTTTGACCTGATCTTCTTGGCTGAGGGTTGTTCGTAGTGGTCAAGAGTAAGCTTGGGTTGTTGGATCTCAACCATCGAGGGGCAGTCGCTGTTGTATCTCTGGATTCTGACTGGCACATCTTCATATGTCGCGTCCATCGATGACATGATGGAGTTGGGAGAGTCGACTGAAGATGCAGAGACAACAGACTGAGTGCGGCTGGGAGGAGAGAGAGATGGCATGCGAGATGATCTGCGAGAGCTTGCGAGGCTCAAAGGTGTGTCGCAAAGGTTTTGGCGAATGTCGGTGCGAGAGCTTCTGTGCATGCGCTCGGCAGTGATGGAAAGGTGGCGTTGTTGTTGTATCATCTCCTCACGAAGCTGAGCACGCTTGGCCTTCTCGGCTTGACGAGTCTGCCAAAGTCTGATAGGAGCGAGGAAAGGCTCAAGGTGGAAGTAGAGATCATCCTCGCGAACGATAAGATCCCAGTTGAGAAGATTGAGGAGCTGCTTCTCCATAAGGTTGACCTCGACGAGGTTGAAGCCGAAGCCTTCAAAGCCCTTCACAGCAGTGTAACGAGCCCAGTGCTTGTTCTTGGGAGAAGAGTCATTGAGAGACTTGGCGGCGAGGATGAGAGCGGCAAGGAAGATGCGGTGGGTAGTGCAACGCATGCCTTTAGCGACAGGAGGAAGACGTTGTTGCAGACGACCGAGGTAGACGAGGGTGGTCATGAGAGTGGGAACCTGTACCGAGGATCTGTCGACGAGAGACTGGATGAACTGTTCGACCGAAGGAAGAGCTGGTTCTTGTGAGAGGTTGAAGCCTTGCTCGGTAGGAGTAACAGGTGGTGACGGAGGAAGGTCCTTGGCGTGGATAGGAGTGTTGTCGCAGCGGATAACCTGAGAAGCCTTGAGTGCCAAGTAAGAGACCATGTCCTTGGAAACAGGAAGGTAGATGAAGTGGTTGAGAGCTTCGGCGTTCTGCTCAGGAGTTGCCATTGTGTGAGACATTTTTAAAAAAAGATGTGGATAGAATCTGGAACGATTTGACAAAGATGGTGAAGATCAAAGGAAGAGAAAGGCAGAGTTGACGATATTCGCAAATATCAACTATGACAATAGGTTGGACCAGAATGGTTTTGACAATGCTGAGGTTGACAATGGAAGAATAGCAAAAGTGACAATTCGAGTGGTGAAGCTTATTCGGATTGCTGCCGGAGAATGGTCGAATAAGTCGGTATTGTTGGATAAATCCCAAGGATTAGAATATTATTGTAGATTGAAGATGTGAAAAGATGGTATGAGAAAGAAGTCGAAGTCGTAGGAAGGGCGTTTTTCTTTATGTATACTCTTCCAGGAGCAGGGAATTAAGACTTTCCGCCAGCGGACAGGTCGAATTGAGGCAGGGCCGTTAGGGAAAACGGGGGTCAGTAGGAGTAAACGTTGTAGTCGAGCCGCGCTGTTGCTGGTTCGATCGAGAAGCACCAAGAAAAGTAAGACAGCGTGTAGACGTTAGGAATAAACGTGCGTGACGAAAGGGTAAAGAGAGAGAGACGTTCCAACCGTTGGTTGTATTGAGCGACAGAAATGAGAGATAGTAGGCCATCGTGACCGGCAGAGCTGATACTTATTTCCCCCCTAAAGATGTACGCGGCAACGCAAGGCAAGCATGGCCATGGACACGAGGCCGTTTTTGGCAGCAGGTTTGAGAATGCAGGCGGTTGGACGTGAGGTGGGCGTGAACCAACGCGCCTCTGGCATGTAGAAAGTCAGGAATTGCGACTTGCTGGCTGTTGGCATACAGCAAGTTTCCAGGCCCAGACGGCCACGCGCTGTCTTAGACAATCTACAAGAAGCACGAGAGATGCATTCCGTTTCAAGATGCTTGCTTGTAACGTTTATCGCCGGAAAGGCCTTGTTGGTAGAGCTTAGGGAGCAAAAAGAGAAACCAATAGGCAAAGGTAGGCGCCGTGGTGGGGTCGCACCTTCCCCCTTGGAGCCGCCCGGCCAGACTGCCGAGCCCTACTGTGTCTCCTTATGGAGCGGGTCTCCAGCACCACTCACGACATAGCAGAGGGCGAGGCCGCTCCCGTCTTGAACTATGGAAAGACATCATTGACACCTGAATTGGCTTCGATTACTGTTTTCGGGGTGGAAGGTCGCTTCTGATAACGTGGCTGGGAACCCGGCCACCTATCGACTTTATCTCAACGTGCGATATGATATCCTTGGCAGCGAAGTCGATGACTTGGTGACGCTTTTGGTCTTCTTGCTCACGCTGGCAACCTCGTGGAATGTTCAAACTTCAATCCAGCTCAGCCACTGCGGATTGCAACGGCATGCTCCACCAAGCGCCTTCTCCTGCACCTACGATATTATGCGGGGAGAAGTTACTCCTATAATAGTCTCTGAAGGGGGTCTTCAATCCGCAGGAGGAGATTTGAGAGACTCCTCGGCCGCTAGATCTCAGGAGGATGGCAAGCGCAAACAAAATCACCCTGAATAGTACCCGCTTTGCTCCATACAGATCATCTTGGCTAACCCATGCTTGCGTACTGCGTTGGTGTTTCGAGAGTACGTTCGTGTCGATATTTTGCATTGTCGTCCTGAAAGACGGCGTTCCAGCAGGCGCCGCGAAGGTGGTGTTACAACAAGAATAGTATTCAACTTAAGCGCAAGACGATCGTGGTGTGTCTCGCATGTCACAAGTGCAAGTTCGGTTTTCCTGTGCAACAGAAGAAACAGAGTTGTCTCCCGACCAAACAAAGGTTTGTTCAGGTTTGACTATCGTAAATCAAGCGTCAATCGAAGAAGTGCTTGCGCAAGCAGCCAAGGACGATAAACGACCACCACCTCTTTCCACCCTCTTTCCAAGGACAAAAGGCAGTTCTTTACCATGAAATGAGTCGACCCCTCACGACGATGACGAACCGTTTTCTTGTCCTAAGCAAATTTTCGATCAAGAGTACAGCAAACCAGGGCACAATTGATGAACTAGGCCTGAAGCGACGGAAACACACGGGTATCATCATGGATCATATTGTCTAAGGATCAGAGGCAGTACGACGCCAAGACCATTTTCGGGTCGAATCGTGAGTCATTTGTTAGCAGATCTTGCGATGTTTCCACGGTGAGGCGTGCTGTTTAGCAAATCGATCGTTTATGTTCTGGGCAAATGCGCTTTCGCTCCGGCTCTTTCCGTGTGATTTCACGATTCACCTACCCTGATGGCCGAGGTCGAGAGGTCAGAGCACCATGACTTGACTCCCTTCGCATCGCTTAGAACATAATCAGCCTTCAATCTTTTCTTATCCAACTCAGCGCAGTCATCATTGTCGCCAATCTCACTCTACAGCGTACACATAAAAGATTTCTCTCCCGGATTAAGGACACGCGACACCCAGGCATTCACAATGAATCGACCATCACACGAGGACGACGGCTGGGACCACCCGGAATGGAACCAGAATCCTCCTGCTCTTGCCGGAGACTTGACGACCAGGAACGACTTGAACGGTGTTGTCAATTCCAGACGCAATCGTGACCGGAGAATAGATGACGACGACTTGAACCGCATCCATCCGGAACCCTACGAACTCGTCGAAGTGAATGGGAAGGGCAAGAACATGCCTCGGGTCACGGAAGGCCCGTACCCTGGCCCTAGTGGCCACCATCCGGAGCGCTCTTCGTCGCCGTCGTCGACATTGCGTTCCGCTGAGATGCCTGTTCCCGGTGGCAGGCGTCTCGGCAACCGCGTCATGTACGTCCTGGCCAAATACGCAAAGTTCGTTGGCCCCGGCGTCATGATCTCAGTCGCCTATATCGATCCAGGAAACTATTCCACCGCTGTTGCGGCTGGCTCTACTTTCCGATTCAGGCTTCTCTTCATGGTCTTCTTGTCAAACATCTTTGCCGTCTATCTGCAATGCTTGTGCGTCAAGCTCGGTTCTGTCACTGGTATGAATCTGGCCGAGATGATCCGAGCCCATTGTCCAAGATGGCTCAACTGGGTTCTCTATCTTTTCGGCGAGGCGGCAATCATCTGCACTGATATTGCAGAAGTAATTGGTACCGCTATTGCTTTGAACCTTCTTTTCCATGTCCCACTGGTAGCTGGCTGTGCCATTTCCATAGTGGACGTCCTTGTAATCTTATTATTCTACAATCCAACCGGTTCTGTGCGAGGAGTCAGAATCTTCGAAGGTTTCGTCGCTGTGCTGGTCATTGGTGTTGTCGTCTGCTTCTGCTACCAGCTCTCCCTCATCACAAACACGTCAGTGGGCGATGTCTTCAAGGGATACCTGCCTTCTTCGACTCTGATAAAATCAAAGGGGTGAGTGTTCACGTGTTTATCTAGGCTTTGCATTTTGCTAATTCAGCACAGTCTCTATCAATCATGCGGTATTCTGGGTGCAACCGTCATGCCTCATTCACTTTACCTGGGCTCCGGCATCGTCCAACCACGTCTCAAGGAATACGACACCCAACACGACAATATCCCCGCCGCATCTGAAGACGACGACAGTGGCCCGGTCAAATACCGACCCAGCCTTGCTGCTGTCCGCTCATGCATGAAATACTCTATCGTCGAGCTCTCCACCTCTCTTTTCATCTTCGCCTTGTTCGTCAACAGCGCCATCTTGATCGTTGCAGGTGCCTCGCTCTACAACACCGATGCCGCCAGCGCCGACCTCTTTGGCATTCACAAGTTGCTTGCTCACCAGCTCGCACCCGTTGCAGGCACTATATTTGCTCTCGCCCTGCTGCTTTCTGGTATCTCAGCCGGCATTGTCTGTACCATTGCCGGTCAGATGATCTGCGAAGGTCAATTGAGTTGGGCTGTGAAGCCATGGGTACGTCGCCTGATGACACGTTCAATTTCGATCACACCTTCCATCATCATTGCTGGAGCTGTCGGCCAGGATGGGCTTTCTGCTGCATTGGATGGCTCTCAGGTGGCACTCAGTGTCATTCTGCCGTTCGTCAGCGCTCCGCTGATCTACTTTACCTGCCGTAATAGGTACATGACCATGTCTTCGAGCAATGGCGATCTGATCAGCATGCGCAACCATTGGTTCACTGCAGCTATTGCTGTTTTTATCTGGCTTGTCATTGTCGTCATGAACGTTGCACTCTTGGTCCTTTTGGGTCTTGGTGTCGATTGAACACAGTCGTCGCTGTCCTTGCCAGGAGATGGTTGATTGGTGGTATTGAAGAGGGATCTTTTTGGCTTGGCTTCAGAAAAGGCTTCTCTTGGTCATTCGTTTTCCTTGTATCTAATGTTTGAGTTGAAAAGGTGTTCTTGAGGTGTAGATAACTAATAATTCGTTCGTTAATGTTGATGATTCACGTTTAACCCACTTCTTCGCTCCAATTCCTTTCACCAAAGTCTTTTTGTAATGCAATGTAAACCCTACATAAGTGCTCTACAACTTAGCCTTAGCAGTCTCCCAGTCCTTGACTCTCTGCTCAGCCTTCCTCTTCAACTCCTCATCCTGCTTCCTAACCTTCTCCTTGACCTCAGGCTCCTCATCCCCATTATCAAGCAACCCCACAGTCTCCCTCCACATCTCCCTCTTCAACAGCCCATAAACCCCCTTATCCGTCTTCTCCACCAACTTCAACTCATCCACAAAAGCGACGACTTCATCCAAACCCCCCACACCGTCAATAATTCCCGCCTCCAGTGCTTCTAGAGCTTTGAACCTCTTGCCTTCGAGGACCAAGGTGCGGTAGGTTTGGGGAGATGTCTTTTGGCGGAAGATACTGGACATGGGGGCTTTGAGGGGGACGCCGAGTTCCACTTCGTTGAGGCAGATGTAGCCGCGGTGGGGGTTCATGATGCGGTAGTCGTGCATCATTGCTGTCATTAGGGCGCCGGCGAAACCGTGGCCGTTGATCAGGGCGATGGTAGGCATTGGGTAGCTGTGGGAAAGGGTTTCAGTAGGGTGATTTTGCATGGACTGGTTTTTCGAGTAGAGATGGAGTAGCTAGATGTGACAGGGTGACCCCATTCACGATGTAGAAAGAGGCAAGAACGACCACAACTGCTACGACGAGGTCTCCAGTCTCATAGAGAGACTTCCAAGGTGGCAGGTAGAGCATTCCAAAGAGATCTGCAGCATACAGAGCGCCGCGGTTGGACCATGTCGTCCTTGACAACTTGTTTTCCTCAAAGCGATCGCGAATCCTAGAAGGCGAACCAAAACAACATGAAAAGATAGGTACTCACGTCAACAATTTCTTCCAAAGCGCAAACAGAGAATCCTTGGTAAAGTTTGGGTTCGCATTCGCATGCTCGAGATCCAGTCCATTGCTATAGAACTTGCTGATGCCAGAGGTAGTGATGACGACTCCATGAGGGTACTTCAGCGCGAGGATATCCAGGGCAGTGTGGACGGCATTGCAGAAAGACTGTTTTTTCCAAGCATCAGCTGGAGCTCTCAATGGATGTCAAATATGATATGGTAGATCATACAGTGGTGAGTCTGTTGTCTGGTGCAGAATTCCACATGAGCATGTAGACTCGCTCGGCCAGTCTGGTGACGACGACTTTGCCGTTGGTGCCGATGGGCACTTCGAAGAGTCTGCCTGATTTGTATCCCATGATAGATTCGTATCGATGTAGGTTTAATAATTGATAAAGATGGTTGCTGCCGAAACAACGGAGAGAGATGGAAAGGGTTCACATGCACTTGCTATCGTACCTCGGCTGCAAGATTCAGGCGTCTTGGTTCCATGTCATCAACAAAAACAGCCAAGGAACCGATGGAAGACATATTTTCAGAGACTTGGTCAACAATGAGGAATTGTGCTGAACGAGTTGGTATACCATTTGTGTAGATATCTGAAAGAAGAGAACATTCGCAATACGCAGCTAGATACGGCGCGAGACCTTGCCCGCCTACCTAGGCTTAACCATGATGATACGATGAGAAGAGCAATGCAGAAAACAAAGACTAGAAAGTAGATAACAGCAAATAGGAAAAACGACACGCCATTGCTATATCATCTCTGGCCCATGCTAACCTTCAGATATAAAAAAGAGAGAGGAAAATGAAGTCGTCCCGGTCATAAAGCCATCATAATCTCCAGTTCATCAACCCTCGTTTGCGGGACTGTGACAAGGAGGAAGAAAAACAGCAGAGGTATAGAAAGTAGATGCGAGAAAAAATAAGCCTGGGAAGTGCGCCGGACTCCTTCGTACACCGAAAGGCAATAGACACCGATGTGCCTGAACGAACACCGTGAATGCGGCGTTGCTTGTTTGATGAAATGATGTGACAGGTTTGGTTACTGGCAGAAGAGCTCAATCTCTCCCATGCCACCAACAGTCTCGCCTCTTTGTTCGCGCCAGGTTTCAAATGCCGACTGGACATCCTCATCGCTCTGAATGCTGACATAGTCATCCTCGTCCAAATACTTCAGCTTGACCTGATTTGATGTACGATCGCTCAGGCTGATGTTGGTGCTGCGAGACAGCTTCGCATCGATGCGATCTCTGAGAGAATGGTATGAAATGTTCAGAGGCACAACCAGAGTCAAGATAGTGCTCGAAGCATGCACCTTGATCTTGAGCTGAGGCGGTAGGCCAGAGTCGGATGTGGACGATAGAGGAGGTGATATGGGAGAGTCGTAGCCACCGTATGGGCCTGGAGTAGGCGTGTTGGTACGAGAAGATCCAACATAAGCCAGACCGGGGTTTACTCGCAGAGCAGGCGGACCGTCATATGGGTAAGGGGTCTCTGAGTTCGAGCGGGTAGATGATCGTTCGCGTTGGTGGGGAGACTGTACTGGTGGATGAGCCAGACTGGGTGAGTTGCTCTGACTTCTTGGCACTGCGCTGTTCTGGGAGTATTGAGCAGGTAGGTTCGGCACAGGTACGTCAGGGACGGGCGGTCTAGACGCGTTTCCGGCTCTACGCTGGATGTGGTTGATATCTGGGCTACTCGCAGATCTGTTTCTTGATGTAGCAATCTGTTGAGAGCTGTGCAAGCCGACTAGTCCAGGTCGAGGTCCAGAGGTACGCTGGCTGGCTGCGTAACTAGAGGAGGCAACACTGTTCTCACGGGAAGCAGTACGACTCATGGCCGGAGCAGTGTAGCGTGTTTGGTTGTCTCCGTGGAACTGGTTGGGGAAGGGGTACATTCCTGATGAGCCACTTGTTCTCTGGGAGAGCGCCGGCGTCTCTACAGGTGAGAAGTAGGAGTCCTTTTCCATCGAGGGCGATTGTGCGTATGGCAGTTGCTGAGTTCTCAGGCTCAACGAAGGGTGGCCCGCATTCGCAGTGGACGGGTGGCGTGGTGGAGGCATCCGACCTCCCAAACTCAAGGGAGGGCCACTCTCGCCGGTTGTAGATCTTGAACGGAGGCTGGTTGTCGAAGCATTTCTGCTGCTCAAGGTTGAGGACTCAAAGGAAGAGTGAGGAGCGTATGCAGGGAAGGGAGATTGCGGGACGACTGTGCCCTCTTCGTCGTCATCATCAGCCTCTTTGTAAGGGTTCACCAAGTCTTCCTGATTCTGTTGAATGTAGGTGAAATCTGTAGTCGAAGTGCCGCCGGAAGGTCTGTGGGAGGCTGTGGTGCTGTCGCTGCGTCTAGCAAGGTCATTGCAAACATGCTTCTGTTCCAGTAGCTTCGAATACCATTTGCTCATGGTATCCTCAGTAGGGAAGCGAACGATGAAGTTTTCGATACCTGGATCACCCTTCCAGAAGATCTGGCAGGTGTAAGAGCCAGGCTTCGATGCCTTGACCACGTCTGTGACATTTTGCATAAAGATACGGCCTTTGAGCTGCATCTTGGGTCTGCCTTTCTTGTCGACCAAGGTGCGTGTCGTCATCTTGTTCTTCGGCCTATTGCGGTCGATATCCTTGCAGCACAGAAGAATGGACTCGAAGAAGTAGACATGATACTCCCGTTCCTGATCCTTTCCTGGTGCACTGTCGCTCTTCACAACAGTGTAGCTACCAAAGAGTAGAAGGCTGCCAAAGCCGGTGACACGGTGGCCCTTCCAGTCTTCGACGCGGCTCTTCAAATCTTCCAAAGCTTCAAGCTTGTCCTCGTTTTCGATGGCAGTGTTTGTACGGGTCAGGACAGTTGTCGCACACTCCTTGCCCTTGAACAGATCTGCCTTGATCTCCTCGCTGTAGTCTCCCTTTTGGTACAGAGAATCCAACAACAAGGGATATTTGGACAGTCTTTGGAAAGGCTTCATCAAGAAGCCGTACAAGGTTGGAGGAGACTCGACCAGCTGACGCATGTCGATAGGGCCACCAGCTTCCTTGAGCTTGGAGAACTCCCTCATGACGACCTCCTCACACAGCTTCTGGTTGGCGATGTAAGGCTCATACACCATGAAGCCGTCGTTTGCTTGGATGAAGATCTTTCCCCAGTTCTGCTCGTCTTCTGCGATGGCGTTCTGTTGCTCGACCTTGATGAGAAAGCGGCGTTGGAAGTTGAGAAGTGCGTCAAGATTATGGAAGATTTGATGGCTCACGTCGCCAGAGACCACGCCCTTACTCTCGCAGAGCTGTTTGAAAGCCTGTAGGAGTTCCAGATGCTGAACATATGTTCTCTCTGTAGTGACGAGTTCTTCAACGATGTGTTGACGCTGGCTACGCTTGCCAGAGTGGGCGGCGATCTGATCTGGGCGAAGATCCTCGATGATTCCTTGCTGTACCATGATATCAAGCAATCTTGATACCATTCTGACGACCTGGGTCAAGTTAGAAGATGAAGAGTAGATTGTGTGAAGAGGGAATTACCTTAACAAAGCCACCGATGTCGTCTTGGTAGAGATCGTAGAGGATAAAACAGTCCTCCACGGAGAAGCTGAGGCCTTGGATGCAGCCGCGCAAGAAACTCGAAGTGAGAGCCTTACCTTGTTTAGCAACACTGATCTTGGAAACGTCAATCTCAACAGGCTGATCGGGTCGGAGGATGTTGTAGAGGGAGACAAGTGGGTGGCCGAGTTGGAAGGTCTTCCAGATCAATTGCACAACATCGAGATCGTCGTGCTGTTGTTCTGTTTCCAGGAAGTATTCGTCAAAGCCGGGCACGGCCAAGAGTCGTTGGCGTAGGGTGATGCACATCTGGAAAAGAGAGGCGTCCTTGTCGGCGACTTTGTTCATGACATTGCCAGATGGCTCGACGTTTCCTTGGATGGTAGAAGGAGCTGGGGACAGCGACGGCGTCGGCGGTACGGGGAATAGAGTGGATGTGGATGTGCCTTGGGTTGTGTCCGAGTTCCTTGAGAGGACGGATTGGATCGAGTGCGACGAGTTTGTGTGGCCCTGGGATTGAACCAGAGGGGAGGTTGCTGAAGGCATTTTGTTGTAGAGAGCCTGGGGCGCGGTATGGGTTCGGGTCAAAGAAGCATGAGAGGCAACCTGCATGATTGGGGGTGGAAGGCTATGGCGCGCGCAGGCGTGATGTATAACGGCAAGCACACGTGGGCGTAGAAGTTGGCGGTGCCTTCAGTTACGGCCTTGTGCCAGCGCAGAGTGAAGGTCGAGGGTCGAAGTTTACAGGCGCGTGCCGGGCGCGGTCGGAGGTTGGAAGGCGCGATGTGAAGATCTACTGAAGCATGTGGGAAGAGCGCCTTTTCCTCAGGTGACAGTTCTTCCTTCCTTGAGCAGCAGTGAGCAGCGGGTTGGACAAGGAGAGTGAGCGATGCGGCGGTGGGGCCCGTGTGGAAGCCACTTTCTGGCCGTGGCTTGTATATGCGTTCAAGACAAGTGAAGGAGCGAATCCGAGTACGACAGCGGCGGCTACACGACTCTTTCCTGGCGGTTTGGTCTGGGAATTTCTCACGACTACGGCGGCGGCGACGACTTGGGACGGAGAGATGAACAATGAAAGACAGACAGACAGACACGGCCTCACACAAGGAAAGCGACTACGGGTGGGCCTTCTCAAGGGTCCTCGCTCTCACAAGTGATCAAAGCCCCGGCTCTTTCCTGATCCTTTGTAGTGAAACGCCCTAGCCTGCTTGGGAAGCCCTCATCCACATTTACCTTTGGAGCATGCAGATGCACAGATGAAGACCTGTTACAAGAGCTGCCGTCTGCATCGCGACTCTTGCAGCTTTGGACTCATCATCTATCCCCCAACATCTGCTCTTGTGACTCGAAGAACACAGTGACTGTTGGCTGTTGTCAGCGCTTCACCGCCTTGTTTACGGAGACTACTGAGTAGGCGCCGCAACTTGCTAGGTCAAAGAGGCTCCTGCGGCGATCACGCGAGGGCCACCATCTTCTCCTCGCTTTCCTCGCCAAACAAGACCGAATTCACGATTGCTGATCAGTGATCACTGTCCCGCACCCTCCCACCAAAACTGACTCTTGTCAGCAAAAAGTCGTCGTTGCTCGACGAAACACCAAAGTTTGTTGATTGGCCCCCGGGGACTGACTCTGTTTCGAAATCTTGATGCCAGCTTCCTGACACTTCCACGGTGGAGTTTAATCGCAACTTCCGGCCCCGATATTTACCCTAGGCTGATCTTGTTTACCAAACTTGTCTTGCCTTGTCCGCCATCAGGGCCAAAACACTCGTGCGAGCAGACGCCTGATATGGCCCAAGAAGAAATGAAGGTCGACGAGGGCTATTCAGGAGGCTCCGAGGAAACGAGAAGTCTATCCGACAGCGATTCTACCATGCTCATCGATCCCGCCGACGGCCATGTTTCAAAGTCGTCCACACCCACACAAGAGTCGCTGCTCTCGGGCGTATTGAGTCTACCCCCGGACCAGAGATCCGCATTCATCGCCTCCCTATTGCGACTGCTGCCCGAGTCTGAGCGATCCGGTATTTGCATAACTCGCTCCCCTCTCTACTTCAACCATCTAACATGAATTAGATACCGCTTATGCAGCCCTGCGCTCGCTGCGCACCTCGTCCATCGCATCCATTGTCGAGCGCCTCAACCCTCTTCTTCATCTCGACCCCGTAGTCTTCCTACCACCCGAAATTACCTCTCAAATCTTCCTCCATCTCTCACCCTCCGATCTGCTCCGATGCTCAACCGCCTCCCGTCTCTGGCGCGAACGTGTTCTGGATAGCAACCTATGGAGGACTTTCTACGCCCGCGAAGGATGGATGCCAGATACTGCCGAAGTGAGAAGTGGTGAAGCCGCTGAAGCCAGACGTCGCTTAGTCTTCTCGCGCAACACCCCTCAAAAGCCTCCTAGAAGGAAGCCTGACGGTGAGCTCGAAAGAAGTGGAAGCATCAAAAGAGCAAAGGAAACCGTAGACGGATGGAACGAACAACACAGCATTCTTGAGGCCGACGAGGATGCCATCAAGCCAGAATCAGAAGATGGTGCTGCGTCGCTTTCTGCAATGACTCTTGTCTCGGAAGCCGACTATCTTGACATTTCTCCCAACATCGACCTCTCCTCGAACATGCTGCCTCCGCTATCTCCACCTCTCTACAACACATACAGTAATTCTCCACGCATAAACTGGCTATACCTGTACAAGCAGCGACGTCGCTTAGAAGAGAATTGGAATAAGGGACGCTTCAAGACTTTCCAGCTGCCGCATCCAGATCATCCTGAAGAAGCCCATAACGAGTGTGTGTACACGATACAGCACTCGCGTGATTGGCTTGTTAGCGGTAGTCGCGACAAGACCATCGCTATCTGGGATTTGGAGACCCAAAGACGTATAAGAACCCTTTCTGGGGCGCACATCGCATCTGTGTTGTGTTTGCAGTTCGATGAGCGTCCAGAGCAAGACATTGTGGTTTCAGGCGGAAGTGATTCTTTTGTCGTCATCTGGCGCTTCTCTACAGGTCGCATTATCCGCAAGATGGATGATGCACACACCGAATCTGTGCTCAACCTACGTTTTGACGACGATTTGCTCATAACATGCTCCAAGGACAAGACTATCAAGATCTGGAATCGCAGAGAAGTCTTCGTTGACAACGACATTGTTCCAGCAGTTGCAAAACGTCAACTTGAGATTGGTAACCCCATGAACCCCATCAAGGAGTATACACTACTCCTCACTCTCATGGGCCATGGCGCAGCAGTGAATGCAATCCAAATGCATCAAGGACAAATAGTGTCAGCGTCAGGAGACCGTACCATAAAAGCGTGGGACATTAACACTGGCACATGCACAAGGACGTTTACCGGCCATACTAAAGGCATTGCTTGTGTTCAGTACGACGGGCGCCGAATTGTAAGTGGCAGCAGTGACAACACTGTTCGCATCTTTGACGCGGCCACATCTGCAGAGGTGGCCTGCCTTCCTGGCCACAGTAACTTGGTCCGTACTGTACAAGCGCGTTTCGGTGACATGGGCGTCTCATCAGAGGAACTTGAGGCTGATGCACGCGCTGTGGATGACAAGTTCCATGATGCACGCATGAATGGTCTAAATCCTGACCAGAACAGAGCTCGTGGTCAGCGCAACGCTGGCTCGAGCAATCCCAGCGAAGTGTGTGCTGTGGGCGCGAAGATTCCACCAGGCGGCGGTGGCAATGCTTGGAGTCGCATTGTGTCAGGCTCTTACGATGAGACGGTCATCATCTGGAAGAAAGACTCTGACGGCAAGTGGGTTCCCAGCAGGAGGTTAAGACAAGACGAGATTTTGTCGAATCGCAGAAGATCTCGTGTCCAACCTGCAGCAGTCGCAGCAGCAGTTCTTCAGCCTACGGCGACACAGCGAGATCGCGACAATGCAAATCCTGCGGAAGGTGTGGATCTGTTCAGCGACACATACGCGGCGACGTATATGGCTCAACTCGCTGCTCCCACTCCACCTGCACAGAACATCGCTGGGCCGGCTACCCCTGGCCCAGCCACACATCATCACCATCACGGCCACCATGGAGCTGGACATCATGCGCGTCACGCGCATCGCAACAGAGACGAGAGCAATCGTGTCTTCAAGCTCCAATTCGACAGTCGACGTATCGTGTGTTGTTCGCAAAACAGAGTGATCGTGGGTTGGGACTTTGCTGCTGGTGACGCTGATCTTGAACAGGCGAGTCGCTTCTTTGGAGAGACTGATTAGATCATGGCAAGGGAGCTAGTCCGAGGTGTTGGAAGGACTTATTATCTCTCGACTCACTCGTCCATCTATTAGTTCTTGGACGTGTTCCGAGCGGACAATGTAATAAATCAAAAGCTCTTGATGAGCATGAAACACGAAGACATGATTGTTTCTATGTCAACCATTCATTTGCACTACCTCGTGCTTCCATACGCTCAATTTGATAATGTTCAGACACACAAGCTCACCAGTAGTGACCCTGACCCGCTCAATACTCGTATGAAAGTCGGCAATCACCTGATTCTTGCGGATGGAAATTGGCTTCGCTTTTACATACGCGGGAGATACGACATCAAAAGGGCATAATAATATAAAGCTAGGAGTCACAACCTGCATGCCTTTCTGCTCCCCAGCTTCACGCAGCTTCTCCATTCCATCCCCGCCATGTCCCCACGCCTCCAACTGTCTGGCGGTTAGGCCACCTGCGTCTGCTGCAATGCACAGTGTGCGTTGTTACCAGAGCTTCGGTTAAGCAGCATCTTCAATGCAGATCTGCTCGGATCGGCCAGGACAAACACAGCCTCGCTCTTCCAAGACGTCGCGGTCAGCGAAAAGGTAGGACAAGCAGCGGAGACATGGCAGAGGCGCTTGTGTTGAGCTGCAAGTCGTCAGGAGTGAGTGACTCGTCTGCAGCTCAAAGCGCTTACGGCATCTCTTGTCTGCAGAGATAAGAGCAGAAGAGCAGAAGAGCAGCAGAGCGGGCGCTATCCGAGACCTTTCTTGAGCAACAAGAAGCAAGTCGTCATTTGCGAGAGTTTGCCCAGCAAAGGGCCGGCAACGGTATTCGTCGGTGCGTCGGGAAGGTCATCGCAGCTTCCCAACAGCTTAGAAGCCGGCCGAGAGGAGAGCCTGAGCTTCAGTATTTGATAAACCCGGGACACCTGCATCTGACAAACGGCCACCGCTCATCAATAGCCTCATCGATAACTAAAACCACAGACGGCTCCGTTTGCGATTTCTTCCGAGGGAAAAACACCGACATTCGACACTTTAGAACCATGTCAGAACACACCGGTCCCAAGGGTACGTGAGTCAAAGCAGCTATCGCTGCAAGTTGCTTTCCCGTCATCGGCCCAAAACTTAGTCCTTTCCTCCTCACATCCAACACCACCATGCGCCCTCTTGCCCAATTCGCTGTGCGAGCTGCTCGCTCGAGCAGACCTCTGCGTGCATTCAAGCCCACACCCAATCGTTTCTTCCACTCATCACCACGCTCGCTGTGTCAAGAAGCACAAGAAGATGACGACTACCGTACCACTACCTACGTGACACTGCAGTCGAAGAGCTACAAGGCTGACCACACATATCACCAGGCGGCTTCGCCCACACCCTCGCCGAGCGCGTTGAGGAATGGAGCTCCAGCATGGAGCAGACAGACCCCGACTTCTTCCCCAAGTCAGCCAAGGGCCAGTCACCCAAGATTCTCTGGATCGGCTGTGCCGACTCTCGTATCCCCGAGTCGACCATCCTGGGCCTGAAGCCTGGTGAGGTTTTCGTCCACCGCAACATCGCCAACATCATCACCCCCACCGACATCAACTCGCTGTCCGTCATTGAATTCGCCGTCGCACACCTCAAGGTTGAGCACATTCTCGTCTGCGGCCACACCAGCTGCGGTGGTGTTAATGCCGCTCTCGGAAACACTAGACTTGGTCTGCTGGACATTTGGCTGCAGCCCATGCGCCAGCTGAGAATGGAACACACAGACGAGTTGGAGAAGATGGACACTCAGGGTGACAAGACCCTGAGACTCAGCCAGTACAACATCTTGCGCAGTCTGGAGGTTCTCAGAATGAACCCTACCGTTATCGACGCCATGAACGAGCGCAACCTTGAGCTCCACGGTGTCATCTACCACGTCGAGAACGGCAAGCTCGAGGTCGTCGAGTCCACCGAGGACGAGCACAGACTCAAGAAGCGTCTGGCTGCTTTCACCACCCAGAAGGCATAAGTGCAATTCTACGATTTTTTGAGGCCCAATGGGTCTGTGGAGTAATATGGAGTAGAACTGAGGGGACCAGTACGGAATATCATGATAAAGTACGGTTACAGGAAGGGTGGAACTATTGGAAGACCAATTACAGATTGCTCGCTTTTTAGAGAACAGGAGCTGTGTGAAACACATAATCAACACGAATTCAATCGACTTTTGCAAACAGTCCAACATTTTTCTAAATCCATGATGAGTCAGTGGTATCCACTTCGGAGCTACACGGAGAACTTGCGGACATCCGGACATAGCATCATAGCTCCATGGTTCTATAAAATAGCTCGATCAATTGCTTCGACACTTTTACCGTCCCTTTCTTTTTCAATCAAACGATATATCAAAAAGGATGGACGAACTAAAGGCGTACGCATCGACCAAGGAGTCCAAGATGCAATACCACTAGTAAAATTTTACCTCATGCTCAAAACGATCAACCTGCTGATGCTGGGTTAATCTAGCTTGGGACAATCAGGCCTCAAGGTCTCTCATATCATTTTGGGAGCCATGTCGTATGGATCTTCCAAGTGGCAGGATTGGGTCTTGGACGAGGAGAAAGCATTGTAAGCACCATTTCATCTCTTCATCTAATCCAAAAAAGCCATGGATGAACAAGACGACTAACATAACAAACCAAGACCTCTTCTCAAACACGCCTACGACCGCGGAATCAATACCTGGGACACTGTGAGTCCTTTCCCCTTTCCCCCCCCCCATCCTTTCTCTTCCACCCCTAACCACTCTCTCCCCTCCCAGGCCGACGTCTACTCCAACGGCCGCAGCGAACAAATCATCGGCAAAGCAATCGCCGAATACAACATCCCTCGCTCCCGTCTGGTGCTGCTCACAAAATGCTATTTCGGCGTCACCGACGACGACAACACCACTCATCAACCCAAGATCCCAGAAATGATGGACAATGACGGGGAATTGGTCAATAGGGTAGGGTTATCCAGGAAGCATATCTTCGATGCAGTGGAGGCTAGTGTGAAGAGATTGGGGACGTATATTGATGTGTAAGTTTTTACACCAAAGAGAAAAAAAGACAACACCTTTTTTCTTTGTGGAATGGGGAAAGGGGAGGGGTTGCTAATGTTTTTTTTTTGAGGGCGAAATAGGTTGCAAATCCATCGATTGGATAGGGGAGCACCCAAGAAGGAAATCATGAGGGCTTTGAACGATGTGGTTGAAAAAGGATGGGTCCGCTACATCGGTGCCTCTTCAATGGCCGCGTGGGAATTCCAAGAACTGCAGGTAAAGTATTCTCCTTCTTCTTCTTCTTCTTCTTCTTCCTCCTTCAGCGCCCCCACTTTCCCCCTTCTGTTGTTATTGTTGTGAATGGTCATGCTGATATCTGGACCCCCCTTTTGCAAAACAGAATATTGCAGAAACCAACAACTATCATAAATTCATCAGCATGCAGAACTATCACAACCTGCTCTACCGTGAGGAAGAGCGCGAAATGATTCCTTACTGCAAACACACCGGTGTAGGCTTGATCCCCTGGTCCCCCATGGCCAGAGGTGTTCTAGCCCGCCCCTGGAACTCTCGCTCTTCGATCCGCGAGTCCTCGGATAACACCCTCAAAGCTTTGATCCGCAACAAAGAGACGGAAATCGATCAGAAGATTGTGGGAAGAGTGGAAGAGGTGGCAGGAAAGAAGGGGGTTAGTATGGCGGCGGTAGCTGTGGCGTGGAGTATTGGAAAGGGCGATATTCCGATTTTGGGCTTGGGGAGCGTGGAGAGGATTGATGAGGCGGTGGAGAATTGCAAGGTTAGATTGACAGAGGAGGAGATGAAGTATTTGGAAGAGGCTTATATGCCCAAGGCTGTCACCGGATTCTAGATTGGAACAGAGGAGGGCATGGATGTAGAGGATATAGAATATAGAGTATAGAAAAGTGTATCATTACTATCAAAAGCATTTAATCAGTGTCATATCCAATTCATCCAACTTTTTCTGCACACAGCGATATGAGTTCTGCTTAGTAGGTGCCAGCCTTGCCTGCACAACCCATAGCATCGATCCAGCCCTCACATTGCTTCTTGATCAATTCGGTACTTGTCTCGACCAGCTCGGTCAATGGAACTTTGCCAGTCTTCTCAGCCGTGTAGGCAAAGTAATCAGACAGGACCATCTTATTGACATTGACACGAGTGACACCTCTCTCGATACACTTGTTCAAAATCGAAGGGATGAACTCGTTTGTGCCGTGCAGTACGATTTGGACTCTACCATCGACCTTCTTTTGGATAGATTCGAGACTGTCGATCAACATCAGTATCAAGTAATGGTGACCGAGAGAGATGGGGGAGGAAAGACATACCGCTCATAGTCCAAATGAATATTCTCCACACCATGATAATCACCATGCACATTTCCAAAGGCCGGTGCCAGGAAATCAATCCCCGTGGCAATGAAATCGTCAACTTCCTCCGCCGTAGTCATCATGCCTTCCAACTCCGCAGTATCCTTGACTCCATCTTCACCACCCTCAATTCTACCGGGCTCTGCTTCGGTAGCGATGCCCTTCTCATGACACAGCTTGACCAACTCGGTAGTCTTTGCCAAATTCTCCTCCTTTTCGTAGTGAGACATGTCTACCATGATAGAGTCGAACATGGGTGTGCCGTCATGTTTCTTGAGGTTTGCGGCTTTCTTGATGACTTCGGGGTCTTGTGCGTGATCCATATGAAGGGTTACGGGGACGGAGGCGGCGGCACAGGCTTCGGCTGCGGCAGAGACGAACGAGGGAGAGTAGTGGAGTGCCCATGGGAAGAGGAGGATCTGGAGAGGTGCCTTCTTTGACTCGGCGGCGCGGATGGCGCCGATGATAGTTTCGAGGTTGTAGGATACTACACCGAGGACGCCATATTTGCCTGCGGCTGCTGCGTTGAGCATGCGGACGGCAGGATTGTTGCTAAGTTTTTGGAGGGCCATTATTGCGGGGTGTGTCGATTGGGGATTGGATGTGGTCAAGTCTTCTTCTTTGTTTGCAGGAGCTTCTTCTTTTGAATTTGTATAGGGGATGGTTGAAAGAGAAATCAAAAAGGTAGGTATGGAAGGTACGGCAATTATTGTTCTGTCGGTGTTCGAGGATATATAACGAGGTCATTGCCCCGCTATATACCCCACCGGTCTTCTCCCCGGTTGCCGCATCCCGCGTTGCCCACCTTGGGACTTCCGAATCATTCTGCCGAGAGGGAAATGTGGATGCTTCTTCCTTGCAATGGTCATCGAGGTATCTGGTAATTTTGCCGGAATGGCATTTCGGTATGATCATATGCCGATGTTATGCACAATCAGCGACGGTGCATTCTTGTATGTAGTCTATAGAGATACTGCGTTTCATATATACTGAGTATCAGGCGTGAACCGAGAGGCTGTTGGGGTTTGTTGATGAGAAAAAAACATGTCAGAGCCAAAAGGAAGGAGACACAAATAGGAACACCAGAAATAGAATGCTTTTGCATACGTAGCTTCGTTCAATATTGACAGTGAGGCATTAATCATTACCAATTGGATGAATGCAGATTGAGATGGGTCTGCTCAAGAATGCTTTCCAAGAAGCTCGGCTCTCGGAAACTGCCATGGTCGAGTACGCCGGCAGTCTGACGTGCTATAACATGTCCAAAATGGGATAAAACAAGGTCTCTGACTAGGAGACTATGCGTTGCAGGCGGAATGAGGTACGCTGGCACTGTGCCATGCAAAGTCCAGGAAGAAGTCCACTCAACCGTCCCATGTGGAAACCGCAGTGATCAAGGCTTGCATGTTGAGATGCTTCGAGATCCAACTTGACGATTACCGTACTCGTGAAGATCCTGGATGCCCTTAGGCGATCAAGAGAGCCATGACTGGTTTGAACTTTCCAGGCTTGCCCAGTGCCTTGTCCTAGTGGGCATGACCATTCTCAGGGACCTTCTCTTCGACTTCGACATACTTGGCGCAGGCAAAGTAGCCCTTGTTTTCCACAACTCCTCGATTCTTGACAACTGCGGTGTACTTGATGACCCACTGGGGAACAACCTGGCCTTGCATCTTTTTTCCGTTGTCTTGACGCTTTCGCTTCTCACCAACCTTTTGCGAGGCTTGCGAGAGAACACCGGCTCCTTCATAGTCCAATAGTGATCTGATGGTACCGCGAGGCATAATGTTGACCGAGTCATTGTTGACAAGCAGTTCGATGCTCTTGCTCTTGGCCAGGCTGGAGAGAGGCTGAGGAACGCTGCAGCAGTCACGTAGACTGATCTGGTTGACTGAAGGCTGGACACTTGCCTTCTCGAGGAAAGGTCCCAGTCGGTTCGCGCCAAACTCGGATACACCAATTCGTCGCACCAGGCCGTCCTTGTGCAGTCTCTCGACCAATCTCCAAGTCTGAAGCTGACCGTCCACAGGTTCGGGGGAAGACTCCTTGGTTCCTCTACTCTTGATCTTGTCCGGGCAGCACTCACTCTCTTCGTCGAAGTAGACACCAGGGAATGAGACAATCAGGAGGTCGACATTGGGCATGTGAAGTTCCTCCTTGACAAGGTCGACGGCTTGACGAAGGTGTTCTTCTCTTGCAGACGTGTCTTCGTCTGAAAGGAAGAAGATCTTTGCGGTTATATCGTACTGTTCCCTCTCTTCGTGTAGAGAACTGTTGCTAAAGTCGAGGCGTGGTATGAACATGGTTTTGCCGTCATCCGAGTATGAGATCCAATCGAAGTCGTGCGAGGCATCATGTTGTTTGACCGTCTCTTGAGATTGAGCCTGGGCTTCCTGCCTTGCACCCTCGAAGTTGTCGCGTAGGCTCCATGTAAGTTCGGTGTGAGAATTGTCGGCGGCACCCACGCCTTGCTGAAGCATGGTGTTGCTATGAGAGATGAGTACAAGCTGCCATGACACAGTACAGTGAGGATTACCCAGTGGAAAGAATAATTGTCTCGGCCGTCATGGTTGAGGAGGATTTATAAGCGGGAAACGTAGGAAATAGGAAGGACGCTCAAAAATGCAGCAAATGGACAGAAAAGCAGAAGACAATAGGTTGCAATGAGGGTGCAATGAGGAAGAATCAGGCGGGCAAAGCGATATCGCGTGAGTGGTTGTAGGTATGGCAGTGGAAAAAGGTGGAGGGTGGGATGGGATTGTATGATTCGGGGATGATGCGAGGAAGCCGCAATCGCCGAGGTCGCCCGAAAGCCAAAGGCAGGAGCGACCGTCGACTGAAAGTCTGGAGCAACAGCCAGCCTTGTGACTGACAAGCTGTTACATTCAGGAGGGGCATTCTTTTCCACAGAGCAAGCTATTCCCCACTTGCAACCACCAAAATGGCCATCAAGTATGTCGCATCTTCTGTCCGAGCATATTGAACCAGACTGATGCCCTGCCCAGATACCTCATCCTCCTGTCAAGACAGGGCAAAGTTGTGAGTGCAGCGTCTTGTGCTCTCTCCCAAGGCAGGAGCTAACAGTCACGCAGCGCCTCGCAAAGTGGTTCACCACACTGTCGCCCAAGGACAAGGCAAAGATTATCAAGGATGTCTCTCAGCTAGTCCTTGCACGTCGCACGCGCATGTGCAACTTCCTCGAATACAAGGGTTGGTCGCATCGTGTCCCCCACCCACGCACCAATCCACAAGCTGACTGATTATGTCAAGATTCAAAAGTTGTCTACCGCCGCTACGCTTCCCTCTTCTTCATCGCCGGTTGCGCATCCGACGACAACGAGCTCATCACACTGGAGATTGTCCACCGCTATGTCGAGCAGATGGACAAATATTACGGCAATGTCTGCGAGCTCGATATCATCTTCAACTTCCAAAAGGCATACTTCATCTTGGATGAGCTACTGCTAGCCGGCGAGATGCAAGAGAGCAGTAAGAAGAATGTACTCAGGTGTATTGGACAACAAGACAGTCTAGAGGACATGGAGGTACGCACAATCCGCTCTGCACCCATCCTGTCGCATCCGCCCTTCCACCGACTGGATTTTCCCATCGACACACATCCCACTCACACCTCCGCCAACACAAAGCTGGCACCTGCCAACACATACTGACATTATTCCCAGGTTGAAGACGAAGCCGTCACGCGCATCATGTAGAGGCAGCCTTTCAACAACACTGTCATGCTCATGGCCGCCTTTTCATCCTTCACAGCACTTCCAGCATTTATGGCGTTACATCGGAACAGGAGTTACTGGTGGTTTTGTGATTTGCATTCGGACAACGATACCACAACTTGTGCATTACTAGCAATTCAAATGAGTGTCCCTCGCCTTAGGCAGGGCTTCCGGGTCTTAGACCTGCTGCTCAATTATAATGACCATCCAACGATTGCCTTTTTGGTTCAGGCTCTTGGTGTGACTCTGCTGCTCTTGCTCTTGCTACTGTTCCTGTCCTCTTCTTGTTCTATTGGTCTGATGCTATCGCCTTCGACATGACACGACTGTCTCTATTGTTGACAGTTTCTCTTGGTATATTGACCTTGTCTCTTTTTAGGTTCAGTCTCGACTCAAGGTCTCCTTTTCTCCGACGTCGAAACCACCACCGAAAACAACAAAGAGAAATTCGACAAGGGACCACGTTCTCGTCGTGTTGGTCGATGCACCATGTATCAATGTTACGGTTTTCCAGGCCTGTCGCATGTTGGAGGTCCGGGCGTTATCATTGGCCAATTGGCCAACAACCGTCTCATGGCGTCACGTCACCAGCGCCGAGGAGAGGCAGCCGCAACCGACCTCGCTCGACCGCGCTCTCGCGACAACGTCCGCTCACATCACCAGCTGCTCTACCACGACGACTCCTTGCTCCTTCGCATCGCCCAGCGATTTATTATTCGACTCGTCACATTTATCAACATCACCAACACAGTGCGACACCCGTCCACTCGATTATCCGCTTATCACCAACCTCCCGACTCTCCTTGCGCCCACCCCTTCGACCGTCGCATCCCATTGCGCGTTCCACAAACATCTCTTTCACCAAGCTGGTCACTCGTCCAGCAAACATCCGGACGACTTTCAGTGTCATCTCACATTCAAACACCCTTATCGCTTCGCGTCGCATTCGCCTAGCAACGGCGCATCAACCTCCAGGATGAAGGTAAGCTCAACATCAACGCGACAGCCCCAACACCTCAGTCACTTCTACCCACTCGCCATACTTGCATCACAATGCGAATTGCAGTGCCTTTTGGTTCCTTATCGCAATGCATCAAAGCCGTTACATCGGGCCGGCTTCACCATGACTCAATTGTCGTGGTAGTATAATGACCACGAGTGAAGGCCTGACAAGCCTTGATGCGTTGCGATAGAGTCACCAACTGATGACTTGAGGCGCTGGAAGCGAGCTTTTTTGACACATTGCTAACGAACTCACAGTACGTCCCTCTTCGCGACTTCCAAGTCATTACCGATGCCCTGAACTTCTCGACAACCGACCTACACGTTATCGGTAGCTGTGATCTCTACACGACAAAGGCTGCCGGCAGCGATAAGAAGTTGTACAAGAACATTGAATCCTCGCTCGAAAAGGAGCATGGAAACCTCCTACGCTTGGCCGCATCGCTATCGCCCCCTTCAATTCCTATCGACAGCAGAAAGAAAGAACGCAAGCCGTCAATTCACATGCCAGAGATCAATCTCTCCCGCGATAGCCCTTTCGGATCATTCAACCAAATCAGTGCAAGACGCACATTTGCCTACTTGATCGCAACGCTCAACGCCTCACACCCAGACTACGACTTCTCACACATTCTCCGACCTACGGATTTCCGTAAGACAACAGGTACAGCAATCAGAAGAAGTGTGGATAGTACCCTCATGAACATGCGTCCTCGTCGCATGTCTACACTTCTATCACCCCACGCCAAATCGTCTCTAAGTGCTGGTTCACCTCAAGGCATTACATCACCAAATGCCGAATTTGTATGGGGTGAGCAAATGTGGAAGCTGATCGATAAGGAGATGGATCTTCGAAGCTGCGAGAAGTATACGTGGGACCCCGAAGACGATCCTTTCGAGGCAGAGAGCGCACTTTGGAGCCAACATTACTTCTTCTTCAACAAGGACAAGAAGAGAGTTTGTTACCTCAACTTCCGTTCGTTTAGTGTCTTGTCACATTCGCCTGCCAATGGCATGCATATGCGCACCGTCCCGATCACCAACCCTGGAGTTGGTGAGGGAGCCGGCAAAAGAGCCCAGTACTGGCTCGGTCACAGCGTCGATGACAACGACGTCGACGACTGGAGAGAAGACGACGATATCGAGTTTGAGGACTCGATGAGCATCGACAATGACAGTAATGAGGGCGAGTACAGAAACGACCTCGATGATGTCCGCGACAAGCTTGAGGAGGGCTACTACGCATGGGCTGACGGTACTGTCGACTCGAATGACGCTTCTGGCTGGGATCCCCGTCGTATCCATCGTGGCTCTAGTGAGGGCCCGGCTGATGCGATGGAGATCTAATCTGCTGAGCGACATCTCACCTCGACGGGTTGTTTCTCTCTGTCACTTTTCATGAACGCTGGACGTCGATTTCTTGTTGATACTAAGTTATAATTCTGGGTTGGCGTGGTTTACGGTTGGCAGGCAATGGCGTTTTCAGTATGGCGTTTCTGGCGTGTTTGTTCGAATGAACTCATGACTATACCAGGCGCAGGGACTTGGAGTGGGAATAATCAAGTGATCCTACTCTGGATAGTTGTGTTCATAGCTTTTATATTGTTCTTTACACCTGAGTTTGCTCGCATTAAATCATTCTCAAAGACGCGGTTTCACGTAACACCTTGATGTTTTAATGCAGTGACAGCATAAATCGAGCGTAAATTTGAGCGATGCAATATCAATGCCGCGCCACCCGAGAGCGATCAGATCGAGATTCACGATTAGCAACGAGATCAAGAGACCCTGCAGCAGAAGACACCCGGTATTGAGCAGCCACAAAATATGGTACGATAAAAATAAAATCGAGGGGTGGAAATTGAGAAAGGGTTCAAGGAAATCCACCCAAGCTCCTGCATCATTTCATCTTTTTGCGCCTCCAACCATTGACCAATCGCAACTCACGTCGCCAAGTACCGATTGCATCCTACGTACTCTCGACGGGATGGATTCTTCAGAAGACGAGCAACAGTCTGTCTATACTGTGCTGGTCACGGGCGCAAATAGGTATGCGACCAAACACCACCCCTACCTTACCTGGGGGAGCAATCGACTAACACAACAATAGTGGCCTAGGCTTCTCAACCTGTTGCCGTCTTATTGACGAATTCCTACACTCGCGACCGCAAACGCAAACCCTCCAACTCATCATAACCACACGCTCAACCTCCAAGAACAAAGACACCCAAGCACGTCTTCACCAACACCTCCAAAAAACGCTCCAAAAAGCCGACAAGTCGACTCCAGGAATCAGTCAAGTGCTCTCCGCCCGCGTCAAGATATCCGGCGAGCAAGTGGATCTGTGTAACTTGCGCAGTGTCAAAGAGCTAGGAAACAGATTGGTCAAGAGAGGAACCAGACTGGATGTACTCATCTGCAATGCAGGAATTGGAGGGTGGAAAGGGTTGAACTGGCCAGCGGCGATTTGGTCAATGCTCACGGATTGGAAACACTCTTGCACGTACCCTACCTACAAGCTAGGTTTTGTGGGTAGTGTGTCACCCCAAGGCGGCGAGAAAAAGGAAGAGCAGTTGGGAGAAGTGTTTACGGCGAATGTGTTTGGGCATTATTTGCTCGCGCATGCAGTCGCGCCGTTGATGAAGGGTGATGAGACAAAGGAGCCAGGACGCATCATCTGGATATCGAGCATTGAAGCCTACGCTCATGCTTTCAACCCAGAGGACCTACAGGCGTTGAAGTCAGACGCGGCATACGAGTCCTCCAAACGCCTTACGGATCTGCTCATCCTGACCTCAGAACTCCCATCCACCAAACCCTCGACTTCCAAGTTCTTGCAGGAAAAGGACGACCAGCGAAAGCCAAAGATGTATCTGGCGCATCCAGGTGTTTGTGCGACAAGTATTGCGGATCTGCCGTTGGTGCTGTGGTATGCTATGTTATTGGCACAATATATCGCGAGATGGTTGGGTTCTCCATGGCATCCCGTATCTTCTTACTTGGGCGCTGTTTCTAGCGCTTGGCTATCTCTAGCTCCCTTCTCTTCGCTCGCGTCACAAGAGAATAACGAAGGCAAGGCAAAATGGGCGAGCTCGACAGATGTCTTTGGTAATGAAAGAGTCGTACGAACAGAAGTCGGTGGATGGGGATGGGGAGGCAGAGTAGGTGAAAAGGCAGATGGAAAGATGAGGTTGAGTGCGAATAGATGGAGAGGTCAGGAAGATGTCACCAAGGAGTCCAGAGAGGATTTTGAAGTACTCGGACAGAAGGTCTGGAAGGAAATGGAGGAGTTGAGACAGAGCTGGGAAAAGAAGTTGGATGTTTGAACCTGTTCACTCCCAAAACTCATTCTATTCTTCAAGCATAAATTCATCTAGACACTACTCCCTCAACAAAAACAATCACATATACCATCCACCGAGTCAATCACTTCGACACCCTCATCCCCCTCCCCTCTGTCAAAAGTGCAAAGATAAAGTACCCTCCTCGCAAGCGCGGGCCGATTCGAACCCGTCACCCCTCGTACGTACGTCTCTCAAGCTTGCTTTCATCCCAAAAAGGGAATTACCTTCAAACCTCAACAAAAAGAAGGCTTGATTGAAATCAAACGATCAGGTGTGTTCCAAAGATTTGAGTAGGCACTGTCTTTGCTCTCCATCCCTGTTTGAATTGGTAAAAGGCAAATTCGAAGTCAGAATAACGGAAGAGCAGTGCTAACTAGAGCAGAATTGCGCAAGTATATATACTGTGAGCCATGGAGCTTCGGGCTTGGCTGTGATGGTCCGTGCGGTGTCAGAATGGACGGGGGTCACCCTGACGCTGAGGTGTGGATTGGAGAGAGCGGTCTTGCGCGGTGGTATCCTATTTTAGACGACGTAGTTATGTGTATCGAATTGCCTCTAGTTCTTATGAGGATTTCTATGCAGTGGCAGTTGGTGGTGGGTAGATGATTAGGTTCGGAGCTGTCGTTGACCACTAAGGTAAACATCCCCTTCCAGTCGTAAGATGTTTCCTTGTCCTGACATCGCAGCTACACTACTAATGAGTGTCAGGTGTAGACCCTACAATCGCAGAACATACATAATCGCCACTTCAAAATAGTAGAAATTACATCACTCCCGAAACAGCAATGCTACCCATCATTGTGATCGTGGGTTTCTTATAAGAAAAAGTCCATCTGCACATTCCTTGAACAAGACACAACTCCTCCAGAGCAGCAATCACAATCAAAATCACTTTGACAACAACGTCTCAAGAATCCCTTATCTACACGAAACAACCAGTCCAACAATCTCCAATAATCCTCTCAGCGTGACACACAAAATGATCGACCGGCAGATAGGAAACTTTACGTACGAAAAGGTCGACCTTTGCGAACACGATGGGACAGGAGAGCGGAGAGAAGCAACGACAATCTCATACTCCCTAAGATCGAAGAAAGCTCTCCTGATTTGATAAACAGTCATGGGAATCTTAGAGACCTGAGACCGTTTTTTTTTTGGAGTGTTTGGAAGTGGGATCATCAGGGGTAGAATACTTGTGATCGATTTCTGTTACGGAGTAGAAACGCAGGTCATCTAGACGGGGATCAGACGGTTAGTAGTAGTAGATTGTCAGAGCGACACAACTATAGCTCCTATCTTGGAGTGAGAGGATAACAAGAGGAATATGGACGATGATGATTGAGAGCAGAGGACAGCAGTTGTGTAGAGTAATAGTGTGTTTGATTTTGAGAGTTTTATCGTAAACCTCCTGAGCTAGCCGAGATATGCAAACATAGAAACCTCCCACAATGCTAGCGAGCGTATGTGATGCATTTGCCCTTGTTTGAGACCGTCCGAAATGGATATCTCCATTCATCGAATTCTCTAGAGTATATGAAAAAAACCGAAAACAAAAAGAACAAGAAAGATAAAGATCTACGCAGCTTCCCTCAACTCATTCGGAGGAAAGGCGGATCAGAATATGGTATCTCTGAAAATGTTTTATGCAAGTAAAGTGAAAACAGAAAGGAAACCAGGTATATGCTTCGACGCCGGACGCTGTGCAGAATTTGAACAAAGGAGAGAATTTCGTGCTTTTTTTTGTGAGTTGATGCAATTCGATCATCGGCCAAGGTCTTGCATGGCGCGGTCCATATCCGTACTGCGGCGGACCTCCTGCTCGATAAGTTTGTCGACTAGATCGGAGTGATGGGCCGACAATTGCTCGGCTGCAGCTTGTGCGGCGGCGGCGTGAGCAGCAGCGGACGATGCGTGGGCACCTGCCAGCAGATAGCCATCCTGACCTTCAAGCTCGAGTGGCGTCACAGGGCCAGGACTGCCAAGTGGTGCAAGTCGTGGGCTCAAAGGCTTCTCGTAGCGAGCTGATTGAGGTCTACCAGAACTTGCGCTTGCGGCAGCTGCAACAGCGGCCTGAGCAGCTACCGTCTCTCGGTGGTAAAGATACAGCTGCTTCTGAGCCTCGGAGTAGAGCCTTTGTTGAGCCTTAGGACTGACCGGAGGGTTGGGAGATGGGTGGCCAGAATTAGAAGCTGTGCCCGGGGTGTTTGCAACCGAGGATGATTGTGAGGAGGGGAAGTTGGCCGGGTGGAAGCGGGGCAGACCTGGCAGCTTGAGGGCATTGGCATTAGAAGAGTTGCGATGGCGCATCTGAGAGCCAGTGGCGGCGGAGCGAGGATGGAGGCCGCGAGGTGATGGGGGTTGTAACTCGTAGCGTGGCGTGGGTTCGAAGCGAGGTGACAGCGGCGACGACGGTCTCAGAGCAGGCGATGCGCGAGGAGAAGGCATTGTGGGAAGGCAGCAAGTCTCAGAATTGATAGTCAGAGGCGAAGGATGTTGGGGATGTTGGAGCATCATTTGAAGATGAGCGAAATTCGAGAAGCGGCGGTCCGATTTTCGAGGTCCAGATCAGCTCATATAAATACAAATATCCTTCGGGCAGTTGCGTGTGTAGTGGGTGGTGCGAGGCAAGTGCGAGCAAACGTTGGTTTTGTTGTCCGGGATAAAAGCAGAAAGAGCGAGTATGGTCCGGAATTTCAAAGGGTTGACCTCTTTCTTTAAATTCGATTGCGGAGAGGGACAGCAGGGGAGATGGATAAGAAGCTTGGTGCTTGATCGAAAGTGAGACGCTTTTTTTGATACAAATTCCCAAAACAAGGGCTCGGGTGACCGACGGTGGGTCCTGCCATGGCATTATTATATCGACCTGTCGTTGATATCCACACACAGCTTCGATACGCGATCGAACGAGGGCCAAACCACCGACCAAGGCTTTCCCCTCACCGAGCACCATCTGCGTCATGCACATCAAGCACGTACGCTTAGGCCGTCAACAGGTACTCGTACCCTCACGCGGCTAGTCCTGACCTCTGATCAAGCACGCCATGTCAAGGTTTCAAACGAGCCAAACCCTCTGACTCTGGAGCGCCTGTCGCAAGTTGTGAATCAAACCTTTTCCAAACCCTTGTCATCCCATTCGCATCAAAAGCACTCCAGAGGCTCAAGTCGAAGCTAAAATCCACCCACGACATAGCCGTTTGGTCCACGTGCAACGTCGTGTCAAATTGGAAGCTGGAAAGAATTGCCATGCCAATATTTCCCTAAAGCTCCAAGGAAGGAGATTCGTCCGCGGTGGACTCTTAGTCCGTCGGTTTGTGTCTGTCACTATGACCTGATGGCACGCAGTGATATCGTCTCCTTGGCCCTTCACCTCGCTCTTCCTGCCTCCTGCACGCTGTCATACAATTGGAGCCGGCTTCACTGTAGCGTTAAGCTGGCCGCGGTTACCGGCACTTGGTCGCATCACTGTCGCGATACCTTCGTCATATCCTTCCCTCCATGCATGACTCCCTTCTGCCAATGCTCTGGTAGCCTCCAATCTCCGAGTGGCTGAGATTGGCTGCGAGAATACCTGCAGCGGTTTGTCAAGCCAAGTCCTTTGCCAATTGCGTTTGTCGCATCTCCAAGGTTTTCGGGAAGTCAGGGAAGAATCGAGGGGCAAGCCAAGCAAGATCACGTTGCCGGACCTGCATCCCGTCATCTCCTTTGCTTTTCCCTTGCCCTTTGCGTCTGCCGCTTTTTGGGCTGCCTTTCCAGGCACGTGATGTCTGCAACAACTCCTCTAGACTCGTCTGATACGTGCATTTGAAGCTGTCATGGAAAGAGGAAAAGTTCGGACTGGGACTCTAGAGGACTGTAGGCGCAGTGCCGTAATCGAAACACCTTTCTGATCTTCCTTCCTACAAGATCAGTCATCCTCTTGCTACGGAAATCGAACTCCCGCGGTGATCTTTTCCTGATTGCACCTCCGCAGCTTTTGGTCGCTTAGACACAACCAACCCACAGAGGGAAGAGAAGGTTGGGCCATGCATGCAGTACGCGACTCGCGAAGAGAGACACTTTTGCGTCGTGGGACAGACAACCAAAGATAGTTGTCCAATCCTTGCCTGCGCGATGGAGCAAAAGATCGTCAAGTTTTCGAGTGTGCGTTCATCAGGTCTGATGTTGCAGTTCTTCGCGCGCGCGCGCGGCTGGGACAACAGCACGGCAAAGAGAGAAGATCGAGAGGTTTGAGCAAGGCTCGGGCAACTTCGATACGCAAGACTGAAATCGCACACGCTTCGATGCGCAGCAACTGCATGTCCGAAAACTGTATCTCACTGGTGGCACCAGTCTGGTGCTGTGCAAGTGTCGCAGTCATGTCTTTGACTGAAAGGGCATTCAGCATCGAGTTTCCTTGCGCCTGCTGAATAATTGCTCTTGAGGTGCTGAGATGCCAATCGTATCGCGCAGCGCAAAGTGCAGCAGCATCTCCGTATACATGTAGCCTCTAGAGAGCAACTCCACCGTCAAGATTCTCTTCTACATCCAAAGATAATATCCCATTTTGTGCAACATGCAAACTCCCAATGCATCCCTTTGTGCAATATTCTGCAAGTATCGTGCCACGTCCGTCAACCTCCGCTCGCTTCTATCTTCCCATCCACAATCCCCAAACTTTCAAGAAAAGCAATCGGCGATGGGATTTTGTCTTCTGCTTGCCCAATTTTACACGACGAATACGACATGGGTTTCCAGCTCTGTCTCGCAAAGCCATACCCGAGGCAACAACTTCAAATCTTCGAGATAAGAGTTGGAAAAGTCAATGCTTGCTTCGTAAGGCAACAGTTTAAGGGATTTAATTCTAGGGGTTTATCTTATTCCCGCAGATCTCATAACGCTGTGGAAGCTCCTTTACGAAATAGCCAAGTGAAGATGGCTATTTTGTAAGAGCTGTCGTATCCAACCATGCGACAAAAACGGTTTCATCTTGTGGTTCTTGGAGCATTACTCGTATCTTCCTATCTCGTTCTTTTTTTTCTTTGATTGCCCGCACACAACAAAGACCCTCATTAAATACTACTGCTTTTGCGAGATTAGACTGGTGAGGATTATCTTTTGTCATATATGAGAAGCGAGTTTCACTCTGCAGGGTAAACCGTTGACGGTTCATCTCCACTATCAAGTCATGAGGATGAAGAGATAGGTAGATATGAGCCCTCGTGTCTGTTTGCTTGGTTCGGATAGGCATGGTAGATTGAAAGTAGGCTGGTCAGATGTGACCTTGGCGTCACCTTGATAGTGATTGGTTGATTAGAAGTAGGACGACTATGCAAGTATTGTCTTCATGCACAAGTACGGAATAGGGTTGATACTGTAGTTTTTTTTATCAATCTCGAATGATCGATTTGAGAAATGGTAGGGTAACATGTTAGAGGGGTAGTTGGTCAGGTAGAGTAGGATAATAGATGGCGTAATTGTCCTATCAAGGCATTCGGTCCCCTTCATCTACTCTTAGCTTGCCAGCGCATATGTCTCTTCTTCATCAACGGTACGGTATCGTTTGAAAATCGATCATCTGGCCAAAGGGCACAAGGGCAAAAGTGATAGAAGGTTTCATAAAAAAACACAGGACGATAAATTTACATTTTGTCAAGAGCAAAGAACGAAGCGACTGGGTTACAATTGATGCTAGTCGACCTTCGTGTTCGCAGAAAAAAGAAGAAAGAGCCCCCTCGGATGTAGTCTATACGTTTACTCCTCGTCGTCGGCGTGCTCCAGGCGACCCTGCTTGGAGTTGAGGTACTCGTTGCTGTTGAATATGTTAGCCTCGAGATTGGGTATTGACGAGTCCGTGAGATGCGTTATTCATATCGACAGTCAAGAAAGTAGAGTCGGGCAAGCCAGGTATGGCGAGAAAGAGAGGTTTCTTCGCCGCATTTGGATTCCCGCATCCAACTCTTGGTGTTGTCTTTTCTGGACATGGAAGGGACAGTATCGGTCGTGCTTACTTCTCGGTGGCCCAGTTCATGAGTTCGTATCCGATAAGCATGGGGACGGCCCAGTAGAGGATTTGACCCTTGGTTCTGCGGTAGGTGTTGAAGACAGCGGCGTGAGCGGCACCGGCGAGGGCACGCTGACGGTTCTGGGCCATGGCGTAGGTGATGATACCACGCTGCGGCGGGGAGCCTGAGCGGAGGACGTTGGTTAGCGATCGTTCGACCAGTCATGTAGGAGTGCGAGGTGGTGGTTGGGATTCGACGGCGAAAGTGTCGTTGGCGATGAATTGCAGGTCAAGTGTTCGGCGGAGGGCGAGTGAATTGATGTCAGATGTTAGGAGTTTAGCATACCAAGGCTGCCCCACCATCCCATGTACCTGAGAGGTCGTCAGCAATGCGCAGTGTGGGATAGACAGTGGTTGATGCGCCGGAGGGCGTGGGCGGTCAATGACTGTCGGGTCGCGGGATTAACTCACTGTCCAGGCTTCTTTTCTCCGCCACCACCCATTGTGATAGACTATGTGTAGATTGAAAGGGGAAAGGGTAGAGTTGAGAGTGGAATAGTATCCGGCTTGCCGTCGTGGTGCCAGTTCAGGATTGAAGTTCGCCATGTCCGTGGTCAGCAAGCCGCTCGGGCCCATTAGCGCCAAGAACCGAAGAACAGCCCGCAACTTGCCAGAGGAAGCGTCGACCGGCGAAGATGCAGAGCGTCACCATCCGAAGCTGTCTCGACATATCAGAAGCTACGCGCCACTGTAAATTCCACAATCACAACCATGGCCGCCAACGCTCTCGGTGCCATCTACAAGTGGGCTGTGCCTGCTGCCCTCGGTCTCTCCTTCGCAAATGCCTCCATGTACGATGTCAAGGGCGGCACTCGCGCCGTCATCTTCGATCGCCTGTCCGGTGTCAAGGAAGGCGTTATGAGCGAGGGAACTCACTTCCTGATTCCCTGGCTGCAAAAGAGCATCATCTACGATGTCCGCACAAAGCCTCGCAACATCTCTACCACCACCGGTTCCAAGGATTTGCAGATGGTTAGCTTGACTCTCAGAGTCCTGCACCGTCCTGAAGTCAAGGCCCTGCCCAAGATTTACCAGGTTTGTTTCTCTACTCTTGCGCAACCAGTCGCATAAGCTCATGTCATCTATTCAGAATCTCGGTCAAGACTACGATGAGCGTGTTCTCCCCTCGATCGGAAACGAAGTCCTCAAGGCCATCGTGGCTCAGTTCGATGCTGCCGAGCTCATTACCCAGCGTGAAGCTGTTTCCAACCGTATCCGTACCGACCTTCTTCGCCGCGCCTCCGAGTTCAACATCGCTCTCGAGGATGTCTCAATTACCCACATGACCTTCGGAAAGGAATTCACCAAGGCTGTTGAAGAGAAGCAGATCGCACAACAGGAAGCCGAGCGCGCACGCTTCATCGTTGAGAAGGCCGAGCAAGAGCGCCAGGCCAACGTCATTCGCGCAGAGGGTGAAGCCGAGTCAGCAGATGTCATCTCCAAGGCTGTGGCAAAGGCTGGTGACGGCCTCGTCCAGATCAGAAGAATCGAGACACAGAAGGAGATTGCTCAGATGATGGCCAACAACCCCAACGTCACATACCTGCCCGGTGGTAGCAACGGCGGTCAGAACGGTGGCCAGGGCGGCAACTTTCTGCTCGGTTTGAGATCGTAAAAAGCGAAAGTGTAAATCTACGTTATACCTTGGGCTGATATTACCACGGCGTTTTATGCGGCATGGCAGGCATGGGCATGAGCAAAACTACCTCTTCTCTTATCTTCTTGTATACCTATCTACGTACGCACGACTAGCGCTTCTCTTTGCTCAATCTTTTTGAAACACAAATGCATTCCCTCTGCTGAAACGCCTTCGCTAATGAAACATGTTAAAACCGAGACAAAAACATTCAGTTCCCTTCCCATCGAAGGGTTTCGGTATAAAACCGCACCAAGGCTTCATATCCTAGCTGATCACCCTGGCGTAGCAACTGTGCTGCATCGATGTTCAACGGACTGTCAGGCTCGGCGGATGTAAGAAGTTGCTGTACAGCTTCTAATGTTTGCTTGACTGAGTACACAGGACTCCAACTAGACTTGAGCAGATCCAGACATATCTCTCCAGTCTTGAAATGTACATTTGGATGGCAGATGGGCGTGACAAATGTGATAGTAGGAGGCTTGTTAGGATAAGTATCCGGGATTATGATGTTGAGTTTCCAAAGACCATCTGTTGGCACTATCAGAACATGTACAGTAGGTTAAAGAAGAGTCGATGTATTACTTTGGTATGCCGTGCCTGTGACACCTTTGAGGATGGCCGTCCAGTGAGTCAGTTCTTCGTCGTTGATAGGACCGAGGTGGAGTAATGCATCACTTGGATCTTTTTCATATGACCGCAGCTCATGCAACAATCTCTTTGTGACTTGCTTCGAAGCCATTTGGTCGTTTGGCTGTTCTGATGAACAGGTACTTTGATGGAGCCTCGGAGTTGGCCTTTGGGAAGGTACGAAAGTGCGGGGAGGAAGATGATGTCGATGAAGCTTGGCATATCATTTGTTCGCCGAATGGGAATTTCTTCCTCCTGTCGCATTCTGTTTCATACCACGACACAATTGAATACAAGATCAAAATCATGACATATCTATCAGCAGAGGTGTCAATGCTCCACAGAGCAGATGGCTCAGCACGATACTCGGCGGCAGGATACACAGTCGTGGCGGCTGTAAATGGACCCATCGAAGTAGGGCGTCGTGATGAGCTGCCTCAGCATGCCGCTCTTGAAGTCAACGTGCGCCCTGCTGTTGGTGTGGGCAGTGAGTCTTGGTCTTTGTCTCGGATCAGAAAGAAGCTCAATATCTAATGTACATCTACAGGTCCCAAAGAACGCCATCTCGAATCGCTCATCAACTCGACTCTCCGCGACATCGTCCTAACCCACATGCACCCGCGTACCATGATCCAGTTGACCCTGCAAATCATCAAGACTCCAGAACAAGAGAACACTCTCCCAGCTTCTTTCGTACGTTCTCAACTGTACAACGTATTGAGCCCAAAGCTAACAATGAAAGCAGGCTCTGTCACCTCTCCCAGCTCTCCTCAATGCCTCCCTCCTCGCTTTCATCAGCGGCAGTATCCCCTTGGCTACAACACTCACTTCAACTCTCTTGGCCGTCTCTCCTTCGGGCGACCTCTCTATTAACCCCACACCCAAAATACTGCTCCAAGCTTCTTCTGCTCATGTATTCGCCTTCTCATCAACTGGAAACCTTCTCCTCGACCTCAGCGAAGGAGAGTTCGATCTGGACACCTGGGAAAAGGCACATGACAAGGCCAAGGAGGAATGCTGTAAGGAGCAGGTCTCGGAAGACGCCATGGAAGAGGGCAAGCCGAGCTTACAGACCTTTGTGGAACGTGTTGTTGAGGGAAGGGTAGAGAAGGAGAGAGCTTGGAAGAATGACTAAGTGCCGCGCCTTGAAAGCTACACCGAAGAACCCTGGACCGAGCGAAGATCCCGAATGTTGAATGAGGGACAATGCAAGCCGGAGAGATGGTACCAGGACCGGGACTCCATGAACAATACAGCAGACTACTGCTCAAGGACCATGAATCTTGTGGAACGAATTCTCAGAGCTCAACAAAACACAACCTCCGCACGTACCCTGGAAAAACATGGACACCAGCAAAATGCAAACCGTAGAACTCGGTCCTGCCACGTTAAGAGTCAACTCTGCGTCAAGCACCCATCACAAAATTCCGAAGCACCGGAGATCGGCCCTACAACAACACTTTGTAGATAATCGACAGACGGGCATCGCGAGGATTCAAGAGGACACATTGTCTGCCAAATGTCCAGGAAACAGCACCATAGACAGCGATAGAGATGAAGCAAATTCTCACATCCATAGTGCTTGTCAGCCAACAAATCAAATGAATCGACTACTCACATTTGCTACCGTACAAAAGACGAATTCGCGTGAAGGGAGCAGTTGAATACATTCATCACTCCTTCCTATGTACTGTTCCGCACACGGGAAAGAAAGGGGCAGGCAGTTTGGTCGCTGGTTCCTCGGCCCATCAATCGCTTCTTCCTTATATCCTTCATCGCTCTACTCTGATCCTTGACAATCCGCTTTCTGTTCCCCCCACTCGATCGGTCTCCTGGCGTGCTCGGCCTTACTCCCTTCCTTGGAGATTCAAGCTCTTCCCTGCCATTGATTGTCGATTTGTTGGACTTTCCTTTGCCTCAAGAAGTTTGTTGCTAGGGTGCTTCCCTGTTAGTTACTCGATCTTTCCTACTTTTCTTCACTTTCGTCCTTGGTTGTAATCATGTTGTCCTAGCTCCTTATTTCGTTGCTCCTGTCTCTTTCCTCACTCTTTTTGCTAAATTGTTCTCTTTCCTCTATTGCTAAATTGTTCCTTTCCTCTATTGCTAAATTGTTCTCTTTTTCTTTCCTCTGTTTAACCTAGACATTTTCCTCCCCTGATGCTTGTTTTTTTTTACCACATCTCCATATTTCACATCCTATACTTTACCTAACCTTCATCTCTGTATCTAATATCTTTATAATCAAGGAAAGCCTCCTCTCTTTCCTTACAAGCATACAATCTTTGAACAAGATGACTACTAATTCAAGAAAGGGAACGAGCAATTAGATCGGGAGCTGCGAGTTCAAGGGAAATGATAATGTGACCGAACGAACAAGGAAGGCATGATAGACCAAATCAAGAAAAAAGTTAATTAAAACCAAATGTATGCTGTAGAATACTATGCTCATCTCATTTAATCATGAAGCGAGAACGTCGAAAACTTAGATCTTGCTCTCCTTGCCATTCAACTCGCAGAAAGCCTTGAAAGTGACCAGAGGCTCATCTCCGATGCTTTCAAGCACGCACTTGGCGGTGGCGCCGACGAAGTATACGTATCCTTCCTTGATCTCCTCCTCTTTGGGACCAACACTGATCTTGCCGGATCCCTTTGTGCAGATGATGATACTGGGGCCGTCGATGGATTCGAAAGTGGCCTTTGCGCCCGACTTGTTGAGGTCAGTCTTGACGACGCTGAATTCCTCGATCGGAGGGTCGTAGAGGGTGGCCGAGGAGCTAGAGCTGTAGGCGGTGGTGTTGAGGGTTACGAAGGGGTAGTCGGTCGGCGACATCTTTTGTTCGCTGATGGGAGCGTAGGAGTAGGTGAGCATATCAGTGAGGGTGTCGACGTCCTTGAACTTAGGGGTGAAGCCAGCACGAACGACGTTGTCGGAGGAAGCCATGCACTCGATGATGTCTGGATCATGTCAGTCAATGAAGAAGCTGGTAGAGAAGAAATGATGGATTACCTCCTGAGAGATAGGCGTGAATGTCATCGGCCTTGAGGAACATGGCCTCGCCAACCTCGAGCTTGACGTAGTTCAGGAAGAAAGAGACGAAGAGACCAATGTCGTTGGGGAATTGACCTTGGAGTCTGAGCATCAAGTCTGAAAGCTCCTTGCCATTGTTTGAAGGGCCACCGTTGCCGGCAAACTTGTCGCCCTCGTCCTTGGCTTGTTGAATGAGATCTTTGGCGTGCTTCTCAATATCCTCGGGTTTGCTCTCCATGAGACCACGGAAAGCAGCCTGCAGCACCTTCTTGTTTTCCGAAGTCTTGGATTCGTCTTCTGTTGTCTCCTGACCCTTGACTGTCTCTTGGAACTTCTTTGCCTCATCCTCGCCTACCAGGCTTCTCAAACTGGGTACACTGTCGAGGAAGTGCGAGATCTCAGCGAGTGGACGGAAGCCGCAGAGACCATCGAAGGGAGTGATGGCAAGAGCCATTTCGGGCTTGTGGTTGTCATCCGGGTAGTTCTTGGAGTCTTTCTTGTGTAGCTTCTCGGCCAGCTTCTTGTTGGGGTGAGCCTGGATGGAGAGAGCCTTGTTGACGGACAGGACCTTGAACAGGAAAGGCAGCTTCTTCTGGTACTTTTCCGAAATCTCCTTGGACATCAAGGCTTCATTGTCTTGGACGAGGTCGAGTAGGGTGCGTTGTGTCTGCAGATCCTTGGAGGGGTTGCTGGGGTGGGTGCCCATCCATAGCTCGGCGTAGGGCTTCTCTTCCTCGATGCTGAAGTCGGAAGGTGTGGCAGAGGCGAAGCGGGCGGCAGCGGACTGCTTTCCGACCTTTCCTACAGATGTCCATCAGTATTTTGCATGGATTGTGATGATTGTCGCAAAGGGCCTTTACCCCACTCATAGCTATTGCAGCCTGCAAATCGTCATGTCAGTCTTGTCTTGTATTCAGTCTGTGCACAACCCTTCTTACCGCATTGCAAGCGAATTAGTGGAATCTGCATGTTTGAGCGTGTTTCGAAAGTGATGCGACGAGGCAAACAGCTTCCTCGTGTTCGATATATGCAAAAAAGAAAGGGGTGATGCCCAGCCACGTCACAGCTGACCACATGCAAACACTGAAGCTTCAAGCGGGGCAACTGCCCCTTTCGTCAGGACTTTCGACATGAACTTCTCGACCGCGACTCCCCTATCACAGTCCGTTTCCGTCCTGCGCGGCAACAGCAACCTTCGCCTTCTGCCCCGGTATAACAGTATGGAAGATAAAGAACTCGAAGCTACGCCCGCTTTGACGACGCGTCTCGCTCCGCGTCTAATTGCGAGCCAGACCGATGGTAAAGAGTAAGTTTGAGTTGGCTCATTCGACCACATCTCATGGCGTTTCCCTAGAATATGCTCAACCCGTGCGAACACAATATCCATGTTTCTGGACAGTATGGTATAAGTATTCGACATAGCGGCTGGTTTCCCTTGTTTCCTTTCTTCCTTCTCCACCCACACCTACATCATGCCCTCAAACTCTTGCCTCAAAGCCAGTCTACTGGCTCTCCTAGTCGGTGGAGCCACTGCTTTCCCCACCGTCTCTTGGTCCAATCCATTTGCTTCAAGCAAAGACGCCACCCTCGTCGCGAGACAATGGGTAGATGAACCCACACGCAACCTCTTTTGCAGGTACAACCCAACGTCCTGCCAGAAGCAATTCCCCGGGTNTCGCTCGCAACGACATCTTCAACATCGCCGCCTCTGCCGACAAACTCCACCTCGCCGCCCGTCAAGAAGCAGACCCCAAACGCTCACCAACAGTAGACCCACCGGTATACGAAAACGAGACAATCCTGTACCCCGACCCACCGGAAACCAGACCCGTCCCTGTAACACGCGATTGGTGCGACCACCACCCTCACCACTCCTACTGCAGCAGCCAATGGTGCATGGATCACCCTAACCAGTGCAAAAACGCTCTCGACCCTAACCCGCCGCATGAGCAACGTGCGTTGCGCTGTGCTGAGATCTACAAGCTGGATTGGAGGCAGTATGGCGAACTGCCCCAGGGGTGTCAGTTGAAGTGTCTCGACGGCGGAGACAGAAGGGGAGAATGTGATTTCAGGACTCATGAGTGGTGCGAGCAACACCCTGATCATAGGGATTGTGAGGTGCCTACTTAGGTTGCTTGCTGACTTGTCTGCCTCCACTTTGCTCTGATTGCAATGGCGCTTCTGCTCTATACTTCCCTTCCCCCTTCCCGTCACTCTACTGTTCCTTCACCTCTCACGCTCGCTCTACCGCCAGTATGACGACTCCGGCGTTGATTTCAGACGTTTCTTCCTTCCCGACTACCCTTCTTCCCTACTACACTTTCTTCCCTATTTCACTTCCTCACCTGCTTTTCTATCCTCCTACACTCGCTCTATACCCCCCCAGTCCCCTTCACTTAACCACCACTTTCACAACAACTCCCCCCCTTGCTTTTCCCAAACTCTTCGATACCTACAGATATATAAACCAAAAAAAAAATCCTAGTCTCTTTTTTTTTTTTTTTTCATACATTCTGCAACAAAGATTGCTTTTGTCTACGGATATATTTGCTTCGTGCTCGCAGTGATAGATCACTTCTTCCCCTTCAACATCAGTGATTGTGGGAATTTCTGTATATCTGGTCATACATAATCTGTGGTTGAAAAAACAGATGAATAAACAGCCAAGGGGGATTACCTATATAACATTGGCATCTAATGTCATCACAAAAGACCCACAACATCCAAATCTCTGATGTACAAGCTGGTGACGTTGGCATACGTATACCCAAATCATCCAGATCACTTCCATGAAGGGTAATGAAAGGTGTCGTTGTATCTGCTGAGGTCGGATCAAGACATGAGAGACAGAACAAGACAGGAGTATTATTCTTGATGGTTTGTCATTTTATCAGATTAATGGAATTAATTGATTGTTGTTGTACTCGCTGTGTGGGTAATACAAATTTACATAAAAAGGAGTCAAAGAAAAGGAGATAAGAGTAAGTGCTGTAATGGTGAAGAAAAAGTGATATGATCCGATTTCTTCATCTCCTTCTTATTATTAAGTAAAAAAGAACAAAGGATATGAAGAAAGACCAGAAAACATCGGGTTATCAGAAAAGGAATAGGAAAGACCGGAAGATTGTGTGACCTCCTTTCTTTCCATCTTTGTTTTACCAGACATGAGGAACAGGCTCATCGCTCATCGTCAATCCACCTGACGCATGTTTGAGAGAAGGGAGCAAGTCTTGCCCGTCCTCTTCGCAGAGTAAATGTCGTCAACTTGACGATGTCGACGTAGGCGACTGGAAGGGTGTGCTGCAATGCTAGACGATATAGCTCCATGAAATCCAATCAGACATCCGAGAGCCAAGTAAGGACAGTGCTCTACATCTAAGCACCGTTGTTGTTCTTGTTCCTCAGGCCAATGGTAAGACCAACAGCCAGACCAACGATGATGATAATGATGAGGACAATGAGCAGGCACCACCATTTCAGGCGGCGAGCACGGCGGGCATGTGTGATACCCTTGTCGAGCTGAACGTTGCCAGCCTCCGTGTCCTTCTTAACGTTCTCGGTGTGCTGCTCGGCTTGCTGGATCATGGGTTCCTGGATGACAACGGCCTCGGCGAGATCCTCGAAGAGCTTGTTCAACTCGATCAAAGTACGCTCAATCTGCTGAATGTCGTTGTGACGAGCACGCACAGCACCGAGGACGGTGCTGGCAGTCGCGGAACGGTTGGTCTTGAGCTATATACAGAATTAGCATGTGCGACCAAGGCATTGGCAGAAGGTAAACATACAGCAGTCTGGAAGACACCCTCGTTGCCCCAGTCAGCGTTGGAAGCCTCCTGGACCTCGGCATCGGTAGCCTCGGGGTTGACGATGCGGTATTGACGGGCGATTTGCTCACGGTAGCGGCGCTCGTAGCTGGCCTCCTCGTTGCGGTACTCCTCAAGCTGCTTCTTGAAGCTCGTCTTCAGCTGGCCGACCTGGCTGTTCTTGATGTTGTTGTTACGTCCACTTCTGGCAGCGTCGGTCTCGAGGAACTTGATCTGGTCCTTGATGGAAGTGTTGAGTACCTGGGTCTGGGTAACAATGGACTCGAGGGCCTGGTTGGTAGAAGCATCGGGGCTGTTGAGAGTGCGCTGATGGGCAGAAGCAATCTCGGAAATGTATTGGGTCAATTGGCGGATGTCGGCTTTGGCTGCCTCGACGCGCGCAAGGAAGTCCTGGTTGCTGAGCACAGTAGGCGCTGCCTGTTGCATTGGTGCTTGCGATCCGGTGGCCATACCGCCGGCTTGCGCAGCGGGGACTCCATTGGCGGGAACTCCGGCAGCTTGCGGTGTGCTGTACTGCGAGTCCTGGGTCATGGCAGAGTAGTTGGACTCACCCTGGCGAGTGGGTGCCGGGGGCTGGAGAGGCTGCTGCTGGTCGAAATTAATACATTGACTGTCGCCACAGTCGGAATAAACATACATCGCTGTACGACTGTGCGTAAGGGTTTGCTTGGCCGTAGCCCTCGGTGCCATAGGGGTTGTCTCCATCGCCGTAAGGGTTTCCGCCGTAGCCCGAGTATTGGTTGTTGTTATTGTATGCCATGTTTCTAGGCGAGCGCAATTGGAGCGCAAGTAATTATTAAGATGCTGGCGTAAAGTTGTTTCTGTAGCGAAGAGAGCGTGGACGACGAAAGAGTGAGATGGCGTTGCGACTCGACGACACGTGCAAAGGGCGGTTATTAGGCAGGAGCGACGACGGTCGGTTCACAAATGAAAGCACGCGACGGAAGATTGAAGTCCTCGAGGAAGGCGCGACGACGACTGAGCAGAGGTGGAAAAATGGGTTGAACAGGCAGTCAAGGTTCGTGATTGAGCGCTTTGACGAGCGAGCGACGGATGCAGCGACTGGTTGGCCAACCACAGCAACGTCAGGTTTCCCAGACACACCCGCGCAGCACTGATCGACCGAGGGACGCCACGCTCAATTTCCCGTCTGCACAACCATAACAATCGCCTTTTTGTTCATCCATCATTGTCTTTCCTACCAGCTGTTTGCTGTGGTTCTTCACTGCGTTGCAAAGGTCACGCCTCTTCTTGTATCAGAGAGAGAGAGAGATCGATCGAAACAGAGTGCCCAACTCTTCTGCATGCAGCCCGTCATGAAACGGTGATCAACGTGCAAACTGGACGCCTGTGCATGCTCCTCTCTCTTCGTACTTCCAAGTTCCTGGTGTTGCAATGGCAGTTTCGCCATCATCCTTGTTTTACATCTGTCAGACATTGTTCTTCGTCATATTCGCCGCCCATCACCATCGTATTGTGTCGGCAATACAATGACGATGAATACGGTATGGAGGGCTAGGCTGCCGCCCCCAGGTAACTCAATCGGCGCTCTGGTAACCACGGCATTTGAACACTGGGGAAGTGACATACAGCCTCCTTGTGTACAAATTTTCATCACAATCGCCATCTCAGGACAATTCTTCGAGACACTGATGCAGTAGGTAATGCAGAACGGAGTTCGTTCTATGGTATCCTCCACAGAGGCCAGCTCTACGATACGCTCTCACTGGACATGGCCTGAATCATAATCGTTGTGCATTTCGATAGCTGCACGTGTGACAACACCGCGAAAAGGTAGTTCACAAAATATGGAAGATGTCAAATGCTTGCGAGAATTCTTCTATTCTGCCTCTTGCGAGATCTTGTCCGTGGCGGACCTAAAACTATTGTACAGTAACATGGGGGGAATCTCTAAAATCCCAGACATCATCATCCATGAGTCTCGACCGACCAACGCCATACTAAAAACACATCCCATCATGAAACTCCTCCTTTGAACCCAATTGTCATCCAATCATAAACCCGTAAACGCACGAAACATGCATGCTTGAAGTTGTCTGAGCAAAGAATGCTCGCATTACATCTCGAGATCGTCAAAGTCTCTCATCATGACGGCCATCTGGGCACGCTTGGCAGCCTCAGCAAGAAGACTGAAGTCTTGCAAAAAGGGCGATGTGTCGTTGAGGCCTCTGGGTCTTTGCTCTTCGGAGAAACTACCGCGATGTTGTTGAGGGAACTGGGGCATTTGCTGGTAGTAGTTGTTCTCTTGGTTCATTGAAGGCGGTAACGAGAAGTGTTGAGATTGGCTGGAAGGCGACGACACGGGGGCGGCAGAGACCAGAGTAGGTGATTGACGCGAGCTCATGTTGGTTTGGCTAGGGCTGGTGTTGATGGAAGCCAACGATGACAGGCTGGCCGAGGACGTAAAGGTTGATTGGTTGTATGAGGCCTGAGGGTAGGAAGGTCTCTGGTGGGCGTAGAAGTGTTGGTTTGATTGAGAATCCATTGCTTTTGGGAGGAAACAGCAAGACTGATAAACTGGAGAAGGTTTGTGGAGGAATGCGGAGAAGAGTGTGGCCAGGGGAGGGCTGGATTTAAGAGCTGAAAGAGTCGGCGATGACGACTGCAGGGGCGTGTGGAATCGACTCAGTCGAGGGCGATTCAAGTAGGGATTGGCTTCAGGGACCAGTCTGCTCTCGGCCGACTAGGGAATAACGAGTCGTGTGTGGAAGGAAAATGAGCCGAGGGAAGATCTAGCGCTCAAAGGGCTGCTGCAGAAGCCGGCTAAAGGCGAGCGATTGGCAGAGGGCGGATGGAAGGACGGGCAAAATCCGCGTGATATGCGCACGCGAATCGTTGTCGGATCGGCGACTACCTGGGGAATCTGGGGATTGACGGGTGTAAAAGCAAAAAGGCTGATGTGCTAGGCGCTCCGAGGGTGTGGTGCTTTGTTTTGATGGACAGGTGGATGTGACGGAAACAGCTGGTGGACGATGGGAGAAAGGACGGAGGGAAGAAGAGGAAAGAAATATAGAACTTGTCAGATCTTGCTCGGCCCTTCAAACTATGGTGGATCGCCTCATCCCCCACATACAGCAACGACGAAGAACCCGCAGTGACCCGTAACCCGCATCTTACTGCCGGGCCGACAGTTTGCCATGAGGTGATGCTCTCGCGCTATCTACCAAAAATCAGATTCTGCCGAGTCGGAACGCAATTTCTCCTCCTCGAGAAAGGCCGGGGAAGGCGCGCGCTTGGTGCTGTTTCCGACTCGGGGTAAGTGCTGGGCAGACGTAGGCAGCCGCAGAGAAGACCGAAAGATTCAAGCGACTTCAAAACACAAACATTCTGTGACAGCCGCCGTCATGCACGTGAGTTGATCGTGGTCTATGTGGGTTACAAGTAAAACAAAAGGACTGCTCTGCATGGACGATCAGTCTGTCTATCACAACAAGCAGTCAGGCGTGACCTGGTCATGAAGAAGCATCTGGACGCGACGACTCATGGAACTATGGCCTAGATTTCTGTTTGGCATGAGGACCATTCAAATCAGAACAACAGCGACAGTGCTCATGGTCATGGGATAGTATCAGAAGTCGAGCTCTCAGTGGTCCCCATCCAAATCTCCAATATCATTGTGCATCTTGATAGATAGTCATATCGACCCTCCCAAGCATGGAGATACATCCTCCTTCATTCGGCTCAAGCAGGAAGAACCGTATCGAGGACCTCAGTCTACTTTCTCTCCAACGGCATCGATACTGCCTATTGCTCTTCGGTAGAAGGTCGACATCCGCGCGTCGAAACAAGTTGATCGTCCAAGACACGACAATCGCATGTAATATGTTCCATCTTAGCATCAAACCTTGTCCCACCACACACACTCATATAGTCCGATCGTGCACATGGAGTCAATAAAGAGCTGTTGGCTGACTTAAACCCTCTCCTCCATCTATAAGAGACCGTTGTCTTTACAATGATATGCTTAATTGCCCTGAACTGGTTTGCTCATGCATCTTCGGCCCGTATCATACAAAGCATCAAAAGGCGACTCCCGAAGCGAAAAGGATCCAATATTTGTCCCCACCGAGTAAGGGCAGATCTCGGTTGTGGGGTGATGCTGGGGAAGATCCACATTCCGGTTCCTTCTCGTCTGCTATTTCTGCTTCAGAAAAATTATCCTATCGCAAAAGACACGTTTGGCCCGAGAGAAGTGCGAAATGAAGACATAGCCGATATCAAGGCTCCCTATTGCCGTAAGCCGAGCTTCAAACATGACCATTGACCGCAAGCGAAAGAAGGCCTCGAGGCTCGAGGTGTGCATTCTATCGGAAGCCGGAAGCATTTTTTGCAAGAACAGAAATCCTCTTGAAAGTTGATATATTTGACCGAGCTCGCCGAGGAGGAAAAACTCTTTCTCTATGCATCCCAACGATCAAATGTCCCCAACCCCTTTCGAAGGAACAACAAACGTCTCCGTCATCACACAACAAAGATTCGATGTCGATTCTGCTTGCAAGGTTCCGGCGGTACCTAGAGGAGGTGTTGCATCGGCATCTCGCGGCTCAGTAGAACATTCGTCATGTACCTGGATGTACCTGAATGTACTGACTACAACTACGCAGGCCAAGGCAGGCGGCTCTTCGTTTTCATTTGGGATGCTGCCTTGCCCCAGGTTCATAGCTTGACAGATGGCGTAGTTGAAGATGGAGTGGGTTCCGAGGCCGTGATAAATTTTCCTGGAAAAAAAATGGCAGAAATTATTGGTGGTCGTCGGTCCGAGAATTGCAACTTCATGATGCTGCAGGTTTGTTTGCAAGATCCAACGTAGCAATGCACGAGCTACGGTGTCATCAAATCGTATCGTCAGGCATGATCGTACTATGAACGACAGACATCTGTCTTGTTCTCACAGCTCAGCCGGGTGGGTATGGTATCTCGAGCAAGACCATGCATTCCTCCACATTCGACGTGCTATCGCAAAACAGACTCTAGCATCGTCTTGCCTGAGCAATATCTGAACCAACGTCCAGTCCAGCCCATCACCAGCACAGAATATTGTGGTCTTGTCCGTCATCACATTCGCTTCTCTCACCTCATGAATCACGACTCTCCACCTCCTCCACATCCTCAAATCCAGAAATCCCGGGCCGACAGACCGCACACAGCCCCACGAACTCTTGATCCCACACACATGCCGAGAACAGCTCTCCCAAAATCCCGAGAATCTCTCCACTCCGAAAACTTCTCGTGCACAAACGTCTCCAAATCCTTGGCAACTTGCATGTGAAAGAACAGCGGAGAATTTGAACGGAGCGGAAGCAAAACGGCGGAGGGGAAGAACAAGCGCCACAGCGGCCGATGTGCTCGGGAACTGTGGAGGAAAGCACGAAGGTTCTCTCGAGACGAGGTGGAAGGCCTGGAGCCGCCACTGAGAGAGGCAATCGGCGGCGACTGACCTTGTTGATTGTTGCCGACACGAAGAAAGGGAGGCAGAAGCGCGAGAAGATTGATCGAAGTTCAGGGTCGTGAGGTCTGATGCCTGAGGTAAGTGACCGGTCTGCCTGACCACGCCGGCTAAATAACCACCATCCGGTAAGATGATCAGTATTAGAGCCGACCACAGTTCAGGCTGCTGTTTTCAGTCTTTCGGCAAATGTGTAACGCAGATGTAGAGGCACTGGAGCAGAACAGCGGTCAAAAGGCACAATGTTTTCGGTAATGACATAGCTGTCCAAAGGAATTAAGAAGAAGCACCGCTCTTAATGACCATATACCCAATTACTAAAAGTATCTTGCCTTCTATCAGTCAGGTTAGAAGTCTTACAAGGGAGAAGGAGTTCGTGCCGATGTCTACAAACATCACAACACCTTTTGTGGGTAATAAGATATTAATGCCATCACTCTACAAAGTCCCCTACGATGCCGAGTGAAGCAAGATTAAGATCTAAAGGGTTCAAAGTGTTCGGTATTAACTTCACCTTTACAGCATCCTTAGGCTCTGTCAGCACTAGAAAGCACACGTCTTTCCTTCTCCCACTTTGGATTCTTTCATTACCACTAGTAACGACTGGTTCCACTAGACACTGCTCTGCATGCTCTTCATCTATTCCTACAATTAACTCACATTCCTCTTACTCGCACAAGCACAAACACATTCTCGCATCTAAAGTTGCTGCCATATTCTGAGCCTTCATTTCCTTCCCTATCTTGCACCATCCTTAACCCGTCTTTAGCTGCCTCAAACATCGAAGTGGATGGTAGCGCGCGCGAGGGCTCACGGATGGTTGTAAAAGGCAAGCAAGAATATGACTATGTAGTACGTCTCTCGGGTGGTCGACGGGCTTGCCTGGAGCCTATCATCGTCCTCGTCGTCTCTGCAGATGCGCTTCCGACGCTGCAGTGGTTCAGGACTCGAAAACCTCATCCAAGACGGAAAGTGGGATGCTAGCCTGGAGTATCGACAGGGGAGAAACAACCGGGCACATGCACGTAATATATATGAAGGGGAATGCGTATCCGGAAAACCCAATCCCTAGACGCCGACCGCGTCTTCGACTGCATGTGAAAATGCAAGGTGTTTCCAACACTGGTCACAGGTTTGGTGAGAACAATTTCGGAGTAATGACTCAAAGGTAAGACAAAGTTGTATAAGCAATGTTATGTAATGGTATCATCCAATCCAAAGGGTTCAGAACAAGAGAGTCGACAAAGGAAACAATTAAGTATGCACTATAAGGGGGTATTTAGAAACGAACGAAACACCAAAAACGACAGAAAGAAAAACTAATCAAGGGAAAGATAACATCACACACCCAAAGATGCTCCTCTTACGCTTCCAGGGACTTGAACTTCTTGGACATAGGTCGTCCAAAGTCATTCCAGTAGCGATTCTCACTGCCATGTCCAGGGCCCATCTTGACGTTGGACCTGCACTTGGGCTGTACAAAGTCCTCGGCTGTGCCGGTGGGCCAGATTGGCAGGAAGCAGACCTCATCGGCAGCGCAGCCACGACATTGCTTCCAAGTTGTCCAAGCCAAGTACTCTTTGAGTTCTTTGATCTGATCGAGCATGGCAGCGTGATCTGTTTGTGCGAAGGCTGATACCAGGCTGGAGCAGAGAGTATTGGTTACCTCGCGGATCGCCTGGGAGGCCACACTGGTGGAGGTGAGAGCTTGCGTGCCAGGAACGAATTGCGACGCACAGCGATCGATTTCAGCGCTGCTGTTGCGGGCACTGTAGTCGATGAAAGGGCGGATCGCACGTCCAACCTCTGCTTGTAGAGATGAAAGAGTGCTGAGCGAGCCTGAAGCAAGGTATTCGATACGGTCGGAGTAACGTGCAACGACCATATCAGCAACTACCTGCCAGTTGACCGTCTCAAAGTCGTCGTTTTTGCGCAAGACCATCTTGTCAACAGCTCGGCGAACGTCGTCGATAGCGCCGGATGCGTTGTTAAGACGAGGGCGACCGGTGTCATCGAAGTAGATGGCCTCAGGGTACGCAAAGGCAGAGACGAAATTTTCGTAATCGAGCTCCACGCGGCCACCACCGATACCATGATAACGAGCGGCAACAGCACGGTAGTAGCTGAATCCATCGCCATTATCGGCGCCACCACCAAGACCACCTCCACGAGACTCAGGGTTGGTCTTGACGATATTGACGACGTTGAGATGAGCGGCGAAATCACACAGGATAATTTCGAATCCGCCTTCCATGCGCAGAACACCGTCGATACGATCGTTCCATTGCTCGTGAGCCATCTTGCACATCTGTTTGGCGCGCTCCATCTCGCCGAACATTCCTGAGCCGTGGTCGATGCTGTCATCGAGAAGCAAGACATCCTGTGTATCGAGAGTTCCCTTCTTAGATTTGGCAGCAGATTGGCCATCCACGTAGAGCAAGCGCAAATTGTGCTTCGTACGGTAAGTATGCAGATAGCCAGAATTGTCTTCCTTAGGCTTAGGATCGTCCGAGACCAGAGGCTCTTGCTCCGCCCTCGTCTCGATCGATTCGGGCGAAGATGGAATCACTGAAGTGGTTGGACGAGCAGGAGGAGGTGTATGACGTTTCTTGGGATTACGCAACAAGTCGCCCAAGCGATGTGCCCAGAATCCAATCGGCGGCAATGAGAACACACTACGGTGTTTTTCGTCATCGTGGTGGTGCTCGTTCAGCTCATCGAAGAACATGTGAGGTGGTGGTCCGTGGTGTTCATGATGCTCGTCGTCACCATGATCACCATGGTGCTCGTGATCATCGTGATGCTCATGATGCTCATGGTCATCGTGATGTCCGAACCACGCAGGCGGATATCCGTGATGCTTGGATGGAGGACCCCTATGAGGAGGACCGCGATGACCTTCACTTGGTTCGCAAGGCAGATGGCCTTCTCCAGGAGGACAACGGTGCGGCGGAGAAGGCGGACCATCATGGTGATGCGGAGGGGGCCCATGGTGAGGTGGCGGAGGAGGGTGATGCGGAGCATCTGGACGAGACTCGTTACGTGAAGGGCCATGGCACCCCTTGTCGCTGTGATGTTTTCCAGGGCGACCCTTGCGATCCTTGCCGTCGTGATGCTTTGATCCATCTTTTGGCGATTTGTACTTGTCGTGGTCTTTGTTCTCCGTGGGGTTTGATTGATCTATTCCTTCATCGGGAAAGTATGGTCCCTTGGGCTTTTCGTGTTCAAAATCAGGAGGTGCATGACCATCGCCAGGAGGACCATGTCCAGGTGGGGGCCCACGATGTCCTCGAGCAAAGAGCAAGGCGTGTTCGGGTTCGAAGGCAAGCCATTGAGTGCCATTGATGCGGTCCTTCTGTGATGTTCCATGATAGAATTCAGTACCTTCTGGGACTGTAGCGATGAAGAGGGACATGCCATTGTGGTTCAAGGAAGAGCCAAATTGGCGCATAGAGCTATGCAGGGCATTGAAGATATGGTTTGCATGTGTGGTTGCATCAGTTGTCGGTATTAGATTAGCGGTTTCCGGTAGAGGTCCTGCAGCAGCCAGCCAGGGGAGCAGGAAAGGGACCAAATCACGAGGGCGCGGCATTTCGACAGAACTGCACCTCGATGATATGTTTCGTTCGAGTCTCAAAAAACTGTGAACGAGGAGACTCCAAATGCTTCAGAGATAGGAAATAGCTTGATATTATTGGGCGCGTGTACAATTCTTGGCCGCGCGTACCATCCTTAGCCAAGCCGTTTTTCGCCATATCAGTAGTACCAAATGGACGACATTGCGCCAGCTCATACCGTCAGCACCTACTAGCTCGAACACATTTCGATTCGACGAGTCAAATGCTTATAAGATGATCTACACACCCTCCAAGAGATCATGTAGATGGCATTGCGAATCCTGCAGCAATGCAGGTCGGGTGAGGAAGGATGAGCTGGGGGAGTCGTCGTGGTGTTTCGGAGGTCGGAAGCTTTGCAAATCTTCCACAAATCGATTCATGACCTTCTGCCTGACAGACAAGATTTTGTCGTACGAAGTCAACGCAGTCCGCCGAGCTTTTTGTTGGAGCGACCGCGTACGCATCCAATAGAGAAAAGCATTCAAAGCTTCAGACTTGTCGTGGCGGTGTTCAACCGAGAGGCAAACGCTGTGGTGGCTGGCTAGATTTCGGTCGCTCTCCAGGCAAACCAAGCCCTAGATCTTCGGTAAGCATAACCGATTCTCATACAGGGCTGACGACGACAATTCTCCTTTTGACGGGGCCGTTACACAACTTCAAGCCTCATTCTTCATGCATCTGCCTCACTAGCCAAAGACGCATATATCGTCCATGATCTAGATGATAAGATATGTGCTCGCTAGAAGGCAGATCAACCCGGATCTTGGCATGCGTAGAATGGTGAAGTCATTCTCGTAAGCAGAGCAACCCTGGCATTCTTTTCTTATATAAATATGCCTCTTAAGAACACCACTGAATCGTGTCACTTTAGATCCGACACCCGGCTATGGTGAATCGTCTTGTTAATTGACACCGATTAGACAGATTCACTGAAGGTAATAGCATGCTTTCGAAATTCCGCAATTTCCATGATCTACTTCTGAGTAGCGATTGGCTTTCCGTCCTCGTCCACGGCCACAACTTCAATCTCGACTCGCATATCATCCTCACCCAACCTCGGCACTCCAACACAAGTCCAGATAGGTTGACGGTTCGGCATCCACTTCTTGAAGTTGCGGACCATTGCATCCAAGGCTTCATTGTTGATAGGGACATGGTAAGAATTGACCCGCACCACTTGAGACCAGCCTTGACCGCCAGCATGACGGAGATTGAGCTCACAATTATCGAATGCTTGATCGATTTGAGCGTTGATTTCCTTGTAGAATTCGCCGGTCTCGGGATTCCAGCCACCTTTTGAGGAGAGACACGTCAGTTGAGGGTATTATCATGCAAGAAGATTGTGCTACCTTGGCCGGCACATTCAATCCGGTCTCCAATGCGGACTGCTTGGCTGTACCAAAACTTCTTCTGATTGGTTTCTCCAACGCCTGGGTAGCTAGTGAAAATGGGAGCCATAACAGCAAGATATAAGATCTTCGTGTAGGGAATCTTGTGGGAGAGTGTAGTGATGATACGGATGAGAGGAGATGTCTGTTCATGATGTGATTCTTATACGCACCCAAACGATGAGCAATTTCTTGGTACTTCCATCGCTTTCAATCAGCTTTGTTATTCAGACAATACAATTGGCTGACAACTGCTGTTGACGAGATCAAGTTGAAGCTTTACGAGCAGCGGAATACATCTTCCGCTACGAAGCTTTGAGTAGCTTCGCCCTTACATCTCTAGACATTGGTGGTCTGATGTGATGCAAACATATTTCCATCCAGATGATGGGGATGAAAAACAAGCGGTATGTTGAACTTGATGGTGTCATACCCTGGCGCGTCGAAAAAGTCTTGTTGTAGGAAGACATGAAGTCGTGGTTTGAGCTTCGGAAGGTGGGGCTCGCGAATTTCGGTCGTTCTTGCGACAAAGGACGCTGCACCACCAGCACAGGATTTTCCATCTTCTTCTCATCGAACACTCATCGCCCATGATGCATCTTGGCGATGTCCTCGGAAGGTCAATCGATCTTGAAAGCCAAGCCATCGGCTAGGCGAAAGAACACTACAAAGGCATGCGAGGAATGCCGGCGAAGACGCGCGAAGGTAGGCAATCGATTTCGTCGTTGAACAAAAGCAAGGCTTCGGCAGTACAATCTGACACGCCGAGAGTGCGACGGCAGAAAGCCTTCTTGTAGCCGCTGCACAATTCGTGGGATCGACTGTCAGTTCGATGCCAAAGAGGATGGTCGCAAACCTGCTTCCATGAGCTATGTCTCGCTCTTGCGCGATAGGATCAGGACGCTGGAAGAGGCTCTTCGAAGTCAATCTATTGACACTGGAGCCAAGTTGACGGAGTTCCCGACAGAGTATGATTCAACTCTACCAAGCGACTTCGAGGATCCGTATCGGAGTGCCTGTAATGTTCAAGTGGCTAGTAGGGATGGTGCAGCCGAGATCGAACAATTGAGACGACAATTCGAAGGCACCTTGAACTTGGATCATGACGGCGAAACGCACTTCTACGGGGTAACAAGTGGACGCCTCGACTTTCTGACATCAAGTCAAGGAGTTGCTGACACGGTTCTTGATCACAAGGAAGGCGTTACGAAGCTTACGATTCCATCGTTCTTCCACGATTTGTTGCCAATGAGTGTACCGGACGAACTTCAACTCCATCTGATTGAGATCTACTTTACATGGGCAAATCCTTGGTGTCCAGTAATCAACGAGGAACTTTTCCGGGGTAGCATGTATTCGGGTGGCAAGTACTGCGCTCCCTTACTCCTGATGTGCATATTCAGCATGGGTTCTAGATTCACAGACAGACCTGAAGTTCGGTCAGACCCAGCAAGTCCGTACACAGCAGGCAGGTCATTCCTTGAAGAAGCCGAACGGCTGCTTCAAGTAGAGTTGAAATCTCCCAAGATCACTACAATACAGGCTTTGACCATCATGTCTGTTCTATATTGTGTAAGTTGCTTGATTGGGCAAACAACAGGTACTGTTTATTGAGTTCAAACAGGCATTCGGTTATGACTCGGCTTGCTGGCTGCACGAAGGCATGGCTAGTCGGCTGATGCTCGAGATGGGTCTGAACATCGACACCACTCCTCTGGTCGCATCCGGCTCCATGCCCGCCGAAGAAGCGATGTTGAGAAGACAGATGTACTGGTCGCTGTACAGCGTTGATAAGTTGTCGGCTAGCTACACCGGAAGAGCCTGTACGATGCTGGTAAGTCTCTCACCATCGAGATGACCGACTTCTGTGCTGACAATCATAGTCGTTCCAAGGCGCTGTACAAATGCCCTTTGTGAAATCAGGAACAAGTCTGGTAGCCTCACGGCAGGACGATTCAATGGTATTTCTCAACAGCCAGGTAAAGCTTTGTCAAATCGTCGAAGAAATTTTGTTGAACTTGTAAGTCATGCTCTCCCCTGTGTGCTGTAGACCGTCGCGCGTGTAGCTGCCGAAAGTAATGATGGCCATTGGATCAGAGTCGCCTCCACCGCGATATGCTATAATGGTTTACCTCTATGCGTGGTTGTAGTGCAGCAAAAGCCTCGTGCATCTCTACAGCTAGAGCAATGATCGTGGGAGGACGGCGAATATGACAGAGCTCTGCAGATGGAGGAATATAGAATTGCTCATTGAGGACTCTGCTAATTCTGTAAGATATGCACCCAAGCCCACAGTCGCCGAACCACAACAGCGGAAGGCTTTCTTAGACGCATGTTTGCTCAAGCTCAAGGACTGGGCATATGATCTTCCGCAAGAACTAAGGTCTGGCTCGCGAAGCACTGCAGGCACAGCCAACAAGGAACCCCATGTTTATACACTACACATGGTGTATCATACAGCCCACTTGTTGTTAGCCAAACCCTTTCTAGCGCCCATAAATCGCTACACCACCGAGCTCTCGGTCGTGGAAATGGCCGAGAAAGCCAAGTCGATATGTTTGGAAGCTGCAAGTGCTACGTCCTCTACAGCGAGAGCCTACCGACAAGCTTTTGGCAGTTTCAGGAAGAGTCCAGTCACTGCGACTCACTGTACACTCTCTGCGGCCGTGGTTCTCGTACAAAACCAGAAAAATGATCTTCCGATCAATCTTCTCGAAGCATCACTGGAAGTCCTTGGCGAGTTATCAACTTCTTGGGATATTGCCAGAAGGCTGCGAAGCCATCTTCTGAGGTTATGCCGTTCGAAACATATCGCTCTCGGCAGTCTTGGACACTGCTCTCCGGATGTTGGTGCAGACGCTAATAACATGACTTTCGGGCCGGACAAACAATTTGCGGTACACTCGACCATGTATCACGGCCCCGAATCAATTTTCGCTGAGAGCTTGCCTGCGGATGATGGTCAGGATCTTGGCAACTGGCTTGATATGATTGACGACGACTTTCTGCAGAGCACTTTTGAACCGAAATTCTGAAAGTCTGTCAACATCGATATGCAAAAAGATGTAAAGCAAGATGGAAGCGACCACAGATTGTAGACGTTTGCTGCTTACCTCATCCCTAGAGACCGATAGGGTCAACGGATGTATGTTTGAATCACGTCAACATATGATTCCCGTCTGAACGAGTCTCCGGAGAAACGCAATTCATGCCCAGGCGGTCAATTCGCGAGCAGAGATATCGTTCCTTCTTCGTAGAGGTTGCTTGGCAGCTGTCTCTTATCAGAGTCGTGGCCTAAAGCGGAAGGTATAGCGATGATCACGTCACATCTGGGCTTGGCAGGGACAACATCGTTGCGATCGACTCATGTGCATCCTCAACCTCGCGGATCTTCAGATAAGGATATTGGGGAGAACGTGGAGGGATTTGCAACGATACCGTGCTTATGGTAAGCAACTGATAGCTTTAATCGCTGTCTAAGTTGTTCATGGCATTCTATGTTGCGTTTGACACATCACGACCAGCTAGTAGCACATCTGGAGACACACCTTGGCATGCTCAGCAATATGCTCTCTCTACTAACAGACGTTGTGTCAAGCTACAAATCTGATATGCATGTTGAGCTACAAATACTCGACAAAGCATCGATCAGGTCTTCCTGGTAGATCTTGATAAGAAGTTCTGCCATTTCCCAAAGCAGAGGTTGCTCTGCTTTCTTCCGGTCCCGAAGCAGGCAATATGCATAAATCGTTAGTCTAAACTTCCGACCTTGCTCAACCGCCTGTGACAACTCAGAGCCGCGGGCCAAGGGCTTGACCACGGGGTGAACGACTTTAGATTTTGGTACACCTCGTTTTTGTGGCTTGAGATGGGTCGTTGATGCTCTTATCTATGACCTTAGAGTGACCTTCGACGATCACTCACTGGGGTGCAGCATACAAAGAGACCTCAAATGCCCTTGATATCCTGATGGAGGTTCTACACAAATCTGCATCAATCCATACTTTCGGCAACTTGTACCCATCCCTAGCCATGGCTACGGCATACCCCTACCATCAACCCATTGAGGTCATCCACAATGCATACACAGCTCAACAGACAACCGAAATTGCGTCTCGAATGGGAGCAGCGAAAGCCAACATGAGAGTTGACAAGATCTTCACATCCTCCTTCATGGCCGGAGCAATTCTCGCATTCGCTTGTGCCGCGGTATCGACAGTCAACACAGCACCATGGTACCAGGAGAACGCCCCAGGCGTAATCAAACTATTCGCAGCCCTCGTCTTCCCCTTCGGTCTCGTCGCAATCATCCTCACCGGTGCAGACTTAGCAACCGGCAGTTTCATGGTAAGCTGTCTCTCGACAACCTCTGCGAATTACCCACAATGCTAACTCGCATCAGTTCACCACCCTCTCAACCCTGCACCACCGAACAAGCATCCTCAAAATGCTCCAACACTGGGTCATAACCTTCTTCGGCAACCTCGCCGGCTCCCTCTTCGTAATGGCCATCATAGCCGGCTACGGCGAAATCCTCTCCGATGCCGCCTACCGCACCCAAACCATCAAATTCGCCACCACAAAAGTGGTCCATCCGCCCTGGCACGCAATCTTCATCCGCGGAATCGGCGCCAATTGGCTAGTCTGTTTGGCTTGCTTCCTCGCCTGCGGAGCCCGCGAAATGGTCTCTAAAATCATGGCCATCTGGTGGCCTACTTTTGCCTTTGTGATTTTGGGCTTCGATCACGTTATTGCCAATATGTTTTATATTCCCATGGCTATTTTCTTGGGGGCGGAGGAGATTACGGTGGGGTTGTATATTTGGAAGAGTATGATTCCTGCTTTGTTGGGGAATATGGTGGGTGGTGGATTGTTTGTGGGTGTGGTTTATTGGTATTTGTATTTGGCTGGTAATCCGAGCCCGGTTTTGATTGACGGGAGTGCGTTTGGAGGGGCTCCGGTGGCTTTGTTTGGGGTCAATGCTGATGTAGAGGAGGAGAGGAGTCATAGGGAGTCTGACAAGACTGACATGGCTTAGACAATACGAGAATGGCGTGTGTAACCTCAGAGTTTAATAGTTGTAATGATATCCATCTACTCTAATAGTGCTTTTGCACCCCAAGGAGTCGTGAAGCGTACCATAGGGAAGTGATGAGACCAAGTAAATCCAATTACGAACTACAACGATCTCAATCGTTTCTCTCATGCTGCGAAAGGAAAGGCTGCGCATCCTCATCGTAGCTCTCGCGGTCTCTAGCATCGGAATTATAACTCGTTGGCTTACTCCTCACGCCAGCCATAGCCAGTGCATCAGCTCTACCCTTCTCAGTGTCGATGATGTAGATGAGAGGAATGGGCAGAGCGATCAGCACAGCCAAAAACGCAAACGCAGGTCTGATCGTACCAGTGACGTCGACAATCATACCGACAATAGCAGGGCCGATGGCTGAGCTGCCCTTGTCAGTGACGGCGTATAGGGCGTAGAAAGCCGCCTCGCTACCGGGTGGGATGAGCAAGCCATAGAAGGAGCGGCAGTAGGAGGATAAACCACCCATCACGAAGCCATGTACTACACCTAGCGGGTAGATCTCCCAAGCCTGTTGTAGACCTCCAACTCCCCAAGACTGAACGAATGGAAGATAACCGATCAGTCCATAGATGGGGATGATCTCCATAAGCAGGACGCAGCCAATGATTGTCTGCTGAGTGTGAAGTTGGTAGCGACGCGAAATGACCGGCCAAGTGAACGCACCAGCGATACCGGACGATGTAGCGGTGATGGACAGAATGGCAATCTGCACAGTACTCATCTTGAGCTCAGTTCTTGCAAACAGAATAGCAGTGCCGGAGACAGTGGCAATCGAGTCGGATAGTAAGAACCATGCGATCAGAAAAATGACAGTCTGGCGAAGCTTGACAGCTTGTTTCACAGTCTGCCATACTGACGACCAAGCGAATCTGAAGTACGCGAGAACTTGACCAACCTTACCATGCCTGCCACTGAGACTTTGAAGTGGAGGGCCAGGACGATCGCGCAACCAAAGGGCTCCTGGAATACCACCTGCTGCCCAGCAAATTCCGACCATGAGTAGGATTACCCGGAGCGGGATAGATTGGGATGACCAGTTGACCTTGTTCAAGGTCAAGAGCATACCGATGCTGATGATTTGAACGAGTACTGCTGCCATGTAGCCGAGACCTACACCTTTGGCAGAAATCTTGTTTGAGAGTGCCAGAGCAGGCGATGTTTGCTTGCTGTCTTGTGGCCTGGAAGGATTTGTATGCTCTGCATTAGGCGCTGGCGAATATGATCCGTCAGGTTCGACCATGTCAACCGTTGCCAAAGGAGACCCCTCCTGTCTCTCTGCAGAAATGACGGAGGGATGGTTACTGGCCAGAAGAGGGAGGAAAGAGTTCAACAGCACGAATGAAGAGCCTAGAGATGCCACACCCAGGATGACCAGCACAGATCCTAGGAGGTAGATACTAGGTGAGACCACGATGAAGAGCATGCTCGAGACCGATCCGATGCAACCAAAAGCGAGAAGCAACTTTTTGCGGTATGTTCCTGATGGCTGTTAGGATAAAAGAAACATAGACGAATTAGACATGACTTACCATGATCGGCGAAAGAGCTGAACGATATGAGTACTATCGCTTGCACCAAGACAGCAATGGAGAAAGTGTACATGGCGAACGAAGCTGTCGAGATATCCTTTCCGAAAGGTTGTATCACACATTGGCTGGCGTTCTTGTCGTTGGTAGCACGGCTAACAGCTCGTAAGAGTAAATGTTGAGCTTCTGCCGCAACAGACTTTGGTTTAACACAGGGAGTGACATGATCGGAGCGCAGAACACCTCGTTCTTTTGCGAGCTGCTCGAGAGTGACTGGGAGAAAAGAGCCTAGACATTTGTTAGCGAAGTCGACGCGTTAACGAAATACACGTATTTACCAACACCAGCCACAGCGAACACTTCGGCAGCCAGGCCGTAAGCATACCAGCCCTTTAGCTCTCGATCACTAGTCGGCGTAACATCCTCGTTTTCATAGCGACGAGGTCTGTCGTACCCATTGCTTTCGCTATCTCTCTCCATAATTGATGGAACTTGACAACATGTTGTTTTCGCGTCAGAAAGGAAAACATGACGCTGTTTCTTGTCAGCATTGTTCGGGTGGGTCATCCGAAGCTTCCGACAAAGGGGCCCACCAAAACGCGTCAGGAAGAGACGACTCTCCATGCCATTTCTTCCTTCTCGTAAATGCGTTCGTGATTTACTCCAGTATCGCGCGCACAGCATCTCTAAAAGCTTCGAGTCGGGTTTGATCACGAGCATCTACGGCATGGCTTGACTGTATCAAATAAGAGCAGCTAAGCACCAAGCGAGGGCTGACCGGTAAGCCGCATGTGCAGTCGCAAGTGTCGCGGTTATGAGCGACATGAACTAATGGGAAGCACGCGCGAGTTTATCCTCATGATGCGAAAGCCTCGTTGATGATCAACCCTAAGAAGATTAGGCAGGTCACCAGCCTTGTTGATTGAGACAACCACTCAGGCGTTGCCTCCAGGTGGGGTGGGTGGTGTACTATGAGAATGCATGGTATAATCCAATCCTGAGCGCCACCACCATTTTCAGGCATCCAGCTGGACTCAAAACTTTGAGCAACGTATATAGAGCTGACGCGACCAAGTGCCGACCCTTCAAATGATCTTGGTCGATTTGTGAGATGGCTTATCATGATCCAACAGGACGTGATCGTTCTGCTCGGCGGGGTGAAAGTGGCAGGGACGATCCACCTCGCCCATACGTGTCATCGAACATCGAAGATTTCTATAATGTGAGAATTGACGATGTGAGAATTGAGCGCTCTTCGGATCCGCCTCCTCTACCGGAAATACATATACTAGCACCCGATGAGCCGATCCACATCATCACACCACCGCCTCCTGCTTTTGCTGCAAGCAGATCCAGGAATTCAAGGTCACACAATGTCGAGAAGGCGGAATATGCCTTTGTGCGAAGGCATCGACGAGCCTCGCGAGACCATCCTGATCGAGCGCACGACTTGAAGATGAACGACGAGTTCATCGAGGAATATACACCGAAGGACGATGAATATCGCATGCCGAGCATCCAGCAAAACTATAGACCACGACTCCCCCGCCCGCCGCTCAAGCCGTATTCATATGAAACATACAACCTGGCAGCCGAAATACCACCCGAGCCAATCATTCTCACCGAGTCAGTGCCTCATAGAAAGAAGAACTCCAGGCATCGGTATGGACATGATTCCCACGTCCCATCTGGAGAATCCAGCGAGATGGGTGGAGGAGGAGGTGGCGGAGATATACAAACCTCAGCTGTCGAAGAAGCCCAACCAACGCCCAAAACTCTGAATTCCATCATCATATGCGTTTACAGAAACAGCAGACGAAACTTCGAGCAAAGAAGAGTGTGGCTGGTGAAGAAAGACCATAGACACGAGCAGCATCTACGCACCTCTCATCTCCGTACAGACGCTGCCTTCTTCGACGAGATTCGCTATAGATACAGGAACCAGCTTCGCGGCACCTTTAGACGATATATCAGTTTCAAGACAGTCAGTACAGCAAGGATATTAGAGGTATTGTTCTGCCATCTTTAGCATTTCCTGGCACTCCGAGCTAACGGCGATGCCAGTACGGGAACAATCGATTCGGGCTTGCGAATGTCAACGAGAAGCTATTCTCACCCGTTTTCATGAAAGCATACAACAACCCAGACGGCACTCTACTGGACCCAAGGAAACATCCAAATGATCCTACCATCACATCAAGCGACTGGATCCTATGGTTCTGGGCCAAACGCCGTCACCTAGTCGACGCCAAAAAGGTCAACTTAGCCATCGAGCTGGTGGAGGACTACGATCCCACTCGCGTCATGGGCGCCATCGCGATAGCCCTTTTCATCTACTTCACCCTCACCATTGTCTGGCTCGCCAAGGGCGGAGATCCAGGATATGTGGCTGGAGTGATGTCGTTTGTCCTCTCTATTCTGGCTGTTATGGTTGGTCTCACTGGCTTGTATGACTGGCTAGATCTAGGACATATGGGCGGTGGGAAAGATTTCCTCGTCTTAGATCATGGTGATTTCGAAGATGCTGGACGGAACGGCTGGGGTGGACCAACAACAGGCGAGCCATATCCTAGACGCTCAACAAGGCTGTACTGAAGCTATCAAGATGCATGATGGTTGCAACGTGGCGGTGTGGGCAGAGAGAGCGAGGATCACTCTCACTCTCACTCTCACTGAACAGTTGCTCCACCACCTCGGTAACCATCTTGCCTTTCCACAAGCATGTTGCACTCGTCCGTTCTGACCTGAGAGCCCGCTGCCCGAGCCCAGGAAGAGCTATATATACTCCATTCCGAACTCGACCACAGCAATCAAACTTCCAGAACTTTGACGGCCTACTGCGGCTTCCGCAGCTCCGTCCACGTAGTTCGCCCGTGTCCCTCGCTTCTAAGGGTGAGGGAGGAGTAGTAAGACCGCGCATGGGGTCTGTGATCCCCATCTTCCTCGCAATGATTTCGTTCCTCGTGTGCTCCTCACATCTTGTCTCCCTGCATCGATGCGATGTGTCTAGACGGCTCGACGGCCAAGAGAGTAACGGTAGATCGGTGGTAGACCTGGGCTATAGAACGGCTGCACACTGGGCACTCGGAATCTCGTGCCTTTTCACATGGTGACGAGAAGAGGTTAGGTATTTTATTTATGCAGAGTATGTTTTGTTTGATATACAGCCAAAGTCTGGAGACAAAGGGATGCTCGAGTCTGCAGCCCGGCCCCTATGACCTGGATGTGTGTGAACGCAGGGTCAATGACCCCAGGTAACATGTTTGAAGTTCCATTGCACACATTCAGGGGTTCAAAATCCATCATGCCTTTGTTCAACCCCATTGTCAATCTACTACACCAGGAAGCAAGCAATGGATTTCAGAAGAATGGATTTTGATATCCTAAAGATTAACTATGGAGAAGTAAAATAATTGTGCGATATCATCCGAAAGAAGACCCCAGAACGCCATCGTTAGTTCTCGTTGAAATTTCAGAACAGCTTGTGCTCGAGAGTCATGTCGTTTTCAGGCTCAAGACCAACACAGGCGCGGAAGATGTTGATGAGAGCATTTCTCTGCTTGCTCAATGCGTTGACGACAGGTGTGCCAGGAGGAGTAAGAGGTGCCTAGTATAAATCAGTAAACAATCCTTCAACCAGTGACAGCAAGGAGCAGAAACATACCTTGAGCATATAACTCAAGACCGACAGCACAGAGTGGAAACCCTTGAACTCAGCATCCTCGGCGCCATTCTCTCTCCATTGAACTCTGGTCATTAGTTCAGCGATGAGAACCAGGTCGATGATTAGCGGTGATGCCAACAGTGAGTCCTCGCAGATGTTGAACATGTTGATGGTCTGATGACCTCCCATGAAGATCTCGGCATAATACTCATCCAAAGCTCTCTTGTTGTCACCGACAGAAGGCATATACTTGATCACAACAGTGTGATCAGGATGCTCGCCTTCCTCGTATAGGATGTGGTTAGCAGCAACCATATCATCAACAACATTGGACTTTGAGATCTCCTTTGATCTGAATTGAGAAGGCGCGGAGAGGTTTCTGCCGTCATTGTTGCCGAGATGGTTGTACGAAGCCAATGACTTTACTTTGATACCGGCGTTGATGAGGAAGTCGACGAGTGCGGACTTCATCTTTGTCTGGCCGGACTTGAAGTCGTCGCCGCCGATGAAGGCGTTGTGCTTTTCAGCTAGGGCGATGACACCGGGGACGAAGGTGTTTTGAGGTGAGCCGTTGATGAAGGGTGCGTTTTCGAGAATGCAGGCTGTGGCGAAGATGGTGGAGGGAGCAATCTCGGCGTGGCCTGACTCGATGGACTTGAGCAGGTTGTCGGCTGTGTCGTTGATGCCGGGGATGATCTCGGCATAGCGCTCAGTGTTGGCAGTCCATTGGACGATGATCTTGTCGAGGCTGTGTTTGGATTTGAACTCGCTTTATGCATCGTTAGTGCTGCTTGGGTGATTGAAACATGGAGGAGACTTACCGAATGTCTGCTCTGATCTTCTCGAGGTGCTCGGTGCAAGCCTTTGAACCCTCGAGGATGTTGTCTGCTCGTGACTCTTGGTTTGCAGCAATGAAGTCAGGGTAGTAAATACTGGGAAGAGGGACCATTTGTGCCATCTCTTTGCGAACCATCTGCTTCAAGGTAGGCTCGAGGACTCCGGCTCTATCCATTGACTCGGCAATGTTCATGCCACTGATGTCCCATCCTCCGACAATGAGCTCATTAGGATTGACCATGGGTAAGAGCTCGTTGAAGGGGACGTAGACCTCCTTGCCAGTGTCTGAATCGGTACCGAGCTTGACTGTTGATGACATGACCATAGAGCCGTAGTAGTTTGCTGACTGTGTGCCCTCACGAGTGTCCCAGGAGAGACCTTGACGGTTGGCAATGATACCAGCAGTCACAGTAGACCCGTTGTTACCTAGTGTCAATTAGCAAGGACTCAATCATAAATTGGAAACAGGTATACGCACCACCCCAGCCGACGAGCATCATGCCGACTCTGCCAACCTTGCGTTCGACCTTGAAGTCGTATACGGTCTCCTTAGGAGTGGCAACATATGCACCATTGGATGACTTGGTCACCTTTGTCTGACGGTAGACATACTTGCTGAGAATAGCATCGTCAGAGTATGTGACATTGGGCGATTGAACAGTAAACAGAGGAGCCTGAGTGTTGCTCGAAGGAGTACTCTCGGTCTCGTTGAGGTAAGGAGCCATACTGATGGGAATGGACAGTGATAAGAATAATGTGTATATACAAAGAAGACACAAGATCTATCAAATAAAAGCACTTGAGATTTGTAGTTGTTATGTTAAGAAAAAGAAAGGAAAGCCCATGAAAGACAAGTTTATATACCTTCTTTGCGGAACAACATGGCGACCGCAGCGGAGAGCATTCATGAACTAAAGATGTTCGCATTATTGTTTGACCCCAGAAGTTCCAGAGAAGTCGACTCTCGGATCATCTAGGATAGTCCGGGGTCGACATGTTGGAGAGCGGAGGTGAGCGGAGGTATGGTTTCGCCGCGCTCGGAACAAATGATCTGAGAAGAAAGCTTGTCTGTGGCGTACGAGCAGAAGTAATCGACATGTGGCCGTTCTTCGCAGATTGCTATAGTTGCACGATAAGACATTGAAAGCCAATCAATGCGCTGACTCGAAGAAGAAGGCGCAACCAAGACTATACTCATACGCAGGAAGGAGCAGTGTTTGGCATAGAATTCTTTCACCCTGTCTGGGACTCACAACAATCGCAACAACTCGGCCGAGTCCGTTGAATAACCCTGTTTGCTCGTCCGCGACAAGACAAACACTTATTTTGATCGTCTTTGTGAGCGGCGCAGACTGCCAGGAACCAGGGGAAGTGAGACGAGTCAGAAAGTCAAATCAAGAAGATGATGGCATACTTTTCGACTCCTGGTTTCATGACGACCCCAGAACCCAAGGCTCTGTCCTGTTGAGGCCCCATAGCAACAATGCGAGCACGTTGTATGGTATGGTTAAATGAATTCGGCACACGGTCAGAGAAGTCGTTGTCGCCATACGCCTGTGGCTTGAATCGGAAGAAGTTCTGTCGAAGAAGGCAAAGTTTGGCAGAAAGCGGCACGCGTGGATCTGCCGATCTTTTGCTGTCACTCGTCGCCGAGAGTCGATAAATTTTGGTAGAGGGCTGGATCTGATACACGCGGTTCACAAGTGACAGTGTATGAGCATCTATTTTCCTACCGAGCCTGAGTCGACAGGCCAAAGAAAGTTGCAAGTCGCAAGAGGTGCTCTGGAAGGGACACTATCACATGTCTCGGTCGAGAGCAGCGGCCAATCAGATGAGGCTACTTGGGGTCCGGAGGTGCACCGTGCCATATACGAAATTGCCAACCTTCCCAAAAAGAGGGCGACTAGATTGCCTGGCGGTTCCTGCAAATTGTGTTAACGAGTGTCTGGTGGAGGTGATAATATGATGATCTCGAGAGTCTTAGGGAATGTGGTAGACATTGACGAGGAACTAACTCCTGGGCGTCTGCCGTCGCTCCTTCCTTCTTTTCTCCTTGTCGCATTTTCCATCTCCTGTCTTTCATCACTATCCTTAACTACAGCTCTTTAATACTCGAGCATCCACTCATTTATTGTCTTATTGCGCCAACGAACTGTGGCATCTAATCATAATTGCGTGCATTCCAGAATCCAGACCTTTGCAGCCAGGGGCTCATTGTTTTCTCCTGCTACGAAACTGCCAACGGTCGGCACTCACATCCAAACAAAGGAGATAAACAAGAGTACGAGCAACGCTTCGGCAAACGTGGGCTTGACCCGGAGGTCGACCTTATCGTCTTATCCAGGAGCAAAACTGCCGTGTTTGTTCTTCCTTTCAAGAACCGCGAGCGACCTGGAACCACAACCCGAAGCTACTCGAGTAGACTCGACAACCACTAGCAGCCATGGAGACCGAGCGACCACTGAGCATTCTGCCGTCGATCAAATGCTCCGACTGTGGATCAGAGATCCAGATCTCTGCTATGGGAGAGCACGTGTGCCCAACACAACAAAAGGAGGACGAGCCAGTCCAGAAGCCTACATCGCCAGTCACATCACCTTCGACAGAGAAGCAGCGAAGCCTGCTACCGCCCATGAAGCAAGGCCTGAACAGGCCGCCTACAAGACCGGCCAGGGTTCCGCTGCCTCGCATAGATCCGGCTGCAGCCAGTGAGTCTTGTCCATCACGAATTGGAAAGCTAGACAAGCTGACACGGAGTAGACAAGCCATACCATGCGCGACAAGAACTTCTTTCCCCGGACGGTACCGTCAATCCCGGACGTCGTACACCATCAACGCCGCACACTGGTAGACCCGGTCGTTCTCCTGCGATGCGCAGTGTTACTAGCCCGAGTCCAAGACTGCCACGAGAGCCGTCGCAAGAGCTCACAGGAAACATGGACTGCGCATTTCCTCCCTTCCCAACGGCAAGGTCCAAGACGACTGTAAGAGCTAAGAGCCCAGTACCAGATGCATTCTATGCTCCTCGAAGCCCCATTGGTACAGGAGGTGCCACTGTTGCGCGCAAAATGGATACAATTGCTCCCGGTCCCTTCAACGCACCCGCGCGTAGCTCATCCAGATCACCTTCAGCAAATGCAGGCGCTCAAAAGCCCCCTGCTATCACCATTGATCAACCTCCGGCAGAGAGAGCAGCTTCGCCTATCATGAGATCGGCGTCGCCTGTCAGCTATGATAGACCTGACTCTCCTCCCACCAGATCTGCTTCGCCTCCTCAAGCGCCTGCATCACCTGCCCTGTCTTCGGCCTCGACTGCTTCTGTTGGCACAAATCGTGAAGGTCGTCCAATCCCGCAAAGACCTGTCAGACCAGAACCACTAGACGGTTTCCTTGCCATGCTCAAGAGCGAGTCCGAGGCTGCTGGTCAACAACTGTCAAACATGACAATTCGTTCAAACACGTTCCCTCTTCCTCCCACAACACCAAAGTCGCCCGAGATTGGCTCTGTTGTCAGAAGCCCTTCGGCCCCACCAACCAGACAGCGACGACCGACCATCTCGGCTCCCTCGCAAAGTGCACCTAGCGACACTCTTCCCACAATGTCTAATACTGCCGCGCCAGCACTCCCTCCATTTCCCATCATTTCGACGGCTGGAGCTCCTCCACTTCCACCCCTTCCATCCGCCGCCGAACTCCAGAAGCATGCTCATCCTGTCGTTCACGCGCCCTCAGATTCTGCCTCTTCATCCTCATCAACGCAAAGCTTCAAGTCGGATATCAGTCCACCAGTTTCGGCCTCCTCCAGCGTTTCAATGCTATCAACCACTCTCGCTGACCTTTCCGACCCTTCCCTTGTTGTTCCCAGCCTGCAAATCAAGAGCAAGCAAAACAACCGCTTGAGCCCCGAAGATGCCTTCAAGCCCATCCCTCTCGCTCCCGAGCGACAACAATCACCAGCGCCGCTCGAGGAGAGACTGGATAGTCCTACCGAGAAAATGGATCGCTTCCCACTCAGCCCTCCTCGCGCACCCCACGAGGCTGAGTTCCCCGAATCGCCAGTCGTTCCCGGTTTCCTCCCCAAGCGCCCTTCGAGCCCAATGTCTTCCACATCCACACCCATGGCATCTCCTCCAACAGAGCATGGCTTCTCTTCTAGACCCACCTCCTCAAGGCGCCCTGGAACCTCGTCAAAGCACATTTGCAGAGGATGCAGCGAGCCTATCCAGGGCAAGTCTGTCAAGGCTGCTGACGGCCGTCTAACTGGTCGTTACCACAAGCACTGTTTCGTCTGCAAGACCTGCCGTTCGCCTTTCGCGACTGCCGACTTTTACGTTATTGACAACAATCCTTACTGCGAGCACCACTACCATGAGCTCAACAACTCGTTGTGCGCTCACTGCGACCGTGGTATTGAAGGGCCGTACCTTGAGACCCAACAAACCCAGAAGTTCCATCCTAGCTGTTTCACCTGCATCGACTGCCAAAAGCCGCTCAGTGACGACTACTTCGAGATCGCCGGAAAGGTCTATTGCGAGCAACATGCCTTTGCATCAGTCCGTCGTCAAGAAGGCCTTGGACCCAAGAGGAACATGGAACGAAGAACAACCCGCTTCATGGTCATGTGAACATGACCAAAGCACCATAATCCAGCAACGATCTCCGACTCTCACCCGTCGGTATGCGGAAGACTGAACGCGACCATGCATATCTCATTACCATCTTCGACCCTTTTCACCGTTATTTACAGACCATGGACCGAGTCCTTGTCCACATCTTGGACACCTCCGTTTGTCCGGTATTACCCTCCTTCCGTTCGCTTGAAAATACTTCTTTATTTCGGAGATACCCCTACTTCATTGTATATACCTTCTCACATAGCATGCTGGCTGTAGAACAGCTTGTACTGCATACAAAATTTACCTCACAATTTTACTCCTTCAACCATACTTTCATCGTTGTTCCATTCGTTGTGATATTCTCGTTCCCACTGAAACTTGGAGAGGAAGATCCGGTCTTCCAGGTCTCGACCTCTGCAAGATTGACTCTGAGCCGAGTCCGTAGCTTAACATGGCCCTAACAGCTTGATAGTCCAACCGTGTAGGCGGTAAGGTCTTGAGTTTTGTGATCCTACCGATCCTGCCATTCTGCAGGGACATCAAAGTCACATTCTCCAGGACATTCCTGACAGTCTCTCGTCACAAGTGAGCACGTCAACGTCGATGAAACTTGAGGTTCTGGCCGACGATGGAACGTATGGAGAGATTTGAGAGACTCGAGTTCAAGATTACAGTGCAATTTGCCGGCCGCGAGCAAGAGTCATGCACGAAGCGAGGATCTCTTTTTCGGCGAAGAAGCACGGATGGTGGCTGTTTGTTCTAGTGGTAAGTATTTCACCGGTCCTGGGCGACCGTTTTTGCTTTGGCTGGCGCTTTTGCCAAAGTCCCACGCGGGAATTGTGGGAAAAGAAAGAGCAAGTCCTAGCAAGTCAACGCAAGAAAGCAGGCAGAAGAGTCCAAGAGTCAAGCGTCTGATAGTGCAAACAGTGGCATTGATGTTTTGGTTCATGTAAAGTGTCGCAGAAGAGGATGAAGCATTGCAAGAGGCCTTGCGATCGATTGTCGGTGCGTGTGTGGGATATGTTTAGCTACGCAGGCTTCGAAAGACAATCGCAACCTCGGTCGAACGTCTGCCAACTTGGAGGCTTGATAGACGAGCAAGTGTGACAATTGACTTTACACACATCGAGGACGGACGTATCTTGAGCGTTTCATGCTGTGAGTGGCTTCACCTTTGTCTACTCTTCTTCTAGAAGATTGGGCTCTTCGGTAGACCCAGGTTGGACTTTAGGGCCTCAGCCTTAAGTTAGGAAGGTGTTAGCGTGTGGAGGTCGAAAGCCTGTGCGCTTCCTATTAAATTGCACTGCTGGGGTGGTCTGAGTGTCTGGCAAATTCGACGCTTGAGTCGAGGCAGAATGGCTGGTAGAGACATGCGAGGGAAAGCGAGAGGTTCAAGACAGGGACGTCGAGTCACATATAGTGTGTGACAGAGCAGCAAGACATGAGGAAGGGCGAGTGTAGCAGACAGATGCGGGCTCGCAGGCTGGAGATTAATTGTTCGAGAGATTGGTGTAGAGATCAGCGGCCGGTGCGCGAGTCAACTCGACCTGGGTTTCGCCCTAAACCACTTCCGCGGCCAAGTCGGCAGGCAGCCCCTTTTGATTGAAGGAGGCCGGCGAGCTTCAAGGGCTGCGCTGCTGAGGCCTCTGACTTGATTCGTTTCGGCATCTTTACAGAGCAAACAACGTCCCTCTTGTCGTGTCCGGGCCCGTCGCACAGCAGACAGCTTCTTCCGCCGCTCCTTGCCTCTTGTCTCTGTACCTGCACGCCAGCCGCTGAAAAATTGCACCCCAAGACGTTTCTACGTTTCTACGTTTCTACGTTTCTGCGTTTTCTGCACATTATTCGACGTCGGTCCCTGCTGTACTCGGCTCTCCCGCTCAGCACCGTTGCAGCCTTTTCCACTTTCGCCGTCAATTAGCCTGACAACGAGCAAAGACAATCTATCGAATCCGACATCTGACCCATCCTCCCCGTCTGCACTTTTACGCAGCGGATTCTGAATCTGTCCTCGACTCTGATTCTTCGCTTTGCTCCTCTCCATCTCGACTTTCGAAACTTTGCACGGCTTCGCGCAGCTTCACTCTCCTTGTCAGACTCGCCCCGCTGTCGCACCTCAAGGTCGGTACCCACTCAGAGCATCCCTTCCCTTGCTGCACGACCGTCTCTATTTTCGTCACCATCGTCTGTCGATTCGCTTCTCTGCATCGAGCAATCGCTCTTGTACCCTGCAGGCGTCGCGTTGGTCTCCAGCCCAGCCACAGATTGCCAAAGCTTCACCACGACGAACGACGAGGGCCGTTCTTCATTCGCTGCAAGCGCCGTCGCTCGCTCTGGCTTTCACTCTTCTCTTGTTATTCTTCGCGTCTTCTTCCCCATCTCCACTTCATCCACCGCATCAAAGACATCACCAGCCTCACGTACCACTGACGACCTGCCCGGTGCGACGCATGCTGACACGCCTCCAGTCTCTCTTGTAATCGCATCTACGCGTTTCCCTCATTACATCTCGGCAATCGCCACCTTTTGCATACCGTTACCGACCGAACTACACAACTACCGCCAAAATGGGTTGTGGTATGAGCACTGAAGATAAGGAGGGCAAGCAGAGGAACGAGGAGATTGAGAATCAATTGAAGAAGGACCGCATGATGCAGAGAAATGAGATCAAGATGCTGTTGCTTGGTGAGTCGCTGCCACCGCTGAGCGCTATACAGGACCCTTGCTGACAACACACGCAGGTGCCGGTGAATCCGGAAAGTCCACCATCCTGAAACAGATGAAGCTTATCCACGAGGGTGGTTACTCCCGCGATGAGAGAGAGTCCTTCAAGGAAATCATCTTCAGCAACACTGTGCAATCTATGCGCGTCATCCTCGAGGCCATGGAGTCGCTGGAGCTCCCCCTCGACGACCAGAGAGCCGAATACCACGTCCAGACCATCTTCATGCAACCCGCACAGATCGAAGGCGACAACCTCCCCCCGGAGGTCGGCAACGCCATCTCAGTCCTGTGGAAGGACCCCGGTGTCCAGGCCTGCTTCCAGCGCTCAAGAGAATACCAGCTTAACGACTCGGCCAAATAGTACGTCGTCACACCTGTTCATGCATCTCAATGCCATTTGCTAACCACCGCGACAGCTACTTTGACTCGATAGACCGCATTGCTCAGCCCGACTACATTCCCAACGACCAGGATGTCCTCCGTTCTCGTGTCAAGACCACCGGTATTACCGAGACCACCTTCATCATTGGCGACCTCACCTACCGCATGTTCGACGTCGGTGGTCAGCGTTCCGAGCGTAAGAAGTGGATCCATTGCTTCGAGAACGTCACCACCATCCTCTTCCTTGTCGCCATCTCAGAATACGATCAGCTGCTCTTCGAAGATGAGACCGTCAACCGTATGCAAGAAGCCTTGACCTTGTTCGACAGCATTTGCAACTCAAGGTGGTTCGTCAAGACATCAATCATTCTGTTCCTCAACAAGATCGATAGATTTAAGGAGAAGCTGCCCGTCAGCCCCATGAAGAACTACTTCCCTGACTACGAGGGAGGTGCAGACTACGCCGCTGCTTGCGACTACATCCTGAACCGCTTCGTCAGCTTGAACCAACATGAGACCAAGCAAATCTACACTCACTTCACATGCGCTACCGACACCATGCAAATTAGATTCGTCATGGCTGCTGTCAACGGTATGATCCTGGCAAACCCCTTACATCTATCAACCTTTCGCTAACTTTTTACCAGATATCATTATCCAAGAGAACCTCAGATTGGCCGGTCTCATCTAAGCGGATCGAACTACCGACAAACCAAAAGATGCATTTATCCTCGTTCATTCCCCCTCTGGCCAGAGTTTAAGAATCAACAGTCTTAACTCATGTCTCGGATCTCTTTTCGGTATCCAGCCAATCGCATTTCGCATCTGAGAAATCCAAAACGTCAACTGTCTTAATTTGCTAGCCGTGTTGTTTTGACGGCTGCCGGCATCTACACACCACACACAAAAAACAAAAAAGTCGGTTCGCAGTCTCTGGATCGATCTAATCTCGAAAGGCGACAATTGATGGGTTGTTTTATAGCTGGGAGAAAAACAGTGGGCGGCCTGCTTCTGGTTGTTTTCCTTTTTGCGCGTATATGTTTCTCTCTTCCTTTTCTTGGGGGAAACAGACTTCTTTTTTCTTCTTTCCAAATCTTCTGGGCAAAGCGGCGTCCTAGATACAACTTGCGGGAGCAAAGGAAGACGGAGGGTCTTGGGATGTCTACTTTTCTTCTTCTCCTGGTTTCCACACTCTCGACATCTTCCCAGGCCTCCTTTCCTTTCGATTCTCTGCTCTTTTTTTCTCCTTTCTCTCTTCATTGCATGATTCCCTTGTGTTCGCCCTCCTGTCTACTCATAGTATATATAATTGAACCTCTTCCTTTTTCAACTTCTACACTCCCAAGAACAAATTCACGTGACATTAGGGGAGACGAAGGGACTGCGATGTACCTGGTACCTTGACTCGAGCATCCGCAGACAGCGCTTGCCCTGTCGACGTCAAAGTACAGCAAACCAGCCTCAAGATTTTCTCAAACTCTGAGAAGGATGATCATCCAAGTCACGTCGAGATGAAAACGACTGCTCTTGAGAGCGGTAAACGAAGCCAACATGAAGGCATCAGCTGCAATCCGCTTTGAATTCCAATCTCGCCGATGCCGATGCAAAACGCTGTCAGAAGTCTCGAGTCGAAGTGGCAAGAACTGCTTTTACAGCGTTTTCACCTGGCCTACCTTTTTTTCCGAGCCTTCTGTTCATCACCCAATTCTTTCCACAACGATCACGATGATCACCTTGCTGAAAAGAAAACCCGGTGTGGTGCTTTGCATAAAAAAAACATTCTTGCATACATACCATACCGTATATGCAGGTACCTATCCGATTTATCGCAGATTTTATCGAACTTGCATTACCAGATTCATCAGATCTACCTGCATGACTACCTACTTGATGGACCGCGTTCCGATGGAATTACCGGGCACGCATGCCGTTTGCGTATGGAGAACATCGGGGGGAAGCTGACCGTGCTGTTGACAAAAGATTGTGCCCATGGTGGTATCCACAGGTGGGCAATGAGGTGAACGTTTTTGCTGCTCTCGGTGACGTAGGTGATGTTGGGGTCTTTTCGGGGCACGACGGGGTGCCCCGGATCGATGATGGATCAGCAGGGGAAAGGTATCTATCTTCTTGTGCCTTTTTTGCTTGAGGCTCTGGGATTTGAAGATGGAAAGGTTGCTCTGCTAGATTGGCATTTACAGAAGATGGAAGAGACATGCAGATTGTGAAATGGTAGGTATGGGTTGATGAAACGGACGCGTTCTCCAACCTCTCTCCACTCTCAAGAAAGCGGTGGAGAAACCCATGGGATCTCGATCTTGGAGACTGTTTTTTTCGCCCACACTCCATCTTTGCAGCTGCCATCAACCGATCTTTAGACTTTGGGCCTCGGAAAAAAGACCTTGGAGCCACGTTTTGATCTGGGTCTTTGATGCAAATCCGGCCCTTTGAGCCTCTTGCTCTTCTCATTTCTCCGCTGTGCAGTGGTGCAGCACAAGCAAGCGAAAAGAGGCTCAACGCATCTTTCTGCTGTTTTGCTAATGCTTCCAGATGGACCTTGTTTCCACATGCATTGGTTGCCACCGACGTCTTTTTTCTTTGACCGCTGCGGGAATGGCTTTTTGGTTATCTGTGGTGGATATGTTTGATGTGGCCAATCAGTGGTCTTGTTGTTAGCATAGCATTCGCTTGCCCGTTTGTGGTAGCCCTTTTTTGAGCCGCATCTTCAACTACTTTTTGCGTAGCTGAACGCCCTACCTCTCAACCGCTTGCCGCTGCGCAGCCAGTTCTCAACCCGCAACCCGCCTCTTGCGTTGCTCTGCCCCGTGGGTGAGGGATGGTTCGGAGGAAGTCTAGTCTCGATCCGGGAGGAGGCGTCCTATTTGCTCCTTGACTTTTGTGGCTCGCTGGTGTTGCCGATTGGGGAGATCGAGGAATTTCTATAAGAGTAGTGATCTTCCCTTCTTCCCACCAAGGTCTTTGTTGACGTTTGTTTCCCCCTCCGCCAGGTCCCATTTTTCTGATATCGTTGGTTCCACTTAATTTTCCTGCTGGCAATCAATACATCAATCATATACCAGGCTTCTCTCTTGCTCTACTCTACTCTTTTTCTCTTCCGACTTTAGTACACGATGGATTCTTCTGCTTCTCTCAAGGTTCCTCAAGCCACTATGCCCGAAGTCAGCACTGCTCCGCTTAACACTAAGCGCAAGATTGTCTGTTTCTCTGGTAGGTTGTTCTTCTATACTGCTGAGAGAAGGTCTCGCTGACTCTGTGACCTTCTAGACTTTGATGGAACTATCTTCATGCAAGACACTGGCCACATCCTGTTCAACGCTTTTGGCTGCGGTACTGAACAAAGAGAAATCCTCGATCAACAAATCAAGTCCGGAGAGCGTTCCTTCCGCGATGTATCAGAAGAGATGTGGGGATCCCTCAACGTCCCCTTCGATGACGGATTCCAAGCCATGAAAGACGGCCTCGACATCGACCCCGAGTTCAAGAACTTCCACCAGTTCTGCCTGAACAACAAGATCCCCTTCAACGTCATCTCCGCCGGCTTGAAGCCCGTCCTCCGCAGCGTCCTGGACCACTTTTTGGGAGAAGAGGCAGCTGCCAACATCGACATCGTTGCCAACGAGGCTGATATCTCGGAAGACGGATCTTCGTGGAAGGTCAAGTGGCGTCATGACAACGAGTTGGGTCACGACAAGGAGTTGTCGATCAACGAGTACAAGGAGACTGCTCAATTGGAGAGCGAAGATGGCACTATCCCCATGATTATTTTCATTGGCGATGGTGTATCTGATCTTCCTGCTGCCCGTCACTCGGATGTTCTGTTCGCTCGCCGTGGTCTCCGTCTGGAGGAGTACTGCATCGAGAACCAGATCGCCTACATCCCCTTTGACACTTTTGCCGATATCCAAAAGGAAGTCATCAAGATTGCCAAGATCGACGATGAGAAGACTAAAGGAAAAGGACTTGGTTATAACTTTAACCCAAGAGCGAATCTTTGGAGAAGAGCATCATCGAAGCGAGCTATTGCTACTTTTGCTCAGTTCACACCGAGAAACGAGGACAAGATGTTCGTTTGGCCCGAGACCTTCACCGAGGTCAAGGCTGCTCAGGCCTAAGAGAACCCGATCCTTGTTATCACGACTGCTATCTGTCTTTGTTTACCGCTCGCATCGAATCTGCATAATCATGGATGAAGGGTGTGGTCATTGAGTACCACCAGGGACGGCGTTTTTTCTTTCTTTGTTCACGAACATCATTTTTCGGGATACCATAGCTATCTATACTATACACAGAACATACTATCCAGGGCCACAACAATGTTGGCTTTGTTTCAAAATTTATTGAGACCTTATCTTTGATGTGGTTGCCTTTCTTCCTCACCCTCTCCATTTGCTACTTCCACCTTTTTCACCCTGTATAATCACAACCAAGACTTACAGTGACAGTATCGCCGGAAACTACACGTAAATTATTGCCTGCATTGGACTCAAGGTGTCTGAAGCATTACAGAGAATAGAAGGAAATTCGAACGTTCGAAAAGCGACATTTTGGTGAGGCAAGCAGGGTCATACCACAAACATGGTTCAAATGAACAACTATACGTTCCATCTACCAGAGCTATGTCCACTGAGAACACGTCGAGTGCTATAATGGTTTTCTCTGCGAATGGTGGTGTCAGAGTTGGAAGAATGTATTGTGTATTGCGGTTGAACAATTCATGCTCTGTTGATTTAATGCTAATGGTGCAGATAACATAGTTTCGCCTTTCTACAATACCCAAGCTTGACATGAATTGTTTAGCATACTCTCACTAAAGAAGACTCTTGCTTAGATAGACTCGTGCATTTCTATAGATAATTCTACACATGAGAAGGCGAAATTAATGTTGTCTTGCCCTTGTCGCACGGAAAGCGGCATGTTAATGTAAATTTATGCGGCTCTTATTCAAAGTTGTGCAACAAGCTGACGTAGAGTTTCAGGACAAGCCTCGGGCGGAGAGGGCGGAAAGAGACAGACTTCAGGGCCAGGCCACGACAGCACGAGGGAGGGGCAGTGGTTTCTTCGCGTGGCTGAGCCCTCGATTGTAGATATCAATAGCAACACACAGTGTAACAAAGGAGCTCGAAGGAGTTGAAAGGATTGAGCACATCCAAAGCAGCTCTGCCTTCTTCTGCAAAGCTGACACCAACAAGGGGCAGTCGAAACAACAAGCTTGATGTTGATTTAATCTCGCAACAGGGCCGTGTTCTTTCCCCCGCATCTCTCTCGCATCCAACGCTCGTATTTATAGAGAGAAGGTTAACGGGCATTTCATCATCCTCTCTCCGGAACTGTGAAGGTTGCTGACAGCTGCAACTTCCCCCTGCTTGCTTGCAAACCGATTATTGCCACGTGCAGGCACTGCGCTGGCCGCATCATCACCCAACATTACTCTACACAATGCCTCGACCTCGATTATCGCCGCATCTGTCGCTGCACCGCTTCAAGAGCACTAGCTCGGTCAAGTCGGCAGCTGATAGCCAGTCCAACAGCAGAGCCGTGAGCCCAAAGAGGAAGGAAGAGCAAGGGGATCACAAAGGCTTCAATCTGGTCTTGAGAGTCCAAGTGCTCGAGGTATGTCTGGCCACATCGTCGTCTCGACGCAGCCGAGCTAATCCGCCGTACTCAGGGCCGCAATCTCGCTCCCAAAGACAAGAATGGCACAAGCGACCCCGTAAGCAGCCATCACATCCCGTCCTCGACACATCACCTACTGACTGCCTCTGCAGTACCTAGTTATTACCCTGGGCGACGCTCGCGAGGCCACATCAGTCATCGACAAGACACTGAATCCGAAATGGAACCAGACCTTCGACCTACCCATCTCTGGCATCTCGAGTCTGTTACTCGAGGGTGTATGCTGGGACAAGGACCGCTTTAGTAAAGACTACATGGGCGAGTTTGATGTTGCTCTCGAGGATATCTTTACGAATGGCCAGACCGCTCAGGAGGCAAGCATTAGACCACCCATTCATACGCCACACAATTACAGACTAACACAATACACAGCCCAAATGGTACAAGCTCGAATCTAGAAAGTCGGGTCGCAAGAAGAGCAATGCCTCTGGTGAGGTCCTCTTGAAGTTCTCCGTCTTCGATCCCATCAACCCCAGCGCCACCGCTCAGCAAACACTTCAGAAATTCTATGGCGTCGTTGCTCTCGAGGACCCGGCTGAAGGAGACGAAGACCTGGACGAGCTTGCAAGAGCAGGAGACTCGGTCGATGAAGACGAGGATGGTGACGAGGATGATTCTGGCAGCCCTGAACAGACAGAGAAGAGAAAGAAGAGACACAGACTTGCCCGCCTGAAGCGCAAGACCAAGTTGAAGGCTTACGAGTTCAACGGTATGAGTGCCGTTGCTGGCGTTCTCTTTGTTGAGATTCAAAAGGTTACAGACTTGCCTCCTGAACGCAACATGACGCGTACCTCGTTTGACATGGATCCTTTCGTTGTCAGTTCGCTAGGCAAGAAGACATACAGAACCCGTGTCGTCCGACACAACCTCAACCCTGTCTTTGAAGAGAAGCTCGTCTTCCAAGTCTTGCGACACGAAGTCAACTACTCACTCAACCTCACCGTCATTGACAGAGACAAGCTCTCCGGCAACGACTTCGTTGGTGCCGCCACCTTTTCTCTGGAGAGAGCGAGAGCTGTGCAACCAGAAGCCGACCCTGAGACTGGTCTTTACAGATGTACCGACCCTCCGGAGGCTGGAGTCGCACCTAACAGCGAGTATAGGCGTTCGCGTTTCCGCTTGGCTTCGTCACGCTCGCAATCAAGCCAGACACTTAGCAGGTCGTCTCGCAACGCCTCGGCCAAGGACCTCAACAGGCTTTCCAGAACCTCCTCTAACACAAGCATGAACAACAGACCTCAACTAAGGAAGGAAGATTCAGGTGACTCCCTCAACGCCATCGACTCGAGAGAAAGTCTGCCGTCGCCAATGACTAGCAGCCCTTACCTGAACGACGCTTCTGGCATTCCTCAGGTAAACGTGGACAATGAGACTGCCGAGGATCCAGATCTCAAGTACTACGCAATTCCCTTACAGTTGAAGAACAAGGACAGATGGGAAGATAAACACAATCCGATCGTTCACATCAGAGTCAAATACTTGCCTTACCAGGCTCTTCGCCAGCAGTTTTGGCGAGCCATGCTGAGGCATTACGACGCCGATGACACCGGCAACCTCGACAAGGTAGAGATCACTACCATGCTTGACACACTTGGATCCACTTTGCATGAGGACACCATAAACTCCTGGTTCAAGCGCTTTGCCGCTGAAAACGATGGAGAAGAGGTCTTGACTATGGACCAGGCAGTAATTTGTCTGGAAGATCAGCTCATGAAATATCAAAAGAAGGCTTCTCTCTCGGATACCATCCAAGGAAAGCTACATATATCATCAGCATCAGCAACGAATACCTCGAAGCTGACTTCGGCTGATGGGTCTGAATCATCCGACAATCTTGTACAGTCTGAAGACAGCTCAAGCAGCCAAGGGACACCTCTCAACAATCACTCTCAGACCTCGGTGATTCCGGCGCTCGAGGTCCAGGACCTGTCCGCTGATGGAGAGGAAGGAGGTGCTCTGCCTGACGACGACCTTGCGGATGAAGATAGAGGCGAAGAGCATGTGGTCGAAATCAAGGAGTGTCCTATCTGCCATCAGCCTCGTCTGGACAAGAAGAACACCGAAGCCGACATCATTACTCACGTTGCTACTTGTGCTTCACAAGATTGGCGTGCTGTCAATAATATTGTCATGGGCGGCTTCGTGACGAGCAGCCAGGCACAGAGAAAGTGGTACAGCAAGGTCATCACCAAGATTGGTTACGGTGGTTACAAGATTGGAGCCAACAGTGCCAACATTCTTGTTCAGGACCGTATCACTGGACAAATCAACGAGGAAAGGATGAGTGTGTACGTGAGATTGGGCATCAGACTGCTTTACAAAGGTCTGAAGAGTAGAGATATGGAGAAGAAGAGAATCCGCAAGCTTCTCCGATCTCTGTCCTTCAAGCAGGGCCGCAAGTACGACGATCCTGCTTCAGCATCGCAAATCCCTGGCTTCATCAACTTCCATCAGCTGGACATGTCCGAGGTTCTCTTGCAAACGTCAGACTTCAAGAGCTTCAACGAGTTCTTCTATCGCAAGCTGAAGCCTGACGCTAGACCCTGCTCGGCAGCAGACAGGCCGGAAATTGTGGTATCACCAGCGGACTGCCGATCGGTCGTCTTCAACCAAATTACAGAAGCCCAACGCATCTGGGTCAAGGGACGAGAATTCTCTGTGGAGCGACTCTTAGGCAACGCTTATCCTGAAGATGCCAAAAGATATGTCGGTGGTGCGATGGGTATTTTCCGTCTGGCACCTCAGGACTACCACCGTTTCCACATTCCTGTGGATGGTACAATGCTTGAGCCTAAGCTCATCGACGGCGAGTACTACACTGTCAACCCCATGGCTATCCGCAGTGCGCTTGACGTGTATGGCGAGAACGTCAGAGTAGTAGTACCTATCGACAGTCCCAAGCACGGACGTGTTATGGTCATTTGTGTTGGAGCCATGATGGTTGGCAGCACGGTCATCACACGAAAGACAGGCGAACAGGTCAAACGCGCGGAGGAATTGGGATACTTCAAGTTTGGTGGCAGTACATTGTTGCTGCTGTTCGAACCTGGTAAGATGATGTTTGATGATGACTTGGTCGACAACTCCAACGGAGCATTGGAAACTTTGGTAAGTGGACACGACAAAAATATGAATATCAAGAGCAGTCTACTAATGCATAGTATAGGTTCGTGTTGGTATGTCAATTGGACACAGTCCAGATGAGGCACCGCATATGCCAGACATGCGCAAGGAGAACCCCAGCATGGCTGAGAAGCAAGACGCCAAACGCAGGATCGAAGGCAGTTTTGCACCCAGTACGAGGGCTATGCCTTCTGCTGCCAACATGCAGTAGAAGGTTGAAGGGAGAAAGTAAAAGAGCATTGTTCGTGTTGTAGATAGTAAAGTGCTTGCATGCATACCTTGCGGGCAGAAAGGTAGCCGATACCTAGATCAATAACTGACAACATTTTGAACATCATTGATTGATCCACTGACAAGGCTGCACGTGATGCAAGTATACAAAATAGTCAAAGCTCTTCGAGAGGGTGAGGCTTGTCTTGGCGTGTCGGGGCAGTTTGGCATGTTTACATTTGGCGGGTCGCTGGGGCTTTCTCGATCAATACAAGCAACGCAAGAACGTCAGCGACCGGCAACCACGACCAACCATTTACAGCAACGCGTATACTTAATCCGATCGCTGCTTCCTCCGACGAATATCCATTTCCCGCGATCATAGAACGACAGGCGATGCGCTTTCGCGCCACTTGACGACGACGCAACGAAACGACCTTCAACTTCAATGACGGCCGCCATTGTCACGCGCACCCCTCTACACACCCTTAGCATGACCGGCGCACAAACGAACGGAATCAAGAGAAAAAGTCTTCGCCATCTCAATAATGATCCAGACGAAGATGCGCCGCCCTCCAAGAAACCGAAAGCTCCGTCTACCACCACATCCTCGAGAAACGCGTCGCAGAACACGGTGAAGAAGGCCAAGAAGGGTGAGTCTGGACCAGATCCAAGATCAGACGCGCAAATGCTGATGCGCTCGCGACCAGCCTACGATGAAAAGGATGATGATTTCACTTTCACGCGTGCTCGCACTAGAAAGGCCAAAGCAAAGACACCTGATGTAGCACCGGAACCGGAATTCACAGCTGCAGCTGCAGCGCCTGCTGAGGAGGCACAACCTGCGCAAAAACAACCACCACCAGTCGACGACAATGCGCCCATAGAAGCTACACAACCGCCCAGGAAGAAGCCCAGAAAGACGCTGCCCACGACCCCTGAGCCTGCCACGCGACGACGTTCCAAGCGCTTATCTGGCAACAGCCCTGTCCACGACCAAGCACCTGCGACTTCGAAGCCAGCTTCCGAATCGCAATCGCAGCAAACGAACCCCGCGACACCGCCTCCAGCGCCTGAAATCGAAGAAAATGTCGCGCCTGCAGCAGATCGCAGTCCGGCTGTGGATCAGGGCGAATTGACGATACACAAAAAACGCGGCCCTGCGAAAATCCCGCTACCATTTGGAGAAACGCCTGTGCTGCGTCGCAACAAGGAGATGCGTAAACTGAGTGCTGAGAAGTCGAGGAGAAGTTCGTCAGGGATGAGAGGACGGAGAGCTTCGTCTTTGATTGAAGCAGGCAGCTCACGCGGTATGTGGATATCTCCTTTTTCTATTTCCAAGCACATTCCCCAATCTTGTGCTTCTTGTTTTCTCTGCGTCTTTCTGTGTTGGGTTGATTTCAATCCCCTGACATTGTGTTTTGCGCGCGCATTGCAGTAGGCTATATCGACTTCAACATCGAAGAAGCTTCAGAGACTGAGAAATCCGACTCCAACCATGCGGATGTTGACTTGCGGCGAGACCAAAATGGCGAACACGAGATGCACGACAAAAATCACAAATTTAAGATCGAGGAAGCTGACTGGGACCTTTCTGTGGATACAGCCGTACCACATAACCAGGTCGAAACAAATGAGTTCTACAAACACATCTCTCAGACTTTGGTCGAGCCGAAACGCATGCGGCAACTGCTCATGTGGTGTGGCCATCGAGCTTTACCGGAGAAGAGTGGTGGTGGTCAAATGGATGCGGCTGAGACGGCAGCAATGCACGCAGGTATGTCGGAATTGCAATGTCTCAAAGCGAGCATACACTGATTCGTGATTTTAGCGAGAGTTATCCAAGAGGAACTGCTCAACGAGTTCAGCGCACGGAATAATTTGAGTTATTGGTATGATCGAGAGGACACAACGCCAACTGTACTGGTAAAAAAGCCGAATCCGAGGAACATCCAAAACGCCGAGAAGTTGCAGCAGTTGGAGGCAGAGCTTGCGCGGTATGTCATGCTCGAGATTATGTCTTCCGCGATCTGAAACTGACAAACATATAGGTTACAAGAAGAAAAACGAGCATGGGACGACCTCTTAACCTCAACATCACCACCAAAGGACTCGACAACGCCAGCAGAAACCGAAGCTTCGTCATCACAAATGCAACTCGATATATCACCGACAGCCATCGATCCCTCGCTATTAGACCCCTCACAAGCCGACCTACTTCAAACACTTCTCTCAGGCATCTCCCTAAACTCTTCCGAACCATCCACAACCCCCGCTCCAACATCAACACTAGAATCTACGAAACAGCGCATCGGAACGATAGCATCTACGCTAGAATTCAAGATCGACAAGCTAGCAGATGGAGCGCATAAACTCGAACAATATAGAGCAGGTGCACAGAGACTGGCCGATCATGTGCTTTCTGTTGGAGCGGAGAAATTGGAAGAGAGGGATAAGAGTGTCAGAGAGAAGAGTAGTGCAGCTATAGGGGGCCAAGTTGATCCGCTCGAGAGATTGAGAGGATTGAGCAGGGTATTGAACAAGCGTGGATAAGATTCAGTTGGTTTATGGACCTTTTTTTATGAGTGTGTGCAGCAAAGCAAGCAAGTGTGGGAGTTTTACGATTGATATCGGACATTGATCGTTTGGGCATTTTGAAACGAGAATTTTTTTCACTTCTTTTGCCTTCTTTTGTTTTTCTTGACAGTGCAAAGGTGGTATGTAGCTTATTGATTTCTACTGCTTCGAGAGCAAGAGGGTTCTGCAAAACCTTTTAAGCGTTCAGATCTCATCCTGCTCGTGTGATTTTTGAATCATTTGATAAGATGCATAATGCTGTCGCCCAGGGGGGCTTCAAACCAGCAGATTCGAAGAGATCTCGCGCGGAGCACCTGGAAACGATTGTGTATTCGAACCGCAGCGGTCAAATTGCACGATGTTTTTTGCATCGGGTTACATTATTCACGGAGAGCAGATATTTGAGTTTTTCTCTCTTTGAACCTGACCGCGTTTTCGAAAATAATTGTGCATTGTGACAGGTGCATGAGTGATGCCTCCAGTGCCAGTGCAACAAGAAGGCGCGGCTCACGAAGTCTGACCTCCCCGTGTGCTAAACTCTGTCACGTCTGGCCATCTCACGGCCACGCCTAGGGCCGTTCGGACTGTATAAATGCACAATGTTTTTAGACATCGGTCCGGCCGTCCGTAGAGAGACCCTGGCTGTCACACTCTCAGTGGAGGGCTGCACTGATCTTAAAAACATTGTGCATTTCTACAGCATGCGCGTGACAAAGTTCTGCACACGGGGAGGGATCGCGTCAAACATATGGGGCCTCACAGCACCATCGATTTGCCTCTCCATCAGACGCTTTTCGCGACTTCCGTTCGGCGGTTGTTACGAATGTGATTGATCACATCGCTTCGTGATTATACGCATTCATGTTTGTGTCACAATGGAGCATACAGCGACTGTGCCGCATAAATGCAGCCTGAGCTCCACTCCAAATCTCAATGCGCTGTGTATTTAGACAGCCCATAGCCTCGTTCACGTCTCACGGCATCTCAAACTCGACAGCACGGAAATCGAATATGATTAGGCGGAAGCCAGTCTTCGCCTCAGCCTTGGGCAAAAATTTCGTTCGCTGTTTGTCCGATAGGAGAATCAAGCAAATACAGCGCGATCATCGGAAGCGCTCTCGTGACCCTAGTTCCGTCTTCGAGGGAGCACTGACTGGGGAATTGAGAGTTGACTCGCGTATGAGCGCGCAGGTCTTCCTATCGGCAACCTTGTCACGGAGAGATAACCCCATCAGCGTTGTGGAAGAACTTGTGGCCAGTCAACATGGCCTGGAAAATCTCCATCTTGCATTCAACCAAGATACTGGAGCCGATTACATCGACAAGACGCTTCAACCAGTCCTCTCCTGGCTTCAATATCCAGCGCTCAAATCTGCGTCCAATGGTCTTTATCTCTCTCGAATCATACAGGCTCTTGTGGAACCGCCGACTTCTAAGTTCTGGAACGCACTTTATGAAAACGTCAAGTATGAGACTGTCAGCGAACAGTCTATGCAATGCTTCGCCTGGTTACTGTTGAGACTACTCACTCAAAGCCCCAAGGTCCGCCCTTCGGATATGATGATTGCCAAGGATACTCTGTTGCGACGTGTTCTGGCGGATTCTTCAGATCCCACAACTTGCGACCTTGGCCAAAGGATTCGGCGCGTATGTGATGAACGTGAATCGGAAAAGGCTCCGAGAAGCTTTCAGGCCCAGCATGACAACGACTTCTATGATTTCAGAGAAATCAGCACTATTCCGACCATACAGGAATTGTTGACCGACGATATGTCACGCCTCTTGCGCTCTGTTGAGTTCTATGACGAAACAAGCGTCCCCAAACGTCGGCGCAAGTACTTTGAGAGCCAATACAGATTGTATCGACAGGACTTCCTGGAAGAGGTCAAGGAGGCATATCACAAGGCTCCTTCTGCCGAAGAGAATCAACCCGATGCATCTACTATGACGTACAAAGTTGAATTGGCTGGTTTGTCTTGTGAGGACGCCTCAAAAAAACACGGTCAGCATCCGTGGGCACTCAAACTCAAGTGTCTGGGTGGCTTGACCGAGCTGCAAGATCTCAACCACGAGGAGCGCCAGAAATACATCGCAGAAGAGACTGACTTTATTCTCGATCAATCCCTCGCGGTCCTCCATGCGGACGGCAAACCAATAGCCATTGTGAAGGTTGTACGCGAGGCAGCATTACTTGCCAACTCGATTATCTGTATTCAAATCCCGAATCGAAAGTCCACCCAGGAAGAGCTATTCAGCATGTTCAACGCATCGACTCTGGAGATCGTATTGCTAGGCGTCGCCGGATTTGCTCACGAGCCAGTCCTTAATCGACTGCAAAAGCCAACTGAGCTACCTTTCGAAGAAGAACTGCTACACAAGGGTGTCCACAATAGACCTAGAGATTCCGCAACCTTGGAGAACCAAGGCATAGAGAAAATCGTGCAGAAACTTGGATCAAAGTCAGACTTCGACTTGCAAGAAGCGTTGGGCCTGAGAGAGGCTGTCACTTTGGACCCTTCCCAAACTGCATCTTTGATTGCTGGTTTGAAGCAACGAGTGGGTCTTGTGCAAGGACCACCTGGAACTGGTAAGTGTGACGCATTATTCTTCTCCTATGAAAATCAAGACGGGCAGACAGCTGTACATCGAATTCACTACGATGCTGAGATTTCGATCGACCAAGCGTTCGACAGAGTAACCATCAAAAGGCACAATGTTTTTTGGAATCGGAGCGATTGACCATTGAGAGAGGCTCTATTGCGCGCTCTCACAGGACATGCATCCAATTCTAGAAACGATTGTGCCTTTGCATGGTTGTACACGAGTCCTTGTACTGGAGAGGGAGTTGTGTCCATGTGGCTGCTCAGATCACTTGCATTATGGATTTGTGCTGACTGTCTCCAGGTAAATCTTTCATTGGTGCTCTAGCAGCAAAAGCTGTGCACTACCATACCGATGAGAAGATCTTAGTTATCTGTCACACCAACCAGGCCTTGGATCAATTCATCCAGGATATAATCAAAATCGGAGTCGACAGGTCGGAAATCGTAAGGCTTGGATCGCAAGAGAGAACAGATCCTGCCAATCACTCTATGCTGCTATCAAAACTACAGAGTGCTGGGAACCGTCATCACAACTCCGATACGATGAAATTCGTACGACGTTCAGAGACTGATGCTTCAACCGAAGCGGAAGACCTCAAAGATCTTTATCTCGGCCTAACACAACTCGGCCAGATGCGCGATCATCTGAATGGTATGGCCATGCAAGGTGATGGAAAATACAGCCTGGCTTTTGATATCAGTCTCGAAACTGATGGTATCACGCGTGTTAATGATCGACACTACTTGATTCGACGCTGGGTTGAAGGAAACGATCCTGGCCTATTCCCAGAGAAAAAGAAATATTCGGCAGTTTGGGACCTTCCGTCGTCTCGCAGAAAAGAGCTTGTCGACGAATGGAAGTCAAAATCAAAGATAAGCAATGAAAAGCTTTCTGCTTTCTTGGAAAAGGCAAAGCGACACGATGAGCTTTTGACTCAGGCTCGCTCTGCGAAAGGACAGCTTGATGAACAGATCATCCGGAGTAAGAGAATCATCGCCTGCACGACCTCTGGAGCAGCTAAATATGGGCAAGTGCAATCAGAAGCACCGGGCGTCATCATCGTCGAAGAAGCCGGACAGGTACTGGAAAGCCACATTGTGACAGCATTGAACCCACTCGCGAAACAACTCATCATGATTGGCGACCACAAACAACTACGGCCATTCATCAACTATAAATTGAGTGTTGAGAAGGGCGATGGCTACGACCTCAATCGTTCCATGTTCGAGCGTCTCATCTTACAAGGGTATACACATCAGGTTCTTGCTCAGCAACATCGCATGCGCCCTGAGATCTCAAATCTTGTCAGACATCTCACATACCCTACCCTCATTGACGCGCCCAAGACTCAAGGCCGACCCGATCTTCTTGGCCACTCCAGTAACGTGATCTTTGTCGATCACGAGCACCGCGAAGACCGAGTCGATCTTGACAAGAGAAAGGTCAATGAGAGGGCATCAAAGAGGAATACCTTTGAAGCTCAGATGGCGCTCAAGACTGTCAAATACTTGCTGCAGCAAAACTACGACTCCAGCAGTATCGTTGTGCTTACACCATATCTCGGTCAACTAAAAAGACTACAAGAGGTGTTTGAAGAGGAAGTCGAAGCTGTGTTGAGCAATTCTGATGTGACGAACCTGGAGAAGAATGGTTTGATTAAGCACAAGTCGGAAGTAAATCCCTTCGAGAGATGGAAGAGTTTGAACAATGCTCGTACTACAGCGGCCCATGGTGACAAATCTTCATCGGCAAAGATTCATTCGACAACTTCTGAACAGCTTGGTGCCGATACTATCGATGGCCTCAATCACAGCAAACTGCCTGTAGTAGAATCAGAGGCCATAAAAAGAGGAGCACCTAAGGCCAAACAAAGGCGCAGAAAGAGGCCGAAGATCCAGATATCCACAATTGGTAAGTGATGTCCTTATACGTGAAGAAGTCTCGCCCGACCCGAGTTCCCTCTGTATGAGGGTTCCATAACGCCTATATAGAAAGGCGAGATGATTTTTGATAACCAGAGCCATGTCCAATGAGAGCGGTTTTCTAACCTGCTCTTCCTCGGACGTGTACCTGATCTTCGAAAATATTGTGCCTTTGGATGTATATCCAGAAGGGGCACATCGGCATCATGAGAGCTCGGATCCTTCACGATATCTGAGCCCTTACATTTTCCTTTCTAAGTTGACTGACTAACCGCATCTTAGACAACTATCAAGGTCAGGAAAGCGACATAGTTGTCGCCTCCCTCACGAGAAGCAATCCGGAAGGCGAAATTGGATTTCTGTCCGGCCCAGAACGCCTCAATGTTCTTCTATCGCGAGCACGCGACGCCTTGATCATGATCGGCGACTCGTCTACCTTCAAAAATGCGCGTCAAGGCAAAGAATTCTGGACCCAACTTTTCCAGCTTCTCGAGGACGGCAAGCACATGTACCAAGGTCTTCCCGTCAAGTGTCAGAACCACCCGCAAAATACGTCGATACTGCAAACGCCTGAGGACTTTGATGAGAAATGTCCAGAGGGTGGATGCTTGGAGCCTTGTGATCAACTTTTGGGGTGCGGGATTCATCAGTGTGCTTCCATGTGTCATCATGTGCATGATCACTCGGGGATAGTGTGTCATGTCGTTATGGAGAAGGTATGCGATAGAGGCAAGCATCTACAGAGATATGAGTGCCATGAGAGTCATGAGAAATCTGGCCTCTCATGTGGATTATGTGAGGAGGAGGATGAGGCAGAGGAAGTTACGAAGGAAGATGAGGCAGAGGAAGTCGCAAAGGAGGATAGGAGGAACGCGGAATTTCATGAGCTAATGAGGGATCAAGGTGCTCGTCATTGAACCTATGAGGGATTCTCTTCACAGCTCGTCACACACAGCCATCGAGTGGCACAGCGCCTTTGCTAGCTGAAGTCATAACCAACAAGAGTGCATGAACTGCTCAGACCTCCCTGGATGACTCCAGTTACACAGAAAATCTTGCGCATCTCAACAGCTGTATTTGATTCATGAAGTTGAGATCAAAGTATCCTCCAATTCCTGCAGAACAGATCTCATGAGTCGAAGCGGGAAGGTGCAGCTTTCTCATGCACACTACCGTGGAGCTGGGAAGTTGCCATCCACGTCCGTTTGCTCAATTTCCTGCCTTTGTCGGTCAACACATCCTACCATCACTCTTCTTTTCTAGGACAATTCTTCCCCTGCAACTGCTTTTTGTTGCTTTTTGACATCCTCCTCTCCACAATCAATTCGATCCCTTTGTCAGACACATCATGGCTCCTTGTTCCAATGGCGCTTGCAGGAACAACGGCACTCGTGCTTGTTCGCGCTGCAAGAACACTTCCTACTGCGGCACGGCTTGTCAGAAGGTTGCTTGGTTGAAACATAAGGATGTCTGCGTCAAGCCAGGCGTGAGCACTGCGTCGAAAGTTGTTGAGTATGTGCGTTCGGGCACTTTCAACTTCATGGGTCTTCCTCGCGAACTACGTGATAAGGTATGTGAGTGGGAGTGGATTTTCTCTGATATCGTGTACTGACTCTGAGCCAGATTTACAAGGAGCTGGCTGTTTTCCACTTCTCTTCCGAGGATCGATACAAGCATGCCAGATTTTCCATTCCCCAAGGCACGCCTCATATCGACATTGTAGAGAGAGACGCCGCATATGAGATCGAGAGAAGTGTTATGATCAGTCCCGGTACTCTTCTTGGGACCTCTCTGATCGGCAGGAAGATCCCTTGTCCTCGTGCCAAGATCGTTGGCCTCCTTCTCGCCAACAAACAAATCAGCCACGAGTTGCTTGAGATAGCTGTCTCGCAAAATGTCTTTCTTGTTCCTGTAAACGAGACCATCGAACTCAATTCACCCGGCAACATTTTCCGTCGCAAATTCAATCCCTCGCTCGTCTCTAAGATTGAAAGACTTCACATCAACGTCTGCACTGAGATTGATCCCTTCGACGACTCATACCATGTTGGTGTCAGCAAAGTCCAAAAGAGCATGGATCATGTCGTCAGAACTCTCAACGAAGCCGGTAAAACGCTCAAGAGTCTCACCGTACGCTACATGTCGTGCTACCCCGGTGAGGTAGAAGAAATGCGCCATGATGCCGATGCTCTTGTCAAGAACCCAGGAGCTCGCTGTATTCAAGTCATGCGTGTCTGTGACGGCCGTCTGGATGCGCTCAATCTCACCAATATGCAAGCTTTCTACCTCCACGGCGCCAACATTGCTTCCGCCCTCGAGGCGCTCACCACCCCTGTCAAACAGTTCTCCGCCTACGGCGACATCTCCGGCCTCGATCTCAAACGTATGTATCATCACTTCAACTTGCCCTTTGAGATTGAGAAACCTCGCTATCATCTCGATCGTTGGGGTCAAAAGTCGAGCGGATTTGCAGGTTTTACTTTCCCTCCTGATATGGAACGCGAACATTGTAGATCTTCCAAGGCCAGGCGTGCTAGGCTTGAGATTATTCGAGGTTTTTCGACTCCTTCATCGGAGAGTATGTGGCAGTTGAAGAGAAGGTTGGGGTTGTCTCGTATCTGAGATGGATTCAATGCGGAGCAATGTTGACCCTCATTGAGAAACGACCGAGTGGTTAGCAAACACCTAGCAACTTTCACATGGGAATTGGGATCATAGAAAACACAAAAACACTATTCAAGTCCGCATGCCTCTCCGTCTTTGACACCGATCCTTCTCAAGGATAAAGCTGTGCTGATGCACAAAGTTTTCTGAAACAGCTTCATTGTCTAGAGAGTTTTCCCATGCTTGCTCTGAAAGTAGGACACGTTGAAATACACGTTGTTGATCGAGTGAAACTGCAGCCGTGGAGTGGAAAAAGTTTCGCAAGGTTCGCGACAAGGCATGTGATACTGTGGAGCTAAGTCTGAGAGCTGTTTATTGATTCTGGGCTGCATAGATCTATGAAGAAATCATTGTCAGCCGCTTCTCGCCTTCGGAGCAAGCCCACTTCGATCACCTGGTCTCCTTGAAAAGCCAGCCCGACATCCGCAACAGAAGGAGAGATGCTATGGACCTCCTCGAGCGCCGCCACATGGTCGCTCCTGCTGTCTCCGTCTACAAGATTCGTGGTACTCCTATCTTTGGCTTCAAGCCCCTGGTCAACGCTCGCGGCCTGTCACTCGCAAACAGACAGATAGCCAGGGAGCTCAAGGAGGTTTACTGGTCCAAGAACACCTTTCTCATTCCCGTCGACGAAGCGAACCCCTTTGATGCACCCGACCAAAACTTCCGTGGTTATGTCGAACATCTCGCCAAAGCCAAGAGGATCTATCTCGAGATACAGACTCAGAAGCATCATCCCGGCGAGAAGGGCTTCCAGGCATGCGTCACTACAATCCAGCGTCAGATGAACGGCATTGTTACGGCTCTCAATCAAGTCGGTGACGCTCTCGAGTCTCTTGATGTTCGCTATACATACCTCCTGTTTCCCAGGCGAAATCGAGGACCTCCGCATCGATGCAGATGGTCTCGCTGCCCACAAGAACGCTCGTGTGATCTGGGTCATGGACCCTCGCACAGACAAGATGCGCACACTCAAGCACCACGAGATCAAGCAAATCTACCTCCACAGCATCATTATTGCCACCGCTCTCAACGCTCTCACGGTTCCCGTCAACGACTTCCGCGTCTTTGGTGACTTTGCCGGTCCCGACATCAACCGCATGCACCTCAATTTCGGCCTCGAAGTTCCCAAGGTGGCTCAGAGATTGGATAGATGTGGTCAGCGCATCAGCAAAGACGCCGAGATGTCTAGGGAGATGGCTAGAAAGAGTCCCGGACTGGGTTCGACATTGGAAGATCTGGCGAAGTCGCAAGAGCAGATTTTCAGTACGAGAGCACTTGCTATCCGTCATGCCATCATGTTCAGTCCTATGCCTCTGACTTTGCCTGGTGGTGAAGAGGAACTTCAGCGTCGTATGGCTCTTGCTAGAATGGTCTGATCATTCTGTTGTATCAGTCTGCTCGTGCTGAAGGTCGGATTCGAAGAAGAGTTTAGTCATGGAAGAATTAAAAACACTATTCAAGCTGTGCATGTGACATCTCCATAACGCATCCGAAAGGGTACAATTTTCTTTTCCTATCACAGTCATAGCCTTCGGACGCGAATTATGAACATCAACTCTCTATGATCATGTGTTACCAAGATCTCGCAGGAGCAATCATACATCCACGAGCGCTTCGTACTTTCTTGTGACCTGTATTTCGTGAGTAGTGAGCCTCCTATCGGTCGTTCTGGTAGATCGCGACAGTTCCTGAGATTTGAGCGTTTTAAATCATCCCCTTAAATAAGTGTGCTTGCGGGGGCACTTGGTAAGTTCGCGGTTAAGAGAGGCTCGACTGGACTATGTTCCTTCCTCGTCGGGACGTCTGCACGCGAACAGACATCTGCAGTTGCCAATTCAATAAGGAAGGAACCTCCCACTTATCTCGACGCCGAAGTCCCTTCGCTTTTCATCCTGTGTGTCTCTCCTTCATCCATCACAACCACATCCTGCATCACGTCAACACCTCAAGATGTCGCCCCAACGCTGTGGAAACGGTAAATGCCGGGAGCCTGGTGTACTGAGATGCTCAAAATGCAAGTGAAAGTCTTACTGCACCAAGACATGCCAGAAAGCACACTGGAAGAAGCACAAGATGTCCTGCCATGGGCCAGGGGACTTCCCGCCCTTCATGCCTGGTGTCTTCAACTTCTTCGGCCTTCCAAGAGAGATCCGCAACAAGGTAGGCTTTGCATCAGATCCAGAGTTACAACTGTGACATGGCTGAGGTCCAATCCAGATATATGAAGAGCTCGTCGTCGCTCTTCGTTCTCCTGGAGATTGTACCGAGTACGAAAAGCTTGCTGCCTCACGTCATGAACCGGATTCCGAGCGTAAACGCTTCAAGCGCATGGACGAGCTCGACGTACGTCTCATGGTCAAACCTGGCCACAGCGAACAAGACGGCACCACTGGTTTCCAGCCCCTCCTTGACGTCCATGGAATGTCCCTCGCCAACAAACAGGTCAACCGGGAGCTCATGACTACTCTTTTCTCCAAGAACCGCTTCTTCCTCTCTGTCGACGACAAACACCCCTACTGGGTCCCTGGTCAGTTTCTCCGGGCAATCATGGCTCCAAACCACCTCGCTCAGATCAAACATCTCTACATCGACGTTGACACCAAACTTCAACCTTACGAAGCCGACTATCGCAAGGGCGTTATTGTCGTGAACTACAGTATGCATCACATCGTCAAGACTCTGAACTCTGTTGGAAAGGGTCTCAAGTCTCTGACTGTCAACCACATCTCTTGCTATCGCGGAGAGATTGAAGAGCTTCGTCGCGACGCCGACATCTTGGCCACTCGCAAGCATGTCCGCAACATTCAAGTCATGCGTCCCGATCATGATATCCAGGAGCTAGACAGCAAAGGCATCAAGGAATTCTTTCTCCACAGCAACAACATCGCCAATGCCATTGGCCAGCTCACCATCCCTGTCAAGAAATTCCGCATGTTTGGCGACGTGTCCGGAAATGACATTCAGCGCTTGTACCACAAGTTCGGCGTCATTGACGACCATGTGGACGAGCACGAAGACAACCGCGACGAGAATGGTCAGAAGCGCGATTGGATACAACTGGTAATGGAGGACATGGCTGCTGCTCTTCCGGGCCTACAGGATGCAACCGCTCAAGCCCATCTTTACGCCATACGTCCAGTCATGACTGTCGCAGTCGGCCGCGTTGATGGAGGTGCCATGCTTTTGGGTTCACCTGACGGTGCCCCTCCAATCAACATGCCTAATGGCTGTTTCGGTGGTGCTGTTCCTCTTATCTACCCCCCTCGTTGATTTGAAGAAGGCACTCCCTTCTGTCGTTATCTGGGATTCAAACTCGGATGAGCTTATGAGTCAGGTAACGCTATTCTGTTGAGATGAGATTGGAGCTTTTCATTTTCTGTTGTTCCAGTTTGGAAGAACAGCACAGGTTCAAGGAGTGCAGAGGGTCTTGTCCGTAATCGAAGATGAGCAAATTGCTAGTTGCTTTTCTGGTAGTCACTATTTATGCAATACGTTCATAAGACATACATAATTCTGCAGTGAAGCTTGGTCACAACTCCGCGTCAACCAACCTCACCGCGACTACCACTACAGCCAAGATACACTTGCACTCCAAGACCTTTTGTGCAACGCATCCTGAATCGCTCTTGTACCAATGCCGTGCTCGTGTGGCTGTTTTGTAAAATCTTCCAGGCCCTGGAGGGCGGTCGGTTTGATTCCCTGACCTTTGTTCGTGAGCAAAGCAAAGGATCGGCGAACCCTCGAAATCACGACATCGCAAGCCTCGAAGATGCAAGAGCTGCAACCCACGTTTTCAGCCCTTTGAACGACCATTCATTGGTCAATCTGGACTACACTCCAGATACGTGCTTGCAGATATCTATTCCCACGCGGCGGAAATGATGGAGAATGTGGCTTGGAAGACGTCAGAAAATACACTTCGATGCAATCGTGCTATGGGTGGGAGGTCGCGACTCGACATGTTGTTAGGCCGTTTACGGTAGGTGGATGAAATTTGGGTCAAGATCTATATCACCGGTCGATCTCTCTTCCTTTCTTCCTCTTTGAATCCTTCTCTTTTTCTATCCACATCTTTGACCTCGATTCTGCTTGTACCTTGGAAGGTGCGGTAACAGCAGATACAATGGCGGATATTGAGAAACACATCAACAATGAGCAAGAGTCTCCTCAGCCTGCCTCTTCCATCGCCTCGGCCGACTACACGCACATCAACGAAAAGAAGCTTCTCCGCAAACTCGATTGGAGATTACTGCCAGGTGTCTCCCTCCTCTATCTCGTCTCCTTCCTCGACCGAAGCAACGTCGCCAATGCACGTCTCGAAGGCTTGACCACCGACCTTGGCATGACTGGCAACGAATACCTTACCGGTCTCACCGTCTTCTTCATCGGTTACATATCTCTTGAAGTCGTCTGGAATTTGATCTTGAAGAGAATCGGACCTAGGATTTGGCTACCTGCTGTTACAATCGTTTGGGGTATTGTCACAACTCTGCAAGGTGTTCTGGTCAACAAGGTTGGGTTCTTTGTTATCAGAACTGCTTTGGGAATTTCTGAGGGCGCACTGTTTCCTGGTGTCGTCTTTTATCTGAGTATGTGGTATAAGAGAGAAGAAAGAACTTATAGAGTGGCGTTGTTCTTCTCCGCTGCAAGTTTGGCTGGCGCGTTTGGTGGTATTCTTGCATATGTGAGTTCTCCACACTTGAAGTCTTGAGTTTTATCTGCTAATACAGATTAGGGTATCAGCTTTATGAGAGGCACAGCAGGCAAGGAAGGTTGGGCTTGGATCTTCATTCTCGTAAGTGTTTCCAATCTCCAGAATCCGCTCAAGTTTACTAACAGGTCTGCAGGAGGGCATTGCAACTGTGCTCATCGGAGTCGCCGCATTCTGGTTCATCGTCGACTGGCCTCAGAAGAGTACCTTCCTTGCTCCTGATGAAAAAGCCTACGTCGAGGCACGCCTCAAGGCCGATAGTGATGCTTCTAACACCGAACAGTTTGAATGGTCCGAAGTCTGGAAAGCATTCAGAGACCCTAAGGTCTGGCTATACTGCGCTCACTTCCACACCTTGAGTCTGCCGCTTTACACACTTTCTCTATTCTTGGTGAGCCTTATGCCCTATCCCAATCTCTAACACTGGGAAAGGAATCCTAGCTAACAAATCGCACAGCCTTCCATCATCAAGTCGCTCGGCTACACTGCCTCCAACGCCCAACTTCTCTCCATTCCACCTTATGCCCTCGCGACCACTTTGACAGTCATCTACGCAATCACAGCCGAAAAGTTCCGTCGCAGAAACGTCTTCATCATGACCTCGTCTCTAACAGGAATAATCGGCTACATCATCCTCATCGCAAACACCTCTCCTGTAAAACACCCCGGTGTCTCTTACGTCGGCACATTCTTCGCCGCAGCAGGCATCTACCCCTCCACCGCTCTCGCCCTCTCCCTCCCAGCCATAAACGTATCGGGACAGACGAAAAGAGCCACAGCGACAGGCATGCAGATTACCATTGGCAATCTAGGAGCTGTATTGGGAACGCAATTGTATAGAACTGAGACGGCACCGAGATATGTGTTGGGACATTCGTTTGCATTGGGGTATCTGTGTTTGAATGTCATTGTTGCGGGAACCACTTGGTGGGTTTTGCATAGAGAGAACAAGAAGAGGGATGTGTTGGAGGCGGAGACTGTGCAGAGGAAAGAGGGAGGTTGGGGTGCCGAGGGTGATGATGATGTTAGATGGAGGTTTACTACTTAGATTGGGAGGAAGGACTGTATTGTATGTGTGATGCTTGGAACAAGATTCAAAAACAAACTTCAAACACTTTACAACCATAGTACGGAGTAGTATTGCCTCCGAAGTGTTTCTGTGCTCAGTAGAATCTTTTATGATCAAGCTTCAAGATGGGTTATGCATAATTTGTGCATTTGTGCAGAGTCAACTATGAAGCCTCGGCAAGTCCACCAAGGTTGCGGAGATGCAACTGCACAACACCTCGGACCAAAACATCATCTTGCATCGCAACCAACTCTCACAATGTAGCTCCCATCACCTACACGCAAAACTGCATAATCTAAATCAACTTACCCGATCATGTCCTCTCCACCACCAAAAGTCCTGCTCTTCGACATCGGCGGCGTCTGCGTATGCTTCCTCCCATCTCATACCTCCAACTTCCACACATACTGACTACCATCCACAGGTCGTCTCCCCTTTCGCAGCAATCCTAGCCTACGAGAAACAAAACTCCATCCCCATCGGCTGGATAAACACCGCAATCTCCGCCTCAGGCAAACACGGCGCCTGGGCCCTCCTCGAACGCGGCAAGATCCCCCTCGACTCCTCCTTCTTCCGTGCATTTTCCTCCGACCTGTGCTCCGAACCCCTGTGGCGACAATTCTACATTGCCCACTTGAAAAGGACCAGAAAGCAGGAAACAACAGCACAAGCGATAGAGGAAGCAGCATACCAAGTCCCCGCACCACCCAAAATAGATGGCGAAAAATTGTATTGGGAAATGATGACTGTTTCCCGAAAACCGGATATGTGGATGTGGCCGGCGTTGCAAAAGTTGCGCAAACACGCGACAGAAGAAAAAGGATATATCCTCGCTGCATTGAGTAATACTTGTATTTTCCCCGCAGATCATCCTTTTACCTCTTCCACCTCGCCCGACGGCATCTTCCACGCTAAATTAAGAGGGATCTTCGATTTATTCGTTTCATCAGCACATGTGGGGATGAGAAAGCCGGATGTGGAGATTTATGAATATACGATTGGGGAATTGGATAGACTTGCTAGGGAAAGGGGGGACGAGGATGGGGTGAAGGCGGGGGATATTGTGTTTTTTGATGATATCGGGACGAATTTGAGGACGGGGAGGCAGGTGGGGATGAGGACTGTTAAGGTGGAGTTGGGGAGGGCGGATAAAGCTGTGGTGGAGTTGGAGAGGTTGACGGGGTTGAGTTTGTTGGAAGGGGAGAGGGGGAAGTTGTGAGGATGAGGAGGGGAGAGGGGATAGTTGTAAGGACGGGAGAGGTGGAAGGTTGTGTTGATGTGTTGGAGCGCAGTGTATTGGGCTTGGAGATACCACGGTTCTAGAGAAGAGATTTACATGGTGCTTCTGCGGTGAGAAACATGCACGAAGAAGCGAGTACTTCAAAGCCACTCTCGACAATGTCGGACGGCTGTGACGTTCCTGACCGCCCGAAACACCTAGTTCCTCATCTCGCAGCTGTTCGATGCGAAAGCCCCAAAATGTTCCATGGACTTGCTGAAAGCATCCATTCCTCCTTGTTCACCAGTCTCTCTCGCTATGATTAGCTCAGTGAGAGAGCCCGCAGCCTCAGGCCTCGGCTCTGGCCATAGCGATCCTGGCTCTTCTGTTCATGGCCCACTCGGCCAACCTTGAATTGTACCAACCATCGATCTCAAACTCGTTCTCACCCCTAACTTCATCCCAATCCCCATTCTCTATCTCATCCCAGGGCACATTCTCGTCCTTACTGTAATCCCCATCTTCATCACTCCAACTCCAGACTTCCCCATCGTGGCCCTCGTCTCGATAGCTCCTATCCCAGCCGTACATGTCGTAGCTGATGAGGACTGCGAGTGTTCGTTGAATCCGCTGTTGACCATGCCACGATCTTCCCTTAGCAACAAGAATGCCGTCGCTGTAGTCGATGTGCATAGCTTTCACGTCATCCAGAACCAACCTCTCCAATTGAACATCATCCTTGAGACATTGCAGCACCCTGTTGATGCACCGACCTGCGTCATACTTGTCGACTACCCAAAGGTAGACGCCGATCAACTCGACCACGCGTAGAGTGCCGGCATAGGCCTGCAGTATGTGAATGAGCTCATTGATCTTCACAGCGCAAGACTCGATGCGAAGATGACGATAAGGGGCAGACAGAATGGCACCTCTCATCGGTCTAGCAAAGCTGTCCAATGAGACATTACAATATTCGACTCTGTCCGTCGACTCGCCAAATCGAGTTCTCTGTTTGAAATCGAGGCGGCGCTGACTTGACACTATGCCGATGTGTGTGAATGTGTCTTCAAGGCAAGCGTCGATTTCCGGTCGAAGTTGTCCATCGTCCAGAATAAACGAACTCAAAGCTTCTTCGTTCTCCTGGTCAATTTCCTCGCCATGAAGATACAAACCGACTGATTTTGGTTGGAAGTTGACGTTTCTACAGACGTTTCGGATGACTTGTAGTGCTGTGTTCTCTGATACGACCATACTCCTGAATGGGAGACTCGCGTACTCCAGGGCTGAGCCATATGCTCCGAGCAAATGTGCTGCCTTGCGCTGAGGATCAAGCTGTATGTCATCGAAGACTCCAAGAATGACACCCGATCCCCACATCTGGAGATTGCAGAGAGCCTCGCCCAGCATGAGTTCTAGCAGTCGGGTCTCAAAATCGGAGCGTCTGGTCCACTTTTCATCGAACAAGCGCAGTACCTCCATGGCCCTGTCGTTATCAGTGATACCTAACATCTCGATGTGGTTCAGCAAGGTACGAAGATTGTTAGTGACGCGATGTGTGCCGAACATGATCTCCCTGACACATGGGCCGAAGACTGGGTGAGCAGTCAAATCGACCAGACCCTGCATGCTGAACTCTGTGAATATGAAACGGCCATGTGCAAGCCTCTTCTCTCCGAAAGCTTTTGCAGACACATCGTTCAGAGTCTTGCAGGTGAGACGGAAGTTTGGCAGGTCTTCTGGGTCGACCGCGTTGGATATGGTTAAGAGTATTTCATTGGGCAGAGTCAGGAACTTCATGGCATACTTTCTATGCGGAGGAAGTTTACGAGACTTGGTCTGGGGAGATCCATCGGGCAGCGAGGTTGTGGTGGGCATGCCGGGTGGTGAATGCACGGGTGCTGTGATTTCTATCGACATCCTCAGCGTTGAGGTTGCAGATGATGGAAGTTGACAACTGTAGAGCTTCGACAGGAATATCTGAAGGTCCAGAGAAAGTTATATCTGCGCACTGTCAATCAGTTGTGCTTTTGGTAGTGAAGGTGCTTTCTGGGGAGACCTACCCAGTCCTAGAAGCAGCTAGTCGAAGATTGACAGCAGCGAATGGTGTAAAGGATAGCGAAGTTCACTGGAATCGTGACGAGAAGATGTCAGAGATAGCGCCTGTTTGTTTCTGAAAGGCGCAGAGATCTCGATAGAAAGCGCACAAGAGTGCCAGAAAATAGTGGAAGTGCAAGAGCAACGAGGTCGAGGCGATGAGCGGTGTTTGCTGGGTTGCAAGAAGTGAAAGGGGCTTTGGAGTGATGAGATAAGGAGGAAAGACTTCCTAGTTCTAAGGAAGACAAGAGCAGAGGCGACGATACAATACTTGGTTGTGCAGGAAGAGAAGTGACGACCGCGATGAGACTTGTCGCAAAAACACTTTGTTGTGCGTCAAGAGCTCTTCACTGCGAAGCTCAAAGTGTGCGAGAAGGGTGGTTTTGATAGTGTCTCCGGTGTAGTGAGACTTTGTAAAAGCATGCTGTAACGATGCACAGTGTCCCTGGAATCCACAACATTCCCAGTGAGAAGTGAAATCGCCACAATGAATTCAAAGTCAGTGTTGGTACAACTCCTTGGCTTGTGTATTCGTGTCAGCAGATCGATCACTCAGAGAAGGATAGTATGGTACCGATTATATTCTTCCTTGCAAGAAAGATTGATCGTGGAGAAATTACATTCGTCGCTATGGTATGAACGTAAAACATTAAAGCTAGCCTAATAAACACCATTGTTCCTTTCTCAATCCCATAGTCCGCTGGTCTATACCGTAATGCCATGATACAATCCTACCCCTACCAGGTCTCGACCAAGCTCTTGCTGGGAGACACTGTACCTTTCGAAAACGCCTAATCACAAAACAACATCAAAATCTCTAAGCTTTGACGGCGGCTTCTCTCTCAACGTCTTCGAGACTGCCATAACCACTGTCCTTTTCTTCCTCTTCTTTCCAGCCTCCAACGCGCTTGCTGACACCCAGGCATGATTCGACGATTGTAGCCTTTTGCTCACGGGTCAACCCTGCGGTCTTGGCTGCACGTGTGCCGATCCAGACTCTCAGGTTACCAGCCAGATCATCCAGGCCAAGCTTTCCACTGTTGAATAGCAGCGCATCAGATGAGAAGGCAGAGAGGACCTTGAACGCAGCGACAGCTGTGAGTAGGGTAATTCTGTTTGGCATAAGATGCATAGACGACAGGACAGAGGCGGCGTGTGCACGTGCTGGAGTGGGGTTGGTAGGAGAGGCGATGGAAAGGATCTTTGCAAGAGTCAGGGCGCTGTGGGTATCTGGCGAGATTGGTGTATGAGTAATCATGTTTGAGGGCATGTCCAAGCCATCGTTGTATGTGACCATTGGCAGTGTTTCCAAGGCGGCGATGATGTGCGCTCCACGGTTTTGATCGAGGACGACAGCCTTTGCTACATGAGCGCGGGTCTGTGTAGCTGACGCAGGAGGAGCAGTCTTGTTGGCCAAGTCGACCAGGTATTGCACATCAGCAGTGGCATTGGTATCAGTATCCAAAGCACGAGTGAGAGCGGCGTCGACGGTCATGTTGGCAAACCAGGCGGCGACGGCGTCGAGAGGGGATCTGATGGCATGATCTTCAACGACACTATCCATGGTCTGATTGGGGATGGCCTTCTCAGCGCTGGGTCTGTTCCAGGCAAGATTGTATGCGCGTTGAATCATCTCGTCAGTCAGGACGTCATCACAGTCAAGCTCGATCAACTCGGCGAGATACTCAGGCAGCCTCTCAATCTTGTCATCTGTGATCTGCTTCTCGGTGTACTCGCCAGCAGCGATAGCATGCTGTTGCTTGCGAGCAGAGTCCCAGTAGATCCTGCCAACCTTGGCTGTAAAGTCACGGAACATGAACATGTTGCCGTAACCGGCGTTAGCGACTTCCCAAAAGAAGATACGGAAGTGGACGGCTTTTTGCATGAGACGAATTGGCGAGTCTGGTAGAGTACCAGAAGCCATGAGAGTGAGCAGTAGACGGTAGTAGCTGACCTCAGCATCACCACCAGCAAGTTGAGCGTCAATGGCAATATCCCATGCCTTGATACGAGCAGCTTCATCGTCCGGAGTCTTGCCTGAGACTCGCGAGTAGAACTCGGAGCCAACGAGACGACGCAGACTAAGCATGATCATCTTGCATGTCACAGATACAACCTCAAGCAAGAAGTGACGCGGCATCCAGACACTTTGTACAGCGGTGAGCCAGGCCTTGCGACGAACCTCAACCGGCGAGGCAAGAGAAGGAGCGGCTGTAAGAGAGACACGGATCGACAGCTTGCGTTTAGGTTGAGGCTTGAAACGGAGAAGAGGGAGGAGGATGTAGATGAAGGCACCAAAGACCAAGAAAGTCTTGAGCAGAGGAAGTGCTGCCTGGGCCGACGAGCCATAAGCAGCATGCGAGGGCGATCTGAGGAATTGGCCACGCTTTAGCAAGTGCATAGGGGCAGCGAATAGACCCCTGCCGGACGTAGAGTGAGCATCTTGTTCCTGCTCGTGGAAGCCTTCCATAACCATGAGAGCAGCCAGTGAGCCGACCATGAGTTTTCCAACAAAGCCATTGCCGGCGCCTTGGGCGTTGACGAGATTGTTCTGTCCAGGCTCGGCGACATGTTCCTGGGGCTCATAGGTGGGCTGTGAGTGCTGTTGCAAGTATTGGTCTTGTTGAATACGCCTGGGTGCTTGGGAAGTGATGGAGCCTTGTCGTGAGCGAGCAATGGCAGGAGTAAGGATTCCAGCGTGTTGATTCGCAGCAGCAGACCTTGACATGGCCTTCTCCATGTTGGACATGCGAGCTTTGAGTTGAGTCAGCTCGTCTGCCTGTGTCTTTGCTCTTTTCTCGAGATGTTTGATGTATTCGGTAGCCTTGGCCAGTACTGTGGCCTTGTTCAGCTTATGCGCCGGCGTCAGGCCCTCGAGGTCCTCCGAGTCATCGTTGCCGCTTGGTCGCGACATGGCTCGGAGACTAGGAACACTATCGCGGAGTTCGGCAATCTTGTCGTTCAGGTTGTTGCGATATCGCTTCTCGATAACATTGTGCGATGTCTTCTTGATTGGAGGACCACCATCTTCCGGGCTCTGCTGCTCTTCATCGCTCTGTGACACTTTGCGTTTCCTTCCTCCCTTCTTGACAGGTTGATCGGCTTGTTCCGGCGCTGGAGATATGGATGATATGCTTGTGCGAGCATGCGACGTGGAGGCAGGGCTGCTGCGATGTTGGCTTGTACTCGAGACGGATGCTGGACCGGATGCAGGATAGTCATTGCTGGCGAGGATTATAGGCGCAAGCAGATCGCTTTGCGCCGGCGCGTCGATGTTCTGGCCTATCGGAGGCCACAAAGAGGACGATGAGGCAGATGGTTCTTTGGGGTCGGTGTTCAAGTGGTCGACTATAGGTTGTAGAGAGTTTGAGTCGGCGCCGAAGAGGAAGGGCAAATCATCGGTTTTGGCGTCGGGCTGGCCAAAGTCGAAAGCGGCGTCGGCGAAGGAGAAGTCGCCGAAGTTGGCGTCGTCGCCAACAATGAGGGGTGGCGCAAGGGTTTCGTCGACATTGAGAGGTGGGAAATGGTCGGCATTGAAGTTGATGTCTTGCATGGGAGAGTTGTTGCTCGTCTTGGTCGAACTGTCGGGAGAGACGGCCTCTCCGGGATCAAATCGCAACCATTCGGACCATTCGTCGGGGTTGGAACCGAATTGGTCCCAGTTGGCTTCCATTGGTGTGTTGAATGTCGCGAGAGTCGTCTCAGATCATGGGCGGGACTGTGTTGAAAGTCGCAGCTTCCAAGGAGGAGGACGAGGGCGATGAGAAGGATGCTAGAGACCCTGGCGGTTTCGCGCAATCAGACCATTCTCAAAGCCAAGCCCCCCCCACTCGCGACGAAACATCGTCTCATTTCCAGCACGCCGCCCGGGACCCGGCCATCCGTCATTTTTTGGTGCTTCTTTTGACTCCATTCCTCCTTCCTCACTCCGCCTCCCTAAGCCACACCAGATAATCGAACCATGTTTGCTATCTGCTAGGCAGCAGTCCACTCTCTCCTGACGAGATACTGTCACCAATAACCCCCTTAGACTGACTCGAGTCTCCCTAGAGTGATGGCTACCGACGAGTCGCAACGCCGCGCCCTTTGTCTTGTTGAGCTTCTTTCTTTGCTCAATCTTCTTGACAGCTGTCGGCAGTAGTCTACATGTTTTACTGACACTTAATCTCGTCCGAGTCGTATCTACTCAAGGATGGAGCCATGCCCGGTTTGCATGAAGAGAGCCCGAATAAGCCTATACGCTGCGCTGTCTCGACTCTGTTCAGACGTTGGTATTGTAACTTGACAAAGTCAGGACTGCGTCTTGTGCCACTCTAAAGGAGCCCCTCTCGTATTTCTAATAACCTTCTAGACCTTATACCATGGCTTTTGGGTTACTGAGCGAGAGGATAAGGATGTGAAATGCGTCGTCCAACCAAGGAGTCTGCTATCTTGTGGCCTGACTTCTCAACGGATCGTACGTACATTCATTCTTGGATTAGAAGAATCCTTTGTGTGAATCCCTGTCGCCTGTGATCATCTCTCTTGACAGTAAAGCTGTAGAGACTCGCAATACTCTTTGCTTAACTAGAGCCGGTCAATGGGATGAACCGTTCGGCAAGTCATTATTGGACGTGACCATACCTTGAACAATCATCATTCGCTTCGATAGATTGACAGATTCTGACACACGGTATTTGTGTAACAAAAACACAGCACTTTTGAAAATCTTGTGCAGATCGTGATATCCGCCCATCCTGATGTGCAGATGGTCCTTCTTTATTGAGGGGGTGCAATCGAGCCCTGAATCACCAATAATATCTCTACGATGAGAAGACACCCTCCCGTGTGCTAAATTCTGTCACTTCTAGCCATCTCCCACAGCCATGCCTGGAGTTATTTGGACTGTAGAAATGCACAATATTTTCAACATCGGTCTGGTCGTCCACAGAGAGGTGCTAACTGTCATGCTCTCTATGGAGATAACCTCTGGAAATGCTGAAATCGTGCATTTCTACAGCCAATCAGCTAGCTATCTCCGTACGCGTGACAGAGTTTAGCACACGGGGAGGACAGTACGGACGATGTATGGATCTAGAGTCATCGTGTGCGTATAGCGCTGGTGAAACGTTCGCTCGTGGTGGTCGATAATCTAGGTCAGGGTCAGCCTGTTAGCGGACTGTCTTGGCCATGAGAGACCAAGTCTCTTTCGACCCTCATGTCAGACTTCCGTTGGACGAAAAAAAGACTGGCATGTGACTGAATGATCGCTCTTGCCTACCGTGACTTGAGACAGTACAAAGAGCGGCTAGGCAGTCGTTCTGTGGGAGCTCTGCAGGCAGGAGCGAGTCGCACGGACCACGCAGACGTTCGGTCCAAGTTTTGTGACAAAGAGCAGAGCAGAGCTTCCAACATCATCGTTTCCCCTCTATCCAATCTACCATCATCATCCATTATCTGCGCTGTGAACGCGCACGCGACTAGCTGTCGAATCTCGCCCTCTTCGACTCCGTCTAGCGCATGGTTGTCGCGTAATTGTACATCCCCCGGCGACTTTTCGCGCTCCACGACTTTGTCCACATTCGAGTCTACCTTTCGCGTCGACAGCGACATCGTCTCTATCCTCGCCCACTCCTCGACTGGTCCCGTTCATCCACCTCATTCAAACCTGAGGCAGTCACCAAACACTTCTTCTATCGCATCTTCATATCATCATGTCGTTCGGTAGTGGCTTTGGCGGCTTCGGCTCGACCAACAACAACTCCAACACAGGTTTCGGTGCCAGTGGCTTCGGTGGAAGCACAACAAACACTGGTAAGTCAAGAGCTGTCTACATTTCTTTCCCTTCATTGGCCGTTGGACGCGACATGGCGCAACCTTCGAGCTCCTCCCACACGAGCACCCGCGCATGACAACCCGGCTGGCGCTGACGACTGTCTTTCTTCCATCAGGCTTTGGAGGAAGCACAACTAATGGATTCGGTGGCCAACCTGCTGCCGGCTCGAGTTTATTCGGCGCCTCTACCAATACTGGAGGCGGCTTCGGAGGAGGTATGTCTCAGTACCTGTCTCGCGTCAATGCAGCTCACCGTTTGGTCTTTTGCAACTGATTTTCTTGCTTCTATACTTCACTCTTCGCGCGCATACTGACCAATGTTTTTCCCAGGTTTCGGTGCCACTAACACAGCCGCCACATCCTCACCTTTTGGTGCCGCCGCAAATAAGCCTGCCTTTGGCAGCGCTGCCCCGGCAACAGGAGGTGGTCTTTTCGGTGGTGGTGCTACATCAACTCCGGCGAGCACTGGATTTGGAGGTGGTGGCTTTGGAAATACCGCGAACAACAGTACCGGCTTCGGCGGCGCCAATGCCGGCGGCGGTCTCTTCGGCGCAGCTAAGCCAGCAACTGCTGGTTTCGGCGGAACCACAGGCAACACCATGTTCGGCGGTGCAGCCAATACACAGCCCTCAACAGGCTTCGGTTCGACCACCGCCAATACTACCGGTTTCGGCGGTGCTGCCTCGACTCCAGGCTTTGGCGCTGCCGCGCCCACGAACAACGGCACAGCGTCCACTCCTTTTAGTGCCTTTATCGAAAAAGACGCCGCAGGCTCCGCGAACAGTCACTATCAGTCCATCACGTTCATGCAGCCCTATCAGGCCTTTTCTTTCGAGGAGTTGAGATTGGCTGACTACACGGCTGGCCGCAAGTTCGGCAACTCGAATGGCCAAGCTGGCGCATTCGGTCAGAGCACTGGATTCGGCGGTGGTTTTGGTTCCAACACGTCAGGTGCTACTTCATCCGGCTTTGGTGCACCTGCCAACACCAACACTGGAGGAGGTCTCTTCGGCGCACAACCCAGCGCTCCCTCGACTGGCTTCGGCGCAGCTGCAAACACTAACACCAATACTGGCTTTGGTGGCGGTAGTGGTCTTTTCGGTCAACAAAACAAGCCCGCCTCTACCGGTATGTTCGGCAGCACTCCTGCCTCGACCGGCACTACAGGCGGTGGCCTCTTCGGCACAGCCAACAACACTCAGAGCACAGGTACTGGCTTTGGTGGCTTTGGCGCTGCCAACAATACTCAACAGCCTGCGCAAGCGAATACCGGTGGTCTCTTTGGTGGTGCTGCCAACAACACACAGAGTAAGCCTGCATTCGGAGGCTTTGGAGGCACACCCGCAGCCTCGACCGGATTTGGAGGAACATCAACAGGAGGTTTCGGCCAGGCCGCAAACACAAACACAACTGGCGGCAGTGGCTTGTTCGGACAGAGTGCCAACAACAACGCTAGTCCCTTCGGTGGTGCTCAGCAGAACAACGCACCTGCCAACAACTCAGGCGGTCTCTTTGGCGGTGCCAATGCCTTTGGTCAGAACAACCAGGGCCAGCAACAGCAGCAGAACCAAACTGGCACTACTGGCGGACTCTTTGGAGGAGCAACTGGCGGATTTGGACAGAACAACCAGCAGAAGCCTAGTCCTTTCGGCGGCGCTGCTACTGGCACCTCGGGCGGTCTTTTCGGAGGTCAGACCCAACAAAACAACACCGGTGGTGCAGGTCTATTTGGCCAGGCCAACAACAACAACCAAGCCCAAGGCGGCGGTCTCTTTGGCGCACCCAAACCTGCTACTGGTGGTAGTCTCTTTGGAGGCGCTCAACAGCAACAGAACACTGGTGGCGGCCTTTTCGGTGGCGCTCAGCCCCAGCAGAACTCGGGTGGTCTATTCGGAGGCCAAACCAACCAGCAGAAGCCCGCAGGTGGCCTTTTCGGCAGCACCAACAACCAGCCTGCAACTGGCGGATCGTCTATGTTCGGCGGCAACCAGAATCAGCAACAAAGTGCAGGCGGCAGTCTCTTTGGTGGCAGCGCTCAGGGACAAAACAACACGAATGGCCTCTTCGGTGCTAGCAACCAGCAGCAGCCTAACTTGAGCGCCACTTTGATGACCAACCCTTACGGCAACGATCAGCTATTCAGCAACCTCGGAAACGCCGCTCCCGCTGTCGGCCCTCTCGCTACGCCCTTGTCTGGAGCGCAGAAGCCGGCTAAGCGCCCTGCAGCCCTCCCTCAGTTCAAGATCAACCCCAGCGCAAGCTTGCGTCTTATCACTCCCCAGAAGCGCTCTAACGGTTACGGCTTCTCCTACGCTACCTACGGCACTCCCGGCAGCGCACAGAGCTTCACATCTAACGGTCTTGGAAGCAGCTTGTTGCAGTCAGGTGGTCTGAGCCGCTCTTTGGGCAAGAGTTTCTCCACCAGCAACCTCAACAAGAGCGTTGGCAGTGGTGACAGCGTGCTTGCTCCCGGAGCCTTTACTCCCAACAACAGATCATACACTGGCGGCAGCATTCGTAGATTGAAGATTGACCGTAACTTGAGGACTGACCTGTTTGGCGACAACTCTGCCGTCGTCGAACCTCCGACAAAGCGCGTCAGCTTTGATGAAGGAGACAGGGGCAAAACTACCACAAACGGTACTTTCATCGAGAGCCCCCCCAACAGTGCCCTTATCCGCACCGAGACTGATGGGCCCGAGCCGACCTCTGAGGACCTTGGTTACTCTCGTGCCGAGCGTCCTACTACTAACGGCGCATCGGTCAACGGCACTCCCTCCAGCAGCTCAACTAGAGGCAACGAACTCGCCATTGTACCCGAAGATGGTCCCGCAATCTCTTCTTCTTCTCAGTCCAATACCGTCTCTTCGAAGGACCTGCCACGCTCTCAAGCCGACCCTCAAATCGGTGACTACTGGATGTCTCCGTCTATGGAAGACCTTCGCAACATGTCTCGCGAGCAACTCAAGAGTGTGTCTGGCTTCACTGTCGGCCGCCATGGTGTTGGCAAGATCGAGTTCGACCCAGTAGATCTCTCTCAAATTCCTCTGGACGACATCGTCGATGGTATTGTCGTACTTCAAGTTCGTTCAGCAACCGTTTATGTAAGCGGAGTCAACACTCCTCCCAGAGGCACTGGTCTCAACGTACCGTCCACTATTACCCTTGAGAACTCCTGGCCACGTGCTCAGGGTGGACGTCTTCCTGTCCACGAGCGTAAAGGCAGCCGCTTCGACAAGCACATCGAGCGTCTCCGCCGCGTTCAAGACACTGAATTCATCAGCTACGACCCTTCGAGTGGTGTCTGGGTATTCCGCGTTCCCCACTTCACCACCTATGGACTCGATGATGACGATGAGTCGGACGATGAAGCCGAGTATGGCAGTGACTTGATGAACACAAGCCAGGATCACACACCCAAGGGTAACAACAACTCTGCTGCCCAGGATATGTCACAGGCCTCTTCTGAGGAGGGTTCTGTCATTAGCGACGAAGATGATGAATCCAATCCTGATGACACTTTTGATTTCAAGAAAGGTCCGTCAAAAATCCTGCCTGGCAGCTACGGTGCTCAGCCAATTCATAATGACGACGAAATGGCTGACAACGATGCTCAGGATCAGGACGAAGATTCCTCCTATCTCGAACAGCAAGGCGCACAGTCGCTTGAAGACCCGTTTGGTTCTTCCGGCAGCAGCAACGCATCTCCTGTTGAAGCTGTTGACGAGCGAATGGAGGAGGAGATGGAATATGAGGAGATGAGCGAGCAGGACATGGTAGGATCATTCCCCGAGCCTGCACCTGCTGCTCAGGCTCCATACAACGACTATGGTGTTTCTTTCAGTGGCTCTCTCATGCCAAAATCAATTTTGAAAGCATCGACCATGTTGAATGGTACACCGAAGAAGAACCTTGCGCTTGCTGGTGATTGGGCAGAACAACTTCAGAGGACTGCCAGCCCCAAGAAGCAAGATCGTCAAGCCCTTCGTGAGCGCCAAAGCGTCATGGGTGCACCCCTTGTTGATACTGCACCACCGTTGGCTGCGTCTATTGCTGGTAAAGCTTTCTCTACAACTATGGATATCATGAACTCTCTTTGGGCACCTTCGGCATCTGTTGCAGGCAACGCATTGCAAGCAAGTATTGTTGGTGGAAAAGGTTTCGAGGTTTGACTCCCCCATTCCCTTCATTGATTTCCAGTCGACAGCGGCTGCTTGTATCTACTTGACTCGTGTTCTGTCACGATAGCTTGATTTCCGCTCACGACCAACCCCCCATGTGTAATAGTGAATGAATGCTAAGATATTTCCCTCATCTAGTGGCCCTACCAAAAGCAGTCAAGAACTGAAGACGCCTTTGCCGACATGAATGAGGCCGAACGCGGCTTCCACTCGTCCTTCAAGCCCCGCTGGGCCACCGATGGCACCCTCGTCCACACCACCACTGGCACAGCACCCACGACTTCCGGCAACATGGGTAACTCGAAGAAGCCTATCGTATCTGAGCATAAGGATATCCGCTTCGCCAAGTTCACTTCACCGCAAGACACGCTGACAAGATCACTGCAATTGCAACTGCAACAATCGCCTAGCACCTCCACCCAGACATCCTTCGCTGCTATTGCAGAGAGTCTTGCGCAACCCGAGACACCGGAGGCTCAACACGAGCGTGCCGTCTGGCGATTGGCGTCTATCCTCTTTGACCCCATCGATACTGGATGTGCTGACCTTGTCAAGAACATTCCGGCCGCCCGGGTTGCCGAGTTGGAGTCACGTATCCGCCGTGACGCACTATCAAGTTTCTGGGCCCAGCTTGTTCACACAGAGGCCGCACAACACGCTAAGGACGTAGGTACGGCCGAGGAAAAGGCGATTGCGTTCTTGAGTGGCAACGGCATCGAAGACGCATGTGCAGCTCTTCTCGAAGGTCGTGATTTCCGTCTTGCAACTATTGTTGCTCAGCTGCCTGGCAATTCCCAGTCGAAGGAGATGATGAGCAGACAGATCGAAAGCTGGCGGTCGCAGAACATGGTCTCTGAGATGACCGAGCCTGTGCGTGCTTTGTATGAACTCATCGCTGGTAACACTTGCGTCAGTGAAGGAAAGACTGGTGCTGCTGAAGACAGAGCGACGGCTTTCGGAATTTCGCAGCGCTTTGGCCTTGACTGGCGCCGTTCTTTCGGCCTGCGTCTCTGGTTCTCAAGCGCCAACGAGTCGCTCGCAGATGCCGTCCAACTCTACGTTGACGACATCGCTGCTGGCAAGGAGACCGTTCGTCCTGTGCCTTACTTCACCGAGCAATCTCTTGCAGCTTCTTGGAACGATGTCGAGGCTCAAGACAAGGAAGACACTTTGCTCAGTCTGCTGAAGCTCTACTCGAGACAACCATCTTCAAGCGCTGCTGAAGTCCGCACTCTTGTCAGCAACCTCCTGTCACCTGCATCAGTTTCTGGCAGTCCGCTCAATGCACGTCTCGCATGGCAGCTGGCCACTCTTCTCAGAAAGAAGGGCATTCTTACACCTGCCGATCTGAGCGACGCTACCATGGACCAATTGTCCTTGACTCTCTCCACTCAGCTCGAGACAGCTAACGAACTCGTCTTTGCGGTCAACGTCTTGCTTCACCTGACCAATGAGTCCGCACGTGAAAGGCACATTCGGGACCTACTCTACCGCCGAGCATCAGCTCTTTACGACGCGTCGACTCCAGACTCTCTTCCCACAGTTCTGACGCAAGACTTTGGCCTTCCTGAACAGTGGCTTTGGCATGCACGCGCACTATACGCCCGCTCCATGCTCGACGACCACAACGCCGAAGTCACATACTTGCTCCGCGCCGGCGACTCCGCACAAGCTCATGCTGTCCTCTGCCGCTCCGTTGGTCCTGCCGCCATCGTCGAGCGTGATTATGATAGTCTTCGCGAACTGCTTGGCCTCTTCTACGATATGCTTCCCGCAGGATCAATCGAGAGTTGGCGCATTGGCGGACAAGTCTATTTCGACTACATCCATCTGCTCGACCTCGTCCACCGCGATGACGACGCCAGCCGCGCTTCTAAGAAGGAGTTGCTGGATCGCTTGACCATTGCTCTTCCTGGCGTCCTCGAAGGTCGTGCTGGCAAGGTCGACCTCGAAGAACGTGTTGCTGTTGGCGAGATGGCCGGTTTGGTCAAGGCCGAAGTTGAGAAGATTGGCAGGGAGGAGAAGGGTGTGGATAGAGCACTCATCAACAGACTTCCCATTGCCGGTGGCGCTTATGCCAAGCAAGGTGTTGATCTCAGCAGGGCCTACTACCGTGCTATTGTTGCTTAAGAGAAGATCTCAAGATTCTCACAAGAGAGGGAAACGATTTTACATCGCATTGTTTTTATTGATTCCTTTTGTCTCATGGGAATGATGGAAAGCATAAGAGGATTTACGGGAAGGCAAACACACGTGGTTTCGTTTGTACAACTAGGATAACTACACACACAGAGCGAAAAAGTATCTCATGGCATTCAAACTTTCAGTCATTCCATGTGCTTGCTAGTGCTTTTTATGTGATTAATTTGATATTCTGCATTTCCTGCCCTGTGCCCTCAATCCAGAGCCGAAACCGCCAAAATGCAAGATTCTGAAACGAGTCGGGTTCTGTTTCGACGAGGAGGGTCATAGGATCCGAGGTAGGCGTTGATGGATGGTGAATAATACGGAGGCAATACAGTAGAACTGTTTGGATGACGGATTGGCAGAGAGAGATGCTGATGTTTGTTGTGCGGGAGATGAGTTCAGTCGGATTGGGACCGAGGTGTGTTTGACTGTGCTTCGCTCTTTCTACGGTGTCTGGTATCTGCATGAGTCGTAACGCACAGAGCTTGCTTCTACTCAATGAGTGGAAAACTGAGAAATTGTACTTGAGCAAAGCAGCAACTTCGCTGGTTGTGTATTATGTCGTTCTGCCATAAGCCTCATCGAGCCCAAACTATACATGCATCTACACGCTCAATCTGACCGTCAGAAACTCCTTTGCCTCATCCTCTCCAATCTCACTCGAGCCACACTCCTTACTCTGAATCAAGCCCATCCTGTTCGCTCTGATCATAAACCACATGTCCTTCCTATCCCCATTCAACTCTTCCTTCAAGATGGCCGTCTTCAAGTTTCTTACAAAGTCGTTGTACGCGTCGGGAATCTCCAGATCTGAAGCTTCCTCGCGCATCACTCTCATGGCTTCCAAAGCTCGAGCATACCCGCTTCCTCCAACGGAGTTTTTGATAAAGTCGCGGATGATCTTGCCGAGTTGTTGGAAGGCGGGTTCGGCTTCTTCGAGTTTGCCTCCGTCGAGCACTTGTCTGAATTCGGGAACGGCGTTTTGGGGTGAGAGTTTTATGGTGCCGGATGGGTTCGAGAGCAGGGCGGTGACGTCGAGTCCGGAGAGTGGCTTTGGTGCATCGCGGCGGCCTCTCTTTGATTTCGACTTTGGCGGTACTGTGGAGTGTCAGTATTGAGTTCGGGATGATGACGTTGGGTTTGTACTTGCCTTTCTTCACGTCTGCTGCTGCTGTGATTGCCTTGAGAGAAGCGGTTGCGCCTTCCACCAACTCTTGTGGCGGTTTGGAGTATTTGATCAGGATTTCAGAAATGGGAGGTAGTTTTTCGTCGGGGTGGATCGCTCGGCTTCTGATGACATGACTGACGCGGTTTAGTGCAGGCGAAAAAGTGTCTTCGATAGGGGCGTATTCGGAAGGATTGCTGTCAGCGGTCAGTCCATGGTCTTCTGCAATAGTGTGTAATCCACAAACCCTTCTTCGTCTTCGCCGAACTTAGACAAGTCCATGGCGTCCACATAGTCGCTCATAGCATCCATCAGATCATCGCTGGGAAGGAATCTGTGCTGCTTGAGTTCTTTGCCAGAGACGGTGACAATCTTGTCCAGAGCAGGGAATCTGTATGAGCGCAAGTCTTCTGCAAAGGGCAACTCGACCTCGAAGAGACACTCGGCATCAGCGTCAACAGATGGCGCAAGTAGAACCATCGTAGGACTCTTGCCCTGTTTGGGCACCAGTCTGGCCACGGCGTATGTCTCTAGCTCGTAAAGAGCACGGATGAAGGACGACAATGCCATGATGGCCTTTTCGTTTGTTCTTTCAGCAATGATGACGTGCGATTTCGACATGTCCAGATATCTCTCGTACTGCTTTGTGGTCAGTAGTGTACACAGGGTCGAGCAGCGATACGTTTCACCTGATTCTTGACAACAAAGCCAATGATGTCCATGCCTTGTTTGCTTTCGAAATCCGTCACGTTCTTGTCAGACTCCTCAATTGGTACCACTGTGCTTCCGTAACTGAAGCCTCTTGCCAGTTCTTCTTGTTCGAGTTCGCGTTTACCGCCGGGTGCCTCCTCGTCTGGAACCTGGTAGGTGCGCGTGTTTTTGACAGCAGCAAGGTCGCCTTGCTTGGGCTGATCATCGGGAGGAGCGAATTGAGATTGTGTTTCTCCTGCTGCCATGTTCGGTCTGACGACAAATTGACTGGCCGACGGTGCCTTTGCTATCATCACTCGAGGGTATCGCTCGACATCGATTGCCATGGCCGAGTCGTAGTTTTCCATATCACCCAGGGTGAGGTACCCTTTGTACGAATGTACAGGTCGCACCGTCTTCATACGAGGAATCACCATCTCGTCGATGGCAAAGCCGAGTGTCCCGTACAAGCCATTGCATTCTTCAGCTAGTTCTTTCAAGATTTTCTCATTCTCAGCCTTTGCTCATGTTAGCCATTGAATAAGCCCAAGGAAATCTGAGACGTGCCTTTGTAGGATCCTTGTTTTCCTCCTTGAATCCGTACTCTGCATCGTCGAAGTCGACTCCACTTGCGTTTGTGTTAGATCAACAGGCATCATAGACGGAGCTGCACTCACAGAATGACCAGTTCAATACCGTCCTCCTTGCACTTTGAGGTGATGAGGTCAAGGCCGTCAGTATCGATACTACCATTACCGTTCGTGACCAGGACAATCTTGCGTGTATAGGCCAGCTTGCGAGTGACAGTCTCGATCATGTGGATGGCCACAACTAATGCCGAAATTGCTGTTCATGTTAGCATGGACGAGCAACACTCCGCATTCTAGGAGCATACCGTCACCGACATCCGTGCTGCTGGGGACAAGCTGCTGTTTGAGGCGGCGTATGTCTGGCATCAGTGCTCTATGTTGGTTAGCAAAGTTCTGTCAAGCTTCAAAGACGTCACACACTGTCCGAGTTCTTTGAAAACAGTGATATGCTGATAAGCATCTTCGTCAGAATTATCCAGCGCATTCAAGCAACCTGCGATACATATTAATTATCGCCTCATGTCGGATGCATTTATCGACAACTATAAGTTGAGATGATGCAAGTTTGTGTTCTTACCATCTGTTCGCAGTCCCACGACCGCAAGCATTGCTGTTTTGCGTTCAGTGGCCACCTAGAAAATCAACAAAATGATCGTGAACATCGCGAACATGCTACTTCGACTCACAGTCGTAGTGATTTTGTCCCAGATGTATGTCAAAGCCCAGTCTAGATCAGTGATTTCTCGACCATTGTGCTTTTCACCCATGGATTCACCGAGATCCACGATATAGACAGTCGCCTCTTTTCCCGCCATGTTGAAGTTGGAGTGCAGGATTGAAGCGCGATGTGTTGGAAATGAATGCTGTGTTGTGTTGAAGACAAAACATTACGGAAAGCACTTTCGGACGACGTGTGCGGACGTGTCGGCTTCGTGCTTTGCAGGCAGCAACGAGATAATTGGAACTTCCTCCAATTCACAGCCAACGCGCTGGAACGACATACCAGCAAGATGACTAGGTACTTGCTTGTGCTACAGATAAAATGATATAGGTCAAAGAACTATGTTGGAGAGAATCGAGACCGAGGTGTACCAGCAGTTTCAATACGTCATCACTCGAGCAATCTGGCGTGATACACGAAGCACCATTTAACAAACCACAACTCTCAATCCTTGCCAACCTCATTCAATTACCAGCAAACATGCCTTCAGTAACAGACTACAAAGCATACCACATTCTGAGCTATGGCTCTTTCCTTGGAGTGACGCTCTTCCAATCCTTCATTGGTGGCGTAGTCGCCTTCAAAGTCCTTCCTCGACCTCAATTCTCTACTCTTCAGAAGGCTACCTTCCCCATCTTCTTCGCCCTTCAATCTGTACTCGGTCTGGCTCTCATGGTTACCTATCCTGGCGAGAAGTTGCTCGGAGTAGGCAACCAATACGTTAGAGAGAATGTCGGCTTCAGTGGCCTCTTAGCGGATAGCAACAGATGGCCTGTGTTCGTACCGCTCGCGACCATCTTTGTTACCAGCGTTCTCAACTCTCTTATCATCGGACCTGCTACAACCAAGACCATGAAGGAGCGTCACCACCAAGGTATGTGCACCACCTATCTGCCAGTTTTCTTCTTTCGGACCGCTAATTAATGTTTTTTAGAAACTCGCGATGGCAAGAAGTATTCTGATGCAGGCCCGCACTCCAAAGCTATGGAGCAGCTGAACAAGACTTTTGGCATGCTGCACGGTGTTTCGACAATCATCAATTTGACTGCATTCGGATGTGCCATCTGGTACGGCTTTGTCTTGGGGGAGAGATTGTAAAACGCTTTGTTGTGAAGTGGAAGGAAAACGCGATATAGGCTCGATAGAAAGTCGATAACGAGAAACACCTGTATGGCAATATATCAATGCACCGCGTGATCTAGCTATTGTAAACGCTTATGGAAGATGACACGATGCCATCGTGGTTCTCATCCGGATCGCTTCCGTGTAGCTTCCGACAAACCCCACCTTGGGCGAAGCCTTGACGACATCAAACATCACCTTGATCTCTTCCTTCGTCCTTGACCATTTCCTCTCCGTACCACGAGCTTTTACTTTCTATAGTTCATCACCATTTCGTTGATCTCAGTCATGTCTTCCTACGCATCAGAATACCCTGCTGGCGACAAGTTCGACCCAGAGTACAAAGCTTTCTTTGAGCAGTTCTATGAGACATCGGATACTCCTAGTGCTCACGAGAAATACTCCAACCAGTTCACACAAGATGCGACTCTGATCATGGCTTCAAAGAATGCACAGGGCCGAGAAGGTGTGTAGTTTCCAGAATGTTCTTTGGTGGCTCCTCTGATATATATATTCAGAAATCTTGTCTCTGCGCAAGGGCATGTGGGAAAAGGTAAACAGCAGAAAGCACACTGCAGTCAAGATATACCCGTTCGGTTCCGATTCGAATGAAGCTATGCTCTACGGAAAGGTTGAGTATAGCCTGAAAGATGGCAGAGAAGCCACAGTGGACTGGGCTGCTCGTGCCCACTTGGTCAAGCAGGACGGCGCAGTCATGATGGACTTCTATCAGGTGTATCTGGTTTGTCGACGATACTCTCATTCCATGTGTGCGACTCATATCTGACCTGACACCAGGACACCGCTGCACAGAATCCTAGCAAGTAGGCAAACAAAGAACTACTCCACGAATTGTAGACCCTTTGCGATGTTGATTCAAGGAGCCACCCTTACTTCGTTGTTGTCTCGAGAACGCTCTGTCAGAGGAGATTTGGATCAACCTCTGCACCTTACCAAATATGATGTGCTTGCCATCTGATGGTTTCCAGATCAGCGTCGCGCTATAAATCCGCAAGGGGGATACTCCTCTTCGCTCACACGTCAAGCTTGCATCTGATTTTGTGACCTTGTGGTTGTATTAGAGCATCTCGGTATGATGGTATACTCGACACTGACCGTTGCTCTTCCAGTCGCAGGTTTGAGCTCCGCGGAACTTGGACCAGATCAACCCCTACTGCTATGAGAAGATTAAGAAGCTCAAACTCATGTGCCAACTCTTATGGACTATCTCCCCTCGCATCGTGGACCAATCGTGTGGGAACTTAACGAACTTCACGTTTTTGTTCGAGGCTTTCCAGTATTTCGCGTCTTGAGGACAAAGGACGGCGACGCATTGAGACTGATGACAAGAAGATGATTGCGTTGCCCAAACCGGCCACCTTGTTTCTTTCATATGCTTGACCCAAGGCACAATTTTTTCGACGCATCCGGCTATCCCAATTGAGAGCTCACAAACGGTCACCGGAAAGGTTCCTGGTGTTGTTTACTTTCGCTCAGTTTCCCTGCCCCTGGAATTTCGATTGGTCGGACCCGCTTCTTCTCGATTGTGTTCTTTGTTGTCGTTGCAATCACCATTGTCATTGTTTCTTCCAGCGCATAACATTGGATCGCTTTGCCTTTTCAAGACACAACTCCAAGTGCACCCACTTCTTTGCAAATCTTCCTCCACTGTATTGCTGAATCACCACAAAATTTTAACCATCATGGCCTTGCCATACCGCGCTGTAACGCCGTTCTTCGCACATGCCGTACCTGCTGCAGTTTTTGTTACATCTTTGTGGTTCTTCGGTCCAGCCAACAGTCCTCTTGACCGTTACGACCATTCTCTCGACAACCACGATGACAATCCCTATGGCCTTGGACCCAATGTCCCTGATCACTCATTGACCGAGGGAGCTGAGCACTTGAGCGCCGCTCCAGTCATCTTCGACGTCCCGACTTCGACCGAGACTGAGACTCAGTATATCACGGTCACTACAACTCAGGTGGCTCTGCCTGACGACTATGTCCCCATGAGGTCTGGTACCAGGAATTTCCGGTCCCGGCATGCAGACCTCATCTTGACGAACTCCATCGACAGCCCTGTCTCTTGGTTCAAAAACAACGCCGTCTTCCGCTTCTTCAATGCTGCTTTGTTCATTCCAATGTTCGATATCTCCAGGTACTTCATCGAGGTGGCAATCCTGATGCCCCATTACTTTGTTGGCGCTCTTATCGCAGTCCATACCATGGCAGCATTTGTTATCTTTATGGCAATGTGCCTCTATAACTGGTGGCAGAGACGCAGGTCTCGTCAACAGCCTTCACCCCAGAGCCCTCCTACATCGCCACCACCACCTGGAGGAAACGGCCCCCCACCGCCCGGAGGAGGTGGTCCGCCTCCTGGCGGTTCTCCTCCCAGTAACGGTCCCGCTCCCCCTACAACTCCTGGACCCAAACCTCGTGACGACAACCGCGCTAACTTCTCCGGTCCTACAGTCGAAACTTCTCCTAGAAGTCCGGCCCTTGACGCAGGTCGCCTTACGGCAGATCTTACCAACGCTGTGGAAGCCCAAAGAGTCCAAACTCTGGAGACCAATCTCAGAGTCTGCAATGAGACAAGCCAGATCAAGACACAGACCATCCAAGACAGGGATGCCACTATCGAAAGACTCGAGGCAGAGAACAAGCTTATCCATGAACGCCGTAACTCCACTTCGTCCGACATCTCCGATCTTCGTATAAAGCTCAGAACCGCACAGACGGCATTGGCCGAAAGTGACGAACAACTCAGACAGGAGAGAGAGAATGCAAAGAAGGCTACTGACAGGGCCTCGGATATTACTTCCCGTAACATGAGTCAGAGAACTGCTCACGATACTCTCCGAAAACGTTGTACATCATTGGAGGATGATCTGCAGCGTGTTAGGCATGACCGTGACTCCGCAACAACTGAGAGAGACAATCTCAAGGCGGCTCTCACACAACAGGAGGCCGACGCGGAAAAGGCAAGGGTTGACCCTGTCGACCGTGCCTATACTACAGCAAATAGAGAGCACAATGACCTCAAGAGAAGGCACACTGTGCTAGAAGATGAGCTAGCGGAGAGTCGCCGTCAGCTTGCCGAACTACGTGCAGCTGCACCTCCACCTACTGCTCCTGCCCCTCAATCGGATGGTGCAGATGTTGCTGCACTGCGTCAAGAAATCGAGAAGTTGAATGCGAGCTTGGCAGAAGAGCAGAAGAAGGTCGCTTCAGCCAACGCCGATAGGATGTCTGAGCGACTGGCAGCGTTCGGATCCCCTAGGTCCAAGGATAAGTACGATCAAGCTCTGAAGGAGGCCAGTGATTCTCGTAGCGAGGTCACGAGCCTCACTAGCGAGAAGCAAAGACTTGTTCAGCAGAACGAAAGACTCTTGAGAGAGCAGAAACATGGCGATGAGGTAGCCGAAAGGCGACAGAAAGCTGCAGAAGCTGAGCTGCAGCGTTCGAAAGATGCCGAGCAGCGGGCCACGACATCTCTCGAGAGCTCGCAGGCTCAGGTTGATACGCTTTCGAGAGCCAAGTCTGATGCCGAAACTGCCATCAAGGAGCAGCAATATGCAGCCGCACAGGCGCAGAAGGCTCAGCAGGAGGCAGAGCAGCGACTGAGTAACATTGACGAGAACTACCGAGATGAAATCAAGAGACTCAACCAGCAGCTTACTGCTCTCAGTCAAACACAAAATGGAAGTTCAGACGCTCTTCAGCAGCAGCAGCAAGCTAGTGCTGCTGCTAAGCAGGAGAGGCTACAGAACGTTGCTCGTGAAGCTGAACGGAAAGCCGCCCAACATGAAGAGGAGAAGAAGCAGGCCGAAAACGAAGTAAAGAGGCTTCAAAACTCCCTCGATGAGGTTGCCGCGCAGCTCGATGCTGAGAAGGAGAGCAACCATAAGAAGACCGACAATCTCAACACGACGGTTGAAAACCTGGTCAATCAGAACAGTCATCTTCAGACCGCTCACGACAATTATAAAGCATTGAGCGAGCGACACGCTGCAAATGGTACAACCCTCGAGGTCACTCACAATACACTTCGAACCGAACACGAAGATCTTCAAAGACAAAACAACGAGCTGCAATCCAACCTCGACCGCGGTCAAGCAGAATATAACAAACTTCAAGCCGACGGGAATAAGATGCTCAGTGATTTACAGTCACAGGTCAACGGTCTTATGCAATGGAAGGCAAAGACGCTGGAAGAGATTCAGGAAGCCCAGAGCGAGTACGACGGTGCGAAGAAAGAAGCGAGCGAAGCAATCGTTAAGCAGGAGAAACTGGAAGAACTTCTTACTGCAGAGAGAGCTGCTTCAGAAGCTCAAGCAAATACCGCAAGAAGGAACGAAGCGTCGCAGAGAAGTGTCAACCAGGATACCTGGGACCAGCTTCAAGCCGCCAGGGATCAGCTGGAACGCCGCGGAGCTCCGACGGCGGTCTATAAGCAACCAGCCACTAATGCCGAGTTGCAAAAGGACTACGACGCACTGGACAAAAAGAATGAAGACCAAAGAAGATACATTAACCGTCTGAAGGGAGAGCAGGACAAACTGGCGAAACAGATCGATGAAGCCCGATCGGATACTAAGGACTTGAAAGAGAAACTCGCAAAGGTCGAAGAGTCAAACATCGAACTCACTGAACAGAACTTGCGATTCCATGCACGACATGGACCCCTTACAGACGATTCTGGATCAGATCATGACATGGGGGATACAGCTCCAGTTCCTCCGAACCCACCTGCGATCGACCCGACTACCCAATCTTCCATCTCTACCCTTGGTACCAGCGGTCCTACCTTCCCTCCGCCAACCGAGGAACCAGCCAGCGCGCCCGGTACTCCTGGCAGACAGATCAGGACACCTCGATCCCCTCGTAGATCTCCACAGAGAGGCAGCATCTCGCCTCTCCGTAGAGTCATGAATACCGGTGGAAGCTCTGCTTCTCCGGGTTTGGCAGCAAATCTTCCGGATCTGGGCAGTACAACTGCCCCCATGTTCGGCTTTGGAGGACCTTCCGGACTTTCATCCCCATTTAACTCACCGACCTTCCCGAGCCGTGATGAAGCACGAAATCAAGCAAACCTGGATGCAGCGGCCCAACGCGAGTTAGACGCCAAGCGCGAAGCTGAAGCTGCAGAGAAGTTACATCAGGAGAGACACGCACAAGCAGCGCTCGAATTCTCTCAGCTACAAGGCGGCACAATGAATGACGCACTCAGCAGCTTCAATATTGATCGAGAGAGGCAGCGGAAGCGACAAGAGCAGAACAGAAACGATCGCAATGGCGAACAAGACACCGAAATGGATACTGCTGAAGACGCCCCTCAAGTCCGCGGTCTCCCCGACATGCAATCTGGTGGCGTCTTGGTCGATCCTGCAGTAGGTGTCGCGGTTGACCCTCTACTGACTGGCGGTGTGCCCGAGGTCCATTACTTCACTGAAGAAGAGTTGCGCAAACGCGAAGAACAGCAACGCGAAGAAGAGAAACGACAGCGCGAAGAAGAGGAACGCCTGCGTCAAGCTGACCTTCCACAGCCCAGATTTGTTGTTGGTTCTGAAGAGGAGATAGCACACTTGAGAACATTGCCTCATAACGAGAACGGACGACAGGACCAAAGCTACCGATACCACGATTACGAAGAACCCGACGACTGGGAGGATGAAGATTCAGCCAATCCCATGCCAATGTACTTCAGGGATGTCAGTAGAACGGGACGGCCTTATGGCCCGCCGGATGCCACTTGGCGCTAAGCCTCAGCCTTGATACTTTGAGCAGTAGTTGTGTTTCCGGGCGTTATGGGGTTTTTAGTGTCTTCTTGTTTTTCCGCGTAGCAGTCTCTCTGCTTTACACTCCTTGTCTGATTTCGTTGAAGTAGTACATAAAAGAACATATGAAGGGATTGATCTCCACCACTCCTACATTCCACTCTGCGACCTCGTGTGATTGGACACCAGAACCGGTTTGCGTTTACTAGGTGTGTTTCATCAAATATGGACAAACCTATGTTTTCACAACATCATTCCAAAGAGCCAAGACTTGTCGTAGCAGTCAAACACGGCAATCTGCCACACTTTGTGTTCTAACCAGTGATTGTTTTTAAGCTTCGAAGGATCGATAATGGGAGAGAACCACCTTTAGTCTCTTCAAGAATATCTTGCATTCTTATGGCACCGTGATAAGCCATTACAGATCTCCCCCTCATATAGCCCTCCTACTTCTCCCCTTCCATCTTCTTCCTCAAACACACACCCTCCCAAGCCCTCCTAACCACATCTCCACTACTTCCCCCTAGCACCTCAATCGCCTCTTCCACCCCCATCAATACACCCACATAAAACGCCTCATCCTCATCCACCCCCGTCCCTTCATGTCTCTTCGGCTCTTCCACCCCTCCATCCTCATTTTGATCCTCTGCTACCCTCTGTGCTAATGTTGTGTTTGCAGGAAATGGTGGTGGTAGGGCAAAAGCTCCAGAAGCAGAGGCGTTGAGAGATGTTTCTATACAAGGAGGTAGCGTTTCTGCCGCATACCAGAAAAGCATGTATTGGTAATGTGTCGCTACGGGTAAAAGGCGTGTGGCTATGGGCTCGGTGTCGCATTTCTGGGCATCACCATTTGGGCGTGGTTGGATATGTGGAAGAGGCAAAGGGAGGAGACGGTTTCTGTAACCCGACTGCAAATATTCACACTCATCAGCATAATCGATACGAAAGATTGGAAGTGGAAAAGTGGATAAGAACATACTTCTTCAAAGCCCTCTCTGATAGCAGTGACTCCGGTCTCTTCACTGGCATCTCTGCGACCCTTTGGAAGAAACCAAATATCATTTCTAGTGTCTTTGCATACGACCACGCGATTGGTGGCGAGGTGGAATATCACTACTCCTGCACCTGTATCATCACTTCTTGATCAGCAAATGCTCCAATCGAGTATTGAAGTTACAAAGAGGAACAAAAGGAAAGACAGAAGGGAAAGAACTGGATAGACTTACCTATCACCAAACTATCACTAGGAAAGTATTTGTCTACTGGTGGATTGGCACGAAGACGTCTTGAAGACGACATGATTTTTTTTGATGACCTGACCAAGAAAATCGAAGGTATTTTCAGCACAGAGTTCGTTCCTGCTTCTTCTAAATCACTTAGAAGTCAAGGCAGAAGTTTTGACCAAGGCGGCAATATTTCCAGCAACACGTGGCAGAAAATTAGTATGAACAAATGACAACGTATACTCCGCAGTCAAGTCAACAACATGTAGTCGCTTAGATTGACCCACATGTATGAGGCTCTGCTGTGTCGATTGATGTTTCCTTTTTGCGGGAGTGTTCGAAAAATATGCGGAGAGACTTTTGTGGAGTTATTTTTTGATATGAAAAGAAGCCATGACGATCATCTTCATCACGGTTGTTTTTCTTTCTTGTGGCAGGGGGAGAGCTCTTTGCTGATAGCTCTTTGCTTTTTGGTCAGATTGAGCTCATCGAAAAGAAAGAGCTCTTGACGTGTGGGTTGAGCTAAGAGGGAGCTTCTCCCCCTGCTCTGGGGTGCTTTCGTTCTTTCCTCAACCTCAATTCGACCAATTGTATAATTTGGATCTCTTCACCTCCGTTGAACTGGTCACATATTGGAAAACAACTGGATAGCCTTTGATTTCAGAACGGATTCTGGATTTCTTGAATATCATCATAATGTGCCTCGCACACAAACATAACCCGCCAATGCTTGCTGCTACGATGGAAGTTCCTTTTCTTTCAGTCCTCTTCATGCCGTATTCATATCGTTGAGGAAAACAGATGACAAAGTAAAAAGATGGAGGCAAAGAGCTGCTCATGATGACAAAAAAGAGAAAGAAAAAAGGTTCCTGCTACCTCTCCCCATTTGTAATGGAATAAGAGAAGTAAGAAAGTACAATGGACATAAACGGCATTAGCAAGAGAAGATGATGGGAGGAGGTTCTCCAGGATAAGCGAGTGTAGAGTGGATGAATATTGCCAGCCATCTCGGACGCAAAGGACTCTTGGGCTCGAATGACTTCAACCTCGTAGGATATGTGATTCCCACTCATCGGTGCCAAAGGAACAGCCTTGCGGAGGTCTGGACTGATATGGAAGGAAAAAAGGGTAGACGCTAAGAGGGACAGGGAAGTAAATCGTGTGGTTTTCCTGGACACTGGCGGATCCAAATCCAACCAATGACACAAGGCTCTTCAAGATAAGACAAGAAGGGGAAGAGTTTGGAGACTACTCTTCCATTGTTCCAAAGACACCATCGTCGCCTTCGTCGGCTCTGCTGGTTTCGTGGTCCTCGTCGTCCGAGTATGATTCCTCTTCCATGTCGACATCCTCGCGGAACTGGTGTGCATTTGCCAAGGAGCTTGGCTGGTACGAGTTCTGATATCTTGCAGGGAGTGGAGGAACCGGAGGCACATCATGGCCGAGGCTGGTGGGGCCATAGGTGGGGGTGCCATAGCTGCAGCTGAGTAAGCCGACTGCAGCTGCAAGGTCTGCCTGGTCCTCGTCAGGGTAGCTCTGAGCGAGCGAAGTGGCAGCAGTGACGGGTCTGCTGCTTGAGGTACTCCAATGGCGGGCGTGGGAAGACTCGGGACGAGCGGAGAATTCGGACTGGTATGAGCGCGAAACAAAGCTGCTGGCATTGCTGTAGCGCTTGTTGTGTCCGAAAGCTTGCTCTCCGTGAGGAGGGGGCGTCGTCTCGGCCGAGCTGATATCGTCTTCTCTCGAGTCGAAGCCTGAGGCAGCAGGAGATGCAGACGAGTTATCGCTGTCGCTGAGCTTGCTATCTCCGGGGGTGGCATCTCCGTTCATGGCAACGAGGACCGAGGCGGCTTCTAACAACTGGACCTGCTGATGCTTGGAGATGAGGAGTTTGGAGGTGTACTGCCACTCAGGAGTGTGTTCCCAGCTGCGAGGGCAATTAGCACAGTGTATGGAATCTAGGTAAGTAGACCACCGAGACTTACAGATGTTTTGTCAAACAACTGCTGTGCTTGTAGCCCTTTCCGCAAGTCTCACACTTGAGCTCACCAGCAGCCGACTTCTTCTTCGACAAGACGGAGCCATCGCTGCCGCGGCGAGCCTTGATCTTCTTGTCATCAGCAGTCTTATCGCCCTGAGGCAAGCTGCTGGGAGGAGAGGGGTAGCTGGCCTGGCTGACGGAGCCGAGAGCACTGCGGGAGGGGACAGATCGTCGGGAAGCCTGGGACTGATCGATGTTGATGGCTTGGGAGATTGCCTGAGCGCTGGTTGCTGCACTCAGAGTGGTGCTCTTGCGGCGAGTGACACGGTGGGTAGGGTTGTAGGAGGAGCCGAGCATAGCAGGGGTATTATGAGATCGTGAGTAAGAGTTTCGCGACGGCAGGCTGCCGGAAACAGAGGCGCGGTGCGGTGTGTCCTGTGAGGATGCTTATCAGCTGGCGGGCAGTCGACTCAGGAGGTGGCTCCGACATACCCTTGCAACAGTCATTGTGGTATGAATCGCTGTATGCTGATGGTATACTGCTTGAGATGTACAGTGGTCGCTCTCCCGAGACTTTTTTTGGAGATTGTCGGTTGCACAGCCTCAACAACAAAGCCCGGCGATCGATCGACAAGGCGGCAGGAACGGGTGCGTGGGTGGTGTGATTGCGTGTGCGGTAGCCTGTGAGAGGGGTTGGACAGTGAAAGGGTCGAGAGGAAGAGTTCAATGGGTGAGTTCGTTGTCGGTGGTCAGAGGGAAGGTGTTGGAGAGAGTCAGGCGGAAAGAAAGTAGTAGTTCAAGGTAGACAAGTTGGTCAAGAGGTAACGTACTAGCGGTTATCCCCCGCTTGAGGTGGAGTGGAGTGAATGATCAGACCAGACCAGACCAATCACAGCGACACACAAGAAGCCTCCGAAACGTGCGTCTACTTATCTCACCACAAAAATATGTAATTTCTGGCCAGCTTCCCCCTGTGCAGTCGCTCCTTCTTTGTCTAACAACAGCCCATTTCATTGTCCTCCTCTGCTCTTTCCAATTTCACCATCTCTTGTCGCTTCAAACAAACAGAGAGCACGCACGCAGGGATTCGAGGCACGCAATGCGCCTTCCTGTGGCCGTGTGGGACCTGCGGCTAGAAACGCCTCGTTCATTGATTCCCGCTCCGCCTAGTAAATCTAGGGCGCATGCCCTCCCTCTCCCCCTACAACCCTCCAGTCTGGACACGACAAGTCTCATGATAACCCCAGTGTACATGGGTACCTACCTATATCTTCCCGTCCTTTAGCTTTCGAGTCCCTCGTCTGGCCACAGCTCTCCTATTCACTTCGTCTCTGTTCGAAAGCTCTCCCACAAGTTCTTCCGAGGCCGATGAACGGCGAAGCCTCGTGAGTCGAAATCAGGCACAACACATGTCTCCGATTGTCGCATCCCTGCCGCATCAGGCCTAGTTGATTTTAAATCACCACACCCGCTCTCCGAGAACCCCACTCCCGAAAGCGTCATCCTTATCCCGAGCCGATCTCTCGATATCAATCGTCGAGAGCCAGCCTCATGGAGGACAGCTTCTTGTTTGCTACCACTGTTGAGCAGAGCTACTCTCGACCGTGGTGACATTGTACAGAGGCTTGAAGGTGGGCGCACCAGACAATTGCGATATCGCAATCCTTCGTAAGCCATCGCGATCGAGGATTCTTTGTAAAGTAAACACTTGCTCCGAGCTCCTTGCCGACAATTCCTCCATCGAACGCTCCCCATAAAGATAACCAGCACGGTGCACAACGCTGCGGCCACTCACGTCACTCTTTGCTGGCACGGTGGATCCGTCACCGTGATCGCTGTCCTTTTCGATGTCTGGCAACTTTTTTCTCCCATCCTCGCGACCTCGGGGGAGCACTCCGCGATCATCAATCGTTCGGCTGTCGGATAACTACGTGATATGAGGAGCTATCAATTTTGCTTACGTTAACACTGCCTGCTTTAACGAGCGGGGTTAAACTTTGGCGATTGAGGTCTGAGGATTCCACGGCGAAGCCGAGAGAAACCAACAATGTCGTACAAAGTTCCAAAGGCCGCGAGTGCTTAGGTGTCTTTGGAGGCCTGGGGGCTGGAGCGCAATTTCTGGCATTGATCATGCTCCTTTTCCAAATCAATTGCTCATTTGCCTTGCATTAGGGAATTGCCTATCATGCGCTGTTTAACACTATCGACCTCCGGTGTACGCACGACGGTTCCATCCTCATGTTCACGGTGCCGGGCGTTGAAGTGTCTCGCCTATCTCTCAGGCACCTCAGGGGAAAGTCCAGAGACGCCTCCTGACGGCCTAGTCACACGACTCTCAGCTTGCACGTTGGCTTGTACGAAGCACCAATAGAGCACGGCAGCTGCGTCTCTAATACCACGGCACATTTATATGAAGTAGGTGAGATATTTCTTCTACTGAGATATTTTTTGTCCTATTCTCAATAATTTTGCGGTAAATATCCGTGATCGTCAGGACTCCAGGGAACTGATCCTACAGAAAACGTCCACGATTGGCAGGTTCGCCATTCTCCCTGCATATGCGAACCCGATCTTCCACCCATGGTGAACTTCATCCCCAGATCTGGACATTGCCAAGGCAACAATTGTCAAAGCCAAAAGCTACGAGCTGCGCGCGACTGAGCCACATCAGAAAGTCACATCGCAGTCGAGGCGCCGCGGAGTCTGGAGAGAGCTCAATTGGTGATTCAGGTTCGCCAGGTACGCCGTTTCCTCAGCAGATCATTGGCCAGGTTCTTCGCAGTTCGTAGCACATCATGATCAGCGCCTGATCACCAGTTGATATTGCCCTTGAAGATCTCATGGTAGCAAAGCAGCGAAGTCCGTGGTGGACAGAAGTTCGGCCTGAGGACCATGCACTGAGACAGTTGCGTGTTCTGTTATCCGACTCGAGGACGCAGAAGTGACTGCGAACATCTCTCTGTAGTTTCATCGGCCGAGACTTGGACAATCTCGTGCTCTGGGAGTGCACGACTTCCTCGCGCATCTCGTTATTCAAGGCCTCCCTGATTATTTGTCTGCATCAAGAATGCGATTCAAACCCTGGCCCGAAGAAAACTCTCGGAGGCTCACTCTCGTCGAACATATCAATCATACAAGACAAGTATCCATGTGCCGTTATCAAAACCAACATCAAGGCTCCGGTCGTGTCAAAAGCCTTAGATCGCGCAGCGTGACAGAGTACCGAGGAAGGACATTGTACTTGAAACCATTGCTATTGTTTGAAGAATTCGCATGTTGGCTTAGCAACCATAGTTCGTCTGGTGCTTGATAGCTAGCTCTTTATCGTCATTCAGACCGTAAGATACACACATGAGCGACACCGCCGTGTAAGTCATCGGGAGACATCTTTGGCTGTTACTGGGAACCCGATGAGGATCTCTCAAGGTGCATTCTGGTTTGAAAGGAAGGTGTTCATAGGGTGTGAGCAGGGTGTCCTACGTGGCATAATTCTTTCGATATCTTTTCCATTTGCGAGCAAGCTGATACGTGTGAAATGATTTGGACGCAACGAACAAAGTTGTCCTAGACTCGCCATCCAAGCCAGAAGGTCACAGACGACTGTGAGCTTCGATGGCTGTTGCTGCGAGCGAAAGAAACAGCTTGTTTTTGACAGAAGTCAAACAGCTCTTCGGCATACGCTCTGATACAACATCAAATTCAGCACAACATCGAATTCAACCAAGGATATTTCAAATTGCTTGCTGTGGCTTGACGAGACTTGTTATGTTGTAAGGCTCACAGAAGCAGGGAGTGAAAAGGTATGAGGCAAGAACGACGCAAATGTTGGCAGATGTAAATAATGACGTAGGTAGCTAGCACGCGCAAAACGTGGACTAAAGTCTTTCTCCAACAAGACCGCTGCAACCTACACAACAATCTCCCATACACATCTTAGCAGTCATGTCAGTTCGAAATCGCGTAAAGGCAGAGGTGCCTGTCTCCTCGATGTCCTCACCTTACTCAGCATCTTCTCCGAACGGCAACCTGAACCGCCAACAAAACGCGCAATCATCACCATGGTATCCTACCTTCCTCGAGGCCATTCTACTGGCAATCTACCCCTTCACTCTCGTACTGGGCTCGCTATTCAGCGTCCTCAACACGACGACGCGCAACACACCCTACAGCGGTGACCTCCAGTCCCACCCTCCCTCGATCGCTCCCTCATACTTCGCTCTCAAGTCAAACGTCTTCAACGTCTACTTTGTCAAGATCGGCTGGTTCTGGATCACAGGCGCCTTCTTCCTCTTCTGCTTCACCCACAGCTCCCTAGGCCCTCGCTTCAAGCCCACTCTCACTGCCCGCCGCGCTCGCGCCCTCATCCGCTACACAGCTGTCACGGCAGTCTGGTGCGCTGTCACCCAGTGGTTCTTCGGCCCTCCCATCATCGACCGCGGTTTTAGACTCACCGGCGGTCAATGCGCCATCATCTACAATGACGACCCTATCAACAACGCAAAGCAAAATCAGATGAGCGATACCAGAGAAATCTTCACTCACGCTGCTTGCAAGGTTGCTGGTGGCTCTTGGAGAGGTGGTCACGATATCAGTGGTCACGTCTTCATCTTGATCCTCGGATCTGCCATGCTGTGGTTGGAGATCCTGCCCGACGTTCTCAGAAATGGAGGTCTGCGTGAGGACCGTCGCATTCGTATGCACGATGGTGCTGTCAAGACTGCCGCTGTGGAGACACACGATGAGAAGGGCAATGTACATGTTCCCAGCGAGTTGGGCTTGGGCGTTAGAGTCGCATTGTGCATTGCAGGTTTGAGCTGGTGGATGCTGCTCATGACTGCTGCTTACTTCCACACCTGGCTGGAGAAGTTCACCGGCTTCCTTGTCGCTTTCGGCGTCATCTATGCCGTCTACTTTGTTCCTAGAGGTGTCCCCGCTCTGAGAAGCATTCTGGGTATGCCCGGTGTATAAGCATGAGGGACAAACAGTACGGACAAACATCATGTACACAGCCCTTCTCGCACCCCAGCATTTTTGAAGATTATGAAAAAGAAAGAAACGCTTCAAGCTCAATCATCTTCCTCTGTATACAATATTTGTGAAGGGTATCTTGTTTCTGAACCCCGTGCAAATCGCATCATGATCGAACTCTCAACCTGCCCGGTAGTCTTTCCAAACACACGTAAACGATGCAAGACGTTTTTCAACATTAGCCAGAAGTCCACTGAAAGCGACTTCTCCATCCACTCTCACCGTACATCCCCACCAACCCTGCAAAATAATCTTTTGCGTGTTATCAAGTTTTAAAAACCAGCGCTTCGCAGGGAAGTTGGACCGAGTTCTTTTCCACTCTAATGGCGATATGGACATCAACTTTTATCAAAACATTCATATTCACATCCCATATCCATATTCACTGAGCAAGCTACTGAACAACAGACGGGAGCATAAAATTCAAAGTTGTGGATGTGGGTTTGAGAATATCATGCCTCGCCTCGCTCTTCTAATGCGTTTGGTCGTGAGTAATTATTAAATAAGAACTTTTGAGGTTTGCAGTGAGGAGTCTTTGTGACGATATATGGGCTTTCCATGACGAGGTTCTGAACGGTATGGGCAGAGATGGACTGGCTTATGGGCGGGACGAGGTAGAATTAATTGAACATTGAAGATATGCACGTAGGTGGATTGGTTGGAGAAGCGGGATACGAGAGGAGGGTGTTTGGAGTTGTGCCTGGTGGGTTCAAGGGGCACCCGGCAAAGAATGGTGGTTGCGTTCATAGTTTGGAGGCTCAATCTCACGGCGTTGGACTGGTGTTGTGTCAAGCTTCATGCAGTAGTTCCGTGTGTGAACGATCGAGTCCTGAGATTTACAAAAGATTATGTAGGCACACTGACTCGAGAGTTATGTTGTGTTACTGTAGGCTCTGGAGCAGTCCATGTCTGAGGCACTTGACAAGACAGAATTTGGGATGGCGTGGTCGCCTTGGGTATTGGAAAAGAAAAGAAGAGAGGAGAATTTGTGATACAAGAAACGATTATAAAAACGACTGCTAATCTTACATCCTCAAGACATTAGATCGACTTCATCTCTAATGTATGTCTCTCCACTCCATCTTGTCCAAGCTGAAGGATCTCCTCGTCGGCCACAAATACTTTCCTCTCTTTTCGGCCTCCTCCCACAGCATCATCAGCCTCATCTTATCAACCCGCTCTTGTTCTTTCTTCGCCATCTCTTCCTCCTTCCTTTTCTTCATGTTCTCTGCAATCTGCATCATTGCCGGATGACACAACAATCCAACAATCAACCCAGCACCACAAGCAGGATGCTTGAACCAAGCTCCCCAAGTATTGCTGTTATGGAATCGTTCCCAAGATTGATCGATCGCTAATATCTTACTCGCATCCTTTACTTCGGCGAGAGATCTGTCGACTCTATCTCTGAGGAGGTTTATCTCTGCTTGTTGTTCTTTCCAGGCTTTGGAGGAATGTTTTTGATCGTGGAACGCTTCGGCGATGAGACGACGACAAAAGGTTTCGATGTTGGGCCAGCGAGAGAAAGAGGCTCTGTATGCGAGTTCTGGATCTTGAGAGTGGAAGGATCTTGTTGATGGTTGGCAGCGTGGTAGACGGGTGACTGCCCTGCGAGCATATTGTGTGAGGCGTAAGCTTGACATGGTTGTTGTATATTGGTTGATAGAAGTGTGTGATAACTGTGCAAGATGATTGAAGATCAAAGTGTGAGTAATATTTGTAAAGGATGGTTGCGGAACCGTGGCGGGTGATTTAGGGATGACTTTTGGGAAGGAGCGCATATGAGCTCAGTCGCACTTTCCCACTTTTCTTCTTTGGGGTTACGAGATGGACTTTGGGATTGGACGCATCGCTTGGTTTTCGACAAGATGGTTCGTGTTTTACGGAAGGTCGAGGCTGTCTACCTGAGTGGATGATATCTTCCACCAACACTATATTTCTTGTTTGTGACAGTTTGTCCTCTCAAAAGCTAGTCTCAGATAGTCGGCTTTTTATCAATCTTCTTCATCATCTTCCTCGTTTTCTTCATCTTCATCTTCGTCTTCTTCTTCGTCTTCTTCTTAGTCTTCTTCTTCCTCTTCTTCTTCCTCTTCCCGGCTCTTCTTCTCCCAATCTACCTTCTGGAACCATCCAATCAACCTGAATCCAATACATATATAGCCAATTCCTCCCACGAACTTGAGCCTATGCCAGATTCAGTATCTTCATCTCTCAACATCAACTAGCTTCTCCAAACATACCACTTTGGAGGCTCAGGAGGCCATTCTTGTTCTCTTCTCTTCTTTTCCTTCTCTCTAAGGATGCTCAGTTCCTCGCTGACTTTTTTTGAATACAGGAGTTGCATCCGCTTTGGCCATCGCGCTGGATCCGATGGTGAGATACCATCGGAAAGTCTTTTACTGTTTGTGCATTCTCCTGTTCGCGTTCTGATCGTATTTGTTAGTAGGAGTGGTTGGTTGCGTGGTATTATGGTCATGGCTCTCGGCCTGGGACGTGTGATGATTCTTTGCATCTCGAAACTGTTCGAATCTGACAATATTGAAGAGAGAAGTGTAAGAGAGAAGATCAGATACATGCGTGAATATATCGGAGTTATTATCTGTCAGATTGCTCGAGCAATTTTGTGCTTTCTTGAGTCACATCGATCTAAATTCTTCCAGGTCATGAGACTCCGAAATTCTTGAAAACGTCACTTGACGTTACCATAACGCTCTTGATTTTGATGGTATAGGATCTGCCATCCTCATGGCCCTCTCGAATTTTGAAGGCAATTCTTTCATGCACTCGTCCATTCGCCCATTTCTCCTTTAGAAGAAACTTGACTCGTTACTTCGCCCATCTTTCCTCCGGCGGTAGTTCCAGCCGCAGCCTTGTCATCTCTCCTCCCTATACTTGGAAATGTATGCTCCAAAAGGGCTGCGCAGGTTGCTGTGGCTCCAAGCAAGAACCCGAGGACTACTCCTGCTCCTTCAGGCCTGATCTGTTCGGTCAGAAAGCTGCTGTAATGGTGAAAATGTTTATCGACGCACCAGTGGGACCCAGACGATTCTTGTCTTCTGCTCTCTTGTCTCATCGTCATCCTTGAGATGTCTTGCAAAATCTTGCGATCAGATGCTGTGAAATCACTAGAGCCTGTTTGTCGGCCTCCCATCATGGTCCTGTGCTCTTCCAGTTTCAGTTGGGATGTGAAGGTTCTTGTCAGAGGTAGCTGGGTGCGTGGGATCGAGGTGAGAGCTCTGTGCCAGGGAGGTGGAATAAGGCGTGATGTGAGGCGTTGCATTTTGGCGTATTGGAAAATGTGAGCTCTTCGTGATGTTGAAGAAATGTAGAATTTGTCAAGAAGTCTGGTGTGGTGTGGTGTGAGTTGGCTGTGTTGAGTAAATTTCAGGTATTCTGAGTCATCTTTTGCATGACATGAGACCGATAGATAAATATATGTGAGCGTCTCCAAGCGGCTTACCGTCCTGGCATCTTCTTGGAGCCGGTCAGCCCTCACTGCGTCCGCTTGATCACTAATTCCTGCATCGAGTGCATTTGGAGCAGGACTTGTTTTCTTTACTGGACCGTCTTCCAGCTGGAACAGACATATCGCTCCTGGTGTCAGTATGAGTGATAGCAAGATATGCATATGCCTGATCCGAATCAGTACAGAGCCTTCACAAGTATTGTGATCCGACTAAACAAGGCAAGTGGAAGACCTTCGCCAGATTCTGCATAGTTATCTCGATATTTCGGCTTGTCAAGTGTCTAGAGTCAAGCATCTTGACGATCATCTCATTTATCTCCCTAAATGATGGTTGATCTGGCATCAGAAGTAGAATCCTTGTCTGTAGCTTGACTCTGTCACAAATTCAGCAACGTAAACATCGCCTGGTCAAGGTGTCGTACCACATGCTCTTGGTCTCCTTGAGCTTTCTCTGCTCGCCACTGTCTCGTCTCATCGTGTACATCTTGTATAGTCGGAGCGAGGGGCCATGTGTGTGCCTTGATTCTGTTCCAAGTATCTTGATCTAGTCCATGAGATATCTTCCATTCTTCCAGATATATCAGCTTGCTATAACATCTCGCCGGATTTGTCGAAATCGTGGATACGTGAGGCTCTGAGATCAATGTACGTGCTACAGCTGGGTGTAGCGAGCCCGACTTGAGTACTGGTCGATAAATCGGAGTTTTCGTAATCAGTGGCCTCATGATGCTCGGAAACAAGCCATAGAAGGCATGCATGATGGGTCTGACTGCAGGAATCCGCCGGTGATGGCATCCAGATACTGAGGGCGGCGTTTGGATGTATACGTGGCGTGAATACGTACGTTAGTCATAGAAGACTTGGAATTCGGTACGACACGAGCAAGTTCCAGACATTCTTGATCAGATGCCGCTGCAAGAGGGCGTGATGAATCACATCTTTTCTGTTTTTGTACGTCCTCGAGACGAATTCTAGTTGTGATGATATTGGATAATGATGAGCACAGAATTTCAAGCGCCACTATATACATGGGCATTCTTAGTCACAAGAACTTCGCCACGGGCTCGGAAAATAACTCTTGAGCCAGTTTGCGGATTCTGGTCTTCTGACCATCAGCTCCATTACAGTACGTATCTAGCACCCAGATCTTGGTTGGAGAAGTTGTCGAGCTAGAAATCTCTTGCGCCATGGAAGACTGGAAACCTGTTTTCGCGAGGGTATCACTCCCGTGCAGGGCCAAAGGATCTGAATACTGATTCTCTGTGTCTGGTCAGTTCCGGTGGTGTGCTGTTGCGGACTGAGAGTAGTGGTTTTAGACAGCCGAATGAGAGCTTGGAATGGCTGGTCTCGTCGCTACATTGTATGTGGAAAGCACGGCGACGCGCTTACGCCTACTGGAATGTCGGTGAATGACATGGTCTAGAAAGGGGGAGATGTGTAGTAGGCCGGCGAGAAAGAAGCATCTAGGAAGTCTGCTTGATGTCTGCTGCTTATTGTTCATGATCCGAGTCACGCAGTTCTCACCATTATCTGAAACTCGCACTGGACACAGCTTCGATGTAAAAGAGTTTGTGCTTTTTTGGCAGCCTGTTAGCAATAGCAATCCGGGGATGAGAGGCACAAATTCCATTGTAATCGGATTTGAGATTCGTACGAGCGATATTCAACGAGCAACGAGCAATGGCACATAACACCAATCTTTCTCATAGCCATATCAGGTAGCCATGGCGTCTAGAAGAACGGCTCGGCTGATGTGATACTTTCTGCTGATGTCTGTTCATCTGCTTGTTTCGCATGTGCCTTCTCGAAAGCACCGTAGTCATCACTTGTGAGTGTGGTAGACAGGAACCAGTTGATACCAAGCCCAAGGACTCCTCCGATAATCCTGTGGAAACCAGCGACCGCACCATGTGATAAAATAAGTCTTTCAACGTACAGTGCGCTCAGAGAGACCTTTACATCTGCTTCACCACCAATGCGAATGTCCAATTCATTGGCCAACTCACGGAGGTTGGCAGCATGCTTTCGGAACTCGGTGTTGAGCAGTCGTGAAGTCATTATCATCTCGTCCATGTGCTTCATGAGTTTAGCCAGATGCTGAACCTCTGCCTTGCGTTCCGCGCGGATCCTGTTTGGCTCTTTCAGGGTTGCTTGATAGTCTTGGGAGATGCAGATCTGGCGTGTGCGTTGATAGTAGCAAGGTCTAAGTGTCCGGAATGGCTGGAAGGTCGGTCGAGTCGGTACGATATGCTTACGCATCTTGAATAGTGATGACGGATGAAGAGGTCGGTCTCTCACTGGGAGCAACCTGGTTGTGTAAAGGTTTGTGCCTTTTGATGTTTACTTATTGAGACATGGCGAGAGGACATGTCAGCGTGCCGAGAATTCACGAGAACGACGGCATCTCGCGAGGAAGGCACCGAGATGACAGACGCTGCCGATTGCACCTTCCTTTTCTAAGCAAGTGTATGTATAGCAAAAAGTCAGCTTTGAAAAAGAGTTGCAACTGTAGCTTCCTATTCTGGATGAAGAAGCAAAGTGCATTTGACTGTGTAAAGATATTGATTGAAGGGATAACTGGGTAAGAGGAGGTAAGAAGACTCTCCTGACAATCGATGTGGATATCAACAAAACCAAGCAATAAAGGACGGTAACTGTAAAATGATCCGATGCCGTGACTAATCGGAGAGAACGCCAGAAAGAAAACATCAAGATTTTCAAAGCATGGCAAAGGTGCTCTAGTGTTGGTTGGCCATCATCAGAGACAACGATGGCTTACCAGCGTTCGAGATTTGCCATAGACACGCCGAAGACCAAGAACAACAGAGAAAGCAATTTAACAAGCGCAACCCTCCTTTGCGCCAGCTTCCCGGATGCTGTTCAGGTTGACCCTTGACTCCTGGCCTTGTGCAGCAGCGTCGCCAGCACCGGCTCTGGCGGCAGCGGCGCCTCCTCTGGGACCTTTGAGGCTTGTTTCAGGAATGCCGTTGGCGATTGCAGTGAAGACTTCGGTAACGTTGGTGCCGTTCTTCGCGGAAGTCTCGAAGAACAGTAGATTCTCCTCGTCTGCATATGACTTGGCCTCGCGCGTGCTGACCTTTCTTGCATCTGCGCCGTCTTCATCTTCACCTGCAGCAGCCTCGGTAGCAGCGTCATCCTCGGCGTCCTCTCCTTCCTCACCGCACAGGTCGAACTTGTTTCCGACCAAAGCAATCACGATGCCTGGAGAAGCCTGGCGCTGCAGCTCGGCAACCCAGTGTCGGGCCTTGACCAAAGAAGATGGCTTGGTCAGATCGTAGACAACAAGGGCAGCCTGTGCGTTGCGGTAGTACATGGGAGCGAGCGAAGCGAAACGTTCCTGGCCTGCAGTATCCCAGATCTCGAACTTGATAGTGCGGGCAGGTAGCGTGATCTTCTTTGTGAGGAAAGCGGCGCCGATAGTGGGTTCCTTATTGGGCTGGAAGTCGTTGTTTACGAAGCGCAGGACCAGTGATGACTAGACATGGAGTTAGTGGGAGAGGACGGTGGTTGAGACATGTGTAGTACCTTTCCCACTGCAGCCTCTCCCAGCAAGACCAGCTTGACGCTGCTGCTGGGCTTTGGTGCTGATACGTCGCTCATTGTGATGTGTGTCAAGTTGTTGGTCTGGAGTTGATGTATCGATGTTTAGTGATCGCGACGATGCTGCGAGTGGATTTACCTCGACGACCGAGGCGACGACGACACGCGCGGTTGACAATCACCATGACGGAAACCCGTTGCGCCAAGCCTTTTTGGGAACGCTCTCCGCGAGTTCAACGTTCTCAACCTGTTGCACCTTACACTTGAGTTTCCACATAACAGCGACATATTTTGCAACTTCTTGCACATAGGGCCATGCATACTTGTGCATGAAGACGTGACCTTTGTGTTCTAGTGTCAGAGGTAGCACGTCGATGGATGATCGCCCTGCCAGATCAGTGGCTTGCAGACAGACACCGCCCTTCTCCAAACCACTCCTCGCTGATTTGAGCCTCTCCCTTCCCGGATCACTGGCCTTGCCCCAGGAGTTCTCGCGGCCAGGGCCGTCCTGAACCTCATCTCGGCTGACTGTGATGCTTGTCAGACTAGAAAAAGTCAAGTCGGTACCACTCATGACTGTCCCTGGTCTGGCCATGTCTTTCTCGCCACCTCCAAAAAAAAAAGCCATCTACCTGAGTACATTACACATTGGGCTGCCAATTATGGAACTCGTTGATATCGCGACCGGCTTGTGTCAGTACGCGGACATGGCTTACGAATAGTCGTCTAAACTGCCGGACTTCTCCAACCGAACGTCATTCTATTTAATATAGCAGAAGCGGGAGAAGTTTCTGCGTGGAACAGTGACGGAACTTCGAAGCCCAGCATCCTTGTCACTTGTCCTGTTTCTGATCCTTGGTAATAGCTGACCGAACGCGAGCTGCAGATCGATCTTTGACTTGCCTAAGAGAATCATGACTCTGGACTGACAAATCTCCCAAGACAACAGGTTTCAACAGTGGTTGCATCAAGGTTTGGTTGGCAGGACACCTGAGAGAAGACAGTGTTCTCCTTGCGAAGCACTGCACGACAAATCCAACAGGCAAGCGCGATACTCACAATGCAAGGATCAATTGTGTTGCTGTTTGTCACTAGGCTTTTCATCACCAGACTCATGGTCCCAGTTCCCTAGAGAAGGCCTTCCTCTTGGAGACAGATTTTTCGTTGGATGAACCATGACCAGGTTTGCTGCAGACTGCAGTGTTACACGAACAGACAATCGTCTGCGAACTGCTGCATCGGATCCCGGCTTTGCGTCGCACCGCCTCTCATCGGTTTGTTGCATGAAGAAAGACGATGCACAGCTGTTCAAGACAATCAACCTTTGATTGATATGCACAGGGGATTCCTGCCGCATCTGGTAGACTTCCTTTCTTTGTTGTTTGGTGGCTTGCCAGGTTTGTCGAGAGTTTGTTTGCGAGCTCGTCCCGTGCCGGTTCAGAAGATATTCACTACGTTTCCTTCAGCATCAAACATGCTGAGGCAATGAAAACTGTTTGCCTTCTATGGTTCGCTTCGCTCAAAATCAATGTCAGAAGACATCTGGCGCTCATACAGACGTAAGTTGAAGCAAGGTTGTGTGTGTAGGGCATAGTGGCAGTTTGATGAGCCGAGCACCCGGTTCTTCCAGAAGAGTGTTGCGAAGGATGCAAGGAAGCCCTGCTGTCACAATCTTAAATTGCTTTGCCCGCGGCCTCGGGCGGTAATGGTAATTTCCAATGGCTATGACATAGGTCATGGGAGATCAGGGTCAGTTCTCGTCTTTGCTCACGAAGATTATCCTGAAGCATGGTCCTCCTCGGAAAGAAGGAAAGAGAAAGATTGGGCAGCTGGCAGAGGGAACAAAGGAAAACGACAAAGGGGCCCAGGAGCATTCTCGTTTGATCACGCAAAACGGAGGCAAAGTCAACACAATCGACGTAACGAGGGTCGAGGCACAAAGAAGATCTGACAGCCTGCAGCGGGATGTACAAGCTTGCATCCGTTCCGCCGCGAGATCCGAAAGACTGGCGCCTGCAGGTCCCATACAGTTGGACAACCGCGTACGAGTAACCAGGGACGACTACGAGTCATCGAGACCATGATAAACTTTGCTCTTCATTCAATCGCGAGCATGAACATACTGGAGAGGAAGCATATAATTTTCCCAAGCTCACGGCAAGACCGTTGTTCCGTAGGCCCCGGTAACGAAGCGCTGGTTCTAGCGGCTTTCTAGTTTGATACAGAAGCCTCGTGTTTTATGTCATGTCCGTTTATGAGTAGTATATCGGGGTGCGGGATCATCGTCTGATGCTTCGGTAGCGTCTGTTTGAAGCAAGAATGGGAGATTAGTCGGTCGTGTTGGAGCGGAAGAGGAACAAGCAACTGTGCAGTGCTGTCACTCTCTGCAATGGACATACGAGCCAAAAATCAGACGACCAGTCAACTGAATCATATTTCCTCTGCTGTGCCTTGACATCTGCAAAAGACAGGACCAACGGAGGTGCATGCATGCCGCTGTGGGCTGCAAGCAGATGTGCGGATATTTTGGCGCGGGAGTGCCTGCATTAGAGAGCCATTGATTGACAGGGTTTAGCCTCGCTCCCGGCGGGACGGAGAGAATGGCTTGGAATCCGATCTTTTCGAAATGCTGCTGTTGGCGGTGCATCCTTTTGCCAAATCGACCCCCTGCTCTTCAGGTCGCCGCGCCGCTGCCGGGGGCTGGCTGTTGGTACCGTTGCCGGGCTTGTCAATCAATCAAAGCTGCAAGATCGGCCGCCCTTGCTGCGCGCATCAAATCGGACTTGAAACAGCCAAACAGAAAAAGCTCAGGCGCACGGCTGCCCCGTCTGCGTCAGTCTGCGCTCGACGGAAAAAAAGTAATGGGTGCACGTCAATTTCAATCTCCCTGGGACCTACCAAGCGAGACACCCCAGGGAAAGGGGGTGCACCCAGAGAAGGGCATGCGTGGTGACGCGAGTTGTAGACAGAGTCGAGATAGATATAACCCGTATCGCCTTCGCTATGGGCATGCCAGGTTTTTTGTTCCTTTCTTTCCCTTGTTCATCATCATCGCATACCTTTCACTCCCTGCGCAAGGCGTATACATTTTTTATAATTCTTGGTTTCGGTTCCTTGGTGAGACCAGCATTCCACACACATTCTCTTGGGAAGAGTCCCCTTGTATCAAAAGACTCGATTCGCCCTCGCTACAAAGCTATATTCCACCCGTCTTCCGTCAGACGGAGTCTCCGGTTATCGAGATTACAACCCTTCGCCTGCTGCTTCTCTTCACGAGGACATCCGAGTTGATTACCGTTACTCATCGTAAGCCTTGCCCTCCTTGCCCGACTGTATCACCCGGGCATGACAAATGCGACAAGATAAAATGGTATACTGACATTGTATCCTCCATAGCTTGCACGGCACTCCCATCTCTTCTTCAGAGCACCATTCCAATCGTTCACCACATGATCAGAAGGAACAGCAACGCCGTCACAGTCAACATGGGCCGAGGAGCGTACGACACAACAGGAACTTTGAAGCCTGGCCAGCCTCCGCCACCAAAGCCTCGATAATCTTGTGATCCCACCTGACACGAGAGCACCATGCGCTGTCATTCCGTTTCTTCTCCGTCCTTGCGGCCGGAAGAGGAAGGGAAAAGATACAGCAATCAAAGGACACAGGCGCTGGCGTTGTTCTATATCTGCTTCCGCAAGGGTTAGTCTGGCTTAAACTCTGGTCCGGCGCGGGACAGCCGGACTGTTTGAAGTGGACTCGCGCTAACCCACACTGTTTCCAGTCCTTGCTGCCACATTTCCCTCTCAAACACAACAACCACCAACACTCTGATGCAATGCACAGTGTAATCTGTCGCTCTCGCTACACACCTTTGACCAATTCCGCTTCTTCCATCTTTCGCTTCCCGGCTTCTGGAGTTCTTTCGCATAATATACCCCCATCTGACGGTTTCATCTCGGCATCAACGGCTTTTGTTTCATGATCAATTTCACACCGGCCCGCTCATCATTTCTTGGCCATCTTGGTCTTCTCCACATTCCGAGGCACAACTTCCATTTCTGGAGAACGACCAACACAGCAAATCAAAAAATCGACCAAAAAAATATCTCTCAACTTCATTTCTCTCGTTCCGGCGTAAAAGGGGACAGCCCAAAAGGCGTTTTTGTTTCTTTCTTCGGTCGACTGGCGTTGTCTCCAATCCTTCGCTCGTTCACTGCATATGCGGATAGAACGCTCTTACAGCAAGCAGGACTAGAGACTTTGTACAACTTTACACTGGTGAACAGGAGGAATGGGGCAACCCAAAAACAGGCGTATCTCGGTTTATTCTCTTTCTTGTCTTCCTGCCTGTCGTGTACTAAAACTCCAGTGTGTCTCTCTTTTCTTTATGGCGTGGTATTGTTGTGCCAGCAGTTCATCTTCTTTTCTTTTCTTTCGTTACAAAGCTCATCTAGATACCCACTTTTATTTCCTTATATCAGCATGTTCCTTCTTACAAATACTTGCTTCCCCTTTACAAATACCTGTTTTCCGGATTCTCGGTGCTCGATGAGGTGGCTTGTCGCTCCTGCATATGTCAAGGAGGTTGATCTTCCGATGAGACGCCAGCCACCAACGGTCGAACACGTTCAGGCAAAACCAGGTACTCGGTACACTTGACCTCATCAGCCCTGGAGATAGCATGAGACGTTGATCCCACGCCACCAGGATTCTTTCTTCAGACGCACGCGAAACGGTGTAGCATACGACGCCTTCAGCCTTGCTTATATATAGCATCTTACGCGACTAACAGGTCAACCTCAACCGCCTCGACACGAGTGTAACGGAATTCAGGGTCTGCTCTTTTCCAACGCGTTCGAAACTTGACATACTTCTATGGAAACTTTGGTCCGACATGAACTTGTGTGCCCTGTTCTGTTCTGACCATCGGAACCCCATATTCTTTACCCCATATCTCCTTCGCTTTAGGCTGTAGCAGCATGTTTCATCTTCAAGACTGCCGGATCCCTAGAACATTCTTTTCTCTAGACGACATGGACGGTTTTCGTGTTCACAGAGCCGCTTGATCCGCCATCACGAAACACGAAACGGCTTTTAGTACTTCACAGAACTCGAGCTGTCTATCTAACCCCACTACTACCCTGATCGTGATGTGGCTAGTGTCATACCACTTACCAACTTAGCACCGTTTGACACCGTCCCTGCACATGGACAAACGCTTTTCGGAAGTCGAGGCCAAGAGCACATCAACTCCTGCTCGCTGTGTCTTCGGCATCCCTACCATATCTGCCTCATCCAATCTCAGATATGAAGTGTCTAGACTCGAGAGTATTTTCTATCTCCACTGCTCCGTGAGATTGCCTGGACTTGACATATCACTAAGTCGCCATCTCTTATGGTTTCGTCCAATTGTAGGTGTATCTCAAGCTCAAGTACCATTTCAAGTTGTTTCCAAACGCCTTTGGGAAGACAAACTTCTCTCTGTATCCGACCGTCTTTGAGACGAGCCGTATGGTTCATTCGGTCCTTCTACGACTTTCTCGCCTCGACACATGCTATTGACGAACGGCACAGACACGACATCTCGAGCGTTGTAAGTTACAGATTATAGCTCAACATCGACACAAGAACCATATTCATAAGTGTATGCGTTGTGCGTTTCGATTTCGGTGTTCAAGGACGTGTTCCACTGTCCTTTTCGCTACCTCCATACTTTTCTTTCTAAACCCACGAATTGAAGTCGAAGAAGATACTTGAAGACATGGCTCGTTGACAAGAGCATCTTCTCGTATTGGAGCACAAACGTCTACAAGTATATTGGTCACGTATAAATACATAAGCAGACGACTAGGGCATACGAACTTGTTGGAAGGGAACAGTAGTTCAATGAGGGGAAACGTGCTCATGACTTCCCCAGTAGCTTTTTCTCCTACCCCAACCACACGATGCCTTGCACCTTTGAAGAAGAAGAAGGAAAAGCCCATCCAATCCTTCATCTCCTTTCTAACATCCTATCCCGTAGTGTTGAAAATCAATCGTGAAGATATTCACCATCCTCTCAATCGTTGTTGCTATGGCCTCTGCTGCCACCATCCCTAGGAACACTTTTGATATTTCCACTTCCGACTTGTCTACCTCCACCTCTGCCTCTAGCTCTGCCTCTAACTTCGCCTCGAAGGGTTGGTAGAAATATTGCAGTAAAGGTGCGAGGATTTCCTATGTGCTCAAAGTAATTATGCAAATTGTTGAAGGAAGGTTTGGCATTGCTCTATTGGCATCTAAGAAAGTTCCATCGATTAATGAAGCATCGTCAGGCGGAGTAGATGTATGGTCATATCTCCAATGGCTAAGGAGAAACATGCTCATGGCTTCCATATAGCCTTTCCCCCCCTCTTCAACACCACAAATCTATACAATCCCACGAAGACCTTCTTCTCTCTCTTTTCCTTGCACTTACCTGACATACTCACCACTACGGGATTTCAATCATGCCAGAAAACACCATCAGTCCTCTCGCTCTACTGGCTGGTGCTTTTTTGATATCTGCAGCCAGTTTTCCTGTCCAAGACCCGGATGACGATGGTGTAGAATGGCTCTCCTTCTCCTATTCCTCTTCTTCCTCTTCTTCTTCTTCTTCTTCTTCTTCTGCTTCTTCAGCATCCTCGTTTTCCTCCTCTGCATCTTCCATCACATCCGACCCAAAGAAGTCTTCAAACGTCAAAGTCACGAGGATATCCAAGTTCACTACCAAGATTGCTGGCTGGTTCAGGAGAATTTAAGCTACTCTGCTTGCTTTCAGAGATATGAGGGACATCTGTCAACAGTTTGTGTGTTCTGAGTTCCGCAAGTCGCTCAAAGTCGAGGACAATTATCATGAATGCTTTTCTCTAGTGAGAACAGATCCGAAGTGGGGGAGTGTGGAAGTCAGTGTTTGGGAAGGAATCACTGGTGTTGAGAGCGATGCACCGTCGATGATGGCAGCTCAGAATGGCGAAGACAAAAACATTGAGCGGTGGAGAAATGGTCCACAATCCGTCTCCCAATAATAGTTCTAGATACGGAGGAGGATGCGCCAAGCCGCCTCTTGCCGTGTTGTTGGCCTTAGACTTCGTATCGATATTGACAACTTCACGCCTCGAACCTCTAACAATAACAACAATATGTCAAGATCCCGTGTGCTAGCCATTTGTTGTCCAACTATGGGCGTAAGAATATGCTGCGGACCATTGCCAGCGATCTAAAAAAATTATTGTTAGGCATTTCATCGCCTGGCTTGACGTTCAGCACTCTACTCTGCAGTAGTGTTGCATTAATGCACCGTACTGCTGAAGATATCCATAGGATATCAGGCCACTCCGCTAAGTCGTAGACCATGATTCAAGTAATGCCTTGAAGTAGAATGACGAAGGACGAGCACTGGATGTATATATACAGCAGAGGTATCAGTGACCAAATTCCCTTCCATCTCATCAAGTCAATCTTCCTCGCCTATCACTTCATCATCCAAACATCCAGTCACTCCACTCCTCTATCACTCTATCACAATGAAGGTCACTGCCACCACCTCAGCCGCCATCATGGCCCTTACATCCTCCACCCTGGTCAACGCAAAGGCCTGGACAATGCACATTTACAACGACGGCGGTGATTGGCAAGGCGTCCCCATTGTAGCTTGGAACGGCCAATTCGTCGCAGCACTGGGAGAGTTCGACACCACCGCGACCTGCCAGCCCGAAGTCTGGAATTGCACTGGCAAGAACACCACCATGATCTCCGGACTGGACGAGGCCGGCACAGCCAACGACCTCTGGATGGCAATCACCCAAGCCGGCGGCCAGAAAGTCTACTGGCACGACGCCCCCAAGGGCACCAACATTCGCGGATACTCGTACCCACTCAGCTACACAGCCGCGAGCTACAGTGACGACGCCAGCGTCATCAAGACCGATGTCGTGGGCCAGAAATTCGGCGTCTTGAATGTTACCACTGGCGGCTTCAGCCCTGACGACGACACGTTGAGATTGGCAACCATGGACAGCACGGGCAGATTCAGCACGACCTTTGCGCTGTGCTCGGCCAATGTCGCGGACCAAGATTACTACCGTCTCACTGTTGGTCAGGGCAAAGGGTGTACTCCCATTGACATTGAGTTGAGAGAGAGCGATGTGGATGCGCCCCAATTCTACGATTGCCGCGGTTGCCAATTCAGAAACAACAGGGATGATGATCCGGTCTGTGAGCGCCCGTTCTGCTTTGAGACGACATCTATGTTCACTTGATTTATTGACATCTCTGTGTTGGGGATCGGAAGGACATTCACATGGGAAAACACAGGTTGTTCGTGACAAAGGGGGTTGAAACGAACGGAATATAGCTTCGACTTTCATGTCAACTTACTCCGGCGTTGCATTGTCGAAGCAGACAATGTCTCAATATTTGATGTATAATCATAGAAAAATTTACAGGTCTTTGGATATGCTCAGTCACACCAGTGCTATACCACAGTGAATCTCATCATCGCCTCCCGCTAAAGTATCCGCGAACGTCTAACGATAGACTCACGGCCTTTGTGATGCAATAAGACCTAATCGATCATACATGAAAACTGCTGGCCTTGTGAAAGCGTGAATTTACGATGCAGGCTTGGACAGAAGATTGTGGCACTTGGAAGACCGAGTTCAAGTAGGAAGGAATAAGATCCTTGTTGATCCGTTTGTGAAAATTGAAAGCTCTGGTTACAGAAGTGTGAGCCATGTCCATAGGCCGAAAAATAATGCATGATACTCTATCCAACAAAAACACCTGATGTAAGAAAACCCGAACCTTGATTTGCGCATCAAAAAAACTCCACGCTTGACTTTTGGTGTAGTCTATCCTGTCTTCGTCGTCTCTTCCGGACGTCTAGTCCTCGAACTGGATACCCTTGGGGGTCTGGTCGATGATGCCACCTCTGTAGCTACCACGCTTGCCCTTGTTCTTGGCCTTGGTGAAAGCCTTGCCTTTGGTGACGATCAGAGCCTCGTGGGCCTTCTGAGCGTAGTCGTAGGGAACAAAGGCGTTGCTAGTCAGACGAGGGTCGACCCATTGGTCCTTGGGGATGCGGCTGAAAGGTACATTCTCCTTCTTTGCGCGCTTGATGTTGTCTTCGGTGGCAGGGACGGCGACTTGCTGCTCAGTCTCGCCGAAGGCGCCTCCGAGCTTACGCTTGCGGCTGGGGTGCATGTGTTCATCTGCATCGTTCGAAGGGGCGGCGGTGCCCTCAGCTTGACCGAGAGCTGAGCTGGCAGGGACCATGATGGTGTCGACTTCGGCCTTGATGGGGGCAGGAGCATCTGCAAGAGTGACGCTTGAGGCGGCAGAGTCGGAGACGGGCTCGGCGGCCTTCTTCTCCTTCTTTTCCTTCTTCACGGGCTTCTCGGGCTTCTCGGCCTTCTCAACCTTGACAGCCTTTGCGGTCTTCACGGGCTTCTCAGCCTTCTCGGCCTTGACGGCCTTTGCGGGCTTTGCGACCTTCTTCTTCTTGTCACTTTCGCTCTCGCTGTCCGAGTCAGAGTCTGAAGAATCGCTGTCGGAGGAGGATGAGCTGTCGCTGTCGGAATCGCTGGAGCTGTCGCTGTCTGAAGATGAGGAGTCGGAGTCGGAAGAATCGCTGTCGCTTGAGTCGGAAGAGTCACTGCTGTCCTCGCTCTCGGAGGAAGACGAAGCAGAGGAAGAGTCGTCAGATGTGTCGGCCTTCTTGACAACCTTTGTCTTCTTGGCGGCGGGCTTCTTGCTCTCATCATCGGAAGAATCGGAGTCGGAAGATTCGGATGAAGGAGGAGTGGCCTTGCGCTTCTTGGTAATTTCCTTCTTGGAAGACTTCTTCTCAGATTCGCTTTCGGAGTCTGAGTCGGACGAGTCGCTGTCACTGCTGTCGCTAGCGTCGGAGGAGTCATCGACAGTTGCGGCGGCGGCGGTCTCCTTGGGGCGGGACTCGAAGAGGGCGGTCAGAGAAGTGTTGGTGTTGGTGGTGAGAGCGAGGCCCTGGTCTTTTGCCTGCTTTTGGACGGCTTTGGCGGCCTTCTCGTAGCCATTGCTGGAGAGGAAGTCGTTGACAAGAGCGAGAAGCTCGGGTGACGGAGCTGCGGGAGACATGATGTGTTAGGTTGATGAAGAGCAATAATGCGGAAGGCAGCACGAAAAGGCAGTCGCGATAGAGAAAAAAAGACGAAGGTTCGGTAGACGCACCTGCTCGGCCCGCGCTGCCGACGCTGATTAGGGCAGAGGGTCGCGATAAGTGGAGGGCAAAGGCGCGTCGTGCCAAGGCTCACACGCTGAATGTCTCCGCAAGTCGCGGAAGAGAACAGGCTTCGGGCTGTGGGCTTCCTAGTGCACTAAGGTTCGTGAGGGTGAGTTGCAAGTTGAACGGCTTGTTGCAATCTATCCGTCATCTTTCCTACGCGTCAAATATTCCCAGCCACCTGTCCCACTCGCCTTTCGACTACCTGCTAGCTTTAGCAAGCCCGGGCGACCCTCTCCAGATGCAGCTGCAGATAGCTACGTCGACAGCATGAATGGCTCGCAGTCGCGCAACCCGTCGGACTCGGCCATGCATGACGCTCGAGGCAGGAAACCCTCGCAAGCTGCACCCATGTCCAACTCCAACACAATGACCCGCGCCGAGCGCTTCGAGGATGAGAAGCGACGTATGGTCGAGAGCTGCTTCTCAAAGCTCGACCAGAACGGACAGTGTATGCTGAACTGCTGCCTCGACCCGACCTGCCCCACTAACATCTTCTACCAGTGGCCGAATCGTACATCACACACATTCGCATAAGCGAAGATGCAGCTCACCCTTCAACTCCTCCGCCGCCGACCTCAGCTCCTGACAACAAGAAGCCTCGTATCATCGTCGTAGCCGTCCGTAGTACTGGTCGAGTTCGCATGCACAAGGCTCGCGAGAACAACAACGGTTCTTTCTCCATCGGCAAAACTTGGAACCTCGAGGACCTTTCGGCCATTGAATCCTTTGCCTATCCCGATCCGAACGCGCCTCCACCGAAACAGAACTATTACCAATGGGCCGGTAGTGTCGGCTTCATTGTCACTATTTCGAAGCCCTACTATTGGCAGGCGGCCACGTCAAAAGAGAAGGACTTCTTCGTTGCTAGTTTGGTCAAGATCTACCGAAAGTACACAAAAGGCCAAGTCCCAGATCTGCGTGGCTTCGATCCTCGCGATGTAGAGCAAATGCTTGGTCTGGCTCCAGGCCAGCAACAAGCGCCACGTAGTTCTCCTGCTGTTCAGGATCGCATGACTCCTCAAAACACCCCTCCTCCGCCTCGTCCACCGTTCGCCGAACAACAGCGACCGTCCTCGCAAGATTCACGACATCGATTGAGACCAACACCTGAGAATGGCGACACTCAACCTGGTGGTTTGCAGCCACAGTCCAGAGCTCCACCGGAGAGAGGAGTGCGACAACGGCCTAGCCGCGAGCAGATGCAGAAGCCGAGTCGGGAGCCATTGCGCGCCCCAAGCCGCGAACCTATGCGTGCTCCTAGTCGTGAACCCATGCATCGCGGTCCTGCTCCTCCAGCTCTTAACAATGGCCCTCCTCCAGGTGCTCGACCTCGCTTAACGCCAAAGTCTTCCAGAGCCGAGTTACAACAACCTCCCGTATCTGACTCCCCGAATGCCTCTTTCGCTTCATCTACAAGAACCAATCCTATAGTTTCTGACCAACCTCCACAACTAAGCCAGCCATCTCAACAACATCCTGGACAGCTAGCCCCTGTTCGTGCCGAAGGACGTCAACAAAGTTATCAGAGTGTGCGAAGCGATCGAAGTATCCAGAGCCAACGTAGTCATGAGTCTACCGAGCCAGCAGCTACCGAAGTCAGCATGTTCACGTCCACGCTCAATCACTGGAAACCTCCCTCACGCGAACCTTCTCCTATGAGGCAACCTTCCCCTAGAAAACCACAGCCTCACCCTGCCACTATCGATCACGGCGAGCCACGCCCATCGGTATTTGACACGCTCAAGAATCAGCGCCAGCCAGGTGCTGTGAGCCAGCGCGAGCGACAGCCATCAGTGACCCCAACGGACCATTTTTCCAATGATATTCAAGTTCCTCCTGAGCGCAAGCGACCTTTCATGGCAGGAGGCCGAAAATACAGCGCTGCTCCAAGCGAAAATGAATCGGATTCGGAAGCGCTACGTCCTCCGCCTCTTTCAACTAGCAGAAATGTGTCTGGAGCTAGCACTAACATCAGTACTGTCGCAACCGTTGGTCGTCCCTCGAGTCCTCGCGGTTTAGGCATCGAGAAGCACCTGCCCATGCCCGGAACTTCTGATCGCGTCCCGGGTGCTTTCTACGACACTCCTACTGCTTCAAGTGCTGATCTTGCTTCTCATCAACTGCCGCCGGAGCCGCAACCTGAGACCAGAATACCCGAGCCTATGCAAGCTCCCACTCTCCCATCTATAGAGCCAGATGAAGCGCCTGCTCCGGTGCCTGAATCTAGAGAAGTTCTCTCCGACGAAGACGAGCACCGTCCTGGACTTGGACCTATGTTCAAGAAGAAAAATGGACCGAGGCTCGCAGATGCCCTCAGAAAAGCGGCAGCAGCTCAGAGTGCATTCAAACCTCGCGCTGGCGGCGCAGCTGAGCGTATGAGGGCTATGGCAGATCCCGCTAACAAGGGACAAGGACCAGACGGTATCACTGGTGTCGTTCCTGCTCCTTTGAGAAAGCAGAGTGTGGATATCGACAGATCGGAATTGCCCGTTTCTCCCATGAAATCAGAGTTCCCTTCATCTGTACCAGAGACCCTTCCTGAAGTAGAGACAAGAAGCCATGAGCCCGAACCTCTGCCGAAGGTCGCAGATGTCACAGCGCAAGCTCACAAACCCGTCGATGGATCAGCCGTAGAGGGCTACTTCGACCCACCGGAGCCGCAACAACAGGTCGAGGAACCGGAAGTACCTGTGGTCGTGCCAGAACCCAGAAGACCGAAAAGGAGATCGGCGCAGCAGGAGAACCATCTTCGATCTCTCAACATTGATCCGAGGTTACTTGACGGGAGAGGCATTCAATTCGAGTCCATTCTTTCCGATTTTGGTTGGGGATCTGGTATCCTGAAAGGAAGACAATTGGAGGATTTAGAGGCTGATCTCAAGCGCGAGCTGGGTCGTGTTGAAGCTGGCAGCTGGTTAGGTCATCTCGAACAGAAGGACGACCGAGTTGATGCCGTTGATCAGATGCTTGATCGAGCGATTGCCGAGTGTGATGAGCTCGATGGACTTCTTACCATCTACTCTGCGGAATTGAGTACCCTCAACGACGATATCTCCTTCATCGAGGCACAGTCTCAGGGTCTGCAGGTACAGACGGCTAATCAGAAGATCCTCCATACCGAACTGCAAAAATTGGTCGACACTATCTCGATTTCACCACGACAGTTGGAGCCGCTCAGGCATGGAGATTTCGGTAATCCGGAAGCTTTGATGTCTGTTGAATCCTCCTTGCTTCTTCTTTACAAGGCTATGGCTACTATAGATCCTTCGGTACGCTCAACGAATGCTCTGAGTCGATCCGGTCCTGCAACGGGTCTTGATACCAGCGACATCGGCACCATGAACGCTCTGCAGGAGAAACGGAATGCATACATGCGAGAGAGCGCCGAGTTCTGTCAACGTTTGGTGCGTTACTTGGACAACTCGTTCGCCTCGGCACTCAGTGCTGCTAAGCCTGCACTTCTGCAGCATCCTGGTGGTATTGGCAATGCCACAATGAAGCTTAATGGCTCAGGGTTTAATTTGGCTCGTGCCAATCTCTGGCAATTCAGCCCACTGCTTCTTTTCACGAAAGAGACCAACATGTCTGCATGGCAAAACATACTCCGAATATACCAAACCAAGGCTCGCCCATTGTACAACGATGTCTTCCGAGACAATACCAATAATTGGAAGAAGGGAGCTCGTACAGCCACTGGCGAAGCCACTGAGCTACTCTTTACTTCCGTTGAGAAGGAGACCTCTGAAGGTCTTACCAGCACTGCTCGCAAGCTGACAGTCAAGCGATCTCAGACTCTTGCCAAGTCCTTCCGTTCTGGTGGTGGCAGTGGAGGAGACAAGCCCACAGCCGTTGATAGAGCCCAACCTGGCCGTATGGCACCATTTGAGGTCTTCAATGGGGTCCTCGAAGAACAGGTGCCATTGATCTCTATGGAACAAAACTTTATTGTGGACCTCTTCCACGCCACTAGTCTCGAGAACATCGATTTTGCAGACGCAGTCGCGGCTAATGTCCCCGAAGCTCGCATGGGTCCTGATCTCACTGGTAGACGATTGATGGAGCCTGATCGTGCTATGGCAAGACGTGTGTCCGACACCATGGAAGAAACCTTCGGCTTCTGGAAGGATGAATTGAGAACGCTTATGGAGTGGGCGAATGCCGGCGATCCTATCCAGGGCGTTGGTGTTCTCACTGTTCTAGCCATACATGCATACCGTCTGCAGGAAACCTCCCAAGAGTTCTTGCTTCATAATCTCAACGAAATTTCTTCACGCTTGCAGACACTCTTCCAGAAGTTTGTCGATGAGCAGATTCATGCCATCGAGGACACAAAGGTCAAGATCAAGAAGCGCAAGGGTGTCATTGCTTTCATGAAGATCTTCCCTCTATTCTCAAATGCCGTCGAAAGCACATATCTGTCGGCAGCTCGAGAGTACGACGGCTACGGAGCAGTACTTGGTGCGCGTCAATTGATTGATGATGCATACATTCGTATCAACCGAGCCATGTGGGATTCACTGAAGGTCATTGCGAGAGAGTCGCCCACTGCCGCTGGTGCTGCTACCTCTGCCACAACGGCACACGGTCTGGAATATGAAGACAAGGAGATCTTGAACTACCACATCCTCCTGATCGAGAATATGAACCATTATATCGAAGAAGTAGATGATGGCGGCAAGGAAGGCTCTGTACTCGCCGAGTGGAAAGCAAAGGCCTTGATGGATCGCGCTGAACACATGGAAGAATATGTCGGTCGCGTGGTTCGCAGGCCACTCGGCAAGATTAGCGTAAGTGGCCTTTTCACCCTTCAACATGAAAACATGCTAATTGTTCATCCAGGACTTCGTCGAAGGCGCAGAAGCTCTCCTCAATCAAAACATGACGGGCCCAAGCATCGCCGCTCGCCCCCTCTATTCCCGCCACAACACCAAGAAGCTCCTCGCCTCCCACGACGGCAAGAGCATCCGCAGCGGCATCGACACTCTCCGCAAGCGTATCGAAAAGCACTTTGGCGACGCGGATGAAGAGCAGTTATCACGTCAAATGGTCACTATGGTTTGCAAAGAATGCGAACGCAGATATGACAATGTGTTGGATCGGCTGACAAAGGCTTGCAATATTTTGTACAAGGAAGACGAAAAGGGTGTCACCATCGATTGGAGCAAGGAAGATACAAAAGAAGGATTCAAGAGGATTTGAGTTTGAGAAACGAAAAATGACAGCTATGAATCTTTTTGCATAGGGAGGATTTTGTTCTTTCGTTTTCATGCATGGATGCAATGCAATGCAAATGCTACCTTTTTGTTATTCTTTGCGGCGAATGTTTTGTTCTTGTATACCTGAAGGAAATGGATGTATTTGTGGTCGACGCCATCATTGGGGATCACAATCTTCTCCCGAAATCTCGTTTTATGTCGATTCTGATCTATCCTTCTAGCTTCCATGCTCATCCTCGACTGCAGTGAGATAGAAAGCCTTGACTAGACAAACTTGGTGGTTCCTTCTTCAAATCAACATTGCGATCACGATTGCGGTTTCCTTGTCAATTTTGGTTTGTTCCTTGCTAAATGACATTTGTCGGTTGCTCCTTCTTCATTGGTGCGCTTTGTCGTGCCCTCCTCATCACTTGGTCGCTTCTTCCTCACAAAACTGATCGCTCCTCCTCTTGTGACATCCCTTTGTCGATTGGAGGGTTGTCCAATCAATAGCTTTCGATGCAGGTGCTTGCAGGAGATCTTCACGAATTCACTAGTGGTGAGATAATCCGCACCTGTCAATCACGGCACCCCCTCGATCGCTGATTTGGAGAGACTCGCGAGGGACAGTGAGCAGCCCCCAAGCGCGAACACCAGGTCCCTGATACAGCAAATCCATCCACTCTTCGTCAAACACCCATGGAGAGAACGATTCTGTCATGTTCGATGGAAAGCCCGGCTCTCTGTGCCAAGAGTCTCAGAAGTGACTTTGGAGTCACTGACCTTGATGAGGACCTTTGTCTCTTCATCTCCTGCGTTGATGATTCGATGATCAATGTCCACATCTCGGTTTCGCTGGTGGCTGCTAGCTGGGCTGAGGTGGTATACAGAACCAGAGTTGTGTTGACCGCTGTGATCTTGCAATTTGCTGCAATGAGGTGATTGGCATATTTATATCCTTAATGTCGAGGATACGATTGACTTGGTCAATGAGGGTACAGTCTTGTGAATATCATGGTTGACCTTCATCGTAGGTGCTGGTCAATTATGAATTGTCTCATCACAGGGACAAAACAACAATATTCGACCATTTAGGAACAACCAAGGAGGAGCTCGCATCGAGCATTAGAGTATAAAATACGAACTAGCTGCACCCAACATTCTCTGGACACGTACATCCAAACTGGAGATCCTCGGTACAGAAAGAAGTCAAGGTTAAGGCGTGGGTGGAGATGGAGAGTGTCTTTTTAGTGTAAGCCCTGTTCTATGCTCCCGCTGTAGGGACTGACAGGTAGACCAGGTCAACGATACTGCTCTCTTTTCACTTGTCTGCAGCATTGAGATGAGAAAATGGCACTAATCTTGAAGCCGCCGTGTAAGAGTCACTGACCTCTTCTTGCCTGTTCGTTCTTCAGATTTTCTGTGGTAGGTCAGCACCCAGCCACTTTGCGTTGACCACGGGCCAGTCGTAAGATGAGGTGATGGGACATTTGTTCAATCTAGCTCTAAAGTCCATCACGATGGATATGCGTTTTATGCATCCACCTGTACAAGTCACGCTAATGATTCATCCCTGAATCCAACACCCCTTATGGTCCTAACATCTCCCCCACCACAACTCTCTCAAACTCCCGCACCTTCCCGTACCTTGACTCACTGCTGCCTCGCCCTTTCTACCTTTATATACTAAACATTCCTTGTCCCTTGTAATAATCAGCCGTGGTGGTGTAGTGGTAGCATACTCGTGTTACGTTCGGGCACGTGCGCATTCATTTCCATACAAGCGTGGTCCCGATGAACATGGGTGGTCGCAGGTTCGAATCCTGCCCATGGTGCTTATTGTTCTTTTTTTTTGCTTGGTTGTTTTTGGGTGTTGGTGTTTTGGTTTTTGCTTGGTCTTTTTAGGTGTTGGTGTTTTGGTTTTGGTTTGGGATCTGTGGTTTGGGGTTTTGGTGTTTGATCTTAGGTGTATATGATGACCGGTTTTTGGGTACTTAAGGACACATGGTCGGGAAGAGGTGCATATAAAGATTGATACATGATGGGACAGAATTCTTCCGTTTAGGCAAGAAGCACTGGAACAAATTTGAACCAAATCTGCAAATGGATCCAAATCCTGCCCAGCTCTCTGATGCAGACATTCTTGTTTTACAAGACAGTGAAGGCGTATGGGGAGGAGGTAGGTCTGTGATGCCATCTTTTGTCCCGTCATCCCAAGGACAGCGCAAGGGATGTGGCCGCTTTGGATTCGGTTGTCATGATCTGCTTGGCTAGGATATGCAAGAAGTCCGAGAGTCACTGACCTGAGAGTCTCATCTGCTGTGTTGTCTTCCCCAGCCTTGTGCTAGCTATATTGCTTTCTAAGTCCTCAAAAAGCTATTGAAGAGGCAGAGTTTGATACACAGATCAGGTGAATGTCATAATCGTTGTAGTCGCATCTTGGTTGCAGAAAGCAGTTTCTTATACTCTTGCCTGGATAAGCTCGAGATAGATGTCCCTTTGAGAGAAGCAATCTTTTCGGACAACTTCATACTTGTAGACTGTAGAGAGGGAATGTGAGAGATACAAGGAAAGTTATCTTGCTCTATCGACACAGACCGCCAGAGATTTGGAACATTGGCTAGAGATTCCACCGTGACGACTGTTCTAATAAACACACCAGGTTGTACTGCCGATATGAGACAGTAAATTCCGAAGAAAGTCTCAGAAAGTAAGCATTGCATAGACCATCCATGGACAGCTCCTCCGGTCAAACTCTCGGAAACTTCTTCTGCCACCAGTACGATTGTTGTGTCTTCGATGTGCCGATATGTGCAGGTAAGGAGAGGAATGAGGTCAGTGATACTGTTCTCGCCTTACACCTCCTGTGATGAAGGGACGATAAAGACATAGCTGACCACATCGTCCAAAACCAGGAGTCATTGACCTGTAATGGTTCTTCGGCGGTCGAGCTTGGTACACATCCCAGAAACACTATCTGACATAACCTTGCTAAGGCTGTAATGAGCTTTGTGTCCAGAGAGAACCACCGAGATATGGTCGCGGTATGTATCGAATGTCCAGGCAAGACGATCGATATAAATTCAACACTCTGTCAACCCAATTTTGACTCCGAAACATTCGAAACATTCGAAACATTCGAAACATTCGAACCAAGCGAACTCGTTTCGAGGGCAATCGTTTCGAGTGCCGTTCCGCACTTTGGGCTACCCCTGAAATTATATCTAGTACCAGAATCTATGCCTCGACAGAGCAACCTAGTGGCTTTGTTAAAGTACATTTGATGAAAGCGATTCTCTTCTCAATGACTATAACAACATCGGCAACAACGCTATAGCAAGGATCTAGGGATCTCAAGGTGTTGGCATGATTGGTGCAAGGGTAAAGTCAGTTGTACCGCGACAGAGCAACCAGTACATCCCTTGTGAACAGCCCTGCGCACGTGAGAGACATAAACCACTCGGGTCCACGATACCGCTCGCCCCCCTCTTTCATCTCTGATCGCAACTGAAAGGCCCATATCATTGCAGTGACGCAATCTTGATGTCAAGTCGTGAAGAACGTGAGACGCGAATCGGTGTCACCGACCCGCTGCCTTAGTATAGTGTTACTGCTTGCACTGTTGGAACCGTCAAACAAATCATGGAAGACCGCGAGCTTCGATGGACTTTGGCGAGAAAACAATCGCTTTAGGGGTTGGCAGAGCATTGAAGCTTACCAACGTCCAAGAAACGTCGGTCGTGTCTTATAGTCCAACAAGCATCATGTGAGAAGGGCGGCAGGTGCGTTTCTGAAACCAACAGGGCAGGAACAGATCCCATACCCGGGAGGACCTGATTTCATGGTCTACCTTCCAGAATCCTGTGCGAGCATACCGGCGAGCGAGGGGTTTGGCAATATATGGAGATGGTGATATCCAGGACAACATTTCTGGCAGGCGTGTGAGGAACATGTTTGCTTGTTGGTGACAGTCATCGATAGTCATATTCGTGAGCAGCAAGGCGATGGGCAAGTTCGTCTGTAACATCCTCGGCAGTCTGAGGCACGAAAAGAGCCGTGACAGTGACTATGCTGCTCATTCCGAGCGCACTTGCTTGAAGCTCTGCCGAGCAAGGCACTTGATCGTTGGAAGTGTAGCGCTCACGGTATCCTTTCCCGACTGAGGCAAGAAAGAGGCGGCGCATATGCTTCGAGGGTCGACCTGCGTTATCCTCCAGTCCAACTTGGCAGTACGATGAAGGAGCTGGTGAAGATATCCTGCTGATATGTGATGTGAGCAACTCGATCTTATCAACCTGATCTTCATCACTACAAGCAGTGGTCCTGTAGTGGCCGGCGAGGCTAGTGGAACGTTGTCTGATCAGCTGGGTTGTATGCTGAAGAAGTTTTGACGTGCTACGATTGCTATTGGCATTGTGAATATGGCTCGGTGATATGGTCGACTTGGGTCATTCGGTATGGGATCGCATGCGAAGATGGCGTTTGCTGATCTTGAACAGTCAGTTATGGTCGTTGTATAGTCGACGGTGAGGAAACATACCAATATATTCACTCTGAGAAGCCGAGATGATGCAAGGCGTACTCTATAGAAACGCTGATGACCTTGATCAAGTGAAATTTGTCGGAGAGGCAAAAGTTGATGCCAGAGTTGCAGTTAGGAGAAAGACCATTCAAGTGGAGAGTCCTCCACTGATGACTCACCAAGTCTGTCAATTGAGAAGGTGGTGTGGTAAATTTGCTTTAACTACCTGTAGTCCCGCTTACATACCTCATCTACGCTGAGGTATCTGCCTCTAATCCCGACCACGTGATAGTGAACTCAATCAATACGCGAGAAGGTATAGATCATCGAATGGGGCTGCTGCCTCCTTTATATAGGTGCATGGATGATTGTCAAGTTCTAGTCATCAAAGCTTTGTCATATTTAACACAGGCCTTAGAGCTATGCAGCCATAGTCCTGTCTTTCCCTCTCAAGTGAAATTCCATGGTCGATGAACGTCTTGTATGGTTAGAGTTTCCGACGGTGTTCTGTGAGCACATTTGCCTGAGATCAAGTTTACATCCCATGAGATTTGAAGGAGCGGCTCACGACTGAGACTTCTTGCGGTGCATGAGTCAACTTGCTGAAGGCGCCAGATATGAGTTCCCTGCATCTATAAGAGAACGCAACACAGCGCATCTCCTACGTTGGCATCAATATTTCTTACAACTTGCCTCCCATTTCCCAGAATATTTTGTTTCTCTCTAGGCACCAGCATGATGATCGAGTCATTTACGGCTGTGCTCAAATGTATGCGCGCAACCCTGCCGTGCCTCTACGATCGGAAGGCTACGTTCTGCGCCCTGCTTCGGGTTGCAATGGAGGACCCAAGTTCCGTCAGAGCTCTTCAGAGGTACACAGCAATGGTCCCGACGCACGTTGTGAAACATCGTGCGATCCGGGACCCACAGGACGCTGGAAAGGAAATCAAGTACCATGAAAAGCGAGTGGATCCGCCCACTACGGTGCTTCGTGTTCCTGCTCGACCAAGGCGTGAATTACTTCATGAAGAGTATACCACAATCGAGACCAGGAACCGCTCTCGAGAATACGAAAAAAGAGGGTGTTGCGAGACCGACATAACGCATGATTTTGGATGTGTGTGTCTTGACAGAAAAAGTCTGCCACCTTCTTTTCAGTCGATGCTCAAAATCTTGAGCCACATTCTGGGTTATCTTCTTATCCCCGACGCTTTACTGAAGCTGGGTCGCAGGACTCGAGAACACGTTTCTATCAGGCGCCTCATTCCAGAGCTCACTTATGTCATGCAGATGGGCCTCGACTGGGATGTTCGAAATGTTTACCCTTTCCTCGAGCTCTTGCTTCATTATTATGGCTTGCATCGGCAAGTCTTTTGCGGAGCAGATCGACCAGGTCAAGGGGGAGTTGATGTTGTCATCGCCCTGAAGCCGATGAGCGAGAGGGAGAATCCACAAAATTTTCCCGCGCCTCAGGCCGTATGCGAGCCATGCATCCCGATGTGTTTAGTGGTAATCCAACGTGATCCCCGTGACGATCCGATTGACCGGCTCAGGACATGGCTGTCTGACAATCTGGAGTGGCTCGAAAAGAACGACCTGGTCCCTACCGCGGAGCACTGGCCTGTTCCCTACTTTCTTGTAGATAACAACAAGTGGACGTTTGGATTCGCAGTCCGGTCTGAGAACGGTTTTATGCTGTATGAAGAGTTCATTAGCAGCATGGGATGGCAGAACGGTGTTCAAAAGATTGTTGTGATCTTGAAACTTGTCATCGAGTCGACAATCCAGCGGCATTCCGAATGGTTCTATGAGAGGTTCCCGCAGTACGATTCGAGTGATGATGAGGCCTGTTGTTGTTCTGGGAAAGTCCCGGTGCTCCCGGTGAATCTGTATACACGGGTGGTCGGAGATGCTAAAGCCTGAGACGGCGGTGCTTGTCATGATCAGATCCAAGTTTGTTGGATATAATGCGTGGTTCCCCAGTTCTTCCGTACCTAGTTAATATTAATATCATGACCTTCCTGTTGCACTGAATCTTCTTCCAAAGTGTACAACAAGTTCTTCCAGGTGTCCTAAACATGAGAAGGTCCGGCGGGACCATCTGCACGGTGCAATCCGCCATGAACACGAGAGCAACGTGGAAGTGCGGTTACCTCAACTCATGGCATAAGCGCTGTCCTGCTTAGGGGACCATCCGAGAGCTTCAACAGGAGACAAGTCCGCGAGACGAAGAACCATCCACTATGTAGCTCTGATTTCCGTGCAAAAAAATCGGACCCCACAGGTGTAGGGTAACAGTCGGTATAAGAAGAAAGCGTAGTCGACGCGCGGGCGGTCCAGTCGTCGACTCCGTTCTTGGTTCCAACCGAATGGAACAAATATCCAAGTCTAGTAGCCCGATGGTTCTGATGTAAGCCATCCCGGTTCGCGATTGACCAGGACTCCATTGCAATTGTATGTGGTCGTCGCACTGCAGAGTATTTTTGTATCCGATGATCCGCTTCAGAGCCCACCTTCATGCATAAGAAGAGGGATCAACGACATAGGTCAAAGGAGCTTTGATGATTACTGTTTATAGGACTGCAATGTCGAGCGCGATGCATCGCACATTGGGCCTACGATTCGTCAATCAGGTCTTGTGACGGAATACATCCAGCTTGACTTTCCGGCATCATCCAGCACGCGTAGCTCGAGGGCTGGCTTGGCTGAAGATGATATAGACAACAAAGTCGCTTTCATGGGACAAACAGAACTGGGTCCAAGGGAAGTTCGACGGCAATTGGCATTGCTGACGGAAGAGCAAGACGATAATTGCAATTGCGAAGGGGTAACTTCTTGAGTGACGTTGGAGTCGGATCGTCCCATCATCCCGTGACGACGCGGTGTGTGCGCTGCATGCGCCACGAACGCCACAGAGTGGCTTGGGGCTAAGTCACAAGGTTTCTCTTGACCCACTTTTTCGCAATCAGAGGATTTGGTCGCAGGAGTTGCTTCCGTTCGAGCATGTTACCACGTAGCAGTTATCGGCCGTACCACCGAGTGCCACAACAGAGTTCGGTATGCCTGACTTGGATGGGTGCAAAGGGTCGTGGTCAGCAAGGTGATAGGTTCCAATAAAGCTAGCCGGTATCAACTTGCCAGAGACGGCGACACAATAACGATGGTCCGTTCAATTGGAAGTTCGGGGTCTTGAAGTCCGCGCGTCGAACGCAACTTCCTCTGCGCCAGAAGACGCTTCATCAGGGCACAGCTGGTTGCCAAGCTGACGACTGACATCATGGGTATGTCCAATTGCGTAGCCCTATCAGAAATCGATTTCAGGACAGGTCGTGGAGGAAGACGATGGTAGTTTATAAAGAGCAAAGTGTAGCCATTGGAAAATCACACATCAGACATCGAACAAGCAAGAATCAATCGAGCAAGTCAACCAAGACGACTTCCAAGCAAAGCAAATCACATTCACATTCACAAACATGGGTCTCATTCACAAGATCGAAGAGAAGGTGCTCCACCACGGTGAACAGAAGCAGCACATGTATGTATTGAGTGTTTCCAAAGCGGGCTTTTTCTCCTTACTGACCACAACAAGGCCTCCTCAGCAACAGCAACAAGGCTTCGGCCAGCAAGGCTATGGTCAACAAGGCTACGGCCAACAGGGCTATGGCCAGCCTCAAGGTGGTTATGGTGGTGGTGGTATGGGAATGAACGGTGGTCGCCAGGAGTTTGGCGGCCATCACGGTGGTGGCGACTTCAGTGGGCCTCCTCAGAACGGAGGTCAGTTTGGTGGTCCTTCCGGCGGTATGGGCGGACCTCAGGGCGGCATGGGAATGGGTGGTCGTGAAGGTCACCATGGCGGCGGTCATCAGGGTGGACCCCATGGTGGCGGCATGGGCGGACCTCAAGGCGGCATGGGCGGACCTCAGGGTGGTATGGGAGGACACCAGGGAGGTATGGGAGGACACCAGGGAGGTATGGGTGGTCGCGGAGGTCCTGGTGGCTGGTAGAAGATTGCGCTGCTCCAGCTTGAATGCCGCTCACCAGACTCTATTTTGATACCCGCATCCCGAGCCTACGCATGTAACGAATCAACACGCAACTTGAACTTTGCTCGAACGTCCGACAGACGCGGTGAACGCAGTGTACAAGCCGTGCACCTTGACGATTAGGTCCGCTTAAGACCACCTCATCTCGTATCCAAAGACTGTTCGGCGTAACAACTCGTCCTGCAATTGAGTGGTCAGTATCAAGAGAATAGTCGAAATCGCGGAGGATTTACATACACCAGGGTCTTCTTCAAACATGACCTTGTCCATGACCTTCTCCAAAACCTTGTCAACGACAAGCCCGTTCTCCTTTGCTAGATCGAAGAAAGCTAGATCCTTTTCCAGCAGCCAGGGTCTGTAGGGAGTAAAGAATACTAGCGCGGTTCCGTCTTTCTTCAAAGAGTTTTTGACGGTTTGGACAAGCTTGCCGTGTTCGGAGTGGTTGAACAGCAGGTCAGCAAGGATCAAAACATCGAACCCCTCATCCGGTTTCACCTCTTCAATTAGAGTTGAGGCATCAGCACCCCAGAGATATCCTTTCGCAACAATGGGAAGCTTTGCGGCACAAGCGTCAATGTTGTAAGACAAGTTCGCAATAAGTTCGGCGTCAGGGTAATCGGTCACAACGACACGCTTGGCAGAAAGATGTGCTGAGATGAGAGAGGGCAGTCCAGCACCAGCGCCTAGCTCCAGGACGGTCTTTGACTTTACAAGTTGAGGGTTCGTTTCGAAATGCAGAGCAATCGTTCGACCAGCGTTCCAGAGGAAATGTCCCTGATATGGCCGTCAGTTGAAACTCAGTAGCAAAGATTGAATCATTTGCCAAACAAGACAAGCAGGGTTCGAGTGATGGCCGTAGGTCGTTAGGTCGCCGTCCGAAATCAGACTCTCAGGCGGTGGTTTTCCCAATACTTGACCACCTGACGCTATGGGCAGCCATGACAATGGTAGTCGACAAAGACCTTCTACACACGTTACGTACTGGCTAAGAATTTTCTTGTGCGCCATTTGTTGTGCTGGACCCTGGTCATCGGACGACGCCCACATTGATTGGCCTGCGAAAGCCCAACCGTATATGACCTAGGATGCGTCTCGTGGGAGGAAAAAAAGCTGGAAAACCACCTACCCAAAGAGGATTATGCCCGACCAAGCGTAGAGTCAGCTTCGAACCGCCTTGTAGAGTGTAGTCTACGAAGCTGGGCTCTTTTTCGGCCTCGTAGAAGCCTTCGGGCTCTTCGAAGATACCCAATTCTCCTTCTGAGTCTGACATGTTGTTTGGAGAATGGAGTTGTCTTTTCGTCGAATCGTGGCGCGATATCCAGCCGCCAAGAGTTCCGGCGAACGGACCTTGGCGCGGCAACGCGGGGAATAGCCGTAGCAGATCTCCTCCGCTTGGGCTTGCTCACCAATTCCACCAACGTCTGTCTGCCCACGTCAAGTGTATATCAGAGGCCCTTGGTAGAAAGCTTGCGCTCCATTCCTCGAGACATTCTCCTTGCGAAGGAAATTCTGTCTCTGTGAACCTTGAACCTGCTGACGCCACGATTCTCCGGCTGAAACTACTCAAGGTCGAGAGTTAGTTGCAAAGGCCACTTCCCACGTGTCGCTACCGAATTACCATGGACATAGAAGGTGCGTTCAAGACGATGAGTTCCTTGAGAGTTTTATAAAGCGTGCCCTTCCCCCACCTCCCACCTCCTCAATTTCGCTCTCCATAATCTCAAGCCCCCCGAACCCACAGACTCCCATTCTTCTCTTTTCAACGCTTCGATCTTCCAATATCATTCTCTCATTCACACGAGCCTTTCAATATGGGCAAAGAGACCTTGAGGCCGACAGCCACCAAGATGCCCAAAACATCGACCGCCCTGACTAAATATCGATTAGCAAAGTCGTCGAAGTCCTCTGAGGAGAAGAAAGACCTAATAACTATTCGAGATGTGAACACTCGACTGAAACACAAGTTCGCATGGTAAGTCATCGCTTCTCATCGTCCGCACCAGTCTTTCCGCTTCGATCTCATCCACAAAAGATGGGACTCGGGTCGTCATCCTGCTTACTATGAATGCTATCGCGCTTGAGGCGGGACTGTTGATCAAGCCCAGATTCTTCGATCACTTGCGATATGTTATCCCCTTTGAACTGTCGTCGCTGAGCGGCTTCTCATCCAAGCGTATACATGTTGGATTTGTATACTAACACACTTCACAGCAACACTTGCATCCAAGGACACCGAGCACCGCTATGTGACCCCAGCAAGCATCGCAACAAGATTCTCTTCAGACGACCCACTCCCGGAAGGCCAGCTAGAAGTTGCGGACATACTCATCTACCTCACTGTGAATGTCGCGCGTCGCGGAAATTGTGTTGCTCTCTGACGAATGATCAATGGGACCTACTCATCGATGGTGGTTGCCCTGAAGCAGTCATGTACGACTCTCAGAAAGCACTTGAAGACGCATGGGCGGCAGCACAGGCCCCTAGCAACTTCTCCATGTACCCATATGGACAGATGATGCCGTATCGACCAGCACCAAACGTCGGCACACCCATGTGGCCAGGTCCGATGGGCCCATATGGCCAATCTTTGGCAAACCAACCCGGATATCTCGCTTACCCGCCTGCCCTTCCGAGCGTATACCCGCCATCAACACATCACCCTGCCTATCACGTACCTACACCTTGGGATGGGCCCAATAACAATCAAGTCTATGGTGGACAGATGAACGGCGAGCAGATGAATGTGGGACAGATGCATGAAACGCAGATGAATATTGCACAGATGAATGCCGCACAGAGCACTCACACATACACCAACTTCGCAGCCGATACAACAGCATCACTACATCTTTCCGAGGGCATGCCGTTCCTTCCAACGTTCACCCCGTACACAGCCCAAGCGTCTATGGCGTTGCCTGATGAATTCACCATGGACATGATCAACGAAGAGCGGATCGCGGCTCAGCCATCGTCCAACCCAACACAGTCGTGTTGCTCCTCGAGATCGCAGCCTCAACAACCCCAGCAACCTATGATGCAGACGATGCAACCGTCCTACTTTCCCACCGCTGATCCTCGGCATCAATTCCCCTGCATGCGTTGCGCATCTTCCGATTGCACGTGTGAAAATTGTCCTGAGGTCAGACAGACATCAACCGGTGCCTGGTCACAAGCTTGCGGTCGCGGTGGTCACCTCGACAGCACAATTCATCCCAAGCTTGAGTTTACTGCGTACGAGGAATTTCGCGATACTCCTGCAGAGCAAACAAATTTGCCACCGGCCCTCCATCAAGCTATGCCGGACATTTTCGCTGATCAACTCTTCGACAACTTGATGTCTGTGTCTGTTCAAGACCCCATGCTCCCACAATACCAAGGTAGTACACCTGCCCATCTTCAAGGCATCGACCGCGTTGAAGAGCTTCCGGACTCCTCGCCTTGCGTTACCAACGACGGCCCCGTCGATTTCTCGGCACCGAATGGCACCATGGACCCTAGATACTTTGAATTTCACCATCAGCAATGAGGCGCTGGTTAGCTATATCTCTCTTTTGGTTTTACGCATACTTCGAGCAGGGTGTTGGAGGAGTTACTCCGAAGCCGGCGAGCTTCGTCATTCATTATACCCTATGATTCTTGCGACTGTTTTGTTCTGCTTTTGTGGTCGGTTTCGTTGAGTAGTTTATCAAAAAGTACAATATCGACCAGATTGAATTGTAGTTCACGTATGCCGCGTACTTAGAACGCATCCTCGGTGAGCCCTTACATTGTACAAGCAGTCGCATTCAGTATTGCAAATCTATGTGTGGAACACTGATGGGTCGCTGCCAGCTTGATCCACTTTCACAGCCAGATGTGATAGAGTGCATGATTACCATCAGACGTTGTTTATTCTTGGCTGTTCCAGGTTGGCTGTGATGGAACCTGATCTCCAAACTCAGTGGCAGACCTTCAATTACATCTGATGATGCGGTGAGATACTGACACACAAAAGCTTCGCACGATGACCAGAAAGTGGTGGGTCGACATGCATCGAACTCTGCATCGTCCTAATCAGGCCGACCTCGACTCGAACGTGGCCAGTGTCGTAAGTCACATTCCTCTATACGGTTGACAATCATCTTTCGGGTTCCATCTCGGATGCTTCGTACACACTTCATGGTTCAACACTGCTCAAATCTGATACGCAATCGGGACTCAAAACCCATCATACTGGACTGGAAAGCTTGGAACGGACCCAGTACCACTCTTTACTGGAAATCGAAAGCGCTCGTGCCCAAGCTTAAGGTTTCTGATGTTCAGATGGTCTGCTTTTTCCTTCTACGTTTCACGCTACTCAAGCTTGGCTCTCCATGTTGCTTCGATGGCCTATCGAAGTAAAACGCATGCTTGGAACACACAAAACCTTGCAACATACTTCGGGCCCAACGTCGCCTTATGCATTCTGTTTTTTCCAGCTTACAAGATGGCTCTTGGACGTAACGAGTATATCTACGCTAATGTAGATGATGAGAGCGGACAAAACTCAACTAATTCTCACAGGTCTGACTCCCGCAAACCCTTGGCGATTTCTTGACGGTAGGTTCGATCGAGCGAAGCTATCAAATATCACATCGGGGCCTTCTCCGGACTGGGAAGTATCGGTCCATAAGGGTTGGTTAGCTGATACTCAGAACACACCTCACTCTCAAAACGCCCTACGAAAGATCATCCTGTTGGATTTCCTTCTTTGCGCGCGCCCTACCACGTGTGAACCCTGAGTTTATATTAGTACTGGCTAGAGTCGATCATTGTTTACAGACAGTCCTCTCCCCTTGGACACAGCCCCGATCCAAGGAGATCTGTTTGCTGTGGATGGTTAGACTAAGCTTTGCGTTGATCATACTTTCGAGGATCGAGTGCTGGATCTTGGATGTCGAACCCGATTTCAGAACACATTTACCTTCTCTTATAGCTTACCCCAAGGGTTTCAAGCTCCACATGATGATCTGCGCTGTTGAAGCTTGTGCCTCGACGTCTCCCCAGTCTACCAGTAACTCGTTTACTGACATACACGCCGTTGTCTACTGAGACGCCAATGCCTACCTCCACATGCAGAGGTTTCTCAACAGAATGTCGGAATTACACCTCGAACGACGCTGTTCGCCCTTCCTTCGCTCGATTCGCGCTTCCACTAGAATATCCATCGCATCCACAATCCTCAATCTACACACGCCCTGACCCACTCCCTCCCCATCTCCTTCTTTCGCGTTCTCCCCGGCTCCAGGTCTACGCACGTATTTCCTGCGATCTTGCGTTTTGGACTTGCTTTTGTCTTGCAGAAGGTGGATATCTTATGATACCACACATTGCCATTCGCTGTGATCTGTGGAGACATCAACGTTCTTGTGTCCGTCCTGCTATGGCCGACGTCTACTTCTGGTTTTATGGAGCATCGGTCCTGCGGACTCCTGTCAGGGTCGTTAACAGTCAATTTGGACTAGTTCCGCAACAACAGCTTCTCTTGCATCACGCCACCGTCTTTTTCTGTTGTCATCATGATTCTCTTGTGGTTTGCTGGAACGAGGTGTTCAAAGAAGACCATATCTCTGTTTTGTGCTTCACAGTGTATAGGTATTCAGCTGGATGATCAGCACATGTTTGTTGTGAAAAGAAATCAAAACTGAGCTCAAGCATATTCTAGCACAACCGTGTGTGCATGATATCCATGCAAATACCATGAAACAACACATCCAGCATATTTCCACCTCACCTTCTGTGCCTTTTAGGCTTACTTTTCGGGAGGAGAGAGAGAGGGGTAAGGCAGCTTTGGGAGGTCGTTGGTCCAGTATGCTGTGATCCCCCGTCGAATATCCGAACCCACACGTCAACTTGAGCAAGTTTGAATCGTACACCTGGACATGTTATAAATTCCGCCTTGTCTGTTCATCTGTTTCTCGTTTCCTTCGCTTTCACCTCGTTTTGCGTCTACCTTGTCACCAATTTTCTCAGACAATTTCATCAATTGCAGACATGAGAATCAACCAGCAGATCTGGCTCTATGCCATCGCCAACCTTATCAGCATGGGCCTCGCTACCCCTCTCAAGAGCCCAGCAATGATGGGTTGGGAATCAAACTTCCCCTACACTTACACCCCCATCTACTACACCGCCGAAGATGTAGCCGATTGGAGCCCTCCCTCCCCAGACCCCTCCCCAGACACCTCCACCGGCGCCTCACCAAACCCCCACCACCTAACCAAACGCGTCTGGCCCTACGACAGCCCCTTCTGGGACGGCACCTTCCCCGCCGACCAACCACCCCCCAAAGTCGGTCAGTTGAACTGCGGACTCATGTTGGAAGCATGTTATCAGCAAGTAGACCTGCTACCGGAATACTCCGAAGACCACATCAGAGGCAAATTGTGGCCGCATTTCGCTTGCCAGGGTATGCTTTGTATTCAAACCAAGAAGCTTTGTGCGTATAAGGCTGGTTGGTGGTGTGGTGCTCCGTAGGTGTTGGAGAGGGGGAAGGATGGAGGAAGGGGGATTGGCATTGGGATGATGTGGGTTGCTTGATTGGTATGGTTATGAGAGGGGGAAATGGTGATTTTGGTGTGTTTTGTTGTTTCTTTGCTCGGTAGAGGGTATAGTAGTTTCATCTAACCTACTTTTGTTCTCTTGATACGTACTGTTTTCCCCCTCACTCTCATCTAAAAAGTATTGTGCTCCTGGAAATCTGGTATCTTGGGTGTGTAATTGGAGCTTGTGTCTGGTTCGGATGTCCACAGTGGTAAAACAGTTCTGGATCGGTTTTGCTGTCTCAATCTGGCCTACCATCATAGTATCAACTCTCATCTCCCCTCAGCATCCCCAAAATATCCTTATGACAGACACAGGAGTCTTTATAGGATTGTTGATCTCTGATTTTCCTGAGATTGCAAAAAGGTGGTGGTTGATGGTGTCACCCTGATTCGAAGGCACTTGAACCATCATTCTGTAGTTGACGTTTTGCGTCAGTATTGTTACACTTTGATATAATACGGTACCTGAGAAGTTGTTTGGCACTGGAAAGGTTGGTGCTGCGCTGCGCAGAGACTTGCTGGAAGCATGACCCACAGAACGTCCCCGGCTCACACTGACAGACATCATCAGGTGTGAGAAGGCACAGTGTGACATAGAGTCTCAACAGCATCCTCTGGGAGCGACACAATCACTAGCCGCGAGATACATGTTGCTCACGTTCGAATCAAATGTTGGTTGGGATATCTTCATTTTTCATTAGACCATCTTCTGGAGAGAGCATTTTATCGTGACCTCGTTTTCGAATTCGCGAACCGTCCGTGAGCATTTGTCCAACTTCCTAACCTTCGAACATGGTGCCGCCGACCTTTGCGTTACGACCTGACTTGATGATATTCTTGACGACGCGCTCAACCTCATCCCAATCATCTGTATCGAGCTTGGTGGGGTCAATCGAAAGCTCCTGGCAAATCGAACGGAACATCTCCCATGAGCGCTTGTCGTGAACCAGAGTGAGAGCAACTCCTACTTTGCCGAAACGACCAGTACGACCGACACGGTGCAAGAAGGTCTCAGCGTCGGGTACATAACCACGACCTGGAGCCGGCTTGTCAGGGATGTCGTAGTTGATGACCATGGTGACGGTTTGGACATCGATACCACGGGCGAGAACGTTGGTGGTGATGAGGACCTTGGCTTTACCCTCACGGAAACGATCGATGACACTGTCACGCTCGCTACCGTCAAGACCACCAGTCAGAGTGACGACGTGGTGACCTTCACTCTCCATGCGCTTGGAGAGTTCGTCGGCGGTCTCACGCCTACGCACGAAGATGATCGAAGACGCGATAGTCATGAGACCGTAGAACTTGATCAGGGCGTTGTACTTGTCTGAGTCTCGGCTGACATCGAGGTACATCTGCTTGATACCCTTGACAGTAAGGTTTGTGCGCTCGAGGGTGATTGAGTTGGCCTTGGGCGCGAATAGATCAGCGAAGCCGAGCACTTCTTCGGGGAAGGTGGCGGAAAACAGGACGGTCTGGACGTCCTTGGGCAGTAGACCTTTGACGCGCTTGCACTGGTCGCCGAGACCCTGCTGGTCGAGCATGTTGTCGGCTTCGTCCAAGACGAGAACCTTCATGCCGCGGGTGTTCAGTTGCTTCTTGCGAGCAAGATCCATGACTGTGCCAGGGGTACCAACAACGACTTGTCCGGTAACTTGTTGGCCGCGGGTTGATGGGTCAGGGACGGCCTGGTATGTAGTAAGACCTTCCATGAAACCGCCCATGACCTGTACGACGCCGAGAATCTGTCTGGCGAGCTCACGCGAGGGAGCGAGGACCAAAGCTTGTGGTTGCTGCAGAGTGAGATCGAGGCGAGAGAGGATGTTGAGGACGAAAGCGGCCGTCTTGCCAGTACCGGATTGCGACTGTCCGATGAGGTTTTGGGGAGGGTTCTGGAGAAGCAGAGGAAGGGCACGCTCCTGGATCTTAGAGGGCTTGGTGAAGCTCAGAGCGCTGATACCCTTTTGGAGAGATTCGGGCAGATTGAGGTCGCTGAATTCCTTGACTGAGTACAGGGGGTTGTTGGGATCTTGTTGGAGGTCGTTCAGCTTGACATTGACATCGAACTCGGGCTCGAGCAGCGATGAGCCCATCTGGAACTCAGAGGCGCCATCAGTCTGGTCTGAGGGCTCTGTAGGTTGCGCAGACTGCGCGGGTTGTGCAGGGGCGGACTGTGTCTGGTTATCCATCTCTTCGCTTTCTTCGGCCCAGTCGAGCTTCTCGTTCTTGTCGGGGAAGGAGAGGCGGTCGCCGAGAGGTTTTGAGGGAGTGTCGGACATGATTGTGTTGATCAACGAAAGAGAAATGCGCACGCGCAAAGTTGTGATGAATGCAAAGAAGTTGCGCAAAAGTGGTGGAATGTTCTTTGAGGAAGCGGCAGCCAGCGCAGTTTGGCAGCTTCACTTTGGTTGCAGCAACAAATCTTGAGTGACGTTGGTTTGCCTAAACACGTACTAGTCCGAATGAGGTAACTGCCATCTCCAGCCCTTTTGAGTGAGGAAGGTGCGGCCTCGGAGAACGCTCCTGCTTCCACGCCTCAACCATCTTACATGAGAGTGCTGCAGCAATGCACGAAGTTCGTTAGACTAGTGGTGAATATACTGAGAGCTCCCAAATGTCCGCCTCGTTCAATTTTCGATCCCCAAGACCAAGACTGTCTCAACATCTCGAGATGAACCCCTTCTCAACCCTTCACGCGCTCCCCTAGGGAGCAATTATGCAGGCCATCTAGCGATAACGGTACTACACGTATTCTCTACAAGACAAAATACTGCTTGTATAGCAATCGAAGCCTCCCACAGAATGCGAGACCGGTTGATTTGTTTGAACAAACTGCAGAAAGGCTGCCGGGCCGGTAACCACGCGACTTCAGCCGCCGAGGGCTAGTTGATAAAGTACCCCGCCTTGGCAACAATACACTCTCGGCCTTGGGCCGCCATATGATTGCCAACAGTCCAGCCCTGCCTGCGTGTCTTCTTCTTTGAGCCAGTACCTGTATCGTTTGCGTGAACAGCCGCTTGGTCGGCTCTGCACATTGTCCCACTCCGTCTTTGTATCGCATCAATCCTGCATGGCCGAGCTAGACATCGCGCCGCAGTTCGGCGCCGAGTTGAAGGTTGGTCGGTTGCCGATCCGCTGGATCATGTTCGAGTGACACTGGACTGACATGAGATTGTAGGATGGCTTCAAACCCGTAAACGCATGGGTCACCGGCGGAATCGCATGGCTCGACGATATCCAGGCCTTCTACCGTGAACGTAGTGCCATCGAAAAGGAGTACAGCCAGAAACTCAATGCCCTCGCCAAAAAGTACTTCGACAAGAAGATCCGGAAACAGAGCAGTCTGAGTGTTGGAGACACGCCGACTGTCACCCCCGGATCCCTAGAGAGGTACAATCAAGTCTCGGTTGGTTGACAGCACTTCCGTACTGACCGACACTCTGTTTAGTGCCTCCATGACCACCTGGGCCACCCAGTTGACCACTCTCGAAAACCGTGCCTCTGAACATGATCGCTTTGCTACCCAGCTCATCTCTCACCTTGCCGATCCCATAAAGAACCTCTCGACGCGATGCGAGGACCTCCGTAAACACCACGCCGATTATGCTGCCAAACTGGAGAAAGAGCGTGACAACACTTATGCCGATCTGCGAAAGACAAAGACAAAGTACGACAGTGTCTGTCAGGATGTCGAAAACCGCAGAAAGAAGATCGACAGTAGTTTCGACCATGGCAAGACCAAAGCCCAGTCAGCCTATGTCCAGATCCAGGCGGACATGCGCAACACAAAGAACACATACCTGATCTCTATCAATGTCACCAACAAGCAGAAAGAGCGATACTATCACGAATACGTGCCTGACTTGCTCGACTCGCTACAAGACCTGTCCGAAACTCGCGTTGCCAAGTTGAACACACTATGGCTACAGGCTGCTACAATCGAGACACAGACCTTGTCGCGCTCCACCCAGCTACTCGAGAACCTCTCCGCCGAGATCCCGCGCAACAACCCCGTCCTTGATTCCATGATGTTTGTCCGTCACAATGCTGCCAATTGGCAAGATCCTGCCGATTTCTCCTTTGAACCTTCGCCTGTTTGGTTGGACGACGACGTGATGGCCTCGGATGACCTCAGCAAGACTTTCCTCCGCAACATCATGATGAGGAGCAAGGGTCAGCTTAACGAGCTGCGTAGAGAGTGTGATGCAAAGCGTCGTGAAGTCGAGGGCGCAAAGCGTGTGCGCCAGGCAATTAGAGATGGCACTGACAAGCGTGATGAGGTAGAGGTTGTACGGGCACAATTCAACCTGCAAGAGTCGTTACACGAGGCCGAGAGGAAGAAGGTGACATGCGAAGTCGAGGTCAGCACTATTGCGACCGCTGTTGGTGACCTGAGCATCGGAGCTCAGAACCATGCCTTTAAGTCTCAGACTTTCAAGCTACCCACAAACTGCGATCTTTGTGGTGACCGCTTGTGGGGTCTGTCGGCAAAGGGCTTTGACTGTGAAGACTGCGGTTTCATCTGCCATAGCAAATGCCAGATGAAGGTACCCGCTAATTGCCCAGGTCCACTGGACAAGGAGCAAAAGAAGAAGATCAAAGCTGAGAGACAGGCTACAGCTTCGACATCCACCCCTGCGGCAGCAAATCCTGCGGCCCAAGGCTCTTCTGACTCTGTTAACGACATGCCGCGTCTCAACCGTACTGATACGATGGGCAGCATGAACACACTTTCCTCTGGATATGCCGCAAGCGCCAACCGCAGCGTCTCCGGAACCAATGTTAGACCACCTTCGAACTCGAATGATAGCGCCAACGATCTCGGACGGTCAAACACTGCAAAACGTCGCATCCTAGCACCGCCACCAGACCATTATGCGAATGGCAACGGTGACTCCGGGGATGGTCAACCTCGTGGCAAAATGATGTATCCTTACCAGGCGAGCGGCGATGGCGAAATTAGCGTGGACGAGGGTGCTGAAGTCACTATCGTCGAACCCGATGGTAAGACACCTTTCCCATCCTTTACTCGTATCCGAGAGCTAACGATAATCGTAGATGGTGTCGGTTGGATGAAGGTCCGTACACACTCTGGTGAAGGTCTTGTACCTGCTTCTTACGTCGAGGCTATGCCCTCTTCTCCCGTGAGATCACAACCGGGACATCGCGCATCGATCACCAGTCTAGCGACCTCAATCGCCTCTTCTGCGCCTTCAATGAAGAAGAAGGGTCCAGCTGTGGCCCCCAAACGTGGAGCTAAGAAGCTGAAATATGTCGAAGCACTCTACACGTACGCAGCTACTGGCGAGGGCGAAGCCAGCATGGACGAGGGCGAGAAGTTGGTCCTGATTGCTCCCGACCAAGGCGATGGCTGGTGCGAGGTCGAGAGATCAGGAGGTCAAGGCAAAGGACTCGTGCCAGCAGGATGGGTCAGAGAGGTCTAGACGACCGACGATTCTAACAATGTGGTTACTCGTGTTATGAGCAAGTAACGAGGTCTTTGCGTTATTGTAGATGATTGATTGTGCTCGGAGTTGTATATCAAGGGGAAGCGTTTCTTTTTCATCATCATTAGGAGTAGAGGGAGGGCATTGTTTATCCTATGGGCTTAGGTTGCCTCGCGGCTTCTCTACTTGCGACCCGCATCAGATATGTTTATAGCCAATTGAAGAGATGTGTGCATGCACATTGCAGAAGTTTAGATAAGGACTCATGCAAATGTGCTTTCCCCATAATGCATGTCGCTTACCTCGGACCCTACTGTAGGCGGGGTCGAGGGTCGTTCAAGAGGAGGCCGAGCAGCTGCCGATCCCAAACGACGCCCTGATCCACTCCGGCTAGAGCACCTCACTTAATTTCGAAAGCACCTCAACCATCTGCAAACCATCACCGACGACGGCCGCCTTATACGGGCGCATAGCGATGCAACCATTTGAGCTGACCCAGGAGCAAGAGCAATATTCGTGGTATCGATTCGTGACCTAACTCGAGCTTACGTGCGACTTTGATCATTTCGACACTTGTTTGAGCTTCAGCCTGTCCGCGTGGTCCACCGCCAGTCTTTCTGCAGATTGATAATCTGAGCAAAACTTCAAAAAGTCTTCCACCTCTTCAAGGCATCTGGGTTACACAAGATATTTGAACGTCCGGCACTCACAACCACCACCCGGAAACTCAATCACGACATCCGGATCAACGTCTAGGCCCTATCACGCCATTCAGACAGATTCTTGAACCATAGCGAGCCACCAAAATAAACGGTGTGACTAACATGCCTCTACCATGCTCACCAGCATCCATGTCCGAGAAGGGAGACAGCTCCAGGTCGGCCACGGAATACGAATCTGAAAGTGACCTCATCACACCGAGGCCGGGACCTACCAATCCGTCCCTGCGTACCCATGCCAATTTATCGACACCTGTGCCGCCTTTTTCTTCCTGGTCGAGCAGTCGTGACCATCGCTTCTATGACTTTACCAGCGAAAGTGAGGTCGAGCGGCCCAAACGAGGCGTTTACCACAGTACTACCGCCAGCGAATTCGAAGAGGATCCTTCCAAGCACGATCAAGTAGAGCATCCGACCTCTGCCCCTTCTTCGTCAAACCCACCTGGAAGTCAATCCAAACCCATCACGCCTGCCGTACCTATCAGCGACAAGAAGGATTCGGGAGACCAATTGGAGACCGAGGGCCACCCACCAGAGCCATACACGAAGCCTTTGGAGGCAGAGCAGCCAAAGAAGAAGAAGAGTCCCAGATCAAGTCCCCGACCCAGTCCAGGCCGGCGCCAAAGATCGAGTCCCAAGCCCAGTCCTCGCCAAAGTCCAGAACGTGGTACAAAACCAAGCTCGAAGCAGATACCGAAAAAGGATTCAACCAACTCCTTGGTTCCGGACAGATTCGCACCATCGCTCGAGACGCGTCGCAGCGTCACCTTTTGTCCTAGTGTATCTACTCGACCAGACGGATCTGACAGATCATCGTCATTCATGTCGCGACGTAACAACGCCAATTCCGACCGAGCACGTGAAGAGGCAGAAAGTAGCGCCGACGAAAATACAGCAATCGTCAGACGCAGGACTGGAGTGGGCACATATGGTAGCACCGATGCGGAGCATGTTGTGACGGCAGGTTACGATGGTGCAGCAGAAGAAGGCTTGGAAAGAGAGCCAAGTCCTATCGAGCGCAGAAGAAAGAGTAGTACATCTCAGAGAGTCGCAAGTACACGTGGAGGTAGAGACTCGCGACAAGGCAGTATCGGTACCGGTCAGGAGTCCGAGGATGAGGCGGAGAGAGAACACTACTGGAGACAGCTTGTTGAGAAGTACGGTAGCGTCGAACTTGAGAACAAGGGCAGTGTGGCACGCGATCACCTCGCACTAGGTATGCTGAATCTTGCATCTGCGACTTTGATACACAATACTGATGACGATTGGCAGAACGTACATTTTTGGCATGGCTACGCACATCACTCTCGTTCGCATCAATCGGCATTGCCATCACACAACTTTTCAGGCTGAACACATCGATTGCGAACGAAGGTAGTGAAGACGGTTCAGCATCGGCCACTGCAGTGAACAGCATTAACAAGCGAAAGTTACGACAACTAGGCAAGCCCTTAGGAGCAACATTTTTGGGAGTTTGTAAGTTTTTGGCTGGTTTCTAAAGCCTACGACCAATGACTAACGTGAACATCAGCAATACTCATACTTCTGCTCGGCTTCCACCGATATTTCGAAAGTCAGCACTATGTTATTCGTGGCAAGTTCCCGGCGTCTAGAGGTAGCATAATGGTTGTTTCGTTTGTGGCAGGAGCGCTGATTGTGGCGAGTCTGGTGGTGGTTATCGCGATCGCTCCTTCTGCTTTCGAGACATAGTCGGATCAGTGTATTGACATGTGGTTATTCAGTAGATAGTGATGATTGAGGAGGAAATGTTCAAAAATGTTTATCATATCACGATTGCCACGTGAGATAGTGGTCAAGCAGGTGAAACGGCGGTGGGCGCGGAAGCTTCTGGTTCACGTCCGAGGGTCCTTCGTCGAGTGGTGGGCGTCATCTCGATGGACAAACGCCGAGCGACCGGTCCGAGAGTCTCTGTGACTGTCTGTTGCCTTTGCCGCCGCCCTTGTTGTCCATCTATCATCGCTATTTGTGTACACGCCATATCCGCATACATCCCTCTCCTCGACACGCAGCAGTCATCCGAGCTGTTTCTGCTCTGATTGGCGACTCAGTGTGTAACACTCTCAGGCGCAATCATGGCCTCTCGCGGCGCACAGGTAAGAAGCCAACACAATGATGCCTTGACAAGACAGTCGCTCACTCAGTGCTATCTAGATTGGCTCATGGCCATCTGCTTCTGCCGCACTCAAGCAACTGTCACGGCGGTCAGCCTCGTCGTCGCCTTCCTCTCTCTTGGCTAGCAGTAAGTCTGAAGCCATTCGCTATGCGCCTCTGCCTTCAGCATCCTGACAACTATCTCAGCAGTCCGCTCTCAGCCTTACTCGTCATTCACATCATCTCGCCCCTCGCTGTCCATTCTCTCACGTACGTCCCTCTCGCAGGCGCAACCCTTCACTCGCTCCATCCGTGCTGCCAGCAGCGTCTCGCAGAACTTGCTCGCTACCCTCGAGAGAACTGCCAACAACAACCCTCAAAGTGCTACTGCTCAAAACGCTTTCTACAATGCTCTTAACCGTGCCGGCCACTACGATATTCTCGTAGAACGCTACGACAAAGGCATCTACGCTACGAATTCCTCCGTCGATCAGCTTTACTCCCGTGCCGTAGAAAGAGTCGGTCAACAAGAGAATGGTCAGACTTCTGGTGATGAAACTTCTCAGGCCGTCAGCCAGGCTGTGGCTTCTGCTCGTGGAGGTGGCAATGTCTCGGTCTCACGCAAAGGCAGCGGTGCTAAGAAGGAACCCCTTTACGTCGTAGTGGACGAGTCGCTCGGCGCCACCATTTTCAAGTGGGTCAAGTTCTTGATGGTCTTTGGTGTTACCTGTTACCTGTCTCTGGTTGTTCTCACCCTTTTCATCGATGCTACTGGCGTCATTAAGAAGGTTGGCGGAGCTCAGGACAACCAGGCAAAGCCTGAACTGCAAAAGACTCGCTTCTCGGATGTACACGGTTGTGACGAGGCAAAGGAGGAACTCCAGGAACTCGTCGAATTCCTCAAGGCTCCCGACAAGTTCTCGACGCTCGGCGGAAAACTTCCCAAGGGTGTTCTTTTGGTGGGCCCTCCCGGTACTGGTAAAACTCTCCTCGCTCGCGCTGTCGCTGGCGAGGCTGGTGTTCCCTTCTTCTACATGTCTGGTTCTGAATTCGACGAGGTCTACGTTGGTGTTGGTGCCAAGCGTGTCCGCGACCTCTTCACCCAAGCCCGTGGAAAGTCTCCTGCAATCATCTTCATTGACGAACTCGACGCCATAGGAAGCAAGCGTCATGAACGTGATGCCGCTTACGCAAAGCAAACTCTCAACCAGCTCCTGACTGAACTCGACGGTTTCGACCAAGATACCGGTGTCATCATTATCGGTGCTACCAACTTCCCTCAATCGCTCGACAAGGCTTTGACTAGACCTGGTCGTTTCGATCGCAACGTTGTTGTTGGCCTTCCCGATGTTCGCGGTCGTATTAGTATTCTTAAGCACCACCTCAAGAACATTCGCATCGACGGCGAAGTCGACGCTTCCGTCCTCGCTCGTGGTACTCCCGGTTTCAGCGGTGCTGAACTTGAAAACATTGTCAACCAGGCTGCTGTCCGCGCTTCCAAGAACAAGGCTAAGCGCGTTACCATGGATGATCTGACTTGGGCCAAGGACAAGGTGCTTATGGGAGCAGAGCGTCGTTCTGCCGTTATTCAGCAAAAGGACAAGGTCATGACTGCATACCACGAGGGTGGTCACGCTCTTGTAGCCATGTTGACGAAGGATACCACCCCTCTCTACAAGGCCACTATCATGCCCCGCGGTCACGCTCTTGGTTTGACTCAAATGCTTCCGGAACTCGACAAGGTCTCGGAAACGAGAGCTGAGATGATGGCACAGATTGATGTCTGTATGGGCGGCAAAGTCGCCGAGGAGCTCATCTACGGACCCGACAAAGTGACCACTGGCGCATCTTCTGACATTCAGTCGGCTACTCGCATCGCCCACATGATGGTCACGCAGGCCGGTATGTCCGACAAACTCGGAAACGTCGATCTTAACTCAGATTACGCTCGTCTTTCTGGCGAGACAAAACAGCTCATCGAGAGTGAAGTCAGAAGACTAGTGGAAGAGGGCCGCGCTCGCGCCACTAAGCTATTAAACGACAACCGCGAAGGTCTCGAACGTCTGGCGAACGCGCTGGTCGAGTACGAGACATTGAGCAAAGAAGAGATGGAAGCAGCCGTACGGGGAGAGAAGCTCTCGCCCAGGAAGCCCACAGCGGATCCGGATGTCCCGATCAAGGCGCCGGAAATCCCTCTACCGCCATCGTTCGGTGTACCTCCTACCTCTCTTGGTGGGAGCGGAGGTAATGCACCAGGCGGTGTGCCCAGCCCTCGACCCTCCAGCGGAGGTGAAGACGGACCTTCTCCCTTCCCTACCGGTCCTTAGTTAGACCCCTGGTATTCATCCGCCGGAACATCCTTCGTCGGTATTTCACGTTTCCATCATTCACATCTCGATTCACTTGCGGCATGGCGTTCTCCTTTTCCTTGGTTTGTTGCTGGCCCTGGTGTGTGGAGAAAAGGAAGAACATTGTTCTTGTTGCAGCAGCAGCAGCAGCAGCAACAGAGAAGGGGCAAGGCCGCCCCTCTTGATCCTTTCTCCGCACTCGCGATGGGAAACCTTTTGGTGTTGATGGCGACTTTCCTCTCAATGGAACGTGTGTATTATTAGAAAATTATCCGGCCTCTGCAACAAGCATCGTCTGTCGTTGATTAAGCATAGATGTTTCTTCTGTGGTATTTATGGGGTCCGGTACATTCACTTCTATGGTATAAACAAAAGACCAAAAAACAATCATAATATCCTTTGCAAAAATTCAAGATGTCTCCTCTTCCATTCGGTTTTCTCTGTCTCGCTCTACTTCTGTCTCTTTTTGCTCTTACCTAGCCTGTATCTCCTCCTTTTTTCTTTCTCTTACCTTGCCACCATCTCCTTCTTTCCTTTCTTACTCTGGCTTTCCTTCCTTCCTCCTCTTGCTTCACTGAGGACATGTAAACATCATAACTGACACTTTCATCCCGAGAAACCTTTTACAACCCGCGCCGCCTCGTCTACACAACTCTCTTTTTTGTTCCTTTTCTTTCCTTTTCTCTACCAACACCGCATGACATGGCATTACCTTTCTTCACACTATTCATTTTCGTCCTTGTGTTTTTCTCCATCCTTTACGAGGATTTATCGATATTAGCCAGCCGTATATGATAATAATAATAATAATAAAAAAATCATATATTCGGTTTTTTTTTTTTCTTTTTGCAGGAATGGATGAAGTGGAAAGGAGAGTAAAGTTTGTTTTATTTTTGAGGATTGCCGGGATGACTTTTGGATGTATTTGATGGGTTGTTCCGTTGAGTATTTGTTCTGATGGTAGAAATGGGGTGGGGTTTGGGGTGCTGAATCTGTGATAAGTGCGTGGGAGAGGTTGAGGCTTTGAGATCAGGGGAGGGGATGGAGGGAGAAGGGGTGATGTGCTTGTGCTTGTACTTGTGCTTGTGAAGCACAATTATTACATCCATTCGAATCTCCACCAAGCGATTTCGAGATCGTGATCATCCATCATCCATCATCAGTACAATCATCCTTATCCCCAATTGATGCAATGCAATGCAATGCAATACAAAAATAATCTACTTCCCCTCCGCTCTATCCAACAATCCCCCATCCAACCCCACAGGTTCAAACCCATCTTCCCTCTTCCTCTTCTGACACCACACCATATCACCCCTGAAGAAAACAACCACACCACCCTTCCCAGAAACGGAAGCCGTGATCCTGAAAAGCGGGTTTCCGGTCGCCGTATGTGCTTCCCTCATCGGCAGAAGCGTGAGATCATTCTCCGCACACCATTCCTCCACGACATCTTTGAAAGATAATTCCTGCTGTTGTGAAAACTTGGAAGTGGAGGAAGCTGCAGGTGTGGAAGAAGCTGCAGTGGCAGTGGATGCGGCAGTGATGACGGGACGAACGGGTCCGGCAGCAGGAGCGGGCAATTCCGACAACGAAATACCTCGCTCTTGTAAATTCAATGCGTCGTTGATTGTTCTCAACGCTTTGTCGAATTCGGCAGTTACGTCTTGAACCCGTTGTAGAGATTCAGGGATGACGGATTTCCACCAGGAATACCAGGCGCCTATTTCTTCGAACGAGGCTTCCGGGGAGGTGAGCCATTGATGTAGCACGCTGTGCAGTTTGGGGAAGAATTCTGCAACTAGGAGACGAGCGAAGATGGCGGGGGTGAAGTAAGGTTGCCAGAGGAATACGTGTTCGAGGGGGGAAATGTCTTGGTCTGCTGGGTCGATGTCGAAGGTTTGGGATAGATGGGAGCTTAGACGAGGGAGGAGATGGCGTAACATGGTTGCGTCGAAATCTTTTGTGCCGAAGAGATTGCGCCAGTGCTCTAGACCTGGGAGGAGGGAAGAAACATCACATGTATCCAGTACACGACGTAACTTTCTCTTCGCGTCTACGAGAAGACCAGTGCTGGCTTTCGGGTCCAGATGGTAAGAGGGCAGAAGTGGTAGCCAGGAGAATAGCCATGTGTGTGGTGCATCCGAGCTAGAAGACTTGTGATGATGGCGTCTCTTCCTTGGGTTCCAGCTCGCCAGTGCATCTGTGAGTTTGGGCACGATCTGTTGGTCCAGGAGATTGGAGTAGACGAACGGTGGTAGGAGAGGTCGCCAGGCTGTCACTACAGCGATTAGAGGTGAAGGATCATGCACATCCCAGCGCGTGACTGTGGATCGTAGTTTTGGTAGCCAGATGCCGTGAATAAGACTTTCGTATGGTGTGGTGGTTTTTTGCTTGCGGTAGCGTCGTTGTTCGGGTTCAATATCTAGATTCGAAGTCGCAAGCGCGTTCGATGTCTTTTCCAGCCCGAGGATGGGTTTTAGATGTGTGAGATGCTCGACTAGGCGGTATGATGGCGTTTCCAATGGATCCCAATCGTCCAAGTCAGCCTTGAAGAGAGGTGTGATTGTAGCGACGGCCGCCTCTGAAAGGTTATAGCTCTCAATATCGTGGCGGAAGTCTTGCTGTAGTTTCTGCAGCTTCTGCATTGCTTGACCCCAATCGATGTTCGCAATGTTCAAGCCCTCGACTGTCATGACCATTTGTCGCATCTTTTCAATATCGTCGTCTGCCTGATTGATCTCCATTTGTAAATGTCCCTGTTGCTCTTCCACGACGACTTTTCGCTCTTGCAAGCCATGCCATGCTTCGATAAATGCTTCCAGTTCCAGTCTCTCGCGCTTGGCTATCTTGTCGGCTTCAGTCTCGGCAGGTACGTTGACGGGTGTCATGAGTCCAGCAGTACTGGTGAGGAGTTTCGTCGTGCCTCCTGTCGCATCAACGATACTACCCAGCATCGCTTTCGGCAATTCCAATCCAGGCGCCGCAGCACGCACATCCTCGACAGTACGATACTTCATCTTCCTCCTACCTCCTCCCACACCTCCAGCTCTCTCCTCCTTCTTACGTTCATTCCTCCTCTTCCTAGCCCTCCTCTCCTCATCACTGGAATCTTCATATTCCTCTCCTTTGGCTTCCGCTTTTCTCCTCTGCTCTGCCTTGTATTGGTCCGTCTTTTCTTTTACTGCACCTACACCGGCACCTTGTGGTCGTAGTTTTACTTCGATGGGGTTGACGATGCCCTCGCCTTCTTTTCCGAGACCTTGGCCTTGTTTGTAGCCCATCTTGGCCATCATGCGTTCGGCGAATGTCATCTTGCCGGAAGGCTTGCTCGGTGGTCCCGTGGGTTCGTCGAGTTTGACGCTCTTGCGGCTGTTGTTGTTGGCGCCGAATTCGCCTTTGCGCTTGAAACTTGCACGCTCCATCTTGGTGGCCGGATGAGATGGCGCTCTCAAGACGACGCGATTCGGATGGTCTAGGTGGCGCGACTTTGCGACGGTGTTGACCGTAGAAAGTTGGTCGATGGATTTGTTTGGGGAGAGCTTGTCGCTGCCTCCGGTGAAGTCATCGTCGGCCTCGGATTTTGCCGACCTTCACATGCCATTTCTTCTCCATCAAGAGTGAAGCACAAACATCCCTTACGACTTGGCACGTCATGTTGAGCTGAATCACTTTGCTGAGCTTGAGAGCTTTGTTCGTCGAGACCGAATAATATTAACGTGCCATATGCACCACTCAAAAGGGTATACCTGACTAAACTCCCATGTCCCATATGAATAAAGTCCACCTCCTGGGTTCGACTGTCCATGATTACAACCTCATCTCATCACATAACCATCATCACAGCAACAAGTGCAAGCAGATTCTGAATCCACTTTGCAATCGTCACACGCTCAGTAGCTGCTCCTTGAGTAGGGCTGGGTGTCGCAGTCGCTGTGAACACTCCAGTCAGAGCCACAGTCGACCTACTGCTGCTGCTCCCACTGCCGCTAGAACTCAAGCTCGTAGATGATCGGACCACTGGTGTTCCAGGCTTTCCAGCAGTCACAGTACTGCTGGGAGCATTGTATTGCTTCGAATTTGAATAGTAAACCCCTGCAGCGACCATACCATCCTCCAGCAGCATGTGTTTAAGCTGGTCAATCGAACAGGTATCTGCTACGTCCCTGATCCAGCATGTCGGTGCTGGTTGCTTGAAGGTTGCGGCATTGACATGCGTTGCGTTCATCGGTCCAGATGATGTGAAGTTGGAAAGGTTGATTGCCTCTCCCGTGCTGAGGTCCGTGCCGTCGATGATTCGTGTGAACACGGTGAAAGCAGTCTCCGGCTGGTAGTATGGTACCATATGACCTGCATCATAGATGCGGCTGAAGGAGAAGTTTCCAAATTGTCGTACAGCACCTCCGACGTAGCTGCTATTGACGACAATGTCGGCATATCCTGCCTGGTTCCAGCCAGAGAGGTATGAAGATGACAATCCGTTCGAAGGAAAGTCCGAAAGAGCTGCTGCGACTGCGAAAGAAGCAGCTTCGCCACCCATCCAGTTGCACTTTTGGTGGTCAGTTCAGTCGTACGAAGAGTCGGATGTTCGAACCACTTACAATGTAATCGGCATCACCATACATCAGTGATACGCGCACGCCTGCCCGGAGAAGATTTGCGATGTCCTCGACCTGACCGCCTCGAACCGAGTCTCCCGTGTTGATGAATGCAGCCTGAACGGCTCTGTTCGAAGAGGTGTAGTTGACTCGAGCACCGATGGCTTTCTGCACCGATTCTGTATTCAGATATTCCAAAAAAGCCTGAGGTGGGTCTGGCGATGGGTTCTTGACGCGGATGTCGTATACATTGAGACCGCTTCCCTGGAAAGGCGTCATCAAGCTATTACAAGCGTAGGTCGCTGCTTGACATGCCGAGTTGGCCTGTTGCTCATCACCTTCGCCTTCCGGGTCAATTTGACCAGCAACTTGGCGACATTGCAAAATCGCGCTGGCACATTTGCTGTTGTACGCCTCGATCGTGTTGAGCTCGTCTGTCTGCGAGATGGCCTGGATGCCGAAGGTGTTGTTGTAAGCCATGGTGGCGTAGTAGTAGTCCTGTATCAGCACATCGATCATGCCATTCACGATGCCCAGAGAGGTAAGCTTGATCTCGAGGGTAGAGTTCTTGGGAATGGTTCCATTCTCGCGCTTGCTGTTTTGCTCCTCGAAGTAGTTGGCAAACGTAGGGCCGTATATGCCACCATAGCTCTCAGCAAAGAGGTTGATACCAGTGGTCGAGACGTTTGTGCTGTTTGGGTGAGCACCAGGATTGTATTGTGGAAAGGCAGACAGAAAACTCTGCAAGAAATGCCATGCAGCTCTGGCCGAGATGTCGGTCGTATTGCTGGTGAATTTGGGGTTGTTCGAGCTGAAAGTTCCGTTCAGCCAGACATAAGGGGGGTATCCCTCTGGGGCCGGGCTAGGGGGTTGATAGGTGCCTTTCACAAGATCAAGAGAAGCATTGGTAAGAGTGTCGTAGGATAGGCCGACCTGTTACAGTATTAGCATGTTTCTCTAAGGCATTGTTCGTGTGTTTCCGGTGCTGTCGCAAAAGGGCTCAAGACCAACGGGCTGCGACTCCTTCGAGAGTGCTAACAACACACTCTCGAAACAAAGCAGCCTAGCTTTGAGTGATTCGCGTACTGCGGTCGCTGCTCAAAACTCGAAGATTCGCGATGAGATACATACCTGAGCTGGTTGATCGATAAACAGAACATTCGAGCTCCTGTCCCAACCCCACATGCGTGCCTGTGTGCCGTATGTGCCATCGGCCATTAGAACGACCTCGCAAGGTCCGTTCTCTGCAAACATGCCGATCATGCTGCTGCTTCCAGGGCCGCCATTGATCCAGATGGTCAGCGGTGCTGTTTCCGGATTCTGCCGTGCCTCTGTAAACCAGAAGAAGGTGTTGATCGAGTAGTTTTGCTGGATCGGCTGCAGCGTGAATGGTGGCAAGCCAATGTAACCGGTGAATTGCTTCTGGGTGCTGAATGCCGTGGTACAAGTGCCAGCAGGTGGAGTCTTGTAGGCAATAGTGATATTCTCATTGATCGGCGACTTCAAGATATTCGAGTACTCTACTGGTGGAGGAAACTGGGCAAGTGCGAGCAGAGGTGCCACCAGCAGACTCGTGATGATAGAGTACTGCATTTTTGTGTCGTTGGAAATCAATGTCTGGATGAATACTGGTGACGACTGTTAGTCATCGTTGGATTCGTTTCTTATGTCATTAAGGGTGTGGTAATAGACTGTTGAGATGCGACGTGAGGGTCCAGAAGGCGCGTGAGAATGGCCGATTTCCGGCGAATGCAGAGCTCATCTCAGAAAACATCGTGCGTGGTGACAGTGTAATGTGAGACGCGATGCGGAGATGGGAACAACTTACCTGGTATTGTTGCTGCTGTTGATGATTATGATGATAATGTATGGATCAAAGAATCGCTGAAGTCGTATGTATGAACACGCTCAGTCCTGTCGTTTCTCTGCAGATAGAAAAGGAAGCTGCGACTGCTATGTACATTGAGTCAGTTCATGCTTTCCACATTTTCTGCTCAACTCATTATGCCACCTCAACGATGCAGTAGCTATCGCAAGTAGATTCAATCCTTCCTTCCTAATTGTTTATGTGCCTTGAAGATCATTTTGCAAAATCGCACTCACCAAAAGAAGCACAATCCCCAGAAAGCACGTATACACAACGTTTCGAGACGGATGAGAAAAAGAGCGGAAGGCGAAACACTATTACACCGTCGGTACTCCAAGTACGTCCAGTTGCGAGTACGCCGGTCAACGAAGGATGTCGTGAACAAGTACGGGCGGTGAGAGAGATGATGCAACAAGTGCGACTATGAACACCACAGTATTGGTGCGCCTACGACCTGAGGTTCGAGGAAAGATCCTCGTTCGACCGAGGACGTGGAGGTCCTTGCTGCGCCTCCCGCACTCCACTGCAGTCTGCAGAAGGACCCTCTCCACCAATTTTAATTCATGCAGGCACCGGCCTTGGCAACGTAGAAGTCACTCTATCTGGTCTCGCCATCTAACATTCACTGTAATATTTCACTTTGAACCACGAGTACTGTCTGGACCATCATTCAATTTCTGTTTGACTGCTTGCTTCCTATCTTTTCCATTTCTTTATGGAAGCATAATAACGAAAGAAATTTCGAAATCGGAAATTCGAATAGCAAAACAAAACACCACCAAGAGTCATATCCCATGGTTACTGATCGTAATCCTCGTTGCAGTTTTGGTACCGTTGATAGCCGTCGGAGGAAAAGAGGAGGGGAGACGTAAAGAGGAAAACAAAATAACAGAAACAATCCGACAAAGACAGAGCATGCCGTCACTTCATAACATCAGTACCGTGGTTGGGAATCTCTATACATGAAATGAAGAACAGAAATGGCAGAATCGAAAAACAGGGACTCGGAAGCGCTTCGCTGGACAATGCGAAAAAGACAAGGTCGTGTCGTGAAGCATACCGGAAAACATGAGACGGCTTTGCGTTGCGTGGCGTAAATCTTGGGCCGTAAATAAAGTCATTGGGCGTAAGTTGGGCGTGTGTCATTCATTGATCAGTTTGCGCGAATGACGAGTCTGGCCAGGAACTTGTTCGAGAGACAGTCGAAGTCGTTACGGTCGAACTTGGCATCCGATCTTGATCGGAGGTATTTTTCTGTCGTATCGTTAGTCTGCAGTCATCAATGATCATACATGAGCGAACTTACCATGCTTGGTAACGTGTTCCTTTACCTCGGTCAAAGCATCGCAGATGGCAGGGTCAGAGTTGAGAAGTTGGTGGTGGCTGCGAGTATCCCAGTCCATGAAGTTGGGCAGTTTCTGGCTGATAGCTTGGAAGAGACCGACGATGACACCGACGGGAGTGCTTTCCATGTCGTTGCAGAATTGGTTCACAGCAGACTCGTCGGGAGTGCGGTAGTGAGCATCGAACTGCATCTCTTCCCACACGGCGAGAAGGATGGCTGCAAGCATGAAGATAGTAGGCCAGTTCTTGAGCTTCTCTCCGCTGTAGACAGATGAGTAGAGCGCCGAGAGCTCCTCGAGCACATCCTTCTGCAACTCTCTCCACATATCGGCCAAGGCAATCTTGACCTGGAAGTTGATCATGCCAGGTGCTACGGTCTTACCGCAGAACTTGCTCTCCTCATCCTCAATCTTACCAACATTGGCCTCCTCCTCAGATAAGCCCTCAATCATAGTGATATGAAGCGTCAAGTTGTATGCAAGAACCAATTTGAGTGCTTTGCGGATCACCAACGACTTGGACTTGACCCAGTAGTGGTAGGCAGTCTTGAGCATCTCGGTTAAGAAAGGGGTGCCATCGAAGTATCCATCGACGAAGGATTCGAAGCCGTTGTCAAGATGGCAGTCCAGGTAGTCCGACAGGCTCGAAGCTGAAACGCCTTCCATACCTGCAGACAGCTTGGACGTATGCGCCTCGAATTGAATGGGGTCAGTAATCTTCTCTGACCAATCGATGTTGAAGCAGGCGTCATCTTTGACGTAGACTTCGCGGACGTTTATCGGCAGAAGGTACCCATAGCCGTGAGTGATGTAGACAGTACGCTCGTTGGGTGAGAAACCTTTAATGTTTGCAGCTGAAACGCCAAGGTTGACGTGACGCTCGTAATCGGCTTTCCAGTCCTTCATGAAGAAACCAATGTCCTTGATGTCGATACGAGTGCAAGGGACTTGCCAGAGGCGAGCATGAGATGGGCGACAACCGCCACATGGGTTACCCTTGTCGCAAGTCTTCTTGAGGAACTTGCAACGAAGACAAGCACGGAGCTTTCTGATCTCATGCGCCTGCTGGCGTTGGTCGGCACGGAGAGGACCCTTTCTCTTACCGACACGCTTCTCAGGTGCACCATCCTTGCGAGCAGGAGGAGTGGCCTTCTTGATGGCCGACTTGGTGGTCTTGGCTAGAGCGTTGATAGGGGTCTTTCGCTTTCTCAATGGAGGCGAAACCGGGCTTGAGGCATTGGACGAGATGGTGGAAGCTTGTACTGCTTGAGATGTCGAAGGGCGGGTACCATCTGCAGGACTTGCCAAAGGCGACGAAGAGGTCGAGTGAGACGAGTAGTCGTGCTCATAGTCGGATGAGAAGTTTCTGGTGTGATGCGATCTGTGCTGAACGTAGTCTCCGGCACTGAAACCATCGGAGACGGGAGAGAACAGAGGGAAAGGAATTTCCTCGTAGCTACTTGACAATTGTGCGGAGCTAGCATCATCATTCGAAGAGTCTGATGCACTGCGAATATGCAAAGTCTGACTGGGGTTGAAGATGGCATTGTTGTTGGCCTCGACATATGAACCGAGGGAGTGCCTCGAGACGGGGAAGTCAACAGCAGTCCAGCCATTGTCACTACTTGAGAGAGATCGGATCTCGAGATAAGACCCAGTCGGCGAGTTGCTAGGTAGGCTAGACTGAACGTTGTTATTTGAAGCCATGCCCATCTGGAAAGCCAGAAGCTCGTTCTGGTAGTCGTTCAAGGGATAGGACAGGACGTTCATTGACTCCATAGGTCCAGCCATGGTCATGTAGGCGGTTGAATTCATGGCCATGGAGTTCTCAGCCGAGACAGGCATGTACTGAGGGGCAGACTGTTGGATCGGCATAGCATACGAGGCGTCGTAAGTGCGGTCCAGAGTAGCATCCTGGCTAAAAGCCTGCTGGGCAGGGAACTGGAAGTGCCATTGGGGATTGAGAGCGGCAGCCTGGTTCAGTTGCTGCTGGGTATAGCCGAGGTGCATGGCACTAGATTGAACAGGAGCTGCAACATTGTGGGCCTCGTATGGCTTTTGATCATGTTGATTGACGGCGTAATCAAGATGCTGCTTCTGGTCGACTTGATGCACATCATACTTGTAGTCGATGTGTTGCGACACGGGCTGCTCGAGTTGATGTTGGTGCTGATGTTGATGATGTTGGTGTTGGTGTTGCGACTGGAGGGCCTGGTGGGCCATGGTCGGGTCGAGGGAGTCGAGGGTAAACGCCCACTGTTGCGAAGCCAAGGAGGATGACGAGGAATAGGAGTGGTGGTGGCGAGGATCGGTATAATCGCCAAAAGCCAGAAGGTTATCGGCGTGGGTGAAGTCGAGGTTGTCCATGATTGCGGTTAGCTGAGATGGATGGCTGCTGCATACAGGCACGGATGCAGGCAATCTCGACGTAGTAGGCGTTCCGTCGCACACACAGCTAGTTTGCGATAAAGGCACGAAATAGGTCAGCAGCGATGTTTTGCTGACCGCCGCTCTTGTTGCAAAAGGACAGCACGAGGGACCGTGGCATATAGGTATTAGCGAGAGCAGATGGTCTTGAAATGGCGGTGAGGCACCATCTATGGTAGCATGCGGGGCGGGGTCGAGCGACGCGCTAGCTTTTAGGTCATGCATGGGCCAGCCTGTGCTAACAAAGCGACAACCCGTAAGACCCGATGACTGCGTGACATTCTGTCATCTTCGAATGTGATGGCTGCATTCCGCGCCATCTGACGAGACTGACTTCTTCGCGATGACTTCGAGAAATTCGCTGGCTGGAAACACATCTGCCAACTATGTTTCAGCCTCAGACAGAGGAGATAACCGTTGCGAGCAAAGCGTTGGCAGAACCCTGGAAGTCGGAAGCTTAAGCACGGCGCTCAGGGTAAGTGCAAGCGCTTGGATCACCCGTGCCAAGTCCGGCCATGCAGAAAGGGAAGAGCGACTCGCACACGAATCAAGTCCTCCTTGAAGACGCTCAGGCTCAGCTCACTACTGCTCTCGAGCCGCCTGCATCTTCCCGCATTCTTCGGCTCACGGCTTAAACTGTTCTACAATGCTCCCCAACGAGACCGACGAAGAATGACCACAACTAGCCTGACGTTCCGCTGCAACAGATACATACAGACTACACTGTACAGCAGAGTACCTGTACGCTCGAGCGACCCACGTGAGTCCATCTACTATCGTGCCTCTGTGTAACAACATTCCATGGCCTCAGCGTTATCGTGCCCTACTTGTATGCAAGGCACTTGTAGCCGAGTCAGTCATTGGTCCTAGATAAACCCGAGGAGCGCCAAAAATACGAAACCTCCACGAGCAGTGCACTGTGTCTGTTTCACTTCCTACTTGCCTACAAATTGATCTCGGGTGCAACATCCTACAAGCCGCTCTCAAATTGCCTATATCCACCTACGTCTTTGTAACCGCAAAGTCTTCAACATAGGACGCTTCTGTGCACAGACAAATCTCGGTACTCTTGTCTCTTCTTCCTGCAAGACAGAGACGGCTCGGTCGATCTTCATATGCATCTTGCGTGTGCAGAAGAGCGCCCGGAGCGTATGCAGCCGGTCATGTTGACAGGGTCTCGAAAAGCCATCTCCGATTCCATTCTGCACCCCATCGTCCTACGCACGTACAATTGTGATCAAGTTTCGAAAGCACGGTCTAGCGATTGGCCGGACCGCTTGGCCATCCAGACCTTCTAACAGATGGCTACAAGTTCATATCTCAACCCTTTTTGCCATCCAACACGTCTCGGCCAAATCCAATATCAGCAGCATCTCCAGTTTTCCAATCTACCTCTGGTCGAGTCTTGAGAAAAGACTCGCGTTCTTGCCATCGTTGGAACCAATCTACTAGTTTTGATCTTCCATCGCGCCACTCAACCCCAACGACATCCAAAAATGCCACACAGCAGGCCACCGCACATTCAGCCGCTGATGCTGGTGTATCCTTAGCTGGCGGCTGAAGCGTACCACGACCAACTTCGAGTTCGAGTTCGTCAAATCCCCGCATTATCTTCTCGTTTTGGCCATCAATCCAGGCTTGGTATAAGAGGTTGTTTTCAGCACGGATCTTCTTCTCGTACAGAATGAGCACTTGCGCGTCCATCATGCCGTCGGCGCAGCCATGAAGCGTTCTCAATCGCCAATTGCGTGGTTGAGGGTCAGACCGCTTGTTTGTCAAGGCTTCGTCTTCTAGAAAATCGCAGATCACTTTCGAGTCGTAAACGCCATCACCGTTGTTGCCGAGGACTAGAGTCGGCAGCTTTGCTAGAGGATTTGACTCGGCGACAGTGGGGACATCATCAGACCATCCAGGATACTCCACGGGAGCAACGACCACCGTCTGAAGCTCGATTCGATCTGCAGTGCCCAACTCGACGGCAAGCATATACACTTTTCGGGAGTAGGGAGAGAGCGGGTGGTAGAACAGCCGATGAGGGCGGTCCAGTCTTGGTATTGCATCCTTGCTGAGGCTTTTGGCTGAAATGGTGTCCTCATTGACTGCCTGGATGCGGAAGTTCCAGCGAGGGAAGTGGATCAGGACGCCTTGAGCGTTTCGAATACACACCTCGTTTGCCGCCAACATTACGAGTTCACCACGGTCGACGTGGTTCGATGCCCAGTCTGTTGGGTAGACTTCGATGGTTTGACCAACCCTCAAGCTGAGAGGGTCGGTCTCGCTGATGTCGCCATGTGCAGGCGTCGGCGGAGCAGAAGTGATTTTTTCATGTACTTCTTTACCATCGAGTGTAGTGGGCATTGGTGCTTTAGATTCAGCGTCTTTGGCAGCCTGCTTAAAGCGATGGACCCATGCCCATGCCTTAGGAAAATGCTTCTCATGAAGAATTTCAGGAAGCATCCCGTCCATCAAAGGGTTGGTCACAATCCACTGAGCAATATAGACAGCATCAATGTCAGCAAGCGATGGTTCATCACTGCCCAGAATCCAGTCTCGGTCGTCCTCGAGGAACTCTTCGAGCTCTTGAAACAAGGCACGAATGTACGAGTATGACTCTGGTCTTTCCTTGGCCATTGCTTCGATACTGAAAGGTTTGCCAATCGCTTCAGACCTATCGGCCAGAAATGCCGGACTACTTGCAAAAGCAGAACGTTCGAACGGCAAGCATCGTGTTGCATGCCAGAAGATCTGATCGTTGTTCCAGTCTTGCAATAGTCTCTGAACTGCTTTTTCCGAACCGCTGAGTGGAACGTTCTTCAAAGGATACTTCTCTTGCAGAACCTGGAGAATCAACCTCGAATCACAGTATACATGGCGGCCGATGGCTAGCAGTGGGATACGGCGGTAAGATATGCCCAGAGCAGCCAAATCAGGACGTGGCATGATTGGTGGTTGGATCTGGACTTATCAGCATTCGCCTTCTATGGCCGACCTCGAAGCTTAACTCACGCATTCTGAGTACTGTACACCTGCAAACTTCAGATACCTGAGTCGCGTCAGCGTTGTCTATCCATCAAGTCGATGGTGAGATAGGTCTACCATAGAACTTTATGCGAGTATATCGACTCCCTATAATGAAAGAAGATGATTTCTTCGCTGTTCTGAGCCATGATTCCGGCAGCGATGCAAAAACTATGATCACCTTTCGAGTGTTGAGAGATACAACAGTAAGGACCGGCTTACTCTACCCCTCACCACTGACACGTCGTCTCTTCAAGGTTATGCCGGCTCGCCCATGATCGACAGTAAACAATATCACAGACTTGGCGCATCAACACAACAAAAGTCGTCAACAAAGGAAAAACACGACATCAATCAACAACTCCACAACCAATATATACAAGCCTCTCTATATCAAAGCAATATCAAAGCCTGAAGACACTATTCATGTCCTCTGCTTCGCCTCTGATATGTCCAACGTATATATAAAGCGGAGTGGAGTTCCTCCACCGCTCGTCCGCCAAAGCCCGGACCAACCCTGCCCAAACTAAACAGATCGACATCACCTTACCGCGGCTCCACTCCGTTGCGCTTTCCCTTCTTTCTCGCACGGTCTCTCTTTTTTTCAACAGTCGTTCAATTTAGCTATCTTGCCGCTGCACGCGCTGGCCATAGCGAGATATCTGATGATCTTTCTTCTTAGTAGACGCCGGTACTTTTTGTAGTGCGGAAAATTCTTGAGGATCGTATGCAGGGTTTTTGTAGGCAGGTGCTTAGGGGGTCTTTCGGGGTTTGTTCGTGCGGATGGGTTGCACGACGGTGGACGTATTGATGCCCGAGTAGCTGATGCGATGCAGAGAGTGTTCGGGGCGGATAGACACTCCAGTGAGACGGACGCTTGAAAGACGAGGGAGAAAACCAATGCGATGTGGGAACCCCTCTTATCAGCGATGCTTCGGACGATGGACAGAAACGGCAAGAGGAACAATTACGATTGTGCTGATATGCGGAGCAACCAATCCTGTCTCACCCAGTCCGAAGAAATGATCTTACCGAGTGCTTTCGGCAATATACACGTCTGGTCATTTCGTGTCACATCGGCCTCATCCTCTCTGCAACTACAGCGACAGCATTCACGTATCTCATGCTCGACCAACCACGTCTTGAGGATGCGGATTTTGGATGCAGAATTGCCAACTATGATTCCAATCACTCTCCCTCAACCATAAAGTCTGGGCCTATCGCTGTTTAGAATTATCTGCGAATTCTCCGTCGATGGACTATCGAACGAAGCCTCTTGACCACCAACCCTCTCCTCAAGACTCCTGATGACAGACACGAAGTCATTGTGACTTCCCGCTGCGCTACCAATCCGTCCATCAATAGCCTGCCACCACTCCCAGCCCATAGACATCGGATACGCAGCCACGCCAAGTCCTCTCATCTCAATACCCAAGCACGAGCGATCTTTGTGACCTTTTCATGGAAAGCATCATTATCGACACTCAAAGTAAGCAGCTTGGGAGTATCAAGCTCGAGCAGTAATGCAATCATCTCGAAAGCTAGAGCAGGCTGAAGACGGCGCACCCTCTCATGCATGAGACGGCTAATCATGTCATGCTGTTGCACGGGTGTGGCGGCCTTGAATACTGAGAGTCCGTAGAGCAGTGCAGTGATGGCTGTGGTCTGCTCGTGGTGACTGAGCTTCTCTTCAGCTTCCCCATTATGAGTGGACCTTTCGGTGTTGCGTTCTGCGATCATCTGGTCATAGTCTTCGCGGTCGAGCATGCTTGCGTTGAAGCCCATGATATCGCTGGCTGCCTCTTTTGCATTGTTTTCGGTTGACTCTCCCTTTGTGGCGAGCTTCTCCTTCCAGTGTGCCATGCGCTTTTGCATGAACGATATGAGTCTGAGTTCTTCGGCGACGGTTGAAGGCGGCGGCTTGTGTCTTTCGTTGGGGACGCTCTTGATCTGTTTCGGGGAGATGCGCTGCTTCTCCAGAGCGTCTTTCGTCTCGGTGGTAGTCGTCTCTGTGCAGCCGTCGTGACTTGTGTGACTGGTGGGTCGGCTCGGTCTGTTGAACATCGATCCGTATCGCTTACCCTTTTCAGCTGGCTCGGATGTAGGTTCGTCCTCCCAGTCCTCGGTCGAACCAACTTTCTCTTTACCGTTGCCTTGCACGAGCTTCTCCGAATGCTGACCTAGCAGACCGGAGGATTCGCTCTCAAGAGCACTATATTTGCCCAGCGTGTCATCGGGCGAATCCTGCGGTCTCATATCCAAGAATCTGCCCAATTCTTCCCTCGACATAGCAGGCTGAGACCTGTGCAAATCATGGTAATAGGCAGGATCAAGCTCAACCCATCCAGGGGTCTCCCTGTCGCCGGATGAGGATACGCGCTTGTTGCTGTCGGCGGACGGCACATCGGCAGTATCATCTTTGGCGATGCTCGATCCTGCAATGGGCGTTTCAATGTCTGCTTCGGAACTGTTGCTGACACTATGATCAGTACTTCAAAACAACATGCCTGACATTTGGGACTTACTGGGCCATCACGTCCTCATGCTGTGTAATCCCTGCAGCAAGCATACCCAGCTCGTTCTTGTCGTCAAATTCAGTTCTGTAAAATCTGGTCAATAGACAAAAAAGTAAATTATCCCGCCATATTACACTTACTCTTCGTCAACCAGACGCGTATCATCCGTGGGTTCCTCGATTCTCTCCAGGACATCGCGGTCTTGAGGAGTCATTGGATGCAGAGGAGGTGATTTGGGCAATTCAGTGTAAAGGGCGAGCTCGTCGACGAGTGGGTTTCCAGTGCTGGTGTTGTCTTTGGAAGACATATTGGATAGTGATGTTGGATTATTGGTGTTGGTGACAACTTCGATTGCACCAATCTTTGATGAACGTCGGGTTTCAATGGCAGAAGACGTGTTGTTGTTGTTGTTATCGATTAGGTGATCCAACCGCGATACAAATCTGAGACAGCGGAGCAAAAGACAGATTTGGAAGACAAACAACAAACACGACAACAAGGAATTGTCTCCACCACGGAAAGAAAGAGAAAGCACCGGAATTGACGACTTTCGACGATGGAAGTTCCGGCGACTCGGTCCTTCACTCGCTGGACTCAATTCGCAAAGCGAGTTTGATTCTCTTTTTCCTCGTCGAGGGCGGGTATATGGCTGTCAAAAGGCACGATTGTTCAAGTCATCAACTTTTTCCCGCTCCTGATCAATGTGTTCTAATTAGTTTGGGTAGCTCTCTTAGTTCTTCACGGGGGCTGATTTGTTGCTGCAAAAAGACACAATCGTTTTGAAGTCATGTCTTTGACTAATGAGAGTATCAATTTCATTGTTATATGATGCAATGGCAGCAATGCTATGTATGTCCTGCTGAGTGATAGACTCACAACGGCTTTCGGCCTCTCCTTCAAAGTTGCATCATCATGAAAGATGCTCGATGACAACATCGTACATGAGTTTGGTAATCTCGAGCTCAGATTTTAGAGCCCTCTCGTCCGTGACCAGTTCGACGAGGTCTGCGTGACGCCTCATGAGAAGCATCTTGATAATGATATCGGCTTCTCCTCTAGAAAGCTTTAGGTTGGCACGGGCATTGATAGTGTTGCGTATATACGCCTTTTGTTGGATGTGATTTAGGCCTCTGAGTGCTGCAGCTGTGATGGAAACATTCGGTGGAGCTGGTGCTGTGTTGACAGGCTGCTCAATAATGTCGCTCATGTCGTAGTCTCCCTGTGGTTGCTGCTGAGGTGGTGATTGCTGTAGTGGTGGTAGTTGCTGTGGTCGCTGTGATTGCTGTAGTCGCTGTGATTGCTGTAGTTGCTGTAGTTGCTGTAGTTGCTCTGGTGTTGGTACTTGCTGTAATGGCGGTAGTTGCTGCTGGGGTAGTGGATGCTGCTGAGATAGTGGTTGTTGCTGAGGTATTGGATGCTGCTGAGGTAGTGGATGCTGCTGAGGTAATGGTTGTTGCTGAGGTAGCGGTTGTTGCCGAGGTGGTTGCTGCTGATCGTTCGTCTGAACGATTCTGGGACTGTCATCATTAGCATCCATAGTAGCTATCACCAAGCACTAATCCACTCACTGTCTCATACGTAAGACTCTGACGAATTCTCTCTCAGTAGCTTGACTCATTCCAACCGAACCAAATCTTCTCGGCTTGTAAAGCCAGGCAAACAGCGCTGATGGAACTGGATCGTGAACATCGACGTTTGCGGGTCTCTCCCTCTCAAATGCATTCAAAGCTAGTTGTAGCTCAAAGATATTGAACACTTCTGCTGGGTTGAAGGACATGATTGATGTTATGTTGGAAAATTGTGATGGTTTGATGCTCGAAGAGCAAACCTTGATCAAACCTGATGTAAAGTACGAACCCAGCCGGCAAGTCGCGACTTCCCAAAGAGAGCTGCAAATCAACACATGTTTTTGAAAAGGTTGACTTTTGGCAAGAACGACGCATCGGCACTTCCTTCTAACGGACGACTAGGATCATGGCTGTCACAACACACGTTGTCTTTCAAAATCCTTTCATCTTCGTTCGACCGGCATTCTACTAGATCGTCGTTAGCGGTCGCTATACACGAATGCAGTTTCCCACCTGTCTCACCGCATTAACGTGACTCTTAGACAAAATGATCCGGATGTTCGAAATTGGTTGTGCATAACGATACTTCCTGTTCATATTAACAAAGCACTCACTAAATCCACGAGCCACCTTCTCTTCCAACCACCCTACTCCTTCAAACTCTTAGCAAAATCCTCCACCGCATCCACAAATTTCTCATCCCTCTTGAACCCCAAACTCAACGCCTTACTAACATCAAATCTGATCGGCCAACTATCAAGCATATCCTTGATCTCCTTACTCGGTTCCTCCCTCTTCACCAAGCTCACAGCTTTTTCTCCACCAACTTGCCTCAAAGCTTCCAACATCTCCTTGACACTAGCTGTTATACCAGGAAGATTGATCTGTCGCGTGTGAGAGGGCATACACTCCCTCTCCAACGTAAGCACATGCAGCAGATTCTCCACCAGCACGCGCGGCGAGCACAACCAAGCTTCAAAATCATCCGCACAAGGCAATGAACTTTCCAACCCTTGCAACGGCTCCCTGAACATCCCAGACATCCACGAACTAGCCGCCTGAGTAGGCTTCCCGGGCCTAACACTGATGGTCGGAAATCTCAAAATAAATCCATTGATGTATCCTCTGCGGCTGAAATCATTGATGGCGTATTCGATCATTGTCTTTTGCGTGCCATAGCTGCTGGAAGGTGTGGGTAAAGTCTTTTCGCTCGGCCATTGGGGAAGAGGGTTTCCATATATCGCTGTGGAGGACGCATACACCACTTTGACACCCGGTGTTTTCTGCCTCAAAGTTTCCAGTAGGTTTAATGTGCTGTGTAGATTTACGCGGTATCCGAGGTCGAAATCCGCTTCGCTGCCTGCGGACATTATACCGTGGAATATGAAGATTGCATCCAAATCGGAAGGGATCACCGAGGCGGAATCAGAGTAGAGGTCGGCTTTTATGCAGCTTGCCTTTGAGGATTTGGGAGACGCTTTTTGAGGGATGGGGGGTTCGAAGATGTCGATGAGGGTTACTTCGTGGTCGGCGTTGAGGAGATGTTCAGCGAGCAATTGGCCTACAAAACCGCCTGCTCCGGTAATTGCTACCTTCATGATCGCTGTGTCTGATTGAGAAGAATGTTGATTGTGATGTGTTTCTGTCTTCCAGTTGCCGGTGATGTATGAGCAAGGGTGAGGTGAAGAGTCAGGATCAATACTCATGCTCGGAAAGAGAAAGTGTAGTTATATATGAGGCTCTTATGTCGACCCCCGGCAATAGGTGAGCATCAAGGCGGGGGATGGTGGGGCATCTCATCGGTAAGAAGCCCGAAAACACGGAACAATTCTATCAAACGCCGATGACGGAAAACATTCAGGCAGATTCTCAAAGGAGGATCACAACACGCGCGTTCGTAGCTAATGACCATCAAAGCAGAGAATTGAAGTTTCGAAAAAGGTTGGTATTATCATGGGGTACTCGCTAATAGCTAGATAAGGTATGGACAATCTCGTCTCCAGCAACCGGCATATTCATCATATTCGTGTTGAATTCGTGACTTATTTCTTGTACTTGTTGTGGATGTCGATGACCTTTTGCACCTCATCGTATGAGCCCATGAAGATACCAGACTTGTCGTGGATGGATTCGGGGACGATTTCGATCATGCGGTCCATCTTGCTGTTGACTGCTTGACCGCCGGCTGTGATGTTGTGTTAGCTGTGTTCCTGATGTGGACAACTGACGAGATCGCTTACCTTGCTCGAAGACCATGGCCATAGGAGCACACTCGTACAGGATACGGAGCTTGCCCTTGGGCGACTTCTTGTCCGAAGGGTAGGCAAAGATACCACCGTACAGCAGAGTTCTGTAGGCATCGGCAACCATGCTACCAATGTATCTCGCGCTGTAAGGCTTGCCGCCCTCCTTCTCGGGCTGCTTCATAGAAGCGCACCACTCCTTGACGGGGTCCTCCCACCACAATGAGTTACCCTCGTTGACCGAGTAGATACCACGCTTGCGGGGCATCTTCATGTTGGGGTGGGTCAGGATGAATTCACCAAGAGCACTATCCATGGTGAAACCGTTGACGGGGCCGTCCTTCATGGTCATGACAAGCTGTGCGGAGGCACCGTACATGGTGAAGCCAGCAGCAACCATGTCGGTACCGGGACGGAGGAGGTCCTCCTTGGTGCCCTTAGCACCCTCAGCGAGCTTGTAGATACCGAAAATGGTTCCGACCGAGACACCGGCATCCAAGTTGGAAGAACCGTCGATGGGGTCGCAAGCGACGGCGTAGCGGGCGTTGGGGTGCTCGTCAAAGACGATTGGTTCATCCTCTTCCTCCGACACCAGGATGCGCACGCGACCTGATGATCTCATGGCGGAAATGAAAATGTCGTTGCCAATGACATCGAGCTTCTTCTGGTCGTCACCGGTCGAGTTTGCTGAGCCAGCAAGACCGGAAAGGTTGATCAATGAGGCACGGCGGATGTAGTAGGCAATTGACTTGAATGCGAATTGCAGGGAGTGGCAGAGGAGACTGCGCGACTTGTCAGCAATGCAAACTCACACAATTGACTCGACCAAACGTACGTAAAGTCACCAGTGGCTTCCTTGTGTTTCGTCTGCTCCTCGGTAAGGAATCTGGTGAGAGTGATGATTTCGGTGTTGATGGCTTCCGAGCCACCAGGGCCGGTGTGAGACTCGTTGTTGGAGGACATTTCGAATCTGGTGTTTGGACTTGGTTGAGGGGTCGCGAGGAACTGATTTCAAGCTGTAATGTAGCTTTGGTGGGGTGTGAGGGGTATCAAGGTAGAGTGGGACAAAAGATGAATGGAGAGAGGAGAAAGAAGAGAGGAGTAAGAGGGCGGCAGTGACAGCTAAAAAGAATCTGACTGCCAGAAAGTACCAAGCACACAGTGAAGAGCGGGCAACGTCACAAAGGAAGTGTTGGTCGGTGTTGCGGAGCTCAAAACGTCAGATGTGGAGAAGCAACAAGGACGATCCTGCTGTTGACTCGGATGCAAGTTTTGGTATCGTTCTCTTGTCAATTGAATGTATCTACTGTTGTATGGCGCGACAGCAGCTGCCAGTGTATTTGTACAGGGTCAATTGCCGAGGTCAGCCTTCGGCGCAAGTGAAGATAACTCGCGCGGACAAAATGCCGCCCACCGGTTCGAAGACACGGTTGATGAGGGGCAGTCGAACGTGCCTGGGGGAGGTGTATTTCTCCGTACTGCCTCCGGCTTTGCCCGCATCATAGCTGGTCAGTTCGCACTCTGCGGTCACGATCCCGATTGCTCGCCCCATTGAAACCTCCATAGCATTCTCCACGCTCTTCGATCTCCAGATCAACTTCGGGTATAACCCAGCCTTGGAGACACGTAGAATAGCCAAGTGCCTGTTGAGCCTCCTCTGCTCTGTGGAGGCTGATCAGACCAAATCTGCCATCTTGACTTCGCGACTGAGTGCCAAGAAAACCAGACGGCTTTGTTGATGGGTAAACATACGGGATATTTTTGACCGAATGAGGTGAATTATGAATATATACATTATGCTGGAGTGACCCTCCTCTATGTTTTTGTCTAGACATGAATAAGAGCTCGAGGTCGAGCAAGTAGAAACACTCGCAAATATCTTCCGAAATGTGCCAGAAGATACGGCGGTCGATTGGCCGTCTAGAGCAGAGCGGCTGCACCGATCAAGGCTCCTCCAATCAAAGCGTTCATATGAGGAACACCACTCTGGACAGAACCACCAGTGGAGGTACTGCTGGGCGCTGCTGTGGTCATAGATGTGGCAGCGCCAGTAGCAGTGGCTGATGTACTGGTGATGCCCGAAACACTCGCAGGTCCAATGCTGACGGTCGGCTTGAGGGTGCTGGAGGTGGTGGCTGGCTTGATCTTGACATCATTGTGGTCCATCAATCCAGGCGCTTCGTCAATCAGCAAGGCCTGAGTCACCTCGAGAGCTGAGAGCTCTTGTCCAATGCCATAGTTTCCATCAAACTCGGTGTACCACTTTTGACCGCATGTAACGCCATCACTAGGACCAGAACAGGATTTAGCGGCTCCTTGGGCAGAGGTGGTCAAGAGTGGTAGGATGGCAGTTCTGGTATAAGGTGCGACAACCATGGCCTTTGCGAGGAAACGAGCGAGGTAAGCCTTGAAGCTAAACTGGTCGTTATTGCAAGTACCGTAAGGCTCGCAGGCAGCTTCAACCATGACGTTGGTCGCATTGTCTTCGGCTTGGAAGAAAGTTTGGTCGACTTGCTCGATGAGACCAGTCAAACGAGTCTCCCAAACGGACGAGCCATTGGTGTAGTTGTACAGCATTGCTGTGCCGTAGATGAAGATACCGGGGTTGTATGTCCATTGGAGCTGTTGCACCTCTTGGCAGTTGTCGGTGGTCGAAGCACCGTCATAGATGCGGTAGCTCTCATCGATCAGACCAGTAGCGGTAGTCCAGTCCCAGATACGCTCAGCCCAATCGTAGTAGGTGCTGTTGCCAGTAAAGCGTGCCAGGCGAGCAGCCATCTGGAAGAAGCCTCCGTTGGAGACAGAATTCTTGTACGTCCATCCATTATTGGTCGAGAAGACCTGCCATCTCAATCCACCGCCGCATGTTGCTGTGTCCCATCGGGGAGCCATCGAGTCGAAGGCATTCACGGCGAGTGTCTGCCAGGAAGGCGAGCCCTCCGGAGGGTCGGGAAAGCCATACTCGAGAGCCGATAGAGCGGAGAAGGTCCAGAAGGCTTGGTCGTCGTTACCCTGTATAGCTGTCAGTCACCTGCTTCTGGTAATTATGTGCAAGGGGTTTATATACCATGCTGCTGTAGTATGCCTCGGGAAGGAAGTTGTTGTCTGTGCCGGTCTGGGCCATCATGGCTTGCATGACAACATCATTGAAGCTCGTATCGTTCGTGTAGGCCCAGTAGTCGATGAGGCCGCCCCATACGGCTCCAGCCTCCCACCAATATAGTGGCCAAGGGAGTGTTCCTATCGACTCTTTCGGTGTGTCTGTCTTGTTGTTTTGGTAGTAGTTCATGAGTCCATGTGCGAGAGTTGATGCTGCTGTGCGGATGGAGTCTGGTGATGTAACGTCGAGATCCAAGGCATATCCAAGTTGAGCGCATGCCGCTACGGCTGCGACGGATTGTGTGAGTCTCATTGAGGTCGGTTATAAGTATTGGTCGTATGAGATGCAAATAATAGATGGTCCGCAAAAGTCCAGTGCTGAATGCAAAATACGAAAAGCTGTAGCAGATGACGAGAAAACTCAAGGCGGCGCCATGATGGTTTTGTATAATGAGCTCGTGTTAGCAAGGAAGGCGCATTCTTCACAAAACTCGATCAAGTGTTGAATTGCCTATCCATAGTATCCAATAACGTCTATCGTCTTGGATAGGCTGAAATTGGGTAGCCGTTAGGCGCCTGTCTCATACCAAATACAGCTGTGGCTTCGTATTCTGGGCCGCGGCAGGGAAATGAGTGTGTAAGTAGCCTGGAGGCGGGCTGAAGGTCGCCATTCTTATAACTAGAACATGATTCATATGACATCGCAATTGCGACAATATGGCAGCCACAAATGCGCCATGTTGATGATGGAAGGAAAGAAGATCAGCTTTTGTTTGTGTAGCTTTCTACTTCTCTGCGCCCAGCCGTGAACCGTTGACAACCTCCACCACAAACCTCATCAACGGCCAACGTCAATCGCCAGCCTCGCACGCTGACGTGAACACTTCAAAATATTGCTACTATTCCTGGGAGCAGATGTGCAACGTCCTCCTATGCGCTTCTCCTTGTTCGTTATGTGATGGCGAGTAAGACAACGTGGCCGCAGACCAATCTCATTGTACTCGGTTCTTGCCAGGTACGGCATGGCAATTCACAGTGTTTGCAGGAACAAAGCCAGATAGCTGAGATCCTTCGATCGTCTGTAAATCTCAACGATTGGACTTACCAGCGTCTTGGTACCATGTCTTAAATCTGGTTGCGAGCATCTGGTAGGGCGATATTTTCCAAGTCTCGATGCTGTGGGGACTACCCTGGCTGTGATTTGATCATCTATCAAACCATCCACAACGATCACGCATCCGACGTCTAGGTGGTTCTACAGACTTAGGAGTATCTCCCTGCCTTGAAGATCACGTTTTAGGTGGAAGGGGGCTCGCTGTGTGGTATAAGAGCCCTCAACAATAAAGTCATGTTTCCAGCGCTCACCGCACATTTCGTCCACCATGTGGAGCCGATGAACTGGTGAGTTCCCACCGAGTAGACGCACGACAGAGTCCAACATCACGAAGCTTCTTACGGATGTCCATTGTGTCGGTAGAAGATAAGATCCAACGTGTGCGGACGTGAGATATCATTGGGCAGGCATAGTACCCAAAAAAGTAGGATATTCCTCAAAAAGCGGTCTTCTCTCATTTTGCTTCAGTCTACATGCTCCTACAACGCGTATAACATACAAATTAGATGCTACTTAGGTATCGTTCATCTCATCGGAGCCAAGTCTCTTGACGTGCAATGCGCAATATTCTCTCGGATCAGGCAACGTCCGATGAGAGCACATGGGGATGCGGCTCTCACTGGACACTTTCTTGACATCAAACACTTTTTGCATCTTTGCAGCTGGATACTTGAGAGATCCATCGATGGGAGAGCTGAAAATGAGGCCAAAAATCACGTTGCTCTATTGTGCGAGGTTTCTTCCGTACCGTTTTTCAGCTTTGAATAATGACCTGTATCACAGTGATCTAGTCCAGGGTTGATTACAACAACAAGGGATGAAACAATGAGCTTGAAAGAAAAGACCTATATGCAAAGGAAAGGTCGGCGAGATAAGTTTCGAAAGTTCTTGGCTAAAGACTGCAGCTTATGCCATGCCATGCCATCAGAAGTGCCAATGACTTAAACAGTAGGCCATCCATTGACCCACTTTATCTTGTTGACACCAAGACGCTTCTGACCATCGGCGTAACCGATAGTGGTATCAACGTAATGGTAGTAAAGAACCCAACCCAAGCTAGGATCATTGTATACACCCTGACCACCAGGAGCATAGATGTTTCCGTGCGAAGGCAGAACAACAGTACCACCACCGTTGGTACAGCTCTTTCCACTCTGATCCACGAAACCACCGGTAGCAGAGTTGGATCTGCAGACCTTGATCTTGTATTCTTGGCCGGCGGCTGGACGGTTCTTGTCGAGACCGCAGCAGATGCCTTCGCTGAAGAACATGTAATAGCCGCCGTTGTAGTTGATCATGTAGGCGCCTTCGACGGCGTGGGTGCCGCTGGGTTGGAAGATGGTGTTGTAGCTGGGGCCGGCGGAGGCGGAGACGGTGTTGGGGGTGGACTTCATTTCGACTTGGTAGATATCGTGCCAGAAAGAGCCGAAGTTCATGAGGTATTGGCTACCGACCTTGATGAGGTTGGCATCGATAGCGTTGTAGGACTTGCTGCTGTCCGAAGAGATACCGGCTATATCATGTTAGATGCTGAGATAAGGTATGATCGATGGATCGATGTATAGTGACTTACTGGAGCCCTTGTCGGACCAGCTGCCGACATCCATGGTGGAGGAAGTGGCGAGACCAATGACGGAGTTCTGAGTGCCAAAAGAGCTGGCAGTGTAGTAGAGGTAGTAGGTGCTGCCGACCAGAGAGACATCAGGAGCCCAAAGATCGGTCTTTCCAGAGTTGGCTACATTTGCGCCGTTGGGGAGGACTTGACCCTTGTAGACCCAAGGTCCCTGAATGCTAGAAGCGGTATGGATAGCAATACCACCTCCAGTAGAGAAACGGAAGTAAGTACCATCAGAGGTACGCTTGATGAGAGAAGGGTCGTGAGCGTTGGTACATGTACCACTGCACGAAAGAGGGTTCGAATAAGCTAGGACGGTGGCGGCCAGCGACACAACGCCCGACAAGATGGTGAAAAGCTTCATCTCGAAGAACAGAAACAGAATAGAATAGAACAAATGAAGACTTCGGTCGAGAGCGGGTGAGACGAGACTGATTCTTCTTACCTCGACAAGGGAGACTCATGTTTATGTATCCTTACCTTGCACGCTACCTCTAGACAGCCATCAAGGGGTCGCTGTCAACACAGGCTGATATGATCAAGGCAATGGCTGAAACGAAGCAGAGTGTCGATTATATTAACCTGATGATATTCTCCGAGGTAGCGAGCAACAAGCACCATGCACGAACTAGCGGGAGTCTAGGGTGGTATCCTACAACGTGCCAAGGTCAGTGGTCGAGCACCTCCTTGGTTCGAACTCGATCCGTAAAGGTGCGTATACCCCGGATGAGCTTTGCGATATGGCAGGGTATTGCAGAGATGCAATTGCCGAGATCAAGCCTTCTCGCTTCGTTTTCCAGTACGGAGAAAGCTTGGATACATTCGAGCATTGGACTCTACATGGTCGCTTTCGCTTCATCATGAAGAGGAATGTAACTTTGCCAAAGATGATACTTCTACTATCAATGCAAGGTACCGGCTGGCATGTCTTCGCGATTGGTGCGTTTTCTTCAAGGCTCGGGCCTTTACCATCGTTCAGACTTTGATATGCCGATCTCTAGGAGCATCTGCGGAGAGAGTTTCGATAGGTGAGAGTGGCATTATCAGCCACACGGAGTCGTCGCCCGAGAATTTCTGTTTCGAGATGAAGGGGAAATATGGTACGCATGGTAATGATAAGCGTCGCGTGGTATCCAGGATAAGAGCTAGATGTGTCGCCAGTCCTGGTCCTGATGCATGAAATTGCTTGACACTTGTTGGTATGCGACGGGCTCTAGTCGGCACGAAGCAAGGTCTGGTACGTGAAAAAACACGCTATATCAAGACTGAAGGATGCCGCGGCTGCTGGCGGCTTGTCGGCTGAAACAATTGCGGGGGTGTTGTGCTATATCTTGCCCTTGGCAAACGCAAAATAGGCTCTACTTATAGGATAGAGCAACTACTTTGAGGATAGTATCGTTTTAGCAAGATGCTTGGTTTTTGGCACGCTGCAGCCAGCCGGTGGGGGAGTGGTTTCGAACCATGCCGTGTTCCGCTGGCGTCCAAGAATTGATTGCATTGTGTGTGACAAGTTGAAACAGCCAAGGTGGTCATCCATGTCATTCATGCAATGTGTGTTCTTTTCATTGCTTCCAGAGATTGGTGGTGTTCTATGGCCTGGATCGCTCGAGTAGTGCCTTCGGGAGAAGAGCGGGCACAGCATGTGGATAGGCCAAGAAACATGCTTCGGTCGTCCTCAAGGAGACGAACAATCTACGGGCGTAGGTGTCAAAAAGTCGCTTGTGGGGATCCACATCTCAAGCCCCTTTCTGTAGTAGCGAACGGCTGTATAAGAAAGACTCCGGTGGGAAAGTATACTGTGAGACATGTCCTGAGAGACTTCGCACGTAAGTCAATATCGAAAAGGAAGGTGTGATTGTGGTGTACGAAGGCAACGAAAAGGAATTGTTGTGGATCTGTGCTGAGAACCGTTTGAGTCCACTCTCTCTGTGTTGGCAACATGGAGTCGGGACCACCATGACCAAAGCTCCAAGAGTTCAATGCTTCGTCAAATCTGGCCATAAGTCTTGACAACGATTGTCAAGGGCCCTCCAGCAGTAGATCGCGGCGAACAAACAAGCTTACATAGACCTCTGCCATCAGGACGGATTTAGCAACTTGGTAGTGTTGCTCGAAGTCACAGTAATACCAGCGTGACAAGGTTGGTTAACTGATCCCTTGCCTGATCGAAACCAGTTCGGAGTTGAAGCTTCAGAACCATGTACAAATCCGTAATGCTCATGCTCGGAAGCACGAACAGTGCAAGCTGGCCTGGCCAGGAAATATGCTTATTCCTTGGCACAAAAACACCTCAGGACTTTGAAACCGTCCTCTATTCTCGTAAGATGGTAAGCCTTGTGACCTGAGTACTTGTTTCCACCTCCAGCACAAACCTTCCATCTGACGAGTCGAGAACCATCAATTTTCGTTCGCCAGAAAATCCGCTGTGGCCGAGTGGTTAAGGCGTTAGACTTGAATCAACATGATATAGGTATCTAATTCCCTAGGGAGCACAGGTTCGAACCCTGTCGGCGGAGTCATCGTTTTGCACTAAGGCACGCTGCTATATGGTATAGGAGTCGAGTGGGTGATCCTTTTGGAAAAATAAATATGAAATGGGTGGTGGTGGTTTGGGATTCGGGAAGGAACGACGACCGGCAAAGCCTGCGGGGAAAGGCAGGAGCGGACAACAGCCAGCCAGACAGAAGCTTGCAGCAGAGGTGCTAGGTGGTGGGAGTCAAGTGCGTGTCGATCAAATGGAGCAGGAGAATTGGATTGAGAAAAATTGGTCTTGTCCTCGATTCGTGACGTGTTTCCAAGGCGTGGCTGATAGGCGCCGTGCAGCTTTTTTTGACCTGAGTGACAGCCTACCTCGTTCAGAAAAGACCTACCTACCAATAAGGGACAGAGGAACCAGTAGAGACGACCGTGGGAGGCAAGCAGTCGCCGTTCGACCTTTGGACCAGAGGCTTCAGCACGTCGCGTCGTCGATTCGTTTGCCATAAATCTTGACAATAACGACTCTCCACCAGCATCCTTAGGATCGCGGTGGGAAAACAAGCTTACATGAAGTAGCCTCACTGGTCTCTAGCAACGGTCGATGGTATTGCGCCATGTTTTGACAGGCAAGAGCGAAGGAATAGAGTCACTGGTCCGAGCGTAAACAAACTTGCCTGTCGGGCTGTCACTCCAGGTCTTGGCTTTATCCTCAATCGTCCGACGTTCTTTCTTGCTCAGACATCCTTCATGGTTCGACATGGAGATCTTCCATCCTATAGCGACAAGCCTCTCCGACATGAGTGAGGTATCGACTATACAGTGACCGAATGATGGCGCAACATGCGTCTGTCTCAATTCCAGCCCCTGACACCATCTCAATCACTCGGTCGGGTTTGCTCGGTCAGCCTCCCTCGCCGTTATATCAAGGGACTCGGGCGCCCCGACCCTAAAATCCTACTCTAAACGATTCGGATGACAGCCGCCGAGCTCTTCCGCAGTGGTTCGTTAGATGACAGACGTTACACCCCCAGATACCTTTCTTCCACTTCGATTGGGTAGGATCGAACATACCAATACTGATCTGGATAGTCTAGGTCTTGGTCCCTAGATCGTACATTCCTCTTTAGTATAGGATCTTGCATATCCACGTAAGCTGCAGGTACCCGATGATCCACAGGCGCGACTTGGAAACGAATCCGCCCTACGGTCGTTTAGAAAGATTCTAGTGCTACCAAAGGAAGCTGTGAGATCGCCGTAGAAGCAATCCCATCCCCTTGGATACCGACACCGACTGTGTTTTCTTCTGCAGTACAATCTCACAATGCGATTGCGAGATTGTACAGATACACCATCATCATGGTGCTGTTACGGCAAGGTATACCAACACAGCGTCACCTCAGATCCGTCGTCACCGTGCTTGCTCTACCACTTACCCCAGAAGACCCCTAACATTGTTTGGCCGTTGAGGAGAAGCATTAGCCTGAATCACTATAGTGAGTGGAGTCAGTATAGCGCCATTGCTGTGCCTTGCAATCCTGAACGGCAGCCAACAAAACGTCGAGTGCTGTATCGGGGTCATTGTTGGACCCGAACCGGCACTGTAACTACGTGGATTCCTCCAAACGGACGAGCACGACTTCCAGACCTTGTTCGAGACCTTCTTGCCCAGTCAATCTTTGGCAAAGATCATCGCCATTCATCATGGAGAAACCATACGATCGGCACCTACAAGCTCTTCGATTCTCAGTCCCTGAATTGATAGTCCATCTACCGTCAGGCTTGTTACTCAACGGCAAGGCGATTGTTTCATTCCAGCCTCCACTTTTCAGTAATACCGACGTTGTCAGGTTGACGACAAGTCCAGACTGGCTGGAAGAAGAACACTCAGCAATACACCATCCACTGTGCGATGGCATCTTCTCTGGCTGTCGTGTATAAGAAGGTGGATGGCCTCCTGCCTTTCATCTCCTCATCCGCTCCAGCGAACTCTCAGGATCAACACGAACAAGCCTCCTCTGCGCCTCACCTCTATCGTTACTTCTTTCTTCTAATATATTTTCCCGTTCATTAATTAATATCACAATCATGGCTCGCCAAGCTGCTATTCTGGGCCTTCTCGCCCCTGCTCTCATTCTTGCCGCTCCCTTGACTTCTCAGGACAAGAGAGATGACAACACTCTTGTCGAGAGGCAAGATACTTTCAACGCCATTGCCCAAGAAAATGTCATGTTCGACAAGCGCGAGCCTTTGACCGTCGGAGCTGGTATTGGAGTTGGAATCTCGGCTACAGTCAAGGTTTCTGGCTCCCACAGAACAACTTCCACCAAGAAGTCTTCTTCCTCAAGCAAGAAGCCATCTTCATCAGCCAAGACCACCGCTCGTCCTTCTTCTTCTACCAAGAAGTCCAGCAGTTCCAAGAAGGCTTCAACTGCTCTCCTACCAGTCTCTAGCAAGAAGCTCACCCTCTCGAGCATCAAGAAGTTGACCAGCTCGGTCAAGGTTTCCGCATCCGTCTCTATCAAGAAGCCAACTGTTACTGTCGCTCCCATCGTCACAAGCAAGAAGAGCTCTTCCTCTTCGAAGAAGACATCTTCATCTTCCAGCAGCAAGAAGCCCGTCTCATCCGCCTCCAGCAGCAAGAAGCCTGTCTCATCTTCTTCCAGCAGCAAGAAGCCTACTTCCTCCGCTGTCAAGCCTGCTTCAAGCAGCTCCAAGGTTTCTACCAAGTCCAGCATCTCTATCAAGCTCCCAGTCATTACTTTGAAGACCTCGAGCAAGTCCAGCACTAAGGCTGCTGTGAGCACTTCCAAGTCATCTGTCAAGCCCGGCAGCAGCTCCGTCAAACCCAGCAGCTCAGTCAAGCCCGCAAGCAGCTCGATCAAGCCCGCTAGCAGCTCCGTGAAGCCTGCCAGCTCTTCCATCAAATCAAGCAGCGTCAGCCGCGGTGCCATTCCTTCGTCTGCCACCACCATCATCAAGCAGGGCTCTACTTCAAGCAGAAACACTCAGACTGCCGTCTTCAGTTCAGTCGTTCTGTCTAGCAGTTCCAAGGCTGGCTCCAGCTTCACCAGCAAGTCAATGACAGTTGTGACCAGCAACGGCCAGAAGACTACTATCTCAGTCAAGCCTACACCTTCTTCCAGTGCAACCCGTGTTGGTGTGTCTGTTGAAGTGCCTGGTCTCTCTGTCACCATCCCAGGCGTTACACTTGGTGGAGGTGTCACACTTCCCACTGGCGTTGGATCCGGTGTCTCATCTGCTCTGTCGTCTGTTCTCAGCCGTGCATCGAGCGTGGTCTCATCAGTCGTCTCGCAGGCTACTTCCGTTGTCTCTAGCGATGTTTCCAGAGCCTCTTCTCTCGTTTCGAAGGCAACTTCTGTGGCTGTTGGTGATGTTTCTACCATCAACTCCAGAGCTTCATCTGTCCTCTCCCAGGCCACCTCTGTGGTTGCAGGTGATGTCTCTACCATCAACTCTAGAGTCTCATCCGTCGTTTCCCAAGCTACTTCCGTAGTCGCCGGAGATGTTTCCACGATCAACTCCAGAGCCTCATCTGTCGTTTCGCAGGTCACCTCCGCAGTTGCTGGCGGTGCTTCAACTATCAGATCGCAGGCTTCCTCTGTCGTTTCTCAAGCCACCTCTGGAACTGCCAGCGGTGCTTCCAGTGTTCGCTCGCAAGTCTCATCTGTCGTCTCGCAAGCAAGCTCGGTGATCAGCAGTGACGTCTCCAGCGTCACTTCTCGCGTATCCTCTGTCGTCTCCCAAGCAAGCTCCGTCATCAGCAGCGATGTTTCTAGTGTCAGCTCCAAGGTATCTTCTGTCGTCTCGCAGGCCTCCTCGGTAGCTTCAAGTGATGCTCAGGTTTCCGCTTCTGCTTCTGCTGGTGTGAGCGTCTCCGCCGGAGCTTCGACTTCTGCTTCCTCTGCTCCTTCCAGCACGGCCCCTGATTCCGGGCTGAGCCTTCCTCTGACCAGCATCCTCGGAGGTGTTGCAACCGGTCTTCCTGCTGCTGCCAGCGACCTTGTTGACGGTCTTACCCCTGGATCCACTGGTGTCCTTTCTGGTGTCGCTGTCGCTGCCACCGATCTCGTTGGCGGTATCAACCTTGGATCTACTGGCATCCTCTCTAGTGTTGTCGTTGTCGCTACTGGTGTTGTTTCTGGTGTTGAATCTGCTGCTACCAGTCTCCTTGGCAGTTTGATCCCCGACGCCGACCTTCCTTCTATTACACCAATCGTACCAGTCAGTCTGCCCGTGATCACTGGACTTCCTTCTGCTGGAGTTTCTGGTGCAGTCAGCGGAATTGAGTCAGTCGTTGCCAACCTTCCTTCTGCTGGTGTGTCCGGAGCAGTCAGCGGAATCGAGTCGGTCGTTGCCAACCTCCCTTCCGTCACAATCTCCGGAGCAGTCAACCTTCCCGATGTTACCGACCTTCCTGCCACCATTACTAGTCTCCTTGGTGGAGTCGCCACCGACCTCACTGTTGTCGCTGGCGATGCTACTAGCCTCTTGAACGGCGCTCTTCCCTCCGCTGCAGTTTCTGGTGTTGTCGGCGACGCTGGAGACATTGTCTCAACTATTACATCTGTTGCTGGATCACTCGTTACTCCCGTAGTCGATGGTGCAGCCGGCGCCGTCGAGACTGCTCTCAACACCATCGTCTCTGACGTCCCTGCCGCAGCTTCTGGAATTGTTTCGCCAGTCGTCTCAGGTGTCAGCCAGGGCGTTGCTGCAGCTACCTCGGATGTCTCAGAAGTCGTTGGTGCTGCAGGCACTGCTGTTAGCCAGATCGTGTCGGTTGCCTCCTCCGCGGTTCCCACATTTGTTAGCAATGTCGTCTCTGTGGCCAGTGGAGTCGCCTCAAACGTCGCATCTGTCGCCGGCTCTGTTGTTGGTGGAGCTGCCTCGGATGCCACCGCTGTGGTCGTACCTGTAGTCACTGGTGTTGCATCTGCAGCGGGCTCGGCAGTTGGTGGAGTTGCCTCGGGCGCCACCTCAGCACTCACACCCGTAGTTACTGGACTCACTGGCGGAGTTGGAAACACAGTCGGAAATCTCGGTGCTGGTCTTGGTTTGGGCGGCGCTGGAGCTGCTGTCTCTTCATCGGCGACTACTTTGGTCACCAAAACTTCATCTGCATCTTCTGGCAAGAGCTCTACTCCCTCGGCCACTCCTACCAAGAGCTCCAGCGGTATCCTTATCCCTGGTGTGATTTAGGAACGATATTCGCTCGCCCACTATTTTCCTTTTTTTGTTTTTCACGTTTCACGAGGCACGTAGGAGAAGGATATGAGATTAGTTATAGTTCACACGCAATGGTGTTATGGAGATCGCTTGGCTTTTGCCCTAGACGGCATAATATATACTTTAGATAGCTCTAAATGGGGTTAAATTTACACTGAACACTTTCTCCAATATCTGCTTGCTTTACGTTGACATTCAAAGAGCACTGACTTCGGAAACCACTGAGCACTTAGATCCGTGATGCGTTGGCACTGCCTGAGGCCATCTAGAAGGATCATACAGAAGGACATTCCACGGTGTCAGGAGTTAGAGGGACCAATGAAAGTGACTGTTGTGATATCCTTGAGAGACACCTCAAGTCCTGACTCGTCAACTAGTCTACCAGAGCCATGGCGTAGCGATAGTAGCAAGACTGCAATCACACGACCCGATCGTGACAGCAAGGCCCAACAGGTGACAGGTCGCAAGCCCGCGATGTTAGGGAGCGGTATAAATGTCGACCCGATTGCTGCCTGAAATCACGACAAATACTGCGGCTCGCTGCCTGGAGGCGGAGCACACATGCTGCATGCACCGCCACAGCTCTCATGCAGCCAAGTATGTCTACCACCCGCCCATCTGCCAGCAAACCGACCAGAAATCAATGATTTATCCCATGTCTGCCGTCAATTTCTGGGGGCCGAAATACAGACCTGCTTATGTTATGGTAAGAATCTATGAAGTGGCGAGCTGAACAAGGAGGCGCGGGCTGCCTATTTAGCAAGGCGTAGTCGTTTTTGATGCCTCAGGTTGACCGGTCAAGCAGCATGCGCCCGGCTGACGTCTTCAGTGATAAAGATCGAGAGAGTAAGAAAAAGGCCACCACCCTTCTTAGTAGATGCTTGTATGTAAATAGAATTCACGTTGCCACTTCTTGGTCCTTATATCGTTTCTTTCTTACCAAAGTGATAATGGTCAAAGGCACCGACATACTTCAGCTGACGACGCCTCCGGTGTCGCCGCTCTCAGCTAGACCGTGTTGCAGCAATGGTACTCAGGACATCGGGATGACCGCCAAAGACAGCAGGATGTCGGCTGTCATGGCAAACAGCATCTATACGACGTTCCGGATGGCTCAGCTCATTAACTCTTTCCGGAACAGAGTCAAGACACGCCTGCTCTCTCACACTACGACAACTAAGGCCTCCGATGCCAGCACTCAGGATGACTTACATGATGAGTGGGAAGACGAAGTGCTGGATGTCATGTCCGATGGTCGGATTCAACGGCAGCTGGTCAAACGCCGTGGATCATGCGTCAAGAATTTGGAAAACAACAGCCACTCTTACACCACCGCGAATGATTCGAGGCTTGGTCAAGGAGGTTCGCGCGTCACTGACTTACATGTCGCATACAGTCTTCTCGCCAAGCTCGATTGTAAATTGTTTCCAGGAACATCTCTTGCGGACCTCGCGGTTGACAGCACGTTCATGAGCCAATGGTACAACATCGACTTTAACGGTGGGGTCAAGAAAGTCGCAGAACTGTTAGCCCTGACGAATGGGTTGCTCAGCGTTCTCAAATTGAGTGGTGCCCAAGATACTACGAACCAGTCGACACATTTTGGCGATGCGATATTCGCGGCAAACCTGGAACACCTGCTCCTCTGTGTGCAAAATGACCTGCTGCGGTTTCTCCTGAACGAGGCGTGGCCGAAAATTCTGGACCACATCTTCGAATGCCAGAGGGAGCAGTCGCGACGTTGCGAGGCATGGTTTTTTGAATACCCCGACGCAAGGCATCCGCTTAGCACAACATGGCCTTGGAGCATCCGACCATCGCTGGCAGTGCTGTGGGGTGTCTGCTGGAAATTTCTTGACAACTACGATTACCAGTGGGACGACCAAGGCAATCTACTGATGCCTAGCGGCGAAGTCCTCCTCTGGGCTCATGATTTGCTCGGCTATGATGGTCCAGAAGCAAGTTACGGTGAGTGCACAGCCCTGCTGTTTGTTTTCCTTCCCTTTACGAAGAATGGTCACTGTTACTGCCGCCGAGGATAGACGCCGAGCAGAGACAGTTCCTAGCTCAAAGCTTTGCCTCAGGCGTGGCGGTTTTTCCTTGCAATTTTTCAGGTTGTATTTGAGTATTTTGTCGCAGAGACATCTGCGATTGATTGGGTACGGTTGTGCGTACGGAGGCAGCCGGCACGCCACAGTGGCGCTGCAGTCAAGCTTTCTGGGTGAGCGGCGTTGCTCACCAGGCAGCCATCGAGGGTTGACAGGCTTCCGACTAACGCGTATATAATAGGAAGCGGTAATGCACGCTCGACTCAGCCTCGTGATACTTACGTGGATGGCCATAGAACTGCCAACACTGTCTTCTACGGGTCCTCGGTGACGGCGAACCCTCTTACCGATCTAGTTGTAAGTCCTTGTCTTGCCACTGCTGAAGTCGGGTGTCAACAAGACTCGATACAAAGTCCGGACTGGCTTTCTGAATTACATTTCTCCATCGATTCCGACCGACCTTTCTCTCAAAATTCGGCCATACATCTGGAAGACTGCTTTCCATTATTGAACACGTACACATCATCCCTTGCCGGACCTTCGATGGCGGTTTCCGAAGCAGATCAAAAATCTCTAAAAGAGTCGCCTCTGATGTCGCCCGCAAAATCTTCAAGCCCCGCAGATGATTCGGATCCTCAGGATGCTCGACCAACGAAGAATGGAGAGGACGACGAAAGAAGAAGCAGTTCGATCGCTTTTTCGCCCACGAGCTTCAAACCTCTAAATCACCGCCGGTCTGCACCAAAACATAACGACGCTGGTAAATTCGAATGTCAAAATTGCCACCAAATTTTTGATCGCAAATGCGAATGGAAGTAAGTACCTTGTCACTTTTTTGATTGCCTCAGTCGATAGGTCTGGACGTGGCCTTGATTCAATGCCAAAGTCGTTATATCAAGGTCCTTGTGCTGCGGCCCAAAAGCCACGCCCAATGACCCGCGACTGACCAATCAACAACGAAACCGACACCGAATTACCAGCACATCATGCTAACTCATTGCACAGCAAACACATGGACAAGCACGAACGGCCATACAAGTGCGACAAGCCGCAATGCGCCAAGCTGCTGGGCTTCACATACTCGGGTGGTCTTTTGCGTCATGAACGCGAAGTCCACGGCATGCACGGCGGACCCAAGGAGCAGCTCTTCTGTCCGATCAAACACTGCAAGCGACACACTGAACAGGGCTTCACACGTCGTGAGAACCTGCAGGAGCATCTACGCAGGGTGCATAAACTGCAAGACGTGGACAGTGTAGAAGCTGCTGCGCAAGACGCACCCACGCCCGGAACCGCACCATCTGATCACGACTCTGAAGATGAAGGCCGAGCGAGTAAGCGCAAGCGTATGAGTGTTGTAAGTCAGAATGAGGAATTGCCGGAAGAGGACGTCCGAGCGGAATTGAAGAAGCTGCGGCTTGACAACTTCGAGCTCAAGCGCATGTGGGAGGCTCAACGCGAAGAGATCGGCGAGATGAAACAGCAGCTCAAACAGCTCACGACACAACAACACATACAGCTGCAGAGATGGCGACCCGACGGAACAGGATGAACAACATCACACCCATTCGCTGCAGGAGTATCGCAACACAACCTTACCGCTCCAAGATTCATCACTCCCTCATCGCTCCCGAAGATCCGACCAAAGAGTGAATGAATACCACGCGCACACATCCACCGGTCACGAAGCCCTGGACTATCCTGCAACGCGTCCTACATGCATCAAAATACACTTCGAAGATGCTGAGGCCGGATTATGCAGGACTTGCTTGGCCTGAGGCGCAGTGCAGGCAGAAGCAGTTCATGCAAAGGACCCCCACCGATCGACCTCCATTCCTAATATGGCAGACAATCTACAACCTAAGGCTATGCTGAAGAAACATTCAACTCACACAGGGGGGAAAGCAAAGATGACGAATTGGCTCCTGAAGGCGTAACGATAAGGGGACGAATACCAATATTAATAATCACGGAGGATGACTTTTCCAGAGTGGGATGCGGATGACTTTTGAAGCACACGAGGTCATGTTCCGAGAGAAGAAGATCAGCTTATCTCATCCTCCTACACTTTTACTTCTCTTGTACGACTTTGTGGCTGCCTTAGGCATTGGCCGAATACGATCACACGCTTCTTCTTCTCTTCTTGGTCACAAAAGCAGAAATAAAGGATGTACGTGATCATGTGCCCCCCACTCTGCTTTTTTCGAACCGGTGACATCCTCCTTGCTCCTTCGATAGCCAGCAGAGTGATACACTCGGATGTTCGCGGAGGAGACCAAACCACTAAATATCTATGACGGTATATCTGCGACGTGACAGAAACTATGTGGCTTGTATGATTCATCTTTTAGAACAGTGCAAAACAGCAAAGACAGATACACTGAACCTATCTCCCCTAGAGATGAACCCTAGAGATGAAGAGAGGAGCAGAAAGGATGCCACTGGCAAGATGTGCTGGCTAGAGAAGAATCCCTCAGTTGCTCCTTCCTGTAGAAGTAGTACGATAACGTGGGACTTTAAAGGACTTGGGGAGTTTCAGAGAATAGTCGTATCTAACACGGAGGTTATATGGATTGTGCGAATGAACAGACACTAAGGTCGGAGGAAATAGTAGGAGATATAGCAGGCTTGAAGTGTACTGGTATGATGACTGTTCAGCCGGGTCCAAGTATCGTGATCATCTTCACAACCCACAAAGTCAATGTGACAAGTCCTAGATACTGGGATGGGAAGCGTCATGATGGTAAGCTTGAGTCAGACGAAATAGAAGGCAGGTATTGCTGTTTGGTAGAGGGATCTCGAGGTGATGACCAAGAACGATTGTGCTGGCCCTTTGTGTTAAGGTCATCAATGCCAGTTAAGCAAACATCCGAGCTTGTGCACTTAATGCCGTTCTGGTGCAATACTATATTTGAAAGAGTACACTGAGCGCGAGGCTATGGCAATATCTGATGTGATTTCGAGAACGAGCGTTCAGAAGGAGATATTATATTTGTCGTTAACAGATGGATTGTGGTGAGTATGAGTGCTAGCTGGTGATTGGGAGTCTCACCATGGAAGTTCCTGTCCTTCTCGGTGCCAGAACTTGCCTGTATCTTCTATGCCCTTGGACTGCCAGATATTCCAGAGCTTGGACGCAGCTTCATCTGGTAGGACGGCCTCAGGTGTGTTGGCAGCGCTTGGGTCTAATCCAGTCTTGACGATGCCTGGATGGAGCAAGGTGACGACAATACCCTTATCCTTGAGGTCCATGGCAAGACTTTTTCCAATGGAGTTGACGGCTGCCTTGGAGGCACGGTAAGCGTAGATGCCTCCAGTCGAGTTGTCTGCAATAGAGCCCACACGGGAAGACACGATACCGACACGCGCTTCGGATGCCTTGAGAAGATTTGGCAGCAGGGCTTGGGTCAGTAGTAGAGGTCCAAAAGTGTTGGTCTCGAAAATCCGAGTCAACGTATCCTTGCTCACGGTCTCGAGAGAGTCGTCTTCATGTTTTGCCATAGTTCCAGCAACGTTGAGTAGCATGTCAATGGGCTGGCCAGACAGAGACGAAGCAAAGGCTGAAATGGACTCGGGAGAGCGAACGTCAAGTTGAGCATGGCGGCATTGCAAAGCCTTGAGTTGGTCTCCTTCAATATAATCGGTGGCTATGACTTCGTAACCCTGCAGTTGACGGCATGAATGCTGTGCCGGACGCATGCATTATTCGATTGCCTTCTTACCTCGGAAATGAGCACTCTCGCAAAGGAATGTCCAATACCAGAGTTGCAACCAGTCACTACGGCAGTCGGCATATTTGATTAACGGTCTAGAGGCAGGTGTGATGCAAGATGGCTTGGAATGATCTTTGTTTCAAGGAAGTCTGAAAGGAAGGTCGCAGGTTTGTGCTCAATTCCGGAGGATCTCCTCGTCATCTGCACCACGATGGGGAGAGATTAGCTAGCTCTGACGTGTTTCGTGGCGCAAGTGTGGCTGATGATGTGGCTCATTTGTGTCATGAGGCTCACGAACCATATCTTGCATCCCTTTCTAGGCACGCCGACAGAAGTAGGTCCAGCCTTACCAGCCAAGGCATCCAAGAATGTAAACGCGTGTTGAAAAGTGGTTTCGGTATCTTCGGGGAAAAAAAAGAAGCCTGATGGCCTTGGCCGTCGGCACCTCAGGATCCGCGCAGCGTATTGGTCGTATGTACGGAGACATGCAATTTTCAGTAGGACTTGAATCCGAGTGGCTGGAGCTCTGGTAAAAAGGCAGGTCAGGAATAGAAGCATGAACGCGCGCCCTACCAATTTCCCCTTGCATGTACATGTTTTGGTCTCTTTTCTGCGGGAGGGGAGAGCAATATGTCGATAAAATGGTGGAACAGGAGGAAATAACTTGATTCATGGGAGAAAGGCAATTGACGGTGATGCGTAATTGGTGCGTTGCCATGGACTGTCTGGTGAAAGCGTACTTCCGGCTGCCAAGGAAGGAACGCTGACGTAGGCGGTCGTCCCTGCTTCTTGCATACATAAAACGCTGCTTGCCCTTTGGGTTGCTCCCTCTCCACCAGCATCTAGCAATCCACTTTACCAGCCACACCTTCACAAATCTATCAACACCCAAGACTTTCAGTCCAACACCGCCAGCATGCCTTTCACCGGATCGTAAGTCTTACCTCATCTTTCCCTTCCCTTCCGCGGGCTCCGGTCGGCGGAAGAGTAAGGGAACACAAGCTGCGACGCGTGCTGACAGCATACTCTCAGCGACATCATCAAGATCATCATCGCCATCATCCTCCCTCCTCTTGGTGTCTTCCTCGAGCGTGGCTGCGGTGCTGACCTCCTCATCAACCTTTTGTTGACCATCCTTGGTTACATTCCCGGAATCATCCACGCCCTGTATGTCACCTGAGCGACACCTCCTTCTCCGTGAGCGCCTACTGACCTCCCTCGCAGCTACATCATTCTCAAGTATTAAGATGGTCGACGAAAGCCCTCCGCGGCTTACATGATGAACCCGGCGCCATGAACACAACCTGTTTCCTTCTTCCTCTTTGCGATACCCTCAAGTCGCGCCGTGCCAGCCACCGAGCGCCGACTTCGATCCAGCCAAACGCTTGACGACATTTCTTCTACACTTGCCCTCGACCGACGCGCATCCTCTTCTCGACCTCGCGCAAGACACACCGCTACCTGGAACGGCGAGTGGTGCGGATGCGAGTGGTTTCCATGACCGCTGGCGGCAAGCGCTGAGATATGACCTTGCTTAGGTTGTAATACTGTATAATAGTACACAGAACGAATCTTTTTAACTACACCACCCATCCGTCCTTCTTCGTGACTGGTTCCAGTGTCATCGTTCCCCACGGCTGATCATGTTGCCCGACCATCAAGATCAGCCGTGGTTCCTCAGCCTTCCTTCTACCTGCGCCTGTCCTCCACCGCCTTTGCCGCGTGTTAAGAAGGTCGCTTCTCTCATTGACAGCCTGGTGATCCCTTGAAACATGTACATTTGCACATACACGATAATGACTTTGCTAACAAGGACGCGGTGTAGCGCAACAATTCTCGGACATTATGCTGCCAAGAATTCTGCTGCCAACGTCCACTACCGTTTCCTCATGGTCTCTAATCACCCGCACCTTTCATTTCTCTTCTTCATCAACATCTCGAACACCGAAGCCATCGGCGTCGGCACTAACGTGCGCAAAACTATCACGGCCTGTGTGTGCTGCTTCTCCCGCCCCTCCCGTCCATACGGAATAGCGCGAGCCGAACCGGGTACCGAACGCTGTTCAGTGAAGCCCCTTGCTTCGTCTATTCGGCAGGGTATCGGAAGGAGTTCACAGAAGTTACGCACGAGTATATCGTTTTAGGTTCGGGAGTAGATGGTAGGGAAGTGTATCGTTCGTGAAGTAACGCAATTGCAAAGGCTTCCTTGCCACGGCAGAGTGGGTTGTTAGTGGCTAGTTGTTTATAGGTGCACCCGGTACCATTATGGCTCCGAGCAGGAAGGTTCCATTCACAGCAGGAAGTGCCTTCAGCAATATGGAGAAATTGGACAACTTTGGAGCTGGCTTTGGTAGAGGAGCTTCACCACTGGTCATCGCGACTGTTCGAACCACTTTGTGAACCATTGTACAGCTTGCTCCTCGGCCTTCTTCCCGCACTCCTTCTCATGTCCTTCGTTCTCGCCTGCTCTGACGGCAAATCCGTGGTGCACCCCTTCATACATCTTAAACTCATGCTCAACACCATCATCCTTCGTCTTTGCTGTCTTGGCTTTCAGGATGCCTTCAATCTGCTTGGCCTTCGCGACAGGGATCTGCTGATCTATACCTGCTGCCGCAACAGAGAGAGGCATCTGGACTTCCTCGAAGTCGGTAGGAATCTTCAAGCGAGATGGGTGGGCTGTGAAACCGCAGACAACCAAAGGCTTCCCATCCTCGTTTCTCTGATCTTCGCTGTTCTTGCACAGCTCCACGACCCATTGACCTCCCCAGCAATAGCCTGCCGTTGCTACAGGTAGTCCAGGGTGTGAAGATGCAAGACCACGGAAGAAGCTGATGACTCTGGGGCGAACAAGATGAGCCTTGTCGTTCTTCAGAAAAGGCCACCCGCGCCAGACGAGCTTGAGAAAGTGGTATCCTTTGATCAACCAAGCGAAGGGACCAGTAGCATCGAGCGCTTTTATGCTGATGATCAAGTCCTGCGGAAACACATTGCCGTTCATGAGATCTGGGAGCATGACCAAGAAGTCTCCTTTTTCGGCGAAGCTGTCGGCGAGGATGCGAGTGTTTGGGAGAGTCCAGCCGAAGATGTCAGGTAGGATGACGACGATGCCTTTAGGATTGTTCGAGGCAGGAGAGGCGATGTAGACGTCGAAGCCGTGGAGTTTGGATATTTCGCCGGTCGGTTTTCCGGTGTGTAGGGAGCCACTGGCACAGCATTGGCGTGGGATAGACATGATGTCTTGAGTCAACGCCGAGAAGAACGATGAACCCGAGTGTGAATACGTGGGATAAGATGGAAGTCAAGTAGTCCGAGTATGTCAGCAAGATATACAGTTTAATATCTCAGCTTCTTCTCCGATGACTAGATCTCACTGCATTGTTGATGTCTCGTACGATAATCCTTCAAAGCCGGTGTCCAGATTAGCCACCAAGCTAGCCAGATAATGTAAAAAGAGGCAGACGGCCCAGGAGTATATAGGAGTGGTGCAAACTACCCAATCAAGAAGAGACTGAAGCAATCAGACTGGTTGGATAAGACAAACGAGGTATCCATGGCCACGGCCAGGGTGCTCCGAGAAGCGGAGAGTGAGAGGTGTCCCGAAGCAGACTAGTCGACCTGATGCCAAGCAGCTTACTAAGCGAAGCCGCTCAGACCTTTCTCCGCTCAAAATCTTCTGCGAAAGCTTGCACTACAAAACCAGAGCTGCTTTCTGCAGAAACTTCCTCCTCTCTCCAACAGCAGCACAACAGAGCGCAAAACACGCGCTCTGCGCTGCTGTCTCAACCCAATGGTAAGCACATTCTCTCTTCACCTCCCCATCCAACCTGATGAAACCGCAATACCGCAATCAAACTAGAGTCTTTGATCTCTTCGGAGAACTGAAACCGCATTTGCAAGCACGTCAGTCTGAACTCACAACAAAAATCACAATCTTTCTTCGCTTCGGCTTTCTGTTCAAGCGCACAAGACTGACTGAAAATAGATATCGAGTTTGACGCGCCGCTCAACGCTCCGCTCACTTGCGCGCTTTGCAACATCTCTGCGCACGATGCTGTCCCTTTGACTAGGCGCACGGCATCTTCACTCGTCTCTTCGGCGCGCATAGAAATGTCGACCGAAGAGACTTCTCTCCAAAAGGTATGCGTTATCTTCTCTCTTCACTCACTTCACCAACCCTCCCCTATTTTCTGATGAACAATTGAACGTTTATATACGCTGGAAATTACCGACCAAGCTCTTCGGAGCGGTGCCGATATCAAATGGCTATTTCTGAGTCTTTTACACACATCTCAACTTTTTCACAAGCTCTTCTTATGAACCTCACTGACAATGTTGATTGATAGGTACACTTCACAATCCTCTACAACACCACCTTCCTCGTGTGATGAAGCGGCACTGGGCTCCGACTACAAACCAAATGAGCAAGATATGCCAACGCTGTGACAGGCCTAGAAAACCTCGTCCACTGACTTTCGCCAACACAATCACCTTGTCAACAACCAGTCTACAAGAGCTCGGGCTGACATGTATGATAAAGAGGGTTTGCCTTTTGTAACACACTTTCCTTCATCGCTGCTGAAACATGCGCGTTGAGTGGATCAAACAAATATCAAATGGTATGCAGAATTTGCTTTCCTTTTTCTTTTCTCTTCACACTTTGTGGCCGTCATATGATGAACACCTAGATGACGAGTCTGATCGGAGTTATCCATGCAGACAACCTTTTATTTTATACCATTCATGCCTAACTGAATATATGCACATTCTTTCACACTCTTGTTCAATCATTGCACTTCATCAATCAGTGACTAACAACCGAGTTTTTAGATGTCTGTCTCTTGGATCGATCCTTTGCAATCTCTCCGCGGTTCGCACCTCTCGAAAGGGTAAGTCCTCGCTCATTTCACATCACCCCTTCACCTGAAATGATGATTCAAAACAAACACAATGACAAGCATATGTCCGAATTACCTTGACCGGTAGTACTGCAGAGACTGTCTTGTCTGATCCACCATACCCATCCTTTCTCCTTCCAAAGCCAGCCCTTCAAACACCGTTGCTGACTTTACAAAAGAATCTCCACAGTCCTTCATCGCTTGGTCGACCATGTCTTTGCACATCATCCTCTTCCACCAGGTAAGCTACCACCATTCATCTTCCACTTCCCCAAGAGCATTGTCATTTCAATGATGATTTATTCTATTTATCACGACGGTCTACGTAGCCACAAGTTGGACATTGACGATACCGCCATTGACAATGGCATTGATCTGATATCGATTTGACTTTGCTCTTTTCCCATCATGCCTTCAGCTTCTCTACATCATGAATGTTTGCTGACCTCAATCAAAGAGTAGATGTTTGTCTGTCTTCTTGACTGTTCCTCTTTTTCCATTGCTCATCCGGCCTTGTGCCGGTGATTGAAGGAGAATTGTTTGTGTGCTTTATGATGTGCTTGTCGCTACTCTGTCTGAGAGACTGCATGTTTGCGGAGTGTCGTACGGTCATCTGACTTCTTCCCTCGAGACACGACCTTGATGTGTACCAATGCATGGCGCTCTCTGGAATCAGTCTTGTCTGGCGTAAGCACACCATTACCCCTCATACCCCAAGCGCTACGTTCTTCTCATGTCTCCACAAGACACAGACAGGAGTCCGCACTTCGAATAAGAAGTTGCAGCGACCACTGGCCGTCCTGAAGAGCATTCTCACCATCATCGGACAAAACAAACCAACGTTTAAATGCTTACCTTTCCTCTTCAGGACACCGCATCGCAAAAGCACTTTCACCAACACCGCATAACCCAGATTCAAAAAGTGTCTTGAGATCCCATCCTGCCACCCACAACCGCCCTGCTGCCCACGACAAGCCAAGCCAACCATTCCACAAAACATCATGAACAACGAGACTACGCCACCATCCCCATCACCGCCGCCCAAATCCTCAAGACCCCGAGAAGCCATCTGTACAAACGATGCCCTCACACCACCCTCCTCCAACCATCAAAATCACCCTCCCGCCAGACGCTCAACTCGCCAATCTCCAACATGTCCCCACCACATCACCCGTAACCATATTCTCTCTATGTCGCGACCTATCGCCCGGCGAAACGCTGGCGATTCATCTTCCCAACACAGAAGGAAAACAGAATAAAGATTTTGTGGCTTTGTTTCATTTATTGGGGACTCTGACATCTGTGGGTGGAGAGGTTTTTATTGTGGAAGTGGAAGTGGATGTGGAGGGGTTAGTAAGGGAAAAGGGGAGGAGGGTGGGGAGTAAGGATAAGGTTGGTGTCAAAGAGCTTTGTCGTGATACAGAAAAGGGAGAAGTAGTAGGCGTATATAGGGATAGGACTAGAAGAGAATGTAAGGAGGATTTTGTAGGCGTTTTCTACATGTTTTAATAAGCAGGGATTTTAGAGCATAGGTTCTACAAGCTATAATTTAAGAAGAATGCGTAAGATGGATGCTTTGCTTCTAACTATAAGTTTTGTTATGGATAATACGTAGCACCTTACGTTTACAAGATTGATTGTGAATGGAAAGGACTAGACTAACTTACCTACTATACTCGGGTCCATTTGTTAACTATCGACAAGTGTGAATAGTCGAGAAGACTATACTTATACTCGACCCTCCAGTATATAGTTTATTACGTCGTACATAATTCGAGCTCTAAAGGTCATCTTCTTTACTTTCTATCTAGTACTCCTTACATTCGACACTTTGTACATCTAACCCTCCTTGCGTAACCATCGACTCCCTAGAAAAACAAAAAGGATATATCCTACTACAACCAAATAACCTATACTAATTCTCCAAAGACCACCTAGACACTAACCATATACTCGAGCAAAACATTTACCTACCTTGTCCTATACCATTTTACATAACGTAGAGGCAAAAAGATCTTGGCACCTAGGGGGTTCGAACCCCTGCAACTCTCGTTAGTGGTGTTTAGAGAGTACTTAAAACCACCGCCTTCTGTATGGGGAATTAGCGTATGTTTAGACTAAAGTTGAGAGGAGTGCGAACGTACAACCACTCGGCCAAAGTGCCGATAAAACCACAAGGTCGAAAGACCAATTGCGGATAGCCGAAGCTGGTTTGAGTGGGCGTTCATAGTATGTATACTCTACAAGATTACGGGGTCGAATGAACAAAGAACTGGATGCGGATTGTTGTTCGCATAGGGTATAGTCGAGGTTTCAATTCTGCGCCGACCTTTGTTCGAAGGGTGCGGAAGAGGCTCGAGGTGGAAATTTGCAAAGATCATGTGCATGAAGCGTGAAGGAATTTCGGCGTGGAGGAAGGGGTTTTGGCGAGTTTTGTCAACTGCATGAATAGTGCACTCTTTGGGCAAAAGACGTGATGTGTCATGTTCGTTATTTAGTTGAACGCGATTGTCTAGATGCTTTCTCCAGTAGACAGATCCGTCGCTTCTGCCGTCGAGGCTTTTTGCTCACAGTCGGACTGATGGTGACGCGTTCGAATGGTAGGCCTGTGACAAGCAAATTGATGAACTATACAACCACCACTTCTTTGGAGAACGTGCAAAGGCAATTGAGCACGTGAAGAGGTGGAAAGCAGGATCTTGGAAAAGGCGAGCAGACTCAAGCCAGAAGAATCTGCTACTCGCGATACCCACCTAGCCAACGATGCGATCTCAGAAGAACATGAAGCATATACACAACGCGCCTGTGAATTGATATGCATGCTTACGAGATGAGGGTGTTAGTGTGAGTGGAGATCTGGTGGCTGGCTTCCTTTTTTGTAGTAGCAGGCCCTGTCATGGTATATGTGGGCCTCGGGAGAAAGTGCAGCAGGCACATGGCTCAGACAGAGAACGAAGGACCGAGAGCTGCCTCATCTATCCTTTGGACACATAACCAGACGCCCAATAGCCAATCTCAAATCAAGAGATTTCTAGGTATCATATCGATGATTCTGCCCGCTATTCTGTTCCATCATCTTTGTGGTTTCCACGACACAACTTCCTCATCTTCTTCTTCCTCTTCTTGAATTTCCAAACCTTCCACCACCCTTCTGTTCCCCTGCTCGTCGCAATCCAAACCGCAAGCCTTCAACACAGCCCATCTAACAGCCTCAATTCCAATCTTCGCACCTCCTCCCCATCCTTGTAATCCTTTGATCTGTTTCTCGGCACTCGCAGCAAGCACATCCCTCTTCTTCGGCCTCTGCCCTTGGTCCAATGTCCTTAGCTGCTCCTCCACCTCATCATAAACTTTATCCAATTTCTTAACCAACCTCGTCAATTTTTCAGCGCCAGGAGATTTCGAATCCGTCATGACAATACGATCGACCTTTGACAGGATAATCTGGTAAGGAATACCGTTATCCTCAAAATGCTGCAACAGCACAAGATCCCTACTCTTTACCCCATGCACTGCGTCTATAAGAATAAACACCTTGCGCAATTGCTTCCTCTTTTCGAAAAACTTGTTGATTTCAGGTCCCCATTCTTGACGGGAGTGGAAGCCGTAGCCGGGTGTGTCTACCACGACTAATGCGCCAGAAGATAATTGCTTCAAGGGTTCTCTAGCAGCGGTATCTCTGTTTACTCCTCCCACGCCGAATGCATTGAGAGTTTTTGTATGTCCGGCTTTTGAGCTCACTCGTGCGATCTTTTCTTTCGGGCGGCCGAAGACTGCGTTCAACAGACTGGACTTTCCGACATTCGAGCGGCCTACGAAGCAGACTTCGGGATACGGGGAGCGTGGGATCGTGCTGAATTTGGCGGCCGTCCAAAGGTGGATGGGTGGTGTAGAGGGGGCTTGAAAGTAGCGGGTCGCAAAGGTTTGTTGAACAGGCGTGGGTGGGTCGGAGATGTGGTAGCGCTGGAGGTCGACTGGTTTCGGTGGTGTGATATCTTCGGTCTTCGGTGCAGATACGGGTTTCGGTTTCGAGGGTGGAGAGGCTGCTGTTACTGCAGAGGTGGTTTTTGAAGATGGCAAGTCAGGTCGAGCTGACGGCGGCCTTGTGGTTGTGGTTGTCGTGCTGGTGTAACGCAAGCCTAGTATGCGACTACGAGCGAGATGCGCAAGACACCTTCTCCTTATGATAGAATCCATATTTCGACAATTGAAAAAAAGAGTGCAGCTTCAAGAAAAAAGGCGGAAGGGCGAAAGAAAGTCAGAGAAGCTGCTTGCCTGTCACTGGTCCGAGCTTCAATCTTCCTGCTTGAAACATTTCACCTTGATGGGACGCCAGGGACCAAACACGTCCAAAGTAAACAGAGTTTGATTTATGTCTTCATTCGAGTATGATAGCAGTTGACCTTACAAATTCCTCCCATGCTTGATTGGCATACCCTCTATTTTTCCCTTTTCATGTTCATAGGTATCCATTATGCTCATGATTTCCCACTCTCGTCTAATGCCCCCATTTGATAACCCCTGCTTCTTGTAAATGAAAGGAAACATACACACACCAATCAGTCCTGTACTCAGTTCGGACGAAGACCAGGACTGTTCATTCCAAGACGTGGGCTGACACCTCCGTTGCGCTCTCTTCTCAAGGTACGCAGTTGAGACTCGATCTGTCTGCGCTGTTCTTGTTCCGCCTGTATCATTGTTAGCTTTTTGTTCGGTATCTATATTGCACCATGGTACTCACTCTCAACAACTTAACTCCCTCCGCCCTCGTCTCTCTCATCATCTTCTTGAACTCGTTTCTCAAGACCATCGTGCTGGTCGTCTCCCTCGTGGCACCCAATTCTGGCGTACCTCCAGGGCTTCTCACACCAAGCCATCTGACTCTCTCGTCGCTGAGCTGAACTTCCAGAGCGTCCATCTTGTCATGCAGCGAATCGATCGTGCTCTCGAGCTTCTCGCGCTCCTTCTCCATCTCGACCGTCTCGCGGGTAAGCTCCTGGTATTCGGTTGCCATATCGGCGAGCTCCTTCTCCAGTGCACGCATGCGGCCATCATCGCGGCTGCCGGAAGCCTGGATCTCGCGCAGAGTGATGATTTCTCCTTCCAGTGACTTCGCTCGTGATTCGGCGTTCTGGTGCAATCCGAGCATTTCTGCCATTTGGCTCTCATGCTGGCTCTTATCACGTCTCAATTGTTCCAGCTCTGTAGACATGCTCTTTGACTTTTGCTCCAGCTCTTGGAACTCAGGGTGAGATGCCACTTCTCTAGCGCGCTCCGATCGACTACCATATGCGCCATCCAGTTCTGCTTTGGCCATTGCTAGCTCAGTGGTAAGGCGGATGATCTCTGCTTCGAGGTCATCCATTTCCTCTGCCTTTATTGCCAGGTTGGCCTCGGCAGTTTCTCTCGCTACCTTGGCTTGGTTGAGTGATCCAGTCAACTCTTCGAGACGGTCTTGGTGATCACTCTCCTTGTGTTGTGATTCAATAGTTGCAATACGGGCTTCATCCTGGTGCTCGGAAAGTGTGTTTTCAAGTTCGACAATCTGGTCCTCGAGCTCTTCCACGCGCTTTCTGTGTGCTTCAACCTCTTCCAGTGCTTCTTGCTCGCGCTCCTTGAGTGTCTGAAGCTCGCTAGCACGAGCGGCATCTTCACTGTCAGTCTTGCCAGCAAGATCACGCTGTTGCTCGATCTGGCGGCGAAGGATACCGGTCTGGTTTTCGAGGTCGCTGTGACGGGCGAAGAGATGCTGTACCTTCGAGGTGAAGGCTTGCGCGCTGAAGGGTTCAGATCTGGTTCTTTCGAGATCTTCGTCGTCAGAGTCCACGTCTCTGTTGGCAGCGGCAGATTCCTTGGAGGACATGATGCCCCACAGGCCCAGCATGACTGCCTCGTGTTGCGCAGCATTCTCGGCATGGGCGTCTGCCTTTGCACGAACTTCGTCGAATTCTCTAGTCATGGCTTGATGAGAGTCTTGAAGTGATGCAGAGTGCTGTAGAATATGGTCCACGCTTGTCATGTTCTCCTCGAGATAGTTGATCTGATCTTGTGTGCCTTGGCCAGTAGATTGCGGAGGTGGGTGCATCTCTTCATAGCCGGAGAGAAGGCTGAATAATTGGTTATTGACACCTTCCAAGCGTTTCTCAACCTCGCTCTGGTGTTCTTGAGAACCATGTAGCGTGTCTTCTCTTGACTGGACAATGTACTTGTGTTCTTCGAGCAGGGCGAAAATGCCATCTTGCAGTTGCTCGAGCTGGTTGTTGATGCGGACGGACGGTTCATCGTCTTCTGGGTAGGCAGATGGAATGTCGTCGGGCGAGTTGTCGATGCTGCCAGAGCGGCCCTTCTTTGCTTGAGAAATGAGAGAGCGCATTTGACCGTTCAAGAATTGCAGTCTGGTGTTAAAGTCGTTCAGCTGGCTGTTGTGGATGGCAGACTGTCCCTTGGAGACATCGCTGTGGACGCTTTGATCGTAGTCGCGAATGTGAGGCAGAGAGTCTGGTGTGAGATGGTCGGCAGACTCAGCTTCACGTTGGTGGTGAGCAGCCTGTAGCACAGCAGCTGTGTGACGCAGAAGCCTGCTCTCGATGTATTGTCTGCGATTCTCCAGACCGACCAGAATCTGGACCAGCTCTTCCACCTTTTTCTCGCTCGATGCAAGCTCATCGCTGGCTTGGCCAATGCTGTCGCTCTTGACACTTGACGAACTAAGCCTCCTGTCTCCCAACAAGCTCTTTCTACGGGTTTGCGGAACGCGGCCCTTTTGCGAATACAGGCGGTGGAGCGAGCGAGCGGCCTCACGGACTTTGCTCTCCAGAGCAAGTTTGCGGCGTGTCCCCTCGATGCGTGTGTCGACCTTGGTCTTCTCTTTCTTTAGGGCGTCAACCTCTTCAATAGCCAGAATATCATACCGCGAACTGTCGAAGATGGCCGTCTCGACCAGGAGGTGCCTGTGGAGCGCATCGCCGTTGGCAAACGAGTCTGATCTTGGAGTGGGTGGTTGTTGCATGTCCGACGGGCTGATCAGAGAGGGGTGATGATGGCCGTTCTGCTGTAGTACGGCCATGGCCTTCCAGTCTGTGTCGGTATAGCCCGGCGTGCTCGGGTCGAGGAAGGATGTTCGTGGATAGTCGTGCGCGGCGCTGAGGTCGTCGAGCGGATCAGGTCTTGCGTACACGGGTGATTCTTGCGAATGCATCATGACTGCCATTGTGAAGGAGTCTTGAGGGCCGAGGAGAAAGGGGTCAAGGCGGGGTTATCCAAGTGTTGCGACTTGTCAATTCTGCGCCTTCCACGACCAATTCGTACTTTCACCGATCGTTCTTGCCAATACCAGTATTGGCGACTTTCAAGGCTTCATCCCTGATATCAGAGAGGAGCAAAGAAGAACGATTTGGGAGGCTTGCAAGACGTTCTTGAATTTGTGCTGAGCTGAGATTACACTGCCAATGCTCCACAGGAAAGAGCCACTCAGATCAAAGCCGTTGCGCCGTCGATCCCTGGAAAATCACCCCCTGGAGCCTCTCCCTATCCGGCACATCTCCTTCCAGAACATGTCAACAGGAGACTGACTTGTTCAACACTTTGAGCTCCTCTACTTCTTGATCATATCTTATCTCCAAGACGCGCGTAGTCCGTCTCTCTTGACCTCCTACAATACTTCAAGACCATCCTGAGCCCTGACTACTGACTCGCGTCTTCTTGACCATCCCAAGATAAAATTAGATATGCTCATTTATACGGAGAGATGCATGAACATGTTCGGATGAATTGTCTCGGAGCTTCTAAGGTGCAGGAAACTGTTTCCGTGCAGTATAGGAAGACTGTTTCATTGCACTGACCGCTGCATCTCCTTCGTGTGCCTAACTTCTTACCTTGTTTGCCTACGAGAGCTCTCGGATCTCCTGTTTGTAACATCAAAATTGTCTGAGAAAGCTTCCCTAGAATGCCCTTTCCCCTCGTACTCTGTTGTGGGCTTATGCTACATCACTTCCGTTCTCTGGTTTCTGGCCTATCTGTCGCGACGTTGACCTCACCTACGTCCATCGCAACGATACGGACGAAGACAAATACTGGCGGCAGCAGCAACAACAGCACAGCATGCGGTGAGAGAGCGATCCCTTGCAGTGATATGGGCTTGGTGCTAGCAGGATGAGAAAGATGGAGTCGTTCAGGAGGGGAGATTTTATAGTCAACAGGTGATGAAGAAATTGGGATTTCCCTCCCTTGCTTTGTTGTCCAACTATGCTCTGGTCAGCAAGAGCCTTGCAAGCCTATACTAAGAGACACGTTCTGCAATGGCAGCCGGTATTGCAGTCGATATTCCTTTCGAGCAGGGTCGCACAAGAAACATTCATATGAGAAAAAGGAGGAAAAAGGAGAAAAAAGCACAAAGAAGAACCCACGATTCCAAGAGCGACGCCATCAGCTCCCTGCGACCAGCAGGAAGACGCCCATCCAGTAGCGCTGACAAGAGGTCTCAAACCGCTTACACAATATCCATCAGTACTCAGTACATGTTCACTCAATATGTGAGTAAGTCAGCTGGTGGGAATTTCTCAAGCAACCAAGATGCGCTGGCAGCAAGCCACAGAAGAATAATGCCGGCCGCCTTACCATGATACCATAGCAGAACTCGGCCGAAACAGCAGGTCATAAAGTCGAAGTCGTCGTGGAAAAGGACTCTGATGCGATTCGTGGGCATGAGCGGTGAGAGACAGAATCGGGAAGTCGGGCTTTTCGCAACGCTTCTCGAGACAACACGCTGTCCAACAAACCAACAAACCAACAATCTCGCTTTCAAGCTCTCTCTCAAGTCGAAAGTTCCGGGTAGAAAGTGTGATGAGCACTCGCAGAGTGTGTGATGTCGCGCTGGAGATGACGAGGCCCAGCAAGTTTATTTGTGTGTTTCCAAAAATGCACAAGACACGCGAGGGATTGGGGGATTGACAGGTCCGCGATAGATTGAGGGTTACGCCATCATCTTTACCGCCCAGCAAACCATTCGTCGGGGAGCATCGGTGCAACTCTGGCAAAATGACTCTCTGACCATCAAAGCAGGTTTGTGCAGGCACGGGCGCCGACCACCAATGCACATGCTGGCCAACCACACATCAAACCAGTACTCCTGACTATCATCGGCAATCCGCACGCGTCTGTAGGCGATCACTCCATCACATCAATGCTGCAATGCATCGCTATTCCGACCAATCTGCTGCTCCAGCATCCCTGTCCGGCAAAATTGCACGCTGGCGCTTGCAGAAACCCCGCTTGCCGGCCTGATCTCTGGTCTCGCATATGTAAACCCTCTTGCTGCCCAACTTGTTTCTGCCTTTCTCTTCCAACGATACCCAATCCGCTCTTCTCTATTTTACCCTTGGCACCTTCCTGTCTCTCGTGCTCTGCACATTGTTTTGCTTCAAGAGACCATCTCAAGAACACAATCAAGTGTAACAGGCTTTATATTTGAGCCAGTTTACCATACTTCCAGGATGACATATCGCAACCGCGAGGAATATTTGGACAGGTATTGACCCAAGTCTCACTGTTTGTTTTGCTTTTACCATACCCGGATGTTTGCCCAACCGGGCTTTTTGCTGTTCTTTCTTTGCGTTTCGTCTTGCTTTTACACATTTGGAGCCAGCCTTTTTAGGAAACCATTTGGACAATCCCAGGACCACCCGTACCCAAGATGTCAGGAACACAGGAAACCCAGCCGGATATGGATGGACCATTACAAGGATCAGCCATGGACCTTGATGATCTCTGTAGTACAACATAATCTTTGGAACCGGGTAGGTACATGAGGGTCCGGACTTGCTCTCGTCAGCCAACAACTGTCTACTTAGGACAACCACTTTGCACTTCCTTTGCTTGCTGCTGTGACAGCTCTGTTGTCAGTCATCTTAAATGAAGAAGACTTGTCTTTGAGTTCGTCCGTAGTAATGCTTGGAGTGTAAATATTCCCATGCCGGATAGGATTGGTCCATTTGTTTCCCCTAGGAATTTTCCGCCTTCGTGCTGAGGTCTTGTTGTGCCATTCCTTGGCATCATCCGGCGACAGACTTTTGACCTACCCTTGCCGGACAAGAGATCTTAAGCAGACATGAATTACTATTTGCATGTTCACGTTTGATGCTCTCCCTTCACCCTGACTTTCACCAAAACGACATTTGAGACAAAGCACAACAAGGACGCTACCAATTGTTGACGTCTAATGGGTCCCAAGGAAAGCTGGTCGCCACTGTTCATCTTCAACTCGTGCTGAGCGCTACGCTCCCTCTTCTTCAACACTGAAGGATCCTTGGTTGACCGCCTCACGTCTTCTCAGACATGCCTCAGCAACGTCGTGTATTCAGACTCGCGATCACAACCGTATTTGGCCTTGGACCGGATCCTGAACACCGCCATTAATAGACGAATCCTTAGCACTACTGCATGAATCACTCTCAATAGCTGGACCTAGGCCTCGTTTCTCTCGGAACGACCAACTGGTCTGTCGAGGACCAACCTATTTTGGGTCATGACAAAAGCTAACGTGCAACAGGCTGCTCCTCTCCCCACGCTTTAATCACAATTCATAGTTCTTTTTCTGCTCCGTCGAACTGTTGTCGCTGACTTTTGATCTTTTAATATAGCAACTGTCACTTTCTCCCCTCTACTTGCACAAACTCTTTGTTTGCCTCGCCTTCTGAGATCTGCCACTGGAACTCTTCTGTTTGGGACACCACCTTTTTGACACCCCCAACCTCACCAGTGGACTCTTTGGAAGACATCTCAAGCCAATCTTCAGATTCCGGTCTCTTCTCAAGTGACTCCCTAAGCACTTACAGCATGGACTACAGCACTTACCATTCATCGGCATCACCGGAGACCAAGATGGAACATATCCCGGACACTGATTTCTATGCTACCTCTGGATGGACAGATGGCATGTTCATGCCTGGACCAGCACCATTCTCACCGGTTATGAGTGACACAAACCAGAGTGCCTACACTCTTCCTGCATCGGACGTAAGCTTCCCTTCCCTTGGACCATCGATTTCGCAGGAAATGCCCATGATGGACGCCTACCAGGCCAACAGCTGGTCATCTGAGCAGCCCAGTTACAATTTCTTTGCTGAGCCTGCCGTGACCGAGACTGAGATGTTTGCTTTCCCTGCCCAAGGAATGGATGTTTCTCAACCCACTTTCAATGCCTGGTACCCCCCAACGGAAGCCTCTGCAGAAACATACTTTGCCATGGACACTCAGGGACAAAGCTTTGCCAGGATGATTCCCCAAACCGCCGGATTTGTAGGCAACCCAGTGACCATGGTTCCCACTACCGGTTATAGCAGCTCAAACCTCCAAGGTGGTCGCGTCAGAGTGGACAGCTTATATACTCAAGCTTGCCCACGAGATGTTGCAGTAAGTCACAACCATATTCCATCGGATGCCCATATATCGGATGTCGCTGGACCCCGCCGGATGACCGTACCTGTTTCTTTGAATGAGCCTGTCCAGGCCATTCCTGTCCCAAAGAGCGAGCAAGACGTCCCTTACGGAGCCCCCATCCAACAATACAGGTCTCACGTGCCAGGATACCCCAGTGGATTAACCATGCCATTTGCCGGACAACCCGAGGTTCCAGTTCTAGGAAGTAACGCTTCAGTCTCATCCGTAGGCAGTGTCGCTCCTTCCGGATATGAGGATATTCCCTGCAGCCCGGCATCGTCGACCGCAACCACCAGGACCAAGACCGAGGATACTGATGGCCGTGCCCGCACTGACGTGTTGTACTCTGCCAAGCCCGGTAGAGATGGCAGCTACCGCTGCCCCTTCGTGACTTCAGAAGGATGTCAGCACAAGGCAACCAAGCTGAAGTGTAATTATGAGTGCGTGAGCCCTTCTGTCTTCTCGAGCAAGCTCTAACGTCGAATTGCAGCAAGTACATTGATTCGCACATCAAGCCGTTCCGTTGCAAGCACCAGAACTGCAACAACAACCGTTTCTCCTCCACCGCTTGTCTGCTCCGCCACGAGCGTGAGGCCCATGGACTCCACGGACATGGAAACAAGCCTTTCCTCTGCGAATTTAAGGACTGCGACCGTTCAAGCTCGGACAATGGATTCCCCAGAGCATACAACCTACTTGACCATATGAAGCGTGTTCACGGATACCGCCCGGAGAAGGTGGCCAAGACACCCCCAGCCCAGCACGCCGGAAGACTTCCAGGAAAATCCCAGGACAAGGTGAAAAAGAGAAAGATCACCGGAGAAGTGCCTCAGCAGAAGAGCTCCGCTGTGAAGAAGGAGACTGCATCTCCGAGACTTGCGCAGAAGCTCGCTGTTGACCAGCGTAAGCAACAGATGACTGCCCAGTGGCAGACTCAGGTCAACGAGATGCAGAGACGTTCTCGCCAGTTCGGATGAATGAACCACAGGATCCCAGGACACTTGACACATGACACAGATTATGGACCAGAACATTGCCCCTCCCGGATAGATTGATCCAACTCCCAAAGGATGGAATACCGGACGGATTTTCCGCCCAGTGGCATTCGTTTGGATTTACTCTAGGAGACACCCGTCTCTCTCGAGATTGGACATGGAAGTGAGAAGCATCCCGCCAGGGGATTTGCGAGACGTGAGAGAATCACCCTAGGAATGAGGAAAGCATAGATTGAGACACCAGTCTCTTTCTTACAGGATAGAAGATGTGCAGCTCAGATTGGACCCACCAAGTTTTCGGTGTTAGACGACAGGATTGTTCCAGCTTCGTCAACAACATTTTAGTTTCTTGTTTTTGTTTTGCTATTGCTATTTCCGTTTCTTGTTCTTTGTTTACACTGTTTTTAGTATTACACTGCTTGTCGCTGTACAAAAAGTACAGCTTGTTAGATAGAGAAAATGCGCATACATGTCTGTTTTGAAATGTTTAGCAAGAGGCCCGTAATCACAAGACCGCCTCTCCAAGGGTCATCCCATGGTCAGCAATGGCGGGGTACGTATCGCGATAAATCAGCACATCATGCTGCAACCTGTATCATCGCATCCTGCAGGAATAACAACACAACATAATGTCAAATCTTCAACGACGATGACCTCTGCTGCTCGGAAGAGTTGCCCAGGAGAGTTTGGCTTGAATAAATTAAAGTTGACAAGCAGGGTTCTGTCAAGCGAAAGTCTAATCCCCGAACCTCGGCGGGAAAGCGAGCGAGCGAGCGATTTGGCATGAACGGAAGCTGCGTCATCCGAGGGGTGGAAGAAACGAGAAAGCATGTGAAGGGGCACCTGGCAGTTTGTCGATGCCCGTGTGGCCTTTTGCTCGTGCTCACAAATCATTCCAGAGTCGCGCGATCCAGATCAATTCTCCGTATATGAAGCCTGTCTTGCCGCGATCCGTGTGTTTCTTGCCTACTGCTGCTTCACTTTCTTACAAGTCTTTTGCCTATAACATCAACACTTCCAGAAGGTCTTTCTTCGGTTTCGGAAAAGCAACAACCACACCACAAACTTCAGCGACCATGTCTTCTGCTACCTCTTTCCACGAGTTCAAGCCCCTTGACAGTATGTGATGGCCTTGGAGACGGTTGTGCGACGAGAACTGACAGCGATGCGCAGAGAAGGGCAACGTCTACGACCTGTCCAAGCTCAAGGGCAAGGTCGTCCTCGTCGTCAACACCGCCAGCAAGTGCGGTTTCACCCCTCAGTTCGAAGGCCTCGAGAAGCTCTACAAGGGTATGCGCCTTCTTCCCCCCCTCTCCTCCCCTCTCACTTCACACAGCGCATCTCACTAATCCATTCCCCTCACAGAACTCAAGGCCGCCCACCCCAACGATGTTGAATTCCTCGGCTTCCCCTGCAACCAGTTCGGCTCCCAAGACCCCGGCAACAATGACACCATCCAAGAGTTCTGCCAGCTCAACTACGGCGTCTCCTTCCCCGTCCTCGGCAAAACCGACGTCAACGGCGACAAGGCCGAGCCCGTCTTCGAGTGGATGAAGAGCGAGCAGCCCGGTCTCATGGGCCTGAAGAGAGTCAAGTGGAACTTTGAAAAGTTCCTGATTGGCAAGGATGGCAAGGTCAAGGGTAGATGGGCTTCCACCACCAAGCCTGAGAGCTTGAAGGCTCCCATCGAGGCTCAGCTCAAGGCTTAAAAAGTGCTGAGATGATGAGCTGCGCAGAGGGAGAGAGAAAGATGGAGGATGACATATGCATGTTTTACATGACTTGCGCGGAGAGACGTGGCGCGAGTCTAGTTGATAACCCTGATACCCGTGTGATTTCTTACAGGCAAATATTCTATCACGAGAATGAGAATGATATAACAAACTTCTGTTGCTTCTCCAGGAACATGCTTGACTGTCCATGACATGATCGTACTTCAGCGGCTTGAAATTTGAAGCTGCCTCATCGCGCCTGCCTTTTGTAAGAGACCTTTGCAGAGTAACAGACTTCTTGATCATAAAAAGCATCACTGGTGTGACAGAACATCCTTATCAGAGAGCTGTGTATGGAATTAAGCCACCAGACAGATACGGTCGCACAAGAAGATGGATACGAGAGCCTCGGAACTGGTGACGTTGACTGACTCGAAGCGCGCCGAACCTCAAACCATCCTTCCTCTCACTCCTCCTATACCATCGCTATATACATCCGACAAATAATCAAATCGAGGAAGGTAAGCAAAAACATCGTCTTCTGTGGATTCTCTCTTGCTGTGTTTCCTGCTCTTCTTCGTTGCTGTCCGAATAAACACGTACCTCTTATCGTGCGTGCTATTACCCTCTTCCCTTTTACGTGTCACCCTTGAATCAAGATACCATAAAGGGTACAAAGATACCCAGTCGATTTTGTTTTCTTTCTTAAACTTGTCGTCCAGATACTTTCAAGTGTCGCACGTTTGCCAAATCTCTCTTTCCCCAATCCTGTCTGCTACACTCATCTCGGCTTCCAATTAGAAAAGTGGTCTGACAGAATTTCTGATAGAAGTTATTAGTCAACATCTCATTTTTCAAGAGGACAGAAAACTCCCATCTTTTTTTCAAGCTCTTTCTCGATGTGGGGCAATAATATCCCAGTCCCAGGCGGCCTCAACACTCGGGATTTGAAATCGCCTTCCACAAGCCAACAAGAACAAATGCTCCGCGCCGCCGCCCTCAGCACGGGCAAAAAACTGCACGTCGGTATCGTCGGCGCCGGATTCGCAGGTCTACGCGCCGCCGATGTCCTTGTCTCCCACGGCCACCGCGTGACCATCCTCGAAGCCCGAAACCGTGTTGGTGGACGAGTGGGCCAATCCAATCATCTAGGACACACGGTTGATCTAGGACCGAACTGGATACATGGAACAGATGACAATCCGATTTTCGATATTGCGAAGAAAACGGATACGCAGCTGCATTATTGGGATGAGAGACAGAGGGTTATAGATACGTGTGGAGAAGCGCTGAATAGCGAAGAAGCAGAGGAATATGGAAGGATCATCTGGGAAGATGGACTAATCAGTAAAGCCTTTGCGTACAGCAGGGAAAACACCGCTACCATCGACGCATCAGCATCGCTTATGGATTTCTTCACTGAAAGGGTAGGAGAGTATTTTACTGATTTGGATGCGAAAGAGGCGGAAAGAAAGAGGAACACACTGCTCAACATTTGCGACTTTTGGGGTAGTTATGTGGGTTCTCCGACTAAGAGGCAGAGTTTGAAGTTCTTTTGGTTGGAGGAGTGTATTGAAGGTGAAAATCCGTTCGTGGCAGGGACATACACGAAGATCTTGGAACATGTGGCCAGACCTGCGTTGGAGAAGGCAGAGATCAAATTTAACACCAAAGTCACTGGCATCACGGGGAGAAAGAGCCAGGATGAGAACGTCAAAGTGGAAGTGGAAGGGGAAGGGGGAGAGAAGTTTGAATTCGATGAAGTGGTCATGACTGCACCGCTAGGATGGCTAAAGAGGAACAAGGATATCTTTGTGAATGGCTTGACGGGAAGATTGGAGAAGGCCATTGATTCGATCGGCTATGGTGCTTTGGATAAAGTAAGTCTCCTACCACCCTCTTTCTCTCCAACAAGATATTAATCCCCAAACACAGATCTACATCACCTTCCCCTCCGCCTTCTGGGAAAACACCCCCTCCGAACCCTCAGGAACTTCCACCCTCCCAATCGCAAACTCCCAAACACCAAACACAACAGCAACAACAACACCCCTCCACCAAGCCCCCTCACAGCCAACATCAAACTACCCAGGCTTCACCCACTGGCTCAAACCCACCTACGCCAACGACACAAACCCTCACCAATGGGACCAACAAGCCATGAACCTCGCCGCTCTCCCCAGCCCCTCGGCCCATCCTACCCTCCTCTTCTACATCTACGGCCCTTGCTCCTCTCACATCGCCTCTCTCGCTGCCCTCCCCCAACCCTCCCGCGATAAATCCCTGTTATCTTTCATCTCACCGTATATTTCGCGTCTACCTTCCTATAATCCCTCCTCTCCTGCCTGTATGCCCTCCTCCATCTTCGCCACCGCATGGGCAGGCGATGAATTTGCTGGCTATGGCAGTTATGCAAATTTTCAAGTCGGGTTGGAAAATGGAGATGAGGATATCGAGGTCATGAGGGAAGGAATGCCCGAGCAAGGGATTTGGATCGCTGGCGAACATACTAGTCCGTTCGTTGCGTTGGGGACGGCGACGGGGGCGTATTGGAGTGGTGAGAGGGTCGGGTTGAGGATTTTGGGTAAAGGACCGGAGGAGGTGAGTAGGGAGGTTGCTGAGAAGGAAGGAGGGAAGGAGAAGGAGTAGGGTAGAAGAAGTATGATGTGGTTTCTTGAGCATATCTACCAGCCATTCTGCATTCTGTAATTTGGCACTATGCAATCGTCATCTAGACTTTTGGGAACCGATCTTTCCGGGAGTGAGGTGCCTTTTAGAGGCTTCGAGATGCTGATGAACAATTCGAGCAAGTGCTTTGCAACCTTGGTAGAGGCAGAGGTCCAATCTTGCTTGTTGAAAGGAAATGTAATACCTCGCGGTATCTCTTTTGCTTTTTGCTTGTATAGATCCTTCGATATGTTTTGACGTCCTAGCCTTTGGTGGCATGAACCACACTCCCTTACTGTACAGATGACATCCATATCCAGCCTCTTTCACACTTCCTCTTCTCAACCATGCATGCCCCTTACAATTTACCCTCAGTCTCCTCGACATATTTCTTCAAATGCTCAATGGTAACAACCTTGATGCCATACCTCCTTCCAAACTCAATACACTCCTTCGCCCTCATCATATGCAAACCACCTCTTTCCGCTTTCCCTTCCACCTCCGTACTCTCCTCTACAATCTCCGCAATCACACCTACATTATTGACGTCTCCACTCAAACGCGCAAACTCAACCGCAGCTTCTGTATGCCCCTGTCTCTGCCTCACACCCCCAGCCACCGCACGCAACGGCACCACATGCCCAGGTCGTCTAAAATCATCCGCCTTCACATCCTTCTCCGCCAGCAATTTACAAGTGGTGCTGCGATCGGTGGCCGAAATGCCCGTGGTGACGTTTTCGGCGGCGTCGATGGTGATGGTATAGGCAGTACGATTGGGATCGGAGTTTTCGGAAGCGGCGACCATGGGAGGGAGGTCCAATTTATCGGCTAGGGCGTTGGGGAGGGCGGCGCAGAGGTAGCCGGAGGTGTGGTGGATCATGAAGGAGGCTTTTGCTGGTGTGAGGGCTGAAGCGGCGATGATGAGGTCGCCTTCGTTTTCGCGGTGGGGGCTGTCGAGGACGAGGACGAATTCGCCGGCGGCTGGAAGGGGGGGGAGTGTGTTAGTGAGGTATAGAGGAGGGGAGGGTGCGGGAGGTGTACCGAAGGCCTTGATGGCGGAGGGAATGTCGTCGAAGACGAGGTCGCTGGAGTGGTCTGCCATTGCTGTGGTCGTGTGTGATTTGCGCGATCTAATGAAGAGGTGTAGAGTGTCGAGGGGTGTAGTTGTTGTTATCAAAGCAAGTTGGCGCAATTGTGGATGATGTGCTTGGACTCGTCGCTGATGACTGTTCGACTCTCCGAAACACGCCGCGTTCGCAATAACTGATTACTTGAGCAATTGGTAAGCGGTCAATTTCAATTCCTCAGGCCAAAATCGTGATATCAACAATAGCCAGTCAAGGCTTATGAGATAGAGTATATACTTGTACGAGAAAGGATTCGATTGCTATCTAAATAGTCGTGGAAGAAAGTGTCATAGAGATGCTCGTACACTTCGGAGAGCAGTCGCATAGCGGGGCAACAAGCTCGCCCACTTTCCCTTCGCAAGAGCTGCCCAAAATTCCCCGAACCCCGAAGATCCGAGCTAAACTTTAACCATCTTTGGCCAAACAATCAAGACCTAAGTATGGTTAATTAGCTGCATTTTCTTGGTTTAGCCTCCTCCATGCTTCCACAGCATTTCAATTACTCCCGTTGACTGCTCGGCCACAGGTGCTTCATGTCCCCACTCTGTCAAATTTATGCGCATGTGATTAGTAGAATACTCACCATCCCACAACGCCGCAAACACCCCCTGACTTGTATACCTTCATGATCCTGGAACAGGCGAGTATCTGCAGAATGTATCCTCGGGGGGTACCGCCAAGTAAGCTGCACTGTGGAATTTGACAACCTCCCCACCGCGAAGTAGACTGTATTCGAACATGGCCTGCCGAAAGTAGCGAAACTGACAGAGCTCGTCCATTGTGCAGCAGCCCTTAAGACGGGTATAGCATCGATATCTTGTTAATCTCACTTCCAATCCTTTTCGACCTGTGACTGCCGCACTTCAAGTGGTTTTGCATCGCGATATCTCCGGAGCGACATGGCAAGCACGACCAAGAATTTGACTAGTTTGGCGACAAACTATGAATGGCGCAAATCATTCCTGGATACACACGCTCTATGATTACAGACTTTTAAAAAAGAATGTGTGGAAGAGAATATTTCCGAACCATCATACATCACACCTCGATAACTACACAATAAACGTCCGTCTATTCCGCCTCCTCCAAGAAGAACGTCTTCATAGACCTAGGCTCAATCGGCGCCGTAAACCTGCCACCCTCAAAGGCAAACTGCCCAGCCATGGTAACATTATGCTCGTTATCAGTCAAATAAGCAGTAGCCCTGCTCACATTCGTAGCCCCCAACTCCACAGCCAACGTATAAGTATAATGCGCAGAATTGATGACGGGAATAGCGATCGTGCCGTTCTTGTTCTGCCATGCGGTTACGCGGACCTCTTGGACACTGCTATCGGCAAACAGACGCACGGCGCCGGGACGGGCGAAGCGGAAATAGCCTGCGAATGCCCATAGGCGGGCGGAGACTTGGTAGGAAGTGCCGTTTACTTGGACCAGAGCGGCGTCTGTGGGAGAGGTCCAGCTGCACCACCAGTGGCTCCAGCCGGCGACGTTGTTGACGAAGGCATGGTGCATGTAGTTGGCCCACTGGAAACCTTCAAAGTTGTTGCCGACGGCATCCCAGGTGCGTGTCCAGGTGTTGCCGCCATCGCTCCATTCCGTTTCTAGTGTAGGCTGGCCGGCTAAGAGGTCGTCGAACGGCTCCTTGATATCAGACTGGTAGTTATGGTAGGTGTTTACATCAAACAGTGTCTTTCCTCCAAGACGTCCAAGTTCGTATAGCAGATCTCTTTGCTGTCTAGCACCAGTTGCATCACAGCAGGACACATCCAAGCTAGGGAATGCCTTCTTGACCATAGGATAAAAGATACTCAAGAAATCGTACGCTTGGTATCCATCCGACAGCATAGCAGAGTACGTTATCGGGTTAAAATCCGGCTCATTGTAAGCACCCAGCAGAGATACCTTGATACCGCGTTGTTGGTACAGTCGCACGTATTCGATCAGGTAGTTTGCATAGGCTTCACGCCAGTCGTAGGTGCAGTTGCTACCACGCACACCACAGATGACACCACCTCCTGCTTCACGACCGGTAGTTTTGAAGCAGCCAGGTGCTGACCAGGCGTCTGCATACAAGTACAAGTCTGGATTGTATTTAATCGCATTCTGAGCCAGAGTCAACTGACAACTATCGTTGGAAGCAGTAGGGAAAGTGTAATTGAAAGGGCCAGCAGGAGTCGCGGGACAAGTAGGAAGAATAGTTGTGCCAGCAGAAGACCCAATCAAGTTACGGAGGATGGATAGGGCACCAATGTTTTCGTCGAACAGGGTACGGACGACGGCATCCTGGTCGGCTGCTGAGAGGGTGTTTGTGGTGCATGCGGCTCCGAAGGCGCCGGAGCAGCCACCGCCAAGCATGGTCTGGTATCGTTGTTCGACATTGACTTTGATGGTAGCGTCGAAGGATAGAGATTGGTTTGAGTAAGAGGGACTGTGGTGGGGGGGCCAGTGTCCATTAGCGGACACAGCGCTGGCAGCGGCTGTTAGGATGAGAGGATACTTCATCTTGAATTTGAGGCTGCGGAAGGTATGGATTGAATAAGAAAACAGGACATTGTAGTCAGCCAGTCACCTTATATACGCTTTCGAACTTTTCTTGCGCTCCATTGAATGTTTTGGCAAAATGGCACTCTCCAACTGCCCCGCAATGACCCATGAGGAAACATTGAGAGGCTGCAGGTACATATGTTAGCCGGGCCATGTAGAGAAGGCAACAAGTCAAGTATGGCCAGCCGCATGTATGAAGACCGGAATCCGGCATCCTGACCACACGATTGAAGTTAGTCGACCTGCAGACTTTTGATATCCCCGCATCGCTCCATGATTACTTCTGGCTAAATGTACTGTGCCTAAGCATAACTGTCGATCATTCATGGGGAAACCTCATGGCTAAAAACAAGCATCAAACCCAAGAGGATTGACTCGCAGTGCGGAGCCGTCCGGCAGACGCCTTGCGTAGAGGGAAATGCTTGTATGCAAGCCTCAAGACGGATTCTTGGTCGAGGGGAGTCACGCCGGCAGATGACGTGGCATGGTTGATGTGCCTAGGCGGAAACTTATGCTGCTGAGGAGCGTTACTCGTGATGCGAGATGGCCAGTGTTCTGACCAAGACCGTGTCAGTCGTGAATTGTCAATGTTGGTGTCAACTTGTTGCGAAATTCCAGCATGAGAGCATTGGCGCCGCAGTGCGAGCTGTGACATCCGATGCGGTTGCCGGGCTACTCCTGTCGTTGCTGTGTAATGATATACAGTTATTTCGGCGAATCTTGTACATACGGCCACAGTCAGCTGAAAACTGGGCATCCCGTCCGCTCTGCCATACATAAGCAGTTGAACGGCAGATTAGTACTACGGTGGGTGACCACGTGGGAATCCCTGCTGCTGTATGTTTTGCATTTGTTTTGCTCTTCCCGCTTCTTTTTGGCTGTCGCATCGACTCTGTCTGTCCTTCCATGGCAATTCTGCACTTGCTTCTGTTTTGTCCGTCTTTCAAGATGATGCTTTAAGCAGACGCATCGGATTGAAAGCAGCCAACTTTTTCCCCAAACATGAAAACCCCCATCTTCAACACCATCCCTCTTTTTGCGCCAAAGAAGCGCCCTCTCTTCACCATGCCATCACCCCAATAGTCTAGAATGACCTCACTCTCAAAGTGGCTTGAGACATCTCACCACCAAGAATCTCCCTTCTCCCAGCCTCCCTCGCCAAAGAATGCGAAGGGTCTCGGGGTGTCCGAGCGCTGTTGTGAGAAAAAAGCAGGGACCTTGCGCAAACCGTTGCAGGGTAGACTTCTTCCCCGTTGCTTCTATCGATCGTGGCTGAGACAATAGTCTCAATGTGAGATTTGGCAAGGGGACTGCATGTCAGCCTTGCCAGCCAGCCACTGATGTGTGGAAAAGCCACCACAGGTGAGAAGTGACAGAGATGAGGCAGAGAAAGCGAGGACGCAAAGAAGAGGTTTTTGGTGAAAAAAGGTTTCTGTGGTATATACATCTAATCTGGTGAAAAGGAAAAAGAAAAAACACCTTGCGGTAAAAGGAGTGATCAGGTTCGCATCATAAAAGTTCAATCAGTTCTCAGTTCAAAATCAAAAAAGCAGAAAAATGGCAGAAAAATCAAAATCCCGGTGCTGTTGGGTCCCATGCTCGCTGTCTAATCTTCGCGGTAAAATTTTGCAACTCCTCATAAATGAATGTCTTTGTACGTTGTTGGTTGTGATTGTCTCAGGGAAACTCGATCAGAGAAGAAGCTGTTTAGCAACGGCCCTGGTCAAGAGTCTGGCGGGTGTACTGGTAAGACTGTCTGCAGTCGTACTTGTTGCTGCCAGAGTAGCCACCGGTGTAGGTGGCGTAGCTGGTGCTGATGGAAGCATCGTACAGAGCGCAGTAGGTACCGTGAGGGATACCGTTCTTGTGCAGGTAGTAGGCGTTGAAGCTGTTGCAAGGGGTGAAGTACGACTTGCCGGCAGCGATGGCGGTCTTCTTGTTGACAACGTGCTGGTACGAGGCGTAGTCGGCGCAGACCTGGGGGTTGAAGGGACCGGGGAAGAACTTGGATCCCATCCAGTAGTTGGGGGCGTTGATGGCCTTACCACCGCAGGTCTTGGGGCTGGTCCAGGTAGGGCCCTTGGGGCTGGAGCTGGCAGTGGCCGAAGCGGAAGCGGAAGCAGAGGTCGAAGAAGCCTTGACAACAGAAGAAGAGGCGGAGGAAGAAACAGCGCTGGAGCTGGGGAGAACAGCAGTGGCGGTAGACAGAACCGAGGAGACAGCGGAGGTGGCGGTGGAGGTAGAGTTGTCGACAGTGTCAACGACGGTAGGAGGGAAAGTGGTGTTGGTAGCGTCGTATCCGTTAGAACCAGTGATAACAACGTTAAAGTCCTCGCGCCAGCCGCCGCCATTCAATGCAGTAGCAGCCTCAAGGTTGCTACCCCACAATGTGCACTTGAAGTTGGTGATAGAAGTGGGGTTGGGGCACCAGTAACCCCAGACGGTAGCGGCAGTAGAGTCGTTCTTGGTGGGGTTCTGGCTGGGATCACGCTCAATGTAGATGTTGAAGGCAGTGCAGAGAGAGGTGGTGTCGCAGTGGGCGGCACAGTCAGCAACGCTGTACGAAGTCAAGGTGTAGAGACCAAGGTACGAGTTGGCGCTGGAAGAAGCGTTCAAGTCGCGGAAAGTCTGCTGGTAGGCATTGCCGGCAACATTGTTGCTGGGGACGACAGTAGGAGCGGCAGAGGCCATGCTGTGGAAGGGAGCGTAGGCAAGGAAGGCATCAGCAGTGTCAGGGGTAACCTTAGGGCCGTAACCATCGGGCTGAGGAGCGCAAGGGTCCTCAGGGTTGATGAAGCCGCAGTAAGTGCCATCCTCAGGAGTAGTAGGGCAGGCAGTGGTCGAAGAGGTAGTTCCAGAGACGGTGTTGATGGTGGCCGAACCGGAAGAGGTCGAGCTGGCAACAACGGAAGAAGATGAGGCAGCAACCGACGAAGAGCTGGAGCTGGAGCTGGAGCTGGCAACAACCGAAGAGGAAGAGGAAGTGGAAGAGGCAACCTTGGAAGAGGAAGCGGTAGAAGAAGTTCCGGCAACAGGGGTGTAGTAGAGAGGAACCCAGGCACAGTTGGTAGGGATGGTAGGAGCGAAGTAAAGCTTGCCATCGTTGTTGCAAGTCATGGCCTGCTGGAAGACACCGTTGGCCTTGCACTCCAACCAAACGGAAGCAGTGTTTTGCGTGCAAGTGATGTAGCTGTAGCTCTGACCAACGGTGCTGAAGTAAGTGTACTCAGGGATAGAGCTGGTACCACGGTTGGCAGCGTAAGCAGCACCAACCTCGTAGAGGTAACCAGTCTTGCTGTCAATGTAGAACTGAGTGGCAGAGGCCTGGCTAGAGACGTAGCTGGCAATGCCATCGTTCCCGGCAGAGCAGCCAAGGAACTTGTTGTTGGCGTCCTTCAGGTAGAAGTTGTTGGTAGAAGCAGTGGCAGTAGCGGCGACCGAGGACGAAGAAGTGGTCTTGGTGCTGCTGGTGCTGGTGCTGGTGGTGCTGCTGGTGGTAGTACCACACTGGGTGCCGAAGAAGACACAGTTCCACCAATTGTAGACACCGACAGTGCGCTTGTCAAGGTTGCGCTTGTTAACAACCTGAGCTGGAGCAGTGGAGACTGCGGTGGCCTGGGTAGAAACAGCGGCGGAGATAGACTGAGCAATGGCAGCGCTGCTGATGGTGACAGTCTGGTTGGAGACACCGTTCAGAATGGGAGCAGTCTGAACAGCAGGGGCAGCAGCAAGCTGGTCGAAGTCAAGCTGCTGGGGAGCAGGAGAAGCGGCTGCGAGACCGGTGAGGGCCGCAGCCGAGAGGAAAGTGGCGGCAGTGCGCATAGTGATCAGTTGATCAAGAACGTGGTCGGTAGTTGGGTTGGTTGGTTGTTAGAGATAGTGGTGAAGTTGGTAGTTGATTGCTCTGTAGAGAGTGTATGGGGTGAGAGAGAGTGGTTGAAAGAGAGTGTAGGAAGTGAGAGAATGATTGAGATGCTGATGATGAAAAAAGAACGACTTGGAGGAAGATGAAGCCTACATATATACTTGAGATGCATGTTAGCATCTCGCTGTGGCTGTAGGCATTTGGCATAGTAGTGGCCTGGGCGCTTGACATCAGCGCCCGGTGGGTTCAGAGGCCCCTGCCCCAGAGCCGGAAGTGTAAATACGTCGGTCGTAGAGCGCCACGGGCAGCCATGGTCGAGTTCTTTGAGATGTCTCAGAAGCAAAGACCCTCGATTTGGCTTTACGATGTTATTTCCTCCTGCTTCTGGTAAGTGCTCTCGGATGTCAAGCCGAATCTTTTGGAATTCGAGAAGGAAGGGCCTTCAGACTATCGAATACTGCGGAGTGGCTGGACATCCCGTGATTTGCTTGTCTTTTGGGGACATGAAAGACAGTCTGCCTCTCGAGTGTGCGCTGTACAGCCACGGAGTTGACCTTGGCCATGTCTGACTACCGAAAGCCTGGTCGCTGGACCGTGGCTATCGATCAATCGATAGCTTTTGACGGGTCGATACCTTCACGGGCGGCAGTCAGAGCAGTTGGAAACGAAGATGAAAAACTGCGTCGCCGCTCACCGAACAGTTGCCAAGGGTAGTGCACGGGCATGCCATTTCGTTATGGAGGCCCTCTGCTGCTAGTTGGATGTCTAGATGTGACATCTTGGACCTACTTGAAAGATCCCACATACCTCTGTGTGAACGAGTATGTGGCACATATCTGATAGCCCTCTGTAGCTATGAGACAAACCTCATCAGCAAGAGATATTCCGTTCATTTTCATGCCTTACAGCTCATATCCGCTGTCGACATGCGTGGCAGGGAAACCATGGGCTTTGATACCGCCCACCGTTGGTGATCTCCAGGGCCAGATGATCGGCGCCGATCCGGCGCGCACGGTGCAAGGTCGAACGGTCAACTTCACTCGGGTTTTCCAGACTCGTGGGTCGACAAGCATAGGAACTCAACGAGCGACACACGCGCTCCTCTCGCGATCAATAGGGCGAGATGTGCCCGTGCCCCTGCCGAGTACGATGCATCGATCTTTCTTCTTTGCTGTACGTGTACATGATCGAAGCAAAGGCGAGACCTTACGGCTCACACTTCATCTGAGACATCGAGCGTAATCGATTGTGTGGACCTGTGCCTCCTCTGCCAGACTCCACGTTCGTCAGACAATACATTCGTACTGACGTTGCCAAGCGGACAAGCAGAAGGAGTGCCCTTCCCAAGCTGTAAGAGCAAGCCCACCTAACCATGTGTTTCGCCCTACCAACAGTCCCGTCAACCGCCATACCTGTTCGCGAGCAACGTCTTTGGTGGTACCTCAAACAGTCCCCGTTAACAACCGATCGCAACGTTACATAGGAGGCTGGGTATCATGCTCGTATTGCATCAAGATACGTTCGATATATCGACTCCTTTCGCCCTGCCAGTAATCTGTGGTATTGATTTTTACTGCCGACGCTTTCATATCATGGATTTTGAAATCTTCCTTGTTGTCGACCCTTCTGGCCGCCCCCTCATTCTGGAGAGACTTGCTCAATGATTGTACGGCCGTTGTCTCTTCGGCTTCTGCGAGACACTGTCTTAAATCTTAGTCTCCGGATTCTCGACTCTGCTATCTGATTTGTCGAATGGCCGGTCGATCCTCCTTATGACGGATCCTTGTGTGTCAGGTCAGGCCAACAGCACGTCTTGACATGACTTCGGTGCGAGACATTCATACAGACTCGAGCATTGTTTGAGCTCAGCTCTGAGTTTCACACTGGATCTGCACAAATAACGTCAACCTTCTTTCGCTGTTGCTTGAACAAACAACAGCTTGTGGTTCGGCACTGCCGAACGCCTTGCAACAATTATCAGTCTTGGGCCGGATGAACTCTCACTGCCGTATGTTCCGGGCCATCGTATCGAGAGACGTCCAGGCTGCTTGAGCTTCGACTCACATGAACGTACGTGGTAATGGAAACCCTCTAACACTACTGACCCATCGGATTAGGTTGAATGCTGTCACGACTAGGTACTCATTGAGCGGGCCACCTCTATGCTTCTTGAGCAGCTTTGTGACTGCATCTCTAGAGGTACCAGGTTCAGTGCAGTGCAGTGCAGTGCAGTGCAGTGCAGTGCAGTGCAGTATCTTGGCCTGTCTTGGCCTTATAGCTGATTCGGAACAGTCTTTCCATAGACCCAGCGCCAAAGATTTATTTCGACTTTTATCCGTCTCCTGATTCGCAACAGCGATACCCCATCTTGGTCTTACAAGAAAGAACTCACACGTGCCTAGCAGTAGGATTGTCGCCCAAGCCAAACAGGAAGTCTAAATCTCGGAGATATTGAAGCTTCTGTCCGAGGTACCTAGACCTCAGCGGCCCAAGCCTCGGTCCTGAACTTTGCTTAATTTAGCAGGTGCATCATCCTCTCTCTCGAATCCCTCCATGGCCATAATCTCTTCCTCTTGGTATGTGGCGTATCGATCTGAGATGAGTAGATACGAGCAAATGGTTCAAGACCACACATATTTCGATGCATCGAAAATATATACAAATGCATCTTTTCCAAATCGAAGCGTCGCTGGAACCTCGCATGCACTTCGACATTTTATATCTACGTCTTCATTCTTGATGATGCTCTCATACGATTCAGGATACCGTCATAGCACGCGCTGTGCAACTTATCGTGTCTACCGCGACTTGTAGAAACGCGGAAAATGTCTCGACTACACGCACCCTGTTCGGCGTAAGGCGTTCAACTCAAATCCCTCGATCAGTAAACGCCCAAGTCGTGGTCGGTGGTCGCGACGCCTAGCGACGTCCAGCGACAAAACTCCACACCGCGAACGGTTTTTTTCCTGAACTTTGCCGGATGCCTGCGGACGTTTCGAACAGAAACATACAGTTGTCAAGGCAAGTCGAGGGTCGAGACACAAAGACGTCGAGTGGATGCCAGACTTTTCGGTGCTATGCAACCATCGTACGGACGTCTTCTGCTCGCTTTCGGTGTGACTTGATCATGAATCTACCTCCGTGGTATGTCACCGCTCAACAACCAACCCTTGATCAATAATCGGCCAGCTTTGCGCAAAATTTGCAACTGGACATTTCTACTCTCTAAGCCTCCATCCATGTCCGTGGATATCAGCCATAAATATCAAAGTCAACCTGGCTGTTTGCAAGTGTGTACGAAGACTTCAGGGAGTCAAAAAGCAACCATTGAGGACTCAGATCATACAAAATTCCACAGACTTGATATCACCTTAGAAGACTTTGCCAGCAGGTTGGGCCCTTGGGGCCCTTCAAGATCTGATACAATGTAATAGGGTAACTCACTCTGGCCTTGTGATGTCTGTTTCCATAGAGGATACTCGTTCTGCCGACATCGTGCCTCTAAGCTTGTATCGGATGAATAGAGGGAATTGTACAAATGCTTTATGATTTTACGCAGCATGGCGATGCTATCGACCTAAAGCATTCTCGTGTCCAGTATTTATGTATTGTTCCTCTGATGTTGTGTACATAGTGCTCTACTATTGAGATATTCAATGCCTGGCTAACAAGTGCTCTATCTTCATGTCTGCGTCAGTTCCGCGATGATCATGATCATCTGTTTTTTCCTCAACTGCATTCCGCTCACTGCGTTAGTGCTCTTATGCACACTTGCACATCTATGCAGAGCCCTGCCCGAGTCGACATGACTTTGCGAAATGCCCACTTTGGTGCATCATGATGATCCACCCCACATAAATCGTTCTCAACAGTCGTGCATCTGTGACTTCGCTGAGAGCATAACCCTGCCTTCCAAGTATCTGCTCGACTTGACGGCGACAACTTCTTCTGTCAGAGGGAAACATTGTTTTCATGGGTCTTACTGACATACTACTCAGTCTAGATATTATTTCAATACTTGAGATCTTCATTATGTATTTTCATGCTTTATTCATGACACTGTCATCAATCTGCACTGGTTTGTTGGTCAAACCATTAGAAGGGAGCATTCGAAACACAAATCTGTCCTTCATAGCTGTGAAAGGAAGTAAAACAGAACAACATTACTACAGGGCATACATAAATAGCTATTAATCCGCCCGGAAGCGTACACAGAGAACAGGACTAAACGTCGTCGTCCAGTCACGAATTATGTCGAAACAACCATCGTCAAGGGTATCACCCTGCTCATAAACTTCCATCATCGCGAAATACCAAAATTAACAACTGGACCAAACCATGAATTAATTCATGCAGTAGAGATATACCGAGATAAAAACGCCACAGCTATACCATAAGGTTAAATAGGCCCAATTCGAACGATATCATAGTGCTTAGATCATCGTCGAAAGTGTCACCCTGGTCTTATCAACTTTGATCGTGCAAGGTCAAATTCTCGTGATACTAATCGACAAGCATACAAATCTGGTATGTTATAGGCACAAGATACAGGGTAGATATGATAATCAAGCGCTAGCATGCAGATCTGCAACAAGTCATGTGTCAACAAGAAGGATGACCTGCACGAGTCCACCACAGCAGAACAATGAGTTAGAAGCGTGACAGCGACTGGATAGTAGAGATATACCGGACTCGTAAAAGCGTAGTCAAGAGATAGGAAGAAAGAATAAACACAGAAGGCGCGGTTACAGGCAATGGAGGCAACAATCGAGCAGTCAAGTTCATTTCTGCGTGTTTTCCTCCATCACATGCTCCTCTCAAAACAACGTTGCAACCCCTCCGTTTGCGCAATTATTCCCCGTGTAGACACCACGAGGGGGACTAACCTTTCCCTCCCGATAGTAGCCTGATATACTCGGCATAGACCCGCGAGCGAGCTTAGGCATCAATCACATCACGGAGAAGCGTGAAGAAGACACTTCCATTTCCAGGAGTGATGGGGTTGGATGAGAAGAGAAACAGTAAAGGGAGGGGAGAAGGTGTTTTATAGATTATCGGTAGGGAGAGTGGCATACGGAGTAGACTGTAATGGGAAAGTAGGTTGAGATAGCAGAGTGGGCTGTGACCGCGGAGTAGCTCATGCATGACCAGGAGAAGGCAAGGAGAGAAGATGAATTGGTTTTCACAGAAGGATGATAGAACACAGGAAGAACTATCGAGAAACTCCGGGAGAGATATTCTCGAAAGCAGTTCAAACGTCTGGGTAAAAGCGCGGCAGCAATAGTATGGAGAATATGCGAATCACGACATAAACCGAAGGAGAAAATCTTACTTGACTCGACTTTCTTGAGCTTGAGCCTTGATGAACTGTCATGAAGACTCAACACGTGTGAAAAGTGTCATCCCTGTTATGTCACTGTGTATGCAGGGATAGGTTGAATGTACGCTATGCAAGTCACTGTACATGAGCTGATGTCGGAACGAGCATGATCTTGGTAAGACACAGCGTGCTGCAGTCTGCTCCGCGGATGTTGATATATGTACTGTCTTTGCCCAGGGAGGATGTCATCTAGCGCAACGCCGCGTTATATCGACGAGTCGTGGATGCAACCCACTTCGCATGCACTGCAGCCCCGTTGACGGTACATACATGTAGCCATCACCAGGACCACAGTTCGAGGATGTTTGTCGCACACCCAAGTCGTGTTGCGACATCAATACCGCAGCCGTGTGAAGACCGAGGTGCAGACCGGAGTGCAGATTGCCAATTTTGTCTAGATTTCGGAGAACGTCCCTTAACCCGAGATCTGAGCAAGAAAAATACTGAAGTACATCTTACATCAACGGCCTGAATGACTCATGCATACTAGTTGTTGTCGATCTGCCGCTGCAAATTAGGTGCGTAAGCTTTTAGCCCCATCAACCTTCTTTCCAGCTGCCTAATTGGTATACACTTCATGGTTTTGTTCTTGATTCAAGGCGGCTCCATCTTGGAGGTGAGATCTGCATTGCATGTGATGGGTCGCGCGAACACAACGGGTGAAGGGGTCCAATCCGCTTGCTTGTACACGCGTGCCCGGCAACGTCAAGCAAAAGCTAGACGGCGAAGGTTCACAGAAAATCTTTCGCGTTCAAGATATTTTGACCGCGTACCCACCTAACAAGCAACATACCGAGGCTTGAATTGTAGACCCATTTCTAGCTATGCTGACCGAGCCGTGTTGTTTGCATTGTTGATGTGCGACGACTCCACATGATTCTATTGGTTGTCTCTCCAGCGCTCATCAAGTCCAGCCAGATTTATATCTTGCGCGACAGTTTCCTGGACACTGCGTTGAGTGCGCAACTTCATACCCTCCCGTGATCCATCCGTGCCCTGAGAATACATGGCTAGATTCAGGATATCGTGCTTATGCTGGAGATAAGAAGGGGAATTGTTCCGTCTCCCCTTGCCCCTGTCGGACTTGCCGAGGAAAATTGGATCCGGATGCTTGTCGAGCACGGATGAGAAGTTGAATTCGACAACGGCATTCTCCACTCCTGCGAATATGAAGGGTGAGGTCGGCGATGGCGACGACAGATTGTAGACAGAGCCCTCGGCACTGCGACGCATCCAACTGTTTGGGCCTCTCCAAGCCGAGTTGACGTATCTGTCGCGCGGGTTGATGAAGATGTTCCAGTCGCCAGTAGTAGAGTCATTTGAAGCATCTGCCGCTCCAGCGTAGTCATATATGCTACCTCCTGACATGCGCAAATCGAAAACTTTGAGCAATCCATGTCGCGAGGCACCAGCAACAACACGGTCTCTACCACGCGAGAGGAGCGAGTATATGGCAGCGTCGTCGGTTGGATCACGATAAACAGCCGTGAAAGAAGATGGCGAACGCATGTCATGTAGCCTCACGATCCCATCGTAACCACCGCTGAGGAAGAGGTTTCCATTTCTTCCCCCGTTGCTGTCCAAAAGCGACTCGATAGGGTATATTGATGATGCTCTGACCGGATCTAGCTCGTCAGCATTGCCAGTGAGACCTATCTTCCGAATCGGCTCCTCGACAATGCCTTCCGGGCGAACCTCAAAGATGTTGATGGGCTCCACGGAGGGTCCTAGGCCGACGGCTAGATGCTTCGAGTCCAGAAACTTGGTTGACCAGATTCGACAGCCTTTTCTACTCTGCGGTATCGCATTGATCTCGCTGACCGGGGCAATCTTAAATTGTGTCGAGTCCACAGAGTATAGAGCGATACGAGAATCTGCTAAATTCGCGGCCAAGTGCTGAGGTTGCTCCTGAGTAGACCGGACATCTGTTGACATTGAAGTGGACCGTACAGAGACTCCGTTCGTGACGAAGTAGGTCTTGATGACACTTCCCTCGGCAGCAGGAGGCATCTCCAACAGTTGTAGGTCTCCATTGGCAGTTCCGATGATGATTTGTTCGCTGTTGTCGAGACTGCTGCATTGCTGTTGAGTATCTGGCCTGATGATTTTGACACTGGTGATGTCGTCGCGGCCTTCCACACTGCTCAGGGGTTTATACGTCCACCAGCGCACTCGCGTACCATTGTTCTCGAATTTCTCCTGTTTGTCCTGTGGTGATGCAATCCGATATGCGCCCTCGGTTGACGCGTCTCTTACCTTGATGCGCACCACTAGTTCTGCACCAGCACTCCACGCCACAACCTGGCGTCGGTCTGTCCAGCGGCTGCCGATGAAGTGCTCGTAACTATCAACCGCGGGCTGAAATCCCATAGTTTGGCCAGCTGGTCTCCTCCATTTCTTGATAGGTTGTCCATTGGGCAGTCCGATGGCATCGCCTGAGGGTTCAAGATATGCCGCAAGAAATGCTCGACGCTGCCAGTTGCGCGATAGTGTGGTCAATGACCTTGCAGCATCTCTCCAATATGTCGAAGGATTCAAAGACGCGAAATGCGTTTGGGTGAACGTTCGCCAGCCTTCCTTCTCCACAAACTCGTGCAATGATTGTGATGTGCGTGAAAGGTGGCCAACCGAGGTTGCTGGGCAATGTGCCACGACCTGGTTGAGAAGTTCGGTTGGAAGATCTACCAGTGTAGTCGACGGCGTTCTCTTGTCTTTCAGCCGCATGCTGAAATGCTGTTTTTCGAGATCCATGGTGTCGTGTTTGGTCGAGAGATCATGAACTTTACTGACGTAATGATGGAGATTTTGGAAGGGACCAATGATCTTATCTCTTGGCGAAGCTTTAACGCCAAAAGCAGAATTTAGCTGTGGAAAGGCACAAATTATATGACCGTGAGAAGGTACGTTCGAGGTTTAGGTTCTGCGTCTCTCCCTAAACACCACTGAAACCCCCTGAGATATCAATGTTTTCGTGTATTTTCATAATTAGTCACAGTGACCTTGATTGGACAAGAAGATGTTTTTGATGAGCCAATCATCTAATCTCTTGGCACTCATTCATTTCAACGTATAGAACACTTTGAGTCATCCTATCGTGCCTATCTTTGATTCGTTGAGGAACCCCGCTCTGGAACTTGTTTCGACTTGCATTCTGTTCTCTCTCTCATCCACATCTCTTAATTGAACATTGCTACATGCCAGAATGTTGGCTCTCATCGCCTTTGGAGCAGCCATTCTCGTTGCTGTGTACCGCTACGTCATTCTTCCTGTGTTCGTCTCCCCATTGTCGAAGATACCAGCAGCTTGCCCGACCTCATCATTGAGCCCTGCTTGGATATTGTGGACGAGATGGCGCGGCAGAGAGAATGCCACTGTTCTTGCTGCCCATGAGCGACTCGGTCCTCTGGTTCGACTAGGTCCCAACGAGATAAGCGTAAACTGCGTGAATGGAGGTATCCGCACGGTAAGTCGTCGTGCTTGATCATTATAGATGATGTGCATGTGTAGAAGATGTCGCGCCAGAACCAGGAACCCTGAGTCGATGCAAGATGCGCAATGCATACTCCGCTTCCTACGCTCACCACGTAATACCTTCGATCTGCGACCCTAGGAGAAGCGTCTCTCAGCAGGCAATAGCACATAAGATAGTCCTCTGAACCACGCTATTCAATCGCAGATTGCCACATCTCTCGATCAAGCAAGGTCCGGTTCTGGTGCGGCTTTCCTACCTGTGCTTGGTCTCAAATGGCCTATTTCGAAGATTGCTAATGCAATGTCTGCAAGGTGTACACTGGGGGCTTCGAAAAAGGCGAGTGGTACTCGAACGCCTTCTCTGCGTACGGTGGAGTACACAACATGTTCTCCATGGAGAAACGAGACGTACACTCAGCGCGCAAACGCATGATCAGCAACGTCTACGCCAAATCCTCCCTGCAAGCTTCGCCAGCGCTTCGCGAAATCAGCGAGACTGTCTTGTGTCGCCGAATGCTTCCTCGAATCGCCACTGCTCCTGGGGGTATACTGGAAGCTTACGAGCTCTTTTCCGCTGTGACTTTGGACGTCGTGACTGCGTACATCTTTGGCCTCGAGCAAGGATCCAACTTTACGGACCACGCAGAGGTCGGTGCAAAGTGGCTCCACGACTACAAGAGTCGTCAGCCGTACCTGTTCTGGATTCAGGAGATGCCAAATGTGTTCCAACTCTTCTCGAAGCTCGGTCTCGGTCAGTGGTTGATCCCGGAATGGGTGGGCGAAAAGAGCGCGGATATTGAGGAACAATGCTTGGAGTGGTGCGATGCTGCGGAGGCTGCTGTGGTGTCAGGGAAGGCTGCTGAATCTGCTAGACATCATCCAACTGTTTATGGTCAACTGCGAAGCATGGTTAAGAAGCAGGAAAAGCTGGACAAGATGGACACGGAGAAGCAGAACGATCGCCTTACCCAAAAACAGAGGCTAGACATAGCTTCTGAGATGCTGGACCACCTGGCTGCTGGATTCGACACATCAGGGATCACGCTGACTTACCTTGCATGGGAGCTCAGTAGACCACACAACGCTGCGATACAATCAGCGTTGCGAGAAGAGCTCCTCACACTGAATCCGCCGTTCTCGATGACAGAAGTAGAACCTTCTACGCCCCTGCCATCCGCAAAGGATATCGACGACCTTCCACTACTTCACGCAGTGGTAATGGAGACTCTGCGCCTCCACGCGGCAATCCCAGGAGGGCAACCTCGAATCACTCCAGCGAACACCACATTGGGACCACCTGGTGCCGAAGTCCACGGCATTCCGGCCGGTGTACGAGTTGTCTCAGCAGCCCACTCGCTCCATCGAAACTCCGAAGTTTTTCCCGAGCCAGGCCTCTGGCGCCCAAAGCGTTGGCTTGATAATGAAGGTGGTGTGGATTGTGGTGGCGAGAAAGCTCGATGGTTTTGGGCGTTCGGTTCTGGCGGAAGAATGTGTGTCGGAAGCAACCTCGCGGTGCTGGAGATAAAGAGTACTGTGGCGGCGATATGGTCTAACTTTGAGACGACTATTGAAGATGACGCTGGCATGGAGCATGTGGATGGTTATCTGGCCGAGCCGAGAGGCTCTCCACAAGGCAGTTTTCTCCGTTTGCGTTGCGAAAAGATCTGAATCAAAAGCGTCGTGATCATGGTGACGACCAGTCGCAGCCCTTTAATTTCCGCGGTCAAGCCGTTTCCGATCTAAGTGCAAATCTCTTGGAACCAAACTTCGTCCATGTTTAGGAGTGGGATATGGCTTGAAAGGAACCAAGGTAGAAGACGGTTTGTGACGCGCACATCGGTACAGAATAGATCTATCAAAGGACCCTGACAGGAGGCCTTGGACGGGTCATTACTCGCGCAAGTACTTGCTTGCTCAGCTGACCTGTATTAAGATTGTTCAACCACACGCTCTTCCCCCCTCCTCATCTCACAGAGCGCGCCGCCTGTCTTGTGGTTGCACTTTATGTTTTGTGTACGCAAAGGGGCTAGTCCAGGTCTGCATTCTCACTGGACGTTCTACCAGTCCTAAGAAACCTTCGTTCATTGAGATAGCTAAACTGGTGGCGGCATCTAGAGCTTGGAGTAACCAACATGCGTTTGTTCCGAGTCGTGTCTAAGAGCTTGAATTGATGCTGACCATCAGTCCCCGCCGTCTTGCATCGAGTCTTGACTCGAGACTGTGGAAGTGATGCGTGACGTTTCGTCTGTTCGGACGGGCCGTGTATCCAGTCCATTGTTTCCTGCGGAAGCTACTACGCGTTGTACGATCCAGTGGTAGGTGACGTCGCCGGCACGGCACGAAAAGACAGACATACCATGTGCACTGTATCAACTTGGTAGGTGGGATAGGGTTTTCGTGTCAGGTATATTCTGGTATTCCCATAAAGTCAATTATGCCGTGCAACTTCACGCGCAAGCCACGACAGCGAGGCTCATCGTGTCATATGACGACCGCCTGCACAAGACGCTGATCTCGGAATCCGGAAGCCACGTGTATGTTGACTCCTCCAAAGACGAAAACAGAAAGGCGACTCCAGAAGAGGGCTGTTCGACAACAAGCGCCCCTAATCGGTCCTTGGAGATGATAGTGTGTCAACCAAGACGCCTCCCTCCTCCACCGCGAGTCCGCGACATCCTTATCCAAGACATGAATGACCCCTCTTTGGCTTTCGAGGCCGAAAGGATCGCGAGTAATGATTCGTTCTTCGTCCAAAACGGTCCGGTCGCCGTCGTCGGCGAAAGCTGTCGAAGAAGCAACGTCAGAAGAACACGCCTTACGAGATTGGCAACGTAGAATTGTCGCAGAATATCAAATAATGAGACATTTGGCGGCTCTTGTTTGGTGGAAAATAGCGATCCTTCAAGTTGGTGTTCGTGTGCAAGAAAAAAGGTCAAACGCTGGACTCCACCAAAGTTCTCCACGACCGAGGTCACATCCAGTTTGACTCGGAAAGCGCGGCGGAAACCGACCGTGCTTTGGTGATGTTTAAGGTTCTGCCGAACGGCAACGGAGTGCGCAATAGTCGATCCAACAGGCATGGACATTTATTCTCTTTTCGCGAAGCCATCGAAGAGATAGTGTTCAAGACATCTACAGGGCTGTGCTGGAAGGACGAGAGAAGAACTCCCGAACGCGAGCGCCGACGATGATTTGCCTTGGCGCTCGAGGTCGAGGAAAATCGAGCCGTCGGAATAGGGTTGCACAAGCAAGCACGCATCTCGTGAGATGCACACGCTGCACGCGTTTCGGCCAGAACCTTCTTTCCCCCCTTCGCGCGCGAGACGTGCCGGACTCGTTGACTCCGAATGGGATCTGCAAATTCAAAGAACGATGATGGTTTCGAGTGGAAGTACAAATGTAGGTGCCCTTGTTGGCTCTGCAGACACCATGCCGTCTAATCTTAAGGCGCTGATTGACACTCGGAAAATGAGGGGACGACGCGCGCCCCTTGCCCTCTTCGAGGGAGGAGCTGATAATAAGCGTATGAGGTCTCTTATCCAGCATGTGCATGACTCCTCTTAATGAATTGGTTAGCTGAGAATAGCCATAGAGAGGCACAAAGTCATGCCCATGTAGGGAGGATGTCCGTTGAGGCATGCTCCTCAATGGACCTGCCCCTAAGCTTCAATAAACTCGTGCTTTCCTACAGCTTAACTATGACAACACCGCTGTTGCAAGAGTAGATACTTGGCATACGTCGGATAAGGAAATCCTACATGCTTGATATCAAGTGCGCTTCGAGGTTGCGAATAAGCGCGGAGATCGGCTCATCGTATGATGAGGCGTTTTGGCGTACAGTCTCATTCTTCAGCAATTGAAGCCCACGGCTGACTGAGCATTCTGGCTGGCACTTCGAGCAAACCTGGAGTGAGTGCTGCCCTGCGTCCTGCATGAACCGCAGATGTGACGGGTTCTGCATATCGATAGCTGAATCAAGCACAGACATGACTCGGTGACTGACAAGGGTATTGTGTGGAGAAAATCCCAAACAGGCCTCGCTTCCAACAGCCGTGTCTCTCAAATAGTGTCGTCTATCCTGTAAGGAGAGCTGGGAATTATGCATACATACCTGGAAATAGCCATTGGCTGTCGGTGAGCAAGCTGCATGTTTGTTATGCGACATTCATGCAGGAGTGGTGATAGCGAGGGCAATAAATACATGCTGTACAGACACACGAGGCATGTTCGTTGATGAGATCCTGTCAGTCGCTTAAGCATGTATGCAAGGCCTTTCCAGGTTAGACCCAGACGCTACCCGGTAGGATAAACCTGCCGATTTCGCAAAAGCCCCATGATGCGATTCGGCCTACCCGTGTCAAGACGATAAATGCGAGCATCTGTCAATAGAAAGATGTTTTCGAGAAGCATGACGATTACGGGCAGAATGGCGAGCAAGACCTTTTAAACATGGCAACAGTTGGATAAATGCACGTCAGACAGGGGCTGTCCGGAAGGTTTTGACAAAGCCACAGCACGTGGAGATTTGAGTGAGAGATGTCTCTGACCGTTGATTTTCTTTGCGAAACCCGAGACGAATAGAATCATCATAATCCCTGACTTACAGCTGCAGGTCGACTGCACCTCGCAAGCCAGATGCCACGCGACTGCGCGTGTCCGTGAGGGAACGTGGCGCTTTGTGTTCGGTATGCCGACGTCCTTTGACAAGGGACAGCGCTATCTTAAGGTCTTGATGCACAACCTTCCGATTGACGGCGATTGCGAGGTCGCTTGGATGCACCCTGGGCTGCACAAAAGGCTCGCCGCATAAAGCGAGTGGCAAGCGACTGTTGGTCCAGTTGCGACGAGGTGTGAGCGAAGCAGTGAGACAGAGAGGCCTTTGCGCGCGCACGCAAAGGGGTGCTGTTGACAGGTCAGGATGCAGAGACCGGAGAGCGCGGTGCAAAACGGCCATGTCTTGCATGACACACAGACGTGATGGCGCTGTACCTTGGCAGGGAGGCGTGGAGCGTAAATGAACAACGAGGGTTGGAGCTGATATCATTGCGGCAGGCTATTGATGGGCGGCGGGACAGGGCAATCCATCTCGCCGTCCCACGTTGACAGCAGCAGCTCCCGCGCATCCCGGCAAGATTCCCGAAGGAAGGCGATTAATTGCCTGGGCCCTGTTATTCGTACATGCGATATACATATACGGGAGGGAAGCAGCAGTAGCAGCAGCTACGCAGCAGGCACAAGGGACGGGCGAGGCGCGCGCGGCGCGTTCGGTTTGGATTGCATGTGAGGGAGTGAGCGACCGAGGGGCGCCGTGCAAACTTGGGTTTTTGAAGGAACATGCCACCACGGCTTGAAGCTGTTGTTGCTTGATCGGTTGAAATGATCGCAATCTCCCTTCTCATTTCACCAACCACCAGCCAAACTCCAGGTCCGACCATCGTTTTTTGTGTTTAAGGCTGACAAAAAACCGTTATTCCCATCTGGAACAGAAGCCGCCACCCAGTCATAAGGCAAGACCTTGATCGCGAAAGAATTCTGCCTAGTCTCAGGTCTGAGACAGTGGTTTTTGTCAGTTCTCAAAGACATCCGGTGACCGTGTTCGACTCGGCATTTGGGGGAATATTATATGGGTGCACTTGAGCCTTCCCGGCACGCTTGCAAGGACTCGGGACTTTGAATCTTTGGTAGCGAATCGAGCGAAAAGACATCGTTCGCGGGAGCACTGTGACTTTGAGCCAGTCAGATCGTCGACCAGCGCCCAGGGCCGGTACTTTTCCAAACATCACACACGGTTAGTGCCTTTTGTGCTGAAGTTACCATCCGATTCAAGTACTCATCGCGGCGCAGAAGGAGAAATACCATTCGGCGTCCGCATTTTCGTCAGCCCTTTTTTATTTTTTGGACAAATTCATTTCCAATCATCCCTCCTCGGCGCCGCCTCCATTCCCACCTGTTCTCGCCGGTTGCCCCTCCCGCGCGCTGTGAACCACGGCTTCATCAGGCCGCATCAACAACTGTACCGCTCAAGTCGACGTGCCTTGTCGATCCTGGGCCAGATAGCTAGCTAGCAGAGCAAAGCTTTGGGCGTAACTACGTACGAGTACCGCAGCACTCGACTCAGCTTGTCCTTTGCACAGGCCATTTTAACCACGCTTTTATCTCTTCGCATCCACGGATCTGTTCCGCTGGCTCGTCCCGGTTACAGCCCTCACCCATAGGCCACCCGCAACCATCTCGTCGTCGATCCAAGACGTGCGGTTAACAATTTGTCCAACAAGCTGTCAGGCTTTGTTTCTTGGGTCCTGACATCGTCACCTGCAAGCCTTCCATAAGGTTGCCGACCCGCTCTTGAACGTCTGATAGCTCCTACCAATTCGTCGCCGCATACAGTTGCATCAGAGGAAGGATCACGCGAACCGTTTGCTTACCTGGCTGGATGCGACTTTTCCCATTCCAACGTTAACGGACTTCCAACCACCACGACAGAGGACAACCACATCTTGCATCCTCGTCGCTGCGCATGGAAACTTCTGAGCCGCATCTAACACTGCTGAATCAATCTCACTCGGCGACTCTTGACAAGTTTTCATCTCCCCGCGCCGCGCGCTTGATGCCCGACAAGGACCACCTCTATTTGCTCGCATTTCATACGTCAGACTCAATTAAACGCGACACATCCGCCAGACGCGTCGTCTCAGCCTACCACTCGAGTCACAGGATCCAACAATCTACTCAAAGCCAACCCGAGAGACTGGGTATTCGCCTCTTCCCGCGCAATCCAACTTGCCATCGACCAGCCGGAAGCTCCCGATCACTCACTGCAGTCCAGGCCACATTTCGATACCAGACTGCGCCAGATCGACTTGAGAGCGCGGTTTCGTCGGAGAGCACCTCACATGCTACATTCTGATGAACTACCCATATCAAATCCAGCAAGAGCAACCACCCTCCAGTGATCAAGCGCTGGTTAGGTAAGGCTGCCAACATCCGCGCCAAGCCCCCAAGCAGCGATAGATCTGTTTACCACGGTCTGACAGAAAAACTAACCATGTTATCCCACAGCGCTGATTATGAGCTCGTGGTTCGCCAGCAACCAAATGAAGCCCTTGTAACCCTTCCGGGCAGGGAGAAAAGTAAGCCTCCCGAGCCGAAAGTGCGGCTTTTGAGAATGATTGCTAACCGCGGTACTGTACGCAGACAGAAAACCGATAGATCCTCCACCGATCATCGAGCTGAAAGTGACATCCAGCAAAGATCCTGGCAAGTACGTATACATGCGCGGCATGACGCCTTTGTGCGGAGCTAACCATCATATGCAGGCAGTTCTTACAGAGCCCCTACTTGTTCTTGCAATGCACCCTTCAGGTCGAACAGACCAACTCTAGCGACAGCTCACAAGCTCAGATCCCGGCCGGCCAAGAGCTCACCGGCCAGAGCTGTTCGTCGCTCCATAGACTAAAAGACATTAACAATGAAGGTGTGTGCATATGATCAGGACAGATGCATCGTACATCCAGGCTAACCATGACGGCGAAATTAGACGGCGGCTTCTTCGTCCTCGGAGACGTCTCGGTCAAGTTGCTGGGAAAGCACAAGCTCGTTTTCAGCCTGTTCGAGCTCCAAAAGTACGTGCTAGCCGAAGGTCGACTCATAGCAGTTGTTGACAGCTGACAGGGACAGTGGCCAAGTCGTCTACCTCAAGAGCGTCACCTCAGACTTCTTCGACGTAGTACAACACAAGCAGTGGCGTGGTCTTCAAGAGTCCTCCCATCTATCGAGGACCTTCTCAGACCAGGGCGTACGTCTGCGCCTACGCAAGGAGCAACGAAGTCAAGCTGGGTATGATCTTTTTGCTTCCAAGCAAGTGGGTTTGGCGCTAATCAGTGTTGATAGTGTCAAACGCACCCTCCAGTACTCTCCTCGAAGCAATGTTCAAGCTGGTCCTTCAATATTTGGCTACGACAACGACCCGAACAAGAGGCCGCGCTCAAATGATCACGCTCCTCCACAAGGCTACATCATGTCAGAAAGAGCTCCTATGGCCTACGATCCTCGAGCAGGCCCGCAGAACATGCAATCCGCCAGCTACAACCTTCAACAACAGCAAGCTCTGCTTCAGTCACCCCAAACTTCTTTCGGCTCTCGAACACCAACTGCTCCTAGTGGTTGGCAGCACGCTCAGGTATCTAACTGCACAAACGGCGCCATGTCCACGCCAGCTAGGCACCCAGACAACAGTGCTAACATCACGCAGGCAATGGCACCGAGTCCGGGAGCGGCATATGGACTGCAGCCCGCACCAGCAATAGGACACGACCCCGGTCCACCCTATCCGCGCCGAAGCACCGACTCATACCTGTCTATGGCACATCAGCACCCGCAGACCAGCCCGACTACTCCGTACCAAGGCCCAGGCGAGTCTATGTACATCCCTACAAGCGGCAGCATGCAAGGACCCTCTACCGCCTATAGCGAACACGATCCCGTACCCATGGCCAGACAGCACACTCAAACTCACTCGGCCGGAAGCCCGGCTTCTAGCACGAAGTCAACTCTGATCCCAGGAGCGACCGCTTACCCCATGCACCCGCAGCAGATGCCACCACAGGCCTATGGCACTATGACGGATTCTCCGCAATTTGGCTACAACCAGTACCAACAGAGATTGTATCAAGCTCCTCAGACGCTTTTGCAACAACCTTCAAGCAACCCGAACCATGTTCTCGAGACTCGCCCCCAGCAACCAAGCCCATACATGCCCCAATCTCACCCTGGTCTGGCCCTTCGTCCGCAGCAGCCTGGTGAACCTTATCCTCAACCACAGCAGCAGCAATACGAAGCAGATCTCGGCCATGCGTACCAGGCCTCTGGAGGAGCCACTTACCCTACCACTCAAGCGCCAGACCAGTCCCGGCCATACTAGGATCTGGTGATGGGACTGGAACAGAGGCAAACCCCAGCAAGAGCGGAACAGCAAGAAGCGCGACTTGACGACAAACGAGACTCTGTTCACAGGGACAGCAAAGGCTGCATGAGCGAAAACGAAGACCATGATTCGGTCACGCCGTGAGACACATTTCACCAAGCCGAGCACACGAGCAGAGCTGCACCGGAATTGATACGCAAAAAAAAAACACAAAACACAAAAAAGCACACTAAGCACACATGCGCGCGCACACTCGCAAACCCAACAACTTCCACACTATATACCCGACAGCAAAGCTGTCTTTTCGTTTCTTGATTTATGCACTGGTCATTCCTAGCGAGGAGTCCTGGCAGGCACCATGGGGGCGGGATATCCATAGGCTGGCTCTGGTCTTTCTTTCTTTTGGTTTCCTTGATTTTTACATGTATGGGATTGCACAGGACCTCACATGGCGGGTTCCTTGTCTTTTTACTAATGTTGATTACCCCTTCCTTGTACTCTTTTATTGTTTTCTTGTTCTACTGTTTTCCGCACTATATCTATATACCCCTCTGTTGGAAATGAGTAGCTGTGATTTTCTGTTTCTACAAATTCAAAGCGACATCTGTCGCTCCTGCCACGACTTCCGTGTTTTGCCCATTTGACATGGTTGATTGCACCTGCCTTCGCACCACTGTGGCGAGCTCTTTTCTCAACAGGCCTCGCATCAACCTCATCATAATTACCCAACAACGTCCACCCACATCACCGCCGGCCAAACTCGCGATGGTGGAAGCTTCAAAATCTCTCCACTTCGGAAGAATATCAAATACCTTGAACTAGACTTTTTTCACCCACACGTTCCGGAACGAACCCCGTCAAAGGCCCGTACTGGCCCGTACCGCGACAGCGCCCAAAACAGCACTGTCAACATCAACAAAGCATGTACGTAACTTTCCAGACGGATGAGAGAGAGGCGTACAACGCGGTGATGACCAAAATGAGTAGAGCAATTGGCATCGTCTCAACCGCATCAAGATTCAAGAGCCCTACTCTAACCCTGACTTCGTGGCTGGATTTTAACTCGCCATCACCGCCGTCGCCGCCGCCATCGGGGCAAGAAACGGCTGGCTGACGAGAGTCACCCTCGTACCTGTTCCTTGAGTGCCGGCGTACGGCCACGAATACTGCCGAGCCAGACTCTGAGCAACGATGTCTTGAAATCCATCTTTCCGGTTGGAATCGATATGCACAATTGCGTCGTTGGAAGCTGCGTGAGGAATTTGAGTTCTGTCTCTTGACCCTGGATCAACAGCACTGTTGGAACCGTTCATACATACCATCAGGGACTCTTGCTTAAACTTGCTTTGGAAAGAGATTCCAGTTCTACCATTTTCCTGAAATGGTACGAGAGTGCGAGGAAACGGGCATATACCGTCTTGTGGCTTTCCATCCGGCTTGACCTTCTGCTGGGGGCGTTCGTTGCGGCGTTTTGGGCGTTCCCGCCTCGACCAACGCCGTTTTTCTGCCTTTACCATCGCGCACGCCGTTGCTATCTGGCCCTTTCCGAACAGACGCGCGCTTAGAATTGTATCTTTCGGGCCATGATCTCGCGTCTGGTTTAGCCGCAGGAAAGCGATTTCGGAATATCAATCTGCCAATCGTAACGACAATTGCTACTGTCATCAATTTCTCGAATATGGGAAGATTAAGATCGAGAACCTCCCTTCCCCTTATTTCCTCCACCCAGGGTCTGATCACTACGTGCGTAAAAGAGGACCCTCATCACCACCATCAATCATCAACATTGTGCTCTGGCTCATTCTAGTATACTAAGCCGACCCTCGGACACTATTGGCGTTGCTGCGGTCCGATACCACAGGGACGGGAACTCCACGATATCCTCGACGTTCATCTGCGGTCAAGCGACAAATCAACTGTGTTGTAATCCCGATGACGGAAACACAAGACATTGCAAGAACGGTCCTAGAGAAACATCATCATATTGAGAACGGGTTCGGCTTTCGGACCCAGGTGGAGACCGAGATACACAAGCTGGGACGACCACAGTGACGACGTCAGAAACAGAGAAAGACCCCAGGAGAGGAGCTTGGAATACTGGATGAAGCATGCAAGCGACAATGGAGGCAGTGAGGTAATGAGGAGAGGCAGTGAGGCACTGATGACTCAACCTGAACAACTGGCCTGACCGTACTCGACCGTAACTTTATCAAAAGATGCATTGGGGATGTTTAAACACCCCGTGTGATTGTGCCATGTTCTTCACGTCAGGACCTCTCATCATAGCTGTTCGTGGCTATGCATGCATACGGCTGTGTGCGGGAGAGCTTTGCGCTGTGCATCGAGTCTTCGACGCAGGACTGTACCAAAATGAGGACAGCAACGATATTCAAGGAGCTCACGGAAGGAATAAACCATGGCACAGCGTTGCAAACACATTAGAGAATAATGTGAACGGAGATAGCGATCTCGCAACCACCAAGTTCCGTCAGACCGGGATTCAAATTACACAGGAGCTTCGATATCGACTGAATCTACTTGGGGGAGATCTTTCTGATGCAACTTCACTGGGCAAGACTCTGTTTGGGATAAGGTTGTGCATTGCAATCAATGGTCTTTGACACGAACACTATTCAGTCAACCCATGCGCGGAATCTCCTCATCTTCCTTGTCCTCTCAAGATCGTTTCTCAAGACACCAAAGCTGTATAGATGTACCATGATCTGGTTCTGCTACAGTCGTCTGCTGGAGACAAACCGTGCAAAAATCTCTCACTGGACACGACTCTGCTTCGCAAGGTATCATGCATTTCGACAGCTATGCGCGTGAGAGAACCGTCACACAGAGAGAGGAGAGGGGAACACGCTCTCGACAAATTTTGCACATGAGTAGGGCAAGCAGCTCATCTCTGTATACAGAATGTGTCAAAGTTATGCCGTAGTTGACATAACTTCTCGGATACCTCTCCGCGATGGAGCTGATCATGTCAAATAGCGGGTCACAGCTGATCACACAAGACAATCAGTTGCAAGGTACGTCAGGGCTGCACTCAGTTATGCCACACTGCATCTATGGCCTCACCCGCGTGCGCGAAGTTATGCAAACCCACCCCATGGCCGCAAAAATGGCAAAGAGTGGTACAGAATCCGAGGAGCCGCAAAGCTACCACTCCATGGATCCTATATCGGTTACAAACTTTGCTCACGGTTCCATATATTCTTCGGAGACCGGAATGCTGTATACGCGGCAATCCAAATGCAATAGAGATATTCATACCACTGGATTGTATTGCTTTTCTTGTGCGCCAAACCATTGCGTTCTAGGAATATAGCTTCCACCCTTGCACACGTACTTTGTGATTGTCGATCATGCTGATGGCTGTGCAGAAAAAACAACTCCAGAATACATCATCTGGGGTGCCCAAGATGTTGGATTGCGCGATTTTCGTTTACAGATTTGTCGAGCTGTTCTTGCACAACATTTTCCTGGAGAGGATGCAATAGCAGAGACACTAGGTATCATCAAGTTCGCATAACTCTCGACTACGGCAAGCTGGTTTCGCGACAGAGACTGCAAATACATCGCACGCTCATGCTGGTAGCACTATAAAAAACACCTTCCGCTCAAAGTTGTTCTCATCGTTAAGTGTGCTCCAAGAACATATGCGATGAACAGATCGAGGTTCGCTCCTGCTGTTGCTCTCGTCCTTGACTTGTTACTATTATGCTGCAGGAGAGGCATGATAGGGAAACGCTCAGGTCAGTGATACTTGATTATTTTGATCGATCTTGGGGATTCAACAGTGATGTGCGATTTGTGTCAAATCTGCCCCCATGTAGGAAGATGCAGAGATGATGGTGGTTCATCAACCTGTGGTCCCTGTGTGAAAGCCTTGGAAGTAGCATCTATTCATCCACTACATCTGGACACCGACCATTATCTTCCTAGGCCGCCCATTAGTCCGGTCTGACACCGCATACTATGCTAATTGCTGAGTATGATTTTGTGTCGATGGTGAAAGAAATGTAAAAGTGGTTATAGGTGCAAAAGTGGGTGTCCTGCCTTGCGACCGTACGGACGTCTCCAGTAGACACGATAACAAGACTGACTGGTCAGTGAAACCGGATTTCTCACATACACACACACAACCGAGCGATAAAATGCATCCGTATTCGAGTATATAAAGTAATCTTCTCCACCACCAATTCTTTCTTCTCATCGCCTGTGGTGCCTGCGACCTGATCTGGTGAAAAGGGACCAAAGCGCACCGCAACATTCTCTGAGCTACCAATGGTCCAATACAAGCTTGGCTTGTTGCAGCTAAGGAAAGAGAACAGGGATGGTCAGGTCTGTGATACTTAGCTTTATTGCAGCTTCTTCGAGTACAGAACAGTATTCTTTCTCTGATGTTATTGAATAGGAGATACGAGGAGGTGGTGCGGTGTCGTGGACCTGTGAATCTTAGGTCCGCTGCGTGGATGCTCGAGTATAGATATCGAATCTGCAAACCAGTAATTACGCGGGGAAAAGAAATCGTCTCGCACATGGTCAGATTTGGGATCTCGTTGCAACCGAGGAAACCATCTACGCCGACGGAACTTCTTTTGTAATGTCATGTTGCAAAACGAAACATCATGCGTTCACACATAGTTATGCTGAATTGACGGGGATTATCCCACGGTTGATACGAGCGAAGTACTAAGAGCCCGTGTAAGACAGTCGCAGATTTTGTGACGGGTTCAAGGCTGTCATGGAGGATTGTAAACAAAGGTAGAAGTCAGTTGGGGGGTTGTGGACGGCAAGAGTAAATGCTATAGGCAGCAATGTTGCCTACCGGCAGTCAAATCACCATCAGGCCTCAAATCAGTTGTGCAGAATATATCGAGGAGAACAAAGAGTTAGTCCGGTCCAGGATAGGGGAAAGAATAGACAATCAGGTCCAGAACCCCTTTTTTTCCTTTGTAATCTCAGCTTTGATAGCGATCAGATACAGACGACGACAACAACAGGAAGAAAAAGAAACGGAGCAAAGAGATACAGTGCAAAGAGAAAGAGTTCCAGACCTGGTTGCCTTCTTCTTGCCGATTGCAGCCGCAAACACGCTGTATTGAATACAATGCAGCATGGACTGATGCTTTTCAAGAAAGAGTCATCACTGTCGGTACTTGATTTGCTCTTTTGGTTCCAGACTCAAACATTTATAGCATCTATGAGGGGAAGGATGTGCACTCTCGTAGCAAAGAAACGGTGAAGCGAATCGGCGCGAAGTCATTTCTCAAATACAACGCGCTTCTTTGAAACAGTTTCTACTGGGGGCTTTGCATTCTTTGCAAACCAAGACCAGATCGGACGGATCATGCAGCGTGTGAACTGTCTGAAGTATGAATATCAGCGCGATGAGTGGAGAAACTGGCCATTGAGTTCTTCGGTGCCCTGAACAATGTCTTTGGTACAGAAGCTAGAAGCGAGACTGGCCCATCTGTTGCCCAGATTAGCAATCAGGTTGAGAACGAGCGAAGGAAACACACTCCAAGAAGCCTATAGTCATCAGGTCTGTGATGCAGGGAACATACATCGCTGGCTACAACTCTGATAGATAGAACTGGAAGTGACTTCAGAAGCGTCGGCCGATGGGGAGATGATGGGGAGATTCAGAATCACAGACCTCCTTCTTGATAGCCTTCTCCTTCTCTTCTGCAGAGGTCGCTCGTTGTTTGTCCAAAGTGGCAAGATGCTCCTTTTCCGCCTTTTTCCGTTGGTCACCTAGCGTGCCGGTAATCCAAGAACTCAAGGCCCAGAGCATTTCTTGACTGATGATGGTGTGATGAGAAGACAGGTGCAACATTGGAAGAGCAATCGTTTCCATCGACCAAACCTTCATTCAGTACCTGACCTAATAGCACGCTATGTATCACCTTTGCACATCAAAATAGCAATAGATGGGGCGAATCAAGTGGCGACCAGACTATAAGCTATAAAACATCCCACTCTGTTCGAAAACGATCTCTTGCCATATGACTGTCGAGAAACCTCCGATGCTGCAGAGAAGAAACTCGACAGTGGCTTGAGACAAGAGCTTGTGTTGGCAAAGTCTCCCCATCGACGATTTGGAAGGGACTAGGTCCCTAAACAGAGGATGGAAAGCGATCAGGTCAATGAACCTTGCCTTTTCTTTACACGGACGACATTGTATCTTATAGTTTCAACACTTACAAGTGAGAGTTAGAAACCAAAGATTCACCGACCTGGTTTCTTCTCATACCTTCTCTTACCTGCCAGATCTCTTGCTATCTTCCATTATGGCGAGAGTGTTGGATCTTAAGAATGGCGGCTGATGCCTGCTTCTGACATGAGGAAAAGTTCCAGCCCAATCATGAGGACCTATATTTTCGATAACAATTGTGATTATGGAAACAGAGGCGTACACCTATAATCAAAGCTGAGAGACAACTAGCTAGTCCATTCGCTCGGCTACAAAGAGAGAAAGAGAGCAAGGGAAATCGTGCTTTACCTACACTAATGTCATCCAAAGTAATGTCACTGAATAATAGTCATCTTGTGATTCTTATCACCATCCACCAACAACCAAGCATAAAACACAAGCCACGGGCATCGATATCCTTACCCAAAATGCCACTGACAGTGGTCTTCAATCCCGGGAAGGTGAACACACCTAACTGAAGGTATGTGTATAACCCTCGACCAGGAAGAAGAAGAAAAGGATCAGGTCAATGACTCCTCCTCGCCTGGAGATCTCCTAGAGTGCATGAATAATATGGCATCTGTATCAAGGGTAAGGAAGTTCCAGCCTTTATGGATTGCAGAGAGACGCGATATGTTCGAGAGTCACTGACCTGACCAACTCCCTCACCTCCCTACCTTGTGAATTGTCTGCATCTTTATGATTGATGAGAACACCCTGCGGACGAACCAGCAATGAGTCCAGTCCTTTCGCAGTCGACATTGAGTGTCTGGAAGTCGAGATGAAAGATCATTCATAAGCACAGAGGATGATTGACATATATAACTCCAGAACAGCGGAAACCATTGACAAACATTCCAAGTTACAATGCAATGTAAGATAGTTGTTTATACCAGGTCCACACTACCATAGAAAGCCAAAGCACATTATAACGAGCTGTTGCCCAAATAATGACATTTGTGATGCAAATATCTCGGCCACTCGCACACACCAACAATAGTGAATATACTCTCTAATCCGTTACCGCAACAAAAGCAGCAAGAAGCCGAATAAGATTGACAACAAATGAGAAAGAAACGTTTGCCTTTGATACCATCAAGACTGTCTAGACATCGCCGTCGCTCTGTCCTCGTCTGCCAAAGGTCATTTCCGGATGCTCTAGGCCCTCGAATGTGTTTGGGCTTTTCTTTACTCCTCCTACCCTTTCAACATCTTTGCCCCTTCAACATGTTGGTCTGCCTTTACTTTACAGTCATCAGCCATGGTCTTGCGCCCTTTTCTTTTTCGCACTCCTAGCTTTACAGCAGTAGCTCAATTCGTGTACCAAGTCACTACCCCCGCAGAATCGATAAATACCAAAATGACTTGCCTGCGAGCCCCTTTATCATTCTTGATACAGTGGAGGACTAAGAGACGATCAGGTCAACGATTCTCATCTCCCTCTTCATGCACTCCTCATATGAATAACACGAGTAAAGTACCTGTGAATGGAATCTAACGGGAAGAAGAATGGGGGATGAGGATGGGAAGTCACAGACCTGACTGGTTTACTTACTTCCCTGCTCCTCGCCTTCACTCAAGTGACCAAATAATCAACACCACCAATTATTGCTCTCGAGGCCATCAACTCCAGTGAAGGCGTCTCGCTCTTCGACAGATAATATTCGAATATCTCCAGCAGAGGTTGCTATTTATATATAATACCAGAGGATGGGAAGAAGCCGCGATATCAAGCATTTTTTGCTGTGGAGGAAGAGGAAGAAGATATGACATTTGTAATGTGTTGATGTAAAAGAGAAATTTGATTGCGCGAAGAGGTAAGCGCTTGCGAAATGCTGGATGCTAATGGTAGTGCTAATGGTAGTGCTGTGTGATGTGCTGTATGATGTGTGCTATGCTATGCTATGCTATGCTATGCCTTTGCTCTCGCTCTCCCCAACAATACTCCAAACTAAAACAAAGAAAATCCCCAACCATAATGACTCCAAGAACCGACATCCAACTCTTGCTGTGAAAGACAAGGCCAACTTCTTCTTTGAAAGGTGGAAAATGTTTTACTTCACTCTAATGCATGATACTCTGCCTCCACCGATCGATCAAATCCCTTTGCGCGACAACGTTGGGATCGTGCATGCCTCCCGCGGCTTGCATCTGCGCCATGTGCGCATAAGCTTGTTGTTGCTGTTGCTGCTGTTGCATAGGAACCGTTTGCTGTTGTTGCATGCCCATGACTCCGTATCCGGGATACATCATGCCTCCATATGGCGCAGCAGTCTGTTGCATGAACGGAGGAGCAGTGTATCCATACCCAGCCATCCCGGGCATACCTCCAGCAGCCATGTGAGCAGGATACATCACAGGCGCCTGTTGAGGTTGCAAAGTGTTTGGATTAAAGTACTGCGGCACCGCGCCAGTGGACTTGGAGGATAGCAAGGGAGGCGCGACTTGCGGGGCCAAATGGCTGGGTGGGCCAACAAGACGGTTATAAGATGTCGAGCGCGCGGCATTGCGATCGCGGAGTTTACGGCGGGCTTCTTCTTCGGCGCGTGCGCTTTCAGCTAGTAGACTTCCAGCGGCGGGTGCGTTGGCTGAGAGAGGGCCATTGGAGGAAGAAACAGGGTGGGCGGCGAGGAGGTTGGCGAGAGAGGAGGATGAGCGGAGAAGAGGAGGGCGGACCGTGCGGACGGAGGGTGGATCTGATGCATCGCCTTTTGCTTCGCGTTCGCGTTGAAGGCGTGCTCGTCGTTGACCTAGAGTTTCTTCTTCCAACTCGGGCTCGGGTGTCTTTGCTTTTGCGCCTGTGATGCCACCGAATGTGCTGAGGATATCTTCTGAGAAGGCTGTAGATTTGCGCTTGTCGAAGTCGGCAACATCTCCTAGTGCGGTGTTGAGCATCTGCTTCTGTTTCAAGCGACGCAGACGCTGTCCGAGTGGCTCATTTGGATCTTCGTCCTCCTTGTCTGAGTCTTCTCCTGGCAATGGAACTGCTTCTGGTGGTGGAAGAGCGGCTTCCCGACGCTGCCTGTCCATTTCTTGGCGGATGCGGCGCGCTTCTGCTGCAGGAACACCCTTGAGACGGAAGCGACGACTGCTTAGTGGTTCGTTGTCTTCAAATTCACGCTTCTCCATCAGACCCAATGGACGGTCCCAATCCGATTCATCTTGCTTGCCTCTGTTGATCAGACCACCCTTCTTGGGGTATAGGACGCCCAATGGAACATCTTCATCTTGCTCATCTTCAGGTTCCACGCCCGGGTCTTCCCATGCAAGCTTGGCACGTCCGTGTTTCTGCTTTCTGTTCTTTTCCACTTGCTTGACTGCATCCATCTGGAGTAGCGTACTATGCATACCATTAGGGAAGGCATCTGCGGCAGTTCTATTGCGCGACTTTTGATGCGCTTTACGAGTTTGCAATTCGGCGAGAAGAGTGGTAGGTTGAGCGAAGAAGGGCATCTTCATGTCCTGTTCATCATTGTAGATGCTCTCCTTATCGCCTTCTTCCACATCCTCTTCTTCCGGCTGCGTATATTCAGGTTGTGGTGATCGGTCTGCTGGCTCGTTGACATCAAGGTTTCCGAAGTGTACACTGGCAGGGCGCGATTTTGCGAATTCAGTGGCAGTGTCTCCACCATCGTTCATATCCAGGTCAGTCATCAGGCTCATCTTGCTGTTTCTCTTCTTCAGTTTCTTGCCATCTGATTTACCAAAGTCGGTCAGCACAGTCATAACGCTATTACGTTTGACCATGGGAGGTCTGTCAACCGTGCCAGTGCTAATGGATCGATCGTGTCCCTTCTTGCCTTCATTCTCATCCATAACCATATCAAGCTTGGACAAGGTTGCGCTACGACGATTGGCAGGACGTTCCTGAGCATAATGATCTTGACCGATGGGGCCAGCGAAAGGATGGTCGGTAAAGACATTGACGGGAGCATTTACGGATGCGGCAAGGATACTATCCAGAGTTGCAACAGCAGACGCAGACTGGATCCTGACCTCGGTGGGCGGCCTTTGTCCTTCGGTATCGAAAAAGACGGAAGCTCTCAGTTGTGGAGGGAGGTTAGCAGTGCTAATACGATTGGCGTTGAGATCCATCATGCTCTTCCTTTGCTGCTTCTGTTGAGGAGAGGTAGGACCGGACTGCGGAGCACCTCCTTCTGCCTCTTGCTCTTCTAGATCGAGGGGAGGTAGCCAAGGGGCACTTTGTCTGTTAGCAGCAGGCATGGCACTCAAGACTTGAGAACGACGCTGTGCTTGTTGGTTGGCCGCGGGGAGCTGAGACAAACGCTTGGGAAGATTCAACATGCGAGGGACTGGAGCCGGGTAGTAGACCATGCCATCGTTTGGCGGAGGTTGAGCGTAGGACATTGGGCGAGCATACGACATGGGACGAGGCTGGCGAGGCATACGCGACATTTGCGACATGCGGTGTTGCATGTTGCCATGGCCTTCTTCATCAATGGTGGGCGAGTAGTGCACACCGTCGAAATCCTTGAAGAGTGATCGGGCATCGCGGAAAGTGTCTGCTGTCTGTGGACGGTCGACAGGGTTCTGGACAAAATCATTGTAGCTGTCGTGGTCAGCAGCTTGTTGGTACAAGTCATGTGCTTCTTGTTGCCATTGTTCCTCCTCGCTGACTTTGTGTTGATGAGAGTATTGAGCTTGTTGAGGAATCTGCCTGTCGTCCTGCGAGTAGCGAGATTGTTGATCGGGTTGAGAGTAATGAGATTGCTGGTCGGGCTGGTCATAATGGCTTTCTTGGTCTGGTTGCGAATAGTGACTCTGCTGGTCGCGAGAGTATAGGCTCTGCTCGTCTTGTTCTTCAAAGTGTTGGTTATGGCCATGCGAGTAGTGGCTCAACTCGTCAGGATCGGTGTGTCCTCTGCTTGCTTGTTCCCACTCTTGATGTTCAGGCTCAGGGGTTTTGTCGGCGTCGGGATTGCGTTTGTCTTCCTCATCAAGCATTTCCATGTCTTCGATGGTCGGGGCGAGGGAGTAGTGCGAGGGTTGGCGACGAGGGCTCGAGTATGATGTGGGCGAGGCGAGGGGCGAGTCCAAGGGACGGCCTTCTTGGACTGGCTCGGGCATGCCGGAGGGACGGTGGAAACTGCTGACTCTCGAGACGGTGGGGCTGGTGATGTATCCTCCAGGCGAGTAGCCACCCCAGCGAGCCTGGGTGTTGACGTCGACTATCGAGTTTGCGTAGCTGCTGGTCGAGTGGTTGCGACTCCTGTTGCTGAGGACTTTTTCGATGCTCTGCTGACGGCCTTCACGTGGGTGCGACGACGAGGCCAACGACTCAGAGGCAATGCTGCTCGACCGTAATGACGCCCGGTCCTGTTCCTGTTTCATCCTGCGAATCTCGTCGCCAATATCAGATCCCCCCTGACTCATCTCTTCTGCTGATTGCTCGAGGCGCTCGACATTCTTGATATAAGCCCCCTGCAGACTTTCCAGACCGGGAGACGGATGTTGTAGCGACACCTGCTCTGCCGACGCCGTGCGCAACAGCGCTCCCCGTGGCGGTGCAGTGTACATGGTCAATCCGTGCTCGAATAGGTACGAAGTAGAACTCGGCCCTATAGCAACCCACTCTTTCCAACAACCATTAGTTTCCGCTGAATACGAGGGGAATGAATGTCGATAGAATGGGGAAGCGCGAGTGAAGGGTGGAAAAGCAAAGACGTGACACAGTCGCACAACCTCTATCGTTTGCTTGCACCCCGGCCAGACTTCCCATCAAAAAGCAGCCATGCGCGCGCCGACAAGCCTCCCCTTACAACCGGCGTCGACGGGAAAAGCTTGGCTCTGATACACGCTGCCACTTTTTTTATTTTTAGCTCCTTCAAGCCGCATTCCTCCAATTCAAGTTCTATTTTGATCTTCATCGTACTAGCATATTGGTGGAGATAGATCTCCCTGAAGGACATGCGACTCTTCTTGACAACTTCATACCTTCTATCCTCATTAACAACCATTCAAGTCCCAGCCATATCACGTCAAGGCCGTTGAAGAACAACGTTCGAAAAGCAAGCATCCACCAAGGTCATCGCACGCGAAAGAGCCGTCTTGCTTGGCACACGCATTACCCTTGGTCTTCCGCCAAACCTACTTTCTTACCAATCCGGCCCAGTTCGCTCTTCCTTGCATCCTTATCTGCATCTCTGCATGTCTCGCAAGGATTTTCTTCACGACAGGGCGGATAGGCCGAGCAAGCCACGATGTGTAAATCCTGCAAGCCAAGTCAGGATCGTCTATGATGACTGCGGCATGATTAATCTCGAGGCTCTTCCCTCGTGCTGCCACGACGGTCCTCGACGTCCCGACCTCGAGAGAAACAGACTCAAGTCACATTGAGAACATGTGTGCCATGCCACAATCACTCACCCACTGGAATGGGTTGAGCCTCAATACAACATGCCACGTGTGATTAAACAGCTTAGCTATACTTCGATCTCGTTACCGAGGAATGTAGGTTCTCATTGTGGTTTTCAGCCTCATTTCTTACAACTTCATGCCTATCTCGGCTCTCCTCAGTATTATCGTTACAGTAATATCAGCTTTGCCCACAGCGGTCTCACTTCCTTACACGGCATGTACCTTGCGACTTTTCCATCGTCTTATCGCATCGCCCAAGAACGAGATGAGCGGGAGATGAAGTCCACACCACATCCGCCATCCGGCCAATCACTGGATATTGAAAACCCTCCTCCCAACCATCACGAGCCAATTTTGTACAACAGTCATCCCGACCAAGAAATTACTGGTAAAATCACCATAGCGTGTGATAGCGATCTCTGTTGTCTTCTCAACACTTGCATCGGTATACCCGCGGGACTCGGTAGCCCTCGATATACGCGCAACCTCAAAAGCTCTGAAAGACAGCGCAGTCTGAAAATACCACAGAACTCCAAGAATCTCATGCTGCATAGTCGCTCACAACGAAAAAGGTGCTGCTACAAGGCACAAACATTTCGAAATTGGCATGAGTATGTCTAATAACAGGAAGCCATGTTTACAAGCCCTGATTATCCTACAAGATATCTCACCAACATCGCTCTCTACGAGAAAGATGCCGTCGAAAGGCGTAGATCTTTCTATACTCGCGAAAATCGTCTGCATTTCTTCAACGTCGCGTTGCCTTTTTCCAAAATGTCGCTGTGGGAAGATCCAATCTTTTTTTTTTTTCAAGGTCAGTAGCCTCCCTGTGTGCTAAATTCTGACACTTCTAGCTATCTCCTACGGCCATGCCTAGTGTTGTTTGCTCTGTATGGTCTGTAGGAATGCACAATGTTTTTAAGATCAGTGCAGCCCTCCACTAAGAGCGTAATAGTTAACGGCTCTCTGCGGACGACTAGAGAGATCTCAAAAACATTGTGCATTTCCACAGCATGCGCGTGACAAAGTTCTGCATACAGGGAGGAGAGATGTCCGTTAAAAACTACAACTTAAGACGAGCTGTCGCAAGGCGTGATGGAAATATCATCATCATCACTACTGCTTACCGGTGTAGTGAGTATAGGTAGGTGATGGTGTGCATCTTGAAGCAGGGAAAAGAGGGCTGAAAGATATCGAATCATCCGAGTTCTTTAATGCTGGGTTTGGCAGTGTAGCTGGACGGTTTCATGTATCATTTCTGTTTTTTTCTGTTTTTCTTCTCCCCTTCATCTCCTTCTTCTGTCCTCCTTTCTTCCTGTTTTTCATCCCTTTCTTTTTATATGGGTGGCTGGGTTGTATGTTGATATCAGAGGTATCGTGGAGGCGTATAAAGATGGAGAAACTGTCAAGCCATTTAGGTGTTAGACATGCCGACTGAAATCTAACAATGAAACTCGAAAACGCAATTCATTCTTCCTCTTTGCGTAGAAATGCTGAATTCCACCAAATCTAGTTCTTGCCATCCAAACTCTTTCTCCCCGTCAACACACCACCACCTCCTCCATCTTGCCTTCTCTGTCTTCTCCGTCCAGCTACCTCATTAGCCCACTCTTGAATCTGGAAGATCCAGCCACCAGCAACAAGTACACCACTAACCACATTAACCAATCTGACCAACAAATTCAACACACCACCCCACTCCTCCGCAATTGTCAACATCAACGGCTCGATATCGAACTTTACGAAAATACCAGGGACTTGGCGTTCGGATACAATGTGCGACTGTTCGGTGACGGCGTATTGGTTTGTGAAGATTGTGTTGCGTGGGAGATGAGTGTGTGCGTTTGCTTCGTCGCCGCTGCTGAGTGGGATGGCGGAGGAAGAGTATTTTTGGAGGGCGGCGGGGTTGTCGGTATAGACTGTGGGGACGACGGAGAGGTAGTATTGGAATTTTTCAAAGTGTTGGTCGGTGGTTGTGCGTGTGTTGTCGAGGGGGTTGTCGAGGCCTGGGTAAAAGGGACCGAAACTCAATTCGTTGATTTGGTGGGAGAAGTTGAATGCTGTGGGTACTGTGTTAGGAGGGAGAGATGAGGAAATGGGAGGGAAGGAGGGTTAGACGTACATTGATGATCCAAGTGTTGGCCAAACTCCATGTATCCGTGTCCGCGAGCGGTGATGTGGAAATCACCTTGTACCTTGTTGAGCTCCAGAGCGCCATAGACACGACAAGAGTCAGGCACAGCACCCCTACTCAACTTGGGCGTCTTTGCAAACTTCTTCTTTCCCTTTTTCGCAGCACCGAGGTAATCATGCACATCCTCCTCTTGATAATCGGCACCTCCTCTTTCGGCAGCACTGCCACCAAGATGATGAGCACCCTTTGTGTTTTGCCAATGCGACCACATGGTCGGGTTGCGGTGGAGGGCTTGACTGGCCATGATGCGGTCGCCAGAGGCATCTTGAACGTTGATGTGGAGGTCGTCGCATTTCATGGCCACTACGACATCGAGGTTGAGTTGGAGATTGTGCGAGATGCCCTTTTCTACGCTGAAGGTGTGGTGCGTTTCACCCACGTACCAGCGGCGCACCTCGGTCACTGCCAGCAGGAACGAGGCGAAGGCGAGGAAGAGCGTCCATACTCCTCCATTTTGCGTCTTGGTCTGGTACGACGGTTTCGTTTTGGCTGTGCAGTGTTGCCGTTAGTGTGGTGCTCGATGAGATGATGGAGGGTGGAAGATGATGAAACATACGAAAGGCGTCAAAGGCCTTCACCACCGACGTTGCCTTGGACTCTCCAAAGGCTCCCTCGTCGAGAGCATGGTCGGGGAAACCATTCATGGTGATATCAACAATCTTGACATGTGAAAGAGTGAAACCAGATAAAGAAGGCCACCTGTACCTGTCCCTGACATGCCAAACCCCCGCCTTTTCCACCAAACCACTCAATTCCCGACGGAACTCCTCCGCAATTGACCCTTGCACAACCACATCCCGACTTCGCTGCTCTGTATCTCATCAATCTCCATCTGATATCGACTTGTTCACCTTCATCTGATATCACCATCGGTCCACGGCCATCTCCGATACCTTCCAAACACAAAACAGGAAGCTGTAAACTGCAATCGCTCGCGTGTGCCCTTGCCTTTGCCTTGCCCTGAGCACTGACTTGTGGATCTACCGCCCCTACTGCACCATTATTTCATCAAGCAGACAAAAAGAAGCATTTTTCAGATAAGGGAGAAGTAATCATCCATCAAGTCGTGATACAAGTACACTATATAAGAAGCACTGTTTCGCTTCTACTCTGCGATCCAATTGCATTCATTGCATAACCATCATTCAATCATGCTCGTCAATTCCATCTTCGCCGCCAGCGCATTGATGGTCTCTGGCGCAGTCGCCTGGAACAAAGGTATGCTTTCCCGACTTTCATCTTACTCATCAATCTGCTGACATCTCAAATCTCAGACGTTCATCAACAAATCGGCTACAGCGCCGAACAACTCCTCACCCCCTCCACAAAATCAATCCTCCATCACATCCTCGAGCCCAAATACAACGGCAGCATAGGCTTAGCAGCATCCTGGGCAGACGACTACGCCCACACCACCGAAGGCGCTTTTTCCTACCAATGGCATTGGATCGATTCAGCAGACAACCCACCCTACTATTGTAATGTGTATTATAACCGTGACTGCACGAAAGGCGGTTGCGTGGTTTCCGCCATTGCGAATCAGACGCAGATACTCAAGGGATGTATCACGAGGGCCAAGAAGGGGCAACTTGTGCATGGTGAGGATTTGCAGTGTTCGTATGCGTTAAAGTGGGTTGCGCATTTCTTGGGCGATATAGCGCAGCCTTTGCATGCGTCCGGTGTCGCGGCTGGTGGCAATGACTTTGACGTGGTATTTGGAAACCATTCGACCGAATTGCATGCTGTAAGTTCCATTCCTCTTCTTCTTTTGATTTACCACTGATCCGGGGTTGTTCAGGTCTGGGATGGCTGGATCGTCTACGCAGACGCAAATGTCACCGGCTTCCCCAACAACACTATCCAACCATTCTTCAAGCACCTCGTCTCCCGCATCCGCGAAGACGACTTTTCAATCCCCACTGCAGAATGGATTGCTTGTAGCGACCCTTCCACACCTTTGGAATGTGCGCTCAGCTGGGCTCGCGACAGCAACGCCTTGACCTGCGATTACGTCTACTCGCAAGCTTTCAACGGTACAAACCTGGCCACTAGCGGATATGCAACTGGTGCATTCCCAATCGTGGAGTTGCAGATTAGTAAGGCGGTGTTGAGATTGGGTACATGGTTGAATAAGCTTGTGGCTGGTGATTATGACCATGGAAGAGATGTTGTGCTTCAGACGAACCCGAGTTGGTTGTTGGGTCCTGATGGTGGAGAGTAGAAGTGGTGTGATGTTTGTTGTGTATGAGCGAAGGAAGATATCGAAGATGATGGACACGATGTCAAATATTTCCAGAGAATGACGACCTGTTTGTCGAAAATTCTATCCAGTATGATATGTGCTCATTCCCAACGTTGGCGCTGTCCAACGTTGCAGAAAGTGCAAATTCGTGTCGCAATGAAGTTGGCAAATCGTCTCTTCGGGATGTTGCAGCACCCAACTTCACTGCTGTCGCGAGGAAAAGTATGTTGACCGCCTTTCTTTTCCTGAGCTTTCTGTCATGACATCCTCCCCGTGTGCTGAATTTTGTCACATCAACTCTCTTGCCGTAGCGACGTACATCAAAACACCTGTAGAAATGCACAATGATTTCTAACACTAGAGCTAGGTCCAGAGAGAGAGATCTGGAGCGCCGCTCTCTGTGGACGAAGCAGTCTTGCTCAAAATCATTGTGCATGTCTACAGCTCCACGCGTGACAGAGTTTAGCACTCGGGGAGGACGTCTCGTCGGCATCAAGAATCGAGACCGACAGTCGAGCGGAATAGGAAAATATTGAGGCTCCTGGGTCGATGCATAAGCAACAGCGTTTCGTCTGCGACGTGAATCCAGGCGGCCTGTCGCAATGCACAGTTCCTCTGCTTCAAAGACATAGGCAGCTCTTAGATGTTACTCTTGCAGTAGTTGACTTTGTGCGCCGACCAATGCTACTTCTGAGTAGACTTTATGGTTTGTTCTTTTTAACATCCACGTTCAGCTCATCGCTCGTGTTTATCGGCCGAGTATACACTGTCCAGAACACCATAGCGACCAGATATCTCCGATGGCATTGAGATGGTCGCAATTACCGGTCCGGCCCAATGTGAGTCTGCGCGCTTGTCCCTCGGTCTTGCCATTTCGATGTCGATAATCTCCAGATCCTCGACTCCCGAAGACGCTCCACCGACCACAAAAGCCGGAACCGCTCGGTGTGGGGCGGCCTGGCGTTCCAGATCTTCAGATGAAGACCATGCTTTACTGCTGATAGCATCCATCCAAGTCTTGACGAGAGGTCGCAGGGTCGCGAGCGAGAGAGCGATGATGCCAATTCCTGCTTCAATGGCTGCAAGAATGACAACTTTTGGAAGTTTTGAAGCTGTGGCGAGTTGAACCCTTCCTCCACGGATGAATGGAATGCGCGAGATGGAGACGATACTTCCCATAGCGGCTAGTGATAACAGCAAACACACAGAAAGCTTTGCTCGAGGTGGCATCTTGGTCTTCAGGACGAGGCTGACGGTGGTCAGAACAAAGATCCAATCCGTAGCTGCTGTCAAGGCTCCGCTGAAGTAACTGATCGGTCCCATCACAGTGTCCCAGTCCAGACAATTTTTATGTATTAGAATGTTGGAAGGAACACCGCACTGGAATATGGTGAGAAGGATGACCGTTGTCATTACTGCCACGTAGAGAATGACCGAGACAAGTATAGTGCGTTTCTGCCACTTTTCCTGAACGATGCGAAGGAAGAAGACTGCAGCAGAGAGTTTGATGAATATTTCCGTCGCGTTCCAGACCGTAATGCCAGAAATGGCAAGCTATCCTTCATCAGCAAATGTCGTCAAGATGGATCTCATCAGAACCCACCTTTCCAAGTTTCTGTGTTGCGGAAGTTTCTTCAACACCGTTGATTGCTTGAGTTGCTCCCATGAGAATTAGAATGATACAATTGCCGGAATACAGAAAGAAGGCGATGATGAGAAGCCTGTCGTCCCAGCCAAAAGCCTTGATGAGAAAGCCTCGTACGTACACCCTCATTGACAGTGCAATTCCTGTCAGCAATAACATAACACCGCCAACAACAATCGTTGATATAGGATCAAGTCCAAACTCGTCGACATCGGGATGCATCTTCGACGACCGATGCACCTCGACTACTCAAGGGCATCTGTCTGACGGACGGTATGAGAAAGGGATGGAGATTCTCGAGTAGCACGGTTGGGCGGCGGCGAAAAGCTTATGATTGTGTTTAACGTGAAGAAATAAGGTTGGTGGGTGGAGTTCAGGTATTTGGCTGAATGATGATGCGATGCGGAGTCGGATGGCTCGGACCTTTTCTTCAGGCACCTGGGCCTTCATTTCGTCTGTCATCGTTCTCTGGCAGATGTCCAATTTGCAATGCCGTGCGGTTCGTAGAAACACACAAGCATGTAGAAACGTCTTCGACAGAGACGTTACCCCTTCGCGTGCGGGCGAGCTCGAAGCAGGAACCCGTTTTCGAAATCCACGTGGGAGATCACTTGTGTCTTGTTCCCCGAGCAAATCCGATCAGCGGTGCGATGAATCGATTCTCATGCTGGTCCATCACGGTTGCCAACATCGCAGCGGTTTCTGTCATGCGTTCACATATACATATGTACGCCCTGACTGGTGTGATTCCTCTGGCTATGTTTCAAGTTCTTTTCATCAGTTCGAGCTTTCTTTTCCTGTCGTTCATTCAAGCTGTCAACAATACTGAGATGTTCTCAACGGCACGGGACGGGTCGGTCAACGTGAACGTTCCGGTGCCTCGGTCTCAGACTGTTGATATTTCCGGCTAATTTGCTGAGAGAAGCGAAGATCATCTGTCTCTTCCACCTTTTGATATACCAGACACCTCCGTGTTGCAGTGTCCGTAGTTCTCGACGAGAGGTTCAAAAAAGCAGAAGTCTAAACAGCATGCACAAAGCTTGTCTGACGAAAATCTGGAGAAGCTGCAAGGTAGGCACGAGACGAAGAGGGGAGCGTGCTGTGTTCGGATGCCGGGTGGCCCCTTCCACCAGACAATGCTTGAATGCAAGGAAGTCAAAGAGATGAGAGGCTCAGGGACAACCGTCCTGTGTGACATCTGGTCAGAAACTTATGACCCTGAGCTGCTTTGTTGCACTTTGCTGGGACGGCGATGTTCTGCCAGCGACGGGGGAATCGAACAAAGACCGAAGGTTGAAAAAGATACTCGTGGCATATTTGATTGCTACTGACATGTCTGAACCACGACTCTGCAACTATTCAGTCCCCTCTACTCTTGTTTCGCACAGCAAGGCTGATTGGCTGGGCATCGGGTACGCATGGCATAGGGCTCTCGTGTACCTGTCATTGCTTCCACACGAAACGTCCTCATGCTCGTACGAGCAATTCGCGCGGTGCGATGAACTTGCAAGCTCCTTCCTTTGCCCGCTCCTGTCTGGCGATGTTCTGGTCAATGACTGTTGATGCGATACAACCTCCAAAATTCGACCGGATAATACTGCAGGGTGACTAAGTTTGCGATAATCTCTCGATCAAGATTGGCGTTATACCCTGCGTCGTGGTACGAGATTGTGGATCAGGTCAAGCTTCAAATGCCAGTCGGGGTCCCGCATACCCTTGCGCTGTTCATGCAAGATATGAAGATTGTCGAAGGACAGAACCAAACGTATCTTGCCCCAATCGATAATGAAAGCATTTGCTCAACTCCTCTGTAAATCGATCGCGTGTAGAAACAGTCATGTTGCGACTCATGGAGGTTGACTACAATCATGATAACGACCTCTTCCACGGGGACCATCAAGGTCCGAACAAAGATAAGCTAGGTGATATCAGAGGCGGCTCGAACTGGCGGTCAGCAGGACATCTGTTGCCGCGACTTTTGACTGATCGCTCTGATCGCTGCTGCAAGGGCCCTTGACTCCGCCCTTGAGACGTCTCATCTTGCACCTTTCCGACTCTTCAACAAACAGCAGAATGAATGAATATGTGCAAACAGCCATCTGCGTAAACGTCTGGCCATGCACCTGTGCACCTACCTTGGTGGCTCGAGGTTTAAACTCCAGACACTCCAAGACGGAGGAAGTGGGGTCGGCTGCGTTTGGCAGATCGATTGGGCCGAAACTCGTGAGCGGGACGGATTCCAAGCTATTGCATACTTTGAGTAACAAAGCGCGCGAATCAGACACGAGTACGCGCTCCAAGAATGGACTAAATGGGCTTTTGCGAGAAAAGCAATGTGAATTGAAGGTCTGCGAAGGACAAATATCGTTGCGACAGCCAGTTTTGGCCAGCTGCAACGGAAAAGTGGAAGTCGCAATGTCAGAAAACGGCATCTCGAACCAATCAGAACAAGATCCCAAGGTTGCGCCTGGTGTCGGGTGGCTGGCGGGCGACCCAAGTAGATACCTACCCCTCTTTATACCCTCGCACTCCCACTTTCATTTCTGGGCGATCCTCCTTCTTATCCATCGCGCATAACTATACACTGTCCAATTCCACTCAGGTACTTTTCGAACACAAACGCGCGACAAACACTGTCGTCAAACAAAAGACGACAATCCGCAAGCCGATCAACGCGCGCGTGCCTGGTAGGGCTGGCGCACAACTGACTCTCGGTCCAGTCACACTCAACACTGATAGCGTCTTGCGCTCTTGCCTACTGCTCTTGACCGCTGCGCCTGTTCATGACCCATTCACCCACCTCTCTTTCATATATCCTTGCTCCTTGGAAACACATACAACAATCCATCTTGTACCATCGACGTCGTACTCGAAAGCTTATCAGTACCCGTTATCTTAACTCCGTCAACGCGATCCCACCGCCATAGCATGAGCACGACTATCACTCGCCCCATCTACGAATCGCACCCTTCGGTCGACGCGTCTATGGAAGATTTTGAGTTTCGCGCCAACTCTCCAGAATTCTTACGACCTGATTCGCATGCGCGTATCCACTTCATGAGCCCGACCGCTTCAGACTACTCCGAGGCAGCAACCGAACCCGACATCAACGGAGGTTGGTCGCCGCCGGCCTGGCGTAAGGCAGGAAGTGGTTGGTTCAAGCATCACCTTCAACAGACCGGCCTCATGTCGCCATATGGAAGTAGGGAATGCAGTCCCGAGGAATACAGGAAGGGCTTGACGCCATACGATGATGACGATGAAGACATCTTGGTCGCAGCAGGGATCCCTCTTCCAATCAGCCCTCTCAAGGGTAGAAGCCCAGAACCTAGTTACAGTCCTACCGTTGCCGCTGTGCTGAAGCAGGATGAGGACAAGAGAAGGCAGATGAACCACTCACAGAAGGATGGTGACCAGTCATGGCCCGATAAGCATGATAACTGTATGCTTCGTCGTGTGATTCAACTGATCATGACGGCTGACCAGGATGGTAGATATCCGTTTTTCCGTTCGAGCAGACGTGCAACAGCGCACAGAACCCATCGAAGCAGTCATAGCCCACTTCCGCAAAGTCTGGGGTCGCTTTACCAAGAATCGATACACTACCTTCCTCTCATTGATGACAGCTTTGTTTGTGCTGACTCTCACTCGCGCATTGTTTTCAGAACCCGTGACTGGACCTACCCCTGATCTCGTCAAAGTGGCCGGTCTGGCCAAGTCCTTTGAACCTCTCATGTACTACAGTGAAAACGGCCACAGTCAGGTCGTTCAGCTGGGAGAGACCGGAGTCGCCGTATGGGACCTGGGTGAGAGCGTCCGCTCAACAAACATGACCTCAGGTCCCATCATCGTGCGCGAACTCGACGAACTTTCAGATAGTCTCAAGAACCTGGCCCACGAACTGACCCGCTTCTTCGCCGGCGTTGATGGCGATATTGACAGCATCCTCATCGTCATGGAGTGGGCACAAAGAGAGCTTACGAAGCTCAACACCTTGCCAGCATCACATATGTCGTTGGCCTTCTCCAACCTTCACTCTCTACTGTCGCGAGTCGGCCTCCTTGAAGACCACCGGACAGGAGAACAGACCGCAGTCGGCAAGATCGTTGCTGAGCTCTTCGGTCGTACCGCGCCGCAAGTCTCACGCGCCACCCTCCAACGCACCTTTACCGAATTCCTCGGAGTACTCGAAGAGAGCATCAACAATGAGTTGACTGCAAGCATGAGCTTGTTCGCCCACTTCGAGGCGATCGACCGTCAATTCCTCAACCTACAACGTGTTGTCATTCGCGAGACCGACGCGCAGGAACGTGAAGAAAATGAGATGCTTGCCTCGCTGTGGGCAAGAGTTATTGGAGTCAACGCATCGCGATTGAAGAAGTTCGAGAAGAACAAACAGCTCCTCTCATCTCTGCGCGAACGCACCATTCAGAACAAGCATGTTCTGGTTGACCACAACGGTCGTCTGCTTCAACTCAAGAGCAACCTCGAGATCTTGCGCAAGAAGCTAGTATCCCCGCTTGTGAGATCAAATGGTACGAGCACCCTCACCGTTGACGAGCAGATTAAGGGGCTTGAAGGCACCTATCTCACTCTCCGGGCCACCAGAGAGGCGCAGAAGAGCCGACTGTACGAAATCATCCACGACTCGGGCACAAGAAGAGTGGGCATTGTAAGGGGCCCAGACGAGGGATACGCTATCGAGGGTCATTAGATACTACAGTACAGTAATGCTTCTGACTGCGTTCCTGCGACGGCGTCGATGGCGTATTCAAGAGGGATAGGTGTTATATGCAGAGAGCATTTTGGGAGGTATTGTGGGTTGGAATGGTATACACCGAGGAGTCATGTGTTTCTTGCTTTCTTGATTTCGGGGTCAGTCTTTGATTTTTGGTTGTCTTTCTTTCATGATGGGTCTGTTTCTTGGTTATGGTATTCAGCGTCGACAGCACCTACAGTCGCTGCGATTGCTACTATGATTTTATGTCCTCAATGCGATACTTACTACTAATTATCTCGATGTTCGCAACCTTTACAAGCGTTCGTTTTGACGACAGCGCATCTGCTTGATGTATGTCGATGCAGGACATGTGGTAGAACGCAAGAGGTCGCCTATCGTGCATGGGGCTTGATCTGCAAATCGATCTCTTGGTGATTGGCAACTTGTTACTTTGCGACCTGTGCATGGCTGACCTTTGTGCGACCGGGGAATCACCTGTTGCTGCCCTATCACTTATGGTGGTGCTACCGCGGTTAGGTACCTATCGCGGCTCGGGATGAGTTGATATACTTACCCCATGTTTCGGCGACATCAAGGCTCATCTTGACGCTCTCCCAATGCTCGCCGTCAACCAGCGATTGTCGATGTTGCAACCGTTGAGGCTCTCTTCTGCTTCGGAAAGCGGTTGATACGATGCGATGCAAGAAAGATTTGATGTTTCAGGTGCAAGATGGGGAAAGCAGGTCACTCTAAGCAAAATTAGGTTTAGATACACCAGCTGCACAGCCTCAATGACATCAATCTCCCTCCCAAAAATCCACAAACGAGAAGTTGTTCGGTAGAGGAGGGCGCCAAACCTCTCGTGCAACACCTTTTCTCTTGGTCTTGCTGTCACTTCTGCGCCGCTCTTCATCTCGCACCATAATCTTCTCCTCCAATTCTTTGCTGCAAGCGTGCTGTGCTGCGCCTCCACCACGTTCCATTCCTCTTGGCTTGAACAGTGCCAGCGGGTTCCATTGATTCCACAACGGGTTCCTTTTTCACGGTTCACCAGTCACCACAGCTCGCATCATAGAATAGAGTTATCCTTGACCTACCGAGTCCGGTGACCGACCTGCCTTCTTATTCAGCTAATACCTTGATCCACCTTTCGACCTCTTTTCTCTTCTCCTAAGATATGAGTGAGTGACATCCGGCCCTATCCCTAGCCCATCTATCTGTCAGGACGTCACGATCCACCCTGCCTCGCTCTGACACTGAACTACTCGGCCCTTCTTGGCGCATCGCTGACAAGAGAGAAATAAAGACAAGGTCAAGTCCCAGTTTGGACGCGCTGGACGAAGCTCAACCGGAGGATCACGCAACTCTATGGATCGTGGTCAAGAACGTGGCGCCAATGGCGACGCCGACGAGAACACCCCTCTTGTCAACGAGGGCACTTCGCGTCTTGGCAACATGAAGAGCTTGCGCACTCGTGTGGCATCGTACCGCGAGGACGACAGAGCCTGGGTCAGCTATCCTATGAGCTTCCTCTACATCACCTGGGCCGTCCTCGCCAGCAACTATGTCAACGTCCTGCTCGTATTTGTTCCCGCCGGTATCATTCTTGGAGCTCTGGGCATGGACCCTACCGCCGTTTTCGTCGTCAACTTCCTGGCCATCGTTCCCCTTGCTGCTCTCCTGAGTTTCGCTACCGAAGAGCTGAGTGTAAAGCTGGGTCAGACAATTGGTGGTCTCATGAACGCGACCTTCGGAAATGCCGTCGAATTGATTGTATGTGGATTACGGATATGCGCCAGTCTATAAACATGGCTAACAAATCATTGCGCAGGTTTCGATCGTTGCTCTTCAGAAGGGCGAGATTCGCATTGTCCAGGCCAGTATGCTCGGCAGTATCTTGTCGAACATCCTCCTCGTTTTGGGCTGCTGCTTCCTCGCCGGTGGCTGGAAACACCAGGAGCAGTCCTTCAACTCGACTGTTGCTTCGACCATGTCATCTCTTATGGCCGTCGCTTCGGCCTCTCTGATCATCCCTGCCACTCTTTATGCCGCGCTCGCCAACTCCAAGGAGCGCACTGACGACAACATCCTGATCCTTTCTCACGGAACTGCTATCATCATGCTCATCCTCTACTGTCTCTACCTCTTCTTCCAGCTCAAGACTCACGCCAACCTGTTCGACGAGGAGCAGCAAGATGGAGAGGAGGACAAGGAGCCCGAGGTTCTGAAACCTATCCCCGCCGCCGTTGCTCTCGTCATCATCACTGTCGCCGTTGCCGTCTGTGCTGAATACCTAGTCGACTCGATCGATGCTATCGTTGAAGAGGCGCATATCTCAAAGACATTCATTGGTTTGATTCTCTTGCCTATTGTCGGAAACGCGGCAGAGCACGTTACCGCGTGTGTTGTCGCATACAAGAACAAGATGGATCTTGCAATCGGTGTTGCGATTGGCTCTTCTCTCCAAATCGCTCTCTTCGTTACTCCCTTCTTGGTCATCCTCGGCTGGGCCATGGGTCAGCCCATGACCCTTCACTTCCAGATGTTCGAGACTGTGGTCTTCTTCGTCAGTGTTCTCGTGGTTAACTACCTGATCGCTGATGGAAAGAGCAACTACCTCGAGGGCGCCATGTCTTTGGGTATGTACATCATCATCGCTCTTGCCTTCTGGGTCTACCCTGATGATGCTGGTGACCCGATCTCCAACCCTCCCAAGCTCTTCTAATTGAGGTTTGCAAATTGAGTGCTTTGCGCGTTCTTATCGCCAGTCATTCCTACATCGAGTGCAACTATGATACCCTCAAAAGGCTTCAGCAGTAAAACATACAAACGCAGTAGTTCGGGACAAGAATGGGAAAGTCGGCAAGTTGTGGAGGCACTGGCGTTGGCTCTGCTTGAAGCAGGAGCATTGTTTCCTTGTGTATAGATAATTGCATCTCTTTTGTAGTAGCAAATCAAGCAGGCAGTGCCTTATCTAATCTTATATCGTGTCTTGTGCTACATGTGTAGCTGACCATGATGAGCTGACTAGACTCCCGGAAGGAAGATCCGAATGACGGCGAGTCAGCTTTCCCCAGGAAGTCACACCCCGCCAGCTCCTTCGTTGCGGCACAAAAAGTAGCATCCCCTTGTTGAAGTCCCACCAGCATATGCAAAGGCCGCCTACGACGCGTTGAGATTACGAGATCTCCAACTAGGAAAATTTACAAGTCGCATCCTGTGGACCGCATCTCGCTCAACTTCCCCTCACCGACCCCCTAGCACTGAGGCTCTTTCCCGCGGCGCGCCGCAACGGATGCCTGCAAGTCACTCGCCCGACTCTCGACCAGACCCGCCAAGTGACACAACTCAAGGAAAAGCCACTGCTGCCATTCGGCGGGGAAGAGGTAGCTGGTAGCCTATATCTCACCTGTCGTCCCACCGACCTAACATTGTAATTTCACTCGACCTCGATCTACGCTACGAAACATGGCCCCTCCTCGCAAGTCCAAGTCCAGCTTCTGGCCAAACTTCATCTATGATGCTTGGTTATGGACCTTCTCCGTCCTTGTCGACCTCTTCTTCCGCGAAGTCCACCCTCGCAGTTCTTGGAAGGTTCCTCGCAATGGACCCGTCATTATCGTCGCAGCTCCTCACGCCAATCAATTCGTCGACCCATTGATCCTTATGCGCGTCCTGCGTATGGACGCCTACCGTCGTGTTTGCTGGCTTATCGCAGAGAAGTCCATGAAGAGAAGGTTTATTGGCTGGGGTGCTCGTATGGTCGGCTCAGTACCTGTTGGCCGTGCCTTGGACTCGAAAAAGCCGGTCGAGGGAAGAATATACCTGCCCGATCCTAAGGATGATCCAACACTGGTCAAGGGAATTGACACCGACTTTGGGAACAAGGACATCTACATGGTTGGAGGATTGCTTGCATTGCCGAGCTTTAAGAACAAGTTTGCAAACACCGAGATCAAGGAAATTCTGGGCCCGAATGAGATCCGTCTGAAGAAGCCATTCAGCGGTAATGTCGCTTTGCGCCAGTTGACTGGCCAGGAAGTCAAGGATGAAAAGGCAGAGGCCAAGTTGACGGAAGGTTTCGAGGGCACAGAGTTCGAGGTTGCTCCTCATGTTGATCAGGGCGAAGTCTACTCTTCTGTGTTTAAGAAACTGCACGAGGGTGGCTGCATTGGTATCTTCCCCGAAGGAGGTAGTCACGACAGAACAGAGCTTTTGCCGCTGAAAGGTGTGTAAGGATTCTTTTGTTGCAAGACTCGACTAACATTCCACAGCTGGTGTCGCCATCATGGCTCTTGGTGCTCTTGCAGAAGACCCGAATTGCGGTGTCAAGATTGTGCCTTGCGGCATGAACTATTTCCACGCTCACAAGTTCCGTTCGAGAGCCGTTGTCGAATTTGGGACTCCTGTTGAGATCCCCAACGAGCTGGTCGAGATGTACAAGAATGGTCAGAAGCGTGAAGCTGTCGGCCAAGTCTTGGAGACTGTCTACCAAGCTCTTGTCTCGGTCACTGTCACAAGCCCTGATTACGATACTCTCATGGTATGCTGGTCGCCTTTGATGACGTTTCAATCCATTGCTAACATTTATCCAGCTCATTCAGGCAGTCAGACGCTTGTACAACCCCAAAGGAAAGAAGCTCCCTCTACCCATGATCGTTGAGTTAAACAGACGTCTCGTAAAGGGCTACACCACCTACAAGGACGATCCTCGTATTGTCAACCTGAAAAAGTCTATCCTGGCATACAACAAGGAGTTGATGATGCTAAACATTCGAGATCACCAAGTTAGCTACGCCAAGTTCTCAATCTTCAAGGTCCTCCTCACACTGTTCTACCGTCTCGGTAAATTATTGGTTCTGGCTATTGCAGTTCTTCCTGGTCTGGTTCTCTTTGCTCCCGTTTTCATCACCGGCAAGGTCTACTCAATCAAGAAGTCTCGTGAAGCCTTGGCAGCATCTACAGTCAAGATCCAAGGTCGCGATGTCATGGCTACTTGGAAATTGCTTGTCTCCTTGGTTGTCGCACCTCTTCTCTACAATTTCTACAACATCATTCTGGCCATCTGGACTCACTATAACCGCATTGGAGGTCGCGTACCGAATTGGGTTCCTCTATGGGCTGTATTCGCTTTTGGCTACATCCTCTTCCCAGCCATCACGTTCGCCGCTCTCAGATTCGGTGAAGTTGGCATGGATATCGCCAAGTCATTACGCCCCTTGATCCTCTCTTTGGGACCTTCATCTGGAAACACTCTTGTCAAGCTGAGAGCCAAGCGCGCTTCATTGGTGGAACAAGTGACCGAAGTCATCAACGAGCTTGGACCTGAGCTATACCCAGACTTCGATCACCAACGCATCGTTTCAGACCCCAGCCACCCTCTCTCACCCTCATATTCTCAACCTCAAACACCTCGCTCACGTCGCAGCTCCGAATACGACCGCATGTCCATGACATCTCCCGATCTAACAAGCTATTTCAGCCGCACAGGCACAGCAGGCGCAAGCATCGGCGGCGGCAGCGGACAAAACACCACGCATCTTCCTAGAAACGAGTCGTTCGGTAACATCGGCGGCTTCGGCTTCTTCTCATCGCGACCTCACACACCCAATCGCTCTCGCAGCCGTAACCGCAGTCGCACAAGCAGTGATGGCGGTATGGGCTTCACAGCCATGAAACCCATGACCACCATCGACTCCAAAGGCGGCTACGAAGAAGTCACCGAAAAGATCAGGGATGCGATGAAGCAGCGTGGACGCAGGAGAAGAAGTGAAGATGCCTCTGCTGTTGATAATGGATGGGAGATGGCTGATGCGGATGAAGAGGTTGAGGATGAGGATAAAAAGGTCGTTTGAGAAAAAAAAAACAGCCTTCCTTTTGCCTCTTTGCATTTGTATATTGTTTCATTGCCTTTCTTTTTTGTTTCTTGCTGCTTTACAACCCAGAGATACCAGATCGTCACTGCATCATACTCGCAGCAGTGGCGGTTAGTTTTTCCGCTCATTTGCAACATCATCATTCCAGTATTGGTTTTTTTGAGTGTATAGATTTGGTTCGTTCATTGAGAAGCACTTTGCACATCAAACAATCGTTCTTACACAAGCACTGTGAGAAGTTTTTGGTCACACACGATAGAATTTTTCCGTCAGCAATAGTGGCTAGGGACCACTGCACGAGGTCTTTGTAATAGAAAAGTTCCTCTGTTGAAGATTTTTGGTAAAAAGGATTTTCTGCTTCAGGTAGTTTCGCCGGTTCCGGATGATTCTCTTTTTTTGGCCAAAAGACGAAGAAGATATCGTGACCAGATTATGCGAATACCCCCATCCATCCATCCATCCATCTACCGAACTCTCTTTTAGCTTGCTCTTGGACGGAATGCATAAGAGGCAGTCGGCGAATCGGAATTTCTTTCCCAAAAAGTACCCTCCAGGACTTGTTAAGCACAAATCCCGCGGTCAGGGAACCTCCGTCCCATGATCTGCCTCCTCCTTCCTTCCAGAGCCAAAATGCTCGACAAATCTCCTCGATAACAGTAAATGCCTCAGACTATACAAAGTCAAGGCCTTTGTTCCAAATCATGTTTTCGTTGAGCGGAAAAAGAAAAAAGAGTTTTCTTCGCTGGCCTTTTTCGATGTGTTTTCGAGTCAAAGTGGTCTTCAGAAATCGCAAGAATCTGCGATCAATTGTGCCAACTCTTCCAAAGCCTTTTTGTCTTCATCGTCAAAGGCGTCTTTGACGGCACAATCGACATCGATGATGGCGACGACCTGTTTTTTCCCCCAAACGCACCCCGAAAATCAGCCAAAAATGATTCCTCTTTGTACACCATAGGAGAAGAAGAAAAAACACTCCTCTGCGTGCAAACGACCAAATGGTTCGAAAGAAAAACAAAAAGAATAGCAGGGGCAAACAAAAACTCACCTCGCCATTCTGAATCACAGGGACCACGATTTCCGATTTAGATTCCGCGTCACAGGCGATATGGCCAGGAAACATTTCCACATCGCTGACCACTTGTGTCGTTTTGGTCTGCGCGGCTACACCGCAGACGCCCCTGCCGAAGCGGATGGTCTGGCAAGCTACTTTGCCTTGGAAGGGGCCGAGGATCAGTTGCGTGGTGGGAGGGGAGGAGGGGTCGAGGACGTAGAAGCCGGTCCAGTTTGTGTGGTTGCTGGGGGAGGGGAGGGCGTGGAGGCAGTGCCAGAGGAGGGAGGCGGCGTTGGAGAGGTTGCTGTTGTGGGAAGGGGGAGGTTAGTGGTTGGGTGAGAGGATAGGGAAGGGGATGGGGGTAGCTTGCTTACCAGACCTGTGGGATTTGTTAGCTGTGTTCCTAATTGATGTCGATAGGATGGAAACTGGGAAGGGGACCGGCGTATCATAGATACAAGGTGGAAAAAGGCATGTTTGGTTTTGGTGATGATAAAGATCACACTTCTTTTCGTGATTGATGATGACGATGATGATGATCCACAGGAAAGAGCAGAATAGACAATAGGTTGATGCGTATGAGAAGACAATTGATGATAGGAGAAAATACAACTTACCCAATTCCTCTGCTCGAAAAATAATCCCCTCGCCTGCTCCAACACCTGAGCATAGGCTTCTTGCTTGCTCACATTGGAGTCAAAGTTGGACGCGTCGGCATGCACCTAAACACACCCCCAACATCACCTTTTAGCCAATCCGCCCTCTCCCACACATTACTCCCACTTTTCTCACCATTCTTCTTTGCTGTTTATCTTTCTCTTAACAATTATATCCTTTCAAATTGAGTCACGCGACAAGGAATGAGTTGTTTCAAAACAGGAGAAAAAAAAAGAATACGGATGTGTTCGGGCTCTCTCTCCACTCCGCAATTTGCTCGGGCCACACACAGCACAACACAACATCACGTAAAAATTCGAAGATGGAAGAGGAAGGAGGAAAACAGAGCACGCCACCTGTCGCTCAACTACGAACAAGCAAGAAGAGTAGGGTGTCTCTCGTGCATAAAGGATTCTAGACAGAAAGTTTGGGTCAAAATATCCATCAGGTGATGGGAATGCCGAGGATACCCGAGATGTCGAATTTTGGTCCCATGTCGATTTGGTTAGTTGTGCCACCCTGCTCGTAATTCAATATCTCTGTTATCGGGACCTTTTTTTCGATTTCCCGCAGAAGGTGTTGGGTTCGAAAGGAGAATCGAGTTCGTCGATGTTGAAGATATGTTAGGTAATTTCTCGTGCTCGGAGGGATTGCGAGCATCGATATTACAGTCGGTGGTGGGTTTTGGACTCCATGGCAAGTGTCTCACAGTCCCGATAGCCTGTGGAAAACTAGCACCCGTGCGCTGAAGAGGAGAAGGAACACAAGAAAGCAGATGGGAAAACGATGTTTACGATAATCTTGACAATTGTTGCATTTTGCATTTTGTGATTAATGGTTGATGTATGAGGTGAGACAGACGTGCAACAGTTCCCCTATGGTCCTCCTTGCTCCACTGCCGATTCTGTGGTGAATGATGCTTCCCTCCCCTTGCTTCCGAAAACTCCTGGTATCTGAGAAAGTGGTAAAAGTACAAAGAGTAAGAAAAAAAGCTCGACTTCCCTGACGAAGCGCCTGTGCTGAAAGAAGAAGTGAAGTAAAGGCAAGCAAAAAGCAAGAAAAACGAGAAAAATAGAGGCTTCCCATGGTATCGTTCGTATCCCCAATGCCCAGAAAACGCCCTTTTTTTGCGAAAGAAGGATCAAAAATCAGAAAACCAGAAAAAAGCAAAGGGGTGAGGTGAGGTCAGGTCAGGTCTGTCGACAGCCTGCCCTCATTCGCAGCCGTGAGAGGAAAGTCGCGTGTGTGTGCATGATGCAGGAATCAGGACCAAAACTAAGCGTCCGCATCCACCATCTCATCATCACTATCACCGTCTGCATCGGCGTCTTCATCCTCCTCCTCGTCATCATCATCATCATCAGGAGGAAATCCAGAAAGACCACGAACACCACCAAAACCATCATATCCAGTACCAACGCCAACCTCTTGCTCACCCATCTCCACATCCTCTCCTTCTGCATCTTCGTCTTCATCTTCGTCGTCTTCAACAACAGCATGTTCGGGAACTTCAACTCTACCCATGAATCTAGGACGCACGAATGCCGCACCCCTGTTCTCGTCCACGGCGTCCTCGGCATCTTCGAGTGCGCGTTCGTGTTCAGAGGAGATTTGACGTTGTACTTCATCTTCTTCTTCGGCGGAGGGGGCGACTTCCATTTCATCCAATTTGCTGCGGGCGCGACGGGCTGCATTGGTGGGGCGGCCGCGTGGTGTGCTTGTGCCTTTGCCGGTGATGATGGTATTGTTGTTGTTGCTTTCGATGCTGTTTTGACGTCTGTTGGAGGGTGTGAGTTTGGAGCGGGTGCGGCTTCCCATGGGACGGCCGGGCTTGCGCTTGGTGGATTGGCCCGGGAGGGGTGGGAAGATTTCGAAACGCGAGGCGGGAATGCTATCCTCCGTGTATGCGGATCCGCGTCTGACTGATGAGGTGTCCGAGATGTCGTTTTGGGAGGCTGGATCATCTTCTACTGAGCCGTTGGTTTGCTCGGGCTGAGATTGAAATTGAGATTGAGATTGAGCTTGTGACTGGGGCTGAGATTGGGATTTCCGAGGTGAACGGCGGCGGGGAGAATCCTTGGTGAAGGAGGGTTGAGGTGTGAGGGTTGATGGAGGGGCTTTCCGACTGGCCTTGGGAGAGATGCCCTCACAGTTAACGACTTCCGGGTCAGGAGTCGATGTGCCATTAACTTGGGCCTGCTGAACACCTTCCTCGGGCTGCACGGCCTGAATGTCCTCAGGCTCATCACGGCGGGCCTTGGTCTGAATGGGGCCGGTAGCCTCTTCGCCAACTTGGAAGTAGCTCGTGGGTTTGCCCATCATGTATGGTGCCCAGGTGAGCTTGTCGGGATCAATCTTGATGTGACGCTTCTTGTCGTGCTTTTCGAGGTATTCTGCCATGTAGGCCCAATCGCAACGTAGAGCGTACTTGTTTGTGACCGGATCCTTGACAATCGCGCGGAGAGCTTCCAGGGAAGAGATGACATCGTCAATAGTCATACCAGTTTCGCGTGCCATGCCGGCGAAGGTGGCACTGAAAGAGCCCTTGGGTCTGTTTCTGTAGCTGAGCAGTAGTCTGCACATGACGCCACGCCAGTATGAGCGGTAAGACACAAGACCGAGATCAGAAAGCGGCTTTTCGGGAGAACCAGTTCTGCCCTCGACACGAGTCAGAAGATAGGAGAACTCGATCAACGTACGACCGAATCCGTGGCGTTGATGAACAGGGAAAACGAGAATGCAAGAGACGTTATTGCCAGGAGGATCAGCAGAGTTGGCGCCAGCGTTGGCTTGAGCGTGGTCGGGTTGAGAGTTCGGGAAAAGGTTGACGTGGCTGAGTTGGTCCGTAGGTGGCATCCAATCTCTCTTCTCCTTGGAGAAGTAGCCGACAAAGTGGCAACCAAACTCGTCATTTTCAGTCATGACATAGAAGAGGAATGGCTCAACATCGTAGTAAAGAGTCTTCGATCCGAGGAAGAGCTTGGCCAAGAGACAAAGATTTTGGCAGTAAAGCGGGCTGCGGCGACCATCAACTTCGAAGAAAGAAATGCTCTTCTTGTTTCCATCGGCGTCGATGATGTTGTCGCGGTAGATTTCGTCGCCAGGAGGATGTTTGTGAGGGCACTTGAGCTTGTGTCTGAAGGCGACATAGGACGAGCTCATGTACTTGAGGCAAAACTCGCAGATGCACAGGATCGGGTTACGATTGTACTCTTCCGGGTAAGGCGCAGCGTGCAGTGTCTCAATCTCCCAACCGCCGAAGTGGATGTACTTAATCTTAGTAGGTAGTCCGGACGACTTTGATCTGACTGGCAACTCGATGGGATTAGCCTCTTGTTCAGCCTTTCTGGCTTCCTCTGCTTGACGGCGAGATTCCTCGAAAAGGTCACGGTCGCCTTGCTGAGGGTAAGTCTTAGTTGTGTCAGCCTCGGCGTCAGTGAGGATGCCGCCGAATGGCTTGCCCTGCACTGTGTCCAGTTCGCGGTCAGGAAAGGGGTAGTAGGGGTTGTCATAGAGCGTAGTGGCGACAGCAGGATAGTGTGACGACGAAGCAAAAGTCTCCTCCACTTCAGGAGACTTCTTCATCGCGCCAGCCTTTCTCTTGCGGTTACCCATGAGCGCTCGACGTGCTCTATCTCTTTCACGTCTGCGAGCCTTTCTTTGTGCGTTGCGTTCAATATTCTCAAGCGCGCCGGCACTGATAGGGATGGCAACAATAATACTTTTCGGATTGTCGTCTGATGTTTCGGCAGAAATGATTCTTGCGTTTGTGTTTTGAGGAGGCTGGCCGCGCAGTCGAGTCGCGCGCGTGTTGGAAGACTTTTCACTTTTCGCCGAGCCACTGCTTTGGGTCGCCGTCGACTTCTCCTTGACCATATCCCTCGGCGTTACATTGATGTTTGTTTGGCTGTCTGATGCCGTCGATCGTCTTCTCTTACGTGACGTCGCCCTCCGCGGTGGTTCCTCAGTCTCGACGGAAGAATTCTTACGTTTTCTAAGAGACCGCGAACCATCCATCGGATCATCGTCCAGTATTAAATTGTTAAACACTGAATGTGAGTTTGGTTTGATACCACCTCGAGCAGCAGGAAGAAGATCACGGGCTAGCTTGGGGACAGACGATCGTCGTTGAGAGCCCTCATTAATAGTCAATCTGTCGACCTCCTGCTGAAGATGGAAGCCATGTCCAACACAGTCGTCACAGAACCAACCAGCTGGAGTTGTATCTGATGAAGCACATATGTTAGCATATACATATCAGTATAGTGGAGAAGTCACAAGCTTCAACGTACCTTGATCGGGGCTAAGCGAATTAGCGTTTCTGGCGCATTGCTTGTGAGCTGCAGGCATCAAGTCAGCTTTCAAGGACCCTGACAAAGCTTGACATTCGACATGATCATATAAAAACTTACCATGATCCCCGCAATGACCACATTCGAGGTATTCTTCATACTCATCGCTCGGATCGTTTTCTTCGTCCTGTCCGCAATACCTGCCAAGCCAAGATCAGCAATCCATCAAGAACCAGTCAATATGCCAACATACACGCAATGGGAATTTGTAACAACGTCTTGATCGCCTTCCTGAGCAGTATCGCTTTCTTTGTCCCAAGGAGTCTGAGTGACAGCAGAATCTTCTGACGAGTCGGAATCGTTGTCGCCGTCGGAGCCAGATTCATCATCGTCCTCGCTGCTATCCAGGTCGCGACTTTTCCTAGCTCTTGAAGTCCTGCTCCTTGTGGGAGCTCTCTTTACAGCACCAACGATTTCGCTTCCGTCATCATCTTCATCTGCTTCAGCATCGGCATCTTCGTCGTCATCTTCTTCTTCTTCATCTTCCTCTTCCTCGTCCTGGTCTTCGGGCGCATCATTCTGAAGGCTAGGCGACTGAGTTTCGGGCATGTCGAGATCGTCCTCCTCGCCCTCGGCGTCCACACTACTGCTGCGCATGGTGGTATGGAGGAGATGTATGCGATGGCGCAAGTTTGCGGAGGTATTGGAGTCGATCTGAGCGCAACAAGTGCAGCTATCTTCTGGAACCAAGCACGTCTAGAGAGAGATGTACGTAGAGCGCATCGAGACCGAGCAGGGAGGTGTGCTGTTGAAGCCTTGGCGTCTTGTACGCAGGGTCGTCGCAAGTTGAGGTAGTAGCACTAGAGAAGTCCAGAAAGCTGGTAGGGGTAGTCCAGTAGGTCGAGGGTGTTGCAAGAGGCAAAGAACACGTAAGTACGCGGTATTCAAGGAACGTGTCGGTAGCGTGGAGTAGACGGGGGAGCTTGGACGGGGAGGCTGAGGTCGACGCGGCGACGAGGTAGACGGCAGGTATGGCTCCTAGCAGACTCGGAGAGCGACTACTCTGGCAGATCGAGGTGGAGCGACAACGAAACCAGCGACAACAAGATCGTAAAGAGGCTTGATGAATTGATGTGAGATTACTGGCCTCTGTCAACCCCCCAGGCTTCTTGTTGTTCAAGCATGTGGAGAAGTGACGCCTCGCCACACCTGCCGCTTTTGAGCATAATCCACGGACAATCGGCCTCTCCAGCGCCAAGACGCAGCTGGTCATCAATCGGTTGGTCTATCGACGACGAGGGTGCAGAGGGCAGTCTATACCACACAACTACACAATGGGTGTCCCTTTTGAAGCTCTGCTGCCTTATGGCATCTGTCTTGCCGTATGCGACTGTCTATGGCTCCCTCCGACGACTCCAACTAACAGCACACGTCCAGTTCTTCGGCATCACCGGCGCCGGTCTCTCAAAGATCAGAAACATTCAGAACGGTGGCAAGCGCGCCAGACACTCCATCGATCAGTGGGACAGACAAAGTGCGCAATTCTCCATCTCCCGCGACCATCAATGTCCCGGAAATACTGACCGAGGACCCACTACAGTGATGGACCGCGACCGTCGCTTGACAGGCTGGCTCAGAGGCCAGGTCGACCGCCCTATCGCTCCCGCCGGCTTCGAATACAGCAATGGATGGAGAGTGCGTGGACCCTTATACTCCAATCTCGCTGTCAACACTGACTGACACCCCCTCCCAGGTCGAGAAGAACTTGCACTAGACGCTACAATACACGCCAACCATACCCCCGATTCGTCTTGTACATTTTCCCCGGCGTACCCTTTATGCTACACGCTCTTCCCGAATACCAATTTCTTGTTTCCGTTCAATCCATGCCGAGCTTTTCGTCACGCATAACCCGAGAGAGAAACGTATATGTGAATAAGGGCGGGAAACAAACAATTACGCAAACCGATTGTGCTAGATTGCGACCACCAATCCGCTGCTTGTTCGTGAGATATCGATCCTGTTATTTTGAAAGGCCTCGTCTTGATACATGCCAAACGAGGTAGGTTTGTGTTTACTTTCCCAGACAAGACGGTTTCTTATAATACCTCTCATATCATCCTTTTCCGTTCTGTGTGTCTCCTTCTGTCTTCTCAATACTTTTCATACATCCCAATCGTCATCCGCTATGATAAGGATCCAGACATGTTCGGATATTCTCGAAAGTGGAGCCAAGGAAAACCACGAAGGAGCAGCCTAAATTCACCACTGTCCGACAACACATCTGGGAGATCGAAAAAGCCCATCGTTACTCTTCAACAGTCTCACCGGCGTTGAAGCTTGCGTGTATGAGATGCCTAAGCTTCAACGACTCACGAATAGATCTTGACCATCCTGCCTCATGTGCCCAAAAAAACCAGAATACTACTTTGGAAGTAATCTGCACTCTACTATCAAGTACGACACTTCACTTCCAAGACACAAAGGGGAAATTGGGAAAAATTTATCTGCATTTTATCATCCCAAAAGAAAAAAATGGTGTGAACTAAAGCTAAACAAGAGAAAAAACGCCATTGATACACATTGGTACTCACGTAATCAACAAAAAGGAAAAAAGGCGGTCAGGGAGGCGCAACTGAATATTTACACAAGTCGTTTCGCAAGGATGAGAGAGAAAGAATCTACTGGCCGGGAGAGACGAGCAGACCATCCTTGTGAGAGTTGTGGTGCCAGCCACCGGCAAGTGCCTCACCACCCTGGGTCTTGGAGTGGTCTGCAATGCGGGCCTCGAGCTCGGGGCGGAAGTGACGGATCAGACCTTGGATGGGCCAGGCGAAGGCCTCACCAAGAGCGCAAATGGTGTGGCCCTCGACCTGCTTGGTGAGCTCTTGCATCATGTCAATCTCGCGAGCGCGGGCTTGACCCTTCTCGAAGCGGTGCATGATCTGCTCGGTCCACTTGGAACCCTCACGGCAGGGAGTGCACTGTCCGCAAGACTCGTGGTGGTAGAACTTGGAGAGACGGGCGATGGCGCGGACGACGTCGGTGCTCTGGTCCATGACAATAACGGCAGCGGTACCGAGACCAGACTGAGAGTCCTTGAGAGCGTCGAAGTCCATGAGTTGGTCGTCGCAAACCTTCTTGGGAAGGATAGGGGTGGAGGAACCACCAGGGATGACAGCCTTGAGGTTGTCCCAGCCACCAATGACACCACCGCAGTGCTTGTCAATCAGCTCGCGGAGAGGGATAGACATCTCCTCCTCGACTGTGCAGGGGTTGTTGACGTGACCAGAGATACAGAAAAGCTTGGTACCAGCGTTACGCTCGCGACCGAAGGAGTTGAACCAGCTGCCACCACGACGAATAATGGTAGGGGCGACGGCAATGGTCTCGACGTTGGCGACGGTCGAAGGGCAACCGAAAAGACCGACGGCGGCAGGGAATGGGGGCTTCAGGCGAGGCTTTCCGGGCTTGCCCTCGAGCGACTCGATGAGGGAAGTCTCCTCACCACAGACGTAGGCTCCCATACCACGGTGGATGTAGATGTCGAAGTCGTATCCAGTACCACAGGCGTTCTTTCCGATGAGACCAGCTTGGTAGGCTTCCTGGATGGCGCGCTGAAGGACGGTGGCCTCGTGGTAGAACTCGCCACGGATGTAGATGTAGGCGGCGGTGCAGTTCATGGCGCGACCGGCGACCAAACATCCCTCGAGCAGCTTGTGGGGGTCCTTGCGCATAATCTCACGGTCCTTGCAGGTTCCGGGCTCACCCTCATCAGCGTTGACGACCAGGTAGCGGGGCTTGGTGTCCTTGTCCCAGTCCTTGAAGTTCATGAACGACCACTTCATGCCCGAGGGGAAACCAGCTCCACCACGGCCACGGAGACCAGAGGCCTTGATTTCCGAGATGATCTGTACCGGATGTGTCAGTATGGTCGCAATTGACTAGCGATGCGTGGCAATGCATACCCAATCGTGACCCTTGTTGATAATCTCCTTGGTCTTGTGCCAGTCACCGTACTTCATTGCGCTCTTGAGGTCGGCTCCATGGTGGCCGTAAAGGTTCTGGAAAATGCGGTCCTGGTCCTGGAGACCACGCTTGTGCTGGACTGGAGGGGCGTCCTGGACGGTAGCGAGACCACGGGCGGAGGTGGTAAGTCTCGAGGTGGTGGCGTTGGCCGACGGCACGACACGGTGCGATGCCGCCGATGTGATTGCTGATGTTGCGCGCGACATGTTGCTGTGTGTAGAGAAGATTGAATTCACAGCTGCCAACCGCGAAGACAAGACGGGGATTGTAGAGAGGCGTAGGTGAAGGTCGAGCGTGCTGGTGGCACCGATGATGTCCAAGACTCTTGAGCGTCGCTCGAGATCGCAGCCAATCAGAACGCAGAACATGACCCGGCTGACTCCATCCAATCACACCTTCCATTTCCACGATTGCTTCTTTCACCAACATTTCGAGCCACTCTTCTCTTGTTCGCCGTCGACTTGATAGGAATCAAGTTTCGATACTCACAAAACACTCTGCAGCTCACACAGTCCCCGAAAAGTACGCTTTGCTACAAGCACTTACCTAATTCAGCTCTCCACCTTCAACGACATATAGTGATGCATCCAGATTGATGCACAATGCTGTCAAGTAAGAACCTGATGCACCTGGATAGAGTAGTCAAGATATCTCGCTGGACTCGAGGCTCTCTCTGAAAATACTTGTGCATCCTTATAGCTACGAGTGGGCAAGTGACATTATTCAACACTGGGAGGCCACGGGCTCCACGAAAACATTATGACGATGCTTTGCGAAGGATGAGGCACAGCAATCGATGCTTCTAACCCCTTCGTTAAAATATAAACCTCCACGTAGGTTCTGTAGTCGCTTTGATCTCCGGATTGGTGAGGATCTAACCCCTCTTCGCGCTACAGGACGATCGCCTTATACAACTACCAAGCCTGGATTTGAAGGATTTAGCTACAGTCTTGGCTGTAACAGTTCCAACATCTGCATGACTACCAGGAATTCGAATATCCACATTTGAACCACGCGATCGGAGATGTGAAGCCTGGTTTCCTGTCAGTACGGCGTCATGTTACAGCGACCAAGACATCTCTTTGCCGATCTGCCTAGATATAAAGCGTCCCTTTCCCGTGGCACTTGTTTTATCGCGAGTCAACTCACATCCTACCAATACAGCTATCCACTACAACTACCAAGATGCTTTCTGTTTCCATTCTCTCAGCCGTCTTGCTGACCTCTCGTCAAGCACTAGCAGCATCCTGCTCAAACTTCACCATCACCACCGACAACATAGACGATACCTATACCAAAACAAGCGATCGCAGTTATGTTATCAGCCAGGGCATCAATTGCCCTTCTACCCAAAACTGCACGATCCCAATCGGTGGCTACATAACCGTTGGTCGCACCCTCAACATCACCACCGACTCAGCGGATTCCCTTTTCGACACCATCGCCTCGACTGTCGACATCCCTTGGAACAAAACCACCACTCAGCAAGTCGGCACTGAATACAAAAGTGGCTATAATGTCCGCAATGGCACATCCGTTCACGTGAACTTCACGCCCTATCTCAGGTGCGCAACCGGTAGACTCTCAGGTTGTGATGGGGGCGACTTGGAGGATATGGTTGTTGAGGCTTGCACGCCATACTCGATTGCTGGAGGTCTGGCCGGTGACATTGGTCCTGTCTTCACGGATCCTGAGGCTGCAGCTGCTTTGACATGTAACCCCTCGAACACAACTCAGGCCATGAACGGTAACTACACAGGTAGCTGTGACTCTACGACTGGCTCTGGTGGCGATACTGGTGATGCTAGTAACTTTGGAGGCGTTTCAGTCTTGCTCCTGTCCGGATCTCTGCTGGTGGCTGTCATGGGTTTCTAGAGGAACAAACATCTCATTCTTCATGTAGTAACAAGCTTCTCGTTAAAGATTCTCCAAGTATTTCATCCAAGCATTGTGTTGTTCCCTAAGGATGAACCAAGATCAAATCTCACCCGGCCAAACCTCATCAGCGATCGCCCTAACCAACTTCAATTTCTCAACCATATCATCATAAGTCAACAAATTACCCTCGCTGTGACTAGCAAATCCACACTGAGGACTAACCCCAATCCTCTGCAAAGCCTGCTCTTTGCTTTCACCCGATCCCTGGGCCACATACTGCGCAGCCTTGTACACGCGATCAACCATCTCCTTCTTATCCTCCAACTCAGGGAACTTGCTAGTCACCACACCCAACACCACAAACTTATCTCTCGGCAAATTCTTCAGCGGTTCAAAGCCTCCAGCGCGAGGGGTATCGTATTCGAGATAATAGGTGCTGACATTGAGGTTTTGGAACAGCTTCGTGGCGATCCGATCGTAACCTCCCTCGCTGAAATGACGCGAATTTACAAAGTTTCCGCGGCAGAGGTGGATTCCGAGGTGCATGTCTGAAGGACGCTGGAAGCAGGAGTTGTAGAAGGAGATGTAGGTGTCGAAAAGCTCGTCTGCGGTTTGGGTGTTTGTTTTGTCGGCTTTCCAGCCGTCGAGCATGGCTTCGGAGCAGAAATCTAAGGGTGCATGTTAGTGGTTGTGATGACGAAGAAGAGTAGTTGTAAACTGGACGCGTACAAGCAAGGTTAGGGTCATCGACTTGAGCGTTTCTCAATCCTGCATCATAGAGGATTTGAAGCTCTGTCTGGTATGCCTTGGCGATATCGTGGAAATATTCCTGATCGTTGGCGTATACCTCCTTTGGGTAAGCTTTGCCAGTCTTGTATCTCAAATGATACCAATTGGGTGCGGCGAGAGTGAGCTTGATGTTACCCCACTGCTCCTTAGGAACAATACTCTTCAAATACTCGAATTGCTCGATATAACTGCTCTTCCCAGTATGTTCGATCTTTCCGGTACAAATCACAGTCTCTCCGGGTACATGGTCTTCTTCGAGGAAGGCAGCAATATCAGGAACATAAGGACGGAAGATATTGGCATCGGGTCCTTGGATTTCGGTGAAGCCTTTCAAAGAAGGGAAGAAAGTGCCCCAGAACATGTGGCGACGATACTCTCCATCGCTGATGGCGTGGAAGCCGCAATCTTGTTGGATTTTGACAATATTCTTGATGGCTTGGTCTTCAATGCTTGGGAGAGAGTCTGAAGCTGCTTTATGCTCGTGTACGTCACGGCGGGCGGCGAGAAGGTTGTCTGGACGTTTGAGGGAGCCTAGATGCTCGGCTCTAAAGGGAGGGTTTCTTGGTGCCGACATGATTGTAAGAGGAAGTCTCTGGAAAGTCAATTGGAACGTGGGAGAATGTGGTTCAACTCGTGGAGAGAGCTGGGGAGGCTGCTCAAGGTTGTTGTCTGGGATGCGGGGTCTGAGATGCCCCACTGCGGAGTTGATATCAAACGTGTCGATCATCTTATCCGACTTGCATCTCTAACCAGCACCTCCACGTAATCCCTAGCTACAAAGTCAAACGTGATATTCTTATAAAAAGCATATGCTACAGCAGACTTCGCTCATCCCTAGTCGATGTGTTGGGCTTTACTGGTTCACAGATCTTCGACACACGAAAGTCATCCAGATTTAGTACCTGGATCGCGTTGTATAAGAGACCGTTTGTGCTCTATAAGCATTCCATCATTCCCACCTCTGATGATTGGCCGAAACAACGCCCCCTTTCTTAACTCAACTCCCAAGCCAAGAAGCTTTTCTACAAGCCAAGCACAGGCATCGTCCTCTCAAAGATAATCGATCATGTTTCAATCTTCCCTCTTCTTACATGAGGTCAAGTTCAACGACAACTCGACAACGCCATGCACTCCACCATCAAGAACGCGTTGCGGCGCTTGAGACCTGACTATATGCCTTTCAGCTTTCGCACCGTATACGAATATCAACGGGATGAAGCCAATGCTTGCAAACCCAATGACCACCATATCCTCTTTCGTCTTGCAGACGTTTTCCTCAGGACGTGGGATTTAGGCTTCACTGCCTTTGGTGGTCCGCCAGTGCATTTCCAAATTCTGCATCAGCGATTTGTGGATAGTAAAGGATACGCTCCGTGGGTCAATGATCAGACTGTACGTATTGGTTCGTAACATCCTGAGATCTACAGCTGATACGTGTTCCAGTATCATGAGCTTTTTGCTGTTTCGCAAGCATTACCTGGCCCGGCGAGCACGAAAATGCTGTTCAATCTTGTCATGTACCATGCTGGTCTTGTATGTGCGACCTTTGGCTTCTTTCTTTGGAGTTTACCTGGAGCTCTCGGGATGTTCTTGCTCTCCATAGGTGTCGGTAAGATAAGTGAAGTTTTGCCTGGCCCGATCTATGGTTTGTTGTCGGGACTCAATGCCTCAACTGTCGGTATCATTGCTCTGGCAGCTGTGCAGGTGAGCATCTACTACCCGGACTTCAGACTCATGAACTAATATCTCGGCAGCTTGCTACCAAAGCCATCACCGACCCGCTTTCGCGAATTTTGGTCATCTTCGGTGCTTGTGCCGGGCTTTGCTATACCGCTCTGTGGTACTTCCCTGTTATGATAGGTATCGGAGGCGTGGTAGCAGTTGTCTGGGACATCTGGCTCAGTCGAGCAATCGGTAAAATTCAAGCCAAACGACAACAAAAGCGGACCAATGAACAGCGTGCTGCCGAAGAGAGTCCAGAAAACGCGTCAAGTATTCCTTTGGAAGATCTATCTCGCCCAGCCACGTCTTCTCAACGAATGGCTACATCCATTCCCGCTCAAAGTCGACCAAACAAGCACGAAACTACTAACACTGAAGCTGCCGAGCGTGTCGCATCAGAAGCGCCTTCGACCCAGGACCACAGCTACTCATCCTCGGTCTGGACCGGCATAGCAATAATCATCCTCTTCTTCGCATCTTTCGCCGCCATCCTCACAGCCCGTGGTGTCCTAAAAACCCCACCTCAGATTCTCGATCTCTTCGCAAACATGTACCTAGCCGGCACCATAATCTTCGGCGGTGGTCCTGTGGTTATTCCTCTACTTCGCGAATACACAGTTGAACCTGGCTGGGTATCATCTCGTGACTTTCTCATCGGTCTGGCTATCATCCAAGCCTTTCCAGGCCCAAACTTCAACTTCGCGGTTTACCTTGGTGCTTTGGCAGTCAAAAGCTCGGATACCACTGGATTTGCTGGCGCTCTGCTCGGTTTCCTCGGTATCTTCGTCCCTGGACTTACACTTTCTGTCGGTGTAGCAGGGATATGGCAAGTCGTGAGGACGAAAGCGGCAGTTGCGAGTGCGTTGAGAGGAATCAATGCAACAGCTGTGGGCTTGGTCTTTACAGCTGTTTACCGTTTATGGGAGATTGGATACTTGACTCCTGATAGTGGACGGGGGAAAAGCTTGGCCAATGATCCTTGGTGGGTCGTTGTGGCTGCTATAACATACTCCGGAAGTGCTTGGTTCAAAGTGCCGCCTGCAATGGCAATCTTGCTAGGAGCCGTGCTTGGCTTGGGATGGTATGGTGTTGCTGGAAAGAGAATCCTGGGATTGTAAGGAGAGTTTGGTCGTGCTAGACGGTCCGGTAATTCTTTAAGACCTTGTTGACGTTTTTCAAAGATACCTCAAACCGGTACTGTTATGCTCGACCTCCCCATGTGCTTGAGTTCGTTATTAACACTGCTATGATAATGCACGATGATTTTCTAAAGTAGAGCTAGGTCCAAGGAGAAGGCGTCAGACAGTCGCTCTCTATGCACGCCGTGCTCGTTCTTGATATCATTATGCATTTACATGGTGGCACGATACGCATCGCCGCAAATTGAGACTCGGAGTAATAAATGTTAGCATACAGTGAGGCAGTACATCGAAGTGCTCTCATGCTGAAGATCATGATCATCACCAACTATCATGATGCTGAGCTCCAGCCCCACAACCTGTCACATGGAGTTGCTTGGACTCTGTTCTCCGTCGCTCCTTCCAACGATAACATCGTCTTGAACTTGCACAACCCAAGAACCCCTTTTCTCGAGCCCTACCTACAAAGGATGCTCCGTCTTGGGCGGGAGCGACAGAACATGGATCAACAGAACTCTTGGCGCACGGCTCACTCTGAACCAATCATGACAGTCAACTTTCCCTCGTGCAACAAGAGTCAGTTCGAGATGGACTTGCATTCAACATGTCTTTCCTGCACGATGACTGATATATCGCCACGAATTATGGGGGCCGCGGGCGATGTTGACGCCTCGGAGATGTAAGTCGTAACTGGCCTCGTGAATATAAGAACAACCACGCATCCGGAGTAGGTATCCAATCCAACACTCAATCATCGACTATGTTGTTGTTATCTCGTATTGCTGCTCTGGCAGCCCTGAGTTGTATCGTCGCTGCTGCTCCTTCCTCAAAGTCTCACAAATCTTCCGCTGTTAACACTACAACATGTGGTGGCCAGACTTATGTCTACCAAGAAATGGCTGGTTATGGATTCGTGCCTGGTAATGCCAGAGACAAGTTCGGTGATACTCTTGGAGGGATTGGTTCCTCCATTGCCATCGACAAGAACACTTGGAAGAAGAAGGGACAATCTTATTCTGGAATCTTGTGGGCTTTACCTGGTAAGTGCGTGACAAAGCGGCTCTGGATATATCTGCTTACTAACACGTAATGTAGACAGAGGATGGAACACACAAGGAACGCTCAACTTCCAGAACCGTGTGCACAAGTTTGAGATTACATTGTCCTTGAACAGCAGTGCGACTGTGAAATCACCCTCGGGACCTAATCTGGACCTCCGATATCTGGATACGGTTCTCTTCACTGACCCCAAGAGTATTCCTGTGACTGGACTAGATCCTGACGCCGATGGCCCATATCTGCAATATCCTGGCTTCCCCCAATTACCCTCTACAACATATACAGGTGACGGCTTTGGCAACAACGGCACAGGCGGCCACAGAGTATCCGTTGACTCCGAAGGCTTGATATTAAATTCGGACGGCTCATTCTGGGTCTCCGATGAATACGGTCCTTACATCTACAAGTTCTCTCCTTCGGGACAAATGCTCGATGCCATTCGTCCACCCAACGCAACAATTCCTCTACGTAACAATACCGAAAGCTTCAATGCCGATTCAGCTCCAGTCTACAACCCCAACTTCGCAATCACACCCGAAGACCCCTCAGATGGAAGAGCAAACAACCAAGGGCTCGAAGGCCTCACCGCATCACCCGATGGCAAAAAACTGTACGCTCTCATGCAGTCAGCACTAAACCAAGAAGGCGGACTCAAGAAGAAGAACCGCCGATACGCTCGCTTGCTTCAATATTCCATCGCTTCCTCCCCAGCAGTCTACGAGGCTGAGTACGTAGTTCCCCTCCCCCTCTACTCCGACGGCAGTGTAGCGGGACAATCAGAAATCCACTTTCTGACTCCAACACAATTCTTCATCCTCGCCAGAGATTCAGGCGCCGGACACGGTCAAGATTCTTCCGAAAGTGTATATCGCCACATCGACATTTTTGACATTTCCAACGCTACGGATATCAAGACTGCTAGCAATGACGCTTTTGACGGCGCTATTGCTTCTACAAAGGGAAGCTTGGATAAAGGCATTCAAGCAGCTACCTATTGCTCTTTCCTAGATTTTAACGTCAATGCTCAACTCAACAGATTTGGGGTGCATAATGGAGGAGCGCAGGATGCAGGACTGTTGAATGAGAAGTGGGAGTCAATCGCTACCGTGCCTGTCAACGGTAATGGAAGTGACGGCGAGTATTTTGTTTTCTCGCTTAGTGACAATGACTTTATCACACAAGATGGTAAGTTCATCGTCCACACCCTCGAAGCAATTGGTGAGATATGCTAACGATAGAGCAGGATATATGGACTTTGGCAAGTACAAGTACAAAGATGCTTCCGGGTTCAACTTGGACAACCAGGCTTTGGTGTTTAAAGTCCAATTGCCCAAGGGCGTTTCACCCTAGATATTTGCCATCTTTGCAGATTGAATGAATAAGTAAGAGTAGCGAAAGATGAAGAGATAGAATTGAGGGAAATCTGTCGATTCCATGTTCATCTACCATCTCCACAATCAGAAAAGTGCTGGGTTCTGTCACGAAAACTTACTAATGTGAGTGAGGTGTCGAGAAAACCAAATATCGAGCCACCCCAAATTCGAAGGTCTTGACTAGGGCACTGGACTCTATGGCGTATTCTCAGAGCATATACTATACTCTTACCATTCCTTATCTTCCTTAGGAGCGGCGCGCTGCTGTCGTAGATGTGAGCATGCATGGTTCTACAACAGATATGTATGTCTCGAGTTGGAGGCGTGGTGAATTTGTCTCGACAACGACATACGTTTGTAAAACCTGTAAAAGTGCACGATGGATTTGAGTAAAATGACTAAGTTCACCGAGAGCCATATTCCAAGGCTGTCTCTGTCTCTCGCCCTCTCTTCGGATGTGGCCTTGAGTTGAAATTTTATCGTGCGTTTCTGCGATCTCATGAGTGATAAAGTTCAGCACTCGGGAGGGTGGAGGGTTGCAATAAGCTTGCTATAGTCACAACAAAACTCGCGCAGTTCGTAAGACTTCATTAGGTGTTGCATATCATATCATAACATCATCTGCCTATTTCAAACGACAGGCTTCCCGTCCTTCTTATTCTTGATGCCTTGGGCAATATCCTTACCTAATCCCTCATCAACCCTGGCAAACATCTTAATGGCCTCTTCAATAACATGCTCAGAAGCTCCGCCGAGATGCGGACACAGATTCTTCAAGAAGTTCTCGCGTCCACCCTCTTCACTGAGCATAGTCTTCCACAACTCCCTCGGTTGCTCAAAGTCCTTGTCGGTAACTTCCGTAGACGCAGAGGTCACTTTACCAACCCATTGTTCATGGGTGGCGAGTTCGTGGCTGCCGTGGGCGAGCTTGGTGTAACTACTGCGAACGTAGTCGGGATCGGCGCCGTAGTTCCCATCCATGCGTCCGGGACCGTCGCGTTGGTACGGACTGTAGACTTGGCTGATGGGTCGGTTGCAAGGGATTTGTTGGTAGTTGGGGCCGAGACGGTAGCGTGCGGCGTCCGGGTAGCTGAACATGCGGGCTTGCAACATGAGATCAGCGGAAGGACCGACACCGGGCACCATTGTTGAAGGCGAGAAAGCAGCTTGCTCGATATCCTGGAAGTAGTTTGTTGGGTTCTTGTTGAATGTGATCTTTCCGATGGGTCTCAAAGGATACTTGTGGTGGGGCCATGTGAAAGTGTTGTCGAAAATATTGATGCCGGAATCTTCTGCTTCCTTGGGGTTCATGATTTGAAGGTTGACAGTGTAAGTAGGATAGTCTCCACGCTCGATAGCATCGTACATGTCCTTGATGTGGTAGTCGGGAGCCTCTCCTGCAAGACGTAGTGCTTCGTCTGCGTGAAGGTTCTGAATGCCAGCGTCAGGCTTGATGTGCCATTTGACGTAGACGAAAGTGCCGTCTTGCTTTCCGAGCTTGTATGTGTGTACACCGAACGCGTTAATGTTACGGAGCTGTAACAAATTGTTAGCAGTGTACTTGTTTGGCTCATGCATTTCCACTCACTGAAGCCGGAATGCCGCGGAGGCCGAAGAGATGCATCAATGCATGAATACCCTCCTGGTTGTTGATATGGTAATCCCAGTACATGTCCGGGTCAGGAATATTCGTGACAGGATGTCTCTTGTGAGATCTGTTGACGCTAGGGAATTTGATGGGATCCCGAATAAAGAAGACTGGCAGACTGTTGAAGACGAAATCTTGGTTTCCTTCTTCGGTGAACAACTTCATGGACCAGCCACGAATATCACGGACAGTATCAGCAGCACCTCTCTCTCCAGCAGTGGTGGAGATGCGGGCAAGAAGGGGAGTCTTCTTTCCTTTTCCAGTCAAGAACTTGGCATCTGTGATGTCTGACAGGTCGTCGGTGACCTCAAACTCTCCCCATGCTCCGGCCGCCTTTGCATGTACGACACGCTCTGGAATACGTTCGCGAGGGAAGTGTGCAAGAGTTTCGATGAGTTGGGTGTCGGCGAGGATACCTAAACCACCGCCGCCATATGTGGTGCGAACTTGGAGCGAAGCAGAAGGATCGGAGACCGGTGCACCTGCCATGGGTTTTTAGCCATGCTTTGGGTGTTTCGAGAAAGAAACGAGCTCACCTTCTTGCAAAGTGTAAACAGGCGGGTTCGCACGTCTGCTTGAAGCATTGAAGTCCGGAGGTGCCATGATGACTATGATTAGGAATTTAGAGCTTGAATGATGAACGATAGAGTCAAATGTATGTGCTCCTAGATGGCGAGCAGCAAGGTCTACTTATCAACATCAGACCCACACATTGATTTCCAGAGTATGTCATTGTTCGGTCAGCACATTTTGCATCGAACAGGCAAGAGCAACCGCAGACGACTGTCGTACCCGCACATCGTGACGTTGAAAAGACTGGGGTCTGCTGGGGAAACACCATTTTGGTGTACGAACTTCGATCATATCTCGTAGATACAATCAATTATATTAAGCTGACCAATGCCATTTCGGCAGTTTGCTGTCAGTGTCAAGGCATGTCCTGAGCGTAGGACACGTTCTCCGACACGTTTTGTCGGGGTCTGTTCCGTAAAGTGTTTGAGAACCCTCTGGTGTTCGTCACCATGACGCCAACGACCATCTGTCTCGTATATGCGATATTTCTCCGTGCTCCATGAAAGCCAGTTCTTCCGGAGATATGATACCAACCTCTCAAGATATGAGCAGGGGGAGGCGAAACATGTGAAGAATTCAAGAAACCAAAGGTGAAAGTGGTGACGAGCATGAACATGGCTGACAAACAAAACGCGTGTTGCGGAGAAGTCTCGGACTGAGATCGCCATGATATTCAGGATGGAATTGTTGACTTGATAAACATTCCCATGCTCGCAATTGATTGGAAACGTGAATGCTTTGTTGCAATTCTTTACAATCGTTAAAACAGTGGAAGAAACTCTTTCATACACCCATAAAACGCCTCGCTGAATGCCTATCCTCCTCCCTTGGACCAACCGATCAAATTCCTAGTTTTCCTTCATACTCTTCTGACCATCATCTATCCAGTCAGGCATACGAGTGCAGCCTCGAATTCATCAACAATTCTTTCCTCGAGTCTGTTCTCAATATCCTTTGAAGCGACGACGGGCTTCTGTCTCGCCAACTCAGCTTCCCTCTCACCGATAGGTGTGATACGCTCGCGGAGGTTGCGCTTACTGCGCAAAAGCCCCTCCACAGTCTCTTTAGCATTTGTGCGGTCGAACTCAAGACTAGGGATCTCAGCAGCAGAAGCACCAGAGCTCGCACCCACAGATCGAAGACGCTCGAGTATCAGGGAGATCAGAGAAAGGGAGTGTGTTTCGCTGGCAAGGCTGAGTGTCAGGGAGCCAGCATATGGGTGACGCAAGGACGGCTGCTTGTTCTCGAGATCGGCTTCTGCACGGCGAAGTTGGGCGGGGAAGCTGTTGAGGAAAGCTCCGATCTCAGATGCAATTGGTGGACCAACTGCCTCGAGCAGGTTCAAGCACAGAGGAAGTATGCCCTTGGACCAGATAGCAAAGACGCGGACAGGCTCGTCGAAAGGGCCTTTGCCGTTCATGTTGCGAAGGTAGTGAGACAGGTTTGCGGATGAAAGACCAGACAGCACGCCTTCCACGGCCATCTGCTCGGCGATGAAAGTAACAGAAGATAGTTCGAGTAGGAACAAGATAGCAAGTTCACCATAGACAGGGTCGACCGAGTCAGCGGTGACGAGACGATCGGACCATGAGTATAAACTTGTCGCATAGCGCAGGGTGCCAGCGTCAGCGCAGCCAGTCGCAATGGATGAATGAGCAGTTGCAATGCCTGGTATGCGAAGGATACTTTGAAGCAAAGCAGTCAAGAGCACAAAGTCTGCTGGCTGTACGGACTCAGAGTTGGAGTGTACATTGCTGCAGAGTGCTCTGAAGTTCTTGTGGACAGCGTTCAAGATCTCAAGAGGGATGATAGGAACGGCAGGAGCTGATCGCTTTTCCTTCTGTACAGGGTTGTAGACTTGTGGTTGGAGTGCGAGGAAGAGGACACGCAACAGTGTGCGGTAATACTCGACGTCACGAGGAGTGGACGCGACTTCGAAGTCTTGGTTTGAGGTGCGGACAATATCCCAAGCAGTCGCGAGCAGATCGCGAACACCGGTCTCTTTCGACTTGATAGAGGTCAGCTTCTGCAACAGGACAAACGCCAAATCGGCTCGAGTCTGTGCGACGTTATCGAACAACACGGCCGGAATAGAAGCTTCCATGTTTGCCGAGAGCGACTTCTGCACGACCTTTGCAAGGTCTTTTTGCAGTGATGGGATGTCTGCAGCAAAAGTACCGAGCATGATTGCTAACGCTTTCCAGCTTTTGAGAAGATTGACTTGGGCTTCCACCAGTGATAGGTTCACATTGGCTCTGGCAACCTCTTCGACAAAGCCTTGCCTGTTACGACCACTCCAAGATGGCTCGAAGTCCAACATTTGATGAGCAATCTTGCGATCATAGTAGTAGTTTCGGCCAAAATCAGCTTGCTCAAGCGAGGTGCGCTTGAAGTTCTCTAGCTTACACTGCGGGAACTTGATGACGAAGTTCTTGGCCAGGTTTTTATGGAGCGAGTGATTGTATGCATCGACTGCAACTCCGTGGTCGCAGAGGTATCGCAACTTGGTCGCGACAGACTTTGCAGTGGTCGTGTCCCCAAGCTGACGTGCATTGTGAAGATAACGAGCGAGAATACTGGCAGCGTATGCAGCCATCTGGATCTCGTTGGCATAACGAATAGTGCCTTCCATATCGGATTGCTTGTTGTTTGGCACGACCTCAGCGAGCCAATCTGCTGCGCTTCTGAGGAAATCGGCGTGCTTACCGATGCCATGTGTTGCCCATGCCCATTGGTCTTGTGCAAGAGCGACGAACTTGAGAATGGCCATTGCCCGTTTGGGGGAGATGGTTTTGATGTTAGCCAGTTGATCCAGAGCGTACTTCAACAGTGCCTTGCTACCGGTAGCTTGTGCCTTCTCAGTGGTCTTCAGCCTGTCGCGAGGTGTGGTACCTGTGAGTAGGCAGATTGAAAGCCATTGCTGCTTGTTATTTACAACAGCAGAGAACATCTCCCAAATGGTGGTCTCCACATTGATGTCTTGCAATGGCTGGTCAAGCTCTGCAAGGACAGTCAAAAAGCTCTTTGCAGCGTCTGGACTCAAGTGACCAAGAAGAGCAGCTGGCTCAGACTCGGACTGGTTTAGAGTGCGAACAATTGATGTGAACAAGGTCGCGACAGGTGCTTTGTAGGAGTGCTGGGCAGCGAAGAGACGCGCAAGCAGAGGCATAGATTGAAGGAGATTCTTGGTGAGGTAGCTCGCTTTGCGATCGGTAAGTAGGCCAACATTGAGAATAGTCGAGCAGAATGACAAGGCTGCACATGTCTGGTGTCTGATTGGCTCCTCGTTCTCCAAAGGTCCGAGGTTGACTGAAGCGAGGCCTGAGGTGAGGATGTTCAAGATGGGATGATATGTCAGGGAGTGAGGGTTCTCAGCTAGGTATACCTTCAGAAGGTCTTCCGAAGCTTGAGCAAATACGCCAGTCAGCTTAGCAGAGACAGCGGCGTTGTCGTCCACGCTGTATGCGTAGTTGAGTACCTCAGTAGCTGCATTAAGAATGCGTGTGCTGATCTCGCATCTCTCTGCTGGGAAGACGAAGCGCCAGCTTGGGGAACTCTGCAACACATCAAGAAGGATACGTTGGAATGCTGCAAGTACAGCACTGGTGAGCTTTTCGGGTGTGGAACCATGTGCATCAGCCGGGTCATCGAAGCGAGTCACTGCTTTCGTAGTAGCCTTACGAGACACAGCTCTGTTTGCGACGTCTTGAATCAGACCCTCGAAGAGACCTACACAAGCACGAAGCAGATCGTACTGTCCAAGTGGGAGTTCGGTAGCGGTAACGATGGCTGCAAGGCCACCAACATTGTCGTCAACGGAGAGTAATCTGCTGCGTGTCAACAACGACCAAATTCTTTCCGGGTAGATCGACAGCAGAGATTGCATGAGGCGGACGCTGTGAACCAGGAGGTAAAGCGATCCCTCCGATCCAGGCTGCTCAACTTGAGCATGTAGTTCTTCCTCAAAGATCTGGAAAACTACTCTCACGATATCATCATTTCTTTCGAGACCATAACTCAAGCGACCAAGAACATTCTTGGCAGCGTCGATTTCGCCAGCTTTGACTGCAGCATGTACGAGAGAGTCGACGAGTGCGATGATCTCTGCAGCAGCCTCCTTCTCAACAGGTCCGGATGCCAACTCAACATAGCTGGCATTGGACAGCCTAGTGCTCAAAAGTTTGCCGAAGTATTCCAACGCAGAGTGAGGGTAGTTCCAGCAGACAACGTATGGACTGTTCTGATTTAACAAGATGCCAACAGTCCCGGGAGGTATTGTCAGATCGCTCTTTGCTTGGCCGGCATCTCTACCCGAGGTCAGACGCATGTGATGAGCTCTGCCATTTCTTGGTACGAAGAGAGGAATCTCATCAAAAAGTTGAATATGGTTCTGAAGCTCATCTTCCCGGTAGTTTTCGTAGCTTCTTTCGAAAGTTCTGGGCAGAACTTGCGTCAAAGTAGGCATGCTTTCCAGAATGGCAATAATTTCTGATTCCTGGCCGTCCTTCGAAGCTCGACTCTGACTAATCGAAAGTAGACATGTGAGAAGAGGGCGCAGTTCATATGCATAACGCTGCTTGACTTGCTCGAAGAACTTGACGCGCATCCCGCTTTTGTCGGCCAAAAAGTCCTTTACTGGCTGGATTGGTTTGCGAGCTCGCATTCGTGAGAGATTAGGAGGTACTGTGTCGTAAGAGAGAACTGAAAGGACTGCTTGGACGAGATCCGGACCATATTGGAAGAGAGAATATCCAGCTCCGAGAAGGCTGAACAAAGACATCTTTCCACAAACGGCAACGTGAAGATCGAGATCAGCGCCAAATGTCAGCAATAGGCACTCGGATAAGGCTGTAGTCATCTCAAATGTCTGGAGATCAATAGCTGCTACTTTAGCCATGAAAGCGATCACGTCCTCCCCGTCCCCCGATTGAATGTCCAGGATGGCATCGAGAGAGATCTCGCTTTTGGTCTTGATCTCGCTGCTTGTGCCATCTTCGATCTGTGACGAAGCTTCGGCTCTGCTGTTGATGACAGCTTGACGCAAGTTTTGAGCAATAATGCTCCACGCAAGGATGGCGGGACCAGCATGCCTGATGCCCAGTTGCGATTGTGCCGCACCGAGCAGTGTTGAAGTGACCAGACGGACGCATGACTCGTCATCTATGTAGCAACTTCCAGGTAGTTGAGGATAGTTTCCTGGGGTCGATAGAGGAAGCATGTGTTCCACTGTCGCGTCAATTTTGAGTACTTCCAGCGAGATCAAAGACGACAGGCATCGAATGACAATAACCAGATCCGACGTTTCGGGAGATTCGGGTAACACACAGAAAAAATAAGCCTCGTCCATCAGGGAAAACCAATGAACAACCAGATCAGAGTCAGGAATAGCGTCTTGGGCAAAGATGTGGATGTAAGCCAGGCGCAAAGTCAGAACAAGCTGAGTGAATATAGACTTGACGTAGACGTGACCAAGATTTTCGTCGGTAGATAGTAAGCCTGACCAGTTCTCGGAGTTGAGAGAATCCACTTTTGATCGAAGACTATCGAGACATTGCAGGAAGAACGAAGGACTGGGGGACTTCTGAGCTCGCAACACGACAAGAGCGGCTTGCTGAAGAGAGGGTTTCCTCGTGAATGCGACCGACTGCAGGTCTTGAGGTAGCGCGAGACCGACCAGGAGCGCAGACAATGCCAGAATGCTTGACTTCTCTGCGTAGAGAGAGTTCAATAACCTCGGACGTCTCTGTTCTTGTGTATCGAATGTTGACTTAGTGTCTGGCTCAGCAACAGGGTTTATGGACTGGCGGAAGTGAGCGTTGGCAGCCGCGTTCTGGATACCGAGCCGCTCGTCCTGGGACCACTCAGCCAGCATGCGCGAGGCAGAACGTTGCTGCCATTCGAGCAAAACAATCCTCAAAGCGTCCGTCTCTTGAATAGCAGTTTCCTTTGACAACCACAAAGCATCCTCCTTGATCTGATTGATATCATATTGGGCTCCTTCTGTGGGAACAAGGTTGATGGCGGCAGTTCTGGTTTCGAAGTCGGTCTTTGACTGAGATGAGGGAGAAGCAAATGGCGAAAGAGGAGCGCTGAGGATGGAAAGGACAGTCTCGTCTTGGAAGAAGGCGTCTAACGCGGGAGAGGAGGAGGTAGAATCAAGGGCGATGACGGCTCGGTAGGCAGACTCCCACGATCTGTTGTTGTTAGCATATGCGATAGTCGAAAGTGTTGGTAGGCGCATACAGAAGAGGAAGCTCGCGGGCTAGACATTTATCGAGAGCTGGGAAGTAGACAGCCGGCGGAGAGGGCACCATTGTGCAGGTAGTTCTAGTGTATGAGCATGCGCGCCGTCCCAGTCAGGTCGAAATGGCAAATCGCGCGAAAGCTGAGAAGACGAAATAATGGTCTAGATGGATGCTCTTGAGATGGTAGCTGCAAATGCAAGAGACACACGCCAAGACAACGAAACGCGACTTTCAAGAAGCAGGTGCCAAAGAGCTCCAAAAGGCGGGGTGGGCCAATCAGCGCTTGACTCATCCGCATCTTATTGATGCTTTTCTTTGGCGACCAGCGCCTTCCATCTTTCCTGTCCAATTGCCAAACGAGACCAGAGGAAACAGCAAGCCCAACATGTCCAATCCAGGCCTGGTCGACAACTCGCCCTTCAACGCCGAACCCGCCGCCCCGATTTCCACTGCCTCCAATCTGATTCTCATCGACAACTACGATTCATTTACCTGGAACGTCTACCAATACCTTGTCCTCGAGGGCGCAACCGTCACTGTCTACCGCAACGATGAAATCACTCTCGACGAATTGATCGCCAAAAACCCCACTCAGTTGGTCGTCAGCCCCGGTCCCGGCCATCCCGAAACAGACTCAGGCATCAGCAAGGATGCCATCCGCCACTACGCTGGCAAGATCCCCATCTTCGGTGTCTGCATGGGAGAACAATGCATTTACTCCGTCTTTGGTGGTACTGTTGAGAAGACTGGCGAGATTCTGCACGGCAAGACCTCGCCTTTGCGACACGACGCCAAGGGTGTCTATGCCAACATCCCTCAGGACATTCCCGTCACCCGCTACCACTCGCTCGCTGGTACTCATCCGACCCTTCCCGAATGTCTCGAGGTCTCTTCTTGGATCGATGTTGGTCCTGATGGTGGAAAGGGTGTGATCATGGGTGTGCGCCACAAGGAATACGTTGTTGAGGGTGTGCAATATCACCCCGAGAGTATCTTGACTGAGGAGGGAAGACTACAAATCAAGAACTTCCTGTACATGCAGGGTGGTACCTGGGCCGAGAATGAGCGTCTGCAAAAGGAGACCAAGTCAAAAGCACAGCCCGCAAAGACCAACGGTCAAACCAAGGACAAGCAGACCAACATTCTCGAGAAGATCTTCGCTCGTCGCAAGGAATTGGTTGCCGCACAGAAGGAAATCCCTTCGCAGAGACCCATCGACCTCCAAGCCGCCCACGACCTGGACCTTTCACCGCCACTCATCTCCTTCGCCGATCGCCTGAAGCAATCTCCGTACCAGCTGTCACTCATGGCTGAGATCAAACGTGCTTCTCCTTCCAAGGGCATAATTTCAATCTCGACATGCGCTCCTGCTCAAGCTCGCATTTACGCTCTCGCCGGTGCCAGCACTATCTCCGTCTTGACAGAGCCTGATTGGTTCAAGGGCAGCATCGATGATCTCAAGGCTGTTCGTCAAGCTCTGGCTGGTATGCCCAACCGTCCCGCCGTTCTACGCAAAGAGTTTGTGTTCGACGAGTACCAGATCTTGGAAGCCAGACTGGCAGGAGCCGATACTGTTCTGCTCATCGTCAAGATGCTGGATATCGAGACTCTTCACAGACTATACAAGTACTCGCAATCTCTTGGCATGGAGCCTCTGGTTGAGGTCAACAACGAAGAGGAGATGAAGATTGCTGTTGATATGGGCTCAAAGGTCATTGGTGTCAACAACCGCAACCTTACAAACTTCGAAGTCGACTTGGAAACCACCAGCCGCCTCATGTCGCTTGTTCCCAAGGAGACCGTCGTCTGCGCTCTCAGCGGTATCGCTGGATCTGAAGATGTCGTTCCTTACCAAAAGAACGGTGTAGGTGCTGTCCTTGTTGGTGAGGCTTTGATGCGCGCAAAGGATACCGCTCAGTTTATCTCTGAACTACTTGGCGGCAGTATCAAGTCTCCTAGCAGCAAGTCTCAGAAGGCACCTTTGGTCAAGATCTGCGGTACTCGCACTCCCGAGGCGGCAAAAGCTGCAGTCGAGGCCGGTGCAGACTTCATTGGTATCATTCTGGTCAAGGGTCGCAAACGCTGCGTATCCAACGAGACTGCTCTTGCAATCTCAACAGTCGTCCACGAGCTACCTCGTGTCGCATCAAACTTGGCTGTCACCGACGAATCATTGCCTGTCTCGGCGTCAAACTACTTCGACCACACATCAACATACAACTTGAAGCACCCGCGACATGCATTGCTTGTCGGTGTCTTCCAAAACCAGCCCCTCTCATACATCCTCGAACAACAAAAGCTTTTGGATCTTGACATTGTGCAACTACATGGGTCCGAGCCTATCGAGTGGGCATCATTGATTCCTGTCCCTGTCATCCGTGCCTTCCACCCTGGTGATGCAGGTCTTGCTACTCGTGGATACCACACCCTGCCTCTTGTCGATTCAGGTGCTGGTGGCTCTGGTGAGCAGGTAGATTTGACCAAGGTGCAACAACTATTACAAAAGGACAGTGGCCTACGGATCATGCTTGCCGGCGGCCTCAACCCCAGCAATGTTAAGCAAGTGTTCAGCGGCCTTGCCTCACAAATCAGCCAGGTTGCTATTCTGGACGTTAGCAGTGGTGTCGAGGAGAACGGCGAGCAGAGTGTCTCTAAGATTCGCGAGTTCGTCGCCGCTGTCAAGGCTGGTCCTTGATCGCACAACGAAACAACAAAATAGACAAATTACAACTTCTTACTACTTCATCCATTTACCTATTAAAACAGCTTGTCCCATACACTTTATTACACCTTCTGTCCACCGAAATTTGATATCAGTCAATATAGATTGAGCCAGCTTCACTTATTTCTCAATCGAGTCGGTGAATAAGGCCTCATCTGCCAGTTCACACTCACTCGGCTTCAACTTGAAGATTCCTTATCCGGCAAAGACATAAAAGTCTTCCTCCCCTTCCACCTCTCCACCTTCTCTCCGTCTTCCTTCACATCATCCAGTAACTATCATCCATCCTTCTTACATCATCCACCTTCCTTCCCTCTTCTTCTTCTACATCAACATCAGCTTCCGGATTCCAGATCTTGACTCACGTCACATCATCACAAGATCTATCATCAGTTCCTTCCAATTACTACCTACTCAGCCAGCAAGACAACATGGCCCCTTCCAAGCTCAAGAACATGGCAATTTGCTTCTCTGGCGCCTTTGATCACCCTGAATCACAACTCAGAAAGTGGACCGAGGCCAACGGCGGCGAGTTCCATCGCCAGATCAAGTCAGACACCACTCACTTGGTCACTACCAAGGCCAACTGGCGCTCGCGCGTCCCCGAAGTGAAAGCCGCTCTCAGCAAGGATCGCTCTGTCAAGATCGTCGATTATGAGTGGTTTGACGACAAGCTTCGCCTCGGTGGCCGTGTCTCTGAGAACAAGTACCTCTGGACTACAATCGATGAGGAAGCTTTCAAACAACAGGCCAAGGATGAGAGAGCCGCCGGGCGCGAGAAGAAGCGTATCGAGAAGGAAAAGGAGAAGAAGAAGAAGGACAGCGAACGCATCGATTGGAGCGGTGCCCTACTCCAGCACACCAATGTCGTTGCCAGAGTCGAGGACTCGGAAGACAGCGAAGACAGTGGAGACTCTGCTGGCCGTGAGCTACAGGAAGAATTTGCTAGAGGTGTGAAGCAAGCCAAGGAGGACTTGATGAGCGACAATCACCATATCTACATCGATCAGACTGGTTTCTCGATGGACATCACCCTCACCAAGGCCTCGGTGGAACTCAGCCATATGGACAGAGCTCAAATCACTGTAAGTTGCTGATTTTACCCCTGAATCCCTCTCTCCAAGCGCCAGCGGACCCTCCAGATCAAGCTGTCAAAATGCACGAAGCTTTTCGATTACACCCAAGGGTCCAAGGAGAGCCCCAGCCAACTAGTTTTGGTCACTGTAACTAACACCCCACTTTCACAGCTGTACGAAACCAACGACGTCCCCCACACCTACGCCGTCGCCGCCAAAGTCTCCGAGAACGACCCCATCGACCATGGCTTGACCATAATCATTGGCGTTAACTATGCCACCGCCTTCCGCACCTTCCGCCACAACTTCCAAAAGCTCGCCGGCTTCGAGTGGAACAACCGCTTCGAGAAGTCTACCGATAATGCTACCCTTGCACCTCTACCTCGCCCCAGATCCGACTTCATCGTCGCCGGAAAGGGCTCCCCTCCTGGCAAGCTGGCTAAGAAGGGCAAGGAGAAGGCAGGAGAGCCCGAAGAGCCTACCTCCGAGCAAGTTCGCGAACGCCTTGAGGCTGCCTTCATCAAGCAGAAGTACAGATATCGCCTTCCTGACGCTGGAACTCCTCGTGGTACTATGATCGACGGCAGCCACTATAAGCACCAGAACAAGAAGAGTGTCTATGAGCTGTTCGGCAAGGCTGCTGATAGAGGCGCAGAAGCTATCAAGATCAAGGAGGAGGCCAAGGCAGAGTCTAAGAGGTTGTTGAAGAACCTCAAGAAGAGACAGGGACCTGTTGAAGTTGTGATCATCGATTCTGATGATGAGGAGGACGACGACGAGGGCGAGGAAGACGATGAGAGTGATGGTGAGGATGAGGAGATGGAGGGTATTCAGGGCTATGTCGCTGTCAAAGCTCCCGCTGCTGGCAATGTCGTTCCCATGGACCTTGATGGCCCTGCCAGAGTGGAGGAGGACTACACCATGGTCGATGCTCCTAACACACAGATCTGATAGACTCTTACGAAGCACTAAAACGACCTCTGCCGGGTCCAAGCCTCATCTCAGCCGACCAAAACCCACGAGTCGAGCCACACGGCCACCACGAAGGCATTTGAGCCACGATGACAATCTTCAAACTTCCTCGACGACCTTGGAATCTTTCTCGGCGACTTCAGTATTCAATTTTGCTCGGCTGAGCGACTTACTATGATCTCACTTTTCTTTCTCCATAAGGGGGTTTCCAGAATTTACTTAGCCTCAATTCGAAACCCTAATCTTTTTCGACCGGTCAACTTGCTACGATATCCTGATTTTCCTTCTACACAGAGGGCGCTTTTGAGGTTTTCTTTGGCCCAAGTCTGAGCTGTCTCTTATTAGACAATGACCCCTCTCTAGTTTAAGACAATCAAATCTCCTCTTCTTAGCAGTCTCTGAAGCAGTTTTGGGGACTCAAAAAGACACCTGAGCATTATCAAAAGTCTTTCTGCAGGATCGAAAAAGGGAGATTCGAGGGTATTCCTTTTCAACTATTTTTCCTCATTCGAAGCTTTCAAGGCTTTCAATTCATGCATTTATTTTCTGACGTTTTGACTTGGTGCAACGTGAGGCAGAGGATCGTGTAAAACGGGAATACGGTAATTGTCACCTCGATACTGTCTCTAGGGTGATGTACCTCAAGTCTTTGTGTATCTCGGACCCTTTGGGGTCAGCCCCCCCACTACAAGGTTCGTTGCTAGAATTATTGTGCCCGTCCAATCTTGGAGAAGTCTAAGAACTTGGTTGTGATTGTTGATTTGCAAAGGTATTTGAAGTAGCAGGAAAACGCGCCCGATGTGTGTTTGCTTGTAGAGGGTTGGAGCCGTGGAAATATGTATAAAGGTCGGAAGTGGTATGTTGTTTGTTTCAGTCCCTCTAGTTGCTTCTCTCGCCGCCCTTTGCAGCTCTGAGTTCGTCCATCTTTGCGACGCGCTTCTTGAATTCTTCGTATTGGCACTTTTCGTACGAGTGTCTCTCGTTCTATAATCCGGTCAGAACATGTCCAGAAGTGAAGAAATCGGTCGTATGGAGTGATTGGAAAGGTGGCAAGAAGGGAGTCATCGTACCTCGCACTTCCAGGGCAGGTAGTACTCGTTGTGTCGGCAGCGGTTCAGCGGGATCAAGAGGTGGGCGCAGGTGTCTCTGTAAGGAATGGGAAGACGGGCGTCGGACATCTCCTCGCGCGAGGCAGCTGTGAAGAAAGAGAACAATCAGCATATATTCTAGCAGTCCAATTGAGCGTAGCGGTGTATAGAGCGAATGCGAGGTGTAGGTGTTTGCGCGCGAGAGAGTCGAATGGATGCGGGCGCAATTGGGAGGTGGTAGTAGGGCGTTCACGTACTGGTTGAGGGACCAGCCTCGAGGCCGACGGCATGCTTGATTGTCTCGGTGATGGCCATGGTTGTGTGTGTGGAACTGGATTGTCTCTTCAGCAGCTCGGTATTGCTATGACCAAGGACGTCGTCGCATTGGCCGGAATGAAAGATGCCAAGGCCCGAGAGATTGATTAGATTAGATTCAGAGCGACTTCCTTTCTGCTCGCGACGCGTCGTCCCAGACAGCCTCACCGTGCTTCGTGTCTCTTACGTGTTGGCCAATTGCATGTGCATCGGTACGTTGCTATTAGCATCCGACAACACTGACCCTGCTCCGACTTGCTAAATGGACTTTCTAGACAAGCAATCATTTCTCTCAGCAATCAATCTGGCTGTATCTCAGCGTCGCTCCTTCTAGCTCGACTCTCACTCGCAACCTCGCACTCCCGCATCTCTCTCGCGCAACCCCCTTCTTTACTCTAGCCGAGCATGACGGACAATCGCATCTACTCGGCTACTTACAGCAATGTGCCCGTCTATGAATTCAACATCGAGGGCAACCATGTCATGCGCCGTCGCTCCGACAACTGGATCAACGCAACCCACATCCTGAAAGTCGCCGACTTCGACAAACCCACCCGCACACGTATTCTTGAAAGAGAAGTCCAGAAAGGAACTCACGAAAAAGTCCAGGGTGGTTATGGAAAATACCAAGGCACATGGATTCCCCTACCCGAGGGTCGCCAATTGGCAGACCGCAACAGAGTGCTCGATAAACTGAGGCCCATCTTCGACTATGTACCTGGCGACAGGAGTCCACCGCCTGCTCCGAAACACACAACCGCTGCTTCCAAGCCGCGCGCTAACAGGAAGCCTGTCAATCGAGTGCCCGCCTTGTCGCACATCTCCGAAGACTTTGAGATGCACCATCATTCAGAAACTCCGGACAATGTCACAGTTGCTTCAGAATCATACATGGAGGACTACGGATACCCACAACAAGACTCGCGCAAACGTAAACGACCAGAAGATGAAATGTCGCTCGCCGACCAGCACCATCAGTTGTGGGCTGAAGAGCTGCTCGACTATTTCATGCTGCTCGAATCACCCAACGATCCCTTCCAACGTCCTCCTGTACCACCGAACGACATCGACCTCGACCGACCGATTGACGAAAAGGGCCATACTGCCATGCACTGGGCTGCTGCCATGGGTGATTTGGCTGTAGTCAAGGATCTCATCGGTCGTGGCGCCAACATCAATGCCATCAGTCTTAATGGGGAGACGCCCTTGATGCGCGCTGTCATTTTCACCAACAACTACGATAAGAGTACAATGGATCGTCTTGCTGGCTGGCTCGTGACGACTGTCCCGTTGGTCGAATGGTTTGGAAGCACAGTCTTTCACCATATTGCTGGAACCACCTCATCGAAGTCAAAATACGCATGCGCTCGCTACTACCTCGATTGCATTCTTTCAAAGATGGCAGAAAACTACACACCCACTGACATCGAACACGTCCTGAACATGAAAGACCGCAACGGCGACACGGCCATCCATATCGCTGCCAGAAACGGCGCGAGGAAATGCGTGCGCAGTCTCATCGGACGACACGCTTCAGTCACTATCCAGAACGATCTCGGCGAGACAGCAGACGACTTGATCATCCAATTGAATCATCGTCGCAGAGATGGCCGTCATCGCGCCATGTCATCCTCGCCATTTCAACTCGACTCTGCCTCTCACAATCTTCTGAGCGCAAACCTAGATCCCACACTCGACACGCCATCATCGCGTAACCATAACCCACTCCTCGCCTCGGCGCCATCTCAATCACTGATCCCAACCGCGAAACCACATCATACATCTGAAGCCGCCTCTGCCCTCACAACACAGATATTCCCTCTACTCTTGTCGAAATCAGAAAAACTGGCTCAAGCCTTTGATGCCGAGATGAATGAGCGCGAGACCGATATTGCGGAAGCAGAGCGCGTGGTTCAGCTTCGGACGCATGAGATTGAAACGCTGAAGAAGAGTTCCATGGCCCTTGCTATGAGCGATCAAGAAGACGAGTATGACGGACGTCTGGCACGACAACTCGCAGGCTTGGTAAAACAATGCGAGTCTGTCATCGAAGACGAGCAGCGAGAAGAATTGACCTCCCTCTTGTATCAAATCTCTTCTCAGCAAAGCCAAGACCACGATATGGATACTTCATACCATCAAACCGATGAAGGAATGGAAAAATTGCAACTGTTGCTGGAAGTCAAGAGGTTGAAAATGCAAAGACAATATTTGGTCAAGGAGGTTGTTGCTATGCAGAGCGAAGCGGGCATGGGCGATAGGCAAAAGGAATATCGAAGGTTAATTGTGGGGGCGCTGGGGGTTAGGGATGAGGATGTTGATGCTATGGTCCCGGAGATTGTTGGTGAATTAGAAGAGTGGCAGGGAATTGAGGGGGGGGTGGTTGGAGTCGGAGCGTGAGCACTTTCCGGAAAGGGACGAGCCAGAAAAGGACAGGAGTACAAGAGGATGTAGAAACATTTCGAGAAGCAAAGAAAGCTCAAAGGGCGTGATTTGCTTGTATACATAAGAAAGGGTTCCTTTTTCGAATTCCCATGTACCTACTTTTGTTCCAAACATCCCTCCAGCTCACATGCGGTGCCATTAACAGCCGCACCTTATCCTCCACCATTTCTTCCTACCTGCTAATTTTTTTCTAGGTTGATCATTTAGCTACTTTCATTAACTATAAAGTATGTTATTGATGTAAATCTTATAATCTAATTTCTCGTTCCAGCTTCCAAGATGTTATTAAATAGGGTATATGTCTAGGATAGAGTCGGAAGCAGTTGGTGAGCTACTGCTACATTTTATAGCCTTTATATCGTATCTGGATAAGCTGTATATCTGCTTAATACATAATTGGGAATATGGATAGATAAGAAAAAGGATCAGGGTAAGCATCCGCATTAAGCCAAAAAGAATTGGTCAGCCAATCACCACCATCGGCATGTCACTGTGACGCGTGATGGCCTCCACTCATAAAAGAGTGACGTGGTCGAGTACCCTCACTGTATCACTCGACCAGTCTTCGTCCTACGCGGCAATAACATGTTCCTCATCATTCCCAAATCTCGTCAGCAAAAAGAAACATCTCGAATCATAGGCACAAGTGGGGAGCGCGAAGATGTGCCAGAGTCAATGCCAAAACACCTTCGAGGTCCGACCCGTGTTCAAAACGCGTGCGATGAGTGTCGAATTCGTAAGATAAAGGTAATCCTACCACACTTGCAGCCAGGGGCAGAAAGATCCGGAACTCATCAAATTCTCAGTGCAATGGTCAAAATCCTTGTGGTCGCTGCCGATCGCGTAATACTGTTTGCGTGTTCAATTTCGCAGAAGCAAAGAAACGTCTCAAGGGGCCAATGACAGCCGCCCAGGCCTCTACGCTGGAAGCACAGCAAGCGCGTGTTCTGGACGCCCTCAAAAACATGTCGGTAGTAATTGACAGGCTTGAGGCATCCTTGTCGACGGCAACGGGCAAAGAAACGATAATGGAGCACGACAGAGAGCTTGGAGCTCGACTTGCAAACGCCGAGCAAGACAGTGGATATGACTTAAATGCTATCCTCGAAAAGTACGCACCCATCCGCCAAGTCAGCAATAACGATTCTTCGGTGGACTTGGATCATCTTGAAACCGGCGAAGCTCGCAGCAAACGACAGCGTATCAGTCATCCAGAAAACTCAGGATCCTTGAACCCGGCGATTGGTCCGTTCGATTTGCCACAAACCCGGACATGCGACAATCTTACACCTTTCACATACGAAGCGTTCTCGCAGAACAACCTGGGAGATCTGGCCGGCAATGTCGACAATCCTTTTGAACTCCGCCCTCTTGAGCAGATGAACCCTAGATTTTGCAATCAGATGGATACACAATACCCACACAACACGCATGCATCATGTATCGCGCCTCCAAGATCCACAGACAGATCTCTTAATCCCCTGGCGTTCTCCATTACCGATCGCAGTGAAGAGTCGAATCCGAACTGTGACGCGAACCAACCCGGTGATTCGACGGTACTGTCACCGTCTCTAGAAACCTTCTTTCTTCAGTGTCAAGACATGGATACGCTTATAGAGTCGATAGACTGGGACATGAGTCGTGCAGTTTCTGCACGTTTACTCAAGGATACTGAGAAGTCCTCTTGAGGCGGACGACAGAGGAGGGAAAAAGAGCACAATGCTAATAGCAATATTTTAATGGATATTTTCGAAGTAGAGATTCGAAGATGTGTTCGAATGAACAACTATTTTGGCCTGGTCGTCTTGTTTGGGGGCTGACGGTGTTCATCGTCGGGAAGAGAAAGGCTCTTTATGCTGTCGCGATGATGAGTCCATACAAGCCCTTGACCCTCCTCTTGTATATGGCCGAGGGTCCTCAAATGCCGACCATCGGGCCAATGGAGTAATCAGGCACGCCACGCAATTTCAATCATTCGCTTGAGACAGTGAGACTCATACCTCCATCCGACATGAACGCTGCTCGATCTGCAGCCTTGACCACCACTTCTCGGTTCTGACCGCGGAGAGCCCTGCCCTTAGCGCTTCCGTATCCTCCGCAATGGAAGATCAACGCCGTCCCGACCGACACGACGCCTCGTGCCTTGTGCCTTGTGCCTAGAACATGCCTACCGCTCAAAGCATGATACATTGCTCAATACCAATAAGAACTCCACGAAAAGACCATGGCTTCTGGCATGCAGTCTATCGAAGCACATCATCCCAAGTTTTCCGTAAAAGCTGATCCCTTCTCGCACATTTCGCAGTATCGTCATGCCTTGTGGATTCCCCTCATTCTTCCAGAGATTCATCGACAGACTGAGGACTGGCAGCGATGTTCATGTTAGTATCCCGTCTACGCACGAAATCCCACCTACTGATGGCCGAAAAAGAATGATTCATCAGCCTCCGAGCCAGACCCGCAGCGCGGTCTCACCGAGATCTCCGCTCCTCCTCCAGTTCAGAATCGCGACGAAAGTCCACAATATACACAGCATTTCCTAGAGGACAGGAGCAGATGATTGTAACCTCTCCAAATCAGCTTCTCATGTATGCTCGATTTATGGTGGGCTTCTGTGAGAGCGGCAAGTTCAGATCCGAGCTCGTGGTATATGGAGCCGGTGGTGTCGGTCTTGATTGTTGTCCTTCAGCTATATTCAGCGCAGTCATATTTCGCAGCGAATGGTCAACGCCAAGAGATTACAAGGATCAGGGTCTCTATCTTGATGACACCCTAGAATCTGCTGACTGTCTGTAATGAATGCAAAATGAATTCCGCATGGGAATTGAGTTGTTATGTCGAAAGACATTACTCTGCTGTACTTCTAATCGCATCTCCACCACAGCTGTGTGAAATCCATCACGGAACCGGAAATTCAATGACGTCGTCACAAGTGGATAGTTTTGCAATCGATGTGGACGAGAATTTCCGTCATCGGGCACGTGATAGGACGTCATGCTGGGGAGCAAATGGCCGAATACTGGATCCGAGGGTGTGATGGAGGTACACGCAGCCCCAGAGATTTCGGCATTGACGGAACGATCTAGAGCTAATGGAAGTAATCTTCGGCTCGCTCGGTCGGAGTGGTGCCCCCTGTCAAACGAGTCACCGGGCGTAGGATTGGCACTCTTGCAAAAACATGGGCTATCACTCCAGCCGGGACTCTTTACTTCTGCCTTTGTGTTGTGATCTGTTGTCATCTCCTACATGATTAAGGACAAGATTCAGTGGCCTACGCTGCAGACACAAACGAGGATATGTATTCGAACCTTGACGAGATTTCTGCTCCAGAGCCCGTACAGAATCTCGACGATTCACACGACACCTCAGGTGGCGTCTCGAACACAATGACTCGAGAGGACGACGATGGATACGAGAACCTCGATGAGCTTGCCGACCCAGCTCCAGACCAGAATCCAGAGGAGCGTGGAACGTATCGACACAGCAATCTGGAGGACGAACGAGAAGGACAGCACAACAGTTCTGGTGACCGATCGGCACTGAACTCGACCAAATCGAATCAGAGTTCATCCAGTACCCTGGGCCAAAGCACGCCCACTACTTCAAGATGGTTCACAGAATTCACGGTCTGGTCTTATCTGGTTCTCTTCTCGATACTTGGAACCCTTGCCAGACTAGGATTACAGGCGCTCACAAGATATCCAGGAGCTCCAGTACCCAATACTGAGCTCTGGGCCAATGTTGGAGGTAGTTTCGTGATGGGATACATCCGAGAAGATAGGCTTCTGTTTAGGAAGCACTGGGCCAACGCCAACACAAGCCAGGAGTCTTCAAGCACGCGCGAAAAGCATTCCGCTGATCAGGACCAAGGGAAGACCGTCGAATCTTTCATGGCTGCGAAAGCCACCGTTCCGGCCTACATTGGGGTTACCGTTGGTTTCTGCGGATCCTTCACCTCTTTTTCCTCGTTCATCCGAGATGTTTTTCTTGCGCTATCTAACGACCTAAACACTGCATCAATCTCGACGATGGCCGTAACTTCAGTTCCAAAAGGGCGTTCGGATGGTTACAGTGTCATGGCTGTGTTGGGTGTACTGATCATGGAGATCTCATTGAGTCTGGGTGCGCTATCTTTTGGTGCGCACATGGCTACATTTCTCCATCCGTTCGCTGGCGCTGCTTCGAGCATAGATCTCGAGAAACATCTAGATGGACTTGCAATCGTCTTTGGGTGGGGTTCATGGATCGGGGCCATAATCATGGCGATTCTGCCGCCTGATAGGTTTGGCAGCTCGGTCGAAACCTGGCGCGGTCAAGTTCTGTTTGCTCTCGTCTTCGCACCCTTGGGTTGTTTCGCTCGCTTCAGGCTTTCTCTATGGCTCAACGGTCGATTCAAAAGCTTTCCCCTCGGTACATTTGTAGCCAATGCTTTTGGAACCCTTATACTCGGATTGTGTTACGATCTCCAACACGTCGCTCTTCCTGATGCTGGCGGTCTTGCGGGCGGAGGACTCACTGGGTGCCAAGTCTTGCAGGGAATCCAAGACGGGTTCTGTGGTTGTCTAACGACCGTGAGCACATGGGGTCTGGAGCTGAAGGGTCTTCGAAGAAGCCATGCTTATTTTTACGGAACGATTAGTGTTGTTGTGTCGCTGTTGACGTTGGTTGTCGTGATGGGGACGGTGAGATGGACCATTGGCTTTGCTGCACCTGCTTGTAAGATTTAGAAGATTGCATTGGTGCATATGACAGGCAAATCACCATAGTTAAGCTCCACGTATAATCAGGTGAAACGAGTAGAGCGCAAATTTCCATGTCTCGTTGCCCCGTCGATTTTTGTGAAGGCTGCAGGCTCTGTTAGACGTAGGTTAGAAAAGCAGGCAGTAATGTCTGCAGACTAGGCTTGGCATGAGTTCGGGACGACAGACTTCATGGCTGGACACCCCACTTCGCAAGTCTTGTTCCATTAATTTTCTGACACCACCCTACTAACAAGATGACCTGGGTCGAAGTTTCGCGGCGCAAGAAAGAGTCCCTTCATAGCCTGATTCCACCACAATGGAAATTGTCCGCTACTGGAGACGCAGATGCAGCTACGTGCCTTGATGTGTCCAGCCTAGTATTGTCTGAACTCAGCCTCAATGAACGTTTGATTACAGGAAGCAATGTTGAACAGATACTGAGGTCTATCTCCGAGGGCGAAATGACCTCGTATGAGGTCATCTCTGCCTTTTCTCATCGCGCAGCATTGGCTCATCAATTGGTGTGGTTGACTCTTCACCCTTCGAAATGGGCACCCAACTGACTTATGATTGTCCGATACAGACGAATTGTCTAAGCGAAATCAATTTTGAGAGCGCTAGCAAACGTGCGCGAGAGTTGGATGCTTACTGGCGATTGCATGGTCGTACATACGGACCATTGCACGGTCTTCCAATAAGTGTCATGGACAGATACAGTATCAGTGGACTTGAGAGCGCATGTGGATTCGTCAGTTGGCTAGGGAATCCCAAAAACGCCGAAGACGAGGGTACCGTTGTTCGAAGAATGCAGAGTCTTGGTGCTATAGTGCTTTGCAAAACAAATGTGCCGATGAGCATGATGGTATCGTAAATATGTTGTCTAGTGAACCACGTAAGCTGATCCATTCTAGTTGGGCGAGACGACCAACAATATCGTGGGATCGACAGTCAATCCCTTCAATAGGAACTACTCTGCTGGAGGTGCATGTGGTGGTACGTTTGTCTGTACTCTGCTGCACAAGAAGAATCACTGATCGTTTCCACAGGTGAAGGCGCTTTGATAGCGCTTAAGGGCTCGCCGCTGGGTCTGGCGACTGATATGGGTATGCCCAAAGTCACTTTCTTTTGATTATTGTTGTTAATATCTCTGAACAGCCGGATCGACTCGTATCCCATCTTCCTTTTGCGGACTCTACGGCATGAAGCTCTCCGAAGAAAGATTACCAACAGATGGTATAGAAAGTGTAGTACGTATCAATAATCTGGCATTTGGACAGTCTCCCCACTCATAAAATGACCAGCTTCCAGGCTTACCTGTCGGCGCTGGTTCTGTCGGAATGATATCCGCTGATGTAAAGTCGCTACAACACGTCCTCAGGCTACTCTTGGATTCGGCTCCTTGGAATTCATGTTCTGACGTCCTCGAAATACCTTGGCGACAGGAAAAACTGGACGCCATAAAGAAGCGAGCATACATACCAGAAAAATTAAATGGTAGGCTGGTATTTGCTCTGATGAAAGATGACGGCCACTCGACGCCCGATCTCCCGACCAAACAGGCACTTGCAACTGTGGAGCAGTCACTAAGACTATGCGGCCACGAGGTAAGTCAGCACAATATGCTCGTGAGACTTTCAGAGTAGTGGTATGGTCCTGACTGTCAAAAGGTCGTTGATTGGAAGCCACCATCACACAAGACTGCCACCGAGACACTTGTACGTCACTTATGCCACGAGAAATAACGGATTCCCACTAATACGATGGCCACCTAGTTCAAAATATTTGGCTCTACTTCAGGCAAATGTATTCGTGAAGCAATTGACGCTAGCGGAGAGCCACCAGTAGATCAACTCAAGGAATGGTATAATCAAGCGGATACTGGCTCGCTACCTACTGAGGAATTCTGGAAACTCTGCGAAGAGATGCAAATCTACAAGCGATCTTACATGGAATATTGGCTATCAGCGAGTGCAGAAACCGTCTCTGGCAGATCGATAGATGGAGTAATTCTGCCTGTCTCACCTAACGCCGCCACCCGGGAAGGGACTGATCGATATTTTGGTAAGGGTTGTCCCCGCATCCGGACTACGTGAAATGTGCTAAACAAACGATCAGGTTACACTGCTGTGGCCAATGCACTGGACCTTCCATCGTGCACTTTTCCTGTCACGGGTAGGGGATCCGTGCTTGATGGTGATTCAACCGAGTGTAAGTAGCGTATGTTGTCCTGAGCTTGATGTCGAAACTTATCATCGTGCCTTAGTCTCAGTCGATCATGCACAAGGGCTTCCTGTCGGACTTCAGGTGATGTGTTGGAGACTACAGGAAGAGAAGGTTCTGGCGCTGGTGGAAGCCATCGGGCAATCCATGGATCAAACCTATAATCCCGGTGGCACTCATACAGGAGAGTGGTTCAATCACTCTCAATAAAGCCGAGTTGGAGGAGTCAATAAGCTTGCGAGTAAATATAAGAAAATGAGCTGTTTATTGCTTTCTACATTGAGCAGCCCCTCTACTTCCTTCCGAGCCGAGACCTACAACTTCTGAGCATGCCGAAGATTCGGTCCTGCATACTTAAACGGCAGCTGCCTGTCACCGAGCTCATCTTCTATGTCCATCAATCTGTTATATTTTGCAACACGTTCGCCACGACAGGGAGCACCGGACTTGAGATGGCCAGTTCGGAGACCGACTGTTAGGTCGGCAATGAAGTCATCCGTAGTTTCACCAGAGCGGTGAGAGACGAAAACAGACCATTCCGCAGCATATGCTTCTTTGGCGCTATTTGTATGGATTAGGTCAGTCAGGCTGAATACAAGAAGGGGGAAATGAAAGCTTACGCTGCGATAGCCTCAGATATCGTTCCGATCTGGTTAATCTTGAGGAGCAAGCTGTTGCAAGCTCCTTTGTCCTTGGCCATCTTGATTCTTGTTATGTTGGTCGCTAGCAAATCGTCACCGACTAATTCGATTGGACAGTCCTTGTTGAACTCGACAAAGGACTGCCAATCGTCCTGGCCAAATGGATCTTCAAGCAGTATGATAGGATAAGAGTCCATCAAAGACCGATACATCTGGGCTAGTTCAGACGGTTGCAGTGACTCGGGTGTCTCGGTCTTGAAGCCGATATTGTATGAACCATGCTCGAAGAACGACTGGGAGGCAGGGTCGATACCGATGCAGATCTTGCCGGTGTGGCCGGCGTCCTCGATTGCTTGCGTCAAGAGTTCGAGAGCTTCGCATGGATGATAGATGGGAGGAGCGAACCCACCCTCGTCACCGATACCGATGGCTGACTTGCCCGACTTTGCGACTATAACACTCTTGAGTGAGGCGTAGGTCTCGGCGGCGAATTGTACAGCTTCGCTGGTAGAAGATGCTCCAACAGGTGCAATCATGAATTCTTGAAACGCCATCGAGTTGCCGGAATGATCTCCCCCGTTGAGTACATTGAAGAAGGGGACGGGAAGTACATAGTTATCCGTCGGCAATCCAGCTTCTGCAGCGATGTATTCATATAGTGGAATGTTCCTGGCGGCCGCTCCTGCTCGCGCTAGAGCCATACTGATGCTAAGTATGGCATTGGCTCCGAGGTTTCCTTTGTCATTCGAGCCATCAAGCTTGATCATGAGTTGGTCGAGTCGCTTGAGTTCTGTTGCAGGATCCAATCCAGCTTTGCACACGGCGGGACCTAGAATCTCATTGACGTTACGGACGGCTTTGAGGACGGAATTGCCATGGTAGATAGAATCGTCACCATCTCGAAGCTCCACCGCTTCATAGTCGCCCTTCGAGGCTCCGGATGGAACAAGAGATGTAAAGGTTCCATTTGATGTTACAATACGCGTTTGGACGGTTGGATTGCCGCGCGAATCCAGCCGTTGGGTTGCCGTGATGGACTTGATGGCCATGGTCATACGTGTGTCGTGATTGGGGCATCTCCGTGACAGTTTGTGCTTGATGTTATATGTCCAACAAGCACAAAGGTCACCATAGGTGACATCAATGGTGGCTCTTTCGGAAGCGCAGACCCGCTGTCCGTTTTACACTATGATTAGCGTTCCCGCTTCCTCCGAGACCACGAACATCCCGCAACAGCCATAACTATTCTCTCACAAGCTTTCGGATCTCGCGGGGAAAGAATGTCGCCGATCTTTGTTCGGCGACCTCGATGACTACAGCTGGCCGATCTTCCCACTTCTTTCATTCCAGACCGAGCCGCACAATCACAAAGGCTTGCATGCAATAGCGACCTGAATCTGTGCTCAGTTGTTCCCCGCGCATTCTTGCATCTTGTTCAAAAGATGAGCAACTGGAAATTCCGCCTACAATCTGCGTACGCTACTGTCACGAAGGGGTGCAGACATGTCCCCCACAAACCTCGCGACCCACGGGGTATATCGCATTCCCGGCTTTATCATGCTAAAACCTTCTTCACACCTCTTTCGCGCGCTCGAGCTCCGCAAATCCTGGTGGCATCTAGTGCGGCTGTAGCTGGTATAGCAGCCCTCATATTATCGGCTTCATCGCAGAGAAAGGCTTTGGCGGAGTCCGAGCCTCCTCAAAGGCTTATCAGACTGCACGAAATACACCAACACAATTCTACCTCAGACTCTTATTGGGTATATCATGGGACCAGTGTTTACGATATCACCGAATGGGTTCCGAACCATCCCGGGGGCGAGGTTATCCTTAGAGCAGTTGGAGGCAACATTGAAACGTACTGGAACATCTTCACAATACATCAGAAGCAAGAGGTTTACGATATTCTCGAGCAGTATCTCATAGGACAAATAGATCCAAGGGATCTCGTTGAAGGCAAGGCTCCTATGGATGATGTTGACGATCCTTTCAAGGCGGACCCACAGAGGTCGGACACACTGGTCGTCCGAAGTGAACGACCTTGCAATGCAGAGACACCGGAAGACCAACTAGGAACGTTCATCACACCAAGCAATCAACACTACGTTCGCAATCATCTCTGGGTGCCGGATGTGAAGGACGGTGACAATCATCGTCTGGTTGTTGAATTGACTGATGGAACTGAGAAGGAATACAGCGTCGCAGAGATACGCAACAACTTCAAGCATCACACCATCACAGCCACTTTGCAATGCTCTGGCAATCGACGAGCACACATGACCGCCGAAGCGCGAGCAACCAGTGGTCTTCAATGGGACATTGGAGCCATCAGTAACACACAATGGACAGGCGTCAGACTGCGCGACATCCTCCATGATGCCGGACTCTCCGTCGACATGTTACCAGAAGACGCCAAACACGTACAGTTTGTTGGGGCTGAAGCCTACGGTGCCTCCGTACCCGCAATCAAGGCCGTCGACAGGTACGGCGACGTTTTGCTCGTATTCGAAATGAATGGCAAGCCCTTGATGCGCGATCATGGGTTTCCACTCCGTCTGTTGTGCCCCGGCCACGTCGCTGCCCGCAGTGTAAAATGGTTGAATAGAATCGTCGTCTCGGATGAGGAATCGTGGTCGCAATGGCAGAGGCGGGACTACAAGTGCTTTGGGCCCAACGAAGGCAGCAAGGTGGACTGGGACGAGGCAACGAGTATCCAGGAAACTCCTGTGCAGTCAGCCATCACGTCCATCACGAATATCTCCAAAAATCGCCTGGCCAATTCAGAGCTCGCCAAGGTCTATGGATTGGAAGAGGATGCGGTCAAAGTCGCCGGCTATGCCATGTCCGGCGGCGGCAGGGACATCGTCCGTGTCGACGTCAGTCCCGATGATGGCAAAACTTGGAGGCAAGCCTGTCTGATCGACGATGAGAGCAAAGGTAGCAAGGCCTGGTCATGGAAGAGATGGGAAATTGCTTTTGCAAAGCACGACGTGGCCAAGCATGTCGTTGTCAAAGCCATTGACGAGTCGTACAATTGTCAGCCAGAGTCTTATGAAGCGACGTACAACTTTAAAGGTAATCTGACTACAGGGTGGCATCGAGTACGAGTATCGGACGATGGAGGAGTATGATGTCTTGACACCTTGTGGTACAGACCAGAATCTGTGTGTGGGAGCGCGATTGATCAGACTTGGCCAATTGAGCTTCAACTTCAACACCAGACCTCTCTTCCCCCTCGGTACCCATGTCCTCGTCAACGTCGGTGCGATCGTTATCATCGTGGGTCTTCCGTGGGGAGCTGAAGTTCTGTACTGAGCTTGCGATGGAGCTTCTTGTCAAGACTGCTCGAGTGTGATGAGTGGAAGTCATAGTATTTATTTCCCTTCCTTGCTAAACAATGGTTATTTGCGAGATTGTACATGTGGGTGGACGATCATAATCTCAATGCTCTTCATTCTTCAATACCCGTTTCTTCGTGCCTGAGATGCGAATCTTGTTATGATGTAAGATTTTTCTACCCGCTCACAGAAATCTGTCTTACAATGACAAGAGCATGCATTCCAACTATCGTTATCTGCTCACGATGACACTCGCGAGCCTTGCTACGTACGAGCAACTTCCCGTAATGACATCTCCTGGTAGCATCCTCGATCGGAAGGCCAACGGGGAACACGAAATGGTGCGGAGAGCGAAGAGGCGTGCTTGGCGTTGCCCCACACTACAGTCGATTCAACTCAACCTGCTCCTTTCCTCAATCGTTGTGCGCACACAGAGACTCTTGCGACAAGAGAATGGATTCCGAGGCCGAATCACGTCACCTGGCTTTTCGAGCTCACGGGCGCCATGTCGTCACATGCCTGCTACTGGATTCAGATAAGATCTTGACCGGTAGCGACGACACGAACATCAATATGTACGATGTACAGACCGGCGCGTTGCAAAAGATATTCCAGGGACATGACGGTGGCGTGTGGGCAATGAAGCAGGAGGGGGATATACTGGTGTCTGGTTCGACAGATCGAACCATACGAATATGGAGCATTTCTTCTGGTGAATGCCTCCATGTCTTACGAGGGCACACATCTACCGTCTGTTGTCTTGCCATATTGAACCCTGCCACGACTTCCGATGGCCTAGTAATGCCGGAACGACCCTTGATTATTAGCGCCTCGCGAGACTCGACTCTAAGAGTTTGGCAACTTCCCAATCCTGATGACCTTCCAACCTATCAAGCCAATTCTTCGGGCGACGATGTTAGTAGCGCTTACCTGCTAAATGTTCTCACTGGCCACCAAAACACCATACGTGATATAGCCGCCCATGGCGACACTATCGTTAGTGGTTCATTCGATTGTACTGTCCGTGTTTGGAGAATTCCAACGGGCCAAACAGTGCATCGACTTGTAGGACATACACAGAAGGTCTATACGGTGGCTCTTGATCACGAGTCTAGACGATGCGTCTCCGGTTCAATGGATAACTCGGTCAAAATATGGTGCCTCGATACAGGAAGCTGCTTATTCACCCTCCAAGGTCACACATCCTTGGTCGGCCTTTTGCAGTTTAGCCACGGATTTCTGGTCAGTGCTGCAGCAGACGGCACCCTACGCAGCTGGAATCCTGATGACGGGACATGTAAGATCGTCTTTTCAAAACGTGGCGGAGCAATCACATGCTTCCAGCACGATAGTCAAAAAGTGATTGGTGGCTCGGATCGAACGCTCAAGATGTGGGACATCAACACCGGCGAACACTTGCGCGAGCTGCTCTCGGACCTTACCGGAGTCTGGCAAGTCCAATTCGACGAAAGGAGATGTGTTGCTGCGGTACAGAGAAACCAGCTTACGTATATCGAGGTATGTATGCGGCAACGCTTCTCACGTGTATTGGACTTATCACTTATAGGTACTGGATTTTGGCGCGCGCCGAGATGGTATGCAGGACCGAGGACGCCGTATCGTGGTCGACGCACATGGATGCGAGATCGAAGGCCTTTAATAGACTTGCCACCACGAGGGGAGATCTGAAACTTCCTGATTGTCGTTAAGCAGATTGTGCTTGACAATTCTGTATATCACTTTTTTCTGACTGATTGATTGAAGTGTAGATGTCCGTAAAACGCGTATTCGCATCAGTATCACTGACCTGTCTGTTTTCTCTCTCACTTCCCGCCGCTGTATCAAAATACAACAAAAAATGGGTGAGATTAACACCAACGCATTAAGTGTCTCGCTCAGAGTCTGTACACTCACCTCAGTTGACGGAGGCCGAGGCAGAGGATGCAGAGTCGAGCCCAGTAGCAGGCTTTGATGTCTTTTATAATTGGGCAGTGAAAACGACCTTCCAAGTTCGGCAACATCGTGGGAAACTCTTGTGTCATATCACTGACCTGATTTAACGTCTTTTCCGATACATTGTGGTTGGCTGCTTGATCAAATTTGAACGTGGGACATTGTCAGCCAGAAATTCGTCACCGTCGCCAATTCAGATCTACTGACTAATGCACAAACCGTAGCGGGTCTTCATGTCCTTCAAAACACCATCTTGTCTGGGACTTACAAAAGGCGTCGTTGGATAACGTCTTGTAAGAAAGTGCACGCTGCTTCTTGTGCAAGGAAGGAAGGAGTACTTTTTTGAACGGTGACTTGAATCAACACACCTGATTGTACACGCCCACCAGAACAAGGTGATTTCAGAAACCATAGACCAAAATGTACCACGGTAGCCCAACCCTGTGTGAGTTGCCTTGTCGAGAAACAAAATTGTATAGGAAAACTCCCAAATCTATATATGAACGCTATGCTATGATGACCAATTTTCCAAGGAACACCCCAAAACACCTCTTCTGATATGTTTATCCCTTTTCAACTCAAATCAAACCCAGCACCTGAATTAACAGCATAGAGCAATTTATCTCTCAATGCCTGCTGACTCCTGAACCTCGGCAATTTCAAAAGATTGACACAAGTGCTCGCGGTAGGAAACCTATGCTCGTCCTCTCCGGAATCTCTAATCGTGAACCTCGGATTCAAACTGCCAAACCCAAGCAAAGGGGCACGAGGGGTGGAGGTGACGAATTTCAACACTTTCCTACGGTCGGCGTCGGGGAGATCTTGCATTACTTGCCAGAAGAGTTGGACGGATGGGTGTTCTGCGCCATCGTCGCCGATGACATAGACGCCGTTATATTCGGTGTTTGCGCGGAGGTCGGAGATGTCGATTGAAGAAGCGGCACCACCGATGAGGGTTTGTAGTTCTTTTTGGTTGAACATGTTGAGCCAGGAGGGTTGGATTATGCTGGAGAGGCCGCCGAGGAAGGCGTCAGTTTGGGGTTTAGACTGGAGGGAGAGGCGGTAGCGGGCAACCGCTGAAATGTAAAGGAGTCGGTTCTCTCGGTTGACGAGTTTATTGGCGCCATTAGGGACGAGTTCGTGTTCTATGGTTTTAGTGTGGCCGTTGGGGAGGGGAATAGTGTCATTGATGGCGAAGTAGGTGCCCCATTCTGCGACATCGCCGGAGTAGTACTTGAGGCTCAACAAGCCCTGGTAGAGCTCTTCGTCGAGATCGCGCAGGTCGTTGATGGATGCTCTGTAGCTCGACTCTCTGGAAGCTGAATTCCTGCCACCAAAGAGAGCCCACTTAGTGAGGAAGAAGCTGGCGAAGTTGATATCAATAAGGATGCCTTCGTACAGACACTTTCCAACAACACGGCCCAGAAACTCATAACGCTGCAGGAGGTCTTGTCTGGATTCTCGATGCTCTTGAGTGTCATCAGGGTATCCTTCCAGACGTAACATTTCCTTGAGCGCTTCAACACTAGTCGGGTCAGGATACAAGGAGTGCTGACTGTTCTCCATGAAAAGCCCCTTTTCCGGGTTGAAAGCCTCAGTGGTGATACTGGTCAAGAACTCTTTGGTAACACCTCCACCATCGATACCGGCTTCTTGTAGGCCGAACTCATCCAAGAAAGTGATCTGAATTGGCTCTTTGAGACCATCACCAAGACTGAAAAATTGTTTGTATGCATCTTCGAATTCGTGTTTACGACGAACGTTCGCATGATGGCGTCCAATATCAGTCTGACCGCGTCCTTGGCCAAACGTCCCAAAGGCTATTCTGTGTCGCCATAAGTCCGGATCAACAAACCCATCTCTTCGTTTCATCATATCCAGGCGCACGAATTCACGGAAGATCTGAACTCTTGTCTCGAAAGGAATCATGAACGGCATGTTCTGCAAGATCTCAAGTCGAGGTGCGACTGATTGAAGATAACGCGCAGTGCTAGCTTGTCTGTTGTTGCGCTGGTAAGTTCGCTGTGAACGGGTCATGGAGATGAACTCGGAGTCATCCGGTTCTGAATCGTGTCCCCCAGGATCATCGCCGTCCTCGATGGCTTGTTGTTGTAACTGTTGTCGCCGTTCATCCTCGCCGACCACAGCTTGAATGAAGTTGGTCATGTCGAGTCGGGAAACCATCAGCCAGTGCTCTTTGGGGAGGAAATTTCTTCTCGAATCACGCTCATACACGGATCGGAGCAATCCGGTGACTAAGCCCTTGACATATTCAAGACTCATACCAACAGTCCCGGCTACCGAGATGGTCTGTGGTTGCGCGTCGGGCTTTGATTCTACAGCAGTTGATGGGCCACCGAAATGGCGGCTCAAGTTGGCCGTGCTGAGAGTGTCAAGGCCTGGTTCAAAGGATTCGGATATCTCTTGTGAGTTGAAATACATTGCAAACCCCAGGTTCTTCAGGAATATAGTCAGGTCCTTCAGATCTTCGATCGGCAGGGCATTGTTACTGTCCCGCAGACTGGACCCGGCATTGGCACCCAAAAATTCTTCGTCGTCCATGATTTTCAGAACAAAGGTGAAAAGTTCAAGGAAAATGAGAATGACGCGCCAGTCTGAATTCTTCTTGGAGTGTTCTGCCTCATAGCCGGGTGGTTTCCAAGCAGAAACAGACGCCTTTGGAGCTTTGAGTAGCTCAACGGCGGCACGGGGATCTCGGTAGATGTTGGCAAAGATGGACGTCGAGCGCATACCTTTCCAGAAGTATGCGATGGCAGGGATTGTGTCCTCCTTTTTGGATTGACCCAGTGGACCAAGATAGAGCCACATGCGTATGTCATCAGCACGTAATGGGAAGATGCGCAACAGTATCAGAGCATAGCTGGCCAAAGACTGGGAATCTGATGTTTCGTCCAGCATGGATGTTTCTGATGTGGCAGTCGGTCGCGGTACCAAAGAGCGGATTGCGTCTTTATCGACTAGTCGTGAGAGCTGGTCCCTCAGAAACTTATTCAGATGTACACGGGTAGGATTTTTGGCGAGGACAAGGCGGTCGTAGTCGTTGTTGGTCATATCGAGAGCGGGAGCCTCTGGAGCAATAATCTCAGCCAGGGAAGAGAGAAGTCGTGCGACGACGGGCACATAATCGGAGGCTCGCACGCGCTCTTGAGTGAGGTAAATGAATTGGCCAAGAAGCCATAGACGATGTCTTGTATCTAATGTCGCAGCCGTAGAGACATTCGAGGCGGCGTGAATGAGTTGAGGGAAGTCAAGGGTGGGTGTGAAGTGATCGAGGGTGGTGAGTTGTAGAGGAGTGGTGAGGTATGCAGCAACGAAGCCTTCGTAAGCGGCAAGGAGATGTGAGCTGAGAGGAGCCGCTACAGCTTGACCAATACTTGTATGTGATCTCTGATCTAGTTTGGAGAGGGTTGTGTAGTAGTCGACGGAGATGAGGGATGTCTCTTGGGGTATTGCGGTGGCCAGATAAGTCAGAACCGAGAGTAGATCGTCAGTCCGGTGCGGATTGGGCAGCTTCAGAGCTGCCAAGCATGCCTTCTCCAAGCGTAGATGATGGTGCGTAGCGGTCGTGTCTAATGAGTGGTCCGAGACAAATGTGATGAGTCGTTGGACATCGGTCTTGTTGGAGGGCGAGAAGAACAGCAGGAGGCCGTTCAGTCGTTGTATCGGGTCAACAGCTGTCGGATCTATTGCATCCCATTGCTGGCGCCATCCATCTCTTGTCTTGGTCCTTGAGTTGTGACCCCTCCATACCCTTTGAACAGTCTTTGCCGCATTCAGCTCCTGCCGTTGCTTCTGTCGTTGTTGTCGGTCGAGATGGGCGTTCTGCACTGCGCTTTGTGGACCACCCAGTGCATTGTTGGCGGCGGCGAAGGGATTTGCATTTTTGCCCGAGAGGTTGACCTGACGTGGCCTGCGCGATGCGCCGGTGAAGGACTGATACATGGGCGATCTGCTGCCCGGAAGGTCGTCGCCGGGCTACGTTTGGTCGTCGGTATGGTAGAGAGGGTGGCTATCGATTACGAGTAGCTGCAGGATAACAGTCCAGCACAGAACATTCTCGATGTAACAGTCGAAAAGTTTTGGATTACGAGCTTGATGATTGAAACAATACACCGGGACCCCGTCGCCGCCAAACACCTGAGGATTATCAATGTAGAAAGACGTCACTTGACACCATGACTCGCGCAACCACTGTTTCCACCCTCTCTCTTCCGCCGGGGATCGTCTCTCGCTAAACTCCCAAACTTGATACAAGAACCATAAATCCAAAAATTCAAGGCTCCCGGCATATGAAGTGCAGCCAGGTTGAAGCCCTTTGATAGGTCGCTCCTTCTCGCTTCGGCATTCTTCCTTCGAATACCAGCCGCCAAGCTGTCGTACGCACCCACGCCAGCCATGGCCTAGAAGCCGCCTCGTGACTGTCTTATCGCTCTTATATGCATCCGACTTCTATATATTCTCCCTGCACCCACTATGGCAGATACGCCTTTGTCCAATTCTTACTCCCCCGTCGAGGATGAAGACTCCGAAATGGCTCCTCTCAATCCGACCTCCACTGTCGATGATCTGGAGTTGACCGATTCAGAAGCACGTCGCAATTCAATCGTCCATTATCGAGTATACAAAAGACGATTCTTTGGTCTGGTTCAACTTGTTTTGCTCAATATCATTGTGAGCTGGGATGTATGTTCACCATCACCTGCATCGTCGAATTTCCTTAGGCTTTTTCTGACTTGGTCAAAAGTGGTTGACTTTCTCGGCCGTATCATCAACTGCTTCCGAATATTTTGATGTTTCACAAAGCGCCATCAATTGGCTCAGTACCGGTTTCCTCTTTGCATTTGTCGCCGTGACTCCGTAAGCTATAACAACCAAATAATAATGGTTTCTGGAACCTTTGGCTAACATTTCTCCACAGTCTCACTATCTGGGCTCTCCACAGAGGTCCAAAGACCTCAATCGTCATTTCTGCCTTACTGATATTCGTTGGCAACTGGATCCGTTATGCCGGAACTCGCGCTGGCTCCCATGGCCACTTTGGTGTTGTGATTTTTGGTCAAATCATCATTGGGTTTGCACAACCTTTTGTACTGGCAGCTCCGACACGGTATAGTGATCTTTGGTTTACCGACAAAGGCCGTGTCACTGCTACGGCTGTAGCTTCCCTGGCCAATCCTCTTGGTGGTGCACTTGGCCAGCTCATTGGACCGCTCTGGGCCACACAGCCAGGTGATATACCGAATATGGTGCTTTACACAGCCGTCATTGTTAGTGATCCAAACCTTTGCTTTTTCTCAAAGTGCTGATTATCCCAGTCTTGTGTGGCGTGTCTACCAACTTTCTTTATCCCTTCGAAGCCACCCACGCCCCCTTCAGATTCTGGAAATCTTCTGAAACCAGATATTGCGACTTCGATCAAGTCTCTTGCATTCAACAAAGCTTTTTTGCTGGTTCTAATCGCATTTGGAGTATATGTTGGCTTCTTCAATGCCGTTTCAAGTCTCATCAACCAGATTTTCGAGCCATATGGATTCTCGGAGACGGAAGCTGGAATTGCAGGTGCACTTCTGATTGTCGTCGGACTCGTGGCATCTGCTATTGTTTCACCGCTCGTGGACCGCACGAAACAGTACCTTTTGACGATACAGTTATTAGTCCCGCTGATTGCGATCGGCTACGTGATTCTTATCTTCGCGCCAGCGACACGAACGATCGCTTTGCCTTATGTGGTTTGCGCAATTCTAGGAGCAGCGTCTTTCTCCTTACTGCCATGTGCACTGGAGTACTTGGTCGAGATCACACATCCGGTCAGCCCAGAGATCAGCAGCACAATTTGTTGGGTGGGAGGACAGCTTTTTGGAGCCATATTCATCATCGTCATGGATGCCTTGAAAGGCGGGTTTGCTGGTGAGCCGGATGACACTATGAAGCGGGCGCTCATATTTGAGGCTGTGATTAGCTGTTTGGCCGCACCTTGCGTGTTCGCCTTGAGCTTCTTGGACAAGGACAGCATCAAATTGGGCCGACATGGTGCTGAGAATGGCACAGAGCGAGGCTCTTAGATAGACGACGCCTTTTGTTGCATACACTGTCCAAATTATCTTCATCCTCTGTTCCAAGTCAGGTCTCGTCGTGCTTGTTATGTTGTAATCGCTTGATGCCCTGATGGATAAAGAGGCAAGTGTTACCGAGTGAAATCAAGCTTTCACATGGCACCGCAAACCTCGAAGCTCTCCCCGTCCTCCAGCGCGTTGCGACACGAAAACCAAAAACCACAACACCCACACACGCGTCTTCCGCACCGCAAGAACAGTCCTTATCAAACCTCGACCTCCACATACCTGCCTCTCGATCTTTCTTTTGCCCGTCTACCGCAACGATAACATCGCTCGCGCCACACAAGCGCAAACCCGCAGCCTTAGCAATGGCAACATCACAATTCCCCTCGCGACCATTTACAGGTCTCGGTCGCGCGTCAACAGTTGGCCAACAACAGCAACAGCAACAAGTGCCGAACCAACAACAGAATTTGCAATCACAACATCAGCAACAGCCACCGCAAAATACGAGCGCGTATCCGGTACCTAGTTATGCGGGACCGTCGAATACGTATAATGGGGGAGCAGGAGCAGCAGGACCGGGACAACGAGATGCGGTCGCAAGAGCAGAGCGCGAGAGATTGGAACGGGAAAGACGGGAAGCGGAAGAAAGAGCAGGTGCGCTGGAAGCATTGAGTGAAGAGCAAAGGGAAGAGATCAATGAAGCCGTACGCACCATTCCCTTCCCACTGCTTACCAGCATACCCTTCCACACCACCTCCCATCACTTCGAAAACAAGACAAAAAGACAAGAAGAAGAACAAAAATGCTAATCTCGAAACACCTCCAAACAGTTCTCCCTCTTCGACCTAGACAAAGACAACCACATCGATTACCACGAATTAAAAGTCGCCCTCAAAGCCCTAGGCTTCGACCTTCCAAAACAAGACCTCCTCTCCCTCCTATCCGCCCACGGCATCCCTGCTTCCGCCCCTTCCACCACCACCACCACCACCAACAACAAACCAACCTTCTCAGGTCCCACCCGCCTCCTCCTCCCCCATTCCTCTTTCCTCTCCATCGCCGCAACCCGCATCCTCTCCCGCGACCCCCGCGACGAAATCTTGAGAGCGTTTGACCTATTCGATACAGATGGAAAAGGCGCCATCAATTTGGGTGACCTGAGGAGGGTGGCTAGGGAATTGGGTGAAGGGTTGCAAGAGGAGGAATTGGTTGCTATGATTGAGGAGTTTGATTTGGATGGGGATGGTGCGATTAGTAGGGATGAGTTTGTTGGTATTTGTTTGGGTTGATTTGTGTGGGTGGATGATGAAGGTTGGATGGAAGGACAGGGCAAGCATGAGAGTGATGAGAGGTTCAATTGGTCCGGGGATGATGAGAAGCATTGGGGTTGAGAAAGAAAGAAAGAGGTTTACTTTGGATGGTGTTTTTCTCTTGTGAACAGCGTTGGCGTTTCTCTTTGGAAGGGTGTCGGTTTTACCTTTTTTTTTTCTTTTTGCGAGCTTTTTGTTTCTTGATGAAATGCATGTGCGCTTGTTGCACTTTTGTATCTCTGCAGCTTTTAGGGATTGCATCACTGAAGATATTTCTGTTTCTTTCAAGCATACAGTAATGTACGCAGCAATTGTTCATCGTGCCAAATCTCCTGCTTTTAAGCTTGACATTTGAGCCCAGGATAGGCTCAATGATCGAAGACGAAAGCGATGGTGCTTTTCTTTTTACCCATAAAGATAGTGCTAGCAATTCCTCGTCTCATCTCGGCTCAATGAGCGCCCGCGCACTATCCCTCTGCCCATCCGAGCATCCAACCTCACAAATAAGATTCTCTCACGAAAATCTTTTCGCCAGCTCCATCAAGAGAATCTTTTGATCCCCGTCGGTGTCATAATTGGGTAGTTCGCCATCCAAGAAGATGTGTTCGTCATCGTCTTCATCAGCATCTTCTTGAGCTGGAGAATCCGCTTTCTTCAAAATAGTCTTTCCCCCCTTCTCATTCCTCACAAAGCAAAATCCATACTCCCTATCCCCAACGGCCACAGCTCTGCCCCCTTCCCACTCGTCAGTAGCTGACCATCTGATTCCGCTCTCATCCTCCAGCGCAACGGTCTTCCTTCCCTGCTCGTCTGTGACATGAGAATACTTCTACTTTTCCTTTTCGGCGAGGACGAAGCGGCGTTCGACTTGTGTGTTATTCCCGTCATCGCCTTCGAATGAGAGATGGACGAGGTGACTGCCGTCGGACGTATCGCTGAGATCTTTGGATCGCCAGTTTTCCATGACTTCTGCCTTGTAAAACGTAGTAGTGTCCTATCACCATGTAATTAGCCCTCATCCTCATCTCCCCATCTCCACATTTCCACGACTTCGGTAGGGAAGCAAAATACTTACAGGATATTGAGCGAGTACGTTCCTCCCCTTGTTCAAGTCCGCCAAGCCATCGTTTTTGGTTGGGATGGGCATGAGGTGAGCGACTGAAGCCCGGTAGGGTGGGGGAAACTCGCCGTCAGGGAGAGGTTCGGGTTCCGCGTCTTGGATTTCGTAGCGGCGTTGTTTGCCTTCGCCAATGACGTTTGTGACACGACAGAGGATGCCTTCGCCTTCTTGTGTGCGGCCTTTGTTGCGGTAGAAGACTTGAGCGCCGAGGTTGAGCTGGAGACGTGATCCTCGTGGTTCGTTGGCTTGAAGAGAGTCAGTATGTGGGATGGTAGTCATCAAGGAGGGCTTGACTTGCCTTCAACACTGGAAGCTACACTTTCTGCTCCATCTTCGACTTTGACTGACACTTCTCTCGTGCTGGTGACACTCCTTTCTCTGTTCCTCTCTCGACTCTTCGTCTCCACGGCTAACCTGTCTCCACCTTGTCTGCCACCAGGACGAGGACTACTGACCACACTTGCTTCATCATCCACATCCATACTGCCGGCTTTCTTCTTGAGCGTCGCATTCCTGCCTTTTGAATTTGAATGCGAGCGTGATAGGTTGAGAGATTCTTCAGAGGCTTCACGGAGGCCGGCGAGAACTTTGATGCTGTCGAGAAGGGACATTTCATCAGAATTGCCGTCGACGATGTGACTGATGTCTTCACTGAGTTTGACGTTTTCACGATAGAGGCTCTCGAGTCTTTCGTCGAGGCGCATGTCTGAGAGTTCACCAGCTTCTATTGAATTAGGAGGTAAATTGTCAGTATGGGTTCATCTCATGAGGTGTATGATTCTTGAGCGGTGTGGCATCGCGGGAAATGAAGCAGTCGCGTGTCCCGCGATGTTGCGAATGAAAAATGTACCGGCGAACATACCTATTAAAGCGGCTTGTTGCTTTTCCACGTCCACAATCTCGGTTCCAATAACAGCACATCTTGCCTGGATACGCACGATTGATCAGCATCTCACTCAGTGTATCAGATCTTCGTGTCATTCTTTCGTTCGTGAAGTAAGGATGAGATAAAGGAAGTGAAGTACGAAATAGAGAAATACCATCATGGTGTCAACCTTCTTCGATCTTTCTTTGATCGTGTTCCAGAGTCGACGCTCCTCATCGGCATCTTGATTCAGACTAGCCCTCGGCTGACGATTCCGTGATGACATGGTTGTGTGCAGGGTGAGTTTGTGAGTTGAGGTATCAAGCGGATCGGCGCAAATCGGTGTGGATCGAGAAGAGGAATTAATAGCAAGTCGAGGGGTAAAACAAGGGAATTCTGAGTGACTAGTTATGTTTGATGGAAGAAGGATGATTAAGGTAGCTTGAGGTAGTTGAGGTAGTTGAGGTAGTTCGTCTGGGGAAGTAGATCACGGAAAGGTAAAGGGTCCGGAGTCGGTCGCGTCGGGAAGGAGGTGGTTGTTGAGTCTGGCCAATCAAAGCGTGGGGTGGAAAGCTTCGTCACGGGGTCAACGGGCAGCGACGACGACGACGATGATCTCGAGGAACTTCTTCCTTGTGTGTCCAACCTTGATCACGCGCACTCGTAGAAGCACAAGGATCTCGCTACGCTATTGGCGCATTTTACCAACAGCGTAACAATCAACGCTTCTCTGCGGACGAACGTGCTGGTTTCAAGAACACTCCACGACTCGGCGACAAGCAACGATTAACAGCGGGCGAAGAAGTCGCGACCATACAATCATATGCAAGTGTTGCTGGCAAGTCAACAACGCTAGAAACAGAAGAAAAGCGTACCATGCTGGCGCAAATATTGAGATGTTGAACAATCACGCTTTCGCTCCACCCACCCTGACCTTCGCACTCACGAAACGTTACTATTCCACAGTTCATTCCAGAAGCCGTATATCACAGTAGGCGAGATTAGACACTATTTGGTCTTGTAAACCATAACCATCGTGAAACAAATATGATGAACAAAGAACGAATGCCAGAAACTGACATTCCTCACGGAAACTTCATTCACGAACAAAGAAACTGCCCGCAAGCATGTTCCCCCAAACTCCTGATCTCACTCTGATTCTTGCCGTTCAAACACACTCTTTCTTGTCATTCCTACCGATCACTCAAACCGTGCAAATCTAAACCACAACCACAACCTCCATGAACCTCCCCACCTACTAATCCAGTCATAAAACCCAACTCAACCCCCAATCATGCGTACTTTCAAGCCCACAATTCTCCTCCTCCTGCCATACCTATCCTCATTCGTCCTCGCCCACGCTCCAGAATCCGGCATCCATGCCATCATCTCCTCAGCAGCTGACGAATACAATATCGCAACTTCCACTATATCGTCAATCTTGTCAATCGCAACCGCTTCCGCCGTCTCCAACCTCTCCGTAGATGTGCAAGATATAATTGCATTCGCCAGTTCCGTGTATGAGGAAGTTACAGCAGCAGTCGGAAGAGTGGTTGACCAGGCTACAGGTAAAATCAACAATGCATTTAGTGAGGCGACTGGAAGCGTGGGAAGTTCGATCAGTAAAGCCACCGCACCCACGAAACAAGTGACAGGAAAGGAAAACCCAACTACTATATCCAGAGCGCCGGGAAGTGGGACCGTCAAACCTACCAGTGTTTCCGAGGGTAAAATCAAAAGGGGAGGAAATTATGCCGATGGTGTATTAGCCGCCGTATTCGCCGCCGTATTCGCCGCCGTATTCGCCGCTGTTGCACTCTTATAAAAAAAAAATGGTCATGTGTCTTCTGGTTGGATTGGGTGGTGGATGGGGAGCAAATAAAGGCCTAAAAATCAAACAGTTATTGCAGATGGGCAAAAAGAGGGGGTGCGGACGGCACTGGCGAACAAACTGCATTTCTTCTTTCGATCAAAAGCTGTCTGTTGTGATCTTCAAAGTGAAGTGTTGCATCTTGCAGTGAGCTTGACACAAAAAAAACATACAACCTTCTTCTCCACCTCTTCCAAAAACAGTAGAATTACAAATTGGTGTATCGGGGGAAAATGTAGTTTTGGGGTATGAAGCCTCTCTTCGTACGAAAGGAGGAAAAAGAGGCCTTCTTATAAGAGAACTGCAATGAGAAGAAAGCCCATAGTCCGAGGAAACAGGAAAGGGGGTCCGACGTGCTGCGAGCGTTTCCCCAAGGAACAAGGAGAAAGAGAAGAGAAAGTGTATTCAAAGAAGAGGAATGAGTTTGAAAGAACAGCAAAAAAGACGGCCTGGGGTATTCTTCTCTTCCTGTTGTTCTGTTCGGTATTGATCTAATTGAGTATGCCCAGCGATTTATTCTCCTCCTTTTGCCGTTGAGGTGATTAGGCGGATTACTATGGCCGGCAGAAGTAGTTGAGATGCTGGGTTGAGATGTTCGGGGGTATTCGCGAGAGGAGGGGGTATCAAGTTGGTGTGGATAATACGATGCCTTGACCGGCAGAGGATTGGTCGGAGAGGCAGGGGCTGGATGGTGTAGGCGCTTCATCTTTTCTCAATCGGAATTCGCTTATTTGGCGGGAACCTTGATGTGGCTGCTCAGCCATGCGAGACCCTCGAAGATGCCTTCGCCTGTGGTGGCGCAACTAGGTTCGACCTTCCAGATGTGGTTCTTTGCGATAACATTGAGGTTGAGTGCGTCCGAGACGTCCTTTGGTCGCATGGCTGTGTTGGGGAAATATGTCAGTATGTTTAATCCATCTCATGTTCCTTGTTTCGCGTCTCTCTTACATCCGTTGACATCTTGCTTGTTGGCAAAGACTAGCAGCAGGGCATCTTTCATTTCGCGATCTTGAATGATGCGGGTCAATTCGGTACGGGCTTCGTCCATGCGATCGCGGTCGTTGGAGTCGACGACGAAGATAAGGCCTTGAGTGCCCGAGAAGTAGTGTCGCCAGAGAGGACGGATCTTGTCCTGACCACCGACATCCCAGACGTTGAATTTGGTGTTCTTGTATGTGACTGTCTCGACGTTGAAACCGACGGTAGGGATTGTTGTCACATCTTGGTCCAGCTTGAGTTTGTAGAGGATGGCTGTGAGATGGCGTGTTAGCAAATCGCGCAAGCAGACAGACGCCTTTCCAGCACTCACTCGTCTTGCCAGCGGCATCAAGACCCAGCATCAACAAGCGCATCTCCTTGCTGCCGAAGATCTTGGCCATCATCTTGGATATTGAGCCACCCATCGTGAATTGATGTGTCGTAACGTCTCGTGAAACTCTCGGTATGTCGTCGCGCGGAGGATTGTTTGCAGGTGAGAAAACCGGTGGACGGGGTGGATGTCAGGAGGAGAAGCGGGTGTGTGTTTGAGTTGGTGTCGGGAAAACAGCTGAAAGTGAATTTTTGGGATCGGGCGTGTATGCAATTGGGGAACGTTATAAGGGTTTCAGAGATCAACGGCCGCGTGCTGAAACGGTCGCTGCTGCTTGAATTGGCCGTGGCTTTAGCTTTTTGCGAATGCGACGTGCGGAAGAAGATGGTCACTGAAGAAAAGGCGCAGCTTCAGCAAGGGACAGTCCGTCCTGTATATTTCTTTCTGACTCAGTCTCTGTCAAGGCAACAGGGAACAGAAGTTGCACGACCAAGCCCCTTTTCCCCCCTTCTCAGCACCGCAAAGAACGAGATGGGCGGCTTGTAATCTCCGGTCTGCGAAAGATGATGGAGCACGGCTCAGCAGGAGACCCCGCTTCACCACCACCACTCCAAACTGTCAACTCTGCCTCAGGAAACACAAACCCTCCTCTCCGCGTGTTTCAGGTGTGATGTTTGCACCTACAAGACGACCGCCGATCTGTGTATCAGTGTAGCTACTTCTGCGTTGCCATTGTTGGGTATATATAAAAAGTCTATCGTCTCTATACAAGATTGGATGGTGGGTCCCTGACTCTGAGCTGAGAGTACCATTCTTTGCAGCTCTGCTTAAGCCGAGTCTCACGGCCATGCCGTGCTTCCCTTTTCACCACCGAGGACCGAAGTCTTGTCCGCCTCGGAAAGTCCTTTCTTCAGTCAGAGCATCCTCATGACACCTTCAAATGCAACCAACGCCATTGCATTTGCGGGAAATGCTCTTAGGAAGCACGGAACGAATCCTCTCCAGTAGCCCCTCCATCCATTCTCTCTTCCTACTGCCCTTGCAGCATCTCTCCATCGTGGGAACTTTCGATTTGCCAAATCATCTGTCATGATGCGCTGCTTGATGACATCTGATGGGTAACTCGTCAACCAAAACACTTGCGCCGACAGTCCTCCTGCCCAAAAGTTGATAGCTGGTGTAGACAAGTCCGTGTTTTTCTTGAACCACCTCGTAAACACATCGTACGAACCCCACCAGAAGAAGAAGAAAGTGCGGAATATCAATGTCGCTCCAAGACCGTGATACAAGCCCCGCAGCCCGTGTTGACGGAAGATCTGTCGTGAACAGTCGATGGGTCCAGAGTACAGACGTTTCGACTTGTCGGCTGAATACTGCACCTGCAGGCGCGCTTTGACATGTTCTACAGGGGCTGCAATGAACGATACCGTGCTCCCTGCCATGACTCCTGCAATCGCATGGCCTATCGTTGGAAGCGTTCGATCGGCTGGCACAGCATACACGCCTTGTGCAGCTCTGGTCTCGTGCATGGGTTGGAAGACGCGGTCATTTAGGAGTTTGCGGTAAAAGGTCAGGCTTCCCAGCATCAAGCTGTCCATAAACATCCATCCTACCAGCGGAGGTGTTGCGCCTTTGTATAGTCCTTGTGGCCCTTCTCTTCTGAGTGTCTGCATCAAGCAGTCGAGTGGTCCGTTGAATTGCGACGATGTTGACGTTTGTAATCTGACTTTGATCGTATCGAACGGGTGTCCAACTATGAGTCTTGTCAGCGATTGCTCAAGGTCGTCGTGTGACTGAGCTGACCAGTCAATTTGGCAATACCGCTGAAGACACCAGCGACAAACCCCTTGTAGTTGCCAGAGGACTGGGCCTTCTTGGGCAGCTCGGTCTGGCCATCGTGGTGACTGCGAGGCAGTGAAGCCGCGTCTGTCGCGGGAACTGCTGACATTAGGGTCGGCGGCAGAAGTGTTCAGGTCGTCGCTGAACCTATAATCAACCCAGAGAGGGAATTGAATTGACTGGTCTGGCAGCAGCAGATAGGCCGAAAAAGAAAGAGCGTTTAGCTCAAAATGATTTGGACTTGCTGACCCGGCATCGGAGTTAGCGCGGACTTGTGCCTGGGAAAGCCATGACGTGCACGACAGACTCGATTCTCAGCCTGCATCGACTTTCGGGCCCTCTGCTTTCACCACCATCTGGGAACAACAGACAAACACACCTGAACATATCCATGCATCAGACTTCCATTGTTGAGGCTAGAGACGGCCAACAGTGGTCATCAAAAACGCAGCAACATCGAACTTCATAAAGGCCCTAGACGACCAGATTCGCATGTCTCTCGTGTACTACCTGTCGCGGTCCTGGCCTCGAGCTATCCCCAATGTCTTGATGAGAGGATTCACAAAATGATTTGCCCCATCGCGGTCTTGCAAGTTATATGTCAGAGAGTCAAATGGTATAGACGAGGCCGGGGTGTAAGAGGCAAGCATCGGAGTTAAGCCAAGGGTCCAAGTGTAGATCGGATGATCTGTGCTTTCCAGATGCGGGCAGGCGCGCGCGATCGCGACACCAACTCTAAAGCTATCACGTTGTCGATTGGGTAATCATGTAAACTCAACAATTCTTGGACGAGTCGTCTGCTTCTCTTTTCTCTTCTCCCATTTCAGATTCTTAGGATTGACCCAAATCAAAACACAGCAATGGCAGCAGCAACATCAACATCAGAAAGAGTGGTCGACTCGGCCAAGGTGTGGACTACACTGATCACAAACACCAACTACCTCTCGGGCTTGTTGACGCTGGACTACTCGCTGAAGGCCGCTGGCAGCAAGTACCCTCTCGTCGCTCTCTATACCGATACCTTCCCTCCCGAGGGCCATGCTGCTCTCAAGGCTCGCGGCATTCCTTCCAAGCGCATTCCCTACCTCCTGCCTACCATGTCCAAGGACTACAGCAACGACCCTCGTTTCTACGATTGCTGGAGCAAGCTCACTCCCTTCGGTCTGGTCGAGTATGAGCGTGTCGTCCAACTTGACAGCGACATGCTCATCCTCAAGAACATGGACGAGCTGATGGACATCCCTCTTGACAGTGCTGAGCTCGCCGGTCGCGGTGACCGCGTCTTCGCAGCAAGTCACGCCTGTGTCTGCAATCCCTTGAAGAAGCCTCATTACCCCAAGGAGTGGGTACCCGCCAACTGTGCTTTTACCACTCAACACGACAACCCCGACGAGGCTCAGAAGACTGGTGCTTCTCCCCTTGCAGGCCTCGCCATGCCCAATGGAGGTCTCCAGGTCGTCGTACCTAGCACCGAGGTCTACAACCTGATCCAGGAGGGTCTGCAGTCATCCGTGACTGCTTCTTACGAGTTTGCCGATCAATCCATGCTCAGCGACCTCTTCCCCGGTCGATGGGTCGCCCTGCCCTACATCTACAATGCCCTCAAGACCTTGCGCTGGAGCGGTGTGCACGACGCTATCTGGAGGGATGATGAAGTCAAGAACGCCCACATCCTTCTCAGCCCCAAGCCTTGGGACGAGGTGGGCGCCGACAAGGGCAAGAACGATGAGACACACAAATGGTGGTGGAATTACAACGATCGCCGCCAAGCAGAAGAGAAGAGCAGGAATATTGATGATGGCTTCTAAGCGCTCCATCTTTGAGCTAGATGACAAAAGAACTTTGGACGATATTTGATACCCAAAATGTTGAAACATCACATACACTATAATTAAACATACCATCACGAATCAAGGACACTCTGGAACAGACTCCAAACTATACCCATCATGTCTCACTGACAGCCGCAGACCCTTCGACCCATGCTTTGAGATCCTCGTTGAATCCTTTGTAATTCTTCTCGGTGTTCTTCATGGCCCCGAGCTGCTTTGCTAACCAGCTCTTACCCATCGTCCATCCAAAGAGTCCGAGAAAGTCCTCTTCCTGTATAAACAACGTTTTATTCTCATCCGACCCGACCGGCTCAAATCGGAATGCATGGTCACCCGCAAACAGCCCGAAGAGATTACCTCTCCAGCAGAACTTGCGAGGTGTGTTTTCCTGATTGAAACAAGCGACTTCATTAGCTGTGAAGCTCTCGAATCACAACATGTTGGATAATCAGGCTTACCAGGACGATAGGGTTGAAGTTGACTTTGCCCTTGTTGAGGGAAACATGCATGATGTCTCCAGCGATCAGGTCTTTTACAATCTTGCCTTCTGGAGCTGCGAGTTTGTGGACATAGCTATTTGGCGCATATTTTGAGATTTGCTCAAAGTCGAGAAACTTGTTGTACAACAGTCAACATATATTTTCGCTTCTTTCGGATATTCGCATGCGAGATTGGTTTGGAGAGTACGGGTTATTCACCTTTTCTCTCACGACGGCAGGTGGAGCAGCTATCTCGATGCTTGTGTACACTTTTGGCATGATTGCTGTATGCTTGGCGTCTGGCAGCGTGAATGCTGAGAACTTGTCTTGTCACTCGACCGCCGCGTGGGGAATTACTCGTTACTTTATATATACAGGAGAATCGAATCAAGCTTTTGATCCTTCTTCTCCTGTGCTAGGGAGACCTTTGCTGCGCGAAGGATCTCTCACCGCTTGGTAAGCACTTGAGACCAGCCAATCTCCACAAGATACAACAAGCTACCCCTCCCAGTAAACGAGTCGATTTGCCAACACATGTGTTTTCTTATCTTGAGGCGTCCATCACGCGATATGGCTGTATCGCGACATGCTTACTTGCTTCTCCAGAAACTACGACAGTATGTCTGAGCATTGATGATGAATCCTAATTATTTCCGCAGGGTTGACTTGACTGACTTACAGCACGATCTGCGGTTTGACACTTCAACACTGATCAAATAGCTATGGAGTTCTGTCAATTAAGGTACATTTTAATACCCGATCAGATGACTTCCAGTGACCGAAGCTCGAACGATCATACTATGCTCCAAGCACAGTCGTTCAAACTCGAGTTGCTAACGACCAGGTCTTTGATCGTCTTCGCAAAACACCAACCACCTCTAGATTGTCTTGGACTTCGCAGTCTCACATGCTTTGTTCATTGTCAAACACTTCGAGGTACAGTCGTGCACACCAAAAATCGAAGAGCTTGTTATCTTTGCCCTCGAAACTTCTTCTTTCTTGTCGAGTACTGAATGTCAACCCAGCACAATCGCCCTTTGTTGGGTTCTTTGTTTCATTGTCGGGTATAAAAGACCTTCAATGTCTCATATAAGCTTCGAGGACATGAGGCGTTCGGTGAGAAGTAGTAACTGATATGTCCGTAAAAGTCTGTTATGAACTCGACTTCTCGCTCATCCTCAACCAAGCAGAACAGAACAACCTACTACCCGACCTTCCTGACTCCCAACACCGAAACAAAAGAAGAACCTCTCGGCGAAAGAATCAGAATGCCCATTTCTATCCCTTGCGCTCTCTGTGGCTCAAATTTAAGTGGTGGCACCTTCCACTACCAAAAACACATGACTCAATCCCATTGGGCTGGAACCGGTGTCTTGCCTCTACCTTCCATCTACACATCCCCCAGCACCTGCCCTACCCCTTCTTTTCCTTATACCAACAACAGTGTTGTTTACTCTACCTCCACCAACAGCAGCACTGCTTCTACAATCCAAGTTTTGGATTGGCCTTCTACTGTACAACACACAACTAACCCTATCACTGCCCTATACCCCTTCCTAAACTTCCGCCGCTTGGGTCCAGAAAACTTCAGATATCTCTGTCGATCCTTTTGTTGGATTTCTCGGTCGGGGTCAACATGCTTGGCCTCCTGTTGCTGTATCGCCTTGTTCTTCAAGTACCTCCAGTTCTTTCGATGGTCCTTGTGAACGAGCTCTTGCTGGTAAACTTGCTCGTCGCATCACTCCTTCGTTGAAGCGCAAGAGAAGTGATTCTGATTATTTGGATGAAAGGGCTTCGAAGACTGCAAGTGGGTTTACGTGATGATTCTAATGTTTGGACCGGTAAATCTTGTCTTATCCTACACCGGTAGACCATCTCGATCTTGATTCGTTTGGGTCATGTAACAATATAAAACAGAATACGACTTGATCTTCATCCCTGGTTGGATGAATTTCGAATTCACCTTGTGCTTTTGCTCGTTTGTTCGTTGTGATTCGATTGTGTGATTTTGTGGTTTTTATGATGAGGTCTTGGGGTGAACTCGACTTCTTCTCTTTCTTTCATATAAGAGTCTCTGTTGGTGTGGTTCTGGTACATCATGTCAACGAAACTTAGCTTGTCTAGATGGAAGTGAGATCGAAATCGCATATCAAGAGGTTTGTGATTCGCAACTTCGAGCACTTAAGCTGAACAAAACATGTCGAGGAGGAAAGATCGCTGAAAGTCAGGGCTGTCATTCCAGCCAAACTAGATGGTTGGGGCTATGTGCCTTAGGAGTCGTGTTGTCCGGTGCCATTTAGGGGCATCAACCTCATGAACAAGATGTTGTAGGAAAGAAGGTACGTAAAAACATCAGGCCAGTGCCTTCCAGGAAATGGGCCTCCCTCACTGTTGTGAACGGTGCTAATCATCATCGTCAGCTGGACTGAGAGGCCGTACCGGGAGCCCGGACATCCTGGATCACTGACCTCGTCTCTCCCATAATCTAGCCTCCCTCAAAGCATCCGCACGAACACAATCTATCATGCGTTCTTATAGCCCTCCTGGCCTTTGCAGCCTGCAACCACTTATGAAATCTCCACCATCCCTTCGGGTTGGCAAGGCACATATGCTTCGAATCTTGAAACATGTTCCAATCACATTCGCAATAGTGCCGTCCAGAACCTCTGTGCAGCTGGGTAAATGCCGCCACAGTACAGCATGCTCTCTTGATTCTCTCTTTGTCTTGATATACATTATCAGATCTCCTTGGCTGAAAGTTGCAGGTGAAGAAGATATCCGGTGTTGTCGCTTTCTCGTCGCGGCTTATTCCAAAGGAGACATTTACGTGGCTAGGGGTTCTCGTTCCGAAGCGGCGGGACCAGATGGATACGCAGGGATGGTTGTGATGGACCCAGTCTTCGTACTCGAGGTCCGTAGTCGGCGAATGGTTGACTTCGATGGCAGATTTTTTGGATACAAACGTTTGGGGATTTGGACTGTGGAGTGACTCATAAGAAGGAGGGTGCTCGGAGTCCAGACTGATGTTCTTTTGCGACATGATGAAAGTCTTTGGGTAAGTCCTGAACAAAACTTTGGGTAAGTTGATGTGATTCAGACTTCAAAGATGACGACCGCAGACAGTAGTATTCTTCTGTCGGCAGACGATAGATTCAGGGATGTCGATGAGGTTGAAAGTTGCAGCAGAGGAGGTGACTAGGCAGCGGACCAATCATTCGTGAGTCAGTATCGCATGGCAAGCACATGTCTAAGAGGTGACATTAAAATGATGTCAGCAAACTTCTTGCGTCCTGAGTAAGCTGGACTTGCTAGATGTTCGGACATGCAGTCTCTCTTGTTGCTAGAAAGGTGGACTGACCAGCATGGGAAGATGAGTTGGCGAATATCAGCTCGAATGTTGGCAATCTGTTGGCAACGAATACAAGCCTCCCGCAAAGTCGACGGTGTTGTTCTGTCCAATTGATGTGACTCGCTTGTCCCAAGACACGCGCAGATACAGTTTCGACCAGTCGTTAGCCAGAGATCGAGCGCCTAGCTATAATCACAAATGCGAGGGGCAATACACCCTTCACGATCGCGCCTACCCGATCACAACCTCACGGCCGAATTCTGCTCTCGGAGTCTCCTGTCCGCTCGACTCGCTCGACTTACTTACCTCTTGCAATAATGCGATCATCGCCATCGCCCTAGGGATTAGAGCATGTCAAAGAGAAGAATAAGAAGTGATTGCAAGCAAGTGCCGTGTTCGAAATGACACCAGTAGGGGAAAAGGATGGGGTACAGATTTCGAGTGAAGAACAGCAAGCTGCGCCCGAGGTTAGACACTATTTGCAAAGCCACTTACACATCAAATCAATGCTGAAGTACCATCCAGCTTTCTGACACACGGAAAACTTTGTATGCGTCGAAAGGCAAGATGATAGGCCTCGGCGTGTCTGGTCTGGTGGAGTTGTCCGAAGAGGGATATGCAATCAAATCGCCATGGCCCCCTGGATCAGAAGATAGCCTGAGCGACATGAGATTCGAAGCCAAGGTCTACAACCATCTAGGCTCTCACCCTCGCCTCATCAAGGTCATAGACTGGGATGCTGAAGAGTGTTGCTTAACCATGGAAAACATGTCCAATGGCACTCTGAAAGATTACCTCGAGAAAAGCAACGCATGCCTTTCCGAACCGCAACGTCGGCGATGGATCCTGCACGCAGTGGAGGGACTCGCGTATCTTCATACGAAAGGTGTCATCCACTACGACTTCAAGCCGAAGAGTGTTCTCCTCGACGAGAACTTGGAGGCAAAGATTGCTGATTTTGGATGTTCGGCGTTCAATGGGTTGAAACCCACTGCCGGTGCTGATTTACGATACACACCTCCCAAAGGGGGCAACATCAGCAGTGGCGTATAACTCGATATCTTTGCATTCGGGAGCACGATTTATGCCATTCTGACCGGAAAAGATCCGTTTGTTGGAGATGCGATTATCCTGATATTTTGGAGGATGTGGAGATTGACAAGATTGTGAGAGATTGTTGGAAAGGGGCATATACTTCGGTCGAGGAGGTAAAAAGGAATGTCGATAGCTTCAGTCAACGGATTGCGTCTGTCACGGTTCTATGACCAACAGATGTCCGGCCTGCTGAAGATTGAAGCTGGATTGATGCATAGGCACATTTCATACCGCTGCTCAAAAGACAGAGCAGCCAGTCCTCTATCCAAGCCGAGCTGGAAGCTACCTAGTCAGCAGGGGTCGTAACGAGTCTTTTGAGCCATACTACCTACTCCGAAATTGTCACTCTAGACGAAGCGCTCATCCATGAGCAATGCTTAGCCCCTGTTAGGGTAGATAAACGCCCGTATCTTCGGACTGCATTGGACTCCCACCAAGAGCAAAATATACAGCACTCCAACAACAAGAGTCTCTCTGCAGGCATGTACATACGGCTCGCGATAGCACACCTTGATCGCATCAAAGACGAAAGCATTCGCTGCCGCCAATGTGCACACAAGCAAGAAGGCAGGACTTCCCAGACTGAGACCGATGCCGAAGCCAAGATGATGCATGTAGGCGTATATGTACGGATCTGGATGAGAGCTGTACTCACAGACGAAAAAGAATGCCAACAATGTGCCGAAAGCGACGAGGTCGTGCATGCTGGGATTTCGGTATCGAAAGCAGGATTGGCGCGGCCGTGGCTAAGAAAGAGCATCGGAGGCGTAAGATGAAGATATGTTTTCTAGGTCGGTAATAATTGCCAAGTTATCCTGAAATGAAACATTGTTGGGTGATACTATCTGGAGTCGTTTGGCAACACAGCTCGATATACTAAGGATACCTAAGTTCAAGCGAATCTTAGTAGGGCTTTGCTCGGTCCTATCTCCAATACGAGATATGGCATGATTCGGAGTGCAACGGTCAAGCTGCTCGACCGGATGTATTCTCCTTCATCACAGGTCGAGCTTCAATAGACCTGCACAACCTGGGGACACTAGAATCTGAAAGCCAGCAAGCATCGATGTGGTGCGTCGAGATGGAATCAGGCGTCACGCCATTCTGCCTCATACGGTGTCCGAATGTATTTAGACGCCTATTGACTGAACTCTTCGAACGTGCAAATGTTTGATCGATTTTGGTAATAATCTTACTGTAACTGCCCTCCAAGCAAACCCTACCTACGCCTTGGAAGGATCAGAAGTACAAGCGCCAGAAGGACAATATCCATGACTACAGGCAAATTCGCAAAGCCCACTATACTGAGCCACATTCTGACCAGCGACTGGGAATCCAAGAGTGTTTGACGCAGCTGGAGGGTTAATCTGACTACCTCTCTGAGTGCAAGTGCAAGCATTGCTGGGACAGAATCCATAGTTGCAAGAGAAACTGCAGAGGCCTGCCAAGTTTCCACTGCCAGTGCCAGCAGTGCAGAAAGAGCCATCTCCATTTTGTGCCTTTGAAGGATCGGAAGTGCAGGCACCTGAGGGGCAGTAGCCATGGCTGCAGGTGAACTCGCAAAGACCGCTGTAGAGAGCGACGTCTTGGCCAGCGACAGGGAAGCCAAGAGTGTTGCTGGAGGCAGGAGGAGTGACTTGACGGCCTCTCTGTGTACACGTACATGCATTTGTAGGGCAGAAGCCGTAGTTACAGGAGAAGCTGCAGAGACCAGCTAGGTTCCCATTTCCGGTACCGGCGATGCAGTAAGAACCGCTGCTGCTAGTAGGCGTGGATGCGGGAGCGGAAGTGGGTGCGGTGGTAGAGGTCTTCAAGGTGGAGGACACCTTGCTGCTGGCAGAAGTGCTGACTCCACTACCACCTGATCCAGAGGTTCCGGCAGTGGCGCTACCAACCCAGGCATTCCAATTCTCGATACCATTAGCACAAGTGTCGGTGATGGACAGCCCATTCATTTGGGCAATAGTGTTTCCGTTTCTGGAGATCTTGACTGTCACAACGCCGCGTCCGTTGAAGGGAACACTACCGTGATAGATTCCTGAGCCACCGCTTGGGACGTTTTCCCAAGTTCCGGTCTGAGTTGTGCCGCCGATAATGACGGTCACATCGGCGGTGGATGTGAGCAGTGCAGAGTAGAAAACCTTGTCTTGAGCCAATTGTGCAGGAGGATATTCCTGTTGTCCTTGACTCGCTGTGTTGCCAGTAGTGCCTCCGCTAGAACATGCTGATCCCGGTGTGAGTCTGTACCAAGAAACTAGTCCTTCTGTTGAGATCGAGGCCTTGCCGCTCTTGTACATATCAATGACGTAAGGAAGGAACAAACGCCATCCATCATGGGGCATGTTAGACGCATAATTGAAAGGAGCTCTGCCGGCATCAGCACCGAACAACCCGAATTGTCGGGTGTCCAAGTCAGCAATGTAATGTGACTCCCCCCAGTCATTCCATGTCAGAATTTCGACAAAGTCTGGTTGTATGGACATGACCTGCTGCCAGCGATCATACCACATGTCATCACCTCGCCACAACCAGTTCTTACTATAGCCAGGCAGATTTGTGTAGAACCACGGCGACACTGGCATCATGTAAGGCTTACCGGCGAGAGCATTTTTGTAACTGACATCGGGCTGCGTGGTCATATCGTTGGGGCCCACTGGCCATGCTTCCCAGCTGAACAGACCGTCCGCGACGCCACGATTGATAGCACCCTGAGCGCCGAGCGAAGACCAATCCGGGATGAAGAAGCATCCTGTTTGCGACTTGATTGTGGTCCGATCGCCAGAATTTCCGGGACCCTCGAAGGTAGACACGAATGCCTTTCCATTGTATTGATAGTATGCGCCATTTCCTTTGTACTGATTGATGAGGTCGATGACAACTTGCTGAGAGAATGCACCTTGAGCAGCATAGTCGAATGAAAAGAAGAGTTTGAATCCAAGAGTATTGGCTGCTGAAAATGCGTTCGCGAGTTGGGCACCATATCGGCCATCATTTGCTATGTTCAGGGCAAACGCATCAATGTGCGCTGACTGGGCTGAGCGGATGTCCTTTTGCCAGTCGGCTGTACTATATGAAGGGGTAAGAGTGGCCACATTGCCGACCTGGGGGTAGAGTTAGCACCTATCAGGTGATCAGTTCATGTGTGGCTTACTATGTAGTGAGCAAAAACTGCTTTTGCTTGCACATGACATGCGCTCATGAGAGCGACCAAAACTGGAAGTAGCAACATATTGTCCAAGAAGATTCCCGGTACTCAACTGTGATAGAAGGGTGGAAGAGGGACTGCTCCTCCTTATACGTCAAGCTCATCAGAAGTGAAGCTAAAGTCGGCACACCGTCATAGCAGGCTTCGCTTGGTGAACGCAGGCAAGCCAAAACACTACCTTGAGAAACCCGTTGACCTAAAAGTTCACTCCTGCATATAGAAAGCTCTCCATCCTATAGATCAACATAAATACTTCGCTTCGATTCTCCTATATGCTGGATATGTGGATCATTGGCATATACGACCACGAAGGATCAATAGACATGACCTAGCAAAAGCCAATATTGAAATCGCCAGGTCGAAACTTCAGCCACGACGTGTGGGTAGGCGCTCCTTCTGGTTTTGATGCATGAAGCAGTCGGCATACGATGTACCTGCAGTCGAGGCGGCATTGTGCCTCGGAAGGCGTTGACGACGGCAGGAACGAATTGCCTGATCCAGCGACGTTCAGTCTGCTGACTTGTCACACGCGCATGAAGCCATCACGGTGGTAGGAAGATGGGAGCAGCCATGTTATTGACGGCCATCAATGTGATTGACAGAAGAGGAAGCTCGGTTGTATGTATGTGAATGCAGACGGCAGAGGTACGAGAATTAGACCTTGACGCGAAGGACAGGGTTCAACTTGGTGCGGCGTGGGCTTGGCAGCTTCATGCACTATTTGACAAACAAAACAAAGATAATTATTTGGCCTTCACGCCCATCACAATCAGTTACTGGTATGGAAATAAAGTATGAGAGGATGTGCACGGGGGACACAAGATGAAAAAGGAAAGCTGGGTAAGATGTTATTTCTCCAAAGTGTGTAAGTCTGTTTCATCGACTTGATTCGAGCAGAGACGACCGTGAAGCCCAACTATTATGAAGACGAATCTACGTTCCTTCCTCTTCAATTGGGTGGCTGATCGGTAACCGATTTCTGCTCCTGGACCAGCACGTATTAGCTGCTCTCAGCTCTCAACAGACAGACTTAATCCCGATCAAGGCCCTTCTCCTTGATATCAATCCCCTATGTCCCCTCCTTTCCTCCCTTGGTCCAATAGAGCACCAGACTCGTATGAGTCTCATGAGAGATTGATCGCAATAGAACCAGGATGCTCGTGCATCAAATGAATGTGTTCAGCGAACTTCTCCGATCACTTCTTGTCGACCTCGTCGCGTTGAGCAGTATCGCCCTTGCCAGTAGGCTTGCGTACATAAATGTTGACAGTCATGCTCGACATGCCAGGAATCATGTTGCTGTCGTGGAAGGTCTCACTAGTAGAGACGTTGAAGTTCTTGACCAGTTCTGCGATAGATGAATCTGTGTCGGACTTTTCGGCGGTGCCTTCCTCCTGCTGCTGAGCCTTCTTGGCTTTCTTGCTGGCCTTTCTCTTTTCGTTCTGCTTGCGGTTCTTGGCTGTCTTGCGCTCGATCTCGGCTTCGGTCGGTGCACGCTCGCTCTGCCGAACGTCTTCTGCGGTGTCGGTAGCTGACTGCTGCTCGGGTTTGATGTTTTTGCCCATCCAGGGTGTCGATTTGCGGGCTTCGCTGTAGCGGAAAGGAGAGAACTCGTTGCCGAATGCCTGGAAATCCAGTCTGCGGTTGAAGACCATGCCGCTGTTGACCTGCGCAGGATTAGTAAATTTCGGGACGGATTGCATCAAGGAGATCATGAGCGTACCAGTTTGCGAGCTTTGTCCTCCCATGCCTTTCTGAGAGGGCTGTAGTCCATGACTCTCTCGGGATAAGTGTCGAACTCTGCGATCTGGTCGCCGAAGTCAAGGTTGCGGTAGATCTGTCTCATGTCGTTCTTGTAACCAGCAGGGGTCTTGAGCAAGCCGGTAGACGGGGCAGATGCCTCTTGCTTTGAGACGAGCTTGGAAAGCAGCAGGCCACGAATCTCCCTGTCCAGCTTGTTGATGGCGCCGGGATTGACAACAGCTGCGACGGCACGCTCAAACACGTACGCATGAGCAATAGCAAGACGGATGTCCTGTCTTTTCGTAAGCAGCAGGTTCGTTCGAAAGGTGAGCCAGGAATTTATTACCTCAGCATGTCTCCAGTCGTTGGCGAGGATTCCATAGCCAGCGAGATAACAGCTCATGTCGAAGGTATCGAGTGGTCCGACGTTGAAAATCATACTGAGCTTCTCTACAGCCTGCGATTTGCGTCTCTGTTCGTAGACGGCAGGCATGTGTCCCTTTCCTCTGCCACCGACAAGATCATAAACCATGCGTGCAATCTTCTGGCGGTCCTCTTCGAACAGCTCTGGCGATTTTTTGTACGCCTCTATCTGCTGTTCTAGAGACAGTCTCGGTTCCATGTTGTCGTGTGTAAGTGGTGCGATGTAAATCTCGAAGATCTTGACTTGATGTTGTAACGAGATTGGAAGGTAGAGAAGGAAATCCGCTTGATGAAGTAAGCTGAAAGCGGAGGTGGAAGCAACGATGGAAGTTGAGTGATAGTGAAAGTGTTGGAAGTATGAAAGAGAGTAGCTCACTACACAATAGAATTTCGCCGAATGAGAGGTGTTCGTTAAGCACTGTATGTGAATGCTGTGGTGCTACGATGGTACTTCACTCGGCCAGAGGATCAGATCTGGAGTACGAAAGGCGCACGATCTCTTTCACTTGGGTGTGCGATCCAAGTTTTACCCACCTTCTAGACTGTCACTTCTGTGTGTTCGAATGTCACTGCTCATCAACACAATAATGACGAACACGCCATTGGGACAAGACCTCGCGCGGAGGGAGAATTCATCCATCCTGCATAATATTGAGGCAGCACCTTGCCCTCCCCGTATGCTGAACTTTGTCACGCGCATGCTGTAGAAATGCAGAATGTTTTTGAGATCAGTGCAGCCTTCCACTGAGAAGCGCCAATTTTCACACTCTCAGTGGAGGGCTGCACTGGTCTTAAAAACACTGTGCATTCCTTCAGCCCGGATGACCTTAGTCACGATCGCGAGAGGTGGCTAAGAGTGACAAAACCTAGCACACGAGGAGGTCATACTCGTTCATGGTTGGTTCTCTGTCTGGTTCGGAGGCAGGGCGATACTGTTGCAGGTATTTGATGAGAAGTGAAGTCGGACTGCGAAGCTTTGGACCATGAGCAGATGACCAACATGTCGCCGAAGCAAGCACCTTCTTTTACCTCACCTGATCCCCTCGTAACTTCCTCACCAGACTCAATCCCCTTTCCAAAAGTCTCGAAGAACCACCGACATATAGCAACCAACATTCCTGCACCGTTAACCCACACGAGCTCCTAGGAGATTGGAAGTCACCAAGTTCCCAAAGCCAAGCAAATCGTACAACACAAAAAAAAGGACCGATAGGATCAAAGGAGTCATGGGATCTCACATGCCATTTCATGTACATCATACGAGTGGAAAAGCAGGGGCGGGTTCGGGCTTTGCTCTTTTGTCGTGGAGAGAGAGTGGAGAATCAGATGTGGAGATTTTTTCTGCCTGTAAGAGGGCAAAGCGGTGAGGCATCGGGAAGGATGTCGGTGACTGGTGATGACCCTGCTTTTCTGATGCATATCCTTGTTGATATATGCACATCATTTTGCTTGCATGATTGATCAATTGACAACTCTTGGTACGCGTCGCAAACTTGCAGAAAAGCGTGCGTGTGTTCGGACCTCAAGAAGTGCCAGCCATCGTGAGTTCTGCAGCGCCCTCTCCACATCGAAAAACTCCAGCAATCAACCGCTGTCTAGCGATGCCAAATGTCGATTCCGATTCGAATCGCATCCTTGCCGAAAGAAAGCGTCAAGTGTGTCATGCAAGTTTTCGTGTTTTGTTTGACGCTCGGAGGAAAAGTGATCGGGCAGAACACCGAATAGCCTTTGATTGGATCGGGAGTTTTCTAACGACGGGTGGTAGTTTTTTGGCTCCTCCCCCAGCCACCTGAGTGGCAGATTGTGATTGCTTTGATGCAAACGCAAACTCAACAGTCGTTGTATGAGGATTGAAAGCGGGTATCAGAAACAACGGCTGGGAATTGATGGTGTTTTTGGATATGGATGACAGGTCAAAAGGCACCCACCGACTTTGATCGCTTGAACTTTTTCTTATGGCTTGATGTTGTGCTCGCAAAGGGTGCCGAGGTCGAGAAGTATTGTAGCCGAGTTCGTCGGCTTCGTGGTAATAGATGCGGGACAGATCGTCGACGAAGGCGAGCAAGTCTGCTGGGAATGCCAGTCTTGTGACAGCTTTGATGCGATCTTGAAGCTGTGACGGTGATTAGGTTTTGATCGGATAGGAAGCATTGAAAAGGTACTTACCTCGGCAGTAGGAGAACACGATGAAGTAGGAAAACACGATGAAGTAGGAGAATTGCACGAAGTTGGTTGGATTTGAGGAAGTGGAAGGGCAATCAAGATATGATGGTAAAATAGCAATTCTATGCATTCTATGCGTGGTATCATGTATGAGAATCTATCTCTAATAAACAGAAAAAAGCAAATGTGGTATCTCTATAAAAAGGGGGGGTATAAGTTTTTTCCTCTTGCGCAAAACCCAATGTCCAGGAAGCGGCCAGGCTTCTGTTGTTGCGCATCTAGTGGTCGTGAAAAACACACAAGGTCATTAAGAAAAGAAAGAGAGTCGTAGATGTCTCGTTCTTTATGCCATCTGGCCGCCGCCGTTGTAGGCGACGTCCTCCTCCTTCTCGCCGTAACGAGCATCCTTCATTTGACCAGCCTCATCATCAGAAGACTGGAAGCCATACTCGCGAGCCTTTGCATCGATCTCGGCAGCGTCGAGCTTGGGGAGTTCCTTTGCTGCGGTGACGTAGGACATCTTCTCGAGGTAGCCCTTGGCGAAAATAAGATCGATTTCTTCGAGAGAACGACCACCTAAGATATTTTGTTAGCTCTTGAAGCTTTCTATGCATTAAAAGACTTAGCGTACTAGTTTCAGGGTACAGGCAGTAGATAACAGGGAAGAACAGAGCGTTCAAAATGGCGAAGAAAAGGTAGGTACCCCAGCTGATGCTGTCAATGAGCACCGGGGTGATCATAACGATGAAGAAGTTCCAGCACCAGTTAGAGACGGTAGACAGGGCGTTGGCCTTGGCACGAGTCTTGAGAGGGTTGACCTCGGCAGGGTACAACCAAGGCAGAGGGAGCCAGGTGGCACCGAAGAAGGCAATGTAAGTGAAGAGACCGACAGCGGCACCCTTGGCAGAGTTCGAATCGCCAGGGATCAGGCATGCGAAGACAAGAACCATGGACAAGCATTGGCCGACGGTACCCCAGAGGAAGAGCTTACGGCGACCGACACGCTCAACGAGGAACCAGGAAGTGGTGGCGAAAATGGAGTAAACGACCATATTGATACCTCCGAGCAAAAGCGACAGGTTCTTGGTGGTACCGATGGAGTCACGGAAGAGTACAGGGAAGTAGTAGATGACGGCATTGCAGCCAGAAAGCTGTTGCATGAACTGCGATCCAGCTCCGAGCATCATACGGCGGAAATGCTGAGTCTTGCCACCAGTGAAGAGAACCGAGATAGGAGTGGATTCGCCGAAACCGCCAGCCATCTTGATGGAGTCGAGAATAATGCCGGCCTCAAGCTTGACCTCAGCATCGTCAACGGGCTTGGCCTGGAGGGCTGCCAAAATGACAGTGGCTTCATCTTGTCGGTCGTGCGAAAGCAGCCATCTAGGCGACTCGGGCAATCTTGTGGTGATACCGAGAACGATGAGAGCGAAGAAGCACTGGAAAGCGATGGGGAAACGCCAGACCAGGTCGTGAGGTCCGTATGTGCACCCGTAGTCGATCCAGTAAGCGATAAGCGTGCCGATGGCGACGTTACCACCCTCGATACAGATGACCTTGCCTCTGTTGTGGGCCTTGGAGCATTCGGCTTGGTATGTAGGGATGGTCGATGTGTTGATACCGTTTCCGAGCTGGATATGAATTAGTACTGAATTCTGATAAATGTCTTGTCTCGACTTACACCTGTGATGAATCGACCAACGATGAATTGTGCGGTACTTCCTGAACTTGTGCCAACGCAGGCAACCTGGATGACGACACCAATGATCATGACAGTAGCACCGATGAAAATAGCCTTGCGGCGACCGAGCTTGTCACCAAGCGTAAGAATGAAGATAGCACCGAAAAGACAGCCGACAGCGTAGATGGAAACAATGAAACCTTGCCAGTTACTGCCCCAGCCAGCTTCGGGGAAGTCTTCGAGGAAAGCGTCGGATTCGATGATACCAGACATGACACCCTGGTCATAACCGAAGAGAAGGAAATCGGTAGTGGCGACGGCGGTAATGAGCATCTGAAGTTGTCTGCCAGAGGTGCCCCAGTAAGTGGGAACACCCTCTGAGTTGGTTGAAACAGTCATCTTTCCGGTATTGTCTAGCAGTACAGGAAAACAGATCGTCTCAAAAAGGGACCGAGATGAAAAGCAATGCTTGCGGAGTTGTGGAGGTCCTACCCTGGGGAGGGACCCATTTATATATCTACACTACGAGTTGAAAACTCAAGCACCCAAACACAGCATCGATGACGGACAAAACAGCCGTTGCGGAGAGAATGTGGATGGTGGGTCTTGAGGGCCCACTGTCATTTTCGCAACCAGCGCCGCCGAGAGGTTGAATCCACCGTGAAACATGTCGGGCAAAGATCTTCGAGGGAATAAGACGTCGTTGAGAGAGAGCAAGTCCGGCGCAAGAGTCGCAAGCCCTGCACTAGTGCCTGCATCTGCTTGGCGATGAGCACATGGCGTTTTTCTAACGACTTGGCACCAACACAACAATAGACAAGTTGAGTCTTGCCGGTGGCCAACGAACGCAGAGTCCGTGAGCTCGTATGAATTTTCTATCTAGGGTCTTGAAAAGTGTGTAAAAAGCCAAGTTGGGAAGAGAATTTACCGGAGGATGATGTCACATACCGCCATTTCTTCCGAAAATAAGCTCCTGTTCATGGCGGGTGAAAGCTTTGGTGGCTTCGACGCTTGAGTCAAGCATAATTGAGTACATGGCGTGGGTGGCGTGTCTGTGGTTTCAAGGATAGATTTGGGGACGACTTTGAGGGCAAGTGCACGCATCTGTTAGTCAAGCTCCGTGGGAGAAGATGAATTGCGATTCAGCATCGGGACGAGATGTTGGTCGTCGGTGTGCGCTCGGCCGAGGCGAATTAATGTAACGGATTGGCAATCTCTTCGGTTACAGATGTTTGTCACTGGTGGGAGTTTGTACCGAGAGAAAAAACTGGATCCGAAGGTCGTGTTGAATTGCAAGATAACGCCCTAAACCAGGATGAAGGATTGATTTTCGCGAGAGTTGCTGCAATGTTTTGGGGATCGTCATTGAGCTTGCAAAGGTAAATGGTAAAGACCGGTTATTGAAAGCCGTAACCGATTGATCGTCTAGGATATGCCTCTGACATCTCGTGGAGGCACATGGAGGTAGCGCGGAGCATGTGGAGGTATCAGGTCTTCTCAACCTGTCACAAACCACTTTTCATCTTCCGGCTGTCAGGGATCATCGTTCATGGCGGGTTCTGCTATGCTTCGAGAAATACAGATGTTTGATGTTGCTTGTGCTGATAGCGATCGGCAAACGTCGGGTGTTGAACCGGACTTGCAAGACGGTGCAGGCCGCGGGTGCACATAATTGTAGGTGCATCGAGTTGGTGAAGTGATCATTTCTAAGCGTGACCCTATGTGCTTTGCGGTCAGACATCGTGTCGGTGTTAGGGCATAGTAATGTCGGAGGAAATTGCAGCCTTGAAACTGCCCAGAGTCGGATGGAGACCTTGCCAAGTTGACAAGAGTCAAGAGTGGACTTCTGTCGCATCCTACGGTGAAGAGATGAAAGCGGTATGGAATCGGTCCCAGGAGGCACATACCGAATTTGCCGACAAAGCATCCGAGAATATACTACGCAACTCGCTGGCGCAGTGAGGTTGCGTAGGATTACTTGCGGAGCCCCCGGGCCCCGCTCCCCACGACTCCACAGATACCGGCACCATTGTCCCGGATCAGGCAGAAGGACACGGCAACCCTACGCATGACCTGGGGACGGCTGAATCCTGATCGGTCTGTTCTCGGTGAGAACCCCAGCATATTCTCCTGCACTCCATGTCTGATAATAGTATTTAGCGGTTTGATTTATGCTCCTGCCAGACGTGCGTGTAGGAGGTACGATCAGGAGATGGGCCAATCTCCGCGGCATCAATGGAAGGTACGGATATGTCATGCTGTACCGGCCGCAGAGTCAAGGGGTGTTGCCTAACTCAACCTTTCAATCAGCAGGGACTTGTAGGACATCGAAGTCTTCCTAAGGGACAGCTCAAGTAGCTTAAGTATGGCGAGACGTGCTTTGACAATGATCCTCGTTCCCAAGAACGAACTACACGTGCTGGATGATGCCGCCGACAACCCTGATGTTTGCTTGTCGATCATCTGTCAGATCTAATAACTGACAATGACTTGCGGAAAAAGCATCCTTGATCTGAGCAACCGCTGGAGATCAGAAGCAGGAACAGTGATCGGGTATGCAGCTTGCCAATCAGGCCAGATACGATATGCCGTGTGGAATTGTATAATATTTGATGTCGATGGCGGGCTCTTTGCTCATCGGAGAGACAGCCTGGAATCTTGAGTGGGAAGCTGTGTTGGTCTACGGAGTACTTTTTCTGATTCCTATTATCCCTCAACGCACTGTTCATGTGCTGGGAGGCCATGGTCAAGGAAGTGCTTGGGCAATGACAGATGGCAAAAGTACTGGGGATATAGGTTGAAATTGGCAGAGAGGGCAGGATAAAACAGCAAACTTACCTCCTGCTTTGGCTCACATCTCTAGCGACTTACAACTTATAACACCAGGTGTCCGTGCAACAGAGAAAGAAAGCTCACAGGAGAGTCGAGGCACAGATATTGCCGATATTGTTGGTTGCACATAAGACAAAATTTCTGAGAAGCATTCGCGATTAGAAGTCACCTCGACTAGCCTTTTGAGCACTCGCAGTCAGCGTATGTTTCACGTCATCTGTCAAAGTCGTGAATGTGGTGAATGGTAGAGGAGAGAGACGTCAAAAGAAGGTCTGGAGGCGTGAGGAGAAGCAGCCGCGATCCGGCAAGGCTCGTGCTTGGTGTTGGCGCGCCTGCCCCGCGATGACGGAGAGTTTCAGCGGGCGAGAGCTGTCTGTCGCGTGCAATCAACAACGACTTGCTGCAATTACGGAGCTGTCAAGTCGCCGAGGGAAACCCTCCATTCGCAAGTGAAGGATATGGCAGGATCGCCTGATCAGCTGCTGCAATGGCTGTATAGCGTTCTCCTGAATGTATCGAGACTCGCCCAACTCCCAACAACGACCAGTGAACTGACATAACCAGGAATACCATGATGCACAACGCGCCTATAGTGATAGTGTCGCCGCCCTATCAGCTTATCCCTCCTTGTCGCCACGAACTGATGTCTATACGTATAATACCGGCCAGCCAGCGCTGTTATTACGACTGTCAGGCACACTCCCTGTCAACTTTCGCGGCACAGTCTACAGATTCCCCGTGACGATATGGCTACCGCATGCCTATCCTGCAGACCCTGAGGGTATCATGGTGTTTGTGATACCAGGTGATGGCATGGCCATTCGACCGGGCCAGCACGTCAGTGTTGACGGACGAGTCTACCATCCCTATCTACGCGACTGGTCTGTCAATCAGCGCCCGAATATCATCGACTTCCTTCGTCTCCTTCAAGATGTCTTTGCCCGAGAACCTCCGGTCGTTGCAAGGCCACCTCAACAACCACAGCATGGTCAGCCTCGGTCTCCAATGCAGCGCCCACCACCTCCACCGAAAGAGCAGCCTCGACCTATACAATCTCAGCCTGTAGAAATGCCTGCTGGGAACCCACCTCCAAGACCTCCGAAGCCTGGTGAGCAGAATCACTCTGCTTCGCCTGCCCAATATCGTAACGATGGACCTCCTCTGCCCCCTTTGCCTCACGAACGAGGTCAACAGTCTCCGCAGTTGCGACAGGGCAATGGTTATGAGACACCACAAGCTCAGCGATACTCCAAGGCCCCTCCGCTGCCGCATCAGCTGCAGCAAGAATACAGGCAGAGTCCAGTCTCACCTCTGACTCCAAATACACACACACCTACCCAGAGATACGCGCAGCCGCCGCCATTGCCTCCGCCGCAGCAGCATCAGCAACAACAAATACCCATGCGTCCTGCCCAGCAGCAATATCCTCAGCAATATCAACAACATCCACAACAACAACACTACCAGCAGGCGCCCCTGAACATGCATCCTCAACAACAATACCCACCACAACATGCACCTCAACATGCACCTTACCAACAGCCACCGCCCCAAAAACCTGCGCCAGCCCAAGACCTCCTTAGTGACCCCTTCGACGTCAGCATATCAACAACAACCTCTCACTCCGCCCCTCCTATCCCTCCAAACCCGGAAAAAGAACACCTCCTCCACCTCCTCTCCCAATCTCTCGTCTCCCAAATCCATCAGAAAGTAAATCAAACCACTTCTGCTCTGGCACCTCTACACGCTCAATCCATCGCCCTCCAAGAAGCGCATTCGCGACTCAACTCTGAATTGTCACAACTCACAGCTTTGGACAACACCCTCGCCAGCAACGAACATATCCTCCATCAAGCACTTTCATCTTGCGACCGCGTCATCGCCGAATCAAAAAGCACACCACAACCACCCATCGATGATGTGCTTGTCGCTCCCACCGTTGCCGCAACTCAACTTTGGAATCTCCAAGCCGACGAAGCTGCCATCAGAGAAGCATTGTGGTGTTTACAGCGCGCTGTGGGAGCTGGAAGGGTGAGTTCAGAGACATTCATTAAAATGACGAGGGGTTTGGCTAGAGAGTTGTTCTTGAAGATGGCGTTGAGTAGGAAATTGGCGAGGGGGTTGGGGTTGGATGTTGGAGAGAGTAGGGCTGGGATGGGTGGGGAGGATGGGTATGGGTACTAGTGATGATGCAGGAAATGGGAGAGATGGCTTGAGATAGCTTACGACCTGTTGAAGGAATATATCTCCTTTTTCTTCCTTTAGTATCTTCAAGACTTGTGTCACTTCGACTTTCCTGATCACGGCGACACGCTGTTGTGCAACTGTCAAGATGCAAGATTGTTTTCAGCGACAGTCCGTCGTCCAGTGAGAGCAATACTCGACATCATCTCCTTGGGCCCAGTGGCAGTTTCGAAACCCATCATGCATTGTGACAGCTGTTTGAACGACTATCCGCTCAAGTCGTCACTGCCACTTTTCCGCCATACGCGAGGGATGTGTGTTTTGGCTTCCTGATTCTATAATCTACGTCATTAATTTCTTCCTCATCACTGCTATTCCTGCAAGTGCCGCGTTGATTGTGGCAGATGTATACCATCCTCCCTAACAAGCGGAATTCAAAACATGAATTTGCATTTTACACCACGACAACAATATTTATTATGCCAAGTCAGCATCAAACACTTCAAGAGTATCCATCGAAGTCAGTTATGAGTGATCAAAGTATATAAAAATGATCGGTTGTGACATTATCATCGATTTTATGTTGAAAATGGTTGATAAGGGCGTCACCCTGACACTCAACCTCCCCCAGCCACCAGAATAATCTTGTAGTCTGGGACAATCGGAAAGGCGGGACATCGAAATCCACCCTTTAGATTTTTCGTTGGCGTGGGAAAGCAGTCATATCTCAACAGATGGCGGTTAGAAGTCGCAAGCCTTGTATCGTTATAATTATGTATCATCTCTTCCCTTTCCTTTCCATGCTGTCTAAATCACTACTTCCAATTCCGCCGGGTCCTTCTTGACCTTTCTTCGCTCCAATAGCTTTTACCAACCTTCTGAACCCTTCTGCCAACACTTCATCTTCCTGTGCGTAGATGATTCTAAACCACCCTATCTCTTCAGTCTGTAAGAGCGTTCCTTGCGTGAGATAGATTTTCTCGTTTTCCATTTTCGCTACTAGTGCGTTTTCTGCTTCTTTTCCATCTGGATGGGTGGAGAGGTCAAGGTAGGGACGGAGGTTTATCTGTGTTTCATCAGTATTTGGTTGAGAGATAGGAATAACAGAATAAGGAGGGGGATGGATGAGGGGAAAGGCCTACCCAAAGGAAGAATCCAGCATTAGCACCATGGGCATATTCGATGACGTATTCTTCAAGCACAGTTCTGCATTTCTCATTCCTCTCTTTAAGGACACTTTGGCTTTTGGTGAAGAACTCATCCAACCATTCTGTATCTTCAAGCATCTCAGCAGCGAAGAGTTGGTTCAAGGGTCCGGACCAAGAGAATTGCGTGATGGCGGAGATTGTATCCATCAATGCAGTGTTGCGCGAGTAAATACAACCGAGACGTAATCCACCAGCTGCAAAATCCTTGGAGAATCCGTAGACGACATGGAGATAGTTGGGAGAGATGTAAGGGGTACTGTCAAAGGAGAGTACGGAGGTGAATTGAACAGCGGCTGGGTCGGAGTTGTCAAAGACGGAGAGAGCATAGACTTCATCTGACAAGAGGTGAAGGCGATGCTTTTGACATAATTGCATCAAAGCTTTGATCGTTTCTAGAGGATAGCATCGGCCGAGAGGATTGTGTGGGTTACAGAGAAGAAGAGCACGAACGTTTGTGCCTTCTGCTCTGGCTCTGAGGAGGGCTGTTTCGTATGCTTCGACTATCTCGGCAGAGAATTGGTCGATGCCATCGCTGGGCACGAAAACACATTTGATTCTGGACTTGTCAGTCTCTGCATGAGCTCAAGCGAGGTGTGGAAATTAAAGCGTACTTCGCTTTCGCCCCGAAATCGGCAATGAAGGCTTGATAACAAGGTCTGGATATCAAAATACCATCACCTTCTTCCCCCATCGCATAGCCGAACAACTCACAGAGTGATGTGATGCCGTTTGCGAATACCAAATCTTCGGGTTGGACTGTAGAGACAGGGTGGAAGTATTTGTTCATGTGATCGGCCATTGCTATGCGTAGGCGCTTGCTTCCCCATGGTCCTTCGCCGTAGGTGAATGTCTTTGAGGATGTACGGATCTTACGGTTGGCGAAGTCTGATACGTCTTTTGTCATGATGTGCTGGAATAATGTGTGAGTGGTTTTGGTGGAGGTGTAGTGCGATGTTGACTTACATTCTCAGCTGTGCCCATGTCGACGATGCCACCGGGATTGTCTCTGGCATCGTAAAGGTCGGACAGGAGTGGCTGCAGACGAGCCTTTAAACTGGTCTGAGCGATCGCTCTGCCGCGCTCTGAGATTGTACCTTCCATGCCTGACATGTTAAGAGAACCAATGTCGAGCAGAGACGAGAGAATGGATGCTCTAGCTCTAGAAGAAGTAGACGAAGAACATGACGAAAGATGGAGATTAAGTTAAGGTTGGATGGGGAGATGTGAGAGTTCTGCTGTGGCTGATTCTGATGGATGCTGAAGTTCATAATTGTGATGAATACCTGAGGGTATATATACATACCTCGCGCCTTACGACTGATCAGTACCTGAAGAGATACAGGCAACAACGTACGGTATCGGCATGCATGAAGCGAGGTGAATCATACAGGGCGTCGACGGCTGCAGAAGTGAGCCGCTGATTGGCATACCCCTCAACTATATAGGTTAGTATAGCCGTGAAGGTTGTTTCGGTCAATAGAATAATAGTCCGGGCGGGTTATAGAAGAATAGACCGCAGCTGTAAACATAGGCTCCCATTTGCGGTATCGCAGAACACAATCGGCTTGCTGCTGCTGCCATGTTTATGGGAAATAAAGCAGGCGGCGGTGTCAATGTTTGGCAATCGCAGCTGATAGGCTAATTAGGATAGATACCTATCAGCTGAACAGGCAGAAGAATAAATGGTCAGGAAGCGCTGGAGGAAGGTGCATTTACGATGCGTCATAGGCGGTGAGCCGGGGACGAGCCGAGTCAGGGCGATTTGATCGGAGTTTCTGTGGCCGACGCTACTCGCGAAGGCGGAGACAGAGCAGCAGCCATGAGCAGCAGCAGCCAAAGCAATTGCACAAAGCCGTCTCTGCCCTTTCTGCCCACCACCTTGACTTAACGACATACATTTCTTGTTCACCCACATCTGCCATGCCGAAGCACGCTGTTTGACTCCTCTGAACCCCGACGACAGCTTTTTTTCTGCCAGACCAACCCACCGTCGCACTGCGCCGCACTCACAAGCGCCATGCCGCCGACGTCGTCTGTGAGGAAGGCCTCGATAGCCACCACCGACACCAACACCGGTCGTCGCCAGTCTGCACGTCAACCTCGCACTTCAACCTCGAGGCCCATCAACTACTATGCCCGCTCCTTCGGCCAGTACTCCAACAACCATGACCAGCAAGATCCCGACCCGCCGGGTTTCTTTCCCGCAGTCCAATACTTTGCCGACTCGATCGCTGCTCTTCCACGCGAAGTTCAGCGTCATATCACCTTGATGAAAGAGGTCGAAGCAAAAGTCTATGGTCCTACAGAAGCCTTGAAGTTTCTCACTTCCAGCATCCTAAACAAGCCTGCTCCCCTGTCTCGCAACCAGCCCTCCTCACCGCGACTGCTATCCTTCACAGCTCCCCCAAGTGCCACTCACAGTGTCGCTGGCTCTGTCATCAATGGCAACCAACCTACCACCTTCGACCAACGCATTGCCGATGACCTCGAGTCGCAACAAGACGAACAAGCCGACCACCTAAGACGATCCGAGTTCCAATCGCTCCGCCATGTCATTGGAAACATGATCACTAACCTCGACGAAAAGAATGTTGTCATGGCAGAAGCAAATCGCGCCCTCGCTCAGCAGCTTGCTCGTCTCGACAGCGTCATTCCCCACATCGAGAACGAGATTAGCGAAGAGTCGCGCTTGGGTAGCTTGACACATTGGGCATACCAAGACAATCGCGCCAAAAAGCAGACAGCAACAACACAGAACGAGCGCAACAGAAGAGACGTCGCTGCCACAAGCAGTCTTGCCGCCGCAGCAGCTGCCGTGCACGACCAAGACATCGCTGCAGCAAGAGGAGAAGCAAGACGCGAGACGAAAAAGACAAATCGTAGTCATGCGGTCGATTCTGACTTTGATGATCGTCCGACAAAGAGAACGCAAACTGCAAAGTCCCGAAAGAATGCCGATGCTGAGCCAAAGGCTAGCGGCTTGGGAATCGCCAATGGCATAGCCAACGCTGCGACAACCAAAAGACGAAAGGTCGAGAAGGGTCCCACTGCTCTCGGTGCACCTGCTATGGAGCGTTCAGCAAGTAACATGAGCACAGCAGCCAAGACGGCCAGAGGTGCTGGAAACACAACCCCAAGGTCGACACCAGCAGTCGAGCCGACGAAAAAGAAGAAGCCAGGTCCTGCTCCTGGTACTGGTGCTGGAAAGAAGAGGTATGCGACGTTCATCTCCTCGAAGTTTAACCACCTACTAACAATCTCCACAGAAACCCGGCACTCAACCAGACGGCGAACTCACCAAGACTCAACAACTCATCACCTGTGATGGGAAGCGCACAACTGCAGCCCGAAACAATCTCAAGACCTCCCTCCTCGCGTATGCGTCAAAACTCCAACTCCACATCGAACCTGCAACACTCGCTGCTTCCAGAGAAAGAAGTTAGCCGCCCAGCCTCGGTCGCGGACAACAAGTCCCTAAATGGTAGTACCAACGGACTTTCAAACACGGACATATCATCATTGTCTGTATCCAAAGAAGCCAAGAAGAGTGTGGAAGAGGTGGAAGAAGATGGCATGAACATCGATGAACCCGAGACGACTAGGCACAGACACAGACCAGAGCCGTTGAAGAATGAAGACGTGACAATGGAAGATGCACACTTGGATGTCCGCCCAGGACGAGGTTCTGTCACATCTACACCACGCACAGAGGCCTTCCCAGATGTGGCCGTGTCAAGAACTAGGGGTAGACACCTCCACACTGGACACTCACGTGGCAGTGGTACACCGGACCACTCAAGGTCAGCACACGACAGGAAAAGTCGTGGAAGAAGAAAGAGTGGGAGCGGAGCGCACATCCTCAAGCAGATCGCCAGCTTCAACCGTAGCCCGGATGCGGACAGGCGCCGTGATGATAGCAAAGGATCTGACATGTCGGAAGATGATGGTCATGGAAGATCGGTAAGAAGAAGTTACCCTCCTCGAGTTACGACCATATCCCGAAACCGACGCGAACGAGGAAACGGATCGAGAGGAACTACGACATCAAGACGAACAGAACTGTCGCAGGAACCGGAAGATGAGCCAGCTGAAGTCGAGCCTGAAGCCGAAGCCGAAGCCGAAGCCGAAGCCGAAGCCGAAGTCGAAGCTGAAGAGGTCGAACAAGCCGTGGACGACGAGGACATCGAAGAGGCGGAAGATCCCGATGAACCCAAGTATTGTTACTGTGGTCAAGGCAGCTTCGGTGAGATGATTGCATGCGACAATGATGACTGCCCGATGGAATGGTTCCATCTTGGATGTACAGGATTGCGAGCAGTACCAGGTGATAATGGTGAGTCCTCTGATATGTCGAGTCTGATGCAAAAGCTAACACAAACCTCAGTCAAATGGTTCTGCGATGTGTGCAAGGAACCAAAGGGCAGAAAGGCCAGGATGATGGCAGCCAGACATTGATGGGCATGACGATTATTTCCAAGACATGACGTTTGTAGAGAGCATTGCATGGTGAGAGGGACTGGATCGTGGAGTTGAAGAATGCTGCAAGGTTAGGCAGCAGAAGTAGCAACATGTATATGGCTGACGAAAGAGGTTCAAGCTGGTTGTATTGTTTCATGAGTGATACTCTAGTAGCTGTGTCTTAAGGCGGTGAGGCAGGAGCTTTGACATTCTGCCGGTCAGCGGAGCGGTCGGGAACATGACGCGTGCCTTCCGGGGCTTGGCTTCGGCGGGCTGTGGACACTGCACTCACTGCATCTCGCGGGGTGCTCGTTCAAGGAGTTGTCCACTGCAGCTGCCTGATCCCAAGCATTCCACTCACACAAGACATTCAAGATGGCTGAAGTGCCCATTGGTATGCGCAGATGCAGCTTCTGCCCAGCATGTTCAATGCGCTGACACGTAGACAGTGCTCGATGGCGGAACGGGTTTCCTCAAGGCTGGTTACGCCGGTCAGGTACGACGACTGCGATACACTTCCATATACCGATCAATCCATACTGAAATGTCGCCGCTATACAGAACTTCCCCGAGCAACAGTACCCGTCCATCGTCGGTCGTCCAATCCTCCGTACCGAAGAGCAGGCTGGTCTGGACATTCAGCTCAAGGACATCATGTGCGGTGACGAGGCAGCCGCCGCCAGATCAATGCTGCAGATTACCTATCCCGTACGATACATTCAACAAGATAGCTGGATATACACCGAAACTAACGCCACTGCATATAGATGGAGAACGGTATCGTCAAGCGCTGGGACGACATGCAACATCTCTGGGACTACACCTTCTTCGAGAAGATGAAGGTCGACCCCACCGGCCGCAAGATCCTCCTCACCGAACCGCCAATGAACCCCTTGAAGAACCGCGAGATGATGGCCGAGGTCATGTTCGAACGCTACAACTTTGGCGGCGTCTATGTCGCCATCCAAGCCGTGCTTGCCCTCTACGCCCAGGGTCTTTCCTCGGGTGTCGTCGTAGACAGCGGTGATGGTGTCACCCACATCGTCCCCGTCTATGAGAGCACCGTCCTCAACCACCTTACCCGAAGACTCGATGTCGCCGGAAGAGACGTCACACGCAACCTGATTTCCCTCCTCACCCGCCGCGGTTACGCCCTGAACAGAACCGCCGATTTCGAAACCGTCCGTGCTATCAAGGAGAAGCTCTGCTACGTCTCGTACGATCTCGCCCTTGACAAGCAACTCAGCGAAGACACCACCGTGCTCGTCGAATCCTACACCCTCCCCGACGGCCGTGTCATCCGTGTCGGTTCTGAACGTTTCGAAGCTCCCGAGTGTCTTTTCCAACCTCACCTCGTCGATGTCGAACAACCCGGTATCGCCGAATTCCTCTTCAACACCATTCAAGCTGCAGATGTCGATGTCAGATCAAGTTTGTACAAGGCCATTGTCTTGTCCGGTGGTAGCAGCATGTACCCCGGTCTTCCCAGTAGATTGGAAAAGGAGCTCAAGCAACTTTGGCTCACCAGAGTCTTGCAAGGAAACCCCGAGAGATTGAGTGTAAGAGACAGCATCATGTTGGATATCGTATTTGCAGTCGCTGATGAGAGTCAAACAGAAATTCAAGGTCAGGATAGAAGACCCGCCGAGAAGAAGGCACATGGTCTTCTTGGGTGGTGCCGTTCTCGCAAACATTGTAAGTCGTGAAACCCCTAATAATATCTGTAACCACCAGATTGCAATACTGACAATAATATCAACAGATGGCCGACAAGGAAAGCATGTGGATATCCAAGGCAGAGTGGCAAGAACAAGGTGCCCGTGCCCTGGACAAGTTGGGCGCTCGATGAAGAAGAGAAGACGAGAAGTCCAAGCACCACATCATCAACAATTAACGAAATTCCATCAAATCACAAATTCAATACAAAAACCACATTGTACATTTTATTCCATGCAGTCACCATTGCGAGTAACAAAAAGTGGAAGACTCGTGATAATATCGGGATGCAAATGGTTAGGCAGGATCAGCAAGAAAGTGAGGTGGTTCGAAAGTGATATGGGAAGAGGTATTACAGCTTTTGATCTATTGTTTTGCATGCAGTGACTTGCAAGCGTGCTGATATGAATCTGATGATATGCTCCACTTGGAATTGTTGTGTTGTGTAGCAAAACAGGAGAGGGACAGAGGACAGAGGATCAGAGAACAGGGAAGGGGATAACAGCGAGTTAATCGTGGAGGAAAGATGGAAGATTGTGTAGATGGATTATGGAAGACCATCCACCACCTACGCTTGACATATTCAGAGCCCTAGTATCAGGTTCTCAAAGCAGAAACACGGTCAACAAGGATAAACTCTCCTTATCACAGCTGAAGTCTAAGACGCAGAGCCTTTGTCGCGTAACCTGACAGAAACCAGATCTCGCTACGCCGCCTCTGTCAGATGTGCCAACTTCGTCGCCGGGGGAGCTAGATCAAGGCGTAAAGAGCAAAGGGGAGGTCACCGATACATCTCGAATACTAGTGATATCCGGAAATCTGAAAGGAGGGGGTAAGACGAAAGAATCGTTCAAAAGACCATGTTACTCTGATTGCTCAGGAGAGACGGCGGATAGATTTCTTGGGGATTTCATGGACTTTCTACAAAAAGTGCTTGCCTTTGAAGATATGGTCGACTGCGATACTGTTTTGCACACAAGCCAACACGTCAACTCGATAAATTTACAAGACACAAGATAAAGAGGTTGGTGAACCTCTGATTGTGCTTCAGAATCTCTTTGGTCAACAACCAACTTCTTTCTTCTAATCGATTAGCTGGCCCGTTTTCATATTTCAGGCAGTAATTGAAAGAAAGAGAGAGAGAGAAAAACCACAGACCTGCATGTTGTCCTATCTTCTGCCATCACACTGAATTAGTGTCCACAAGGATGGAACGGCAACTCAGTCACTAGCCTTGGGGAGACTGTCTACTGCTTCATTCTGTCAAAACAGGCAATGGGATCGTACCGAAAAGCTGGGATTTGATAGTTGATTTGATTGACAGGGATAGATGACGATTCTGGCAAGCGACGATGCATGGTGTGACGACATCTCGTTGTTATGAAAGTGAAGAATGCTCTAAAGTCCAGAAAACAGCGAAGAAAAAAGGAAGACGACGTGCATTGGAAACAATTCATCAAGACCATGATAAGTAAGCAAAGAAACAGGAAGATTAGGGAGAAAGAAAAGTCAAAGACGCCATCCAAATCTCATGTTTCGCCAGAACCCAATAGCCCAACTATGCTTCCTGTAACATACCGCAAACCCCATTACTAACCACATACCTGACCTCTCCATTGCCACCTCTATACCCGTAAAATCCCTTCTGCTCTTGCCTGTCACAAACCCCTTTCTCTTTCTCGTTTTCTTTCACTCCACTGTTCTTCTTCAGCACCAAATAACAAGCCCCAACCTTTCCCCCACTAGCCTCCCAAACCCCCCATACACACCCATCCCTCCCCATACATTGCTCACAACACTCCCCCGCCGTCTTCACCTCCACCTCTTCAACTCTTCCCCCATCCAGCATACTGACACCATTGATCCTGCGATTCTTAGAAGTTTGAGAAAGCAAGTTAGAAGTAGCGCAGGCGGAGTGGGATGTGATAGTGGTGGTTGCGTGGCGGGTGAGTGTTGTGGTTGAAGTGGAAGTGGCGGTGAAGGTGAAGGTTATTGTGTAGGGTGTTGTGGTCGTGTGGGCGAGGGAGGTTGCGATGCCGTTTGCGCCGGTGGGGAGGGGTGGGTGGGTTGTGGATGAGGAGGTTGTAGAGGTTGATGATGCTGCGGACGATACTGTGGATCCAGAAGTTGAGGATGCAGAATCTGAAGCTGATGAAGCGGATGAAGAGCCAGAGGTCGATGCTGCGGATCTTGATGTTGTCGAAGCAGCTGTTGATGCCACCGCTGTACTTTGGACCGCCGATTCTGCTGCCGTCGTCACCTCCCTGGCCAGCATCGATGAAGGTGAGGACGAAGAAGCCGACGAAGAGGGAAAAGAAAGAATAAAAACAGTACTGGTAATAGTACCATATACCGTCCTATTCTTAAACACAGTCTCCGGTCTTAACGTCACAGTCGCCCTTTTCGTCGCCGTCAACAACAAGACTTCCGTCGTATGGACCCTGACTTCTTGCTTACATCCCACCTCTACAGCAAATTTGCCAGAAGTGGGGCGCACGACTTCAGGCTTGGGAATCTTGAAAGACGCTCTTGCCGCATGAGGATGACTCAAATCCCTCTTCTGCTGTCCTTCTTCCTCAGCAGGCGCGAAAGTAGTGTTCCTCACAGGCAGGAATCCAGTAGGCGCGGCAATCCACTCGGTCGTCCGTGAAGTCAAATACCTAAACTCCGTCTTCGTCTTCGTAGTCGTAGCATGATGCCAAAAAGTACTAGTCCCGAATTTCGTCTTGGTGGTATAGAACGTCCCATTCACCGGTGTTGAAGTGACCCATTTTGTTTTTGTGGTCAAGATGCTGAACAATGTGTTGAAAGGTTTTGGCGTCACGGTTTTTGTGAGGGTTGTGCTGTTGTGAAGAACTACTGGTGATAGCTCGATTGTAGTCGGAGATATTGATGTGGTTGTTGGTATTGAGGATAGGTGTGTTTTGCCGTAGGTTGTGGAGCAGAAGACTGTGGTCTCAGTTGATAGATGAGTGTCGATTGAGATGGCCAGGGCAGCTGGCGCCAGCAAGGTCCAGGGGAGTATAGTGTTCAGAAGCATATTTGCTCAATGTTCAATATGTCGGCAAGAAACACCAGATAGAGTTGAACAAACGTGGAACCGCCAAAACCGATAGATGTTGATGCTTGCTGTTGCTGTTGAAAAAGTGACGTGGCAGATGAAGGAAAAGATACAAATGAGAATGTGCTTCGTCGAAAAAGTGTTCGATAACTTCTCCTATTCATTCTTGGTATAGAGTCAAGTAGTAGCAACGGTTCTTCTCCTGGATAGGCTGGAACGTTGGACTTTCACGAACGGTTACGGCACACTGGATTCTGATAACGGAAATGTGCCCGGCGAATGACCTACTATATTGAACGGGCGACAAGAGGATCTACACATAGAAATTTGGGCATCCAGAGAGCTGATAGGAAGTGTTGTGTTGGCCATCATTTGTTTGCTCGTGTTGTAAGATGAATATAGCAGGCGTCGACTGGTTGCGAGGCACAGAATACGAACCCCCCCTGCCAAGATTAGTCGATGCACGGTGCCCACGACCTTGGTGGTCGGGAGTGGACCCTTGAACAGAACTGAAGCATCGAGCACAACAAACCAAGAGCACAACAAATCAAGGAGAAGCAAATGTACATTTCGATATAGGCAGAAAAGAAACAAAAGGCTGCAGAGAGTCCAATCCGAATAGAAGACAGATTCGATAAATGGACCTCTGACCTCTCCATGTTGGAAAAAAAGAAAACCAAGATACGAACAACAACAACGCCATTTCGTGGAGTCCGGAAAAAGATACACCACATTTGTTCGCCTCCCTGTGACCGATGTGCCCTGCCCAATAGTGAAGATAGTTTTCTGTCTCTTCGTATGCAATCGCGCTTTTTTCTCTTTTCTCATCAATGAAAAAGTCACATATTTCCCAAACTCCGTACTTGGTATAAAGCAAACGACGTCTTTACATGATGATTGAAGGGGTGTCGACGTTGGCCTTGATGGTCTTGTGAGGGAGGACACTGAGAGGGACGTTAGTTGGAGTATATCATGAAAGGATTGAGTGGTGTATGCATACCTTCCACCGTTGACGTAGATCTCATCGCCGACTGTCACATCGTCACCGAGAACGCAAATGTTCTCAAGACGAGCCCAGCGACCGACGACGCTGTTCCAGCCGACGATTGTGCTCTTGACCCAGGCGTGCTCCTTGATCTTGGAGTTTGAAAGTAGCACACAGCGTTGCAGTCTGACACCATCACCGATCACACAGTTGGGGCCAATGACAACGTTGGGACCAATCTTGCAGTTGTTTCCAATCTTTGCTGAGGGATCAATCATGACGTTACCGCCGTGGATGTATGACTCGGAGGTCGAGGTGAGCTCCTTGCTGCCCTTCTTGGTGAGGGACGAGAGGTACAGGCAAGTTCCTGAGAGGAAGTCCTTGGGCTGACCAACATCCATCCAGAAGCCCTCGAGATCGAAGGAGTGCAATTGACCGTCCTTGGTCATTGAGGGGAAAGTCTCTTGCTCGATGGATGTGGGGCGGAGCTCGATGCGCTTGAGAACACTGGGGTTCAAGATGTAGATACCGGCGTTGATACGGTTGCCGACGAACTCGATGGGCTTCTCAACGAAACGGTCGATGCGCGAGGCATGGTTGGGCTTGTGGACAACGACACCGTACTTGGAAGGCTCCTCGACCTTTGTAACAATGATGGTACCCTCATCACCGTGGGCCTTGTGGAAGTCGGCCAATTGCTTGAAGGGGTAGTCGCAGATGACGTCTGAGTTCAGCACGAAGAAGGGAGTGTCGTCCTTACCGAGAATCTTCTCGGCGAGCTTCAGAGGTCCGGCGGTGCCGAGAGGTTCGGTCTCGACTGAGAAGTCGATCTTGACATTGTATTGTTGCTCGTACTGTGCATGTGTCAGGGGTTGCGCGATTGAGCGAGATTGAGCGTGGAGTGCGTACCTTTGCGAGGGCAGCGGTCATGATCTCAGGGCGGTAGTTGACAGCGAGGACAATGTTGGTGACACCGGCAGCAGCAAGAGCAGCGACCTGGTGCTCAATCATGGGCTTGTTGGCAAACTCGACCAGCGGTTTGGGGAGAGTGAGGGTCTGCAAGTGAAGGTCAGCATTGCTCGTAGATTAGTAGAGTGAGGGAGATACATACAAGAGGACGCAGACGGGTGCCGAAACCGCCGACAAGAATGAGAGCTGCATCGCTTTGTCAGTGGTGTGGTCTTCCTGAAGCATTGAGGGGACATGATGGTGAATCTACCCTTCATGGTGAATTAAGTGTGGGGGAGTTGTTGATTAGAGTAAGTGTAGCAAGTGTCGATTGACGTGAGTTGGTCAAAGAAGGGTAAGAAGCGAAGGTTGTTGAAATTACAAAAGACAATTCTCGAGAAGGATCAAGAGACGAGGGGCTGACGACGGCTGTAGGCGCTTTAACTGTGAACAGCGTGTCAAACCAGGGGCTCGAAGACACGGCCCCGAGCTGCCTCGACATCCCGACGCTTGGCGAGCCATCCCACCCTTGCCCGCCCTCCGCCTCCTTGCTTCTAATTTCGACCCAACGGCAGCCCTCTCCTGATGACACGAACACGACCTAGATCTAGCTTCTCCTGAATTCACGAGCATGAGCTGAAAGACGATTGCCCACTGACACCACGTGCTTGCGATTCTGTGGAAATCTGTGAAAGTCTCTCTGTTTTTGTCCGACTCGAATATGTCGACCCGTCTAAATTTGTATGTAGTACCCCCTGGCTGGGTTAATGCGCCTTCAACGCCGCGCCATCAAGTATGCGATTGAAAACTCTTTGCCATATTCTTGTATCCCATATATTCCCACAGTCATGCAATTTACTCGTTGTAGTGGTATACCTGAAGGGAAGAGTTAGCCTTGCAGTCTTGCATGGATAATTGCTCAACACTTACAAAGTAGTTGGGAACACCCCAACTGCTCCATCCCAGGCGCTTAGCCATCTTTGCAAATCCTTCCGTCTCGATGAGATGGTAGAAGGGGAATGGCGGGAACATGGCGCCATCTCTGTGAACATCACCCTTGACGAGCAATGCGGTTCCACCAACACCGTCCAAGTTGACGATATCCTTGGGGTTGCCACCGGGATCTGTATATTTTATTAGCTCAAGCCTTTCCGTCTCAGGTCAATCATTGTCAACATACGGCTCATGTATGCCATCAAACTTCTGTATGTGGCCATTTCTGCATAACCTTCAAGCAGAATCTCGTCAGGGCCCATCTTCGAGGCCAAGTTTTGGGCAGTGTTGCTGTCGATCCAGCTGTTGAAATCATAAGGTCTGACATCCATGGCACCCTTTTCCTTGTCATAGAAACGCTGGAAGCAGTTGGGAACAATGATGGGCTTATCAAAAGCGGCCAGATCTTGGATCAAAGAGTGAGGAGTCTCGACAATGTCCGAATCAAGCCAGAGGACCCAAGATGTGGTAGGTCCAAGGGTTGTGAAAAGGAGAGCGTTTCTGGCGCGCGACATGGCGGCACGGCGCTCTTTCTGGGCGGACATGGCATGGCGATCGTGCTCTGACTGAGAGGTGAGCGGAGGCTCGTCTTCCTGACGAAGAATGGTGATTGAAGCAAAGCGCTTGCTGCTTGACTGAGTTCTGGCAATCTGTTCCTGCAATTGAGCGGTTGCTGCATTGCCTTCGCGACCCTTGGGAATGATGAAGCCCAAGCTGATCAGCTCGTGAGGGTAGTTCAATGCGACAAGGTTGGTCCAGTACTCTTCGTAGAAGCGGGCGAGCGGAGTCAGGATGAGGACACTCTCACGGTTGCCAATGGGGTCTGCGGAGTTTGTGACGTTGTTCATGTGGTAGTGGACAACTGGCGGAGGAGGGGCCTTTTCGCCAGCCTTGAGGTTCGACTTGAAGAAGGGAAGCGACGGCGGCGAAAGGGCGTTGGAAGCTGCATCTTTCGACTTGAGCAGTTGTCGCGCACCTGGAACATGCAGTTTTGGGCCAGCGTCTGTCGATGAGAAAATGAAGATGAGGAAGCCGATGCTCAGCAGGCCGGCCAAGACCAGCGTGATGGGATTGGTGCGGCGGAGAGATCGTGCGACGGCCATTGTGGATGCTGAAGAGGAAGGCACAATCAGTTTGCGATCAAGTCACACATGATGATACAACAAGAAGGGAAAGAGCGATTGTCTGGAGAGGTGGATATTCTCGGACTTGAACAACTTACGGATTGTGTACAGATCCTAGGGCTATCGACAGCTGGGCATAACTCGAGCAGCCTTCCGCTGCGAGTGGTTCTGACTGTGTAAAAGGCAGGAGCGAGAGGTACCTCCTTAACTTGATCAAAGAGATCGTACAGGACACGGAGGTCCAACGCTTTTCCCGACGCGTACGCACAGCCAGCAGCCAGCAAGCAACGGACCTTCCCTTGTTCCCAAAAACTGCGGAGAGCCAAGGGGGTGAGATCGTCCAGGAGCTTGTTTCACAAAATGTCTGTGCTTCTACTTTTGTACATTTCATACAGCAAGAGCGTCTCCATAACGTCACGATAGATTTCTCTTTGGCAAGACAAGAAAATGTTGCGCCGCACATCACAATGCCTATCACGGCGCCAGGCCCAGCTATTACGTCCCCGCTATCTCAGCACCACACTCTCCAATCGATTTGCAACGCCGACTTCTGGATTCGCGCCGACATGGGACAAGATCAAAGAGAACTTGAAGGCGCCCATCGACCAATTCATGCCTGCCGTTCGTCCTTCGTACACAGTTGAATCACCCCAATCCGAAGAGTCGCCTGACCTGCTGCGCTCATTCACCGTCTTGACGTCGGATCCCAAGGCTACTTCCTTACAAGAACTACTCGATCGCATACCCCAATTCAACGCTGGAAACGAGTCTGGGCTCTTCACCGATTTCCTCCTCCTCGTCACGCCCACTTACGCCGCCAGCCTGCGCAAGCAAAAGGATGTCATTGAGAAGGCTTTGACACGCATTTTTCCTGTAAAAGACTTGGACCAGAATCTACACAACAGACTTGGTGGGAGTTCAAGAGAAGCCGTCAGACTTGTCGCTGCTGTTGTCGACCGCCTGCCTAGGCCCTCCGACTTGTCTGCGTCTGCTGTCGGCGACATCGGATCTGAGGGTATTGCGATACGAGTCGTGGCCAACGAGAACCCAATCTGGAAGCCCGAACTTGCTCACCATGACCCTCGAGCCGCGCTGTCCGACAACAAATTCCGCTTCTTGAGCTTCCATCTCAATGATGACGCTACACCTGCATCCATGCGCCCGATAGTTCAACTTCCGCTGGCAAACACTATTTTTCAAAACGGTCTTTCTTCAACTCTGATCTGGCGCAAGTACTCTGTACGGTCAGATGGACTCGGCCTCAAGGAGATTGACGAGCAGCTTTGCGACTCACATCGTGTCAAGCTGCCGAGAGAGTCTGCCTCGAATGAGACTAACAATCTCACTTTATCCGTACCTCTCGTTCCATTGACATCGGCCAGATCTGTTGTCGCATGTATGGGCAACATCATTCGTCGCCTTTCTGCTGATTCTGGCCTCGGTCCTCAGGATCCCACCAAGGAAGCCATCCTAGCCTCTCACGAACTCGAGCAATCAGTCACTTCGTATCACAAAACTCGTGGCCTCTCCCCACGAGCTGTCTCTGTCTGGGCTCTTGTAATTCCAGAGAAGACTTTCACTGGAGGTTTATCTATGGCTGCAAAGGTGTTGGGAAAGAGAAATCTACCAGAGCTATGGAAGGTTGGTTCCAATCACGACACTGACCCGTCTCAACCCAACTTGTTGACCTTGTTGCAACATGGTGCTCGCCTTCACAAAGTTCTGTCTGGAGGTGGTGGTTGGGGCAAGAAGGCTGGCCTTTTGTCTCTGGACCCTGACACTGGCTATGGTCAGCACTCCGCCTGGGAAGAAATCACCCCAGCACAACTCACTGACGCAGAGAACATCGGTGGTCTTCCTCCGGTACCAACAGATCTCCAGCACGTTTGGAGTTTCGAGCCTCAAGAATTACCGAGCATCGTGAATAAGGGAGACTATATTCAGTTTTACATTTCACCCTCAGCATCTCCCGAGGAGGCCATTTTACAGTCTAAAGCCAGTACTGGATCGTTTGAGCCGATTTCAGATGTCAAGACTGTCGAATTTGGTGGCATCCCAAGTACCGTTGACAACATGCCAGCCAGTGAGGTATCTGTCACGACGGTGCAAGGAAAGACAGACCTCGTTCAAAGCTATCCAAACCACTTCGGAGCGCTATCAGAAACTGGTTTAGCCATGTTTTTTGGCCTCCAGTCGGATAAATCACCTTCGGCTAGAGTACAAAACGCGACTGATGCGGCCACCAAAGTGGATGTGCCTTTTGGTCGCTTGAGGTCGCGATCGCAAAAGTCAAAAGATTCGTCCAAAGCAAAACAAGCCGAAGCTGGCTTTGGGTTCTCACCTACGAAACCGTTACAATCGAGCTTGTCTGGCTGTCGTCAAAAGCTGTAGGTAGCTTATCATATATCCAATCATAACATATCGACCAACCTGACCAAGTATAGATCAGCATAGCGTGGCCATGGAAAGGCGACGGCGAAGTTTTGGATCAAGCAGTGCACTTTATGAGATTGAACAGACTGCACAGTCGAAGCCTGCTGGAGAGATTGTCTGGAAAAATGCGGCAAGATCGTCCCTATCCGCTCGTAACTTCAAGAGGACGACCGAACGCATTCCAAAAACGCCCAACAAGACGTGGACATCGGGAATGATCAATGAAGCACGTAAAGTACTCAAGAAAGCCAAAGCGCAAGCAGCACCTGCAAAGCCTCGCACGGAACCGCCAAAACCACAATCCGAACCTCCAAAACCCAGCTTCACCATCTCAAAGACCACATCCGTCGAGGACGCAAACATTCCTCCAGCTCAACTCTACATGAGTGACCTCCATGGAAAGAGACTCCAAACCTGGGCCAAGCAGACCATGCAAGATATCATATCACCAGAAGCATTCCAGCGATGGACGCAAACTAATTGCATCCCCAAAACACCTGATGACAACTGGACACAGAAAGATATCCGTCTAGCTCACACATTTAAAAAGCGTCAATGGAGGTTGAAGAAAGTTCTAGACAAGATTCGCTTGGAATCAGGCGATATAGTGGCGACGGCGATGATGACAACAACGAAGACCTCCAAACGCCCGAGTCTATCACCTTCTTCCTCTGCCTCTGCTCAACCGCCCATCATACGGCGAAAACAGAAGAAGAGTGTCGCGGTAAAGGAAGTGGAAAAGCAGCCAGAACACCCTACCATCACAGCTTTAAGAATCCAAGCACAATCCAAAGCTCGTGCTAGGATACTCAAAGAAGCTTTCAGAGGCTTATTATCTCCATCTCAACAACGATCCGCTACATCCATCACCCCATCTTCCTCTTCAGGGAACCCAGAATTTCGCATAACGACGCCAGTCCTCACCCGACGTATCATGAATCTTATCACAATGCACGAACCGGGATCCCCACGTATCCGCGTGTACGAATTGCTGGATATCCACCGTTTCCCATATAACGAAGAATTGGATACTGCGATTGAAAAGGAGAAAAGAGAGCAGAGGAAAGAAGAGCTGAGGAAGGAATTCTCGAGTTGGAGGAATGCTGCTGAGGAAGTCAGAGGGGCGTTAGAGGGAAAGTATGGCGGTGAGGGAAAGAGGCAGAAGTGGAAGCAAGTGGTGGAGGATGAATTCGAGGAGATTAGAAGGGTTGAGAATGCGGTGGCTGGGTTCTTGACTGGTTGAGTGGGAGAAGTGCGACGATCGAAGGAAGATGTGAAGGGATTTTAGAGTCAAGTCGTTCATTATTTACATATTCGCCTTTATCATCTAGAAGTTCCGTGTACTCCACGGCAAGCGCGAGCCGGAGTGTAAAACCAGCCATGTACCAAACCAGAACGCCTTGTGCCAATATGGAAACACCGAATGCTCCGTTTCGCTCCAATGCAATGCCACAACCAGAACTCCTCCGACGCTCCATCTAAACTAAACAGCTTGAATCTGCACCCTCTTCTTCGTCTTCATAGCAAACCTGTTGCGATAGAGAACTCCAAACAACCCAGCGAAAAACCAAAGTCTCAGCACATCGAACCAAACCTTCCAACTCAACCCCTTTTCTTCACTATCCGGATCATACCTCCTACACACCTCGAGGAAAAGCTTCGGATCGTCCGTGATGACTCCATCGATTTCTCTCCTTATACACCATTCCATCTTCTCGGTCGCGTTGACCGTCCACGCCAATACGGGTTTCTGCGCCTTTTTGCAATCCCTCAAGAATTTGTTGCCGCCCGGTGCCATGAGGATGGGAAGTAACATGTTGAAACTGACATTGGGTATGGGTAAAAATTGACGAGCGTAAGAGATGCTGAAACCAATATGCGTGCAAGGAAATCCAGGGAGATGTTTTGCAGCTAGAGGGATATATTTGGCTGACCAGCAACCAAGGACTATACGTGAGGACCATGGATGAGAGGGTAAAGCTGGTACCGAAGCGATTGTGGAGGCGATCAATCGCATGATATCTTCATCATTGTTGTCGAGTTTAATATCCAGCAGGACCCAAATATCCGCTCTTTTCGGGTGAGCCAGATATTCCAGTAAATCGATGAGTCGGGGCATATGTTGTTTAGGTTCTTGTGTGGTGAGTAAGGGTGCGATGAATGACCAATCGCAATCGATTATTTGTTCCGGGCGGTTGAAACAGCGGTTGAGTGTGTTGTCGTGGGAGAGAACGACTACGCCGTCTTTGGTGATGTGGACGTCTGTTTCTACGGCGTGGGCGCCGATTTCTACCGCGGAGGAAAAGGCGGACATGGTGTTTTCTGGGTATTTTGCTTTGTAGCCGCGGTGGGCTATTGCTTGGGGCATTTGTGGGCGTCCATCTTCGGATTTGTTGGTGTTGTGTTTTCTGGAGAAGGGAAAGACGCCTGAGGTAGACATGATGAGTATGCAGTATGCAAGAATGTGAGAAAGAAGGTGAGAGATGGAATCGTGTGAAAGAACCCAGATTCTGATTGAAAGTTCAAGTACAAGGTGGGAGTTGATATAGGAAAGAGCTGAGACATAAAGCATGAGGCAATCCAAGACTTACAGGCATGTGTGTTGTAATCTGACTCGAGAGCCATCTTGTCGGACATTTGTTCAAAGCAAGCTGGTTGGGTAAAGACTGGCGGGATGGAAAAGCGGCGGAGTAGAGGTGTGTCTTCATTTACTCCAAAGCCTGCCATGTCGCGCAATGCAGTGTCAGGATGTGGAGCTTTGTATATAAGATGTCTTCTTCCGCGCAAACACAATGTCTTGAATGTGTTTATTGTGTTGTTTGTAGATTGAGGCGAGATGGACGGCGGCGGGCCTAAATAGTGGAGGAGGAGGTGTGGAAATAAAGGTATCCAGATAAACAATGATCCGCGTCAAGGATTCCCGCGTGTCGAAATGAAGTCGTTGTTTCACCAATGGGGAAGTTTAGCGATTTGACAGCCTTCCAGGGTTTCGCGAATCGCTTGGGGGTTTGGCGACAATGGCGGCGCTTGATTGTTAGATTGTATTTTGCGACAAGAAAGTCAAGAGACAGCAAGGAAAGGAAAGCAGAGACGCAAAAGAAGGAGCAGTCATCGTATTTCAGAGGTAGGTCATCAGGGCAGTAAGCTTTCAAACCATCGCCAACTGTTCCTACGGTTGGAGCTAGCGAAAGTGCATGTCTCCATGTTGCTTGCCCTCCCATCTCCCGTTGGTTTTTGGTGGCGTGGGAAGCTAAGGTTATGGTTGAATTTAAGCATCGTCGGGGTCAATCGTTTTCACCGATCTTTATGGTGTCAGTTAACCTGTTTCACAAACTGTTCTTTTGCCTAATCAACGTTTGCCCATCCCTATCAAAGTCTCGTTTCGCGACGGTCGAAGGATTGGATTATCGCGCGTTCTCATGACTTCGAACAACGCAACACCCCCCGTCCTCGTATGCCATCCGAAACTCGCTCATGCTGACTCGCCGCTACAGAAGCATGACCGACAAGATGCGAGGCTAGAATGACGGGCGGGAACAAACCAGTTTGACCGCCTTGATACACATCATCGCCGTTGTCCACCTGTCATGTCAGCCATGTTTCGCCTTGCGCTTCATGTTCGTCTGTTTCTCTAACTCGAAAAACAAGGAGAGCTTTCCGCGTTTTCATCTCTCGAAACACCGTTTGAGGTTCTCCTTAAAGCTTACCAAGCTTTGTGATCGACTGCAAGCATCGCCCAGGATGACAGGTCAGCTAATGATGAGTGGACAGGGTGCAGATAGCTCCACCAACGTGCATGTTAATCATCCTCATGCGGCCGCCGGCGCGAGAGCAAGATATGGATGGGGACATGGGGATCCCTTCTTAGCTGATTACAGGAACGCGTATGGCGGTCGAAGGATTCGAGATGGCTTTGACCTTCGGCAGCTGAGCATCACAAGATACGGCACGGGAAGGGTTGGAAAGAAACTTTGCTTAGAGCCACGCAACATCCACGTTTGAGCAAAACAAATGTCCGACGAAAGCAAAATAGGGAAAAGAGCCTCTTCTTCAAACTGTGCTTGCGACATCATGCTTCGACTGGAGGTGTCAAGATAGGAGACAAGTCCTTCTCGAGACAGCGTGCAACCTGTTTAGAATCCGCGGATAAAGCGACTCGTGCAAGAGTCAAGACGTTCCACCTCGGCATGTCCCGTGCGAGACAACCAGAGGGACCATTTCGTCAGTGGCTCTTGGTCACCGACACCTCTTTCGAAGCAACCGTCGCCCGCATTATAACACACGGGCGCAACAATATCGTTGCCCATGCACGTCTGTAATATATCAGTCGAGGAGGTATTCGCAGCTCTTTGAGAAGAGGGCTCCTCGTAGTGAATGCGATTGAATTGTGAGCACTCTTTCGCGGAGGCCCGGAGCTTCCAGGTAGGAGTGACATGAGGTGGTTGCGCGTCACTGGTTGCAGTCGACCCAGCAAGGCGGGCTCCAAGTCACTCCATGTTTGATAGGTAGGCAGTTTAGTAGTAGGTCTTTAAATCATCGCAGCGTTTGTTCTTTGACAGACCTTCTGAACGCACAACTTTTTGCGCATCATCAACAAGACCGCGCAGCATCTGCTACAACCAAAACATACCACCATAACTTCCCATACCCAACCGCCATGACAGATCAGACACACCGCGACTTTCAGGCGCGCAGCTCTCGCAGTCAGACTCAGCGTCTTGATCGCGCACGTAATCCAGCCAAGCTCGTCAATGATCGTCCACAAGTGAGATTCTGCGCATCAACAAGCTGCCTCCCACTTCCAGATACTGATCAGACCAACAGAAAATTTTCTTTGGAGTCTCGGCAATCACAACATCCGATGATAAGATCGAAATGGGCCTTTGCGCTCATGATGGCACCTACAGTATGGACTTTGCAGTGCACTGCATCGAGGCCAAGCGTGATGGCGCAAAGACACTCTCAGACTTTGTCATCATGAGGGTCAAGGAGTATCAGAATGTTCGCAATGTCAAATGCCTTGGAGCCGGCATATCGAAAGCTGCTCATGACATCTCTCCGGATCTGCCTGCCAGGATGTGGGCAGAGCTCGACATACCAACACTGGAGTTCGAAAGAAACCCCGTCGAGGGCGATATCATCACGGGAGAAGTTGACGTTGACGAAGAAGCTGATGCCATGGCAAGAAAATGCGTCGTGTAAGCTCAGGAATTCTGTCTTCCAGCACATTCACTGATAACTGTCAGCATGTACGGCCCACAAAAGCAACCTCTTCTCCAGGTCGGTTTCTTGAATGAGGTCTCAGTCGATGCTGCAGGTCACGCCATACTTTGCACCCTGGAGCAATATCGTAACACAGTCCGCAAGACTACATGGGACGCCACAATGCACTACGCCGAGCGTCTGAAGAAGCGTGGCATCAGAATGGCATTCTTGAACGCGACCCCTCAAGGAGGAGGTGTTGCTCTCATGCGACATGCCCTGGTCAGAATTGCTCGTTTGCTTGGTGTTGAGATGAAGTGGTAAGTACAACAATCCGATCACACGCTACTCTCCTGACATGTGCGTCCAGGTATGTCCCACGACCAAAGAATGAAGTCTTTCGCATCACGAAGACCAATCACAACATACTTCAGGGAGTATCTGAGCCGGATGAACGCCTCAGCGCCGATCAAACCGAGATGATCAAGAACTGGATTCACAGCACCGCCAAACGTGAGTGGGTGCGTAAGAGAGGACCTCTGGCTAAGATTGAAGACGGTGGTGCTCATATCCTCTTTGTTGATGACCCTCAAATGCCTGACATTGTACCCCTGGCAAAGGAGATTGAGCCGAACCGTCCTGTGCTATATCGCTCTCACATCCAAGTCCGTGCAGACCTGGTAGATGGTGCACCGGACAGCCCCACTGCAGAGGTCTTCAATTGGCTGTACTCGCGAATCAAGGAGGCCGATCTTCTCATCGCCCATCCTGTGCGCGACTTTGTGCCAAAGCTTGTAGAGCCTCAGAAAGTGGCTTACTTGCCCGCTACTACTGGTAGGTCTCTTTGCATCTCTCCCTCAAATTCTTATGGCGAATGATGCTTGAGAAAATTTCAGCTAATGCAGCAATCACAGACTGGCTAGACGGTCTCAACAAAGAGCTTCGTTTCGAAGATTCTCGCTATTACCTCGACATTTACAATGCCCACTGTCTCGAATCCTCCCAACCTCAACTCGTCTTCCCGGCTCGCGACTACATTGTCCAAATCGCTCGCTTCGACCCCAGCAAAGGCATCGACACCGTCATCCGCTCATACGGCGAATTGCGCAGAAAATACTACAAAGACACACCAGTACACCAAACACCCCAACTCTGCATCGCCGGCCACAGCAGCATCGACGACCCCGATGCATCAGCCATGTTTGTCAAAACCATGGACTTGATTGAGAACGAGTACCCCGACCTGGCATCCGACATCTCAGTCATGCGACTCGGACCCATCGATCAAGAGTTGAATGTATTGATGAGCAATGCAAAAATTTGCCTGCAGCTCTCCACTCGTGAAGGGTTTGAAGTCAAAGTCTCCGAGGCATTGCACAAAGGCGTTCCTGTTATTGTGACCAGAGCTGGTGGCATTCCTCTGCAGGTCGAAGACGGCAAATCTGGATTCCTGGTTGACACTGGCGATTATGAAAAGGTGGCTGAGTATATGTATCAGTTGTTTACTGATAGGGATTTGTACGCTGAGATGAGCGGGTACGCTGCTGCACATGTCAGCGATGAGGTCAGTACGGTAGGAAATGTGCTTTCTTGGCTCTACCCGGCGGACACGATGACCAGAGAGGATGGCAAGAAGCTGGAGACCAATGGAGCGTGGATTAATGACTTGGCCAGAGAAGGAGCAGGCATCCCATACGAAGAAGGCGAGCCCAGATTACCCAGACACTACAAGACTTGAAACAGATAATAGCTGAGCGGGAAGAAGTTGCACAAATACGATAATTGCTTCTGAAAAACATACCAAGTTCTTCATTCTTGCATCGATTCTTCCACTTTCTGCGTGAGTCTGACATTTCTTTTCCTCTTGAACAGATTAACATCCAAGACACTGCACCCATTGGAGTCTGGAAACTTCCCTTTCTCTATCAGAACCTCTTTTCAACAAACATCCCATCGAGCTAGAAATGCCCTAATGCCACCATGGTATTCTCTTCTACATGTCGACAGAAGTGCTAGTGCTCGAATATCGTCTCATCCGGGCGTAGAGAAAATAAACAGAATGAAGCAGTCAGGTCTGTATCACCTCTCCGTCGACGTCGCTTTCAAATTGGAAGTCATTCTTTTTATTTTCTCGAAGAAACTCATGCGGGCTATGTATCTGTGCACAGGAGACGTTGATGTGCATTGCAAGCCGTGTAAAGTAGACGGAGTGTATCCGAGGAGAAGGGAAGGGAAGTCGGAGTAAACTTATTCGAGCTTCGTGGAAGGAAGAAAGGTAAAAGCTTCAGACAGATGGACAGGTTGGACGTGGGCTCTTCTTGTAATGTGATTGTCCATTCATGTGAACTTTTGCGACTTAGTTTCAGCACCGCAGTAATTCTACGTTCATTCCACCCCCTTCTGCTTATCTTCCTCTCTGCAATCGTCCCTTCAAAAAACGCCTTTGCATGCCCACTCTTGGTAACTCTGCAACTCCGTAAACGCCTTGACCTTCAAAGGACACCTACCACAATCATCTAATCCCATCAGTCCTCCCATCCTTCTCCTCCGACTCCACAGGCCCAGTGGGCCCACTCAAATACGTCTCCTTCTCCGCATCCTCATACTCCCTGACCAAATCCATAACAACCTCCCTCGCATCATCAAATTCCCCCAATCCATCCCTAAAAGCATCTTCGCGTTTGTATTGCTCCAAAAAGGCGTTTCGCTTGCGTAAGCGATCGTATTGGAAAACAATGCGTTTGAAGAGGGTCGCAATGCCGGTGTGGTTGGCTAGCATCAGGCCGGAGACGCGTGGGGTGTGGGCGGTGGTTGTGTAGGGGGATGTGCGGGTTAGGGCTACTTGGATGGAGGCCGGGCCCCAGGGGATGAAGGTTGCGAGGCGGCGTTCGCGGATGCGGAGGAGGGATTTGTGGACCTGGAAGATGACTGTCAGTATACATGTTTGAAGGGGGCAAAGAAGAGGAAAGTAAGAGGGTGAGGAGAGGAGGGAGAGGGTAACTTACATCAGTTGGATCGGCTTCGCCCATGATGATGTTCAGGATACTGATGTAGCAGCTGTTCTTTCCTGGGTTTGAGGAGACCATTCTGTTCTTGGGCTGCAACAATCTTCTCATGACTTCCAGGACTGTGGTTCTTCTGACGGTCTTTGCGGCTTCGACGTTCTCGCCGGTGAATGGTGTGTAGCTTGTTTGCAAGAAATGGCAGCGCGGGGTGGGGATTAGAGAGGCGACGATGCCGACAAGGTCGTTATGCATGTAGCCTGGGTAGCGGAGTGTTGTCGTCGAGGCGGACATGACTGTGCTGACGAGTTGATTTGTCTGTTGGAAAGAAGGTTCTTGGACGTGAAGTGTGTCTGCTGCGATACGCGATAGAGCGCCATTGTCGAGCACAATGACACTGTCGGCTTGTTGTGTGAGTCGCTTCATGGATAGCAAAGAGTTGTAGGGTTGAACAACGACATCGCCCGATTGTACGGTATCCGGAAAGACCGAGTATGTCTGGATCAGCTTCTTGGGGAAGCGGTCGTTGAGTCGTTCGAGTAAGTATGAGCCCAAGCCTGAACCAGTGCCACCAGCGATGGAGTGCAGCAGCATGAAGCCCTCAAGACTGTCGCTGCCGTCTGCCTCACGATCGATCATGTCCAGAACCTCCTCTTGTACAGTCTCGCCCATGGAGTAACCAGCAGCCCAGTTGTTTCCAGCTCCAGTGCCGCCGCTGTGGATGTAGAAGTTTTCGGGGTTGTAGATGTTCTTGTACGGGCCGGTTTGGATTCCATTGATGACCTGTTGCTATGATCAGCTTCTTGCTGAAGGAAAAGAGCGAGGGTTGGGCATCGTCTTACTCTCGGTTCGAGGTCCATTAGGATGGCGCGTGGGATGTAGCGCGTGTCGTCGGACTGGTAGAAGAAGACATCCTTGCGATCACCTCCTTCAGTCGCAAAGTCCTCGAGGTTTCCGTCACGGTTGATTCCATGTTCCTGACACAGTTGTTGCCAGAACTGGGAGCCCACTGGAAGAAGCGTTAGAAGTGCGCATGTGAAAGAGAAGACGGGATCAAACATACCGCTATTGCCGCATTGGCCTGCTTGGAGTGTGATGATTTCTCTACAACATTACCGACGTCAGTAATGAATCAGATAAAAGCTGCATCGATATCACGAACCTCGGCATGGCTGCGTTGGGGCATGGCGAGGAAAAGGTGATGGTTTGCGGACAAGCTGCGATAATGCGGTAGACGCGCCCGACCGCGTCACAGCCAACACAGGCTTGACAGAGCAACAAAGGGAAACAATTGATCAATAATTCGAGTATTCCTTTCAACGTCTTCAATCGCAGGCTAATAAGAGACTAATCTCGACAAACCTCAGCCTTCCCTGACTACGAACAAAACAATGGAGTGATATCGCTAACTTCCTTCTGTACTTGATATGAATTCTACCTCTTTGCCTGTTCAGAAACAATCGCAAAACATCCTGCGCGTCATATCGCTGTTGCTACACATTATGGTATAGTGCTTCCACGTCGTCGTCTGTCATTCTACACGTTGAGCTGTACGTAGTTGCCTGTGAATTTGTCAGTAACTTGCTTCAATGCAATCATGTCGCATCAACATACCAGGGAATTGTCCTTGTCTTCCGCCAGTCTTTCCGATCCACCATTCATTCTCGTTCGCTGTACGTTGCACAATCTCAATTGTCTCTCCGGCGCTGAAACTAAGATCGCCTTCTGCTTGAGCTTCGTAATCGTACAATGCTGTACACATTTCCGCTTGAGGAACCCCGCTGAATCGAGAAGGCTTGGGCTTTGGTGGCGGAGGCTTGCTCTTTGCGATTGCTGACATGGATCCGAGTTGAGGAGATGCTGCGCCGGCCGAGTAAGGCGGAGGCGAGGTTGCGCCGCCGTCGGTGATGGACAGCTGAGCAGTAGAAGCTGTGAGTCCAGGAGGTGAAGGCTTGGGCTTGCCCTCAATTGCCAATCTGCCATACTTGCTGCCAGCAGGACGACCCAATCCCTTGGTCTTGAAGTGGACAATCGTCAGAGCTTCGGCTTGTTGTTGGATCTCTCCGCGCTTCTCCTCAAAGGCTGCTTCAATGTCCAGGGTCAAGTTGAAGTAGCCAATATCAATACTCTGCATGCGCTCGTGCAATGTGTAGAAGACATTAAGCTGCATGTAGTAGAAGGACTGGAAAAGGGGAAGAATGAACTCGCGTTCCAGGCGGAACAGCTCGGGCAGCTCCGTCTTGAGCAGGTCGTTGAAGTAGTTGTAGTCCTGAGTCGAAACCTCGACTTCGTTCTCGGCCTTGTACAGGGCCTTTTCGTCCTTAAGCGTCTTGTCTTTCTTGTCCTGCAACTTCTTAAGTGTGGCTCGGTGACGGTCGTAGTCGAGTTGCTTGTGGTCGCGCTTGACGGCGGATTTGCGGACCTGCTTGATGATCTCGAGAAGCTCGTCTGCCGGTCGTACGATACGGGATTCGATCATCTCCAATTCGGGCTGTAGCGACTCCTTGAGGTCCTTGACAATCGCTTCGTATTCCTCGCAGGCGCGGATTCCCTCAGGGTTGCCATCAACAACGTACGAGCTGGGGTCCGAGGCACGACCAGAGATTGGCTTGTAAAGATCGGCGCAGGCTTTTGAGAACTCGATCTGGTGGTCCAGCATGCCGTTGATTGATTTGAAGTACTTTTCGGATTCGTCATGCAGGCGTTTTGTCTCAACCTCGAGCTCGGCGAAGCGACGTTCGGCGTCAACATAGACGGGATCCTTTGTGATTTCACCCATGTTGAACTTTTGCTTGAACTGCTGCGGAGCCTGGAGGGGAGTCAGCATTGGGCTGCATGTGCTCGTCATGACAACATACGCGAGTGACGCTCTTGGTGAAGCCTTTCCAACTCATTCTGGCGGTGTTCTAGGTTGGTCAGGCCGTAGAGGCGGGTGTCAGGTAGATCAAAATGTTTGTAGGAGGTCGAAGGGAGTAAGAGCTGTTGAAGAGCAGGAGTAACTTTCTGATGGTGCCTAAGATGTTGTAGACTGTGCTGCGGTAGACACGGATTCAGATGGGGCGCAGGTCGGGCTTGGCTATGAGATTCAGAACGTCGATCTTGGAGAAATGATCCGCGTGCTGTGGCTGATGATGCGGGTTTGTTTATGATATGCACGCGTCCGGTTGCTGCAGTTGCATGTGTTACCTGACGGGAAATGATACTGTCAGGATGTTAAGAGCAGGAGGCAGAAGCAGAGCGTGTCTACGTCTTCGGCCTTGCTCATCCGGCCGCATCATCCAAAAACGTTTCTTGGTGGCCTTTGGCTCGGGGCTTGGCATCGACGCCGACTATGTCATTTTTTGGAATTGAACCCCTCGTCCGGCCTCAAGATTCGCCGATGCTTAGAAGCTCTTTCCTCTCACGGCGATAAGGCAGCGACTTCGGCCGAGGCAGAGGGGCTCTCGTCCGAGCTCTTTACTCAGCAGAGTGCCAAGCATCCAGCTCGATGGTTCCCGCCTCGCAAAAGTCATTGTCAGTCGCATCTGGTGTGACATCTGCTGATTCCTACATTTCGCATCCCCATTCAAAATGTCGTCCTCATTCCCTTCAGTCGCGAGGCAGGCCCTCCACCAGTCTTCAAGACGACTGTCGACCACCTACCGTCCTCGCCTTCTATCGTCGCGCATTGCCGCCACCCGTTCATATGTCTCCGAGACATCGCCCAAGAACGCCACTATCAATGTCGAATCCACCATCAAGGCCGACCAGAAGGCCTTCCTCGCCGAGACTGGCATCAAGCCCAGAGATGCCACCATGCCCACCACCGGCATGAGCGCCGATGCCATGATGAGTCCTGCCGCTGGAATCCTCAAGCAAGCAACCGTCATGGATCAAGGAACTCGCCCCATCTACCTCGATGCTCAAGCGACCACTCCTACCGACCCCAGAGTACTCGATGCCATGCTTCCCTTCTTCACTGGCCTCTACGGCAACCCCCACTCGCGAACCCACGCCTACGGATGGGAGACCGACTCTGCTGTCGAGCAAGCCAGAGCCCACATCGCCAGCCTGATCGGCGCCGACCCCAAGGAGATCATTTTCACTTCCGGAGCCACCGAGAGTAACAACATGAGCATCAAGGGTGTCGCCCGCTTCTTCAAGCGTGGTGGAAAGAAGAACCACATCATCACCTGCCAGACTGAGCACAAATGTGTTCTCGACAGCTGTCGTCACTTGCAGGATGAAGGCTTCGAGATCACATACTTGCCCGTCCAGTCAGATGGCAGAGTTGACATGAAGGAGTTGGAAGCCGCCATGCGACCGGAAACCATGCTCGTCTCGATCATGACTGTCAACAATGAAATTGGTGTTGTGCAGCCCATGGAGGAGATTGGCAAGCTCTGCAGATCAAAGAAGATCTTCTTCCACACAGATGCTGCTCAGGCCGTCGGCAAGATTCCTCTTGATGTCAACAAGCTCAACATCGATCTCATGTCCATCTCCGGTCACAAGATCTACGGTCCCAAGGGTATTGGTGCCTGCTACGTTCGCAGAAGACCCCGTGTCAGACTCGACCCCATCATCAGTGGTGGTGGTCAGGAGAGAGGTTTGAGAAGTGGAACTATTGCCCCTCCCCTTGTTATTGGCTTCGGTGAGGCTGCAAGAATCGCCAAGGAAGAAATGGATGTAAGTTTGGACATCCCTCTTCATCTTCTCAGAGGATTATATGCTGCAACACATGCTGATTGAATCTCTAGTACGACACCAAGCGTATCTCCGCCCTTTCCAAGAAGTTGAGTGATGGTCTCCTCGCCATGGAGCACACCACCCTCAACGGTTCCCCCGAGTTCCATTACCCCGGGTGCGTCAACGTCTCCTTCGCATATGTCGAGGGTGAGTCTCTCCTCATGGCCCTCAAGGATATCGCTCTTTCCTCCGGTTCCGCCTGTACATCCGCCTCCCTTGAGCCCTCATACGTTCTCCGTGCTCTCGGCAGCAGTGACGAGAGCGCCCACAGCAGTATCCGCTTCGGTATCGGTCGCTTCACCACCGACGCCGAGATTGACTACGTTCTCAAGGCCGTGCAAGAACGTGTTGCCTTCTTGCGTGAGCTCAGTCCTCTGTGGGAGCTTGTGCAGGAGGGTGTCGACCTCAACACTATTGAGTGGAGTGGTCACTAAGGTACTTTAAGATGAGCACGATTTGTACAGTCTAAAATTCCCTTTCATGGCGTTTAAGCATTCATTCTTGTTTGGATTGGGGAAGATTTTTCTTTGGAGCATACCCGACACGGCATCACCCACTTTTTTTTTCTGTATTTTTAATTCAATCAAGCTCGGCATTACGACCTCATTGACTTTGGTATTGTCCTGTGGACTCCTGTGGACTCCTTTGTCTCATCTTTCACACATGCTTCGATTTTTCCTCTTCGCCATACAGCATACCTCCCCAACCTCAGAGATATCTCTCTACAAACACGCTATTGTGGTATAGCGTGCTAGAAGGATGGGAATGGGCGCCCGCACTCACATTACACGGTCCTGTGTTTCACGGTGTCCAACCATGTGGGAAAAGTGGATAGGGGAAGAGAAGTAAGGCAGAGCTACAGGTTTGTATTTCTAATAGTTATAAGCATGACTTCCTTGGTATAAGTATCATCTGCTCCCAAGTCTTCTCCAATAGGTCTCGAGGGAGATGGTTCAGGGAATAAAGGGGTCTGTGGAGCTATGTGGGATGATGTTGATGGTGTTTGCCAGTCTGATATAACATCAATCCATAAAATTCAAATGCATTTTGTCCTCAATCGCATATATATGATTCTATATGATGGAACTTGAGGTTTGAATGGATGACCGAGGTTTTGGATCTCGCTCGCTTGGTTTCAGGTATCCTGATGCTTACGAGTCGTGGGTGTTGTGATGTGTTCGTGGGGGTTTGCCCAAAGTTGTGGTTTCAGGCCGACCAAGAGGTTTCATGTGTGTGGCATGGAGGTGACATGGGTTCGTTCGGATAGACTGGAGGAAAATGACGTCTCCCCGCGGAGGACTCGTGAAAATGGATGTCATGGTTATCTGACAAGACGAAAGATCGAGAAAGAGCAACAGGCAAAACCGCCATATCAGTCAAGATAAGGAGTTGCAAAAAAAAGAAAAAGAGTAGTTGTACGATCATATCAAAAATTTTGTAATAGCTTCTCTCAAAACAAGTCTGTTGTTCCTGTTTTTCCTACATACAACAAGCACATGAAGGTCCTGCCATTGTGCGTTAAAAATATCCTCCCGATCATTTTGAGTCGTAAAGTATTTAGCTGGAGCCATTGAGCTGGGCAACCATGTACTTGGTACCCATGCTCTGAACAGTGCTAGAGTAAGGGTAAGACAGATGTTGAGCGTTGATTCCGAAACCGTGAGTGGTGTCACAAACACCATCACCGTAAGCGCAAACATCCATGGTCTTGGGGACCCAAGCAGCGGGGATGCCACCGAGGACGGCGGAGAGACCATTGACGTTCTTGGTGGTGGTGCCGCCGTTGGCGTCGACATTGCAGGCGAGGCCGGAACGGTGCTCTGGGTCGCCGATGAGGAAGACTCCCTTGACGGCGTCCATGTTGGCGCCGGTGAGCTTGGGCATGGCGTTGACGGTGGCGGCGGCGCCTTGGGAGTAGCCTTGGAGGATGAAGCACATGTTGGGGTTGGTGCGGAGGGAGGACTGGACCTTGTTGACAATCTGGGATGGATGTTAGCAATGCATGTCAAAGTGTGGAAGTTGATATGGAGCGACATACGTCCTGAGTGCCGAGGGCGGAGTTCTGGCTGGCATCGGCAAGGTAGACAGTGTTGTAGACGGTGCCGCCGGAGACCTGGGCGAGAGTCTGCTGGTTCATGGTGCGGAATCCAGCAGAAGGACCCTGAAGTTCACCAGTACCACGGGTGGAAATGATGGTGTACTGAGAGCAGGCAGCACGCTTCTCGATGGGGCTTGCGACGGCACCTGCAGCGAGGAAGACGCTGAGGAGAGCACCCTTGAGGCTGATGTCGGAGAACATGTTGATGGTATGGAAGTTTGAAGAAGAGAGTGATGTGTAGCGAAGGTGTTGAAGAGATGAAGATGCTGGATGATTGAGAATCTTGTGTGCTGAGGTTGAGACCTTCTTATATGCATACCTCGATGCTTGCTGTGATTCACCTACTGCTCATCGCCCGAAGCCAAACACCATCACACGGGCGAGGCCCATGAATCAGAGACCATGGTGGATAATGTCCAAGAGCTGTACCATACCTCCATAAAAAGGTCATTGCTTTGGAGCCGGCCTTGCGACTACGCCCTGTAGTTACCATGATCATCCATGACTAGCATTTGGACAACTTTAAACCTGGTTTCAAGCTTCTGCAGGTGGAAGTCTTCAGATGCCCTGTAACGGGCAGGCGTGGGCCAAGAGAGTGTGTTCCTCGGCTTGAACTTTGAAGCTGAGGTTCGATCAAAGCTTTTAGGCGAAGGGTCGTCGATTAACGCCACACTTGGAATGTCGCTGTCGTTCCAGGAGCATCCTCCGCACAGCCGAATGATTGAAAGTCGCGCACACCTACACAATGTCAGGATTAACGACAACACTGCAAAACTCAAAGCCGAGACCCCTGCGCCGCTCAGGAAATTGAGTTACGTCCGGTTGCTAACATCCTTCTATTTCGTTCTTCCACAAAGGAAAATGATTTGCATCCCCATCGAATGATTGGTACAAGGCCTCAAGCCGCAGTCTGTATCGCTTAGGCACGTCAGTTACTCAGGTACTGAATCAGTGCAGACCGAGGCAGCAGAACAGCGAGACCGAAGGACGGAAAGGCATGGCATGGCAAAGCCTGTCAGTATGTTTCGAGTCGCGAGAAGGCTTGTTTCCGCTTTCGGCCACCTGCTTGTTCTGCCAGCAACCACAACAAATCCTACGTTTCATCTTTCTCTCCAAAAACTCTCCAAAGTAAATCGAGAACTTGATGCTGCGGCATCAATTGGCGATCATGCAAAGGAGAAAATATCCATGCATTTGACTTTGCGTATTGCCCAAAACGTGAGGCTTTTGCACGACTTTGCCCTGTGTTTTCTCCGGGTCATAGAAGTTTAGCCTTACGTGCGAAGAAGTAGAAACATCAATGCGCTACTCCGGGTCGGATCTGTATGCCTTTGGGGTGAGTGTGAAGCCAATGATCCGAGTCATGGGTACAAGAAGCATGGAAGTATCCGGTTTCTTGGTTCATGATGATCTGCTTCTTCTGACATCGGGGAGTCCCAATCGCACAAAATTCGCTTGTCGATCTAAAACAGTTTGGCGGGTTAGCTGGCTATTGTTTCCATCGGCGAGGATGGCCTATCTGAGCAATTTGTAACAGGAGCGTGAAGGATGTGATGATCGAAGTCTAGAAGCAAGATTGCAGGTACTACACAGCAAATGTCATGGTTGCGCAAGGTCAAGTGATGGGTTGGTTGATGGTCAACAGCCACGTGCTCTCGGGAGTGTTGCGGGAAGGTGCGACCCATATTATCATCCTCAGCCACAAAAAAAGGACGACCTGTCATGCAGAATTCAGATAGATTGGATACAAGGTTGCAAAATAGACAATCCGAAATCGATTTGGCAAGCTGCAGCGACTAAATATAGTCGTCAATGTGTTCATACAGCTCTATCGACGCATCTAGTGAGAGAGTCGCATTCGGATCTGTTCCCTGGCCATCTGTTAAATGTCTGTATCGATACTTGTATTCAAGAGAGATAAATAGAGCGGTATGCTTCCCTCGGGGATTGGCTCATGGAGAAGTTGGGTGCCGGTATAGACGTGAGAGTGCGGGGAGCAAGACCCAAATGCTCAATCTGTTCGTACTTCAGCGACAGAGCAAGATAGCTCTGTGAAGATGATTTCGATGAAGACTGAATTACTATGGGTCATAGTGAATGCATGATGCAGAGTCGAGATTGCATATCGGTCAAGCAATGTTGTTGTCAATGTTGAAAATGCTTGTCCGAGGGATGACCCTGATGAGTAGCCCGGTAGCTGGACCCCCGCAGTCGAGCTGGAGTTTATTTGTTGCAGCGGACAATGTAAAGTCCGAAGAGAGACGTGAAATGACGTCTGCAACGCGAATTCGTCTCGGGCGCGCTCTCTACGTGTAGAATCACCACGCAACCAATACTTCACTCGACGACAGGGAACGCACTCTTCGCAATCCTCTATCGCCGCTCTACTACTAACGGACCACTTCGTCAGTGGCCGACTTCATCTGGCCAGCACTCTACGACTCACAAGTCATGCGTTACGGCCAAGGTGAAAGAACGACGATCGCACATGAGGAGCTGGACTCAATGTATGGGTGAGCAAGCCCAACGCGTGGTGAAGAGCTGAGAATACATAAAGCGGCCCAGACCAGTAGTTCTTGCCTAGGCGTCAGAAGAAAGACCAGCCAGAAAAGTCCAGTAGTCAAACCAATAGCCTTCCAGACGTCGCCGGTCGTTGACGGCCATGTCAATCTTGTCAATTCATTGTTGTGAGCCACGATACAAGCAACATCGCCCACTCATACTTAGAATCAGCAGTCTACGGGCAAACTCGACCACCATGTGCGCGCGTTCGGCTAGGTTGACGAGCCATGTACGTGCAAGTACAGCTGCGGCGACCACACTCGGGGGACAAGCGTAAACAGAATACCCCGAGTCTTGCTTTTCTTCTTACTGCAGCTTTTATCCAGATCTCCTCGACAGTCGACGTTGTCGTACAGCCGACGAAAGTCCAAGCGATACAACAGGCCCGCGCGCCGCCTTAGTGGGAAACGTAGACCTTGGTGCTCACTCTTGACGACCATAGCCCATCCCCAGTCTTGTTATTGATGTGGAAGAGGGAAGGAATCGGGAGTTTGTGCTAGCAATCCGTAGCGAAGACGATTCGAAAGCAGAATGAGGGAACAAATTGGCGGAGACTGTTCCGCGTGTGGTACACTTCCGATGGCTCCACGAGATCGAGACAGAAACCACTGGAGAATCGTCCGTTCACACAACTGATCATGGTATCTCCTCGAACCTTGACGTCTTAGCTGCCTGCCCCATCTCTCACCCCAGATCTGGAACTGCCGCCCCTAGTCTCCAGCCACAAGAAGGACCACGAATTCAGCCCAAACACAAGATGATCTATCGCACGTGGTAGAACAACTATTCTCCTTCTGTCTTTCGAGGTAGGGCTGTCGTTCTTCTGATATAGGAGACTAGTCCCAAAGAAGACTCGAAGTAGGGTTGTCAAGATAGGGTTCAAGCTCGACGGTGGCTTTCCGCCCCTGCCAAGTCCGCCATCATTCTGCTTGGCATCTAACAATTTATGTTGTAGTCTCTAGACACTTATCGAGAGCTAACAACATGCACACCGAGTGGAAGTCTCCAAAGAACAGGAGGCACGAATTTATTCGATCACTGACGACGCTAGCCGCAAGAGCCCGAGACACCACCACCTAGCCCGCCAGCATCAGATAAAACAAGACAATTCCCATATCACTTTGGGTTGACCGTCGACAAGATCAGGACCAGGAAAATCGTCATGCATTCATTGCCAAGGTAGGCCTCAGCCTCTTTAGCGAACACGGGATCCAAGACCTCTGGAACACGCCACGAGCCATGTTCAAACCTCCTTCCTTTGCTTACACACACGGCACATTTTCTCGTCACCGCAGGCCAAGCTCGCAACGAGCATCTGACCTCCTAAGTTTTGCTGTTTGCATAGCTGAAGTCTTGTATCGATGACATTTAGCTTTCAATTCCACCCCAACGACGTCCTGCACCGCATGTGAGAGTTTCTATGGCTTGGACATCGATCATATGCCATGCCTGGGCAAGGAGCTAGAAACCAGAAGGGCAGAAGATGCAAAGTTATATAAACCCACGAAGGTCGTAGGTGGTGAACATTCAGATCTCAACTCTGCATCTTCATCGCTGCACGCTCATCGATATGCGATCTTTCTTCTTGCTTTCCACCGCTGCGGCGCTGGCCTTCGCCACTCCAGTGCCCCAGCAACTGGACCTCAGCATGGCCGATGCCATTCCTACACCTGAGAATGTTACCGTCCCTTCTGACGTCTCGTCACAGACTGTGGAGTTTGATATCGATGCCGCTCTGGAAGACGCAATTGTCGCAGTACTCACTGACGACAACACCATTGACGTCTCGGAAAGCACCGCTGACCCAATCAACGGTACTACTCCTATCCAAAAGCGTGCGGCTTGCTCCACTGTCGCACTTGGATCTGGACCTACTCCAAGCCCCGATACTGCAGCCGATTTCTTGAAGCTCGCCAGCATCTCGACTGCCGCCAATGGCGCCAGCGCTCCGTCTGGCTACACCGAGTCTTTCAAGAACGTGAAGGCAGCTGCCAATGCTTATGGTATGTACCATCCAGTTTCTCAAAAATCAGGCAGTCACTGACAACATGAAGGTTATCTTGGATTTACCACGCTCACTTCTTACAACGTCCAAACTTGTGCCGACAAGTGCGACAAGATCAATGGCTGCAACGCCATCAATATCTATTTCGAGAGAGATCCTCAGACCGACCCAGCCAACGCCGAGTGCAAGAACAACAACCCCGCCAGCACTACAAACATAAAGTGCATTTTTTGGGGTGGTCCTGTTACCACAGAGAACTCGGTCAACGCTGGTCAATGGCGCAGCAAGTTTCAAGTCGTCATCGCTGGTGCCAATGGCTATGTGAAGAATAGTATCGCCACTCCCACAGGATACTCTTCATCAGCGTATTACGGAGCTGCCTCCATCGACGCTCCGAAGGACTGCAACGGACAAAGCACTTTCATCACCTCGAAGGTCTTTACAGGCTCTCCTTTTGACGCTAGACTCTGCGCTGCTGCCTGCGATGCTCAGAACATCGACCATGCCAAAACAGGTGCACAACAATGCCGCTACTTCAACACCTATATTCTGTCTCGTAACAACGTTGCTCTCGGCCAATACTGTAACCTCTTCACTCAAGCTTGGACTGCTTCTCAGGCCACTTACAAGGGCATCACCAGCGGCGCAAACAAGTACACCATTTCTTACAGTTTTGGTGTCTCCGCTTCGTCCGATGCTGGCAACTGTAATAAGGAATCTTCTCCGCCAACCAGTGATACTGGCAAGCCGCCTGTGACTGGCCCATCGACTGGTGCTGATGGGTTCATCGACTGGAAGACCTTCAAGGCCAATGGCGTCAACCTGGGTAGCTGGTTGGAGAAGGAAAAGAACCATGGTGAGTTTATGCTCCTCACATTCGATTATTCGAGACATGTGCTAATGATGACTTCAAGACACATTCTGGTGGAACAGTATCAACGACGACCCTTCGATCATGGACGAATGGAGCTTGTGTGCCTCACTTGGTGCTCAGTGCGGACCTGTTTTCGAGGCTCGTTACGGATCGTACGTTACCAAAGCTGATATTGACAAGTTGGGAGCCGTCGGTGTCAACACCTTGAGAATTCCAACCACATATGCCGCCTGGGTTAAGGTACCCGGATCTCAGTTATACTCTGGTCAACAGAAAACATATCTCAAGGCAATCACAGATTATGCTATCAAGACCTACGGCATGCACGTCATCATCGGACTGCACTCGTAAGTCTCCTCCTGATAAAGACAGTCAATAGAAACCTCGCTCACACTAGAATTAGTCTTCCTGGCGGCATCAACAACCTCGACATCGGCGAAGCCTTCTTCCACAAAGAATGGTTCTACAACGAGACCAATCTTGCCTACTCCTACCAAGCTATCGATGGCATCCTCGACTTCATCAAAGCCTCAGGAAATCTCACCGCATGGACAATCGCCCCTATTAACGAGGCCGGCGATGATCTCTCCAAATTCGGTGGCCCTAACACTCTTTCGACCGCGGCAGCCGACTGGACAGGCAAGTACCTTAACGGATGCCTTGATCACATCGCTAAGCTCGACAAACGCATCCCCATGATGGTGCAAGATAGTTTCATGACACCCGGCGCGTGGTACAAATACTTTGACGCCTCTGCCAACGTCGTCATCGACACCCACGTCTACTTCTTCGCCGTCGCCGGTGCCTACTCCCAATACACACCCGGCGCTGTATGCGGACAGGCCAAGTGGATCTCCAACTTTGACAAATTCCCCAACTTTGTTGGCGAGTGGTCGTTGCAAATTCGCTTCAACAACACCTTTTCTGACCGTGAGAACAACTTCAACGTACAGAGGTTTGCTTTTGACAAGTATGCTTCTGGCGGCGCTTTCTGGAATGTACATTCGCACAGTGCTGCGGCTGTCAGTGGAGAGGGCACGCAGAGAGATTATTGGTCGTATGTTGATCTGATTGATCAGGGAGTCGTAAAGACTATTGATCCTTCTTATGCAGGTTGTGATGCTCTCTGAGCAGATTCAGTGGACTGGGAAGTTGGAATACACGGATCGTCGAGCCTGGCCCCAAGTTAAAACGGACATCTCTAGTGGAAACGACATCACGCGTTGCAAAGTCTTTATATAGATTGAGTAATTTGCTTGCTTGTTGATCAACCGTTTTCGCCCATATCCTCACGACTTCTCAAGTTCTATCAAACAAGCCTATGTCGGTCAACAATTGCGATTCATGATCTGCTTACATCATTAGAAAGAGCCAACAACTTCCACAATCCAGTCCACAGCTGGCTTGATAACGTTCAGATGAACATCATCACCGACTTTGGCGCCCATATCAAAGGCATGATCAACTCCTGGCACACTGTGCTCTTTATGAGGTATACCCTGCTTCTCCAAGGCTGCTGCAAAGTCTGTGACATGACAAGTCTCGAACAATCCATCTTGAGCGCCTGTATACTGGTATACTGGCGGATACTCAATCTTTTCACACAACTGAAGTGGAGCTGCCACAAAGTATCAATAAAGCCTTGTTGCAGAAGAGAAAACACAGGAGGAGGTACGGAAGTTCACATACAGATCTGATTGATTCCCTCCTTCGTAGCGCCGCCGGCCTGAGGAAACGCTAAATGGCGGTTCCCATCTTGCTCCGTAAATTGCGAGGATGGCGGAAGGCCTGCGTTTCCATAGTTTAGGCTGCGAGTTCATTAGCACGGTTGGTTTTCTGCGGGTCAGGAGATGGTTGACTTACAGTCAACAAGGCCAGAAGAGCGCCTGCTGATCCGCCGACTACAACTATCTGCTCTGTCTGGACATCGAAACCGTGGTCCTTGAGCTTCGACGGAATCTCTGTTTTGATCCAAGTCTCGACATCACGAATATCTTCGAGCTGGCCGTTGACGAAACTGGATTCTGGCACTAAGCGGTAGTCTGTCGAAACAATTACAAATTCATGCGAGAGAAATTCTTCAAACACCGGTCGACTGAATTCTTGACGATTGCCTCCTATCCAAGCACCTCCGTGAATGAACAACATAACCGGCGATGGAATGTTACGAGCTCCATATCTTTTGCTTGGTGAAAATACGTCAAGGTTAATGATTTTGTTTCCAACCTGCTTGTAAGTATATGTCAAGGAAGGCTCCATAGGCGGTTTCTTGCGATCATCATCCATTGTAAGTTTTGTGATCTGTCACAGGTTGAGAGTCAAGACTATACTACGAGAATGTATTTGACTCAAGAGCTCAGGGTTTCTGACTATGTTATAGGTGCAAGTGAGTATGTTCGGGATTATGGAGTGGTCCCGAGTTCCGCGCCGAACCGAACCTAGTTCATTCTGCGATCCCGGTCATCAGGCTCCTAAACGATTGCGTTCCTACGATCTCTTGCATTATAGTACACCTCGATTGCGCTAAAGAACTGCTCGACTCTACGGTCGCGGCCATGGCGTTCGATACTTGGGGGTCAAAGGTAGGTCGAAATCCCAAGGCATTGATTGTACTTCGCACGCTTCGGTTGACCTTCGGCTTTCGAATCTCGAAGGGGTTTCCGCGTTGTCATTCATCACATCGACAACAGCCTCAATTTTTCCTTACCTTCCCAGAGTTTCATATCACGACGATCTCGACTGACTCGAAGAAGAGCCAATACGAAGTGATCAGACTGTGCAGTCACAAGTGAACGCGACGCGACGCGACCGACTGCGACGATGACTGGTTGAATCCACTTTCTGGTCTCCCACGTTCCACATCACAACTTGCGTCAGGAGATCAAATTCTAGTATCTCAATTTGAAAATGCCGAGAGCTGCGCCCCCCGAGTGTAAGATGACGAGGTCCAGAACTTACTTCTACGCTAACATTTCATTCAGCATGGTAGAAATTTGCCTGCTACATATGTTGAAAGCGGCTAATCATCAGCGTAGTTTGACGTGCCGTCGTCGGAAAGTTAAGTGTAGGTCAAGCAAAGTCGGCTTTCGAGATATTTGCTGTCGTTGACTCATAGTCTCAAGGCGATGGCGTCCTCCCGATCTGTCGGAGATGTGCACAACGTCAAGAACAGTGCGACAGGCCAGAAGTGAAATCAAAATTCGTAGTGTACACTCCGAACTCTTCTCTAAGCAGATCTCGTCCACCGGAGATGCACCGTCCGAATTCTGTCGAGCGACCGCAACGTTCTGCCGTCCAGGCCACGAGCAATGTTGAACACAACGATCTTCGAGTCCCGGATCCGATCAATCCCCGTGCGGACCTAGGCAATCAGGTTGTAGCTGGTCTCTTGCACCACTATATCGAGCATTTGGCAGCTTGGTACGATCTTTGCGAGCATGACCGCCCATTTGAATTATTGGTCCCCATCAGAGCACTCGATCTGCCTGTTTTATTCAATGCTATCATAGCTTTCTCAGCTCAGCACATGACACTTTCGGATTCGCGATACGAGGTCATCAGCACTGTTTATCACAGTGCCTGTATACATGGACTTCTCAGCGGCTTAAGCGATTTCGATCCAGGTTTGCAGGAAGACTATCTCGTCGCAGCTTGCCTTTTACGCTCTTTCGAAATTCTGAAAGGTAGGTCTTCTTACACTGCAGTCTTCACGCAAGTCTGACCGTTCACAGCGGACTCAAGACAAGAGCAGCGTCACCTTCTTGGAGCTTATCGTTTCTCCTCAACAGAGGAGATTGACATGACTTCTGCAGGCTTACTTCAAGCGGGGGCCTGGAACTATCTACGAGAAGAAATTACGGTTGCGCTGGAATGTCGAAGGCCTGTCAGACTCACCATCAATCTTGACATCAGAACTGTGGGCCCCCAACCCGAGAGTATGCACGCCAATACCATTACTTACATATTGGCTCGAGTCATAAACTACTGCTTTAATCGTGGCAGTACGAACCAGCAAGAGGACTCTAACCACGACGAATGGACGAGCCTGAAGGGTGATCTTACCTACTGGAAAGAAGGTCTTCCAACCTCGTACGAACCTTACTCAAGAGCATCGAAAGAAGGCAATGTCTTTCCTTCTGCATGGTATCTACGGCCATGGCACAGTAAGCTTGACAGTTCTTTTGGTAGAGAAGCTGCTGAAGCAAACACAGTTGCAGCTGCAGAATATTATTTGACAGCCCAGACACTTCTACTCCTACACAATTCCGATACTGTCCTGGACGTCAAAAACGTGGAAGGACTTTGCGGTATAGCATACACCAACGAAAGCAAAGCAGCAAGAGTCAATGCCTTTGGGCCTATGGCCTTTTGTAAGTCTTCATTACTTTCAGAGTGTACCAAGATACTGATTTTTTAGGTGGGAGATACTTAACAGATCCAAAGCAACGTGAAGGCCTCAAGTAATTACTGCTAACCAGTAGCCTAGAAGTTGGATGGCCTGTTCACCGGATACTGAAGGATCTGGAAACCTTCTGGCACCGCTGATCAGGTTGGAGCGGTGTTTCGGTGATGCTTGCCGGATTGGGTTAGTGTAGGCGAAGTCTCCGCCTTTCCCGCTCACCGAGCCCGCATCCTTGTTCTCGCCAACGACACCCTTTGGAGCTAGTGTTGGCGAACTTATGTACAGATTCGACCATGGAGATGGCTTATAATGAGCCATCAATGGTTATAAAGGCCATGTCTCGTCCTGCATTTGATTTCGACACATCAATTTGACCCGTACCAAATCCCCTTCCTCACGTTCTCAGCGATGATGTTCCTCAGACATGTTGCGAGGGTAAGACCTTCGGCTACCTCTCGCTACATCTCACTCGGAACTCATGGCAAGCCAATTCGCAATCTGTCTTCCATGCCTGTCACCGTCCCTGTGACAGGCGAAGAAGTGGCTGCCAAGAAGCTGGGTTGGCGTAATCTCGAGTTGGCAACACGAGCACTACATCGCGATGGTCTTGTCGTATTGCAGGACACCATTGCACACTCCAGGCTCGACGCTTTGAATAAGACCATGGTCCAGGATGCACTCAAGCTCCAAGCCCAAGGGGACGCTGGACCATTCAATTACAACAAAGGGTCTGTGGTAAAATATTGTCTAGCTTGAACACGCTGACAATGAAGCAGAAATACACAGCAAGACCCACCAATGATCAAGTCCCAGTTCGACCCATCCATCTTCCTCAACCCTTTGGCTACACAAGTCACCACTTCCGTACTTGGCCCAAAACCACGTTTGACGTTTATGTCAGGCAACAGCGCACTCCCTCCTGCGCCTGGAGTTGAACCACAATCTCAACCGGTTCACACAGATGCTGACTTTGACCATCCCGAGTCACCATTCGCTCTCGTTGTCAATGTACCCCTTATCGACATGGACATTCACAATGGCAGTACAGAGGTCTGGCTCGGCACCCACAACACCACTTCCCTAGCTGCTCAGGAAGGCAAGCAAGGTGATAGAGCTAGTGGTCGCATCGCGAAGGACTTGCTCAAGGAGCGAAGACAACAGCGACCGCCATCACAGCCACTAGTACGCAAAGGCTCGATTGTGATAAGAGATCTCAGGTTATGGCATGCTGGAAAGCCCAACTTCAGCAGCGACATCAGAGTTATGCTAGCGATGATACATTTTGCGCCTTGGTATCGGTAAGTCAACACACTACATGTGATGATGACACAATGACTTGCTAATGGCCTCTGCAGAAACGCGATGAAGGTTAAGTTCTCGGAGGATCTGGAAGCTGTGCTTGATCGTGATGGAAGCGGCTTGCAAATCCAGAAGACTTTGGTATCTGAGCAGACGATCTTGGATGAGTATCTCAATCGCGGATATGGTAATTCGTATAACTTTGATCAGGAGTCACGTCTTGAGAATTTCTGAGAGCTCGGCAACTGTGTTCGAAAGAAGTCTTGCAATCATCGAATTACTAAGTAGATATGACTTTTATATGATACTAAGCCGGTGCTTCTATACCTGCATGTTTGATAGAGCTGAGAAGAGCAACCATGAACTTGTTCCTGCGAGACGCACGTAATGATTCGTTCGAGAAATTTGACTGTGGAGATGTGTTAGCAGTGCTTCAGACAGTGGAAGAACAAATATGCTTACCTTGTGTCTGATTTCAATCATGAGATCAAGATGACTGAGGTTGCCAACACCGACAACCTCGACGTCAAGACCCGGTTGGTAATCCCTGGCATTCTCCGGAGATCTGACAAACTCTTCGAGGTCGCTACGCAAAGCGACAATCTCTGCTGAAGTAGTGTTGGCAGATACTCCGAGAGTGATGCGTTCCTTCATTGCCTTGCTTCGGGATACGTTCTCAATCCAGTGTCCATTGGCGACGATGTGTGAAATCTGCACAGTCTTGTCATTGTCGACGCGGCGGAACACACTGTACATCAATGAGATGTGCTCAACAATAAGCTCAGTCTTGTCAATGTCGACTCTGTCGCCAACATCGTAAGGGTGCTTGACAAAAAGGAAGATGCAGCAACCAAGAAACTCAGTGACTGTACCACCAATAGCGAAAGCCAGACCAGTAAGTACAGACCAAAGTTGAGCAGTCTTCGTAGCCAAAGTCTTGCTGAAGAAAGCGGCATAGATAAAGGCGATAGCGACGAAGACGACGACGACAAGCATGCGGTCGAGCACCTCGATGGCTTGACTGATGTCGTGCATACTTGAAGCTCTGTTCTTACGTTCTTGTCCGACTTCCATTACTAGCATGATCATTTCATCCAGACTGACATCGCCATTGCAGTCTTTGTCAAGAGCGTTGAAGATCTCGTCTGCTTCTTCAGCTTGAGCGGGCCCAAGAACGTCGCGGATGTCTTGTACAAGAAGCACATCTTTGCCTTCGGGTACAAAGCTAAGCCAAAGGCGACGCGCCAGTGCCTTGGACGCACGACGAGTCTCCAGGGCGCTGATGACGATGGAATGGGCGGAGTTTGGATTGAAGATGGCTTTTCCTGAGATTTCCGAAGCGATGTTACCGAATGCCGACGTGACCTTATCTCTGGCACGGCCGATATCGTTGATGACAGTGGTACGGATACCAGCTTGACCGAGCTTTTTCTTGATGCCCGAGGTGTCAGGGTCGAAGATATCATAGTCCAAGTCCGCAAACTCGCGTGAGAAAGGTGGAGAGAGCTGTCGAGAAGCATCGTACATAATGTCCAAGATAGAGATCAACCTCTTCGAATCTTTGATCTTTCTGTCGTATTGCTTACGATGATAGTTGATACTGATGAGCTGGACGAAAAACTTCTCGGCTAAAAAGACCGCCGCGACCGCGATGGTAGCAAGACAAACCGTATGAAGTGTTTGTACCCACTTGTCGCCGCAATGACCATGATCGAAGGAACAGATAACAGGAACAGTTGCCCAATTTGCGATTGAGGCGAAGAACAAGCTAAGAGGAATCTCAAGAGCCATCAGTACCAGCGAGTACTTTCGGATACCGGTGCTGATTAGTCCACAAGCTGCTTGAAAGATAAGAGGCAGTGCTTTGGCCAGCAGCTTGCAGATCCATAAGCCAACCCAGACTATCTCCAACCAGATGAAGAGGCCGAGAAGTCGTATGTTCCCAGCTCTTGCATCCTTGTACACGGTATCGAAAAGAGCAAGAGGGATGACCAGAAGTGTTGCGACTGGCAACACGTAAAGCGCATATCGCGTGATGATTGAGAAGCCGTGAACCTTCTTGATCAAGTTGCCAATCTGCGTGAGAGTGTCATCGCTGGTGTCTGAATACGGATTCGCTTGCTCGGGTTGGCCCAAAGACGACGTCGTTCTTCGGCGTCCTTGGAGTTGGATCGTCGGACGCGGCTTGGGTGAGTCGGGTGATTCGATAGCAGTAGCAGTGACAGTTATGTCGGTCTTGAACTTGTGGTCCACAGACCCGTAAGTAGGGATCTCGATCGGTATGATTGCTTCGTCGCTCGCCATTGTGAGTGAGTAGCAAGGGCCAGGCTGGAAAAAGTGTCTGAGAATGATGAAACAACCGGGTGCCGAATTGTGAAGGAAAGAGGTAGAGAAGGGCTGTATGATAGGCGGCTGGAGATGGGAGAAGACTAGGGCAATGTATATATGATCAACACCTTCAGACGAACCTTTGGAATTGATCGCTGAACTCACCATTTGCCTATTGGTCGCAACTTTCCCAGAACAACACGCGTAGCTGCTCCTTCTGGAGTACTAAATGATCTAGACGCGGCATTCGCGAAGACCTTTGTCCCATTCTGAGCTGAATGTCTTCCCTTACAGGCTTGTCTTTGTGGTTGATGCTCACAGCGTTCTTGATATGCAGCAAAGTGTGGTAAGTATGCCATCCTGAAGCAAGTATCTCAGCTAGAGCTGGATACACGTGCTTTAGATGCAAGACGATCGCTCCGCAAAGTATAAATCTCAGGTCGTGTGTCTTCCCGTTTTGTCGGCTGCAGCACGCTATGTCGGTACGTACCAATCGGAATCGGGCTGTTGCTTACAAGATTGGGCTCGGCCATACACTCCGCTAAAGATTCAGAAGGTTCAACCTCAGGTGTGTTCGTTACAGATAGCCGAAGTATGTGGAAGAGCAGGTTTGATGCAAGAAGTCAAGCAGAACTGGTCGCAATGATATCAACCACCCTTGCGTTGGTTCGGCATCGTCGATTGAGCCGGAGTCGACAGGGAGATGCGTATGGGTTTGCTTCGGGCATAGGTGGGCAGAAGCTGCGCTACGGCACCTATGTGGCATATGGTTTGATACGCGCATTATTTGGTTGCTACTCATCGCGGTCTGTCGCGTCTCCAGTAGGTCAAGAAAAGATCTTTGAGTTGAGCAATCACAGCCCGCAGTGTTTGTTAAAGTCCATTTTCGCGCAGACTTCATCTTGTTCTGTGTGCCATCCATGCAAGATTGGAGTTTGCTTTAGAAGTATGTGAACGTCGAGATCTTAAGGTGGGGAACCGAGCGCGGCTCTCATGCAAGAGCTACCGAGCTTTCTTCGAGAACACTGAGGCGTGCGAAGCGCACGCCAAGAGCATTCCTCCATCCCCATCAGCTGTGTGTGTAACCAACTGCTAAGCCTGACTGCTTATATCAGAGGTACTTAAGTTGAAGACTCCAAGATTCAATTCCGTCGTTTTGCATGCGGAACAGAAGAGTGGGCGATGGATACAGACGCGCTTGGCAGCTAGACATCTATGTACGTTCGTTAACGTCTCCACACGCGCTTACAGTTCTTTCCCTTCGTTTTAGCTTCTTCTTGCTTTCCTTGACACAGCTGAACGACTTCTATACATGATGTGAATGTCAGCATGGCGGCACGCTCGGTCTGGCCGAGAATGTTGTTCTTACATCTAACACAAGTTGTGAAATCCGCCCCTTAAACCTACAATCATGCTTCGAGAATCAGGAATCCAGCACACCCTCACACACAAGCGAACCGTATGCGCGCTTGAACCCTTCTTCAGCTGGGCATTTAGGACGTTTATTGTACCAGGATGTTGAAGTCACGCATCTGGAAAATGGCATGTACCCATCGACCTGTTGCTGTCCCGAGTCCGGGTGATTATCTAGTTTCTGCACCCTATATATTCGCATTCCTGGAGCACCGATTGAGTATATCCATCCATCCCCATTCTACTCCATAATCATGCAGACTGGCAAGGAAACAACAGAGACTCACACCGTCTGGCTCGACGGCGAGGAACGAGCCTTCCCTGACCCACAGTGGAAGACTGGCATGAGGGCCAGATTTCCATGGACTGGATTCATCGCACTTTCGACGGTTCTTCTTTGCGCAGCAAGCTCAGTCATTGTCCTACTTGTCTCGGATGGTCATTCGCAAAAACGCTGGGCTGATAAAGTTGCGCCCAACGTCTTGCTATCCGGTTTCAATGGCATCGCAAATATCTGTTTCGGTGTTGCTATTGGAAACGGCGTCGCCATCACCTGGTGGAGAAAGGCTCTTAAGGGTGCCACTATTCAGGACCTTCACCGTTCCTGGGCGTTCAGTTCGAGTATCAAAGACGTCGTGATCTATGGAAAATACTTCAACTTCATCGCTTTGGCGGCTCTGGCTGCAAAGCTGACCATTATCGACGGTATACTTCTTCAAAAAGCCGCCAGCACTGCTATCGGAGATGACCTTGGGATCAAGGTCAAGGTTTCATCCTTTGTTAACGATACTATGCCTTTTACCGGGACCATAGCGGGAAGGTCTAGTAACGAAACATCCTTCTATGACTGGTTCAATAAGGATCTTGATCGGTGGTCTAAAAGCTCTGGCATCTTTCCGAACCCATACATTTACTGCAACGGTACATGTATACTCGATCTTCACGGCGCTGGGTTCGAGTTTGATTGTGCGAGCGAGGAGATCCCGATGAATTACGGAGCAGACGCCGTTCAAGACGCAGTAACACTCGCTACATCCAACGATACTTCCACATTCAATGGGACGTTTGAGTACAGTCTCTTTGGTATCACCTTCGAATCGTTCTACGGGGATGCCGAAGTGGACGGTGACTACTCAAGAATTGTCATGAATGTGACATCGACTACGGCCTCCAATAATGAGAACGATACGCACAGTTGCCCCGGTAACGTTACCAAACACAGCTGCGTACTTCGACCTGCAATCATTAGCTATCCTGTTACTATTGAGGACACTAGCCAGAGTCTAGCGGAAAATGTCCAGAGCTCTGCTACCAAGGCCATCAGCAACATGTATCTTGGATACAACACAACTTCATATGGCGGACAAGTATACTATGAGGACGAACGACAGTACAATGCGACCAACAAGCAACTCAACAACTACTCGCTCGTGGCTTACAAGGATACTGTCGAAGACCATTTCAGGGGCAACGGCACCATGGAAACTTCCATTGCAGGGCTTGCCAAAGCACTCGTTCGCTACTATCAAGGAAGTAGTTCCATGCATTTCGATGGTATTTACGGATTTCTGGTCACGCAGAACGGCTCGGCCGAAATCACCTATGGAGCTGTGCCCCTGACTCCAAATGGCTGCGACTTAGAATACAAAGATCCACTGGACACTCTTGTTCAGGATATCAACGCGTTGATGTTCAGTCTCTCCGTTGATCCATGGCTGTTGAATGGGGCCAACAACAATTGGTCAGAATACAAGACAATCAACGCAACGCAATACGGCACCAGCATCCACTACAAGACTAATAGAGCCTTCATGTATGGCGCAATCGCCTCTATACTTCTGTGTATTCTCTGCGTCATGCCAAGCTACTACGGCTACTGGCAGCTTGGACGCGACGTCACTCTTGGACCATTCGAGATTGCCAACGCTTTCCGTGCCCCTGTTCTGGATCATCCCGCGGTTGCTAACGCAGGAGTCAAAGATCTGATCAGAGAAGTCGGCAAAAGAGAAGTCAAGTATGGAGAGATGGTTCATAACGAGGCCCCAGGCCGTTTGGCCATCGCTGAGCCGGATGCCGTGAGAAGAGTCCATCCAAGGATCAACGACAGAAGATGGTGAACACAAAAGAGAGGTCAAGTGGCTATGAGGAGAGTCACCCGGTCAGGCTAGCGCTCGCAACTATTCTCAGTTCACTCGGTGAGAGCCCTTTTTGGGGTTTCCCTAACCCTGAGAACCCTCCAACTTCGGAATTGCTTCTGTATAGTTTCCAATATACTGTCCCTCGCAGTTATACATCTGTGCGTGCTCACCGCGAGACAAGTGGCACAATCCAACACATCATTCTCACGCCTTCGTATGTAGACGATCGCGGTGTTCGGATACTGCCCCTACTCCTTTCCGCGAGAAAATCGGGCTGAAAAGATCGTCAACTTCTGCCGCACTTACGCTTCAAGATGTTCGCACCTTCTTGTCATTCCGAGGTCACAACATCAGCAGTGAGTACGATTTTCAGGGATTCGATGGTCGTCGGCTTTTCGAGGTGTAATATTGTGGCGGAATAGCGGGTGGTCTCATCCAATCACGATCAAATGGCAGCGTACTAGTTCTACCAATCAGAGGAAACGCTCGAGAATCCTTCAGGCAGCCATGATCAACCGGACAGCCAACTTTGATCATATCACAAGCATAGATTATGACCCACCTCTGCTCCTGTTGTATCATCATCCACCAATTTCAACAGTCCCAGAGAAAGAGTCACACAAACACATTCCGTGAGATCGACCACTATGAAAGGGGAGACGGACGTCTACTGATGTCTTCAGGGTTTCATCATGGCCATGCAAGCCCAACCCGACCTAAGCAAGATGTCCCTCGAAGCCGAAACATACACGTCAACCGGGCAATTCTCCAAAGCGGAAGAACTTTACAAGCGCATGATTGACATCACTCAGCATCATGAGGGCCCAGAATCTACCTCTCGAGAGCTTTACAATCTTTCCGCTGCTCTGATCAACCAGGAAAAATATAAAGAAGCAGAGCTTACGCTGAGAGATTTGCTCATTCAGCTCACGGGCCGGCTTGTAGATGGCGACTCCGGCCATTTTCTTGAACAAAAGGCTGGTGCTGTTGGTCTTCTTTGTCGTGCGTTGAAAGGGCAGGGCAAATCAGAAGAGGCAGAGATGCTGGAGAAGAATGCTGCTGATCAGCAAAAGCAACTGCAAGCTCGCGGTAACGCCTACGGGCTCTCACAATTGTAGACGACTATTGGCTCAAACACGTCGAAGAGTCATGGGGTTCTTCACATGTGGTCCTGTTTAAAGATCTTTATTTTTATTCTGACGGTACTTGCACTTATGATACGGATACAGCATTCTGAAACCCATCTCTATGCTCTCAAAATGCCCGCTTTTTCCTCTAGGAACATTTAGACATCATCATAAAACACGATAAACCGGGTGAAAAAAATGCTGACATGATCAATCTGGCCCAAAACGAACTCAACGAGCTTAAATTGACGATTCAAATGTAGAAAGGTTATTCAGACTTATGAGATGTGTTTCTCGAAGCTTCATACAGTGCGCAACTAATACAAGTTGGCTACTTATAAGAACAGTGAGGCACCGACTGAAAGCATCCCAACAACGCCCGCTGCTGCTGTAGTCTTACTAGGCTCTTTGGCCGAAGGATAGGTCTTGCACAGATATCGTGCCAGCTGACTAGCAAGCATATGCTCCCTGAAATGTTGATCCACTCCACCGGCAATGTAGATGGTATGATTGGCGTGAGTACCTCCGTGGTTCACGCCCCAGCAGAGACGCTCACCTACGACCTCGTCCTCCTTCTTTCCAGTCTTGCTTCCCTGCTTAGGCCATTCGCGAGACGTCTCGTACAAAGCGTCCCATTGGAATTTGCTGAACACCTTGCCATCACTGGTGTCCTTCCACACAAATTTGCGATGGCCGTAGGAAAATCTTCTGGGTGACCAGTTCTTTGACTTTGAGGCTCGGTCGGGCAACTCCAGACACATGCCCACCCTCGGGTTTTGTAGCTTCAGCCAGTAGGCACCTCCACCAGGCACTCTGTTGATGGTGACAGTGACGGCACCTGCAGCAGGTAAGAACTCTCCTGCACGTCGAAGAACAGCTTCGGTGATTGGTGCATCGTCCATCCATATCGCCTGCATAGCATACAATGTGCTGGTGTCAGTTGAGTCTTTGACAAACATCCAGTGAGAGCGCTGACCGAGCATGAGAAGTTCCGAACCATGCGAAATTCTGTATGCTGTTGGTGGAAGCGATGGGTTTAGCGTGGGTGCGAACTTTGGTACGTTTTCTGGGAAAAGAATTCTGATGTTCTCGGGAGCAGTACTGTTATACGCCTTGAGATCCACATCGCGAGGCTTTGCATTTTCCCATTCGCAGATAGTTTTTTGGTCCTGGTCAAACGATCAGCTTCGCCACGGGTCAGGTGTACGCATGATCAACGATAGAATGACAATAGAATCATCGAAGCAAATTTGCACGAAACAAGGAGGTACTCACCATACTCAGAACATGGTCTGTCGATCTGCCATTGGCCTTGAGCTCAGCGTCCGCACTAAGTACGGTCGGTGGCATAAGAACTCCTGCGAACCGCGGACTTGTCAAAGCCGCTTTCCCGAGTATAGATTTCCTTTCTCGGAGCACATCGAGCTGTCGCTCGAACATCTTTCGATGTGCCTTGAGCATGTTCTTCTTGATCGTGGGCATAAGCTTCTCGAGCAACTCGATAGAAGCTTGATGAGCTACGATTGCCTGGTCGAATTTCCCGTGATACTCCAGGACGAAGCCGTGTACAACGACGGTGTATATCTTCGTCATGCTTTTTGCTATGGCGGAACTCATTGCGAGAAAGGTTCAGATGGTATACCGTAAATGGCAGCGTAGATATGAGAAGACAAGTAGATAGACAGATTGGTCGATGTGATTTATGATGGGTGGATTGCGAGATCGTGGAGGGAGAGTCGAAGGTAAATACACGACTCTCTGGCACACGCTTATCTGCCTGATCCTACGGCCTCAAGCATTGTCCCAGCTCCAATTCCCAGAGCCACCCATACAGGCGTCTGAGATCACAAGGAAGACACACATCAATACCACTTCAGTCGTAGTATGGATGCCTGCCCGGTATACCAAGCGCTGTCAGTTCGTGTAGAATCAGCTAGCTAAGCCTCTAGTCGCTGGGCAAGGTATGGTTTCGGAGCTTGTAGCCGACGAACTTGCGTTCTTCTTTGTGGGGAGACGAGCGACCGAGATGAGACGGTGAATTAGTGTGTATAGCACTGCCCATGGCTGTTGTGCCTTGTCGAAACACTGCCTGTTTCTGCTGGAATTGGCAATGGCTGTGCTTCTGCAGGATGATCGACATCACTCACTCGGGGTCGCCGGATCGACACATACTTTATTTTTGATGGATGCTGTTCCCAGACAAGTTGGCGCGACATTTCAGAGATGGCCTGAGCTGTCAAAAGGCACAGGTCCGTCGCAGCAGGTCGTTACGTTGGAGTTTCTCTTCCGGAGTGTAAGTGTAAATCAGTGGAGAGCGCAGGAGGGCGTGCTGAAGTCATCCCATGTAACTATGTCCCTTCCTAGTGTTGGGAAGTTTGTGTTCAAATACCTTCGTAATGGGAAGCTCGCATATTGTATAGTTCAGGGCCCACGTTCCTGCTTCGGATCAGGAAACGTGCCGCGAGGACAAGATCGTAGAAGGGGAGGGACAAGCGAGCGAGCAGAATGATCGCGCTCCGACGCGTCGCCGTGCTCAAATCTGCGCATCGTGCTGCAAGCGCGAAGGAGAAAACCGACACGCAGCGCCAAAAGCCGCCTACTTCCCGCGTCCTGTTCCTTCCACCTCTTCCACTGACATCCTTGAACGGCCTTCCAATCGGCACGCTCGTTATCAGGCACTCCACTGGGAAGATTCAATCATGCCGCCTCGAAAGTCCTGGGATTGGTCATTCGTCGAATCTGACTCAAGTATTCATGCGTCCCGCTCCCCTGAACACAGGCAGAGAGCCGGCGGACGGAATCCTGGAAATCGAATGTAGCGGAAAGTGACACATTGTACCTGTGAATGGAAGCCACAGAGCTCTTCGTTTTCCACGTACGTCGGTATGTGAATACATGAGCGGCGAAGTTGAATATCAGGAGAAGCGACCTCACGATGATCATCCTCGCCTAAGAATTCGACCGGCAAATTAAATTTTCAGTGTCTCCAGCCTCTGGGGGGCTTTTAAGACCTTCCGACTTGTCAATCATTTAGGCGCTACTTCAACTAGCTATCGCTTTAAGCGCGTGAGTCCTAGTTAAATGACTCTATTTATCGGCTCCCCCTCCATAACTCCGCATAGATATCTTGTAGTCCTTACTCTAATTTAGTAGCGGATACCTTAAATTCGCCTCTAACTCTACGCTATATACACTATACAAGCATAAAGACTTCCTTAACAATAATGGCTAGAATACATTTCTACGTAGACAATACAATTACCTTCATAAAGATAATATCTACTAGATTCAATTATACTAGGCAACCTATAGAAGGATATCCGTAATATTTTAGGGAGTTAAATAACGCTGCTATAAGCATTATAAGCTTAGAACATCTTACTTTTGATTAAATCGAAGTCTAGGAGCTTAACCCGTCTAGCTATAGATCTATTAAGGCTTTTAGTAAGCGACCCGTTATTACTATAATATATTAGCCTATTAGCTACTATAGAAGCTTTAAGGTCTAAGTAGTGTAAGCGCTAGGAGATAACGATTTATATAGAGTAATGCTAAATTAAGATGTACTATACATTCTAATAGGATAACTTTTCCTTCTAAATCTAGTATCTTTATTACTTAGTAGTAGAACTTCTTCTAAAGTAGGGAGGAAACTAGTCTAACCTTAATAGTTATAGCCTAATATATTAGTAAAGTAGTAAGTTTGTTTGCTATAATGCCTCCTTATTACGCTATATCTTACTATCCTATAAGATACTACATTAGTGTAGTGCACTTTAATACTAGTGCTTAGTATATTTACTAAGGTTTAAGATCGTTTAGGTAGATTGTTTAGGTAGAAATACTACTAGAACAATTAGATAATGTGTATAAAACATGATCGTAGACCTAGATCTACACCCTAAGAACTATAAGGTAGCGTAGTTCTACCTTCTTAATCGCCTTAATTCTTAAAAATAGAAATTAATTTTGTCTATTACCTAAACTATCTAAGTCGTCTAAGCTAAACGTTATCTATTATATACGACACTACTTAAGTTATAAACATAATCCTAGTTAAGAACCCTACTACTTTAGATATACGTTAATCTTTAACATTCTTATAGTTAGCGAGTAATACTAATTAAAAATATAAGTAGACGCTATACTACACCCCTTCCTAATGTCTAGTTGCTAGCACTGCTATAGCTAGGCGTATTAAGGCTCCTAAGCTCTTTAAGCCTCTCTAGATTAGGTAACTTAAGCTCTAAAACTGTATACTAGTATATATGCTCGATATTAAGCTATCGATATTTAGCTAACTAAATGCAAAAGCTCTCTCCTATATACTAGTATTCTACTAAAGACGGACATTATACTAATTAGCATTTTGCTTACCTTAGTAGAATTATCTCTAGAGGTCCTAGAATGTCCTTTATAGAAGCTACTACTATCGTTACTAAAGGACGTATTACTCTAGAAGATTCTAGTCTTTAGAAAGACTCGTAGATCGCTCCTTTAAGAAGGATAGTCGAATTTGCTTACTCCTAAGGATAATTAGTTAGTATTTAGCTCGTATACGCTAGTAGAAAGGTAAGCATATACGTACCCTACCTTATATCTAATAGGGGTCCTATAAAGAGGGGCGGCTCTATAAGTTCCTATATAACATCGCTATATCGATTCGTAAGAGCTAACACGATACTTAATTAAAGGTTAATAAGTATAAAAAGGAGGTATCTATTCCTATAAGTCGACCCTTCTATCTTAAAAGGTAAGATAATATGTTTATCTCTATATAGGTTTATAGATAGCTAGAAAATATATTTACGCCTAGCGTAAGACTATTTAAAGATAATAGTATTGTTCTAAGAGACATAACCTAGAAGGACATCTTTAATCTTGTTAATACCTAGATTAGTATAGTAAAACGAGTAGTAATAGTAGGTTTTAATATAAGTAATTCGCTTATAGTTAATACTTCTTAGCTCTAATAATTGTATAGGCCATCGAAATTTACGCTAGGTATAGGTACCTCCTCTATAAATTCTTATTACCTATCTCTAATAGACGTAATAATAGCTATAGGGGTAGCTTTAAAAATTGCATTCGTCTCTTACTCGAGATTACTTAGGCTATAAAGGTAAATATTCTAAGTAGCGTCCCCTTATTTATACGTATTAGTAGTATAGATTAGCTAGAATATCTAAAAGACGAGCTAAGTTAGGATGTTCCTTAGACTATCGAGCTAGCTAAGATCCTTATAGACGAGGGAGTCAATATCCTTAATATAAGTAGTAGAAGGAATAACTTAAGATATAAGATCGAGAGCGGACCTAGCTACTAAGCTCCCTTTACGCTAGCTATAAAGCGTACGCTAGGTAATAGGCTATTAGTAGCGACCGTAGAGTCTATTACTTTAGGTAGATAAGTAAATACTCTTCTAGACTAGGGTCTTAATATAGTTATAATTAGGAGGACCTTCCTAAAGAACCCTAGCTTAGTCTAGGCATTTGCTAAGGATCTAAAGGTTAAGGCTACTATACTAAAGTAGATCCGCTAGGCCTTTAGTTCGTACTAAATGTTAAAGTTAGAAAGTCTCTAAAAGAAATAGATTCTTTTAACCTATAGTTTAACTAGATATATGTTATCCTTAATGTTATTTAGCCCTAACTCTCTATAGGAATTATAGATGTTCTAGCCTAAGACTAAGCTAAGATTAAGGTCTAGATCGAGAAGGTTACGCCTTAGTAGTAGGACGCGCTAGGCCTAACCCCCGTTTATATAGGTTATTATAGATCGACTAAGAACTCTCTTTATTCTAAGACATCCCCCTAAAACTTAGTCTTATAGATAATAAAGTAGAGATTCCTAATGCCGTAACATTATAGTAGGCTAAGAATACCTAAGGATAGACTAGAGAATAGTAGCCTTTAACGTATGCCTAGGTAATATAGGTAGCTTAGTCTTACTAAATCTTACTACATAGCGCGCTACCGTCTAGGCCTATAAAAACCTTACTAAGTTAGAGTAGGGATTAATAAAACGATAGTAATAACGATAGTAGATAGGAGGAGCGCCTTAGAGTAGTAAGTTATATCTAGTCTATTAGCTATGCTCTTAAGGCATTATGCGTAAAGGATAGCGATTAGGAAAGCGATTAATCTTAGCGTAGAGTTAGCGTATACATTGCATTATAATCTAACTAGACTTATATTAATGTATAGATATAATAGCTTAGAAGATAATATAGATAGAGTAAGGATTTTGTAGAAGGACTTATCTAAGTGCACTATAGGTAGATTACGTTCCTCTACCCTACTTTTTAGCCTAACATCTACGAACTAAGACGTTCTAAATATTCCTTTACTAACTTAGCCTATATTATACTAACCCCTTTATTAAGAATAAGAGTTATAGAGCTATCTATATATACTACTATAGCCGCTATACTTTTACGTTAGATATTATCTTCGATATAGTAGAAGCTATAGCATAATAATAAGTAGGTCTCTATAAATTTATGTTTATAACTCCCTAAGTCTCCTTATCTCTAGCGTCTATTAACATAATATAATTACTATATCTTTAGAAAAACCCCTTCTATCTTCCTTACTACTTCTAGGTATAGCTAGCGCTTAGTTAGAATCCATCGAATAGAATCCTACTATTAATATTCTCTCCTATAGTAATCTTTCTTATATTGACTCTAATAGTAGAAGTGTCTACTAGAGTAATGCTACGCTTAAAATAGGACTTAGCATTACGTCTAGTATTATCTTAATCCCTAGATTAGATAGTTTACTCTTATTAACTCTTATCGATAGCTACCCTCTAGGCGACCTTACTTATACTAGAGCCTAGCTTATAACCTAGATACTATATGCTAGTATGCTTACTAATTTTAATGTATCTAGCTAGGATAATATATACCTATTAATGCTATAATATTAGGCTTAGACTTTACCTAAGGATAAGGTACTAGTAAAAAATATAATATCTTATAATAGTACTATTAGTAGTAGGCTTTAATGCGTGCTTACTAATATGATTTAGAGTTTTAACTATAGCGTATATAGTAGTAGTAATAATACTCTTCCTCGCTATAAAGCCTTAACTTAATACTTTAATGCTAAGATCTACTCTTATTAAAATATTGGACCTTACCTAAATACTTACTTAACTACTACTAGTAGTACTCTACTTAGAAGTTATGCTAATATAATAGTTGCTTTACCTTAGTATAAGGGCTATTAACCTATTAGTCCTTAGGAGTACACACTATACTAGGTTACTATTATAGACTAATTTTTGTATAGGTCTAGACCTCTATTATTAGTAGATAACGATAGAGGTAATAGTCCTATAATTAGTATAGGTTATATAGGTGTTACTCCTATCTTAATAGTTATCTACGGCGATAAAGAAGGTAGTAATCTAGAAGTTTAGTACTTTTATATAAAGACGTTTACTCTAGATAGTAGAAGATTACTATAATACTCCTTATTAAAGGATAAGATAAGTGCTACTTCTTCTAGTCTCTATTATATAGGGGTAGTCGCTACCGCTAGCATTATTAGTCTAATACTTCTTTTATAGTAATTTACCCTACGTAGATTATACGACCGTTCTTATATCTACGCTAGTAGCTAGGGACCTATGTTATATAGAAGTCTTAAATAGTCTCTAGCAATTCTATCTTAACTTATACTCTAGTCTTTTCCTAGAGCTACATTATCTTTTACTATTAATAGTAAAAGAGATTAGGGATACTTATTAATACTACGAGATGTCTATCCTATAAGTTGCGTTTAGATTAGGGTCGCTCCTATAGGATTAGATAAGATGTAGAGATCTTCTAAGTTTCATCCTCCTATAGCTTTACTTAAGGAACATAGGAACGAGAGCTAGAGACATATAATATGATTCTAAGGGAGGCGATTGAATATCGCTTGCACGAGATCTCATGGTGTATAAGCTCATGTCAGGGGCCAGGGAATCGTTAGGGTAGGAGGTAAAATGGAGATACGCTTTTTGGTATGCGCGCTTGCGGTTTTGTATCGGCCGATCAATACGGAAGTTAGCATTTATTATCTTCGAAGGATATCCTGTCCGCATTTTCCTTCCTTTCTGTGTTTTCCCCTATCTCTAACCGCCGTGTTAGAACAAGTATGGAGCACGAGATCATTAAAAAGCTGTGCCATATGATCGAGATGAGGCTCAATGCTACGGAGTCCTAATCTGGCAAGCTGCAGAAAGCTTCAGGCCAGAGCCGGATGCTCCCTCACAACCGAGTTTCGACAGGGAAATACTCGAAAGAATCATGGTCTGAAGAAAAACGCTATCAGAGACCCACAAGCATTTTTCCGAAACTACCAGCGACCATCGACGACTCACTGTTAACTGCGAAGATCTTGTTATCTGCTACATCGTCGGTGTTGGTCCGAATCCCCGATGCAAGCGTCCGAAGAAGGAACTCCCATCGCTCCTTTTGGAAGTGCGGGCGGGTGCGGAGCGGCGTGATGCTTTCTTGGCTTGCGGAGGCGCTCATCATCAGAACTGGAGCTCAGAAAACTTCAACTCGAGGTTCAAGCTCCAGCAACCACTGACAATATCTTCGATGCGTTATCTTTGTGGACATGGCCAATGATTCGAATCCAGTGTCTTTTGCATGGGTAGAGTATGATCCTAGGGCGTTGAAGGAGCGCCGGGAGCTCGGCGTCTACAATCAACAGCGACGAGTCGTGCGAGCTCATGTCGCCCATACATCTTCTGGGGCGAGGAAAGCGACTATTGCTCGGAAAGAATCAATTGCGAAAACCCAAGGAAGCAGGAAATCTTCCAAGTCTGGAAAGTCGTCCAAGAAGCAGGATAAACCAGTCGAAGATTTTATCACACTGCTTTTTGTAAGATTGCGATCTCGCGATGCATCGGCTGTTGCCTCCATGGCACAGAAGTCTGATCGGACCCTACTCTGGAATGCTTTCACCGGCGGAAACACATGCTTTGAGGCTGCATTGTTTGTTGCAGGAACTTTTGCAAATACCTGCGGTATCTCTCGACATGAACTGCATACGGGATTCGGAAGTGGTCTTCTCTTTCTCCGTGGTGCCTCGCTCGACGGCATTCAAAAGACAATCATCCACACGCCAAAAGACAGTTTGAACTCAATCTCCATCGCGCTGCTGGCTGGATGGGAGCGCAGGTTTGGAGACGAGCAATCTTACGCGGTACACTTGCAAGCGTGGAAATCACTACCTCTTGCGACTGGTTCTTTGGAGGACAGCAGTATCGCAGCATTGACGGATGTTGCATTGATCTGCTTCCAGGAAGCTAACCAGGAGCGATACATTGCTGAATCAGTCTTCTCAGCTGCGCGGTCACTAGTCTATGGAACAGTACTGCCACAAGGTCTTCCGCCTGGATTCCACGTCATTCCCGCGGAACGCCCAGAGGCGCTTAGTCTGCTCGGCATCGTAGCTAAATTGACGGCGTTCGACTGGACGGCGCCCAAATCTGTCGAGACAGTCCGCAGACTTATCCTGGAGACAGTATCATGGAGCGCTAGCCATTCGATCGGGACAGAACCAGTAGAGGCGTACGAGGAACTATGGGATCAGACAGACCTCCTCGCCCTTTATCACATCCGATCTGCCATGGTCTCCATCAACGCACCCATGATACGAGCAGCGATACAGGCACACAACATAGTATGGGCTTTTGATGAACAAACGGGCATTGACATTCACGCCGAAGCATGCCGACACCTGCGGAGCCACGAATTGATGGGCACAAAGTATCAAGAGGTAGCGATCTGGGCCAAGATGGCAATGATTGGACTCGCATCACCTTCTGCTGATGGTGATCGGCATATGAGTGGATTGATGAAGTACTCAGGTATTGGAACATGGGAGCAGATGGAGGCTCTGTTAAGAAGACATGTCTCCAAGGAGGAGTTGACATGGAAAAAGTACCGCAGTCTTTTTGACCGACTTGTATATTAGCGACAGCACAGAGCATATAACGACAGAACACGAATACAGATGAAGTTAGAAGTATCATCTCACTTGTTCGAGGCATCTGACGGCGAAGGTACACAATTACCTTGATGGCGAAGGTACAAAGTTGTTGTTGGAAAAGGCGGGGAAGAAGCTTCTGTCTCTTGCCGCTACCGGTGACGCTTTTCCAACTTGGCCAACAAACTTTCACTTCTTTCTCTGCGCGAGTCAACGACAGGAGGCATGGAGCAGACTGCGCCGACCCGCTGCTGAACAGTCACAGTGATACAAGAGGCTGTGTTCTCACTGGCCATTGCCCTGTCGTCACCCCGGCGGGCCGAAGAGCGCGCGATGCGCCTTGCACCCGACGCGCAAAGTCGGGCTCCTCTCGTCGCTCTCGTCACTCTGTTCTATCTGCATCACTGCCGGCCCGCACCCTCCCCTGACCCAGTGCTTTCTTTCCGCTCGCAATTCCGCGAGTCGCAATCCTCGTCCTCGTCACTCCTCCCGTCTATCCAATTTGCCTCACGCCACCTCCATCGTGTACCGCCGTCGCTGTCTCGCTCGAGACCATCTGCCCTAGCCAGCGCGCTCGCTTGGGCTCTGCCTTGACTCATCGCAGAAGAACACATCCCGAGCGCAACATCATCATCACGCCGCGTCCTCTGTGGCACCGAACTTCAGTCCGCCGCCGGTCCCAGCTACAGCTTCAGGTGTGCGAGCCCCCCAGGCTGCGTCGTCGTAAGAGCTGGAAGACAGGTCACGACAGCACGATACGATACACTCAAGCCACGGACCCAGACACAGACCCAGGCAACCAACTGTCCTCGTTTTTGGTCGCGACCGCTGCTACATCCTTGACCTGTCAGCCCCTAACGACACGCGTCCTCGATCGTCACAATACACAAGTCGCACTGAAAGAGCAAGGGAACAATACAACGGAGCCTAGCAATCCACCATCTCTGGACTACAGCCAACTCGCTACACAATCCCGCTGCACCACCGGCCGGGCCTCTCGTTCAACACAAGGTCCTCGCAGGTCCCCCCCACATCCAAAGAAAGCGACCACCATATGAAGGCGACATAATAGTCGAATTTGCGACCCATGAGCATGAAGAGAAGCTGCTTGGGATCATGCGACTGCGTCCAATACACACCTCCGAGGTAATTGTTGACAGCCTCAGGGATGACGCAGAAGATGCTAGCAACAACCAGTCCGATGGGAATTGATGTCTTGAATCGCTTGCTCTCGGAGATGGCAAACGCAAGGAAGCCAAGAGAGATGCGGATGAGAACCGTCATGACCACAAGAACGTGACTGCCATCTGGTGCGAATGCATCGCCCGGTGGTGCTGGTGTGCGGAAGATATCATGGAGCATGACTTTGGTCTGGGATGTTTGGGCAATTGCTATGCAAGGCATCAACATGCCCATGATATGAGCGGTCGAAGCGAAAAACACGATCGTGGTGATAATGCAGTAGAAAAGCGTAAAAGAAGTGTTTATGATACAAACAATAACGATTACGCGCCACACAATGTGCCTTTTGTACTTGCTCACGACTTTGTCAGTCCATAGATGTTGTTAAATTTTGCTTGTTCACCATGTCTCGACGAGTATGTGAAGATGTCGCGACTCATGTCACGTTCGAGCCACTCACGTACCGACCGGCTTTGTCATATCCAAGTCTTTGATAAAGCTGCCATCAGGGCAGAAATGTTCAGAACTTGAAGAAGAACATCGAAAACGCTGCTCTGCATCTGACGTAACATGATGAGTCAACGTAGAAAGTAAATGGTCTGATCTGAGACGGAAAGCAAAGCAAAGGCCTATGAATTTCGAGAATATGGCGAAAAGTGTGACATTCGGCTTCGCTTAGATAAACACAACAATCAAATATTATATGGCGCGGAAAGATGAAAGCATCGCAATAAGAACCAGCAGAAATAAAAGGGACGAAAATCAGATCGAATACCGGCAAGTGAGTTTGACCACCGGGCGTAAGATGCAGGGAAGATGCCTCGATGGGAAGCCCGGTGAAGTATCGAATCGTGGAGCTCGAGTATCTCAACGGTGGGAGCCTACATCAGAAGAGCAGCAATACCAACAGCGAGTGCCATGACCATAGCAGCGCTGGTGGTCAAACCGATAGCAGACCCAGTGTAGGTTGCAAGAGGCGGGCTGGATGTGGTAGCATTGGCAGTAGGACGAGAAGTGGCAGCAGCGTTGGACCGAGAAGTAGCAACAGCAGCGACGGTCTGGAGAAGTGCTGGAGTAGACGAGTAGGTCATGGTGTCTCCTTCGAAAGCAACACTGGTGAAAGGCAGCTTAGCGACTGCGGAAGCGCTGGGGAAGGCGACTCTTTCGGCTGCTGCGGCGGAGGGCTGGAGGGATGCACGGTCGAATTCGCCAGGAGCAAGGACACTGCGATGATTGGATCAACAAATGTTCGCATGAGAGAAGAGTAAGGTATGAGAACAGGATAAGCGACTTACGTGTCGATGACGTGAGCGACACAGTTGTACAAAATGGTGTTGGGGAAGGTGATCTTTGCATTGTTGACCCAAGCGGTACCATCAGGTAAAACAGTGAAAGTCAAGTTGTCACCCTGCAAAGAAGTGACAGTGACGTTTCCCAGAGACGGCGAGAAGATCACATTGTTGGGGATGATGTGGTACTTGAGGACTGTCTGGAGGGTCTCGAGATCGGCAGAAGCGAGAATAGATCCGATAGCTTCGAAAGCTTCGTTGGTAGGGATGAAGATGGTGAAGTCGGAAATGTTGAGACCTTTTTGATCGGGACCGCTGAGACCCACGTCGAACCCGAGGTCGGCGGCTTCAAGGGCAGCGTTCATGTCCAAGTAACCGGCTCTGTAGGTGAAGAGTTGCAGGGGAGCACCAAAAGAGAATACCGTGTCGACTTTGTGGATTGTGATGCCCTCACCGAGCATGATGTCCTGTAGATTTGGTCAGCACGGCATGGAAGATATCAGAAAGTCGTGAGATGCGCACAGCTTGAGTCACAGTAGAGATAGTCTGCTCTCCAGACAGAACGCAGACGTCATCGCCATTCTTGACAAGTCCATTGTAAGCGCCTCCAGTGATGTTAGAGAAAGGCTGAGTGGGAGTGATGTACGAGCTGTTCAGCAAAGTCTGAGCAAATGTAGGGACATCAGTAATGACGTCGGAAGGGTAGACTCCTTTGAAGACGTGATTTGCGAGAAGAGCTGCGACTGCGATTGTCTCGTTGCGGTACTCGATGGCTGCTCCTTCGGGCTCGTTGCGTGGAACTCTGGCGAATGCGTCGTTGGTGGGTGCGAAGATGGTGATGTTGGAAGCTGCCGAAAGTGTGTCTGCAAGACCGTCGACGAGACTGACCAGTTCGAGCAGAGTACTGAGGTCCGATTGAGAAGCGAGAAGTGCCCCAAGGTCGCCTTGAGCCAGACAAGAGCCAGCCGTGACGACTAAAGACCAGATTGAAGTGCGCATCGTGAATTGGATGAGAGTTTGGAAATGAGTAATGGATATTGTTGCTCGAGGGAGATGTGTGATGGCTGCAGATTTGTTTGCGATACTGGAAAGAGGAGCCTTCTCACGAGCTGGCTCGACATACTTTATACTTATCCATTATCATGGCGGCGCAGCATTGCCTTCATGTCCCAGCGATCCAGGAATCAAGTCATGGAAACTGACTAGGATGCAGTGGTAGAAGACGAAGGTCTAGGATCGAGAGAATGGCGGACAAATTCATCTTGCCCGCGCCCGATGTTACTGTGGTATGCATGAAGGATCAATGAGTTTCACAGCGCATGATATTCGAAGACCTGTACAGCCAGTGCCCAGGGGCTTAGACAGCGGTATGTACGAATCATCGAGGGAAGCGACGACATGTCTAAGAAACAGTCGGCCAGAATTCGCCGGCGGTGGTTGAAGATGGAGAAGCGCTGCAGGCACCGCAGGGAAAGCGCAAGCGAAGCGGAATTCGGTTTGCTTGGCGCGACCTTTCCAAGGCTTCACCTTCGCTTCGATTCCTTCGCAGACCGGTCAAGTCACTTGTGGGCGCAGGAACGGCCAAAATTCGCCGGTACGCTCTTCATGGATCGGTCACCAGGGAAGATCAGGTTTTGCCGGCATAATATCAGCCTTAGCGTGAGGAGATCCGATTTAGCCGTCATGCGTTACGAAGGAATCGTAACGTGGAAGCCACTGTAGCTGTCACTTCTTGTCCCGAACAAGTACTACACAACTTGGATGCAACATGGGAAAACGGAATCGCGCTTGCGAAGAATGTCATCGCCTGAAAATCAAGTGCGATGTAAGTACATCCTCTGGGAAGGCTTGTGAGAGATGCACGCGCAACGACTTGGAGTGCGTTCCAGCAGCGCCACGTCTCCAACGCGACCGCATCAACCAGCTCGAAGCTCAAGTTCAGGAACTCAAAAATGCTTTGTCCGACAGAAGTAGTAATGATACAACGCCTACTCGCTCACCTAGTAGCCTCCTCGAAAATCAAGATGGTATGATTTTATCGTTCTTGGATGCCCGGATTCCCTTTCAGAAACAGCAGCAACTCCTTTGCCATTTCGGGCAGCATGCTGATACTGCCTGGCCAATTATTCGCGTATCCATGAACCTGGACCAAATCCGCGTAAGATCTCCAATCCTTCTCCTCTCCATCCTAGTCTATTCTGTCTCCCAAGACATGCAAGGCACAGACCTGGAGACACACGATGAACTGGTACGAGAAACGATGCGTATGCTTGGAGAGGAGGTGATAGCCAGGGGCCAGAAATCCCTCGAACTTGTACAGGCACTACTTGTCGCAGCTTTCTGGAGTAAATACACCCGAAAGGGTGAACAAGCAAGTTGCTACCAGATCGTACAACTGGCCGTTGACATGGCCATCGATCTTGGCATTGCGGGCTTCTCTCTGCAACCTTCACCTGCGGCATACTTTTGCCGACTGGAAGATGCGACATCACTTGAGGCTCGACGCACATGGCTGTCTTGTTACGTCGCATTGTCAACATCCTCAGTAAGCATGCGACGTCCGAACACAGTGCCTTAGAATGCCCACCATGAAGAATGCCTGTTATACTTGGAAAGCCAGGGCGAGACTTCCGACGTCCTGCTCTGTCAAATCGTACGTATCACTCAGTTAATACAAGAAGTCTTCGACCAACTCCATCTGTCTCGCCTGGCCACGTTCGTGAACGGCAACGATTATAGCACTTATATCACTATCGAGACCATAAGAAACAAGGTAGACGTATGGACCGCGCAAATCCCTCCCGGACTCCTATCATCGCAAACTCTACGAGTATGGCGACATGTAGCAATGATTCACGTCTACGAAGTTGTGCTGCATACTAGAACCAACCAGTCGTCATTCGCTGCCCCATTCATACCGGGGCGAGTTCCTGTCAAAGACTTTCCGATGGGGGTTTTTTTAGGGTTTTTTTTAGGGTTTTTTTTAGGGTTTTAGGGTTTAGGGTTTAGGGTTAGGGTTAGGGTTAGGGTTAGGGTTAGGGTTAGGGTTAGGGTTAGGGTTAGGGTTAGGGTTAGGGTTAGGGTTAGGGTTAGGGTTAGG